GTGAATACGACATTAGTTTGCAAAATCTCAGTGAGCTAGTTTAGATGATTCTACTAGACCACCAAAGTTGTGTATTAGAGTGATCAACACGGCATTTGACCAACAGCAACGTAATATGGCTATTTATGTTAGCTAAGAGGTTTAGATCTTGTATACAGACAGCTGGAGACTTGGGGATAATACCGGACATGCGTGTTGTAAGATGGATCAACCTACTGAGCTTGGATTCAGTGACTCAGTGAGTGAGAAAACACAAATTCCTAACATGATCTCAAGTGTGAAATGTTTCGGATATAGTGCAAAGAGAAGAAACCTTCTTGCATGCTTTGCAAGATGAGGAAACTCAGCCGGCCATGATTCTATTTTGTTTGTTTGAGAAAGGTTCTCCACATGTAATGATTATGTCCATGCGAAAAGACCTAAAACTCTATGAGCAATGTCGCTAAATTACCAATATACCTTTAGCCAAATAGCTGAATTACCTCCGAAGATCAGAATGCTTTGCAAGTATCATCTTGCAATCACAGCACTGGCAAAGCATTCTGGTCTACATCGTTAAACGATGCTATATATGGAAGGACACATGCATGAGTCATTTTCACTGGAATTCTTTCGAATATTGCCCTGAATTTAATTCTTAGAAATTGCCATTTGAAATGGGACAAATAAAAAAACTGAAGGTAATTAGGAAAATTTTGGTTTTATCTCAACGCAACAGGCAACGATTTTGTCAATACAAATCATCCTGAATTCCACACTACATGCATTCCTGAATGCTCACCTTATTTTCACAACAAATTAATGTTTTCTTGCATGCATGATTTTCCGTACATTTCACTCTTCAACTGCAAAAAGCTTCCTGAACGATTATTGAAAATCTCCTTGAAAATATAAGCTAATTAATGAGGGATTTAGACGTTGTGTACACATCCTTGAGAGCGTTAGTTGAAAGCAACACTTTCGTGGTTGGCGAATAGCTGAGATTATGGATGACTTGACACGGCAGTAATTTCTCTGGAGGTTTGGTTAAATGCACACTTAGAAATTGAAGAGTCTTTTGTAACTCGTTACGGCGGCAGGTCAGTCTCAATGAACACGCTGAAAACGTCAGTCTCACTTAGAAATAATTTTGGTTCTCAATTACCATTGTAGCTTCGGTCACTCCAGCGTTTGATCATCAGTTTGCTGCCTTCAACTGAAACACAAATGAACAAAGATCTTCAGTGCATGATTTAGGTCTATTTAGTGCAATTTTTGTTGTTGATATAAAATACCGTGAGCAAATACCGCCAAGAGCGTCAGAAATACAACAAGTTCAACGTGCGTATAAGCTAATCCGAAATAACGTTTTCAATCTTGTTAAAGTGAGGTCTAGTACAAGATAAGTTGAATCACTAAAATGGATTGTCTACTTAAGGATTATTTTTTGGCTAAAATTCAAGATCAATCTCCACACCACCACTCGATTAAATCATCTCGTGTTGAATTAGGTCAGTTCCAACCACCATGCAAAAGATATGCTTCGTCCTATGTGACTTATGCTAAATACCAGTCTAGAAAATCAGCATAAACGTAAAAAATACCTATACCACTACCACTATAACCATGCAACAAACAGCGTATATAGGGGCGTCTTCGAAAATCTCGTCAAATATGTAGCCTTATACGAATGACCATAAAATAAACAAGATAACTTCTTGATATTTTCAGTTGACCTTAGTATGACTCGAAATGTTCAGAAGGTTTTTTTTAGGCAGCCGAAGTACCGCTTTTGATGACAAGTACAGTCTGTCCAATCAAACGACAGTCAAGCGGCGTTATTTAACACTGATAAATTGCGATGTTAGAATTTTATTTCTCATATCAGAATCAATTTCGCTTTCAGGAACATTGATTTTTATGAGGTTAATAATCTCACAATCATGTATGTCTTTAAACAGAGGATAAAGTTATCATTACTTTCTATGCTTCGCCGGTTTGCTGTCCAGCTCGATACCGTTTTTTTTTCAAATTTAGCTTGAATTAAATTAATTGCATAATGCATTTAAATACTCAGTCATACCCGCAGGCCTAAGAGCCCTTGTATAATTTGAATTTATTCTAAAACTGACGTTTATCTTGGCCGGCTATTTCAGGGTTAAAATCGCATACATGTGCGTACTACAACTACAAAGATGAATGCCACAACAGCAATGAAGGATGCAGCGTGAAGACCGAGACGTGCACCTACAAAACAAGCAATCCTGGCTGTTATACCCTATGGAATAAAGATCACATAATACTACAAGGCTGCTGGGCTCCATCTGCAAAAGAGGAATGTACACCAGGAGATTGCATCTCGAAGCAAGCTCATGTCTTTAGGAAACTAGTGCTTCATTTCTGTTGTTGTTACGGTAACAGTTGTAATAAGAAGTTCGGGCTCTCCAATCATCTGCCAAGATGGTCGTGAGCAACGACTCTCTCACCGGACTGCCTCTATCCACTCAAGAATAAAATATGATTTAAGCCAAGTTTATTTTAGGATATCCTAAAAAAAACACTGTTTTCCATGCATGATAGTTCTTAAAAGGGTAATATAAGAACTGTTTAAAGAAAAGGTGGGTTTCACTGAGTGAGATTAATAGTTTACAAACATGCATGATGATAATGTTCCACTTGAAACAAATCTATACTTTCCGCTAAAACCTTACATGACCTTGCATGCAAACCTTCCCTAATGAATGCTAATGTTACAGATGTTGGTCGATCAATCGTTCCTTCTTTTCTATGCATGTACCTTCCTCGCTCTCCACAGGCAATTGTGAATGAAGCATTTTAGCCAACACTCGGTGATTCCCACCTCTGTATATCTATTTCCAATCATTTAAATTCTCCTCAGAAATGCATGAAGGCACTGTAGTATAGTGCCTGTAGTCTGTAGAAGTACTTAGTTGTGTTATATTAAGTTATATTAACTGGTCTGGTCAAATACTATAATTATATATATTTATTAATATAATTTGGCGATATAAACTGTAAGTAATTTTAAGGTGATACTATATTAAGGCTAGACTGGTATAGATGTTCGCCGCTCTTGGGCTGTATTGACATGTTTGATAAATGCGAAATGAATATTACGCCAAGTGGTCTTTGTGTGATTTCCAAGTTTATTTGTCATCAGTTTTAATGTAGCGACTATTTATTGGAAAAATATCATTGGGAAACTATCGTTGTATATACCAGTAATGGTTCAGACTCGTATTTTTTAATAGATCTGCAATAAACTGTATTATAACGATGTATATGTTGTGTCGTCTCAATCACCCGCGCGCACCACGAACCATCGCGTTAAAATCGACTAATTTAAAGGGGATTACACATTGAATTCCTAATGTGTTCAGCAGATAAAACTATATTAACGGACAGATTCCGTAGCAGCTTTCAAAAACTCTGTTATGAAACGTGACAAAGGGAATCCAAAGCATATCTTTTTGGACAAGAGATTTTTTGCCCATTTGGATTCAAGGGTGAATGTATTTTTAACTGAGTTTTCTGAAAATCACCGTCGTTGATAGAGAAACCTTATTATTTTTCATCTCATCATTGTCGGCATCAACACAATCAGAGTGCACCACATTGTACACACATTCCGAAAGCGAGATACTCCATTGCTATACATGAAGTGCTCTTGAGTCGAGTGTTTACGAGAAGTGGATGTTGTCCAGACCGCGCGTCCAGATGCTTAGATAACACTATTTTGAAATAAACAACTTATCATTTTATCATCACTGCAACAAAATAAAACATCGTAGAGTTATATATGGCCATCATTTATACCATCTGTTTAGTGATTGCAAAAAAAATTGCAGGAATCACGCGCATGCATGCGAGACACAGAAAAAAAAGTATTTTAGTTTCAACAACACCAATTTAGGCCCTGGAGGCGTCTAGCTCTCTCTGGCTCTACTATAGACGTTTGGATAAACCTGTCCCATCTTTTCTCTAGCGACTAAATGAAATCACCAGAGTCGCAAAAAGATTTCAACCTTCCTCCGGTAGGATTTCAAGTTTTGAAAACCTTCCTCAAAATGACGTTACGTAACTGAGTCAAGTAGCAACCAGCATAACTGCATAAAGAAACATTTGGTTTTTTGGTACATGCATGTGATCAATTAGAGTGTTCAACTTTGAACCTTCCTCACAAACCTCATTCAATGATTCAAAGCAAACTTTGATAAAATATCACCAAAAATACAGCTATTCAATCATTTCGTCAGGTGCAAATGTATCTTCTATAAATTATCATCATTCATCATACTTTCTACAGTTCATTCTCTATCATCGAACAATACACGTGTCCTACATCAAATTACCGAAAGTGACATAATGCTTGCTGGTGATCTACTTGCCGAAAAGGGTAGAATCTCAAATTGTATTAACCCGAAAGTTATCAGTCGGCATTACCTATTTGATCCTTCGTCATGATAATTCATGTATGGTCAGTTTATATTTAATATACTACTTGTCATAATTAAACTGACATGCTATATAGTTCGTGTTCATGTTTAAGTGATGAAGTCATTACATCTTTTATGATTAATGCATTCTGAAGAGGTCTTGTCTGCCATCTAGTCTACCGAAACGATTATTTATAAGTGTTAGAACCAGATAAGGTTGCTAATTAGAACACACGTTTGTTTTATCTCTCCAAATTGCAACAAAAAATATGTTGGTGTGACAGTGACCCGCCTAGTTTACCAGATAGAACATTCTTATTTATGTGGCCTCCTCAGCCATACACAGAGAGCAAAGAGTTTTTAACATTAAATGGTGCATAGGTAAAAAGGCATAGACATGAAAATGTTTAAACAATGTAAGCTAAGTGATAAGTTCTGGGGAAAAAAATTAAAAAAAAATGATAAAGTTGAATCAATACTTGACATTATGTCTCAAGTGCAGAAGAAAAAAAAATAAAAGGTTTAAAATATGGCACAAGTGCATAATAAGATTCACAAAAATGCTATTTTAAAGCAATGCTATTATTAATCTCAACAGCAAATATGTATATACATTGTTTCAAGAAGTGAGCATGCCTTATAAGAACATTCATATCAAATAGTCAAAGACGTTTAAAAGCTAAAATTTTTCTTCAGGCAAATGTCAATGCCTTATTGGTCTGGGATACTGTACAGCCACATCAATATAATCTCCAATTTGAAACTTCTTTGATTCCAAAGTGATGGTATCTGCAGGGCTCTTTTTACCAGCGGTTGTTGTTCCAAGTTCTTTAAGCAAGAAACCAGGTTGACGTGGGTTAGGAAAGACTGTTGCGAAATCAAATGTTGTTCCTTTCTTCCTAGCATCAGGATTGACCTCCTTGATCAGTGTCATAAGCTCCTTGAGGGTTGCATCTTTCCTAGTATATAAAAAATATCAAGGTTAAGCATTGGTGGTCTGTTTGAATTATTCTTCAGAAATCAATAAAACTTGATGGAAACTAACCATGTATAGATTTGTAGTTCGTTTGATGGCACAGTTCTGAAAAATTCTTCAGGTCTGAAATAAAGTAATAATTCAATGTTTAATATGTTACTTTCTATATAGAGTTAATAAGCAATAGCAATTATTTTGAAAATTGAAACAAGAACACTAACAATACCTGTGATGTCTTCCATCTGTCCAGAATACTCTCAACAGCAAAGGACATGTCTATGAAAACGTTTAACGGATTTAGAGCAATATTTCTATGCAGTGTGCATATACCACATACAGGGTGATCTACACTAAATTGATTATTAATCACGACTATAAAGGCTAAATTGAACAACTGAATGGTACTACCTTTTCTCTATCTACGGCTTTAATTTGTACACGTTGAATCGGGGACCGCGAACGCGATCTTGACTTGGATTTTGCATTTATAGGACTTCGTCTTCTTCTTTCCCTGTCAGCCATATTGTAAACATGTGTCACGTATGACGTATGTAGTTACCAGACTTCTATGGCGTGATATGACGTCAGCTTTGCTGGCGTTGCTGCCATAGCAACCAGTAAAAGACAATATGGAGGACAAACGAGCGCATATAATATTATTTAGTTGTATTTGTTGCCAGTTTTGTGAATTTTTTGCTTGAGATATGGCGCGCATTTTATCCAGAGACCGAGATAAAGACTCATTTAACGATGATGAGGTCAGAATATCTATTAAAATGAAGTTAGAACGGTGTTTTAGAAAAGAGAGTAAATAGTTACCTGGACTCTATCACTAATACTCGCTAGTTTTTAATTTATAATAAATAATACCGCATTGTACTTTTGTTAAATATGTTGAGCCGTTCAGGTTCAAGTCCTTCATAATATACCCCATGGGCTCTGTACTTTTGCTTTCAAAATATCTCTGGTGCATTTATATGGCAGTGATTCAAATTATCTTAGAAATACTGGCTTGTTTTTCTTTCAGGCTGAAAGACGATTCCTACAGTCAAAGCCTGTCTGCTTTATTATATTTGGTAAACCAGTAAGTAAACTGCTCATTTAGGTTCCTAACTAGGATGTTTAGTTGCATGCATGGCGATAGGCTGATAGCCTGACCAACCATGTACATGGTCGTAAATTGTATCTTTGTGTGCCTCAGGGATGTGGAAAAACTACACTGGCGAAAAAGTTGGCTAAAACATGGAAATGTGAATTTATAAATGGTAGAGGAAAATGAATGTCTTTAACATCAGGTGTCAGTAACAGTCCAACTAAAAGTATTTAAATATATTTTATATTAATTTTAGGAAAGGACCCATTAATGCAGGCAATGGAGTTATCAACAGAACTTGGAGTGAAGGTATAAACCATTCTAATAAAAATATCTTCTTATAGCATCTAAAATAAGCAAAATTTTGAGTGAAAAACATTCCCATTGTCATGAATGGTGTTCTTAGGCTCAAACAATCTTGTCAAGAGGAGAAGCATTGCCAGAGGAACTTGCTTCACAGCTTCTTCATGATAAAATTGACTCTCCTGAAGTCACCCATCATGGTAAGTAATCTTCAATAAAGTTGTAGAAACCAATGATAACTTTAGGAGTGTTGACTCAGGAAGTGGGTTTAGATTTTTGAGGTCTAACAACACACAAAGTAAACTGTGTGTATGTTGTTCAATGTTTCAGGTTATGTCTTGGATGGTTTTCCCTCATTATGTGAAGATTGGTTATCCATGAAAGAACAACTAGAATTGATTAAAAACTGGAAATATAAACCTGACTTCATCATCAATTTGAAGGTGAGCACTGGTTAGTTCTTACCCCACAGCATCACCTTATCATCATGGATAGATTTTAAGGTATACACTTCCCCTAAAAAATTTCTCACACACAAATTTGCATTTCCACAAAAAAAAACAAATAGTCAGTGATAATTAAGGTCATTCAAAAGCAGGGGCCGGTTGTATCAAGCCCGTTTAGCTTAAACGGTGGTTAAGTTCAAAATAGAAAGCAAGTCTATCGTTTTATTCAACAAGCAAACTAAATGTTTCTAACCTTAATGCAAAGATACTGTTTACAACTACATATTTAGTGCATAATATTCAAGTTAACTCATTCAAGAGAGATGTAAGAGTGTTATTTAATTTTGACTTATCCACCGTTTAAGCTAAACGGGCTTGATACAACCGGCCCCAGTACAGTTACTCTGAAATTAGGAAACTAAGGAATGGTTGCATGAAAAGTGTCTTAATCACATTTTGTTACTAGATTCCTGATCGTGATTTGGAAAACCGACGAGTGAATCAGCGTATTGATTCAGAAACGGGCAAGATTTATACGAAAGACATGTACGATCCATCACCGTCTAAAATTGTGGAGGACATTGAGACAAAAGAGGAGAATGAAGATGGTGATGAAGAACAAGGTGATGAAGATGACTTTAGTGAAGTTGACACGGAAGACGATGACGATGATGAGGAGGGAAGCAAGATACAGGTATCCGAGCTGTCCGGAACTATAAATACAATAAATATAGTGCCCAGAGACCCACTCAGAAGCTGCTAGCGTTGTTGCCGCGTGCTTAATTCCCGGTTATTTTTAGAACTACAACGATGATGAAGAAGATGAAGGGTTTCCGGGAGACATTCTAGCACGCCTTGTTGTCAGACCCGAGGATCTTCCTGAAAACGCCACAGCAAGTATTCAACGATACAAGAATCTCTTGTTGAGAATGCTTGAGGTACATTTACAGCCTCGTCTGTCTTTCTTGACAAACGTACGTAATGTTTTCACGTGGTTTCATGGTTTAACCTTATTTTATTTTGAAGGATTTCATGGCTGATCATGACCAACAAAAGCTTATCGAGGTCGATGCTAACTTGCCAGCGAAAGCTGTGTTCAAAGTAAGTTAACACGCTAATCACAATGTAGCTTACTGTACCTACACCTGGATCAGCTGTAGTGTAGTGTTAGATCATTAGAATTGTTAGTAGAGATCCTTATTAGTCAGGAAAACTGTACTCGCATAACGTGACTTTCAAACAGGTCTTGAACAGAATCATATTACTCATACGAGATTGCTCATCTGCATTTCTTCCAGGCTGTAATGACGAAGCTTAACACGTTTGGATTAAATCGTGCGCTGACCACACTTCGTTTGCAAGGCGAGGACAGCGAGGAGATCTCGAACGACGCGGACGAAGACGACATGTTACGATCGTTGGCCGGTGCTGAGATGATTGCGCCGAGATTCCGATGGCGTCGTAGCCGCTGGGCACGACTGTGTCCCGTTGAGCTGTACACCGGTAATATCGTCAATGGTTTGCCACAATTTGCTGTCAGGTACTGTATCGTTTTCATAACAAAATTTGCTGTGATTATACTAAAGTTATGACGATTGGACGTCAGACCGTGGACTTAGTGAATTACGTACTCAAGTGCAGTAATAGAGATCTGGTTAACTACAGATCGAAACTCTAGCTCAATCGAGACATCACCGTTGCCCTTCTCTTATCTTATAGCTTCTTGGATAAGATATACTGTCTGTCATCGAGTGAGGCATTAGCGAAGTTTATTCGTAATCCTCGTCAGTACATCACAGAACCATACCCGTGTCCGCCTTGCAAAATATGTGTCCTTGGTCCTCCATGCTCGGGAAAGACGACGCTCGCGAAAAATTTGGCGCAGAGATATCAAGCACAGGTAAGGCTAGATTTTGATTTTGAAAACTGAGGGGAAGTGAAAGAGAAAAAAATGCTGATTTATCCTTCCAGTATGTCGATATTGAGTTGTTGATTGGAGGAACAAAACAGGAAGCAAAGAAGAAGTTGCTAGAGGAGATACGAGAAGAAGCAGTCGAGGCAGCCATTGCCAAAGTGATCGTTCAAATACAACTCCAAAAAGAAGAGGAAGAAGAAAGTTAGTAAAGTTTACGTCTGATTTAAACAAGACACGGATCGAGACTGTAAATTTTCAACTTTATTTCAAAGTCATCTTGTTCTGTCTGAAGATCCACAATCTGGCCCTATAATAATAATAATAATAATAATACTTTATTCAAGTGTCTATGTATTTAGCTACAAGTAAGCTAATTGGGGACACTATCTAAAATATAGTTTTAAAATATAACTGTATATACAGCTAGAATGCGGATGAGTATATTACACATTTACACACATATATAATTGTTAAATTACTAGAATGAGATAAAGCAGCCTATGGCTGTTCAACGTTTAGGGTCAAGTTTTTTCGCTCATAAAAGCCTGTTTAAAGCGGACGCAATAATCTTGGCACAACATCAGACAACTATGTTAAAATGTCTTGATGAAGTGCCTATTTTTCGCTTCAAATCTCCCTGGGTTAGCCATCCAGTTTACTTACAGTTCAATGGTTTAGGGTTGGCTGAAGCAGCGAGGCTGGCCGCTGAGGCCGCGGAAAAAGACGAGGAGGATGAGGACGACGAACCGAACGATGCAGGCAATGATGAACAGGAAAACGGCGGTGGAGAAGTGGAGGAAAATGAAGTGGAAGAGAATGAAGTGAATGAGACAAAAGTGGAAAAAGATGACGAGGCAGTGAAGGAAGAGACTGAAGTGAAAGAGGAGATTATTGTTGATGAAAATCATCCCGAGGTACTGAACCCTGAACTGAAATGCTTTAAACCACGAACCAGCTACAAGTCACTCGTAGCAACTATACACCACCTATTTTGCGAGTACTTTTTAGAGACAACCCAGGTCTTCGATAACAACGACAGGTTTGGTTATTAAGGTAAGCAAAGTTGCTTCTACTAACACTCAGTTATTTGTGCAGGTAAGAAAGATGGTGAGCGCAGCGATGAAGGAAGCTGAACATCGCGAAGCTGATATTTCCGCAGATGAATATGTTGATGTTGTTGAGGAAGCAATACAAGCAAGATTAAAGGAGGTGGATGAAGCCAAGGCCAAGGGACAAAGGTACGACCAACGCCCATCAGTTAGCAATTCCACTTTGCTGGTGTTAATATAATTTGAGCACGGTACTAGCTGCCATTACTGAGCACTGCATACCTCTAGAGGTAGCCCCTTTTCTAATTCATTTCATCGTCGCTAATTTCATTTGAAAGCTTGAAATTGTCTTGCATAAATATAGCCAGATACTTAATAAGAATAGTCGAGAGCAACCCTTGACATTATTTGCTTTTAATTGATCTCATAGGCTTGGTGGTTATGTCCTGGATAATTTTCCATTCACGCGGGAACAGTTTACGCTGTTGATAGAGCGAGCTCTGATACCAGACTCCGTGATTTATTTAAAAGATGATTCTGAACATGGTTCATACCTCGCAAAACGTTGGTCTGATCTACGCCGAGCTGAGAAATACCTACCTGACATTCAAGAGATTGATGATCGAATCGAGGAAGGCGATGAAATAGAAAAAGATGGTAAGTCATTGATTGGACCCGTGTTAGGAGCTGCTCAGCCGAGATTAAACAGAGCATAAGATGACTTTGACGTATTGAAATAAGTATTATAACCTGATTCTGGTAGTAATCTGGTCATCCCAACAATAGGTGTCATGAAGACTTATTTCAATACCTCAAAATCATCTCACGCTTCGTTGAATGTCAGTTAACGCGGCTCACGTGAACAGCCCTTACGCTTCCAATAATTTGTGTTTTACAGTGTAGTATAACATATTGACCCTTTCCATTTTTGCAGAGCTTTCAAAGGAGCCCGGAAAGGAGACCGACAGTGGCGCAGAGCCTGGTAAAACCACGAGTGTAGCTAAGAAACCAACAGACACAGACACAGACCTGGAGGAATATCAAGTTCTTAGATCAACGTTTGATAATAACTGGCAACAACTTCAAGCCATCATCAAAGGAACGAACAATCTTGAACCTATTATCATCCATTGTGATCATGATATCAATGGTATCACCGAGGATGCTATCAAGGCGATAGAAGGTGCGCATAGTTTGTATTCCTCTGTAACAACACATTCCTAGCGTTGTAATTCTTCAAGTTTTAGTTCAGAAAGATAACTGAACTTCCCTATAACACCATGCACAAATCATGCCAAAGTTTATAAAAAACACTATGACAATTTGTTTCTCTTCCACGCTCATTCCACTTCCACAATTCATTCATTCATCAAAAGCAGGTCATCCTACAAAGTTTTTTATCTGTGTTGTTCAGTTGTGATTTTCTGTATTTGTCACCTAAAGTTTTCTATGTTTTTTGAAAACCAGAATCCATTCCGGTCGGTAAATACAGATTTTCATCTTTAGTTTGCTATCAGCACTAACGCCTTCCATTATACATTTAACAGACGCGTTCATCTACCATCCCTGGGAGTACACAGGAATGGATGAGGACGAAGAGGAAGAAGATGCAGAAGAAGATGAGGAAATTGACGAGGAAGAAGAGAACGATGTCTTCAATAAAGATCTTGGAAAGAAACAATTCGGAGATACGAAACATTTCTGTCCAGTCATGTTGAAGGAGAAAGGCGTGCTTTGGCCAGGAATGGCAGAATGTGCTGCAAAATATCGCGAGCGAGTTTACTTTTTCTCAAGCGTCGAGTGTCGAAGACAGTTTCTAGATGATCCGACGCAGTTTCTTCCAGCTGATAGACCACTTAAGGTATTTTCCTATTTCCTCTGGTAAATCCTGTTTGCGAATATACTGTCGACCTTTTGTGGAGAAATTTATGCAAGTTGTATTATAATTGCAAATTGTGTTTTTATATGGTTGACGAAGAATATTCTAGTGTTTCATTTGTTATACATAAAATATACGTTTTAGCACAGATATCGCTCGAGAGACTTTCACTCGATCTCTCTAATCGTTAAGTTCTAATCGTTTTTAGCCTCCACCCATACGGCTCTTCATCATCGGTCCCAAGGGCTGCGGTAAAACGATGCATGGCAGATATCTTGCCGAGAAGCTGGGCGTTTTTCATATTGATTTCAAAGAGAGACTCCAGGAATTGATCATTTCCAAGACCAAGAAACGTGTTGGTCCCGATTACGAAGATGAAGAGGAGGAAAATCCAATAGAAGAGGGGGAAAATAGTAAGCGATCAGATCTTCTCCTGTGGGAATATCTCCACAAGTTTACAAACACTTGCATTCTTAGTTCATTGCCAAGGTTTTCAAACTTTGTATGTCTGGTTTTCCTTTTGTAGACGAGGAAAAGGAGGGAGATGAAAAACAAGAAGAGGAAAATAAAGAAGAAGATGATGATTTGAATTTAACGGAAGAGGAGGAGAATATTTATGTCAGTCTCACGGAAGGAGAACATTTGCAAAGAGATACTGTGGAGAATATCCTGAGTCCGTGGTGGAATGAGGAACCATACAGGTAGAAATACCCGGTATTTCCACGGCTTTGCAGGACTGATCGGCTAGAAAAAAGCTTTGTAGGAAAACATCAGGAGAACTACTTAGATTGAACCTTTTCAGATTAACTGAATGCTTTTTTAAGCTCACCTTAAACTGCCCTAAGCGTGAATTTAAGAGTCGACCCTTACGTTTTCCTACATGTTCCCAGGTCTCGTGGCTTCGTTCTCGAAGGATTTCCTCGTAATGATGATGAGAGCCGTGTGCTATCAATGACGGGCCTCTTTCCTGATGCGGCCATCTTGCTTGGCGTTGAAGACACGGATATCATCGACCGACTGCTGCCAGGGAAATTGGCGAGCTGGAAAGTGAAAAGAGATAAACGGATGGCTGTGAAAGCCAAGCTGAAAGCGATTGCATCGAAGAAAAAGGCAAGTCGTTGACATCCATTTGGGATTGCATATATATGATATACTAGCATTGTGATGGAGACAGAATAAGTAAGATCTGATGTATCATTGTTGCTTTACAGGAGGAAGCAAGAGCCAAGCGTAAAAGTGAACTTCTGCTTGAGATGGCCGAACGAAAAGCTGAGAAAAAGGTGAGATTCTAGTGATGTGATTGGTTTAAAGGCATTTTCACTAGTGATGTGATTGGTTTAAAGGCATTTAAACTAGTGATGTGATTGGTTTAAAGGCATTTAAACTCTAGTGATGTGATTGGTTTAAAGGCATTTAAACTCTAGTGATGTGATTGGTTTAAAGGCATTTAAACTAGTGATGTGATTGGTTTAAAGGCATTTAAACTAGTGATGTGATTGGTTTAAAGGCATTTAAACTAGTGATGTGATTGGTCTTCAGGCTCGTATGGAGGAGAACGGAGACGAAGGCGACGATGATGATGATGATGACGATGAAGAAATGGACGAAGCAGACGTAGAAGCGATCTTGGATGGTGAATTTGAAGACGACGAAGATCTCGATGAAGAGGAGGAGGAAACAGAGGAGGATGCTGTCGATCGTCTGAGAGTTGAGATCACTGATCGTTTTGATGAAGACAACAGTAGACTGGGTACAGTACAGGTATGACATGACTAAACGAGCCTTCATAGACACTCCATAGAGCTCTCAAACTTCACCCTCTCATCTTCAACTCCTTGACGTGTTTATTTATTTCAGGATTCTCTGGAGGAAATTCTCGTACCTCGTGTGGAGATCGACGCAAGTCGTAAACCACGAATAGTGCGATATTGTATGGACGAAGCCCTTAAACCCATCGTCGACTTCCGTGAGGCTTTATTCTCACGATGTTATTCCGTCTCGCCTGGACTTGCTCATCGAATGCTTGTCCGAGGATATAAGTTCCCAAGTAGATTTGGAAAATGGTGTCCTGTTAAGGTAGATCTCATTACTCATATTTACTCAGACTCAAAAGTTAAACCTGAACGCTGCTTTGCTTATTATTGTTCTTTGATATTTTTCTTGCAGCTTCTAGAAGGCGATGTTATTCAACCTTACTATCCACGTGGTACCATGAACTATCCTGTTATCTACCGACAACACATCTACTACTTGTCATCAGAGAAAGCCAAGTCAGATTTTATCAGTTGTCCTATGAAATACCTGAAGCAGCCATCGCCTAAACCCATGGTAACCATACAAATGGCTATTATAGGACCACCCAAGTCCGGAAAAACTACCTGTGAGTATGAATGGAGTGTTAGCTTATCTCTCTACCTTTAATTTCCTTCTTTCTTAATCTTCAATCGAGTTCATGAGTTTATCTCTAAGCTACATGAGCTAATAATTACATGATAGCTTTCTTAATAATCCCAAAATTTGCCCTGCTAGGACTGTTTTCTGATTGCTAAAATAAAGTTTCTAATGTCATTGCTGAAATATAGTTTATAACAAAGCATATAGTATTATTGGCCAGTCTCAATAATTTCTTAATTTGATTAACGCTTTAGTGGCAAACAGATTCGTAGCAGAGTATGGTGTGGTTCGTCTGTCTATTGGTGAGGTTATACGTCGTCTGTTGACGACTCAGCCGAATACAGATCTTGTCCGACAAATCAATCATCATCTAAAAACTGGATGTACGGTGCCAGATGATCTTGCCGTGCAGGCCTTAGATGTCGTGTTGATGGATCAGCAGTGTCAAGTAAGAGGGTAAGTAAAGCAGTCTGATGATACACGAAGTTTGATTGGCTCATTAGTTTTCGCGTGAACCAATCAAACCTCGTCTAACTTCAGGCTTTCCGTGTTTGACGTCATTATGAGAAAGGCCTTTACGAATTCTCCAGTCGAAACATTGAGAAGTCTTTTTGTATATCTTTGGAATGTGCTGGACAACTTTTAAAGGAGCTGCTGCCATGCCGTTCTCCTGCTTTAGATTGTACTGTAGTCTTATGATGTAATTTAATACTTTTCATGATGATCATAGGTTTATTCTTGATGGATTTCCAACGACAAAACATCAGATTGATCTGATGACTGAGAAGTGTATCATTCCCGTGAATGTTGTGGAGCTGTGTGTCAACGATGATGACGTCTTCCGTAGAGCTACTCAAGATAGAAGATCACCATCCAGGTATTCTTCGCCGAATATATCCTCTTTCTCCGTTTCCTTTCTTCATTCTTGTTCATCCGAGCGTTATCTTTTTGTCTTTGGGTTTTCTTTCAGAACATACCCGGTACACGACAGCCATACGATTATTTCCATACGTCTGGCTTGCTGGAAGAGAGAAATCGAAGCTGTAAGGGCATGGTATCAAAACGTGCAAAGAAATCTGATCCAAATTGATGGGACTGGATCGAAGTGGCTCGTGTGGAAGACAGCGTTTGACCAGGCGAAACGTAATATACAGGATATTCAAGGGTACTTGGTCAGGCTTGCTGAGGGTATGTATGTACACAACAGTATTTTTCATTTAAAGCCAGGGCCGCCGGGAAAAATTGTGGGGCCAGGGGCAAAATTTTTTTCTGGGGCCCTATGATGTCATGGTTTTAAATATCTGCAAGGCCTCATTAAGTACCTCAAAGCGTTGTAAAAAAGTTTTACAAACAAACTTTTTTACAAACAATATCAACATATCTTAGAAATTAAAATCAAGTCTACCCGAAAGCGGCATATTTGACCATGGTTGAGTGTACCGGAAAACGGCGTATTCGACCATGGTCATATACTCGCCGGAAAATGGCAAAAATACGACCATGGTCATATATTTGCCGGAAAATGGCAAATATACAACCATGGTCGTATTCGTCATTTTCCGGCCAATACGACCATGGTCGTATTCGTCATTTTCCGGCCAATACGACCATGGTCGTATTGGTCATTTTCCGGCTAATACGACCATGATACGACCATGGTCGTATTCGTCATTTTCCGGCCAATACGACCATGAAACGACCATGGTCGTATTCGTCATTTTCCGGCCAATACGACCATGATACGACCATGGTCGTATTCGTCATTTTCCGGCCAATACGACCATGATACGACCAAGGTCGTATTCGTCATTTTCCGGCCAATACGACCATGATACGACCATGGTCATATATTCGCCGGAAAATATCGAATATACGACCATGGTCGTATATTCGCCGGAAAATTGCAAATATACGATCATGGTCATATATTCGCTGGAAAATGGCTAATATACGACCATGGTCATATATTCGCTGGAAAATGGCAAATTTACGACCATGGTCATATATTCGCCGGAAAATTGCAAATATACAATCATGGTCATATATTCGCCGGAAAATGGCAAATATACGACCATGGTCATATATTCGCCGTAAAATGGCGTATTCGACCATGATCGAGTCTGCTAGGCATAAAGTACTACAAAGCGTTGTGGAAAAGTTTTAGAAACAAACTTTTTTACTAACAATATCATCATATCTTAGAAATTAAAATAACAATGACTGTCACTCGTACTTTCGACTAGTGTGCGAATAATACACCGAGCCCAACATTTTTTAAGGCGCTTTAATTTTAGGTTCTTTCTCAAGTCGGGTGCCGCTTCAAGGCTAGTTTCTACTCAGGGAAAATCTCCTTTGGATCGGAACGGACAGGAAAATTTCCTTTGTCGGTGAGTTCTCAGGCGGCGTTTATTCAAAGGAAACTTTCCTGTCCTGTCCGATCCAAATGGGAATTTTCCTGAGTGGAAACTAGCCTTCAAGTTGGTGGCCCGGGGCAAAATGCCCCCTGCTCCCCTCTCGGCGGCCCTGTTTTAAAGCCTCGAAAATGAAAGAGACACGTTGAGATTATTCCATTTCTTCAAGGACAAGCGGCTTCGATCGCTAACATGTGTGTCACCCCAAAGGAATTCGCCGAAAGACTCGGGGATTATGGTGAATACTGTCCAGTCAGCTTCATTGACTATGGTCACTTGGTGGATTGTTCTGGTAACCCTACGCTAGATTTTGCTGCCGAGTTCCGTGGTCGTTATTACAAGATGGACACAGTGAAGGAGCTTGAGATGTTCTTAGAGAACCCAAGTGCGTACGTACCCCCACTGGCACCACGAGCTCTTCCCCCTCCTGATATGTTGCCCAAAAGGAGGACAGCTTCTGAAATGAAAACGAGGTTCCCATGTCAGATTGAGCTTCAAGGCTATTGTCCGGTCACTTATCTTGATGGAAAGAAAAGGTAACGGAGTTCTTGCGATTAGTTTATGATCATAAATCATCTTCAATGTTGAGATTACCAAGTATAAAATTAAGATTTATTTCCACCATATTTTAGATATGAATTTATCGTACCTGGTAATCCAGACTTGGTGGTGGAATACCGTGGTTCTTTTTACACATTCCAATCGGAAAAAAAACTAGACACGTTCATGAGGTTAGTCCATTAATGATACCTCACTCTGGAACTTAAGAATTGAAAATTCGTTTTATCCCACAAAAAGACATCGTTTGTTAATATATATGTAATTTCGCTTGAAATCAGAACACCTGAGGTGTACCATGGTTTGACCCTACCTCGTAAGCTGCCTCCAAGGAGTACACCCCTGGCCATACATCAGCTACCAATGCTGGGATTCTTGGAGCAAACTGCATCAGAGGCGATCACAAAAGCGTTAACATCTGTGGGCTGTTTTAAGCCTAAGTACCCCTTCTTAACTGCACGACGATCTGCTCTGCTTTATGTTGCTTATCATTTGAAAGGTATGTCAGCTTTATCTCTTTATATTTCACAATTTTCCAGAGCATTCTCCAAAATTTTAGTGAAGATAACCTTGGTAGAGTATATAGATTAACCCTCAGCATATTGCTCCAACTTTCACAAAAATGATAACATCTTTTTTAGCTTTCAACCCCAAAAGCAGCGAGTACGTGCGAACGAAGTACAAAAAGAAATTGGAGAAGTTTGAAGAGAGATGTAAGCTGATCACGTACCTTGGACGAAACATGTCAAATCGCTACCGAGAACCGTTCCAGAGACCTTTTGATTTTGATGTAAAGATGAAAAATTTTCTTGAGCTGAAGGTCTTAAGACCAACAGCTCAAGATGTGTAAATAGTGCTGTTTTGTGTATATCCTATGTACAGTACAATAAGATAACTATTTTGTTAGGATGAGGGAATCGCTTTAGTAAAATTATTTGTTTCCTTAGCATCTTGTTGATTAAGCATGTTGAAGCTCTGAGGATCTGAAATCAAATGAAAGTTTATGCTGTAGCAACAACAACCTGAATTCATGGAGCTAGTGTATAAGAAAATATGGATGAGATTTTTGGAAGAAGGAAAAAGATGATAGTGAAGAAGTATAGAAGAAATATAATTAGAAAGATCAGCTTATAGTTAAAATTTTTGTGTAAAGAAGACATCAATTGGAAGCTGGTGTAATGCAAATTGAGTATCACTACAAGTGAGAAGAAAACCTGAAAACTTGATGGTCATAAGGTGAGACTCCTTCCTTAGCACCATTTAATTGATTTTCAGCCATAAACACATAACAATAGAGAATAACTATTTTATAACTATGTACAGTGTTCTAAACTATTGTAGAATAATAAAATGATGTTTGTTTATTTCTCTTCTTGTTGGTATCTTTGACTATTCTGAGCATAAATGTTCTGTTGAGTGTCATTTTGTAGGTTCTTCTTCACATTATACACAACAATCATGGATCCAAATCCACAGAATGCAACCAAGAAGAGGTTGATGGCAATACGGCGTTTTGAATCTGCTTTCTCCATCACTGCATAACTAGAAAAAAATAAAGAGATAAAGAGGATTAGAAATAGAGAATCTTCATGTAAGATGTAATGAGCCACACCATCCATCTCACCTGACTTCAGATGGAATTTCACCTTTGATGTTTCCAAACAATTTTAAGGTAATTTTATCCAAATATGAGAGATGATGTTGAGGAACTGTATAATGGCTTTCATCTGTTTCATCTGCAAAGAATGGTGCATGAAATTAACTGTCTAATTTTTTGGATACCTTCATAGTTCCTATGAAATCTTATATGGTATATATAGTGGTCACAGGCTTGGAAATGAGGTAAATTTATTGAAGGATGTTACTCTGGGTGGAACCATAACTAAAATGGTTTGCCATGGTTTGAATCAGACCCATATTGTTTTAGTCGAACATTCTAACAAAGCAAAGGTAAATGTTTCTCTCGTAAGAGTACCATCACTTAAATGATAGAATATTGAATAGTTTCTATTGCATCATCAGACAATACATACTGTTTCCCAGTAGATTGTCTGCAAACCACCGGTGTGTATGGGTAGGCAGATTATCAGAATTACTTGTACCATATACCTGTGATGGGTGATTTCCTCTCCACACTACTACAGTATGGCTTGCTTGACAGTACAGCAGATCTTAAAACTGTCAACTTTTGGGTATCTCGTATTGTAGACAAACCTAATCCTCGAAATCTATTTAGGATCATGATCACGGTATCTGTATATAAAAAGTATATCAAACTGTGGCTGAATCAGTGAATATACATCAAACATGTAGGTAAGTAAATATACTAGAAGTATATATATATATACGTAATATATACAGAAATACTACATAAAAATACTACACTATAATCATGATCAATGCTCAATCTTACCATGTATCAAACGAAGGTCTGTTATAAAATTGTGCAACTCGTAAAGCCAAAAGAACAGGACGTCAAATGTGTAAACAATTCAACCTCTCGTTCTAATATGATGGCGGGTTTCTGCGGGTATAGCCAACACACGTCCGGAATAGGTATGCCAGCCTGCATGTCCTATTCTGCTGTGACGTCAGTTGACGTCATACTACGTGATCTAAGCACTTTTCATTTTTCCTTAACCTGGTATATCCACCAATGAGATGATAGACTTATACCCAAGAGTCTTAAAACACCCTTTCTGCCCACTCATGCCTTTCCTGTTGTGTGGGTGTGATCAAATAGGTGTACTAGCCTTGCCTATGCTGAACCTAGTATTTTGAGGGGCACCCCCTTACCTACCACCAATATACCACTAATATTTTTACTTACTGGTTTATTTTAGATTACATTACCACACACTCATATCAATAATAGTTACTTTAGTTCAATAGTTAATTTGTTTCATTGTAATTGCTACAAAGGTCCAACTAAATTAACTACAGTATTTATTTTGAAACATGTTTTCACCTTTGGAACATTTACCATGAAACAGAAATGGAAACAGTTTCTTTGAAGATGAAAATTTACAGAATATCCTAGCGATGATCGAATCTATCCTAGTGAAAATAAATTCGATCTCATCCTGAATCTTTCCCAGTTTGCAAAAGTTTTAATGCCTTCTGTAGGTTATCAATGGCTGTATTAACATCCTCGTACTGTAAAGCGCTTGATGCATATTTGCAATATTTCTGAGCCTTTGCATAATCCATAGGTTCCAAATGAGTCTTAGATGAGGTGGCTGAACTTTGAGGACTTGGGTGTGCCTAAAAAGTTTAAAAACAAAAAATTACAGGTATGTCTTTTGAAAGAATATATTAACTTGTATGCACCATAGTGTTATTAGAAATACTACTTACCTGTGGTGGTTGAGCATTTGTTGCTGGGTAGGATTGAGGTTGGGATGGGTACTGGGGTTGTTGGGGGTTTTGAGTTGCAGGTGGGCCTCCTGGAGGATAAACAACAGATGGAGGCAAGTTTGGCAGGTTGCTTGGAGGTTGTTCAGGATAGGGTAGTCCTGGACCACTAGCTATGTTTGGTAGCTGAGTATCTTCACCATCACCACCAACGGGACCTGGTACAGGTGTTTCTCCTTTCTTAAGGCAGTTATTAATATAGGCTGCTTTCCATTTAGAGTATTTCCTTTGAGCTGCAATCTGTCAGAATGAAGAGGTATTCTTGTGATAATGGTAGACAATGCTGATTGTCTTCATGCTAGTACTATTGATGACCATACCACACTTAATATACCAACCTCATCATTAAGTTCACCAAAAACGGTAAGAATATCAAATATCAGAGATGCAGAGTAGAATGACTTGACTACATTCCTGTGATAATATGGAAATTATAATCTCAATATCATATAATTGATGTAGCCCATACTATTCTCTCCACTGGAGAAATAAAATATTTAATTTGTTTGGTAACCAATAAAGTATACATACTTGTTGAACCGACTTGCTCTATCCTCAGAATCTGCCCACAAAAATAATTGTACTCCCTTATTCTCCAAATGAGCTTGGGCAACCACATCATTAGTTATGGCTTCTTCATGACTTTGACTCTGTTTGGTCTGAAGAAAATATTCAACAAACAGTTCGTTCATAAGGTTTATTATCACTTTATGTATATCATTGTACTTGTAGTAATAACATAGGACGTATTTCATACCTTTTCCAAGAGATCCATTAAATTCATTAAAAAAGAAACATTTTCTTTAGTTTTATTTTTAATACCCACTTGGACTGCATGATAACGACCTATGTGAAAAGTTTAATACTACAAACTTTAATACTTTGTTACAATAGGAAAAACGTTTACAAACATTGGCATGTCTAGGGTGTTAAAATTCAGTAAAATACAATTCCGTCTCTTACTCCAGTATGCCACGATTGGATCTCTAGTTTCATACTCCTTTGCAAGCTTAAGAAATGGCTGGATAACTTTAAGATTTGCTGGTATATTGGCAGCCATATTGTAGTTTGTTTATAAATTACGTCATTAGTAACTATTCCAGGTTAATGATTAATCTAGAGGGTAATATGTTGCGACTTTTTAATATTGGTAAAATTTGATGAGTAAGATCGCGTAGGTAGCCCTAATACCATCCAAATATTGCCATAGTTACCATAATTTGCGTATACAATTTTTGGGGAGACGAGGTTATAATCAGTTATAATTCAATAGCGCGTGCGTAGTGCTGTTTTACCGTTAATAATAAGTCCGCTTTTTTTACTTCATTCGACTTTTTTTCGCGGATTTTTGTCGGCGAAAAATGCTGAGTAATATGACGTCATGGTAGCAATTTTAGCAAGAAGCAGAATAATTTATTATGACATTGTTTTGATACCAAAATTCACCAAAGTTTATCGTTTATTTTGGTTTTGAAAGGTGCAGAAGAAGCTGAAGGATGTCAAGCCAACTCGAAAGTATCCTTTACAAAATGTGTTCATATTAAGACATAGAAATACCTACTTTATATCGCGTAAATTTGTCAAATTACTACCTCAAAATGATATAACTCTCTTAAATATACTGCAACGGTGTTTAATCACTTTAATGTATGTATTTACCATTTAAAATGCAGTTCAAAGTGAAATGGTAAAGCTTGTTTTTATGTGTTACCTCTAGACTAATTTTGTTATCTTAATTTCAGTTATATTTGAGTGTATTCATAATTATTATCAGCAAAACATGATATTGAGAATTATTATATATGGTTATTTTCCTTTACTGAATATCTTACTACAGAACACTTATTTAATTTAAAGGTAAACTGAATTAAGTTTTTGGGTACTTACATGACCATCATATCTCATTTGTCTCATACAACTTTTGGCTAATATATGGTTCCTACTGTGTTAAGAGGAAGCAGAGCCACCTTTATATGAACATACACTTTGCAATGACCTCTGTTAGATCTTTGATAAACACCCTTCTCAATGTATAGAAATATTGAAGTTCAAAATTTGTTTAGTTTGCTGCCAAGCAACTTCAGAGAAGTGCAACAAAATGCGAGAAAGAGGAAAAAGCTGAAAAAGTGAAAATAAAAAAGGTAAGCAACTAAGACCAGCTGTTGTCCACAAAACGTTTAACCACATTTTCAGTTGTTAAATTGTTCCAGGCCATATTCTCACGTATTTCTGAGAAAAATTTCAACTTATCATTCAAGGTGTTCATCTTGCTCTCTACTACTTTTCCCTTTAGAGTAAGTGCAGAGAATATATAATTGATGAAAGATGTTTCTTTAGGCAATACAGAAAGGAAACATGGAAGGGGCTAAGATACATGCAGAAAACTCAATAAGGCAAAAGAGTCAAGTAAGTTCATTCAATTCATGGACGAGCGCATGTTTATATACTAGTTGGGGATTTGTATGGCAATGCTACGTGCAATTTTCTTCTTTTCAGAGATGTGAACAAGTGAATAAGTTACAGATGTGCAAATAAAAGCACTTACACATCTGACAAGTTTAGGAGAGCAATGATGATTTAAAGCATGATTTTAAGGCCAAATCATGTAATTCTCAAAAGGCTCAATTTTTTATATTTTAGGCTTTGAATTTTTTACGTATGAGTTCTCGAATTGATGCTGTTTCACAGAGAGTACAGACAGCGGTCACAATGAAACAGGTATATATATCAGGTGTTAAAAAAACACCTGCTGTCACAGGGTTGTAAAAGATAAATCATACCCTGTTGTACTATATCAATCGCTATAATTTCTAAATTGTCTTCTAAATTTAACAGGTCACAGGTTCGATGTCTGGTGTTGTGAAATCCATGGATGCCGCATTGAAGTCAATGAACTTGGAAAAGGTAAAATTGTAAAAAAATAAGATACACAACTTTGATGTTTCTTGGTTAAGTTGGATCATTTTGTTGAGTTGAGTTGATCGTTAAGTTGGATGGATTGTGTGTTGCTATTTTTCAGGTTTCAGCATTAATGGAGAAATTCGAGAAACAGTTTGAAGACTTAGATGTGCAATCAGGAGTCATGGAGAATTCAATGTCAAACAGTGTCACAACATCAGTACCTCAGGTCTGTAACAACCTAACCACTCTTCAGTTACCCAAGCCAGTTTGCCTTTGCATAATCAACTTCAACCAACTGTTTTCTTTCTCAAAAACAGGACAGTGTTGATCGACTTATGCAGGAAGTTGCTGATGAACATGGGTAAGTAATTAACCAATCAACAACTAGTGCTAGTCCTTTCCCTACCTTCTAAACAGATTGTGAATTTTTGAGACAAATATAAACAGCAAAGCATGTTATTTATTTCATTTTTTTTAAAAAGAAACTGACAGGTTTTTTTTTTCACTTTTTGTTTCAAAGATTGGACACAAATATGGAACTACCTCAAACATCTCAACTTGGTGGGGCGTCTACAGCCTCTGTAGAGCAGGTATTTGGTTGTCTCACCTTTTCTTTTTTTCTTTAATACTGTCAGTGTCTGTTATCCCTAAAATAATTACTCTCTAAAAAACAAAATGTTCGGTATTTCAATTAAGGAACATTTCATATTTCCTGAGTGTTAAGTGTTATTACGTTTTTTACGATATTTTCATCAAAGTATTTATTACCGTCTTAGGACGAACTTAGTCAAAGACTCGCCAAGCTGCGACAGTGATGGCCTGGATAATAATACCAAATCAACTCGAAATAGGAACAATATTTTATATATTTTATTACGATGGATTGTTTATCAACCCGGTCTCATCATTTCATTAGCCGGCTGTTGGCCTTTGGGATTGTTTCATGCAATCGTTTAATGGACTGTACGTTGACGCGCGCCATATGCTATTCTCCATTTGTATGATTTAATACCGTATCGTATAAAACTTCCATGATTTTTGAGCGCAATCTATCTGCATAAAATATAAAAGAAAAAGTCGTGAAACTAAAGGAAATCCTGTAAAATAAGTTGTAACTTCACATGTAAATTCACTTTGGATAAATTAACGTTGTCAGCGCAAGACGCTGTTTCACCCTTGAATAGAACTCCAGCTTAGCGCTGTCTTTCTATGAATAGTCATATTGCACACTTGATACAATATAAATTTCATGGTTAAACCTCGTATGAACGTGGACGAATATAACATTTTTTATTATTAGTATTACGCACAAATACCAATCAAGTTGGTATTGTTTTGAAACCATTTTTGGTTAAATTCTCACACAATATTTTTGATTAGTCTTTTCTCCCCAATATGTCAACACTATGTGCTTAGTCAACTTGTTGTTTTAAAGATAAGAAAGCTTCCTGTGTTTATATGAACATAATGAGATTCAATATGGCATGAAATACTTAAATTACCGAAGAGTCCTTCAGATACAAATTGCAAAAAGATGACTAGATTTATTGATATGAGGTATTATTGTATATGGAAAGATATGATGTCATATTATTTCATTACATGACCCTGGAACACACAAAGATGTTTTTACAATAGTGTTTCTGCTACCAAATTGGTAAGATTCCTGAGTAGAAATTTGATTAATTTGCTATTAAACCAAATAAAAAAGCAACAACTGTACAACTCTGGTATTCCATCACGTATTCGAGATCAGATTACTTGGAGTTGCTATCTTCACTTATCGTGGCTTACATCTCAAGAGATCATCTGCTAATAGTGACTTTTTATCTCCGTATTGGACAATCAACTATAATGCCATTGTTCGTTCTAACCTTGCTCTGTCTTATTGACTTCAAGCAAGCCGCTGTACCCTCTGAACAACAACAGGTCAGTTTATTATTTTGGAAAAAATGATCGATAAATATAATAAACGTAAACTGTATGCTAGACTGTCAAAACAAGATAATTGGGACATACAGTTATAAGGTGGAACAAGCATTTTAATCTTACTGGATTCTCAATGATTTATGGAATTTGAAACTATAGAACTATATAGCTTTATAGTGCTAGGCCACTCTGTCACTGTCAGACTACAAAGGTGGTCAAGTCTCACGCGCGCAGAGCCCCTTGAGTCACAGACAGTTGGCTAGCATTACGATTTAAACACCTTTACGTTTAAAGCATTGAAAAATTCCAACTAGCCTTACCACAAAAGTAAAACCTATTTCTGATTGTAGAGCAATTTAAGTTTAGACGATTTTGTGTATGTCTACTCCGCGTTTAATCTATAAAACACCAGCAAATTTATGACTTAAGAGGCCCACACACACATGCACTGTCATAACTTGATATTACCTAATTCCTTACCTCCCATTTAATAGAGCATTTATTCAAAATGTGTCGAAGGCGTGCGATCTTTTAACACGAAATGTGAGGGTTTTATCAATGAGATTCAAAACACAAATGTTGTTTGTGAAACTCAAAAGAAAGTTATGATACTCAAATGTCAAAAAATAAGAGTTAACGGTAAGAAATTTTGCTTCGTGCCTTGAATCTCTAGTGAGTTCCAATCTGCTTTAAGTATTTTCTCTTTATCTTCTCTTAGAGGAATGCCAAAAATGTTTTAAAAATCTTGATCTACTAGTATCTGAATGTGTCAAGTTTTATCAACCGGCGTCAACAAGCTCTGATATGGCAATAGAATGCGTTAATCTGAAAACAAGCTTAGCTGAGGCCTGCTCAACAAAATGTCCAGGTAAAGAATAAAAAAGTACAAGCAGAAGGAGGCTTGTGGGCTGAGTCCTATAGTTGCAAGCAGAGTCCCACTAAATAGCCACCCCTAATTACGGTGACCTCGTTTCCACTGCCACTTCATTCTGACCGGCTTAATGTCAGAATTAATAACCCCTAGTATAAATACAGTCAGAAATCTTCAGCCTTTCAGTGACCGTATTAACGCAAGGTCGCGCTATGCTAGTGTCTTAGGATGACTCATTGAGTCATTGTGTATTAAATCTCATTGTTATAGTTTGCGAAGACAGTTTGTGCTTAAACGGTGGGAAATGCCTTGGTGGTGAATATGTTTACTCCTGTCGTTGTCCAGTCCATACCAAAGGCGTCCATTGTGAGACAAGTATGTTTGAAACTTCCAGTTCATGATCATAATCACTTTGAAGAACGTGTCCTTAAGAAGGATCACTTTGAAGAACGTGTCCTTAAGAAGGTTCTACAGTGATGAGGCCTGTTCAGTCACACTTTGCTGCATTTTCAGTGTGATTTTCTTGCCTTAAATAGATGAAAACCAGTGAATAGTTACGAATGCTTTAATGCGTTTAAGTGGCCTTGTTTTTGAATCCGTGACTTATCCTTGCGATCTGATAAAGGGCTAAAATCGCATCTATAAACAAATCCTAAGTCATTGGAAACAGGTCAAGTGGTGTTTTTTTACTATAGGTAGATGTTCAAAGCCTTGTGAAAACAACGGTATTTGTGCTGGAGATGACTTGTGCAGTTGTCCTTATCCTTACACTGGTTTATTTTGTGACCGTGTAAGATTGGGATCGAAATACAACCCTGCTAGAAGTGCTAGTGAAATCTTAGAGGCCGGTGACAGCCTGAACAGCGGTATGTACTGGATCCAGCCGCGTGGGGAACCCCGTCCGGCGCTCACCTATTGTGATATGAAATTTGATGATGGTGGATGGATGTTGGCAAGCTATGGTTATGTTGAAGTTGGTGGTGATGACCATAGAAATAAATTGATGTTAAATATGAATCATCCTGAAGGTTATCTCTGGTTGCCACAACAAAGACAATCTTCACATGGTCTTATCACATTGAGTCAGGGAGCAAAATTACTTGCAAGGTAGACTTACTGCTGCAAGCAAAACAAGCCTTTTATGGTTTCATGCCATGCATATAGTAGATATTGATAGTAGATATATGCTGTCATTGAGGTAATCTCCATTTTTTTTTATTCCAGATCAGCTTCATATATGATTATGGCTGGAGGCAATAACCCAGAAACAGGTGGTATTAATGAATACGAGTATGTATATAAAATTGACTTGCGTAATATCACTCAAAAAATCACCTTTGCTAATCACAATCCATACTATGGTGCATCGGGATCACGAAACATACCACGAATGCATCTGCAAGCTTTTACCATATACGGTCTCAAAGGGGACTTGGGGAACTATACACGTTTTTCATTGGCCGAATCACTTGGAGTCACAGCACGTGATTCATTCCCGACAGGCTATGGGTTCAACGAACGAAAAGAGCAATACGAATTTTTTAGCAATGGCCCCTTTTTCCCGAGTGTGCATACTGGTTCTGGAAGAGTGGATAGTTTCCGATATGGGAAGTTTCGGACCTTCGCCCCTGATGTGGAGAAGTCTTGTTATAGATTTAGTTACAGAGGGTGGTATACAGCTATAAATATGAACAACTTTGGACAAATGGCGATATGGTTTAAATAAAGAGAGTATTCCAGTCCTTTTTTTAAAAATCTACCGCCTCATGCTGGGAATAATGCGAGAGCTAAACCAGCATTTGCACTGCAAAAACATTGTCAACAATATATTTTGTCGTTTCGTTTTTCAGTCGATTCACTGAAACTGTTCAACATGAGTAAAGAAACTGTAACATAATATATACATTCTGTTTATCGTATTTGTTACTCTAATTAACTCTAATTGTTACTATATTACTATATTTGTTACCGTAATTACTCTAATTGTTACAAATATTACTATATTTGTAGCTGAAATTACTATAATTGTTACCATAATTGTATAATATAATGTTATATTATAGCTATTACTTTGTAATATATAGTATATGCTTTTTTCCTTATGTTCACTTACAGAGTTCGTGCTCTGTTGTCATATTACGACGATATCAGTTTAGACGAATTATCGCTTTCCTCATACATACACTTTGCGCTGAAAATGAAATGAGCAGAGATGTTAACAGATCCTTTTGTTTGATCTGATTAATTTTTTTCGACAGAAATTTGGTGAAAGATGTAATACGTTTTTCAATGGGCATAAAAATGTTTTACCTCTAACTAGCGTCCAACATTAGGGGGTTGTGTCGAAGTAATGTTTGAACATTTAGTGACACAAACAGCGCATTTTCCTGTCTCCGTTTTTGGTCTGTTCTTCATTTGCTCGAAACATTTCAACGAGCGAAGGCATCTTTTCTGTGGAAAGATAACGAATCATATTTTTAGCTGTCGAACTAAATTATAGAAACCAAACTAATTCCTTTGTGAAGATTAAGGTTAATTCGTATTGATACGGTGCTAATCTACCAGGTTTTTTCAATCGAGCTTAATGCTCTGGTTTTTCTCATACGTGTTGCATCACTTCGCAACATCTTTTTTCAATGCTTCAGTATAGCTAAAGAGCCGTTTTTCGCACTTAATAACCCAATTTTTTCACTTTGATGAGTGGCAAAGTGCAATCACACGCAGATGTGAGAAAAAAGATTTTGACGTCTTCGGAAGGCGAGCGTCGATTTAACTCGCGGAAATGGCGCAGACCTTCTTGCGGTCATTTTGCCTGCGTTTTTGTTTAGAATAAACTAATTAGGATGCGCGTGCCAATGCAGTCAATACTCACAAACTTCAAAGATTTCGGCACGAGAAGTTTTAATATTCGAAGAATGTTATACCACATGCCAACATATCAGCGCAAATTATGCAGCCTTGTAATGAGGCGACAAAATACTCGTGCGCACAAAATGTTAATCTCCTATAGCGGCGTCCGCTTGGATTGTTTCTGATTCGAGACAATGAAGTTGTAAACGGCCGAAGGAGCATATCCGTGCAATGTGACATTAGTTTGATATCAGATATTTTTTCATAAAATGTCTACTTTTAGAAGATATTATAAAGACCATTCCACTCCGTAATATAAAAACTGAGAGCATATCCGCAAACTAGTCTTTCCGTTCCATTACACAATACTTTTGCAGCAGCTATATCTAATTATATGGAGTAGATCCCTATATATAGTGTCCTAATGAAATCTTTAGCTTAAAAAAAGTTTTAGAGCAATATCGAGAGATTATCAGCGAAGATATAAGGTAATACACCGTATACATTAGGTATTATTATTATTATTAACACGAAAGCGATAACATTCCTGCAATTCATATAAAATATCTTCGCGATGAGATTGCTTGAGATTAAGTTGTTTACATTAGAGCAAAAACATCTTAGCAACTCCTCATGTTCATGTTCCAAATACGGTGATGTTAGTAAAAATACTCACTTTTATTTCAACATTATCATCCAAATGAAAAAAACAAGCACATCAAAAATGCCTGTGATTAATATGCGCTTTCTTATCAGTAATTGCTACAAACAGGTACAAAACAAATGTTCTTTGCCTTTTGTCATTCGATTCCAAACATCTGTATCAATGTTTTCAAACGGTAAATTTACTTAATCTCATCTCCAAACTCTTGCGTCAAGCACATCGTAATTTTAGTAAATTGAATTGATCGATTTGTACGATATAAAGCTAAACATTAAGTGCAAGTCACGAAAGTTTACCAAAATCATCAATTCTAGCGGCTTTTCTTTCTTATGCTCACCTCGTATGCACTGAAGTCTAATGATGAATTAAGGTGGATTTCTACACTACAAATACCTGAAGATTTCAGTGTCTGAGGAAGCCTCAGGCAGCATTTATAATAGCGCTCTTCCAAATATTTGCTTTTATCTCAAAGCTCTAGACGACTAACTTCTAACTTGGTAACAGCTCTTCTTATATGGCATTCCTGAATGATTCTTATAAAAAAACGTATGAACTATCATTCTTAAAAAATGCATTTTTTCCTCTTCAAGTTCATCGGGTGCTTGTTCCTGTTGAAAGTTTTGTTGGATATGAATTCAGATGGAAACGGATAAAAACTTCAGGCTTCTATTTGTGTCTTTGGGATACTTAAAACGTTTTTAGATCGATAATTGTTAAGTGTGAAATGTTTTTCTTCTCATGTATGCTCGCTTCCGTCATTAGTCACAGCAAACCTTTGTTAATTCAATGACTTTGCCTTCCTTGTAGGGCAGATTAAACAGGCTTCTTCCTGCTATAAGGCAATGTTCAACCTCCATATTTTGAGCACTTCCGTGCGAAGAAAATTGTACGTCTGAGGCAATTGAAGTGGTTTTTGACAGAAGACCTTATTTGGCAGTGCTATAAGCTGGAAAATTTCAAGGAAACATAACTATCTTTCTGTCAGGATTAAGTGAAATATTACCCGGGAATTCTCTGAATCTGAAATCGAACAGGGCTAACCGCACACTAAACGCTGATGATATGTTGAACGATGAAACGTTGAAAGAACATTTATTCATTTATTCCTGTGCCGTTGTTTAACGCTTGGTACTTATACTATGGTCCCTGACTGTGGAGCAATTTCATTTTCGTGTATTTTCCTGTCTCAGAGGGAATTGAGATTTACAGTAAAATCTTTGTTTCGTTGCCAGTAAACCTGACTTAAAAAAATAATATTTTTTATCTAATTTCAAGAGTCCTCATGTTTGAGCAAAGGTTAAGCGTGTGATACAGTCTTAAAGTGAAGTAACTTGCATAGAAACACAACATAATCTTGTGTCAACGTAACTTCCATTGATTGATGCGTGTGGCACCGGCATTTCCACAGGAATCAATATTTAACGTTCTAAGATAGATTTTGTATCTGTTTTATCTGCTTCAGTGCTATATGTTGGGATTTGGCGTACACGTACAAATTGTAGGAGTGTCATTCTCTACCTAAAAGTGGTTTGTGCCAACACCACAAGTTTCCTTAGAAGTGAATGAGAAACAAGATTTGTTACTACAGCAAAGTGCCTTAGGAAAGACGGCGGCAAACTAATGCTCATCGCATACAAAACTAATCGAGGTATATGAATTATTAAACATCGTAATGGGCAACTTACCCAGCAAAACTTTGTCCCGCGCTTTCGAGATTTTCTTCTCAACTCGCGTTCCAAATTGTGGATGACCTCGTGATCATCACGCGCAACGTAGTGAAAATCCGATGCATTCTTTGTGATCGTGTCTGTCGCGGGAAGATTTGTCTCATTGCGTTGTCCCAAAGTATCTGCAATATCCGAGTCGTCCCAATCACCACTGTCCATTTGACAATCAGCAAGTAGCAGAAACCAGACACAGAAACCTAAACTCCACCTTAAAGACATGATTAGAAGGTTTTCTTTTCTTTGTAGATCTGTATTCTCGCGACGCGGCTTCTCTCCTTTAATTGTGATGAATTTTGAAGCAATTGTCACACATAAATGATTACTGCTCGCGATAAACCGGCCCCCTATAGATTTCTGGCAGACTGTAAAATTATTGAACATGCCCCGAGCTTCCTATCTCTTTGTTTAAAGCTTGACCTTTTAAAGAAAGGGTTCTTCTGGCACATGCGCACAAATTGCTGTTTTCGTTACTCTTTCTACGAGTACTCATTGGCTCAGGCCTTGCGCTAGAATAACCACGCTTTCGTCTTTTGACTGCGCTAAATCGCCAGAATTGATTAAAACTTTAATACTTCCGAAAATGTTTTAGACTAAGTGGTAGGCACCATTAGCGCAAATATTTTGTAATGATTATCCCAGCTTGCGACTACAAATAAACAGTTCAATGTATATTTATACATTTCCAAGTGACATACGCCAGTGTATGTTTTGATAGCTGATACTCGAACTCAAGAGATTCGTACAAGAAAATACAATTTCAAGCGAGGATATGAATCCCATTTTGGTTTCAAATTGATTTAAACTATTTATCAGAGGACAAACGAACAGAAATTGAAATTTCATCTAGCGTCAATTATGCAAATTAGACCACCAAAATGGCTGTAAAAAGAGATATCACACGGGGAGTAAAGCGAGTTTCTATAATATTTTCACAAAGTAACCGACATCGAACCATTAGAATTGTTTCTATGGATCCCGTGTATCCATCCTATGCAGTATAGTTAAGTATAAAATTTGTTATATTAAAAATACTGCACGTAAAATATCGTATGAGTTTGAAACACACGCGAATCTAACTACTCCAAATAATAACAACATGTTTATGTCTTCAAATCAATTTGTTTATGGGTTTTCATCCATCTCAAAGCTTGCCGTTCACATTTTCATCTCGCTTAATTTCCGGAAACCTGGGTTTATAGTTTAAACATGCGTAAGGTGAGACCGACAGTGCTCACCCCCCTCGAAAGATGTTTCCTCATTTCGTTGAAAAACAAACAATTTTTGATTAAAAGCTGTTCAGTTGATAATCACGTTTTGGCATTGCAAGCACTACGATATTAAAGATTGCTTTGTTGGAACGGTAGTATGATTTGTGGTGATAGTTTTGAAATGATTTCAAAGGTACGCAAAAGTGTTATAACCAAACTCGTTATTTTTAACTTTCGCTTGAGTTATGGGCTGATGGTCATATATTTCGTCAGTCTGTCACAATAACAAGTTGCCGTCTGGTGGAAACTGAACTCGGAAACGAGCAGAAAGTCAACTATCATCGAATGAAACGTTGTAGGATAATTAAGGTCCTCTTATATTCTAGTTGACCATCGGCTATTGCAAGTCAACAATGGTCTGTGAGTTATATGTTTCTTATCGAAACGGAAAACCGAGAATTTTCAGTGCCCTGATTAATTTAGCCGTTCCCTGCTCCAGCGCAACAGTGCAGTTTAGCGGTTAGAATGCGATGCGTTACTCCCGTCTATTTTGAGCACTTGCGTTAGAAATCCTCTTGGCTGCAAAAATCGTGATGAGAGAGACACCAGGGAACTTTGATAATTGTCCTTCAGGTTCCAGCAGGACAGATATCAATGAAAGATATATTAAGGAAGGGGAAGTTGCCTCTTTAAATCTACGCCTACTTTATGGTCAGTTTTAAATTTAGCCCCAAGTTTCGCAGCGTAATTATGACCAACGACTTGTGAAGGAAATTTCGCTGGTGTGAAAATTGAAGTAAAGCAATACCGTAAAGTGGAAGCACGTACTTCACGCACGGTATTGAACATTTATTTTGTTGTTGAAAATACCTGCTTTCTTGGCGTAATTTGCGGCAAGTTTCGTCTTGTTTTGACCTGTCTTGGCTTCCCATGACAGCATGAGTAAGTGTACTATTTATTTTGTGGTTCTGGACCTTTTCTAGTCGTAAATTATTCACACAGCGCTCTCCTTTTGGAAGGTAATGCAAAGGTTCTTTTCGACTACGAGGCTGAGGCAGACGACGAACTGTCGCTCGCAGAAGGAGACCTAATACGCGATATCGTGAAGAAAGAGGATGGTTGGTGGGAAGGCGAGTTACACGGAAAACGGGGAATGTTTCCTGAGAATTTTGTAGAGGAAATTAGTAAAAACGTCGTTGCAGAAACGAAGTCTACGGAAATGAAACCAACTCCAGCAGCTCCGGGTATGTCACTCGTGATGTTGCACGAGTGTGCAATCCTAGTCAATTTTAATTGTTCTTGTTAATAATACTTATTTATATCCAAACACTTGCCTTTTAAAGGAAAGGATTTCATATTTAAATATACCAAATACATTGCGTTTTCATAAAAATTTGCAAACCTAAACGTAATTTTTTGACCAGCGCAAGGCGGAAGTTGGGTTTCACAAATCAGCAAATATTTTGTCTCAAAATTTTGCCTAGATTCCAAGACACATTTCTCGTGTTTTGATGATGAAATACATAATTCACTCCACTAGATAGCTTTATTATGACCTCTCGTTTCCATGGAAAACCAAAGAAAGGATGAAAAAAATAGAATATTGTGTATATTTATGTTTAAAAGTCCGTTAAAAAGCTCTTCACTTTTTTATCTACGGAGATTGCTAAATACGCTCGTTCAGGAAACTATATAAATTCAAACACTTGTATAGTTTCAAATTTTTAATTTTTTAATATTGTTAACAGGATATTTTATAATACATAGCGCTCAATATGGTTTAATTATGTCATTTTAATATTCTGGGTAAGAACTTTATTAATATTAGGAAATAAAATTGCATATATTATACATAATATTTCACCATTATTGCCTGTTTTGTACATTGGAATTTCAAGTGCATGATCTTTGATTTGCCAAGTTTGTTTAGATGTGAAAGCAAATTATATTGTTACAGTAAAGCTTGTTATTTTGAGATGTTTCTCGTGTTATTCTATGGAAAATTGGTATAAAACAATATACATTTGGTGTTCAGACTTGATACAATCAATCATGACAACTTGTAAATGGTTGATCTTCTCATTATGTATGTCCTGTAGTTTTGTTTGTTTTAAGATTCATAATTCATTAGTTTAGATTGTGTTGTAGTTACAAGATATAAATATAACATACATGAACTGTGCTATGTCATTGCAGTTGATTAAACCTGCCTAACATATATGATATATGCTTGACAAATATATAAGGATTTAGTCTGGGATGATTATAGTGATATGCTTGTCAAAAAAGGATTCGTATACTGTAGAAGAAATAGGATTTCTTGAGATGTATCACAAACTTTAATATTTATGCATTGTGGTTTAGCAGACTAGCAGGGAGACCCCATTAAGAAATGCCCAGAACAGTAATTTAAATTTAAGGTGATTGGTTGGGGGTTGTTCTCTTTGGGAAAATGAAATCTTTTTACTGAAAACATATTCATTGTCAGGAAATTCTGTATATTTTAAAGAATTAAAAACGCAATTATTACATAATATTATTGTATATTCTGTAGTCTGTACTAGTTTAAAGAATTGAATTAGCACCAATGTGTACTGAAGAAAATGGCAGTTTATAGGAAGTGTACAACATTGTGATAGTGAAATTTATAAGTCACTAAATTATTGTCTTCTTAGTGCCAATAAATATTGATAATGATAAAAATATGTTTCTAAATGCTAATAAACTACTGGTTTTTTTTATATAGTTGTGAATGAAAAGAACACATTGGCTAAAGTAACATTTGATTATGATGCTGAGAATGATGATGAGTTAACTCTTAAGGAAGGAGATGTGGTGAAGGTTCTTGACCAAGAGGAGGAAGGATGGTGGAAGGGTGAATTAAATGGAAATATTGGAGTTTTTCCATCAAATTTTGTTGAAGTTATCAAAGGACCTGAACCTGAGCCACCGGTTCCTAAGCAACCAGAACCCCCTAAGGAATCAGGTATTCTCAGATTTCATTTGAAGGCCTTTTTACACATGCTATATTATGTGTCATTCTCCTGTTTTGAGACAAATGAAAAAGTGAATTAGTTATCGATATTCAAATAAGATATCTTCCTCTCAAAAGAAGAAAGTTGCATTGAAATTGCCAGTATAAACAAGCTTATAGACTGGACTCTCTTATTTAAAATGCTTATCACTGTGTTGGAAGATGCATTAGAAGACGTTTGAAAAGAGTACATACAATAAATAGTTCTCCCTATTCTGGGTTGTGTAACTTGAGGAGATGCAAATACATATGCTGTTAAATATGTTTACAATTTCCTTATATTTATTTGTCCTAAGCCCAAGTTTTAATCCTCTTTATGCTTTTCCAGAAAAGAAACCAAAAATAATAGGTGGAATGAAATTGCCGACAGTCTCTTTGGATGTCCTGACCCAAACTAAAGACAAACTAAAGAACAGGGATGGTATCTCTAGTGGTGGTAATCAAAAGCCAGAAAGGCCTGCTGTAGTGCCATCTGAAATAAATAAAAGGGTATGTGTGTATACTATGTGAGATATGCCAAAAATTTGGCATATTTTAAAAAATATAAAAGTTCAAAGTGTTGACATTTAACATTTGTTAACATAACATTACAGCACATTTTTTGTCATGGTATTTTAGTGGTCATGTAGTATCAAATATGTATACAAGTGATGATGAATGAATCCAGCTTGTACAGTAGATTCAGCTATGCAAATTTTAAATTATTGCAATTGCATATTTTTGTAGACTTCTGTGAAAAGACCACCCAAAATTCCAGAGCCTGATAGGCCGCCAAGTATGTTTTGTGACTTTTGTCTATATGTTGTTTTGCTCAGTATGCTTGCGCTATTTGTTTATGGGAAGAGAATGTGGCAATCTTTTATTTATTTTTTCTTTAGAAGTGGCCTCAAAGGGGAAAGAAAAAGTTTTAGTTGAATTTGATTATGATGGAGAACAAAGTGATGAGCTGACGTTACATGTTGGTGATATTGTTACGGTCCTTGAGAAGGATGTGAATGAAGGATGGTCTAAGGGAGAATTGAATGGAAAGATTGGGTTGTTCCCAGATAACTTTGTGAAGATATTACCACCTGAACCATCTAGGGTAAGAATTTCTAGTGCTGTCCTTTATCACATCTGCAACTCTTTGCCTGTTTTATTTTTGTTGAGGTAGCCAGCTTTCTATATTCTCGTACCCAGAGTCTGTCTCACCTGTGGTTGCAAAACTCAGTCAGTTAGTGTATATTTTGGTTTGAAGGTACACTGTTTGACAGGGGGTACACTGGCCGATGAGGGGAAGAGTTACACTGTCTGACAGGGGGGCAAGGTACACTGACTGACAGGGGGGAAGAGTTACACTGCCTGACAGGGGGGCAAGGGATACACTGACTGACAGGGGGCAAGGGATACACTGTCTGACAGGGGGCAAGGGATACACTGTCTGACAAGGGGGCAAGGGATACACTGTCTGACAGGGGGGCAAGGGATACACTGTCTGACAGGGGGCAAGGGATACACTGTCTGACAAGGGGGCAAGGGATAAACTGTCTGACAGGGGGCAAGGGATACACTGTCTGACAAGGGGGCAAGGGATACACTGTCTGACAAGGGGGCAAGGGATACACTGTCTGGCAGGGGGCAAGGGATACACTGTCTGACAAGGGGGCAAGGGATACACTGTCTGACAAGGGGGCAAGGGATACACTGTCTGACAGGGGGCAAGGGATACACTGTCTGACAAGGGGGAGGTCTTTGTTATATTCTATCCATGTTTACCAAAAACAAGATTGCTGTAAAGACATGAAAATTGAGACCTACAACACAATTACTTTACGTATTTTACTTTTGCCTAAAAAAGACGTTAATTTGTTTTGTTTAAAACCTGTCCTAAACACTGTGTGTGTCCCACGTCGTTACATGACTGCAACTTTTTTATCATCTCAATCAAAGAACTCTGTTTATTTGTTTACTATCTTTTTTCAATGCTTCTATTTCAATATAACTTATGAATAATATTTTTCTGTGACTCGTTTTTTCAAACAAATTCCTCCCTCGCTTTGCGAGATATTTCCGATGCGAAAAGTCGTTAAAAACATTTTTTTTTCAAAATCGTGAATAGTTATAGTTCCTGGCAGATAACTGCGATTGCTTGAAGTGGGTGAATAAATATATCGTAATTGATGTTTTGGCCACCTCCCCAAGTGAACATGCCGCCAGCTTTGTTGTGAAGATAATAGATTCAGATATCAAGCCGATTAACGCCCCCGTATGCAATCGCAATAAAATATATCAAATTACAAAATCATAGTGTGAACATCGGACCTGTCTAAAGTTCACGATTTATCTTCTTTCAGGAGTCGGAGATGACAAAAAGTAAGAGCACATCAGGTGAATTCATTGTATCTTAGAAAAAGTCTAAATTTGTGACAGGTTTTGCTGAGCAGATGTACAAACCTGCTAGTTTATCAATAATTCTCACTCCGTTGTCACAAGGAAGTAATGATCTGATTGTTAACTTTCTGTTTAATTGTACGCCTTGTTCGTTTATTTTGTTTTAAACCACAATCCTCTTACTAGGTTTCTGAGGTCAACCTCAGCTTGCGATTACGTTTCCAGTTTTTTCCCATAAACGCATGCTTGTATTCTTACTGTAGTATTTTATTTGGTTGCTCAATATTGCAATCCATTGTTTGCATGTTATGAGTCGTTTATTCTTCTCTTTGCTGTTGTGCTTTAAGACTGTGCATGAATATACAAATGATTGTATCGTTTGAAAGTTCCACAGCAAGGAAACATTCATATTTGATGCTTTGAAAAACAATGAAAAAATTAAGTGTTGTCGTTCTGGCATAAAGTCGTATATCCCAGCGTGTATTTGATGCAAATTAAACGCTTCAAGTGCTTTATATTTGCTTTCAATCAACATTGTGGTGAATTAAAGCGTACTTAGTTCTTAGCTCTGTAATCTTTACCCATAATGTGATAAAATGTGTTGTAAGATAGAATTCTTCAAGTTTTTTTTCCAGCATGCAGTAAACTTCTCTGTAACTACTTCCTCATCTCAATGACTCAAAATTCGATTCATTTTAATACCCTCGATTGATTTTTCTTCACTGTACATCGATCTGTGTGCGAAATCGTACCCTTAGCTTTGACAAACAACAAAAGTGCAAGAGCAAAAGCACAAATGGGCGAATTTCCAGCCGAATGATAGCCATTGTCATTACTTATACAGTGCTAATTCAAGTTGATTATCTGTCAACTACTAATGTGTCTGTAGGCGGCTTATAGCTAGACTGTTTACTGAAAATCAAAGTTCATATTTTTTTCGTTTTTAGACCTTCCTAAGCGCCCTTCAATGCCACTCGATGATGACGTGGATGCAAAACCAAGTCGCCCCGAGTTTCCGAAATTGAGAAAAACCAACCCGGATCGTGCGCCGCTACAGAGCTCGGTGAGCCAAAGCGAGCTACAAGCGAAATTAAAGGCTGTCGTTCCCCCGCCGGATGATGCAACGAAGAAGTCCGAACCACCGCCTTTGCCCGACTCTAAACCGGCTAATGTCGACGAGAGGTCAAAACCTCCGATCAAGAGATCGCCACCATTACTTCCAAAGAAACCGGGCAAACCGAAACCACAAGATTTGCCAATAAACTCAGATCGACCTCCGTTACGACATGTTAATGGCGTGGATCCATCCAAACGTCACTCAACTGCACCCCTGCCCAGCGAGAAAAACCATGATGCCGACCTCAAGAGACGCTCTATCGGTACAGGTAGGTTGTAAGTAGATATGAACTCCATGATGTGCGACTTCTTGACGATACCATGTGAACCAGAGTTTAAGATCAGACTAAATCTGGAGTATACTCGCTGGTGAACACTCTCGTTTTTTCTAGATCTTGGTGTAAATCTCAACGACATTAAATCAAGTGCTGTATTGCAACCACTCACATCAGATAGGCCAAAAAATCCATCAAAACATCCGCCAACTAAATACGGAAAACCATCTTCTCCGGTAAGAGAGATAATTATTGTCTTTTTACTCTTTTTTACCACATCGATTGTTCATTGCAAGTTTAATTCTCTTTCTTGTGTTTTTATATCACTGTAAAGGTGAAAAAATCTGTCACTCCTGAGGTAAGTAATTTTATACAATGTGGCTGTGTTTGTGGGGTTGAATTTTTTCCTCGTCTTACTTCGGTGATTCTTGTAGATTCCCCAGTCGTCTTGGCCGCCCAAAGAACCAGAAAAAATTAAAAAACCAGAGAAGCCGCCCGCTGCAGAGAAGGTTTGTGTTGTATATCTGATGAGGGTGCTGTGCACCTCTGTAAAGACGTTGCTCACTAATATTGCGGGGGGAGGGTTGCCTGAAAACATTTTTATCAACAGTGTTAGATTTGTTGGAGCAATGCACATGGCTCTAATGCAGTACCGGATCCACTAAGTTATCTCATTTATTTCCAGCCTCCAAAACCGGCAATTCCAGAAACAACAAAACCAGGAAAACCCGTTGAATCTAAAGTCGATTCTGGAGAGATAAAGAAGTTACACGAGGAGATAAATACATTGAAAAGCTCGCTCGAATCAATGATGAAGCAATTCAAAGAACACGTACAAAAGAGCGAGAAAAATTTGCAAAAAATGGAGAAAAAATTTACGGACGAAATAGAAGATTTGACCAGAGAATTGGACGAAGAAAAAAAGCTTCGATCTGCTGTCGATGTCGAAGTGAATCGATTAAGAAAATTAATTAAGAATCAAATAAGCTCCTAACAAATCCAAAGAAGAGCAAATTGCTCTAAATATGTTCTAATCATACTCAGATTATCAATCAAGTGTACGACGAACGAATGGTGAATGAAGATGTGATGTTGCCACACGGTTTGTATACAAATTGACGTTGTGTTAATATCGTTTTTGAATTATAGTGATTTATAAATTTTGATAACAAATGTTAACCGTAGGTTAATAACCGTAGGTTAATAAGTATTGATACTGCACTGCGTTTTATATTATAACATAGTTTACTGTAATAAATATACATAGATTATAATACTGTTGTTTAACTATTCTCAATGGTTGACTAACATAAAACATCTTTCTCCTTAGTCAGGTTTAAAAAGAAGGTTTTCAAACTTCGCCTTATCTTCTTCATCATCTCTCTAATTTGCGCAAGAGTCAAGAGTTACTAACGAGTGAAGCTTCTGTCTCTTGATTTAGGTATTTCTTTGTCTCGTAATCTCTGCCACATCCTTGACTGGACTAAGTTTACTTTTCCTGTGGGCAAACGAGGTAAACACTCGTACGAGGACGCAACTCGTCTACGTGCGCAACTTGAAGATATTTTGCTGCACGATTTCTTCTCGCAATCATCGTGTGGAAGTTGAAAAAACATGCCACTGTTGGTGCAGTTTTTTCCATTCATAAAACTTTGATCTAAAAACCTTGGATTCAAGCATCCAGAATCTTTAAATTTATGATCTTCAATTCCCGGATTTTCAAATTTATGATCTTCTAACTGAGAATTTGACGTATCAGAACGAAGACTCGAAACCACAATTCTAGGACTTTCATACCTACGACTTTCATCATCAATTTTGTCGTCAAATCTTTCGCACGTATTCTTGCATGAAGGTTTTTCAAAGTTGCATTTAATATCATCATAAGATCTCATTACTCTACCACTATCTTCGTTAGTCTTGTAGTCTTGATCCATACCTTTAGATGAAAGATCTCCAAATCCAAACTTTTCATTCTTAACTGCAACATTTGTGTTCGTAAATATGGATTTGCTGTTTTTTGTTCTTCGAGCGTCCTCTGGATTGCCTTTCTCGCTTATCAACTTGCTTCTTTGATCCTCAAGAATAGAATTGAAGTCCTCAAACTCAGTGTTATCACCGAATCTAGGAATTTCTGCAGCATGTGACACAAATGCTGTACGGGGTGTAGCAAGGTATATTAATTGTGTATAACTCAACTCGTCTAAGGCTAATGTCCCTTTCACGTGTTTGCCTTTTTCCTGTACTGATCCAATATCATCAAACTCAGGTGATTTGGATTGTTTTGGTGACCAGGTATTGGATCTGAGACGTGAGACAAACGATTTCTTTTTATCTTTTTCATTCCAACGTTTCTGTATAGTAGAACCTACTGTTCCATCGTTTTCCTCGGAATGAATTTTCGGGGTCTCTGAAGCAGGTGAAAGTTTGTTGCGCAAATCTTCTATTTCGTCTTTTCCCGTTTGTTTTGGCATTCTTTTTTTTTTGTTCTTACGAGTTTTATTTAAATTTGCTGTACAATTGCCCGGGTTATCTTCTTCAAATGAAATGGTCAAATCCTCGTCACTGACTTTCAACCTGGCGAAATTCACTTCCATTTTTTTTCTACTCAGCGTTCCGAAATTCTCGTCCTTATGGCTGTGGGTTTTGAGAGTCTATTTATACGTTGTTGTTTTTATATTCACAGTAACGATATACAGCAGATGGCATTTTCTCAAATCATATCAACACGTCTCCGTACCTCTTGTTTGTTTGAAAATTTGATATTCAAATGGCGTCAATTGCGCTCATTTGAATTGCAACATTATTGTAGTAATTGCGACACAGTTAGATCGATTTCTACGTAGGTGTCTCAATTACAGAAATGGAATCCTATTTCAAAACATTGTCATCCTCCTCGTAATCCTAGCTTTGACAACCTATTCTTGTTGAAACTTTCAACTATGAGACTCTGATGATGATTTTTTCCAACTACGTGCCATTCCCATCCATTTATTCAATGTTTGCATAACTGACTGAGAAAAAAATATGATTGACAAAAAAATCAATACTTTCAAACTGTAATATATATTTGTTCATGCTTCAATACTGAAGTGATAATGTGGTCTGAAACAATAGGAGGCAGCAGAGAGCTTATCAAACACATTCTGCCCACATTGATGACAAGTGGTGATAAGTGTCTTCTCAAAACAAAAAACAAAATTTTCTTGTATAAAAGCAGCAGCAGAAGTGATTTAATGAAAAATATTTGGGGGTTGAAAAAGTTTAATATTTTTCTTTAGTTTTACAGAAACACTTAGTTGACCTTGGACGGTTTATGTTTAAGCAAAAAGCAATGGAATACTGCTACAGTGCTGGTACTGATTTTATACGGCATACAATCTTTATCAAGTCTAAAAGAAAGTGTCATTTTTATTCATTTACATCAAGCTTGCATTTACAACTAATCAAATCAGTGAAGTTCATGTTAGTCTTGAAAATTAACTTCGATCCATGTTATCTTCATGACGGATTTGCCTTGTAGCACCTGGTGCTGTCATCCCCTTTTGTGATGCTCCCTTGTTTGTCCCCATTTGCAGCCCAATTACATTTTGACCAGCTTTCAGCTGTTCGTCAGTAAAGTGTCGGACATTCTTTGCGGATTCACCTCCAGTAACCTAAAAGTTAAGAATATATGTTTGATGTTTGTGAGTCATAACTCCTTATATTTATTAGAAAGCCATATCAAATTTTTGTCCAGGTTGCCATAAAACTGCACAGATATTTTACCTTTCGTTTGATTGCTAAGATGCCATTGATGACCTTGATAGAAAAAATATATATTTGTATAAATCAAATATTTTTGCAATAAATATGATTACGTATCCATGAAATCCCATTTAAAGTATTATACCTGTGGTATGTTTTGAGCTTCATACAAGTCAACAGTTTGGAATAAATCGTTCTTAGCAACACCCAGTGTCTCAACAGCAGACAGAAAGTTGCCAATGTTTTCCATCTACAAAGAACAAATATATTGAAAATCAATTTTAGTCTTCTCCAGCATATCAATGAACTGTGTTCTGACACTACTTCATATATATCTTTATTGTTCATTACAGTTACATACCATTTTGAAGGCCATTTTTGATTCATTAATTTTCTTAACAGATCCAGGTTTGAGAGCATTTGCCAAACTACAAAGTAACACAACATACACAATGAAATGGTTAATTATATACTTCATTATAGCATGATTTTAAAACAAATGGCAGTGAATGATTTTCAATATCTTCACAGAAAAAAGATTCCAATGCTCGCCCCTCAATGATCCTAGGTTTTAGTTGGACAAAGTCACTTACTGGCACAAAGTAACACCATCCTTTAAACCATCTGCAACATTGCCAGAAACCTTTCTCCCTGTCTTGCTTTCAACGAAGGCCAAAGCCTCCCTTTCTAATGCTGGATCAAATTTTGCATCTTTCTAAAGATATTGAACAATAAAAGTGACCGAAATCAATGTAAGTATACAATGTTGCTTTTAAAGGGTTATAAATGAGTAACTAACAAGATCGCAAGAATGTAGTTAATTATACCAGTTTTGAATTGTAATCCACGCGGTGCAAATAAGTACATTTATCGCTTAACACTTACAACTTTAACTTGAGTTTTTGTGACGGACGTTATACATTTGATATATATATATCTCTTCACGGGATTAACGACAAACAGAACGCAACAGTATTAGAAATATTTATATCAAAATTTAATATCTTGAAAAGTTTACTAAAGCCATTACGGTTTCATATTACAAGATTCTTCTTATCACAAATGGTTAATATCTTTTAAAACTCTGACCTTTTTCTGTAATTCAGCAGTCATGCCGTAGCCCTTAGGTCTTGAAGCCATTTTTACTGCAATTAAACAAACTTCTTCAAACTTCGAGGTAGTTGGATGGTGAATGTGTAAAGGCACTCCTGTGGTTATGGGGCACGAAGCTATGTCTGTTTATATAGTCTCACGGTTTATGCAATATCCCATTATTCCCACGCCCAAAAATATGTCATTTGACATATTTTGATGTGATTAATGTTTCATAATCGCTTGTTAAATAATTTTTGTGGCAACATTTTGGGAAGTGGATTTTTCACAACATAAATATAGTTTTCAGTGAATTTTTTAGATAGAAAAGTAAATTATTTGAGTAAGAAACTGAAATATAGAATTTTCTAGAATAAATTAGCAGGAAATAGCAGACGAGTTTGAACAGTTGGTAATACATATTTTAATATATAATATGGATTATATCCTGGTAATTTATGCTTTTAGATATTTATAAAACCATATATGGTCAGAAGGTCATATAGTCATGAATATCACCCGCCGCTGTTTGCCGCTACCATGGAACATTAAAATACAAATATTCTTTAGTTTTCTCCAACAATTCATTGGTTTCCTGTCGCAAATATGTCTGTAAGTTAATTGTGACATTACTGACATATATTAATAATATTTATTTGTTTGCATAATGGTTAAAAATAACTATTCTTTGCATATCTATATTTCAAATCAAAATTTTAAAATATTCAAATAGTGATATTGGCATAAAGTGTTTTGCTATTAAGATTAAGCATTAAAATAAAACAATGTGTTAGGTTGGTAATTTCTCAGTTTCTCAGAAAAATACGAAACGCATATCCCACTGGCATGGGTTAATTAAAACTAACCAAATTGTCAATGTTTTGGAGCCAACATACAGTTATAGAACACTATTTCAAACTACAATTAATATATTAGAAAGTTTGGCTAGATTAGATATCTTGAGAAATATTAGAATGGATTTGTGTGCACTGTACAGTAATTACAGGGTATTTGTTTAAGTGCCCTTTTTGACTGAGTTTAAGTAGTTGCCTTTCATAGTTAAAACACTATCTTTGTCAGCCTTAGACAAATTCACCTCAAATACTTCATGGTTGGTAAACTCCATGCAGGCTTCTATAACAGAAATTGGTTAAATGATAGAGTCTTTATTACCAGATTTGAAAAAAATAAATGCTTATTTGAGAAATATAATCATCAAGTAAAGAATAAATCATCTCTGTTGATAAGATATTATTTACTTGATGTAGGTATCTTTAAATATGGATAATCCTTGTGAAACACAGAATCAGCAAGGACAAAAACAGGTTAGTTATCTTCATTTGTTATGCAAAACAGTTTGATCTATGAGGCCAAACTACCATATACCTACCACGTCTCGTATGGTTTGCATTGTGAAGATTTTTTATATTGCTGTTAACTTTGTTTTATCTTAAATTGTTTTTCTGTGCATTTTTATTCGCTCTTTTGTAGTTGGCTGTGAATATGAATGACCCTACTGAACAAGACAAAATTATGGAAATAAAAATAACTGAACAGCAAAACCCCAGGGAGCCACAGCTGGAAAATTCATCTAAAAGCATTCATGAACTACAAACATTATTGAATCGGATCATTGTGAAACATAGTCCTCACTCGCTGACCTTATGGAAAAAGCATAAAAAGATCATCTTAACATTTCTCCTGCTTATTGCCCTTAGTATTTATTGCCTTATTGGTATATCGTTAGCAGGTTTTGAAAAAGCTAAAGATCTTTTTATCGTTCTGGTTGTGAGTGTCATTATTGTTATTTATGGCATTATACGAGATACATTTGGCAAACAGGTGGCAACTTTAGTGATAGAGCCAGTGAAAGAAAAGATTGAAGAACATTGGAGAATTTTGCGTTGGTATGTTTTATTGCAGACTATTTTTCTTCTGTGGTTTTACAAATACGTGTCAGTCATTTTATATTCCATGAGTATTAGCTTATGTAAGTTGTCCCAGTTTTGGCATTTAAAAAGCTTTTATTTACCATCCTGAAAACTATAGATTTTTACATCTAGGTTCCTGTATGGCACATTGGTACTGCTAATTTTCCTCTGGTTGTTGCTTGATACAATCAAAGATGTGAAAAGACTACAATCTGTTGCAGGATTGATTGTATTCATCATTTTAGCTTATCTTATTTCAACTGACAAAAAAAAGGTGAGAATCAGAAAAAGCAGGCATAATTTTCAGTAACAAACATAAAGTGTCATATTGTGCTTCATTCCAGCTAAGAATATTTTATTCATTAGAGATATATCCTTAAAAATGAGGTTACATCCCCAAAATGCATCTTTGATTGAAATGCTTTTGTTTTTCAGGTAACATGGCGGCCTGTTCTTTGGGGTTTGGTTCTGCAGTTCATTTTTGGTATTCTCATACTGAGAACCAAGGAAGGATACAATGCTATGAATTACATAGGAGAGAAAGTGACAAGATTTCTTGATTATACTGTAGCAGGCATTGTTTTTGTATTTGGGGAATCCTACTATCTTCATTTTGTAGCATTTAAGGTATGTGGACTAACTAGTAATCGTACATGTGTATTGAATTAGTGTACTAGTGTATAACTCTGGAATATTCTCTTTTCTAAGGTTTTAATGGTTGTGATATTTGTGAGCTCTGTGACATCAGTGTTGTACTATATTGGTGTTATGGAAGTGATCATTGTGAAGCTCGCATGGCTTATGCAAATTACTTTGAAAGTGTCTGGGGTAGAGGCATTGTGTGCTGCTGCTAATGTGTTTGTAGGCCTGGTAAGATATCATAAAAGAGTTTTTGGATAAATCACTGCATCATGCATCCATGTATTCTTATTAAGATTTTCTGTTCTAATTAGATTGAAGCGCCTCTTTTAATTGGCCCCTTCGTGAAAGATGTAACAATGTCAGAATTACATTCCATAATGACCAGTGGTCTGGCGACCATAGCTGGTGGAATGCTAGCTGCTTATGTTAGTCTGGGTGTTGATGCACAACATGTGTTGTCAGCGTCAGTCATGTCTGCACCAGCAGCCCTGGCTATATCCAAGTTAATGTACCCAGAAACGGAAGTCCCCACTACCTCTGGTCTCAACGCTATACAGTTTCAGAAAAGGTTAGTGGTGCGACCACCCTCGTACCCAGGCGTACCCTGACCTCTGTACAATACCTGAATGCAAAGTTATATATTTTACTATTAAAACCTAGCCTCCTCCGCAGGCATCCCCTTTGTATTAAATAATATTAGGTTATTAAGCTTGGGGGGGGTTTTTTTTCTTGCTCCCCCAACACAGCTAGGCCAAGCCAAATATATGCAGTTGTAGAAATGGCAGAAAAACGATGAATCTACAGATTTAAGCTAGCAATTATTAAAATGAATTAATCCCCAATTTAGAAATACTAAGGTTTAATCCAGGTTATACCAAACCACAACCATTTGAAGAAGACATTATCTTCCATCCTAAATCTGACTTCTTTTTTAGAAACGAGAAAAATGTCATAGAAGCAGCCGCGAAAGGAGCCTCGGCTGCAATTGGCCTTGTGGCAAATATTGGCGCAAATCTCATTGCGTTTTTTGCGTTTCTTTCATTCATCAATGCGATACTATCGTATCTTGGTAGTTTGGTTTTATATCCCGAACTCTCGTTTGAGGTATGAATTTCAGTTTGTAAAATATCATAATTTTATTACTCTGATAACCTAAATATGTCTTCTCTGACTCTGTGTTTTTTAGTTGATTTGCTCATATGTCTTTGCACCATTTGCTTTCCTGATGGGCGTGCAGTGGTCTGATTGTACGAAAGTAGCAGAGTTAATAGGTGTGAAAACGTTTCTCAACGAGTTCTTGGCATTCGGACAACTGTCAGTGTTAATTAAGAATAGAAAAAGTATGTCACCTGGACCAGTTTTATCGGTAAGATATTGCCGATCTCTTGCCAATCTATGAAAAAACTATGTGTATTTCAATATTATGGGAATACCATGCAGGGGCCAGTTGTTCAAAGCTAGGTGAGCCCTAGCTAACCCTGGGTTAAATTTTAATCCAGTGTTTTATTTTATGTGCTTCTGAAGTACCGTTCGTTTTAAAACTTTAGAAAATATTACTTCTATCGATTTAGAAAATATTTATGAAAAAAGATATTCAACTTTGTAAACTAGCGGTTAGAAAAATTAATGTAAAGATTTGCTTTAACGCTGGATTAAGCTAACCGCGGATTTTGAACAATTAACCGGCCGCTGGTCTTTTTTGTATTTTATGGTAATGAATTATGTTAACGTTTAATTTTTTTTTCAATTAGCTTCGATCGGAAACGATCGCGGTATATGTACTGACAGGATTCACCAACTTCTTATCTGTCGGTATTTTTCTTGGTGGTTATGGTCAGTTAGCACCAAATCGTAAAACAGACATGGCAAGGATTGCAATACGAGGTTTGATAGCCGCGACGTTAGCATGTATGATCACTGCTTGTGTTGCAGGTAAGAACATATTCAGAAATTGATTGATTAGCCACGAGAAATATTTGCATTCGGAAGCCACGGAAAAAACATCTGCGATGAATAAAATCTATGAAAACCAGGCTTCGTCGTCTTTGCCTCCGTACAATCTCTGCTGACTCACTTTTCCAAATTTGTTAAAAACATTTCTATTTCATCCTGGCAATGTGATATCATAAACCCCCACAAGACACGAGCGCCAACAAGGCTCCCAACCAACCATGTTTGATTGGTTGAGGCTATAGGGTATAGGATATAGGGTATTAATGAAGAGAATAGGATATAGGGTATTAATGAAGAGAATAGGATATAGGGTATTAATGAAGAGAAAGCTTAAAATTAAGAATTATGTCTTTTGTATTAACGAATTTCATGTTGCTGTTTTTCAGGCATTTTATATCAAGAGAATTGGGATGAATCATCAAAGTTTAACCCCACTGTAGCGACGTAGCAGGAGTTTCTTTGTGGTTCAAGTGACGGAAACAAAAGAATAGTCTAATCATATCCTTGAAAACATTTTTTGACTATAGAAGGTTGGATATTCAGTGAATATTTTTAGTACTTTTGAACGCGAGAATTTTTTTCAGTTTTTTTATTTCAAACTTTTTTCAATTTACAGTCCTTCCGAAAGTCCGAGGGGTCTTTTAAACTGTTTTAAAGCTTCCAAATCACACCGAAAATTTTCAGGCTAATCTTTTTGCATCGCCAGGAGTTGAAACGTCTGCCTAAACCACTAGCCCACCACATCATTTGTCGAAAGCTTTTGTTCTTTACTTGACTAAATCCTTTTCGACGAATTTTAAATTAAATAGTGATTTCAGGTGGAAAAATCGAACCCTTGCAGTGTCAAAACATGAGTTTCAAAAATTAGAAAATTGAACATTGAAAAATGAAAAAATATTCGAAGTTTCAAAAAAAAATTGAAAATAGGAAAATTAAAAAAAATTCGAAGTTTCAAAAAAAAAGGAAAAAAGTCAAAAAAAGGGAGAGGAGAGTAGACAGGATACGAGAGGAGAGCATAAGTCCCCTGGGTGTATGTACTCTTTTTCTTCCTCTCCTCTCTTTCTCTCTCACTCTCACCTCTTACTCTACTCTCTTCTCTTCCTCTCCTCTCTTCTCCTCACACCCTCACTCTCACTCCCTCTCCCTCACTCCCTTTCCCTCACCCCCTTTCCCTCACCCCCTTTCCCTCACCCCCTCTCCCTTTCCCTCACCCCCTCACTCTCTCCCTTTCCCTCACCCTGCCTCACTCACTCTCTCCCTTTCCCTCACCCTCCCTCACTCATTCTCTCCCTTTCCCTCACCTCTCTCCCTTTCCCTCACCCCTCACCTCCCTCACTGTCTCCCTTTCCCTCACCTCCTCACTCACTCTCTCCCTTTCCCTCCCTCCCTCACTCATTCTCTCCTTTCCCTCACCTCTCTCCTTTCCCTCACCCCCTCACCCTCCCTCACTCCCTCTCTCCCTTTCCCTCACCCCCTCACCCTCCCTCACTCTCTCCCTTTCCCTCACTCTCTCCCTTTCCCTCACTCTCTCCCTCTCCCCTCTCTCCTCTCTCCCTCTCCTCTCTCCCTCTCTCCCTCTCCTCTCTCCCTCTCCTCTCTCCCTCTCCTCTCTCCCTCTCCCTCTCCTTTTCCTGCCTCTCACCTTCTTGTTCAAGCCCTTGCATTGTCTTTTGCAATTTTTTCTTTCTTTACTTTGAAATTCCGAATTTTTTAAATTCTTCAATTTTTCTTTGACTTCAGATTTTTTGGAAATTTCGAATTTTTTCAATTGTTTAACGTACAATTTTCCAAGTCTTTGAAACTCATGTTTTGACACTGCAAGGGCTTGAACACACCACCGCTTATGGACTAACCACTGTCCTAACCAACTCGGCCACTGCTGCTGGTGGTGAAAGACGATAGTTTCTCTTTTTACTTAATCCTTTCTTCGACTTAAGACTTTTTAAATTTTCCAAGTCTGAAACTCATGTTTAGAAACTGCAAGGGCTTGAACCACCACCGCTTTTGGACTAACCACTGTCCTAACCAACTCGGCCACTGCTGCTGGTGGTGAAAGACGACAGTTTTTTATTTTACTTAATCCTTTCTTCGACTAAAGACTTTTTAATTTTTTTAAGTCTTTTCCCAACGGCTATCAGCGGTGGCCGAGTGGGTTAGGACAGTGCCAAGCCCATAAGCGGTGGTGGGTTCAAGCCCTTGCAGTGTCAAAACATGAGTTGCGAATTCTTATTTAGAACTGCCAGGAATAGCCGGCGGTGAAAGACTTAGAAAATTTAAAAAGTCTTAAGTCGAAGAAAGGATTAAGTGAAATAAAAAACTGTCGTCTTTCACCACCAGCAACAGTGGCCCGAGTTGGTTAGGACAGTGGTTAGTCCATAAGCGGTGGTGGTTCAAGCCCTTGCAGTGTCAAAACATGATTTGCGAGTTCTTAATTAATTTAAAGTCCCAAAAAAGGATTAAATGATATAAAAACTTCGTTTCACCACAAGCAGCGGTGGCCGAGTGGGTTAGGACAGTGGTTAGTCCATAGGCGGTGTGTGGTTCAAGCCCTTGAAGTGTCAAAAATTAAGTTGCAAATTCTTATTTAATTTCAAAGACTTGTAAGGATAAGGTGAAAAAATTCTAAGTCTAAAAAATTCTAAGTCTCACCACCAGCATTGATAGCCGTCGGTGAAAGACTTAGAAAATTTAAAAAGTCTTAAGTCGAAGAAAGGATTAAGTAAAATAAAAAACTGTCGTCTTTCACCACCAACAGCAGTGGCCGAGTTGGTTAGGACAGTGGTTAGTCCATAAGCGGTGGTGGTTCAAGCCCTTGCAGTGTCAAAACATGTGTTACGAATTCTTATTTAATTTAAAGTCTCCAACGAATGGATTAAGTAAAATAAAAAACAGCCGTCTTTCACCACCAGCAGCGGTGGCCGAGTGGGTTAGGACAGTGGTTAGTCCATAGGCGGTGTGTGGTTCAAGCCCTTGCAGTGTCAAAAATTAAGTTGCAAATTCTTATTTAATTTCAAGGACTTGTAAGGATAAGGTGAAAAAATTCTAAGTCTAAAAAATACTAAGTCTCACCACCAGCATTGATAGCCGTCGGTGAAAGACTTAGAAAATTTAAAAAGTCTAAAGTCGAAGAGAGGATTAAGTAAAATAAAAAACTGTCGTTCTTTCACCAGCAGCAGCAGTGGCCAAGTTGGTTAGGACAGTGGTTAGTCCATAAGCGGTGGTGGGTTCAAGCCCTTGCAGTGTCTTAACATGAGTTTCAGACTTGGAAAATTTAAAAAGTCTTAAGTCGAAGAAAGGATTAAGTGAAATAAAAAACTGTCGTTCTTTCACCACCAGCAGCAGTGGCCGAGTTGGTTAGGACAGTGGTTAGTCCATAAGCGGTGGTGGTTCAAGCCCTTGCAGTGTCAAAACATGATTTGCGAGTTCTTAATTAATTTAAAGTCTCGAAAAAAAGGATAAAATGATATAAAAAACTTTCGTCTTTAACCACAAGAAGCGGTGGCTGAGTGGGTTAGGACAGTGGTTAGTCCATAGGCGGTGTGTGGTTCAAGCCCTTGAAGTGTCAAAAATTAAGTTGCAAATTCTTATTTAATTTCAAAGACTTGTAAGGATAAGATGAAAAAATTCTAAGTCTAAAAAATTCTAAGTCTAACCACCAGCATTGATAGCCGGCGGTGAAAGACTTAGAAAATTTAAAAAGTCTTAAGTCGAAGAAAGGATTAAGTAAAAAAAAAACTGTCGTCTTTCACCACCAGCAGCAGTGGCCGAGTTGGTTAGGACAGTGGTTAGTCCATAAGCGGTGGTGGTTCAAGCCCTTGCAGTGTCAAAACATGAGTTTCAGACTTGGAAAATTTAAAAAGTCTGAAGTCGAAGAAAGGATTAAGTGAAATAAAAAACTGTCGTTCTTTCACCACCAGCAGCAGTGGCCGAGTTGGTTAGGACAGTGGTTAGTCCATAAGCGGTGGTGGTTCAAGCCCTTGCAGTGTCAAAGCATGAGTTCCAAGTTTTTAATTAATTTAAAGTCTCCAAAAAAAGAATTAAATGAAATAAAAAACTTTCGTCTTTAACCACAAGCAGCGGTGGCGGAGTTGGTTAGGACAGTGGTTAGTCCGTAAGCGGTGGCGGGTTCAAGCCCTTGCAGTGTCAAAACATGATTTGCGAGTTCTTAATTAATTTAAAGTCTCCAAAAAAAGGATTAAATGATATAAAAAACTTTCGCCTTTCACCACAAGAAGCGGTGGCCGAGTGGGTTAGGACAGTGGTTAGTCCATAGGTGGTGTGTGGTTCAAGCCCTTGCAGTGTCAAAAATTAAGTTGGAAATTCTTATTTAATTTCTAAGACTTGTAAGGATAAGGTGAAAAAATTCTAAGTCTAAAAAATTCTAAGTCTCACCACCAGCACTGATAGCCGGCGGTGAAAGACTTAGAAAATTTAAAAAGTCTTAAGTCGAAGAAAGGATTAAGTAAAATAACGAACTGTCGCCTTTCACCACCGGCAGCAGTGGCCAAGTTGGTTAAGACAGTGGTTAGTCCATAAGCGGTGGTGGGTTCAAGCCCTTGCAGTGTCTAAACATGAGTTTCAGACTTGGAAAATTTAAAAAGTCTTAAGTCGAAGAAAGGATTAAGTGAAATAAAAAAGTGTTGTCTTTCACCACCAGCAGCAGTGGCCGAGTTGGTTAGGACAGTGGTTAGTCCATAAGCGGTGGTGGGTTCAAGCCCTTGCAATGTCAAAGCATGAGTTTCAGAAATTGAAAAATCGGAAAATTGAAAATTGGAAAGTTAAAACGGACGTTTCAAAGAAAAATAGAAAATTTAAAAAAATGGGAAGTTTCAGAAAAAATGGAAAGTTTCAAACTTTCAGCACAAGCAGCAATGTCAATGCATGAGTTTCAAAAATTAAAAGAAAAAGATAAAAATTCTAAGTTCAAATAAAATTCAAAGTTTCAAAAGAAAAAATGGAAGTTTCGAAATAAAATAAAAAAATTCTAAGTAAACAAAATTGGACAATAAAAAGAAATTTGGTATTTCAGAAAAAAAAATTCGAAGTTTCAAAAAGAGAAACATTGCAAGGGCTTGGAGGGGGGATGGAGAAAGAAGGGGGGGAGAAAGGAAGGGGGGGAGAAAGGAAGGGGGGGAGAGGGGGGGGGAGAAAGGAGGGGGGGAGAAAGGGGGGGGAGAAAGGAGGGGGGGAGAAAGGAGGGGAGGGAGAGAGAGGGGAGGGAGAGAGGGGGGGGAGAAAGGGGGGAGGGAGAAAGAGGGGGGAGGGAGAGAGGGGGGAGGGAGAGGGGGGATAGGAAGGGGGGTTATAGGAGGAGGAGAGAAAAGAGGAGGGCATAGATCCCCCGGGTGTATGCTCCCCTCTTTTCTATCCCCCCTCTTTTCTATCCCCCCCTTTTCTATCCCCCCTCTTTCCCTCCCCCCTCTTTCCCTCCCCCTCTCTCCCTCCCCCCTCTCTCCCTCCCCCCCTCTCCCTCCCCCCTCTCTCTCCCTCCCCCTCTCCCTCCCCCTTCTCTCCCTCCCCCTCCTCCCTTCCTTTCACCATCCCCCCTCCTTTCTCCATCCCTCCTCCTCTCCCCCCTCCAAGCCGTTGCATTGTCTTGTGAAATTTTTTTCCTTTTTTTTGAAATTCTTAATTTCTTTGATTGTCCAATTTTTTTTTACTTAGAATTTTTTTTTATTTTTTTTCGAAACTTCCATTTTTTTTAAATTCCGAATTGTTTTTATTTTTTTTCGAAACTTCCATTTTTTCTTTTGAAACTTTGAATTTTATTTTGGAATTTTTTTTCTTTTTTTTTCAATTTTTGAAACTCATACATTGACACTGCTGCTTGTGCTGAAAGTTTGAAACTTCCCATTTTTTCTGAAACTTCCCATTTTTATAATTTTCTATTTTTCTTTGAAACGTCCAATTTTAACTCTCCGATTTTCAGTTTTCCGATTTTTCAATTTTTGAAACTCATGCTTTGACACTGCAAGGGCTTGAACCCACCACCGCTTATGGACTAACCACTGTCCTAACCAACTCGGCCACTGCTGCTGGTGGTGAAAGACGACAGTTTTTTATTTCACTTAATCCTTTCTTCGACTTAAGACTTTTTAAATTTTCCAAGTCTGAAACTCATGTTTAGACACTGCAAGGGCTTGAACCCACAACCGCTTATGGACTAACCACTGTCCTAACCAACTTGGCCACTGCTGCTGCTGGTGAAAGACGACAGTTTTTTATTTTACTTAATCCTTTCTTCGACTTAAGACTTTTTAAATTTTCTAAGTCTTTCACCGCCGGCTATCAGTGCTGGTGGTGAGACTTAGAATTTTTTCACCTTATCCTTACAAGTCTTTGAAATTAAATAAGAATTTGCAACTTAATTTTTGACACTGCAGGGGCTTGAACCACACACCGCCTATGGACTAACCACTGTCCTAAACCACTCGGCCACCGCTTCTTGTGGTGAAAGGCGAAAGTTCTTTATATCATTTAATCCTTTTTTTGGAGACTTTAAATTAATTAAGAACTCGCAAATCATGTTTTGACACTGCAAGGGCTTGAACTACCACCGCTTATGGACTAACCACTGTCCTAACCAACTCGGCCACTGCTGCTGGTGGTGAAAGACGTTAGTTTCTCATTTTACTTAATCCTTTCTTCGACTTAAGACTTTTTAAATTTTCCAAGTCTGAAACTCATGTTTAGACACTGCAAGGGCTTGAACCCACCACCGCTTATGGACTAACCACTGTCCTAACCCACTCGGCCACCGCTGCTTGTGGTGAAAGACGAAAGTTTTTTATTTCATTTGATCGTTTCTTTGGAGACTTTAAATTAAATAAGAATTCGCAACTTATGCTTTGACACTGCAAGGGCTTGAACCACCACCGCCTATGGACTAACCACTGTCCTAAACCTCTCGGCCACCGCTGCTTGGCGTGAAAGATGAAAGTTTTTTATTGGATTTAATCCTTTCTTTGGAGACTTTACGTGAAACAAGAATTCGCAACTCATGTTTTGACACTGGAAGGGCTTGAACCCACCACCGCTTACGGACGAAGCACTCTCTTAAACCTCTTGGCCACTGCTGCTGGTGGTGAAAGACGAAAGTTTTTTATTTCATTTAATCCTTTCTTTGGAGACTTTAATTTAAATAAGATTTCGCAACTCATGTTTTGACATTGCAAGGGCTTGAACCCACCACCGCTAATGGAGTTAGCACTGTCCTAACCCACTCGGCCACCGCTGATAGCCGGTGGGAAATGACTTAAAAAAATTAAAAAGTCTTAAGTCGAAGAAAGGATTAAGTAAAATAAAAAACTGTCGTCTTTCACCACCAGCAGCAGTGGCCAAGTTGGTTAGGACAGTGGTTAGTCCATAAGCGGTGGTGGTTCAAGCCCTTGCAGTGTCAAAACATGAGTTTCAGACTTGGAAAATTTAAAAAGTCTGAAGTCGAAGAAAGGATTAAGTAAAATGAGATACTACCGTCTTTCACCACCAGCAGCAGTGGTCGAGTTGGTTAGGACAGTGGTTAGTCCATAAGCGGTGGTGGGTTCAAGCCCTTGCAGTGTCAAAACATGAGTTTCAAAAACTTGGACAATTGAACGTTGACAAATTGAAAATTGAAAAATTAAAAAATATTTGAAATTTCAAAGTAAAGAAAGAAAAAATTGCGAAAGTCAATGCAAGGGCTTGAACAAGAAGGTGAGAGGCAGGAAGAGGAAGAGAGGAAGAGAGGAAGAGAGGAAGAGAGGAAGAGAGGAAGAGAGGAAGAGAGGAAGAGAGGAAGAGAGGAAGAGAGGAAGAGAGGAAGAGAGGATGAGAGGAAGAGAGGAGGAGAGGAAGAGAGGAGGTGAGGAGGAGAGGAGAGAGGAAGAAGAGGAGAGGGAAGAAGAGGAGAGAGGAAGAAGAGGAGAGGGAAGAAGAGGAGAGAGGAAGAAGAGGAGAGGGAAGAAGAGGAGAGGGAAGAAGAGGAGAGAGGAAGAAGAGGATAGGGAGAGAGGAAGAAGAGGATAGGGAGAGAGGAAGAAGAGGAAGAAGAGGATAGGGAGAGAGGAAGAAGAGGATAGAGAGAGAGGAAGAAGAAGATAGGGAGAGAGGAAGAAGAGGATAGGGAGAGAGGAAGAAGAGAGGAAGAAGAGGATAGGGAGAGAGGAAGAAAAGGATAGGGAGAGAGGAAGAAGAGGATAGGGAGAGAGGAAGAAGAGGAAGAAGAGGATAGGGAGAGAGGAAGAAGAGGATAGAGAGAGAGGAAGAAGAAGATAGGGAGAGAGGAAGAAGAGGATAGGGAGAGAGGAAGAAGAGAGGAAGAAGAGGATAGGGAAGAAGAGGAGAGGGAAGAAGAGGAGAGAGGAAGAAGAGGATAGGGAGAGAGGAAGAAGAGGATAGGGAGAGAGGAAGAAGAGGATAGGGAGAGAGGAAGAAGAGGAAGAAGAGGATAGGGAGAGAGGAAGAAGAAGATAGGGAGAGAGGAAGAAGAAGATAGGGAGAGAGGAAGAAGAGGATAGGGAGAGAGGAAGAAAAGGATAGGGAGAGAGGAAGAAGAGGATAGGGAGAGAGGAAGAAGAGGAAGAAGAGGATAGGGAGAGAGGAAGAAGAGGATAGAGAGAGGAGAAGAAGATAGGGAGAGGAAGAAGAGGATAGGGAGAGAGGAAGAAGAGAGGAAGAAGAGGATAGGGAGAGAGGAAGAAGAGAGGAAGAAGAGGATAGGGAGAGAGGAAGAAGAGGATAGGGAGAGAGGAAGAAGAGGATAGGGAGAGAGGAAGAAGAGGATAGGGAGAGAGGAAGAAGAGGATAGGGAGAGAGGAAGAAGAGAGGAAGAAGAGGATAGGGAGAGAGGAAGAAGAGAGGAAGAAGAGGATAGGGAGAGAGGAAGAAGAGAGGAAGAAGAGGATAGGGAGAGAGGAAGAAGAGGATAGGGAGAGAGGAAGAAAAGGTGAACATATACCCAGAGAATCTATGGTCTCCTCTCCTATCTTGTCTACTCTCCCCTCCCTTTTTTTTTGAAACTTCGAATTTTTTTTAATTTTTCAATTTTTCAATGTTCAATTTTCCAATTTTTGAAACTCATGTTTTGATACTGCAAGGGCTTAAACCCACCACCGCTTATGGACTAACCACTGTCCTAACCAACTCCGCCACTGCTGCTGGTGGTGAAAGACGACAGTTTCTCATTTTACTTAACCCTTTCTTCGACTTAAGACTTTTTAAATTTTCCAAGTCTTTGAACTCATGTTTTGACACTGCAAGGGCTTGAACTGCAAGGGCTTAAGTCTTTCACCACCGGCTATCAGTGCTGGTGGTGAGACTTTTTAGACTTAGAATTTTTTAGACTTACAATGCAGGGCATTCATACAGACGGGGGTCTTTGGGAGAGGTCGTATTCACTGCGTAGATATGAATCACGGGTAGATTTGAGGAGGTTCAACAACCTGCACCATCTAGAAACAAACCGTACACGTACACACGCTACGTGTACGGTTTGTTTCTGACCTCAGCTGGTGCTGACGTCAGATCTTTCTTCATGTACTTTGTAACGTCGTTGCTAAAGACAACGCAGTCGAGAGCCCAACCCTTGTGAGCTCTCGTGATTTCTTTTCGCATTGCCGTAAGAAAACTCAGCAAGGAGAACATATCGCCGAGTATGTTGACCTCAGTCCAGACGGCTGTTCGCAATTTGACTATACGTAAATGATGTTACCTAAGGATTGACGATTCCTGTCATCCAGAAACATATTGGTCTACCATGCCAATATGTTCTCCAAAAAGCCACGTGGAGAACTCTGCATGGTTATTCCTTTCGATCAAATTCGTAAACTAAAAGCCAAGTGTTGTGGACTCCCAGGATATCTAGAAGAGAAGTGATGTTTTTAGCATACAAATGGGAATCCAAAAACGACATATTGATATTCGGAATTCAGGATTAAGGCTATGTACACGTGCATGCACACGGTAACGTTTTCGAGCGTTTTCATATTTGTTTTTATGCCAAAATGGTTTCAAACAGTTGAAATGAATTTAACGCGTACTAGGCGTATTTTATGTAGTCTTTCATTATATGCAGTCTTCACCTCGCCTAGCCGGGATAACTCGCTCCATGAAAACAGGCCCTCAAGGTGCGACAAAATAAAAAGCAACCGCGCCCAATTTGAGGTTGCTAGAACAACACGGAAAAGAACGAACGCCATAGGTATGACTCCAAGAGTGTTGACTCACGTTTCTTAGGTCATTATGAAAAAACATTCTTCCCACTTAAAAGTTGAGAGAAACCATAACTGAAATTGCAGTAAAGAATGATACCGAATCATAATCTTGTACTTATGTTACGGATTTGGTGATTTGCGGTTAGGGACTGGGGCTCGTATACGACACGACAACAGAACTCAGTTATCCGGCGGTTATCTTTTCATATAAACAAAGTCAAGTTTATACGATCAATTGTAGCAGTTCACTTTAAATTTTTATTTCTTGTTTAAAATTACAATTTCACGAGAGCTTGCTATACTAACATTTCGCTAATTCCATTTCAATCAACTTCATTCATATAGAACAACGCAGACAGACAATGATTTTTAACAAACGCTCCATGTTTTTCATACACAAAATACTGAAGTGGTAGTTAAAAGATCTCAATTCAACTTTTCTAAATACATATTAATCAGTACAACCTTAGCTTAATGAGGTGCTAATTGTCAGTGTTGTGTTAAAGATTCTATCATTTGTCTATAAATTTGTGTTAGCAACTGGGGGTAACCGCTACCCTATAATTTGCCAAGCTCCATTAGTAACACGAATATAAATTAAAGAAATATTTACTGAGCGAATACAAAAGCGGAGAGATTTTATCGTCTTGAGCGATTGACGAAAACACCCCCATGGAGTATAGCGATAAGAGTTCACATTTAAACCTCCGTGTCGGCTTGTAATGTTCTATGGTTTCTTAAAGCTACATTATTATTGGAATTATTCTTGACAGCAGATTGTTTTCTAAATTTGTTCACATAAAAACTCTTCAACGTAATGCACGCTTTGCTTGTCCATATCCACGCGCCGGAAATTACCCCGACAAACAAAGTCATGCAAATTTTCAACATCAAAACCTTTGTGTTCGGTGTTGAACGGCCATATAGCCAGTCCTCACGATAACTGTATTCGTAGAATTGTGCCGCTATAGTGCATGTTGCGGGAACCGTTGAAAACATAGAGAATAGACCAATTCTTATAATAAAGCGATCAAGCTTATCTATTTTATGTAAACGTTCTTTGTGAACAGCCAGCCTTACACGATACAACGCTATAAAACCCGCCAAAAGGAATAGACTGCCAATAATTAGATAGGTAAACTGCGGTCCAAGAACAAAGCCGGTCAGAGCTAGTAAGTCTTGATTTCCTACATAGCATAATCCAGTTAATTCATCGCCGTCGATCTTACGAAATATTAACACAAGCGCGGTCTTTATCACGGGTAATAACCACGCTACAAGGTGGAATAAGTTTGTATAGCTATCAATCGCCTCACAGCTCCACTTCATTCCGGCTCCAAGAAACCAACTCAGCGTTAAAATTACCCACCAAATATTTGCAGCCATGCCGAAAAAGTACAAAAAAAGAAAGACGAAGGAACACAACGGTTTCCCAAACTCGTTTTGGGTAATGTACAATTCCGTGTTGTCATCGCTTGTACAAGACACGGCACTGCGACCAAAGATGACTCTCAGTATTAACCCAATTGAGTAAAGATTGTAACACAACGCCAGCATCACAATAGCTCGCTCAGGATACTGAAATCCTCTTGTATCGAGAAGGAATGTTATAATAGCGACACTGGTTGAGACAAAACAAACAATCGACCATATTGTCATCCACAAATCGGCAAAATCTTTCGTATCCGAATCGTAAATGCCATCCTTGTTACAAAGAAGCACCCATGATTTGGTTCGTTTCAGGTAAAGGTAATTACGACTGTTTTTAAAAGACATTTTATCAAGCTCCGGGTTCACAGTGGAAGTCGTACGTGTTGGATTGAAGCTAGTGTAGTTGTAGTTCGGTCCTTGCATACACATTTTGTCTTTATTGTTTTGCCAATGAAACTGTGAGCAATTCCATGCGTCTAACCAGGGAATATTAAACTTCACAGCAGTTGGTTTGCATCGTTGAGTAACGTATTCACACAATGAACCACAGGACATAATTAAACTGCCTGTCTTTGTGGAGCACATTGGAGCATACAGGGAGCAGAGGAAAAACCTTATTGGATCTGCACACGTCGATGTAAGTAGCACATTGAGATCCACAAGTCTTCTTTCCACATCATTTTGGGTTTTATCCCCGAACATATTGGGTAAACCTGTAACATTATAACCAAAGGATCGACACTGTCGTACGTTCATAATTTCGCATTTCACTTTGTTTTTCGGACCAAAACCCGAGACACAAGGGAGCAACATGAGACGACAGATGAAGAGGAGTAATTTGCGGCGATCTGTATTTATCGCCATATTTCAGAATAACAAGTAGCTCGTTTCATACACGACACATTTTACATATTAAGCTGGCCGTGTATTCGATCTGCCCGGTGGAGATTAAGATGGGAGCAAGCGCACAGATCTCCTTCGCTTTGTCTCAATTCTGACTCAAAACGTGCTTGGTATTCAGTTAATTTAAGACGATAAAGTATGCGGATTTTCAAGTCTTAACTGGCAAGTGTTAGTTGTTTTGTTTTTGTCAGGAATACGAGAAGCGTATGGACCAATCAGAAGGCCGCGTTCATATTAACAACCACGCCTCGTGTCCAATTTTAAATAGGATGTATCAATTAGTCGATCAAAACGAAATGCTATTGGTTCATCCATGTCCTCTAACTATTAGTAAGTCAGATAAACAAGGCAAACCATTTCCATAGTTTAAAAAAAAGATGCGCTCAATATGCACGTGCGTATCGCAAATCTAACGCAAACGTGTCAATTATTTATTCTGACAATAAAAAGCGCAAACGTTTTGCTTAAAAACTGCGCGTTTTCACGCCACAATGCGCTGCGATAACTCGCCGCGCGCTGACAGACATGTTTTAATTGCTGGAGAGTAAATTGATACGCCGTACTCAAGTATACAAAAGCCATGTAATAATTCAAATTCCTCTTGTCTGAGACGGAAAAACGCGATGAAAATCAAATACCAGACTCGAATGCCAGACAAGAATTGTGATAAGGCGCCTCCCTAAAAGCATTTTCAAGAGTTGCTTCAATCAAGAGATTCTTCAAGTATTCGTACAGGGAAAACTAGTAGAACGCTGTTGGGCAAATTTAAAACGCTTCCCATCTTTATATATATTAACCGCTAATTATACTGTCGGTTAACTGGCTTGAGGGAATGATTCTTAAAAAAATTGAAAAACATTGCTTCGCCATCATTTGCATATCATAGCTTTCACGATGTGATAAAAGTGTTTGTAATGCGTTTCTCTCATTCTGTCTGCTCATAGGAACAAGAATTGGCGAGAATTTTAACTGCGTCCTAACGTGGACTAAAGACATGCTATTGGCCTCCTATGGCGAAACAAACTAGCCACCAATGACTACCAATTAACGTATAAATACCACAATGGCCCTGAAACATTTTCCTTGAATTTGCGAGTTTTGCGCAATCGCATGGAAGCCATGTGGAGGAAATACATTCTCCTCCTTGGATTTCCAGCTAGAGTTTTATTTAGTCTTCGTGTGTAAGACAGCACTCCAATTTGTTAAGATTGAGAGGAACTTCATCCTGATGTGTCTCAGGAGGTGAGCATTACTAAAATATCCAGAACATTCAACTCAGACAATCTCAAAGCCATAAATCATAATATCATGCTTTGTAGATCATCCTGAAAATTGTGAAGAAGAATAGTAGAAAAGTGAATATGGAACGGATAGTTAGCTGGGTTTTTAGATAAAGGCTTGGTGGTAACCACCCTGAATTAAACACATAGATAGCTTAGTCAGTGTTATATGAAGATCTTTCGAAGGATTAGATAGTTGTAGAAGATGTATAAATAGAAACGTAAAAAGAACCTGGCTGAAGCATTAAATGCCTTTGGAACTGAAGTTTTTTTATCGACAAATGGGTACTTGACAGAATACTGGCGTCGATCGGTCTCTTGGTATGCGAGTCTCTGTGCCAATTTAATGTTCTTCTGCCTTTTCCGCGACATCTCTTCTTCCAATTCATTGTTTAGCTAAATGCGATTCTTCAGGGAAAAAATCAGCACCGCAAAGTTTTTATGTCAGTTGAAAAGAAACATTTTCGTTAAGATAATCTTCATTGTCACCATATATGAGGGGGAAAACCACGCCGGTTAGGTTTTTATCAGAAAATCATCTTAAGCTTTCTTCAATCTAAAGCATTTTGGCGAGGTAATGTCAACAACCATGCAGTCAAAGTGCAACCACAAACATCAAACCGTAGTTTGCGGTAAAAAACAAAAACAAGAACAAACCAAGACTATGCTGGTTCTTTCCTCCACGATATAGAAGTGATGAAACATTGATAATTTTTGAATGAAATAAAAAAGAGCTATCGCTGGAGCTAGCGATTCACATATGAACAAAAAAGACAAATTTGCAACCCTTGAACTTTGACCTAATTTTTTGGATAACTTTCTGAGTTTTAGCCATGCCTTTGAGCAGTTCAGCCTTGCATTTTCGCGGGAGGAGTGTTTGGAAGGAGCCTAAAACCCACGCAATATAACCTATTCCCCTTTCCACGTCCAAATATGTTGTTTTTCTGAAAAGTTTAACTGAATCATCAGGGTTCCTCTTCTCAAACCAGACATACGTTAAGGGTCTCTTTGCTGCGTTGAAGCTGAGAACTGAATTGCATTTCTCGGATGCATATTGTTCACTTTTGACTTCGTACCAAAGTCATTGAAGGACTCACTTCATAGTTAAGGATAGTTGAGAGTTTCCAGGTGTTGGAGTGTAACAAAGATATTTTATGGTTGGGATTTCTATATATGGAACATGATTTTCAATGCCTTTCTGTGGAATCTATATCCGATTAACAGCGTCTAGACAGTTGATATTTCGTTAAAATAAAGGTTGAATTTTTCCGGTGTGTTCTAAAATACATGTATTTTGGCTCCAGAGGAAGATAGCGGGTTCAAAAGACTTAACGAAAACAAAATTCCCGACATTTTCAACATTCGAGGAAGGAAGACAGAAGTATAATGAAACAACATCATTAGGTCAGGAAATCACTTGTTGCTATGGATTCATCATGAGCGACTTATTGATCGTCAACAGTGGCGTAGCCAGCTCTGAAGTTTTGGGGGGTAGGTTTAAATTATCGAAGATGGGAGATATTTCAGAGGGGGGTGATTCTCAGGTAAATTTTTTGGGAAATTCGAGAGTCTTTGAATTTCGATTTGTGAGGAATTCTTGCTAAATGAAAGACCAGATTTTTAAAAATGTCTTGAAAGAACTACTCTTTACTACAACCAAATAAGATCCAATATGGGAAAGAACCCCAATCCTATTAAGTCTCTATAGTTCGATTTTGGGAAGACTATTGCTATTTAATAAAAACTATTTGGTGAACAGATGATATTTGTGTTAATCTTCTCCCCAACCCCTATTTCTACCTGAAATTCATCTTCAGTTTTTCACCCATTCCTTAACAACTCAATCATATTTCATGATATACGATTAAGTATTGATAAATGTGGACTTGTGAAGGGAGTTGCTTATGGTACTGATTATTGATCACTTTGGTAATTTGTGAGCTGACAATGAATAGTTATAGTAGTTTATATTATAGGTCATGATTGTGTGATGGTTACTGTCCAGAGAGGCTATACACAAAGAATGATACATCTTAAAACAAGGATTTAGTAAAATATCTCTATCCTATACCTAATTTACAAAATTTCACCTAAGTTTATTCATCACATGCAAAACTCTAAATCTACAAAAAACCTATTTGTGAAATACAAGCAGATAATACACTTTGAAATTCAAAATATTAAAAAAAACCTATTTGTCTCTGACATGTCTTTCACTGCCATATTAAAAAGTAGGGCATTTAAAAAATAAATTTAGAAAGCATTGAAAAATAAAAAAATGTTCTACTATTCAAAAAAGTGGAAAAAAAGAAAGAAAGTGGTTTTCACATATTATATACTAGTAATTTGTCCTTGACTAAATGTCCACTTTTGCACACAATGAAAGTATAAACTTAATTGAAAAAAAATTTTTGAAAAACATCTTTCGAGGATATCACAGTTGTAGAGTTGTACACAATTGTAGAACTGTACATAGTTTAATCCCCCACCTAACTATGCTATGGTTATATTCATCTGGGTAAGTGTATGATTGCTGAAATTAGTGTATGATTTTGATCAGTGGCATAGCATGACTAAATTGTCGACTCTAGCTGTGTTTCATTGCAATTGATTGAAAGGTCGAAAATAAAGGTTGAAAGGTTGAAAACATATTTTTGGCAGAAAATGAAATGAGTAGACCTCTCTCATGATGCCAAATCCGGAAACTGCGATTTTACCAGATTTAATCAGTTCATTTCATTAAGTTACCTCTCTCAATTATTTTTCAAAATCCTATGTGATAGCACAATTAGATAGCAGCCATACAACCACACCACACAAGACTCTAAATCCCTACATTGTAAACTTCCTATCAGTTTCACCCAGAACAGGTGAGGGCAATGGATAATGGATAGTCAAATGCTTCTTCTTGCAACATCCAGGTGCATCCTTATTGACATTCTTGCAACACGTCCATTCCATTCTCTTCATAATTGAACCTACTGCCTCAAAATGTCCTTGATGATAGCGACAAGCATCAACTGGATTATTTGCTTCAACAAAAAACAGACCACACCTTCTGCATTTTACGTGTCCATGATCTTCTTGAACTTTTTTAAATTCTGCTAACTCTTTTTCTACCGTTAATCTTGCATTTTTCTCTTCATCAAGAAGAGATCTCAATTCACTAACTGTATCCTCAGAATTACTCAAGGACTCTTTTAACTCGGAAATTTCTTTATCTTTTGCCTCTACGTCACTAGTTGCCTTTGCACAATTTTTTGTCAACACATTATTTGTTCGTTTTAAATCATTCAACTCTTTTCGCAATTCACTTTCTCTGAAGACAAATTCTGACTTAGCTCCCAGTGCACTATTTCTTTCACATATCAAATTGTTCTGCTCATCCACACTTTCATTAATTTCTTGTCGTAATTTATGATTTTGGATTCTGAGTTTTGTATTGGCTGCGTGTGCTTTTTCAAGAGCGAACACAGTCTCATCATACTTTTGACAAATGGCCTGTACTGAGGTCTCAGGATCTTGCAAGAAGCTTCCATCAATGATTTTGGTTTGTGTAATTAACTGAGTGGTCTCTGTGGTTTCAAGGGTGCTTGAGTTGTTGACTACGACAGCGTCAGAGGTGATAATCTCCTCTTTAATAACAATCTTTTCGGTGAATTTTGAACCAGGCTGGGAAGCCCTCAATTTGCTCACTAAATCAACTCTTGGCAGACCGTTAAGAAGTTGAATTAAGTAATCCATATCACTTTGTTTTGTGTCAATTAACTGTCGTTCTTGCAAAGCAGTGAAGAAGTCCAGGCATTTCATATCTTTAACTTTACCCTTAGGAATGTCATCTGCGGCCAAAAACATCATCTTCCCTAGCTCCTCCGTTGTTATTTCATCTGCGATTTGTTTCAAAATCGTTCTGACTTTCGGTATACTAACTTTTCGCTCTCTTTTTGGACTTCCCTCTTCTTCACATCCGGCCATTTTGTATAAAAATGTCTCAAATTAATAAATGGCAACCCCAACACTTGTTGCTTCCCCTCCCGCAGGCCTTACCATTACATCACCACCTTCAGATTTTCGGGCAGAATATTCGGTGACCACACGCGGGACAATCTCGTAAGCAGAGCGATGAGCCGGCGATTACTACATGTCAGTTAGAATTAGACGATGGTCTAAAAATCACTGGATGCAGTGATAGGCAGAATAAAAACTGGAAGTGGAATGAAGATTGGAGAAGTTTTATATTCTATTTTAGAACTGAAGAAGTGTTGGATCAACCATCACCAAGAACAGCTCAGTTTCCTACCATAAGTTTGAGAGTTTGAAACGCGCAGAACCTAGACAGCAGCTTGGCAGTTGCGCAAAACGATAATTCATTAATTTCACTTATCCGGAACGCAAGATATTAACGGTGAGCAAATATTTAATTTCCGTGCTATGCGAATTGCTTAAGCCTTTCCGATTTAACAATCAAAATACTAAAAATAAATTTCCCATTAAAATTAAAACAAGCCCAGAGGTCAAACTGACATCAAAGATCATCTTATTGAGTGATCAAACACCAGCTTAGAGCAATATTGTACCAGGAATTTAGGCAAGGCAATATCCCAGGAGTTAAATACGGCAATATCTCAGGCGTTATATAGGGAACGCAGGAGCTCAGTATATATAAAGGCCTTTTAGTCCACACAAGAACCAGCTTCAGTTTTGAGAAGTTACTATGAACTAAACACCAAAGAAAATGTTATTTTACCTTCGACAATATCTTCTATAGGATCTTTTGTAATATCCATCATGTCCTCTCATTCAGAGTTCCAGCAGGGATTACTTGACGTAGGAAATTTCTAACCAGAAAAATGAAAAAGATTCCCGTTAAATTTCACGGACAATAGAGACTAATTTAAGCCAGACACAAACCATGGCTTGCATACTGAGAGAGGTATATATTTCATTTTGACTTATTCATCGTTGGGAACAAGTCCAATTAAGATGTTTCGAGATAAACCGATTTCAAATTAAAGACATCTTGTAGAGACATAATCTATAAGCGCGGATGAGCAGGGTAAAGTTTGGATCACATGCAATGAATGAAGACTCTCATTTATTGGTTAAAGCTTTCACTTTATTTCCTCAAAATTCGGGTTTTTCTAGCTTAGAAAAGCCACAGGAGGTTTTCAGTCTCAGATAGCTTTCAGACTTAGAATCTGGTATGGTTTATTCATTTAAGTCATTAGGTTTTATTATATCTTAATCAATGTTAATTTTGAACTGATGGTAAATCTGTGTGTTCGTCTGTGTGAGAATATTTTGCAGCGGGAAAAAAGCGTCCAACCTCGCAACCAAACTATTACCAACAGCTTAAAGTAATTATTTAAGACACGAGCTTCAATTAATAGGGCCACCCTGGAACTAAATATTATAAAAAAATGATGACGGCACGGCGAGAGATAAATCTTTCATGGACGTGGAAACCATATAAACGCGGTCAGCCAAATAAAATTACGACCACATTGATTGCAAATGTTGCTTCTTAAGGATATAGGTTAGAGCAAAAGTTAGTTTACTACAAGTTTCATGTATATTTCTCCAATTTTTTAATAAAATCAAAGGATTATGAGGTTTTTGTACTTGCAGACGCAATTACAATAAAACTGATCCAAATCATTTAACTGACGTTTGCCTAAGCGGCAGAACTTCCCAGTTGGGTTACCATTAATTACGCTCGCAGTTCGCGGTTAGCTGATTTATATAGACGCATATGCCATTCATTGTCAGTTTTAAATATGTTGTTTTTGTTCGTTAAAAGATACCGCATTCTGGGCAGCCGTTAAATAGCTCAAAAGGTTTAATTCAAATATTTTAAACGCTTTTATAAACATGAGGTCGCGTAATCTCAAAGACTAACGAAAACAAAACACATTTGAGACATTTGAGACACATTAATGCGTGAAATTTGGTTTTGGTAGCATTCACCAAAACAAACAGAATTGCAATGAGACAATTACTTCCTTAAGCCATACAACAATAGATTTGCAAGCGCACGATAAAGTAAAGATTGAAAATTTTAATTAAAAACAGTTGACATTTAAATTGAAGATGCAAATTTACTTTGGGCAAGTCTTACTCTGGGATAATATGCAGGGAAAATAGTAACTTTATCCATTCCAGAGCTCTAAAGATTTTAGTCTCTTCAATAAATTGTTAAAGAACCAATTGCTAAACTTGATCCATTATAGGCAAGTAAATAACATATATTTACATGCATGAGTATATCAAAGTGTAAAGAGATCCAGGTTGCGGACTAGTTTAAGAATCATTTCCAAATTGAAGAGTTTTATCGCAAAAGATTTTTCCAGTCATGCCCAAAAACAGGGGATAACGTAATCTAACGCTAATTTTGATTGGATGGAAATTAATCAGTAAACTGACGATGGGCTAGCATTTAGCATGCGTGAATACTCAATATACAGAAATGATTTATTGGAAAACATAATTCTATATATAGATCAATTCATTCCTTGATTTCCATTTCCTTACCATTCACATTTATGAATCATAATTTAGCTTCTAACAAACTTTTTGTCAATTGTGAAGTTAATGACGAAAAGTTTATTCAGTTGGAAAACATTTAAAGCAAAACTACTTTATCAATATCTGAGGTAAAGAAAAGACATCATGGTGGGTTTGAAACATACGAGGTTATCCAAAGTTATTCCACATAAATCATAGGACTGATAATATCAAAAAGCTGCCAAAATTAGACAGACGTTATCTGTCCAAACACTAAGTGGGTTTGTGATAAAATGCTAGACAAATTCCTTCAGATCTATTGTGGCATCACGTTAATTTCATCTAAAACAAATTGCGTGCATGCCAAACTTGGCACTCGGAAAAGTTCTAGAAGTATTTTTCTTTATTTGAGTATTAAATTCATTGCACTATCAGATGAATTAGTTTTTTTTATGCAAATTTCGTAGTCTCCCTTTGAGTTTCTGAGCAAAGAAAAATCGACGTGACCTAACTCGCTCCTCAATGCTTAGACATGAATTGTTGATCTTATTAAAAGAAAAAACATGTTTTGATAAGTGTGAAAGGAAACAAAGGAAAGAATATAAATGATCCTTTGTTTTTCTTTAAAAAAATAACCCAAAGCAATGTATTTTGTTCTGTTACATAATCTTTAAGTTAAATCTAGCTTTTACCACAAAGCTGCATGGTGAATTTCAGGTCGGCATGAGTACAAGCGGCAATATTTTAAGTGTTTTTGACATTTATATATGGAAAGTCGACAACAGGTCCTTGTATAAGTTTGACGCCGCCATAGTTAATCTTCAGATGAGAGAATAATGAACTCAAAATATTTGCAATATATCATGCACTCACGGAGCGCAGCTATACAATATCGCTCCAGGCAGTAAACAATGAATATTGGCAGACGGGTAAATTGAGTAAAACAAAGAACAGTATTCCTTTTAAGATCTTCCTTTTCAGTGTCTGGAAATCAGGACGGTCTCATTATCAAATTAAACATAAATGTCTTATATACTGATGCATCTTTAATTGAGTTATTGGCTTTTTAATTTGCATTTTCAGATTGAAAAAATTTCAAAAATTCACTCCTACGTTATTGGGAGAACTCGTACAGTGTCAGTGATAGTCCTTCAGTACAGTATATCTCTCTAGAACACTTCACGAAAATCAATATCTGATATCATATTCGGTTGGGATACAAGGAAATGAAATATAATAATTTCATCTAATTGCCTGAGTTACCTAGCATTAATACTGCCTTTAAAACAAGCACGAATTCTCGTTAATTTTCAACGGAGCTGCGCAAAAACACATACATGGGAATAATATTAACATGATGTATATGATGGACCACCTGAAAATTATAACGAAAAAAGGACTTTGTCTTTCCAAACTTTTTTTTGTATTCTTCTAGTGGACCATCTGAGGCATGTATGACATCCTGTTATTTTGAAAAACTAACTTTCATGATATAACTTTACGTTTGAGGAATTTAATATAAACAATATCGGCTGCATACAATATGAAATCTGGAAGAGCGTATGAAAAATTTACTTTTCTACATTAATTTGTTTTATTTGGATCTATTAACGAACATTTATAACCATTTATACAATAAATTTGCTCGGAATTTAATCGTTCTCGCGTTAATAAAAATACAAAATGTTTTGTGTCATTTACGCCGTGCCTTGATCTCCAACCAAGATACAGAAGATTAGAATGTATCGACAGTTTCCGTCGTCTTCAAAGCCTGTCACGCACATAAAGAAAGACTGAATTTTGGCTTTTTTTTAACTAAATGGATACTGTTTTATTGGTGCAACAATCATGGCGCATTGTATCTATGAACTTTCATAATATATATTCCTTGGATAAATAAAATTATTTTCATAACATGTATGGGATGACAAAAATATGAATTGATGTTTAATGTTTCTTCAAAATCTGACGGAAATTGTAATTTGGATAACGTTCATTTCGTACAAAGACTCTTTTCACGACGAGCAACATATTCTACGAAGCCGGCGCGACATACTAAAATGATCGCGCATAAAAATGTTTTCCGGCAAAATCCAGTTTCTATACAATTTTATAAACAATCCGTAGGCCAACACAACTAGCTTAATATAAATCACATATGTTTTGTAAGTCGGATGAATCGCGTAGATTGATTAAATAAATAACATGCAGACATGATATTCTGTGTCTATGTTCCAACCAACCTACACATTGCTCATATACAAATATTTGTCTCTCGCTAGAAACCGCATTCTACTCCACGCACATATGTTTGAAATTGTCCTCAAACGAGGTGGAAAGCTATTAAGTTGATTGCTAACTGTTAAGCTCGTTAAGGCCACTGTTTCTTACGACTGAACAAGGTGGTCTCATTATCTTAAATATGCACTCATCATCTCTTGATGTTGAGAGGCAACGAAGATCCCAATTTCAATGTTAGTCCCCGCGCGGGTCTTACGCAGATGGTAATTTAACGCTTACATACTGCCCATTATCGGTGGTCGTAGGACAACTGAGGTTTGTTAACGGATGGGAGAGCTCTGACGATGCGCAATGTTCAGGAAACTCGGGCATCGGTCGCGTCATTGTTGTCGTCGGTTTATCAACAGACATTTGTACCAGCAAAGGTTGCTGTTTTGTAGGTTGACGCTTCGGGTATTTCTGAGTAAAGTTTCTGTAGTAACACATTTGCCAAGATTGGCATGTTTTTGATGACCATACCCACATACCAGAGGTAATGCCCACCACAGGGAAGAGACATGAAATGTCGCACCATGTATATTTCTTCTTTAGGTCGTGAGGTGATAGAGCACTCATCTGTCGCCACATTAACACAATGACGCTTCACATCGCTTTGCCATGATTCCATATTTGAGTACTCGTAGACAAAACACGCAATGACTGCCGTTGCAGGTAGCGTATAAAGAACCGAAAACACGCCGATTCGTACCATCAATTTTTCCAACTTTCGCGTATTCGTATCGCGGTCTTTTAAAACGGAACGAATGCGGAATAAGGAGATGAAACCAGCCAGAAGGAAAGTCGTACCGATTACCAAGTAAACACATAGCGGAGCTAAAACAAATCCAGCTAAGTTTTCTACATTTTGATTTCCGATATAACACAGCCCCGTTAGTTCATCCGCGTCTACCTTTCTCGTTGATAAAGCAACTATGGTTTGTATAGCTGGAATGACCCAGGCAACAGCATGGAAATACGCTGATTTATTGGCTATTGCTTCCTGGCTCCATTTCAACGCTGCAGATAGGAACCAAGTTAGCGTCAAAATAACCCACCACAGCGAGGATGCCATACCGAAAAAGTAGAGAAGGATGAACACGATGGAACAGCCGGCTGTGTTTAAGCCATCTATGATTAAATATCCTCCATCAGCGCTACACGAGATCTCTTCGGGCTTCGCTATCAAACGAATTAGATACGCAGCAGAATACAGGTTGTAACAGAACGCCAAATAAATGATAGGTCTCTCCGGATATTTGAAACGAGTTCTATCGATCAAATAAGTTAGCACCGTGACCATGGTCGATACGAAGCAAATTGTGGACCAAATCAGCAACCATACCTCGGCAAATTTCTTGTTTGTGCTAGTGAATAAAATATTCGCTCCACAGCGCGCTGCGCATTCGTCTTTTTGCTCCACATAAACAAACTTCTTAATGTTCACACACTTCGCTGATTTGCGTCGAGGGTTTCGGCTAGTGTTGAAAGGTAGACCTTTGAATGCGGCTTCAGTTGATGACGTCGTTCCTAAGTTTACTTTCTTCTTCGTGTTATCAATACTTCCAGGTTTCGGTGTTGTCGTGAAAAATATTGGGAGTTTACTTTTTGTTCCATTCTTCTTGCCAGAGTTTTTCTTCCCTTTCGGGCCCGGAGTCATACACACCGATTTATGTCCATACACAGGAAAGCCACTGCATTTAAACTTCTCCGGCCAGCCATATCCAAATTGTTTTAAAATATCGATACAGTCACGTTTAGATCTTTCACACATTGAACGGCAAGCGTACACAGGGTAAGGCACGTCTTCAGTACACATCGGAGCGAACGCTGAACATATGAAGTGTCGAATTAACCCTGAGCATCCTACACTCATTAACGGTTTGTACTCGACGATTTTTTGTCCAGCTTCCCATTGAGTATCGTGTCCCAAATGGTTTGGCATCGTGGTCATATTATAGCCAAGGTTTTTACAAGGTTCAATCGTCAGCAGTTCGCATTTCGGCGGAGTTCTCTTTGACTTCGCGTCGACACTCAACGTAAATGAAAGAAGGGTCAGCGCAATCCACGATGCCCAGAATGAACGCGTCATGATAATTGCTTCGAGGATGCGTGAAAACTATTTTCAAAAGTGTTTTATATTTGGACGTGAAGTCGAGATGATCACGCAAACAGCCTCAAAACCAAACTGAATAGCTTTGTATTATTATCTCTTAATTTAAAATGTCAAGCAACGATTGTCCACCGGAACCTATATTAGATGTCACACTTTTGTTTGCAAACATCTGCTTTGTCGGCAAATGCTGCGGCGCTCCCGCGCGAGCCAATCAGCGCGCAGATACGGCGCTGCGCGAGAATTTCGACCAATGAAATCGGCGGCTTTAATACATTTCACAGGCAACCCACAATTAATGAGTAACAGGATAAACTTAGGATTGTAAAATTTTTTTCAAGCTAAGCTTGGAAGCTAAAATGTTGATGTATACCCGGGATATAGCGGGAGAATAAATATCTGTGTTTATTGTGAAATCTACAGTGTTTCACTATTCAACAGCAGGGATTTGAAAACGAGACTATTTGATACAGGAAGACCGATCAGGTCCGATACAAAAGGAAACAATGAATAAGGAAAACCGTCAGAATTTATTCATTGTCTCTTAACAGGTTATCTATTCGTGTGAAAACCGATCTCAAACCGTTTTCAAAGACGCACAACAGTATTTGCATTTAACGCCTCGTTTATCAACACAATTTTTAGCGCGTCTGAGTCACTGACCTGTGCCAAAGTAGACAGAAGACCAACTTATTTAAACACGGATACAAGTAGAAGAATCAAGACTGGCGTTTCCAAACACTTCATCACACAGAAATGAATTTATTCATTCCCAAACAAAAACACAGCCCATTCGCTTAGTTGCTGTGGCGCTAAACAAATATGTGTAAGAGCGGAAATTGTTGAGAAAACAACTCGTATATAAAACGAAACATAATTCACGCCATGGCAGGAAAATAAGATAAACATCGCTTTTTCTAAGCTTATCAATCGAGGCAGGTTAAACTCCTAACCAGGGGTATTTTTACTGTGACACTGCGTTGATAGAATAGAGATAATATATGAGAATTTCCAAAATAGCTCTTAGCTTATATCGCTTGTGCAGGGAGGTGCAATTCAAGTTAAGTATATTTTTGGTCACGCGCACTGGTAAAGGTTCCGTATAGACCAATACAACTTAAATGGTCGCAACGCGATGCAGGAGAGAAGCAGATATGCAATATAACCATATGAGCGTCAGGAAGACGCACGGTAACCCAAAACACGCAATGAAAAACATAAACCTTTCAAATAACAGGAACAATTTTATGAAGTTAGCTTCCTAAAAAACAGTAACTTTACCGTGTCAAAATATAATATTTGGGGAAATGCGCGTGCATATATAGTCCATTAAATGTTCTAGGATTACTCGACAAAACAAATGTTTTGAAACGATTATTTCGCCGAATGATGTTTAGGGTATTTGTCGGTTCTCTCGGCTTCCGTTCTAATGAGAACTATTGATCAATAAATAGTCGCAATTAGTGGCGAAGAAGACAAATGGAAAACGATTGAGCACTAACAAATGATCATTTAGCATTCTGCCAGTGTTAGATAAGCTGTTCGCCGGCTTTATTGTTGTATGTTGTGGCCTGACCCACACTTGAAGTTAACTGATCCTCCTGTCACTGTTGTATATATTGATCGATGCAGGCCAGATGTGTTGTGTTTGAGGTGAAGACATCATGTGATATGATCCTAAACGGATCTAACGTATAGGATGGGCAGGGAGTTGAGCTGAGAACGTTGTTTTCCTCTTGAACTGAAAATATTTGCTTGTGGTTTCAACATATACACGCCTACTAAACGTATTTGATGGATTAACTTCTTTACAGTTTTCCGACAATATTGTTTGCAAACTAGCGCTTTCATCTCGTCGAGCATGCCGACCGGGGACTCCGCCTTCTGAGAGCAATGTAATCCTCATTCATTGTTAAATTCGCATTTTTACATATTCTTCAGACAATCATTTGACTAGAAATTGCTAAGCAAACCTAGAATATGTAAGTACACAAATATTCTAGCCAGAATCACACAGCAATAATATATGTCACAAATTATTTACCAAGCCATTTACAATCATTATTTTCATCGTCTTTCCGTTCCAAAGTGTTTCAAAATATCCTTTAACTTCCTAAATTTATGTCCGATTAGATTGTAAATTTACCGTTCAGAATTAGAGAGGTTGTATAGAGTTACAAAACCTAAAACCCTGGGACAATAGCAGTTCATAAACTATTCAGTGTACTACCAGACACAAATCCTGAGAAATGACATTTATCAGAGGAAATATAAAAATATTCACGTTCAAAGTTCGAGGGTCAAAGATGGTATTCTTTAAAGCATTTACTATTGACATTGTAAAATACATTTATTTAAACTATTTATCAAAATTACCTACAAACACATCAGTGTCCAACTTAAAAAAAACCTCGTTGCATTCACGAGGCGCACATCATGGGGCCAAAGAAGATATATATTAAATTTCTCTAAATGTATGTGTGTTCTATACAAATCTTTTTTCATTAAATTTTTGTTGTTTCAACAGCACTTGCTCTCTTTGACTAACAGGTTTAATTAGTTCAGATATAGTTTTTCCAATTACCCCACGTGGATAAGGCGTGCTTTAGCGCAATATTGAGGCGATTTCCCACTGGCAAGACATACGATAAACTAAACACCACGAAGCATGAGGAATGATTGGATCAACCTTATCATCCCACAACCAAGTTTGCCGCTATATTGGCTTCCCAGATGTTGATTTTAAATAGATCAACTATTGCGAGTCTTAGTTTAACAGCACTGGGAACCCTTGACGCATTACTCCAGCAAGCATTGACGCAATATTCTGTCTCATCCTCCGTCGGAAACGTTCAAAACTCATGCAAGATATTCGCGGCCTCAAAATCTAACTAAGACTGCAATCCATCAATATATTATATTACTTTATTAAAACGGTCAAGTTAACGTGATAGTAAAGTACTAAAAACGAACCCTGGAGCTATCTTAACGGCTGTGTTTTAAACGATAAACATATCTTCCTCAATGTTACAGCTTCGCACCCCCTGGAGAGTCACATTGTGCTGCGTGCGTGTTCTTTAAATATTTCGGGGAGTGTGAATGTGTTTTCAAAACAAACAATATTGCACGTATTGTTCCTACAGATATTTTGATCACCCGGCCATTCCTTTGAGGTATGTGCAAAATTTCTAACCATTTCCGAGCACTTTCTTGCATCAGAATAATACGATTATATTTCAAATATTTGTTTTTCTATTTTAAAAGTTAGAGAGGCTTTCTTTGGGATAATGAAAATTCTCGAATAATGAAGATTTTTCAATGTAATGTATTTTAAATCGTACATCAACACTGACTTGTATCAAATTCCACACAGCATTTTTCTCGACCGCCAGTCAACAGCGTGATAATGTGCGCACAGAATAATTCAATTTACGCTTTACACCTCAGCCTTCGAGGTGCTCTGGGGTCATTTCGTGTCCTAAATCACTAAAACGTGTACTTGAACGAAAACTGAAAATTCAGTTAAAAATCATCCAGAGATAAATAAAGCGAAATTGCGAATTCCGGTGATATTAAGGTCAGGTTTTATTTTACATTTGTGCATGCTTGTTTTTATTGTTGAAAAATTTGATAAGAATTTATCACTCCCTCTGCTGGAAACCACATTGTGACCAACACGTTACCCGAAAGAGAACTTATTTTGTTAGGTAAAACCTATTGGTTTAGATTCTTTATGAAGATATATCATATATCATTGCTCCACGATTCAATTTTTAATTTGCTAAGTTGGATCAAAGTGAAGTCGTGTTCTGTGAACGTAATGCTAGAATGGTTACATCGCGTACAGAGATCTGGAATCTAGCTGAAGTGCTTCATAAAAAGCGCACGATACTTGAGAAAAAATAATGATAAGGTATGAATGACGTCATGTTAAGATGAAGTCTAAACACTTGGGGGATTTCAAGTTTGTTCACACGAGATAAGAGCGCATTAGATAACTAGTCTTTTCATATGTCATCTCACTGTTATTTTTCACACCTAGTTGGTATTAATAGCTCTCAAATTTGATCATACATGGATGGGGTCTAACATCACCAGGATTTTGAACTAAATTCGACTTAAGTGGAATGTATGAAGAAGCACTGTTTGTTGTTCTTTCGGGAAAGGCGATTATTCTAAACCCGTCATTCTTCTTCCTTCCTGATGTCTTGGAAATCCACAATCCTCTCTACCATTACCACGATTTACCCGCACGCGAGACGGTAATCCAGAGATTAACATTGTTGCCGTGGTACTTCATGTCTTACAAAAGGTTTTACACACGTTCGTTGATGATGGTTTCCTGCGACATTCTTCCTTGAATTCCACAAAGCATAATCCATCTAGCTCGGGTAAAGACAGGTACCTTTCAGAGTTAGGCTACCAGGAATATTATACAACTGATTTCATTATATTTGAGTAAGAGACGAGTTATTGTCTTGTATTGTCTTGAAAAGTCCTTGGACTTTTCTTCTTTTTTACCATTGTAACTGAGCAATTTTGATAAAGCGCTGGTAAAGTGAAATTGATACGAGGAGCCGATGAGACAACTGTTTCCAAGAAACCAGAACAGGTAAAAAACCGAAATACCCCGAATTGTGTTCAGCCAATTAAAGAACAGGCACCCAGCCAGATAATAATACGGCACCAACAAATATTTAATGGCAAAACAGACGTTGCCAAGATTTTGTGTTATCACAAAATAAAAGGAAGTATTAATAGAATAAATGCGACAAAAATTGTCAGTAATTTAATAAATGAAGACAAAAAGGATATTAGGCCACTCTTCATATCTTTGATTTCATTTAGCATAATTTCCTTTCTGATCAAATCAGACCCTTTGGAACATGAGGGAAATTTTTTTTCAATGTTTGTTTCGATACGTTGCCACGAAACAAATTACACACGCCAGATTGCTTTGGGAGTACTGTTAAAGTAGGTTAAAAATATCCCTTGATACCCTCCAGACGTCTCCCTGATAGAGCTGGGAGTGAGGTTAAAGAGGTTAACCATATTTGGAAAGTCAAGTCATTGGAAACTGATCTCAATGATTGACCGGGAACACTATTTGAAAGAGAACTCTTCTAATCTGTGGTGGATCAATTACATTTGGATAGAACACACGCGAAATCATGGTCATATAAGTCCACAATATCACATCCACGATCCTCGAAAATCCTTCCACGTTCCTCGACTTTGTCTGGCTTCGCGTTGTTAAGTGTACTTTAGGTGGATTAAACGTCATTTCGGCTTAAACAGGTTTGATTTGAAAAGCATCTCAGCTGGAGATTGCGAATAGTTTTGTAAAAAAGTAGGCGGAGAATGCTTCGAGCAAATACCATTAGAAGTTATTCGTTTCTCACCCTTTTGTCTTGCAAACATTGCAATAATCTCCAAGACTTTGTCGGTATCACTTGGTACGTGGTTGAGAACTTTGCAATCGCCAAAGGCACCGGTCAGCTGTGAAGATGCGAACTCCCATCAGCTTTAAAAAACAGCTTAGGTATGATTGAAGTAGTTGATCGATGAAGTTGATCTTCTTAAATTTCCAAATCATATCCCAACTTCCTCAGCTCATGTTCAGAGTTTAGTCATTTTCTTGGAGATGTCTTTGCCAACTATTCAAAGTTTGTCAGTTCGTGCATTCTTACTCTATACTATCTCTTCTGGTCATCTATGATCTGCCACGATATGGTTGTGTGAATTAGTTAATCATTAACATACATTCAAAGACCAATACACATTTGATTAATTAAACCAATATTATGCATTTTAATCACTGTTGATTCAAAAAGAAAATTCTTGAAAGAGCACAAAATGGAAATGTGTTTTTCACGTTTGCAATTCTCAGATTGACTACCCTCAGAGCGCAAGCATCTTGCCTTTTCCCTGTTACATGTCATTCAGACACATTCCTCGAACCACGACTGTGTAAACACCACGTTAATCTTCTCTAAAACATACTACACCAACACAGTGCGTTGCCAAGGCAACACAACCGGGGGGAAACTCACAATATCGAGTCATGAAAGATTAGAAGATTGCATACTTTCAACAACGTCTCGACTATGCCTACAACTAGTTACAAGTAAAAGAAACATTTGTAATTCGTGATCGAGGAATAAGGGAAGGTAATTCGTCTCATATTGTAATAACATTAGTAAATATCCGTTTTTTTGCTAGGGAGGTGAGTAAATTCGCACCTTCGCGAGGAAATCCGTATTATGGCTTAAATGTTATACGTTCATGATCAAAACCACGTATTTTGATAAACCTTGCATCTGTGTAAAAATATTAGATTATATCAATAGTATTTATGTTTCCTCGTGATCAGGACAAAGCCCAATCCTATTATAATATTATAAATAAGCAAATAACCTTGAATTTAAAAACATATTCAACTTAATGATCAGCAATCTATAACACAGCGATCTTTTAGATTCTCATGCACTCACACTATTGATGTATAACCTGATAAGACAGTCACTGAATGACGTGTTGAACATTTAACATTATTGCATTTGGAAAAATATGCAAGAAATCCTCCGCAATTGAAACGAATTTGCGTTGGCAGGAATGCTTTGTATATTAAATCAATTCGTGTATATGCACACGAAACAGTAAACAATGTATACATTGATGTTTCGATAGAATGAGATCACAGATTACGGAAACCAAATTAGTCCAAGCTAGTGTGGGATGGAAGATTCTCAAACCAAAACAAAACAAATCGGAAATCGGACGGAATTTTTACAACCTTGAATCATTTGTACAATGTTTAAGACATCAAGGACCTAACGACAGATAATGGGTATATTTTACCACAAAAGGGCATGTGAGATTGAAATCATGTCCAGTATTACCCTTAATGATCCCACAATCAAAAGCTTAGGTTTCTTTTACCCGTTTTTTTCTTCACAAAATCAAACACGAACCCTAGCGAGCGAGCGGAAACACAACTATTATCTGGTATTGTTTTGCCTTACACCATATACAGAGAAAGCTTTGAGACGTCTTAAGTACCCATGGCCATTTCAGGTAAGCTGTGAAGCCTGTGATGCGAATATTGAATGGTCTACGCGCTTTCAATGTAAAATTCACAAGGGCAAAGCTTATCTCTTTAGTCTTTTTACACAATCTCCTTTACGTCTTGTCAAGCGTGAGTCTACTAGAGAATATTCTAAAGAAGTTGTATTAATATTTTAAGCCAGATCGTTCCCTCAAGGTCATACGACTCTACTTTAAATCTAAAGGAACTTTGATTCGACGTATTTAATCCCTTAACACGTTGGCAACTTTTGCATTGTATTCAAACTCAAAGGATTAAAATTAGTTTGTATGCTGACAGCTGACTAAATGTAAAATGCAAAGTGGTCAAACATGCAATCGTATCGATATATATTACTTTTCTTAGTTTCCTATCCACGAACGCGCATGCGTTTCTGTTTTCCTCTTAAATATATTGTTAAATAGAGCGACACGTTACATTTCTTTGCGGCCCTACGCATTCCCTGGCTTAGCAGATATGGGTGATTGCCTCACAAAGTTAAATTTCTTTCTGTATCTTCTTTCTATCGTACATTTCACGACATGATATTTTTGCAAAGGTCATCTTGCCTCCTCCGTCGCAGTAGGTGTGATGATTCAAGATATATTGAACAAATAAATTCAAAATATTTCACACAAGATAAAATTTCAAAAGTCTTAAGAAAAATCGTATTAAAAAACTAGGAACATTATTTCATAATGGGCTTAGCATTTTACACAAAAAAACGAAAGTCGGTAGAGGTTTTTCAAGAGCAATGAAAATATCCTTCACGAATATATTTGATGCCATAAATCAACAGCCTTCACTGTCCAGATATTTTGTAAATATCACAGCATAGATTAATTAGATTATGAATTTGAGACATAACATTGCAAACAGTATTCCATATTGGTTTTCACAGAACCATTCGAGAGTTATATACTTGCTATTGGAAAGAACTAAGCGTTACTGACTCGAGTAATCTATTGCATGCATATACATCTGAACAATTCTCTTCAGTATTGTTCACTAGGTGGCCCTAATAACCCCGCAAATGTCCGTCATTATAAATATAGGCTGCTACAGCGGCGCGAGGAATGAAAAAAATATTAAAACCATCCCGGGGTGGCTAAACAAACACACGTAACTGCGTAAGCGACCATTAGTACTCGATTGAGAAAACAATTATTGTCGAAATATCGCTGATGACTTTGAGTCATTATAAACTCGAGCGAGCTTGCGGCTTGCGCGTGTATGAACACGTGGAGGCACAACTCAGTCCAATATAATCTAGGCGATCTTCATTTCTCTCGCTCTACTATGTAGCTGACTACTCCCCCCCGCCCCTCTCCTGGTTTCTTTCATACGTTTTCATAAGACCTTACTACCTTTTGGATAATGTATAACTTGTAATCTAAGGCCAGATATGCTCACAATTTGCCTGCATTAAATGCATAATCACTTTGTAGTGAACCTGTAGATAACCTATATAATATGTCATTCTGATTTTGTTCTATTATAGTACCACTATACTTTATAAAGTTTAATACTATATCGACTACCTTTATTATATTCTATAGTTAAATCATGTCCCAGATGTCGTCTGCAAGCGAGCCTCCTATCCTGGCAAAGCAAGTTGGCGTACTGGATGATTTGAAAGAAACGGAAGCAATTCAACCTCATGTAAGATAATTGGATTAAAATTCAACGTAATTTCTTCACCAGCATCAACTGATTTCTTACTTCAAATGATTCACTCTCATTGCTACTGAACTTCGTTTCATTAGAAACAGAAAAGCCAAGAAGCTTTAGTGAAACGTGTTAAAAGAAATGTCCTGAGCACAACAACAATATCTGAGACAAGCGATCACTCATCGTCCCTGCTTTGGACTCCAGCGCAACCAGCAGGAAAACAAGCGAATGAAAAGGTGAAACACTACAAGTATGAAACCTTTTAGTCGGACTGAGGTGATTTCAAGTCACACTGTGATGTACCAGGTTTACATGGAAGATATCTAAACTTCGGAAAGGATTAAGAACTATGAGACCATTCCATTACATTAGCGTCATCGAGTTACATGAACAGAAAAAACCCAAATAGAAGTCATTGCCATTTTTAAAAGTTTCACCATAATTAGGCTGTTTGTTTCATGATATAGTTTCCCACAACATAAAAAAGTTATTAAGACCACTTGAACGTTTATCCAGGCCACCAAATAGAGTAAATGCATTCAGATGACACTGCATATAAATTTCAACACAGCTAAAACATTCACAAGATGAGGAAGGTAGAAGCCTGAATCATTAGTCTGACAAGTGAAAGACATTCATTCCTTCTCCAATGCACTGTCTTGAGAAACAACATGATTCTGTCTTTCAGCCAGCATCCAACAGGAGCCATCGTAAGCGCGACAAGTCCGGCGGCAAACGACGCCTTTATAAGGACGAGAAAACAACAGAGAGCGAAGAAACATCTCAATTTTTATCAAAACAAGAGCAAGAACATGAACGCCTCAAGTCAGAGAAGATGTACTCGTTTGATCGAGATTACCACCATCACAGGACAAGTAGAAGAAGTAGGAGCAGCTCAGGAAGACAGAGTTCAAGAAGATCTAACAAAAAACATCTGGAACTTACTAACGACTACACGAGATATCAATATCATCGTAGATCACAAAGAGTAGGTTGTTTTAGTTGTTTAACAAAACTTATCTTTCTTTTTCGTTTCGAACCGTTCTCTCTTAAGAGGTGAATGAAGTACCGGGAAGAATTGATTGCACATGAAATCAATCTGAGGGAGATCAGTCAAGGGCAATTTATAAGAAATGAGGAACTCCTATGAACAAACTATTGTTATAGCATATCCTGGTTTAGATAGCGTTGTTTTTATAAGATATTTTACGTTTATTTTTCTAGGATAAGCACAGGAAACATAACTCTCGATCACAACAGAAAAACGACACAGAAGCAAGGTACTTAGCAAATAAACAATGCTGACCTCAGATGCAAAAAAAAATACCTACAAACCAATCGTCCATATATATACTGTATATATATAACCTCTGTCCTATCATTGAACTATAATTGAATATTTGTTTTGAAATAGTATCCACATTTCATGCTAAGTAGCTAAGTAAACTTATTCTCGGGTAATTCTTATTTATTTTCAAACATTGACAGCACCACAAGTGGTTTGCCAAAACTAATTAAAAGACTCAAAGTCTTCTTCTTTGGCAAGAGATCAGACCACGATGAGCACGATAATAGAACAGCTAAAGAACACGGAAGAGATTTCCACCAACATTCGAATTCTAAGAAACACAAGCACGACGTTTCCGCGAAATTATTTCGGAGTGCAAGTGACTCTGATCTTGAGGTTGTCAAACACCGTAACAGAAGGTCCTTACATAAGAAAGGAGTGAAGGATGACTTTTTAAAAGAAAATAAACACTGGAAGTCGAGACATCATGATCATAAACTAACGAGTATCTGTGAAAGTAGCGATCGCTCTGGGAAATTGGGTTCTGGCAGTGATGCTGGTAAACTGGTACTAGCCAGAAGTGGAAGAACAACCTATAATGATATAACAGGTCATAAGAATGGTGATTTGCGACGAGCAAATGGTCATTGTAAGAAAGATGAACGGGACACTAGTGAGGGTAGTCACTCACATATTGAATCTTCGCACAGTAGAAGAAGACACAAACGACGTAACAAGGAATATCAGAGCTTGAAAAAGAAATGGGCAAAACAACATCAGAGCTTTGAAAATGACTTGGAAAAGTTAGAGAAATTAGTCGAGCTGATTGGAATGAAAAAGACTCAGGGATGGCTGGAACAAAAGGTATGAAGTATGGATCAAGGGTGTATATCCTTGAATACCCCTCACCAACTACATTCAGCATATTCTGAGTAGCCTTTAAGGTTAGCAGCCTATTGCAGAATTCGTTTTGTGCAGCGCTGCATAGGATAGCTTTCCCATCTGTTTCCCCAGGCACCAAGTCAACAGACACCATCTGACAAGCTTTCCACAGTTTGTCGTAAGGCAACATTCCCATATCATAGTTCACTTTTCTAGAGTTCTGAGAACACAACGTTACTAGAAAGACTAGAAGCAACTCAGGAGAAATGCGTGGCTGAGGTGGACTTCACGAGACATGTTCTCATATGTAAACTACAAAGACTTGAAAATAAACTAGAGGAGAGTCTATCCACAATCGATTACAACAACAATAATACACTAACAGACGAGAAGGGAAGAAGCATCGATGAAATAAGGGATGAAATGTCAAAAGAGTATCATGATTTGAGGAAATTATTACAAGAAACAAGTACTCAATTGAAACAAGTCTTGGATGATAAGCCATCTTCAGGAGAAACTGCTGAGCAAGAAAACAACGATGATCAAAGACTGAAAGGTAAAATTTATAAATTTTGACAAGAAAATAAATTCATATGTCGAATTGTAACCTCTTTCTTCCTCATCTCCTTTGTATCTACCTCCACAATAAATGCCTGCTCTCACTGAATGAATGGCTGAATTACTTTGGTATTTTGACTGCAGTTAAAGGATTAAACAGAGAACAGTTTCGTGCAACCTGAACTAAACCATTCCAGACAAAACTAGAACGAGCTGGAGTTTCAAAACTAGTCTCTTGTTTCTGCCTCCTAAGATTCTGTCTACCACATAGAAACCCGTAAATTATACTTTTAAACACAAAGTCCTCGCATCAATGTTTCTCAAATTTATTGACTTATATATAAGTATTTGCTCCCAGGAATTCCAACACCAGTAGAAAAGCGTTCAGGAGGACACAGTCAAACGAGAAATGGCGTTTTAAAAGCCACAAATATTCCTTTCCCAGAACTGTCCCATCATCCACTTAACACAAGACATTCTAGAAACCTTGAAACGGAACCAGGACATTCTAAGAACTACGAAACTGAACCAGGATGTTCTAGGAATTACGAAACAGAAGCAATCAGAAAGGACAACGTGAAAACAAAACAACAGGAACATTCCAGAGTTACAACATACGTGTAATATAGTTTAATATTTAGACTTGTATTTAAGAAAGATGATATAAAGGTATATATATTTTTGGACTGAAGAAATATTCATACGTAGAAAGAGGTGTATTATAGAGTAATGTATCCAATGTTTACGCAATATAGGTGTGCTTTATTTCTATTAAATATTTATTTTGTTTATTTTTAGTTTTTATTAAATTGCAATTGTGAATAAAGATATCTCATACATGGAATCATTTTTCCAGCAAACTTGGTGGTTTTAGCTTTCATAAAAATAAATTCAGAAAATAAGGCAATTAATTTTCGCTTGCTTGCTTGCTTGCGAGCAACAGCGCGTGCAAATAAATAATAATAGAGCATGTTAGGCAAAATAATTGGGGTTCTAGAGTATTGAAAAAATTTGAATGATACCTTTTAAAGTCTTTCAATGACAATTGCTGCGGCGCCACCTCCACCATTACAAATACTGGCCAAGCCTTTTTCACCAGGATTTAGATGGTGTGTCATATGACCAACAAGTCTCGCTCCAGACATTCTAAAAGTGATAAAACAATTGCATGTTAGTATGAATACAAAGTTTTTGAGCCTCTAATATGATCCCTCATTCATCCAGTGTCACAATTATAATCCTAATTTGTAACAATTAAGTTGTAACATACATACCCAATAGGATGTCCAAGTGACACAGCACCTCCATTTATGTTCACTTTATCAGGATCCAAACCCATTATCTAACAAAACAAAATGTTAGTGACATAAGTGTGTTAGAAAGGCTAGACTACCTCCTCCCTAAGTTCCTTGGACTGTCCTAAAAAGTTGTTTCATAATTTGCTAAAGATACCTTGATATTAGCAAGAACAACAGCACTGAATGCTTCATTTATTTCCCACATTGTAATATCCTCTTTCTTCAATCCAGTTAACTTTAATAACTAGTTCAAATACAACCAAATTATCAAGTTATGTATACTACCATTATGGCACAAGGATTTTAACTGTTATTGTCATATGTGTTCACACTCATTGTATAAAAATAGGGTAAGTTAAATTGAAATGTCAAATGCTTGAAAAATGGTCACCTTTGGCATTGCTTCTGCAGGAGCAACTGGGAAGTCAATAGGGGCAACAGCAGCATCACAGAATCCTGTCACAAAAATTGTTACAAGTTTTAAAGCAAAATTCTACATTATGGTATTTTATTGTAAATGCAAAGCATATTGAAAGCAGTCTGTTCTCTATCATGATCAGGGGAAAGTTATGTTTGAACTGTGTATCTTACCAATAATTCTTGCTAAAGGTTTGACTCCCATTTTTTCTGCAATTTTAGCAGTCATCAAGACAACCGCAGCAGCACCATCATTCAATGTACTGGCATTTGCTGCTGTGATTGTTCCTAGGAAATAAATAATATAATTTTACAAAATATCCAAAAATTAAAGACCCAGCTGCAACCATGAACAATATCGGCCTAATGGCTTTGCTGAGAAAAGAATAATATTAGCAAGAAATTTATTAACTACCTCCATCTCTCTGAAAAACTGGCTTCAATTGATTGAATTTATCAAAGTTGACTTTCTTAAACTCTTCATCTTCTTCAACAACAATATCTGGTTTGCCTTCAAGAAACAATATCATCTAATAATCTAAATCTAAACCTTGGAAAGTTTTGGTAACAAATGAATATTAATATGGATTAGAATGGATCATTGTCTCAATGGATCACTATCTCAATTCTTTAAATTTAATTACCTCTTCTTTGAGGAACTGATACCGGTACAATCTCTTTTTTGAAGATTCCTTTCTGAAAAGTTTAATATAATGATGAACTTGAGTAATCTCCATTGCAAGAGCAGGAGTGCAGTTGCATTGAGTTATATCAAATGATTGATCAAGGATGTATAATATACCTCATGGGCTGAAGAGGTTTTTTTATAAGAACTGATTGCAAATTCATCTTGTTCTTCCCTTGATAAATTATGATCCTTGGCTGTCTTCTCTGTGCATGATCCCTGAATAGAAATAATTAAAAGTTTATTCTGAGAAAATTATAAAAAATATATCTAATCTAAGACAGGATCTTACCATATGAATCTGATTATAGACATCCCACAAACCATCTTTCACGATACCATCCTTAAAAAGATTACAATATTTTAGCCTTTTGCAAGAATGGAATAAGGCTGTTAATGCAGATCCCACCACAAGCCAAGTTCAAGTCATGCAGAAACATCAAACATATATTACCTCTAGTTTATGGCCACCATAACTTGGGGCATCTCTACCCATATAAAATGGGACATTAGACATACTTTCCATCCCTCCAGCAACCATGATTTCCTAAAATCAATTACAACGGTTAATTCGCATACCATATGCAGACATTTGACACTGCCAGTAAAATAAATACAAGGCTCACAGAACTAACTTGTGTCTATTGATCAAATCAAAACAGAGCATACCTGACTACCACAGGCCAATGATTGAGCAGCTAGCATTATAGATTTCATGCCAGAAGCACAAACTTTGTTGATAGTGGTACATGGTGTCGATATTGGTAGACCTATGGGTTGAAACAATATTGTCACTACTTTTACACACTTAGAAGTCTAAATGAGATTTGTGATGAGTTAATCAGGTTTTCTCAAATTTCTTTTCAGAACTATCTTTCTCATACCTGCACCTAATGCTGCCTGCCTGGTGGGTGCCTGACCAGCACCAGCAGAGCAAACATTGCCCATAAACACTTCTTGGACATCTCCATTTGAAATTCCTACAAAATGCAAAGGTAATGTTGACCTCTCTACAGACTAGGACTTCAAGCTGCTGGATGGATCTTAATCCCATTATTTCAGCTGTTCAATCTAATAATTTACTGTAAAAGACATTTCTAGTTGATACAACATAAAGCCTTGTTTCTCCTATAGCTTTTGTAACAGTCAATTGCTCTTTATCAACAGTTTATCGTCAGTTATCTACCTGCTCTTTCAATGGCAGCCTGGATGGCAACAGAACCTAGTTTTGTTGCGGGAACAGATGATAAGGAGCTTCGGAATGAACCAACTGGTGTACGAGCAGCACTTACTATCACAATATCCTTGGAATAAGAGAATATTTGTTGGCAACAAACTCTGTAGGGTTAATGTTGTTCTACAATAACTTCGTATTTGGGATTTTGTGGCGAGGGGGAAGCAAAAACGCTGGGGAACAAGACAACAAGGTTGCCCTGACACCTGTTCCCAATCCCCAGAAAATGGGTGCAAAAATATAAAAATATTTAATTAATAATGATTACAACTTCCTTCATCATAAACCTCCCCAAAAAACTCATACAAGAGGTTTCACAAAAATTCATTCATTTCAAGTTCTTTTCAAGTTTTCAAATGAATGTTTTTGATACCAACGTCCAACAAGGCAACAACTACGCAAATTTTATAACGGATTTTGAAAATCTATGCAAGAAGCAATAGGCATTGGTTTTCCAAAGACAAACGGCTATCACTAGACAAATTTTTTAAAATATGTGCCAACGTGTACCAAAATATATACTATACCTGGCTAGTGGAAAAAGACCTTCCTATTTTATATATCTACAGATAGTTAAGGAAAGCAAAACCATATATACATGCAATAGAAAACCTGGAGAATAAAATATTGAAGTTTTAACGTAGTTTAAAGGATACAAGTCGATGAGACTTGCTCACAAAGTTTAAATGTCTAGAAGATTTGAAGAAATATGCGGCCATGTTGGTTGCCTTTCCCGCGAAAGGACTGCGTGCGTCTCGCGATAGCCGCGTGGCCTTCGAGGATAAAATATTATTTAGCTTATAAACTGATACAAACTAATAAAGATATGTTATTTTTTGTTTTATATACAAATTATTACATCGCCTGTATTCAAAACTCGCACTAAAATAAATAAATTCACTATATTGCCAATTATTTCATATTAAAAGCTAGGAATCAACAAGCATTTCTAGGAACTAGACCGAGTGTTCTTCATTCAGATTGGATCTTCAGAGATCTTCAATTTCTCCAAACTCTGAGGTATAAGCGATGATTAAACCATCCTACGATAATCAATATGCTATCACTTCTTGCTTTTAAAGCAAAGTTTACAAAACTCAATAAACATTCCCATTATATGAAATCATTTAGCAAAGGGCTTTAGTTGCTCCAAAGAGCTTTCTAGTCCAACACGTTTCCCCATCATCTGCAAAGAAAAAGGTTTTATTTATAGATCAAGAGACAAAAAAATTGGTTGATTTAACAATTCTACCTCTTTTAGCTCCTGTTGCAATTCATTATTAATTCTTGATAACCGCGTATTCTTCGTTTTTAAATCGCGAATTTTAGCGTGAAGCTGTTCCAGTCTTGTTAGCGGTCTAAAACACACGAGAATATGAACAGTTTACAAACAAAAAAATCCTACATTCTGCTAGAATTTCACCCCGGGCTTACTTGACAACAAAGTGGATCGGTTCTTTCGATATTTTCTTCTCTTTATCGACCATGCTGTCAGATCCGCTATCTTGCTGAACGTCCTTTTTCTGTCGACTCAAAGGTGGTGGAGGACTGGCTGGTTTCTGTAAGATAAACAATATATTCAAGATGTCAGGCTAAGATCTCTACGGTAAACGATGTACGGTCAAAGAGCTTGACCACATACAGCTGAATTTGTGTATAATAAATTCGTACCTTTCTTGGAACAGGCCTTGGTACAGATACAGGAATTTCAGGTCGAAGGTTTGAGGTATCGTTCGCTAGAAGGAGTGAAATAGAAAATTTAGAAGGTTTTATAAGAGAAAATTTATATGGAGGGTAGATCATCTAACCTTGTATATCGTCGTCAACAACAGCAGGTTGAGGAGTTGGTTCGATAAAGATAGCCTGTTGTGAAAAAGTAAAATAGATCAATTTAAGATCAATAAAATAGATCAATAGTAAACATTCTGCAGACCAACATCTTTACAAAACAAAATCTCTATTTACATGAGCGCTATCCAGTGAGGCTGTCCTTCTGTGAACAGGTCGCGAGAGATTCTCGTTAGAATGAGAGGCGGTTGCGCTTTCAAATTTACTGAAGTCGGCAAAATTTGGCTGATTTCCCTGTGTTGGGCTGGCCTCCTTAGAGTAATCAGTCGCATTCTAGAAAATAAAAATACACCAGTTGTTTTTTGATAATACACTTTTGCTACGCCTAAATTTCCAAGTCAATTCAAATTACCTGTAATGATTGTGTATTTCCTGCTGAAATAGAAAAAATAGAAGGTAATCATGGAGCTCTGTTTTGCACACACAAGTGCACAACCTCAGTAATGAAAATATCAATATTGACAATCATCTCATCGAATTTGATAACAGATGATGGCAATGTTAAAATAATCAAATTGAAAATAGAAACTCTAATCCTACCTTTGTTAAAGAGCTTCTGTAAGTCCAATGATGAAGATCTTGAATGGCCAGACCTTCTTCTTGGTGGTGGTTGAGGTGCTGGCATTTTCTTACCACTATCGACTACGTCTTGGTTAGGTCTCAAAGAATCATCATCACTACTGTTCTTCGACATATCACCATTAGACTCAGAATCTTCACGTGACAAGGATTTTACTCTATCTTTATCCCCCCTCTGTTCTGTTTCGCTTGAACTTGAGTCAGATTCCCTGGACTGTTCTGGTTTTTCAACAATTACCCGTTCTGTGCTATCCTCTGGGTCAGCAGGAATGATTGTGCCAGTTGGAACAAAATGGCTTCCCTTGTTGGTTTCTTCTGGGTTCTCTTTGTTGAATTTACTAGGTGGGGGGAGGATAGCCCAGTGGGGTGTATCTAATAAGTTAGTCTGTTTGGGTTGTCCCCTGACCCGTGGTATACCTAATGAAATCTTGCGAGGTGTGTGGGAGCTGTTGTCTTTTGGGATGTTTTCATCAGCTGAGCTAGGTTCTGATTTAGTGCGTTCAACACGACGATGCTGAGTCGCTGCTTGATTCTGGACTTGTGGTGTGACTGTTTGTTCGGGTGCTGCAACAGGTGGGTGTTGGCTGACTTGCTGATTTTGCTGGGGCTGGGCCTCCGTTTGTGGGTGTTGTTGAGTGTTCTGGCTGCTCTGTGGTGCATGCTGGTTGGCTTGATGGGTGTGCTGAGAGTGAAGATGTTGACCAGCTTGCTGACTGCTATGATGCACGGTTTGTGCTTGAACTGTCCGGATTGCGCCATCAGTTTCCAGCATTGCTGGTGGCTGCTTTGGATTCCTTGGATCTGGTGAAAATCTGGCCCATGACTGTTCAATAGAAATATGAAGTATTTTAGTAGATAGTTAAATTTGAAGTTCAGGTATTAAAGTCATGCATGGCTACCTTTAAAAGCATAAAAGTGTTTACCTGAGAGGAATCTTGCAATGAGAGTTCATTGCCATTTGTTTCAACCATTGGTGCTGTCGCATTAGCAGCTGAAATTCATAGAAAATCTTTAGCATTTGTATGGGTATTAGGGACCTTTTATATGGCTAAGTGTGGATGCTACCTGGTGCTTCATATTTTTCAGGGATCAAATATTGTGGTAGGGTGGCAGGAACATCCAAGCCGTGTCGAACTGCAACAACAATATGCATTGCTATACAAAATTCTTCAAAATTTAGTGCACCATCACTGTCCAAGTCTGCCAAGTTCCTGAAAAGAAAAAAAAATCTTGTATTTTCTAGAAATACAATTTCAATTCACTTAATTATAAGATCAAGTTATGATCACCTACCATATTTTTGAAAGGACATCCACCCCTAAACCAGATTTCAGAAAAAAGTCTCTTGCTTTCTGACCTACAACAGTACAAGAAAATTGTTCATATACAATAACTTATTATGATCATAACTGAATGAATAACCGATTGAATGAAGGCCATATGGTAGTAATGCAATTTTTGTCTATCATAGTTGTAAAAAGCCTTTGCTTGAAACGTTTTCAGATAATTTATTTACTAAAGTAACTGTATGACTCACCCGCTACAACACCTTTCTCCGCAGGTTGCAGGACTCGAAACTGGTTAAGATAATATGCCTTTTGTTCTTCGTTAATTTTCCAAACATTCTCTTCGGTGTCTTCAATATCACTTTCAGATGAGTTGCTGGACTGCGATGAATGACTGGAGCTTCTAAATCATGTATAAATAAATGGTCTTGTAACAACTGCCTAATATAATTAATGTTTTAATGTAAGGGTAACCATGAGGAGAGTTACTTTACACTGAAAAAATCCCTTAGGTTTTTTGTTTATTATAGGCTGTTTGTAATACCACACACATTTCATGAGAAATTATTTCAGAATGCTGCTATACTGCTCCTTAGTTTAATTACATTATTCTGTATATATATAGTTAATCTGCTAATAAAGATTTCCATTTCACCTTTGGACAACCTCTTCTTCATCATCAGCCTCAACAACAATATTATCAGTTCCAGCCCAGGCTTTATCATCTGGAACGAACACATCATTTGTAGGAGACAGAAATTCTGCCCATTTACCATGACCTGTGTCCTGATTCCCTTTCCACATTGTATTTTGATTATTGTCTACTTCTTCTACAGCAGCCTTATCTGAAAACAACAAGGTAATATACACATATAAATGCAAGAAAAATATAAAATATTACACTCATATATATGCCTCAGTGAGAGGTAGATAATTCTCTCAAGCATTTAACTAAGAAGGCAAACAACATAGGCAGAAATTTGCTTGTACGGTATTTCACTATTTAGGTTAAATTACAAAACATTTAAATTATCTTTGCTGTGAATAATTCACAGTCCCCTATTTTCAAATACGATAGTTTGATAAAATGATGTCATATTAGAAAATATTCCAAAACAAGTACATGAGATATATCATGTAAGAGTCAACATATACTTGCAAAATACAAAGTATAGAATTGAAAACATATGAGCAAAACATTCACTAACCATTTAAACTATTAAACTTAAAAGAACATAGAATTTAAGTGGTTTCCTGTTTTTTTATGTTTATCAACAACCCAGTTCACCCTCAATATAACACATTTACATGATCGATATCAGCAGTTGAAAAGCAAACAAAATCATGTTAACAAATAAAATAACAAAGTAAAATACAATCAGAATAATTACCTTTGAATCGTCAATCATGAAATCAATGGTAATCCTTTCTACATAGTTCATTTGTTTGAAAATTTACAGTGTATTCAATGTTTTTTGTGTAAGTAGGAGTGTATTGTATGCATATTTATATGAGGGAGATTGGGAACGAATTAGCATACATAGTAATTTACATAAAGATGGTGTCTTATGCAGTAAAATATTTCCTTATATTTGCAATCGAGTAAGGTTATATACCAAGCACTAACAGTAGGATGGATAATTTTGTTGAAATTTTGCATGGTTATATGGTACTTATATTGGATAATTTGTTACAATGTAGACAAAAGAATGACCAATGTTGCAATTGCATAACTCTTAATTGATATTTGATACATGTAATAGTATGTGGCAATTCTGCAGGCTTAATTATAGCTAAGGAAAGGTTTAACTTCTAAAATATTACATAGATGGGCTACAAGGAAACTACCATTGAAAGTACTCACCATTATCTGAGAGTGCTCTGCTTCTATGAAGTTGATTTTCATGAGGTTTTTCAATGACATTAGTTAAACTATCAGGATTAAAATATGGCTGTTGAACAGTTTGCCATTGAATATTTGTCTGTTGATCATTTGTTGTTTTCCTAAGATCATGTCTCTCTACAAAAACAAAAAGATAAGATACTAAAAGATTAAAACAGAGTGGGTAAATCCTGTATGCAAGCATAGGCAATTCCGAATAGATACTAAATATATTTCACTGTAAATGTTTCTTGCCTGGTTGTGTTGGAGACAGAGATGAAAGTGATTGTTGTTGCAATAGTGTGACAGGCTTGGCTGGTACTGACACTTGGCGGCGAATACGTTCTCCTGGTTTCCTCACAGACTGTGGTCTGTTTATCAATGCAGGTGGACTTGTGCTTAATGGTAGAGACTTTTGTCTTGCTCTTGTAATAGTTGTTCCAAGTCTTTGTTCTACAGTTGCAGCTTTAGGAGATGCAAGTGTTTGCTGAGCTACGGTTTGTGAAAAATTTAATGTTGTTGGTGGTGATTTAGTCAGAACATCATTTGGTTCATCATGATCACTAAGTGTATTTTCAAAGATCATTGTTGGCGAGACAGTCCTCTTAGATCTAGGTTCTGACTGGTTGATAAGACCAAATGCTGATGTCGGTCCACCATCTCCGCTCATTTCTGTTGCACTTGTTCTTCTGAAATTCCATTTCTTGCGTTCAGCTAAAAGAATAATCATGAGTCTTTCATTTTGTATATAAGAATATACACTTCATTACAGCAACAGGGGCAAGTATTGATGAGAGCCGAAATCCCAACAACTAATTCCAAGAGAAACTATGTCCGCAGAAAAAAAACCTGACAGAAGTAATTATTGATATTTTAGTTAAATATAATTACCAACCTGAATCAGTCTTATCTTTATCTTTTTTCACTTTATTATTCAACCGTAGGTCAAAGTCTCCTCGATCATTGTGTAGTGGTTCATGGTCCATTTTTATTCAACTTCTATAAAAATTATTAAGTTAATTTCTTGAGAGCAAAGTGAAATTATTAAGTAGAACATGATAGTACACCTTTTATCTTATGTCTAGTTCAAATGTCAACAATTTCACAAGCAAAATGCAAAGAAACAATAGACAATGAGGCTCTTCATATTATCAAGATTCACTTGCTTTCTTGATGAGTCAGGCAATACAGACATAGGAACAAATTTATACTCAATAATCATTAAACAAGTTATAAAAAGAGTATATCTTTCCCATAAGATTATACAGCATTTCATGTAAACATCCTTATCAAAAGACAGGTGTAAAATCGACTACAGTAAACGTTTTGAATTAACAGCTGCTACAATCGGGAAGTGAATTCCTCGTTAAATTTTCTTGCAATATTCCGTTTTGAAACAATGTAAATATATCAAGAAACAAGACAATTCAATCTTATTTTAATGCAAATGTAGGCTTTCACGTAAATTGCTTCCCACGGCTGCAATTGATTGCGATGCAGACATTGGCATTGAATTTGAACAAAAGCAGTATTTAAAGCGCAACGATTCTTCCAATATTACTTCCTCTTTCCCAAAATGTTGTACTTCGTGATAATTTTACTTGCAGTTACCTTTACTGGACAATTCCAACAGTTCAATGTTGAAGTAGGAAGACTTTAATTGCGAATGTACAAAAAGTTCTCATTACATTTGACGTACAGACTGATATTTTGATAATCCTATTTCCCTCAATTATTATTCACTTCTGAGTATATTGTTTATCTCATGCTTCGTTGACTTACCTGAGCAAAGGACTATTCATAAATCATTGCCGATTGTTTGAACAAGCTAGACATTGAATAAAAACAAACGAAAACAGCAGCATTAAAAAACAACCCGGACAGCTCAATGCAGAATGCAACAAAAATACACCCGATATGTCTACACTTGAATATAATACGAATGTGAAAATATGTGAAACAGAGTATTACCGGCATAATCCTTTGTCTTGAGTCCATCCTTTTTACAAAAGTACCTTTCAGTTTTTGAAATGAAATCAAAAGATCAAAAGGTTTTGCAAATTTAATAAAGAATTATCCGTTTAAAAAAAATCTGGGCAGGAAGCCATATTGAAGACATTGAACATCTTGATCACGTGTTGCTCCTTATCTGATATCCCGGATAGTGTATATCATAGATAATGTAACTACCTCAATTTAACCCTTCAAAAATTATATAATATTTTAAATTTCACCAAATATTTTAGAGTTTAGTATATTCTTTCCAAAAACGAGATTAGAACATTTTTGAATTGCCGTGAGTTTAAGAATGGTATAAAAAGCAAAAATGGCGAAATTGATTGATTAGAGAGATGAGGAGCAAGGTGAATTCATGGCGGGTTAGTTGGCTTGATTGTCATCTTGACTGGTCAATCTCAGAGTAATAACTACAGTTTGGACACAGACACCACCGCCAATGCTGGCTCGTAGTTTTTCTAGAAATATAACTCAAGAGATTATTGCTAAAGGTTATATTTCAGGAAATCGTAATTCTATTTCATAAATTAATGTGCCTGCACCTTTACCACAACTTCTTTCAACCGTTATTTTGCCGAAGCGCCGCCGCTACAGTTTGCAGCAAATCTATCTATTCCTCCCATGTACAAGTGATGCTTGTGAACCTCCAGTAATGATTCAGGGTTTAAAATTGCCTTACAGTCCTTGAGAACACACACTTCGTACGCTATCTTCATCTGTCTTGCACATCTTTCAAAAGACATTTGACCGCCCGAGGTTCCTAGACCAGGACAGAGCACACTTTTGATTTTTCGCTTGTTTATGTTCTTATTGTGACGATGAACTGAATGACAAAAAAAATAAAATACGTCAATTGAATTGAGTTTGTCAAACAATTTTGTTAAATTTTAAATTCTACCTATATATAGGTAATTAAAAAAATAACTTCTCTTTTCTTAACTTCAAAGGACTTTCTTCTTAATCCTAGTGCAAGTTTTTCGTTTCCAGGCTAAACCCCCAGACATAGCTCTGGCTAGCTCATACCTGCAAGTAAGACAGCTCTAAAGGCCAAATATGCATTCACTGTATCGTGTATGTCGCTAGGAACTCTGTTGGTTGGTGCGCTGATGAGAAAATGTATCGGTTTTCCTTCATTCGTCTCGCGATTCTTCATCCAGTCTCGCTCAATCTCAGGTACATCATCCTCAAACGTCTCAATGATGACTGCTTCGCCCACTGGAAGCTCTCCAAAATATTCTTTCCTCAGATAATTCTGTAGACGTTCCTGTAATTGCCAACCAAAATGCTCCGAATACCTCTAGATTATAAACATGAAGAATACATACGTCAGGTTGAAAGATTGAAGAGTGGAAATTGAAGAAAAATAAAATAATCTTAGCCACTAGATTTATATCTTACCAAATCTATTCCGCCATCCATAAAACCAAAACTATTCGTTGGCGAGACTATTGCGTCAGCTGCAGGTGCATCATTGAAAACATCTCCACAAGAAATCTTAAAAACAAGAAAAAAGATTTATAGCCTGTTGAATGAAATCAACTCTTCTGTGCAACGGCGATTGAAATATCATATAAGTATGCACTAAATACTAGTAAGTGTGTCACTGATAACTGCCATTTCCATAAATTCATTTACTTCAGTCTAAAACATTTCAAACAGCCAGAAATAAACGTTACAGCAGATTAATGTCAATGAAACACTTGCTTGGTCTCATTTACTGGGCACATTTTTCATTAATGTTAAATTTTCATGAATAAATAATAAATCTAGTGAATGATTTAAAGAGGACAAGAGCTAGGGCATTAAGCAGATATTATTGCCAATAGTTTTTTCATCAGGTCTAACTTGTAAAACCACGTTTTTCCGTATGTGACTAGGTGAAATATCAAAAAAGAAGATACACGACTACTGTAAGACGCCGATGGAGAAGACAGTTAACAAACACCTCAGCTGTTTTGAGATCAAGTCTGCTTCATTTAAAAATCATACGCGCGTCAAAACAGAATGCGCCAATATAAAGAAACAAAACGTCTTTGAAACACCACGAATTACAATATGGAAGACTTTGAGGAAACGGTCAATTATCACGCAGTTTTAACGATCAAACTCGTGAAAATGTTCATATTTCAATAATGACAAGTTTCAACCGATTGAATAGTTTGATTTGGGCAGTTGGGCATGCATGTAATTGTGGAGCAAGTCAATTTTAATGCCCAATCATTAAAGACTAGTATAGTCTAGCTTATGTTTCGCCAGACATCCCCAGATACTCTACGATACAAAGACGCTATAAAAAAGGTCTTTCCATCAACATTAGACAACCAACTACTCCGAAGGCCGTACATATTTAAAAAAAACATTTCAATATGTAATATATGCTTACCTCGATGTTACAATCAGTTCGTATGAAATGAAAAGCCTCATTCCACGCGACTTCCATTGCGGGTTCAATGTCTCGTAGTTTAAACACAACATCTTTTAAAGAAGCCATGTAAATAGGTCTCGCCTTGAACGTTGTATTTCGTCAAGTAAACATAGACAAGGCTCACGAACGAATTTATAATTACAGTCTGACATCTGCTGAGTATTTGATTGTATTAATATTAATCAGAGCTGCTGCTTACATGATAAGAGTAATATCTTGTCATGGAAAAAAAAAGTTGAAGAGAGAATTTTTAGCAGGATTCTCAGCACGCATTTTGCGTATGGAAGGCCATTTCTCCTGTCAAAAACTATTCTCAGTAATGTAAAATACTAAAATCTAAGTTAATATTATTCCATCATAGCAGGTACAGGAATAAAGTTTAGTTTTTTCGAGTGGGATTTGAACGTCTTCCGGACTAAAGGCTCTATCACTGGCTCAATGGGGACTGGTAGCGAACACTATCCAACACCTTTATAAAGTACATTTTCGTGACAGCTTAAAAAGAGCTCGTCTGGTTTTGACTAATGAGATCAGTAGAATACTATTGATAAGATAGTTAAGAAAAAGCGCATGTTTTTCCAATAAGCTTATAACATATATTTTCTTGGAGGGTATGTATGTTCAGTCCTGCGCAATACATAATTTGCAACATTTTGCCTCGTTTTCAGTACGACTCGAAACTTGCAGCTCAACAGTCAACACACCCATTTTTAACAAAAAAACTGTTCGATGTCAGTGTCCTTAGCATATTAACGCAAAAATAATGTCAACCAGTGTGATACTGACGTATAATTACCAATGTCTCTAATCTGGTTTTCCATATCACGAGAGTATCATGAGAATTTAGCTTGTGAGAAATCCATTTCAGGGTGTTGCGCCATGAATCTAAACAGTGATTAATAATTCGTATAAGTCAGCTCACGATGGCGAGTACGATTTGGAATTATTATAGTACAGTATGTTTGAAGTTTTTTTAAAAATTGGATGAGCCGCCTTTTCAACATGAGAGCACGTTAAGAGATAAAGAGCTCGTCCGGAAGGTTCAACGCATGCATGATAACTTCTTGCAAAAATACAGTCCTGTCAGACTTTTATCCATTATTTTGTACTTTTGGCAGTACTGAACAGTATTTAGCTGGTGTTTCACCAGAACTCTATCAGGAGAAGTAAAGCACGAATGAAAAAAACTAAATTAATTTACTTTTTGAGAACATCCTGTTTCTTCTGGTCATCTGAAGTTGGTAAGCCCATCTAAATGAAAAAGTTCAGATGCGATATCTATAAGAGTTGTAGCATGTGAAATTTGACAAAAATGTCTGGATTTACAGATGAAGCACCAACAATGAAAATGAATTTTGCAACACCAAGTTAACTCACCGATTTCTGTCTTTGGTCATACATCATTTTTTCAACCATGCCTCTTGTTTCGCCATCCAATTCTGACAACTTAAAATAAAAAAATCATTTAAAGAAGACAAGAATTCACAGCATGATTACTACTCTACTGACTACACCAATGAACTATGTCTGGAAATTTACAGGGTTCAAATTCAATGTGTTTCTACCTTTGAGTTTTCTGGGTTAACTTTCTTTGTGTTAATTTCTGGATCTGTCATTAAAACTTTGCTCCACCATTCCATTTTATTTACCTACAAGTCATAAGAGAACTTGACTGTTGTTGAAATGCACATCACCTGTCAGGAGCTAAGCTTAATTGCCAAGGTGACAGACCTTTTCTAGAGTAACAGCAACAGTATTTTGATCTAATGTCCAAATGCTTTCTTCCAATTTGATCTGAAAGGGCGAAGATTCATTATATCAGTACTTTGAACAACTGCCAATGGTGTGCAAGAAATGACACTTACCTCCTTATACAATTCCCCATCAAGGATTAATGGATGACCTTTTAAACCAATTTTAATATGCTACATTGATAAATATAAACAAATATTTAGATATTTATAATACAAAAAATAAATGGAATAGTTTCCTACTTCTTGAAACTTCCTTATTATAAGAATTCAATATTTTGCTGGCAATAACCCTGCAAGTCTAGCCAAGAGAGAAATAAATATTATTACCTTCTTTTTAGTGTCAACAATTACATCCCTGCCCTTGACTTTAAAGTCAACACACAAAGGAACTCGTATCTAACCATAATAAAAAATATTTAGGAATATTGCATTAGTCTAAAGATTATATTTGTATGATAGAAAACACACACAATACACTTGATAAAAGCATACCTCAAGCTCTGATAAAGTCTAAAATGGACAGAAATTAGAGTCATTAGAAAATATAGAACAAATACAATACAGACGATCAGGAATATCAACGAACCTGGGTCCAACTATAGTTATCCAGATCACATCCATTTCCAACATTTGGTTTTAGTTTTCCCTTCGCATCCTCATCTTCATCACTCTCCTGTTCCTAAAAGTTAAGAAATAACATTATATTCCAAGATGTAATAAAGATATTTATACTGTTATCATTGTTATCACAATTCATCATGAAGATCATTAATCAAACCTTTTCTTCCGCCTTCTTCTCAGATGTGTCTTCATCATTTCCATTTGTTTCCAGAGGCTCAGAATCCATTTTTTGATTACTCATTTCTTCTTCAAGTTTTTTCACTTCTTCATCTGTCAATTCTTTTATTTTTGGTTCTTTTAACGCCTCTTCTTTCTTCCTAGCTTCCTCCATTTCTTTTTCCTTCCTTGCTTTCTCCTTTGCTGCTCTTTTCATTTCCTGTTCATTTTTCTCTTTCTCCTTTGCCTAAGCAAAATTGGACTTTGAAATATAACATATCACCAGGGCCGTAGCTAGACCGCTTAATTGAGGGGGTGTATATTCATATATTCATGTTTATATACCATAGGAACAATAGCATACAAAAGAAATCATTCGGGCATATGACGAATATATGAATATGCACCCCCCCAATTAAGCTTCTAGCTACGGCCCTGCATATCACCTTTACAAGACCTCATAATAATATATTAAAATACCTTTACTGCCTTTGTTTCATGTGCCTTGAATTTGTCCATAACTATCTAAGAAATAGAAAAAATTTGCACTAAGAATTATTTAAACTTGTTAAGCTAGATCCCCAGTATTCTGTGCACATACCAGGAGGACAATGGTATTTTAACAATGGTATTTTGTATCCGATTGTACCTTTTGTGCCTGTCCTTTATTTGCTCCTGTGAAAAAGTCTGTTTTTCGGCCAAGAAAACAAAAGAAAACATCAAGCAACTAGGGTAAAAAGACATTTTCTTGTGCTTAGTGAATAAATGTAGATTTACAAAATGTCTGACAGGTAAATCACGTGGACTACACTCTTCATGGTTTCATATCGTAAATTACGAGTTACAATGCTTGTGAGTTACATAATATTGAATAGATACCTTCAATGATAGTATGTGTATAGTTTAATTGTTAATTAAAAGACTATCTCTTCATTCTACTCGACTAATTATCAATCAAGGTAATATAATTTGGCAGTCTCGTCTAGCTAGTGCACATACCTCGTGTATTCCACCTTCACATTGCTGAGCAACGGCCATAAACATTGAATCAAATCTCTCTGCATCTTCACTAGACATTTTTTTCTAAATGCAGACAAAAAGTTATCGAAATTCTATGAAATTTAATACAAATGTTGCAGATGTTATTAGAGAAATGCTTCGACAATTCTTATTAGTTTCAGTCCTCCAACTCACGGGAAGGCGCTCGGACACCAGAATACCGGATACAGGGCTTCCACTTGCAAGGAAATTTCCCTGCAAAAGGAAATTTTGGCTTTTTCAAGGAAAAAGGCAAGGAAATAAAATTGAGGAGGAAATGGACAGGAAATTTTAGCCTGGGCAAGGAAATTGCAAGGAAATCTTGAAAATTGTTTATATTAGACTTAAAATTGAATAAAAAATAATAAGTTTGCAAAGATTTGGTTCTTCAAGTATATAACCATTTTCCTCACTCATAGGTGTAGGGTTTTGTTTTCTTCCGGGAGGGGGGCTTAAAGCTTGGCTAACCAAGGTATAGACTTCATGTAAGCCCAGCTAAAAGTCTCCCTGTATAAAATGAGGAATACAGAAAGTAGTGGCTGCGGATCTAAACTTCGTATTTCAGAATTGCTTTTCTAAGTTGTTTGATATATTATTATATGTTATTATATTCACTAATAAAACTGTTTCATGTGTATATAAGGATGTCTTTTTAAAGATTCAACATTGCTATATGATGCAATTATTACCTAGTAAATTTTTTACCCTAAAATTTCTCGGGGGGTTCTAGCCCTCAGCCCCCCCCCCCCCAAATACTCTACGCCTATTTTACACTTCTATCAAAGTTTCTGTGGTTAATTTAATAAAAAGTGACCAAATTTTTGGATGAATTTTGGAAGTATTTTTGTATATGGAATATATTTCAGCTGTATCACTTAAAAAAATATTGTTTATTTTGTCACTGAGAAAAATTTGTTCCATTAAGGCCGCTATTTGCAAGGAATTTGCAAGGAAATTTGGAAATTTTGGCAAGGAAATATTTTTGGAAAAAAGGATTTTTTAGCATCTCAAAAGGAAATTTGGTAAATCAATTGTGGAAGCACTGACCGGATATGGTACATTCTACCACCACAATACCAAAATATGGTCAAACCAACGGGAGTAGTCAGTCGTGTTTTATCATAAAAAATCAAATTACATTTTACACAAGTGATAGTTTTTAAGAACTATTCCTGCTTAAGGCAGAGAGAATTAGATAATTAGATATTTTCTTACTCAAAATGGTAAAGCACAAACAAGATTGCTCGTGTTATTCTTCCTAAAGAATACCTGAATTCATATTAGAGACGGGAAACTTGTTCATTAGAATTTAGAAAGATAAAACCGATGATTTTCTCAAATACTAACACAGTCAAAGCATTACGAGTCATCTAAATCTACAGACGAAACGTTACAGTCAAGTTTCCAATCCCTATTAAATATCAATTCAGTTAATGGCGACTTCCCAGCTTATTCTGATCGATTCAGTATTCGCCTCTTGATTGCAGTGGCATCTCAGGCTGATTCAAAGTAATACAAAGCAAGCCAATTTCAAACAATGGCGTTTCTAAGTTTTCTAATATTCGTCGTCCTCATCACGATCATCTTCATCTGCACGTGCTTTATGGCGGTTTAGAGACTCCAAAGCTTTCTCCCGAAGTGATTTCTCCAGATCTAAATTCTCCTCATCGCCTTCGCTATCTGATTTCTGTAACACACAAGTATATATTGTTCTAGAAATAAAAAGCAAACGAAAAGTCAAATCTCTACAAATTTGATTACATCAGAAGTTTTGTCCTTGGATTTATGCTTCTTGTGTTTCCTATGTTTCTTGCTGTGCTTCTTATGTTTCCGTTTCTTCTTTTTTTCTGATTTCCTATCTTCATTTTTCTCATCTTTCTCCTCATCAGAACTCTCCTATGTTGACAATGGTACACAAGCAATGCACTGGGTTAAAAAAGCGCTTTTATACAATTTATAAGTGGAGAGAGAAAGAGAAATAAAATAGGCTAATGGTTTCTGTCTACAACAATAAAAAAGCCAAGCTTTTTCGACGTTTACCTTTTCTTCAGCCGGTGAAAATGGTGATGAAGGTCTTTTCTGTTTCTTCTCAACAATTCTCTCCACTTCCTCCTTATCGGAAGAACTTTCCTCATTACGACTTACTTCACTTCTCTTGCTCTTCTCTGAAAGATTCGTTGGGTAGAAAAAAGAAGGACTTAGAAAGATCCTGAAAGGCAAAGCTTGCGACTACGTGCTCGATTGTAAAAACCTCTAACCTGCACGCTCCTTTTCTGAAGCCTCAACTTCTTGTGAGCTTCGTTCTCGTCTTAGTTCAGGACTTGGTGAAGGCGATCTTCTTGGAGGCTCTTCCTCACGTTCAGGAGAGCTGGACTGATCATCTCGTTTAGACTTCGTTTTTTGACCAGATTCAGGAGTTCTACGACTCTTCCTAACAGGCTGCGGTGAATCTCCTCGCTCGACATCGTCGCTGCCCGTTGAATCCTCGGGAGCCTGTTTCACGCGACGTACGGGTGAAGAATCACGCTTTTTACGTATTTCGGGCGACTCCTCCCGTTGTTTTTTGCGAACATCGGGCGAATCATCGCGTCTTTTACCGCGTACATCAGCCTGATCTTCGTGCTGTTTTTGGCGAACTTCAGGGGAGTCTTGTCGTTGTTTTTTACGAGGTTGAGGCGAGTCATCACGCATCTTTTTACGACGGTCCACGGGGGATTCATCTCTGTTTTTCTTTCGACTGGGTGACGGGTCTTTGCGTTGTTTTTTACCCCGCTCATCACTTTCATCACGCTTTTGTTTACGGGGTGGGGTTTCCTCTCTCTGTTTCTTTCTGGGTTGTGGGGACTGTTTACGTTGAGGGGTGGGGGATCCATCAGATGCTGAACTAGAGTGGCTACGATCTTTTTTAATCTTTGATTTCATTTTGGGTTTTTGGGGCGAGGGGGAACGAGAGGAGGATGATTTCTGGGGGGGTTTTGTCTTTCTTGGGGGACTTCTTGCTCGTTTTGCGGGTAGTTCAGCAGACGATGATCTCCCTCGATTCTTCTTCGCGGGCGACCTTGATACTTGACGTCGTCGTCGTCTCGTGTCATCTTCGGAGGATGGTCGGCGACGACGTGGAGCTTCACGACCTCGTCGTGGTGAACTGCGGCGTGGTGAATGGTCTCGTCTTCGTGGAGGGGAGTATTCTCGTCTTGGTGATGGTTTGCGTCTGCGGGGAGACAATTCTCTACGACGTGGAGATGGTCGTCGTCGTCTATCACGGGATGTCGAGCGCTTACGTTTATCCACCGAACGTTCACGAGCACTGTTCTCGGAGTCCGAAGACGATGACGGCGAGTGATGTCGGTAATTACGATTCTTTCCCTTCTTCGACGCCTCTTGCGCAGCTTTAGTTTTTGGCTCGGATGAATAATCGCTTTCACTATCATCTTTCTGTTTCTCCTTTCCTTTCTTCTTTTCCTTTCTTCTCTCTTTTTTACCCTCTTTCGTTTTCTTCTCCTTTCCTTCATCAAAGTCTTCTCGTTCTCCCATTTTTGCTTCATCCATATCAACATCTTTTCCAACTTTATCTGAAATCATTTCACCTTATTAATTCAGACTGGATAATTTAAACTAAAAACAATTATCTGCTTTCGAAGAACTCCATCATTTTACCTTCGTCTTCCTCTTCATCTTTCTTCATCTTTTCCTTTTCTTTCTTTATATCTTCACTCTTTTCTTTTGGTTTCTTCTCCACTTTCTTCTGTCTCTCTGCTGAAGGTGAACGCGATGATTTGGAAGACTCGGAGGTGAACGAGGCAGACTCCGAAGCCGAGCGACCACGACGGCGATTACGTGGAGAAGGTGAACGAGATCTGGAAGACAAAGTTTGTTCATTTTGATATATTTCTATAGCGTAATTCCTCGTAGTTTAACGGTAAACTAGGTTATATATACCTTAAAGAGCTTTAAAATTCATTCCTGGTGATGCTTGTTACAGAAGTAATACAATTAATGTAATTGTCATACAAGATTTGTTCATAACACAAAGTATAAATGTGTGTATGACTTTAATAAGCTCTTGTAAGAAATTTCTCTAGCACTCATCCCTTACCCAGAAGCCTCACAAATTGTCAGCCACAGGTACACATAGAGTGCAGTAAAGAATTAAACTATTACCAAAATTTACTTCGGTACAACTGACCGATTACTCTTCATAGTTAGGTTTTTGTCTTTCATAATACGAATTGTATGAAAGAAGCTGAACAAGAGAAATGTTCTTCAAACCTTCGAGCAGGACGTGGAGATCTTGATCGTCGTCTTGGTGGAGTTCTTCTGGGTGGTGAGTATCTTCGGGATCTGTACGGTGAGCGTCGTGAGTACGATCGTCTGGGCGGAGATCTCCGACGGACAGGTGATCGTGACCAAGATCTTGAAGGCGATCTGGAGTAACTTCGTTTTCTTCTTCGTGGTGAAGGTGAACGACGACGGGGCGAACGTCTACGAGGTGATGGCGAGCGTCTTCGAGGGGATCTCGAGCGACGGCGTGGCGATGGAGAACGTGAGCGACGACGAGGTGAAGGCGAACGCGAACGACGACGAGGCGACTTTGAACGGGAGCGAGACTGAGAACGAGAATATGACCTAAATGGGAAAAATTACTGTAGTATTACCTTGAAGTTTGAAAGCGAAATCATGTATTTTAATTAATCAAGTTTACCTTTTTCGTCTCTTTGAATCTAGGAAATAAAAAAATATTGTGTTGTCAGATTGGTGGACACTTGAGAATATATGTAATGAAATGTAATATGAAAATAGTGAAAATACTAAATCACCTTTTTCTCTCTTGTCTTTGTCCTTATCCTGTTGTAAAAATAAAAGATATTTGATTAATCCAGACACATATGTCCACTAGAAGTTATTCTCTAGAACCTCAATGTGATCTTACTACAGTGAAAGCAAGATCTGACATAGTTGAGTCACCCACTGCACAGAATCAAGCCTGCCTACTCTATTGTAAACCTGGTTTCCATTTAGTCATAATTGTCGTGAATAAATCAGGCAGATTGACAACACTGGCTTAACAGATTGCCATACAGCAGAAAAAAGACGGGAAAGATCCGATTAAATGGAAATCTGGCTTAATATCTTGATAAAAAAACATTGAAACAAAGACATTCATCCATTTCCATAAAGTGAATAATTATATACAACGTATTTTCTAAAAAGGCAGATGCTTAGGAACTCAATGATAAACCAATTGTGCATTTGAAATAAAATTTTCTTTCAACATTACTATTTGATAACCAAGTATTCACCCAGATAGATAACCTGCATGAAATGTCAAAGATTTTCATCAAAACACATTCTGGATTGCGTTTAGATGGCACACAAAACTTTTTTAAACGTTTTCCATTCAAAACCTCAACTAAACAGAAGCTTTGCAGACATTGAAAAACTAAAATGCTCAGAAAAGGATGAATCCAAAAAATTGACAAAGGCCACATTTACAGAAATGCATGAATGTCCTCTTGAAAAATACCTTATTGCTGTCAATGATCTTAAGAACTTCGTCAATTTTTTCCTTAATTCCCTTAGCAAATTTTTCATCACCGGCCTCAACAAGATGCAAACAATCAGTGAAATATAAACGTTCATCAAGCCTGCCACTTTCCAATATCCAATCCTTAGCTGTCTCAAGAAAGAAGACATTTTTCATCTCATCGCAAAACTCAATATTTTCCATCAATATCTTATTCACTTCATTTATATCTTTTCGGAAATCAGAAGGTTCTAAATCCCTCGGCAGTAACCCTGTTACAATAGTTCTAGTATAAGGGCAATCCATGCTAATTTGATCCACAATTGTTAGAAGGCCTTCGGCAATTTCTTTGGGTGTATCCTTGCCGATATTATTTGTTCCACAGTGAAGAACAACAATTTTTGGATCACAATTCAATTCGCCATGCCTTAAACGCCAGAGAACATGCTGTACCCGGTCACCGCCAAGACCAAAATTAAGGCAGTTCATTGAGGCAAAGTATTTCCTCCAAACATTAGCATAACGAGCAAGACCTTTAATTAAGGAGTCCCCCACTAGCAAAATATCAGGATCTGTACCACGGGAGACCATAGTTTTGAAACGCATGTGGTCATCCAGCCAACCTGCTTTGATACGCTTACTGGGTATCACGGTTGGCGCATTTGACGATGCTAAACGGGTACGCCTAACTCTATCCGAGCCCTGACCATGAAACGCTGAATTCTATAACGACAAATTGAGTTGCTAAGCATCTATCTTTTTGAGAATATATATATATATATATATATATATATCTATATATATATCTATATTCATATATAGATATATCAGTGTGTCTACAAGCTATTAGTTGAACAAATATACCTTCTTTTTATCATCAGGATCTTCAGAATCTGAACCACTGCCTCCCTTTTTCTTCTCATTCTTTTCATCATCCTCTTTGTCTATCTTTTCTGCATTTGTGCTGTCAGGTTCGAGCTGTTCAGGATCATCCAGTTTTTCACTGAGGTTAGCTTGTATCCGTTCTTGTTCCATCTAAATTTATATATTAACATGGATTAAAAAATGGCTTCCAAGTAGCATCTTAAATCATTCAAAAAAAAAAAGATCTTCTCCTACTTTTCTTTGACGTATTTCCTCTTTCTTTTTCTCCAGAAACACAGTCGGAATACCACCAATGTTGTTTTGAGCACTTAAGAGCAATTCCCAAAGTTCTTTCATGAAAACTCGAGCATTTTTACCATTAAGGAAACCAGTTATGTTGATCTGCATGGTCTTAGGGTCTGGGTGCTGAAAAAAATAAGAAACTTTCATGAGAAGATTTAGGATAATCTGATTTTATATTTACTACCTTTGCCCTCAAAATATAGCACAAATTTGAATCATCACAAAGCTCTTAGTTAACCTGTTCTTTCTCCAGCATATTGATAATAAACTCAAGAAGTACATCATCGTCTGTGCCAAGCAGTTCTGTCACACGTTTACTAATCCATGGTTTGATTGTATCAACACTGACCTTCTCCATATCAACCTAGGTTAATATAAAAATAAAATATAGCCTGGATGCTTTGCAATATAAAGAGAGATTAAGGAAGCTACATATATGCCACTGACAAAGGTGAACATTTTGTTTTAGTAAAATGCAGTAAAAATGTCTAAAGGGAGAGACTGGAGAGTATTTTGCCCTTAGGAAGGACTATATTTGTGAAATGTAGATCTGTGTAGATGCAGATTTTAGCACCCTTGCATTAAATTACTATCATATAAGGGTCAAATGGGCCTGTATGTGCAGTTGATATTATATGAGCAAAAAGAAAAATATGGGATAAAGCACAGGCAAGCTTTATCATTTGTTTTCCCAAATATACTTTGAACAAATCACTCCTGCCTTTCATATATATATATACCTTCATTACACCAAATATGCACATGTTCTGAAAAATACACTCCTCTTTTCTGGATGCACCACTTACCCTCAAAATATGCACCCACTATGCCAAATATACACCCCTTACCTCAAATATCTAACTACAAATAAGGTCTAAGTGCTGTGCAATAGAGATATTTTGTCTCATATACTCAGACTCTACCTAACGATCTGCACTTCAAATGCAATATTTTGTATTCAACAATTGCACAGCCACAGCCACTAAACCTTTCACTATAAAGTTTTGTAAGTCAGAGTGTCAGATAGCATTGAATATACTTATACTTTATACAAATTATTCTTGGAGAAACTAAGGATAGCATATCTAAGCCTCATATCATCTATTTTAAGCTAAAATCCGTTTGCTAACAATAGTTTAACACTTCATACCTTTTCGTTGAGAGCGTCATCGAAGCGCATTTGTTTGAGCAATTTCTTCTGTTTATTAAGAAACCTGTTGTCCTGTTCCGCGCTTGTTCCCTAGATTAGCAAATGGGAAACCAATATTTACTTCGAAATGCCTCAAATATTGCTAAAAAACTAATATTTTTTCAAATCTTACCCTAAAGAAACCAGCATCCATCATTTCACCAGAGCAACATGCGTCTCATGTGCCCACGCGTGTAACAAGAACATGAATTCATGGGGGAGGGGTAAGAATGAAAAATTTTTTTCTGCTAATTTTTTTATTATTTTCTGCGAAATTATACATTCATCCATGTTTTCTCATCTTTTCAAACCCATTTTACGTATAACTCGGACTTCTAGATTCCAAAAAATGAGAAAAAAATGAGAATTTTGTTTTACAGATTTTACCTACCCCTAGTGCGTGTACATATTATAAACACATGTGCTTTCTCAATTTCATCATGGCGGACCAAGAAGACGGCTTAGACCAGTTAAAAGAAAGATTATTAGGTCATTCTGCTTGTTTCAACTCTTTACTCGAGCTTATTCCAGCACGTTATTACTTTGCTGACAATGAGGAAGAGAAAAGCAATAAGTTTTATAAGAATAAGAAGAATAAAGCGCCAAAACAGGCCGTAAAGGAGGCCACAAAGAAGGCTAAATTGAGTCGACTTGATCCAAACCAGCACAAAACTGTCCCTGAAATACAAGCAGAATTATCAGTTGAAGATGGTAAAGCTGCGGGAGATGAACGTGTTGTTAGTGTCGAGGATGTGGCTTGTTCCAGCATCGGAGATCTCAGGACTAAACTTCATGAACGTATTGAGTTAATGAAAAGGAAACGAAAAGCGACCTCAAATGAGAATGGCAGACCAGCCAAGAAGGCTAAAAACAGCGGTAGTAAGAAAGACAGCGGAAAGGAAAAGAAAAGGACTAACCAGATAAACTCTAAGCCTGCTATAAACAACAAGAAAACTATTGTGAACAGTGAAGGAAAGGTTGTGTTTAGTAAATTTGATTTCACATCAGATGTAGTGAAACCAGAGGGAAAAGGCAAAGGAAATGCAAAGAAAAAGAATTATAAAAAGTTATTAGAAAAGGCTGAAAGTAGGAAAAAGAAAATGGAAGAAATGAAAGAGGATAACAGTGAAAAAGCAAAGGAGATGATTGAGACAACAAAATGGAAGAAAGCTCTTGGAAAGTCAGAAGGAGTGAAGCAGAAAGATGATCCAGCACTATTGAAGAAAGCTATGAAACGCAAGGAGAAACAGAAAAAGAAACACCAGAAAGATTGGAAGGAGAGGATGAATACGCAGAAGAAACAAATGAAGGAGAGACAAGATCGAAGACAAAGGAATATTCAAGAACGCATTGATAAGAAGAAGAAGAAAGGTGGAAGGACACCAGGATTTTAGATTCAATTGACTCCATTAAAAGTCATTCATAAATGGGGCTAGTTAGACTCTTTCTGGCAAAATTTTGACAATAAATAAAAGAGACTGTCATAATCAGACTAGCCTCATTTTCATGAAACTCAGACCTCTTTTAATAAATCTAATTTCAGCCTGATTCCAAACATAAAATCAATGTGAAAATGCAATGAAAAATAAAATGAAATCAAATCACACTCAGGAATCTACTTTCAGTTGTTTTCTAATTGAAGAAGTTTTACCTCAACAAAACTAATACTATCTTCTCTCATATATTTACTATTTCGTATAAACTATGTCCGCAAAATCCGTGTTTAACGACGATGATAAACGCTGTGTATCTCAGTGGGTCATTTAGGCCTGGCTGAGTAAACATCGCGAAAACAATCCAGACAAGGAGGATCGCGGAGGAAAGCGCAATGCTAATTCAAAAACGCCCCACGCAACTTGACAAAGATCGACGACTACAGAGCAATTCCTGTCACAGGAAGATTCAATTGTCTGTCGTTTCCACCGACGCACAGACGCGCTCATCAGACGAGTTTTATTTTCTTTAGCAGTTGAGTTCAGGCATGTTCAAAATGAAATGAACCTTCCTCAAACAACAAAATCACCCTAAAATCCTAACCCACGTGACTGAATAAAGCTGTCATCACATTGCCTCGTATTGTTTATACATTTACATTGTCTAATTGTCTTTAAAATTACATCATCTCAAATTACCTAGTGGGTAAAAGAACAACTTTTTTTCTGTTAGCGTTTAAAATCTCGAACAATAACCCCCATGGTCCTTGAATAGACGTTAACAGCAAATTACCGCTATAGCAATGGTTTATACCATTTTTGGTTTGAGCTCTCTGTGCTTGAGACAATTTAGTGTTATTGCATTCACCCCTGTGGCTACAGTTCAACTGATAGGGGGCAGCCTGCTGTCAGATATAACAACTTCATGACCGTTTATTCTTTGTTTTTCTTTCTAAACACTCTTTGTGTTAAATCTTTTATTTCTTTGTCGAGAGAAAAACAATCGAGTCGTGTTGTGTCCACGGATTTTGTGCTGGGATACAAGGAAGGTCGTTTGGTGTTTATTCTAGGCTGAACAGAACTCTTTATTGTGGTACCACCGATGTCAGACAAACGTCACAGATAAGGCTCCAGATTGAGCCATACATTTTGCTCGGTTTTGCATTATTAATGACCAACACTGTGGGCGTACTCAAGCTTATCACCGACGTATACAAGCTGTAGCAATCGTCTGTATTAAGAACTAAACAACAGAAGATGTTCTTCGTGGATCAATGATCTTTGATCAACTCCTGAACGAGTTTAAATGTGATTGAACACTCTCAATATCCTTGCCCACGGCTAATAACTAGAAAAGGAAAGCAAGTGATACCGTGGAAAAAAAGATGATGGGTTCGAACGTAAAAGGCAACGTTTGTGTATCGTTGAAAAAAGTGCCACCAAAGAAGCCACCTCGTCTCCACATCAGACGGTAAGTGAAAAAATCTTTACTATGCTGAAAATTCTGTTTAGTAGATAAATTGAAGAGATGGAATGAATATGATCCGTAAGAAAATAACTAGCATAGCATAGATAGGGTTATTAAAGGTACATTAATTGTGGTTGTTGTGCTAGGTCTTATGAGACTTATACTGCTACCTTCGCTGTGAGATGTTTTCGGTTAAATGTTGCGTTCTCTGTTGAGTATTTTGTTGATGTATTAAAATGAGCCGATAAAAGATAACGCGTTGAGACTTGTTTTGAACGGATTAGGATTTAGGTCAGGTTTGTCGTAATTATATTATATGATTATCTACTCAAATAACCAAATCTATGGAACCTCTGACTCTACATCTTGTATGATGTGTTGTGTTGAAAGCTTTCGATATATTGTGTGGAAATAAGACACACTATACATGCTAAAATCTTTGTCGTGAATGACACATGAGAGTGTACATTATATATATTGCGGCATCATGCCGAATACAGCATCTTCGGACAGTTACAATTCCGATGATGTTACTTTAAACTTTAATAATAGGCGGCATTAAAGCTTCAATGGAAATTTATTTGTTGTGTGTGTAAACACTGGAAATACTGTTATGATGATTTTCCATGAATATTATGAAACGATTACTATGTATAACTAAACATGATATTGTATGCAAGTTGTCTTTGTACTTCACGAATCATGTCTCACACGAAATGTAGCAATGTGCAGCAAATTGTATCAATTAGGGTAACAGCGTGAACGATGGGATAAAAGATCCCCCCACAACATACGATAATTTTGACTTTTTTGGGGGAGAAGCGACATCGTAACGATATGAAAATGAAAACATTTTACAAATATTTTCTCATCGTAATCGCGATTATAATGCTATATAATTATTAAACTCTTTGTTTTGCCAGACGATCGTCGAGATAAAACAAGATTTTAGTCAACCTTAATATTTAAGTTTCCCAAGCTTTAGAAAACAAATGCATCGCGATTAAAATATCTTTAAATAAAACTCCTGTTTGGCATTATACTCCGGGAAATTAAAAACGACAAAGGAAAGATATATTTGGAAAGTAAAAGCAATGGAAAGGTACCCATGGATAGTATTAAGATTTAAGAATGAAAGAGGAAGGGAAATGCCTGGAGGCTGGTGTAAGAGTTCTCTTAAATTAGTACAATTATTTTTATTATATACAGAGCTGGAATGTACTTTGCCTACATGGAAAAATCCTTTACAGGCCTCTGAGTCTTAGTGTTCACTGTTTTTTATCTGAGACTACAGTTTTTTGTGGCGATGTCGTAATATACAGTAGTTTATCAATTCGTATTGAAAAGTAAATTAAAAATATTGGGTTTCCAAACACATTGTAATTTCATCGTGGAAAATCTCAACTCTCAGGGAAGGGAAGTGAAAAGAAAATCCAATACAAGTGAAATCATTGTGTTTAACACAGGAAGCTTGTTTCTATAATCTGATTAAAACATTGACATAAGCGAGCGTGAAGTTAAAGAAAACATGCATTGCAAACAAACGCGCAAATGTCTAGAGATATTTGAACACCGTGCCAAATGCCTCTTTCAAGAGTCCACTTAGAATACAAGTACAGGTCTAATGTTGTCATGTCGTTTCATCTTTGAAGCGAAACAGCCGAATCTTCTAGCGGCATTCATTGTTATAGATCAACGTTAGGATGTTGCCACTAATTTCCCCCCGCAATCTAGTTGCCGCCAATCTTCATAGTTTCGTTTAATTTCGTCCGACGCGGGAGGTCGTTTGATCTATTAGCATATAATTCACTGAAATAATGAATAATTCAGCTGGTTTACCTTTGAACAAGGAAAGCTGATAGTCCCAGATCAGAGCCTATAGTAGGATATATACCTACTGTATACAAATTCTTCCATGAATTGCAATAGAAACGAAAAACATGTAGTCCACGTAAGATTGTTTTATGCTGTCAAGGTATGCTATATGAGAAAGGCTATTTCAAAAAGTGAAGAAAGCTTTATGTGATTGTGATAAATACTTAATAATTCATAAACAGCATCAGGTGACTCGTATAAATAAAATAAGATATATTGAATTTTTACATGATTTCTTTTTGTTTTCTTTTTCACTTGTGTTTGTTTGCGAAAATAAAGGCATTGAAAGCAGCAGACAGGAACAGGAATGAAGATGAATGTTCCGAATAATGTGCGCAGAAAAATAGTTTCGAAAGTAGCAAATTACCGTAAAAAATTACATTTAAGAACGAGTTTTTAGTGCTTAGTGTTTTAGTTCGTGATTTAGTTGTATTACACTCTAAATTATATAATTTATGACGCAAAATATCACATTTGGATAGATTTAATACGTTAAGCAGAAAATGATATTGAAAGTGACATATTGAATACACAAAGCCAGTAAATATTGATAGTCAATGAGCTAATATCATCGATTGCAAAATTCACGACAGCGTCAGTCATGTTGCAAATGCAGTCGCGTCGACTTCAGTTTCATCAAAAGTCGTTTCTCTAATGTTATATTATTGCCTATGGTGTTATTCTTCAGTGAACTAATGAATGCTTTAGCATTTACAGCAGAGTAAGAATTTCATTTTACCAAGATGCAGCGCTTGCGTGACAAATCCTGTCCTTACTAGCAATCCCAGAATTCTCCATTTTTTAGAAGCGTTACCATTAAAGTAGATCTTTTCCAGCTCGTGAACAATATGATTTATAACCCTTATCAACTTCCAAATCTATTCGCTAAAGAAGCAAGCGTACACCGGATTTATCAAACAGACTTTTTGATCTGACACAATTTTCCGCAAAATATCAAGATCTTGGTGGATGATTTATGTTCTCCGGTTTGGTTTACCATTATCCCTTATAATCCCCTATATATAACTCTTCACAAGTGCCGCCGTAGTTTTTGAAAAACATCCGGCAAGTTCGGAGAAAAATCTTGATAGCTTTGCAGAGTGATAAGGAAACAAATCAGTGATTGCAGTCTGTTTTGAGTGAGGATTGTAGTTGCAACCAGCAGTCATGCTTCTTTGAATATTGCACATTGTGTGCAAGTATAGCCTCTTGTAAGCACAGCAGAATATTCCTTCACTTGACTCGAGTGTAACAGCAAATATAGCAAGAGTCTATTTTCAGCTGGAGATAGATGAAAGGCACCGATCTATTGTCGAAGACTCACGCTCGCTTCAAACCAATATCAGTTAACATGCACCTTAGACAAGGTCGTGATTTGTGGATATACGACCCTGAATCGGTGGCTTCCTACTTGATGATCAAAAACTCTCGATTTCTTGAAGTCAGTTACGTCACCCTTTTTTTTGCTATCGTCATTGCTCGTTTACTTGCGATGGCGGAAGAAGCAAATATGGCGACGTACGTGATATGAGTATACGTGGACACACGATTCCTCTACCAAAATTACGAAATTAAAAATCTCTTTAATGCAAATCATTTAGTTGAAACAGAACTGCACGAACTGGCCTTTTGAAACGTTGATGAAAAGAAATGAAATTGTGAATACAATGATCGCAAATCCTTGGCTTCTAAAGTTATCTTTGAAATCTCTATCATTAAAAATGTATCAGTATTGTAAATCATGTGATGAAATAGTTAACGATTTTCATCATCGCATTACTCATCTCATCAGAGGATTTTCTATGTAGGCGGGAAAAGGTTGGAAAACTGTTTTACATTATGATCCTGAATGAGTGAATTTAACGTCTGATTTCCAGTAAGACATATCAAATGTATTATTGATGCTCCACATCAATACATAAATGTTTAATTCTCACCTAACTTAATGCATATTTCAAAAAAACATTTGAATAAGAACGAAAATAGTAATAATAATCATAACATCTTTCATGGCGCGGCAGACTTATCGTTAGCATAAAACTATGCAAAGTGTGAAACAAATGGATCGTGCAAGGATCAATGATTATGCTTTGCGCAAAACTTATATTTTTATCTACAAACGCTGCGCTGTTTACTCAAGAAAAGCAACTGCCGTTGAAAAAGAAAAGTTTTAGTTTTCCCTGTGATAAATGCAAACAAGTTAAGTACGTCAGTACAGGGCTTAAGCAACGTGGCACATGCAGATCTTATATATGTATGACTGATATTAGCTTGACGCGTCAAAATAAGTGTACAGGTGTTTTATCAGCTTCCTACGACAATTTCTTTGTTACCTAAGCAAGCAGCTGCTAAAGTTAAATTGCTATATATACTTTGCGAGAAGGACTGTGTACAGTGTAGGTTTGGGACATAACTATTTTAACATTGGGTAAAGATGGGTCAAGAAGTTAGGTAAGTCTGAAACCTGTGTTGTTTAGTATGAATAGCCTAGGTTGTATTATACCGACTATACGTATATTAATTTAGTTTTTGTCTTGGATTATAGCAAGCCACCCTCCCTTTAAAATGCTAAACAAATATCAAATTTTAATAATACAAAATAGTTTTTCAGTATTGCTTCTTACATTGCTGTGTCGCCAACGTTTGATTATAAAGATATTTAGCTCGCTACAGTTCCTAGAGCTAGGTCTATGTAAGATCTTATTGATCCATTGTTATTATAGGATGAAACCTAAACTAACTTCATTAATACCGGATAGCTTTAGCCGCTTTAAACTGTTTTCTTCGTAGAGGTCCAATAAAGATCATGTGTAAGCTATCTGCCCATGCATTTGTTTTGATGTGTGAGGAAGTAAAACTGAAGAAAAATAAGTGAACAACATGCTTCTTACACACGCATTGCTTCAAAGGACGAAATTGTTATAAGTCCTAGTAAAAAAAAACAACTGTGCAAGTTTTAATAGGGTAGCCTTGACCTTCTACATCAGTCTTAATCATGATGACTTTTTTAATTCAAACCCTAACAGTGGTCAATTAGACTCCTGTAGGCCTGGTGCGTAAAACAGCGGGTAGTGCAAACACTATTTTTCTTTTGGGTTGGGATATCACGCATATAAACACAGCCTTAAGGCACATATAACATCGCAAGAAAGCCAAACTTAGTTGTCGATAAAAGATAAATTACCGCTTAATTTTTACGTTTCATTTCAAGTTCAAGACTTGTGAAAAAGATTGAAATTATTACATGCACGTACGATTGTGTTTCAGTATTGATTTTCGTCATAGTTACGTCATGTACTACGTCAGGAAACGTTTTTCAGCTTCAGGAATATTTACTCTTAGCATTTCGATACGAACTTTAGTGCGAATTGCGAAATTTCACTCATGCAGTTCCTCTTCTTAAGTTGAATTAACAGCTCAAGCACTTTATTTCATGTTTTAACACACCTTGAAAGGTATTCTTTGAATCCTTAAAGCGTCTTTTGCGAAATCCAATGTTGTTTTAAGTCAATTCTTATCCTTCCAATGTACGATAATCAGTTTTGCTTATGTCAGTTATGACAAAAATTGAGAGATTTAGACCTTTTAAGGATATATTCTAAGATTTAAGATGAATCTAACGACGGACAATTAGATGTGTTTACGGCAAAGTGCTATGCAATACTGCATGGTGTTGCTTCGACCTGTGTGAATATGTATTTATTATTTATCTCATGTATTTTCTGCATAGTAAAAAGATTTGCACATTAAAAAAGGTTTAAATTGCCATATAAGGTCTAATATGAAAATATATGGCCCCTGAAGTGGATACTGGACATTCTAAGTGGAACCTTAAATTGAAAAATTCATTTGTTTTTTACACATGCAGGTTGAAGTGATAAAAGGGCTCAAGCAAGCAAGCGCATACTCCTGGCTAAATACAGTTTGATAAGTCGTAAAAATTTGCTTAAGGAGGCCAAATTTTTTAAAGCCAAGCGAAGTAGGTAAAAGTATAGTAAAAAGCGAGTTATTTAACTTCCACGAAACTGATTCATTGGCTGATTTGATGCTATGTAGTCCTATAGTTCTTTATCATGTTCAATGTTTAAATTTTTCTACAAGGCTGGCATGAAAGCACGAACGTGCATGAAATTATTTGTGGCACACGTAAAAATAGACAACAGAAATTCCCACGTTAATTACGTGATCTTATATTTTTCGTTTCTCACCCAGTGAGATGGAATTTAAGGTACTTTCTAATATAATGCGTTCAGCTCTTTCAATACGAGATAAAACATTATATTCATCGACATTCATCGACTGCATTGCACAATCATGTATCCGCGCACTGGACACAGGATCGTATTTCTTGCGGCTAAAGACAGATTATGTTCATGATTTCATGATTTCCCATGGAGAATAGTTGGATTAATATGTTAAAGCGTTACTTCATCCGGCTGCCAGATAATTGCTGTTTTAACTCACGTCAGTCAGGCGCCATAATAAGTATAGTTTCTGATATGTAGACTTTGTCCATTCAGACTAAGTTCGCTTTCATGATGGTGCTATTTTGAGTGTATTTGAACGGCCAAAAGACGCTGGGAAGTTATATTTGGGAAGAATTAATGTTGAAAATGTTGACAGTCCTCCGTGTGCAACGTTTAAATTTCGAGGAGTCGCATATTTTAAGGTGATTGAACGGCTGACCTCAAATGTGCTTTTGGTATATACATGCATGTGATTTAGTCTACGTTTATAACTTATTGTATATATGTGTATATATACCTATATATAGTTTGTGATATGTCCTATGTTAGAGCTATGCATGGTATTTTTTAAATTACAAAGAGTTGAAGAGTATTGTTTCATTGAACCATGACCAGCCGGACTTTATAGAACTGAGAGATCCCAAGTTTACAAAGAACACACAAGTGATCTTTAGTACATAATATGTGGTTAGAAACAAGCCAGTTTCAACCTGTATATTGTCTTGAATGAGATTTATAGAAGATATATTCGGAAGTTGTTTTTTACTGATAAGACTACAGAGAAGTAGTACATTATTTTCCTATTATATTCTAAATGCGAGGTCAAGTATTATGTATTGTGTTATCGTTGTTTGTGTCAAACTGATCCACCCCAAAATGCATGCGTATATAATAACACTTTGAACGTGAAGTGTTTTTGTGCAATCTATGTTTTATCACATGCATGAATGTATAACGGCAGCTTCCTATATATCGAGTGTTTACAAGTCATGTCTGTGCATGTTTTAATGATATTAGAAAACAGTCTTTGTGTATAAATTCTTAAGCTTGTTTCAACAGATTCAGTGCTAACCAAACATCCTAACATACAGGATAACAGTGTGATGTCGATCCAATACATTTCACAGAAATTCTAACTGTGGTTTAAACTAGATATAGTTAAGAGATTATACCGTTTCCTACAGAATTTCCTTATTATGACTGAATTCTATGTCAGTGTGAGGTTGCTCAAAGGAAGGATAATATTATTTAACCATGGTGTGTGATTTTCATTAACCTAGTAGCAGTTGTGCCCTATTAAACGCAAACAAGATGTGTTTTAACGTATAAGAGACTAAGAGAGTTTATGAATATTCTTAATAAGGACGAAATAACTTCCGCGATCTCTGCTTTGTCTAAAAATACAATCAAGTTTCCTTTCAAACATGTTTCAACCACACATCCCATACCCTTCCCGGCTTATCTATCAAAAGCCGTTAAAAAATCATCATGAATGCATGCATGTGTCAGCATCTCCTCATCTCAATCGTTTTGTTTATTTAGTAAACCAGCGAGCTACCATGCAGATACTGACTCGCTACAGAGACAAAAGAATGTTCCGGAGAGTATTTTGAAAGACAACAAAAGCGATCAAAGTGAAACGTTCAATGAAAGAAATAATGACGATGGAGAAGAGGATATTTTTGCCAACAGAACGTATGATGTCATTGAACCCCCGCTAGAAGAGAAAGAATTCTCCGACCTCAATGTCGATATTATAGAGAAAGAGGCGAGTCAAATAAACGAACATATTTACGAAAGCATAGATAAAGTTATCACAAAGAACACTTCATCCCAAACAGAGAGTTTTGTTGAGTTGAATGAAAATCTCGCGGAAGCGGGAAATTTTGTGAAAGTTTTCAAAGAGATCAGTTGTCAAACAGAGACGCCAGAGTCTCGGAGGAACAAGAAAAGAAACAGCGATACACGGGAAGAAGACATGGCTGCGTTTGGGAAGACAAAGGAATCTCGTTTGAGCAGCGATTCAAGCACATCGACACAAGACTCGCACGATAGCGCTGACTCAGGACATTTCGGTGCAAGAAACGCAGGGAAGAGCCCGCGATCTCCAGAATCACCGTATCTATGGCAACCGGAAGGGTTGAACCATGATGAGGTAAGCAGAGAGTTCAAATGTCATTTTTTTCCTCTGGTAGAGATAAGTGTAAGCGTAGACTGATAAGATCACAAGTAATTGCCAGAAGTACTGACGTATAAGCCACAAATTTAACCACAGAATATTCATTTTCAGTTAGTTAGAGAGAATTTCAGTGTCACTCTTTATATATACCTTCATTAGGTCAAAAATGACATTACGACACACGGAGTTTAACTGACGACAGACATGACATGCCCGTATATAAACACACACACGGTAAACAAAATATTTCTTAATAACTTTGAACAAACCACTGGATTTCGAAACCATCGTAAAGGTTCATTACTCCGTCGCAAAATCATGAGATAATAATGCTAATAACCTCGCCACAGTCAACACATCAAAGCCTAAAGATAGCGTATGATGCAACGACAGAATAAGCTGGATAATATATCTTAAAATCATTTAATTCTTATCCAGTGTGTGTTTTGATCAAAAGATCAAATTCCTTTGGCTACGAACACTATGATCTTCCTTAGGAAATTTTAACAGATTCCTGCCACAGGAAGTTGAATAGTTTGTCTTTGTGGTAGATTCGTGAGAATCTCTTGGTATAGCTATTAAATTGGGCTATTTTTATTAAAGAATCTCACAGAAGGTCACAGTGTCGCTTCGAGAAAATCTCCCTAGTTTGACCAACGTAAGATTTGAATGAAGAATATTTCTTTTTTTTCATCTCGTACGAGCGAGTGTTTGACGTTGAGTTGGTTTTACGACCACGAGCTGACGAGGATAACTTTTTTTTAAACTACGACATATCCGGGCAATAGAAAGTTTCGCCCTAAATTCTAAAACGAGTAATCCGGTCCCCTAAAACCTCTTCAGTCACAGCTACAGGATTCTCAGTAACAGAGACGTAGATTTGGAAACAAAGTTATCGATTTGTCATATTTAAGTATTGCAGATAAAATATTCTGGATCTTTCACCGTTTCTCAACTACCTGCCGTATCTCTTTGAGAGTTCGTTATTTCCGGTGGCGAGAAAATTCTTGGCACACGTCAAGGAAAAGCCCCTTCATTATGTCATCGTACGCATCAAAAACACCGCTCATATAATTACACCCCGCTAAGTCAGCGTTAAAACGCTCTCTACATCTCATCAAGCTGTTTGTGAAACGTCGGTCTAACCCATTGTTATAAATTGGTCGGAAAACTTACTGTGGTAGCTTCAAAGTCGGATATCTATCCACCGGCTAATTATATTATTACATACTCCTGTTCACTACCATTACAAGGGTAATATAACTTGTTATTCCCTGTCATACGAAGGTTAATAAGCGAGGGTCAATATCGCAACGACATGAGGGAGGTATGTAATGTTTCCTTGTATTCTAATCAAATGTACAAAAGTGTAGAATTTTAGTGCAGGATTTGCGGTGAACATTTTGTGGATATACATAACTGACGAGAAATTATTTTTAGCAAATGATTACCTGCATGGTCTTGCATGATAATAAAATTATAGAATATATGTTTACCCCGCAAAGATCAAAGATCCAGCTGTTGCAGAACTAAATATTTCGTTTTATAACGGTTACAACAGCATCAAAAGTTAGTGATAAGAACTTCAGTATGGTAAAAAAATTAAAAATCACTGCCAATCTATTCAGATCTTACGCCGGCTTCTAAATACTTGGTGTCTGAACTTTGATTCGTGTTAAACGTGTTTCTAGCATCAATATATATCTTGATATATATTCTACAGTCTGTTGTGGATGTTGTAGCACAGTTGTAGTAGAAATTGTAAAGTATATGGAAGTAAGGAATTAAAGAAGGTTGATATACAATTAGGAGCAAACCACTAGAACATCCACGTCCACAAACAATAGAGATCTGCACACTAAAACAAGGAGTGTCTTTAGCCAGTAGGTGGTAATTATGACATAGTAAACCTCCAATGAATCTACGGAGATTATTTTGGCTAATTTCCAAGGTGTGAAGTTTGTTGTTGCGTACATCAGACATCTCAAGTACTTATAAAATCAAGATTACGAAGGCGTTTTCGTTGTGTGGGTTGGATGATGATGATACATTATACTTATTATTATATAACAAGTGCGTGGAAGACTAAAATGAACCACTACCTTCATGATAATACCATTACTCCCATCAAGCACCTCTACTCTAGCGAATCTTTCAAAAACATAGAAATTATATGAACGAAATTATCACAGAAACTCGAACTGAAATAACTCCTAAATTCAGTTCTCATCTGGTTTAGATTGGTTCAACCTGCAGTTTTATTTATAGAACTTGAAGTCTAGGTTAAAGATCTCTTCCCAATTTTTTAAGGTTATTAAGGTTATTAAAAACATTCTCTAAATGAGAAGAATTCGTACGTGTTTTAGCTTCAACAAAATGTGAATAGTTGGCAAGATTGAGAGGATTTAACAATGTTTTCCGGCGTTTTTCTGAAGGCTAGACGTGGCCTTGTCACTTGTTTCTACCTTCTTCACACGATCCGCCCATGTTTTCTGGTCACATACATTCTAGGGCGTGAAATCTCAACAGCATTATGCATTTTCTTTTGTAATGAAAACCTATCAATCGTGGGAGAGGCTGTTTCGTTTGTTTCATTCAAAAGAGTTAATCCCTACAAACAGCCTGCGTCCTGTTGACCGAGTTGTTTTCATCCGACAATCAGCTGTGGTTTTGTTCAACTATTGTCATAGCTAGTTTTAGGCATATTTAATAAAACGGATACAAATGTTACTTGCATTGTGTTGAACATCTAATATTTAATTAAACCCTCGCCTAGCTCGACTATTATTTCGCGACCTTTTAAGCATGTTTCACTTATTGGCTTAATTTACCATATATTGCTTCGCGTCAACCTGGCTTTGCATGGGTTGTATACCAATGTTTAAATTAACTCTTGTCTCGACCAATGTATCATTTGTGCTCTCAAAATAGACAATGTTTGTGTAGCATCAGCAACATGCAGCTCTACCAGCGTCACTTTGCAAATATATACCCTAAACCAGACAGTATTTGTGAAGCATCTAAGAGCTTTGTTTAAAATAGGCTGTACCTACGCACATATGCTATTAACATAGGTAATGTTTTGAGTATCGAGCATTTTGTTTGGCATTGTGTTAGGAAAGTCAAAATACAAAGCCAAGTATTGTAATGACCTATTAAGTTGGAATTACACGGATCGCTGCGGTCCTATATATGAATTGTCAACTGTTGCCTGAAAAGATGGACATCATGATTTACTCGCCAGGATTATGCATAATCTTGTTATGTCGTTGATCCGATAAGAAAGATGTTGTATGAGATTATGAATGAGGAGTTTAGGAAATATGAATAACACGGAAGATAAGCGTAAGATGTAAAATGAAAGCGGTGGATAATTTGAATATACGCTTATAGATATTGCAATGATGATACAGTGTTTGTCATAAACAATGAATTATCGCAATTCCTTTGATATATTGGTCTACATAGCTTCGTTTTTTTTGTTTTGCATTCTTTCCTATGAAAGAGTTACTATTTGCAGAAAAACTTTCTCAACATTTGCATTATTCAATTGCAAACATAATAGTCATAGCTATCTTTAGTTTAGCCAAAAAATTTAGTTTACTATGCTATGAGAGAGCATTTTGTACCTGTGAGAGGCGATTCCATATATGGAAACCATTGTTACATGTGGCTTTTCTAACCGGTAGAATAATATGTATACACACTTGTAGTCTTTCAAACGATGTTTTAAAACGAGCATTTGTGCACGTCTGTTGTACGGAACGGAATGCAGTAACGTTTAAGAGCCGTATACAAGAACACAAATACTTATTCAGAAGATGAATTGAAAGAAAGGTGAAAAGGTTATTATAGAAATGAATGCATAGAGTGGTGAGATGAATTAATGAAAGGCAGCTAGGTCAATGTTGTTTACAACGCCTTGCATTGTCGCGTTCAAATAGCAGAGAATCAAGCATATTAACAGGACTGCATGAGATCATCATCTCTCATTTCATCACTGTGCCTCAGTCCGTTGTTGCATCATCCTGAGAGAAATAAATTATTACGTATTCAAGATTCCTAGGATCAATACTGATCCATATACCACAAAGCGTGGATTTTGAATTTCAAATTCATTGACATTGTTCCAAAAATTGTGCTTCTCTTATATCTTATACATTCACTTTTCTATTTCAGGTAAAATCATTTATGAATTCTTTGCCGCGAGACAAAGTTCCCAGCGCTATGAATCCAGAAGGTGTTGCTCACTTCAACTCTCAACTGGCCTACCAGAATCCAAAACAAGACAGTGACCCAGCACTGTGCAAGAGTCTGAACAAGGATCAAGAAATTTCTTTGAAATGCCTGTACATGAACCTGCTTGAAGCACGTGGAACTGGATTCATAAAGATCTCAGAAAGCAATGAAAATGTAAGTTTCTTTGTGGCTGTTTGATTTTATTCCGCTTATATAAAAACGATCATTAAATTCCCCTTTGGACTCAACGCATTCTGTTTCGAGGAGCGATATAGGCCATCTTTGAAAAGAACAAGGATTTTTAAACGCAGACAATAAGACGTGCATGGGATAGACAAAAACCAAAGCTCTTCTCATGAATTCTGGTGACATGCTGAGGTTTGACGCGGGGTAAATATTTTAGTAAGAAACTGACCGGGACTTTATTTATTTGTTCTAGACTTGTGAAGGATGTGGTAATATTTTTAAGAAGAACGATATGGTGGTGTCTACTGGCCAAGGATTACGTCATCCATCTTGTTTCGCCTGTACTGTATGTCAGCAGTTCCTCACCAAGCTCATTTATTATTCAGATGATAACAATCGCCTGTTCTGTGGCAGACACTACGCAGAGTTGTTTAAACCACGCTGTTTCGACTGTGATGAGGTAAATGATGGACATTCACGATTATCCTCTTTTCTCCCTTCCTATCCCATCTCTTTTCGAAGCGAATTAAGTCCTTGCTCTTTTCAAAGCCTTTCGGGAGCAATTTAAAGAACAAGATTTGCAAAGGTTTAGATTGGACGGTTTCTACTAAGTTGATAGGAAGAATTGGAGTTCAGAGGATGACAGTTTCGCATTGTTAGGAAAATGAAGTAACCTTTCTTTTCTTTTTTCTCGACAGTTGATCATAGCTGGAAAGTTCGTTCGTGCGATGAACCACACCTACCACGCAGAGCATTTCCGTTGTGGTAAATGTGAAGAAACAATTGGAGAGAAAAGATACACGACAGAGGGAAACCAAGCGATTTGTCTGAGCTGCCACACAGCACATCTCGCGGATGATTGTCAGGCTTGTGGTAAGAAGATAACGATCGGTCAGAAGCGTATGTCCCACGGCAGTAAAAACTGGCACGAGGAGTGCTTCATTTGCGAAAAATGTCGAAGTAATCTTGTTCTTGGCAGCTTCAACATCAGCGACGAGAAAGTGATTTGCGGCAAATGTTATCAACAAACGAAGAGCAAGATGTGTTGTACGTGTGGAGAAGAAATCAAAGCTGGAAGCAGTCTGATCGAACATGATGGATTATTTTATCATAGCGATTGCTTCTGCTGTAAAAGCTGCCGTCAGCCGATCAAGTCCAACTTCATGGAGAATGAAGGATCGTTTTATTGTCCTTCTTGTCATCGCAACCTCTTCTCAGAGAAATGTGTGCAATGCGGCCTGGCCATTGTAGGAGACGGTGTCACGTATAACAACGAGGTTTGGCACGACTCTTGTTTTGGTTGTTACAATTGTCAGCAGCCTTTATCCACACGTAAGTTCCTGATACGAGAGGGAAACCGGTATTGCAACTGTTGTTACGAAGATATCTTCGCAAAGCAGTGTCATAGTTGTTGTAAGAAGATAAAAGACGGTGCTTATTTGACAACGAATGATCTCTACTGGCATAGTGATTGTTTCAAGTGTACAGACTGTCACAAAGATTTAGGACACATTGGCTTCCATATGGTTAACGAGAAGACATATTGCTCAGACTGTCCAAGATCTGTATTTTTTCATTGATTTATACAGATAAAGCAAATAATGTTTATTCCCCTGAACCCATGGGGTGCGGTTGCCACCTCATTAATTGGAGAAACAATATGGTGATCACCCTACCAAAGTCAGGGTTTTTACTACACCCTTTTGCATATTCAAGATAACCCTGTTGTATACTAGGTTATGTTTGTAGATAGTTAATAGATGTACTATATGAAAGGAGTTAAAATTCAGGATGTAGTAATTATGATAATTGGTCAACAACTGGTGAACAGTACTATTCAGATTTTAGTTCTCCAAAAACAAGTGTGTGCTGTTTGTTCACATTATGAAATATTTATTGTTGTATGATATAAAAATACATATTAATTTATATAATTTAACAAACACTGAGTTAATCATCATAATCTAAATGATTTCAGAAGATATTATCCGATTATAAATAGTTGAAAGTTATGAGCAAATATTAAATAATATACATCGCAACTTGCTTTTAATTGGAAAAAGTTAAAAGATAAAATATAAGGGTGGTGGATATAACACACAAATATTGTACCATGTGAAATATTTAATAAAATGTTGTAATTAACAACGTTTTGTGTTTTTTGAGTTTAATGTCTACATTGGAAATTTTTTACTGCATTTAAAAATCTGATTAATTTATATCATTTAGGATTATTAATTAATTTTCTAATAATAATAACTAATTCCGCAATCTCACTAATTACTTGTCGATTACTGAAACTATTTATGATTGCATTTGGGGAGATTTTCACTTCAAATGTGGCTACCAACCAAGTGAGATATTGTAGTTTATGTGTAAAATACAATATTTTTTTGATTCTCCAGCAGATATCTATGCTTGTGACTTTTCAAACTGTCTGGCCTACCTTCAATTTTCACCTTGCGGAACCTGCACCATGCTCCACAGATATTTTCTCTGAACTTTCGTGTCAGCAAACAGAACAAAATGAAATAGACGAATCCTTGAGATGAATCTCCAATGATCTGCATAAAGAATACAAGAAATTTAAAGATTTAATTATTGGTTGAAATATTCATTTTCCTTTTTTTTTTCCAGTCAACAGAAGAAAATACTTACATGACAAACAATCAGAGTTTCACTAAGATCGCCCTGTCCTTGATGTGATTTAAAACAAAAAAGCAAAAACCGAATAGTTCCCCAAATCCGAAGAAAAACAAATAGTAATGGTGCCCAAATGAGTTTTCTTTTGCCCTGTATGGTTGCTTGAGTTGATTCTGACGATATGTTGATATTCTGTCTTTCTTTCACCTGACAAGTACAAAAGAATTCATTTCAATTTTGCAATGGTATGATTGTAGGAGGTCCATAAAATAACAGTGTTAGCTTAGTGCAAGAGATTATTTATACAAGAGATGTTTTTAAAACAATAAGATGTACATATTACTAACTTCGGCATTTAATTTTCTTGTCACAATAAAACAGAGTATCACATCTACAAAATATGATAAAATTTCCCAAAATTTCCCGCAGGCTAACATCCACACAATAGCTTCATCTTTCTTCATCTTTATGAGGTCAATCCAGCACCATCCACCAGAATCATGAGCATAACCCTGACCTAACTTGTTCCAGGAAGCAGCAACCAGTGTTAAAGGAAAGCCCCAATTTATGACATGAAAGTATGGCATTAATTTGTCAGCCAGTCCTTGATTTTTCTTCACAATAACAAGGTATAAGTATATTGCAAGAGATGAAGTCCAAAAAAACGACCACATTACTGCAGTTGTTGAAACAAAACTCTGTGCAACACAGTTCATGTGACTATTTACCGTCCACGTTTTAATCAAGTAAGGCAAGACAGTAAAGAAATCACCAATTGATATACAAACAAGAAATTTTCTTGATGTTGTTTGTAAATCTTGGAATAGGAAGTAGGTCAAGATGATAGCTAATGAACCAAAGATTGACAGACTCGAGATGACAGTTTTTAGTATTCTATAGTTCTGTAACTGCGCAAACGATTCACCCCAATAAGATGTTGTCTTTTCTGTGGTTTGAAAAATCAGGTTTATGGTACTTAAATCCATATTTCGGTCTTTATTTTGCATTAAATGCCCGTATTTTTAAATATTTCACAGTATGAATCCAAAAACGAGTGATATTACATATTAATAAATCCCGGAAGATACACAATACCTTTCAAAATGAAAATCATTCAAGGTAACTTCCGCGTATATTTTCCACCGTTTTCAGTTAAAAATCTCCTCTAAATCATCATTGTCCACGGGCAACTCAAACTTGCCAAAAATAATTCACATAAAACAATTAAAAAATGTGCAAAACGGTTTTGCAAAAACCATTTTTCCTAAAATCCATTTTTTGGCGTCTTGTTTGCGCGGATTACAAAAAGAAAATGAAACTAACAGCCAATCAGGAGACGAGTTCAACTGAACCAACTAATCACTTTCCTCACACCAATTTCGGTAAATCCAAGGGAAATTTTGATCCAGGACAGGCCAACATAATTTTAAAAAAACATTCTATCTAATAAATTATTAATTTACATCAATTAGTCAATCAAATTGCTACAAAAACCATAGAAATGATAATTAATCCAGGCTATACCAAACAATTTTAGATGGATTGAATAAACCAACGATAGTGCTATCTGGTTTTCAGGCAATTAACCAGCCTGATTCCAGCAAGTGTGATAGCATATACCATTTGGTGTAAATTTGGAGACACAAAATCAATCTTAAGTCACGCTTCCAGTATCATACCATAAATGAGCTATACAGCTCATCTGTGATTATACATATTCTGTGTGGTCTATGTGGTTTAAAGCTCATTAGACTTTGGGTTGGGGGGAGTTGAAAACTGTGCAGAAAATCATTAAGTGTAACTGGTTATCAACTATAAAATTTGTATGTGTCATCACTGAATGTCCTACGGAAATCTTGTGCTGTCCGTTCATCTTGTACTGTCCGTTTAGAAGTGAGTCTATTACAAAATCCAAAAACTCTTATGATTTGCTGCTTAAATTTCTCAGTTAACAAACAAAACAAGATAAAATTAGTAATTCCTTGGGCATTATCTCCAATGATCTGAAATGAAATAAATTAAAATGAAATATATAATAATACATACTGTAATAATATCATAACTGACAACTTTCATCTGACTAAATATGTTCAAAAATTTGATATTACCTATGCATCAAACAGTATATCTTACCTGCAAAGTAACCATAACTTCTCTAAAAACATGGGGAGGATTTGCAGAGGCTGCAAAAAGGATAAATCTAATTGTTCCCCATATGCGAAGAATAACAAAAATAATTGGGACAAGAGATAATTTTCCTCTTCCTTGCAAAGCAATTTGGATAGATTGTGTTGACATTAGATGCATTCTTTCTTTCACCTGGAAACAAAGCAAATGACCAGTCAAATCTATTCTTCAAATTAATCTCTTGTTACTTATCAAGTTCAGATCATAACTACTGTGTTCTTTATTGGGCTAAAAGTGTTATACATTTATTGCAAGCAAGGGAATATATCATGCAATTTTGCTTTATGCGAAACACAATAATTAGGCACTTTAAATGACAATGGTTGCCTCACCTCCCTTTTAATTGTACTAATGATGAAATAATACATAATCCCATTAATGAAATATGATATAATTTCCCAAAATTTTCCAGTTATGAACATCCAAACCACTGCAGTTTTATGACTCTTTCCAATGCGAATCCAGCACCATCCTGCTGTAGACTTATTTCCAGTGGTACCAAGTTCATTCTCGTACCATGCTGCACCTACCAGGATGACAGGAAGCAGCCAGTTGATGACATGGAACACCACCATCAATTTCTCAGAAATATCATGCCTCTTTTTCACCAAAGCAATGTACAAATAAATGGCCAAAGATGTCGTCCAAAAGAAAGACCACATTATAGCTGTTGATGTCACAAAACTTTGAAGCTGACAGGAAAAGTCATTTTTGCCAAACTGCCTTTTCCAAAATATAACCAGTGAAGTATAGGTTGCAAAGAAGTCACCAATAGAGATATACACCAGAATTCTTCTTGTTGTTGTTTGTAAGTCTCGCCATAAAAAGTATGTCACAATTATCGCAATAGATCCAAATGCTGACAAAGATGATATTATTGTAAATATAACGCGATCATATGTCTTGAGAAACGGATTTATACCCTTGGACGATGATGTGGTGGTTGGTTCATCTTCGTTCAGAGTACCACTGGTTCCCAATGCAGAAGTGAGGAAGAGAAGTACCAGCACTGCAGAACGACGCATCGTCTAATATAACAAAACGCCTTCCAGCGATTCACGCGTTAGGATTATGGAAATCAACTCTTTAATACTGCATGAATTTGGTGCAAAAAATGAAATCACGGGACATTCTAGGATTTATTATTAAAAACTCACATGATCGTAGCAACATCCGTCCTTCTTCCTTCCTGCAATCTTCTTACACCCACAACAGCATTTACCCTAATATTCCTGCCCGCGCATCAGGTTGTAACATGCGTCATTCTCCAAATAATTCATCCATAAAATAAGAGTGATAAGACAGCACTTTAAACTATATTTACACAAGATAATTTACTCTAGAAATACGGCATGATTAAAAATAATTACTTTAAATGTACAGTTTGAGACAAAATATTGATTTATAAGACACATATTAACTTCATCAGATGACGTCACTGATGGCGTCATCACGTTTTGAAGTTACGACGACCACGTTGAATGATGGGAGCGCCTTTGATGGGAGAAGAAACTCCTGTAGCCTGTAGCCTGAGATTATCACGAATGTAGTTCTTCTTACGTTGTTTAACATAAGTTGTTTGTTTTGTTGTAATGACGGATTGTCCACTGGGCGGTGTATATTCTGGATTCACACCTTTGATCTCATAAGTCCATTGCATGTCCGCAGTCTACATTATTGTAAGGAGAAAAGTTGTAAAGAATACATTATTATATCCTCTTGTTCTTTTTGCAAAGCATTGAGAGTATAATTTGAAGAATTGTAGCGTAAGAAATTTTTACCTGAACAATAATCTTCGCTTTGTGTGTTTTGCCATATAACGTTGGTTTGTATGTGATTTTAATCAAAGTTCCTTCGCTATCTTGAGGTAAGAGCAGTTCAGAAGAACAGAAAAGAGCAAACTCTTTATCTGAGTCAGCTGTGAAGGATGCTGTGAATGGAACTGCTTGTCTGAAAACAATCGTTTTGTTAAAAAAATCAAAGATATTACACAAAGTCGCGCTCTACCTGCATTGAGAATGACAAACCTGCTTTGACTGTTCAAGCGAAATCCAACAACGGCTTCCTTGTTAAGACCAACTGCTTCTATTGTGATTGTGTCGTCAACGTCAGCTTCCGTGGCTAAGAAACGGATTGGGAATTTCCATACGCCACCAGAACCAGCGCTGATAACCAAATGAACCACATGACTAGAAAAACAGAAGCCAGGGTTAAGCAAGAAGGGTGTTCTTGGAAATGAAGAAGGTGCAACTTACTTGAAAGGTTTATACGGAGAGAAAATGAGACGAAATATCAAAGTGACCACACCAGAGGCTTTATTGCGATATTTCTTTTCTAACTGGATTCCAAGAGATCTTTCTAAAGCGTTTTGACAATCATTATCCTCGTACAGAAACTCGTAACTACAGGGGAAGAAATGATGCAGATTTAAAACTGTTTTCAACTAAAAAACGTCCAAATTTAGCTTCAAACTCTGCAATGCTAACTTACCTAAAACTTTCTGAAAAGGGTACATTATCGACTCCCATTTGGGCGTCGTTGAGAGAGTCCTCTCTGACTAAACTTATGGGTGTGCTCACATCTCCCGTGTACAGAGAACCCATTCTCCCACTTGGTACAACCCCGGACAGAGTCAGCTCAACAATCTGTTCAGTTCGATCACGTGATTGACATTCAATTGTGATAGCACGTGATGTACTCATCACGTGCGACACTGGAATGCCTTTGAGTGGGAATATCCAGCTGAGGTTATTTATCATGGTTGTGGGCAAAATATCCGAGTACGATGTGCCGGGAGCGATATCATAGCGCTGAATGGACACGGTGACTGTTGCTTCGTAAGACTTCATACAATTAGGACTGAATGTGACAGGGATATCTAGGGTTTCTTGTGGTCGTAGAAGGATACCATCATGGCGTTTTAGCAGAAGGCAGAACGCCAACTCGCTTGAGTTTTCACTGGATACGCCGGAAAGAAACACAGAACCTAAGTCGAAAAACAAAATACATTTAAGGAAACGGTGCAAATTTCTATGCAACTTGCAATACAACGTTAACACAAAACGTACATCATCACTTTACCTGAATACATTGATTTTTCTTTTAAACTAACATCAACAACCACGGTGTGTTCAGTTGGATTTCGAAATGGAACAATAACCGAAGAATTTTCAGACAACTTGCCATGAACATAAATTGGCTTGGCTGGTTTTGGATTCAGACCTGTTCCTGACGCAATAAACGTCCAATCTCCCAACTAAAGTAGGAATAATTCGTGTAGAATTTTCACTGAATACTGACGATGGCTACTTCAGAATTACCATTTTATCATTTACCTGTTCACTACGGAATACGATTTTAGCTTTGTGCTTTCCCAAACCAATCTGGGATGGTGTAAACCTCAATGGAACTTGAATGACGCCATGGGGAACTATAAATAACTGAAAGGGAATATATGAACCTCAGAGAGATAACCTCGATTGAAAATGGCGAGGGAGATGAAATCTATAGAAGATAAATATCCACTTGTGATGGTGTGCAACAGTTTATTATTGAACAAACCTGTTTTGAAGTGTCAATTTCAAGCGCAAAATTTCGTTGATTTGAAGAATAAGGTGTGAGAGTCAATGTCTGACCTGTTGGGTTTTCCAGCTGAATCATTTGATGACTGTGACTAAGAAATAATATGAATCAGATAAATTTGAGTTTGAGAATTGTGACGCAGATCGAGAAAACGCGAAGATCGACTTCAGAAATAGTGATAATCCTTCAGACCAACCTGCCAAGTTCACTGTCGATGTTTGGAAGATGGTTTGGTTCTGGTTGCTCTGCAAGAAGGTTTAACTTGTACCAAAACTCACCAATGATTTCGTGTTGAAATACAATGCTAAATGAGAAAGAATATTGGCTGCATTTTCTAACAACGTGATTCCTCCCACATGGTACAATGAAACACAAAACAAACTAAACAACATTCTGAATGTTCATAAATTGTAATAAGATTTGATGAATGAGACAATCTGAGATAGAGGATGATGTTTGCGTGAAATAAACAGACAAAATTCAGGTACACCAGATACGTACCTTCCCTGTTCCATTCCGATTACAACTGGCGTGTACATTGCTTGATATAAAGTCTGTTGTTTCGGACCCAGGACTAACACAGATTCACCATGAAGACTTTGCCCCTCTACAATGACATTCATCACGACCTGTTCGTCACTTGGATTACTTACAGTAATCTCAACGCCAGCCGCTGACAATACTGCACAGCATACGTCTAGGACTTTCTCGGGAGGAGCTGGACTGGAACGAATCTCAACAGAATACCAAAACCTATATGGTTTCACTGACTCGCTGATTGCTGGCTCAGAACCTGCATATCCGCTGGAAGATTGGAAACTAGGGGTATCTTGCTCATCTTCGCTTGTATCACTATCGTCAGTTCTAAAATGACATTTTGGAAGTAAAAATAGACTTATTTGTTCGACTTGTGATTAAAAAAAAAGCCTGTCTCTACTACTAATAAATATAATGTACACAATGACTCTGAACTGCATATACTCTGAACTGACCTGCTAACTCGTGAAGTACTTTTTGCACCAGGTAACGGTGATTCGATGAACGAGACAACGCCATTGAATACGCCACGTCGCCACGGCAACACAGTGAGCTGATAGTTTGTAGGTATACTTGCTATACACGAAACGTAAGGGGATCCAGTTATAATCCCGAGATCAGAGACAACCTTGAAATCTTTCCTCTTGCGTGTCGTCATTGGCAGTTGAATACTGTGAGTGGTCCTGGGGAATGCAGAGCGTAAATTAGACTTCAAAATAGGTTTTCATCATAAAAATATAGCTCTGAACTCGAAACAGTTTAAACTCAGAGAGTTTGAGAACAGGTGGAACTCTGCAGGACATATTTACAATTAAGTTAAATAGTCAAAATTTTGCAAGGATGATAGATCATCGACAGACTCACTTCTTGCGTGCCTCACACTCGATAACAATGTGTTCCATAGCTGCAGGTGGGTCACCAAATCCTTTTAATATGTAAACTTGTTCACTGCCATCCTGAGCGTTGGTTAACGCAAGTTTTCCCTGCAAACGAAAAGTGAATAGCAAGTTGGACTTTAACAGTTAATAATTGCAGAGCTAATAAACTGTTTAAAATATAACCAGGGAGCAGCGTGGCAGCGTCTTTAAACAACTTAGCATCAAATGTGGTATAACAACTGCCTGAAATAGACAAAACACTTCTCGACGTTTCTACCTGAGGGCCTTCGTCAGGAGAGTTGGTTAAATTAGTTTAAAAGATATACCTTGACACAATCTTCGCGGCTGGGCCGGAACATAAGAGGGTAGTATGACGTGACACAAGCCTTCGCCACCATCACTGGTGGTCCATAAAATCCCTCTCCTTCAACTGATGCTATCAACTGCCAATCTTGCTTCGTTTGATTCACCTTGGCGGGAAAATAGGTTTTAGAAACACGTGCTTATCACGTGCAAGCATGATTCCTCACTTACCACAGGTATTTCTTGTGTAACGGACTGATGAAGTGGTGTAGTAAATTCCAGTTCTGTAGCCAAGCCCACAGGACTGACCGTACATTCAATCTGATACACACGTATATCATTCACTGATTTCAACGTGATTTGACAAGGGTAGTGACCAGGAGCTTCGGCAGTGAACTGCACGGGTAACACCACGCTATTATCTGAGAAAATTTAATCCACGTAAGTACATCGAGTAACTACACACAGTCACTAACACACACAACTCAACTCACCAAAGGTAGAAGGAGAACCCAGTGGGATCTTCAAGGTTGCAGGAACGGAGAAACACTTTGAGCTTGATTCAACTTTAAATGCAATACAACCATTGGACGTCTTGAAGCCACGCTCCTCGACCATGTTGGGGTAATAGTCTGGAGCTAAACCCAGTAAAGTCATTGCAGATGTGATACTGGTGATGTTGAGTGTATTCGTCAGTTCACGACGTCGTAGTTCCTTCTTTGACATGTTTTTCTGACCTATGAGCGCTGTAAGGTTGAAAACGTGCAACTTGTTAAAAGACACGAGCTTTTTAAACCTTATGGTGAAACAGTTTAGACTCTCAACTGTCAATAGAGTTGTTTTGGTTTAGGTTTCGTCTTTCCTGTACCAACTCTAGAGATGAACAGAGAGATGATCCTTGTCGGATCTCTAAGAAAAACAGCTAAAGTTTTCTCTTCTAGTACAAAATTGGACTACACAATAATTGTAACGGCTCTTACCGAGTGCATTTTCCTTTGCTAAATTGGTTCTCGTAATAACAATATTCTCAGTGAACGTCTCACTGCAATCACATTTCCAGTACAAAACGCGATCATCTCCACCATAAACACCCCGACCATGGTGGGCTGCAAGAGAGCTGCTGACGCGTACACTGTGAGCAGACGGTACGTATGGAACGCGGCATGGCAATGGGACCGTAGTCTCTGTTTCGATCAAGTATAAAAACTCTCCAATGTCTTCGTTAATGAGCAGGACGGAGCACTGGCGATTGCCAATTTGGAATGGGACAAAATTGATCTCGATTCTGGCGCTGCCATTAGCTTCGAGCTGAATGTTGTCGTCGGAACACCAGAAAGCACGGGTTAAGGTCAGGTTCTCGGGAACTAGGAGTGAAGAAATTGTGAGAAATTAGCTGCAACAGAAAGAGTTTCAATATACCAGGCAGTGGTCAAAAGACACAAGATATCGTGATAAAAACTCACGTATTTGAGCATTATTTTTCTTCTCAGGCGTAACTGGTACAATAAGATCTTTTTTGGATGTCTTTTGCTTTCTTGATTGTCTGGGGAGGAATACAGAAAACTATTAAAATAAAGAACCAGAATCTCCGGCAATCCTGTGTCAATCCAGACATCTTACCCGTGGTCTGTTTTGGATTCAACTTTTTTAATCGTCTTGCTTTTCACCCTCTTTTCTTTGCCTGCATTGTTGGCTAACTGACCGCGAGCTTCCACTAACACAACACGGAATTTCCCTTTGTGTGGAAACGGATTGGAAATATCCAAATCAACTTTATTGATCTCATACAGCGGAGATTCACACTTGATTGTTGCCTTGAAAAGAGAAAGGATATTTTTTTAATCATTCTCGCATTAAATCCTAGTTAACTCAGAAACATACTCCATTTCTCCCTCATGGTCACTCACCCTGGGTGTGATATTATCAACAGATGTCCTCAGGTTGAACACAAGGGTACAACCAGTGGCTGAGCCCGCACGTTTACCAACCAGGACCAGCGTAGCCGTACATGGACGTAGAAAACGACTTTTGAACTCGATAGGCAACTGGACTTGACCTTTCGGTGAAACCTAAAGAAAATGAAATGCTAACCTTAAACTGCAGTATGCACATTTAGTTTAGTAGTGTTGGGCGTTTTATATAACTCAATTCTCTCTCTCTCTCATTGCCTCTCAAGTCTCATCAACTCTTGCTTGACGATCGCAAGAGAGTCTGGAAAACTCTCGTGCAAACTCTCATTGCTTCTCAACTCTCATCAACTCTCATTCCCGTTTGACTGTGCATGGTTTTAGTCCATTTTTACCTGTATCATTTCACCCATGGGCACCGTGAAATCTGATGCATCTTGACCAAGTAAGATCGCTCGATAAAACAAAGGTTTATTGCTACTTGGATTTTGAAGTTGAACCTGAAACAAATACAGATTTATAACTGTTCATTTGCAAGAGATATAAAGTTTCAGTAGGAATCATCACCTATAAATGAACGTATGTCACTTCCGGGGTACTTACATGTTTCACTATTGTGGCGTGTAGACTGCCAGTGAAATCGACAGTGGTACGAGGGATATACTGTGGTAAATGTTGATAGAGATGAAGACAAAGGAGAAGAATGGATACGGGGTTGGCTTCTGTGATGTCAGTTGCCTAGAAAAACAAAAATACTATTCAGCATATCATAATTTCCGTCTTACACCGATGAGCCATATCCTTACCACAACATCGTAGTCCAAATGTATCATTTTGAAAGCTTCAACAACTTGAACAGCATTGTGCAGACATTTCTCTGCTGTGGTCGGATGAAGAAACATGTTGCGCAGATGACTGTCGACCTAAATACCAAAAAAAAATGCAAAGCTCCGTCAATTCTTAACGTGTATGATAGAGAGAGCAATGGGAAAGACGTGCTGGAGGCTTAAATTAAACGCATTGTAACTCATCCGGCTGTGAAAAACAGAAGAGGCTACATGGTTAACATACCAGGAAAGGACAATGAGCAGCCAGAACTGCAGCCAACACAAGACCATCCATAAAATCCAGGTCAAAATTTACAATCCAACGAGCAGAGGGCAGTGATCCTACACGATGAAAGAAATCCAACACACCGTCAGACTTTTACTATTTACTATTCAGTGAAATGGTTTAATCATGCTACACTAGAAGTGTTTTAATCATAATAAATAAACAGACATGCATCATCATGCACTTGTCCTTACTGTTTACTGCCCAAGTTTTCTGTTTTTGTTCTTTGTAATGATGGTTAAACCAAGCCAGCAATATTCTTTCACCAACGCTGTAAATGTTGCTGGACAAAGGATCCGGGTTAATGAACGGTGGACAAGAATCTCCAGGAGGATAGGAGATTTTCTTGAAATGTTGTGGAGTAACTCGACCAAGCGCGAACACCTTTAGAAAGAAAGGATAAAACGTATAATTTCAAAGATCTTTGCCTGAAGAGAGGCAGAACTAAGGAAAAAAATTAAGACCTAAATATCACCTTAAGAAGCTGCAACAATAGATCAGTCCACGCTCTGCACGATACCCTCTCGTATCTCACTCTCTCGCTATTCCTATCACGAGATTTGACGTCACGATCACATGACTGCTCCCTTTCAATTTTCTTCCAATCACAGTAGTCAGAGTAGCTCATTAAGTCTTCTGGACTAACGTGAGCTAACAACGCCCCTTGCGCTCTAGAAAAAACATACGCTGTCTTGAGTGATTCTTAGAGTAAATTCTTACACATTTCAAGGGATTCAATGTGGGACAACGATATACACAAGGTGTTACTAGTGTTCCAACAGGGACACTGGTGCAAAATACACAGTTGATCTCGAGATCCTACCTGAGAAAGACCAAAAGTGCGGAATACATCCAATGCAGCTTACGAACTCTATCGTAACGATCGGAGGGGAATGAGAAATTGACAGGAATACCAGGAATGTGTCGACCACAAAGATGGGCGACCAACTGAAATATTGTACGTGTATCCTTATGCACGCTGCCGTTCCAACCCCCCTGACCGCTCACGGTGAAGTCTTCGATCGTCTCGAAGGAATCCTGAAAGTATTTCGGGATTTTGATTGGGTATGGACCTGATGACCACGCTTGCAATGAAATCCACCTAAATGAAAACATTCTAATTACTTAATTGTTTTCAAATAACATTCTCTAATTAGTTCTAATTGTGTTCTAAATGTTCTCTAATTAATACCAAACTGTTCTTTAAAAATTCTAATTGTTTCATAATTAATCCTAATTCCTCGGAAAAAGCAATACCTTTGTAACGCTTTTAGAACCTCTTTAAAAAAGATCAATTCCTCAGGACTATCTCCGCCAATCAAATCACGACTTCTTAGCTCAGCCACGAAATCTAACTCCTGATGTCTAGTGATACCACTATTATGAATCATCTCCTCTACTGGACTCGGAGTATCTCTAAGGGAACTGGAAGGATCACTGGAGTCTTCATAGGATGATGATGATGCACAAAATGTGGTACTTGTGGCACCAGTGGAGCCATAAGTGACTGGACGGTTGGGTGTGATACATGGCAGTAAAAATACTTCTAAAACATAAGATTAAAAAATACGAATATTAGAAACACCGCCATACTACAGGAATAAACACTACAGCAATATGGTTACTCGGAGCAGTTATACAGGCTACTAAATCTACTAAGTAGCTAATCTACCAGAGCAAAGGTAGATAGGGTTACCTAATCCATTAGTACGCTAGCCTACCAGCACAAAAGTAGCAGGGGTTATCTATTAGTAAGCTATGAGGTACCTCAGCTGCCGAAGCACAAGTGATAGCTAGTTTCTTACCTGTGCTAATGCTGGTATCATCGTCTCCGTTGTTGTTGAACATTTCAGGTTTCTGTTCACAGACGATATGATAGTCGTTGCGATGTAGAGCCAGAAATGGATAGTTGGTCAATAAACAGTTGTCTGCCGTCGCACTCACTGGTAAGAAGAACCTGGTGTGAACAATAATACAAAAATTAGTACCAAGCATTGAAGCACACAAAAAGACAATCCTAAACTAGAAGTCAAGAAACATAAACTAATATAGCATCCTATATAAACCAGCAGCTTTCCTTTCGAGAAATATACTTTTGTCATAACAAGAGGCATACCTTTCGTCGTTAACAGTTAATTTGATTTCAGTTGCAAATGAGACTGGTTTGGGTGACCTGAATGTGAGCTTGCAAGGTATACGACGACAAGACTCTTGCTGAGGATCATCACTGTAACATGGCTCTATTTTGGTTCCTTTGGGGAATGCGGTGGATAATAAACACATACGACTCCCATCGTTCATCTCGACCTCGGGTAAATCAACAAGGATATCACATGACCTATGACATGAAATATCATGATCAAAAGAGGAGTAAAATTCTATCTTGAAAACGTCGGAAATTAAAGGAAGAAATATTCACAAATGTCGCTCAAAACAAACCGCATGGGACGGTTCAATCAGCTTACTTTTTATATCCTTTTGCAATGATTTCAAATTCCATCGAATTCTCGATAGCTAGAGGCACAACTTTAAAGTCTATTGTTTTCGGTTCAAATTTGATTTCATCAGCCAGAAGCTCGCCCTCTAGTTCCACAACACGATACGTGTTTTGATGATCATCGTTCAGGATTAGTGGCACTGAAGCACGATACATACCAGGTTGTTCTGGGAAAAAAAGAAAGAAGAAATACAGAGAATTTAAACAATTAGACAACCACTTTGATTGATAGAATGTATAACAAAAGGCAGCAGTTAATAAAGTAGGTGGGAATACTACGAATGCTATAAATCTGGTAGTACACGTGAAATCGTTCCAGGCGTGTCTTCTGTAGTGGAGATATGCAAGCTTGAGGCACCGTCCGAGGCATCAGTTCTACACCTTCCGTGTGTATAGACCAAGGAAGGTGTAGAACTGATGATATTTCGATCATATTTGAGGGAATTTTAAGAGCACATACTTGGTGAAAACATGACTGCAAGTTGAAACGTCTCGCCACACTGGAGTGTACCGCTTGGCACATGTAAGTTAGGGGATGATCTTCGTGGACTGGGAAAAGGCGAGCCGGATCTTCGTATAAATGTAAATATTCCTTCCTCAAATAACGATAAGCTTGAGGAGATATCGACAGACCACTTGCATGGTTTGCTGTTGTTGTTGACGAGAATACAAGTCTATATGTTATAAAAACAAAAGAATCGTTAGAGCTAAACTTAACTTTATTTATACATCTTCGTCGGTTCTATAGCTCTATTAGTCCAGCGCTGTTTTTCATTGGGCTTATCTAAGGTTTATTATTTCTTTTAAGGTCTTTTAAAGACCACAGAACTAATTTTTTGCAAACAAAAAATCTAATGTACATAAAGACCATAGCGGGACGTAAAAGGCCTGTTTATAAACTTATCAATTCGTCACCCCTACCTGCACTCTGCCCGCATCTGATTGAATGCCTAAGTCATAATAACCCGCAGGAAGGCTGAACTTCATATGACTATGAGAGAGCTGCAGTGGAGGTCGTAATGCTGTCGCAAGCACACGTCTGCTGGGTGTTGCTATGGATACAGGGATAGGAGGAGGTGTATCCAGTTCAGGTATAGTCCAGTTTGTATTTGACGGTGCAGGGGAGGGAGGTATCGAAGACGGAGTAGGACTGGGAGCCATTGTATCGTTGATTGTCACGGGAAGAATGAAATTATACGAGGCAACCTAAAAATGATGACATTTATAAGTATTCACGCCTATACGATAGGAATATACTCAATAGTTTTCAGTAGCAAAACTCATTGATAACATTCCGATGACTGAGATGCATAAATACCTCCACTGCAAAAATGGACTTACCTCTGTTGGTTTGAATATCAAGACACAGTCAAGACTTTCCAGAGCTTGTAGTGAAGTTGTGAATAAACCTTCGTCGTTCTCAAAAGATTCATCTTTGAAAGAAAAAAGATTGGTTGGTCATTACATTTTAAATTCCTATTTCTATAAAAGTCACTCGATATCAGCTAACTCGAATGATGCTTCGGCAAACCTTTGTCATCATGGAACTGTAAGGAGAAGTCCTGGTAACGCGATAAATCAAAGACAACCTTTGCCTTCGAACGCGTCTGAGAAAAGAAATATATAAATTTAGAAAATCCTGGAGATCCCAGGGAGTACGTTTTATGATAAAACTCTTACCTTATTGCATAGTTTAAACGGTAGTTTTGCAGTTGAGTCACAATAAACGCCATGAAATTGAAGAGCTCTCTTTAAAAGAAAATAGCAATATCAAAATATGTATTGTTTTACATGTCTCGTGTTTCATCTTGCAGTGAAAGAGGGGCGAATAACGCACAATATATTTTATCCTAAAAAGTTGTTTTAATGTTCGTCTACTCACGACATCAACGTCGACACAAGGCTGCTCAATGGTTCCTCCCATTCGTAAAGATATCGTCTTCCAGCCAAGAATATTCACCTCGATTTCGCTGTCAAATTTATGCGCAAGATCCGGCGTAAATTCCACCTGAAAACAGCCAAAGAAATATTCGAATCGCAAGCGCTTGATGCATACATTTGAATTTAAACGATACTCGTTCTTCTTTATGTCATCTTTACCTTGAGCTCTGTTGTGCCTCCAACGGGGACTACGCCCTGCTTTGGAGATATAACCATGCCAGCCAATGGTCGGGTATTTGACACCTAATAAAATACAGCAAATAGACAAATTCTTTTAAGGTCTGCACGTTCACACAAATCCAATTCACTTCTGATTACTGGAATGTAGTCTGTTATTGATAAAGTAGTAGCTATACTGCGCTGGATTCTGTTGCTTTGCTGTCCATGTACTGTTTTTTTTTTGTTCAAACAACAAGATTATCGTCGAAGGTTCCTGGTTTTTATACCTGAAAGTAAGCGTGGTTGTTTCCTGTGTTTTTCAAATGACATTTCCTCACGGTGGTAAGATGCAGTGGAACAAAACCGAACACAAATCTTCGCTCAACAAAAGAACATTGCGCTGGACCAAACTGAAAATAAAACACAGGAAATTATACACTTTATAAATACCTCATATACCCTTGCCTCAATGAACCTCGTAGTAAAGCTTGTATTTTAAAAGTTTATCCAAAAAAAAGTCAGTTACATATCACATCAAAGTTACCTCACAGCCTTGTTAGTATCATATTGTTAGTACCATGCACGTTTAACCTGATCAACTGAAATCTTGATGAGTATTTTATACCCAAAATCTTATCAGGAAACCGAAATCTTTCGTTATAGATAAAGGGTTACAGAAATCTTACCTCAGCTTGACAAAGCAGTTTTGGCAAGTTTCCTCCATCAACATGAAGCGCAAACTGGGTTTTTCTTGAGCAGCCAAATGAAGGATAGAAAACAACTTCGCAATCCAACGATGAAAACGCCTCAACAGTTCCTACAACATAAGGTGAAACGACGTGTAAAAATCGTCAAGAGTCCAATGCTAGTGTTATTTACCTCTTGTCAATCAATCGCTAGTGTTATTTACCTCTTGCCAATCAATCGCTAGTGTTATTTACCTTTTGAAGGCCGAATAGAAAACGATGTACCATCTTTGCCGTTCACAATCTTCCATGAAAAATCCCCGGCGGCATTTCGTTTATTACTGATGGTAACCACACCACGAAAACCTGCATGAGAATATAGGAATTACAAAAGATATATAAAAAGATATATAATCAGAGAAAGATGTTAGGTGTGCAGAATGAATTCTCACACTTAATTGATAAGCACGCTAAACGTCGGGCCTCAAAACACAAGAAGTATAGGAATTCAACATTTGAATTAGGAGTTATTTAAATAATCTTATTAACCAGGCGATAATTTAGGTTGTTTCCCGGTATTTCAGATCACTGGCTTGCTAATTGTGCTTACTGAAAACATGGACGTACCAGACTCAGCCGCCATACTTGGCGTTGGTTTGAGCATTATTTGATCACAAGACAACTCCAAAGCAACTGAAATAACTTGAGCTCTGGCAACAACATGAAACTGATGACGTTCGTTGATCGTGTATTTGATGCTCCTGAATATAAGAAAAAACTCGTATATAAGACCACACCATCCTTTATATCAATGAACAAAAACGTTGCAAATTGTAGATGTTTTCGCACCTTTCAAATGATCCTTTGGAGTTGGATTCAAACAGGAGATTTATTCTCGCCGTAGAAAAAGGTGGGATTACTTGGGACAACGGTGAAGACTGACGTAGCTCTCGACAATCAACCTATAGTAAATAATTGCAAGAAATATGAGTGTGTTGGTTGGTCGCAAGAAGACGGATTCCTTGCGTTTTCTCCGGTCATAATGCTGCATTAACAAGAAATGATTTATTCTTTTTGTCGCCGTTCACTTACATTGACAACGATATGAATATATTGATCTAAATTGTTGCCAATTGTCAGGTATTCTGTTTTAACAGAACGCTGACAGACTTCGCCAAAATCAATCAAAGCAGAAGCTATAGAAAAAAGAGGAATAATGATTTTATCTTTAATGGAAAAAAGAAAGAATACTTTGCAAAAAAATCTCATGAAGAAGTGCTCAGGACTTTTCTTGAACTTACTAATTTTAATCTTTTTAATGTCCTGCGGAGTCAGTGTTTTATTGCAGTCCAGCTTTTCCAAATCAGTCAGAGGAACAGCATTGAGACCTTCAACAATCTAAAGATGAAATGTTCGGTCCATAACTGAGCATAATAACTATAAAACCATGTCACATTTTTGTTAATGGAGTAAGTCATATTTTAATTACAAAGCAAACTTACATTTTCAGGCGTAGCTAAACTTTTACTACTTAACAGACCATCAACGTTGCTCTTTTTCTCTGCTTCGCTTCCTGGAAAAAAAGGTAAATTTATATAAACTATGAGCGTATAACACAGCAGCCTTAATTTATCTGAATATTTCGTGAATAGATCTTTCTCGTAATGCGCGATATTACACGATGTTTGATTGGCTCGTTATTGTATTAATTGCAGAGCCAATAAAACTCTTCTCTTAAAAGAAAACAGCCTCATAACAAGCCCAAGGTTATCGTAACCCAGATGTCACTGTTACCTTCGTCTGCAGCAAGAGCTTCTTCTGCAGACAATTTCGGAGGTGGCAGGCCATGAGCAGGTTTCATACCAAGATCTTTGTTATTTTCCCATTTATCCATCTCATGTTTGCTGCTTTTCAGCTCTCTGCAGGTTCTTGAATCTCGGATATAGTTCAAGTAGAGCTGTTTGTGCTGTTGTTTTCGACTTGTTTCTTCATCAGATAGCGCGAAATCTGGATCAATGTACGAATACCTCTGAATTCCAGTAAATTGCGTTCTAATTGATGAAAATTTAAACTAATTAGAACAGGAATTGAAAAAAATTGAAACACATAAAGGAGCGCGATAAGAATGATAATTGATGGCAAATTAGAATACAATTAGATTGAATTATTTACCGAATTTTCGAGTTCCGTTGAGCTGGACGAATGCTCGTTGCTCTATCGTTTGGCTTCGCAACTTCATAACCATCTTTACTCTCTCTAACATCAGCTGTTTTTGGTGAACTAACAGACGATGGTAATCCACCGGTATGACGCAAAGTCGATGAACCAGGATCATTACAAACACCGTGAAGTTGTAAATACTGCGTATGGATAACAACTTGTTTGTAAACAACTTGCGTTTTAGCACTGGGTGTCGTATCAGGATCTAGAATCGCACCGAGAAAACTCAGCTCTAATTTCGAAGCGAACGTTCCCATCTGTTTAGGCTTGAATGAAATCATGATGTCCGTGGAGTGTAAGGGTTTTAAAACAGCCTTGCATGGTTTGGGATGGAAATGTGCCAGTGCTTTGGTAGCAAATGTGGTTGGTAAAAGAGCTGAGTTGTTTGTGATGGAACACAACGCGTCGATATGATCACCAACGTCGCATTTTCCAAACAAAAATTTAGCGCCAGGATTAACTGTGATATCCACTGGTACAGCCGTGCCCGAGACTGCAATCTCCCGTTTGCAACCTGAGGATAAATAAATGAGGTTTGTTATAAAATATGATAGCAGCTTATTTGAACATCATTCAAATACCATACCATGTTTAAACGCGCCTTCCTCGCTCTGGTTGATTAACCCCACAGCTTCAATGTTGATGAACAAAGCATAGTCCTTTCTTGGAGCTATTTCCTCTGCACTTTTCCAACCCAAGTTTGATTTCTGGAATCTTGGGCTGAATTTAAAGAAGAGTTCAGTTGTTTGTCCTGAAGCAAGTGTTCCTTGGTTAGGAAACGCCGAAATCAAAGACGTTAAGTCTTCTCCTTCATCACCATTATCCGACTGAAAACGTGTGTGAGAGGTCATCAACGCTGTTGCATTCTTGGTTAGATCTAGACCCTTGTGTAAAAAGGAAAGGGAATTGTGAAGATCTTTAGCTAAGTAACAGCAATCAGAATATGCAATGGCGCAATTCGTAGGATGAGGAATCTGTTTCCAGGTGGTAGTTTATAACGCAATGTAGATAAAAATAGGTACGCATAGCGTACACGCAGGTGACCTATGTACCTCTAAAAGATTAATGGGGTATGATCGAGACACAGGATCTACTAATTCATGTAACTCTAGGTACGGATAAAATACCCAAACTTACCACCTCTTGCCCTTCACTATCCTCATCTAATAAGACAACAAAGTTAATCTTATCAGGACCATTATTACTTAGAAGGAAAGATTGCAGTTGATCTGTGCCATAGTATGTTGGACCAAACTGTATGTGCTCTACTTCTGTTCTGCTTTCTGGATTTAAAAGTTGAATGTTTCTTTCAACAACATTTGCAAGAACTTCTGTATGACCTTGTTCTTGACCTTCAAGCTTGACACTGAAAAACATGGAAATATAAGATTGATATTTTGGAGGATTAAGCCTGTCTGGAGTACCATAACAATGTCCATACTTACTTTATAACTTCTTGTACTTTTCCACATGTTTTGCTAATAAACTCCACCTAAGAAGAGCATAATGATTTTACCATGAAATGAACCCAAAGCTACAAGAACTGCAAATCAAGCATTGATAGAATGACTTAAATAGTCACCTTAATTTTTTGAGATGTTTCTGCCTCAACCACACCACTAGTGGGTGATAAAGTGATTGGCTGTTTTCCAGTGTACTTGATTTTAAACTCTCCAGCTTTACTTCCATAATTATCAATGGAGAAATAACTTGTAAGAACCTTTCCATCAGCGACTATTGATCCAAAATTAACTGGTCCACAGATTTCCAGTTGAGGTGATGGTGTGAAACTGCACAATTCAAAAGAAATAAATCATGGTGTTAAAGCAGACAGGTCGACCATACTACACTATACAAATTACATCACTGATCACTTACGCTATCAAAGGAATCTCAATGATGTCATTATCAACCAATAATATTGCTCTATCTTGTTTATCTTCTGCATGGTCAGTGTAATACTCTACCAAGGCAGTCACATCAAGTCCTGGAGCGATAGGTTTGTCTGGATTCTTAACTTTCACTGAGAAAAACTGCAGAATAAAAGATGATTTCATTAGCTTTCCTTTGAAGAGACGAAGTAAAGGTAGACAGACTAAAATAAAACATAAGACTGGACGGGCAAGAGATTCCTTTACCTTGGAGTCTGGAGCATGAAATCGTACAGACTTTGAGAACTTGCTTAGGTTCTGTACTTTCAAGTTCATCTGATGCAACACGCCAGGTTCAGCGTCATGAAATTGAACAACGGCCGGTAAAATCCGGACACCAGCAACACTTCCTTCCATCTTTATCATATATTAAAGGCTTTCGATGAAATACATTGTCAATCTCCTTATTTTCTACTCCCAAAAAGTGTATCTTGCAAAATAGATGCAGTTTTTGCAATGTTTCTGGCCACAGGATGAGCAAATCATATAAAAGTGGCCACCATATTGGTTTCCAAGCGCGTTGCCTAGCAACCAGAAAAGGCAACAGTTATCCACGCGAGTTCCCCACGCACCACAACCACGCGTCGTACGTCTTTTCAGGGGGAGGAAGACACTTTTTATCAAAGGTCCAAAGAATGCTTGATTTTATTACAACTTTTCATTTGTTTTGATTCTGATATCTGCCATTTGAAAACACTACCGATGCAACACTGTTCACTTACGTAATTATTTGGCTGGTTTGTATGCATGATGGATGAAACAACAGCCAAAGAAGCGAAGGAACTAGTTGATGAGTTGAAATTGCAATCAGCAGCAGTGGAGGGACACTCTGTCTCTGAAGAGTCAGAAGAGACGAAAGAAACTAGCAATGATCCCAGGGTTTACACAGATCCAAATGATGGTACTCAATATGAATGGGATGATCAAAAGAGAGCATGGTTTCCTAAGGTTGTGTGACAGTTTCTTTTGTGGATAAACTTAGTGAATTTGTTGAAATAATACAAAGATTAGTCATATCCATCCAAAATGCATCTTCATAGAGCATTTACAGATTAACCCCAGTATCATTGAAAGTTTAATATTTATTGATTGTCACAAAAATGCACCTCAAATCAATCTTCTGTTTGCTCTGCATAGATTGATGAGGATTTCATTGCTGTATATCAGATGAACTATGGTTTTGGTAATGAGGAGGGCCAACCACCAACTGGTAATGAAGAAGAGAACAAAACCCAAACAACAGCTCAACCAACAAGTGCAGAGCTTACTGAACAGAACACCAAGGTGTTGATGGCAATATACTTGTTTTACATGATAGAATTCCTGTTGATTTCCATCCACATACCAAGCTAACTTCAGCTCTCTTTTGCGTTTTTCATTCACAACTTTAGCCTGCTGAAGAACCTGTTCTAAACACTGGCCAGAAAAGGAAAAAGGAACCTCCATGTATGCTCAAAATTTCTGTTAGCTTCTGCTTGGAACTCTCCTTATCTTATGCCCCTTGTCTTGGAGATATACAGCTGTATAATCCCAGCAATACAAATGAATCCTTTGCTAATTATTCTTTTTAATAGCTTGGTTTGAAATGGATGAAAGCAAGAATACAAATGTCTATGTTTCAGGTTATTGAATAAATCATCTCAAATTTATCACATCATGAGTGATGAAAGATGAAATTCTTACAGGAGTACCATTGTGATACATTTAGGTTTACATGAGGAAACTACAGAAGAAGAATTTGTTGAATTCATGAGCAAATGTGGGATTATCATGGAAGACAACGATACAAGTTAATACCTAGAAACCCTTCAGCTTTACAAATGACAAGATCTTCCCAGTTCTTCTACCATTCAAACCCCTAATCCAGCCTAAACCCCCCTAAAAATTTAGATTTTTCATCTTCAGGAAAACCAAAGATCAAACTGTACAGAGACCAAGAAGGAAAATTGAAAGGAGATGCCAGATGTTGCTACCTGAAGGTTGGTCTCAGATGTTGCAGTTCTTTAAAAGATTGTGAAAGTGCAAACAGTTCAAGTACTTCATTCATATTCAAATCTCAACTATAGATTGAAAGTGTGGATTTAGCTCTCAAGCTACTTGATGACTCAAATTTCAAAGGAAAGCAAATTAAAGTGGAGAAGGTTACTGTCCATGAAAATTAAGGAATTGTCACATCTAATGCAACTTATATATCACTTCACGTTACAAAGTTTCTCCTTCAGGCTCATTTTGAAATGAAAGGTGCATATAATGCTTCTCTAAAACCTAAGAAGAGAAAGAAAAAGAAGAAAGCAAAAGGACAAGACAAGTAAGGAGAAAATCACAACAGGAAAACCGACAAGCTCTGGAAACTCAACTTCTTCTTATCTTAATAGATTATTGGATTGGGTTGATCGAGAGGAGAAAGTATCAAAGCTAGATCGTATTGTTGTCATTAAAAACATGTTTGATCCAAATGATTTTGAGGTGATGGAACAAATTTAGAATAAATAAAAACATTGATAGAGAACATCTTACCACAAATTATTTCCCTTTCAACTTTTTACTCTTTATTGCATCTGTAGAAAGATCCATCAGTGCTCTTGGACCTTAAGAATGATATCAGAAAAGAATGTGAAAAGTATGGTGTTGTACGAAAAGTAATGGTCTTTGATGTAAGTTGTTGTGTGAAGTTAAATTTTGAAAAGATACAGATATAATAGTTTTGTGAAAAAGAATTGTACATCACCTTGGAACTCGTAAGTATGATCTTTTTCAGAGACATGTTGATGGTGTGGTGTCCGTTGGCTTTGCTGAAATTGAGCCAGCAGATGTGTGTATACGGGTGAGCATTCTGAAAATATATAATTAACGTGAAACGATCTGTAAAGAAGTACATTGGCAAAATCAACAACTTAGGTATTAATGAATGTCAAGATTTGGACCAGACTGTAAACTTTCCTGCCTAAATAGGTGAACATAATTCGCGGAAGGATTTCGTTAGTAAATGCATTTCTTTTTTTTGCTTTATTACTTTACAGGAGATGAATGGTCGTTGGTTTGCTGGAAGAAAATTACTTGCTCAGAAATGGGATGGCGTCACGAAATACGAAGTTGAAGAAACAGAAGAAGAGAAGGAAAAACGATTAAAGAAATGGGAAGAATATTTAGAAAGAAAAGATGAAGAGAATGCGTGAACATTAATTATTTAATGAAACAGAATGACATATTCTGGTTGTGGTTTTTATTCTGTACCTAACTGATGTCTTCAAAGAATTTCAGTAAATTTAAGATACGAACATAAGATCTGAACTGTCCCGAGCTTTAAACAAGAGAAAAGTTAGATAAGGTTGAACGTGCTAACGAAATGGTTGAACAACCGTCACAAATACGATTTGTGAAGGTAATTTTAACCTCAAAGACGATTACAAGAAATACGTTACCATAGAGTGGACTGTAAAAAATTGTGAAATGACTTTACATTCAATAAAGTGTTCCAACGTTCTGTGCATTATGTTTCTGTCATACCTGAAAATATCGTTTGCTGAAGTTGAACTATCTACGCTGCCTTATACATAATTGATTATAACAATTAATTTATTATCCATGAGTATATGGTAATACGATGTACGCTTGTATTAACTATGGAAGTTTTGGAAGATGTAAAACAAATTCTCTCCCCGCATAAAAAATCATTTCCCCATACCCAGAGATCTTAAATCCCCTGGGACATTTACTGCTGGACTTTGAATAGCGAAAACAAAGTTTAACACGTGGTTAACATGTCCCACATACGCTTTGATGGTTAACTTATCATAAAATGTTAAATACAACGCAATGGTCCCGCCTTAACGATTCATAACACCACAGCAGTTTGAATAGACGTGCAAAGGACTTCTTTCAAAATGAATTACAATCCTTTGGAAACAATGGATAGGAATAATAATGATTTTGGGATTATAAGCAACAACGAAGGTGAAATATTTGATAAAGTTATGATGTCTGCAGAGAACGAGGATGATTGTAATTATTTGAATTTGATCGCTGAGTGCATTTCAGAAATTTCCCAGGCTGAGTCTAACGAAAAGAATTGTTCAGTTGAAGTTATTAGTGAGACGTGCGAAGTACATAAATATTACCAGCAGACAGCCGATGCAACAGTCGAAAACCACTTCACTCGCTCGCTTGCCACTGAAGAATTGAACATGTCAACAGATGCGAGTAAGAAAGAACTCCCAGTTAAAAAGACAGGTAAAAGTATTTGCATCAGTTCCTCGTTATCACACTGGCTGTTTTAAATACCCTTTACGCACATAACAAGGTTTTAATTGTTTGTTGTTGATTTTAAATTTCCCGCATTAAATGCAAACCTCTTCACAGTGTGATTAATGAACAGTATTGAAGAAAATGCTCATTGTGAAGGCCTGAGTTGATGTGCTTTTTGTATGTCACCCGGCAGGTTTTTTCATGATATACAAGGGAGTTTAAAGAAGCTGTGTCTGTAGACTCACCGGAACAGGATGCATGTGGGCATTCTGTTGTCCAGGAGCCGTCGTCATGAGATTAGCGTCAGAGATAACAACAACCAGATTAACAGCATGTCGTATTAAGCCTGGCCTGGTTTCCATTTTATCGTAACAGTCGTGAACAAGTCATTTTCAGCGATGAGAAATGGTTCGGATGTAAATTTGTCTTTATTTTTGTATTCAAATCGGTAATTGTTGGAGATATGAATATTTCATCACGTCAACCAGCTTGACATGTTCAGGAGAACTACGATAAAATGGAAACCAGGCTTTAACGATGCTAAATGCTTTAATACATCCGTGTTGATGTGTAAAATGTTTCGTTAACAGGAGCATCAAAGAGAAAAGCAAGGCGAAAACCAACAGTCACATCGTTGATGCCAAGTCGTCCTCAGGTTACAAAACACGCACGTGTCGAACACACCATGGTTCAACCAATGCCACCTGTTCAACCAATAAGACCGGCTGAACCAATGAGACCTGTTGTGGTTCAACCATACACTCTCATGCATCCAGTGTGCGGAAAACATGCCAGCCCTGCAATAGAGTGGACGGTGGCCCGTCGTATTATATGACATCGCGACCACAGTACTGTTTACCGTATCAAAGATACGATAGTAATAATAGTGAAAATATCAATGATTCAAAACCACCAGTATATACAGCATACTACAATGGGAACACTTTTGTTGAAGTGTACTCCCCCTCCGTGGGGAATGGGTTCAACCCTAGGTATAATTCTATGCTGATTGAACCAACAGTACGACCATTCTTACCACATATCACTGGTTTAAATACCACCATATCAGCAGCAATGGCTGACCTACACACCTTTCATCAAATGGCAGTTGAATTTCGTTTTCCTGGTTCATGATATGATCCCAGTGTTCTTAACGAGTAATTATGAGTTGCAATTAAATTGTAATTTGAAGCTAAAGCTTTAGTCTTCGTTGTGACAGGCTGTGCACTGAAATCTTGTTAAGCCTAATCGTTGTAAGCTTTTCCTTATTAAAAAAATAAGGATTTAAATTAATTCTGATATCCGTTGAGAGACAACTCTACTGAGCTTGTATCTTGCAATCAATTGAACAATTGTCTGGTAAATTTGTATGAAATATGGTTAATTTAATGAATGTTGTAGTATTTGATAATAATGGATGTTTTAAAAAATAAATGTGTGAAACTGTTACTGAAAAAAACATTTAGAAAAAAAAACGGATTCGCATTTAATGGTAATGACGTAGGTTATTAACTATAGCCAATACACCATGGATGTACATTAGAGGTGGTACATCTATGGATATAGTTGCGGTACAATATTTTGGCAAATAATGCTAATTTTTTCATATATATATTGCCCTAGAAAAAATTATCACGGCTTATTTGGCCAATATATTTGAAGTGTTATTTTCAAATTTTCTATTCACTTCGTATTGAAGTGTTCGCGATTAAAAGAGGAAACGTTTGGTATAGGAATTCAACGCCCTAAAATAATCGCGGTAATCTCGCACATTCCAGAATGAAGTCATGCAACCGGTAATGCATTCTGGGATAGCTGAGGCCCTTTTGCAGTAGAAGAATTTAACAGGGTAGTGTCGAGGCGGTAAACATATCGTATATTTAACAAAGAAGCAAAGTTATTTTTGAACTGCTTCTGTTGAAGTCGATCACAGTTGATGAATAAAAAGCTACTATTATGTGATCTTCAAGGAAGGAAAGCGACTCTTGATTGTGGTTTGTTTAGATATAAATCATGCCTTTGATAAAACGTGAAATTCAACCGGTCTACGTCAGCCGAGTAAAGCTTCAGAAAGGGCTGGTGAATGAGTTTGAATCAGTATCAGTCAGTACGCTTGCTGGTATCGTACGACAAATCAGCAGTTTAGCGAAGTATTCCGAGGATGTTTTTGATGAAATTTTACACGAAGCGAACTGTTTACATAAACGAGCAACGTCTTTGCAAGGAAGAATATCTGGCCTGGCTCAAAAAGTCACCAAGCTCGACTCGTCCGTGGAAGAAAGTATGTGCCTTAACATCTTATTTACTTAAAGCTTTCTTCCATTAGGTGTTAATAAATCATGCTACTTAGAGTGAGAAATTATTGGCAATTTGTTGTACGTATATATATATAAGCCGAAAGTGATGGCAAATCTGATTACAAAACATTAGTTCCTGTATATATTAAAAGTCCATGTATATATTGGCGATTTTCATTTTCAGATTTCATATTCAATTGTAATATGTGAGGAACAAGAACGTAAACAATATTCTTTCAATGAGAATAAATTAAAGCTACTCGCGTTCGAAAATGTGTCAATTTTAACATTTGCAACAAATGTTCATTTCATTGAGTAAATAAACTTGCAAAATTAGTGAACCGTTCTTTCACTTGTGTGCGTTAGTATATAGTTGTGCAAAAATACTGAGGTCTTGGATTCATTTCAGACCAATATTTTTGCCTCCTTTTCCTAGGTATCATTTAATTTTTTCATAGTTAACGTGGATTTCTTTTTAAGAATTGCTTGGAAACTTTTTATATGTTTTAACAAGATTATGTGGTTTACCAATTCATTCCAAACATTCCAAAGTTTAAAGTCTGACAGCAAATAGAAACAGTCTGGCATTAGATGGAGTAAAGACTGTTTTTTTTCCTTCCAGTTTCTTTACAAGATATTAATATCAAGAAGGCTTTCAAGTCCACTGTCGTAACAGACCAACAAGTTGTGGGTAGATCAACATTGCCCAACTCAATGTCAGAGAAATACAACATGTGTGATGCACCACCTAGACTACAAGATATGAATACATATCGAGATGATGGAAAAGACGCCCTCAAGTTTTATACTGATCCGACTTACTTCTTTGAATTATGGAGGGAAGAAATGAAAAAGGAACAGGATAGGAAAAAGAAGAAAAAGGTAAAGTAGAGAAGAGTTGATCAGAGATACATCATCTTCATGCTGTAGGAACTTAAAATATCTTATTTCTTTTCCATTGTCCCAAACTTTTAAATGATCTAATTACGTCAAATGATTGATTCATTCAGAAACATAACCGTAGCACTGGAAGAACACAGTCACAAGTGAAGATTAAACATCTCAAGAAGAAAGTATATTCTGGAAAAGATAAGGAATTAGAAACCTCTAATGCTAAATATTCAATAGAAGATAGTTCAGGTGCAACAACTCAAAATGAAATGAAACCTCCCGAGCAAAATGGCGGTGTCCCAAGTCCAACAATTTCGTTATCTCCAGAGCCAAACCAATATGATGACAGACGAGCAACAACTGGATCAAGAAGAGGAACTGCTGCAAAACTACCTCGCCCGGCAACAAAACCACCACCACCCCCTCCTGTTCCAAGCCCAGTGGGCCAAGACAACTCTCTATTACCCCAACCACCACCACCTAATTTCCCACCACCTATGGCATCACCTGATATCCCACCACCACCACCACCTCCTCCTGATCCTAACATCCCTGCACCACCTCCCCCACCACTACCAACTGTTCACCAAAATCATCTTCCACCACCCTCATTAACCCCCAGTGAACCTGTACAACCACCTGAACCAAAACCAATCGATGCTCGGACTGACTTACTTGAAGCGATTCGTACAGGAATGAAATTGAAAAAGGTGCAAGTAGAAATAGAGAAGAAAGAACAGCAGAATGTAGGTATGGATGTCGCATCTATACTTCAGAGACGTATTGCAGTGGAATATTCGGACAGTGAGAGTGAAACAGGTTCGGAATGGGACGATGATGAGGATGACTGGCAGGATGATGAGGACTAGTACATGATAATAGTTAGCATAATAAAACTAATCATGTGTGAGGATCCTATTAATGGAAAAATAACTAGTAGGTGTTTGCAAGACAGTAAGCAATCTCTCTGTTTATGTTTGCATTACATAATGCACAAATTAGCACAACCATTTTTGTAAGTAATTAGATTATAGTGTAAGGAGTATGTGAATCCTATAAGATATCTGTTGAAGAAGTTACTAAGAAAGCTTTTCTTACAAGGCTTACAGTAGCTTTGCTCTTTTGCCTGGTTTGCAAAAGACATTTATTGCATAATTTAATATAAGCCTTATTTTCAGTACGCTTTGTGCTATCAATGACAGAATGATGCAGTGTCCACATTCGTGTTTTTTAAAAACAATCAAAGGTTTCGTTGCACAAAACCTTGAGTGTCATAATTTATGGATAATTACATAGGATATTTTAGAGTTTTTAATGTAATTTTCAATGTTAATGGTAAAACGTAAATGCTACTACTAATATACTGCTTGTGTGTTTTCTTGCAATCCATTCTGGAGTTGCTTCTGTCTGGTGTGTGTTGTGTTATGCTCCCTTAAAAAAGCTCATCTTCATGCTCTTGCAATATCAAAACAAGGCTCAGGATTATGGACCTGTTTGTTAGTCTCTCCATAGCACAACTGATATTTCAATTCAAGACATCAGGTAATGGTAGATGCAGTGATCTGTCAACCCCCTTTTTATGAAACGCAGAAATTTTGTAGGGTTTAAAACAGTGTTACCTTGTAGACACAATATCAAACCACTCTTCTTTTGTTTTTTTTCTGCAACGAATCCAATCTTCGCACCTTCGTCATATTTCAAAGACCTCTCTTAGCTTCACTCAAAATTCTTCAAAATTTACTTGAATTTTCTGACTGCAGTTCTTTTCTTCTTTCGCACTTGCGCGAGTTTCTCTCGTGTTTCACCAAAGAACATGACATCGCGATCTTCCAGCTGTTGCTGTAGGAATCGCAGACCTGCCAGATTGAAACCAACCACGTCCTGAGAATGAAAGTATAAATGAGCTTTCAGATGCTGTTCAGCACAATCACAGTACCTAAGATACCGTCCACATCTGTACGAAGCATACTCGTGGACATTCGGGGAGGCGGGAGGGGGTTACCTTCATTTCCCGGACTCTAGTTTGGGTGTGTGACCTGATTGAGTCCATAACTGGAAGAAGTTCAGGAGAAGCGATGATTTGATTATGATGAATTCTGCAACCATAAAAATAAGTTATTGGTTTAACGGTTTCTGAATCTACAACGCAATTGTTTAGCAATCTTTATACCTTAATAGGTAAAATAAACAGCGACAAGTCAACTCTGTTTCCCAGTCGTTCTATAAACGAACCGTAAAACAATATTTAGAATACGAAAAATCGCCAGAGATTAAAAATTTGAATTTCATACCTTCATCCATTCAAGGAATAGTTTTAAAATATCAATCACGTAATCAAATGGTAACACGAGAAGAGATTCTTCCAGTTCGCTGAAATATAGTGTTAAAGTTAGGCCTGCGGTGGATGGGAAAACGTCTTAGCGAAGACCGTGGAGCAAAAGTTGTAAATAACGTTTTTCCAAACATAAGATGTCAAATACCTGGATTTAATTTTCTTTACAACAAGAAGTACGTAATGCACAGGCTAAAATAGGAAGGAAAATGCAATAAATCTTTCTCATGACGTCAAACGCAGTAAGCCTGATGTTACAGTTTGATTGGCTGCGCAAAACGAAACTACGAGCCAATCAAACGTCGTGTTAAATCAAGGCTTTCCGCGCACTACGAGAATTGAGGCTCAAACTAGAACTTCACTTACACTGACGTTCCCAAATGCAGCCAATATTGGATGAATAGCCCGTCTTGGTAGCTGTAGAGACAGTGACAAATTAGCATGTGTAGTTACGTTCATTGCAAACAGGAAATATAAAAGAGATAAAACACACCGTCTTATCTGTTGCCATTTGGTGGGCCTCGTGCTCTTCATCTTTTAAACGCTCTTCTTTATAAAGCTCGATGGCTTCCATGATTCTTTCAGCCTGGTAAAAATTTAGTAAATGCAAAAATTCCACCTGAGTTTTGGTTTATATGCATTTAAAAACTCACTCCTTTGATAGTTTCGATTGTCTTCTTCCCAGCTTTGACGGCTTCTGAGTCCTGCTCGCCTGGAATCTTTAGGAAAGACAAAATAACTATCAGAAATAATCGCAATTTCTTCTTGAATAAAAAATAAAACTCACTATAGTCTCAGTTCCAGTTACAACACTCTCCTCGTAAGCTGCTTCACGTTCCTAAAAACATACAAAGAATAGTAAAAAAAGCTCAAAACGTTTTCCACCAAATCATAGCGAGTTCTCTCCATAGCTTGTTTGATTTCTTCTGTGTGTAGAGCAGAAGCTGTAACCTTACCAAATCTCTTTCTTCCTCGACAAATAATGGTTCGTCTGTTCTTTCCCAAAGTCTCAAAGATTTATCATGTGAGCCACTGACCTACAATTTATGCACATTACATCTGTTACGTGTCTAGAAAGATGTAGTTTTCTTGCGAGTGGCTTCTCTATAGTATTCTCCTTCAAAAATTCCTTTAAAATCATTGTTAATTATACAAATCTTACAACAAATTCGCCATCAGGACTAAGAGCAAGACACCAGATTTCAGAATGATGTCCTTCCAACGTCATTACATGCAAGAATTTGTCCGCATCCCAGTACTTTATAGTTTTATCTTTACTTGCAGAGAAGAAATAATGTGTGTTTGGTACGAACTGAAAAAAAAATTATTAAAAAATATTTATCTGCAGGAATTTATCTGTCTCTTAACTGTCATTGAGATAACGTTGAAAATTCATACCTGGACTGCCATGACACTAAAGAAAAAGAAGAAACAATTCGTTCATTTCAACATTTCTTTACGGCTCTGTTGCGAAGTCGAGCAGTGATGAACGCGAATGCAATACCTGTCATCGTGAGCAAATATAGACTTTCGACAATCCCCAAAATCTAGGCCCCAAATCTTGATATTTTTATCAGCTCCTCCAGACACTAAAAGCACGCAGTCCTGTGAAGAAAATGAAACGTAATTCAATCCACAGAAAGCGATAATGTGCGCAATCTACTAGGTTCTTCCTTACTGATGAAATATCCATTGACACCACGGGTAATTTGTGACCGTAGAGCGAAAGAAAGAACTAAAGTTAACAAGAAAAAGGTGATAAAGTTTGCTGCTGATACCAGAAGATTTTGAAGCAACATTTGTACGTTTCAGATGTCATAAGAACTACCTTAAGTGTGTCTGAGAAAAATACTTTGATGGTAAAATCAAGAAGCGCGACAGCAATGAACTTCTGGTTAGGACTGGGAAAATAAAAACAAAACATTCATTAGTAGTTTTCAAGAACTTTGCCAATTCAAATCATTCAAAAATTACCTAAATTTTACACTCAACACATCATCTGTCATCTTTAATGTTCTTACGTGACAAATGCTTAATCTTTTACTAAACAAAAAGAACGTTATTCACAAAAACTGTTCACGAATTGTACGTTTATGAAATGTTCATGTTACCAGACCTTGTTTTGGAATAATTCTCATCAGCAATAAGATCAAATTCCCAGAATTTTACATCCTTATCACCACTTCCTGAGACAAACAATGTCTGAAAGAAAACCGTGTTTAGCGATCCAATATTTGTAAGTGAATCAAGATCTTTTTGGTGGCGGATTCGGCGTCTAAAGATTTTGAATAAACCTGAAAACGTAAGCATTGTACCAACCTTATCTGGAGCTATGGCGAGAGACCAAACGGCTCCCTCGTGGGCATCAACGCTCTCCAAAAGAGCTCCTGACGAAATGTCAAAAATTTGTATTTTTCCAGCCTAGAAATAAAATACAAAGCAACTGGTTGTACATATGATATTTGGACTGCAAGAATTATTTATGATATATCAAACAACAAGACTTACAAACCTTTGTTCCAACTACGACATGTCTGTCACCAGGGACAAAAAACGAGGACAAACAATATCCAGAAGACATCGTCCTGATACATTTTTGAGTTGTTCTAATCATTGAGAATTAAGATACAAAATGATTTGTCATATAAGAATCTTTATGGAATATACTAACATCCATTACAAGCTATATATAATCACGTTGAGTAAGGAGAACAGTAAGCTACCTATTCCATACTTTTACACTTTCAGTTGAACCTGACAGAATACATGAGCCATCAGAATTGAAAGATAATGTCCTAAAAAACAACGGAAGAGGTTCGGAATAGGCAAACCTATTTCATCAAACACTCCAGCAGTAAATCACATACCTCACATCACTTCTATGACCAGGTGTCTTAATGGAAAAGACATTATTTTCTTCCTGGTTTTCTGCCATATGATACAACTCTATGCTATTATTCTGGAGCAGCAACAATATCTAGAAAAATGCAGAACATATCTTAGTTTCTTGTAAAAATAACACAATGTCGCAATAGGCATCATCTTGTTACCTTCAATCCATCATTTTCACTGAGATGAAAGTCAAAGGATCTGCAAAAGAGTAGAACTTTATGTTGCATGGAGCATTACATGTAAAATATTAAAACATGAAAACATGCCAGGAAAACATGGTACCTTATCTTAAAAGACCCTTTAAGATCTGGTAATTTTATAAATTCATCATCCACAGTAACAGCCACCTCACAAGTAACCTATGAAGTTATCAATGTCAATTTAGACGATGACTGAAATATTTTATAGTCCTTACTCAAGGATTGGTAAAATTCTTTAAACTCACTAATGGTGTATCTCCATCTTCTTCCGCTTGTGATCTAAATATAGTTTAGTAAATTTAAAAAAAAGAAGTTTCTAGATTAACTTGTGTTTCTGGCTTTCTGGGATGATTGAAAGGCATAAGAGTGAAAGTCACATTTACCTTTGTTTTTTCAATATCTTTTTCCTTCTTTTTGACAAACGTTTCTTAATTTCATCCTCAGTTGCAATACGGAACAACTCTAGTGTTGAATTAGCACCCTACAATAAATTTATATATGGTGATAATAATGTCTGATTTCCCCTTCATTTATCTGGAATAACATTACTCAAATTTACAAAAGGGTTACCAACTCACATGACAACCAATGTATTGTCCAGTTGGATCAGCACACAGTGAGACAACACGATCTGTTGAAGTTCTCATCACAGATCCAAGAAGAGTACAAGAAAGGCATCCCTTTGAAAAAAATATAAACAAAAATGATGGACAGAGTGGTACAGCATATCTATAGCTCTACAATTATTGAGCTTCATGTACATTTGGAAAGATTGCTATCCATAACCAAAACAGTTCTTGTTATTAACCTCTGTCTCTTCAGAAACATCTGAAGCAGGTTGTGTTGATTTTCGTTTTTTTTCTTTATTGCTCAATGATTCAGGACTTTCTTCTTTATACTTTATTTCCCATATTCTCAGCTCACTGTCAGCACAACCAGTTATCAATCTTGTCTCATTTTTTGTTATTGCAAAACCCCAAACCTACAACAAAAGGAACCTTTCAATATTTCCTCCTCCATCTAATGAGTTCTTGGCAGTATTCTACCTCACTTCTATGACCAACCAGTGTCAGAAAACAATGCTGAGAATCAAGATCCCAAAACTTCACAAATGTGTCTTTGGAACTGAGAAAATGAAATGAATGACTGTCAATTGAGCCTTGACAAAATGAAAAATAAACGCACAAGAAAAACCACAAATAGTATACCTGGTGACTAACACATTGGCAGTTTCCAAAAAATGGCAACCAGTCACCATTCCCTTGTGTCCTTTCAACCTGAAGATTAGGACCACAATTTGTTGCAAGTCTCAACAAAGTCTGTAAGTAGTTTACCAAATATCATTGTCCTTACCTGAACATCCCACATTCATTTATCACATCCCAAATGATAACATCTGTATCCTTGAATGTAAAATGTATTTGAAGTGAAAAAGATGACATTAGAGGCATTTAGCTTGGTGTTTACAACACATGTACCTCCAACTACAAATGGCAAAATTAATTTTGAAGTTTCAAAAGAAATGCGATTTACCTTTGAACCAGAAACTAATCTCACTCCAGATTGATCATACTGCAATGAGGTCACTGCTGACTTGTGACCACTAAAAACATCATGGTGAATGATATTTGGTTGCTCTTACAAAATTAATATATCACAATTCATGATCCTAAACTAGTGTTTACCTAAATGTCACCAGTGCAGAACCGTCTGCAAGATTCCAAATCTTAATGCTACCATCAGCGTACCTGAAGAGAGAGTACCAGACCATGTTAGACAAAATACATCAACGGTTGAGTAATGTTTAGAACAAAACCTGCAAATTTTGAAAACCTACCCAACTGCAAGATTGTCTGAATTTAGGCTGTGACAGAGACAAGTCACCTCACTTTTGTTGCCTTTTAAAACTTGCACCTTAATACAATTTAGACATAAGATTCAATCATTAATGAAATATTTGGTATACTAACTCCAGAAATGTTTTTGTCTATTATTTTAGTCTATATTTAATTACTCTCTAGATTCTATAAAGTATGTTAATTTATAATAGTGATTTTCTGATCATCTGTGAAGTAACCCACCCTTTCTCCTGTTCTTAAATCCCAAACATAGATATTTTCAAGCGCTGGGACAACAGCATAATATGTTTCCCTTCGCATCTGACCATTTTCAACGAGACATACGTTAGCTCTCGTACTGCCAACGACACCAAAATTCCCTGCATCCACATAACGAAGATATGACTTAGTAAGTACCATTTTTAATACACCATTGAAAAAACTTCTGTGAAAACTAGTTAAACTACACGAGACAAAAATAATGAGGTTAATCCAGACTAGTATATAGGTCAGTGCTTCAACCCATTGAACTGTAAAAAACTGGAACGCGGAAGAACTGGAACCCCAACCATCAAGACATCTGATTGTAGAAATATTATCTCTATTTTACCACAAATAATACAAGCAATTAAAATTATGTACAGTTCACGTTTGGTTAAAGATATATTACTATCATAACTGAAAAGACAAATGTGTACCAGCTTTACGTCTAAAATTGCTGCTTTGGATAATTTTAAAAGAAACATTCCTTCACCATTTCTGAACACCATAACAGAAACTCAGAGTTAGCTGGTATATATTAACTTTTCAGTTCAGCTTGAGCTAAAGCCTAAGGAACAAGCACAACACAGAAACAAATTACGTTAAGAGAAAGTTTTCCAGAAATGCCATTCTGCTAAAATGTTTAAAATATTGCTAATACATTGTTGTTTACAGGTGAAAAGGTATAGACATAAGCAGGCAAACTCCTCATTAAAATTTGCCAAAAATAAAAATTACAAAAAATTCTTGTACTGTATGTTATATGCGCCTATAAGCTGAATAAAATCGTTATAATCAAAATTATCATATTGATATCAACATATTGATATCATCAATTCTAGATATCCATGATAACATGATATCATCTAAAGAATATTTTGTACGTGTTATGCATTGAGGTAGCTTTCTACAGTATTCCATTACGAAAATTGTAGCGCTATGAAGAAGCCCCCTTTGGCAAACCATGATATTTAGAAAACTGTAGATAGCTACAACAAACCATCTCACAAATTATCAGATTATACGTCTCATAAAGAGTCCCCATTCATCCATTGTTGTTCCCATTTCGAGGCCGTTTGTCTCTTAGGTGGAGTGTTATCATTAAAAACCTTCATTTTGTCTTTAAAAGGTAGTTTTGCCTGATCAGGGCTTGGCGATTTACCGAAATCGGTTGAAACACTACCACCACGTGGCATAGGCACAGGATAGTTATTATTATGTGGCTGTTGTTGTCTGCTTGGGTACGTTGCATAACCATCGTCGCTGAGCCTAGCCCGCGCACGTGACATCTGCTCATTGTCTCTATAAAGAGGGGGGTTAGAACCGCCTTGGTATTCGTGGGGGTTAGAGCCTCCGTTATTAATCAAACTTTGGGGTTTTGGTGGGGGTGGTGGTCTTTGGTAGTAGTCTGCTTGATCCTGTGATGGAGGAGGAGGAGGTAGTACGTCTTCTTCGTCGATGTTAGGTTGTACGTCGTCTGCGACCTTATCATCATGGACAAATTTTACCCCTGGTTTTGCTAACGCTGCGTCAGGTGACGGTTGAATTATCTCAGTACGAACACTTGCGAACTTCACTCGTCGGGTGCGGCCGGAAGAAGGATCTCGTACATCATCATCGGAGTCGGGTTGCTTGATATTTCTATTTCGTAATTGATTCGCTCTCGCCTCTCGGAGTCGGTCGTCTTCCTCGTGCTGTCGCTGTAATTCCTTTTCTCTATCCCACTCCCCTTGATTTTGGTGTGATTCTACCTCGGACGCTGCTCCGGGGGTTGGTTGCCTTAGAAATTCGTTTTGTTGGAAATCTTGAACTAACTGTTCATCTTGTTGTCTTCGTAATTGTTGTTGCTTGCGATTCCTCTCTTCTTCTTCTCGTTGCCAATCCACACGTGCACGTGGTCTGTCTTCGGCATCCCTCGCATTCCCCCGCGGTCCCCAATTATCCTGCTGTACAGGCACCCGGATGACTCGAACCATTCCTCCGTCCACACTATCGTTCCCACTCTCTTGTGCAAGACGTTGTTGGAACTGTCGCTCTACCTCTGCGGGATCCATGTCAAACGAGTCGTCTTTAGCAGCTTGCATGGGCGGTCTTTTTCCAGTTACAACATTTCCAGGATTATCTTCACTAGGAGGACGGTTTGTGTATTCCAATGGTGGAGTACCTCTGTTTTCATCAGGTGGTGCTGCTCGCACTGGTCTGTAATCTTGACGGTTTGGACGAGGAGCTTCGCTTTTCTTTTCATCACCAAAGTTTCCACGAGAAGCTTCATTCGTTAATGGCGGCCTTCTTGAGTATTCGTTGGAAGGATTATTTCTGTCGTCGGCAGGTGTCGGAGCTCTCACTGGCCGACGCGAATCATCATTTTTAAGCGACCCGCTTTTCTCGTTCTCTGATCCCCTATCAGCGACATAATGTACCTGTGTACTACCAGCAGGTGGTCTGGCCAGTTTCTGCGCTTCTTCATAAGGTCTTGATGGTTCACCTTGCTCTTTTCTAAGCCGATCATTAATTTCTCGCTGCATTCTAGCGGCCTCTGCGTCTTCTTCCTGAAGCTTCCGCTGTAATTCTCGTATTCGCTCGTTTGCACGACGTTTCTCCTCCAACAACTTCTCTAATTCTAACTGCTCGCGAGCCATTTTGTTCAATTCTTCGTTATCATGGTGCAGACGTTTGTCCCGTTCCTCCCTCTCTCGTCGTTCACGATCCAACTTCTCTTGTTCCTGTTTCTTCCATTCTTCTTGCCTACGACGTTCTGATTCTTCTCGCTCGATTCTCTCTCGTTCTTTCTTCTCCCATTCTTCTTTTCGTTTACGTTCAACTTCATCTCTTTCTCTCTTCTGTCTCTCTATTTCCTCTTTCTCTCGTCTCAGTCGCTCCTGCTCAATCCTTTGCCTTTCTTGATTTTCTCTTTCAATTCGTTGCCTTTCTTGATTTTCCCTTTCAATTCTCTGTCTTTCTTGATTTTCTCTTTCAATTCGTTGTCTTTCTTGATTTTCTCTTTCAATTTTCATCCGTTCCATATTTTCTCTTTCAACTCTCTCTCGTTCACGACGAACAAGATCTTCTCTCTTCAATCGTTCTGCCTCCTCTCTCTCCTGTTCTCTGGCCATCCTTTCTCTTTCAAAATTCTCTATTCCTTGATCTTCCGCTTTTCGCTGTTGCATTTCCATTTGTCGTTTTTGTATCTCTTGCGGGCTAGCGTAATGAAGAGGGACGCCAGACTTTACAGAAGCAGGCTTTCGTGCATGCGGGTCCTCTGATTTGTATTGTACTACGGTCTTTGTTTGTATGGGAGGCTGAAAAGATTAATGACAGTTTAGTCAACTTATTTACCTAAAAACTTCGCAAACTCTGAAAGTTTGTTTTACCTGCTCTGCGGGTTCATGCGGGCCCCGATCGTAGGGATTTCGTCTCTTCGGTGGTGGCACAGGTTTACTTTTCTGTTCAGGGTTCACTTGTTTCTGATCGGTTTCAGATCGCCCGCTTGTACTGAGGGGAGGAGACCGCTGAGGGGAATCTTGAGCCGGACGTGAATATCTAGGGGGTGCACGTGGGGTTTCTTTTTTCTGAGTGGGTGGGGAGAGGTTCCTGTTCTCCGCTGGTCTGTTTGGCGGCTCCGCTAAAAGTTAGACAGGGAATGATTTTTATGATCAGTATTGCTGTGGTTTTACATTGTGCGAGGACGAAAAATTGCACAAGTTTTCATTGTGTTTCACTTACGTTTTTGGGTCGGAGCGACATTGCTTAGTAACTCGACAAGACCGTGTTTATAAACAGCTTGCTTAGCGATTGTCATATGAACTATTGAATCAGCTTTTACCAGAATCTTTACGGCACTATAAGAAACAAGAAGAAAATATAAACTATTGATTTTATGTATTTATGTTGAAATGCTTCAAAACCTACACACCTTTCTTGTTGTATCCCGACCAATGATTCACCATTGACGTCAATAATTTGATCACCAGGTTGCAGACGACCATCCTAAGAAATTATGCAAAGAACGTCAAAAATGCACGTTACAATATAACTGCACTTGTTTAGTTGAATGCTTCCACTTTTGAACCACGAGTATACGCTTCAAAACATGTTTACCTGCGATGCTGGTCCACCATCGATGACTTCCTTCACGTAGATGCCAAAATGCTCTTGGTTTGCTCCCTGAAAGCATAGAAAGAAAGTGATCCACCTTGAGCTTGCATGCTAGGATGATACGATGAAGTGTTAACGGTATTTCAACTGACCTTTGCTGCCACAATACTGACACCCATTCCTTTATTACCCTTGTTGATGGAGATTTTGATCACCTAAATGTAAAGAAACATAAAACGAATCATTTTCAACACTGTACGACCTTGAGTTGTATTTTATCCAGCAAAAAAATGATAACGTCTTTATATCAATAAAGTATGATAAACGTTACCTCTGGTGGTGGACTATCCAAAGCTAAAAAAGGAAACGAATCGTACGGTTACTTCAATATTATCGTTAATATTGCATCATACAATAAATCATGGGAAAAAGGATGTTAATCTAACCTGTGGGTGTTTTGAAATGCACTGTCCAAAGACCTGACGCTTTTGGTTGAATCGTAAGACGACACAAACCTTGAAATAATATTACAATGGTCATGCGTTAAGATGCGTCTGGGCTACTTGGGTGTATGTTATTGACGGGAGAAATGGCAAAATGAACTTGACGACGTCATAAACTACCAACATTCATCGTTAATTAACATCCAGCAAAAGATGACTGGACAAATCGTATGGCTGAACGCAGATGAATGAAAATGAATTCTTCTGACAGAGTTTTAAAGTACCTGGAGTGATCAAAGGATCAAGAAATTCTTTCAAGCCAGGGGGGACTCCACGTGTTTTCTCCGAGAAATAACCATCGTCTGGCAAGAGGAATGGTAGATTGAGATCCAGATCTTCTTCAAGACCAACGTGTTGACCCTCGCTGCGAGCAATCTCGTCAGCGGTACTCTCAGCGACGTTGACAGCCTTCTCAATCAGCTCTCGTGAGACGGGGGGTTCGTCTCGTTCTGGCTGGTACAGTTCCAGTAATTGTCGCAATTGCACTGAATTTAATTTGTAGCAGTGCGATGAGATAGCAGTTGAATCTTGTTTTGGGATTTGTAGCAACAAAGCAGCCTGGAAAATACACGAAAAAGTTAGAAAAAACACTCAAAGATTGGATCATTTTATTCACCACAGAGTTTGAATTAGGCGTAGCAATAAATATACAAAAATATCAACGGTTACAAGGGAAATAGACTTTATGAAACCTCACCTGACTAATTCGTGCCAAGTGGCATTCTGCTGCTAGTTCAAGACCCTGGCTCTCCGCCCAGGCTTGAAGTTTCTCCAATCTTTCCCGTAGTCTGACCCCCCAGGATCTGGTGCACAGTCTGAGTTGGGGCTCAAGAACAATACGATTGAAAAGCCACATGTTTATGAAGTGAAAAACTTGAGAGAATAACTGGATTGTAAGAGCTGGATTCACTCTACATCTACGAAGTAATGACATCGCTGCTTTCAGTGTGTAGAGGACATCCCCGACAACAGGCCTTGAAGCTTTCTTTCGCTTACCTGTTGGAAAAGACAAAAATCATTTAAGTTTCATTGCCTATAGTGAAAAGTGCATTTAGCATTCTCATGAACTGCTCGTTCTTTCTTAGAACCAAACTTTAGACGACTATCCACCTGCATTAACCAGATTTCATACAAATTCAGTGGTGAAGAATTCATCTCTTACCCAGCCAATGATCGCCGCGAAGAGGTTGACCGTGGGCATCAAACTGCTTGACGTTAAAACTTCTCTGAGTTGATTGATAACCCTCCATTGGATCAAACTTATCATCACCATTCTGACCATGTTCATCAACGTCACTTTCCTTGGACGGGTCAAGAAAAGCTGGAAGGCAGCTCTGGAGCTCTGCCTTGATACACTGAACCAGTGAACGAAACGCTAACTGTGTTGTGTGAGCTAAAATCTTCTGGCTTTCTTCTGTCAGGTTACAAAGTTCCACATCTTGCTTGAGGAAATGAAGAAACTCAGAAGAATTTGCCATCCAGAAAGCTAAATGACCAGCCATACCATTGTTTTCCTAAACAAATAGTTGAATATTTATTAAAAACAAGTTGAGCTCAAATTAAAATCACACATTTGAAAACTTACCTTTACAGTTTGCCACATCATACTTGCAACTTTGTTGGCGGTCAGCTCCACTTTTTCGTGCCGTTTATTTTGAGGGAAGTCGGGTCGGAATTTTGGGGAAAGTCGATAACGACAGCACATGTAAAGTGTGAAAGTAGGGGCCAACTTGAAGTTTACTGCTGTCCCATTAACTTCACTAACAACCACAGCAAAGAAGGCATCCTCACCAGACTCTCGGAACTCCAAGGTGGCAGGAAGATCTCGAGCTGCATCCACAACATGCACTGCTGGTGAGCTTGGTTCCTGAGGGATATAACACAGTTAAGATCTGTTCACATGCTCCAACTTTGTCAGATCTATTTCACTTCGGACATTTGGAATTTAGTCTGTTATTGATAGAGCAGTAATAGTATGAAGCCAACAGATTATAAAAACATCTATCCAAAGTGAATTAGGTCCGGTGAAATTGGATTGTATAACAGACAGAAGAAAAAAACAGGAGCTTTGTATGTATTCACCAACAAGTTACTCCTGAACCTAAAAGATCACTTCAAATTTCATACCTTTTCAGTTGGAGAATGTTCTGGGCCAACATCAAATGTTGTTTCTTTGCTGGCTGGTGGGCTGCTTTCACCTGTTGACAGGAGGACCAGGTCGACCACGAGGCTTCTTCATTCGTGTTTTTGGCATGTTTTCTTTTTTCTTCAAATAAAATCGGAGTTCACCTTTGTTTTCCGGCCAGGCTGCTGCAATACCAGCCGGACAATCTTTGTCTGGTACAATTCTTTCCCTAATTCCTGAAGATGATTCTGGATCACTATGACTCCCTGGAGCAATTGTTACCATTGTTAAACAATATTGATCCATTTCTTCTGGCGGAACCTCATACTTTTCCAAGGCATCTTTCAGTACAGTCTCAGTGGTGTCATTGCTTGCACATAATATTGTTTTATACGGATTTTCTGGTTGAAGACTTTCAGCAAAGATTCTCAAAGGTCCACCGCCACCTCCTGATGTCTCAGGATTTTGAAGTTTTTTCAATTTGTCCTCAAGTTTTTTCTTTCTCTGTATTTTCATGACAGCTTCAGGATTTGATTTTGTTCTTGTGAAGGATGAGGCAGGTTTGTCTTGGTAAATGTCTGCTGCCAAGTTTTTTGGGTTTTCGTCAGCATCTTTTTGCTTCTTCTTGCCTTTTCGTTTCGATTGTCGCTGTTTCGAGCCTCGCTTTTCTGGATCTATGGCAGATTCTTCATCTTCAAAGAGTTTTTGAGTCATCTGATCTTCCTCGCTTTTGAGTAAAAATCGACCATCTCTATCTGCCTGCTGCCAATATAACTGAACATACAAAGGCCTTTGGTCCAATTCAAGCTTATGGGCTTCTAAAAAATGAAAGAGATACCTCAAAAGTCAACATAGAATTCCCCATTAAAAACAGGAATTTTGTAAACTTAATCAACTCTTAAACATGGCCTACTTTTGCTCACATTTTCTTCTGCATAAGATAGGAAATTGTGAACATGCTTTATTATTTAAAGAGGGAGGATGTGCATGAAGGTTGAATTAATTGGCTTTTCTAATTTTGTGCTGGAAAATGGAAATTTGCCAACTAGACAATGGGGGCAGAAAACAGGAAACCACCTCTAACCTTCCTTATATAACAGATGCCTTGCTTGACACTGAGTTATCTTCTTTACTTAAGAAGGTTAAATAGTTTGTAGATAAAACAAATTTTGCTTGTGTATATTGATTGTGAGGAATATCGCATTATTTCACACAACAATCATGGGCAAATATTATCTCAAGAGAGATATGTATTAACACAATGAGATGCATCTATACCATAAAAGGACTTAAGGAAACTGCAGACAACTTACAAGTCACAATTATTCCTCTAGAAACTAAGTTGTTACAATTAAAATGTTCCAAACTTCTTAATTAGAAACAATTTTATAAGTCAAACTTCTGCAAAAACAACTTTTGATAAAATTTTATCTAAAATTCCAAATAAAGATTTTTGAATATGGTACAAGTTAAAATAGCTGTTACTATCAATGTTTCCACAAGATAAAGTGCTCTTATAAAAAACCCAAATATCATTATAATTTGTAAATTACGGACAATTTATCAGAAAAGGGTAGGGTCACATACAATAGGAATATTTTTTTAGAATTTGTTTTTGATAACATCCAAAGTTATGACTGGCTCTAAACAAATATATATTATATTTCAAAGCCTCTGTGTAATTTAATGACATGTTTATGAAGCGAATTTCTTAAAATTAAAGTTATTCTCTAGTCTTTAAAAGGACAAAATTCACGAGATAATAAATATTAAAATCGTTTACATGAAGCGATAGGGTTACATAGACCTATGAAGAATTTTGCTGTCAAAAGTAATAATTTTCCTTGCTTTCAAAACGCTTTATGAAAGAATAACCATAGTTTTTTATAAGGAACAAAGCTGTGATATTTGACTTTGAAAACTGACTAAAACACTCCTCTTTCAAGCACAACCAATGTCCTGTTTCCCCTGTAAACCACAATCTTTTCAAACAAAAATATCAACAAATTGTAGCAGGATAAACCCATACCATGAACAGACTGAGAAGTCTGAAAATATGTAACGTTTTACAGATTTCTAGACAACTGATTGATATTGTATATTGGCCCGTTGGCAACCTTGGTTCAGATGACAAAACGCAGCCATTTAAAAAATATTGATTTATGAAATCATACAGATTTCATTTCATTATTCAACGAGTTTCACTCTATTTTGTAACTTACCTGCGCCAGTTTCATGAACCTCGTAAAGTGAATAGTTTGGCATCGTTAGCATCTTCAAATCAGGATGAAATTTCGAGACTAAAATCTTCATAACTTTATCCGTAGTATCGGAACTACTAACACGAATAACTTTCGTCGAGACTTTTCTATCTTTTGCACCGGGCTCTTGAAAATAGAAACGCATGTTTCCCGAGAAATCCAAATTCTGAAAGATTCAGTTAAACATTGATGAGCTTTTGATACATTTATCATTAAATTTGACCACAATTTAGGGTATCAAAAGAGAAAAAATTGAATGTAAATAAAATTGACTGACCGCATCAGGTTTACTGATGGTAAACATATCCAACCGACTGGCATTCCAGTCTTCGATTAAATTCTCGAGCTCCTCTCGCTCGGAGTCCACCATTGTCGTTAAAACCATTTAAAAATTATCTTCTTTAGTTTAAGAATGTCTCATGGAAACTTTTTTGTTAAAAACCCTCAGGTTTTGCTATAAAATATTGTGAAATATATAGCCCTCTGAGGCTTCGCTTCCTGCTGTATGTATATGATAATTGCCCAAGAAGAATGTTTACATCGCAAGCGTCTGATTGGTCCACGAGCTCGGGTACGCCCGCTTACAACCGAGTGACGATTGGATTGCGAGAAAGAATCCGATCATAACCGATGTTTGTCACATTTTTTAAAAATTCGAAATTCCATTGTAAAAGATGATAAATATTTGATGTCACTTATAATTATATAGTAGCTAGAAATGTTCTTCAGTTTTCTCATACTTCACTACTGTGGTTCATCAAAGAAACATTTGATGTTATGCAAATGCCATTGTGGTTATGCAATTGTCCTGTAATGGTTCATATAGCTCAACAAATACCTAGACTAAAGTGGCTTTAAACGGTGGTGAAATATGATAACCTAAAAAGTATATATTACATGTTGCTTTTACGCAACAAAAACATGTTCGTTTCCAAGCACAAAAAAGTGATGGTACCAAGTCTACCACCTCACAGATGACAGTTGTGACATATTGTAATTGGCGGACCACTTGAAAGCCCTTAATCCTTGTCGTTGCACCTGTTGATGTAAGGAATAAGGATTCACACATTCAATTCAGTTTAACAGGATAAGAGACTGTTGCCTTCACCACTAGGCTTTAATGTGCGTTGATGTCATTTGACTAAAATTTCTCCACCATTACCTTTTCTTCTTCACCTTAAAACGAAAGCTGATAGACGACGTCAACGGGTATTAAACCATAGCCAGCATTATGTCATCGTCCGGTCACGATTTTTGCAGTTCACCATCGTTTGTAACCAAGGAGACATAACTATTATGAACTGAAAGAAAACCAATTTTAATGATTCCACAATGGCCACGCGGACGCGGTATTGTTAATACGTAGAGGAAATCCTCGCTATGATAGAAGTGGAAGCACGTTTGGGATATTAGCCCTGTCATTATGAGTCATAACAACAAACAACAAGGGGTATATAAGCCCAATATTCAGCCGTCATTATTCAATGATAGTGACGAAGTTTTTCATCGCAGCTTCAATATACAGTTTTACGAGAACGACTGCAGTCTTAGGGAAAGAAGTCATGGAAAGATCTATCGCAAAACTCGAAACAGCTCGTCAGAAACGAGAAGGTGGAGGGTTCCTTGTGCGTAGACCGGTTGGCGATAAAATTAATTTCAGCGCTTGTGATCCTTTTTTAATGCTGGATCATATGGGCCCGTCAGATTATGGCCCAGGAGAAGCAGTTGGCGCTCCTGATCATCCTCATAGGGGATTTGAAACTGTCACATATATAATTGAAGGTATATCTTCGAGTTACGTTTTTTAATGACGTCATGTGTTACGTAACAGCGAAGATCGAAAAGTATTTGGGAGATTCTCTATCTTAACAGCTCTGGTTGCAAATAACCTTCTAACATAATAATCCCACACTTTTCCTATTTTTGTTGGTGTCATGGCTCTAGTTTATTCTCAGATTGCTTTAGTATTGTAGCTAAATTACTGGAATGATATGGGGGTGGGTGCATTTCCTGCTGGGTACTATTGGTATTCTCTACTCCTGGTAATTCCGATCAAAGTTAGAGGTTATTAGACACCTAAAAGGTATATTAGCCATTCTCAAAAAGTATGGAAGATATCCCCACCTGACCATGAAACAAGCCAGACTTTCCATGATATTCTTAGCTTGAAGGTAGTAAATATTTCTCAAAACCTATAATTCTATGAAAAATATATTTCTAGGAAGTATGACACACAAAGACAGTGTAGGGAACAGTGGTAACCTGCTACCAGGCTGGGTTCAGTGGATGACAGCAGGAAGTGGAGTGGTGCACAGTGAAATGCCAAGTGAAGAACTGTTGAAGAATGGTGGAAGATTAGAGGGGTTCCAGCTATGGGTGAATCTGCCAAAGAAAGATAAGATGATTAAACCTCGCTACCAAGATACTGCAGCTGAGAAAATCCCTGTTGTGAAATCAAAGGGTACTTACTATACAAGTATTTCTAATTGGTGCACTGTAGTTCCTCCATCATTAATTTCAGCAACCATTAGCAATATTGAGAATTTGGTTTCTATATCTCTCTAGATGGTAAAACAACAGTGAAAGTAATAGCTGGTGAGAGTTTGGAGACAAAGGCAGTTATCGAGACTAAATCTCCAATATTGTACCTTGATATCCAAGTTTCACCTGGTGGGTCCTTCACTCAGAAAGTACCAAGTGACTTCAATTGCTTTATATACACTTGGAGGGGATCTGGGTTTATTGGGGACACTCCAGTAAAGATGGGGCAGGTAAGGATAAATGCAGTTTGCTATTATTTGATGTTTCAGCTTGCAATTGTAACCTACTAATAAATATGATCTTATGGACTTTCAGGTTGCATTGCTCTCAAAGAATGGTGACCAAGTTACTGTCAAAGGTGCCACAGAAGAAACTGTTCATGTTTTGCTAATTGGTGGTGTTCCTATTAACGAACCCATTGCGCACCATGGTCCCTTTGTGATGAACACTTGGGAGGAGATTGATGAAGCAATTCGAGATTATCACAGTGGAAAGTTGGGGCAAATTGATGGAGCTGATGAGAGATACGAGAGAACCAGACAGGCTGTCGCACAACAGAAGAACACAGGGAAATGGCATGATTCATTGTAAATATTTCAACCCAATCTCAACGCCGCTGTAAAATTCATTTTAAACTATATAATGTTGTATAAACAATGTAGTTAGGTTAAGTAAAGTAGGTAGAGATTGCGTTTCTCGAACGTGGATAAAACCCAACGCAATTAGCGTATTCCATAACATTCTCCAATGTATTTAGAACGCTAAATTGGAACAAAGAACATATCGAACTTATATTTGTTCAATTATGAGATATTTTCGGGTATAAAATCTCGTTTATTAATTTCTTATATTTCCTATTCAATATTTGAAAACTATATCCATTTGTCAATAAATAACAGTATAAATGCAGCGTACCATTCTCCTATATTACCAAATTTAGTTATTAAAATTATTCCACAGCATGGTAACGTAAATTATTCAAATTTGCAACAACACATGTGAACTATTGCAATATTATCGCCCGGAATCCAAATCGGGCAATCCTTTTCACTTGTTTTCCGCAATGCAGATGGTTTTGCACAGAGGTTTTGCACAGCTAATCGATAACTAGAAACTAATCCCCATTGTATGACGCGGTGTCTGGAGCCATGTTCTCAATGGATCTGATGAGTCTGTTTATGTGTTCAGGTTTAGTAATTTTAGCGTATTGTAAATGTTCTTGTGAAAGATAAGGTATCGTATGCATGTCGTCATAACCTTCGTCAAGCAGATTATCAATGTACATAGGAAGACCAAGCGAGGTCAACCAGTCCACCAAAGAACTGAGCTTGCCTACAACGTCAGGAGCGAAACGGAGTTTTGAAAGATCACACGGGGTCTGAAACAAAGAGTGAAAGAGTTCAACTCTGAAATAGGGTCAAAATCGTTAGCTACAATGGTTTTGAATAGCGCGTCTTACCGCTTTTTTCTTGACATGATTCAGTTTCTCGATTCGTATATGATCAATCTCTTTTGTAACATCTGTCATTGTGGATTGCAGCTCAAGGGAATATCGATCAATCAATGCCATTGGCACTCCCCATTTACCATCCTTAATTCAATAAAGCGATTCAATGATGTGAGAATTGAAACGACAAACTTGATTACCTAATATCGTCAATAATGGATGAATTAATTATCTATAATGGATGTATCTATTACCTATAATGGATGTGATAATTATCTATAATGGATGTATTTATCTATAATGAATTAATCAATACCTCATTAGAATATGGTTCTTGTACTAAATCAATCCCTTCATCATCCAATTTTCGTTCGATCATTTCCAGCAATTTTGTCCCGCTAGGCTTATGACGAGAAACCCGCGTCTCAGGCGAAGGTCGTGCGGGTGGAAGACTGGATCTCTCTTGCTGTGACGTCGCATTACTCTCTGACGTCACTTCTGCTTTCGTCTGAACTTCGGCATCATTATTAATGTTCTCGTTGCATGCCAGGCCATTCACAAGTGATACCAGTGGAACCTTCTTCGGAAGACTGTTTGATTTTTCTCCTGGGGTAAGTCTACCAGGTTTGGGCGGTAAAACCGGTTTAGCCGGTAAAGCTGGTTTAACTGGTATCACCGGTTTCTTCCCTTCCTGTTCATTACCATTAGTTCGCCTGGGTAAGGAATCTGTCTTGGTTTTCTTTTCAAGTTGAGGTGAAATAGGAGGCTTACTCTTGAGAAGTCTTGGTGGTTTCTTCACAGGTGGACTAGGTGATTGCCTTTCCAAACTATCTGATGATCCATTCAAGCTTGAAGTTGATGAACGGGTTGATTCCACATTTGCTAAAGTGCTTCGTCTTTTTCCCTCTACCGGCGGTTCTTTTGACTGTCGTTTATCCGACACCACACGACGAAGATCGCCGCCTGCGTTCTTTCCAGATGAACTGCGCTTTGGGGGCACAGCTGGAGCCGGTCGAGCTGGTCTTGAATAATTCCCTGGTGCGAGAAACAAAGATGATGAAGAGAAATTGAAAACTAAAAACGCAAACTTCATTCGGGCGTATAAATACCTGGATTTTTAGGATCAAACTCAATGCTTCCACTTGATCCAAGCTAAAACAAGAATGGAGCACCGTGAACAAAGAGAATTTAAGGAAATTTTAAACCAACGAAAAGTTATTGAATCCACCGTACCTCTTTACGCTGAAGCCCTGGCGTTGAATCAGGAGAAGAATCTGAACCAGTGGCTGACGGAATATTACTTGTACTTTGGGAGATATCTTGATCCCCACCTGATAAAAAATATAAAAAGCATTAATAGGTATTAAACAATGTTAAACACCATTTTTACTCTGCTTGGTAAATCTCACCACTGTAGACATAGCTGTAAATAAAACCGTTCTGAAGACAGGAAAAGTTTTGTGATACCTGTGTAAAATGTTGAAGAAAAGAGCTGCACAGATGAAGCAGATATTCTCTCTCTTTGTTTCGGTGATTTGGAGCCTTTTCTTGATATTTTGGGAGACTTTGTTTTACTTTCACGCTTGCTGCCAAACCTGAGAATATAACAATCTTTGTGATTGACAATCTTTGTGATTCTTACACTAAGTAATTAAAGTCTACAAGCATAAGAATTTTGATTTAAATTTGATTGTCAAAATGGTTAATATTTTATTACTTTCTGAGTTGATCCCATGCCTCTTCTGTTGTAATTTCCTTATTCTTAATCTTTCTCATCAATTCCATGCGATCTCTCTCTCCCAACTGAATATCTGCTGCCAATATTTCTGAGCTTTGTGCATGGCCACTTGAGCGACGTTTGAAACTGCCTCGGTTAAATAGTCCACCCTTTTTCTTCTTATTTTGCTTGCCTTCATTTGCCTATTGAAAAGAAGAATATCTGTGATTTAAAGCCCAACTAGTATAAGCACAAGGATTATTGAATATCACCGCAATCAAATATCAATCTATATGCCATACCTTGTCCTCTTTTTGTTCTTTCACAGTCTGATTTGCCTCATAACTTTAAAATGCAAAACAATCAGAAAACAATATATATTTGAAAGAAAAAATTTCTTCCAAGATGTACCCAAATAACATCAAATACATAATATATTTACCTTAGAAAATTTCTGAGGGCTTCATCCTGAGTAATGTCACCATGTTTAACTTGAAGCATTAGACTTTTTCTATCTTCATTACTCATGTGAACATTACTCATGGCAACATTTGACGTAAAGAGAGCTGCTGTCTCTACAGGGCCGCTGATTTTTGGTGGCTGAGCGACATAGCTCTTTTTCTTGTTTGAAAACAACCTACTGATACCATGTTTGGGTGATTTGTGTCCCTTGTTCTTCACTAATGAATCAATCCATAAATATACATTTAAAACATACAACTTTTTTTAAACTTGTTAAAAATAACTTTGAACTCTTACCATTTGCTACATCTAAAGAGCCAAGACTTTTTGACAGTCCTTTAGACTCCTGAAGTACTAATGTACTTTCCTTTTTTCTGGGCAGAGTTGGAGTACGGAGCTATAAAATATCAATATTTTACTAAGTCAATCTGTCAAGATATAATTGGTACTTGACCATTTTTTGTGTCACCTCTTCTTTTGGTCCTTCATTTGATTCACCATCTCTGAGAAATTCTAAAACATCTTTGACATCTTGGAAATATGTGTACAGTTGATCAGCATAGTACTGAGCTAAGTCATCTAATGGATCATGATCATTATTCTGTAAAAATCAATGAAACATGTTTAGACACGTTGAATATCTAAGACACACTTAATTATACATACTTAATTTAATCATGGAATTACCATGAGGACCAAGACATAAAAATATGTTGGGAAATGAGTTAAATAACTTAGCTCAAATATTTGCAGGCTTTGACAGTTGTCAAGGAAATTTGGCAATATAAAGTATTTTAATTCTTGAAAGAGACTCTAATATGTGTGCAGCCCACATAGTCAGTAGGTAGGAAGCCATTAGCAAGTATTTATTTATCTATTTATATTCATTGTCACATGTTCAATTTCATCATATTCCCTTAGAATATTAGTTAATCATCCATTGGAATGTAGCAAATTTTCAATTAACAATATTATAAAAATTCCAGGAGAAATTAGAACGTGTTAATTACAACATTTGATAAAATACAAAGTAATTTGAATGACATCATAAGGGAGAGTATCAAATACGTCAGTTTTTGGGCGGAAATGCCACACTCGCCGAAAAAATATGCCAATTAAAACGCAACAAACAGCGTGTTTTATTAGCACGAAATCTTTTTCGAAAATTTCTTAAATAGTTGGAGGTTTAAAACATATTTATCATGCCTTATGGCATTGCAAGCTAGGAGCGAGCAATTAGCAAATGTGTACAAATGGTTTTGAATTACTTCAAAACATTTGTTTTTAAGTTTCATTAACGCGCCATTCAATTTGGACACATATTGTTATATTAGTTGTAAAGATTTTCCAAACAAAAGTGAGACAACTTGAAGTGTCTATGTGAATTTGCATACAGTAGTTGGCACATCTAAAGCAAAATACAGCTGTCTTTAGCATTGTTTATTAAGTTCACATTATAGTTAGTGTATTTGTCTATTATTATGAAAATATGATACGGTGTATGGGAACCGTAGCTAATCACTCACATTTACATCATAAAAAATCGGAAAAAATACTCTTTTAAATATCCTTTAATACCAATACAATTTGATATATTTCATGACTTACAGGATTGTGTTCAGGCAGCACACAACTGTCTTCTTTAAGTAACGACTTCATCTTAATTATCAGTTCATTCCTCGGGTATTTTTCTCGATCCGTTTGACCACCGAATCGCGTAGATATTGTTGGTTCGACGCTAGTGGCTTCGAGTTGAAAGTACACTGCATTTACACCTTGGTCCTTAAGGCTTTGCACAGAAGCTAGAATGTCTTTTCTGTCCTTGGCGTTAATCACACCGATAGCATCAAGATCTTCGTCCCCAATTTGTTTACAGATATCTAAGTCATCATAACCATTGTCTATAAATGCCTGTACATAATTTAGAAGGCCCAAAGACCGAAGCCAATCATCTACAGTCGTATTAGCCATCCTAACCGATGATGATATCAATGTGAAGATGCTTCTATAAACATAAGTCTGGTCTCTAAATCCGATATCAACTTTTCCTAGTGTTCCTTTGCTTGGGTCTGGCACTGTTATTGCGCATGCTTGGAGAATAGATTAGAGACAACGAGTGATCTTGACGACAGGAAGTGCAATGGGTTGAATATTTACATTAGAATCTCGGCATGATCAATAACTCTTTAATTGCTACATTTCAATTAAACCTAAGAAACCTTTTAAAGTAACTTTATGCAAATAATTCGTTAGCTTTTATTTTGATTGTCTACCTTTAAAAATGAAAACAAAACTGTCATTTGTAGGCGTTGTATACATTCACGTTTTACAGCAGTCTGCCAGATCCCAATCGCTATTTATAATGTCCGGTGTTAAGAATCTATTGCGTGTTTCCGTTTAAGTACTATGGTGTGTAAACAATTTACAAAAACATAGAGTGGCGGGGGATTACAACACCCTACAGCAATTTCTACTACTTCAAAGTCCTTACAATAAATAATAATATAAGTCTAATATTTCTGTTGCCAATATTATGTAAGTTTAACACTTCAGCCTATTGTAAAACACATGGGAATAAGTTATTCAGATTACCATCTGCCATTTTCACTTTTATTCAACCACTTTTGCAGCAATAAAATATTTACTTAATCAAAAAGAGAATCACAACACACACTTGTGAATGATATTATGTAAAAGTTATTTTATTTTTTCATTTTGTCTGGTGCTTCCCTAAAATTTTCATGCCAATTAGAAAGGGCATAAACTATGGGAATTTCAGACCTCTGCGTATGTTTATTTACAAAGTGTTAAAGAGACTGCTGACGTGCTCAACTCCCTAGAAAGGCTAAGCTTTATAAGCAAATAGTGGGTATAAATTATAAAATTACTGCACCAAAATTATTAATGTGCAGTAGGATTTGTCAAAAAATCATGCTTAATGCCTGTAAATCTATGTAAAGTGGAATAAAAATCTTGCTCGGCCAATATTTTACTGGCCAATATGACCATTATTATTCTGCATCCTCTTCCTCATTACCATTCTCTTCATCGCCATTCTTCTGTGGGCTCTCGTTACCAGATTCATGCTCACTTTCTCGATTTGACTCTTCTGCTTCTGCTTCTGGGGACTGGGAGCCAGATTTTTGCTCTGGTGATTTTGACCTTGATCTTGACTTGGACGCCTCTTTTTCCTCATCGTCCTTGGAAGCTGATTTCGAACGCGATCGTTTTGGACTTCTGGATCGAGAATGATGTCGCCTTCGTTTAGGTGATTTCGATCGTGATCTAGTGAAAAAATTACAACAAATGTCATCGATGATTTCTGTAACTCGATATACACACAGGTTCGACTTACCTACGATCTTTTGATCTAGAGCGAGATCGTGATCCTCCAACCTTCTCCTTCAAAATGAAAAAACATCAAGTATAAATCAAACTTGAATAACTAAGAAATTCAAAGAATGTATCACATACAACTGATAACTTTATTTTCTTTCCATTTATGTCTCGACCCTGTAACTTCTTAAGAGCAGTCTTCATGTCATCTTTTGTTGCAAATTCCACAATTCTACAAAAGAATTGCCATGTAAGTTCCTCAGCTGCCCCAATAGACTTTACAGGATAAACAACAAAGAAAATCATTTCATATTTTGTACCCTGTATTACGTTCTCGCTTATGAGCATCTGTAAAAGTGACCTCAGATACATCATTGAATATCTCCTTCAATTCCTGAAGAAAAATACCTTTTCAAATATATTATATATATTAATTCAATAGATCAACCAAATGCTAAACTGAAATAGCAATTTCCTCTTTACTTTATAGTATTTGTGGAAGACCTTTGAAAGGGTATTTAATTGAAACTATGAACAACTTATTTAGATTGGGTTTGTTACTCATTCTTTGCTCTCTCTTTGCACGCAACAATATTCTTCAACAGAGCGGCTTACCTGCCACATTATACACCTCTTACTCAGCTATTGAAAGGTTGCATAAATGCTTTGTACACACACTGGTCAGGTAAAACTACAATGACCTGAAATGGCTAGGATCTGGCTGGCACAATTTTAGGCTGTATCTGGCAGAACGAAGCTGATCGGAGGATGGTCGGTAAGGCAGAGGCTGGAAGTTTGGCATGACCCTTGCACATGGTGGCATGACCTTGGCACACAGTGATGGTGGAAAGAGTGTGACACACGACTGTGGATACGCCAGGTCTGTGTTACTCTAGCTGCACTTAAGGTAGTGCAGGTACAAGCTATGTTTGGAGTGTCGGACATGACCAACGGAATTTGGCACAAGTATTCACAGATACTACGCAAAGGTCACTATTGTAAGGGATGAAGACCAAACAGAAAGGTTATAATTTTATACATAAATGATAGTGCTTCATATTAATCATGTTTTGCTATCAATAATTTTTTCCCAATAAACCATTGTAAAATCAGTTTTTACGCGGATAACCAAGTCGTTTTTACAAATTCATGTTTACCTGCCAATTGACGCGGCTGGAAAGATTTTCAACTAGCAATCTATGATCGGTCCTAACTGGGATGTTTCTGCTGCGATGTTCACGACTTCTGAAAACAATAGGAAGAGGTTTCATCAGGAAACACAGGCTATTGTAGAATTATGAACTTGGTCAGGGGTATAGCTAACCTGGAACTTCTATATCTATCAGGGCTTCTATCACGTCGAAAGCCATAGGAAAAGTCTCGTCTTGATGAAGGATCTCTGGCATGTTCTATGATGACTCTGAAACAAAGTGAAAGAATGAGGAACAGGCGAACAGCACAAGCTTTTTGGTCCTTGGCAAAAGTTCTGCAATTTTTCTTGTATTTCTGTTGCAAGTGTCATAATCATTAGTATTTCCTCACCTCTCACCAAGCAAATCTCGTCCATTAAGTTCCCAAACTACATCTTCAGCATCACGTTCATCGTAAAATTCCTAAAAAATATCCACACTATATTACTTCTCATACTATGCTACTTTCTCTTCGGCCAAATAGTTAATATATTTCTAGTTTACCTTTCTCACATGTGCCATGAAATATTATCACACTATTTAGACGCAGTGAAACTGCCATAGTCGTATTCAAAACTATCAACTGTTAAAAATACGTGTCTTTCAAATTCGTATTTCGCTGAACCGGTTTTATACTCACCACAAAACCATAGCCTTTCTTGATACTTATGTCACGAACTTGGCCGTATCCGCGAACAAATTTCTCCAAATCTCTCTCCCTAATATCTTCCCTTAACTTTCCGAAATACAGCCTTGTTTTACTCCTCGACATTTTGCTATTTTTTTAAGTTAAAAAGCACAAAATTTTTAAGTTTTCTTTCCAAAGATGGCCGAAATCTGACAACACGAAAAAGTCGCGAGGGGACCTTCCCATCATACTCACACAGGTTGTGATTGGCTAATACACCAATTACGTCAAAAAATTACAGTAACCATTCCTTACCCCTCCTTTACCGCTTTAACCACTGAGCTATAATATAATTCCTGGAGGACCGGCTCCTAATGTTTTGAAATACAAAAAGTGAAGCAAAAAACATGGCGGATTTTGGCCTTTGCTGACGCCAGATTGACGCCACTGGTTCTTATTTGCAATGGTAGTTACCACTGACCAACCGCGATCCAAAGCATGAAAAAATGCGAGCACCCTCCTGGTTTTCGATAAAAACAGGATTTTGTTTTTACGAAATTTTTTGTTTTTGAACAAAAACATGGATTTTTTTCCTTTTTTGCTGGTTCTTTTCAACTTCAACAAAGAAGCAGCTATTTGCTCTGCTTGTTCCTACCGCAATTTACTCATTAAAGAGGAAATTTTTGGCGATTTGCACTCAGGTAAGAGTTTTAAAAAGGCTTTCGCAATTTTGATGTTTGAACTCTGAACGTCAAGTAAAAAATATAGCTTCGTAGTTCGACGGCTATGAAAGATCTGAAAACAGAAATGATAAATTTACTAACATTTAATTTGTTTAACTAAACATATTTCTATTAATATTTGTTTATCCATTATATTTTACACTGATTTAAAAGCCAAAACTAAGGTCTAACCAGATCAATCATCAATGTGTCTATAACCCATCTTTTCATGAAAAATCATACAAGATATATTAGATCAAAGTATATAAAAGATGCAATAGGAACAAAAATATAATCTGAAGGAGCAAGGTCTGAGAATAACTTGCCTAAATTCACTCACACTTCCAACTGAGGCATCATCATGGCCTCAGTGGCTGACACTAAATTATCTGTACTAATTTTGTCAACACTTACAGGGTGTATTATACATACAGTTAATCTCTGACATATCTTTCTTTTTGCAGGGATAACATAGGGTTTGGTAGATCAAGTGGAGGCATGTTATGCAAAATTCTGGAGAATTAAATTGAGACAACCATACTATTATACCCATGAACTACACACATTCTTAAATACAGAAACTGTTTTATTATTTTTACAACTTACAATGTTTTATTAAAAGAAAATAAATATTACAATTGGTAAGCCTTTGTTTATTTCATTTCCAAAGAACCTTTCCAGTCATTGCAGGCTAATCTGACAGAAGCTGGTAAGTGGTAAGCCCCTTTGCATATAATCAATAATAATTACCATGGCTATCTTGGCCTATAAACATCCCTGGTTCTAATCTTCCTTAATGCAGCCTCTGCATTATCATTTGCAAATATAGAAAAGCATATGACCTGCACAGGGGCCATAATTATTGGTTTTATACCATGGAAAGAGCATAGCTTGTGCAGTCAGACAATTATAGTGTTGACCACTGCATGGTGCTGACTCCTGGAAGCTTTCAATTTAATAGTTCATCCTTATAGGTTTAAGCTAATAAGCTCATCAATATACATGATATATGCTGATATAGTTCAGTACAGAAAAACTATTTCTTCTGGCTAATGAAATCCAGCTAAACAAATAGGCAGGCTACCCTTGGTTGAAATTGCACATCTTCATCCTCCCAATGATTCTTAGCCTCTGTTTCTTTGGACTTGAATTTACATTATGTTACCTTTTAGCGTTCTTTGGAAGAAAATGCCTGTAATATATGTATGTAATATGTAAAATAAATTACTTCCAAACTATAGGGTAATCTTTTTAGTAGTTGTTCAAACTTCAAACTATACATTTGACTTCTCGTGCCGCCGTCTTTTGGTCAAATATTAAAATATATAAGCAACGACATCTATCTAAAGACTGTTAACGAAAAAAAATGGTGAAATTTTATCGAAAAAATGAAATTTATGAATAATATATTTACCTGTCAGTCAACTGCATTTTCGTTTCGGCAAATTTCTTGAAGTTTTATTATATATCTGGTATTTGTTTCCTGTTTTTGACAGAAGTAACGTGTACGACTTTCATATCTTCACAAAAACGTCGAACGATATCTGATCAAAAAGTTTTCAGTTCAAAAATATTGACTGACGTTTAAATTTTTTTCGGAAAATATAATAATGAGAACTGAAATACCATACTGGAAAGTTCGTAGGTTGCGCCGAAGATCTTCGGCGTGGAGTTTTCCCACTTACGCTAAATTTGGCGTAAATATTTTCCCTATTCCTAAGAAAACGTGTTTGGCGTGGCGTATTTACAAATACTTGGCGGCTTGGCGTATTTGGCAATTTGCGACGTTTCAAATTCAGCATGCCAGTACTGTAGGCGTGTGGCAGTATACGAAATTATGAACAGAAGGCTCGAATATGTATTTACGACTATAGTTGCCGGCCGGAAATATCGCCTATAGCTATATGATTTGTTGATGCTTCCACGGTCTGGGACAGAAAGTGCAACGAGTACGCATTAGCGTACCACGTCCACGTGGTCGCCGGCTTCAAGCCGGCGGCTTGCCGCTCAAAATGCAAATATGGCGGACTTTGAATTTGATTTTGAGTCTGACCTGACCCTGTCTGGAGAAAGCTCAGGTATGTCACTCACTTACTACACTTAGTCTCACTGCTCAGTAGTCAGTAGACTAGTAGTTACTGAATACTGAATACTACTGTAACTTTACTGTAACTTCACTTAACAGTATTTTGTCCATCTTCAGGTCTGTTCTTTAACTTCTTGACAATTGACATAACTGTTGTACAATGTTATATTAAACAGAGGTATTACCAGTCTTGTCTACCAGATATTTATAACTTGGGATTTTTTATTATTTTTAGAGCCTATTTGCAATGTATGTAAAAAAGTAACAAGCAATGCACATTTCTGTCTCCAGTGCAAAAAACCTGTGCATGTAATATGTGGTAAACACCCAGAAGGAGTGGAGGGACATGGTGCTCCTGTGACATGCCAAGTTTGTCTTGATTCAGGTAATTTGCTAAATAGACTAGTAAATAATACTAATTGATATTTGATATTTTTATTCTAAAGTATATTGTTCATTTGTTGTAAACTGTAATTTTGGCCTGATGTGGGGAAGGAATTTATTGTTGCCAATTTCATCTGTATGTAAATTTCTGTATACTGATTTTTAGGTACCCAAACAAAAACAAAAACAGCAAGCCTCAAGCGCAAAGCTGAGGAGGAGGAAGGTTATTATTTATTACTAAACATACTAACTACTGAAACCTAGACCTATATAGTATATAGCTATAGCCTATAGTCCATTAATTACAATAATTATTATTAGCAATGGGTTTCTATGTTTTAGACACACCATGGTGGTTAAAACCTCATGAAGTAAAAAAGAAATGTACCAGCACTGACAATGATGTTAAACAAAACTGGGGAATATGTCTGACATGTTATAAGTATATTATGTGTTTTTTCTCTAGTAAAGCATTTCTGAGGTTTAAGTGGTTTCAGTGTAAGGCCAGTTTATTAGTGAGGTGTACAGTAGACAGTTGCAGTTCCTTGCTCTTAAAGGTGGAGAATGGGGATGGGATAGTATTTACTAGCCACCATATCTGTTGGAGTGTCAGGTGAAGGCTGCATTCTGCACTCTGCAGGACAACTGATCATGAATATATTAATTTGAACTATGTTTCAATTTGACAATCTTGGCACCCAGGTGACCCAGGGGTTGCCCCCTCCTCCTGCTATTAGTATTCAGTATGCCACTGAGTACTGACAGTATGTTTTTAGCATATGTCATGATCAATACTTATTATTTCAGCTCTGGAGCACCACCAAATTTAATCAAGTTATGTCGCAGAGATAAAACGACAATAGCTAGGCACATTAACCGTCGCCATCCAGGAGAGAAGAATATACTAGTCAAGCCCTATAATGACTCATCTCAGGTAGTAAAATCTGCTCGGCACTATATTGAAAAACAGAAACTGGAGGGAAAAGCAAATAACAATTTAACTAAAGCTGGACCTGCAACACCTGAGACCTCCCCTTCATTGCAACTATGCACAGTGTCAAAAAATTTGATACAATCAACTCTCACAACCACTCCAGCTTCCACCGGCTCCACTTCAAGTTCTCCACATAAGAAAGATGTGTCAATGCAATCTCTTCATGACAAAGTGGACCTACTAGTAAAAGGCTTTCAGGAGTTCAAGTTGAATACACCTACAAAGCCAAATGCATCGAATTTGTTCATGTCAATTAATAACAAGACTGCTGGGGAAGTCGCTAACATCCTGTTACACTGGCCTGAAATCAACAACATTCTAGACCTTGTAAAAATATGTCCTGGTATCAGGTTCTTTGCTGGAGATGCCAGTGAAGGGATGCATTCAGTGATAAGATGTGAAACATGCTTCAATTTTTTAGCAAGCAGAATGAAAGGACCAAACCTGAAATGCATGAGAAATCCAGCAGATGTGGCAAAAAAAGGATTAGGAGGGTAAGTTCACATGTTTTTTTTAATTGGTCCCCAGTTTACAACAGTAGTTTCAGTTATGTACTTTTTACTGATTTAGAAATTTCTTTCATAAGATATTCGGGCTCACTGGCTAATGGTTTGTTATCACTTCAGAGAAAACCGCCTTTTTTAGAGGAGGCAATCAAGAGTTTTATAAACTAAAGAATACAGTAAAGAACCACATTACTTTGGCTGAAGGGTCTTCTGGCCAACTACATTATCAAGCTTTGCAGGTAATGTGGACCTACAAAAAATAAATGCATATTGGTACATAACCGATGAAACTTGTGATTTTTCCAATTTAGTACGATCGTGAATACAAAAACCGACTGGAACGCGGTACAGCTGTCACACGGAACCTTGTCACTATCGCGTTGGCAACAGTGAAAGCGAAGTCCGCAGCTGTGCATTTTGAAACCATGGTAGCTGCGCATGATCTCACTGGTTCAGACATTGGTGAGTTTGGGCACAGCCGCAAGCAGCTTAACGATATTTTGAAATGTGCTGACGCATGGTGTAACCAAGAAGTTGCTAAGTACTTGAGTAATCCTCTTCCATCTACAATGTTGCCCCCTCATTTTTATGTGGCATGTGACAAAAGTACGCCGAGCAGAATCAGCAACCAAGCCATTATTATCTGCCCAGTCATCAACGGCCAGCGTGAAGCAATTGCAGTTACTTCGACCGAAGTCTATAGCAAAACTGACAATGGTATTGACGGAGACGTGTGTGGGGACTGCACCAGAACTTGCTAATGCTGTTTATGATGAGATCAAGAAGGCTTATCCATCTGTTAAAGAATCGACTATTCAGGGGGCGTGGATGGGTACATCATCTGATGGTGCGTACCAAGCTGTGGAATTTTCTGCAACGCTGATGGCTCGCCTAAATCAGCAGGACCTCAACGATCCTGCCTTTTTCGCTATTTTGTGGATTCTGCGCATTTTGTGCATTTGGCTTTCTCTGACGTGTTCGAGGGCAAGGTGGGTCAATCAAATTCTTTTGTGGATAACCTGGTGAAACGATCGTCCGTTGTCCACAGAATATTTCAACGTGGAAAAATGCTGACACATGCCATGGAGATGATGACTACGGACGATGATCTTGTTTTAAAGCTGACAAGTAGAACTTGCAGTACACGATTCGCAACGTCCCAGTTCGTAGAGTTTCGCAAACTGTTGGATAGTTTGCCTCTTTTCATTAAAACGTTTCGGCAATTTCAGTTCTCTGAAGTGAAAGAATATATGATTGCTGGTCAGGATTTTCTTCTTGATCTGTGTGGAATCTGCGATGTTCTGGCACCAATGATGGAAATGTTGGTTGAGTTGCAGTACCTTAGCCTACCATGTTGGAAAGTAGTTACGTGGTGGCCAAAGTTGAAATACCATATGGAACTAATGGGTAAGGAGCTGTCGTTGAATAAGCCGCCTTCTTCCATGCCTTTGTTGAGGAAATATGCAGAAGACATCATAAATAATGAAACCTTCAAAGGTACAGATCTTGTGCCCGGATGGGTTGTGGTGGATTCAACAACTACCATGAATGAAAAAGGTGAGAAAATAGAGAATATCACGTGGCAAGCTCGAGACTCCCAAGATGTTGAGAATGATTTGAAACAATTCTTATCGGACTTGATTGACTCTTGCAGTCAAAGAGTAGAATCGTCAACCAAGGAGATGCAGAAGGTGTTGGCATGCCTAGACCTGGATACCCTCTTCGGTTTCATGTGCGGTGAACGGCTCCCGAATGGCAAGGTGAAACTAGCTGAAGGGGAAGGAGCGCTTGAACTACATGGGCTGGAAGACTTCAAACGCTTTTATTCCTACATTTGTTCACTCCAGCATGTCAAGGAACTTGAACTACAAGATGAAGAGCAACTTTTCCTCGAACCGGTATTTGCTACCAAGGTCTTCCACCAAATTAAACAAGCACTGAAATCATCACTGTGGGGGAATTCGGGGGAACATATTGTTGCATGGTTTTCTTCACTGCCTGAATCGTCAACAGGACGTCTGATGAAGCTGGAAAGAGTTGAGCCAAGAAAGGTGTTTCCCGGCAATTGCTTATGCAACACGTATATGTTGACATTAGAAGGCTCCAGCACCCCACGAAAGGCATATTTAAATGAGGCAGAAGTCTACCGTAGCATCTACACCGAAAACGGCCTTTTAGTTCTATTGGTCCTGCTGGATGTATTGCTATTGATATTGCTCTGGCTAAAGGGGGCACTGAGGCAATAGTTGAGTCATATTACAGTGTAATGAAGTCCCAGAAAAAGTGTGGTGGACAGTCAAATGAGACATTGTCTTTAAGGTGTATACTATTTACGTTTACCTAGTTTTGTTAACGTTAAAGAAACATTCTATATAAATCGTATAAATTAAAACTATATTGTCTTTTTTCCTTTCTTAGAACAAAGCTTGACTGGTGTTTGCCAGCAATTCCACAACTTGGTCGGGCAGTAAAGGAAATTGCAGAAATTTACATTGGTGGTGACAAAAAGTTATCATTGCCAAAACACGCTTTGCCCATCTTGGGGGATCGAGCCAAATATGCCCGTGAAGGCAAAGTCATGAAGCGCCTTCGTACTAGTGAAGCTCGACTTACTTTTTTACTTTAATTAAAATAACACAAACCTTGATTAGCTGAAACAAGTTGCCAAGTCCGCGTTTACAATTAGCTATTAGTACTAGGGACGTTCTGTTCAGACTGACGTTTACGGCCAAACACGAATGATAAATGGGCTGCCAACTACAGGTTATGTTGTCAGTTTAAGACTTTAAGTGAATTAATCCAGCTTACTATTTTGCACATAATTGATAGACCGAGTTAGGATTTTTGTTGTACGTAAATCGTAATACTGTATGTGTAAAATATTTGTTTTACCGGTTCGCGGTTTGCTGTGAACGTTAACCCCGAGGTGGCGAGGTCCCCTTTTCCTATTGATATTATTAGTTCTTAATACATCATTGTATAATACATCATTGATTCGTTGTCTGTATAAAATATTATAGCATCACTATTTTGGAAATAGAACTTTTGCAGGCATGTTTGCACTTTGCAGGAGTCGCAGACTTAGATAGTCAGATATAAACATTTCTAAAATTTGGTATAATTTGATGGCAAATGAATGGCATGGATGGCATGGCAAAGAAAAACAATGTTCAGATATAGCACAAATTAAACGAATCCTTGTGGCGCTATGGCGTATCTTATAAGACGTTTATTCGCGCTATCCAGTTTTTGGCGCACAAAAAGGTTCGGCAAAAAATGCCGGCGTAAAAATTCGGCGGATGATAAACTAACTTTCCAGTATGGCTGAAATACTGAATACTATTTTTAACAAAAACCAGGGGGGAGTGCATTTGTAGCGGGCTCAGAATTGAGCCTTGGTCAGTGGTAACTACCATGGCGAATAGGAACCAGTGGCGTCAATCTGGCGTCAGCAAACGCCGAAATCCGCCATGTTTTTTGCTTCACTTTTTGGTCGCGAGCCGGTCCTCCAGGAATTATATTATAGCTCAGTGGCTTTAACATAGCGTTCTTTTCGTGACGTCACGCACGTCATCGGACAAAGAATTCTAAGAATTTGTTACTTGTCAAAGTCCAAAAATTTATACAAAGATAGGTCATAATCTATATATGACATACTCATCGTGTTGAAGAAATTAAAAATCAAATGGCAGAGGCTGTTATTGAAATTGATGATAGTACTAATGTTTGTCCTGTTTGTGATGATCAGTTTCCGAAAGATACTATACAACAGCATGTAGAAACACATTTCAATAATGAAGACAAAAATGGTAAAATTATGGTAGAGATATGGTTGATCATTATGCAGCAATTAATTGTGCCAACTGCATAGCTAGCGTTAAGAGAATTCCTTTTGACTCATTTTTGTACCATTAGATAGTGAAAACACTATTAAAGCTAGATGTACGTCTCCAGCATCAGCCTGTAAGAGGCAGTCTGATCAAAATGAGAAAGATGAGATGCTAGCAAAACGTTTGCAGCAGGAAGAAATTAAAGAAGTGGAAAGGCAGAAAGTGAAGGAAAATGAGGAATTTAAAAAATTGCAGGTGTTAACATATTTCCAATTTTACTGTGCAGTTTTTGACTGCCCAGATGTGCATCTATTTTGTCTGAGACAGTAATTGCCTCAATATGTTTAGCAAATGTATGGAATGAGTTCCGAATCCGACTATGTGAAGCAATATAATCAGTCATTGGATAAAGAAGTCTCAAGGAATAAACTGTCAATGGCTGAATATCATTCAAAAAAAGAAAAATTGTTTGATTCACTCTTGTCAGGAGAAGAGAGTGGAGAGTCATGTACTAAAGGTAGACAGAACACACCTTGAATGTTAACTTAAAAATAGAGATTGTACTTTTCAACTTTCTTTAAGGTGTGGTCAGTCAATTACAACAACAGATTTGTGCAAGAGGACCATTAACAAACCACTTCATTAGATTATGTTGTCCAACGGATCATTTTTCAAGCAGTTATGGGGACAAGAGTTGGGGATGTGGTTATAGAAACTTACAGATGTTACTATCTGCTTTAATTAAATTAGAACATTATAAAGAAGCAGTTTTAAAAGGTGTAGTATCATCAATTTAGAACATTAGAACACATCATTACAACATTTTGTACAAGTATAGGTACACTTGATATTTTTCAGTTTGTCAAACTATTCCTTCAATTCCAAGAATTCAATGTTTGATAGAAGATGCCTGGCATGATGGTAAGACAAGTTTTGATTTAAAAATTATATACCACATCTAAAAATACCATTTTTTCAGGCTTTGATCAGGTAGGTGCTGCACAACTTGGTCATAAACTTACGGAAACAAAGAAATGGATTGGAGCAACTGAAATCACAGTGGCACTAAGATTTATGAATCTAAGGTACTATTTAGCAATACATTTTGTGAGTTTTCATAGTGGGATACAATGCCATTAAGATCTTGTGTTACAGAACCCATATTGTTGATTTTCATCAACCAACATCTGCAGATGGGACACATCCAGAACTTTTTGCTTGGGTTAAAAGATATTTTTCCAAAGGAGTACCTCAAATCCCAATATACATTCAGCATCAAGGTATGAGTAAAGGACTGGTGTTTTTAGATATTAGAAGTGCAGATTTAGAGAACCATGGCACATGGAAGTTCCGAAATCCCTTTTGATTTCCATATATATAGGCCATAGTCGGTTGGTTGTCGGTTTCGAGGAACGTTGTATGAAGAAAAAGACAGAACATTTGATCCTTTTCGACCCCTCTAACTCACCCAAGCAGATGCAACAGTTGTTTGGAAGCCAAAGGCAACAAAATGCTGGTTTTAACTTGCTTAGAAAAACTACAAACCAAATAAAATCCAAGCAATACCAACTTGTTTATGTGGATGGCATTATGAATGAAGCTGAGAAACAAGTAATGTGAAAATGTTTTTGCTTGGATAGAAAAAGATTGATCTAACCAACTTTTCGTTCAATGCACCAGCCCCAAAAAGCAAACTGTTAATTTTTTTCTAGGGTAGTAAAGTTCTTTCATCAACAAGAATACCATAAACATTAAAGAGATATATTACACTAGTAAGTAGTATGCAAAAATGATATTAATACTAACATTTTTTTTGTACTTAGAAAGAACACAATATTTATATTCAAAGGCATGTATATACCAACACTTCCTAATAAAAAAGTACCATTTGGATGCCTAGGGCAAATCCATCCTCCTTATATTCTCATTAACTTAACTGTAAATAGATCTCTTGTATTTTAATGAACTATGTTCTTAGCTTGTACAATTGCAGGCATCTTTGTCATTATTAACATGGTTAGTAAATCAATTGTTAGAGCTCTTAACTGAGGTGCTTAATTATTAACTTACTGCCTTTCACTTTCAGTAAAACTTTCTCACTTTCAATGTGGACTTTGACTCTCATTATTTGGGGGACTTTCAACATTCACATTGGATTCCTGCTTTCATGTAACTGTAACATTCTTACTCTCAAATCTCTGCCTCATTCACATTTCATTTCAAATGGGCTTTCCACTTTCTGATTCAAGAAATCATATATACTTTCAATCTCTCTGTATCTTTCTCATTCAGGGGGGACTTGCATAAAGAAGGAACTCGCTCACTCATTTAGATACATCCTATCTTTCACATTCAGGGGATCTTTCACTCAACCACTTTTGGGGCTCATTCACTCTTATGGGTTTCTGACTGCAAGCATGAATTAAAACTGAAAGCCTTCTTGTGGAAGATCAACATTTTGTGCAAACTGGAACTGTCCTTGATCCGTTGTGGTTTGCGGCACAAGTTTGTTGTCTTCATCATCGGTGTTGAAGTAATTTTCCAAAATCTCAAATGTTTTCTTGTAAATATCTTCATTTTCGTGACTTTGAAGGAATTCAATTTTGTCCAATCCTAGTCAAAGAATCATCACAAATAAATGACAACACTGACAGGAATGATAATTAATATATAGCACACTTCAACATACCATAACTTTCCTCAACAATTAAAGCATATTTATTGTTCTCCCCACTTTGTTTGGCATCCATTTCTCCCACTCTAAGGATATTCTCCAGGCCATTAAGTGCAACACGGATGATTTTCAAATCCATGACAGTAAGAAGATCACACAATGGAGGAACACATCCTTGATCAACAAGATACCTTCTCAGACAAAAAAATGTTAAAGATGATTTAAATTTAAAATGACACAAAACATCAGTTGTTATCATCTAATGATTAACAATTCCCATTGTTCTAATCACCTTATTTGTAACAATTCTCATTGTTCTAATTACCTTATTTGTAACAATTCTTATTGTTCTAATTACCTTATTTGTTCCGGGGTTCCTCCAGACGTGGCATTAGTAATTGCCCATGCTGCTTCTTTTCTTGTTTTGAACTCAGCTTTACCAAGGATTTCCACCAACATGGGAATGATGTTGGCATCAATCACCATCTAAAATATCCAATGCTTTTCAATAAGAAAATTTATCCCCAAATAAGAGACTTAAGCCATCTAATCTAGAACAGTTCCACCAAACCTGAATTTGTGCTCTGTTGCCAGCAGTTATATTAGACAATGTCCAGCAAGCTTCTTTACGAATGGTTTCTTTCGATGAACTCAATAAATGAAGAAGGCTCGGCAAAGCATTACAGTTCAAAATAACCTAGGAATAAAATGATCATATCAGTACAAAAAAGGCAGTGAATTGTACATTCTTCTTAAAGACGTCAAACTCGGAAAGTATGTTACACAAAGTTTGATTGGTTCGATAGTTTTGTGGAGCCAGTCAAATTTCATGTAACATTAGACTTCCTGCGTTTGATGTCATTATAAGAAAGGTCTATTGTATATTCTTGACCGTTTGTGAAATGGATACCTGCGTCTGCACATCATCGCCTGTGACTATATTTCCTACAGCCCTCAGACTTGCCGAGACAACGCTATTGAAGGGATGCCTAAAATTACAAATAATTACACCTAAATTGAGTTGTCCTAAGTTAGGAATTCTGTTTTGAAGAAATACATATATATATATACATCAATAATTCAACCAATCTTCGGCATACACCAGAAGCTATCACTGCTTGAATCTTCTCATTTGGTCCATCTGAAAGATATGACAAAGCCCAGCGAGCATCAGCCAAGATATCTGGATCAGATTGGTACTTTGGTTCACTTGTGACTAATAACCGTGCAAGCATAGGCAGGCACATAGAAACCTATGAAGAAAAATAAGAAAGTTAAATTATAAATACTTATCAAAGGCAGTATGTAAAAATGGTAAAACCTAGGACGGTCAGTCTATATACCTTCGAAAAATCTGGTGGTGGGTTTTTTCCACGGCATAAGTTTGATAATGCCCAAACTGCATTCTTCATCATACTAAGTTTATCTGAAGTACCGCATAATATCCTAAAGAAAAAAGAATATTCTTTCCTATATTGCCTGGTATTTTCACAATTGAAAGGCATGAAAAAGCTTCACATACTCAATCAATGGTCTCAACATGCCATTAGCAATGACAAAATCTCGACATTCAGGACTGTCACCTGCAACATTCCCAAGTGCCCATACAGCCTAGTGCAATAAAATGTGGTTAGTTTGACAAGGGCTAGACTCTAGATTACAATCTATACAATCAGAACCAATTAGAACTCTTCAACTATTTAGAAGGCAATTAGGTAGTAAAATTAGATAATTTGCACCTGTTCTTGAACATCTTCATGTGGGGAGGACAATAATACAATAAATATTGGAACAGCTCCTGCTTCAACAACTTTCCTTGTCTGCGTCGATGTTCCTGATGCAATGTTTGTTAAAGCCCAAGCAGCTTCAAACTAAATATATATAATTCCAACTTAATGTCATGTTTATGTATTAATTTGCAAGAAATAGCAAAGCCCACCAACCTGAAGGCGATGGTCTGACCCTTGTAAAAACTCAATAAGTCTTGGGATAACACCACTGCTGATTACCTCTTCAATGGGTGGATTAGGTTCTGTGGAGTAAAAATCAACCAATATAGTCATGATCACAATGTATTTTGTATGAATTTACTAAGATGAAATCTTTAGTTGTCATGTTTCATTACCCTTGGATAAAAACCTTCTCAGCTGTTGTGTTACAAGTAACTGTTGCTCTGGAACATCACTGTATAACTTCTCAATTATCGGCTTATCTAATCTGGCCTGCTGAGGGTATAAAGTTATTTAGAAGTCTTCGATGTTCCTAAAGATAGTTGGGGTAGGGAATTTCTGGAGGATAGGACCCCCACTGGGAAGTTAAATCAATGAATTTTTTGAACAATTTAACCATCATTAATGTACAGATTGTACGGTACAAAACAGGATCATTCAGCACGTAACCTTACATATTGTAATATTGTTAAAATGAACTTAATATTATGGCAATCTTACCCCCACTGGGTCGTGTAACAACGCTACAAGTTCGGGTGTCGAATCGAAACGTCCCTCTTCCACATTTCTGCGTTTGAAAACCTATACCAAAAAACCAAATGAATACTCATTCTTTTCATATACAACTGAATTAAATAAGCTCTTTAACCGGTCCTCAGTAATACTTTTAACGTAATAAATGAATGACAAAGATTTGAAATCATACATGTTCTTCTCGTTTCGCTTTACGAATTTGCACACCTTCTTCTTCGCGTCTCCGTCGAAGTTCCTCGGCGTCGAGACCTTTATTCTTGTACGACTTTAACCGAGTGTTCTGGTTCACAGTCGACATATTTCAGGTAGTATTTGCACTGTTTTTCTTTCCCAATGCAATACTGAAAAGACAGGAAAGGGAAACCAAAATTGGACGAAAGTCCCTTCTGCAATGTGCTAGGTTGAGATAGAGCATGCGCAGGACAAGTACTCTATGAGATCACCAGAGCCTGCGAGAAGGATAAGGGAATCTGGAAACGAGATTAAATACAGTAATAAGAAGTAGTAAGTTCTAGACTTCTAGTACTTTGCCACCTCCAAGCTCCAAGGGTATACCTACCTTCTTAGTTCTTACAATCTTATTTTTTAGGCAACTTACATTACCCCAACTTACATCTCCCCCAGATCTGCTCAGACAAACATATATTTCTTTAAATCTTCGTACACCTCACCTTCTTCGCCTCCTTTATACCAAATATACATACATAAGACAACTAGCGGACCTAAAGCTAAGAATGATTACAAACAGGTATTACAGTACACAATGTGATACAATTACACAAATCCTTATTGGATCGCAAAAAAAATGGGATTGAAATTTGAGAAATCATTCAAAATTGCGAATCCCAACTTCAAGTTTGATGTGACTATTCTTCTTTAAATGTTAAATTAACGAAAGATTTATATTTATTCAAGCAATAGTTTATACGTTTTAATTCTAATAACAAAGAGGGGTTATATAAACATTTTTTTATGAGGACAGCATCTGTTTGTATAAGTTTACAGAAGCAGTGCAACGAAATATATTCTTGGATTTTGGTGGACGGATGCAACTACATTTCAGCTGGATATATTTTAAAAAAAACTGGTTTCAATAGCGCAAGGTGTTTTATCAAATAATGAATCGAAGGAAATATAAATATTGGATGCCAATTGGACTGTATATTGACAACGATGTCGATGAACAGACAAATTACTTTAATGTCCGATCATATATCTGCTTTTGAATTTCTTTATCATTTTTCCAAAGATAAATTCACTTTTGCAGATATTTTTATCTCAAAATGAAATCTTAACCGTAATGTTTTGAAGCAAAATTACATTGTTTAAAATAACTTGGACTTAAAAATAGTGAATGTATTGACTATTGTTCAAAATTAAATTCATGATGGACACTTCAGTTTTTATACAGCAGGTGACTCCGTTATAATTTACATATAATTCGTATTCCGTTATGGGCATTGTTTATCATTAAACAGAGATGAAACCTTTAACGAGCAAACTCCTAAGGAAACCAAATAGTTCGCAAACAAAACAAGAGCTTTTGCGCTGAGTAATTTGAATGGCGAGTGTGAGGTCAGAGTATGATGACAAGAATCTGAAGAAGAATGCATTTTCAGGACGACTTCTAAGGCTCGAATTGGATCGTTTAGACAACCAGAAGGATCAAATTTCGAAGCAATTTCGACACGAGAAAGATCAACTTAGAAAACAGCTTGCAGAAGGAGAGGGAATTCTTAAATTAAAACATTCAGATCCAGCCGAAATTACTTTGCCATTGTCATCAACAGATAGGAAGAAACTAAGTCCTGGATTTGCTCGTAAGTTAAGTGTATCTCAGATCAATGTTTTGCCTCAAATAGTGGCCCCACAGCCTCCACCTGAGATTTCTAAGGTAGCCTTACTTTCACCGAGACCCAATAGACGTCGATTATCGCTACCACCTACGATTGCACCACAGGAAAGTACACATTACGAGTGTGGAAATGAAAGAAAAAGATCACAGGACAATCTAACTGTTCCCAAGTTACTCCAAAGAAGAGCCTCGGCAAGCAACGCTTTGCAAAAGGACAGCGAGGATATCACAGGACGAATCAATGATTTTTTTCAGAGACTAAGTAAATCTAGTGAAAATGTTAACATTGAATATCAGAGTAGCAAGAAAGAAGAATTGAAGTGGGAGCATGAAACCAAAACACAATGTTCTGATTAAGAAGTGTTGTGACAAGCATATCCTAGATACCGACGATTGTCAAAACACTGCTGTATCTTTCTGACAAATATCTCCCGGGTGACAAGTTCAGTAAAAAAAATGTAATTAAATCCTTATCAGATTTCAATAGAATACAATCAAGCGACATATATTACCTCCATATAGGCTGTATTACTTTCGGATAGTATTTTGAATCATGAATAATTTACGTCAGTGTTTGACGGAAAGATGCAACACATGATTGGAGATTGGCTGCTAATCATATTTGAGTCTGAATCTAACAGGATGCAAATCATCGCACAAGTGATAGGTACTGAGATCCCACTTAGTCTTGTATTACAAACAAATCTACACAACTTGCGCGTTTCATGTCCTTAGTTTATTTAACTATTCATTGCTTTTCTATAGTAGGAAGTGAAAACCTTAAAGGTGTTTCTAAAAACACCATCATACCAAGCTAGACATTGCATTGCTTTGAACCATCTTAGGCGTCCGAGTGTCTTCAGTCCACGTTCTTTTCGCTGGTCACGACTTCTTCACACTGGGAACCTAAAACTTGAAGTCAATCATGTTCAAACCCGTCCGGTTAAGACGCCACTCCCATCTACAGAGACTTCGTTTATTTTTGCGAGAGTGTTTGTAGCGACGCAGTAGAGCACTTCACATGACAGTAGGCTGATGTAACATGGGCGGAAACAAAGAAAGAGCAGTTGTTAATGTAGTTTTAACTCTCTTCTCTCTTTGTCTTCGATTACAGAACCAAACTCGTACGACTTCTTTATCCAGTCCAAGACTTTCCGCGATTCTGTAGACCTCCAAAGAGGAAGGTTTTGGATGCTTCATAAAATGGCGTTCCAATGCTTCTTTTGCTGTCAGACCAATCGTTGTTCTTTTCTTTCTCTTACGATCTTGTCCGAGTTGATCGTCGATATCCTCTGCTCCTTGTCGTTCAGCTTCGGCAAGCCACCGGGTGAGGATCGGTTTAAGTTTGTACGCGTTTTTCAGGCTGAGTTGTAGATTCTCAAAACGGCATATTGTAGTTTGACTGAAATCAGTGCCGTGTATTGCAGCAAGTGCAGCTCCGACCCCAGTCTGAGTGTAACCAAGTTTTATACGACAGTGTTTAAATTCGTTGGCAAACCTGAAAAGTAAAAGAAAGCCTAATAAACTACTGTCGAAAAGCTAATCTTTTCTTGAATAAAGCTCTTTCTTAGAAAACGACTATTTCTATATCTGTGGTTATACAGCAGAGATCTTAGACTTACCTTTCCAATTCCTGCAACTGTTTCGCTCTGGCTTCAAGTTCTGGATCGAAAACAGAGTTGATATGATTGCCTAGAATATTTCCTCCAGAACTTCCACTCAGCGCTGTGGTAGGTAAGGCATACGTGTACCGACACTGTGGCTTATGAAGCGTACCTTGCTGACTCGGTGTTTGAATGATAGAGGAGGGTGTCGGGTAAGGTAATGGGTTTTCCATCACAGGATTACTGACACTCGAGTTACTAAACGATTCATAAGTTTTGTATGTTGTATATGCATTATGGTTTGTAAACATAGAACAAGCCATTTCCAACATGCATAAAAAAATGTGGAACAACTTTTAGGAACTGTTCAAAGCTACGCTCTTTACTTGATGTGTTGGTTATTCAAACGCGCACGGTGAGACTGCGTGAATCATGCATAGCGCGGGGTTTTATAAGTGCGCCATCGTGATGAAGCGCATGCATGTATAATTGATATCGATGTAAGTTTTTGTTCAATGGTACAAGCAATTGAGCAGCCGGTTTCTTTTGTCACACAAAACACACAATTAGGGCCAGGATACAAACATGATAACGCATCACGCAATTGAGAATTTCGCACACTTGATAGAATTAAATTTTTCATATCCTGTGCACACCAGCCGTTTGTAAATACCTTTGAATATTCAAACATGCTCTAGCTTATTCAACGTAAGCATTCTCTATCTTCTCTATACATCAATTCCACTTCTTTTAAAGTTGTGCGGATGTAGCTCGATTCTTTTCAAGAAATCTTTCCAAGACCATGAGAGTAGTTAACACTTACTATGAACTTTTACTTTCTTTTGATACTTTCTAATTGGATATAATTGCAACTACAGAGAAAAAGACAAAGATTTCTAATTAATGCAATAATGTTGCAACGCAAAGATTCATGGAAAATACGATCCATATATTGCTCCTGAGATGCATCTAACAATTGATATATGTTTTAAAAACTCCTAACTTTCAAATACGTGTAAATTTTAGATTTTTCCTCTGGAAATCCTAGCGTTACGTTTGTATTTTTTTTCAGAAGATCCATTAATATTCGTGATAAAGTTTTCAACAAAAAATTATATATATATATATATATATATGATACGTGTGCATTAAAACGTACATTGTTATTGAGACTTGCTTTCCTAACCTCTCACCTCATCAATAAACCTATGATATTTTTAGATATATTTTAATGAGTTGTTCAAATATTTTTCAAAAACGGGTCTCATTAAAGACTGGGAAAGCAATGGCTGCACGCAGAGAGGGTAAACTGTTGAGGAAGTTTGTTTGCTTGATAAAGGACTTCTTATACATACAAAAAATCTTCCGTGTACCTTAGGAATAATATATGAACAGCGATGTATTGAATTCAGGCACAGCAGCCATTCGGTTTCCCACGGTACGTACAAAGAAAAGATAAAGTAAAAAGAGTATCTTTTATGCATCATCTATAATGACTGCGGTCATAGGCGACTGAGAAAGACATTGTATTTAAGTAATCGATGTCAAAATTGGTTAAGGCTACGGCTGTACTTAATATTTTTCTGGCGGTTTTAAATATTGCGAACATTCCTCATGAACACTTGTCGGTATTCGTGGCATCTTTAGCCAAAAGTGAATCTCTGGAAGTGCCTGTAGAAAGGAGAGATAACGTGGTGAAATATCTTTTATGCATTAAACATAACAAAATTGTAGTTGTAAGCATTTATACAAAATATTTGGGTCTGTTGAAGCTGTGGTTGAAGTCACTGTAATATGTGATCACGCAATGCAAGATCAACATAAATATATGAAGTCAATGCCAAATTAGCATGAACTGCCAATGCAATGGTTTCTTGCAATTCACGCATGGTAAATGGTAGGGTGTCACTATGTCGAAAATTATCCTCACTTATTGGACATTCTAATTGGCTCTATGTAGCAATTATTTCCACTACGACTCTTCTAAACCAACATAATTAACCTTTTTTTTGGTCAGAAATACGAACACAATAGTCAACACTTTTTTTCCAATTTCATACAGTTACATTTTTACCACAATTCACCGCATGAAAGATAACAGTAATAATTTGAGATATTCGCGCGCGTATAAAAAATATGTTTAAATCAAGCTATGGAGATCAGATAGAAAGAACAAGAAGATTCACTTTTTAGCAAATGTTATTATACAATGCATTTTAAGATTCATCAGCATACTACTGTCATCGATAAAGATTTTGAACGTCACGAGATGATAACATCTGTTGAAACCACATGCCTATATTCCCACGCAAAATTGTACTTTACTTTTAAAGTCTAAAGAGCTATTTAAAACCACATTTCTCCCAGCGATATATGGAAATATTGGTTCACGTTCCGAGGGTTCTTTAGTTTTACCTGAAAACGTTGTTTGTACTTTATACATTGACGTCCAGACATTCTTTATGCTGCATGGATATCCAATCATTATCTTTATATATATTCTTTTTTGGCATGCATAAATCAGCAAATATAAATAAATTAATTACATGGATTATATATATATTAATTTACATACATCTTATTAATTTATATATTATGATTACTGGCGTACTAGCTAGCGTGGCGATCAGACCTGACATCAACGGTCAGGCATTCCGCCTGCCGGTCCGCCTGATGGCAGACGCTTCAAAATACTGTAACCGTAACCTTTGTCATATTTACAAACTTGTAGGAGGGTTTGAATCATTGCGTGATGCAATTATTGCCTTCTATATTGTTGGCTAACTCCTCGGCATACTGATCGGCTAGAAATGTTCGTAATTCGTCGATATCGTTCGTGAGTGCACGCACTTCGTCGCTCAGAGATTGTTCCTGATTACCCACCGTCCTTGATGCTTCTCCTCCGGCTTCAAGTTAAAATATTCAAACAAAGATTAGACAACATTGAATAGTCGGTGAACAGTAATTAAATGAAGTTAGTCGTGCATGCATCAAAACTACTTACCTGTGCCCAAAAGTAGAGATAGTTCTAAGTCATGACCCTCTTTTTTTTGATAATATAATTTTACTAAGTCTTTTAACTTATTCACATTACGACGAAGCTGCAGGAGATATAGACGAAAACTGTCAGTTAAGGCTGCTCTCCACTGTCGTTTTTTGAACATACGTACACGCACATAAAAGCGTAAAACTTTCTAAGTTGTTGTACAATTTTATGACAGAGAAAACACACCAAATCATCAACAGAATCCCAGCCCTATTCAACTATTAATTTCAGAAGTATATATAACTTAAATTATTTTAAACTTTTACGTGCGTATACGACTATACGTACGTACAGAAAACTCGACAGTGGAAAGCAGTCCTTATGAAGTTTATAAGTGCGGTCATAGATGGTCGTAGCAGTAATTAGCTATATAATATACACGATAATATCATCTGTGCTACGAATAGGAGTTGAACTTATACCTGTTTATATATTTTTCTATTTGATTCCAAAGATCCTTTACTATTTATAATCTGCAACTGTAGGAGAAGACACGTTCATTAATCTAGTCCAGTTGTTGGTAAAATCAGTTGCAATTACACTTTTCAATCAATATCCGAATACTTGCCTTTTTTAATTTATCATTAATATCCATATTTTCTTCAACAGAATCTTGCAATTGCGACGAAATCTTAGAAAAGACAACCATAAAAAAGTTTATTTCTTTTTTCACCTGCCCTTGAATGCCGATAACCATATTTATACTACCTGTTTCATGGAACTCTTTAGTTCGCTGATGCTCAATTCCTTCATGGATAGTTCTTCACGTAACGCTGCTACAGTGTCCTAAAAACAAGAAACTCGATGATAAAGAACTTGTAGGTTTATAGTTCTACTTATAGTTCAATAACAGAAATAACAAGAACTGGCCAGTGCCGGAGAAAAACTGGCTACGATAAGTTACGACTCCAATACCTCTTCATGTGATAATCGTTCCTCTAACTTTTTCTGCGATTCTTGGGATTGTATATAAAAGTGTTTAGCTTTTCTTTGTCTCTCTTGTAGTATCTGAAATTATAAACGTTCGTTTAAGAGGTCGGCGAATTCACCGGGCGATTAAAATCAAATACCAGCTGTACAATACCTTTTTTTTTGCCAAATCAGCCTGTAGTCTTTGTTTTCAAATTACATGTCTTCCAATGCTTTCGATGCATTTCATCTTTTTCATTCTATCTTGAAGACTTGCATTCATTAGTCAATTATAATGTTCAATTACTCAATTTATTACGACAAACAATTACTTACTTCTTACCATGCGTCTAATCTATATTTTTCCATTTCAAATCTGTCTGCATTCAAAGCCTACAGTAATATGAATAGTCTTCTGAAACACTTTGAAGCAATTGCCTGAGTGCACACTTTGTACTGTCATATTACCTTTTCTTCAAGATCTTTCTTTCCTGAAGTCAACCTTTCTTCTTGTTCTGCCATTTGTGTTTGCAACTTTGAGCAAAGATGTTTCCAATGTTTCTGCTGTAGATGCTTGTCAAGGACGTTTGCATAAATTGTATATACCTAATCTTTACTTTCATATCAAAATATGAGTTTCTCATATCTATGCATTGGACTGAAATGCAAACGCTTAGACAAGTTTAGATGAAGGATACTTCTTTACGAAGTTTTTTGTAATCTTCCGAGGTTGGTAAGTCACCAACATATTTATCTAAGTTTTCAATTCGTGTTCTAAAAGCGTAACTGAGTTGATCACAATCATCATTATTTTGCATAAAAACTCACAATAATTCAGAGTTTTCTTTTTCCAATCTTTTGATTTCTTTTTTTGTCTGGTCAAGTTCTTTGTCTCTGCCCTATTTGATAAGGAATGATAAGGCACCCTGATAGCTTAATTTTCAATTCACCTTTTCTTCAAGAGTATTTACTTCTACTGCTTTGTCATTTAAAGTTTCTTGAAGAGCTTTTTCTGTTTTTTCAAGTTCATATTCAGCCTCACTAAAAATGGCAAAAATTAAGACCTCAAAATGGTTGAATTCAACTAGAACAAATCAAGATGATCTGCTGTACCCTAAATTTCTTCTTAAATTTTCTACTTCATATTTCGGCGCAATTTCAGTCTCAAGTCTGGCACGCAAGTGTTCAACATCTCGCTCTCTGTCCTGCAGTCGTCTGATCAAATCACTGGATGTATTCTGCCCCTCAAGTTGTTTTTCCAGGTGAGATATATAGGTCGCTTGTCTGCAAAATATTTCAGTCAATTGTGATATGGTCGTATTTTGGAATTGCAAGAAACACTGAAATGTGGATGAACTAGCCTTTTTTTACCAGAATATTAAAACTCACTTCTCCATAACATTCTTGTTTTTCACAAGTAATTGATTTTTCGCTTGAATCTGTTCTAAAAAGGTACTTGGAACATTATTGCAAGGTGTTCTTGAAATGTTACCAGGCCAGCCTGCTGAAGTAGCTGCGTACATGTTAGGCTCATGCGTCCGCTGTAGGACAGGATGAGAGTTGTATACATAAAGTTGTTCATAGTTAGTAATTGTTTCTTCCGTCCTATTACCAGGATGGAACTGGGTGGGATTTTGGCGAGGTCCTTGAGCATTAAACAGAGTTGAATCTAAAGCCAAATGTATTATAATTATTAACATCACCAAGCGACAAAAGATCATGTTATAACGCATCAATTTACCCCACTTAATCTTGTGTATTTAACTGGGGTATCAATAATCCCAAATTTAATCGTTAAATGCTCTCGTTAAATCGTTACTCTCTTTTAAAGCAAAATAAAAGCGATTATCGATTATATGTGAACAGAGCAACAACTTTAACACTCCCACAAACGATTTATAAGCGAGCGTGTCTTAACTTTCAATAATGAGGTTTGTAAAAAGAGCAGCACACAACATAATTAATTACGACAGTCCGAAACTTGGACGGGCAAATATTACGCATGTTTGATAACTCGCAAGTAAACTTCGCCGTAAAGGATTTGCTGACAGATTTATTATACTTACATAGACTTGACATAGTGATATAAGTGTGAAAAACCGCTTAAAATGCCAACTATATGTCGTTGTTTAGTGAAGAATTCCGACACGCACTCCCTGCATATTTCTTGAAGATTGAATAACAAATGAGTTTATTCTATGGAGGGGGATTGTGGACAAAATTGTGAGACGCTGTATGCCGTACAGTGTACTATGCTGTAGTCTATTTTGTAATCGATATGATGCGATGTTATAGCCGGAAGGATGAATGTTTCAGAAAGCGGTCGGACCGAAACGTACCCAACAATGCAATATCGTATCCGGAGTTGTAACATGTCGTATCTGGAGATGTTATGTCGTATACGGAGATACAACACGTTGTGTCCAGAGATGTAATGTCATTTCCGAATATGTAATACGTTGTATCCGGAGATGCAACATCGTATCCGATGATGCAATATCATGTCCGGGTGCAACATCTTGTGTCCGGGGACCTAATGTGTTAGGTTAATGTGTAATATCGTATCCGGGGACGCAACATGTTGCTCTGGAGGTGCGATATCGTATCCGGGAGAAGCAATGTTGAAGCCATTGCATTAAAATTCATCTGTAATTTGGCGCGAAAATGATATGACAACCACGTTTTTGTATTATAAAAGCAAGATGGCGGAGAAAGATCTTGTAGAAAAGACAACTGCGATACTTAAGAATGCGATAAAAGAACTGGAAGATTCCATGAATGGAAATTCAAGATCTAATGAGCCATCGACATCGATATCTTCAGCGTCATCGATAGCTTCAACGCCGCAACTAGCTGCGCAAAACTTTAGGTATGTGCTATTTATAATAACCTTTCATTAAAATATGTAAATGAATGTACTACGTAGCATTGAATTGCTATATTATAATTATGAAATGATAAACATTTATTTAATTTACGTCATTTACTGAAAAAGTCATTATCTTGAAATAAATCTGTTTCAAAAAGCAGTTGAATAGCTAAGGTTAACTTCATATTGTATTGACCAAAATTTATGTTTATAGATAACATAATTTAAATATAGTGATAGTTTAAAGTTATAGATAACAGATTTGGTGAGAGTGCAAAGCTACATAAAAAATTTTTTGCTCGTATACTAGTACGAAATAATATTTGAAGGTATGAAAATCTCACTCCCTAAATTCAGAAATTGATATTGGCAAGAAATAAATAATGTTTTCAAAATATTTCTAACAAATGCTTAATTGACACAGTTTTGTCCTTTCAAAATAAATGCCACATGACTTCACTAATGACACTGAGGCCCTGTTAGGGCTTTACTATAGTTTAGATGGTTGCATGGGTATTTTTTTCTTTGCTAAAAACAGGATAATATGAATTTTAGGATTTAGAAATATTTATTATCATGGCCCCCTATTATTTGCTATTATTGTCCCCCTACCAGCTAATTAAAGCCTTGATAATATAGGAGATGTCTGAATCTTATGGTTGCATGAAGGGAGGGGGTCATATAAAAGAAAAGCCATGTGAAATAAACTCTCTTAAGATATGACATTTTTGCATTCCTGTACAAATTGATTCATATGCATTTGGTTTTTTGTCTTATTAATCTCTGTATTGATTGTAACTGTGTAAATTATTTCTAAAATGTCATGTTTTCTTGCAGAAGAGTATTTCCTGGGCTCTGTAGCAGAAATGTTGCAAAGACTCCTGTTCATCCTTCAGCACATCGGCCAGGATTAAGCACATATACTGCGCCAAGAATTGAACCAAAACCCAAAAGACCCAGGCTTCAGGGGTATACACCCGTAAGCTTTACTCCATTGGAAACATGGACACATGACGTGTGTATGCTTGCAAGATGTGATGAGAATACAACACCTGACAGAGAAAGAATGGAAGTCCTGATGAGAGCTGGCCTAGGGAAAATGAAGTTAGTTTTCCCGAACAAGAAAGCCACCCACTCTGAAGTTTGTAGTTTCCTTAATGAAAAATTCCCAAGGTTGAAAGATGGTGGTGGATTCGAGGTGTTAAGGGCTGTTGGTGGTGGTGGTGGATCCAGAGCTCTCCATTTAATCCCACCTGGGAAGGATGGGTATTCTTTGCCATATATAAAAGAGCGGTTCTCTCAAGCGGCAGTATATATGAGGCCATTACAAGCTGACCTAGATGAATCGCCATTGTTACATCACGTGAGTTTCATAAAGTTTCTAGCAATACATTGCACTACACTACACTGCACTCACTGAACTGCACTATATTACAATTGCGCTGTGTATCTTCTTGATAGGATACCAGAAGTGGCCACCCAACTGTAAATTGTGTTTTTTGTAACAAATCCTTGGACTTTTCTGAAATTAAGATACATAGGCAGGAATGCCAGCAAAGGTAAGATTCTTTCAATAATTTCATGTAAAATATTGGTTGCATCTTTAATTGTATGTCCCAAAATTATACATTGTGCAAGACAGCAATATATTTTACCATATATATACCCTTCAACTATTTAAACAGAAATACTGAAGGGCAGTCTTCACTTGGATGCACACCATCATCAAGTTCTGGTAAGATATTTGTAACTTGTAAGGATTGCATAAGTCTCATATATATTATATATGTAGTGTTGTTGTGTCAATCCCCTTATGCAAGTATATGTTTCTTACAAAGTATGTTTGCTTTTGAAATGAAATGAAATGAAAATAATTAAGTTTGGAATTTCATTTTTAAAATTTGCAAAACTTCACATTTCTTTGTTAAGAAACATAAATGGTTAATGCCCGTTATGCTAATGTTAATATTCAATTATAAAACCAACTCAGATTGTATAATCAATTTTTTACAGAACCTGGGCATTCTGTTTTAGAGCAAATAGAGTCTGATAGACAGTTTGCTGAACTACTAGCTGAAGATGATGGAGATGAATTGGAATTGATAAAGTGCTGTGGAATCTCTGACCAAACAGAAGAATTGAAATGCTCATCACTACACGAGGCTCTCAATAAACTTTCATTGAAGACTCGACCTGAAACAGAAAAGAACATTGAGTTTTTTGTTCAGAGAAGATGCGTTTTGAAAAATGCCTTTGAAGATGTCAAAACATGCAAGATGATAACTAGTAAAGTTTCAGTCGAGTTCGTCGGAGAGCCAGCGGTTGACACGGGGGGCCCACGAAAGAAATGTTCTCGATTGCTTTTCGCCAATCTATTGATTGCAAGCTCACCAGAGGTGCTTTCCCGTATATCACCTTTCTACATGATCAGAATGCACTAGCTAGCGGCTATTACAAAGCATTCGGGCAATTGGTAGCCCTTTCACTTTTGAATGGAGCTGGCGGCCCACATCTTTTTTCTTCATGCTTGGCAAATTTTATTCTTGGCATAGAAAAAAAGTGTATTGCGGAAGAAGTTATCAAGGAGATTCCTGGTGATCAAGCTGAAATAGTTACGAAACTACAGAGCCTAAATGGATGCACAAACCCAGATGATTGGACGAAGGCCTTGTTGAATTTTGACGAACGCTTTGACATGGGGATAAACAGCGCAAAAATCTTATTCGGGGAAAAAGAGGAGCTAATACAAGCTGTTGCTAAACACATCATGATTAGCTCGGCATTGGAAGAAATTCATAGCTTTCAAGAAGGCTTGTCGACATTTGGTGTCTTAAGTGTCTTGAGAGAACACCCAGAAAAGCATTCAAAGAGCTCACATACAGCCAGCTTTCCGTTGAAGATGTCAGAAAACCCTTCGTGCCGACATTCTCGGTCAAAGGATCGTCCAAGAGGGAAAAAGAAGAACTTGTAATCTTCAACTTCAACCAATTTCTGAAAAAGTGCAGCCAGGGAGAAGTTAGTAGAACTGTGCTGAACCTGGATGGCATACTTGGTGAACAACTTTTTGAAGAAGAGGCCACGCACATATTAACCCTGAACGATGTTTACCAGTTTGCAACTGGGTTGCGTTACCCACCTCCTGGTGGATGCAAAGGCACAGTGGAATTCATCCATGGTGCACTACCTGGAACACGTGCCAAAGGAAACACATGCGCCAATTCCTTCTGTTTTCCAATTACTTCCAGATATGCTAATGAAGATTATGGTGTCTTTATATCCAGTTTGGCTGATGATATCTTGGAAGGACCTGGATACGGTATGGTCTGATCTGCTTTCTAACCGTGACCTTTGACGTATTATTGCAAGAACAAACAGTTGATATTGTTGTTTCCTTTTAATGTTTCATTCGTACAAAAAGACAAGGGGATATATTGTTTCATTCGTACAAAAAGACAAGGGGATATATTGTAAAGTTTACTGTACATGTTAGTAAGCTGTTTGAATTTTGTACTTAGTTTAAAGTATCTTTGCATTGTCTTAATGGTTCTGTTTTTTTATGGTAGGTTTTAAGTATAAGTACTTAAATATAACATGGACTCGTCCAGTGACAAATATGCAGGCTTGATGATATAGATCAATACCATATGCTTCATCATGTGCAGTTGGATTCACTTGTACCTGCAACTCATTAAAGTCTCTCTCTGACAATGGGTTTGTTACGTCTGGTAGATCTATGGGTGAAGTTTCCTCATTTGCATTATTTAATTCCTCACAATCTATTCCATATTCACTCCAGTCCTGAAAAAAAGCCTGAGTTATCAACAAATGAATACCATATTTATTCCAATGAACACTCAACATATAATAAAAATCCTGTTTAAATGAATGCCCCCCCCCCCTCCCTGCTCCAACACACACATTTATGAATAATAGTGTTAAGGTTGCTTTCGACTGTCACTCTAAAAACCAATTTACGTTTACATGTGTGTTCACTTTAATCACATTCTGCAATTATAGTACTAAGTATATTTACCTATAATATAAGCAAAAGGCATTATTACCTGCATTAATTCTTGTTGCAATTCAATCCCAGCAAGGTCAGAACTTCTAGAAAGCAGAGCAAGGCCACATATCCATAGTTGATTTGGTGTCTTATTTCCAGCTGTTCGTAAGGGATGATTATTCCATGATTCTACAAATCTCTGAAGATGTGCATTTATCCGTGGCTCAAAAATATAATGTAAACAGAACTTGTGGATGTTATTTGATAAATCTAAATAGCCATTTTCTTCTAGATATTGAAAGACAGAATAGTATATATACAGGCAAGCCACAAAGACATCTCGCCATAACCGTTCAATTCGCTGGTTATGAACGCTAGCACCCGTAATAAAACTTCCCCTGTTCGGCCCCCTCAAAGGGTGATTTAACATGTACCGTGCCACTTGTACATTCTCTCCGCCATGATCAGCTCTCATCCTGGAAGGAAGTCCATGTGTAGCAACTGCATTTGAAAAATGTGTTAAAACAGTATCAGCTCGGTTGTTTCCATTGCATGATAGGTACATAATTTTTCGCGAGTAACCATCCACGCACCCATGCACCACAAAATTCCATCTTGAGAAAAACAGTACATTAGTACGAATATCATATATGATACATATACATCTATATATCATACATGCAAGCAAAAGTATGTAGTTTTACCTTATCAATTTATGATTCCCATCCATATGCCATAACGACAGAGGGGCCCTTACACTGTATGATCGCCTGTGTGTGACACGAATTTGAAGTGCTCTAACAATAGTTCCTTCTGGATCACACCTTCTCATTGATTCTCTGATCCGAATTTCTTGAATTTTGTAACCTCTTGACAACAAATGTCCACGCATGCTTTTATAACCAGAATTGGGGAATTCTTGCAGTATGTTTTTTACCAAAATATCTAGGTCTTCATCAGTAAGTTTTTCATATGTATTACGTACTGACATTCCATTTTCCTGAAGTCGTCTATGAATAGTCTTCTGACAAACGCAGAACAAACTCGCGATGTCACTTACTTTAAATCCGTTTTCCAATAGGTATTCCAGCTGATCAATTGGTATATCAAATTTCGGTCTACCTTTAAATCCTGTTTTTGTGACTGGTGGTAAAATTGTAGCGAAACTCTCTGCTTGCTTGTCCACCGCGGCCGTTAACATATGTTGGGCTTCAAGTAGGGATGGTAGCAAACAATTTTCCATCGGTCCACCCAATCGCAATAGCAACACAATAAGCCATTCAACTTTATAATGAGCGTATTCAGCTTTGTTATCACAGTCTTGACTTTCCAATTTTCTTATGATGTTGTTCAGTATTTCCTTAATATTGATGTAAACTAACTCATTTGGCGTGCGGTGTTGTCCTTCCATTTTTTTCACCTCAAATTCCTTTTTATCGCTTTCTTTTTTCACTCATTTTTTCGGTTGTCTTGTCTACAAGATCTTTCTCCGCCATCTTGCTTTTATAATACAAAAGGTGGTTGTCATGTGATCAGTATTTTCGCGCCAAATTACAGATGAATTTTAATGCAATGGCTTCAACATTGCTTCTCCCGGATACGATATCGCACCTCCAGAGCAACATGTTGCGTCCCCGGATACGATATTACACATTAACCTAACACATTAGGTCCCCGGACACAAGATGTTGCACCCGGACATGATATTGCATCATCGGATACGATGTTGCATCTCCGGATACAACGTATTACATATTCGGAAATGACATTACATCTCTGGACACAACGTGTTGTATCTCCGTATACGACATAACATCTCCAGATACGACATGTTACAACTCCGGATACGATATTGCATTGTTGGGTACGTTTCGGTCCGACCGCTTTCTGAAACATTCATCCTTCCGGCTATAACATCGCATCATATCGATTACAAAATAGACTACAGCATAGTACACTGTACGGCATACAGCGTCTCACAATTTTGTCCACAATCCCCCTCCATATTATTCAGCATTTTATACGTCGTCATGCCTTCGTCGGAATGTGCCGTGATTGGCTCGTGCGGCGAAAATCCTCCGACGCGCGATTTTTGAAAACAATATTTTAAAATAAACAATGTGAAATAATGTAAGAAATAAAAAATCTGAATGAAATGAATGAAAGAACTTGGTATCTTCTATATTGAAAATATGGTAGAATTTTTTGTTGTGAATTGCTGCTTCTGTGATACATATCAAGGACAGCAGGTGAGGGGAAGGATGAGAAAATATAGCTGTGTGTATTCTTCAAAATGCAAACACATATCTTTCTTTATTATGTAATGCAGGTTATCAAAGCAAAAAAATGGACGTGCAAAATGTGTGGTGAAAAGCAATCATTCAGAAAGATACTTGGTCAAGGCACGGGAAAAGAATGTCGTAAAATAGTGCAGCAATTGAACATGGTCAATGGTAATTTAAAGAGGAGAATGCTTCAGGAGGATTACAAGGAAATAGAGCAAACTGCTGTTGAAAGAGATGTTGAAAGTCATAGGATAACCCAGTCTATTGAGACAAAGCAGAGCAAATGGGACAAGTTTCTTCCAATTGATTCATTAAATGCAACAGGTATCCCTAATCTTTATTTTAAAAGGTGTGTCAATATGTGTGGTCTTTGACCATGTAAAGCACATCAGATCACTTTAACCCACATATTTTTTTTAATCTCTAGAAACTGAGGACCCCAGTGTAAATTTCATAGAGAGTACATCCTCGACAGAACAGAGAACTTTCAACCAACCAAGAGCCCTGAAACGAAAAGCAAGTACAAAGGACATGCCATCAGACAATCTCAATGAAAATCAAGAGAGAAAAAAGTCAACATTTAATGACAGCAATAGAACATATCTAAAGAGCAAGTCAAATATGACAAGTCAAACCACAACAGATTGTCAGCTGCTTTCTGAGAGTCGAACCAAGAATTACGGACAAATAAAAGTGTCCAAATGGTCAAAATTTGTGTAATTGCTAACATTGTTACTGTTTAATTTTATTAAATGCCTCATATCTTAATTGTTGGACAATTATCTTTTTTATTCAGTTCCATAGTGGGCATATTTGCTAATTGCTATTCTGATTTTATAATCTGTCAAAAGTTGCTGAAGTTGATGTTATTTATATAAGAAGAGTGAATGCACAATATTTACAATATAAATGTTGGCGGAGGTCCTTGGCCAATGATGCAATACTGTACCTTTTTGATCATTTGTAACAATTTTGACCATACAGTTGTATTGGAGTTACTGTCCTATTATAGCTCAGTGTTACTGACATACTGATCCAGAGTGGCAGCTCTGTGCGTGATCCTGGTAACTAGCCTAAGAAATTTTTAAGATGGCGAGTTTCTCAGCTTTAAAGGCCGTGGAAAAAGCTGGATTTATAGCGGTAAAAGTGATGTTTTGTTTTCCTTTTTTGTATAGTAAACACTGCATTTGTTAGAAAATTGCTTTTAAAACTAAATTTTGCCTGTATATATGGAAAAGGGCAATTTAAATCTATAGAAATGTTTGATCAATTAATGCAACATTACAAATACGGTGTCATGTATACATATCAATATGTTATAATATCTTGCAGGCTCGCTCATTCAGTACAACTTTTACAGCTAAAGCTTCACAAGTTAAGGTAGTAATTTATATGATATGAAGTAAAACCGCTTATAGTATTAATAACAGCAAGTGTATACTCTAGTTTTATATTACTGTACAAACAGAGTTCTTAATTCTGGCGTGCAATCAATGTTTCACAAACCTTAGAAACTTACATATTTAATAATTGTCATAATTAGGCTCCTATTAAAGTGTTTGGGATTGAAGGTCGCTATGCTCATGCCTTGTACTCTGCGGCAGTTAAAAGTAAACAACTTGACAAAGTTGAGACAGAACTTGACAAGATACAGGTATACAGTGGTGATGCAAATTGAAATTAGTTGCAGTTGAATTGTAAGTGATCTATTCTGTGTATACCTTCTAGGGACTTCTGAAAAGTGACCCAAAACTAGCAGATTTTTTGAAAGACCCCACTTTAAACAAGGTTAAAAAACAAAGTGAGTGTCAATTCAATGATAAAGTTTGAAACAGTTTTTGTCTAACACATTGATCTTGTGAAAAAACAATGTGTTGAGGGCACAGTTTACCCCTATATCTGTAGTGTATTAAATTTCTGCCCAATTGTTATTTTTCAGATACCTTGCATGATGCATTTAAGAAGATGAGCTTTTCTGATCTTACCATCAATCTCTTCGGTATGGTATCTTCATCACAGTTATTTAGGGAAATATCAGAATAGTTAACAAGATAAAAGCCTGTATATGGAACTCAACACTGTGTTTTTTTTACCAGGTGCTTTAGCTGAAAATAATCGCCTGCCTTTATCTGGTAACGTTATCAAAGCCTACTCACAGATAATGTCAGCCCATCGTAAAGAAGTACCATGTGTTGTGACAACAGCCAAAGTAAGGCATAAATGATCTTTTCTAACTGGCTCTGAATGATGTAGTGGCACTTTGAAATGAGGATATTTTCAGATATTTTAAGGTATATATTTTATAACAATCCTAGGCTCTTGATGCAGCAAACATGAAAGAATTGGAACAATCACTGAAAAGTTTTGTCAAACCAGATGAAACTCTGAAAATTGAGACAAAGGTATTAAAAGTTGATAACAGTTTGTTTTCACTGTAGAAATATCTTGTAACATATGTTTCTTGTTTAGATTGATCCAAATATTATTGGTGGTATGATAGTGAATATCGCAGACAAGTACGTGGATATGTCCATTTCAACAAAGATTAAAAAGATCACAAGTGCTATGGAAGCAAACTTAGACTAATAATATAATTTTATTCAGATACGGATCCACCCAGTTGTGGACACTGCTTTGCCTTTGTCAGGTTGTTTTGAGATAAATAAATTTTTCAAAAGAACAAATGGTGTTTTTTATTTGTTTATAAGTTTATATAACAAAGACAAAAAAACCCCAAATGTATAGTTCATAAATAAAATCTATTGATCCACTTCACATTTCTACTATAATAAAAATGCCAGAATGCAATCAATGCATTAAAAAATGAAAAGGTGATGTACATTATGGTTAAACATACACTCAATATTACCTTCTCAAACAACACCAGTTGAAAAAAAATATAGATTCAAAATCTTCTCTGTGGTTGAGGTAAGAACTGGTTAGCAGGTGAGCTATAAAGACCAGTTTGACGTTGATTATTACCAGATCGGTTTGTCTGGTGGTTGTTATGAGATTGTTGGTGTTGATGATGGTTACTTGAGGATTGATAAGCAAATGCATGTCCCTTTTGACCATGATTACCACCAGAAGTTCTCATCCTCTTGTTAGGTGGATGATCACCATTTCCATTTGTCTCTTGCTTGCTGCCAGCAGTCTTATTAAGGTAAATAATTAAATCACTCAATCACCATTACTTTATTTAAATAAAAAGCACCAAAACTCATTACCTTATTTGATTTTGTGTCATCTTCTTCATTAATAAATTCTCTTTTAGGATAAGGAATTGCATCAATCCCAAAAGCACTAATACATTGCAGAAAAATATTTGACATAAACCAGACATTATACTAAAATGAAATGATATAGCAACTTACTCATTTAAGTGTCGAGGTTCCTCCTCAAAATAGGTATCCTGTAGAGCCTGCTCAGCTGTCATTCTTTTATTAGGATCCATAACAAGTAGTTTACCTAACTACAAGATGATATAATAGATATATATTGTTGGTTTGAAATTAAATTACATATTAATTTATAAATCATCCTTTTCAGTTCTTACTAGTTGAAATGCTTTGCTTTCTGAATGAACTTTATACTTTTCCATATAAGACGAGAGTTGAAGTCCATGATAACTTGAAAAAAAGGAGAAAGCATTTAGTTAATGCATATGCAATGTTATAGAAAAGCTGTAATTCAAAGTACCTGTTTTTCTTAAAATCTTTCATTAAAGTTGGATGTTCTGGCATTCGTTTTATATCTTCCCAATCTTTCTCTTAAAAGGTGCAAACATGGAGATGAAATTAATCAAATTAATCCTTGCACAAATAAATCTTAATCATAATCTGATGATTTAATCTAACCTTGGGGGAAACCCATGACTTGAAATATTCTATCTAACTGCTCTTTATGATATGGATTGCTAGTCTTAATGTCTTCTTGTCGACAGTGAAATATGGGTTCTGATGTTAAAAGTTCAGCAAATATACAACCAATCGCCCATATATCTAAAAAAGGAGAAAAAAATATATAGACAAACTTGGAAGTCTTCACAATGTAGGCAAAATTACTACAACTTCATTACCAATTGCTTTTGTATAATGTCTTGCCCCAAGCAACAATTCTGGTGACCGATACCAGAATGTAACCACGACTGGATCAAGATCAGCCAAAGGTTTAAGAGGATTATTAAAAAGACGAGCGAATCCCATGTCAGCTAAACAGGGAATAATAAGTTAGTGTAGATAAAGACCTTAAATTTCATAATGAAATGTGGAAATGACTGAGGAAAGCCTGATATGTGTTACAGAAGTTTGATTAGCTGGTTAGTTAAGCTACCATTAATATGTTAAGATATACTATTACTCAGAAAAAAACTTACCAATTTTAACTCTCCCTCGTTCAGGACCTTCTCCCATGACAAGTATATTGGCTGGTTTCTGGGACAATATAGCAGCAATTGGTAATGTGATATATGTATAAATATATTACTACAGAAATATTACTGTAACATACCAGATCTCTATGTAAAATCCAGTTAGAATGAAGATAGCGAATACCATCAAGTATTTGATAAAGCAAAGATTGTATTGTTGTTCTTGCTACAGGACATGGCTTCTTTTGTGCCTTATAGCTACGATGATATTTAATGATGTGCTAAAACACCAAATAAATAAGGTTATTTCTTTTGGTAAGCTGGTTATTGCTTTTGCTTTATGTTATACAATCTACTAACCCATAAATCATGTTCAGCATAGTCCATTAACAACCAAACTTTCCTGTCTGTGTGAGACAAGAATACTTTTTGCAAAGAAATGACATTGGGATGGTGAAGTTCACGTAGTAACTAAATAAACATATTTTTACACAGTTTAATATTCAACACATTTAGATAAATTATGTACATAGCAATATTTAGGAATCAGAGATTTAACATACAGCAATCTCCCGACATGCTGACATTGAGATTCCAGTTCCCTCAATCAATTTCAACGCATATTCTTTTTTTTCCAGTCTAAATGGCAGGCAATAAGAATTTGGTAGTTAAATATTAAATTTATATTATATAACCACCTCCTGGTACTTACTTTTTTTAGTACTAGACTGCTGTTTTAGACAAATGCCATGAAAGACATGACAATAAAAAACTTCAAAGGAAACTATAATAAAAACTTACGAGGCTTTCTCTCCAGATTTTGCCTTAATTCTTGCTTTATAAACATGACCATAAGTGCCTCGACCTATTTTACATCCCTCATACTCAAAGATATCTTCAACTCTTTCCCGTTCTTCGCTCATTTGACGCTTGTATTCGTAATCCATGGTTGTTTAAAACCACTCGAATAGGACAAGGGAGTTGAGAAGAAGCAAGATATCCAAGAGATAATGTTATATTGTTGCGTTTTTCACGCATTATTTATTTCTTATCGAAAATTGATGGAAAAAGACGCCATATTGATTTCAGGTGCTTCCATTACTGCAAGATCTGCTTTATTCCCCAAGAAAATTATTTAGATTATGTTAAAAATTTCAACTATTCTGGTGATATTTGTATCCAAAAAATTTATTTGCGACCTCAAAAGCTCTGTTTTACTGTTTGAATACATCTGCAGTTACTCACGCTAGATTTTATTATGTTTTATCATGGTAAAAACTTACGATTTCGTGCGTGTATAAGTTTTTTTTTAACAAGAAAATGTTTTGCAGTATGTAAAATATTCCTTTTTATCAAAAGATATATAAAACCGTGATAAAACCTTTAATTTTGTTTAAAAAATAAAAAGAAATATAGAAATTCTGTTACGTATATGGAAACATTGTAACTAAGTTAATTTGCTAATTTGTGACACGTAAAAATTTCCTTTGATGTTGTGGTCGCTTTTGGTTGGTTGTAAATAAAAATGATTTCGGTATTTAAATTATTTTTATCATGGCTTTGTTAAAAAGCTTTTAATATGTCCGGATGGTCATTCAAGGAAAGTAAATCTTAGATTTTATATGAGATATAATGGAGGGACAATATAACTTGAAAAGCCCAGGTATTTGAATTTATTGATATTTCGTTCTTTCGTTTTCATGTGTGCATTTTAGTTTTGATTAAATTTTGCTTCCCCGTATTAAAAGACGTAATCGTCTAAAATAGATCATATTTTGCCATAATTCTATATCATTTTTAATATTTTTTATAATTAGTCTAAATGAAACATCGATAGCATACAGAAACGTTTCTTTCATAATAGATTTATCAGAACCAAGCAACCTATTACATATGTCAACAGGATTTAAATGTCTTCCCCATACATAAAAATCAACCACAGTGAAATGAACCTATAGACGTTGACATTGTTTACATTTTGTTACATTGTAAAAGGGTACCTTTATTTTGTACAGCTGTAAAGCGTCTAATGCGAGAGGCTAGAGAATTATGTGAAGCAACATCCCAGTACTATGCCCAACCTCTTGAGGTAAGGCTAAATAATTGGTCTTTTATTTCAGTATATCATGCCAGCTGGTTATAATTGAACTTCAAATTTAAATTTCAGGACAATTTGTTTGAATGGCATTTTACAGTTCAAGGTCCAATTGACAGTGAGTTTGAGAAAGGACGCTACCATGGTCGGATCATACTACCACCTGAATATCCTATGAAACCACCTAGTATTATGCTTTTAACAGTAAGTACACACCCCAAAGGGAGCAAACTTGCTCCAAAATATTATTTATAATAATACTGTTTGATCTCTAATATGTGTATTATGAAAATTTGTTTGGTTTTAGCCAAATGGCCGGTTTGAACTTAACAAGAAGATCTGCCTAAGTATGTCAGCCCATCATCCTGAAACATGGCAACCATCTTGGAGTAGTAAGTCTGGTTAAATTTCTTTTTCAATTGTTTTATTAGCTGATCCGTAGAACATTGCTTTTGGTATTTATTAATTGGTTGTTTGTATATTTCTAGTTCGAACTGTGTTACTTGCCATCATTGGTTTCATGCCTTCGAAAGGCGGTGGAGCTATTGGTGCCTTAGATTACACCAGTGAAGAAAGAAGGATATTGGCCAAAAAGTGAGAAGTGTACTATTTCATTTTTGAGATTTTTTTGTTTTATTAGGCCTAAAGTGAAAGCCTACTATGGAATTATTGTTGACTATTTTATTTTACTATTATCAGGTCAATGAGATGGACATGTGATGTCTGTGGTAGCTGCAATGGTGATTCATTGAGAGAAGGTAAAAAATTAAGCTAATATAGCTGAGCTAATAAGGCAAGTTTGAAAGCATTGCTCTTTTCTTTATTTTATCACAACAGAGGATTCAAAAGATAAAGGAGAAAGATACAAAAGAGACATTGAATTAGCATCACAAATAAATTTCAAGGTTAGATATCCAAAGGAAGAGTTTGATGTATCTAAAGGCGACACCTCTCCGACAACACAGTCAAGCGTATATTAATTATAAAATGCTTTCTCTATTTAACAGGGTGAAAATGAAGCAAAATCAGAAGAGAAGACAAAGGTAGATGGTTCAGTTGCAACAGCAAATGGTGAAATAACGACCAACAGACAAAATATTGAGAACATTTTATCACATAATGAGGGAGCTACAGAGAGGACACAAAATGTTAGAAAACGTACCAGAAAAACTTCCAGTCGCAGGCAGGAAAGTAAACACAGAACAACAGAATCTGCCAAGGCTTCACATTCAAAGGGATATTTATCACTAATTTTAATACTTATTTTTATGCTATGCCTCCTAATGTTGCTACTTCGGCGGATTTACTACAAGTAGTGGTAGTATGTTTATAAATGAATGAGAATTTGTAAAGAAAATCATCTGTAAAGGTTTTACAGAAATATATATGTATAGGAATTAATGGAGATATTGTACCACCGCTTACAGTTAAGGCACCTAAAGTTTATTTAAAACAAAAGCACAACTAGAGAAAAGCAAATTTCACAGTGTTACTCAATATATATTTGATATCACAATAAAATCCAATTTACATAACTCGCGCATTTTGTCTCTTGCGCATGTGCGCGCGCCTCACTTTTTCCCGCTGGTGGAGCCATAAAGTTCACCCTGATCGTCAACTCGATTCAGACCCAACATAAGAATTAAACGCGCAGACTCATTCCGTCTCCATGCGCGCCAGTCGTCCTGTAAAATCTTAAGCAGTTTTTCTTTCATATTCGGCATATCAGCAACGGTCCTATGATTTTCATAATTCTCATTAATAAGCGCCACGAGGCACCCAGTTGCACCTCGGCGCAAGATGTTTACTCGAGAATCCAAGAGGCCATACAATGTGTCCAATAATCCATTCAAACGCGCTTTATTCTGATTCTCGTACATGCAAACGCATATTTCAATGATTGCGTATAAAGTTTGTTTTTTCAGTTCAACAGGCGTGTCTTCATCCTGGAGAATGCGACTAAACTCCATCAAATGACTCGATGCCATTTTAGCCACGGCTGGTCCACCAAGCCACGCAATATGCCCGATATCTCTAGTTGCGCTCATGCGTTCGTGAAATCCTTGTGATAAGTTGATCTTTTTCCCTGCGATCACAACGTCTCGTTTGTAATAATCATCGTCCATAATCGCGCCAACATCGCCCAGGTATTGCTCGCTTGCTGACAGTTGTTTCCTGCGACGCAATATGCCAAAAATATACGAAAAAAATCCGAGAAATGAGGTTATAAATCCTGGAATTGCTACCATGATTCTTCAGGAAAAACTTGCAGCAAGAAAATTAGTTTGCGCGCTAAAGTATATTTTGCATAATTGAGGGCGATTATTGTGACGTCACAGATTAGAGACCATTGTTGAATGATCAAAAAACAATAGAATCACCAAAATTCTATTTAGGACAGATTGCATCCGACTTGATGTTAAATACGATATTGTAACTTCAGGAAGAGGAACATCATGTTCTAACGAGAAGATGTAAAGTTGCATTGGGTACCAGGCCTGCTTCTTCTAGTGTCTGTGTGACATCATCATATACCATATTTGGGAATGATGTCTTGATGCGGTATTCATCTTGCAGCTCAGGTCTGCAGGTGAAGACAGAAGATGGAATCTCAAACAGCATTAACAGGTTTGGGAAAGAGTCAAGACAACAACTTACCTCACTTTATTGATATACTTTCTGATACTGGCAACAGTGTCAGTGAACTTTAATTTCAAAATATAAGTCTGTGAAAATATGTGAGAATTGTTGTTCAGTCCTAGGGGATAGTTCACCAAAGTCAATGAATCATGGTTTCCTACCTGATCACCCTTTTCAGATTTTATTCGCAATGTTGTGACATCATAACTCACAGACTGTGGTCGCTGTCCACCACTCTGTGTCCTGAGAGGGTAGGAGTCAAGTATTAGAGTGTAAAAGCAATTATATAATCTTAAGGCAAAGGTGTGGAGATGATTGATCTTATATAGTTGCAGGCAGTAACTAACATGTAGTATACCAATATTCAAAGATTTTCTAACACTATAGCAACAGCCTACCTAGATTTGATTTCCTGGATAACTGGTGTGTCAATAACACTGACAAGACCCTCTTTGGAACCATCAGAGGATCCCTAGAAATAGAAATAAGGAAGTGTCATCAATTGAATCTACATACATGCTCAGAATATACTGAAATGCAAGGACTAGAAGAGGTCTGCTTAAAGCTCACCTTGAGAGTATTTTCAATTCCTGAACGAATGTCAATTATTTTGCCATTTCTTATAACAGATGGAGGAAGACGGTCAAGAAACTTCTCCACCGGAACATTTGTTTCTACATGTGGGAACAAAGTTTGAGAGTTACTTGCAGATGCTTTAGTACAGCTGTAGACTTTGAAAATTTATAATTACCTAAAGTTATAAATATATTGCCTACCAAATAACCAAATGGTAAAAAACTTTGTAAAGCTAATATTCTAGAAATACCTCTCTCATTTATGCTTTCCAGTGAATGTATTTTCACATTGCTGTCCTTGTGACCTACAATATCTCCACTATTCTCTAAAGACTGACCAGAACCAGGAAACAGCAGTTCAGTTCTTTTGTCTTTAAAAACCTCTTCCCTTCTATCTTTTAGCTAATGAGCAAGGAAATGATGTTTTAACTTAGCTTTTCAGGTGGAAAATTGCAGTCAAAGTAAATGACAATAAAACGAGAGTCTATAGAGTTTATCTTTTAACCTTTATGGCAATACCATCTGGATACCTTTCCTGCAGTTCAGATGGAAAGTAGCCATCCATGAGGTCTTGTATACAGCGCTAAATAAATACCAACAAATATCAAATGCAAAGTAAGTCTCTTTAATACTGCATTTGGGTAATTGTTGAACTGTACCTGTGTTGTGCCATCAGTGTAAGGTCTGAACGGTCCAGAAAACATTAATATACCATTAGCATATAATGTTAATGGTACTGCATCAGGTGCCTATGCAGATAAATGCATAAAAATGAAAACCTATACACATGGCTGCCTCTAACGCAAAATACAAATAAGTACCTTGAGTGTTGCACCTCCTTTTGTCCGAGCAATGACAGTCCTATCTGCTCCACTGAGCGAATTCAACTCCTCAATATTCTTAACAACAAGGTTAAAATTAATTTCAAATGTCTCAGATGGAAGTGAGGCACCTGCAAAAGAAATTAAAATTAATTTATAGGGAAAATTAAAAAGTTGGAGTATTAGAGAAATAATATCAACCTGGATTCCAGAATGGGTGTGAACTTGTGGCAAGTGCCTCTGGACTTTTTAACTCCTTCGCCCAATCATTGTTTTCAGCATTTTGATCTATGCTGGTTTCTGAGCCAACCCATATCATGCCATAGTCAGCCAGAAACTCCTGTAAAAGGAATAAATGTAAGTTGTTTTGTTATACAATGAAGTTAGGGTGAGTCATTTTCTTATACTATACAGCTACTCACTTCCATATCATGAACCTGTTGCTGAAGAGTTCTGCATTTGCTTTCAAGATCTTTAACATTTTCAGCACCATACCCTGGGCCACAACAGGATTAAGAATTAAGAGACAATAGCTTATGACAAACAATGTCATTTCAACTGCAAAGCAGGTTAAAGTTTCAAATATGTACCTCGAGCCTTTTCTAGCAATTTTACTTTCTCTTCTAAAATTTTGATTTTTTTATCCTAAAGCAGTTTCAAGAATGGTTTATTTATGGCACTTTGTAAAAATAAAACAAATAGAAGCTTTTAAGTGCTAAGTGTACATCAAAACCATATGATTTAAGCAGAAATTTGCCAATATAGTGAAAATGTTGGGAGCAGGAAAAGGTTTAAAGATTGTCTTTTACATCTCCAACCACGAAAAACTCCCAATACTGAATGTATGCATTATTTTTGGTCTTTAATCCAGGATAGACATCTGTGCAACTGATCAATACACATGTCATACGTATATATAGACCTTATGTCAGTAAGATGACATGAAACACAACCTTCTCAATAACTTCTCTTGTAGAAACTCGAAGCTGCTGTTCACTCTGTGACAACCTAGTTGCCATGCTACTCAATAACTCCATATCTGATGGTGCTGAACATATTAAATAGAAACTGCTTTAGACATTTGCAGCTTTATCACAAATGAGTTCTTACAGAAATCCAGAGATCAATTATACCTTGGGAATGTTTCATATTTTTTCTGCCATTACCATTTTTCTCAGGCCTAAGTTCTTGAAGCTTATGATTAAGTATATCAGCTGGAAAAAATACCCCCAAGAAACAATGTTGCTGAGAAACAAAATTTAAGAGAATACAGATACAGATTGGCTATTCCAACAACGCACCTGGATCGTTGCCAGTTTTTCGGTAAGGGACATTGCCAGACCTGAAATACAAACTCAACGTCTGTGTATATTCGACAGACAAGCCTACAGGTCCACACAATAATCATGCATTTAAAAACAATTCTGAGAGTCATCCACATTTTTACACTAGAACCATCATAAATGCTGGCAACTCTGCATGAATCCTACTAAGAGTCTACGACTATATAAGATGAATAAAATTATTTTCAAGTGTGTTATCTTTTCCCATTTTAAAAATAATTTATTAAAAATATTAAAATACTGTTTACCTTTCATGGCTTGCTAGATTTCTAGCTCCGTTTAAAGGCACTTTCTTGGTCTTTTTTAAACTTTCAAACGGCGAACTCATGACAAATAGAAAAGGAAAGTTTTCTTTCCCGAAAAATCTTACATCTTTGGTAGAATTACGCGTTTAAAAACTAATGTTTACAGTTATCTAGCAACAGTGAACCTCCATTTTGAAGGTAGCCTGCGAACGGGGGTTAATGGTGCCATTCATGCAAGGCATAGGAGTTAACCCCCCGGAATTTCCAAGTAGATGGTTTTCTGATCATAGTAATTTTACCCGAATTTATCAACACCGTGCTAGAACCAAGGGGGGGGGACTACACGAAAGAGCACAGTGCACAGGGGATCGAACCCTATAACCAATCTTGGTCCCGAAACACCACGGACACTGTTTTTTGTTTTTGTTGTTTTTGTTTGTACCATAGATATAACGTTAGTTATAGCTATAGCCATGTTAGCCAATCAGGAAAAGGTGTAAATATATATAGAGGGAAACCGGAGCGCCCGGAGAAAAACCCTCTCATGCAATATATGACAATAGAAACGAATGAACGATTTTTATTCACACAATTGATACATTTGTAATTTTCTATTTACAATGTTTCAAAATTAAATCCTGAAAAAAGTGTTAGTAATGCCTAAAAGAGAAAAACCTAGAAAAAAGAAAAACCTAGAAAAGTGAAAAACCTAGGATAGAGAAACACCTAGAAAAGAGAAAAACCTAGAAAAGAGAAAAATCCTAGAAAAGAGAAAATCCTAGAAAAGAGAAAATCCTAGAAAAGAGAGAGTCTTAAGAAAAAAAGAAAATAGAGAGAATACAGAGAAGAGAAAGAAGAAGAGATGTGCCCTGGTTCCGAAAGAATTTTGCTTATTATAATTACAAAAGCAAGTGAACAATTTTTCCTTTGTATTTAAATATTACAGTCAATTTAAGTTATGTTTAGATTATTTACAACAAAATGATATAAGAAATATAAAAAATTCGCCATATTTAGGGCATTCAGTAATACGAATTTTGCCTCCATATTGTAAGCCTCCATATTGTATTTTTTTAGCATTTGCGCTTGCGCAGCATTTTCCCCTTTTGGGGGCAATTGCAGCCATTTTTGTAACCGAATTTCACGCAGGTTGTGCAAGGTTTTATTTGAACCATTTTCTGTAACCGAATCTCATGCAGGATATATTTTGCATTTTTTTTTAGCATTTGCATTTGCGCAGCACTTTCCCCCTTTGGGGGAATTTTGCACCCATTTCTGTAACCGAATTTCATGCAGGTTTTATTTGAACCATTTTCCGTAACCGAATTTCATGCAGGATACCATATTTAGCCTCCATATTGTATTTTCTCAGTATTTGCGCTTGCGCAGCATCTTCCCCCTTTGGAGGCATTTGCAGCCATTTTTTTAACCGAATTTCATGCAGGTCGTGCAAGGTTCTATTTGAACCATTTTCTGTAACCGAATCTCATGCAGGGTGCCATATTTTGCCCGAATATTGCATTTTTTTAGCATTTGCGCTTGCGCAGCACCTTCCTCCTTTGGAGGCAGCATTTGCACCTATTTTTGTAATAGGATCTCATGCAGGGAACTATATTTGCCTCCATATTGTATATTTTAGCATTTGCGCTTGCGCAGCACTTTCCTCCTTTTGGGGCATTATTTTGCACCCATTTTAACCGGATTTCATGCAGATCATGCAAGGTACGTTCCATTTCAACCATTTTTATAACCGGATTTCATGCAGATCATGCAAGGTACGTTCCATTTGAACCATTTTTACAACCGGATTTCACGAAGAACATGCAAGGAAACGGATTTCTTAACCTGTAATACTTGGTGGCATTTACATTATAAACATGCACATGCAAATTGGTCTGATTCTCTTCCTAAGGTACCATTTGTACCACCTGGCAGAAAGTTCAAGCAAGATGTTGCCAGAGATATTGTTGCCAAAAATTTAATAATTACGCAAATTTTTCAATCTGGCAAGACCTTGTGCCTAACTAATGTTAACCTAAAGCCTTATAACACTCCATAGTTTGTATATATACACACATACGCCAAACAAGAAAATTACAAAAACATTTTTAGTGTGTAAACCCAAACTGTTGACCACCAAGTATATTCATGCACTCAACAATAGAATAGGACAACATGAACTGAATAATTTTAGTATAACATACACCTCCATATGACATCTGCATGGTACCTGCACCCACATATCATAATGTCCATAATCTTTCCCTGACCTTTTATAACCTTTATAAAATCTTTCCCTGACCTTTAACACACCAATTGCCATATCTTGAAACCAGTCATGCAGACTTGCATGAGCTTATAAGTCAAATGAACACAAATACTGCAATGCATGCACCTAATTGCTGGTCTGATTATAATTAAGATTAAATTTGCTACTAGCATAAGGTGCCATTCATATAGAGATGACATCCTTAATTGGGCAGTGTATCCTAGTACTTATTGTTTTTGAAGCTAGCAGCAAATAAGCCAATCTTGCTAAAGCATGTAGCAATAGCAAACTTTGTTGCTCTTATAGAAACAACATTCAGAATTCACTTTAATTTTGATGGAAACAGATATTATTTGATAAGCGTTAATTGCAGACACTTCTTGTATAAAGACACACAAATTTTCAACACAGGCTAAGTTTTCACTGCTAAGGCTTATAGCAATAGCAAAATTGCTGTCCTTTTAGACTGACAGCCATCAGTTTAATAGATGAGTAAGGCATTGCCGAACATATCAAATATTAAGCTGATCCATAAGAAAATTTATATTCAAGAATGACCAAAGTGGTGCGACAGTTTACTTAACCTATGCTGTGGGGGTGAGGTGATCAATCTCACTTATAATGTTTCCTATAAAGATTATATAGGGCTTGCATGAAAACAACAATTAAACCTAACATGTATACTGAAAAATTTGGATCCATGCAATGAAATGTCAATACTTCTTTCCACTCTCAATATCTAGTAATTAGACTGACAGCTATGAGAGACACACTGATTTTTTTCTTGCAAATGCTTATAGCAATTGCTGCCTTTATAAACTGACAGCTTTGAAAAAAAAACATCACAGACTCATTTATTTCCCAAAATACCTACAAATGATTTCCAACCACTTAGCAAGACAAACTATACGTGCAAAGAGTGGCGCAATCTCTTTACATGCACAGCTTGTTTACCAAATAACTGAAAGCCTTATGCAGAGACTTTAGGAAAAAAATAAGAATGTAATGCCACCGCCCTTGTAGACATTTTAAATAAAGCATGTATAGCAACTTTGTTGCTCTTATAGAAACAACAAGTGAAAGTATCATTTTATTGCTTTATAGCAATACACACAACTACTGTCCTTCTGACTGAGAATTATGAGAAGACAAAACGCTAAGTTTTTCTTGCTTAAAGCTTATAGCGCAATAGCACTGATTGCTGTCCTTTTAGACTGACAGCTATGAAAAAAAACATTGCAACCTGATTAAATTCCCAAAATACCTCCAAATGTCTTCCAACCACTTAGCACGACAAATAATGCATGTAAAAAGTGGCGCAATCTTTCTACATGCAACATTTGTTTACCAAATGACTAAAAGGCTTATGAAGAGACCTTAGAAATGAAAGAAGAATTGCAATGTGCCTACCCTTGAAAATTTTAGTCAACCTAACCTACTAATCATATGCATGCATGGAACTCTAATTTGCTTAGAAATTAAACTTTCCAAATTATCAAACTTCAAAGTTTTCACTTCAAATTTCAAAATTGATTTTCTAAGTATTTGTGTTCATTTAAACCCAATATTGCAACAAGTTTGAACCTAAATATAATAAATAGAAAATCATTAGCACCTACCCTGAAGAAACACTTTGATTGTTAATTGTAGTTAACTAATGTTAATTATCTTAACTAATTTTTGCAGATATATTAAGAGCTCAGGTTGGAGAGAAAAGTGCATTGGAAAAGGAGGCTAATTGGAGTGGATGCTGGAGCTAGTACAGAAGAGCATTGAGCTTATTAGAGAGCTCAGCTATTGGAGATAAGTTATTGGAGAGAAAGCTTTTGGAAGAGTGCTTATTAGAGAGGAGATTGATCTTATTAGAGAGGAAGACTAATTACAGAGGAACCTTATTAAGAAGTGGAGCTTATTACTGAGGAGGCTTATTAGCTTCGAGCTTATTGGAGAGGAGTGTCGCAAGAGAGGAGAGGTTATGGAAAATAAACGTTTATTGCAAAGAAGAGCTTATTAGAGAGTACAGCTTATTAGAGACAGTATATGACATAGGAAAGGCTTAGTATATAGAAAAATAACTTATTAGAGTGGATACCGTACTGGATAGATTTTGCTGAGACATTGATGCAAAATATATAATAATCATACAAATCTTTCAATCTGGCAAGACTTTGTTTCGAACTAATTTTAACAAAAAGCCTTATAATTATAACACTCCATAGCCTATATACACACACAATATTAAGCCAAACAAGAAAATTAGAAAAACATTTTTTTAGTGTGCGTAACTCCAAAGTGTTGACTAGCTACCAAGTATATATTCATGCACTTAGAAATAGAACAGGAAAACATGAACTGAATAATTTTAGAAAAACATGCATGCACTTCCAATGACATCATGCATCTACATACCTGCACCCACATATCCTAGCTTCCCTGACGTTTAACGTACCAATTGCCATATCTTGAAACCAGTCATGCAGACTTGAGCTTATAAGTCAAATTAACACAAATACTGCAATGCATGCACCTAATTGCTGGTCTGATTATAATTAAGATTTGCTACTAGCATAAGGTGCCATTCATATAGAGATGACATCCTTGGGCAGTGTATCCTAGTACTTATTGTTTTTGAAGCTAGCAGCAAATAAGCCAATCTTGCTAAAGCATGTAGCAATAGCAAACTTTGTTGCTCTTATAGAAACAACATTCAGAATTCACTTTAATTTTGATGGAAACAGATATTATTTGATAAGCGTTAATTGCAGACACTTCTTGTATAAAGACACACCAATTTTCCACACAGGCTAAGTTTTCACTGCTAAGGCTTATAGCAATAGCAAAATTAATTGCTGTCCTTTTAGACTGACAGCCATCAGTTTAATAGATGAGTAAGGCATTGCCGAACATATCAAATATTAAGCTGATCGATAAGAAAATTTATATTCAAGAATGCCTAAAGTGATGTGACAGTTTACTTAACCTATGCTGTGGGGGTGAGGTGATCAATCTCACTTATAATGTTTCCTAAATATAATTTAGGGCTTGCATGAAGACAACAATTAAACCTAACATGTATACAGAAAAATTTGGATCCATGCAAATTGAAATGTCAATACTTCTTTCCACTCTCAATATCTACTAGCTAGTACATTAGACTGCATGACAGCTATGAATTAAGAGACACACTGATTTTTTCCTGCTAACGCTTATAGCAATAGCAAAATTGCTGTCTTTATAAACTGACAGCTATGAAAAGAGACACACTGATTTTTTTCCTGCTAATGCTTATAGCAATATATAGCACACAACTGCTGTCCTTATAAACTGACAGCTATGAAAAGAGACACACTGATTTTTTTTCTGCTAATGCTTATAGCAATAGCACAATTGCTGTCTTTATAGACTGACAGCTATGAAAAGAACATTGCAAACCAATTTATTTCCAAAAATATCTGCAAATGTTTTCCATCCACCCAGCATCGCAAACAATGTATGTAAAAAGGTGCGCCACGCCTTCCCACACACAAAGTTTGTTTACCAAATGACTAAAAGACAGATGCAGATACCTCCAGAAAAAAATAAGAGTGCAATGCCACCACCCTTGCATATTTTTTCAACTTAACCTAGCTAATAGTTTTCAATAAAAATTTTGAATCATTTTCCAATGAAGAAAATAATTTTTTTTTTTATGAATTTTAAAATAATTTTTTGACAAAAAACAAAAAAAATTGAAAAGTTTTATCAGTATTTGTGTATTTATGCTCAGTCTTTCCATTGACTTCCACCTTGAAACAAAATAACAACAATTTGTTGGTAAAAACAAGCACCAACCATTTATAATTAGCAGTTAATTAATAAATTGAAAGTCTAATTGAGATAATCACCCATTAATTACGTTTTATTGTACCAAATTTATTAATAAGCCCATATTAGAAAAGCAGACTAGAAAATACTTAAAAAGGTTTGAAAACATGAAAAGATTATTGATATTTCCCAAACGTTTTTCTTCTTATTTGTTTTCCCAATAGTATAAAACAATTGAGGCCTTTTGCCCGACAAGAAGAACTGGAAGGTGCGAGGCATTGCCGGCCTCCCGCGCCAGCTAAAAGTGTTCAAAATTTTCAACCTTTGTTTCAATAAAATTTGATAAAAAATCTTTAGGAAACACACTAAAACCATCGTCACTCCGTTTCGTAGTTAGCTGTAGTACTTTGTATCGAAAATCTTTGCCTTTGGAAATGCAATAAAAAAATTCCGACTCGAGCGATAAAAAAATCGTATCCCGCCACGAAATGTTGCTCAAAATAGTAAAAAAGTCTTTCGAAATGTCTCTTTAACTCCTTCCAGGTTCATTGCAGTCAAAATAAATGAGAAAGAAACCGAAAAACGAAGCCGAATATGACCAGAAGTCTTCGGTCGGGTTGGGCAAATGGTCAACTTTGAAGCCGTTTTTCTGCACTAAATTCGGAAGAAAAATGCACGAAAATTGAACAAAAGATAAGTTTATGCTTACCTGTTACAGTTGAAGTCATTCTGAGGCGACGAGATGGCGTTTTCGGGTAGGTGTGGTCTTTTTATGCTTCTCGCAGCGACGTAAGTCTTTCTCGCTCGACGACATGTTAATCATTGCGCCAAAATTGAACAAGAAGCCTCTCCTTCAACCGCCAATTTTGCCGCTCTTTTCCTTGCTTCTAATTGGTCGGAATTGAGCGTAAACGGGATTTTCCGGAAACAAAGCAAGTTTGATCTAAATATTTCAACTGTACAAATAAAAAAGACTCAAATATTTCAACTGTACAAATTTATTTCTAAACATCTTTAAGTTAATTTACATTGTTTTCTTTCATTTGGTAAATACTAATTGTTTTACCAGTCTATATTTACTTGTTCCCTTATGTATGGTTAACTGGGAGCCTAAAATCCCAAATCTATGATGTTGAATCCCAAAACCATGGAGTGGAATGCTAAATCTAAGTTGTGGAATCCCAAATCCATTGTGTAGAATCCTAAATCCATGGTATACAATGGAAAATCAAAGGACACAAATCCTTGATTACCTTATTTTACTAATAAGTTCACTACCGCTTTCTTTTTCGTTACAGACATCAGACAGTGCACATGCATGCTAACAATTCATTGCGTTTTTCTTCGCAGAAATACTCTCTCTCATCTTACTTCTTTCTTATCTCTTAATTAGGTTATTATATCTTAAGAGTTCAAAGATGTTCGTCCAAACTAATGGCTACTTCGTTAACTCTTGCACCGGCTGCATCATTATTTCTCACAGAGCCAGCTGAAAGATCACCATTTTCTTCTGAGCTAACGTTGGTCATTGCTGTAGTTCCCTTGTTTCTTTCTTTGTCCACATATAAAGTTGGGTTGGCAGTAGTTCGCTGACCTGTGGGAGGACTTCGTTTGAAGAGAGCTTTAATTGCTTCACGGAAATTAGGAAGACGCCACGCGTAGAGAAACGGGTTAACACTAGAGTTTAGAACAATGAAAACGTAAGACAGATCTCTGAACCAATGGATGGCTTGACACGAACAAAATGTACACAAGTTCATGAGGTAGATCATCACAAGGGACGGAGTGTAACAGAAGATGAAAGCTAATAACATAAACATAAACGTTTTGGTGATCTTTGCTTCCGTTTTCAACGCGTTATTCCTTGCTTGGTTTTCCTCACCACCTTCAATGGATTCAAGCTCCTTGATCTGAGAACGCAAAGTCAGATGAACTCGCACGAACGCAAAGAGGAGCACGAAGAATGTGAGCAACACGGACGCGTTTCCGAACACGAAAAAATACCAAAGGAAACCTATTTGCTTTTGAAGAAATGGTAGTGCTGTAGAGATGATCCAAATAGCAAGAGAACTAATTGCCGCTCGTTTGTTACTTAATGTTGCACGGTACTCCATTGGTGAAGTAATGGCGATGTAACGATCAATCGTGAGCATACCAAGACTGAACACAGAGGCTGTACATGAGGTAAAATACACAGGTTGTAAGTAGATGTGATAAGTTAATGGATAACCAAGACCTTCACGGACATGCACAACGATCGAGAGAGGCTCAACGATCATTCCCACCAACAAGTCAGCCAGAGCCAAGTTGAGGATGAACCAGTTGAAGGGACTTCTCATTTTACCATTAGGATTCCTAAAGACAACGACGAGCACCAGCAGATTACCGGGGATTGTGATCAGGGAGAGAAAGCCCGACATAGATGCGTTGGTATAAGATATTTCTTCATTCGGCCAAACACCAAGACATCGTTTCTGATTAGCATTCAGACTTGACATGTTTCAATGAATTTTGTTTTTCAGGTATCGCTGGAAAAAAAAAGAAAAATATTATAGTTTTATGTCAGAAAAGGAATCTGAGAAAAGGGAAATTATTCACTATCATTAGTCTGGCAGACGATCTTTAGATGAAGAAGACAGTATTACTCCCTGAATTGCTGTCTTAAAGGAGAACTCAAGTCCGTATACATAAACAAATGGTTTGTTTGCATTTTGAACTTTGATACTTTTGAAAATACGATGTTGCAAATAGATTAGCTACGCTTCTAAGAAACATGGATTTATGTTCACAGAAATTAGAATCGTGCCATCGTGCACGTTTTTGTCAGAAGAATTAATGATGCGTAGAGATTAATTAAACCACCTATGTTAATCCCACACAAATTATATTCGCTGTATTGCACGAATTATATTCTTTGTCGAATTCTTCCAGACAGATTAATCGTCTCTGTTATATCAAGGTAATCTTTCTCTAGTGCCAATGGTATAAAATTCTCTAATTGCTTTTCGTTCATGAATTAAGCAGCAATATTTGAAAGCCATCGTGATGGACGCTCTCTCTTCATTTCCCCCACTGATTTTACAATACGATAAATACACCCAATGTCTTAAACTAGGCACGCATGCAGCGCACACATCCCTAACGGCCTAACCTTCAGTTGCAGTCTCTCAACAGCAATCTGCCATACTCTATATCCCGTACTTCTGCTCTGGCTTCCCGCAAGCTAACGCAATTTATATTCTTACGTGTAAAGTATGAAACGTGCACTCTTAATAATCTTTGACGCTCATACATCAACAGTTGTGTTTAAATGATAAATAAAATCCTTCAAACGTGTCAGAAGTCGATAAATTTAGTAAACAATTATGGTAGTGGACTATTGTATAATCGTAAAATTACAATCATTAGTGAAATGCATACTTCTTGTTGACTTCCTAAGCACCTCGTATATCCAAAACTTACAAAGATATTATATGTTCCATGGCATAAAATGTTGTAAAACTAAAATCCTCAGATATTATTTGGTTTTAATTCGTGTTCATTTGACACATTTTGTTCTTTTCACCTGATTTTAAAATCATTTTTCATTTTTTAAAACAACGTCCGTCATGCATCATCGGCCTTTTTTAAAACATTCTAGGAAAACAATGAAAAACACACGCTTTGATAGCTACAGAATACCTGATAGTGATATCACAGCTTTGTTAGTTTCCAGATAACTTTTAACACAAATCTGTCCTCATACGATTATGCGTGTTTCTTTGTTGAAAAATAAAAGCAACCTCAATATGCAAACAGTATATAAATAGCAAATTATAGAGACCAATAAATTATATTAAGATTCCTCCCAATCAACTTTTTTTTCTATTTCCAATCGATCGTTATTTTTTGCGCTGAAGTTTGAATTTCAGCAACTTTAATGATAATTTGATCGAGAGATGAAACAAAAGAGGGCAGGTCCGTCAGAAATAAGTTATTCGTGGACGTCAAATAAACAGATGCAGGATTGATATCAGTGTCTCATATATTCATATATAGTAGCAGTAGCTGGGTTACGGTGGAGATAATGAGATCTTCAAGCTAGACATGTCCTATAAATCTTGATGAGCCTGCATATGTCATCGTTTCGGCTACTATATTGCTGTTCGCGAAAATGAAAAATGATTACGATAAGTTGATAACATACATTTCATTTACATCATCAAATCTGTATCCTAGCTTTCACCTGCCTAATGATTTTTACGATTGTGTCCTATATACCAAAAATAGTGAAATTACGTCCGCTATTGCCTTAAAGATTACGCTCAAACTTATCATTTCATATATACATACAGTAGCTAAGAATTTTGTGCGATATACCCAATTACAGTTTCTCACTCACTTCGAATCATGCATGGGAAGTGTTCAATGATGTCTCAAAGGCTGTTCTTGCACAACAGCGCAGAAGTCATTAGTTCACCAACTGGGTGCTCAGGAAAAATAGCAAACATACTGTGATACTCATGCAGCTGAAAATAGGTCTTGTCTGAAGCAGGGCTGAAATTATTTCTGCCGGCGGCTTTTTATTATCATTAAAATTACTTTTCTGTCTGACTTAATTGAGATGTTTCTTTATCGTCCTAACCGAATTTGGAACTTCGGTCAGAATGTCTAATGATATAATCTTGATGAAAAAATCTTTTTTGATTTAATGCTATCTATCTTGGCATTTTTGCAAATGAAGTTGTTTATAGACACTAAATCAAGCACAAATTTCTAAAAAGTTCAGCGGGGTTCTGCTGCGCCAAAGGGCGGTTATAAGGGTTTTAATATCTGAACTCATTTCACTTGAAAATTCCTTTCTAAAGGATCACAAAATGACGTACAGCGTGTATGCTTACAAAATGATGTGTATATAACCATTAGATATTCAAAACCGTAGGAAAATATTACAAGCAATTTGACGAAAAAATAATCTTGCTAAAAAAGCAATTTTAATAAATCATGATTGATGAACACGTTAATTCATGACCAAAATAAGAAAATGAGAAAACTTAACGAAGTCCGTAGCTGTAGTCGACACTGGAAAGCATACTTGAATTACTAAAGATCAACACCTTCGGCTTAGTTTCTTCTTGACTGGCAATTGCAGCATGTCAGTCCGATAATTTAGTGAAGTTCTGGAACATTATGCTCACTAAAATAGCTTGTTATAACTTGGCGTAATAACTTGAGAATGAGCCTCCTGCCTCACTAATTATTAATCGACTTCTCAGTGTCAGACACGAAAATAAAATCGTTTTCAAGTTCACCAAGAACAAAACAAGTAAAAAAATACCTTTTCATCAGGGTAAGATCGTCACCAGAGCATAGCTGCTTTAATTTTTGTGCAATCATCTTCCACGGCTTGTAGAGATTCCATCGCTGATGTACGTGACTCTGTGACTCGTGTCTTGTTGGCTTCAACATCAATCCAAGCTTTTTTTTGTTGTTTTAAAGATAGACCAGATGATTTCGCTAATTCTTCAAAGGAATCAACGAGATTATCAAGTTGCTTCTCGTAGTCTTTGAGCGCTTCATGAGCGCTTGAACATTTCACGAGAATATTCTTTGCAGCCACAGCGAGCTGTGAAATAATAAACTGATATCAATAATTGCTGTGCATTCGCGGAGACTAGTTGAAATTAAAGTACGAAAAAAACTTAGAGCCATTACAAAGACTTCATCTGGAAGTTAGCAATGTTTTTTTTCACCAAATTTTCTCTCTAAATTCCCCAGGAACCTAGATTATATATTGCCTCGTCTAGTCTGATCTAAACACAAACCTTTGTGTGGAAAAGTCTCAGTATTTTGCTAACTGGACCTGGGATATCCTCCATCACATCCTCCAGCGTAATAAACTTCACAAAACCTCCATCATTCAAACACTGTGTTAAAAACAATGTACTACATTAGTATCTTTTAAAAAAACAGAATCTGAAACCATCTATTTCTAAAATGGTAAAACATTTTAATACCTGGAATTTGCATGCAAGAGAAAGACAAGCTTGAAAATTACCTTCAAAGCACATTTCCCATCATCATTCATCATCACCTCTTTCAAACCAATAATGCATTCTTCAATGGTTGATCTTGTACTAGGAGTGAGGTCCGTCATACAACAACTTCTCTTGAACATATTCAGCACTTTTGCATACTTATGACTACATTGCTCAACTATCGTCATTGGCTCCTCACAGAGTTTAAATATATCATCCAACTACAAGACAGTAAATTATAGATTTATTCTGGTATGGCTACTGAAGATCTAAACTGTTATGTGACTGAGATGAAATGCAGAACTGTCTAATGTAAAATATAATTTGAAGGATACCTCATTAATACCAGTTGATAAGAAAGGCAAGAATGCCTGCTCTGAATCATCATCTAACTCCTTTGTCTTCTTGCCAATGTTGAAGAGGACAACATCTTTTTTTTTAATCTTCATTCGCGTCAACAACAAATGTCTGACAAGAATTTGGATTGCAGCATGTACACTACCGTCACCTTCCTTCGCTGATACTGCAACACTAGATAACATTTGAAAATGGATAAGATTACCAAGCATGCCCCACAGTCCCTCCATTTTTAGATTCAATCAATTTCTATCGTAATATTTTGATTTACCTTCCAATGAACCCATGTTTCAAGGCTGTTTCTTCCAGCTCACTCAGTCCTGTTGGTACTTCAGAACTTATTGTGTCAGAACCATTTTCATCTTTAGCATTGTCCTATAAAAAAAATTGCAATCAAATGTTAAACCTGTTGTTTGTGCTTCAACACAGAATCAGCTGCTGAGAATTACCTCCAATTTGTCAGATTTGTTTCCCAATAGCAAGATAGGAATTGATGGAGCTATAATAGCATGTCCAGTTTGATTTGATGTTTTATCTTTTGCAGTAAAGTTAGCATGATTCAGTACATCCTGCTTCCATGTTGGAGCTAAACCAATGGTATCTGGTTCAGAAACATCCACCACAACTAAAAAGAGAAAAATGAAGATATATGAAAGCTTTGACAAAGGACATAAATTGGCACAGGTTTACCAATAGATGTCACTGTTATTGTACATCATATGAGCATCCAAATCTATAGGGATGCATGTGCTGGTAGATCTAATGTCAAATGTGCTCATCTAATCATAAATATACTAACCAATAGCTGCATCAACATCTTTGTAATAACTCTTCCGAAGATCCATCTCCTCTCGTCCTGGTACATCCCATATTATCACTGACACAACTCCTTGATAAGGAATGTTTATCTTCTTAACAACATTACCAATTGTAACAGAGATGCTTGGCTGATAACTGTAGTCAAATTGGTTCTTTGTATAACGTAGGAATATGCTGCTTTTACCACTTGCTGGTTCACCTATTAACAAATACAATTTTGAAGTTGATTTTACATGTGTATACGTTTTACAATCATCAGTTCCCAGTTCCTTCTTCAGTAGAATTGTATCAATTAGAAATCAGGCCTCAGACCTCAGTTAACCAGGAGAACAGCTAGAAGACACTCAGTCTAACAACCGATTATTTCTTCTGGAAAACCCGACAATTAGGTGCAAACGGAAGATGGCAATACAACTCAATTGAAATAAAAGGCGTCAGCACAGTCGACAATTGAATGAATTGATACATACCAACAAGAACAATCTTAAATTTGGGAACCTCGTGATCTAACTTCTGCTTGCCTGTGAGCATAAAAAAAAGATTTATTAACGGTAAAACACATTTATATGAACAGAAGTTCATGAAACCAACCTTGTTTTGATACAATCGTCCCCATTTTGGGCTGTAGTAAACATCATGTTCCTCTCTTGACAACCATAGAATGCTATACGAATCCAATACCCGGGTATCTGTACATCACCCCCGGGGTCTGTCCCTGTTTTCGCATAATTTGCGCAAAGGACAACGGTGACAGTTTCATTTGTTTGAAATCAAAGAGAGAAACCCCTGGTTACAAATTTAATAAATTGTATTTGCCAAACAACTGCGCTTTTATTAAAAATGATAAAACATACAAATAAAAATATAAGTAAAATTTTTTAATAATAACTTTCACTGCAACCCTGGTGACTTAAGTATTAAAATTTCAAACAACTTTTTACAGTTGCCATTTTACCTGCTTTTGGTTAGATAAAAATCTAGTTAAATAAATGTACTAAATAAAATTAAATAAATCTAATTTAATGAATTTACTATTTTTGAGTATTTTCCATAGAAAACGTCTCTTTAACAGATGTCCTAAAACGTTTATCCACATCATCTTCAGTCACTTTTAAAACATGAACAACAAAGTACATTGAATGTTTTTCTGTAATTTTTCAAACGCCATAAGTATATAAGTGGGTTGACAGTAAAATTAATCCTTAAAATAAGTACTATAATTTTCCCTGTATATTTAAGATCAATTATATCAGGAAAGAAAAGGGGGAGAATTCTATAATATATGATTGCAGGAATCAATGTGAACGCTAGGAGCAAACACACTGCAGTGATTGTCATCAAAAATCGCTTTTCATTGAGAAGTCGTACTTGAATAGCTCTTGTTATAGCTGGTTCATTTCTTGTGGACGAATTCTTGTTTTCATTTGCACGTTGTCTTGATATGATTTGGTTGTTTTGTTTCTTCAATGACATACAAGTTGCAATGTAGAATGCTTGCGTCGATATGAAGAAGAACAATATGTAGGCTAAGCGAAGACTAACGGGAACAATCTCTCGATCTGTGGATCGTTCTACAACAGAATATATCGCTTCAAAGGTAATGTGAAAAAGCCAAACGCCAATAATACAGATTCTGCAGGAGCGGATAGTCACCCTCGCTCGGTGCCACAGAGGGAACGCTACAGAACAGAAGCGTTCAACAGACAGACTGAAGAAGGAAGGATATGATAACGATATTGGTTGGAATATTAAATGTAGTTCCACCGGGTTTAATTTACTATGGATAAACTCATAGATAAGCAACGACACAGTTATCACGGAAGCACCAAGATCCAGAACAGCAATGTTGAAAATAAATTGCGCAGAAGGTGTCTGAAAAAGTTTCAATGGATCTTTAAGATGAGCAGCGATTACAAAAACGTTCCCAGCAATGGCGCACACAGCAAAAAGACAACTAATAAAAATTATTACGATTGAAAATTCCACATCAGAAAATCTTTCCATCGGACTAAACTGATCGTTGCCACGTAACACCTTCAGTATTAATAACAACCAAAAATAAATCCTTTAAATAAGTGTTTTTACTTTCATAATTCGAGTGAGAAAATTGCCATAAAGTAGCCAATATATGTTCTTAAAGTATCTCTCAAACTCGGCCAGTTACTAAAAACACCACGACACAACTAAAAAGATATAGAATCGACGTTGGTTTAAAAAGTATGATCAAAAACACCCGAAAGCCTTGATAAACGTATACTTCTTAATTAAGAAATATTTTCCAGCTGTCTACGTTATATTCATTAAGCCACACCAATCAATATGTCATTGCACTAACCCTGAATTAAATTCTCATTTAATTACGTTTTGGTAGAGAGTTTAAAGGACGTTATTATAAACAGCAAAAGGCATATTTTACTTTGAATCTATCTTTTCTTCATGTTAGAGACGGTTGCTCCCAAGCTGGATCTCACTAACCACAGGATAGTGTTGTTTTCCTCAATTGCTTTAAAATTGCCCGTTGTTCGATATAAACTTAGTATTCCTTAATTGAGGTTCCTCTTTAGCTATTGTAAGCTTCAAATCTTCAGTTGTATTGATTTTCATGCATTTCACAACGGTTCAAATAAAAAAATTACAATCCGGTGGATCGCACTATCCAACCTCGTACAACCATTCCCAACTCAAGAATGAAAACCTACATTATTTAACATTGACAATAAAGCTTTTTGAAGGTTTTCTTGTACTTGGGTAGTCTCCACAGATAGAAAAATGGATTGATAGTTATATTCATGATAATCATAAGATGAACACTGAACTCTATCCAGGGATGATCAACTGTTCCTGTTCCACCTGATCTGAGCAGGAAGAAAATGATTATGAAATACGGAAAAGTTGTCACACTCAGAATTATAGAAAGAATCGCGATTGTTACCAGAAACCGTTTCTCGTTTTCCTGTCGTAGTTTCCATGCTCGAAGGGTCGATTCACTGATATCACGTCGCTCTCGGAGGGCTCTACTCTGCGTTTTGAGTGATAAGAATGTGGCTAGATTTAAGGATTGAATGGCGAAGAAAAAGGATGCAAGGAAACACGTTGTAAACAATTCATGATATTCCTTGGCACCAAATCTTGTCTGTACTTCAAATACAATCAAATGAACAATCCAGCTTGAAATTATCCAGTTCCGGCAAACTTTTCGAGTTACGTTCGCACGATGCCAAAGTGGACGAGAGATTGAAATGTATAATTCAAGAACGAGGCTAAAATAAGCTGTAGTCGACATAGTAAAAATTGTACCGGATATTTCAGTAGCAATAATAAAGTAGTCACTCGTTAGGATCCCTAAATCGTGTGTTTGTAACAGACTAAAAAAAATAAACCACAGCAAGGAAATTATAGTATCAACGATTGTTATATTCAGCACGAACATAGAAGAGCCATTACGAAACACGAGTAATGGATCAAGAACATGCGCAATGATTACTAGAACGTTAGCCACAAATGCAACACTAAGAGTCGATAAAAATATTACAGCACCGTAATTTATCACTGCCATTCTGTTTTCGTTTTGTTCCGAGCACTGTGAATGCTTGTATAATAAAAGAAGTTTTATACTACTCTAGTTCATTTTATATTAGTTTTGATGAACTGAGAAGGCATAATCAGTAATGAGTCCACTGACAAAGTTTCTTAATAAATAAAATAAATATTATTTGCATCTATCATGCATGAAGCGAGAGGACTTGTCATTTAATATGATTAGTGGATGCATGGCAATCATTCTGCATGATTGTGTGAGAATTATTTAAAACATTTACAGTAAATTTTATTGAAAGTTTTCCTGTACTTTGGGAGTCTCCAGAGATAGAAGAAAGGATTAACGAGAATGTTCACCCAAATCATAAAAACGTCGATCCAATTGAACCACTGCCAAGTCTGTGGACTAATTTCTGAAAGCTCAGACATAAAATTGGACAGAATCTCGAACACGATATATGGAGAAAATGACACGGTAAGAATAACGCAAAGAATTGCCGTTGTCATTAAAAACCGTTTCTCGTTTTCTTGTCGACGTTTCCATGCCCGAAGAGTCGATTCGCTGACATCACGTCGTCGTTGGAGAGCTTTGCTCTGCCTTCTGAGGGATAGAAATGTGGCTAGATTTATAGATTGAATTGCGACGAAAAAAGATAAAATGTAAGAAACGAGAATTGCCCTAAAAACTTTTGCACTCGGAAAACACCAGTAGACTGCTTGATGAAAAGACGCATGGAGAATCCAGGTTATTACAATCCAATTTCGGCAGACTTGATGTGTGAACTTCGCAAGATGCCACAACGGACGAGTTATGGAGAAAAATAACTCCAAAGCCAGGCTGAAATACGCGATAGCTGTCATCGTAGCTAGTATAAACATGGCAATTTGAAGTATCGTATAATAAATACTACCACGAAATTCTTCATCGTCCAGCAGACTATGCAAAATGAGGAATAGAAGCGCAGTACTGCAATTTATGATTGCTATATTCATCACGAACATTGACGAAACATTACGAAACACACGTAATGGATCACGAACATGCGCAATGATCAGGAGAACGTTGACCAGAAAACCAACGCCAAGCACGCTAAGGTTTGCAACCTTCGTCTGAGAGAATACATCCAGCATATTTCACCAGTGTTGTTCGTGTACAATGAATGCTCGATGATAAAAATTAAAACATTTTAATCATTTACAGTTTAGTTTAATAAAAACAAATTTTAATATTTTTTGTTATTTGATTTTAATAATTTACAAGATTGAGAAGAAATGATTGAGCGCATGATTTGAGAAGTTCCTATGCAGGATGCTGACGCAACCACTCCAGGTGGTGCTTTGTCAAGTTAATCGCTGTTGAAAATGCACATATTAAAATCTCTTAAGATGTAGAAAAAAAAGAAAAACTAAAAGATTTCTTTTTAAGACTTCTAGCCAAAAGATATATTCTTCTACAAGGCCATAATACGGGAGCAGTTTGACTTACAGTTTAAATTCTTTGAGATGACTTTAGTTGAAGTTCAAAGAATGTATGAACGTCGTGGAAAACTTGAGATATCTGCTTTAGCGAAAGACAACAAAGAAGTCCTATGTTTTGAACAGCTTCATGAGAGAGTACTGAAATACTTTAACTTGGTATAGAGTTCACCGACACAGGTGTTGACAGAAACTCTCCAACGTGACTCCCTTCCACACCTTCTCATTCCCCGGTTGAATATCTCACAACAGTTGGTGGTTAATTAATCAATCCAAAGAAGCTTATAAACTCTCATATTTCCCTTGTTTTTCATTTAGTCAACAGCTACGAGGTCAACAGTAAACGTGTGACTATCCACCAACATTTTTATACTTGGCTCACGAGAGATTTGTGCGCTTTCACTTCACCGTCATTTGAGAGTTGACAACAGAAGATTGACGAGACATGGATGATGAAGACAAATGGCTTTTAGCGATTGATATATTTGACGAGCCTCGCGTAAGTACGCTTCATCATAGCTTCATCAATGTCATGTGTTAACTAAGCTGCAGGAATAACAAACACAACACCAATTTTCCTAACCTTCATACGTTCAAACATCGAGCACGTACAGATGCTGATATAACTGATGTGTTCTTCAATTCTCAGCAATTTACGAGTTTTTAAGTTTCTAAAGGTCAGTTTAACACCTGAAAACAAAGCAAAATTCCAATAGATCCAAATATGCAAGGTATTTTGGCTGGAGTTGTGACAGAAATACAGATTTAAATATATAAATAACTCCGCTTAAAAATTGTGCAATGAAATTTCCGATTAACCAACCTAAGCTGGGCTTTACAGGTGCTATAATAGTCCTCTAAAGTTCACAGGTTATCTCAAATTAATACGAACATTCTTGTTCATTGTCACCGCCACATCTGGTATGCGAAATACACGGCCGGTTATTCGTTTAATTATTGGTTGCCTGAAGCATGATACAATACGATGAAAGCGATGATTTAATTTGGTGTAAATGATTTAAGATGAATCAAAAGATCTGAGCTGTTCCCAGGGTTATTAACATCGTGACCTTAGCTTCGCAACACGAGTGTTAATAATCAAATCTTCACTCCCTAATAAGATTATATCAATACTCCTGTCGTGATAAATGGTTGCAATGTTGTTACAGTGTGTTAAATACGAGATGCCGTTCCTTCGAGCGGGCGATTTCAATGATAACTAAGATCGCGGGTGTATTTTTCTAGATCGACACATCTTCTGTGGAAGTTTCATGCAAGTTTTCGCAGTTTGGCTGTCAGTTCAAGGTAAACTCATTAACTTACTGATGTATCTTTCCACCGTTTAAGAGATGACCCTTACTGGACCTCCATGGAGTAGTGTTTAGAAGATGGAACAGACGGATAGAGCGACCGTGTATAAATAAACTAAGGTTTCTTCTTTAAATAACTCTGGATGATAAAAGATTATTGAGAAATGACCGCTAGGAAAGACAGTTGAGATCTGGTAGACTATTTAAGTTATCCAAAATGAATTAAGTTGAGTTTCGAGAGGTTCAAATCACGGATAACCCATTCATTGTGTTTGTATAATTAATCCAGGGTGTAAAAGCAAGTCGTGAGATGAGAGAACACATGAAGAGCAAGTCACAACATCATCTTTCTCTGATGCGTCAGGTTGTGAAATACCAAGAAGAGAGGATCAAAAAACAACATGAAATAATCGCAAAACACGAAGGATATCTAACAAACATCATGCAGGTTATCAAAGACTACAAAGAACAGTTTGAAGAACAAAGAAAACAAGTTAATAGCCAGAAAACGATGTTGAAAGATATTCAACACGATATGACTAAACTAAGAGCAACCTCACGAAAACAAAACAAAAATCTCTCGGAGACAATCGAAGAATTAAGCGGAAAATTCGATCAATTTTTATTGGATTACTCCGCCTCCAAAGCTTGCGATGATCTTCAGAAAAGCGAGCGCTATGGTGAGCACTTATGGATAATTAGGAACTATTCAAGACGTCTGAGACGAATTCAGTTAGGAAAGTCTGATGATCCTATTAGAAGTGACCCCTTTTATACCGGTTCACCTGGTTATCGATTATGTACATGGGTCTATTTGAATGGTCGGGAAAAGAGCCTCGGAGGTGCGATATCTGTATACGGAAAAGTCATGGCCGGGGATTTTGATTCTATCCTACGCTGGCCCATAAGACCACAGTTCACATTCACGCTTTATCAACAAAATTGTGGCGATTCAGAGCGAAAGGACATCGTCAGACGTCGACGAGTTCACGAAATTAAACGAGATCGCGACGAGAAGAGTACTATTACCCGAAGCAACGGCGGTATTCCACGACCACTTGGCGATGACAGATCGATTATTGTCGGATTTGATAACTTTGTCACACACGAAGAACTGCACACGTGTGGCTTTTTGAAAGGTGATAATATCTTTCTGAAGGTTGAAGTGGAAATTAATGTCTAAATAGTGAAGAAACTGTATTTGAATAAAGTTATCAAAAACTCTTTTGTCAAAAGATTTTATGACTCATTGAAAATTCTTGTTTTCATTTTAAGATATATACAATACAATGATTAGCGAACAAGGAGACATCTGTTGAGAATGGAGTAAATTCTTTACATAATTTTATAATTAGTAATTAGGAACAATCAATCATTTAAACGTCATAGGTTAGGAATGCAGATATAATATGGGTGAATCAAGGGTTTTAGAGTGAGTGAGTGAGTGAGTGAGACGTGAGTGATCGGGAAGATAACTTAGGAAATAAAAGGAGAAAAAACCAAAACTTTGTGAGTGTGTTGGCATAACCTTACGCCTCAAACGGCGTTCCCAATACAAGTGGCACCTCCGACGGGATCTGTGAGAGAAATGGAAGAAGCAATAAAACAAATCGAGATAAAACAGAAGTTAGCTCAAGGCACATGTGAAACCTTAGAACGAGCGATCGAAAGGCGAAATATAACGAGCATCGAGCGTCATAAAAACACTATACGGAAAACCGCAGACGAGATTTACGAATTAAAGGTAAAAGTGCAAGAGATACGGATAGGAAACGGAGACGAGGCGAGCGAGATTAAAACATGGACGGACAGCATAGAACTAGAACTCGAGAGATGGGATAGTGAGATAGCGAAAACATTAAAAATAACGAATAAATGGAAACAAGAAGAGGAAGAGGAAGCAAAACTGCACAAGCGAGAAATCGAAGCGAAAGCGCGCCATGAGCAGTTCGAACAGCAACTGGAATTCGATAGGACTCAAATGGATCTAAAGCTGCAACATGAAATTAAGCTGGATAAAACGCGTAAAGAGTATGAGAAGGCACGAAGTACGAGCGCAAAACTACCTAAGCTTGTAATCACACCATTTCACGGGACACATTTGGACTGGCTACGCTTTTGGAACCAATTTGAATGCGAGATCGACAAGGCGGACGTTGCAGCGGTGACGAAGTTCTCTTATCTTAAAGAATTGGTCGGCCCAAAAGTGAAGTCATCCATAGACGGTCTGCCATTCTCTACGGAAGGTTACGAGCGGGCAAAGAATATCTTAAAGACGAAATACGGGGACGACAGCGAGATCGTGAATGCGTATGTACAGAACCTGATGAATCTACCGAACATACAGGGAACGAATCCTGGTAAGATACACACATTCTATGATAAGTTAGTGTTTAACGTGCAGTCTCTAGAGACATTGGGGAAGCTGAAAGAAGTAAATGGGTACGTTCGCATGACCTTAGATAAACTAGAGGGGATACGGGGAGATTTAGTTCGAACAGATGATGGCTGGCGGCAGTGGGATTTTGTCAAACTAGTAGATGCCCTTAGGAAATGGACGGAGAGAAACCCCACGAGAGTCGATGACAGGTCCCTTGATAAAAATAGTAATAAGTTCTCGAATGTTCTTCGAACGAAAACATTCCAAACGCGCCAACACGAAACAAAACAGAGACGGTGTGTTTATTGTAACGAGATTGACCATATGTCAATCAACTGTCCAAAATTAGTTACGTCTGCCGAGCGAAAGAAGTATCTAAGCGATAAGCGTTTGTGTTTCAACTGTACTGGGGCCGATCATCGTGCCTCCGATTGCCGAAGCCGATTTGCTTGTACCAAATGTAAGCGTAGACATCATACCTCGATTTGTGACGCCCCGGGTGATACGAAGCCTCCTGCTGCGCCCTCTAATGACACGCTACTTAACACCGCAACTTGTGCGTCCAATAGATCTGTCGTCTATCCTGTCGTAGTTGTTAATATAAATGGTGTTAAATGTCGCGCCTTAATCGACACGGGGGCGGGAAGTTCCTACGCCTCGTCTGCATTGCTCGACAAAATAAAAGCTAAACCCCAAAAACGAGAAATGCGACGTATAGAAATGATGTTTGGGACTTCAACCAATTTGGTTGGAATTTATGCTCTAAAAATAAGCGATGCAGAGGAGAAGTTTTATATCGAGACCGAAGTAACGCGAGTTGAGAGAAGCGACCTCTTGACCTTAGACAATCCGAAATACCAACAACTTATTTCAAACTACAACCACCTCCAAGGCGTAACAATGCAAGATCGGGACACAAAGGACCGCCTACCCGTGCATGTAATTCTAGGGACTGGGGACTACGCCAAGATTAAAACGTCGACGAAACCGAGATTGGGGTCACCTGGAGAGCCAATCGCTGAGTTAACTAAGTTTGGGTGGACCATTATGTCTCCGGGCGGTGAGAAGGTCGACCTGAACAACATGTTACTGACACAAGTGCACCGGGAAGATTACGAACAGTTATGTAGGTTAGACGTTTTGGGCCTACAAGACACTCCAACTGGTGATCAAGAGAACGTATACAGCGAGTTCAAAGAGCAGCTATCGAGAAGCGAGCATGGCTGGTACGAGACCAACCTCCCGTGGAAAGGCAACCACCCCCCGCTACCTAGCAACGAAAGCGGAAGTTTGAAACGCCTAAACAACCTCGTCAAAAGGCTGCAGAAGCAAGGCATTCTAGAGCGGTACGATGGGGTAATTCAAGAGCAGATAAATCAAGGGATCGTGGAAAAGGTCGAAGCAGAACCACAAGGACGGGAATTTTACATACCACACAAAGCAGTGATTAAAGAAACCTCAGAAACAACGAAGTTACGCATTGTGTACGACGCGTCAGCGCGAGAGCACGAGAATTCACCATCCTTGAACGAGTGTTTAGAGACTGGCCCACCGTTGCAGAACCATTTATGGAAAGTGCTCGTCCGAGGACGATTCCACCCAGTTGCGTTGACTGGTGACTTGAAACAAGCCTTCCTTCAGGTTCGTATTCGCGAAGGGGACCGAGATGCCATGCGCTTCCATTGGCTCAAAGATCTGACGACAAAAGAGGTCGTGACGTTGCGCTTTACGAGAGCCCTGTTTGGTTTGTCCCCGTCCCCATTCCTGCTCGGGGGAGTGATCCAACAACACCTACAAAAACACGAAGAAGAGCACCCAGAGATCGTGAAAGAAATTAGTAAGAGCATGTATGTCGACACTTGGTCAGCGGAGGAGAAACAGTCGCGAAGGCGAAACAACTCAAAGAAATCAGTACTGAGATCTTTGAAGATGGGACGTTCCAGCTGCACAAGTGGCACTCGAATGTTCCTGAACTCGAGCAAACTCCCACAACCTCCTCTGTAGAAGATACGTTCGCCAAGCAACAACTGGGGGCGACGTCATCCCCATCACAATACTCGGCCTTTCATGGGACAAAGATCAAGACGTCATACAAGTAGAGATACCTGCTGAGAAAGCTCAGCCAACCAAAAGAGGAATCTCGGAAAATCGCCAAGATTACGACCCCCTCGGAATAATCGCACCGGTTACACTGCAAGGAAAACTATGTATCGGGATTGTTGTGATCGTAAAGTGGCCTGGGACGCGAGATTGCCAAGTGATCTGGAAGGGAGATGGTTGAAATGGGAGACGAGTCTTCCAAACCACGTGAACGCCCCAAGGAGCTTAGCTCAGTTTCAGAAAAGATCGAAGATGTCAAGCTCCAACGCGTTCGGGGATGCGAGTGGATACGGAGTCGCGGCGTCGGTATTCGCGGTGGTTAAACAACAGAGTGGGATCTCCCAAGGTCTCGTGGCCGCCAAGTCGCGTTTGGCAAAGAAGAACCTGACAATCCCTCGTTTAGAGTTGGTATCAGCTCACATGGCCACTAACTTGGTCCACAACGTTCGAGAAGCGTTGGACGGGTTTCCAGTAAGCCAGGTCTTTGGTTGGTTGGACAGTACAGTGGCCCTGCACTGGATACGTGGGGAGGAGAGTTCAAGCAGTTTGTTGGTAATAGAGTGCGAAAGATCCAGGAGAAATCATACATTCAGTGGCGACACGTATCCAGCGAAGAGAACCCTGCTGACCTGGGTAGCAGAGGAGGGAAAGTCAGCGAGAAAGAGCACCTCTGGTGGAAAGGGCCAAAGTGGCTACCTATCCAAGATACCTGGCCAAGCGATATCGTGACCAACCCAAACCCCGAAACGATAGCAGAAATAAAACCATTGAAAAGTTTGTTCAAGATCGCAGTCCAAGAACCAGACGAGTTTGATCAGCTGTTGAAAAAGTGGAATTTGTGGAGGACCCTGAGAATCTGTTCATGGATTTCGCGCTTCATTTGTAATATCAGCAGAGACAAAGAATCAGTAAGCGGTCCACTGTCCACCGAGGAAATCGAGGCGCGGAAGTTGTGGTGGATCGCGAGAGTGCAAGAAAGGAATAAGAATACGGCGGAATTTGTAAAAGATCGGGCAGAGCTAAACCTCCAACCATGCAGTAATGGTATCCTTGTCTGTCATGGTCGTATCCAAGGCGATCACCCAATCTATCTCCCAGACAAAGACCACTTCACCGAGAAGTTAGTGGAGCATTCCCATAAAGTGACCCTCCACGGGGGAGTGGGACTGACTATGGCCAAGGTTCGAGACGAGTACTGGATCCCACGACTACGAAGAATGCTAGACGAGTGAGAAAGAACTGCTTTGGATGCAAACGGTTCCACGCAACACGACTACCAAACCCCCAACCGGGAAAGTTACCCAAAGACCGATCGTCAGGCGAGTTACCATTCCAAGTCGTAGGAGTCGATTACGCAGGTCCGATCAGATATCGTGCAGGAAACAAGCAAGAACGTAAAGCCTACATCCTAGTCTACGCCTGCTCTTTGACACGCGCGCTATACCTCGAGGTGACGAAAACTCTGAGCACGGAAGAATTCCTTAATACCTTAAAAAGATTTATAGCGAGAAAGGGACGGCCCGAGAAAATATATTCAGACAATGCGAAGACGTTTGTTGCTGGAGCGAAGTGGCTGAAACGAATTATGCAGGACGAGAGATTCAACGATGAGTTGGCGAAGATGGCAATCAAGTGGCAGTTCAACTTAAGTCGAGCACCTTGGTGGGGTGGGCAGTATGAAAGATTGATAGGTCTTATCAAACAAGCGCTGTACAAATCTATCGGTAACGGTCATCTCACTTGTACAGAGTTGGAAGAAGTGATCTTGGACATTGAGGTGGCTCTGAACAACCGTCCCCTCAGTTATGTTGAAGATGATGCACAACTACCACTGCTGACACCTAACATCTTACAGTTTGGACGCCCGAACATCCTTCCAGAGCAAAGGAATCAACACATCGAGGATGACGATCTGCGGAAACGAGCAAGGTACATCAAACGGTGCAAAGACGTGCTGTGGAAGAGATGGTCGTCCGAGTACCTCAAAAGTCTCCGAGAAAGACACAACATGAAAAACGGCGAGAAGGTGATACGGTTGAACATAGGAGATGTCGTCATTGTGAAAAGCGAAGAGAAAAATAGAGGGAAATGGAGATTGGGTATCGTGCAAAGCCTCATCACGGGTAAGGATGGAATCGTGCGAGGAGCGAGACTGCGAGTGGGACAAAGCAACATCGAACGAGCAGTTCAACACTTGTACCCGATGGAGCTTTCGTGTGACGCAGAGCTAAAACCGGCAACTTCAAAACTTAGAGCTGATGTTCCAGAGTTCCGACCAAAACGAAACGCTGCAGCGATAGCAGAGTGTCGCATCAAAGACATTGGTGAAAACGAAGATGATTAGGACATAAATTTAAACTTAAATCGTTACATAGGGGATTATATTGGAACTGATTAATTAAGTTAGTTATTTCACGAAAAGTTATGTTATATTCGTCGATACAGAATTACTGGGTAATCGAACGTTGATTTGAACTTTATTATATAGAATATCGAGAACATGATTCGTTATATTCGATTCCTTTGAATCGAATAGGGGGAGGGTGTTGAGAATGGAGTAAATTCTTTACATAATTTTATAATTAGTAATTAGGAACAATCAATCATTTAAACGTCATAGGTTAGGAATGCAGATATAATATGGGTGAATCAAGGGTTTTAGAGTGAGTGAGTGAGTGAGACGTGAGTGATCGGGAAGATAACTTAGGAAATAAAAGGAGAAAAAACCAAAACTTTGTGAGTGTGTTGGCATAACCTTACGCCTCAAACGGCGTTCCCAATACATCTGCTTTTGAATTGCGCAGTTCCATTTTTCTAATAAACCATCTTAGGTTTAGCCATGTCCTTCCACTTTCCCTTCTCTTAAAGAGTTGCAAAGATATCAGTATTTAACTAGCTTTTCCTCAGCAGAGAATTATCACATAGAATTGACACGTGCACTGTGTTGTGTTAAAAGATCCCAAACACGACGCAATGTTCGAAGATTCCAGAGAAAATGAAAAACACTAGGGAGCCTTGGATCTTTGAATCCAGGTTGAAGCACAGCAAATGCATATTAAACCTCAGCATTTCTGAAAACGTTTTTTTCTCAAATAGTAAAAAAATTACCAAAAAAACTCTCTTCAGTTCAGCCACAACAACCTGTAAACTTGAAGGTCGCTTTAACCTCAACGCACTTTCATAATTATCAAACAAAAAGCCCAACGCAGCTGCCGGCTAAAGGCTATGACGTGGTAATCATATATTAACAGATGAACAGATAATTTTAAACTATAATTCTTTCATACGAATGCACAACGCGGCCACCCGTAATACGATACATAACACTGACTTTGCAAATATAGAGCTTCGCAACCGTAGGAAAGGACACATCGTATCGCGGTGTCAAAGTGCAAGGCTTCCTCCTTTGGTGCTTGGTTTCATAACTCACGTTGAAAGGAAATTAAAGAAGCACAACTCACGGAAGTAAGCTCTCGACAAGCCAAGGTTTACGTACACAAAACACAAAGAATCGCGAATGGAAATTCAGTAGGAAATGAAGATTTGATAGTCGCTTCATTTTCGTCTCAACAATATCTCAACGAAGAGGCACTGAAACCCTAACTGTCATTTATCACTGAAGATATTTCATCGACGGATTTCACAATGGTTGATGTTTCAAAGCGGCTGAGTGGCTCGCCTAAAGTACGTATATATATGTATATGTAATCTCTATCGTTCATTAAATGGTTAAATTTCTTAATTAAGAAAGAGATGTAACGATGCATAGCCTGGCTAAATTTGTCTTTTAGAGAGACACACAGCGGTGCCAGTGACTCTGACTTGGTTATTGTCCCATAATATGTAATATATGTAAACTTTCATATCGCCTAGCGGGCTTTGTTTTGTAACTACGCATTCATTGTTTTTCGCGTGGTGCATCAGCTATAATATAATAATATTGATCATACAATATCGTATTCTCAAATCTCTCGAACGGAGACAAAATATCAGTGTATCTCTGGCAGCTGTAGAACTGTGAGGGCCATATTGAACTGTAGGACCAACACATCAGCAAGGAACTAAGAATATCTTGAATTTACATGAAATAATAGGGGGAGCAATTTATTCATTTCAACAAAGACAATTGTTTCATCTTCTTCCAAATTCTTTCATGTCTCTATTTGCTGTCTTGCACGCAGAAGCATTACGTAGGAAGGATTAGTAACATGACATTATAGTAAAGATATTAACGTTTTGATAAACAAATCATTAGGATCTAAATCACCCCGACTCAACTTCATCAAATGATTTATTTTATATTTGCATTTTAATTTTAATGCTGTTCCACGAATAGCTAAAACGGCGGGCAAGGCTTTTGGACACTTCGCATCAATAAGAAACAACAGCAAACTACTTCTAAACCCAATTTCGAAAGCTAGTGAACACGTTTTAATATAAATTTCACCACCAATATCATTCAAATTCATGCAAATCTCGCTGTTATCTGAAACATGATACAAAGAAGCTTAATTAACGGGGTATACGTTCCTCCGATTTAATTGGAATTCCTAAAATGACTTTATTAAATCGCTCGGAACAATTAACTATAGTCTGGACCGCAATACTGCAGCACAAACAAGCCTAAATAATGTTCTGTCGTGACTGGATTTTGCCGATAAAAGAAAAGTTGTGCAATACCACAAAAACAATGTCAATAGATTCAAATTTACGGGTCTTATATACATAACGAACCACATAAACTTAAAAGTATTTCTTAATTTAATTGTGTACTGTACAATTAATAATTTAAAAAACTTTGTCAAACATGATAAACTCGCTTTCCAGTCAGGTCTATTCAATCATGATGTATGAATAATGTAATATATCGCATTGTAAGATATCTGTAGATGAAGTAGGGATTCATGCAGTATTATGTTTACATGCGAGTATTAGTTGCGTTAATGATTGGTTAATCCCAGAAGGACCCTCGACGTTTTCCTGTCACATTCTCGTCTCATACGACCTCTGAGGTTGAGCGCTAGCCTTCAGTTACCAAGAAACTTTACCCTAGATACAATAGATTGACAAAACAAGGAAGGAAAGCTCATAGTGACTGCTATAAGACGAGATGATACACCTGGCAGCCAGCGCAGAAGGTTCGGCTTGTGTGTGAATTGCATTTGGTCCAAGTTGCCATCTTATGCACTGTCCACTGTGCGATGCAATTGACATAACACTGAAGGAACCATGCATCACAGAGCGTCTTGTCTTTTTAACACTTTACAATCCAATTAATTCTAGGCCATTTCTCTGCATCAACTCTGGTTCTTTCATTTAATTTGCAAACATCAAGCTGGCATTTCATGTTGTGAATGAATTTGAATTGACGACTTGTATTGTTTTTTCACCAAACTACCTGAATACTCAAAATCCGTGTCTTACACGGTCAAGTTCACGGAAAACATACGAGTGCATCTTGAATGCATCTCGTACGAATCCAGAATCCTACCCAATTGTAAACAAAATTAGATTTGAATGCACAGCGACAAGCAGTCCACAACACGCTTCTCAATGTCATCTCAAGCAAACCATCTTTGGGTTTTGATATCAGACTACGACAGAGAGACGGGTCCAGGCTTGTTTCCAACATTATCTCGTTAAATCCTTTAAGAAGGATTTGAAATTCTTCCCACGCATCATTTTCCACATTGAACTTGGTGTTATAAACCACATATATATATTTCACTGTAGCGGCGAAGATCTAGTTTCATTGTCAAATACATGCATCCTGCCTGTCAAATATATTGATCGTACCCTCTGTGACGGCAAACATCCAATCTTCAAGACGCCATATATGTCACGATTCCCTCTCCAATTCATTATTCCTTCCCAAAAGAAAGCAAACATTAGACATGACCGCGTGACTGACAATATCGCACGTTCTTCATCATTATAGATTCAACCAAAACCCATTCGTATGAAGAAATGGATGTCCGAACCAAATATTTTGCAGTAAGTGCAATTTCTTGTTTAACGAGAACAAGTAACGTTCAAGGAAGACAGATAGAACACCAGCAACAACGTGAAATTCAAGCTGAAAAACTATACAGTTGTTTATCATGAAATTACTAATATCAAACGTGAAGGACATTTATAGCTATTTGTGCATAAGGTAGCGATTAATAAAGAGTCGATAAGTGTACTTTTCCAAATTAAAATGATGAATTGTACTTTTCCATATCAATCAAAGTTGATAAACAAGGAAATGTAGTTAAGTGTTCAGCTGCTATCGCTGAAGGCGAGAATCCCCGGGCGGTCAAAGATGACAATATTATTGTTTGTTACTGCATGAAATACTCGTCAATTTATTTATTATTTCCATGGTAAAATAACACTTCTCGTTGGCTCTAACAAATGATAGTTTCCATTCAACTCTGCACAAAATATTACGACGTCATGATGGAAAGATGAAAGTAATATATATGTATATTAGTATGCTGAAGATTTAGCATGATTTCTTGCTAAGGGTTTGTCATGCAACCGTTGCTAGGTGATTATAACGGTGCCTTTCGGAGAGTCGGTTTTTTAGATGTAAATAACCCTTTCTGAAATGTACTAGCGATTGATTCTGAACTCTAGACCAGTCTAGATGACGTTTAAGACCATAAACCGCTGAAATATCACCCACACGTCCTTTTTTGTGATTTAAATGAAGACAACCATGATAATTTGTGATTCATTTGTTCAGAGGTGATGATGAAGACGATTGGATAAAAGAGAAAGATAATATGGAAGAGAAAGGAGTCTCATTCTCTGATGAAGGTATGAGATACATCACTTCATGCTGAAGTACGCCTTCAAAACTAAACATTTATATGTACATTTAAATATGCTTGACTTCTCACGTTTATCCGTTGCAGTCCCAGAACCTTCTCAATTGGTTCATATAAATAAACAGCGAGTACAGCTCAGACCAAAACGTCGTCTTCCGTCGCGAGATTTTGTGAAATCTCGAGCTAGCATGGACTTTGATATCGCTTTTCCTGAAGAAATCAAAGAGGAGGAAGAGGATAGCGAGGATGATGAGATTACGGAGAATGTAAACACCTCAGAGGTGCACACCTCAGCACGACCCACACCTCCAATTCCCGCACCTAAACCTACACCAGAACGTAATGGATGGAAGTTACCAACTCCTGCATCTGGAGTGGTTTTGAGAAAAACAAATCAAGAAATAGCCGAGGATGTGAAATCAGACGAAGTCGAGGAAATTAGGAAGAATGGAAATGACATTACACCACAATCTTCGCCGGAAAAGAAACACAAAGAACAGAAAAGAATCAAACATTTATTTAAATTCCGTCGAAGCCGTAAAGAAAAAATAAGAAGACAAACGTCGGATGGAGAAATTGAAGGAAAAACTAATTTGACCGAAACTTATTCGATGTCGGTAGATTCCGGATTGCGACCTCTCGGCGAAGAGTCACGACGACGTAAGCCGAATAGACGTTCGGCTAAGTCGGACAGAAAAGGACTGAACTGGCTTTTGGGACTTTTTCATAAAAAGAGTAGTCATTCGGATACAAAGGACACGAAAGATACCGAAAACATTCCGGGAGATAACGAGGACACGTCAAAGGATACCGAAGAACTACCGACAGAGCACGTCATTGGCAGCCAGAGCGATGGAAATTCCAATGGGGATGCAATTGCAACTGAAACTGTACCAGAAGATGAGTTGAAAAACGGTCATACGTCATCACATAAAGACCAGGAAAACCCAGAGACTGTGTCAGATTTGAGACAAAAATTTGAAAGACTTTCAGTAGCTTTCTAGCATTTAAACTCAAGCAATTACAAAATAACGCGTTGAGACATGGAAGAACAAGAGTTGCTTCAATGACGCATACAGAAACATGGTGTTTAAAAATCGCTTAAACGATTTAGCCGAAAACGAAACATAATATCATATCTGATAAAATATTTTTATGCTATTATACCCAGTCGAAGTTCTGATATACAAATGAAATACTGGGCATGAAGATTCAGTTCAGTTCAGTTTAGTTCGTATGAATAAAAAACATAATTATCTCCGTGAATATATACAGGGGGGAGCCACCGTAGAAAAAAATATGAAATATCACCTTTTGATAAATATATCTTTGTTTATTTAATCCAATATTTTGATAACTCTCATTGTTCTTTGTCGTCATCTTTCGTCGATGAGCCGAAGACAGCGTTTATTAAACCTTCCATATCCCTATCAGGAGCGTTTTGGTTTCCTAAAAAAAGAAATAACTCTTTCTCACTAACATGTCAGGGGCCAGTTGTATAAAAGACTAGTTAACTTTTAACTGTAGTTAAGGCCAGGATTGGCCAGATTGCTGCAGAGCTATCCAGTATAAACTGAAATCAATTGATTTGACCATATTGTACGGCACATAATGTTTACCTGAAATATCTTCGTGAAGCCGAATTTTGTCATTTGCACATTTTAAGATCGTTTTTTCAATTGTATCTTTGCAAACCAATCTGTATATATTCACATCTCTAAAGAAATATACAGTCTTTAGTTTATCTTATATTTCTGTTATTCATTGAGAATAAGTGAATGCAGTGAGTCTTAAGTCAGAAAAGTCTGGGAGAGACTGGGTCGTTATAACCACGTAATATGCCATCTCAATGATACCTGGTTTGACCCAAGCGATGACATCTGTCCTCAGCTTGCTTATCATTGTGAGGATTATAATCTGAATCATAGAGTATGACGACATTCGCTGACGTCAGATTAATACCCAGACCTCCTGCAACGTAACATTGCAAGAAACTTGAGATTAGTGTGAATGTTGATCAAGGAGAATTTCTTATTGGTTATTGAGCTTGAACGAAGTTTATCTGTAAAGTACTAGAGCGCACGTTTGTCGTAGTTGTAACCGTCTTACCTGCTTTCGTTGATAGGAGAAATATAAAAATATCTGGTTCGTTGTTAAACCTGTCGATGAGTCCTTGCCTAGGTGAGGAAGACAGAAAGGGTAAAAGAAAATAAAAACACTAGTTGTGCAGTGTTGCTGAAGAAAGCTCAGGTTCGGTACCTTTCATTCACGGACGTAGATCCATCAAATCTTAAATATTTATATCCTCTTTTTTTTAAATAAACCTCAACAATATCCATCATCATGACGAACTGGTTGAATAAAAGTACACGATCCCCCTAAACGAGAAATACAAAAAACATTCAATTTTAAGTCAATCCGTTCAGCAGACAGTTAATCATTTTACTCAAAAGCAATTAACAATCACCGTGAAATAATGGTACCAGTTCACACGTATATTAAATATAGCTAGCTGCATGATGCTTACATTTTCCTTCATTTTAGGAAGAATGGAGTCCAAATAAATAAACTTCCCACTGTCCATAATCAACTCATCAGGCAAGTGGAAATCTCTAAGGCACTAAAGTAGAAATATACGAGGGCATGAAGATTTAAATAATATCTCGTGTGTCTTTAAAGAAGACTTACGCGTTCATTAAGACAAAGTCTGCTGAGTTCGAAGTCTGACATCACTTGCATATCTTGAAACACAAAGTTGACTTCAGAATCTCTGTGAGATGGATGCTAAAAAATTACAAGTTTACGATTTTAGTTTTTTAAAGGCTGTGCATTTGTCATTCTTCCGCAGAAAGAGGTTAAAAAGCTATCCAGCGAAGTCATAGTTCAGTTTAGTATAAAGCTAACACCTTGCAGTAGTTTTGAGCCATTTTGTTCAACATATCATCCGTGTAATGACTCCGGATTAACAATGAATGGTTCGCCGCTTTACGAAGTTCAATAATTAGGCCAAATCCTTTAGCAGGATCTAGAAAATACAACGTAATGATAAAGTGTTAACACAACAGATACAATTAAACCTTTTCTAAGGATATCACAATAATGAATGAATGAATGAATGTACCTTTTGTTTCAGTCGAACGCATGATTTTACAAAAGGAGTTAAAATTTTCATTGTAGACTTTTCTCTGACGACTTGGGACGTCGCATTCAACAAGATGTTCTTGCTTATCTGGAAGACTGTTTCCAAGAACCTTAAAGAAAAAACAACAACTAATAGTTGGCGATAGTTGATTATGGAGTTTTTCCACCGCTACATATTGTTTCTTGTTTCTAAATCATTGAACTACCATCAGTATAAATAAGGTCAGTTTAGTTTGACCATTGTTTTCTGTAGTGACACTTAATCAGTAAGAGATGAAGTAGAGAGCCTGGACCTCAAGGAAGAACAGTTACAGATGATGATAATAATTCCGAAGCTTCCCCCTCATCCCAGTACTAGACCGTACATCACTACCTTCTTTACTCTCACCCATTCTGGAATGAGCAAATAATCAAGCACTGAAGCACTCACATCTTTCTTAACTCTTCGCAATACAAAAGGCTGCATGATTCGTTTAGCTTGGATCACCTTCTCCTTCTGATATGCGCTCTCTCCTTTCTGTTTCTGCAAGGAAAATCATTGTCACACGGAGATTCAGATAAAAATCATTCCAAGAGGAAGTAATCTTGAAACCGATCACGCTCAAACGTGGTAATTCCAAACTTTAGCTTCACTCCACAAAAAGCTGTCATGGTTAAGGTCTGAGAAACTCACGAGGCTGCTCAGTCAAAACTATCAAAAACTACCATGTCAGAAAGTTTCTTCGAAAATTTGGTTGATGAGGGATGATTATGGTTGATTGCAAATGCTTTAGGATATTTTTACCAACCACTTTATTATCTCCAAATAACAACTTGATTCCCTCGACTTGCTGCGCGAACATATCTGGCATTACAAATGTGAGCAGCGACATTAACTCCAAAATATTGTTCTGTATCGGCGTCCCAGTTAACATGAGCATCCTCTGAGGCTGAAATATTGGTACATGCACAGCGTTAGAACAATACGTCTATTTCAGAAGCCTTTCGTACAAAACCTGATCGAGTACTGTACCTTAATTCGTAAAAGTTGTTGATAGCGTTGAGATTTCATGTTTTTCAACATATGCGCTTCATCAAATATCGCATAGTGAAACTGTAATTTCTTGAGAAATATTCGGTCAGGAGCTGCAACTGTCGCCATACTGTAACTAAAGGGGATAATTGTATCAATTACTCGATTACAAGCCGACTCGTTATTACTAATTTAGTGATAATTGAATAATTATTCTAGGTTGTTGCAATTTCATTAAACTAACGTCGTAATGAGTATCTGGAAATCGCGCATTGAGCAAAGCACTTCATCACGTAATACCGCCCTTTCTGATTGGGAACCTTAAGAAATTTTTTACTGAGTTAAACAAAGAACTTCAAGTGATAAAAAGATGAGAGTAAATACACTCTTAAAACAAACACTGACCAGCATAATGAAAACATTCTATAGAGGGACACCATTTCTTGAATTCTCTTTTCCAGTTATCTAACAAATAAATAGTAATAGGTGTAGGTGATTACTGTGTGTAGTGACTGGTTGACTGCCTGGAGGGGAACAGGGGGGTGTCCATGTAAAGTCATATAAAAAAGTGTATGTAGATTGGCATAAGAAGGATTACCACAAGTTGAAGATGGAACAATAATCAGATGGGGTCCTTTTTCTCCTTGTTCAATCAGATATGCTAGAAAAACAATGGCTTGTATTGTCTTGCCAAGTCCCTGTATATAAAAAAGAAAAAATATTGGAATCAATACGTTCCTATGCACAGATGAAACTCATGTAACATAATTCATTTTTTTACCATTTCATCAGCTAATATTCCATTCAAGCCAAATTGATGAATAGCAATGAGCCAGTTGAGACCATTCAGTTGATAGGACTTCAGTTTCAAACTGAAACATTAATAATATATGCCAGTTATTTAAGACTGCTTTCCACTTCAAATAAGTACATCAGTGTATGACTTACCCTGGTGCAATAAGAGTAGGTTCTTTAGTGATATATTGCTCTTTTGTGACAAACACTGACCCAGATTTTTCACTTTCTAATAAATTCTAACAATCAAAAGTAATTCTTCAGTAAATACTATCAATATTGTGAGCTGTAAAACTCTGCATATATTCTTTGTGTGTGATAAAAATTGCAAAATATAAAACAACAAGCTCTACTTTCTACTAGCAAGGTGGGTGCAGTGCACATACATACCTCAGAGGATATCACTTCAAATGTTTCCTTCATGTCTTTACTGATATGTTCACATTTATCCATTAAATCACTGATCTTATCCCTCTCCTTCACAAATGTTTCGCACTCCCAAAGGAGCTATGAAGTTAAATGCACAGATTTTTTTAAATACATACAATATTGCAATAGCTGCTGCAAACTACTGCAAGCAAAACAACCTGCCATTATAATTTGTGAATGCAGAACAGTAGTATGTGCTATATTTATATACATGAATACATTATATATGAAGCTTAAGATTACCCATTCGCCAAGACCTTTAGTGCTTCGAACTCGTTCCAACTATATAGAGAAATTCATTATTTCTATGTCATTATAGTTCCTTAGAATTAAATAGTACTGGTGTAAATTATTCTGAAAATATATGATTTTGACTTAAAATTTTTGTTAATACTATACCAGGTCTTTCCAAGAAGCAAATGGTCTTAAACCACAAATCTGTTTTGCTTTTGTGAGGGAGCATCCTCGTACTAGAGCTAATTCAGTGGGATCTGCCGCATCAAAGAGTGAGAGTATCTGAGATTTATCATCATCAGCAATGGCTAAATCTTGATTCTCATTACAATCATCATCATCACTACCACAGTTCTCATCCGTACTTTCATCACTTGCAATGACGACTGCTTGAGTGCTTCGGGTAATTTCTGAGGCAGTGTCATTTAACTCATCATTATCTTTAACAACTATACAATCATTATTATCACCAACGTCATTTTGAATCTCTGGAGCATCAAGTATTTTTGGAGTTTCATCATCAGACGAGATATCTAGTCCTTTTGCACGTTTTTTCAAACTTTGTTGAGATGAAGAGACAAAACCACTCTCCCCTAATAAAATACAATAAATAAATTGACTTAAATTTTAAAAGCAGTTAGATTTACATGGGTTAGTTTTATGCTGGTGAATCTCACCCTCTGATCATAAGTCATATAACATTGTCAGATGAGTTGACCATACCTCATGACACCAGTGTGGAAAGTTTGTATCGCGCAACCTAGATATTGGGCGCGCAATTTGATGTCTCCTATACATTTACTAGTACTTTTTTGAAATCTAGGTTGCGCAGTTTGCATACTTTCCAGTCAGGTCATGACGGGCATTTTATTAATGTATCATGTCAACTCTCACTAGAGGTGGACCCAAATACCTCACATTTAACCAGATGAATTCCAGCATACCAGAAATTCATTCTCACTAGGTTAAGAGGTAGAAGGGTTAGGCATCAAACGTACACTTAATTTTTCAAATATATTACCTTTTTCATCTTTTAAATCAATTAACACTGAAACAGCATGATCTAAACCATTGGTATCATTAATTGCATTAAATAGTTCCTCGTCAGAAAACTCGTCTTTAAATATTCCTTTCAGCACATCTAATCTATATTGTTTGTCATTAAATGCCAAAGCCTCTGAGCCATCATTTTCATCACCACTAGAACTGTCCAATATGGTCTGTGAAGAATACATCTGGTTTTCATCCACACTTTGTATTGTACAATTTTTATCATTTTTTCGTAGCTTTTTTAAAGGACTTGGATTATTTGGTATTGATATATCTTCATCTTCATCACTACTTGATTCAAGATCATTTTTTCTGGCGTTTTCTTTCAATATAGGGCAACGTCGTCTGTAATTGAACTGTGACAAGCTGCTAAGCTTTCTTTTCATTATTAAGTTCAGGATATTGAAATATTTTTACAATTTATCCGTTAATACGAAGGCGATTAATACTACGAGTGATTGATTGCAACTCGTTTTTACCGCCAATTTTTGAACCATACATCACAAGGCGTTCGTGCATTGCTCGGACTTCATCGTACCTGGTAAAGTTTTCACTTTTATTTCCTAAACATCAAAGTAGAGAGGTAAAATTTATTCTTTATTTAACCTTATTCTTTTAACCTTTTTTCACAGTAAAAATAGTAGTGTAAGCTTTTTTGTACAAAATAATTAACAAGTAACCTAGATTTCCCGAAGATGAACCGAAATAACAATCGGCAGCAGTTACAAAGTCCATTTTCCACATAGTTCATGAAAAAATGCTTCCATGATGATGAAACACTAATTTATTTAAATTCTAAATACTTTTCTCATATTTTCATAATGTAAATAGCACAAATAGTAAGATTGAAAAGATTAACGCTTCTTTTCGAAAAAAATGGTTGGAAAACAATCATATTTTGGTGATCTGGTGTGCGATAAAATTTAAAGGAATTTTAAAAACAGGGAATTTTACCGATCACAAATGGAAATGACCTTTTGTATTGTTTTGTTACATTTTACAGTAATTTGTAACTTTTATTGTTTTGATCGAAACGTGAGAAGAAGGCAGATATGGCGATTGTTTTGGTCTTAGCTGGTGGTGTAGGCATAATTCAGGTCGCTTTTATCATAACTACGATCCAAAAAGCTTGTCCTGGATTAAATAAGTATTCTGCAGTCCGTCAAGCTATAAGAATCGTTCAAGTGAGCCCGTTTGTTCTAATGATCGCTTCTGCAATTTGGCTGTTTTTTCTCGTGTTTCTGCCTGTGAAATTAGAGAATCCGTATTCATCAAAAGAAGGACTATTTCTAATCATCACCGCAAGTTATTTATGGCTTAATGTGACGTTTAATTATTTTGCTGCAATGTTAAAATCGCCCGGCTATCCGTTAACCGTTTCTGAAATGGAAGAAAGTGGATTATCACCTGAGGTCGACAGCATCCTTTGTTACAAGTGTGATCGAGTTAAAGCAAGTGACACGCATCACTGTGCCACGTGTAGATCATGTGTTACAATGATGTGTCACCATTGCCCATTCACCAACAACTGTGTTGGCTTAAAAAACTATTCATATTTCTATCTTTTTATTTGCTTCAGTAATGTTGGGCTGTTATTTTCTCTCTATATGACCTATGACCCATTCTATCATTGCATGGTTTACAATGGAGAGCACCTGTCTTTGTTACCATGGTACCCACCTGGCATTTGCACGCAGCTGGGTGACTTTGCTGTCATATTTATTCCAGTGGCTTTTATGGCCATGTTTGGTGGAGCAATGTTTGTGTTACAAACACTCCTGCTTCTCACAGACTTCTCAACAATTGATCTTTTGACAAAGCTACAGCGTTCACCAAATCTATGGCACTTTGGCAGGCTGATTCTTGACAGAATGGTTAAACATAAAAAAAGAAGGTTTAAAGTGATGTTCTGGTACTCTCGTGAGCGTTGGTGGCAATTCCTTGTGCCAAGTTTTAATGTTCCATCAAGGCATTTAGAAACAATCAAACTAATGGTCTGACTTCACAATAAAATGTATTAATTCTTCCAGTTAGTCAAACAAAATACTAATAGCATGTCAATAAATATTTATTTTATTTAAATTTTATGCAGACTTCATATGTACATTTTAATAGATTTAATCCATGGAAAATATATTTATTGATTCACAATTAAATATGAGATGGTTTCACCTTCTTTGTTGTAATTCAATTTCTTGTTTTTATTGTAATCAAATTTCTCATCATGTCAAAGCTGTTGCCATCAGGTTGAACAGATAGAACTTCATTTAAGGTGTTCACGACAGACAAGTAACCCATATCATCCAATCCTTTAATGGTAACCTTTTCACCACTTTCATTTCCAAGATTCACCTTTGCATCACTAAAAATATAAGAAAGAATTACCTGAACTTTGTTTCCATGAACATCACCTCAAAAACATGTTTTATTTGCAAGAATGTCAAGCAATACCTGTGAAGCCACCTCTGATAATACTTTGTGAGAAATTGTTTTGGTCCATCTCTCTGAAACACCTGAACAATATCTTCCATTTCATTTAGAATCCTTGCTAACAATTGTTCCCTACTTAGTTTCCTCAATGCCATATTTGAAGCAACATTGTGTTGCTGAATCATATCATTGATACAAGATGTTGGTTCACTGTTGTCCAGATTCACCCCAATACCTATATTTGAAAAGTTACTCACACTTTAAATATTCATATGCTGTAAAGGAATCGATCATTAAATACCTATTGTTGCATAAACATTTTTCCCAAAGATAGCTGAGTTCACAAGAATTCCACCAATCTTTGTTCCCTTCCCAAAGTATATATCATTTGGCCATTTTAGCCGCAAATCTATATCCTATTAATCAATGTGGGCAAATTAAAATTCAGATAGATTCACAAAATTTAGAAGTAATAGAACTGCTAAAAGGGTTGCATGAACATGTTACCTCATAGCCATCCATGCATCTAACAGCATCAACAACAGCAAGTGCAGCAATATGCTGAACAAAGGGAAGACGTTCACCGAGATTTGTATCCAGCTCAATATGCAATGGAAATGAAAATGATAAACAGCCATCTGGAGATAACCATGCATTACCTCCACGTCCTGCAAGAAAAATATATTAGTTTTCACATTGTTTTTGCATTAGCATGCCATTATAAAAGCATTACCAACCTTTTCCAATTGTCTGTTGCCGGCCAACTAAAACTAAACCATACTGATCTAGAGTTTTTCTCACCAATTTCAGACTTCTAAAAGCATCAAAGGAAAGACTTGTATCTTAATTTGGATAATTACTGCTTAACACAACAAGGCTATTCTATATTAGGTTTTGAAACATGATGCTCACCCATTAAGGATAGTTTGTGTGGATGTAATTACTTCAGTGTATATGGCCAGTTGTCCTAAATGTTTGGTTTTCAAATGCTCTTTATATAAGGACAAACTAAATGAAACTTGTTCATTTGTAGTAGTTATAACAGGAAAGTTTTCATTGGATATGGGCATATCCTTGTTTTCTGTGAAGAAAATGTTGATATTATTTCCTCTAAAGCAGTTGTTCACCAGTATATCTTGAATGCTTTTTAAAAAGATTTCTTTATCCTATCAAAAAAAATTGACATATGCTCTTAGATACAAAACACCTTTTAAGAAAGTTGACTTTGGCATAACCACCTTATTATCTCCTAGTAAGTATGCATTGGTTAAAACTGGTTCCTTCGTATCTCCACAAGTAATTCCAAGATAACTCAATAACATTTTCACCAATTCAATTCTGGCATTATTCAATTCATTATTCATAGCGTCCTTGAAGATTGGTATAGTGGAAAGAATTGCCATGCCATCTTCAAGTGACACACTGAGAATAACTGGTTTCGAGGTGTCGGAGCTGACAGCCAGACATTCTTCCTCCCTCTTAACTAATAAAATTATAAATATCTCCAGCTATAAGGTCTAATAATAGGTGGACAATCTCAGTTGAAATACAACTCATAAAGGGAAACATATACCCTCATAGATTTTATCAATACTTGGCACTTGTAGACATCTTCCATATTTTGTTAGTTTCTCATGCACACGTATCTCCTCTATAGAGGGATCAACATCAATCAGTTCAACAGAATCGTTCAATGTATAAGACGGTGCAAAACCCAGTAATTTTCCACCGTTCTTAACGTAACTATCAAATGCATTTTCATGAGATTTATCCAATATATGATTATATGATAAAACCAAAAGTTCTGTATTTTCTTTCCAAGGTTCTTGAAGTATTAAGTCATGTTGGAGTTGATAAATCACGTATTTATCTTGACCCAAACATTGCTGAAGAAATTGTTTGGCTTGTTGGAATTCCCTACAACTTTGATCATCAACTCCACTATAAACAAGAATGTTCGGAGGTCGACCGGATTTTTGTGCAATATTCTTAACGCCTGAACTATATTCTGTCGAAAAATGAAACAATCTGTTTCGGGATCGGTTTATTGCACCGAAAATGTACGGCAAAGCAAACATCTTTCTTCTTCAGACTGACCAGCAACTGAAATTGTGTAGCACGTGTAGAAACCAGTGGTACACACTGAGGTTAGGGTGGCAGAAACTCCCTTCAACAGAATCTATAGCCCCCCCCCATATATCGGTGTTTCCGTTTTTCGGTATATTTCACCATGGTCGAGTTTAAATACATATGTATACCATTTTCCGGTATATTTGTCCATGGTTGAGTATACCGTTTTTTGGTAAAGGTGTGGTAAGGTCAACCTCGAGAATTAAAAATTAATGAAGCTTTAGACCAGAATTGTAATTGTAATTCTAGTAATACTGCACACATTTTCTTCATTAAACATTATGTCTTCATTAAATATTAAATGTAAATTATATTTATCTCTGTATCTGTAGAACCGCTCAAGGCACCTTCCAAGCAACACCTTTCAGAGTAGGACAATGTATAGCAATTGCTGTAAACAGCCCAGTGTTGCGGTCAATCACTCCTTATTCATCAAACGTTTATGTTTGAGGATCATTTTGATGAAGGTTTTGTCTGTTAAAGAAGTCAAGAAAAATTGACCAAACTACCATGAAATATTGCTAATATTTGAATCATCAGTTTTAAAAGGATACATTGATGAGCTTAATTTCTCTAGCTATTTAAAAGAAAAATAATTATTAATCACTAGAACCATATAAATATATATATATATATATATATATATATATATATATATATATATATATATACAAAATATGAAACAATCCATCATATTTCCTTCTGAATACTAACATCCTTCATAAGTCTCTCCAAATTCCTATTTCGACCAACTTCTTCATGTTCCTTCCTGTGAAAAAGAATATTATTCAAATGTGTACGTTAAACAAAAACAACATGATTATAATCTGCTATTACTACCGATGTGATTCTTCAGCATCTAATTCAAAATGAAGTTGTGCCAGGGATTCTTGTGATTCTCTCACTTGATCCATCTTTTCAAGAGTATATTCATTGCCTATGAAAAATATTATTTGCACAACGAGCCCAATTAGCTTTTCTACCAGTACAAGACTACAAAATTGTAAAATTTAATCCTGTTCATACCAAATGCATGTAGTTTTCCTTCGTTAAAATCTTTCATCAGGTCAAGTAAATCTTTTTCCATCTTCTTAACGTCATTTGGATCAGTCAAAAACGAATGTTGTTGTGGCTGACCAGGAATGCGATCGGTTCTCGCTAGTTTTCGTTTGTCCTTTACTTTTGACGATTCACCAGCCATTATTTAAGATTCTGCGATACATGAAACATCTTTTTTCTTTATAAACAATATATTAAAATATGATAAAATAAATATGAAATAAAAAGTATTAAAAACGCATCCAAAATCCTGGGAACGAGAAATTATTATGCAACGAAATTCAAATGATTTCAAGACAAATATATCAAAATAAAAGATATTTTAATCCTTTCCTGCAATATCGATATCGTATTTGAACCTATTTTCTTTATAATCGTTTTTAAAGCGACAAAATGAAGGGTTCAGTGGTCCCTGATGAGGGAAACCAGGTAAAGAAAACCGTGAAAATAAAAGAAGATGTGCTGGAATTAAGTGGTAAGTTTGGTACATGCAATATTATTATTTCTATCAATAATTTTACTTTAATATTGAAGTGCTGTGTTGTTGATTAATAATGTTGTATGTATATATAGGAGATTATGTTCTCCAAATGCAGTACTGTTATAAAATGTAGTTATATGTTGCAATTATTTATATATATATATTCATATTTAATTAGGAAGAATATTTGTGGTACTAGGCTATGGTGCAAATAGCTAGGTTTCATTATTAAACTAGCATTACCTCTAAGCGATAGAAAGACCATTTTGACCATTATTAATTAACATGTTGGACGTACCCCAGATTGTGAAAAAAAAATGTCAGATCATAAGTTAATATTTAGGCAATTAAAGGCAGGTTTAGCCTAGCAGGTTTGCATACATAAAATTACCCTGGTTGCTAACATTGAAAATGTTTATAAATTACATAATAGGAAAAGGATTACAAAACATGAACAGCTTACCAAAGCGTCACTCAATATGTGACTTAATTCTGGATAATAACAGTATTACAAAAATTGAAAAATTGGATATTTTTCCTAAACTGACTGTGGTAGGTTTATATATCTTCCATTCTATGTAAAAACGGGGTGAATAAAATATCTATCTAAAGCAAATTCAACTTGAGTTTAGTTGTCAATGAAGAGCAATCGTTTGGTTAGGATGAATGGTGTGAACTTTGGGAAAAACTTGGTATCAGTTAACTTGTCAAACAATGGTATTGTGTCAATGGAAGGTATCTATTTGTTTATTAATATAAAATTTAGCTGAGCAACTAGATAATTTGCTATCTAGTGAATTGTCTGACATGGCTATACATTGTAATAATATGTTTGCATTCCTTTTAGGTTTATGTTGGTTGGTTCACTTAGAATATCTTGATTTATCAAAAAATAATATTAAGGTGAATATTAACATGCATATGAACATATTTTACATTGCACATACGTGAGAAATTAGGATATATTATGCCCCCAATATATATAAGTAAAGCATGATACGTATACATGTGTATGTGAACTGTTTCACCTCTTTTACAACTGTGTTTTTGATATCATCCTCTCACAAGTACATTTGCATATTAACTTTTAATTCATTTTTATTTTAGCGCATTCAAAATGTTTCCTATTGTTCCAAGTTGAAACACATGAACCTATCTGAAAACAGGTGCTTTGAGTACAGCTATATAAATTAAGTAATGTACATTTGTCTTTGCTCAACTCTTGCATTCAAATCCATGCAATATAAGAGACATTTCTTTTTCAGCATCACAAACATATCCAACTTGAAAAATCTCACAGAGTTGAAGGTGATTTTACGAGTAAATCTTTGGTAGCTGGCATAAATATTAAAACCATTATCAATGCAAGTTTTGCATCCAATATTTCATAGGTCCTTCTTTTGCATGGTAATTCTATCACAACACTAGAAAGGTATGCATTCATTCATTCATTCTTACCTATACTAACACATTCACTGGTTTATATGAAGCTACAATTCTGTGCTAATTTTGTTATGTTTTTCAAAGAGCTGGGGAGAATTTACCAGAGCAAATTGAAACACTTTCTTTTTCTGGAAATGGCATAGCTGACCTTAATGAGCTTTGCCATTTGTCATGTCTCTTCACATTGAAGAACTTTTCCATCCAGGATAATCCTTGTGTTATGACAACATCTTCCCTGCCGTATCCTTACATAAAAAAGCAATCATCAGAGCTACAGACAAGTCTTTTAAATACTAGTAATTTAAGTGATATATTTAAGTGTTCCAATATAAAATACTTCAGCTCCTTAATAAAATATTCTAAAGTGAATTTGACTTCAGACCATTTGTCCTATCAACTTTGCCATCTTTACTAACACTGGATGATGGTGACGTGACAGATGATGAAAGGTACCAAATTTGAATGTTCGCATTTTCATTGCAGTTACCACCACAGTTAGAGACACAAGTTCATTGCACCATATTTTGCAGGAAAAGTGCGGAAAGGTTGAGTCAGGATGAGAACTTCTCATTGTTCACATTTGGATATCATTTGCAGCTGGTTCTTTACTTGAGTAAAGTCACTCCTTTGAATGATACTGATGAGGTACTGTGACCTTAGCGAGGTTCAGATTGGACGTCCACTACCACACGCTTGAATGATCTATCGCTCTCGTGATTGGTTAATCTGACAGACGTATCGTATTTGATTGGTTCATGTTTCCTTAACGGATGAGGTAGTGGAAGTCAAATCTGAACCTCGCTTTTGATGAAAAATACCCGTCCTATCGTGTGATGGTACAAATGGATTTCGTTCAGTCGCTATCGTTAACCTCAAATTTATATAATTGTATCGTCTTTTGTGTGGTTTTTAAATGTATGTTTTGTTAATTTATTATTATATCACAAGGTTAACAAAGATCATATTGACATTTTGGACGAATTCTTGCAAAAACGACGAACGGAAACAGACCAGAAGAACACGGAGATTACAAGAAACAGGTTTTTCTTTTTCTTCATGACTTCATTCGTTTATCTTCTGATTGACTGTTCGATATCTTTATTCTTCATCTCTCTTCATTCTCTTTATCTAGGGCTGATATAAAAGCGAGCGACACCCTGGACTCCTCCAGTTATTCAGTTCGGGAATACTCAGAGAATACTCAAAATGGAAGTAGAGATTCCTATGACGAGGGTAAAGTATCCCATTAAGATAATCAATTTCTCTTGTCTAACTAAATCTCTAGTCATCTGAAGGTCATAAAAGAGACGACCTTCCTCTACAATGCTAATATTTTTTGAATTATTTCTCCTCAGCAAGGTTTTTTCATTATGTTTTTCATGTTTTTTTTCTTCAGATACTGAGACTGACACGTTGTGTTCTGAGTCCAGGTTTCTTCCAGTCTACTCTCCTCTAAAGACATCTCATGAAATCGATCATCATAGTAAGAAAATGAACATCAAACATCCCTGTGTTAAAGCACGAGATAATAAACTTCTTTCATATTTTTAATAGAAGAATATCAATCCTCTCTATCGTGGGAAACATCACCTCTGCGAGATGACGATGATCTTTCGAACATGGTCGATGACCCCTCGAACATGTCCGATGATCTACCGATTATGACTGAAGAAGAAGCCAACAAGTTGATAAATTTAGCCGCCACAATAATTCAGTCTCGTATCAGAGGATTTCTCGTCCGTCGTAAATTTGATTTTAGCAAGTACAAAAGAATTCACATCGCTGCGAGTAAAATCCAAGCACTCTGGTAGGTGAAGAAGAGGATAACATTGGATAACAAATTTTCTGTCAGGTGATAGGTTTGGCTGGGTCATATATCCCTTATCTCTGAGATCTGGTTTCCCAATCACATGTGAGAAATTAGCTCGTGGTTTGCTTCAAGACATTCACAATTTCCATCCATCTAAACACGCTACTTCATCAAGTCAGATGCAGAGTGGAACATCGTAAATTTACCGTAAAATATTATCATAGTTTAGCTCCTTTATTTTCAGGAGGGGATATTATTTCCGCTGCTATAGCAAGCAAGGTCTCGACTTTAGGAGGGAAATACGAATACGGCGACTTCAAAAATATATCTCCACCTTATGCTTGATGATGCAAAGGTAGGGAAATGCTTTGAAATGTTGAGATGATCCGTATCGTGAGTTTTGTATCTTTTGTTTTTGTGTAGATCAGAAAAACAACACGAGATTGAAAAACAGCAAATGTTGGAAATCATTACACTTCTTTACGAAAAGGTTCGACGAAATTTATTCTCGTAATATTGTTAAAGGATTTTGTACAAAGACTACCATATCTTATTTTTAATTTTAGTTTACTCAGTTGACGGAGAAAGTTGAAAAACTGGAAAGTTCTACCAAAGACGGCAACGAAAGGGAAATAAATGGTGAGAATAGCGGTGGAGTTTGTGAACTTTTTTTAGAATAGAATTATGTTGAATTGTGTTTTTTATTTTAGATGAATCAGAAAAGCGTTCAGAGAAAATCGTTCATCCTGTCTTTGTTCCTCATCCGCGTTTGTCGTCGCGAAATATTGGACAAACTCAAAACTATGAAAACATCGCTAGTTCCGAAGACACTACAAACAATTCACCGGAGCCCCCTGTGTCTGAAAACGTTGTGTATTACGTCAACAATGAAAAGGATTCAGAGGATGTTAACGGTTCATTCGAAGATGTTGATTCAGTGAACAATGACATGACTGATCAGGTTTCTGACGATGATATTGAATATCATGTTGGAGATGTTAAAGGCGATCAGTTGAATTTTCATTTTGTTAAAAGGAATATCATGGGAAATCAGGATACTTTATTGGAACACGAGGAGTGGGATGAAAGGACAGATAAGGTGGATAATGGTGATGTAGAAAAAGATAAAATTATTGATTATGAAGATTGTCCTCAGTTTGCAGAGTTGGATGAAGATTTAGTAAAGAGCGATGAAGATGACGTGGGTAAGAGTGTTGATGAGGTGGACGAAGATCCTGACAAGGCAATTCACGGTGAAAATGAAAGTGTAAATGAATATATAAAAGTCTACGAAATGTCTGAAACACCTGTTAATGATTTAACTGTTGACACTCAAGAAGAATATGCTTGTAATGACACAATGGCCAGTGATATGAGTCAGTTGTTTACAACAGGAAATGTTTGTGAGTTGCTGATAACGATACAAGACGACAACAACAGGGATGAGGACTATGAAAACGTTCAAAGTATTGAGGAGCCAAATGAAGATTACAAGAATGGAAATGACTTCAAAATACTTGATGAGGATCAAGATGATCTTGGTGACAAAAGAACAATAAATGATGGAGTTGATGTTAATGATATTGCTGGACAGTTTGATGATGAGAAACATCCAAATTATGAAGAAGATAAATTGTATGATGAAGATGATGATGATAAGAGAGAAGTTAAAGAAAAGGAAACGGAAACAGACAGGGGTATTAAAGGCTCAGAAAGCCAGTTTACCAAACATGAAGTTAAGAGTGGGGGAAGTAATGATACCGAATATGTTGTTCACCATACTGACATTGAAAATGGGAATGTTAAAAAAGATGATAAGCATGATAATTATGATGATGATGATGTGGTTAAACAAGTCCAGGATATTCAGAATGAAAGCAATGCTGAAATATCAAAGATCAATAGAAAGAACAGTGATGAACATTCTGAGCAGAATTTGGATATTGCCAGAGAACTTGTACCTGAAGTCGATGAATCGTCCACTAACCATCTTGTTGTTGAGGATACAGGACTTGAGGAAGAAATTGAACCAACCGATGAAAGGTTGATTAATCCTGTTACAGATGAATCCTTGAGAGACTCGTTAGATCCTTCTCGTTCATCTGATAACATCATCACCATTGTTGTTGGTGACTCAGAGGAACCAATAAGCAGCGGTCAGGAGATGAAACATGAGAATATTGACCATTCTTCTTCTGAGGTTGAGAGAAAGGACTCTGCCGCCATAAATGTGGAGGGTAACGAGGTGAATGTGGAGAGTAACAAGATGAATGTGGAGGGTAAGAAGATGGATACCACAGTTATCGCTCAGAGTGTCAAAGAATCTGACTCTCAAAGTTTTGGACAAGACACGAATGCAGAAAATACAACAGTGGAAAGAACCTCACCAAGACTTGGAAAACATGCGTCATCTCTTTTGTCTGCCTTGAAGGATGAGATCACTAGAGTTAGTTCTCAGAATGTTGAACTTGAGGAATCACAGATACCTCCTCCATCAAGCACAGCTGCATTTGGTGACTATGCCTCAGTCATCACTGACAATAACACTGAAAAGGTTTAGAGTGTGAACATAGATAGTGTAAATGAACATAGTTTCTATGTATGTTTTTAATAAAAAGTACTTTCAGGGTGTTTTTGAAAATGTAACAATAAAATAATAGTCACCATCATATATAGAGACCAGTAGTTGACAACGCCTATTATCACGCCCCCTTTAATTTTAGTCACCAGCTCGTCAACCGTACGTCGCGGAAATGCGTCATTGAAAGATTGACATTGTACAGAAATTATTTTTATCGATTGCTCAATGAAATATTAGCAAATATTGTAGGATATCTAGCTTTAAAATAGAAAAAACGTCTTCAGAATGGGTTTCAATTTCAAAGTAAGTATCCCACTTGTATGTAAGTAATCAAAATTGACGGGGATATGATTATAAATATATTATCGTAATGTCGGTCAAGGTTAATTTTTTTCTAACACTACAGCTGCTTGTCAGTTTGTAGTAATTGCACTCACCTTGATATTTCTTCCTCTTCAGGCTGTATAAGATACAAATATTGTCGGGAATTGGGTTGTAATTGCTATTGATCGCTGCCATGGGGCAAGGAACATCAGCATTGTCTGCTGGAAGAAATGACAAAAACAATGATTCTACTCTGGAATTTGAGCCAGGTCATAAAATATTTGCACAAATTGAAAGAAACAAACGTTTTAAAGGTATTAAACAAAGTTTCTTTAGACAAAAGACTTCTTGACGCTTCGCCCTGAGGGCTGACGAAGGCCCTCAGGTCGAAACATAGAGAAGTCTTTTTGTCAAACGTGCTTTCAACTGTTTCAGCAAACACGGACACCCAGATGGATTTCCAATCATCAGATGAATCCAAAGACAATGACATGCCCACAAGTAGTTCAGGAACTAGTATTCTCCCTCAGTCTGTTCCAACTGTGTTCAAATGGGAGAATGGTGGAAATGTTGTATACCTTTCTGGTAGCTTCAATGGCTGGAATTCTAGGATTCCAATGCACGGAAGGTATGGTTAATTGAGGATTAATTGCACCTCATGTTTATTCTAATGACCTAATTAATGAATTATTTGCCACATCCATCAATACTAAATATTCTATTAATTTAATCCATCATTGTTTTAGTCATGGTGAATTTGTAACAATTATTGAACTAACTGAAGGAGATCATGAATATAAATTTTTTGTTGATGGCCATTGGGTGCATGACCCTAATGCAGTGAGTGTTATACTTTTATATTTAAGGTCTTTTATAGAACATATTGAATGGTCACAACCAACTGATGTATATTCTTGTTGTAGCCAACGACCAATGATAATTTCGGTGGTCGTAACAATGTAATCACCGTGAAGAAATCGGATTTTGAGGTGATGGAAGCATTGGATGACGATGACCGTCAGTCAGGATCAGGCATCGTGGCCTCTTCACCACCTGGGTCATATGCACAGTTAATTCCCTCACATCATAACCCTGTGGTGATACAAGATGGCATGCATGCTAGTATACCTCCATCATTACCACCACATCTTCTTAATGTCATACTTAATAAAGATGCTATTGATGTTAATGAGCCCTCCTTACTTCAGGAACCCCACCATGTTTCATTAAACCATCTTTATGCCCTTTCTATTAAGGTGAGTATGATGCATTACCTAGATGAACCAGAAATCTAATTCAAATAAATCAATTTTCTTACGTTGTTTTGCTTTAGGAAGGTGTCGCTGTCCTCAGTTCAACCCAAAGATACAGAGAAAAATATGTGACAACATTATTGTACAGACCAATAAAATAACAATGTAGAACATGGTGACACTTGTCATTGTTGTTGTAAATAATCTTTTATGAGGAAAGCTTGAAAAACTTTGCATTTTTGATATAGAACAACAGTAAAATATTTACTGTACCATTGTTCATCATCATAGTTCAGTATTATATATAGTTCAGGAGTACGTCATTACGAGCGCTAAAATATAAATTTATCTGCAATTCAAGCTTGAAATCGTTCGTTTTTTAAGAAAATACTTTGTTATTATGACTAAAAAATGACGTTGGTGGATTATAATCTAACCTGGAACATCTACAATTCATTGTGCGATGAAAAAACTTTCAAAAACATGGCGACAAAAAGGCAAAACCAAAGAACTTTCAGAGTTCACAAGACATGCTACAAAAGACATCAATGAATATCCCAATCAACGAATCTCAGGTCTGCATAATGAATACTTGTTTTGATTCAAATCTCTGTTTATTTCCTATATTTTATATAACCACCGAGTAGGGTGGTAGTACTGTCTTCAAACAACTTCGCATCAAATGTTGTATACTAGTATGTATTGCAACGGCCTAAAATTAGTTTGTCCCACTAACTCTGTCATACCACAAATTTATTTGCCTATTTTAGGCAGTTGTTTACCATATTTGACTAGATAGTATTTTTCATTTGATTCATCCTTATTCGGGAACGTATAAACATTTCATTGACAGGCACACATGGGTCCGACCAGTTCATGGTAAAGGCTGGTCTGTCCAAAGATGAATTAAATTCTTCATTTGGATTTGAATTTGATACCCAAACACTCTCAGCAGTCGATGAGATTGAGCAAGAGCACACAAGATGCAAAAATGGAGCATTATTGAACAAAGGACTCTCTCAAACTAATCCGAATCCACCAGATAAGACATCATTACCCTCTACCCGCACCAAAGTAAAATGCATGCAAGGTTCTGACAATGGGGCAAGTGGAAGTTGTTTCAAGTTACCAAACTCTACAAGTGTGCCTAGAGAAAGTAAAACAGGAGACAAAGAAACCTCTACAACAGAATCATCTGAGAAAAGAAAGCCTGATGATAATGTTATAGTTCACAGTAGCTCAGGGATGCAGAGTACCTCTCAGATATGTCTCACACAAGACCAATGTGAACTGTCATCATGGGGTCTACCAGACTCTATTCTTAAACAATACAAGAAGATTGGTATAACAACCATGTTTGAATGGCAGGCAAAATGTTTATGTACTGGAAATGCTTTGAGTGGAGGTATGTATATTATCTTAGCTTCTGCAGGAATGGATCTACCTGGGGAATGAAGAGGAGGATATACACCCTGTAAGCTTAGTCTAGATGGGAGTGCAAGATGGGTGAAAAGTTGGGTATCAATTGAAATGGGCAGGTGGGAAGTGAAGTATTAGCTGAGTTTAAATACAGAAATCATTTAGTTTTTTTTAAAATTTTCTCAACTCTAGCCAACAACAAATCAGTTGCTTTTTTTTCAAAATGAATCTTTTTTCCAACAGGTAATTTGGTATACTCAGCACCCACCAGTGCTGGAAAAACAATGGTTGCAGAAATTCTGATGTTGAAACGTATTTTGGAAACAAAATGCAAAGCTTTGTTTATACTTCCCTTTGTGAGTGTTGCTCGTGAGAAGATGTTTTATTTACAGGTTTGTCCCATTTTTTTATCATAACATCAAAATTGTGAGATGAATATGATATTTTACTGTAGTATATTTCAGTTGGATTCTCATTTGCAGAGAAATGGTTCCCTAGCATTTTTTTCATGTCTCCCTCGTCTCTAATTTCAGCGTATGTTTGGCGAGGCTGGTGTCAGAGTTGATGGATACATGGGCAGCCAAGTTCCGAGCAAAGGTTTTGATTCTATCGATATTGCTGTGTGCACAATTGAGAAAGCAAATGGTTTAGTAAATCATCTCATGGAGGCGGGAAAACTACAGAATATCGGAGCAATCATTGTGGATGAAATGCATTTGATTGGTGATAAATCGAGAGGGTATCTCCTGGAGTTATTGTTGACAAAAGTATTGTATATTTCACAAAGTATTAAAGGTAAGTGTGGTTTAAAAATGGTATTATAATGACATCATTATGTATTTCTTCAGATAATTTTGTTCAATTCTTTCAGATTCCTCGTCAGATCAAAATGTCCAGATAATTGGAATGAGTGCCACCTTACCAAACTTGAATGTTCTTGCAACATGGCTGCAGGCTGATTTGTATTTCACCGACTATCGTCCGGTACCTTTGACTGAGACTTTTAAAGTTGGTCCAGTTATCTTTGATAGATCAGGCAATATGTTGCGAGAGTTGAACAAGTCCTCTATGGTCAGCGGTGACGATGATCACGTGTTATTGCTGTGTCAAGAGACGGTTGAACAAGGGAATGGCGTGTTGGTTTTTTGCCCAACTAAAGCCTGGTGCGAGAAACTCGCGGAATCGATCGCAAAGCATTTCTATACGTTGGCTTCCACGAAGACAGCCGAGCCTGGTACGGCACCTCAAGCATCCTCCTCGGTGATATTCGACTATGACGCCTTGAAGGATGTATTTGAGCAGCTGAGAAGTTGCCAGGTTGGGTTGGATAATGTGTTAGGCAGGACATTACGTTACGGTGTTGCATACCATCATGCTGGTCTCACCTATGATGAGAGAGATATCATTGAAGCGGGGTTTAGACAAGGCTTCATCAAAGTATTGGTAGCAACATCAACTCTATCCTCAGGTAACCATTCTGATATCTGCTTGTACAATTATTGCAGGCCAACTTTGCGACTGATGTTAGTAATGACCAGTCATCTTCAACATCGACCAAAACCCACTTAATTCCTTAATTGTCTTCGCCAGGTGTGAATCTTCCTGCTCGTCGTGTGATCATCAGAACTCCGATGTTTCATGGTCGACTTCTCGATGCTCTCGTCTACAAACAAATGTCAGGTCGTGCTGGTCGCAAAGGAGTTGATTCTCAAGGAGAGAGTATTCTTGTATGTAAAACAAACGAGAGAAAGAAAGCGCTTTGTCTGATGGAAGACGAACTAAAACCCGTTGAGAGTTGTCTAGTTGGTAAGAAAACCATGTAGTTGTATCAAATGAAAACAACTTTTCCTTGAAGACGACGTTGTAGTTTTTTTATGCAGTTTGTATTAAGAAATTTAAGGAAAATACGAGTAGTTAGTTGTATTAATGCCTAATAAAAATGACGCAAGATTCAACCGTGTTTTTCTTCATTAGTGAAGCGAAGTGATGAGGACGAGGGGAATGGGATCAAGCGTGCACTTCTCGAGGTCATTGCAAGTGGCGTTGCAATCACTCCTTCAGACGTCCAGCGGTATGCTTCGTGCACATTCTACGTTTCAAGCAAAACGCAAGGAGACGACGAGAGCACGCGAAATATCATCGAGAGCACGGTCGGCTACCTGGAAAAGAATGAATTTATTACTTTAAAAAACAAGGATGATGGAAATGAGAAGGTTCAAGCTTTGCGTTTTGAAACAATTCTAATGAATTACAATGATAATTCCTCATAGCTTAGCTTCTGATTTAGCTTATGGCTAAATTCTGTCTTTCGATTTTGTCGTAGGAAAACATCTCTTCATCTACTGAACGTTACGTTCCAACACAGCTGGGCCAAGCGACACTTGCGTCCTCACTCTCGCCAGATGAAGCTCTTGTCGTGTTTGCAGATCTACGAAAGGCTCGCAAATGCTTTGTCTTAGAGAACGAGCTCCATATCTTGTACCAGGTAAACGTTCATATGATAATTTATGATACCACGAGCTCAATGTTTTTCACCTTTGTAGTAAGATATCCCAGGGTCTTGTTGTCAATTTTTTATGGGCTCATCTTGTTTTCTTTAGTGACAAGTTTTGATTTCGTTTATTCTAGGTCACCCCAATCTATGTGCAAGAACAATGGCCTAACCTCGACTGGTACCAATATCTTCGCCTTTGGGAACGTCTTCCTTCCCATATGAAACGTGTTGCGGACTTGATCGGTATTGAAGAACCATTCCTAAACCGAGCGATCCGCAGTCGGCCACCGACACGTTCTGAAGCTCAACGACATGCTCTCCGAGTACACAAACGATTCTACGTGACTCTCGCGCTTCACGATCTCGTCCGTGAGGTGCCGCTCGATACGGTCGCGCGGAGGTATGGAGCCAGTCGTGGCATGCTCCAGTCACTACAGGGCTCAGCTGCGACCTTCTCTGGTATGGTGACGGTATTCTGTCGTAAGCTGGGTTGGAATAACCTGGAGATGTTGTTGTCACAGTTTCAGAATCGCCTGACGTTTGGTATTGAACGAGAGTTGTGTGATTTGATCAGAATATCGTCTTTGAATGCTTTTCGTGCTCGCGTTTTGTACAACGCCGGCTATCACAGTATTTCTGCTGTAGCGTCTGCCTCCCCGGGAGAGGTTGAAAAACAAACCTTAAATGCAACTCGTTTCAGAGCAAAAAGAGATCCGAAGGAGAGTCTGAGTACGAGCGGCGTAGACGCCTGCGTGCTAAGTGTGTCTGGGTGAATGGTGGCAGAGCTTTGACTGAAAGCGAGGTGGCTGAGGAAATAGTTCATGAGGCTTGTGGACTATTGAAGGAAGATGCTTTGAAGTTAGGCATGACTTGGAAACCTGAGGCACCAGCTGTGCCTGGTGCTAGGAATGAGACTTCAGCGAATAATGCGGTTTCTGGGAATGAGGTTGGAGAAGGGAATAGGAATGAACGTAAGAAGAGTTCTCAGAAATGTCAGGCGATGAAATCAGCGACCTCAGAAAGCAATGAAAAAGGTCTTAAAAACTGTTATGATGCGAAGACTAGTAATAGAAGTTCCAAAGTTTCCAGGAATGCTTCTACTTCTTCGTCGCCTCAGCAAACTAATAAAATTCCAAAAGAAAGTGATTCCACGAAAGAAATTATGCCAGAAACTAACACTTCAACCAAGAACGTTCAAAAAACTTCTACAGCTCAAAATTCCTCAGCTGCTAAGATAACTTCAACTTGTTCTAATACTACTATTCCTAAGTCGGCTTCTGGAATATCCGATAAAAATCGTGTCCCATCCCAGGTGAACCGCAGTTCATCAAAAACTTCTGCACATCCTATAAAGCGAGCTAGCAATCAAACACCTGTGAAGAAACGAGACAGTAGTCTTAAACGAAAGCATTCTATTAGTAAAAGCCCCAAGGACTGCAATGGACCAAAAATAAAACCGAAGGAACCTGATGAGAAGAGGATTGCTGAAGATACAACATTTGTAACAAAAACTCCTCCAAACACCAAGAACGGATTGAATTACAAGAAAGATAACTTTTATGCAGATTGTGTGGATAATTTTAAGATCAAAGAACAAGGAACTCCTAGCAAGAGAAAGGTCAAAGGTGTGCTTCTTCTTGAGAGTCCATCGAAAAATTTTCCACCTTTAGTCAGTAATGACACTAAGAAAGATTCCAATGTTGATGTAGTTACGTCGCTACCAACTAGCGGTCTCTTAGGCAAAACTAATATCCTAAAGCCAGAGGAAAAGATGACGTCTTCAGACAATTTGGTCCAGGATAATTGTGATCTAGCCGTGGTCAGCGAAGCCACAAGCAATCCGATGGAAAATGAGCCTCGAGTAGATGCCATCCATACTCCTGGAGACAAAGTTAAACCTAACAAGTTATTTTCTAACCCTTCCTCTTCAAATGCTAAGACACCAGCAGGCAAACAGCTTGATATGGAAGAGGAAAGCCCAGAGTTGATATCAAGTAGTGAAGACAACAACAGCCTACCTAAAATACCGTTCACTGATGTCGAAAATGAACCAACCAATCCTAATCTTCTTGTAACCAGCCCAGAACTGTACTCTGAAGCATTATTTCCAGAATCACCTCTGAGCCAAAGTTTTGAAATGCAAGTTGAAAAAATGTCGGAGTCAAGTCAGCTTAGGAATCTCGATTTAGGTGTAGACGATGTGACAGGAAAAAATGGTGAAGTATTAGTTAAAGAGAACAAAGGTGAAATACTCGGTGGTGGGGTATTCCCATCCGGTGTGATTAGCAGTGAAGTACCCGGTGAGGTACATACTCCCCGTGGTGTTGAGTTACAGAAAGAAAAAGGACCTGGGGAAGATCTCGCAAGTGTCGCGGCTCTTTGTACCTCTGGAATGTTTGATTCAGAGATGCTTTTATCTCCGTCCCCCCTGGAAACTTCCTTGAACCTTGAAGCCCGTAAACAACTCGTACAATTTTCAGAGGAACTGATAAATAGTCCCGAAGAGCCTATATCTTTAAGTAGCTCCGAGGCGCTACGAAGAAGCTCCGAACAATCACGTGGAACCTCCGATTCGTTTTCATTGAGATTGTCGCAGTCATTTGAATACACGAATGATTCCGTTCTGAGCACGACGACTCTGGCTGCAGTAGCAGCGTTGGAGGAAAATGAAATGATTGAAAAAGATAACCAAGACAACGATAACGAGGGATCCCCGGAGTTACAGGAGGTTTCTAACATTAGTTTATTGACCTTAGCTGCGATTGAAGCGATGGATAGTTACGAATTGCGTCAGAATCCCGTTGCACAACAAGTTGATGAAAAAAAGAATTCATCTGAATCACGTCTCTCCCAGAAATCACCTGTCCATCACCCTGCAAGTTCAGTCAGTGAAAAACCTTTTACAGAAATCAAACAGCGAAGTCTTCCGATGAAACCAGCGTCATCAGCGGAGCACACAGCGTCTGATCTTAAAGGAAAGATCACTTGCGCTGGTTCAGCTTTCCCATTTGAAGTCGTGGACGTTGCTAAGGACAAAGGCATCTTTGAAATGTTTGTTGAAGGATGTAAAACACATTCTTTTAGTTTTTCGGTTGCTGTTGAGAAACGGCAACCAACAGGCTCTAGCATTGGTAGGAAATTTAACAAGAGATCCAGCAGGGGTTCATCTGGAAAACAAAAACCTCGTTTAGCGATTGAAGAAGATAATTTGACAGTTGTGGGAATAGCAACGTGTTGGGAGAAGAGACGCGTGTGTTTTTTGTCTCTTGAAGAGGAAACTCATGCCGTTGTTGTGCCGTGGGTGGAAAGACTGGAAAATTTGCAAGACATTATGGGATTACATTTAGATTGTCACGTGAAGATGGCTTTTGGGGTGAAAGACCAATATAAGGTCAGTGTTTGATAACCTTTTATGAACACGGTGACAAGAAACTTAAAATATATTTGTGTTTACATCATTTTATCTGCATGTAATCAATTTGTTTTTGTCGTTTTTAGCTTCTATCCCAAGCTTGTGACGTTGTTCTCAAAGGTGAACTTCGCGATCCCAAAGTCGCAGCGTGGTTGCTTGATCCTGAAGCTAAGGAGAAAAGCTTTGTTCAAATGGTTGAGCATTTTCTTCCACGAGAATCAAATCTTTTACAAGGTACAGTGAGGATACGAGGGAAACATTTAAGAAAACATCTCAGATCACCATGACTGACATTCTTCTATCTTTTTGATATTTTATCCAGGTGTTAGGGGTAGTTGTGGTCACGCAGGGTTAGGTCTGGCTACCCAGAATTCCATACCAGCGCGAGAGAGATCTTGTCTTGATGCATTCTTCACAAGAATGCTGACAGATCATTTTCGTCCGATGTTACAAGCTGATGGACTTTGGAAAGCCTTTACACAGGTAAACGCTTTTAGAAAATGGGCGATAGTCACCACTAAGAGATAACACAACAGCCTTTCATACAAGGAAAAGCACCCCGGAAAGTCTTGTATTGCTATTAACTCAAAACTTGTGTGTTATCACCGATCTTTAGGTATAAAAGGTGGTCTGCTTATGCTAAAATTTTTCTTTTATCAGATTGAAATGCCAGTGATGACGTGCCTCAGCAGAATGGAACTAAATGGTTTAGGATTCTCAAACAGTGAATGTGAGGAAATCAAACACATACTCCGCGCAAAACTCCACACTCTTGAGCAAGAAGCGTTTCGTTTAGCTGAACGGAGCTTTACCATCACAAGTCCTGAAGAAGTGTCCCGAGTGTTGTTCCTAGAGCTTAAACTCCCCCCTGGTGGACAAACAGAGGTGTCGACCTCGCCCGGAAAGGCTGTGAGACCAACACGTGGTGGAAGACGTAGAAAGATTAAATACTTCAGCACGTCGAAGGATGTCTTGGAAAAATTAAACTCACTTCATCCTCTGCCTAAAGTGATCCTTGAATGGCGTCGTATTAACTCCGCACTGAGCAAGATTGTTTTTCCAGTACAAAAGGAACAGGTGCCGTGTGACCCACCTCTTAATATGTCGCGGATCTTCCCCACCGCCCTGACACACACCGCCACTGGACGAGTGTCGTTTGTCGAACCCAACCTACAGAATGTACCCAGAGATTTTGACATCAACCTACCCACGGTTATATCAGATACCCCACCTATCGAAGAGCTTGTCCAGACTAAGCGCACTAAAGGGAAAAGGGTGTACACCCCCAGAGATGATTCAAATACTGGCTCGCCTGGTCCACAGTTTTCTGTGAGTTTGCGCAGTGCGTTCGTTCCATTTTCAAACGGAGTTCTACTTGCTGCAGATTACTCTCAACTGGAGTTACGAATCATCGCCCATCTCTCGAGTGATGTGAAGTTGACGGGTTTTCTTAATGCCGGTGGAGATGCGTTCAAGATGATCGCTGGTGAAATATTCCACATCGCTCAGGATCTTGTTTCCGACGAGCAACGACAACGAGCTAAGCACGTATGTTACGGGATCATCTATGGTATTGGTGCAAAGGCCCTGGGGCAAACACTCGGCGTGGATGAGAACGAGGCTGCGTTATTTGTGGACGCGTTCAAGGCTCGTTTCACGGGTGTGCGCGCCTATCTTAAGGAGACTGTAGATGAGTGTCGAAAACTGGGCTACGTCACGACAATTAGCGGCCGTAGACGATACCTTCGCAACATTCGATCGTCAAACTCCGCTGCGAGATCGCACGCAGAACGTCAAGCTGTTAACACGACCGTGCAAGGATCTGCTGCAGATTTGGTGAAACTCGCGATGACGAATATCGACCGAAGACTGTGCGAGAGTTTTACGAACTGTTGGCGAACTCACCGACAGAAACCAAAAGATGAGCTCGTGTCAAGATCGTCTGGAATCGGCAAACGTCGGGACCCACGTGGAGCTAGTCTGGTGTTGCAATTACATGATGAACTACTGTTTGAGGTGGTGGAACAGGATTTAACAAAAGTTGCTGAGATTGTCAAAGAACAGATGGAATGTGCAATGGAATTGTCTGTTAAAATTCCAGTGAAGATGAAAAGTGGCAAAACCTGGGGTACCATGATACCAGTTGAAATCAGTTAGAATTTAGAATATATAATTATTTATTGGTTGACCAAGTTTGATCCTTTTTTGTAGGATAAATAATATATTTTTAACATAATTTAACTATTTTTTTTATATGCAATTGAATAAATTTTTCTGAATTAAATCATCTTTCAAGTTTCTTTGAATTTTCTAATGTTTGAAGTAACTGATGCCTATAATCCATGATTTCTTTGTAGTGACCTTTGGAAGCAAGAAGCTGGTTATTTTTCTTAGCCTCAACATGAAAACCTGATGTTTTCATCTCGTACCATCGAGGGGAAGGACCACGGATACGCTCTAATTCTGTTATAGCTTTCTTTTGCAAAAGTCTATCTTCTTCAAGCTTTAGTCTCTCCATTTTTAGTTTCGCTAGTTTGTATTGATATGGGCTTGCCAAAGCAGTTAATGTTCGGCATGATAACATCTCATCTTCTGCTCTTCTAAACAATGATATGTCAAATGCCTCAATCGGTGTCTTTTCAATTATCCTCTGTGGAGTTGGAAACAATGACCCATCCATGTTTGACTTAATGATTGATGCCTGAAGTGGACTGGTTCTTTCAAGATCGCCTAAATCAATGTCACATGAAGACCGATGGACTGGATTCAAATACCAAGATGTCTCTAGTGGGTCATCGACGTAAATTGTATCTTCTTTCAATCTACTTAGTTCTGGTTCTGGTCTGTCATCAAACTCATCAGTGCTTCCATTATCAGAGAGTTCACTGGGATTGTCAGAATCTTCTAAAGGTAACTCCATTTTGCTAACAGAATCTTCTAAACAGCCTGAAGAACCAGGTTCTCTTAGAGTCATTTGACTGTTTGTCCGATATGTCCATGGTTTAGATCTAGCAAAAGTAAAGTAAGGAATGAATGCATATTCTGGTTGTCCTCTGAAACATGTTTGCAGGGGAAATTAACATATACTTTGCAACTTACTGAATATCGCTTTTAAAACCATTCAACACAAAATCCTCGTCTGGGTTGCGTCTATTTGTACCTTTCATCGGTAATGGACGTAGATTGTAGATTTCGCTGCCGGTTTGCGTCTGTTTACGGCCTGCGCTGCTTGTAAACATTTTTAACTACGAAATATTAGGAAACAAAATAAAAAAATACAAGAAAAACATGAAGAAATCCAAATCACTAGAAATTTGTTTATTTTGATATTAGTTCGTTTCATAGCAACCAAAAACATAGAGGTAATGAGGAGTAATTGTGGTGTAATAAAGTACTTTTAGCAATATCCCTATACGTCCCTAATATATGGGGTAATGTGTAGTATAAAGGGTGAAAAAGGGATTTTTATTAATGCCCCCAAATACCCCTCTGAATGTAGGGTAATTTTGGATAGATATGGAACTTAATGGATCAATGACCGAGCGGCTTTTTATCCCAATTCATCCCATATTCTTTCTTTTTCTCTGGTTTTCGTTCAGAAAAACAAAATGAAGTAAGTTGTTAAATCCACTTCAATCTGAACAGAAAAACATAATATATTTTTTATTTCTGATCAATAAGAAGCTCCAGTGATAGCCCTACTTCTTTTACCAATGGTATTTCTGATTCTAACCCTACAACTATCAGGAATTTTTGGTCAAACTTAATTGATCATTCCTTGTTATGATTTCATATAAATATTGTTGGTCACTAGTCATGAAAATGCGTTGTTATCTCCCATATTACCCACTAATAATATAGAGAAACAGTTGTTATTTCATTTTGGTGTGAATGTATGTGTTGGTCGTGTTTATAGATTGTATATTTTTATGGTTTTTAGGCTAGAAGTGTGTCATTATAGTGGCTACAAAATCTACCCAGGTCATGGGAAAAGGTACATCAGAATTGATGGCAAGGTATGTGAGCTTGTAAACCAATAATGCTCAATGTGAAATACTGTACAATTTAACTTAAGGTCCTTCTTTTTGTTGCCATTACAGTGTTTCAACTTCTTGGTAAAGAAATGTGAAAGGTCATTTCTCATGAAGAGGAACCCAAGAAAGATATCTTGGACTGTGTTGTATAGAAGAAAACACAAGAAAGGTTCCATTGAAGAGGTCTCAAAGAAGAGGACAAGGAGGAATGTCAAATTCAATAGAGCTATCCAAGGGGCAACTCTTGAGAATATCATGGCAAAACGAAATCAAAAGCCAGAAGTTAGAAAAGCCCAACGAGAACAAGCAATTAGGTTGGTGATGCTAAAAGATTACATCCCAGACTGAGTTATTTCTCAATGATGATTCCATTACCTACATTGTTTGAGGGTAACCTCTGAAAGCAAATATATTAACTGAGAGAAATATCTCCGATTTTTCACAGAAATTATTACCAGGCAATATCAGTCTACTGCATATATAATAACTTCTGCTGGTAAACAGAGTAACATAGTGACACAACCCATGTGCATTGGGTCATGAGTTAGTAAGATCATATTATAAATATCCACAAATGATATGTTTGTGAATTGAAATGTTTAGAGCTGCAAAGGATAAGATCAGGCAGAAAAAAGAAGTTAAGAAAATGGCAAAGGTATATATTTGATTGTGTCTTGCAAACAAAAGGATGTGGGTTTGATTCGTATTATTGCAGAGCTAATTTTTTTCAGCTTGCCCAGCTGGTAACAAAGTATATTTAAATGTTCTTCAACTTAGCCTGTTTAGAGGCAAACCAGTGGGAACACTGTTGTTTAGGGCAATCTAGTCATGTGCATATCCACTAGAGTATATTGTTTTAAGCTATAAATTCCAGACACAGTTTTGTTAAACATATTTTGGTAATTTTAAGGTCCAACAACAGCAGCCTGTGAAATCCAAGGCTCCTAAACAGAAGGGAGGAAAGGGTGCTGGTCGTGTGGGTGGAAAACGCTAAATGTATATTTGCTTTTTGCAATAAATATGATTTCACTCGTATTTCGATTCTTCTTCAATTTAAACAAAATAGCTGGAGAAAGCAAGGGGTAGATTATGGTTTGTTATTTATGCTTTTTATATCATCAAAGAAATATGCATTCAAATTGATGAATTCATAAAATTACCACCTCGAACTAAACTTTATTAATTGCAAAACCACTAAGACTACAAATTATATACATTAAGATACACTTATTCCCAATAATTTTAGGTCAATAACATGTTCTATAAAAAACTAATAATCAATCATATATAACAATAACAATCAAGTATTTATATATCATACATTTAAACTTTAATACCAGTCATATTTACATAAATCATTTGAACCATGCACATTGTATGTTAATTCATGGCAAACTAGAATGCCTGTTACGTCCAACACTGCTGGTTTCCTTATAATAAAGTAGTTTTTCTTTCTTCTGAAAGCAAATGTTGCAAAGGCCTTGATTGTCTTTGGTTCCAAACCTTGGGCAACCTTTTGTAGGGCATGGTACAAGATCTTGTGCACGTTTTCCTTTGCGTGGTGAAGGTGGAGCTGAGCAACTTTGGTTTGGTGAAGAAATTGCCTGGAAAAAAATAAAATTTCATAAGCTTGGATGTTTGATGATGATAGGTGCACTAGTTTAATCAGGTTCTTTATTTCATTTAGTTTACTTAGGTTTATTTATTTCAATTTACCTCAAAGTAAAATGGTTTGCGTAGTGGCTCTAATTGGTGTTGTTCAGAACTTGCAGTCTGTGCAAGCCATTGCGCTTGTGATCTGTCTTGTTCAGCTTTAATTCTTTGCCTATCATATTCCTCTTGCAAGGCTTTTGCATGACATTGTGAGCAGAGGTAGTTGTTCTCTGGAATACCATAAAATTGGCAGTTTTTGTTAATACATTTTCCTTTACCGTGTTTTTGGTCTGGCTTGCTCTGGGTGCGACTCTCGTATTCCTTGAAGTGCTTAAAACATAGTTCTCTATGGTAAGTCACTGATGGCATATTACAGCCAGAAACGTGGCAAACTTTAAAGACAGTATTTATTTCTCTAGAGTCTTCAATGTGACTGGATGAACAAGCTTTGCAGTAAATATCATCTGATTGTTCAAGAGGATTGTTACACATTCGATTGAAGCAGAACAGTCTGGAACTTTGACGAGGTAAAGCTGGACTTGGTTGACCAACAACACTTAAACTGTTCTCAGCTTGCTTCACACGTCTTTCCATTGCACGTGGTTCACTACTTTGCGAGGAAGTTGTGGCTGCCCAGTCTTGAAGGTTAGGATTATGAATATAGTTTGAATAACACTCGTGACACTTTCCACCAAAATATTCACCAGCATCATTTGGGCAGTTGCTGTTGCAACATTTGTTGCTAGGAGGTGCAGAAGGGGTTGCCATGACAGGAGCTTCTTCTTCTAGAAGTGCACGGTATCGGGCAAAACAGGATGAGCAAAGACCTTCGTAGTCTGGACTTCCAGCAAACGTACATCCTGGCGATGTACAGAGTTGAGGTTCACTTTTCCTACACCGATGGCAGTAGTCGTTTGTGCGGGAGGTGTAAAAAGTGCAAACTGAATTTTTGCATCGCTTGTGGGCACTACAGCATCTTGTGTTGTTCTGGGCTACGACCTCAGTTCTCCTATCATGGAATTGCTCGCTGCATGAAGGGCTGCCAGGTGATGGTGATCTATAGTTTTGACCAGATGATATTTGCCTCTCTGTAAGTTTTTTCATATAGACTGCTTGCAATGCACCAAAGTAAGTTTTGAACATCCGATGGAGGTGGACCTCAGGCTCCTGAGACTGCATGGTAGCCACAAGAATCGTTCTCGTAGCTTCATTTTCAGTGTAATCTACTTTTGAACAGTTCAAGTACTCACGCAACAACCTGTCAGAGCTCTGCAATTCGTCTGGTAGTACGAAATGTAACTGCATTGGTTCACCATTGTATTTAACTAATGGTACTGCATTTTTATTCATTCGGAACATATCTTCACCAGTCGCACTACCATCTTCTGTCATCACTAGTGCCATAAAATGACCCTGATGGTAGCCAATCACAACAGGGGATTTAACACAATCAACAGAGTCGCACAGCAGTGGCAGGTATATACCTCCAAGATTGACATCTGAAAGTGATTCATCATAGTTTCCTCTGAGGATGTCATCACAGAGAACCAGAATTGGGCGGCGAAGAAGGTTTGCCAAAACAAAAATATGAATTTCGCCAAGTGCATTCAAGGAATTTGTTGAAGCAAGTTCTACAGTTTTCCTCCAGTCTTCATCCCATTGTTCATTGCTGCAATCTACAGGGCTCCCATTTTGTTTCTCAAGGCGTTGCTCCTCCTCAAACTGCCAACGTTTTCTAAGCATATCTAGTATAGAAAATATTCAAATATGAATAAATCATCCCATATGATCTTACAACCAAGATTCTTCAACTTGGGAATTTAAAGCTTAGCTTAAGGAAGTTAATTTTAGTCTCAAAGTTCCTTTGTTAAGTGCTGGCATGAATTATGATGAGAGAGGAAGTTTGGCTTTATTTACATCTGAAACCATCTTCTTCCTGTGCTTAGGTTTAATTCTTAGGACTAATGAAAATGGGATGAAAATAACCATTAGGTAGATTCCAGAATGATTGAAAACAGCAGGAAGCTCATGTATTACATGATTAACATACCTAACTTTAGAGCTAAATAATCAAGAGTTTTTATAAAATTCTAATATCAAGTCGCCCACAATGAAATAGCCCAAATAATAAATAATTTACCTGTTTGATCTTCTATCAAAGCTTGGTAAACACTTTTCCTTAACGTCAATCTTCTATCTTGTACAGCCCACATACACTGTGAAACTGCGTGCATCAAGCAGTTTCCATCACCCAGCGTTTGAAGTGGTAAAAATTTAGGCAACATTTTACACCAGTTAACACATTTCGCCTCCTCTAGTTCCTGCATGACATTGAAATCAACTAAAACTGATAGCAAGAATTTACGAAAATCTTGATCAAAACGAGTCAGACTTGGCAGGATGAAGTCGTGTCTTGGTAGTTCAAGGAAGAAGCGAGGTCGTCTGTCTGCGGGAACTGTGATATCACGTTCAATGCGATCACGTATTGCAGAAGATGTGTTAACATCAGTTAGGGACATCGTTCGCTCTAATCGTGGATTGTCCATTCTTAATCTTGATCACTAAAAGATACAAATGAATAATATTTATTAAATAACTCATACTTTTCTTCAGATGTTATAAAAATACTCCACTCAAATGTGTTATAACTTCTCCCAAACTAAAAAACGCCCTTTCGTTATTCCAAATCAGGCATAAGTTTCTGACTTTTTGTGGATGATTAAAACAAATTTAATAAAAGAACGAGGCGATTCAAACGATAGGACGTGATTATTCGCTGTCTTCATTCTTCAGTTTCAGATATTCAATACTTTCATATTATATGTGGTAAATTTCAAAATGTTTCAAAACCTTGTACCTTCGAGATGCTTCCTGATCTTCCTTCTATTGATTGAGAAACTTCTAGTGCAAATTTAAGTTTATAAGTACTTTTAACTCACCTTAACCGATGATATTGGATCCTATGCTTTCGAGTTTCGAATACTTTAAAAACGGTTTGAAACGGACGTTTCTTTTTATTGTCAACAATGGAACGCCTCCTTTCAGGAAATCTTTGTCCTTTGTAATCACTTGAAATCACGCACAAGTAAGATGATATGGGATGAAATTGAAATATCAGAACTTTTATAACGAAAAAGGACCGAAAGTACCTGTATATAGGTTTCGTTTTAAATATATTCCCCGTAATTTGAATTCAAATTTAATAAAAAACGAGTCGATATTATCTCATGACTCACAAAAATTCCCGATTCGAGGGGAAATCCCTACGCATACGTAATCGAACACGTCATTGCTCTTGATATACTCAGTAGGTCCTGGAGAGTCGGTTTCTCAACAACGAATGTTTTTCCGATTAGAAATTATTTTAAAGTCTTATCATTTGCTGATGAGATGTGTGACACTAAATTGATTGCAACAGGCGTATTGAATTTGAAATAATTGAATATTTATCTCCAAAAAATTCTTCTAAATATCCACTTGTATGACCCACTATACAACGGAATAATTAAGCAGGTCCAATCCCTTTCGGTTAAAAGCGAATATGACATAATTTGTTTTTCACAATCCATATCAAATTTCACAGTCTTCCCCATGCAAGATTTCCAAGATAGTTTTTCTTGTGTAGATAAGTAACAAGAATTCTCCATAGTTTTGCAAGAAATTAAATAGTTCTGCCACTATGGTCTAAGTTTAAGTTAGAATATTCGGTCTTGCACGTCCAAGGTTTTGGGTTCAAGGTTCAAACCAAAGGCGTTCTCTAAATAGATCCTTTTTAGGCAATGGATATTGATACAAACAATGAATTAAAATTATATTAAAATTATGATTCTCTAATATGGCGTTCAGGACTTGGGTGTGTTCTGTTCTTGAGTTTAGAATGCATTTAAACTGATTCGGTTTCAACCTTTCGTCGGAATACGGCTTGAATTCGTAAACGAGGAAGATATCAGTCATATCCGTCTACGAAACTAGTTTTTTTTTACTAGTTCTTTTATTAGCGCAGATCAGACGTGAGTGGCACGTGATCTGATCCCTCACAGATGTTAGGAACTTCATGTGGTTTGTTTTAAGTCTGTTTTTAGTTACATCATCAGGTTTTCGGCTGTTTTTTACAGGACATCCGACAGAATCGACACAAAATCCCCGGTAAGGACTATTTTTGTCCAGCCCATTGAACTCAACGGTCCATCCTCCCACTGTGACGTCAGAGTCTCGTGCGCAGATTTCGCAATGATGAATTTTTTATTAACGGAGTGGAAACACCGGTATGGTGCATTGTACTAGACTATGGTACATTGATTTGCACAAGTAGCAATTAGTACCACAGTCAGATCAGTGCTACCATTACTAATAAAATGGCAACTGGAAAGGGAAAGGTAGCAATTATAGGCAGGTATGTTGCATATTTCATATATCATACATGTATAAACATTTTTCATCAATTATTATTGTGTATTTGTAGTGGTTTGATTGGCAAGTCTTGGTCAGTTGTAAGTATACAGTAATGTTGCTTTCTAAACATTTTTGTAAAATAATCTTTTAAAAACTATGATAAAAGCTTGTTATGTTAATGAGAAATTTTGCTATAGCTTTTCTGTCGGGCTGGATACGAGGTTAATATATATGACATTGATGAGAAGCAAGTGTCAAATGCCTTGTCTGGGATTCTTGAATCATTGCAAGAGTTAGAAAGCCAAGGATTGCTTAAGGATTCACCAATCAACTCTGCTCAAGAGGCGTATAAGTTGGTTACTGGTTGTAATGATCTTGGAAAAGCTATTGAAGGAGCCATTTATGTGCAGGTTTGCCCACTGAATGAATGAATATTCAAGATCCTATTAAATGAGGCTCCATCATATTAAAACAAAATGTTACTTTTTTTAAGGAGAACACTCCAGAAAATATTGACATAAAAAAGAAAGTTTTTCTAAATCTTGATGGTCTTGTGAAAAATGATGAGATCATTCTTGCTAGTTCAACATCTTGTATTGTTCCTTCCCGATTCAGTGAAGCTCTCAAACATCGCAAACAGTGCATTGTGGCTCATCCGGTAAGATAAACAACTTTGTTTATTGGTCCTTTGCAACATAATTCTTTGTTAACACAAGATTGTACAATGCAATACCTTATTTCAAAAGGTGAACCCTCCGCATTATGTGCCACTGGTTGAGATAGTACCAGCACCTTGGACGGAAAGCTCAGTTGTAGAGAAAACAGTAGCAATAATGAAAGATATTGGACAGGCACCAGTGACTTTAAAGAAGGAAATGAATGGGTTTTTATTGAACAGGATACAATATGCTATCATTATGGAAGGCTGGCGACTTGTCGAGGTAACATTACAGGTCACTTGTAATGTTAATCCATTGTATTTGCTTTATAAAAGATTATTAAAACTATCTGTTACGTACTAGACGTTAGATGTGAACACTGAACAGTAATACTGTCAATTTCACTGAATTTTTGTTGCAAGATATGTACGCAAGAGTACCTATTTTTTTGTTCTAAACTCAGGATGGTGTGTGTACGCCAGAGGATGTCGACACAGCCATGAGCAAGGGACTGGGATTGAGATATTCATTCATGGGTCCATTTGAAACAATGCACTTGAATGCTGGAGGTCAGTGCATGAGGATGAAGCTTATTAGTTCACTTTCTACTTGAAGAGACATCATTCCTAAATTATTTTCACTTTGCCAATTTGCTCTACATGTAACAAATGGTAACAAAGCAACATTCAACACTAAAAACATCTGTTCACTTAGAAATGTAAAAGTTATATATCTAGGGAGGTTTCTAATCTGGCTGAATGAACTTAACCAGGAAACACTAGAGAAATGGTCGCATCTATATAGTACTACTTATGCTTAGAGTTTGGGGCATGGTAACCCTTGAATTCACAACGAAATTGTGTATCATTTCAAACGCAACACGTTCGTTTTCGGTTGACCATGATCTCCCGGACAAATATGTGATTTGTACAATTATTGTTATTAAATGTTATTTTAATACGTCAGCTAAGTTTCTGAATCATTTCAGGAATTTTGGATTATTGTGAGAAGTATGGAGCGAATATTGAGAAGATTTGCACAGAACAGGGATCATCAAGATCTCTTGCTGGTTCAAACACAGCACATGTTGTTCATAATGCAATGTGTGAAGCAAGTGCTCCTGTTGAGAAACTAGAGGAACGCAGAGCGTGGAGGGACAAACGATTGTCAAGACTAGCTGTCCACCAAGCAAGCCAGAAAGATTGATGATGAAATTAATATCATAAACAAGACTTTGATTAAAAACATTTTTCCAAAATTAAAAGGTCATTTTAAAATTATATTACAATTCTAAACTTATAGGAATCTAAGTAATTGCATTACAGAGGTTAATTTTTGATAAACTATCATAATTGTATGTCCTTACTTCCCCGGTTTCCATTATAGGTTTCCTGTGCTTAGCCTTTCGGAACGAGTTTACTTTTACTTACATGACGATTTGTTAATTTTCAAAAGAAATTTGGCAATTATACCGGTTTTGATAAATGAATTTGAAAAAAAGGATTTTTCGAATTCTTGGAATATGTGGCTGCCAATTTTTGAAATAATCCTAACGTTGCTTTTCTTCACCCCATCATAGCTGGCTAAACCTGCCTTTTAAATAACTTGTTTATTAGTCCTTCTCTCTTCAGTAGTGTATAAATCACTCAGTTTCACCGAATGCTGACACATTTTGACACTCTTTACTGAGTACTTTGGTCACCTTTGCGTTCGTGCGACAGAAAAATACCAGAGCTCTGTTCAAAAATTATACGCTGCTCTTTCACGATTCCTGAAAAGATTAACAGAAACATTAGCTTTATTTGCAAAGGGATGCTTGCCCAGGACAGGAAAGCGAAAAACGTTTGATACATTTTGAAGCAAAAACAAAAAGGATAGCATGATTTCAACAACTATGCATTAATTTCATTTTCTGAGAGGGATTTTCATTATCAACTCTTTATTTTGAACCACAGACAACTAAATACTTGAAGAAGTTAATAGGATAATCCGATAATGTCGGTGTCTGAAGCCCGCGCTCATGCAGTTTTTAAATTAAGCCTATTGTCAACTGCCTGACTCTTTGGAGGAGAATTGATTTAATTTCCTTTATTACTTTATAACGAGGAAAGACCATTTAAGATACAGGGAATCTAAACACTAATTAATTTGGATTGTCAGATTCTAATCCATCATGACTTTGTTTTAAGTACTTGTCAAGTTTTTTTTACTACTTTTTATGAAACATTTGACAGTAAGATCAATTAATTGATAAGCAACTGAAGATTTTAATGCAAAACTTTAATGGTTTCTAGGAGATCTAAGGAACTTATAAAAAAATAGGAGAGTAGATCTGTTTTCATATAAATGACACCTGAAATGTAAAAACACTACAAAATAACAACGGTCGCGGTTTGCACCGCTTCTCTCACCTAAAACATATCATTTATGCACATGAGATTGAGAGATGATATTTGGTAGACTGGTGAAGATAATGAAGAACTAACGCAGCCTAAACACAGCATTAAGACTATCTATTTTCAAAGACTTCATTCCTATCAATCTTCGTTCATTTTTGTATGTTTTTTACTCCTTTAGTGTCTCATAAGCATGTCGACATATTGGCATTCTTTGTGGTATTTAAGTAAAATGGTATTCGTTGAGTGTATTTGAATCAAGGTACGTTTCTGTCAAAGTTCAACCAATCAGATCTGTGCTTCCTTATTAATGCCCACCAATCATGCATTGCGGGAGTGCGTGGTTGTACACATTTCCTGTATTATTTCGCCGATGAATGTTACTGCCTCAAACCTAGGATGTAAATTAATGAGGAAGTGAGCAGTTAATGCAAATTTTTCATAGTTCCTGGCCCCTTGGATTGATGCGATTTAAGAGATGTCTCGTTGGCATAAATTGCGCGGGTTTTGTGCAATTAAAATGAATAAAATTTTACTGAAGTTTCCCCTAAAGATAGCTGAAACTTCTTTAAATAAGATAATGTCATCGTTGAAAACATGGGCTCCATTTGCGACAAATGCTCAGTTTAAACCAGAGTTCAACCGAATTTGCAATACCAGTCAGCAGTACTTAAAAAGAGCAGCATAACTGTCATAGAAGAGATTTGTAACCTATATCTTTCTTTATTTTTACACCTGTGTGCAAGATTATAACACCGTGTCAGAAAATCTGCTGGAGGGATTGATGTTAAGAAAGTCTCAAGCCAATTATAGTTAGTTTTATCCTGTTATATCACAGCTGTGGACTTGTATACATTATAGAAGAGGTTTGCATGTTTATGAAGCATTTGAAACCAGGATGACGGTTTTGACCTAAACCGGCGACATTTTTGATGGGATTTTTATTGTCGTAAAAACGAGCAAGGTCATGCAAATTAATTTTGTACGACCTGTTGACGTGATAACCACATATCATTTGTAATTTAGTTCAATCTAGAAGCAGCATTTTCAGGTTTCACTGTCAGCTTCATGTCAAAAGCGGTCAGTTTCTGTTGGTGATAACACAACTGATATCAATGCTAGTAACTACGCGCATATACATGACTGAATGTAGATAAAGTGTTCACCATCCAGTTATGTTTATTTAGCTGAAGGTTTAAAATAATCAAGCTAATCAACTCTAAGAGCAATAAATAAACACTATCAGCATAGCGTTGAGCACACGTTAAGCGACTAAACAAATATATCCCATACCTGTCACTTATTTTCAGGCATTTAGCGCAAAATCCCCTGTGATCCGAGTAAGAATTCAAACGTTTTTTTCAGGAGATCAGAAAACTGCAGCCAGATTTGGCCAGAAAGAAAATTAGCTTGTGAGAACTGAGAGAGATGTTGTGAACCTTTCAGAAACCAAGGCCTGAATGTCGATCTTTAGGGGAAGAAATTGTGCTAAATATACATGATAGATTGTTTTATAAGGTATAATCTATGAACTCGATGATACCACAGTAATTGAAATCCAATATAGATCGGGAATATTAACCTTTTCCGTATCTTGTAGTTAAGACAAGGAATGGTAAAAATTCACAGCTTCAGGCCTATTTCTGCTGTTAACGTGGTTAAATGATATAATACACTTTTCTTCGTTTGCGTCGATCCTAAACTTGGTGGCATTATTCCCTGATAATTAGATCATTTCCGCGACCAAAAATGGTTAAAGTGATCATCCTGAGCAAAAGAAGCACAACCTTCAGCTTTAACATGTAATTCTTGTCTTTTTGCATGCTTGAAACATTATTTTTAATCGGAGAAATTCCCCCCGGGTCGTCGCCATGTTTGATCGCTGAAATATATTACTAGGAAACTATGATATAAAGCTTAGTAAAATTTATGTTAGGTAAGGTGAATTAAATTATTTTAGCGCAGAATATGCTAATTTTAAGAACTTTGATCTTGTTTTCAATCTCAATCTTGAAAATGTCTATTTTTTATTTAGGTAAACAAAGAGATGTCTTGTTGTGTTTATGGGTTTTTCTTTGAGGAGATCCTGCCTGTGAAATGGATCGGAGTAACTTGTAGTGTTTACTTTATACTAGGTAATAGACTATTTTTCTCAGCATGGAATATTATGAAGAAACAGAAGCAAGGCTTTCATTGAGAAACAGTTTTGATTTTTGAAATACGCATGCATGTTAACACTGGCAATTGTGAGATGTCGAATGCAGTTAATGCGCTTAAATTGGATTAGGAATCAACCATTAGCGCGGAGTGAGGATTAGAGTGGTTTGTCGCCATGTTTGAACAGTCGTTGATGAGTTACGTATGGCAAAGTTGTTCTCGTTTAAAGTGCAGGCAAAATTGAGACAAACTAATCACAAACGGAATGCATCGGTGGCATCAAAGACGAACACGGAAAACATCAAACGTGATCTTGTGAAAACATTCTTAAGCGATGGTGTACATAAAAGGCAAGCACACTGAAGGATCATTCAGTCTTTGAAGTGCAGAAATCTCGGTTCACGCTCTCCGAGGCACCTTTGCAACTGAAATATTGCTGTGGAGTGAAGAAGATTCCCTCTAGTTGTCGACGCAATGGATTTTGTAAGTTTTTCTTCATCATTTTTATTGTTGCTCACTAAACCTGAACAAACTGTGCAAACATATGTAGTGGTCAGAATATACACAGGCTTTTTTATGCCCGTAATTTCTTATTCAATTAATTTCAAACTTATACTTCTGTTTCGGTGTTGGTGGTGTAGGATTTTTAACGTTGACAAGGCTTTAAATTCGACAGTGCATGTATAATTTGGTTTCTATCGTTTTCGAGAAGAGCTCGTTTTTGGTAGATTCGTAAACATGTTCATAACGTTGATTTTTAGTTGAGCGCAAAGCTGTGTGAGAGCTCTTGACGTTCAAATGAATACTCTGATTATAGTAATTCCATTATATACTAAGTTTCGCTGTGTTTTGCAAGCAATTATGGACATGTATGTTTCTCAACCTGCAAGAAACTTTTGATTTATGTTTGAGCGAAACCTATTTTTCCAAAAACACATGTGTTAGCTCAAAGACTTCATGACGATTGTAAGTGGTTTCGCGCGGCGCCCCTTCGAACTTCACAATATAACACATATTCACTTTAGTGCTAATATCAGACGGATTTGAAATTAACACATGTGTCAACACACAACGGGTATCACTTAAATACGGCAAATAATACTTACGCCAGTTCATCTATTGTGTATCTTACTACGAAATTTTCAACTAATAACAATGATGATTAAAGGTCGGTAAAATGTTCTTAATTGAAAGGAAATCTATTTCGGTTTCAATTGATAAAAAAAGTTTGGTCATTTTAAACTTGGCGACTTTTATATTTTGGTTACTCCGGCGCTCGCTCATTATGCTAATTACTAAGGACATTTGCGTAGGTACATTCCTGCATACCAAAGAATGGTTGCTCTTTTATATTTCTGCCAACTCATTTTTTTAAAATTCCTTTTGTGTTAAGATTTCTTTCGGTTTAATATTGTTGGATAAAAAACTTTAATTTTTTCAAATCTTTGGTTTTCTACGTAATAAAATATTGGCAAGGGAACTGTCATTTTGTCTGCAAATTTATCAATTCTGTGGCAATGTGGCGTGCTTTGAATACAAGTAGAAAATGAAAAAATTTTAATGCTTTCTCCGTTCAAAATATTGCGTCAATACGCTGCACTGTGGGACACAGGAATAATTCATCTTTCTTAACCCTATTTCATCAGCCGTGAAAAATGTTATTGATGTAGTAAAAAATAACATGTTTGTTCATAGTGTTTATGTTATTTGTTAGTTAAATCAATTCAATCAGTAAATCCTCGCGGCTGAATTTAGTTAGAACTGCTGTGGTAGAAAGCACACACACGTAACGCCCACAGACGTCAGTGAAATATCATAGTTTGTCCACGATAAACAGTCTGGCACACAATGGTCACTGGGCACTAGCAAACATTTACTTTATTACGATTTTCCGGGGTACTGCTATGGTTACTGCGTATTTAAAACCATAATTTTGGACTTTCTAGTTCCATTATTTACTCTGATTGTATTTTGCGAAGCCACCCATGGATAATTTTATTTAACCGATATTTTATGAATATTCTCTATGTTGACAGTTTGTGTCAAGGGAACCGCAAAGCTCAGCAACAGTTTAATCATTGAACAGCATGAAAAAAGGGTGATTTATCGGTTATACGTTGGAGCGTTTTATGCTAATTAGACGTCGCGTGTTTGCGCTAGAAAATAATCGGATTTATTGGAATTTTTGAGACGAAGTTTATGATTATGTATCCCGTCCTTAGTTGAAACGTTCTTCCTGTATATGGTGACTTTGACCTTCTAGTGAAATTCTGTTTACCAGACAACTCATAAACGTTAACAAAATAAATGCGTAATTTAGTTTGGCAACAGAACTCGCACCGCATTTATCTTGGGTATTTCTCGCTACTTTGATGTGTAAACATTGATTTTCATAATCGTGGTGAGTCAATATTGACTTGGTTTTAGTATGAAGCTATTAAGGTCATTCTTTGGTTAATTGGGTCAACCTGCCGCCCGCGCTTATCTCCCAGACTTGCCGCACTTGTTTTGAGCTAGTAAAACCTGAATCGATCATCCTATAAACCTTACGGTTTGCGACTCTTCCATAACTGTCGCAATCCTTCATCCTCGGTCAACACTCCAGCGATAGCTTCATTTCTATGGTCCATTTTTTTATCCAGCTCTTCATTCGTCAATCGCTATACACAAAGTGGGAGCACGCGTCTTTTCTCTTTCTTTGGTATTTAGGATAATTATCCTCATTAAGTTAGCATTGTTTTCGTATGCCGCTAATTACATCTACAAACAGATTTTGCCGTCAAGCGGCAAGAGGTCGTTATGACGAGAGACGCACGCTTTACGTTTAAGCTAGAGGAAGCTTTCAGCTGCTGGTAGTTTAGTTCAACCTTTGCCGACTGCGGAGCTTCCCTGTGTAGGATCGTCAATTTTTGAATTTGCGAAGCATCTTCATCAAGTAGCAACGTCTCAGTTTAACTTAACGTGCTAACTCTTTCATCTCGTGGGCGGCTCAAGGAAAGATTCAGACGCGAGGGTGTTATTATTTTTGAGTATCTTGCTTGTCCAGCGTGTTGGTGTCCTGCATTTTTGTTCCATCTTAAAATGTCATCAGGAAAGGTTTGTTGCATCCTATAGTTCATCCTCTGAAATGTATGTATGCTTTTTATTCCTTCTGATACGTAAAAATCCATCTTCAAGAAGATTTTCTTCACCGCGGGTCCAGGGTTTAAACCGCACTCGCACAGCTTGTCCACCCGACTAGTCAATCAAAGCTACCACAACTTGAGTGGCCGGTTTAAAATTTTCATAATTTCGCTTCCTTTGAAAGTCTGTTCTTTACATATAGATCTCTGTTAGAAGAGTTTTTCTAGCTCTACTTTTATCATGAATAATTAATTTTACGATCATTTCGCGATGGTTTGTCGGGCCACAGCTGTTGAGTTTTGACTAGCAGTTCGTGCAATGGTGCTTTGCGGTCTAAAAATATACACTTAGCTTTGTCTAGTGGTACCTTTCTCCTGCTCTCTATAAGCAATACTTCTTGAAAGCACTATTTTCCTTCTTTACCCAAACTGTTTCGGTCCGGAAATTATCAAAGTATTTTCGACCGGTGGTGATAAGACGGGATCCTTTGTGGGTATTCGCGAGTTACGACTATTTACACAATTACCATCAAAGAGATAGCGGTCACACTGTTTACTGATAAGCGGTAGAACCAGAGAAATGGTGTTATCACTGGCGCGCAAGTAAACCTATGTAGTAATATTTGCATAATCTAGCATTCAGCTATTCACGTTGAAAACATGTACTAATTTTTGACGATCTTGCCCTGCGTAATTCGTGCAAACGTTATCGCTCAAACACCTTTCTCATGCGTTTTTTTTATTTCTTTTCAGACGTCATATTTTGCTCTGTTTCTGATCATCATCTTATACGTGACCGCCGCTCCGTTTCCAAGCAATGGTCCAGCAAGAAAAATTCAAATGTTACAATATAGAGTGAAATATTTAACTCGGGAATTACTGAAGTGTCAGGAGGAGGACAAACTGGATTTACATCTGCGCTCCTTTCAAAATAGACAAATTACTTGTAATGATGGAACAACGGCTGGGTAAGGATGATCAAATTACCGAAATGAGTTGTTTCGCAAGATACGCTGGGTACTTACATTACGATCTCTTTCAGATATTACATCAAGAGATCGTATGAGAGTAACAAGTGGATTATATATCTGGAAGGTTTGGAAGATTGCTGAAAAAATTTTTTGCTAAATGCTTTTGTATTGCTACAAATAAAATGTTTCAATCAATTTCGTATCATTAAGGTGGCTGGTATTGCTTCAATGATGCATCCTGCACGCAACGTATGAATGTGCCGGATAGAAAGAGTTTGACTTCATCCAGAGACTGGTTGTCAAAGAGAAGAGGTGAGCATGGATTTGTTTTACTTGTGAAATACTACGAGGATTCTTATCATATTTTCTGTTCAGGCTTCGGAATTTTGTCCCCAATTGCCATGGAGAATCCAACCTGGTATAACGCTAATCATGTGTAAGTTTTAATTGCTTACTTTTTTTATTGATTCTAATGTTTTGATCCCCACTGATCATTTCATTCATTCATCTCTATTGATCATATGATGTATTAATCGATCGTATGATGTCAGTATTGATTGTTCAAATAATATATTGATTGTTCATATGATGTATTGATTGTTCATATGATAGATTGATTGTTCATATGATGTATTGATGTATTGATTATCCGTCTTCCTATGATGTATTGATTGTCTATCGATGATATGATGTAATAATTATCTATCGGTTATATGATGTTCAGATTGATTCCATATTGCTCGAGCGATGCGTGGAGTGGAAATGTATCTCGTCAAGAATCAGGAGGTTCGTTGCGTCGTAAAAGATTCTGTGAAGGCGAAATCTTCAAACAATATTTTTCATCTTTAATCTTAACTTCATAGGAAAATTTTCTTTCATGGGATACAGAATCATCAACGAGGTTATTAAGGAGCTTTTGCCTCAAGGCTTGCTAGAAGCCAAGCATTTACTACTAGCTGGAAGCAGGTAAATATTATTCATAACTTCAGCAAAGATGCTTCGGGAACGATTGACCGGAATAAACGGTCAGTGTCTGACCATCAGACAAATGTTCGTTAAACGCGCTTCAGCTGTGTCTTCCGCTCAAAATGTCTTCTCAGCCAGAAATATTGTTTCCTAACAGTGTTTCCCAAATCTTGGTAATTAAGGAAACATTGTTTTGTAACACAAAATGCGGCGAATGAAAAGAAATTGTTTGTTTTCTGTGTAGTTTATGTTCTGGCTAACCAGTAGTTGTTCATTGATATTATCAGCTTTCATCTGAGCCATATATTGTAAAAACTTTCATATTTAATGTTTTTCTTTGTCACCTAGTGTTGGTGGGATTGGTGTGATAATGAGCATTGATCGTGTAGCTCAAATGCTGTCTGCCGCTGGATCTTCGTGCAAGGTTCGTGGTATCTCAGACTCTGGTTGGTATCTCGAAAAAATTCCAGATTTGAAGAAATGTAAAAATGACCCAAGGAGTTGCAATAAGCCTTCACAGGCAATCAGAAAAGGAATGAGGTAGATCATTGTCCGAAACTTGTCTTATCTCTTTTGATCCAATCCTGAATTTGTATTCAAAGATCAAAGAGTTCACTCTCACCTTTGCTTTGTTCCAGGTACTGGAATGGTGTCGTTCCAAGTGCATGCAGAGAAGAGTTTAAAACCGAACCATGGCGATGCTATTTCGGTCACAATGTTTACCGAACTCTAAGAAGTAAGTACTGAGTCAGATTGAAATACGACAAATTTATAATCTTTGCTCGGCGTCAAGTATTTTTAGTTGAAGATTATCGTTTCATCTTTTTCTTCCAGGCCCGCTATTCATTTTCCAATGGCAATATGACCTGACACAAGTCATAGTTAACAACCCGACAACCCATCACGAACAAAGTTTTGGACAAGAATTGATAAGGAAACTTATGATGTTAGCCTCCGACATGAAAACATCGATGAGGAATAATCGTTTAAAGTAAATATAACTTATTTTAACATTCTAGCTTATTGTATCTCTTCATTTCCAGTGATCAATTTTGTTTTGAAAAGTGAAAATTTACACGCCAGTCTCATCTCTCTTTGATTGTGATTTTGTAGTGCGGTGTTTCTCCCGGCGTGCATGGCACACTCAACACTTACCAACAGGTAAATTATCTTCACTCTCTTCTTCAAACTCCAAAGTTACTTCAGTAGATTACCCTCCCCCCCGAGACTCACTAACTGCTATTTCATTGCTCATTATAATTTTCACTTCAGCGACTGGCTGTCAGTGAAAGTGAAAGGATACACTCTCAATCGCGCTATAAACTGCTGGATTAGTAAGGATGATCTCAAGAATACAACACCTTCACCTAACCTGGCTTCTGCTCACTGCAAGTCCGCGTTAATCGACGATTGCTCGCAACCTCTATGCAATTCTCTCTGCCCTGCCCCCCGGAATCCGTTCACTGGCGAATTGTTAGCAACTCCAACCAACAGCACAATCACACCCTCACCCTCACTTGGACTGGCGGGAATGCAAAATGATCAGAATCCGAGACAAAATAATGGGTAGAGACTTAAAGACAAGGAAACAGATGTATAAAGTTTTATTACCGCATTATAACAATATTTACATCTTTTATCAAGATGGCGTAGAGTAGATTATATATATACAAAGTCTTAGTGGAAATTCGCTAAAGTTTTATGAATTTTGCTGTGAAGTAATGATTGGGATTGAAGAGGATTACCATTGCAGCTTGCATTGTTAAATCATTAAACTTTCCGAGCAAAAAGTGTAATCAAAATATCCTAAAGAGATAAAGAAATTAGAGTTAATATATGGAAATAAAATATTAGGATTACGTATACTGTAAAAGTCAGGTTCATTTGGGAGTGGCGCATTTGAAAAAAATGAATGATGATTGTCAGAGATGCATCGCATGGGAGAAATGGAATAACATGGAGTCGTGGACATAGGTATCATTTTTCTGGGGCTTTCAACTTCTCAAGTACTTTAATATAAACAAAGAAAGTGTAAATATACAGTTTTTATATAACAAGATTATTTATATATATCTATATGTGTTGACTCGTGATTTATTTGGTTAGTTTTATGCAGAATGTAGGCATTACGGGGTTAAAGATTGGCGCGTGTCATCCTCGCGCAATTTACGAACGAGGATCGTAAATGTCCGTTGACTTATCGGAATTCCGACGAATCCAATTTCGCGGCGCGCGTAGTTTGAACAAGAAGACAAAATGTCTGCGGAAAATAAAATCGCATATATCCATTCAGACTTGTTTCTAACTTACTGCAACAAGCTGCCGAAAGTAAAACAACGGGTAAGCATTGTGTAAAGATATATCTTGCATTATCGCTCTTTGAAGTGACAAGTGAATGCGTCAGCTAATGCGTTTGTAATATGAAAGACCATTGAAGTATTCGGTCCAACGTCTATTACACCATGTGCTTGTTATTTTATTTATGTTGCCAGAAAGCAAGAGGCGGTATTTATATATTTAAATTGTTTCTCTGTAGGCTAGCATTGTTCACAGCCTGATAGAGGCCTATGGCCTGCTCAAACTAGAAAATATAAGGTAATTTAAAGAGCTATTATTATATATATTGCCATACATAATCTTTGCAAATTATTAGCATTCTACTACCCCCCTCTACTTAGGAGGGTGTGCACCCCTTGCTCCCCCTGGTAAATCCATCTCTGGTTCTATCTTAATTTCTATGGTTCTTGTCCTAATTGCACTACATTGAATGATGGCTGTTCTTTAATTTCAAGCATTGTTGAGCCTGAGGCAGCCACTGTTCATGACTTGACGAGGTTTCATTCGAAAGACTATGTGACATGTCTCCAGAAAGCATCAGAATGCTGTGACGATTCAGAGATGGAAGATGATTTTGAAGCATATGGGATTGGTATGTTGGATTATAAATATACTGTGGGGATAAATATACTTTTGGACTTAATTTTCACAATATTGGTGGGTTTCATGAAGGGAGGTTGGCATTGAACTGCTCTATCACATATGATAAAATGATGTATATCTTGACTAGGCTTTGATTGTCCAAGTTTTGAAGACTTCTACGATTGTCTCAGCAACATAGCTGGTGGAACTCTAAAAGCTGCTCAGTGTTTGAACAATAAATCACATTCCATTGCAATTAATTGGGCTGGTGGATGGCACCATGCGCATAGGTAAAAGACTTTGACATAGTAGATCTGCAGACAACAGACACATTACTATTTATTGGAGCAACTGTTTTTACAGACAGCATTAAATAACTTATATAATTTTCAGAGATGAAGCAGCTGGATTTTGCTATGTCAATGATATTGTACTGGGAATACTTAAGTTGAAGGAAAGATTTCCTAAAGTTTTATACATTGATTTGGACTTGCATCATGGTGATGGTATGTAATTGTGTTAAAATATTATTGTACTTCACTCTCAATCAATTATGATGTTAAAATATATTAAATTTGGCAGGTGTTCAAGAAGCATTTTTCCATACACCATCTGTTTTTACATTATCATTTCATAAATATGCTGCTGGATTCTTCCCAGGTAGAAATTAATGCTCTAAATTACATTCTAATTGTTTCAATTCCAGGCTAAATTAGAACTAATTTTGTTTCTAATTTACAGGCACTGGATCATGTTTTGAGGTTGGAGAGGGGAAAGGAAAACATCACACACTCAATATCCCTTTACTGGATGGAATAAATGATAAACTCTTTGCTGAAATAGTAAAATTGTAAGTATTAGAGCTAGGTAGCCATGGTTGTTTTTTGGACTATATGTTTTACTCAATTTTAAAGAAAGTTGATTGTTCAGACCATAGTACTTCAATGCATATTATGATTTTCATTCCAGGGTGGTTAAAGATGTCAACAGTTATTTCCAACCAGATGCAATTGTTTGTCAGTGTGGTGTTGATGGTCTGGCTGGTGATCCAATGAATTCCTTTAATCTCACACAGTATGGGTTAGCTGCTTGTGTTCACTATATTTCATCACTTCAGAGGCCACTTCTGTTGCTAGGTGGAGGTAAGAGAGATGGAATTAATAGTACATTGTTTCCTGATTTTAACCAAAGTAGATGAATTTAGTACAGAAGTTAGTACAGCAGTTATATAGTTTACTTGCATTCTGTCCAGAACAAATTTTTTTTATTCAAAACTAGGTGGCTATAACTTTCCAAATGCAGCCCGATGTTGGACATATATAACAGCAATGCTTCTCAACAGAAAACTTCCCAGCAACATACCTGAACACGAGGTGCATGGATACATTAAACTTACCTTATCTAAGATGTTTTACCTTCCATTCCATTACTACAGCTAGCAAACATTGTTGATAAATACCAGGATATCATTCTTCTGAAATTTTCAGTTCTTCCTGAAATATGGACCAGATTACAGCCTGGAAATTGCACCTCATGATTTCAGACCAAACAAGAATTCAGGTCGTTACATAAAGGGGGTGTTGTCTGTTTTTAAAGGTATGTTTTAAATGTTTGGATTTCTTGTTTATTCTTGTCATATATTTGAACTTTTCATATATTTGAAAAGCTACTTTTTCTTTGTGAAATATATGAATAAAGAGTTTCATTTCCATATTGGTATGTAGGTAATCTTGAAAAAATGGCAGATGTCTGGAATAGCAAGTAGGCACAAAACAATGTTGTATATAGTAAGTTATTTAAAGTTGTTGGCCAACACTCAGGTATGACTGCACAATGTATAGCTGTTTATATGTACATAGTGTTAAATTCAAGCTAAGTACTTTGGCATTTAAGTCGGTTTTACTGGGTGAGAACTGTATATACAGACATAATTAGCAGGAAGAATTGCATATTCGTATACTCAGTTCTGTCCAGCAGATTTCTTTTAAATGTGCAACACTTACAATTAAAAAAGAAATCCATTTGGCAGAATAAATATATGAGTATCATATCTCCTGAATTATAGCATCTGGGTATATGCCCCTGGAGAGGCTTAATATTGGCTGATACCAGACAGTGTCATTAATGAAAAAACATCCATTCTTGTTGCGATTGAGATTTAAAAAATAATTAGTTTACATAATTTATGTTAATGAATAAATAAGTTATAAACTAAATAGAGTATCATAGAATATTTAAATCCAGGTATTAATTTAAATTATGAGATACATAATTGCTTTGCTGGTTTCCAATGATCTAACTCATTCACTTCATTAATTTCCCTTGCTTTTTCCTTTTTTCTTTCTTTCACGTGAAAGGGAATTCTTTGAGAAAGACATGTATGTTTTAGAGTTGAATGATCTAAATATTTTTTAAAACAAAATCAGACACATTCTTAAGTTTGAACTTACCTAGGTTTTAATGGTAGTTTCACCAAAGGAATAAATGTATCTGGAACAGTTTTCATAGCGCTAAGGAAAATTATCACATTAATAATTTATAGTTCAATATTTGAGAAGTTAACCAACAATAACATACCCAAAACTAGGTAATGGTAATGTGCTTCCGTGATGGTGAAATTGTAACGCATACTCTGGCACATGGTAGCTCTTGTCCCCTGGTGCTCTTTCGGCCACACCATTTCTGCAATCCCAAGCTGAAATAGATTCATATTTCTATGAATTAAGTACATGAGGTGCCTTCTCCACCAATCTTGTTATGCAAAGTCAAGATTTCAGAAACAACTTAAGAATCCTGCAGTTGCAACTGCATTGGTTGTCATAATAATTTCACAAAAATACCTTTTTTCTTCTGGCCCATGCTTTTCTCCAAAGTCAATTCCCAAACTCTGGTACAATCTTGTGCATCATCATATTCTACAGCAACTGAATGTGTCCTAAATTCTCGTTTTGGTGTTGTCTGTTCAACTATGTACAAATTTAGATAATGTGTTTAAATGAGCCATCTGGTTCTTTCTCAAAACACTTAGGATTTTTTTTAAACTTTTTAAGTGTACAAGCTCCTAAAAGAGCTGTTTTTAGTAACTAATCAAGTGCATAATCTCTGTGTGAGATACCTTGTGATGCGTTGGATATTTCAAGTTTCTTTTTCTTCTGTATCTTTGTGATCTGTTGAACTGGCTGTGGACATCTTATACTTGAAAACCAATCCAAACCATTTCCACCCCTATGGGTTAATTGACGATGTCAAATTGAGACTACATTCATTAACATATAGCTTGGAACAAAGTTTAAAACCTACTTGGATGAATGTTCTTGACAGTTGGGATAGTCTAAAGCATTTCTAACATGTGGTCTCCAGTTGGGTTCTCCAATTGACTTGCTTCCAAATTCATTCTCAAAATATGCTCTTTGGAATGGTTGCTCCAAATCACATTCACTCCTATGTTTTGGGAGCATCAAGATCTAACGTAGAGTGTCATTCATACAAGATTTCATTGGAGATCATTCAATGCTACACGTTAAACCAATTACAGTATTAAATAAAATATTTCATTAATTCCTGAAGTGCTAAATGATAGTTTTGACCATAGCAATTTTGCGTCCTTAGCAACGCCAATGGTTTCCTAATCTCGCTTGAAATATTCATTTGCTAATTGCAAAGCTGTCGCTTGAATATCGAAGCACGTTTGAATAATATACTAACCTTCTTTGTTCCAATTGTCTCGCACAACAGGGATTCGATTCCTCTTTCCGCACGTGCAATTCTTTAAGAAGCAACCTCGTGGCTTAGAACGCCGAACTCTTTTTCTTTTAATGTTACCATAGAGACACTCGTGATAACGGGAAGTGCGAAATAATGACAGATCATAGTGTTTTGTATAACTATCATCAACACTGCTTAAGTCGGTCATTTTAGCTTTGACGGCAGGAATGGCTCCACATTTCATAATCATTTAAACGCCACTCGGGAATGTTCGTTGCAAATCACGATGAATCATTTATACTCGAACATTTTGTGTGATCTGCGTCACTTCAAGTAAGTACAATAACTTTTTAGTCCTTTCAAAAGTTTAAAATTTAATTGCAATATTTTTTGTTTGTAAACATTGAATGAAAATTAGAATATTATTTGCTACAATTTTGCAACATTTTTGCTTTCGTCATTGCTTGTCAATTCCATTTGTGGTTTTGTTTTGCATGCGCACGCATCGTCAACAAACAAGTCATTTCCCCGGAGGGAAATTAGGGGGTCTTTAAACATTATAAATCACATTGAAATTTCCGTTTCATACAGCTTACGTGTCGTCGTATGGCTTTTAAATATTTTGTTTTTCGTTTATTGTGTAACCTCTGATGTATTTCGTTCAGGAACACACGAGGGGAGATGGCAGAAGCTGGGCCTTCGCATGGCTTGACATCAAAACGTAAATCAACGACAATAAATGGTGAATCGAGTCGGGCAAAATTACCGCGAAGAGACTGCAGTATAAAAAGATGTTCTTTGAAACGTGCTGGATATTTTCTGCTCGGACCAAGGCTCGGTAATTCACCTGTCCGCAGTATAGTACAATGTTTAGCAAAACGCGACGGAACTGATGACTTTTACTGTTTGAAAATGTTAACAATTGAAGACCCAGGCCGAGAAACGCAAGATGATAAGCAGGGAAAGATGTTGCTTCATACAGAATACTCGTTGCTCTCTCTTCTCCATAATCAAGATGGTGTGATTCATCATCATGGATTATTTCAAGATGAATTCACAGAGGAGCTGTGTGATCGGGATTCAAACGGTGTTAGAACTGGGAGAGTTAGAAAACGAGTGTGTCTGATTCTTGATTGTTTGTGTCCTCATGAATTCAGCGACGATACAGCGGATTTGATTAATTTACAACATTATGTGATCAGAGAGAAAAAGCTAAACGAGAAGGAAGCCATCTTAATATTTTCAGACATTGTGCGTGTTGTCGAGAGCTTACATTCGGTTAGTACATAAAAAAATATGAAATCTCGCATTCCTAAAAAAATTGAAGAGATTATGCACTATTGTTCCCATGTATTGTGTAAGCTTGATTAATTAACTTTACTTCGAAAAAATAGAGAACTGATCTTCTAGATTAGCTTGATTTATACAACCAGTTAATCTGTCTCGGTGAACTTTGTCAAAGAAGATTCTCATTCAGTGCATGTCAGCACCCACCTCCCAAACCACTCCCCCCTCCATTAGACACAGATATTGGGCCAGACCTTTCATGGGGTGTTTATACTCACAGTTTCAATATATTTTAAATTTTTTTTCTCTAGAAAAATATTGTACACAGAGACTTGAAATTGGGCAATATTGTGTTAAATAGAAGGTAGGTATGCATCATGCAATGTTTATCTCAACCATCTATGGACTTGAATGCCTATATTTGTGTATGTTTCGTTAGTTTTAGCCAAAATTATGATGCATTCAATTCATTCATGCTGAAACAATGCATGGAGGCCTTTCCTCAATTGATTTTTCTCCTCTCGAAAAAAGCATTGCTATCTTCTTTATCTTGTGAATTTATCTCATCCATTTCATTCCTTTTCATGCAGCACTAAAAAAATCACAATTACAAACTTTTGTTTGGGAAAACATCTCATTCGAGAAGATGATTTGTTAAAAGATCAAAGAGGAAGCCCAGCCTACATCAGCCCTGATGTTTTGAGTGGTAAGAAATTATTTGCAATGGACTTGTCAAATACAATCTAGCTATACTTTATTTAAAAATATTCGTTATTGAACTAACAAACATTTTCAAATTCAGGAGCACCTTATTCTGGCAAGGCAAGCGATATGTGGGCACTTGGTGTGGTTTTGTACACCATGTTGTATGGTCAATTTCCATTTTATGATAGTGTACCACATGAACTTTTCAGAAAGATCAAGGCGGCCGAATTTACCATACCAAGGTACATTATATCCATGAAGTTAATGAGTTTAAGAATTAATCTTATAATATGATTACCTTCCAGTTTTTTAATCTTTGATTTAAGAAGTTTTGTGCATATTGTTTCAGTGATGGGCGTGTAACAAGCTCAACAACAAAACTCATCCAAACACTTCTGGTTTTGGATCCGAAGAAAAGACTGACTGCTTCACAAGTACTCACTGTTTTAGGTGAAACTATGAGAAAATGGTAAGATTTGCATCAAATTCATTAAAACTATTGGCTAAATCCTTGTAGTAGAACATTCAAATTGTTCTAGTTGTTTGAATATGGATTCATCCCTTGTTGTTCAATGATTCCCCCAGGTATCTCTCACGTACCATGCTATCCCCAGCACATGTTGTGCCAGATATTGATGACAACTCAGAGGAAGATGGAAATGATGAGAAAAAGAAGGAAGAAAGGAAAAAAGATTTTGAAAGAAAGCTGAATAATTTGGATGGTGATTTCATTAAAAGAGACAGAAGTTATTTTGTACCAAGGATTGGTAACCTACCCACTGTGAGAAGACTGGGCTATGATGCGAGGAAATTAACTCCAGCTGAACTGCTCACAAAACGACATTTGTTTTAATAGTGAGTATTTTAAACTGCATTCACACTGCGATTTGTCAGGCAATTTTAAATACACTTTAGGGCAATATTTGAAATATATCTGGCCAAATCAACATGAAATTATATACTCTCTAAATACCATTCAGCATGAGCCAAAATTGCCATGCCAAATCACTGTGTGAATGCAATTTTAACCCTTTTAGAGTTTGGTGGGGGGAAAGATGCTGGTTCATCAATCGTGTATTATTTAAGATTGCAGATTTTATAATTTAGTAATCTTTTAACTAAAACCTATGTCTTGTAGACGAATATCTTATGCCTCATATTGAGATAAGATTTTGAGTGTTATTTTTTTACTGGAGGGAAAGCGAGGTTAGGCATTGGTAACCAATAAGAATTGTCTTAACAATTATCCCTAATATTAGGGCTTTTTACAATGATACTGTGAAACATAGTTAAATTTTAGTTTGAGTAATGGAACACTGCTTTGAAAATCATTCATGTTTCCAGCGGTATTGTTGGAGTGATTCCTGGTCCCAGTCTTAGTTTTACTAAGTTTCCATCTATCGTTAATTCGCTACATGTGATTTCAAAGCAATGTTTCTAACTTACCACGTGGAAGCATTTTGTGAACATGTGCTATCATTATGTATCATAGATGACATATTACTAGGTAGACACCAGATGATTCGTGATGGTGTAATCCTGTACAAAGACACATATGTAATATATTTAACATAAATACAATGTAATAAATGATGTGTAGATACCCCATTTACAAACGCCATCAATCGACATCGCTGACGATGTGCAAGATTTTCATTGCTGTCGCGTTTTCTCCATTTCTTTGACGTCATTTTTACCATTGCAATTTTCCATATGGAAGCATTTAAGAATGAGAATCGTTTGAAAATCGTTTCACCTTTCGTGTGGAAAGATAAATACACAAATCGCCCAAAATAGAAGGCATTCCTGTTGAGTCACCCTGAGCTCCATCCCTCTTGGCATCTGGAAGGAATATCCTTATCTTCACTAGTGTGATCTTTACTGGTGGATAGCTCTATCAGTTCTAAACTCTTCTTCCTAGAGGTCCAGTAAGGATCTCTTATTGATCTAGTTATTGATCTACTTATTCCTGTTACCACAGGGGGACCTAAACTCGATTTCTTCTCAAATGTCTCGTCAAAAGGTTCATTCATTAATCTGCAGTAGTGTCCTAAGGACACCTGGAGTTTAATGAGATCAAATTGAAAAAACTCTTCTCTCGAATAACGTAAGTTTAAAATCCGTTGTTCCACCATTCTCTAACCTTGTGAATCTCTGTTGAGTACCTCGAAGTGTTGGCCTGTAGGACAGAACAGAAAACTGTTTTCTTCCTCTTAACTCTATTCGTAAACGTTTCCAGATGTCCAACAAAATTGCACGGGATTTCTTTGTATTTGGATCAGGAATATGATGATGTGCGTCGCAGCTGCTCGTTCTTTAAGTAGTTAACCAGCTTAAGTTTATTTGTTCCATGTTCGTATTTATTCAGTGTTCAAGCTTAATCCCTACGTCTTAAAAATATGCGCCTGATCCTAAAGATAGCCAAGATGGCGACCTTTTGTCCTCTTCCTAAGATTACCCTCTATGATATGTCTCTAATCCGTGACATTCAAACCTTAAAACAAACACCACACATACCACTAGCTACTCGTCGTGTTTTCATGAATAACAAGATTGCCTTTCTGCACATTTAAGTATTAATCAAAATTCATGCGCTCACTTGATATTTAAGTAGGGTCTCCACTAAGGATCCGTGTTACTACTTACTACCGGAGGAAACCTAAACTAAACTAACTTGTTATTAGTAGTTCCATCAGGGATAATCTGTTGTTGAATGGTGTGCCAGGAGTTTGGCTTGTTCTTGGAATCTAACATCTTTGCTCTTTACGCAAGGAATGCGCGGTTGAGATGCAGGAAAAGATTAGATTAATCTAGAAAGTTTACCATAAAAAACAACCCACCATCCAGGCACCAACCTCACTAGGTGGGCTGAGATACCGTATGGCTCTGGGCCATCTTAATTACGAAAATACGTCCCACATCTTCCAAATATCCTCAAATCAAAGTATTCTACATCATACCGCTTCCGTTGACTCGTGGCATTGTTTATGAAACCTCTTTAAAAACCTGCTCATTTGAGACACAGCGTCGGACGCAGCGATGTTTCAAGTGAAATACTCTATAACCTTCAAGGGTACTGACTAGAGTTTTTTGCATTACCTTAGAAGGGATGCTATATGGTACTCGATGTTCTTAAGAAAGATGAAATATCGCAATAATGGAGAATTTTTCTTTCCCGTAGATAAACAAAAAAAAGACGATAGAAGTTTGTCATATCTCATATTTGTCATATTGTGGCATCAAAATACTCCTTGCTGAATCAAGTTTCGTGTGAAGTGACGATGACAATCTCGTTTAGACTGTATGGAATGTGTTGATAACTTCCATCGCTATGTCATGGTTAATTATCATCACAAGGCCGCTCAGTTGGAACACGACACGCTGTTTCCTTTATTTTGTGGCGAGCGATGTTCCGATATTGCTCGGCTACCGTTTGTATTCTCTTTGCCTCTCTTCAGACAAGGGCTGGCCCGAAGATTTTGCACAATATAAAAACGGATTAGGGAGGTTTAGTAGCACCATAGTTCTTTTCACACGACAGACAGAAGAGATTTTAAATGATATTTTCATATGATAAGATAACGAGTGTGTAATCACTTCATCTTTGAACTCTTTTCAAAAGAATTTGATTATTTCTTTGGAAAGCAGAAACAAAAGGCTCTATGCGTGTGTTAAATTATAACACACTTGAAATATTTAAAATGTTTCTAGTCGTGTTTGGCATAGATTTGTAGTTCAGCAGTTCAAGTTTATAAATATAGCGTTGTATGAAAATACTCCCTGAACCATTCCATTTTTGTTGGATAATTACCACGACAATTATTTGTCGATGCAGCCTTAATTACTCCAGAGACAATGTGGCTTTTGGTTTCAGTGATAATTTTCTACTAGGACAGTAAGGACACACATTTTTTTATTACAGAACTCTCAACTACTTTATTTTCAGGTGATGAATTTCAATTGAATGAGAAACGTTTAGGAATGCAATTTTTTCCAAATTTGTTGACAGATTCCCTAAAGCATAGTTTCAAATACGAATCCTTGAATACACGTGACCTACTTAGAGCAAATTTCATCTCGTAATAAGACAGTTTCGTACGTCCGTGGTACGTCAGGAAAATAACTTCCATTGATGTGGGCGCATGGCCATTTGTACCATTTATAATTTCAATTTTCTTTGTAAACACTTGAAGACACGATTATTCAACTGATCTCTATCAAGTAATATCCAACCAATACTCTCTGGGTTTTCCTGCAAGTAATTTTGTCATTTCGTATTCCACTACTTGTTCTGAAGCCGCAGTCTGATTGGTTAAAACACATGTCTGTATCGAAAATATTTGCATATCACAAGAGACATTACGATAACAACTGACTGTCTGACTTAGTTGCCGAAATATCAAAAGCAGGCGGCTGTTAAGCGATGCACACTGCACAAATACAAGAAACTAACTCATTTTTGGATTAGTGTTGATACGCAAGCAAAATTGGATTGGAGCATCAAGAATCTAGTTGGAAACTATCAAATTACTCAATTTTCAACAATGTATGGATTATGGTCCTCAAGTTTAGTGTTGGTAAGTACAATGTTTGTTGCGCTCTGCCGTTCAATGTTTCAATAACGTGTGCCATAATACACAAAATCCCTCGTTATTCTCTTTAGATGATGGCAATTTTATTTTCCGTCTGCACTCCCGCTAATACAGAGGAGGGAACAAGTAAGGACGTAATCTTGTCATTTTTATACAAACATGAGTGTATATGAATCACTGGACAAGCTCAAAATATTGGGCCGTTGTTTATGTTATCTGTAGAATACACTATCTAGAAAGTTTTGTTTGACTGAACGTGATATATGTCAATTGTTTAACAAATCTCTATGTTCGTAATGGATGCTGTGCGATTTTGAAGCATATAACAGGTTCCTAGTGTGGATTTACCACAAATGCGTTTGTGGCAGGTTTGCGTTAGAAATACTCTTCACGAAAGTTGAGATGAGTTTGATTGAATTGAGTCATTTTCCTCTTCGCAATTCATACACTCAAGCATTTGCACCAGAAGTTCGAATACGCGTGCTGTATATGTTTCTTCATCACAAACGTTGTAAATTCCCTGTGATTTGAATCATTCCGCAAATTCTCAAAAACATCTCACATCTTGTGTTGATTTTACCTCTGAATTCTTCTCTGATTTTATCAGAAAACATACTGATTTCGTAAAGTTTGTCTTATGAGCTGTGCTCGGTTAGCCCTTGAACCGGAGATCGTTAGGAAGTTCAAATTGATTTCTCTCTCTCTCTCTCTGAGCATAAGATCATTTTGCTATAATCCTCGCTATCATTACTATAACCAAACTCTGTTTATACTAAAAAGGAATATCCTCGTCTTGAAATTGTCAGTAGATTTCTGAGCCTCTCAAATACTACTTAGTTTCCTCTCAATCTAAGGTTGCTAATTCCTAAGCCAAACATCTGATTACAACTCCGGAGTTTGGAATTCTGCTCCTAATGCGATACGAGAAAAGTAATCTTCAGTGTTTGAGCCTTACTATATAAATATACAGTGTTCTTTGAGTGAATTCTCGAGTGAAGTCATTTACAAAATCATGGAATGAAGTGTGTGCGTTGTCGCAAACGTTGTGAAATATAATCGATGGATAAATAGGATCCTTCAGCTTGTCATTGTAATCTCGGATTCTAAGCACTTGATTGAGGTTTCCATCAATGCGAAGCCAAGCGAGTTTCATTGACATCCTCCAGATTTGTGGAAACGTACAAGCATTTGCTTTAGTAAAGCATAGCGCGGAGAGTTTTCTTAATGGACCATCTGGTTCAGATTACAACTGATTGCCTCTTGTACACATTGAGTAATTTCATGCATGTCTAACCCGTTGAGTGAGTACTTCAATACGGCGCCCCCTAAACACACGTTACGCATATATACATGGCCATTGGGAACGTTATATAGTCATTGCTATAAAAAATACAGTTACTAAACAATATAGTAACTACTTATGAAACTCTCGATATTTCAACACCACACTTCCTGTGTTAGGACTTAGGAAGGCACGAAATATCTTCATGTCGCGTAGAGATACTATTGTTGTTACTTCATATTTTTCTACATTTCCTGCCTCTGATTACGAGCGCATTAACAGGAACATCCGAGATAATATAAATAGAAAAACCTCTAAACTTATCTGTTTATATCTTAATATAGACCAATTTTGAAGCATTCGAACAATTATTTGCAAAGTATCTTTTCTCTGATGCATTAGGCTGGGTTTTTTTTGTCTTAATTGAGTTGGGTTTGCGGTAATTTTGAAACCACAAGAATAAAAAACTTTTTTTTTCACTGTCCCGCCACAAATTTGTCGGAAAACCCTCTTGCAAAGGTTGACGTGAAAGAACCTTTAATAGAAATGCTGGTTCGTCGTTTGTCGAAGAATATATTGATGTGTTGACTTCAATGACTTGCCATCAATCGTTCACCATGCATGACTAATGTATCAGTGGTACAGGGCCACAAACTGCATGTAGTCCTGGTGTCATTTCACAAACTGACTCATCATTGTAGTGGACGTGTACACATTTAACATATATAGCTATAAACAAATCTACCGTGAATCATGGTCAATACACATTATAGATTAAAAATCCTCTAAATGTGAAATATATCATTTAAAGAGATCCGAACTTCGGTTAGAGAAAATAAATGTTGAGCTGTCGAATTAGAATGCATGATGATAGCACTTTAATTGTAACTTTCAACATTTCCTTTTAGCGGGCAATTACGGGACTAATTGATCACCATTCTTCTAATTAATGGATAATTTTCATGGATAATTCAAACACTTGTTACTCAACCTTGTTCCCCATACCCATAATCACGCCTGACGCAGATATAAAATTTGACCTTGTTATAGTCTCATTTCAACTTGAATAATTTCACAGACGAATACACAGAACGGACTAGAAATTATTCTAGATTACTATATAAGTATATACACCACTAAAATTATATATATTGAATGTACAGGCCCGGAAAACAATTCAATTTCGAGATGATATTATTAAAATCATTGATGAAGAAGAGTGAAAACCAGAAATGACAGTTGCAACAATGAAATGAGAATAGTAAAGTGTAGTTTGTATAGTAGTTTCAAATATCAATTCAATTTTTAACCATGCAATCAACGAACATTGATACCCTCTGCATGATCATGGTGGAATCTGATTTAACGTGGTAAATACAACACTATAGATCACGCTAAGTTATGATTCGCACACACATGCAGAGTGACATGTACTAGCTCCTTATGATGTTTAGTTATACAGCACGCGAGTTTCTTACAACATAAGATCGCTTTAATTCCTTAATTTGCACCCACATTTATAAAAGCATGAACTATGGACGTATTGATCTATAACAGGCCACGCTGACCACCTTATACCACCTGCAACGTTTTAAAAATTAATTTTATATATAGATATAAGAAAATCACAATAGTTACGGTTGCTATGTTGCAAAACAAAATACATGAATATAATACGGTTACATTTTAGTTTCACTTGTATAAAAAGGCCAGCATTTATTGTCATGTTTGAGGAAAACATTCATTTTGGGTGGCATTCTTCTCTAATTGAATCTTTGTTTGAAAATATTTCTCCAATAAAGTTGAGATAAAGCATATGCTAGTGTATAAAATTGTTCATTAATATACAAAACAAAACCCACAAAATATGATGGTTTTAACCGAAATATTAACCAGAATATTCGAGATATCATCTTTGGTTATGTAACTTTGCAAGATCAGCTTTCCACCGAAATCATGACGAATCTTAGCGGAACCACAGCTTATAATAAATGATAAATAACAACGCACTTCCATTAGATCTCTACAGGATCTTTCCGGTAGCGTAGGATCCTATTTTCTTTAGAAATAATTTTAGGTTTTTATTTATTCGAAATAATTTCGGCACTTTGATTCATTTGAACTCATCAATAAGTAATGTACTTAATTATACACCACGCACGGAAAATTTCAGGGGGCATTTTTCTTCAACTGTTGGAAAACTTTTGGAAAATGATTTGAGGTGATATATTTCTGCTTGAATACTCTGTTGGAAACAGGAGGATGATTTTCATATCTCACTTTATAACTCTAGTTATTTGTATATTAATTTCATCCAACTAAATTGGATGAACCTCATCCTAAATTTTCGGTAATTCAGTAAAGAAGCCGTCAAGCCAAATAGTTTTACAGCGCTGCTTAATTTCTGGGTGTTTTCTAAGCTGTTGACAATACTATATTACCTATATACAAACGTATTTTGAATTAAAACTGGCAAAAATTATTGAAATAAGTATAGGAAGATCTTATGCACAAAAAACAGCCGTCCTACTTGAGAGCAAGAAGTGGGAAGTGTATGCAAATATGGAGTAAAAATCCTGACCAAATTCGGCAGCGTGTTTAATTGAAAGATAAAATCGCCATTCTTATCTCACAAGGCAGATTAGACGGAACATGGTAATATTTCGCAAACAGTTTTAGTATAAGGACAGGTGCAAGGAATAAATAAAGGATGCTTGATTACAATCTGATGTTCTCGTTCAGTCAGTGTGCATGGAAGATTGAAGTTGTTCTCAGAGCAAAATAAGGAACGGAGGTGAAGATGAGAGAATGAGTTTAATGAGCTTGAATCTTTAAACGCTCTGACAGAAGCCAAAGAAACGATTTGAAATGAAGGCGGCGATCATAATCCTGTTTATCTCAGACCTGCCTGTCATAGTTCTAATTTCAATTAATTGAATAGTTTCGTTTCATTATAGCGCAGTTGATATGGTGGAATTCCTTCTAATTGATAATAAACAAACATAAATCGTCTTTGGAATGACCGCTAAAATTAAACACTGATTTCTTTTATTGATTAATCTTCAATCACACATGCAGCCTCTTTGTTTTGCAAGGTTTTGTAATCAAAATCATGCTTCTAAATTTTCTCGTTGAACGCGAGTAGGAAGTGGTCTGGCCTATCAACACGAGTGCGGACCTCTCGTGAAATAAGAATCGCGAAAAACGTTCATTGGCATAAGTTCTGCTTATCACAATGTTGTCTTAGGGTAGCAATGCTATTCTGCGTTGATGTAATTATTATCATTACATTAATGGTTTGACAAGTCTCTTATCGAGACAACAAATGATCCACCATAAAGATGTTCATCATCATCAAGGCCAACAAATCACACACTGCAGCGAAAACACAACGTCTAAATGCGCATTTTACATCCAAGCGAAAACAGCATGTTAATTAATGACTTTTGTCTCAACTTTTGTCACCTATCTAACAAATTTAATCCATTTTCTCCCTACAAACTAAGTTATCCTCCTGCTGGGCACTGTGGGATATATGTCCTATCATTGTTTGTTAAACGTGTGGCTTTCTTAACATGCTTAAATTGATCTGTTTTCGAGCATAGAGTGCGTCCTTGATTGAAATGATTTTTATGAGTCTCCTTCTCTCTGCAGAACAAAAATGCCAGGGTTCCGTGATGAAGTTAAAGTGTCTCAACAAGTCATACGCCCTCTCCATTGTCGCAGTTTTTTATGGTCGTGAATATCCTGGAAGCAACATGTGTAGAAGCCCGAATTCAAAGCTTTCTGACGAACTCAGATGTGAAAGAAATGAAAATAACGTTACAGGAGATGTAAAAAGGCTTTGCGAAGGAAAAAACAACTGTAATTTCACAATTGAGAGTCCAACTTTCAGTTTACCAGACAAATGTCCTAAAGTGTACAAATACATGCATATCGACTATAAATGTGGTAGGTATACAGATGGATTTTAGGAGGAGATCATAGAAACACTTTTGACTGTGTTTTACTTCGTTTTTTAGTTAAAATAAAAAAAAGCAAAAGAGAGAAAGTAGTGGCTATACTTGTTACTCCTACGCCATCTCTTGTGAAAACAACAAGCAGAATAACCACGAGTTATAAAATAAAGACAAGCACATTCACATCAACTGAAGTTATCAAACCATCCACCACAATGGTTGCTATCGTTGATAGACTGCTCACAACCCACCAATCACAAGACACTTCCTCTCGCTCCAGTTCACTCAGCAGCTCACGACCACACAGTGTAAGTGTGACTACAGTTAGTCATACACAGCGGTCACCCTCCACTACCATAGAAAGCCTAGAAAGGCCACGCTTGAGACCAACCAAACCCTCTTCAAAAACATACGAAAATAGCGCAATAAGCGCTGATCGACATGGAACTATGAAACTGTTTAGATTTATTGTCAGTTTCCATATAATTCGTGAAGGTATGTGTACCTGCACAAAAAGGCACAGTTTACTTAACCATAACCGCACATTCTAAGCACAAACAAAATTTCCACAGAATTTAGCGGTTCCTGTTTCCATATCTTTTATAAGAATCCTCCAGCACAGTTTTTATTTAAATTCTCACAAAATCATGTAATATCCCGAGGTATTGAGGTAAAAAAAAGGGTCACCATATCAGCACCATCATAATAGCGTCATGACAACCATAATCGCTACTGCCAGATGATGATTTAAGTAAGAGGGGGTAACGTAAGATGACATCTGGATGAGAAAACTCAAATTAATGTAGTGATGAATATCATTACAAATACGATTGAATGGAAGACATCTTGAGAATCGATTTATGCTTCAAATCTTTGTCATTTCGTCTGAAGATGACTTGGAATTGACTATTCATTATTTTCATTGAGTTATTTTGTTAGCGGATATCTTCGTGTTCCCATCCTGAAGTGTTAAACACATTGCCTTAAACGATTTCTCTTTCTATAGAGACCATTGAGAAACGTACTGCAAGCTCTGTGGTTTGGTTTTTATTTGGTTTACTTGTTGGCTTGTTCATAATGATTGCTGTTTTAGTTTATTATCGTGTCAAACAAGCACGTCGTGAACGTAAAGACAAGCCAAATAAGGAAGCTTATATTAAACAAAAAAACTGGAGCGAAACAGGGACGATAGAGGAAAATACTATCCTACATCCGAAACAGCTCGAGGTTTTAGAAATGGAAAGCCAACTTGGAGAAACAGTGTAGTCATTTATGAAAGAGTTCACTGATGAACGACCTAAGGAAATACCAGACTACCTCAACCTGATATGGTGATGTCACCTGGGTAAGGAGAGTTATGGTGTGTCGTAATGGTGGAGACGTAATTTCCCCCGTGAGCACTACCAACAACCTATACCAAAATATTTTTATAAATCACTTCATGGAATGATATTCAAAATCTAGTTCACAAAACAGCATTTCTGATTGGTTCCAGTAAAGATTACAAACATGGTGAAAACCAGAGAAAAAACCATTACCAAAATCTTTTTGACTTGAAGAGTTGGAAAGAACTTTTGAATTGAATATCAAAAGAAAATGTTGTATATATCATTATAGTATTATATACACTCTTTTAGAGTGGAGATGTAAAAAATTCTTACAGAATGTACAGTCAATTGTAATATTTAATAGAATAATCCAACATATCTTAATTTATTCAATCTTCATCAAGTTCCTCATCCAAATCAAGATCATCAAGATCCTGAAAGAGTGATTCATCCACCTGTATGTCATCTACAGGGTAAGAATGCTGATTAGTTATAAAGGTTTTACCCAGGAAAACATACAGTAGCTTTGCAGAAAATCAACATACCTCCCATGAAAGCCTCATCTAAGGTTCCCATCAATGTGTTCTGTTCAAAAAGCTTCCTGCCTAAAATATAGTAGTACACAAATTCACTGATACCAAGCATCTCAAAAATGAACACTTAATATATTTTACATCAATTGTCTACCTGTAAGTTTACTTTTCGTTTCAGTTTTCAAATTCAGACCAGTTCTCTCTTCATCAAACTTAAGTCTCCATGCCATGAAATTTTCATATGTCAATGGTGTGCCAGTTATTTTAGCCTGAATAAAAATTCCTCACATAAAATATCTTATTTAAATTCTGTCTTTTAATCTAAAGGATAATGGTAAATTGAAATTCAGGGGTGCAATAATAAATTCTTTCTCTCTGTATGGTTTGTTATAAGGCTCTACCAGTTCCGCCTTTTCGGCTTCTTTTATTTTGCGTTGTTTTTCATCCTCTCGAGATTTTTTCTCATCTTCTACAGCCTGGTTGAGGTAGTCCTGAGTTTCTGATATCAAAGTAAAGACCATCACCATTCCTAGATTTTCTTCCACCTTATAACGTAATATTACAATTGCATTGTTTAAAATGATCCAAGTTTGAATTGATCCAAGCACCCTCAAGTTTATTTTGCTATCCAGCCCCAATGGTGTAAAAGAATTCATCAAAAGCAAACCTTTTCCTTCAGAAATTCTTGTAGAGAATCAATGTTGCTATCAGACAGTCCTTCAAGAGCGTTTAGCTCAATAATTGGACCCTCATCTGGGTAGTTTTCCACATAAGTAAACTGAACATTCACTGAGACTATAAAAGTTGAAGAAAGTACTGTAAAGCCATAATCAAATGACTGTCAGTGTGGAAGAATGATTTAGGAATCTAAATATTTGCTAAAATACACAGAAATTGACTATAAAAATTTTACATTTTATATCATCATCTTCATGATGTTCAGAAGCAACTGTTATCTCAAAACATTGCGGTTCTTCAATAACTAAAAGAATGTAAAACATTTGCATCAATCTTCTTTGTGAAGGATTGTAGTGGTGTACAATTAATATGAAGGGTTTGTACAATTGTACCAGAATTAATTATTGAAGTGCCTATTACTGATAATTAGAGATGTTTACTATAGCAAGAACTTCTCAATGTTTCGATCAAAGGCTCTCAAAGAAGAAAGAAATTTACTGGTATATTATGTGCTGTTGGTGAATAAGTTTGATACTGAATTGGGATGAGAAATACGTCAGCAAACAGTAGGGCACATGGTGTCATAGTAAATAACTTACATCTAAACTCTGTTGCATAAATTGCTTCCAATGCCTCCAATTCATTGCATCGCTCTTCCTCGTAGTCTGTCATACGTGTACGACAGAAATATTATACAACAACAATACTTAAAATACACTTATTTACAATACTTTTAGAATCACCACCATCTTGAAATACAATCAAAACCAAAGATCCCAAAATCCACGAATTTAATCCTTAATCTAATCCCCTAGGGCTGGGCATTGAACTCAAAATTGGGTGGTTGGCTTAGGGTCAGGTTTGGGATTAAAGTTAAGATTATATTCCTGGATCCGCACATTGAAAAAAACAAGTTTAACCGGAAACGAGAAACCGAAAAGGAGAGTTTCTATTTTCATCTTAAAAGCGAAACATCTGGTCGAGAGATATTCTCCCAACCTCGCTCCCAACCTTTTCAAATATCGACCAATCAGAAGCAAGGAAAAGAGCGGCAAATTTGGCGGCCAAAGAGCCGTTCTTGTTCAAATCTGGCGCAATCTTTAACATGTCGTCGTTCAAGAAAGACTTACGTCGCTGCAAAAACACACAAAATCGTCTCTTCGCTCCAGAAATGACTTCAACTGTAACAGGCAAGTATAAGTTAGTATTTTGTTGAATGTTCGGGTGTTTTTCAGACTTTCTTAGGCCAGAGAAACGGTTTCAAAGCTGAGCGTTTGCTAAACCTGGCCGAAGACTTTTTGTCATTTTCGGTTTCGTTTTTCCAATTTTTTCGTTTCCCTTTTATCTGCACTAAGAATGGATAGCCTCAAAGAGCATTTGGAGAGATTTTTAAGATAATTTCAAGCCAGAATTTGCTAAATTTTGAAGACTTTAGGACTTGCAACGCGCGCGTAGAAGCCTTTCGCCTTCCTCTTCAAGTTCGGACTCTAGTTAATATTGTCATTGCTTTGTGAAAAAACACTGACTTAGGTAAAAGTCATTTAAACCAAAGAAAAAAACCAAAGAAAAAAAATTCAATACTTTTCAGCAGGAATTTAATACTTCTGGCAAAAACTTCGTTAAAACCATACAAATTACTCAAATTGTGACGGTTAAAACCTAATAATGGACAATTAAGAGTACCATTATTTCAATTAGAATTACAATTAAAGTACTTTTTTCGTATTTTTGTACTAATAATTATTTTGTATATTATTCCAGGTGGAAGTCAATAACCTTGAGCAAAAACGCACATTTACTTCAGAAAATTTTCTAATTTGATCATTTTTAACTGAAAAACACCAAATTCTGTTTTTTTATGCAAAAACAATAAAAAATCTTCAATTACTATTAAGTTTAGCTCAGTTTAAAAAGATACAAGGGTGGTGGCATTGCATTCTTCTTTTTTTTCTAAGGTCTCTGCATCTGGCTTTTAGTCATTTGGTAAACAAGCTGTGCATGTAAAGAGATTGCGCCACTCTTTGCACGTATAGTTTGTCTTGCTAAGTGGTTGGAAGTCATTTGTAGGTATTTTGGGAAATAAATTAGTCTGCGATGTACTTTTTCTCATTGCTGCCAGTCTATAAGGACAGCAATTGCTATTGCTATAAGCTATAGCAGAAAAAACTTAGCATTTCTTTTTTCACAGCTGTCAGTCTATAAAGACAGCTAGCACTTGTGCTATGCTAATTGCTATAAGCTTTAGCAAAAAAAAACAATAATTTGTGGCTGTCAGTCTATAAAGACAGCAATTAAAAGCAAGGAAGAAAATTAGTATCAGTATTTTTCCACAGCTGTCAGTCTATAAGGACAGCAATTGTTATTGCTTTAAGCCTTAACAGAAAACTTTGATACCTAAATTTTTCACAAAAATTGAAATAAATTTACTGTTGTTTCTATAAGAGCAACAAAGTATATAATATATAATTATTTGCTGCTAGCTTCTAAAACCAATAGCTAAGTACTAGAATACACTGCCCAAGGATGTCATTTCTATATGAATGACACCTTCAAGCTAGTAGCAAATCTTAGGCTAGTCAGACTAGTGATTAGGTGCATGCAAAGTACTTGTGTTCATTTGACCGCTCAAGTCCTCGGTGGTCCAAGATCTGGTGGCTGGCAAGGTGTGTGTGGATATAGAGTGTCTGCTCTACTGCTACCATTGGCGACCAAGGTGTGTCATCATGGTAAATCGTGTTAAAATTATTGAGTGTTATCTTTTAACTATTGATGTGATACCGTCCTCAACACTTCCCTATATAATCAAATCATGAAAACATTTGCAGGGAAAAATGGGGTAAATTTTAATGTGTACCTGTATGGGATAAAAAGGAAACAACATGGGATTGAGGGCGGATATTGTATGTGGTGTGCCAGAACAAAATAACAGTTTGATCATAGTAATGATTTAATTCCATGCAGGGTCTAATATTAGTTATATAGTTTTACTCCTAGTAATTATAGTTTTACTTTAAAAGTCTTCAATAAAGGGTCTTAACGCTCGAAATATTGAAAATCCTGAACTATATATATTTTAGTGGCCCATTTAATCACACATTGCATTCTTAGTTCCCACCCTCCACAACTATTGCTTATACCTGTTCTACCCCTCTAATAATTAGGTATTTTCCCTAACAAGCTCTCCTCTCTAATACTGGTTCTTCTCTCTAATAAGTTCTAATCCTCTCAAAAAGGTTTCCATTTTAATAAGCTTCCTTTATAATGAACTTTCCTCTCTAATAAACCTTTCTTGCTAATCTACTTCCCTCTCTGCTCTGTAATAAATACCCCTCTCTAATTAGCCCTCTTATCTCATCAACTCTCCTCTCTATCCCTTTTCTATGATGACCCTCCTCTCTAATAAACTTTATTCTCTAATAAACTCTCCTCTTTAATAAGCCTTGTCTCACTCCTTTAGTAAGTGTTCTTTAAGCTCCCCTCTTTTAAATTTTCCCCTCTCATAAGCTTTCCTCTCTAATAAGCCTTTTCTCTAATAAAGCTCTTCTCTAAGAAGCTTTCCTCTCTAATAAGCCTTTTCTCTAATAAACCTCTTCTCTGATAAACCTCTTCTCTAATAAATTTCTTCTCTAATAAGCTTTTCTCTCTAATAAGCCTCTTCTCTAATAAGCCTTCCTCTCTAATAAGCCTTTCCTTTAATAAGCTTTCCTCTTAATTAATTTTATTCTAATGAAATGGATTTTTTAGCTATATCTAAAAACCCCACTCGTTCTTTTTCAGGTTGCCTTGGTAAAATACTGAGCTTTAATGCACACAAATACTTTGATTTCTTGACAAAACTTTAGGCTAAATTATGTTAAAAAAAACATAAAAAAGGTTGGTGGCATTGCACTCTTATTTCTTTCTTGAGGTATCTACATCTGTCTTTTAGTCATTTGGTAAACAAACTTTGTGTGTGGGAAGATGTGGCGCACCTTTTTACATACATTGTTTGCAATGCTGAGTGGATGGAAGGCATATTTGTGGGTGTTTTTGGAAATAAATCGGTTTGCAATGTTCTTTTCATAGCTGTCAGTCTATAAAGACAGCAATTGTGCTATTGCTATAAGCATTAGCAGGAAAAAATCAGTGTCTCTTTTCAAAGCTGTCAGTCTATAAAGACAGCAAAGAAGTATTAAAGTACATTTCAATTTGCATGGATCCAAATTTTTCAGTATACATATGTTAGGTTTTATTGTTGTCTTCATGCAAGCCCTTAATTATATTTAGGAAACATTATAAGTGAGACTGATCACCTCACCCCCACAGCATAGGTTAAGTAAACTGTTGCACGTACCACTTTAGGCATTCTTGAATAAAACTCTAGCTGTTCTTATCAGCTTAATATTTGATATGTTCGGCAATGCCTTACTCATATATTAAACTGATAGCATTGCACTCTTCTAACTTTTCTAAGGTCTCTGCATGAGACTTCGAATTATTCAGTGAGCAAACTTTGTGTGTGGAAAGGCGTGGCGCACCTTTTTATATACATTGTTTGTCTCACTGGGTGGTTGGAAGACATTTGTAGGTATCTTGGGAATTTAATTAGATTGCAATGTTTTCTTTTCATAGCTGTCAGTCTAAAAGGACAGCAATTGTGCTATTGCTATAAGCTCTAGCAATCAAAATTTAGGCTGTGTTTATAATTTTCATAGGTGCATGTCAATCAATAACTTTAGCTGCCCAAGCATGCCATTTCTATATGAATGGCAATTTTTAACCAGCAATATACATTAGGTGCATGCAGGACAGTATTTGTGTTCATTTGAATATAAGCTCATGTGCGACAGGTTCCAAGATATGGCAATTGGTTAAAGGTCAGGGAAAGATTATATAAAGGTTATAAAAGGTCAGGGAAAGATTATGGACAATTATGTGGGTGCAGGTACCATGCAGATCTATGTCATATGGAGGTGTATGTTATTCTAAAATTATTCAGTTCATGTTGTCCTATTCCCTTGTTGAGTGCATGAATATACTTGGTGGTCAACAGTTTGGGTTTACACACACTAAAATGTTTTTGTAATTTTCCTGTTTGGCGTATGTGTGTATATACAAACTATGGAGTTTTTTAAGGCTTTAGGTTAACATTAGTTAGGAACAAGGTCTTGCCAGATTGAAAAATTTGCATGATTATTAAATATTTGGCAACAATATCTCTGGCAATATCTTGCTTGAACTTACTGCCAGGTGGTACAAATGGTACCTTAGGAAGAGAATCAGACTAATTTGCATGTGCATGTTTTTATAATGTAAATGCCACCAAGTATAACAGTTTAGGAAATCCATTCCCTGCATGATCGATCTGCATGAGATTCGGTTATAAATATGGTTCAAATGGAACTTTGCATGATCTGCATGAGATTCGGTTATAAAAATGGTTCAAATGGAACCTTGCATGATCTGCATGAGGTTAGATTACAAAAATGGGTGCAAGTGCCCCAAAAGGAGGAAAGTGCTGCGCAAGCGCAAATGCTAAAAAATACAATATGGAGGGAAAAAATATGGTGCCCTGCATGAGATCCTATTACAAAAATGGATGCAAATGCTGCCTCCAATGGAGGAAGGTGCTGCGCAAGCGCAAATGCTAAAAAATGCAATATTCGGGCAAAATATGGTACCCTGCATGAGATTCGGTTACAGAAAATGGTCCAAATAGAACCTTGCACTACCTGCATGAAATTCGGTTACAAAAATAGGTGCAAATGCCCCCAAAATGGGGAAAATACTGCGCAAATGCTAAAAAAATGCAATATGGAGGCAAAATATGATACCCTGCATGAGATTCGGTTACAGAAAATGGTTCAAATAGAACCTTGCACAACCTGCATGAAATTCGGTTACAAAAATGGGTGCAAATGCCCCCAAAAGGGGAAAATGCTGCGCAAGCGCAAATGCTAAAAAATACAATATGGAGGCAAAAAATACTGTTCCCTGCATGAGATCCTATTACAAAAATGGTTGCAAATACCCCCTCCAAAGGAGGAAGGTGCTGCGCAAGCGCAAATGCTAAAAAAATTCAATATGGAGGCAAAATATGGTATCCTGCATGAGATTCGGTTACAGAAAATGGTTCAAATAGAACCTTGCACAACCTGCATGAAATTTGGAGGCAAAATTCGTATTACTGAATGCCCTAAATATGGTGAATTTTTTATATTTCCTATTTTTATTGTATTGTAAATAATCTAAAGATAACTTAAATTGACTGTAATATTTAAATACAAAGTAAAAAATTGTTCACTTGCTTTTGTAATTATAATAAGCAAAATCCTTTCGGAACCACAGCACATCTCTTCTTCTCTTCTCTGAATTCTCTCTATTTTATTTTCTTCTTAAGATTCTCTCTTTTCTAGGATTTTCTTTTTTCTAGGGTTTTTTTTTTTTCTTTTTCTTTTTCTTTTTTTCTTTTTCTTTTTTTCTCTTTTCTAGGTTTTTCTCTTTTCTAGGTTTTCTCTTTTTTAGGTTTTTCTCTTTTAGGCATTACTAGCACTTTTTTTTTCAGGATTTAATTTTAAAACATTGTAAATAGAAAATTACAAATGTATTAATTGTGTGAATAAAAATCGTTCGTTCGTGTCTATTGTCATATATTGCATGAGAGGGTTTTTCTCCGGGCGCTCCGGTTTCCCTCTATATATATTTACACCTTTTCCTGATTGGCTAACATGGCTATAGCTATAACTAACGTTATATCTATGGTACAAACAAAAACAAAAAACAGTGTCCGTGGTGTTTCGGGACCAGATTGGTTATAGGGTTCGATCCCCTGTGCACTGTCTTGTGTACCACTGTACAGACTACAGATTGGATGTAAAACGAGGAAAAAATTCGATAAAAGAGGCAGAGCCTTTCAATTTCAGTGCTATTTCCGTTATTATTTCGAGCCTAACAGGTTTCGCGTCATCGCAGTCAGTAGGGAAAATATTGTACGCCTTATGCTAGTTATTCCCCCCCTGAAATCTTGCACGAAGAAGACGAATTTCCTTTATTAGCTTACGTTTAAATATGCTTAATTTAGAATACCGGGGGGTGTTCTTTCAATGTGGTGTGTCAAGCGTGTTTAACCACATGATTCCACATGACTTGCGGTAAAAAGCAAAGAGCAATTCATCGGCACAGTATTAGCCTTTTTATTTACTTGTGTGTCTGAAAAATGGTAGTTTTTGAAAGGCTCTTAACACTAGTTCTTAGGATTTTCTAACCACAATCTGATGCGGAAACATATCATCTTCGTGTCGAGGATATTGGAACTAATCCAGATATTTATCCATGTGTGAATCGTCGTTGAAGCACATATTCTGCATATCTAATAGACCGTGAACTCAATCGAAGCTAAAGGCTGCAAAACATAGGTGTCTTTATGTCCTAAAGTCGTGTTTACTCTTACTGGAAGTTGATTTAATCATTCTTCTCCGAGATGTGTTCGTTTTTATCGCGTTTCCTGAACAAAATCACACGAACAAAAGTCCAAGACGATGAAGACGAAGATGAAAGCAGATTAGACTTTCTAGACGAACCTGGGCGAATATCCGTGCTACGATCTATTGAGCTTTTGCTTGGCGCTTGTTTCAATTCTGCTATCTTCATTGTGATTGGGATTTCTGTGAAATGTATTGCGGGACCAGCTATGGTGCTGTCTGTCATACTGGGCGCTGTCTTCAGTTTCTTAAACAATCTGTCTCTGTGTGAACTGTGTTGTCGTTTTCCAACAAAGACAAGTTATTATGCGATCATATATGACAATGTTGGTGAACTGTGTGCCTTTGTTAATGCCTGGTTCAAAATTATGCAAGCGATTTTTATGGTTTCTATAGTGAGTGTAACTGTAGGGGAATATATATACTATCTGGCTCAGCCACCGCCCCATCTTTCATGGCTGCCTCCTCACAAGATGTGGGCAGAAATCGAATATGATACTTTGGTATTCACTGTTGTATTTCTGGTTGTGTTATCCTTGATTATCATGGTTGGATTACCGTATTGTACTGGCTACCTGACAGCATTATTCTGGATCAATTTAGCTTCATTTGCATTCATGTTTGTTCTCATTTTATCATATGCTGGTTCATTTCACTGGATTGTTCCAGAAAACTTCCAACCATTCAACATTACTGGCACTGTCCAAGGAATTGCCATCACCATGTTCTTCTTCACACACCTTGATAGAATTGTCCAGCGAACATCTCAGTACAAGATCACAGACTATGTTGTGCCCGTCTCAGTTGGTGTGTCGACATTGTGTGTCTTTGTTTACTACCTTTGTGCAACCATTTTTATTGCAAACTTGATCCCGATGGGAGAAATTGTCTTGGAGGCAACAATTCCCAAAGCTTTCGCAAGTGCAACATTTCATGAAGTCAAGTATATTTTAGCATCAATAGGATTTGTCATTTTCGTGATTACTATAATAGAAGCGTTCTTTGGTGCCCAAAATACACTAAATCTCCTAGTGGAAGATGGATTAATGCATCACTGGTTCTCAAATTCAAAGAAGAAAACCTCTTTTTTGTCTGTGGTATTAATTACGCTTCTCTCAATACCTTTGTTCATTTCTCTATCAGTCACAAGTCTTGTGCAAGGATTTTGTATTTCATCATTAATCATAACACTGATTATAAACTGTACAACTCTTGTGGTTCAGTATCTGCCTAGTGAAGGATCTCAAGAGGTAACGTCAGCTTTTCCAAATTGGGAATGTACGAAGGCTATGATCATCCGGTTTTTGTTGTGCTTTGGTTATATCACCCACAAGAAAGTGCTTTCAACACTTGGTGTCCAGATACATCCTGAGCCAACAAATCAGACAAGCAAACTCGTCAATTGGTGTGTTGTTATGTATGTTCCATCGTGTATTGGTCTTGCATTGGCTATGATATATGGCTTACCAGGTCTGGGGGAGAACAAATGGGTAGTGTTAGGAGCTATAATATTCCTAATTATTACAATATTTCTCAATCTCCGTATGATTCTCATCCAGCCACGAGGAGAATCCTTGAATTTCATTAAAAATGATATATTTGCCTCATTAATTCCACTGGTAAATATTGGCTTATCATGCATTCTTCTGGTGACATTGGATTGGCAAGCTTTCGTAGCTGTTGGTGCATGGCTTGTCTTGGGTAAGAAGTTATTATAACTTGTAATATGGGGGGTTAAATCTTTTCAGCCTAAACTGCTATTGAATTGTAAATTTAAACTTCTCTTTTCTAGGTCTGTTAGTTTATTTCCTGTTCAGCTTCACCCACAGCAACAAAGCTGTTTTCAACCGAATTCAAGAGCTGGATGATAGTTCTCCTGGACGTGTGAGATTTGATTCTCCACCTCAACTATCCACACGTTTAAGAAATATTCAACCTGAGAACACTGATTCACAGCAATATGTATTTTCTGACGATACAGAACTTTTGGATTTTCCTCAGAATAGATAATTTGCACATGTAGTTTTTCATAGTTTCTTGTAGTAAAAATAAAATAAATGAGGAATGGGTGAATGAAGCAAATATTTGCAGTATTTTTTATATTTTAGGCCAGGTGTGCCCTCAATATTTTTCAGTTCAAATATTCCATGCACTTTACAGATCAAGGCAATGCACTATTAATTTTAGTCAATTTGAATATGAACTCATCTTTTATGTATTTGTATGGAAATGTATTGCATGTCTGCTGCAGAGTAAAAAACGTTTGGTTTTTGTTTTCAGTATGAAATAAATGTATGATTTATGGGCAAACACTTGTTATTATAACAAAGATTCATTACTATTGTCCTTGTTTTCAAAATGCTGCTGTTTCCCATTTAGAGTTTCAGCCAACGCCCATAAATGCAGCACCTGTTAGGAGCATTTCCAATGAATAATTTATTAGTTTATTTGTTATATTAACTCACGCTCTCCCCATGCTTCCTTCATTGTGCTTATTTTAAAAAGTGAAGTGACGTGGAATTTTATACAAGCAACATGGCCGCCACCAAAGGCCCTGTGTTGCCTACACATTATCGATCATCTGTAGCCGTGCAGAGAAGCGGCCTGCGCGTACGTGAAAAATACGTGCTTCTTATAGTATGTGGGATATTTTGTTGCCTTATGTTTGGGGCTTTTTTCTTTGTGCCGGATCTTGGCCCAGTAAAATATTTGCAAGCTGGTAAACAGGCCTTGTCAAAGTTAGTGTATAATTCCCGCAAAGATAAAGTTCTTCCAATAAAACCACCTGCAAAAGGCGATGAAGATGATATCTTAGAAGGTATATCTTGTAAAGATCTGTGTTGATTTGACTCGTTTTTCCAAGATAATTATCGGAGTATATTGTTTAATCATGTATGATATATATTTTCGCATTGTTGTGACTAGCATTTCTTTACCTTTGCAGAAGACAACGAGGTAGAGATAGCTGATATTAAAACTAAACCAGTTAAGAATGATATGGATGAAAATGATGACAGCGAGTCAGATGAGGACCAAAAATTAAAAGAGAAAATTAAAAGGGAAAAAGAGAAATTGAGGAAAATGAGGGAAGAAGAAGAAGAGATGAAGAAACAGGAAGAGAAAGAAAGGTTACTGCAAATGAGACCAACGAAACATAAAGAAACAGCAGGAGGCGGGGAACCTGCAGATGAGCAGACAAAAGAAAGACGTAATACTGTGAGAAAGGTATGAAATTTCTTGAAAATATACTTCTCTCCTGGATTACCAAACATCACTTCACTTCATAGGATAACCATTTAATAAAATGCAATAACCTTTAGATGCATTAACAGTGCCTTGCTATTTCATACAAGTTTATAATTGCATAATCATACCTTTGAAACATTGCTAACTACTAAAAATCATTTGGTTAAATACATTAGATGATGGAAAAGGCATGGAATGGTTATGCTCAGTATTCCTGGGGGCAGAATGAACTCAAACCAATCAGTCAAATGGGTCACTCTGCCAGTATCTTTGGCACACATTCTATGGGAGCTACAATTGTTGATGCCCTGGACACTTTGTATATCATGGGTCTGGAAGAAGAATTTAAAAAAGCTCGAGACTGGGTTGCCACTAACTTGTCTTTTGATAAGGTAATTTGTTGAGTGTTTTGTGCAAAGACCACTTAAATTACTTTAAAGGGCTTCAATGCCATCTTTCAAGATATGAAATGCTGGTGTTTCTAAACTGACTTATTACCTATTTTTCAGTCCACAACAGTTTCAGTGTTTGAAATCTGTATTCGTTTTCTTGGAGGCTTATTAACTGGCTATGCTTTAACTGGAGATGAAGTGAGTGATTCTTTGTCTTGCTAGACAATTCATGTTTGTTCATATCTCAATGACCACATGGTATTTGCATGTGGTACTGAATGCTCACAGACCATATTAATCATTCATATCATGGTGTTAGGTTTTCAAAATAAAAGCTAAAGAAGTTGGTGATCGTTTATTACCAGCATTTAACACTCCCACTGGCATACCATATGGACTTGTTAATTTAGCCAGGTATAAGTTTTAGTTAATTTTGACAACTTAATTAGTACTATATATATATCTATCTATCTCTTTTTACCCTTGTTAATCTTTTTTCTTAGTGGTTCTGGACACAATTGGGGCTGGGCATCAGGTGGTTCATCGATTCTTGCAGAATTTGGAACACTTCATTTAGAGTTTGTCTATCTCTCACATATAACCAAAGATCCAGTTTATGCTGAAAAGGTAATAACCTTAATTATGCTGGACTGAATGGTGAACTGACCAAAAGAACAAAACCGAAACGTCATTCTGTTTTACAGGTGAAAAAGGTGCGAGATTTTGTAGACAAAATTGACAAACCTCAAGGACTTTATCCCAATTATTTAAACCCAAGGAATGGAGCGTGGGGACAAAGTAGGTTGGCTTAAAAGTTTATAGTAACTGTGGTATCTACAAGATTTGCACACATACATAATGCAAGAATTTAATGTCTATGTGTAGATCATGTTTCTCTGGGTGCTTTGGGTGATAGTTTTTATGAATATCTTATTAAATCATGGATACAAAGTGGAAAGACAGATAAACAAGCAAGAAAAATGTATGATGATACCATAGAGGTGCAGATTTAAAATCCTCAAGCTTTGCTTTGACCTTACTTGAGAATTGGTAATCAAATATCAGTTGAATTATAATGATTCATTATTATGCTTTGGTTTATTTAAGGCAGTGGAAAAGATCATGGTTCAAAAAAGCCAATCGGGTCTGACATATGTAGCTGAATATAGATATGGTGGTCTTGAACACAAAATGGGACATTTGGTAAGATTGTTAGAATGCAGCTAGGACAATGGCAACATATTGATCTGTTTATCCATTGATATACTTATTAAAATTCTCTACAATATCATCTGTCAGGCATGTTTCTCTGGAGGTATGCTTGCATTAGGTGCTGCAGGTTCAAGAAACAACAAGGAAGATCATTATGTTGACTTAGGAGCAAGAATAACTAATACTTGTCATGAATCATATAAACGAACAGGTAAATGACTAATATTTATTCAGTTGAGATTTATTCCAGTTATTATAACCTATCTTTTATCTTATAGCAACTGGAATAGGACCTGAGATGTTCTTTTTCCAAGGGCCACATGAGGCCAAAGGACTTAGGGGGAATGAACGATATTATATTTTACGTCCAGAAGTTGTGGAGTCCTATTTTGTTATGTGGAGAATAACGCACGATCAGAAATATCGTGAATGGGGTTGGGAAGCTGTACAGGTTGAAAGATATATAATACTCTATTTCATTTATCAGTTTCTTATCTATTCTTATGAACATTTCTTAATAATGGTGTGAAGCACAATAATTTGATTGAGTTTTCATATCTTGCCAGGCAATCAAGAAACACTGTGAAGTTGGAGTAGGATTCTCTGGGATCCGTGATGTGGACAGTGTTCCTGTACAGCACGATGATGTACAGCAAAGTTTTTTCCTGGCAGAGACCTTAAAATATTTATATCTTTTATTCTCAGATGATTCGCTTATACCTTTAGATCGTTGGGTATTTAACACTGAAGCACACCCCTTGCCAGTCATTGGTAAAACATAGTTATGTCTATTTCAATTTTTTTTCAAATCCAGCAACGAGTAGGGTTTTGATAAACATTAAGGGCAACAAGTCATTGAGAGAAGCACACAATTGCATTGTTTGCAAAATCTTGTACACACATCCTTGGGTATCTAATTGTCTTTTAATATTCATCATACATAAGGATATTCTTGCTCGCAATTTTTTTATACTTAAGATTTTGATCTTAGTTGAATCAGTTTCATGAAAATTAGTTTCTCCAACCATTATATAGTTCCCATTGTGCCTGATATTGTACACTGTTAAATAGGCAGGCCCTTATACAAACCAATTCAGGCTCTATATATATCATTCTGAAGTTGATATCTATGGAATGATCCACATGTTATTTAAAAAATGGGTTTAGCCATAGTTGATCAGTTATCATTCAGCATCAATATGTGAATATGAAAGAAGTTTAAATATTACAAATTTTCTAAAGTGAAATCTTGCAGTTGTGATTGTCTTTCAATCTCATCACTAACTTGATATAGAAAATGAATATTAATTGCTGGGTTATATGCCTACAAAAATGTCATTTAACTTAGTGAAACCACTTGCTTGATCTCTTAATGCTTGCTCCAAAATTCCTTTACTGGTAAAGACAACAATTTGTTCCTTAATAATTCCACATGATAATTTCCTTTTTTTGTCAACTCTCCAATACTTTTGACCTTCACTTGTCCAAACTTTATTTCATCCTTGTTTGGCTGGGTTTCAGATATTCTTGTGATGGTGTCTCCTTCAATTACCTTCATTAAAAGAAATATATTTCAGGATTTTCACATGTTCTGTATAAATTCATGATGTACAGCAGTAACGCTGAATGATCTTATGGATTTAGGTATAAACTTTGCTAGCTTTCTTCTGGTGTATTTGGTTTTCTATTACAAGGAGTTTCCTGAGGGAATATCTTTCCTCCAATCATATCTAGATGGTGCAGAGGAGAGAGCTTACTTGTTGACTTTTCTTTATGACTTTTTCTCCATTAAGGAAGATATTTCCAGCAAGAAGGGAATGGTCAACTTTCCTCAAAGAAGAAAAGTAGTTCTCTTAGACTGAGATGAAGCCTGAACAACACATCTTTACCTAAGGCTAAAATATTTTTCTTCATAGTATTGGAAGTGGATCACTTTGAGAACAAAAATGGATTAACAGCCATAGCTGTCGTTTTAAGTTAAATTGCTACTTTGCATGTCTGGTGAATGTCAGATGATTTCACTCATTGGTTGGAAAAATTCATGGAATTACCTTCTTGCTAAGCCCAGTCCTGAGGCCGCTACACGGTCAACTCGTAGTGATGTAACAACCAATTGGATTAATTTACCAGAACGATCAGAATTTTCACCATCTGATTCAGAATTGTTGGTGTATGATTTAATACATAGACCTGTCTTCGTGCTTGGAATATTTACTCGTTTAGTTCGTGTTTTCCACGATGAAATACAGTTTGCATTTGAACAAGATCGTAGCAAAAAGGTACGATAAAATCCTAATTTCTGTAAACAATTTTCCATTTTTACAACATATTTCAGGGGGGGGTGGGGGGGGTGTATTTATAAGATAATAAAGCACAATTTACAATTTGTTGCATCTCTGTAAAACATGAAAGTTTTCATTATTTTCACCATTTGGCAGAATATTCCGGCAACAATGTTCTTATTGATAAAAAGTATACGTCCAAGGCGTGTCTGGGAGTCTCTGTTACCTGTTTATACCACTTGTCGACAATGTGGAACCGGATACGCCTAATATGTATTCTATTAACATAATAAATTTGTATACTGCCATTGCCACGCATCGGTACACGTCAAAATAACGGCGTCTTAAAGAATTTTACGATTCTAAATTATAAGCAAATTGATTACAATGTGTTCTGTTTGTATCCGAAGTTAAAAAGCTATGGCGCAGATCTGCAAGTTTTGTCAAAACTGAACCATGCGGTCTTTAAGATGGCTTGGCAAGCGTGCTGGTATCCTCTATATATTTTCATTGGGCATTGCAGTTTATATTCTTTGCGTTTTTCTCTTTAAATTGAGGGCTATAAAAACATCAAAAGTTGTAAATAAGTACAATTTGCTACATTTTGTAAAATCAAATGTGCATCATGAGAAGATTAACATCGATGAGTCTCAAAAAAACTTGAACATTAGTGGCATGTTAAATGTCCACACTTGGGCACTTCCTTGTGAACTTAGTTTGCAAAAGTTTGTACAGAATCCATTGTTTCCAATATCCCCAATTGCCCAGGCATTTGTGGATAGTTTGGAATTGAAGTGGATGGAACAGAAAAGCAAAGACGTGAAGAAATTTGGACGAAGAATATTTGGTTACTTATCTGTGCCTAGAACTGGAAATTTCCAATTTTCCATGTCATCAAGTTATGATGTTCAGGTGTGGTTGAGCACGGATCATCTTTGGCAAAATGTTAAACTTCTTTGCAAAAGTGACAGTTATTTTACAGACCAAAATTTGGTTTCCAAGAATGGAAACTCCTCAGGAGGAAATTTCTCATCTGAAATTCACTTAAAACAAGCTAGAACTTACTTCATAGAGATTTTAATGATACATGCTCTGCCAGATACTTTTCACCTGAGGTGGAAAGTACCACATTCTGAAATCTTTGAAGAAATTTCCAACAAATTTTTAAACCCTTATATGGGAGAATCTCTTGGATTCAAGGAACTTATAAAGGCATTTCCTTTGACTTCATCTACACAAAGTTACATAAACAGCCATCCAAAGCAATCAATTTTATCCAGCACAAAAGTATTTCATTCTGGTGTTAAATCACTTGAGTGGAATGATGTGAATTTAGCATTACCTATGTGTCCCTATAAGCCAGATTATACTGGGAAAAGAGTCTGGCAACAATACTATACTGTAGAGCATTATGTTAATCCATCGTATGTGTATCCTGAATTAAAACATGCAAAGATCAAAGATGGAAAGTGGGATCCATGGTTTCCTCTTCATCAAAAAGATGCGTTGGGTATTGTTGAAAAATATCTGAAGCATCTTGGAGATGCATATCCTGGGTGAGTTTTACATGATAATAACTTTCTGACTTATTTTGCCATGAACTGCATAGTTGAAATGATTAAATCCTTAATTTAAATTTTCTTGTAGAAAATATAAGTTAAAAGAAATGCTTAACATAGAGAAGAAGCCAGATTGGCATAAAACCAATCGGGAGTTTTACAAGGGAACATTAAAACATGGAGATAGATATTTCTTGGAATTATTATTGTGGGATAACACAAGTAAAAAAGAAGTTATCTTATCAGAGTATGTGTACGAACATAAGAAGAACAAGGTGCTGTGTTACCCTGAAGGGATGCATTGGAATAAAACCACACCTGTATATTTATTGATTTCTGCTCGAAAACAGACAGCATGGGTGTGGCATTTTATAAAGAATGTGGAACGACTTTACCAAAGCACTGGAGATGAAAACCTCCATGTAATTGTTTATGACTACAACAGTACAAATATTGATATTGAGGCTGCATTTCAACAGAGCTCATTCAAAAACTATAAGGTTTTGTTGAACCCAGATACGAAGTACTCCAGAACATATTCCTTGAACAGAGCAGCAGATGCAGTGACCGATCCAAATGCAATAGTTTTTACACTAGATCTTCATCTTGAAATTCCGTTATCATTTGCTAACAATGTCCGCAAGGTAATTTGCTGATATTTTATACGTATTTTTTATATGCTTGTTTGCTCATAGCCATGTCTTTTGGGTTCACATAATTTGACATATTGTATTCATTTCAGCATTGCATAAAAGGCAAAATGGTGTACACACCCATCATCACAAGGTTATCATGTGGTGCCTCGCCAAGGTACGTTCATGGATCTTGGGATCCCTGGGGTTATGGTATGTTTGGTGCATACAAGTCAGATTGGAGCCATTTTGATGGATTTGACGAGGTGAAATTTAAAACAAGGTGGGGTGGAGAAGACTGGGATCTTGTGGATCGAGCCTATGCTGTAGGATTGGAATTTGAAAGAATAAAAATTGCAGATTTTTATCATTATGATCATTCCAAAGTTGGATTATGGACATGATAATATTTGTGATTTTTAGTGTCTAATAATATATTTAGAATTTCTGAAATTATTTATTTAGCATTTCTGAAACAATTTACAATGTACATTTTTCACATTTGTTATATGCACTTGCTTCAAAAAAATTCATTGTTATAGGAATTTTATATACACACAAATTTGGAATGTTTTTGATATGTAACAAATTAACATTAGAACAGTTCAATTAGAACAAAGGAACATAGTAATATTTTATTCCTCCACCAACATCTTCATTCCTTCTGATTCAATTCCTGACAATATCTCAGAATAAAGTTCAGTCATCTATAAAGGAACAGAAAGTAAAACGCATTGTTCCATTCCCCTTACTCGCTTTTTTGCTATAAAACGACTTTCTATCTAAAGTAAGTCTTCCTATCAATATCAAACTAAACCATACCTTCGTTTCGTAAAAGTGTTTAAAATCCGTCAGTTGATTCAGTAATCTCATCCCCATACCACACCATTTCTCAGCTGCTTGGTATTTCCCATCTCTGTGGAGTATATCAATAAACTCCTCAACCTGTTATATCTATATACTTTCAGCCATCCAAAAGTAAACTGGAGTGCACTAACATACCCATACAGGTGAACTCCAGTGTTCCATGATTTTGTCATCAACCATTGAACCTCAATTTCTGGTATTGTGGACTAAAAAAGTCGTAGAATGTTTAAGATCTAAGATGAGAAATTGGAAATTTCTGTAGGAACTTTGCTAAAAAGACGAGAGGAAATAGAAGACACCGTGGAGTGTATTGATGTTTCTGAACATTGTAGAAAATGTACAGAATCAAGGCGTCAATTCTTTCTTTTGCTGAAGATAATTTCATGTATGAAATGACTGAAATGACGGGATTTTTGTGATTTGATATACCTTTTTGTCACTCTCAATGAGGTTAGCAACTTCCTGATAAAAACTCCACGCTTCTTCTTTGCTTTCAACATCACCACTGGCCCCATTTCGTAGACACAACTCAATCAGTTTCTGGTATGATTTACTAAAGAAAAACACAGGAAAGCGTTGAATCCTTGGTTTCCAAAAATTTTCGTCCTAGTACCTTAACTATTCTTGCTCGTATTTAATGTTAAGGAATAGGGACATGATCTCAATCACCAACCTACAACTGGGGTAGTCAGGAGAGTTGTTCTTGCAATGCGCGCGAATTGCCAATACCAACGCGTTCTTGGTGATTTGAATGTTTCTTGGTGTGTGTTGAAGTTCAGTTGAAAGAGCTGAAAAAAGGAGCTGTTTTAAAAAAAAGTCGTTTCCCAACGATGGGTGAATGAAGAGATATTGTATGTTTGATTTTGGGGGTAATCTTTTGTCGCTTCGATATTTTAGACCGGTTAACTTCAAGTTTTAAGAGGTGTAATATAATGCCAAGCACCTCCCACCTGCAATCGTTTCAAATGTTTTTCCATCAACATTTGGAAGTTTAGAAATCTTTTCCACTAGACACTCCACATCATCACAATCCAAGTTCGCTTTTGCGTCAAACTCGTAAACAAATAAAGCCAAAGGAACGTCATCTGTAATCTCTTGATCTAAGAGAAAAATTCAAGAAATCTAAGAAACACTTTCAACGGGAAATCGTATAAAGATGTACCGCAAATAAAAATGAATGAAAATGATTAGAAACTGAGCCGCAAACATCAAAGATTTTCGATGCAATGTATTCACGAGAAATGTAAAGAATTAGGAAAGCCATTGGAATTATAAGATAAAGAAGAGATTGATAAGAGTAATCCTTTAAAAAGATTGCTTAATTTAGTTATCTTTGCTAGATGAATGACAGTTTAAAGTAGATAGTCTCGTCGTCAAAGTAATCTACGCGTGGATATCTAAAATCTGTTCGTGAACTCTGAGGGTGTGGATCTCAAAAAAAAGATAAGTTTCACTGAACCTTGATTAAAGCTTTGTTTCAGCAGTTGTAGTACTTTCCGACAACTGTTTACGTGATCTAATACTTGCAAAAAGCACTTTTTCTGTTCGATGAGAAAAATTGGTTATAGTTTTTAGGTATCTCAATGGTAACTTCGTATTATGATGATCCTTATTCAATAATTCCCGACCTTTTCTTCAATATTTTTCTCTTCTTTGGCCATTTCCAAACAACAGCCAGCCGCCATGAAAAGAGATGATTTCTGTTTTAATAAACTTGTTTTGTCCTGTGGGCACAACTTGGCAAACTAAAGAGAACCAGAAAGTTGAATTATGAAGAGAAAGAAAACACGGAAAACGAAACGTCTTTACCTGGTCTGTGAGTAGAAACAGCTCACCCATCTCTTGGTTTAAACCTTTACTTTCCAACGCTAAATTCCAGGCTATGAATATAGAACAAGCGTATGGTCTCGTTTATGAAATAATTGCATGGTTGAGGTGAAGTTATACATAGAGATGCTGACCGATTTTCATGAACCAAATGCATTCTACAGAATGTTCTTTAAAAGATGATACGTTGGCTTGTGTTAGCTTGTCAAGAGCTGTCTTCAAGTAAAACAGTGTTGTATTGATATCACTCCTGAAACGAAATATATTCAAGTCTTTTTCTTCCATTTATTTGATTCTATGTTTACAGCTTGCGTATATAGGGTTACCTTTTCTCTTTTTCTGTGAGAAAGCTCATTTTCAAGCGAATAAGGCATCTAAGAAGAATACATGCAAATGATTTTCTGAATGCGTTGATGGAGACTATTCCTACCTACGTGAAATTTGAATGAAATTGAAGAGTTGTACCTTATCGCGGTGATAACTTGTTTGTTGTCAGGGGAATGTTTGATCACGCTTTCTAAGGCTGGAATTGCAACTTCGTGATTGTTGTCCTGAAAGATATTGAACGGCATGAAAGAGATTTATAGTCTGAAATATATATACACTATATGATTTCAAAAGGCTACAAGTGTAGTCTTTATACCACACGAGGAAATGAGCAAGTTACCTTGAGAGCCAATTGTGCAGCTAAGCAAATAATATCGTGAATAGTGAGGCCATCTGTGTTCTGTAGTTCTTCGCGGTTTTCATTCATTTTGTTCATAGCTTTGATAGCTGAAAGAAGAACGATGATGACTCCTGTACCGTCTGCTATCATGATAATTTGAATCAAAATATCAAACGAGAAAGAAGAGTCATGGATGGTAGATTTTCGCGAGAATTTAATCGTGCTCTACCTGTGCTGTTGTTTTTCTCGTAAAGAGCTATTTTGAAATCAAAATAGGAGTTCAATGGATTTCCATGCTCACTGTTTTCTGCTTCAGTAATGGATTGTCTTGCCTTGGAACATGAGACTTTAAGACTGATTACTGATGCAAATATCATTGTAAATATATCTGGCTTTTTCAGAAAATGAACCATACCTTTTCAAGATCATTTAGTTCAAGATGACAGAAACAGATATTCCGCTATGAAAAATAACGAGCCCCTGTTGTTAATTTACGAAAACTAATTCAAACTGATCGTATTTATGCACTGACTCTCATGGATAATAAAATGTGAAATTTCATCAAAGCATTCATACGTATAATTTGCCAGCGTTTGTACTCTGTCTCTCTCCGGGGGAAAGCAAAGTCTGAGAGTAATTGTACCATTCCAATGCCTCGCTGTGTCTGTTGTCCTGAATGAAAAGAATGCAGTATAGCTCATAATCCAGGTAAAACCAAGGTTAAGGACTGAAGTTCTGGAAGGCTTACCTCACATTTTGAGGCTGCTCTGTCCCAAATAATATTCTGAAATCTCTCCTTCATTTTTGGGTCTAGTGGACGACCAGTATTGTGTCCTAGGACAACCAAAGCATGAATATGTTATACTGATTCTTGAACAACGAAAACCTATATTATTTTTTATGATAGTTTGGTTATAAGGTAAACGATACCTTCAATGCATTGTTCCACAAGGTTTCTCGCTTCGGTTTCTTGATTGTGTTGAATTAAGAGTTCCTTAATTAAGACAAGTATTTACTCATTTAGTAGAGACTTTTTCTTACTTTTAGTGAAGAAAATCTTTGAAACTGAACAAGGAATATATAGTCAGACAAAGGTGCAAGAGGTCAAGAAATGCGATTGATGTTTAAAAATGTTTTATTTATGGATTTCCGCTAACCAGATGCTGTAGTTGGATCTTTGACAAGTCTGGAGTGTTTTGAAACGTATTGGCCAAAAATTTTAAGCCTTCAAATGCCAGTTGAGCTCTGCGAATGCAAAATGATAGCATTTCAAGTGGATTGTGTTAGAGAAGATTAGATCTGCTATTATGGAAAAACCTACCTCTTGTATTTTATAGCAAGTTCTACAATAGCGAGACCCATATCAACTGTTAGCTCTTGATGACGAAACGATTCTAGGAAAGCTTTTGTTGAAACAAAGAAGAATTTCTGAGAAGCTTTCCAACAAAAACAGCAGATCCCCTAAGTATTTGCTTCGTGTTAATTTCTAACCTGAGTGTAGCTCATTTGCTGGAGTTTCGCCAATGAGTAAGATTTTTGCTTTGAGATAGAGACCGGCAGGGTGAAGGTGCTCCTAGTAAGCGTAATTTAGGTTGCATTTTAGACCATTATTAAAGCATTTAAATCTCATTCGATTCTTGAAGAAATATACTTACGGTGTTCGCCAATCCTGTAGGGAAAGAAATGGAATCAGATATTGTGGAAAACTGATATCAGGCGACTGAGGTAGCGATGTGCCTATATCCATCTTTCACTTACCAACAGCATTCAATGCTGTGTTCCAGTGTTTTGAAGAATCCCATTCCAAATATGCATTTGCAAGTAGGCGCAACGTTGTTGCTTGTTTCTCTGAGCTAAGCGGAAACTCTCCTTTTCCAAGCTCATAACTTTCTCTAAGATGATAAACAACGGTGAATTATAATTTGGACAGGTCTCCGGAAACGTTTTACATCTTATTTATAATTTACCTCAACCATTCAACACATTCTTCATAATTCTGACTTTGAAATGTGTCAACTCCAAAGTTGTAGCAAAGCATAGCAAGAGAGTTACTCTATATGAAAAAAGGTGAATATTTTAGTCACAAATATTCACGATTAAGCAATATATTAATTCTAATGTCTCTACAAATATTTCCTCATGTTTTCTTGCATTTATGTATGATCTGGAGTCGCGTATTTAGATTTTATACCTCTCTTGGAATTCGTCCTAAGAATGTCTTGGCTTTACCAACGAATTGTTTCGCTTTCTCAGACTTGGATAGTGCCATTGCCTAAATTTGTACATAGAGAATATTAAAGACCAAATAGCAATCCAAACCGCTTGTAAATGAAATGAAAGAGGTTCTGGTATCGTAAATATGGAAAATGGTCATGCTTTCTCACCGCTTCTGCTTGGTAACAATGAGTCCTAAGAATGTGCTTTTCACATTCATCTACAATCGATCGTTTCTTTTGATAATTTTGGCTCTCGTTCAACATCTTACTCAAGTTCTGCCAACACTACAGAGCAATATGTTCATTGTGAATGAACTATGAATATTTAAAAACAGCGTATAGAAAGTTTGGTATAGCAACTCACTTCTTCTGCCATTTCAAGTGAAGTTTCAGCCATTGTAGGATTTTCACAATCTGTAAAAGAACAACTATCTTTAAAACCCACAGAATTTCTATCGGTATTAGAATTTCTGTACATCTACCGCATTTTATAAGAAAATACTTACCAAGCCATGCTCTGCCTGTCTTTGCAGCCATCTGAGAGATAAATGAATAGAGCGTAATTTGTCAAAAACATTGTATTGAGGTCATTGTATTGAAATCTGGTTTGAACTTACAACCATTTGTTTCTTATGACTTGTCTCCGTGCATTCCACCGTGTTGGCAATACACGCTAAATGACATGAGGCGTGTCTCACTGTACAAAAAATACATCCAAAATCATCAGAATCTTCCATCTTGGTAAGCAAATAAGTGTTGTTTTGACAAAAGGATTTCTAAACCTCTTACATTTTGCATTCCAAGTCAAATTGGCAGATCCTTCTGTTTTTATACCGACTGCCAGATTCCACAATGTGACAGCAGACGTGTGGATTTGTATCAAGGCAGAGCAGTGTTCATTTTTATTAAATGAAATTCTCTGAAGTTCTTCAACAACTGACCAAATACTGTCCAAATCTTCATCTGACTCAACCTTGCTCTGGCTCAAATTTTTCGTCAAAACTTAACAAATACATGAACCATAGTTTACGTAAAACATCTTCTACAATATTTACTTTTCTGCCATTTCTTAAATACAACAAGTACTTCAATAAACCAACCTTTTAGCCTTGATATTATTGTATTTAGATGAGGCACTTGGCTTTTGGTAACACATGAACTTATGTTTTGCATATTTGTTCAAGACGTTACCCGTGTGAAGTTGACCAGTCTGATCCACCCTGGAACAAATGAAATACTTGTGAACTCTTAAGATTAAAAAATAACTAACTACAATACATTTTTACTTACTTTTTATGTCACTTTTTGCAAACTTTTCTGTCAATCATTTGTTGTTGTAGTTTTGGCGGGAAAATACCTGCCTAATTATGTTAATTCATGCAGATGTAGGTGAAAAGATCATTTGTTTTTCATGATTTGAAATAGTCGAAATTTTTGGGGGTTTTTTTAACTGCATATCGTGCAAAACTGTTACAGAGGTGTAGGATAATCTTCTTAGAAGCTTCGCGTACGACTTTACGAGGTAATTCTAAAGAAACGATTGGTTTTAGCGTCTTTATTAGTTCTTCTTGATTCGAAACGAACGGCCATGTTTTTCTACCATTTGTTTTTGGTAATGCAGATGGATATATTGGATGCAGTAGCTCATTTATACGAACGAGATCAGCTTAATGATGACAGAGAACTTCAAATGCATCAAACGTTGCCAATGGGGTAAGTTGTTCTTCCAAAAACATTGAATTTTTGTAGTAAATAATTTCATCAAGTACCATACGAATATTCAGTCCCGTTGGCACTGAATAAATTATTAAAGATTTTAATTATAATGTTTATAATGTTGTTAATTATAATGTTTAATAATACGAGTTGTAATGATAAGTTGAAATTAGTTTCGTTTGTGTTTGGCATTTGTATACTGTTAGATAAATTAATTATGTTTGCTCTTGGTTAGGTACAGGGACAAAAATGATTTTTCTAAAGAAGAAGAATGTCTTCGTACTGGAGCTCACCAAAGCAGTTTTGACAGATATAGCTGTGAAAGAGATACCAGTCAAGCAACCAGCCAGCCTTGTGATGACTTTAATGATACCTCAGCAGATGTTACAGCTCTTGTTGAGACATTTGAGTAAGTGTGGCATAGGTCGAGGTATTTGCCTAGCCACACTCCATATGTATGTCTCGTGTGGTTCTGTAATCTCTGGTATTGAGAAAGAGATTATTCTACTCTGTAGATGGAGTTTTTCGCCAGAGAATCAATTCAGAAATTGAAAACTTTCGCGTCAATATAAATGACATCGTTGATGACCAGCAAATGAATTTTAGATCAATGTTTAACTTGCAACCAGACATCGGGCCTGCGCAAGAGGTATTTCAACAATTCTGAATGAAACCATAATTTTTGCTGTCTGTCTAGTTCATTGCCAATACTTCGACTGTATGTTTTTAGGTTCCTATGCATTTGTACTCGCCTAACACTGAAAACATCGCATCAGGTACCTAAATAATATTTTTCAGTCACTAAGATTGATTGATTGTAGTATAATAGTTACTATAATGAACACACTTGAGTATTTTTTCTATGTTAGATTATCAAGTAGTTGTGGATAATGGCAAACAAAACGAACAAATGTCTGTGTAAGCTATATAAAGTTATTTTTCGACTTTTGTGTATTTACGAGTCGTATAAGCTGAAGACACCTTTGCTTTTAAAAATTATAGAACTGAATCCCCGGCGTCCACATTCAATAGTTTTGCCGCTTCAGAGAGTGACCAAGGGTAAGTACTAACTTTTCATTACTTTCGTTTTGTCTTCGTAAACCTCAGTATTTACGAAGATTGATTTTGTTATTGAAAGCATATATCGGGTACCAGTAATTATAATAATTTGTGTTCAGCGTTAAGCTTTTAATGCAAAATATACACAAGGAAATGAAGTCGAAATTGATGATTGGGAAAGGCGAAATGTTGTCATATATTTGCTTAGGCGGCTAGAGTATTAACGCCCCCAACGAGGTCCCCTGGATCTTTGATAAGTGTGAGCTCTTTAATAATAGGAAACATATATTCGATAAGCAAGTTATAATGAATCGATGCGGTGAAAATCATTGTCATAGACAAAATGACAAATACTTCAGTTCCCACGCATTGCCTTAGGACCACCCAAATAAGGAGCATGGTTTTCATCATTCATCAATTGATGGTCATATTTCACATTTCAACATTTAATACAACCAAGCTTATAAAATTTAGCTAAATATAGTATATATAAATGTCATAAATGAGTGATTTAGTTTTAATAGTTTAATCATAAGGATAGATCACATAATCTAACAGGTTACTAATACTGTAAATATTTTAAGTTATTCTCTGTTATCAAATCATAAAAACAAATACTTTAAATTAGACAAATTTATCAGGGTCTTTCGCTGTTTGATTTATCAGGATTTTTGACTGCTTGATTGAGTACTTTTATATGAATTTGCAAAACACATCCTAATATAAATTGTGTCAGATCTCTTTTCTTGATCTTTTTTAATCCTAGACACATTTTCCCGACGTTTTAAGAAAGATTCTCCTTTAACACACCCTTTCCTGTGAATGTGCAATGTACGTGCGTATATCTCGCGCCAATCCCAAGTTTGCGGGTAGTCTATGTGACTAGGGAAGGGAGACTATTAAAGGACATCTGACGTCTTTCACTCTTTCTTTATATTATAACTTCATCTGATTTTCGTCATTGTGTGGGCACACAAGAAATTGGAAAAGGAAGAGAAAAAAAAAATACAATGAGATGTAATAGATTAGGTAAAACTTGCGGCGTCTCTCCTTATCATCAGAATGTGTTTGTCAGCTGATGTAGCAGCGAGCAAAGGGCCTGCAAATCACCACACTTCACGCGCTTGTTTCTTTAGTAAGCAATTTAAGACGTTCTTAACAATGTTTGACATTGGGCCATTGGCAAACACGGGTTAGTGAATTGACAAGAAACATTTCCCAGGGATTTAGCGATGAGACCTCCTATTGTCGCCAACAACTCTGCCAGAAAATTGAGAGAATTAGTTAAAGAGAGATTAGCATAAATTAGTTCATAACCGTCCACGTAATCGTTCATCGTTGAACGGATAAATTGATGCATCAACGCGCTTATATATTTTCCCATTCTTCAACGTTTTTGTAATTCTTCCAAAAGGGAAAGGTCAGGGAAGAAGGAAGTAAACACCGACCGGCCTACACTACTGTGACGATATCTGGTTATCCTGCCAATATTTTTTTTAATTACTTGTTAAAACAACACCTTTTGGACGTACAAAACACGCAATCCTTAGTACCTTATACGTTTAAAAGAGAACTTTTATCCTGTTTATATAAGAAAGAACTTTAGTAGAGCTATACACCCGCGCTTGCTTGCTATTAGACCATAAGAATAGAAATGTAATTGCTTGACCTAATCTGGGTTTCCTTTGTCCCATAAGACATTTGCATATCACGCTTATGATCGCACTTCAACTGGCTCCCTTTTCATGATATGAGCCGGGGATGTACGTAACATTTTTGAACAAAATTTAACGCGATATGATTATAAGTTCATTGGGGATTTATCATTGTCACTATGGCTAGCCAGAAACATGTTTTGACTCCCACGGATAACGAAGAATGCTGGCGACTAATCAACAAGACGGCTTCAAGGCGGAAACGCCAAGTGATGCCTTTAGGAACCGTATTTAATTCATAAACACCCACGCAATGAAACGCGCGCTAAGTACCTTGCACGTCCTGCGCAGTAGGTGCAAATATACACACCACGGTCATTCAAAGGGAAAAAAGGAATATTTGCGGCGTAACCATGGAAACGATAAGGTCAATATTTGTTTTAATCAACTTATTCCTGCGTTAACCGCAGCGTCAACTAGTTCCTGTGTCAGCATGTCGATTGTTAAATTGACGCAAGCAAACCATATACAATGAAATATTTAGGGTTAGTCGATAAATTATATCAAGTCATATTTAGATATATTAACATTTAAAGCATGTAAAATAGTTCATTGGTCTATTTGAGTTCTTAGTAAAATATTGTTTAGAAATTCAGAGCCAATAGCATTGCTATTTAGGTATTTAAATTGTGCAGTATTGTATTTTGACTAACACTGGACGAAGACTCTAGCCATAACATTCTAACTCGCTAGTAGAAGCGTAAGGAAATGAGCCAAAAAGAATTTTGATTCATTTATTTTGTTGTCACCTTAAATACACTCCATGCAACTATAGACTAATGTAGCTTATTTAAAATTTTAAGCCTTTAGTCCTAAATCGTTTATTTTGAAATTTATTTTGAGCATTATAACTTATAACGTATATAATAACATTTAATAACTGCTTAAAATAGACACAGAGATACTTCTCGACGTTTCGACGCAAAGTCAGTCTTGACGGATTAGACGGAAGCAGTTAGATCGAAACATCTAGCTGTTTAAAGCCCGTTTTTCACTAGGCGAATTTATTCGCGCGACGCGAAGCGATATCTGAAATCCAGTAATATGACTGATTTGCGAAAAAATTCGCTGCAAAAAAGTAGAATCGCTTCCTACTTTTTATCTGTTCGCGCGAATAAATTTGCCTCGTAGAGACCGGGCTTAAGACAATTGTTATACCACATTTGATGATTTTTGGTTGTATTAAAATGACAGTATGTTGTTTTTTTGAACGAACAAACCTCGTATTCAAATTGAAGGCTTTACAATCCAATGATGCAATCAAATTACTGTCACGTTTTTTGCCGGCATTTTCAAAGTTACCAAATAAGGAAACGGATATTATCGTATGCGCATGCGTGTGCGACTAATGCAGCCTTATTTGGAAGTCACATGTAAGAGCTCTTTGCAATCATGATAGAATGATAGAGCATATTTGCATGCATAGAGCGAGCTGATTGATTAAAGGGTCACGAAAATCTTTCATGGCCACAAAACAAACAAAATTGAAGTTGATTCTACACTAATCCTAGATCTAATATGACCAAATAATTGTACAGAATGTATTCCCTGTTTTATTTAAATACACAATGTGGTTTAAAACCAAATAATCTGGAGTTAGCAATCCAGTCTAGCATCGTGCGATAAGCACCAAAAGAACGCGTTTTTGTGTCAGATTACTCTTCCATTAACAGATAAGAGTCTTAATGAGACAACCACTCTTTATTCACCTATAAAGAATCAGAATTATTGGCAGGCTCGTCGATTTTCTGACTCAAGGATACACAAGAATAATTTTAAAAAAAAATTTCATACATCTTAACATTTTGCTGCATGTAAATTCTGCCTGGCGAGACGAGATAAGAGTATATTAAAAAAACGACTTATTTTAAAGTAATGCACACAAATCTCATCCATTTTTAAAGCCAAATTATTAAAGCTTTACATCAATAGTTTTTTGTCAAAAGCTAAATAATTAAATAAGCTCCGTAAGCTTTTTTTTTCAAATACAAGTTCATATGTGATGTTATGACGTATGATGTTTTACAGGTTATTATGAAAAACCTCAGTCAAGCGTTATGTGAATGTTTTGAACTGTTATATTTTTTTAAATATGTCAGAATATTCAATACCATTTTGCTTCGTAATACTTCTATATGAGCTTTAGTATAGGCAGTTACTGTATCATATGACACAAGGTTACTGTGCTTCAATTTCCTGCGGTTTCAAACCCTTTTACAAAAACCCGACTAACCCGACGAAAACCTCTGTGGAGGAGAGAGGTGTTATGTTATAACCCCTGGTTCCCTAATATTACCTTTAATATACGAGGTTACTATGTGATAATATAGCCCCTAGTTTTATCTTATTATTATACGATCGAAGTTACTATATAATGTTATAACCCCTGGTTCTTAATTGCGTCATGACGGAACACGCAAAGATGTTGTTACACACCACAATTTATGCATGATTGTTAGACGTGACTAGCGGCATGTTCAATGTTTCCTTTTCCAAAATTTTGTAAATATTGTCATTGACGCCTCTTGACTTTTCTATACTAACGAAAAAGCACACAAGTTCTCTGACGTAAGAATATATTAAAGTTTGCGTAAAATCCTGTTTACTTTTTAGAAAAAAAAATGTAGATTTGAGGAGAAATAGTTTTACGTGCTACTCTTAATTATGTGCATACTAATAATCATAATTATTTTCGATTCGTGACCATTCTGTACAATACGGCAATATTTCCATGCGTCACAATCTGTACCTGCGGTTTATCCAAGTATTCAAAATATACTAAGAATGATATATATTTAAAAAACCCGGGTCGTGCGTGCCAAATCTCTGTCCACTTTTACTACCATTTGGAAGGAAAATATAATACTACATTCTAGTTGGTTAGTCTTCGATTTTAGCAGAGTAATACGGGGGAACAATAACGCAAACCCGCATGTTCTAGTGATGAATCATTCAATCTCCACGGTGCTTTATCATGAAAGTCGGAAGCACGCCAACTTTGAGCCAATGACACCCTGATATTGTGCGAGATTTGTTTCTTAATTCTTGCCTCTGCATGTGTCAGGAAATACGCATGCGGAATATTGAATATCGTAAAGCTGGCACGCAGGGATCTCCGTTTGTGCATGTGCGGCCCCTTGATTTATTTTTTAAGATGTTTTGGAAGGAGTTGAGCTGGCGAGCCAGCCAGGACAAAGAGAATACTGCTGCAGCATAATGACTTTCAAGCTGAAAGAACAGCCATGTTCGGCTCAAACTTGCTGAAAAGTTCAAATAAGAACATGCCATTTCAACAGCAAAGGAAGGCTTTTCCTGACTTTATAAGCATTACTGATACTCAGATTGCTCAACCTAAATAAAAAAGTCCTCATGCAGCTTAGAATCATTGTTGAAATCATATTACTGAAGTAGCTATATTCCTACAAAGGGTATCCATAAAGTTGCAAAACAAGGTCTAATTTGGCCTATAAATGGGAAATACCTCCAATTAAGTGCTTATAGGGTGGATTCATTCATGCTTGTACCAGCCCAGGAACTAACACATCGACATTAAATGAATAACAGCCTGGGTAAATCAACACTTTTGAAATGAAATGTCAATATTTCTTGGCACAGCGTGTTTCAGAGGGGGATGTGATTCGACATGCATCCAGTGTGCTGAAACTGTGCAAGGGATTAAGCAGCAGTATTTGTTCAGGTCGAAAAAAACCTGGAAGTAAATAATTACAATAAAAACATTTTTCTTTCAACCAACTGAATGTCAGCTATGGGTGAAAACAGATCTAGCTACTGAATAAAAATATATACCACTGTTATATTTTATTACAACCATGCAGTATGACACAAGCATATAGTCGTTTGATTGCTTAGCATATAAAACTCTTTGAAAGAATCTATATATGCATGGCTGCTGGAGCATATAATCAATATATTTGGGGGTAGATTTGAGCTAACACAGGAATACGCTGTCCGGATTTTAAACGACAACCTCTTCCTGAATCATTTTCTCAGAATCTCGCTCAAGACGTGTCCCATTCATTGACTGGTTAGACCAGACGTATGACCAGACCTGGTAATGTTTTTCTGTCAAAATATCATATTTTCATTTGAACTTCTGCAGGTCATGTCGGTCAAGGTCTATCGGCACTGGGCTATATTTGGATACCCTAAACCAGACACACCATTCAAACGCTACACCGTTGGAAATACAGAACGTGTTACACACTATATTTAAACTTTTTCCTTTATTTTAGGTATTCCAGTTTTCCTCCAAATCATGTTAAAAGTCAGCGAGATATAGAAAACACCTTGGTTGATAAATATCTGCTGAGGTTGATGACGGCAATACTCTTGATTGGCAATACATTACGCCGAGAGGAATATAGAGTTTTTTGACTAGTAATATGATCATATTTTATTGATGTTTTGGTGCCCTCAGCAACGAAAGAGGAAATCCAAAACGTTCATCTTCATGCTGTGGAAGAATCTCACAATCTGTTACCATGCGGTAATCTTGCGGAATTACCAAGAATCCATCTTTAATGAACGATGCCAACACTGAGAATCCGTAGTTACAAAGAAAAAGATGCTATGCAACAAAGGATGCAGATTTAATGTGTAATACATCACAGATAATTATTTCCGATTTTTTTTTTTCGGGACCTCGAACGATTTCTTTATATACTCCCAAGCCGCCGTTTTATATAATGCATATCTATGATTTGCATGGGGTACGCTTCATTTCATCGCTATTATTTTTTACACGGGGCATTATTTTCCAGGTTTCGTGTTTCCTAATCTAGTGTAAAACCCCCTGATGTTTAAGGCAATAATATCATTGCGGAATTACATGCCAAGGATATTTGACGAGTTTTAACTTAGGTTCGCAGCAATTTTCGTACGACATCTTCTTAAAGATGGTGCATTCCCGACATTATACTTATATAGTCATCCTCTTAGTATTTTACTCTAGACATCTTCGTTTTTTTCACCGTCTCATCGAATGTCGCTTTTTTCTGCAGTATTCTGAGTATTTTACAATATCAAGTGGTCATATATCAAATATAGTAGAGGACCTCCTACTAAGAGTCTAGAAGTTGTCATAAGCGACTTGAAGTTAGTATCTTCAACTAGAAATCACACACCAAACCTAGTTTAACATTTTGTGATGGTAGTCGATCAGTCTTCATCCTAACTCTATATTTATATTTGATCTTGTTTTATTCCATGATGATTGATGGTGTTAAAAAAAGGTTCGGCATTTCAGACATCGCTTTTCCGACGGCCGCTGGTAGTTTACTATTATTTATTTAAGTTTTCATTCGCCCTTGGGAAAAGTCTTCACCGCGGCGCTGTTATCTGAAGCAGGGAAAGAATTTTGCTAGAAAAAATCTAAAGGCAGTGTGTCTGCCATGATGAAGTACTTAACACCTAATATAAAGACACACGAGATCTGGACATAAGATTTTCCTGTTAGAACTTCTCATACCGCATCATCTCTTCCAGGTTGTTGTAAAAATGAGTTCGCTTTAAACACGAATATTTGCTCGCGAGCCTAACGGCGCCATTACGGGTAACGTTGGTAAAATATTCCGTGTCGTGATGCCATTTTAATATTCTTAATCAATTTCGATGGACGCATATCTTAATGAGACGATATATGAGACGCCGTGAGATGAACACCGTTTGATTTGGTGACAATTATCAGCACTCGTTAATCAATCGCTGAAAAAATTAGATCTAAAATTGAGCATTGGCTGAGATTATAAGTTTATATATAGTAAGAATTACTTGCTTGGCGGCTGCCACACTAGACTATCCACAAAGGCATCGAGTGCCTTCGAATATTTAGCTCTGCACTCAAAAACGAAGAGGCTCTTGAAACACTAAATCTTTCTTTGTGATCAAATGCGCGCCACGACAGTTGGAGTATCAATGCATACTGCACTTTCATTGCTGTTTCAATCATTCACATGCATGTCCATTTGCAGAAAAACTTATTTCATGTCGATCTATTGTTTAACATCACAGTGGTATATAATACTTTCGACTATTTTAAGAGAGAATAGTTCAAAAGGTGTCTCCCTCAAATTTAACCCTGTTTCATTACCAAAACCCGCCGACATCTAGCGGATATTGAGTAATATAAGAATGGGTATCTATCGTATTTTACTAAGTGCCGAAATGCGATTTTTCATCTTCTTTTTGGCCCTATAAAACGAAGTTTACCTTTTTCGGTAAAATTCCAGCCCATTGTAGTTTATATATCCTATTTTATCTATTCATCAATGCTATCTCGAAATGTGTCTTATTTTATTAACGTCATACTGGTTTCTATGGTAACAGTATAGCACCATGGGGCATTGGAACACAAGGAATAAATTGATTTCGCAGCACGAAACAGGCAATGTAATTGGGAGATCTTGCCGTAGATTATTTTCACAACAGGTTCACGTTTTTTCTTTCAAATGACGACTCTAAATAGCTTGCAGGACAATGTACGAAATCAAAGCGCTGCTTTTTATGCTAATTTTTTGCAATTAAAAGCACGACTCCAATGATTTTAGACATTAAAGCATTAATCGACATCAAGACGGGTTCTTCTTTCGTCCTATGCATTTAAAGAGCGAATTTTTTAAATAGTATGAAATGCTGATGAGTTATCCGGTTTCATTTCAAATGTTTTTACTCAAGCTTTGAAAACAAAACATCCATTCAATCGATTTAACAATGAACACGATTTGGTTTGTACTAACGTAAATCACTTTTTGCGAACAATTCGCGCGCTCTCATGCCGGCTCGCGCGAAAACTTGCAGCTGTTCGGCTTATTTACATTTGATATCCGAAAATCAGCAGGTTTCATTATGAAACGTAAGAAGAAATTCCAGGTCGATTTTAGATAATTATAATGAAATCTTAAAACACAATCGGAAAGGGTCCGGCTGGCGATAACTTGGTAATTTTTTTGAAATAATTTATGTGTGTGTGCGAACATCTGCAAAACTTTCATGTCGCGATATTATTGAATTCCTAATTAATTCCACTCCAGAGAGTATCCAAAGAGAGTATTAGCACTACTACACTTGTCGTTTCCAGTCGAAGATGCGAGAGTATAAATATAATAGTGACACGAGATTATATATAAGTTACATTTCGGATACATATTCCTCCGATTGTCCTAATCCACGCTATTACAACTACAGTTTCTCTATATGCAAATAAAACATTACAATATTATTTAATATACTGTACCAGTTGTTTGGTTCAACCAGAGACAGACTGGCAGCTTATCACGCAGTGAAAGCAACTAACTTAATAAAAAATTAATACTGTATTAACACTACTACATCCCATTGCTTTCCAGTTAGAAATCAATTCAACTGGCAGACCATTTGAGATTGCTTAAAATGTACATTTAGTCGAATAGATATATAATTTAATGTTCCTGATTTAACTTTGATTTAAGTCCATTTCTCAATTTTTGAGTTGGTAATGGACTGAGTTAATCACTCAACTGTGCCTTTTGCAAAAGCTTGAAGTGGGGTAGTAGATTTATATTTTGAAAACCCGGTCTAGTTTTGGTTCTTGGACTTGAACGCAGAAAGGGTCGGCCATGTTTGATTTGTAAGAATGGCGATGTTCGCTTCGCACCAATTCAATGCACCATGTTTCTAGACAATGAAATTTCTGGAAGTGCAATTGCAGAAACATAATTGTCTAGGTTGAAGTCTAAATGTCCATCATTAAAAGCAGATTCAGTTCGAAGGACGGTTTCGACATCACAAGTTATGTCTCGGTCAAGTCGTTCAAGAAAGTCAATATCAAAGTCGCCTGGTAGCGCGGCTGAATCCGCCATTTCGACACTAATCATCGGCACACCATCATTCTGTGAGTTATGGTAGTATGGTATATAGTTATTACCTTGCATTACTACCCGATTATGGCTGGGCTGGGGTCTTTGCACGGAGTTATTGAGATGCACGTTGTACGGCGGTGGAGGTGCTCGCTGGTCGGGGTGCATAACCTGCGAAAGATTTCGTTCCGGCATTTGAAAATTACTCGGCGAACTTATGTTTCCACGGTGGTAAATACCATTGATGTGCTGCTGTAAGGTATTAGGAGGTGCCTCTTTGTACAGGCCTTTCTGAGTGGGTATCTTTGCTGCCGCAAATGGGGCTTGCTTCAAGTTTGTAGCAGGGAAGTAATCCGTGTTTGGGTACCGGTTTTCAACAAACGTCGCTGCCGGTGGTGAGTCTATATTCATCGTGTCTTCGTTGCATCTCGCACGAAATGCTGCAATATCTGCCTGAGGTGGTGCTTGTGGATGAGGCCTCGTCATTATCAGGTTTTCTTTCATATTATCCATCAGTTCTTCGACGACAACAGGAGTTTGCTCGGGTCGGTCTTGCGTCGGGGAGAGCGACATATTCTCGTCTAAATCTAGCTCTTCGTCGTGTGAAGGAATAGGGGAAAGCCTGCCGCTGATACTGCTCACATTAGATGCATTTGACGATGAGCGATGCCTGTAATCAGCCAGAGGGAACGGGAATGGGTTATCTTCCAAAATAACCGAGGGTTCCGTGTTTATAGGCGACTTTGGTGTAACACGAAGCTTGGAGTTAGGACTCAGTGGTTTGTCATCGTTGTGCTCGCTTCGTTTGCCTTTTCGCCCGGGTCGTTTTGTTTTCGTCGCTTTGGGGCCGTTGTCCGAGTCCAGAGAGCTTGAACGGCTTCTACGTTTCGTCTTTTCGGTCTTAGCATCAGCATCGACCATCCACCAAGACGATTTGCCATTTCCTTCGTTTTGAATTCGTATGAAACGATTGTGTAGCGACAGATTATGGCGAATACTGTTCTGTAATTATAAAGATATATTGGCGCATTATTAAAACGCAAATAGTTGAAACATACGCTCACTATAAGTGTTATATTTTTTATAATAACACGATTTGCATGCAGCAATAAACGCTGTAATGGTAATAAAAATGTAATGTGAAACACAGCTTTACATACCTTCCAACCGGCACTGCTTGTGTTGTCTCCTTTATCTTTGAAGTATACAACATTCTCAACCATCCAAGCATATATTTGAGACAGAGTCATTCGCTGTTCAGGTGTGCTTTGAATAGCCTGGGTAATCAAATCAGCATACGACTGATTTCCCCAAGCATTTTTGCGCGAACCTTTCTTCGAGCCCGGCTCGAGCTTTGCTGTCGATATTTTCTCTTCGACTTCGGGTGATTTCTGTGTTTCGAAGTCTTCGGGTTGCGGGAGGGGCCATGTTCTAGAACGCGGCCTGTTTCCTTCGATCTCTCTCAATATTTCCTCTTCCATTCCAGATTCGAAGCTATCACAGGGGGATAATAACATAGTTGTTACTAAGTTGTATTGTGTATCTGTAGCGCTAACCAACACGAAACTCTACCTGAATCAATTACACACTGAATTTATGTTTCGTTTCAGCAACACGCCGCAACGACTTGTATAGGAAATGCAATTCAACCGTGACGTACTTCTCTCTGAAGCTGGCATTTGATTGGTTCCCGTCGCAATTGGCCGCCCTATTAGAGCGCATACGCCTACGTCAGAATATAAAAACTTGCACGTCTGACCAATCACAGCATCGCTATAAATTACAGTGGTTAACGTGAGGTGTGTACTAAATGCAATTAAATCTCCGTAATTGAAAACGAAGATTGTCCAATAGAGCTTTCGAGTGAGAACTGAGGTATATAACCTTTAATTTTTCACTGTTCGTTCGGCATATTGTTAGGAGATGCTCTCTAAATTTACCTAATTTTTTGGTTACCTATACCAACCACAAGTTTATAATTGTAATCAGGTAACATGTAACATCAGGTGAATGCTGGAAGATATTTGAAAACCGCTAAAAATTAGTGATACCGCATCGATTTTATTACCTCGATGTTAAAAAAACATTAAATGTGTTTTAACTAGCAAGCCTCGACGGGTGATTTTTTCAAATTACCGATTTGATAAACCGGTCTATGCAGGCATTCTTTAAACCATACATATTTTACTATAGCACTATTACTGATCATGCGCCCTTTGGGAAAATCAATTTATATTGGGGATCGTTTGAGTTGTTTCAGACTGTCACTTCTCTTGAATTGAAAGACAAAAGTGCATTTTTTTTGTATATTTTGACCTGAATTATTTGGATCTATCATAAAAAAGCTAAGCCAAGCTAATGTTTTGTCTGTTTCGATTGTCTCTCAATGTTCATAGATTGAAAATTTAAATACTTGGATACGAAACAATCGTTAGACTACATTACAGAAACAATATTGCCACACCAAAATACTGAAAATAGTTGAACAAAATTTAGGCGAAGTGAAATAAGTTTCGTCTTAAATCGTAAACTTTTAGTTCATCAATTAAACTTGCAGAATAAGCTTGTAGTTTCCGAAGACAAAGATCATGTATCTCAATAATTACACGTATCGCGTGCTTGCTTACGCTAATTGTACTTACTGTCATTGAGGAAAGGAATCAGACTGCTCAGTAACGATAGTAACGCAATAAACACTGAGGAAACTCGGCGTCAGAAAGGCATCAAATATCAGCCAGATCGTATATCATTCTTCTTTTATCTCCACACGAAAGAGTTTAAATATTATTGCGTTTATCGCGTGATATGTAGGGATTACAGTAGTTTCCAGAACTTCATTTTTTTACACAGATTTAAGAGTCAAAGTGTAGTCATAGGTGGTACACTCCTCGCTGCATTAGATCAGGAGATAGGTGTTTTTATGTTCACACAATAACCATATTATTACAAAAGTGGGCATTTAAGCTGGGGTCTTTTCCAAAAGGGATGCACTCTATGGAAACGAGGATACATGCAGTCTTCATGAAAATAACGATTGCGGTAAATAAGCACCCAGGATGTTTAATATTTCCTTTTAAACATTACGAGCATAAGTGAGCATTAGATTACAGATGACTGCCGGCTTTCAACTAAAAAATAAACACAAATACTGCTTCTCAATCATACTTTATTCTTATACATCACAAGCAATAGCAGCTCTAATGATTTTCCCAAACAAAACGAATAAAAATTATAATAGGCAATGATTTAGCAATGACATGATAGAGAAAAAGAAATATTTTATTCAGTAAATGATGATATTTAGTACATTTTAGTTTTGGTACATTACGACGATGCTGGGCTTGAGCTAGCCTGGGGTTTACTTAGCTTTGGCCAAACGCCAACAGGAAATGTTGTGTTCCGGAATAGATGAACATATTCTTCATGACTTCCTCGTGTGGCACTAGCGTATGTGAGATTCATGTGTTGGTAAATTTGATGGTTGGATGAGCAATTACTGCATTAGATTTCGCTAATATATATATACTAAATATTCATATGTCTGTTATTCAGCCCAATATACAGTCTGCTTGAGCTTCCTGTACTTGACTGGAGCAATATTTCGAGACATCATCGTATATGTTTCGAATTATTTTGTGATTTATGTCGATCTTCTAAGATATAAAGAAAGTATAGTGAAGACTCCCAGTGACTATTCGAATGGTCAAAGAATATTCTCGTTCATTCTAGATTCAATCAATCGTAATAATTGCAACAGTTTAAACTCCGCGCATTCTCAAATTTCGTACAACTATCAAAATAACGTCACTACAGGGGTCAAAGTGTCACGAGAAAATCATAAGACGATGAATACACAAAAGACGGTGCGAATGTTTACAAACTTGAGTCAGCATTCATTTACACAAGCAATATACCTCGTCGCTTTGACGTCAATGATCTTGACTTGAATACACGAAATAATCCCAAAGTCATAATACAGGAACAAACTACCGTTAGAAGGGTGGAGCCTTTTTTGGTCAGTTGCATTGTTTTGCAAGGAAGTATCCGTGTGCGCTGCGGCAACACAATATTTGTTACTAAAAATATAAACAATTTCTGTACTTGTCACTGTTTGGTTGGCAAAGCACTGCTATGTTGAGATGCTTCTCCAGTATTACCTCAATATAAACCAATATTAAATTCTTCTTGTCTTTACTTGATCAAAAAAAAACCTGCAGAAGATACTAGAAACACTTCCCGCTTACTATCAATAGAATTTACATTATTTTACGATCTTTAATAAACTACAGGTTGAACTACATGTGACATTCTGGTGGTCAACTAGCGAAATGGAACATGCATGATATCACTTTTCTTGGTAACTGGCTTTATGTGTATAAAATCTAGTCAAATTGAGGGTTTCAAAAGCCTGCATCTTGCACGGCTGCATGGCTTACTAGCAACTATCGTATATACGGGCATAATCGTCGTCGTCAAATCTTTGGTTAAGAGGAAGAATCGTGTATCCATTGATTGGTGTCATTTTGAAAAGAATTTCAGTTTTTTCATAATCAGCCGTTGAGCAAACGCAGCTGGTTCATCTATAATTGTGGTTAACATTTTCAAAAATTGCTAACTTTATCGTCAATCAAGCTCTTTAACACTAAATGACACACTTCAAATCTCTCCATCAAACTCATTTCGCAATCCTGAATAACTCTCAGCTGCTGCTCGATTCCCTGATATGCATCTTCAGGCGTTGCACTCTCATTTGAATAATTCCCTGGCTATGACATATGTTTATGGATTAGTCGGATTTCAGAGCTTCTTTATATTTGCACTTCTAAAAGCTTCGATAAGAACGAGTTGCTTCAAATATTATCATTAAAGTTATGATATGAAACAGCGATGAATCGTAAAACATACCTTTCCTTCTAACGACTCTTTCCTAAAAGGACATTCAGTGAGATATCTTAATCAGTTCGTCATAAAGATTCCATAACGGTTTCTCTACACCAGGGAGAGTTTGATTTGAAATGTTTTACCTTAAATCTTCCCATTGATTGGTCTTGCCATCACTCTCTCGATGATAAGAAAAAAACGCAGTCAGTTTTTCACAACTCATAACATCATTCTTGGGCCATTTTAGTTGGTTTCATCCTAACATAGAGGAATTTAGTTTACTGTTACTGCCAATTAAATGGCCTGTGAATGTATTGGGATGCTACTGAATAACTGAAATCACCCTCCTACACTAGGTTCTTTACCTTCGAGCCGTGCACCGCCATCGCATTTCATCATGAACAATTTCTGCTATAGAAGAAAATTTAAATTTTAGAGTTAAAAAAATGAATCCAACACTCGACAGCCGCAAAAAAGTTGGTTTAGATTATAGTCAAAATGCTTGTGAAATTTCGAACTGTCTGAATTTGGAGAATATAACCCCACGAGCGGTCTACTGATTGTGTTTATATTTGTATTACGCGCAGAAAAATAGCTACTTTCGGCAAAAATAATCGTTATCCGTTTCACCGCGGGCATAAGATAAATATAGACTGAAAGTTTACGAACTTTGCAGCGGGATATTTTGAAAACATTTTTGCAAATGGTCTTTTTGGATTTTGTTCACCTGCGATATGCATGTGAAGATAGAAGATCTCGCTTTTTGGAGAAGAATCCCTGTATCTGAACATCGAATTTTCAGTGTACATATTCATTTTTAATCTTGTCGTTTAATTTGATGATTATTCATAAAATAAAACTTCCCCTCTTTCCAAGTCATATTTAGATCATATTTGATGATAATGAACGTTTTTTTAATTACAGATTCATTTAAACTCGTAACCGGAAATTAAGGAAACAGCAAATGTAAATAGGAACTTGGAACAGACCTTTTGGCTCAAAATATAAAACGTAGAATAAGTAATACTGTAATACAACAATTTTTATAGGCCGAAATTGATAATGCAATGTCTGCTTTGCTCGAAATCAACAAACTTTCTCTTTTAAGTTATTATTGCGTTGGGTTTTTTCCTCAATGTATATATATAATTATATATATATTTCATGGTATTTGTATGTCCAGTTTATTTTGAGTTCAGCAAGATTTTTCGCGCGCTGTGGCGGGAAAATTTGCACATGCGTGGTTTCAAAACGCTCGAATTCGAAAATTCAAAACAAACATGGCCGACTATTACTAATTCATGAAATTTATCATATAAACTCAATTATTTTTGTATTTTGAGGGATAATATGCCTTCTCTCGATGTAGCCAGGCTTGTGTTTGGTAAGTAATTATGTAAATGTAATTCAGGGTGATTTTAGTCATTAAATATGAACATAATTAGCAGTTGTTGGATTTGTAGAAGTACCAAACACTAGTACGTATATCTACTACTCTACTGCAGCGAAACAGGGCTAATGAGAACCTGGGTTAACGGGCAGAAAGCTCTGCAGTAATAAATCTATGTGGTGTGTAATAAGTATGTCTGTTTGCTATGCAAAATTATAAGTTATCACAAACGTGTTGTGCAAAGGTTTTATACTTTTATATTGAATTACAATTCATGAAAATTTAATATAGTTTCACAAAAGTTGTGAAAACTGCCCACCTAATATATCAGCTGTGAAACACTAACATTCTAATGTCTCTTGTCAGCTGATATAAAGAACAATAAAAATATGAAACTATTTCCTGGAATTTTTGGAATTCCTGGAATGAATGCAAAGTGTAGCACTAACTTGTCTAATTTTACTTGCTTGACTATAGGTTATCTCTCTGACCAAGGGTTAGAAGAAACTAAAACTGCATTCTCCAGAGAATATCCAGATTTGACAGTAAATGATTGGGACTGGGGACAAGAGTTGAATTTGTCCTTGATTATCAAAGAATATTCTCTGTTAAAAGAAAGAGGTGTGTGTTGATCACTTTCTTCAATGCTAGACAATGCTAGAATTGCTATTCAATTTCATAGAATATCACTTGTATATAAAGAGTTTCTTAGATAATGTATTTTTCTAGCCTAGGAGATAAAATCTACATTCCTTCTGTCTAATTACAATGATAAAAAATGAAGAAAGAGTGTTTACTTCTGTAATACATATCTGTTAGTAATTGAGGAAGGATATCAAAGCATGCTTGTTATTAACAGAAACTCTCAAAGATTTTATTACAACCTTAAGAAGTACTTATTGAACACACAATAGTACGAGACACTTCTAAATCATGATCTATTTAACTGACAGCACTCTTTAATTGACCAGTAAGGCTGGACAGTGTTGCACAAAGCAAAATACTGCACATGGTTCATAACTAGTTTTGTTTTTTGCATGTAGCTTAATCTGCTTTTGCTAAGTTTTTCTTTAGGTTTCTATGGCATTCTATAGGTTTCTATAGGTTCTTACAATTACCATAAAAGTTATTTCACTATTTAAATTAGTCTGCATTTAAATGGTTTCATCAAAAAAACGTTCACAGTTATATCAAAAATAATATTGAGTATGTAGTTTAATGGTTTCTGCAGTAAATATGTTTTATTTTTTGCCCAAAATAAAGAATAAAGTCTCCCAAATACTTCATTGCGTGACTGCAATGGCTATCAAAGGAAGCGTGTCTGTAGTTTATAAGAGATGATACCACACAAGATTATTTGACCTGTGTCTGAGTAAAAAGGTTCTTTCTGATATCCTCTTAAGTATGTTGATTATATATATTGGCCATGAATGTCTTTGTGTTTGTTGCATACTTAATGCATTGTTATTGCTACGAGAATTGCGTTGTCTAGGATATAATGTAAAATTATATAGAACAACACAGAGGAATACATTTTTCCAATAATTATTACATATTTTCAACAATGATATTTCCACCATTCAAGTATATCTTCATAAGTTATATTATTATTTCACAGGGTGGAAGAATTTATAGTTTGGTACCAATTTTAAATATTGCAGATTTGGTTTAAAGGGATTCTCTGTTTTATGTTGTATTTTCAGTTGACTAATGATGCCTAAAATTGGTAGTAATATAAGTTATATAACAATGGTTATTCATATCTACAGACATGCCTGTATTCTACATTGTCTACTACAATTATAACCTTGCCGGTTTATCGAATACCTATCATGATTCAAATTCTAAATGCATGCGAAACTGTTGCATTGATAAACAGCATTTTTGTAGAGGAAAAGGGGAAATGTACAGATCCAGAAAGTATGCTTTTGTTGCTGTGGAGACAATTTGATGTTCTTGTTGGGCAAATAAAGTATGTGACTTCTTAATGTTGTTGTTTTACCTTGCTTGGTTGTCAAGATCTTCCCTTTAAAGCTAATAACGCTTTCTTTCATTTCTCATCTTTTCTTCATCTTCTAACTCAGCCTTTCTCTGCTAATTTGATTCACTTCAAGGCACATCACTATCCATGGTTCAGAAAAATGGAAGAATAAAGCAAAAAAAGGATTCCGAAGTCAAAAAGGTTGGTGTAAAGATTTGAAATTATATGCTCAGTTACTTTCGTCTGTAGCAATGCTTATTCCAAAGTACTATACTTTTCTGTAATTAGAATCTTGTTCATACAAAATTTTGCACGTTTTTTTTTAATTGTCTAGCACGAAACAGAGTCTTTAACAAACAAAACAGAGACACATTCCAGCAGAACAGCAAATCACAAGCTGCTGCACTCCACGAGAGTCCGGTTCCCTTGCAAGCAAACATTCCTACAATAACCGGACACCTCACAACAACTTCACCTCAACAATACGTTGATAATCCATACGTTCTTCTAACGTCTTACCCTCAAGTTTATCATGCACCAACTAACGTGACACCGGTCAATTGTATGCAAAATCAACTTCCCAATGTAAAAGATGCGTTTCTTCCACAGTGGAAAACACCAACAAAGACGGTGGTACAAACTGGTTGTACAGACGTCACTCGAAGTAATGTTATCTCAGAGAGTATTCAAGAAATAAACTCGAGTGAAAATGTTCAGCCTGGTTTTGAACAGATTTTGCCTTGTGATTCTTTTAAGTCACCAAAACGGAAAAGGTAATAATAAGGTTCCCAAAAATCGCCTTGCCTTTTCCCTGCCGTTTATAGTGCTGTACGATTATTTAGGTGATTCACTGGTTATCATGCATAACCTGCTTTAGTACTTAATTTCAATAATTTGCAATAATTTTTTATAGTGTTCCTCCAAAAAAGAGAACTGTTGAAGGTGTTTGTTCATTACCTCCAGCACACGTTTCATTAAAAACAAATACAGTCACATCAACAGAAACCATTGCACAAGATGACAGTCAACGTGATGATATACAGGTCAGTAGTGAATACTTCCATACAGCAGGTAGATGGAAAATTCATATGTAACTCTTTTATACATAATATATTAAGATCTTTGGATCTTTTTTAGAGTTTTGTTGACAAAATTCTCGGGCAACCAGAGTTATCCCAAAAATTAGCAGAAAATATAAACCGCGCAGTGGGGTAGGTGTACATAATCTTCTGAATTTCTCACGTTTAAAGGTGTCTTCCTTGATTCCGATCAATAGCTGTATCAGTATCTGTATAACTGTATTTTTATCTTTTTAAGAATCGATGCTTCAGCTGAACCACAACCCATTTCAAACGCAGAAATCCTGGCAAACGCTCAAACGGTGAGAAGAGTTATGAAGATAAAGAAGATATGACAAGTCCTGCTACTTCCGGCGCTGTGTGAACACAGAACCGTGGAATTTTGATAACTAAACAAATGTTGATGTCGCTAAAATTGTTTGAATGTTTTCTCCGCAGCAAAGTGCAGTCGTTGACAGAAATAAGGTGGACGATATTATGGAAATGATGAAGTTGGATCCTGTGTTTGAGGACTTGTTCTCAAGTTTCGGTAAGACTCAACAAACACTTAATTCTTTATCTTCTGTTTTCAGAAGAACATATTTCATCTCTTTTTCCAGAAAATTTCGAAAGCAGTTGTGAGGAGTCCCACGTTGTAGAAACCAAAGATCAAGGATCAAAAGATACTCAAGATTCAACCTCTTCAAACAATACTAAAGGTAGTAGAGATGTAGACAGGAATTTGAGGTGGCCTTTCCGCCCTTTCGGCTTTCAGCAGCCGTTGTCTCGAATTTATTCCCAGAGATTGCTGTTCCTGTGTTGTTAATAATACAATTAGTTGTACTGTTTTCTTTTTTCAGACAATGAAGCACTCGATGGTCTATTGTTGCTGGCTTGTTCTCCTATGGTTCATTTAGGTCAGTCTCCAGATTCATTGGAGACGCCGCCAAAGGTTAATGCTTCTGCTTCGTTGAGTAGTCCTGTTCTGGCTTCTACAAGATCTGTTCCAGTCGTATTAAGCCCCGGGAATACAAGTCCTTCAAAACGACACTCACAGCCAATTGTGTCGCATATCAGGAGATTAAACTTTAAGACAGTCGACAATGATCACACTGCTGGGATTATTGTATCTGCAAGTATGTCTGAATCGAATAAAAAAGTAAATAAAATGGAAAATGAAGTTACCGAAGAGGTGATTTCTAAAGAAGGCCGGATTGTTGAAGTAAAGAATATGAGTGAGGAAGTTTGTGTTGAGCAGATGGAAACAACAATGGGGGATAACTCAAGAATCGATTTGGAAAAGAAAAAAGAAAACTCAGAGGTATGCAACGTTGAAAATGGACAAGTAAAAAGAAATAGGAATAACCCTGTTGTTTTTCAGTGTGAAAAGGAGAAATCTGAGACTAGCTCTGAGGCAACTGAATGTGTAAACAGTGATAATATGGGTTCTGAAGACGTAGCTTTCTGTAGTGAAAGAGGCGATAAAACAAACACTGAAAACTGTCCTGAAGAAACAAGAAGTTTCAGAGACTCTCCACTTAAGTTACAAGTACTAGAAGAAGCAGCTACAAACGAACTGCTTGAGTGTCAAAGTAAAACTGTTCAACCTGCGGAAAGCACAAAAAAAACACCAGTGAAAAGTTCCCCTCCTGAACCAGTAGGCCAGAAATCGTCGGTGATTGATGTCGATGCAGATAGATCACTTGATGTATTGCCGTGTCGAGCATTCAAGACGGACGTTTCCGAGACGCTCACGTCATTAATCAAAGCTGAGGTTTCCTGCGTTGCCGAGTGTGTGAAAATAAAGACAGCGGAGAATATCAAGAGCTCTGGGAACGATTTGACTTTATCTACCGATTCTGAAAAGGTATCTTTAATTTATTATAAGTTTTAATTTATTGCTTTAGATTTTTCCAATGAGTTTATGTATTTCAAAAGCTTTTCCATTTCTTTTTAACAGAATGGTAAACGAAAACTCAAGAAAAAGAAGGTATTCGTTTTTTATTTTTCGTTGTTCCTATTTGTCTTCATTACTTGTTTTTATTAATTTTTCCCATTTTATTGGCGACACTTTTCTTTACAGAAGTCATCGCGAACGTCAAAGAAAGCAAAAGTAATTCCGGAAGATCTTGATGTAGATAAATTTCTGTCACAATTGCATTATGTTCAAGCTGGGAAAACATGACTTGAATTGTGTGAATTGGAGCTTACAGGCGAAATGAAAGATTTGATAGTAGAGATGCACACGTTAGAATAAGTAAAGTAAAATTGATGTTGTATTTGAGAGAAATTGAAATATATCCAGGACATATGAGCATAAATATAAGGCCAAGTAGACCAAACTCATTCCCAGGGTCTTGAAGACCTTTTTCATAACACGCCGCCTGATGGTGAAAGAAATTTGATTGGTTCCGCTAAACTAACGAGCCAATCATCAACCACATTCAACCTTTTCGCGTTTGACGTCATTATGAGAGAGGTCTTGACTGGTGGCGTGCTGGTGGTGAAGAGTTTTTCTGGTAAATTTGGGGAAATCTGTGCACTGGTATTGAAAGATTTACAGTATCTCCGGATGAAAACCTTCAGACCAATGGTAATGACCAACCATCATGCTTGATCTCGATGTACGCATACGTGAATTTTGCTTAATTGATGGAAATTTTCCGTTGTCCAATTTTACGCCGTTTTAGGTCGGTGAGAGTGAAAAGGCGAATCGGGAGTAGTTACCAAAGATACAAGACGGAAGTCGGGAACCATTCATAAAACTACAGACGAACATTTTGAGGAATCTGTAACTCTTATAGGGTATTTTTGAACCTCCCTCACCATGCTCTCCCGTTACAACTTGATCAAATGTTGCTATTTGGTCGCGTTCATGGTGAGTGAGATTGAAGAAATTCAGAGAAATATATTCAATATTTGTTGCAAATTACTGGCAAACTGTTACAATTATCTGTTGTTAATTCCTTTCAAAGGATTTATTTGCGGTTGGTATGCTTTTGCCCTTATTCAATCGCCGTGGAAGAGAACTTGGTGCGTCTCCTTCGACTCTTGGTATAGTCGGTAAGTAACAATGTAATTTTTCTTTCACTTTTGTTTTCATTCATTGTCTTATTAGTCTATACAATCAGATGCACATTATGATAATGAATGACGTATTGTATGCAAAATCTGAAACCCCTATAAATACTTCATCTAGGTTCCATTTATGGAGGATTGCAAGTTTTCTCCAGTCCTTACATTGTAAGTAGAAATGTGTTTTCTTTTCTTTATTATGGCAAAATCAAGTTAAATTCCTGCTTTCTAGGGAAAAGTCAGTGATGCATGGGGACGCAAACCTGTGTTATTACTTAGCTTTGTGGGTAGTTTTGTTGGTTACTTGATGTTGGGATTGACAGACACCATTTTACTTTTTGCAATTGCAAGAATACCAACAGGTATGTTTCCTGGCAACCACCACTACATTCCCAATCTATTTCAATCTCCAACAATTTTATGAAAGCTTTTCATCAATGCTCTAGGTATCCTGAAACATAGTCAAACATCAGTGAAAGCTTACTTGTCTGACATTACACTCCCAGAAGAAAGAGCTACTGTTTTGGGAAGATTTAATGCTGTTGGTAGTTTGGGTTTCATCATTGCTCCAATAATTGGTGGCACAGTTGCGATGCAAGATAAGGGATTTCTAAAAGTCTCTTTAATGTCTTGTTCTGTTTACCTGTTTGGCTTAGTCTTTGTATGGTTTGTTTTAGAAAACAGAAAAGTAAAAAAAAATGAGAATGCCGAGTTAAGAAATGCTAAAGAGGATACAGAAATCATAGATAAAAGCAGCCAGCCAAGTGATATTGTTGAAAGGCACAAAAAAATGAATTCTGAACCCAAGTTGGCTAAAAACAAGGAAAATGATAGTAGCTCCACCTTCTCAAAATTCTTTAGTTTTCTAAAAATTGACTCAGTTCAATCTATCATTGACATTCTTTGTGTTCGATTCTTCATGGCACTGAGTATGTTAATATACCGTAATAATTTTACCCCAATGTTAGAATTTCGTTATGGCATAAATGCAAAGATTGCGGGGTATATTATCTCGTATGGTAGCATCATTGGAGCACTGTCTGGCATGTCAGTGGGCACAATCGATGGCTATGTGAAAAGTGATGCGAAAATGATGTTCTATGCATCGCTTTTGATGACATCATCGCTGTTTGGAATTACAATATCTCCACATATATATACAGTTTTACTTTGTATGGCTCCTTTATCACTCTCAACAGCTATCATGAGAGTGAACTCACATAACTTGATCTTAAAACGTATCAAACCAGAGGAAAAGGGTGCAGTGATGGGTGTTGGAGACTCTATGACATCAATTGCCAGAATGTTGTCACCTGCAATTGCTGGTTTTGCACTGGAGTTCAGTGTAACTGGACCGTGTTGGCTTTCAATATGCTGTGCTGTTGTGGGTATTGTACTGCGGGGAGTTCTCAGAGAAAATATACCAACCACAGATGCAAAGAAGAAAACTGATTAGTGTACTTGCACACATTGTATTTCATTCCAATTATATTTTTAAAAAAGCAATTAAATATACACTACATTAGGATTTTTTAAATAAATCATTGATATCTATTTATTTATAGAATGCACATTTTTGTTATGCATCGTGTCACAGGGAAACTGGAGAATAAACATTAATTTGTTCATCCCATGAGCAGTCTGCAATCTATAAAACAAATGAATTGATTTAAAAAAGAACTGAAAATTTCAGCCATTAGATGATAGAAATACTGGCCTCTGATGCTTTGTGAAGGTTGAAATCAATCCCAACTACAAACTCTGTGTGGTGTTGAATTGTTTCCTGTGGATGGTTGCTTTTCAAGTAATCCCATGTTCTGTCAAAGGCATTGAAAATGGTTGCTTATTTCTGAATCCTTTATTGGTATTTTAGCTCCTTTGCATTATCACATTCCTCCTCATTTCTCACCTGGTTGTCAGGTCATATGAAACTGAGACCAACTTGCTTTGATTATGTGGAGAACACTACATAAATAAGTTGGAAGAGTGATTTAATTGTAATTCTTGATGACACCATTGAAAAGAAATACAAACCAACCTTTACTCTTCTCACAGCATAAAGATGACAATCCAAAATTTGGATGGATTGCATTGTGTTACGAATGTCCCATATTCTGTTTATTTTTCAAACAAAAATTGATTGAATAATAAATATAGAAACTTGGGATAAACCCACATACAGTGAACATACCTTATCTGGTTATTTGTTGATCCAGAAGCCAAAATATTCTAAATTGAATATTAAATAATTGTAAAATATTCAAGGCACATAATGTCCTAACCTTTGTACAATACTTTACCTGATCATACTTTGTCCAATCACAAGTGAGTATTTCACCCCCTCCACCAGGTATAACTTGTGCAGGGTGGGGACTGTTAGTATTCCATATCCTGATTGTTCCATCACCTAGAAACAGGATAATATATTAGATATAAGCCATTATCATTTGGCTTGCTTGCAAAACATATTTCCCAGGAGTGAGTACCTGATGTTGAAGCATATGTGTCTGGAATATGTGGTGACCATTTTACACAGTATATGGTATTTTCGTGACCTGTGTAGGTCAAAATTGATGAATTCTGTACACCATTCATGTCCCACTAAATACAAATAGAGAAATTGGATAATAATGCTTGGTAGAAGTACATTTTTGAAACACAACATACCAGTTTAATTGTTTTATCCCAGGAGCCACTTAGTAGCTTATTATTTCCACGAACAGCACACCAGTCAATACTATAAACCTTTAAATACGAATATATGTCATATGAATATATAAAGAAATTTCAAGAGATATTTATCCATCTGGAAAGAAATAAATTAATTTCTTATAACCTCTTTTAAATGTTCTTGAAACACTGCTACTGGAACCTAAAACAGACAAAGTGATTGATGCAATTTAATACAGCATACTTTAATTTTTAGCCTATGATCTGTTTTACGAAGGTTACCTATATGTATATTGTGATTATAAGTTGCTAGTCTATTACCTAGCCTGAGGCATTAGAGTGAACTCAGTGAAGTACACTAACGAGTGAAATTGTGGCTGGGTGATAACCTGTTGTTCCATACCAATATCCCACAATTGAATCCTTCCATCAGCACTTGAGCTTGCTATTATATTTGGCGATACTTCACTCCAACAACAATCGAATAATCCTTCTTGCCAGTCTAGTCTTTAATGGTGAAAACAGTGTTATTTCTGCATCTTAGGGACATTGTTTCTAGGACATTGGACTGGAGTGATTGGACAGTGTTGTTTTTGTTGTGGTAAATTCTCTTCTCTTATTTATACTCACTTCCTAAATAGCTGCATTCCACTTTGCTTTTGTCTATGGATATCAAGAATAAACAAAGAACCACGCCCTATATTGAATGGTAGTTTTTATTGTCATATTTCTTGATAACATAGCTTCCAGCTAACTTTCTTTATTTGTAAGAATTTTATTCGGCATTCTATACCTGCTAAACCATAATGCTGCGAACAAGCGCATGCAAGTCTGGTTGCTTCGTAAGGTGAAAACTGCACGCTGTAACCATGAAAACCTCGTGTACGGAATACACACGACATATTCGCATATATACGAAACTTGTCCACCCCACTCCTCGACAGTATTTACATAACAATTTTTCTATAATTTGAACTTTACAAAGGCCGGAAAGGACATCCTGTGTTTAAATTGGTATTATAAACAATCTCCATGACATTTATGATATTTTTAATCAAAATAAACGCGAGTTTTTACTAAAAATATGCCGGTTTTGTCAGGTTTTTCGCCGCCATGTTGCATATTGTTTCGAAATTACGAGGTATGCCCGAGAATTTCCGAATTGCTCGTCGGAGAGAAGAAGAGAAAGGAGAAGTAGTACGTGCAAGTCACTGGTGCAAGTACGTGCTATACTCCTACACAATGGCTACCTATCCATACTCCCTTCGTCCCTTTATCTTTGATGCGATAAGAAATAGAGAGATTTTCTTAAAGATTTCCCCTCAAACATAGTTACAATATATCATAAGTGTATTATAGGTCAACAAAAGTGAACATAAACACATTTGCATGGTTCAAAATGAGTGGGAGTTTTGATTCCAACTTCTACAATCGTATAAATTTCATAGGTTTATTGGCTAATTAAATTACTATTTTAAGCGTTTTGAACTAATCTTGGCAAACCAAACAAAGTTTGTTTTTTGTGTGGGATTTTTAACCTTAAAAACATGGCTAGGTTCAAGTTTTAAATCCCACGTTAAAACAAACTTGTTTGCTAATTTATACGGTCTTTCTAATTTTAACATTTTTGTTTAGCCAGTGTCTTTTATTTATTCACGTTTGTTCGTATTAATTAGTAAAATTTAGCAAAGTAAATAACACAATGATTGTATAAAGCCAAGGACATAGGCCGAGCCATAGATTCATTTTGATCCGGAAAACAGGATTCATCAACGAGAGTTTCAGGCGATCTTGAAGTTGAAGAGATATTTTGAAGTCATGAATCTTATTTTTTGTCTTGTTTTACTAATATTGGCAATATCATCCGAAGAAAAGCCTGTGCAATTCAATGGCTATCCTGAAGGTATTGAAACTGATTATTCTAGTTTTTCCTAATTTAACTTAAGTTATAGATAAAAAATCTTGTTACAGTGTGTTTGGTTTCTAGAATTTAAATCATCTGTAGACATTTGTGATTTGAGATTTTTGTATTTTCCGTAGAAAACAGAAATGTGAAAAGCCCATTCTCACGAAAACTGTTTCAAGGTGACATACTAATCGACCCGCGTGTTGTTTCAAATGCAGCGGGGAGGAAACGCGGCCTCACGAAGACTGGCATCTGGCCCAACGGCATTATTCCATACACCATCGACACCTCTTTCTCACAAGGTTTGGTAAACCTATGACTTTTCCGGGCCAGTTACGCTTTCTTAAAACACTAGAATTTTTATTTGTTCAATATTTAGCTCACAAAAACATGATCCTAAGTGCGATGCAAGATTGGGAAAATGGAACCTGTTTGTCATTTGTACCATTTACTAATGAAAATGTTTACGTGAAAATAGCTGGAATGACAGGATTTGGGTAAGTATTATTTATCTTTGTAACATCAATTCTGATAGTTCACTTCATACCTGGAGGTAAAGTCATTTCGTGATTGCTCCAAATTCTAGTTTTCGCTTCGGATGTCTTTCAGATGCTCTGCATTTGTTGGTTACAAAGATGTCAGTTTATTTCCTCCTGAATATATTCCATTTGGCTTGCCTATGTCTCTTGAACCCGATGTATGCATGTCACAGCGAGTCGTTCGCCACGAACTTGGTAAGATCATTTGAAGGAACTACATTATAAGCTAATGTATATTATAAGTTCTAATATACATATAGTACTTACTCGTGTACATCAGTTTTGGCTCAACTTAACAGGCTCTTGTAAGGTCTTCTCTCTTAGCCAAAACTCGGTTCATTAAAACTATACCTTCTGTTACAATGATTTCAGGTCATGTAATAGGATTTTGGCATGAACACTCGAGACCAGACAGGGATAATTACGTAAACATAATTCCAGAAAACATTTTGCCAGGTATTTGAAATTGTATACCAGCATGCGAGCGCTAAAATGTAAAACAATTCTTTCATTTATATCTGTGATGTTCTTATAGGCCGCTACCCTGATTTCGCCAAGCAGCCATCGGCTATGATTGACTCACTTGGGAGTCCATATGACTTGAAGAGTATAATGCATTATGGTCCCAAGACGTTTAGTAGCAACGGCGATGATACTATTGAAGCGATTGATCCAAATGTATGCATATTGTTTTTATTGTTCAACAACTTGGCAGTCAACTCGAACTTTTTCTAAATCGGTTGGGTGAATATGTATACGTCATTGTTTTTTCACTTTAATGGTTATAATTACAGCGGCGTCATTATTTGGTAAAAAACCGAATGATTGAGCTAGTATATTTTCCTAATTTTAATAGGAAACTTTGCAAGATAACGAAGAGATCAGTTTTCTTGACAAACAACAAGTCAACCAATTATACAACTGTCCTTAAGTAAGTTATTTATTCTTTAAAACCAATAATTACAAGAAATGATTGAAGGAAATTTTACTTGTGTTTTATTTTTTGTAGTCCCTCATCCGTACTTGGCGAGGAGTTTTTAATTGTATTGGATACGATTTAAATAGAGTTGTGATTGATGTATAATTATATACATTAATAATTATACTAAAATATACATTGAATTAAAATAAACACCAAATTAAAAATGTTGCCATATTTTGTTCAGAACGATTAACTTAATTGGAACAACAAATCATTATACTGTTCACATAAACATTTCTGAAATCAATTAATTGATCATTCAAACCGAATATATTCAAACCAAATTAATATCGATTTATTATCGAACGTTAAAAATATAATTGGGTTATATTATTACGTCCCCATCCAGTTATTACACATCGGCCTCATTTTCTTCACAGCTCGATACTGAAACAACTGAAACTGTCTTCTCAGGTCGTATGTACCGTTCATAAACATGTTTTGGCTGTGGTGATTCAAGTTCTCTGTGTAACGATTGGTATAGCTTTTTCTCTTTGCTTGAGTCACTCTACAAGAAAAAAGCAAGTAAAATATCACTGAAATATTCAACGTGATCCTAGAAAAGGTAATTTTATTTAAGACAGGCCTGACATTTGACCTTTTATTAAAAAACTTTTACGTTTGTTCGGATTCATTTTTACTTTCTTATTTTAATATTTTACAACCAAGTGTCCACAACTGTTTCTTTACATCAACAAGAAATGATTTTAATAACAAATTTCTACATGGTAGCGACTAGCTACATGGTTAGACTACAACAAAGTTGTTTAATAAACACGTTGTGTTTATCAAACTTTTATCTGCGTCGTTTGTTTAAGCCTGGTTTAATATTTCTTAAAAGGAAATATTGTCAGGATAACCACAGCCGTGCAATGAAAAGAAAATGATAGGAAAGTGGGGTATATTTTGGTTTAAAAGGCAGAACAACAAACCAAATTATATTCAGACTTACCTGTTCAAGTATAAAGTAAGGATGGGAATTTTGTTCACCATCTTTATTGTCTGATTTTGCACCCTCACTATTTTCTTCAAGAACATGATAATATGGTGCTTTCTCATCCCCTTTTTGGGTACTTTGGTTATGTCCTTGCACTACAGATGACTCCTTTTTTTCACTGTCTTTTCTTGTGAGCACCTCTGCATAATAAGGATACTTATTGGCTGGATCATCTTGTTTAACTTTATCTCTTGGATTCAACATTTCATTTTGACTGGCACACACTGCACTCTGAGAGTTTGTACTGTTTTTACGATCCATTTTATTTTCCTTTTTCGGATCTTTAATATCATTGTTTTTAAATGCTTTTGAAAATCTGAACAAACCCTTTCTTTTACTCTCTTCCTGGATGGCTGGAACATCCTCATATGCATGTTTACCTTCCTTTCTGTCCGATATTTTTCCACTTACTTCTGTATTATTTTGCATTTCCTTGTTCTTAATTTGTTCTTCACCATTGCTTGATTTTCTTTGAGCAAGCGAAAGTTTCCATCTTTCTATTTCAGTGTCATCAGGTAAAGTCACTGTCTCATAATGTGACTCATCATTTTTCACTTCCATCTCCCAAACTTGATTGTTTTTATTTACACGTGCATAATTATCTGCCATTTTTTTGTTTTGGCCAGCATCTTGATCATTACTGCGTTTTTTTGAAGAGAATCTAAACCATCCTTTCTTTTCAACTTTCTTTTCAACTTTCTTTTCTTGTAAACAAGGTATTGTCTCATATCCTGACTCTGTTGCTTCTGTTGATGTCTTCTCATTTTTGGAAAGATTTACAGCTAAAAAACACAACTCAAATTTAGCCGATTGTAACATCCAGTATTATCTATCTGCTGTAATACAGTGCATCAAGGGCAGTAAGAGTGCAGCTAGGACTCAGGAGAAATGGTCATACGAGCAAAGGCCCATTTCAGGCCACACTTCCCCTTCTCCCTCTTCCTTCTCCCCCCTTCTTTTCCTCCCTTCCTTCTCCCCCTTCTTCCCCCCTTTTTTCTCCCCTTCCTTCTCCCCTTCCCTTCCCCCCCTTCCTTCTCCCCTCCTTCTCCTCCCTTCCTTCTCCCCCTTCCTTTCTACCCCCTTCCTTCTACCCCCTTCCTTCTAGCCCTTTCCTTCTCCCCCCTTCCTTCTCCCCCCTCATTCTCTCCCCTTCCTTCTACCCTTCCTTCTCCCCCTTCCTTCTCCCCTTCTTCTCCCCTTCCTTCTAGCCCTTTCCTTCTAGCCCTTCTTCTCCCCCTTCCTTCTAGCCCTTCCTTCTCCCCTTCCTTCTATCCCCCCTTCCTTCTACCCCCTTTCTTTTTCACTGCCTCGTCAGCCTTGCTGTAAAACGATTGAGAAAAAAGCAGATCTTTTCATCGCTACTCAGAGACCATTGCAAGATGAATTGTAGTAATGATTAATAAACTGATGAACTAACATGCGTAACGTTCTTCAGAAGTATTTTCTTGAGGATTCTGGACCGGGATAACATCATTTGCTGCGTATAAAGGACTCGAAAATGACTACAAAATGAATAAATGAATCTTGCAATTAAACGTGTCTGCATGCGCAAATAATACTTTTTCTTCATGATATCAATTCTTCATCGTTTTACTTCTGAATATAAAGATATCTTAGTACCTCTGCCAGTTTAGATTTGCCGTCATTTTTGAACACCTCTTGTTCTGGCCTCTCATAAGTTCCAGTAGCCATAGACGAGCTTGCCTCGTAAATATTCATGCTGCCATTTGACTCTGTTTGTGAAGGTGGCACAAAGCCAGGATTCTGAAAGGAATATTTTCCTTCGTCCGTCTTTTTGCTGTTCTAGAAATCAATCGATATTTCAAGGTGTTAAGATATCATCCTATATCTCAGTGAGCTATATATACTCCCTTGATTGACGTGTCGGATGATGTTTGTCTGTTATCGGTCAGGTCAGGTCAGGTCAGGTCAGGTTCATTCTTGAGTCTGCTACTGGTATCATTGTAACCCAGTACCACCTGTCACAATGTCAGCGGGGGGTGGGGGGTGCCCCTGAGTGTGAGTAAGGCTGGTTGTTTGAAAGGCGTTCAGGTTAAACGGTGGATAAGTTGCCTTTCGAACATGCAATACATGCGATACAAAACCTTGCTCCCTCTAACGAAGGATGTTTTCACGCATCAACCTCATCACTGCATATATGCTAGATTTCCTACAACTTTCACGAATAAACTGTTATAGCAAAGCTTTGTCTTATACAATACCTCGTCGTTACCATCCTCTTCTGGTATTGCTGGTAACTCCATGTTGTCAAACGCCGGATTCACCCTATTTTCAAGATTCTCGTTCCGTTTGTCCTAGAAATGAGCAAAAGGGGGTTGTTTATAACTTCTTGTACTGTATGATTTAGTTAACAGGTGATTCGCAATGACGGGAGATATTTCGGTGTAAAATTTATGTCAGAGCTAACGAATTCTTATTACTAAACATAATCACAAAATTTCGACTATTTCATATAAAGAATAACAAAAGATATAATCGATTCAATACTGCATGCAGTTCAACAAAGATGAACAATGTCGAGACAATATCTTTATCTGAACGTGCCTTAAAGCTGGTTTAATAATTCATACCTTTGCCCGCCGTCGTTGTTTTCTGCAACAATGTACGAAGACAATCAAGATAACAGTCAAAATTATGGCTGAACCTGTCCCCACGGCTACTTGCATCGTTCGATCCAAAGGCGTCGATGTTCTCTTACCAAGATTTTCTTCACGACTTGTGACGCATTCTTTACGTTCAATCTCCAACAATTTGCATTTATCTTCAGTGGAGATAAACCTGACGTTGCCAGTATTTTTAAGTCGTGGCAGTGAACGTCTTGGCACGAGTTTAAGTTCGCCGTTATCGTTTGTTTTCCAAACAGCGATGCTTAAAATGATCTTCTTTTGTGTTGCTAGATGAGCGATATTCAACGTGTCAATGTAGAAGGGATTGTCCGACGCTCGCTTCTCTCTTCCTTTATCTAAGAGCAAATTAATTGAATTTAAAATTGCAAGCAGTTAAATTAAAGCAATACAGATATAAACGTGCATACTTTCTGTACTATTCCAACCCGATAAACAGACATTTTCAGGATCATGAAGTGTTTCCTGAAGGCAAGTTTCAAATTCACAAAGCAATGCTATATCTGGGGTCGCAGTTAATAATACAAGCAACTGGTCCTCGTTCGCCACACATCTTTGCTCAGCGTTTACAACTTTCGTACACAGCGAGTCATCATGGCATGTTTTATTATCTTTACATAAACTCTCATTTCGTGGTTGAATATCGTTTTCACACACTCCTTCAAAAGCTATTCCCACTTCGATACTTCCTTCCACGAATGAAAACAGACGATCTGGTTTGAAGCAACGTAGATCCAACGCAAGCTTATCTAAGCCTTTTACTTCTTCGCTGACGGATATCCTAACCCATAGGAACATGTCTTTGTCGATTGAAAGTGCATTCGTAAAGTTGACGTTGATGAAATCTTTGGAACTTGCAGTCATGTTTAGTTTCACTTCGCATTCATATACATCCGGTGGTGATGAGAAATGGTCTTTCGAGGGGCAAACGAAATTTGTGTTGTTGCCATGATAAATGATAACTGGACCTAGTTTAGTAGTGGCAATGTCGGAAAGTCGTACAGGATCGCTTGAGAAACATATCAGCTTGTGTTCTTCAACATCGTCTAGATAAAAATAAAAAAATATTGTGTATATTGCTTCAATAATTTGTTTGTTGAATAACAGTGTCTCTCTCTCTCGAGTGTGTCCTACACCTCGTTGCCTCGGGATTGATATTTGCTATGGAGCTATCTAGAAAAATTCTACTCATTTTCGTATGCATGTCCTCCCAAGTTCTAATCTTTAGTCAAGTTCCTAATTTCCGTCTTACCTTTGATAGATATTGCAAACTGCGTATCCGTGACATAACCAGATGAGTTGCTATCTTTTGCTCTAACCATCACCAAAACATACTCTGGAATAATGTACCTCTCATATGACATCGTTTCAGATAACATTAACATCAGTTTATTACCCTCGATAACAAACGGATAACTTTTACATTCGTCTTTCATTAGTTTATATTCCATGATGTGTGTTTCTTTGACATGCATTTCCAAATATCCAATTATGGTAGCATTTCGAGAACCTGCTTGAATCTCATTGGATGATAGCATAATCTGCGGGCCAATCAACGGACGAGAAATGACAGTGCAGTTGAAAATAGTTGATCTCTTTTTCCCCTTTATTCTAGTTAAATCGTTTGCCAATATTTCTCCATCGTCTTCAATGAAAATCTGAATGGTGTATGTTGTATTAATGTCAACATGGCCGCTTTTAAACAAATAGCCATCTACTATTTTGAATGGTATATTTTCAGAAATTAATGTATATGTTAGTCTCTGTTTTGGGCGACAGATATCTTTGGTATTTTCATTATCAGGATCGGTTACATTGAGGCTACCAATAACAGTACCAAAGGATGTTCCAGGTGAAACAAACAAAGGATTTTCACATCCTGAGTTTGGGGCCTCATTGACATCCCTGACGGTTAAATCAAATTGTTTTGTAAAAGATGTTGAGTTATTATTATCTGTGCAAACGATAGTAAACATCATCGTTTGTTTTTCCTCAAAGTCCAGCTCCTTGATCAAACGAAGTGTTTTGTTTAATATTTCCAAATACTGTTGTTCTGTTTTGTTGTCCGTTGTTAAAGCACAGTGGTTATCTGAGATGTGGTCTGGATCAAAAATAGTTACTTTTCCAATGAGAATATCTTTTTCATTTTCCGAAACGAGAAGATTGTCAATCGTGACATCTGTAGGCGGCTCGTTGACATCTATAAAGTGAAAAAGGACCGTCTTAGCTCTGTTGAAGACTTTTTTTAATTAAACAGTTTTAGCCTTAACCTCTCTAATACTAGGTTAACCTCATCTTACCCTTTATGGAAATATTAAAGTCCTTTTGAATGCATAAATCCGTTTGGTCACAGCACTCAAGTGAAATCGTAAACATATGTGATAAATCCTGTTCATAATCTGCATTTGTCTCTCCCGCCAGCAAATTTGTTTCGTTCAAAGTCACTCTTCTTCCTCCGTCATTCATTAAAGTACAGACTGTGACAGTGTTCTGATCTTCGTCTATCACTGTGATATTGCTTATGAATGAGCCAGGAACTTGGTTTTCATCCATAAAATCTCTGTAGAGCTCGATGTCTGTTGGCGCTTCTGGCTCGTCTGAAAAAAAGCAGAGCAGACAGAACTAATTTTTTTCACCGTGCAAGAGATCCCCGTCAGGTCTACTGAATATGTACGGAAATGCACTTGTATTCAAATTCATACTTTAGGTCTGATTACAATATACTGTTTCACAAATTCCTTTCCAAAATTTGAATCCTGTCATCGGATATATCGAGGGACATGAAGCGATTGAATGCGTGTGTCTGTCTGTCTGTGTGAGCTTCAAATCTAAAGACCGCCGCTAATTCTCTAACGCAGAACGATCGAGAAAGCTAAGATAAAACTTACCTTCGACATGGATGATAAACGCCACTTGTAGAGTCCGTTCTTTGGCATCTGTGACTCTGATCGTAATATAATAGTCTGGATCCTTTTCAAAATTTAATGTTCCATTCACAGTCAATTGTTCATTGTCATTTCCTCGTAATGCGAATGCTGGGTGTTGAGTATCAACGAGTGAAAATGTCCTTGTCATTGGAAGATGTATGTCAGGATCGTAAGCATCCAATATTCCAATTGTTTCACCAATCTTTACGTTTTCTTTCACTTTGTTGTTGGAAAGAGTCATGGTCTCTATTGGTTCATCTGTGTCTGTTGAATGTAAATACGCAGTGCTCTTAAATAATTGCCTGTTTTAGCATGACGATTAGGCACATGTTTGCTATATCTTTATGATTTTAACACGAGTTTTTCACTTGTTGAATTCCTTCAAAAACTCGTGAAACGTAGATGCAAACCTGTGACTGTCTTCACCGCATGATGCCGGTCATTGTGACAATGAATGAAATAAAATGAAAGAGCATGAAAAATCAAGTAAAAGGTGAAATGCGAATAAACAGTAAAGGTCTATCACCACTACTTTATTTCTTTCGAGGGGAAAGAGTTCAATGTCACATACCTGTCACATTGATTGTAAAGTTTTTCTCTATGCTTAGTGGAGGAGTTCCACTGTCAGTACACTGTACAGTCACGAGATAGGATTGTTGCATTTCATAATTCAATGATTTATTTTCTCGAACTTGTAAAGAATTTCTTTTCTTATTGATCAGAAAATACTGTCCTTGTCCAGCGCTATTGACAATATGACACACATGATTCTGGGCTCTCTCGTTCCTGTTGTCTGGATCAGAGATCTGAAAAATAGAAGGGACTTAAGTTGTTGGCGCTTGGTGCTATTATAAACTACTATCTAAGATATTTTGAATTAGATCAACAAATGCTAGTTAATTTTACCAACCATAAAAAAAGCGATGTCAATTCCACTCGGGATATCTTCCGGTACTTCCACTTCTTTATTTACTTCCAATTTTTCAGGCTTTTCGTTCACATTCCCAACGCTAATATTCCACTTTATGAAATTACTGCTGTCATTATTTCTGACATAAATCTGCAACGTGTAATCACTAGTCTCCTCATAGTCCAGTTCTCCGTTGACCGTTATATTCGTGTGGCAAGTAATATTAAACTTAGTGGCGTTCCTGTGACGCTCGCACATCGTGGGGGAACTAAGACCTAACTTAGAGCTTGACTTTGGGCTAGATTCGCTGATCATGAAGTGCAGATTCTCGCTGCTTTCTGATCTTGATGTTATCTGTGTGATCACTGTACCGTATTTAGAATTCTCTGCAATTCTATGACCTCGTAAATCTAATGTTGGTGGGTCAATAAGATTAATAATATAAATCGGTATTTCTTCTGTCCCCGTTCCTGACAACTGATCAGAGCAAGCTACCTTAATATAGCATAATTGTATGGTATCATAATTCAGTTCTTTCCGCACAGCGACTTTGTTATGAGTGATGATAAAATTTCCAGTTTTATCCTCTAATAATTTCCAAGAGAAATTCGAAGTTCTATATTCTCCTAAATCATCGTCAATGCCAGTTAGCTCCCCCACAACTGTGCCTGAACTTGCGTTTTCGTACACCCAATTCTTGGAAATCTCAATACTACGTGGGAGGTCATTAACATTTTTCACGCTGATGTTGAATACTTTTTCTGTCCACATTGGTGGGGAACCGTTGTCTCGAGCTCTGATTCGCACTGGGTACAAGTTTCGTTCACGTGGCTTCCACGTGAGCATTACTGTTGTTTCTAATGCTGAACCTTTGCAACGGAATAATGATGTATAAGTTTCAACAAAATAAATCATGTTTTGACCTTTCTGAGAATCATTACTGCTCAACATCCCCACAACTGTACCCGGAGGTAATCCTTCCTTTACAATATCGCCTGCGAGTCTTGATGGAATGCGGTGGGTCGTTGCCGCGCCTGCAGTAGTACTTGTGTAGCTGTGTATGCCATATTGCTTGATTCACCTTTGACTTGTGACAGATTATTCTACTAGTTACCTTTCGGAATTGAAATCCAGAATAATCTGACCATTTTGTTGCTGTTTTTTTCAACGCAAGTTTGTAGTAGTTAGGACAGGACAGTGTACACTGAGAGTTATATTTTGTGCCGTTTGGACAAGATGTTATAATGCTTTTGCACGAGGGTAGATTCCGATCACCTGAGACTTTGATTTGTGTTTGCGGGCACTTGGAGAACTGCGGCATTAAACAATCAATGGCGGTACATGCCGTCGAATCGCTTAAAACGTACCCAGGATTACATGAACACACATAACTATAAGGAAGGTTCTCACACTTTTGACCGCAGGGTCCTCTTCCTCCATTTTTTTTACATTCGTCAATATCTTTACAATTTTTCTCTAAATTGATATGAAGTTAATCATGAAAGAAAAGCTCAAGTGTGTCCGTGTGAATATTACAACGGGAGCAAAGGACGAAAGTTCTCTCGCAAATCATTCACGATATTAAACGATGACAAATATTAAACGTTTAACTTCGTTGGGCTCTGGTCTCTAATATCGTGGTCGTTACTAGGCATTCTAATCAAACAGAATCATATTTTGTACAATAAAATTAGATTAAGGAGAAAGCTTACCATCAACTAATTTGTGACCAGATGGACATGTACATTTCTTCTCTTTTGGATCACATTGGTAACTGCACCCACCATTCTCTGGACAAACAATTTTTCTCGTCTCTTTGACACAATGGTTATTATGTTTCACAACACGTGTTTTGCTACGTGTAGGTTTGGGCCCACAAAATGGCGAGCACTCACTCCATGAAGTCCAGTCTAAAAATGTAGATAGCTCTATCAGTTCTAAACTGTTCCTCCCAGGTAAGCATAATCTCTTATTGATCCAGTGTTACTACAGGAGGAAACCTAAACTAAGCTAACGCTATTAATACTTGCTGGATAGTCCTAAAGGTCCAGTAAGGATCATCTCTTATTGATCCAGTGTTACTACAGGAGGAAACCTAAACTTAAACTAACTCTATTAATACTGGATAGTTCTATCAGTTCTTCCTAGAGGTCCAGTAAGATCTCCTATTGATCTGGGAAACGCAGCTGAGCTAATAACCTGTTCTGAACTGTATTTCCTAGGAAAATCATTGGTTCATTGCTAGTACAGAATATTAAAGATCAGATAACAATGAAATCCTACTGCGCAATTCTGACAAGTGTCGTATCACGGGAGTGTCACAAGAATTCCGCATTCGTTAGAAAATACGGCACAATTGACCTTGAGGTGATGTATTTATTATTTTCGTAAAGCTAACTTCAGTAACTTGGCAGAGACAATGCCACATTTCCTTTGATTACATTTAAAAATTTTCAACAAAGTAACCATAGCATTTTGCTATTCCTCTTTGCAACTTTCTGGTAGTATTTGTCAGGAAACCGAAATTGAAACTGCATGAGTCATGACGTTTCTTGTAACTTAATTATCAAAATCGTAATTAACGCAATTTCTGCACGACACCGGATGAATTCATGGACAAAAACGAATTTGGGATCCTGCTAAAAAATAGTGAATTTTGATCCATGCACTTTTTTATTGTATAAAGACCTGAACCAAACGAATTGGAACAGCGTCTCAAATTCGTCCGATAAAGTCAACGGTGCTTAATCCGTGAAGTCTATTTTCTAAAGTCTAAACATCATATGACCATAAAAAAAATCTGGATCGCTTCTCCTCCGGTTTTAAGAAATTTCTGTTTTTTGTTCACGATGATCGTACGAATGATAAGTTCCTATTTTTCATATCTTTGATAAGCTTTAAATTAAATTGGCATGCCCGGAAATTGGGTACAGAGTTCGTCAGGGCATGGACTTTTAAAAAAGTTGATAAATCGCTGAGTAAACATTCAATGCATTATTGGAAAATGCTATTGTTTCGCTTTTCAATACCAGCGGCTTAGTTATATCCACGAAATACCGTGGATATGACAAACAAGAGTAATGATCTTTATAAAATCAGCCCGAACTGTAAACATATAGTTGATCTAGCTACATAAATTTTCTTTTGTAAAATTTAATTTGTAAACAGTAAATATTGTATTTGGTTCGCTGAAATATTTCACAAATCCATACGACTATAGAACATACGATTATCTTAATCGCCCATCATTTCGACCACCGCAGTTGTAGACTTGTAGAAGACTGCATATATGCTTTTTATTGTTCAACCATTTCTTCAGACAGACGCGTATATTACTTGTGATATCGTGATATAAACAAAACTATGTTAATGGATTTAGACTTTAAACCTGTATTAGGCATGCTTTGTTTCTCTAGAAAAACTCGAGGGTAATTCAACGATTTTTAAGATATTTCTTTAATATGCTTCTCTACTTCATGTGTAAAGCGTTAGACCTGTTTTAATTTTTGAAAAGAGGAAAAGGAGAGAAAGAATTATCACTTACTGTGAGGTTTACAATTTGCTGCAGGTTTGGTATTTCGTTTCGATGAAGTGCGATGCCGTGTCCAAACGAATCCTTCAAGTTGAACGGAAAACAAAACGATGAACAAAAGCAGATATTTACATATTTCTGCTGCGTGAGTAGACGCCATGAATCCTTTCTTACATATTGAGAACCGCTTGTGTTTATACTCATATAGATTTTAAAGCATCGCGGAAGTGAAGTCCAACACGATGAAAAAAAAATGAAATTTGATATCGCAATCCGTTTGGAAAATATGTTGTCATATGAAACTCTCTAATAAATACTAAAAACACGAGCCAGAGTCCAAAGAGCAACCCCCAAATGAGTTTTACGAAATTTTACGTAGTTATTTTTCACCTTTAGTTCGCCTTCACCGTATTTTAAGTACTATTTTCCTCCAATTCCTCGCTATTTTAAAGCGAAAAACAAACTCGAAGGTGTTGACACTCCATCATTCTTGTAATGAGAGATCTGTGAAAGTTATCTCTTGATCTGATCAAACGTTTCTGTAACCCTTGCTGCATGATAATTAATGAAAAGGGCGGCGGTTTCAGATGCAATGATGATGGTGTTTCGTTCCTGGAAATATGCATTAAATTTTTGGTAGATTCTTTCCTAAAAATTTCACAAGTCAATGCTGCATTTCGGGCGTATTCATGACCTTGGCCGCAGTTTTTCGCATATTCGCGGTTTTTTTAGAGTTTCAAGTCGAAACCTGTCCTGTTTCCAGCAATTTTCAGCATTGAGATAACATCTGTATTGCCACCGGCGTTAAAAGCAGTTTATGACAAGTTAATGTACACATCTGTTCAAATTATACTCAAAATTAAAGCAAAATTTATTTATACTCTAAGATAAGACGGGAAATGTTTATAAAATTCCACAGGACATACTTTGTTTCTATAGTTGTTGAAATATTTCAGTAAAACGCATTGAATGAAAAGGATGATTGAAATTGGCAATAAACTAACAAATATTGAATTAAAAAATTAATGGTTTATGAAAATAAGAAATTATGAGCTGTGGATTAGAATAAAACTGTCAGCTGATCCTTCGTGAATTTTTAAATATCAGATTATCATTCACGTATCATGGCTAATAGAACTCTAAAAGAGCTGTCGGTTGTGTATTGATACCCTTTCAATGTTCCCACAGGAAATTTTAGTCTTCTAATCAGACTGCGTTCAATACAGGCGACACAATACTCTTCCACATAACAACTTTAATATGCCAAAGCTGCGTGGGTTCCCACTTCCCAGCTCATTAGAATACAAAAATAATAGCAGTCTGTCAACAAACTAACAAAAAAAGTCACTTACCGTATCAAAATTCCTCGTAGTCACTGTCTCTGCATGAAACGACAGACGATAAATTTAACCTAATCTGACGGACGTATATCATCTTTACCGTGCGTGTAAAGTGATAAATATTTTGAGTTCTTTGTTGTTTACAGTTTGGTGATGTACTGTAAACGATTCTCCCTTGTTGTTTTGCTTGGTTTGTTTCTCTTCTGTTCTGTTTCTTCCTGGCGACGACGTCGTAGACGGAGAGCACCGCCGCCACCACCAGTTGACTGTAAAGTTTCAAGTAAGTCATTTCTTTCTTATCAGTTACTGCACGTGTGAGATCACTGTTAAATATCTCATAATCCAAGTCTTTCACAATCCAACGGTTTAATTTTATTTATTTTTGGGAATCGGGTATAATCTAACGATGTACGCGTTTATTAGATTATTTCGAGACATTCATGAATTAAAATATAGTTTGGTTTCCCTGATCTTATATAAACGTATTTGAATGAATTCATATCCATTCCCACCCAGTAACACATAAACCCCGCTAAAATTTTAACTATAAAATGCAAGGACCGCGATTAGGTGAATATCATTCGTATAACTTTCGATATTTCGTACACGAGGCGTTCTCCGTAATGTACGCGGAAGATGTTACAGGTAAGGGCTGGTTAATTCAGGGTAAACCGGAAAAAAAAACAAACGATTAAACCAGCTAAATTCTTCCCTTTTCAACAGGGTTCGCGTAGATAATTATCTGACAATGTCAGTTCGGCTTACGTAGTATAAATTATCCTTTATACTCAAAACTATTGAGAACTGGCTTTGAACTTTCACTGATTTCAAGGTGGATTTGTTATCAACTTTCAAACTGATTACTATCCCGGGTTCAAATGGTCGTGCCATTGATATATTTGGTATAATTCTAGTCTGGTGGTGATTTATCTCTTAAGATAGAGCGAATATATCAGAGTACATGCTGTGACTCTCAACTGAAAATATTCATAACAATGGTATCAAAGAAAACGTTAATGCTTGCGTTACTGATCTTTCAAATACAATATTTGACGATGATTTGTCTCAAAATTCGCAGACACTGTTTGTATATTGCCACTTATCTTTTCAGGCGCTGCCAAATTTCAGAAATTCCTCAATTTTTTTTTCATTACACGAAGTAATTTTACATGAAAACTGACTGCGGGCAGAAAGCATTATTTGAGGCGGTCTACGCGTTTTAGTTTTCTCGAGTAATTCCTCGTTGGATGACACTGATTAACAATGAAAGACGCCTTTATAAGCTTTCTATTAATCCTAAGATGGATGATCTGCATGATGAGATTGTTAGCCAGTCCAGTATTATTAATCGTCGGTTCCTGTTTTAGAGAATGAGAGTGAATTAAAATCGAGTTAAAATTGCCGTCGTATATTTTAGTTTGTTCCTCCGGCGTCGTTTTTTTCCCAACTAAAACTAGTGATTCTGGTTAATTGGAAATTCGTAGGAAGTTACTTGATGACAGGTCATTTTTTCTCTCGAAAACCTATTCGTGGAAAGGTCGAGAAGTTATGTGTATATTTCGTCGGTCGTTAAGTCACATTTTATGGTCAGGTAAGCTCCCTGCATGTCGTCTGTATGCAAATTAGGCAAAGCGAACACAGCAACATTTGGTTGGTTTTAAGAACAAAACCCTCAGTGAAAGTAGCTATTAAGACCCGATTTCATTTGCAATTCTGACTGCGATTTTTCGTGTCTTTTTCCTTCCTTTAAATGATGTGAACGAGGGAGATAAGTTACGGATGTGGAAATATTGGCACTGGGACATCGACGTTTTCCTAACTGCCCACTCATTCACATCTATCAAAGGCAGAAAATCGCAGCAAATTTGAATCCAAATTTACTCGTGTAAACATACAGCACACTCCGGGTAGTTTACAGAGGTTTTTGCAGTTGCAAGAAGATGAATATAATATATATATTTTATCAGGCTGGTCCTCCTGGGGTACATGCAGCGAGAAATGTAAAATTGGTAGACAGACACGAAGTCGTAAAATCGTGACCCTTCCGACGTTTGGTGGATCAAGCTGTCCCAGCAATTATGACGATTCTCAACAGTGTGGTAAGGTAAATGGAGGCTGTGATGACTTCTGCGACAGCAAAACTGGAACGTGCCTTTGTGACAAGGGCTATAAACTCGGAGGTGAATAAAAGAGGATTTCAGGATCTTTAGGGTTTTTTCTGTAGTAACACTGGATCAAGAAGAGATGATCCTTACTGGACCTCTAGGAAGAACAGTTTAGAACTGATAGAGCTATGCAGTATAAATAAAGTTAGTTTAGTTTAGGTTTCCTCCTGTAGTAACACTGGATCAAGAGACGATTCTTACTGGATTCTCTTGGAATTCCTGTTCTTAAGACAGTTCAATAATGAAAGAGCTATTCAGTTTAGGTTTTTCATTATGAATTCTTTAATTTTCATTCCAGTGGATAAGAAATCGTGTGTGGACATCAACGAGTGTAGTGATGGTTCAGCTCAGTGTATCAACTCAAACTGCGTTAACACAGACGGCAGCTATCGCTGTGTTTGTCTCCCAGGATATACTTCATCTAGCTCTACTAAATGTGATCCCAAATCATGCGGCCCATTGACGGCACCACAATGCCCTTCCAACGCATATCATGATGAATTTGGTGCCGCATGTAGGCCCGCGAGCATCGACTGCCCAGGAGGGCGAGAATACTTGATGTCGTGTGCTCTTACTTGTCCTGTTTATTATAAACTAGCGGAGATCAGTCAACCGCAAGGAGGAGAACAGTTTGCACAGAATTTTAACACTGTTGACTTTGCTAAGCCAAATCAAAACACTGTTTGTACTGTTGATGCTAATTCAGGCAATGTTTTTTGGGACTGGAATCCAGGGAACAATCCTTATTATTGCAGAAGAATTAACGACCCACCCTTGAATGTCACGATATCAAGTAACATGATTAATGAAAAACTGAAATTCTTCACAGTTGTTGGTACATTATCAGCCACAGATCCTCAAAACGACCCTCTGACATACACCATTTGGAATGCAGAGGGAAACCATTATTTTCTTATACAAGGCAATAAGTTATTGGTGAAGTCACGTTTAGTTTGGAACCCTGATTTGACGCGCAATAACAAGTATCCAGTGATCGTGAATGTCAGTGATACTGGTTCACCAATCATGCGCTCTCAAAATGCCCTCAGTATAACCGTGTTGAACGTGAATGATCCACCGTACAATTTAGAACTGTCAAACAGTGAGGTTTCAGAGAATGTTGCAATAAACTTCACTGTTGGTAATCTGACCGCTGAAGATGACGATATCCATCCAAAGAGGACCTCGAACTTCTCCTGGGAGTTGGTCGACTCGGATAACGGCTTTTTTTCGCTTCGTGGAAACAGCGTAATTGTAGCAAAAAGCTTAGATCACGAGTCTCAGAAAATTCATAGAATTCAAGTAAGGTGCACTGATTATGAAATTCCTAGAAAGTCGTCGCAGGTGCAGAGTATGTTTATTAGTGTACTTGATATGAACGATTCTCCGAAGAATATCAACTTGACCAATCATCGTGTGCCTGAGAATTCTCCGAAAGATTACGTGGTTGGCGAGATAATTGCGAAAGATGATGATAACGACACACTGTCGTTTGATTTAAGTGGAACAGACAAAGATGTTCTCGGAGTGTTTGCATTGAAAGGTAATTCTAATATTGTCTTTCCTTGTATGAATTATTCCTACTAACAAATGCAGGAACCAATTAATACAAAGTCCGAAGAGCCTTGTTAATTTAACAGGTTCTAACCCATTTTTCTAGGCGCTGCAACTTGTGGTATTCATCTTGAAAATGGGAAGTCTCTTCAAACTTGCTCCATACCGTTGGTTGTAAATGGATCGTTGGATTACGAGCGAGAGGAAGAACATGTTATTTGGGTCGGCGTGACAGATCCAGGAGGAATAACGCGGAAAAGATTTAGAATTGAAGTTCTGAATGTGAATGAAAAATCTACTGATATCACGATATCCGAAAATAAAGTACCTGAGAATTCGGCTTTGGGGACTGTGGTTGGAGAATTCTTGGTAATGTTACTTTATGGTATAATTGTCGTTATATGAGTAATACATATACATCATTTTTGACTGATAGTTTTAAATTGCTCCTGCAACGACCTATGGCAGGAGAGACGTTTGATGAAGATGCATTCCTTTTCATTTCTTGCAGGTGAAAGATCCTGATAACAAGAATGGTTTAAAGCAAACTCACACCTGTTCCTTGGTGAACTCTCCCCGTGGCGATGAAGATGCCTTTCATATTTCCCAACGAAATCAAAGAAATTTTCTAATTGTGAAAGGAAGCGGCAAGATCCTTGATTTTGAGACAAAAAATTTGTATAACATCACTGTTTCGTGTAAGGATAGTGACCTTGGTATCTCAAAGTCGTTCCTTATTGAAATCACAGGTAAATTATGGTATTTCTAACTCTTTATGACTCACAGTTATAATTGATACACCTTCATAATTTTCCCCTCAGACGTGAACGAGGCACCTCAATCTCTTATCCTTTCAAACACAAGTGTTCGAGAAAGCACATCAAACGAAATCTTCATCTCCACGTTATCTGCCAAAGATCCTGAAGGAACAAACCAATCATTTACTTACACCGTGAGAGAACCCGGTTCATCATTTCGTATCAGTGGAGCGAACAAGGACCAACTCGTTCATATTGGGATGATTGATTTCGAGCGTACACCAAGTATCACAGTCCTTCTTCGTGTTACTGACAATGGCGGTTTATTCTTAGAAAAGGAATTTCAGATCACTGTTGAAGGTTTGTTTCAGATTAAACTGAATTGTATTTACATTGTATATAGTTGTAAAACGTCTAAGCGAGGATAATTATTGCTTAATTTTAGACATGAACGACCCACCAAGTGACATCCGACTACATCCAAATTCAACACTTCATGAAAACAGTCGTGTTAATGTCTTCATCAGTTCTGTTGATGTGGTTGACGAAGACAGTGGCTCGAGAGCTTCGTGTAGATTATTAAACTCTAGCAATAACCGAGTTAAATTGAAATCTGGAAATCTTTTAGCTGGATCCACTGAAACTGACTACGAAAGTCTTGACTCTTCCAAGTCTCTGCTGATTCAAATGAGTTGTGAAGATCAGCATGGGGCAAGTGTGACTCGTTGGATCACTGTGCCCGTTGCAGGTAACCTTCAGGCATTTTTAACCAGGGGGAAGGGAAGCTGTTCGTGATGCATGTATGAAACGTGATGTACGTCAAACGTGAATAATCTTTTTTCTTTCAAGATGTCAATGAACCGCCTACAGACATCATTCTGAAAAACTTGGAAATCCGAGAAAACCTGAACGATACTTTGGTGGGAATTCTAGAAATTTCAGATCCTGATCTGGGGCAAAGGCACAATTGCACCATCATGAGTGAAGGAGCAATGTTTTATATAAATAATGACGTGAGTCCACCTGCGTTAAAAACAGCGCATCCACTAAACTTCGAAACGTCAAGAGATGAAAGTGTCTATATCAAATGCGATGATATTGTCCTGGATCACGAGCAACCTCAATTCACAACAGAAAAACAGTTCAAGATTTTTGTGATAGGTAAAATAAACTGTATTTGGTATGCAGATGGCTAGCCCTGTCAATTTAAAATCGTTTGCAGTTGCTTGCAGTTAGTTGTCCCTCATTGTTTAATACTGACAAAGAAAAAGGTTCTATTGATAGTTTTAACTATAGTTTTACATACTGTGCCTGAACTGATTTTTACCATTTTCACTTCAGACGTCAATGAAGCGCCAGAGATAATCTGTGACAATCCATTCTTTGTGTTTCCTCTGTTTTCTCGGCGCTCAGCGCTTGGAAAGATCCAGAATTATGATCCTGACAACGAAAAGTATTACAAGTCGAAACAGAACTCAAGCGTACCTTTTGATCCACGAAAACAGCTTGTGAATTATAGCTTCGAGAAAGAGAATTATACCTGGCCATTCGATATCACCCTGAATGGAATTATCTATCTGGAAAAGGTACGTCTGATTGGTTCAATCACCTTATTCTATTCCCCAGGATCACGGCAAACATGTGGTGTAACAACTACCGGAAGTAAACAAAATTACTTATCAAACTCTCGACTAAAGTGTCTTCGTCTGGATAGTAGCTATCTTTTACTACGATGGTTAAAACGTTTAGAAGTATTTTTACATATTTTAGCCAGTTGTTATGCTAAAGTTGTTTAAAGACGCTGCCACAATGCTCCCTGGTTTCACAACCAATGTTTAAATAATTCTGCTGTTCTTTCATAAAGCCACTTACTGTTGAGGAATTCAACGGCTCGATCGTTTTTGGAGTGCGTGTTGAAGATGATGGTGTAGTTCTGGAAAGAAAACCTGGAACTACAGAATATCAGATCAAAAAAGTGCCGTCGAAATCTTCAATACACAAATGCACAATCGTTATCACGTGTATGTAGCAGTATTTTTGTTCCTGTGTTCAAACTTGCGTCAATGCCTCATAAGCCTTCTTTTCATGAACGTTTTTCATTGTTTTTCATCCATGATGCAACGATCTTTTGTTTCCAGCGAATGAAAACAAGATTGATCTTCATCTCAGCTCGAACACAATCTTAGAGAATGCGACAGATGGAACTATAATAGGACAGCTTTTCCCTACACCATCACTCCAAAAACAAAACCCCAAATATGAAATCCTTGAAGAGAAAGAAGACGAACAACCATTTGAAGTTGTTGGTGATATCTTAAAGCTAAAGCTTGGAAGCAACTTGGCTGATGAAAATTACTCATCCATCACACCCAACCCGTTCCCCGTCATCATTAGCAGTATTCCCCCGAATGCCCCAGTGTTTACAAAGACATTTTTTATAAAGATAGGTGAGGTGTACATTAATTTTTATATCTGCTTATTTGATTATACCACTAACAAAATTATTATGCCTGTCGCCATCCAGAAAGCCTGTGTATGTTTTGTCCTCAACCAATATTTTGTTTACGTCAAGTAAAAGCAACTGAAAGGTATGTTTTTATATTGCCATGTGTCATAGTGTCTCGGTTATTTTATACATGTTATTTCAAACAAGTATTTTCAATATATGTTGCAGATGTGTTGGAGAGAAATATCGCATCAATTCTACAGTCGATCTTCCATTTTCTGTCTTTGAAAAACCTGGCTTTATACGAAAGTTGGAAAATTATATAGAAGATCTGATTGTTAAGAAAACCTCCCAGACGCTTTCAGAATTTCTGCGAGATTTAAACGGTAAGACGAGAGATGATTTTCTTATTATTAAGCTGTAATAACATTATGCTAATGCATTTATACTTAAATCCTTTCTAGAAAAAAACAAGGCATCCAGAAGAAGACGTGATACCAATACATACAGTGATGTTCATGTGGAGCTGTTTCTTTATTCCCCTGAAGGAGATTCAAAACAATCAACCAACATTATCTTTGCAGTAGCCGAGAAACCAGGCTATGAGCTCATTCCGGCTTCAAAAGCGTGTGATTTATTGAAAGGCACCGATGTAAAATGTTTTAGTGAGGAATCCAATGCGTCAGCCGACACAGGAAGTGGTGAAGATGAAAATGGTTCTCACCTGTTCATTGTTTACATCATTGCCCCAGTGTTTGTTGTTGCTTTTATTGCGGCTCTGCTGGTTTTCTGGAGAAGACGAAAAAGTCAAAAGGTACGTGGAGTTCCTTCACTCCTTATAATTAATGGATTAGGAAAATTTGAAAACCTTCATTCACCAAACTACACATTTACTTCTTCATTTTCCCCACTGGATTTTCTGGTAATATCCTAGCAGGCTAGCACCAAGGTAGACAGAATTTTCACGAAGGTATATAGACAGAATTTTCACGAAGGTAGACAGAATTTTCACGCTGTAATAATAACATGTAATGTAATTATGTAATGCACCATTTAACACTTAACGCACGAATGTATTTTTATCATTGAAACTTTGCATTAGTTGTTAGATTTTACAGCCCATGCTAATGCCCATGCTTTCACACTGTTCTTAGAAAGATTTTTACTTCAAAAGTTGCTTTATCTTTTGACAGAAGGATGAAAGTTCTGTTGTTCATTTCGCGCGGGACAGCGACACGGCCACGGTTGACTCGATGTACGAAACGCCAATTGATGAAAGAAATCAAAATTTATCTCACAGCGAAACATCAAATCCTGTCTTGATCGAGAAACGTCAAGACATTAAGGTCGTCATTTTTCAAATATTTTTACAGCTTTTTTATGTTAGAATAGCTCACAAAAGTTTTAAAATTCATATCCTAAAACTCTTGTTAGTCACCTAGCTAGTATTGTAATGGTTAGTATATAACGAAATAATCAACGTTATTGTGGTTATCATCCCAGGTGTTTCATAACCCGGCGTACAAGTCCAAGGGTAGCGTCAGTAAAGCCAGCGAGGGAGATGACGAGGAGACAACGAAACGAAGAACTTTCAATCACTACGAGACGACGGATCCTGCTCCAGTTTATGAAACTATCGATGATTTGTATGAAAAAGTTCGGGAAGAAGCTGAGAAAGAAGATGAACCAGCAAAGAAAACTTCACGTAAGAAGTCTCGCTCTAATCCAGTTTATAATATGGACGGAGATGATGATTCTCTGAATCCAGTTGTTAACCTTTCCGTGCGAAGCCCTTCCAAGAAAGAGAATGATGACGTTTTTCTTCCCATTCACGAGGAAATTGATGTAGATGACTCGTCAAAAATCCTCAGTACATTCCAACCTGAGGCCAAGTCTGGCCCCACCTATGAGAATGTGGGTACAGTGAACCCTCTCGCTACTTCAGGGGGTAGCGAAACAGATGAATCAAGTGGGACTGTTGTTCATATCAACGAACTGTATTCCATACCAGCAATAGACGACGTTCCATCTGAAGATCTCAATGGCCACAGCTCTTGCTGATTTTTTGACAACATTTTAATATGAGCCTGCGCACGGAACGTGGTACTTTATTTTACTTTTGACAAACGGTTTTTTCATATGACGCAACGACAAGGAATGAAACACATAATCTTCAACTTTAGAAATTTTAAAACGAGCCTGCGCGCGGATACTTTATTTTACTTTTGGCGAATGGTTTTTTCATATGACGCAACGACAGAGAATCCATGCAACACTGCTGTGCAATTTCAAACATTTGTATATATTTATTTTCCAAGTATTTTTACGACAGTGACGGGGCGATTGTGATCATATCAACTCCAGCCCCAATGTAGGTAGACGCACTCAGTTTTCATATACTGACTTACATAAGCTGTGACTTTTATCATGATTTGTACATAAAATCTTTTTATCAGTCATTCAGAAAAAATAATTATGCATGTTAAACATATTTCATATTTGAATTGACAAGTCGCTCTACACATGCGTGCAAAATAAATAACAATTATGTCATTTTGTTGGCATAAATTTGAAAATAGACATCAATAAAGCTATACAAGTCTAAAATCTTGCGCGTTTAAATTTCTAACAATATTTGCGCTAGTGGTTTGAAATGACGCAACGTCCTGCGGTTAATGTTATTAGGCGAGGTATTGTGATTAAGAGTTGCTGTAATCATTTTCTGCGCGTACATCATAAATTATTGTCTTTGGCATGTGTCGATTATCATTGCGTTTAAAGCATTCTATGTAGTCTGCTGTTGTGACCTCTGTATGTTTAGATTGCTAAAGTAATACGCAAGATCGTTTTCCTAAAAACAAAGGTCTCATAACATTTTTATTGGGAATTAATTGCGCCGAATGTTTCCGCTTCGCCAAGAGGAGAAGCACTTCAGATTTTGCAGTAGGCACTTTATCGCCCGTGCGCACAGCCGGATTGACGCAAAATGTGATAAATTGTATTTTGCACGGGTTTGCGCATTTCAGCTAAATCATTAAACAGATATACGATTAATTAAGATGGTATCACGGTCGTTTTATCACAAGTATTACTTTAAACACAAAGCATAACTACGCTGTTTTTCTCATCAAAATTACTGTCAGCAATATCGATCTTTGCGCGCGATAGACAACACAGCGCTACCTTAAATAGCATTGTGTGCATCATAGCTGCATATTATCGGAGACAAACTGGGTTGCGTTCGCACCTTCACACGCTATTTCTCGCGTTTCGCAATGTAAACTTTGTCGCAACAGTCAAAAAAGAAAAATTGATACAAAATCAACATACAACAGCTATACCTTACGCTAATCCGATAAACAAAGTGTCTAGAGCATGCCAGTGTCCAGTACACTGCAGTTTACACGGCGCGAGGAACACAGCAGGATAATTTCAAACCTGATCTGTAAAATACTCAAAACTAAAAATGACTTGCCGACATACATTAGCTTATTTGCGATATCCAACTTTACATTTTCAAAGGTTATAAAATTATTTTAACAACCCTAGCAAGACACTAAGAGAATCTGCTCCTAAAAAGGGAACACTTATTGTTTAGAAATTTTTAAAAAATGTTTAAAAAAATCTTGAAAACATCAGAAGACTTCAATAGATGAGTCCACAGTACACGCCCATATTCCTCATTATTATCAAAATTAATCTATTTGAGTGGGTTTTCAAAGCTTTTATTCAGGCTGTGAAGATTTTGATTCTGACATTTGAAAAAGCTCTTGAGCAGATGGGTTATACAGTATGTGCGAATTTGAGATAGTAATTGAACGAGTATTCATCAACAAAACTAAGTTTCAATAACATCTTGTGCCAGGGGTGCGAACTCTGAACTGTCAAAATGGTCCGGAGTCAATCTTGTGGTAAAAGATAAATCTTATGAAATTTAATTTACCGGGTCGACTGCGGTCCTGATATTTCTATCTATCGCTCTGTTCTAAGCATTCCTAGGCGATTATATCTTCCGTTATCTCAAAACAACTGACCGTAGTTATTGCAATTTAAGGACTCGCCTCGCGTTGGTTGGGATCACTCTGAGTGTGCGCTTAATAACCTAAAGTAGCTCTTTTGTTTACGATCAGCTGTCACTAGTCTCAGGTGTGAGTCCAACGTTTTGCCGGAGACCAGGTCTGTTCACCACTACCTTGTGTTTAGCGATTGATATTTGCTGGAAAGCCTCTGAAAGACGCTGCGTCAACGATCAAGAGTTTATGGATCATCAGATTTACGGTAGGAAATATAAAACGTAATGTTTATTGTGTTCGCTCAACGTGATGTGATTATGATCACACAGTTCCCGTTGTGATATAGACAGTTCAACATAAGCAGGTTTAGGACGCAGCAAGCGCTCAGAGTGGGACGCACTTTTAGTCAGGCGCGCAGATTATGCAAAAGCCCACCAAAGAAGAGCGCAATGTTTCAGCCTATTGGAACAATTGAGTAATTACAGCGACATGCTTAATAATAGATGTAATTCGCTAGACACGTATTTTACACGACGAAACGCGCAAATTTAAACGTGACGCACGTTGCTCGAAGTATGTAAATCACATTCGTTTTTAAAATTATGTCTAAAAATGGAGAGAATTTGGAGAAATTCGGATTTAAAAGCGCGATTCAGGAAACCAATCATGTAAATATGAATTCTTGAACATTATGATGGATATGGCGGTGTGAGCTTGTTTGCTTTTTGTCTCCACGTCAAGGACGCCGAACATTTTCTGATTTGTCTTCGTGTTTGCTTAAGCTGTGAATGTTTGCCATCACAGTTGTTCGCGATAAATAGTTTTCCAAGATGTTGTCTTAGCGAGAAAATGTCTCTCTCCTTTCTGAGGGTTAAAAATAGACGCGCAATGTTTGCATGCGACTAATCTTCACCTCCTTCCAATGAATAAACGAAATAAAAGAATCATCAACTGTCTTCGCGCACGCTTGGAAGCCGCCTTGACCCTGCACGAGTGATATACATTCACACTTCCAAAAATTAAGAGGCAAAAATTATCAGCCTTCAGTTTTAGTGCACTCTTCAAACTTAATGTTCATGTCAACAGCACTCAGGAAAATTTGCAATATCTTGTCAACAGAATACTCAACGATATAAGTGCCTCGCGTAATGTATACTGAGAGATTCTAGGATTTAGGCTGAAAGAAACTACGCGATCATTTTACCGCCGTCGCAACAATAACAAGTGCGTCGATATAAAGAAATCTCGTAAAGTAAAAATATATTGCTTTTCACACAGTTCTATCACCTTAAAATTCTCCACCTTGGAAGAGCAGAAAAGGACCGTCTTTTAAGAATTTTTTAGGTAATCAAGTTTAGAAGCAACCCATCTGATAATCTCGTTATTCCAAATTTTTCCTAAGCCTAGACATAAATGCAATCAAAAACAACAAACGTTATGTAGTCTTGTTGAGACAGATCACAGAGTACCTTATTACACTTGATATCAAAGATACCGGCGTAATATAATGTTCTTAATGATCTAAGCAGTTCTTCTTTGCATCAATTAAGACAGTAATAATCAAAGAATATTTGTTACTATGTTTAAAAATTGTGACATGCGTGCGTGCACTGTACATCGCTTTTGATGAAAAGTAGCAGCTAATCCAAAGCTTTTTTCACCTCTCTCATTTTCTGTTTAAACTATAAAAATCGACACGGGAGTTTGGAAGGTTCTAATCGTTCATACAAATGTGTGAGGTGTTATTAGTTTAACATCTGTTTGACGCACCCATATGTAAAATATGACCATTGCCTTGGACCCAGTTAGATTTGTCGAGATAATAGGTTTGTAGGTAGAGGGTGGGAGAAATGAAGATGTGAGTGATGAGGTTCGCTTGGTTTTCTAAAGTTCTATTTCAGAATAACGCGTCTGGCTTGTATTAGTAATATGGAGGTGATGACGATATTCTGTTTTCAGATTATCAGCAGGAAATATACTTACGCTTCATCTTGGGTGTCTAAGCCAGGTGATGATGACACCGACACGCGGCCGGGGACATTCACTTGTAGTTCTCGTGGAATAGGTCGAGGATCGAGGGATGCCTGGGAATAGTGTATGTTTGGAAGATCATAAACGTTATGTAGTCAGTGAAGTAGTGTCTTCAAACACTGCTGTTAGAGTTGCATGGTCGAATAGTATTGTTGATTTGAAATAAGGCTTTATAGATTTGCATGATCCATGCTCCCAATCATGTGTATCAACTATCAGCACACCACAACAGTCATGCTGAGGCTCTGTGAACGATCCGATGTGATATTTCCTGCCCAGGTTCCCGCCTGCTCCTCGAGCACCCCTCGTTCCGCGAGCATGCGCGGTGAATTTTTTCTGCTCGAATTAGAACGTTTTTTTTTGAAAACATTTGCGAATAATTCAATTAATCGATTAATTGGTAAACTCTGCGCGCAAAATCCTAATTTTAGTCTACGACGAGTGCGCGCACTTTTGCGCAAAGTCAAGTGAATCTCCTTTTCGGCCGGCTTTCTTCATTGTTTCCCTCGCTGCGCGCATGAAACTTGAGCCAGATCGGCAAAGGAATTGCGCCACAGTTGCGTTTAATCGGATACGAGTGTTTACAAGAGAGTGCAGTTCTAGGTGCTGAAACACCGAAGCGGAAAAATTTAATTAGGGCGGTTAATTGATCACCACCTGTGATAAGCAACATTCTTACATTTAATGACATATTTGAGGCGAGAGCTTTCAGTAGACCATTTACTCGCTTGGGGAGCACATAAAAGCGCGAATAATGGCCAAAAGAGATGACAGCCAGTTGAATCTTATTCTTTCCTCAAAAGCTCACGCGTTTTCAGTTGCTTCGCTTATTTCACCACAAGACGGAGACGATGATTTACAAAGATATGCATATCCTTCGTCTGATTCAGGTATCACACGCTATATTAAAGTTAATACACACGCACTATATACTCCCAGCCAGAGGACAGTCATAGTCAGGAAGATCTCACTGTTCAGCTTTGTTAACTTAGTATTTATATACAATGGATATCAACACTTACGTCTACTTCCTATTTGCCCGCATACAAAGTAGTTGCTTATTTATAGTATACGTGATCCTATATTGCTTTATTCCTTTATAGAGTCTAATATTTATCATTGCACTATTTCTACGAACTAATAATGCTTAGTAATATCCGGGTTAAAGCTGAACAGTATATATTACAGACCCTTGTGTTGTTTGTCAGGTGTTAAAAAGCTCACAAAAGGATCTGAAATATAAGCACAGTAATCATGACTGATTGAGTACTTGTGTTGTTTCAGACTCAACTGATCTCACAAGCTCGGCTTTGGGATCAATGCAGGCAATGCAAAATAGGATGCCGTTGAACGAAGAACGCTCCCTTGAAGATATCAAAGTTGATTTACAAATGAAAGATCTCTGGCATCGATTTCATGAACTTGGGACTGAAATGATTATCACAAAGGCAGGAAGGTGAGTGTGTGTTTATCATAGTGATTTAAGAGTCTGAAGAGCGCAATACTTATGCAAGTGAAGCTACATTTATATGCCTTTCAAGAGTTTTATTGCCTCAATACTCAATGGCCGCTAATAGATTTTCTCACGTGCCACTCGTACATTTATTGCGCATAATATGGTAAACATAGAATATATTAATCGTGCATGTTGTAAGGTGCCTTCCCAGCACACAAAATCAAATTTTGAATTTAGAAAAGATTACATGTAATGCAATGAAGTTAAAGAATTGGAATTTGCAGACGAAAGTCTTCACATATTCTCTTTATTTTCTTGTACAATCAACCTTTCCTTATCTTGAAAACATCTTGGTTCTATATCGAGTTATGATCTATCATATTGCATTTCCTTTTCTCAATAGACGCATGTTTCCCGCAATGCGCATCAAAATTAGTGGCATGGATCCGAACGCGCAATATATTTTAATCTTGGACGTGGTACCCGTGGATAATAAGAGATACAGATATGCGTATCACAGTTCAAAGTGGATGGTTGCAGGGAATGCAGACGCCCCCATGCCTGGAAGAGTGTACATCCACCCTGACTCACCTGCCTCTGGTGAAGAATGGATGAGACAAGTCATATCATTTGACAAAGTCAAGCTTACTAACAACGAACTGGACCAACAAGGACATGTAAGTAATGGTCATGGACTGAATATTGGCTGATATCCTTAATGATGGGTTGCCAGTGTAGGTCGGCCTAGTTTATTTAAAATCACTAAGGAAATTTAGGAAGGTAACTCTAATGGCAGGTGACTGCTTGGAACAATGCGTCAATGCCTGCTGTATACCGTACTTCAGCACATCAATTTTGGTCTCGGATTATGAAGCGTTAATATGGCTACCAAACCAACTCTTGAAACCAAAAGCTTTTTTATTCATCAGCGGCTCCGGTAGTTTACAATATTCACTTCTCAGGAACAGCCTAAAGAGAGCAATGATCTCTATAGCCGGTGATAAGGGTCTTGATTTATTAATTTTTCAGATAATTATGGACATCCGTTCGGCGGATTTGATCTGACGTATTCTTAATTTCAGTTTTCATTGTTTTATAAAGGGAGCAATTTTCACAAATTTTTTGTGTATACGTTTCGTTTCTGAAACGGGAACATCTTGCGGATTATGTAATGGTCTTAAATTGATGCTAGGCTAGCTATATATAGACGGTGCTGTATTAAAACACCCATTCATTCATTAAGTTCTCAAAAAAGGGTTAAGAATAGGTTAATTGTCTGAAACAACATCAAACAAGACAGGTCTCCGCGCATGCCTTATGTATATTTTTAATACATGCATTTTAACTAGAAAGAAGGGGTAAAAAAATGCAAGAAATTGCATGTTTCTTTGATAAGATAGAAAGCAGTAAATAGCTACGGATGATTTAAAAATATATTGCAAAATTCTTACTTTGCATGTACACGCACCATGCCAATGAGAAGATGGTTACAGTAAAATGAACGAATTCCAATAAAAACTAAGAGAAAAGAACTTGTTTATTGATTTTGAATCACGAATGTTGGATGTGAAAGTTGACCTTAACGTCACTTCATTTACTACAGGCTCGTGGCGAACTCTCGTATGTTTAAAACTGGGGGTAACGTATTGGACAGCAAACTAAAGGCAATGGCAATAAAGTATTTCTGTTTTCTTAGATCATCCTTCACTCAATGCATAAATATCAACCACGAATCCACATCATAAAGAAGAAAGATTCCTCGTCTGCTAAACAAGATCAAGTGAATGATTTGGAGCAGGACACGACAAACGCTGAATCTAAAACATTTGTTTTTCACGAGACAGAGTTTATCACTGTGACTGCTTATCAGAACCAACAGGTAAGACACCCGACCAATTTGATCATGGAAGTATCTCGATCTAGTTAATAATAAGCAGGCTATGGTGATGAACGAAACTACTACACTTTCTTTTGCTATTTGCATCAAAATTTTACTGAAAGAAGTTGACAGTTCTAGCAACTTATCTCGCCTTTTCCTCAAAACATCAACCCACCTAGGCTAGACGAAAAAAAAAGCAAGGTGATTCCTAAATAACCAAAACTCTCAAGAACATCCTTTGGCTTTGCGTCTACTCTTCTATAAGATTTCCACACCTCGTATACACATCATGACAGTTTCAAGTGGATGTTTATTTTAAAATCACCAAAGGTTTCCGACGATTTTCAAATTGTTTCAACAATTTTGTCAAAATATATCAGTTTAATCGCCGAACGTGTTAAAGATTTGAAATCAAAACAAACTAAGCAACATCCTTTTACAATACGTCTTATCATCCAACAAGATAACAATAGACGTAAACAATGTTTTATATTTGGACTCGAATCTTCTGGATTTACGGACCATTGGCTCGCCTTAGGGCGCTTCCATTAGTTGCCAAGATGGTCAGACCGGTCATATTTTGAATTGAAAATTGAAATAGAGTATTTCCTTAAAAATATAGCGGTGAAGCTGCATTTTCCCTGCTAATCAGATGTAAATAACATTAAATCTGAATGAGGATTTCTTAAAACACTCCAAAATACCAGTAATCTGTCTGTCGACTATTCGCCGGTAGTTTTGTTACACCAGCAATCAAATTTGGTGTCGAAATTGTATAGTGAGTGATATGAACCTTGCAATGGTATTATGATCATTGTCTCTCGTGCATTCGCTTGTTTTGAACCCATTTGAAAATCAGGACTATTGACAGAATAACAGCAAAGTTAATCGCTACAATTATAAAATTTCCACTTAATCAAATAGCCTCACTTTGGATAATTTTAAAAGTTTATTCATGTACTGTACATTTAAATATAGTTTATTAGAAACGCATGTTTGCCGGACTACATGATAAGATATTTTACTAAAATATCCCAAGTATTCCTTTCAAACTATGAGACCAAAGCTTTATATGTATATATTGCCTAACCCAGACTGAAATATCCAGATAAGAATATTGACTTAATGACTACCAAATGGCGCGCGATCTCCGTTTATCGATAAAAATCAATAAAGGTCGAGACTTGCCGACATGTTTCAATATACAATGCCAAATCTGTACTTGCTGTTGTCCTCATCCCATATGTTGAAAGACGAATGTTGAACATAGCATACGAAAAATAGGTGATAAATGCATGACAAGAGCGATTGAGCTGAGCTCTTAAAATTTTAGAACAAACTTCAAATAACCCCCTGCCGTTAAAGTATTGTCTTGTTGCCCTTTAATCATGTCGAGAATTTTTGAATTTAGGTGGTCTTTTTAGAGCAGCGCAGTTTGTGTTTGGCTGTCCTGAAAAAGATAACTAACGATTTGAAGTCTTTCGTACCGATGTAAGGATATCTTTTTCAGGATGTTCAAGCACAAACAAGTGGTATTTACACACACTAAGATGAATTTCCCATCACTATAAATGAACGTCTCTTTATTTGCGAACTTTATTATAGATAACTCGTCTCAAAATTGATCGTAATCCATTTGCAAAAGGTTTCCGAGATTCAGGAAGAATCAGGTAATGCACTTAAATTCGTTAGGACTATTTCATGCCCGGCCTCAAAATCAGCTTTGTTTTCTTAGGCAGTCGTGAATAAGCGTGGTTTATGATAATTAAGATCATATATCTAAACATCTCCGCGCCAACGCAGCTTCTTCGTATCAATCAAACACCAATGCAACCGCACCAATAAAATTTTTCAGATTTCATCTTCCCTTCCGCCACCATTATCTTCAAATAACCAAAATTGATTTCTTAATTTTATTTACGCGTGATTACAGCAGATTGTTCCAGATTTAGAGGCTCGTCTTTTTGAGATAATTTTAATGAACATGCCTTGCACACTCCAGTTTAATTGCGAACTTATGTGGCATCATTTCTAAATTGTTTTTGGTATCTAAGTTCAGCTCATCGTTAGACACATATTCATATATTTATTAAGTAAAATTTCTTGCAAACACTTGTGATAGAAAAACTGTGTGAGTACTCAGGACTCTATTAGTGAACCACGGTTATGAATAATGTAATTTTTGGTATTTTCCAAGCCTCCAAGGTTATCTAAATAATCTATGACCTCCTTTTGCGGTAACTGGATTACGTTTTATCTATGGCGCTCGGGAACTAACCCTGCTTCGTAAATAAACAAAGCTATCACGAAACATCTGCTAAAATCCAAGAGGGCGTGAATAAATTTAAAGAAACCTCGGAACAAAATCATTGAAAGATAACAGAAAGTGTTCAACTGTTGAATATCTTTTCTATCTCAGCATCTAGATTCATGTTTTTCCTTAAATAATTTCTAAAAATGCTTCCAATCTATTGATTTTTGTTAACTGATTTGTTTCTGTCAATCCAGAGATGCAATGGATGAACTGATGCAGGCATATTCCTGCTGGCGTCCTCCAATAAGACCAGTTCCTTATCCTGATTACAACGGCAATGACGTCGCTTTCTCGCAAGATATGAGAACAGGTGTGGACGAACAACACGAACTGTCAGGATTCAACACAAATTTCACCACGGCTCCCCCACCTTCGACAAACTCCACTTCTGTGTCGTATCCCTCCGCATCAATGGTTTACCCCACATCCAACTACCCTCCCACCGCTTACAACGGATTTAGTAACGCGTACAGCGGTTACCCAACGCTAGCGCATGCTCATGTTCCGGGCACGCAGTTTTCCCCTCATTACACTACTTGCTCATACCCACCTCAACATAACCAACCTAGATTCCAGGCTAACGCGGTCCCTGCTAACGTCAGCATGAATTATGGTTACCATGGAAATCAAGTGGTAGCAGATCCTTCATCTCAATCATCTTACGTGCAATAACACCTTCGGTGGACACACGTGACCTCCCGACTGGAATACGAGTACTGTACGACAACGGGTGTACTGGAAGTCCAGTCGAAGGGAAGTTCTTTACATCTTTTGCCAAAACAAGATATTGTGTTTAAATGAGAACTACAAGAAGTCAGAGAGCACCATTGTCTACCTGTGATAAATATTATCACTTCATTTCAGTATTTTGTCGTAGTCCCATATTCAATCATGATACCGTAAAAAAAGTTGACAATCATCTTCTATCTCGTCGCGAAATGCTCGTGCAAACACACCCAGTAAAATAAAACCTGAAATAATATATAACACTTCCCAAATATTTGAAAACGAAGACAGTCCATTTGATAATGGATTCATCTTCCCTTCTTAATCTCATGCACACAATTGTTCCATTTGAACTCAAGTGAAATCGGAAAATGTATATTGGCTGAAAGAAGTCTTTCTCTTCCTATTCTTTGATTTTGCACTGGGTAACGATAGCACCTGAATAATTGATATTGTTGTGAAATTTTTATAACAAGAAACTGAATGAATGCGGGCGGGATATTTCATGTATATAAAAATGATAGTCTGTAAATAGTCTATAAGAAAGAGTTTATAAGAATCTAAAGGCTAATGATTGCCTGCATCCTGTCGTTTCTTAGTGTTATTTACCATAGATATTACCGTTCCTGCGGCCTCATTTAAATCTAGAAATTTGGAATTAGAAACGTGTGTTTACTGCGAGGATGAGAGAATAAATAGCCCATTTCTCGCTAGTAAAACGTCGTAGAATATACATCATGAGTTGCTTAGAGTTAGAGCAGGTGTTTTTTTACTTCATAACAATATATTATATATAGTCACACTAATGGAAACTGCTGTTGTCTGTGTGCTATTTCCCAATTCTTTAAACTGTTTTGTACATTTGTAAGAAGTTATAATTTAAATGATAATGAGATCTTATACACACCCACATATTATTTTGACAGGTTTTAATACAAGTAGACAGTAATATAGTCACGAGAATGAATTGAAAATCCATTAAATTATTGCAAGTGTCTGGTGCATTTTTTGGCATCTTATTTTCTCTGTTCTGGTGAAGGTACTTGCACCAAACCTCTTGATCTTACTAAACAAAAGATGCTCTTTTCAAATATAGTATTATTTTCAAGAAAAAATAGTGTAAAAAGTAACAAAATGGGTTTTTTACATTGAAAGTGATTTTGTTACAATTTCTTCTTATAATCGGCTTAGTCCCTTTTCACGCGGTACAGAACTTTAAAGACAGAATCAAAATGGAGTCGGAGGGAGGTGATGTTGACGACTTGTCGCCTTTTTTCCCTTCTGAACAGCCCACGTTCCCTTCAGTATTCAACAATTTACACTCTCCAGGATCAGAAAAGAGCGACAATGGCCTCTCAGACTTTGAAGAAGACCTGCCAAGGGAATTAGAATTGAGCGAACAGTATGGACGAACACCGCCAAGTTCAAGAACCTTTACTAAACCAAGCAAATTAGGTAGATCTAGAAGTACACGAAGGAAGAAAGCTTCAGATTTTAAGACTTCGCCTAGTTATGCTTCGTGGCAAAGACGGCAGAGTGCTTCAGCCATGTCAACGGAAAGAGCATACTATAGAATTGTGAAAGAAGAGGAGTCAACTGTTGTTTTGGTTAACGGACCCGAAGAGTTCACGTACAGACGAAGAAACCGTAGCTTTACTGAGAGTTCATTACATCGAAAGAATACTAACCCGAGAAAATTTCAGTGTCTTAGATACAAAGAGTCTGGTTTTAATGTTGAAAATAACGTAATTTTCAAAGAAGAACCGCCAGCTGTTTGTCCTTTGGAAAGGGTGAAATTTTATGAAACTCTGAACATGTTGGTTAATTTAGGCCAAGGCGGTAATGCTGAAGGCAAGGATAAAATTGAGGAAGAGATAGGAAACTATGAAGTGGAAGAATTACAAGAAGCATTATGGCTTGAGTTGCAGGCCTGGCAAAAATCCACAACAATGTTAGACCAAGATGAATGGTTGATGAATGAACGAAAGAAAATAAATAGCATTTTAGACAATGTGATTTATTTTCATGTTGATAAAACACTGAGAGTGGACTTTGAAGTGCAGTTTTCTGATCCCGAAAGTGACTCGGATGTTGATGATGATGATGATGAAGATGATTTCTGCTGTTTACTCCACCCTAGTAACAACATGTTTCAACACAGTCCTTCCATAGGCAGCGAAACCAATGATTTAGCTGATTTTGATGACTCAAATCTAAGTACAAGTCCTGACTGCAGTGCAACAACAAACAGTACTGATGAAGACACATATAAATTATCAGATTTTGCCCAAACCATGAAGACAGCCATCAGTTCAGTCACCTTTGCCCTGAATAAGTTGTATTATGCTGAGCATCTCTATCCTTCTCGTGGAGCTCTTAAAAAAGACTTTGAGAAGTACAGCTCTGAAGATTTTCAAACAAGTTATGATACATTGGTGTTGTGGTTGAATCAGGTAAAAGGGTTGTATCATAAACTACATGTTATGTCTCAGCTTGTCCATGTTGATTTTGATGATGAAAAAGTTTGGAAGGATTGGATTAATCTAGGCATAGGTAAGTTCACTTTCACTTGTCAATCTCTCATTAACTGGCAGTATTCTTCAACTAAGAATGGTAATAAACAAAGTGATATTCTGGATTAAGTCCATTCTCTAGTACTGATATAGAGATTCGATGTAGAATTCTGACTTTTGAAGGAAACAAAAAATAGAAATTAAAATTCCTGTTCTTCTGTAGGTCTCCAATTTTTAAAGACCTACAACAATTGTAGAAATTGTCAAGATGTTAGTTCTCAGCATGACTTTGAAATGCCAGAGAATTTTGAAGGCATCAAACGTGGTTTGAGTTCTGAGAATACCAGCACCAGTAGGTATCGCCCTTTTGTTGATCAGAACATCAAGAAGATGGGTGTGGCATACCTGGGGTACAAGCTGCACCAACTCATCCATATGGAGCTAGCCAGAGCATCCTACATCTTACAAGTTGATAGAAGTACAAATGTGTTTGTAAAACACCAGGATTTGCACATTTTGTACAAAACGATGCTTGTTAGAAAAATTGAAAACTGGTCTGAAGACATCATGGACCCTAATGACGCAAAGAACTATCACCAGACGTTTGGAGTACCAGAGGCAAATTGGATTGAAAGATTTGAGAAAATGGGGTTGCCATCATTTGATAGCCTCTTTGTCTTCCTTGTTCGTCTTGTCATGGATATCTATCATGAGTGTCTTCGAATGAGAATGGAACATCGTCCCAAAGGAGAACCTTCCTCTCTTAGTGTTCGTCAGGTACAAGTCGGACTGCATTAGATTGCAATTTTCTGTAGTACTTATCATTTTTAAATGAGCCCCTATGTAAACCATTCTCTAAAAGAATTATATTTTGTTATAATATTTTAGTTGTTGGAGGAATGCAAAGAAGTGATGTTGGCGGCCATTGTTGTTCGACAGTATTTCCTGGACGCTTTGGAAACTCTTGGAAAAGATTTGAGTAGCTGTCCACTGTTTGAGGAAAGAGTTTTAGAATTTGATCAAGACATTCAGAAGATGTTGGAGGTTTGTTTTTTGGAGATATTTATTTAAGAAATCCTCTTGTTCAATTTCCTAACTTGTTGTCAGTTTGAAATACTAAACTAAAAGCACATTTGGGCTCAACACCAGTTAGTTAGTGGGTTCATATGAGTGGTTACTCCACATTTTGTGTATTTTTTGCAGGTGTATTTTGAGTATCTTCATCTGTATATGCACATGTTGCAACGCTTGCCAGAAGCTTCTTGTGGTGTGAAGAACATCCTGGAGGAAGAGTGGGAGTTTGTGCGTGAAATAACTCCTTATATCAGGGGAGGAGAGGTCCAGGCTGGCAAGAGATTCTGGTGAGAGCATTTAAAAGTTATCCTAGAATATATGAGATTAGATATTTCATATTTCTCTTGTGTTTTCTGTGCAGTGTAATGGCCCGGGGTCTGGTTGAATCAACTGCAGATTTTCTCACGGCTGGAATGGACGAGTATTTTTCTTGCTTGCATGATTTGGATGACAATGAAAAGTTATGGTAAGGTTACGTTTCTTTCTGTTGTAACAAAAGTGACTAGTCGTGACCTCAAGGAAGAGCAGTTTAGAACTGATCTTGAACGCTAATTTTTATTTTTTTAGGGTAAAGGTTCTTCAATCCTGTCGTGACTTTAAGAAACTTTTCAAGGAGACACGTGAGCGAAGCATCAAGGCCTTGGGCTTCGTAAAAAGATTGCGAACGGATCTTGGCGTGGCTGCAACATTTAATGTAAACACCTCCATTCCACAAATACTGGAAACACTTAAAACGTCTGAATACATTCAGGTGAATAGTTGGATTGTTTTCGCGTTATCTTGCAAATCGTTTCAGTCAGACAGCTGGTCTAAATTTTTTAGTCTTTTTTAGGTGGTTCCAAAACAAAATATTTCCGTTTTAATGTTTGTTCCACCTGCTTTAAAAGATTCGAAAAGGTTTGGTTTCATAAATCTTGCATTTTTTCAGTCAGGTATTTCAGTATATTGTTCTTCGTTTTCTAATCATTTTTAACGTATCTTAGGTGCATCATTGAACTGCTGAATGCTTGCTGTGGCCTCCACAGTCAATCCAGTGCTTGCGCTCAGGGAGTGGACAGCTTCATCGTGTTGGTCTCTGCTAAGAAAACGAGGGGATATCAGTGGACTGGGAAGACGATTGACGTCACTCCTGCGTTAGATGCGTCACTAGGACTGGTCGATATACAGGTGGGTATCTGGACCGTCAAATAATCCCCGAAATCCTGATCACTAAAATTTCGTTTCTTGTTGTGTTAAGGTGGATGATCTAGCCATCGTTGCCTGCACCTCGCATGCTTTGAGTATTCATATCAGTACATTCACTACTCACATGGTTGACGCCGTCACTTGTGCCTCAGGATCCACTTCGTGTCATCATGATCTTATTGATATGAAAACGCAAATAGCGGTAATCAAACTGTACTCTACACTGCAAGAAACATACTATTATTAAAACCAAAGGCCAGTTGTGTGAAAGCCTAGTTAAGCTTTAACTGTAGTTAAGGACAGAATTGGCCAATCAAAGCCGTGTATTTCTGAGTTAACTAAGATACAATCGGTCCACTAATTCTTAGTTTAACATACATTTCATACAGTAAAATGTGCATTTGCAGGGTGTACGAGGAGTATGGCTGCTTATGATAGACTTGTGTTTATTTACAAGGTCTTTCAGTAAAGATATCTCATTCTTATTTCCAGGAATCGTTGGTGAATCTGAGAACGAAAGTTTGTGATGCATTGGATGGCGCTGTTGAAAACCTTGACGTGGAAAAGATGTATGATATTGAAGAAAATGAACGAAACAGATTGAACCAAAGTACTTTGGAAGCACTGCAATGTGCTTTTAATGCTGTCTTTGACGTAAGTCAGTGTATTGAAGTTTGGGAGATCAAATTTTCTAACCTTTAAAAACAGATTTGCTGTTTCAGCTCTGTTAAGGTTTGCATATGCCATTGGGATGCAACGCACAGAGATACAGGCATAAAAAGCGATTAAATAAACTTTAAGTTAAACATTTATTTAGTTCCATCGGGAAATGAAACGAATTCCTGAAACAGATGAGGAATCTTTGTCAATTGTTGGTAAATATTATCTGGAGTTGGCCTCAAAGTGGATGGACTTTGTTTTAAAGCGTTGTCAGAAAGGAAAGGGAAGCCGACCGAGGTTTGTCACAGAATAAATAAGTTTTATAAGTTTTGGTATCAGAAAACATCGTCTCTTCTCATGCTTTGGTGGTCACTTTTTTCTCAGGTGGGCAGGCCAAGGACTGAAGTTTCTTATAGAAGCTTGTCATCCAACGATTTCCTGTCGTTTAACGAAGACTGAGTTTGAGGTGAATAATCCGTTTGTATGTTGTTTCTTGCACTTTTTTTTTAAGCAAACTTGTTTGATGTGTTTTTAGAGGTTACAACGTCAAATAAACAACTGTATTGATCACGTCATTGGCAGTGCAGAAAATCCAGCAAATGCGAATAGTCCGAACACAGTGAGCCCGTCCTGGGCCTCGCCTAACACAGGAAAGTTTAATCGATCATCAACTTATCCTGGAGCCAACTCACATGTTCACCCATCAAGAACTATTTCAGAACCAGGACGACCAACCATGAAACACGGTGTCTTGAATGGTGTGTATGCTAGAATAATGTGTTATGAATGATTGACTGTTGTAGTCGCACTCTTACAATCTATTTCATCTTTTAAGGTGATGACCAAGTTGATAATGAGATGGAAGCACCACAGCGCAGGATTGCGCATGTCAGAGAAAGTGTCGCTTATTTAGAATATCAACGCCAAATGACAATGTTGGAAAAGGGTGTGATAGGTCAGCTGAGTAACAAGAAACGTGATCTCGCTGGAGAACTGGCTGTTATTCCGAAACGAGTACCGTTTAAATGGCAAAGAGGAAATAAAATTGGTAAGAAATTCAATAATGTATCAAATTATATTATCAGGCTTCTAATTTGTTGTTAAATATGTTTTAATAAGTAGAATATGTGTTCTAATTTGCTTAATCAAGTGATGATCATTATAGAAAGTATCCAATTAAATGATGAGATTTTTAATGTTTTTATTTTTTATTAGGTGAGGGTCAGTTTGGAAAGGTTTATTCTTGTGTTAACCTGGATACAGAGGAAGTGGTTGCCATGAAACAGGTGAATATTGTCTGGATCATTGTGTTGCTAAAATATCTTTACATTTATAAAATATTTTGTTATCATTTGCAGATATTATTTCATCCAAACGACCATAGCGCATTCCAAGATCTGGCTGACGAGATTAAGGCTTTTGAGGGACTGACCCACGAGAGCCTGGTGAAGTATTACGGATGTGAAGTTCATAGGGTGAGTTAATGATAGAAAGGGTGTTTGGAGGAAAAAGAGGGATATATTAGAAAAGAGTTGAGAAGTAAAAAGGACAGGAATAAGGAGACATGAGGGCAGTCATGGACATCAGTTTTGTCTTCTAGGATGTGATGTATATATTTATGGAATACTGTGGTGATGGAACAATATCAGACGTATCTAAGATTGGGTTACCTGAGGCGATGATACGCAAGTACGCTGACCAAATATTGCTTGCCGTCGAATTTTTACACGACCGAGGGATTGTTCATCGTGATATAAAAGGTTAGTCTTATATAAAGTATTACCGGGTTAAGAGTGACTGCAGTTGTTTTTGTTTGAATCGCTGTGAAAGAGATTGATATCATTACTATTCAATATTCGTATGTTTAACGTTGCTGATAAAATAGGCAAAAAAAATTGATTTTTTTTGCTCGTAAGTTGCCATTTTATAAAAAAAAGTGTGCAAAACAGAAACATAAGACATTTTTTACGCTATCTTCATGCATTTCCACGCATAATCTGTGAGGCAATTATATAATCTCAGTTAAGTACGTGCAGAATGATGGAAGCTGGATTAATTCTGCCAGCACTACGTGCACAGTACAGCACTACAAGGCTCAGTCGCAGCTGTGTAGTAATGAATCAAAGCTGTTTATCGCAACCAAAACTGACAAAGATTTGTATATTTGTTAAAAAGTACACGATATAAGCCTATATTATTATTAAAATGTTACATAACAAATCCGGGAAATGAAATTGTAGTTGATGGATTATCCGTCCTACATTAATGATAAGTGATATTTATCTTCGTTGTGATTTGCTTTTCGCTGTCTGCTAAATTAACTTATCTATATTTCTGATAAATTAGCAAAAAGTTTGTCACGTAGCTATGTATTATAAATAGCGTGGAAACGTTTATTGTGCAGAGGTCATTGTAGCTCAGGAGCTAAGTTTCTTTATTTGCATCAAGATTGAACTCGCTTTTGTACGTTTTCAAATCTCACTTTATTATTATAAATGAAACGAACCTGTAGGCTAACTCGCCCGAAATAAGAGACTTTTAGAAATATACTTGATCATTTTCGGCATTTAAATTTTAATGTCATTTATAAAATGAAATATTGTGCATAGCGAGGGAAATGTTTTCTATGGCTAAAGGAAATTCAACAATGATGGATCATCTTCCTTCAAAGAAATTTTTCATCGCTGCGATCGTTTTAAAGTGCATCCTTGCAATTCTTGGCATAATCGGGAACCTAGGAGCTATTATTCGTGTTCTCAGGATGAAACAGTCGAATAATCCATCAGATTATCTGATATTAAACCTTGCAATAGCGGATCTCGCCACTTGTGGAACATATTACCCTACTTTTGTTGTCGAATTTGGACGAATTCTAGCCGGGGTGGAGGTAAACCAGGATATGTTTTGTCGATTAAGTGCAACTCTCAGCAGCGCAACCGTTGCAGTGTCTATTTTAACAATTCTTGCGATTACCTACGACCGTTATCGTTACATTGCGACACCTCTCAAGTACCCGTTAATGATGACGAAGAAACGAGTGTTTGTGATCCTAGCGACGATTTGGTTATTTGCGTCCTTTTTTGCCTGCTTACTCGTCTTGTTTACTGAAGGCAGCGAGAGACGATTAAATTGCTCTTTTAATTTCGCCGTGAAAGCTTTCGGTCTGGTTATATTCATATATATACCTACAATATTAGTCTTGTATCTTAATTACATCATATTCAAAGTGGCGCGAAATCATAGAAATAAGATCGCACAGCAGTATGGGATCGCGTGTTTCATCAACCAATCAGAAAGCTGCAGGCTTTACAGACCTTCAGTCCTGTCGAGGTTCACAAGAGCTTTCAAGTCTATCAAAACCTTTGGGATTGTCACGGCTGTTTTTGTGTTTTGTTTCATTCCCTATTCGACTGCGCTTCTTGTGGGCACCTTTTTATGTGAAAATGATTGTGTTCCACTAGAACTGTTGATTCTCCTCAGAGATCTCGTTAGTCTAAGCTCTGTCTTAAATCCAGCTTTATACACACTGAGACGAAACACATAAAACTGCGCTAATTACGAGCACCGCGGTTAATTTTTGATATATCAACTCAATTCATGTTTTTGATCATTTAAAATGCATTGCACGGTCGTTGAAGCAGAACTTTAAATGCTCTTCTGTATTCCTCGTGTCTTATGCTATAAATGAAAGGATTTAAAACAGAATTTGCTCCAGCCAAGATGGCAGCTGTTATTAAAACCTCAAAGGGTATGCACTTTCCTCCGCAGATGAGAAGATCTGACATAGCTAGAACTGGAAAAGGTGTCACACAGAATAGAAAACAACCAAACACCACTGTGAATGTTTTAAAAAGCTTTAACTGTCTTGCTAAATGTCTTCGTGGTGAAGCAGTCGTTGAAGTGCTTGTTTCAGACGGAGCGGCCTGGGCAGCGATCTTTCGACGTTGTGCCTTTGCGATTCGCAAAATTTTGATGTTGAAGACAACAGTCGCGGTTAAGGGGATGTAATAACATATCGTAGTTGAAACAAGAGCTACAACCATATCAACCTCGCACAGTAAAGGCACACCAGTTGATTTTGTATTTGCGAAGACTAATATGCCATTTGTTAAGCCAGCACACCACACTGCTGCCAAAGCGATGTATGCTCGCCCTGTGGTGACAATATTAGGATATTTGAGAGGCAACGTTATACAAATGTACCTGTCTATCGTTAATACCATTATGTTCACAACTGATAAAGAAAGACTGGTTGCAGTAATCGCAAGGCTGATTTGACAAACCAGGTTTGTTTCCACGCTGTTCCCATGAAGAATCCTTACACACTCCGTTATGTAAGTTGGAAAATAGATTCCACAGACGAGCAGATCGGAGACGGCGAGATTTAGGACGAAAAAACTTGTGGGATTCCTGTTGGCGTTCAGAAAAACATTATAAGCTATAACGACGATGTTTCCGATAACTCCAAAGATGACAAACAATAGATCGATGATAACAATCGTTATTAAGAAATATCTTGAGAGATTTTCCTCCTGGACGGTCGAATTCATTCTGTGATATCGTGAGCTACCTTTGTATCCTGTAAATAACGCTGAACGTTTTGATCGGGATGGATGAAATATGGTTACACGAAGTTCTCAAATGCCAGAGATGCTATTTCTTGTATTTCAAAGAAAAAAAAAGATTTTAAAGAACAAAAGCTCTGATGATAGCCTGCTTCACTGTTTCAATCTATACAAAACCTCTCAAGGAGATGATTCTTTCATTTTCATTAGTTATTTTACGTGTAACGATAGCGAAATACATGCGCTTTTAAAACTTTAATATAGGACTAAATTGAAATGAATACAAAATTTCTAATATGGCTGAACGAACAATATGCAGCTGTGTTAGTTTAAATACTTTTCACCGGCAAATAAAAATAGACTGCAATTATATTTGATTACCTTCGTTGCGCTATAACCGGCTAATTTTAATATAAGAATTAAAAAAAAATTAATATCTGCACTTGTGTTAATCACGGGTACATCCTAATTAATTTCTGTCATATGAGATTTCCAAAAATGAGCAGTTGACGACGATACAAAGCGATCGCCAAAATTTCATATGTCAAAGTGTGAATTGAATTTGATTAGGGCAATAGATGTCGGGTAATGATTTCACTTTTAGTTCAATTTAGTTTAATATAAATTGGAACGCAATCCTATTTCTTAAAAGATGTGTCCCATCGTGTGGAAAATCCGATGCTACCTGTATGAAATTAAAATTAATTTAAGCTGAATTTGAGTATTTATACAGTTGAGAACTCTTTCCATCTGTATTGAACTGTTTAACGGTTGAACTTCAACCCAGCATAAACCAGACGTATTGATTCACACCAGTTGTCGCAGTAATTTAGATAAATGTGTTTTTTTATTCACATGCTGACACCTTAAAGGTTCAATTTATTTCAATTAAATTAGAAATTAAAATTATACGACGTCTTGTATTCCATTGTTACTCTTTTTTTGCATACATAAATGATTTGTTTCAGAGGTAAAATTACTGCTTACTGGATCTCTAGGTCTAGGTCTAGGTCTAGGAAGAACAGTTTAAAACTAAAAGGTATATAATGTAAGTGACTATACGTGGTCTTTAAATTAATTTTTTGTCCTATTCTACTAGGCCCAAATATATTCCTGTCATCAGAAGGTTTGATAAAGTTGGGTGACTTTGGGGCCTCGGTGAAACTTGGAAATCCATCTCAGACAATGTGTGGGGAGGTGGCTACTCTCCGGGGTACGATCGCGTATATGGCACCGGAAGTTATACTCCCCCCTTGATAGAGGCGCCGGCTATGGTAGAGCCGCTGACATCTGGAGTGTGGGCTGTGTTGTCGTCGAAATGGCGACTGGGAAGGTAGGATTCTTAATTATTGCTTTTATTGAATATTTGCTCTGGATTAATTAATGGTTCGGAATTAAATGTTTAAAGTCCGTTGAGTTGCCCAGCATCATCAATGTTTGAAACACGTCAGGAATTTCGAACCCAGTCTCTTCAACTCCCGGTAGTATTGCGGCGTGTTCAACAACCAGTGGATTGGGAAGAGAGCGCATATCAAGAGGGAGAGAGGAATACAATAGACAATAAACTTCTTGGTCAGCGTGTTATCACACGGATCACAGATGACCAACAACAACATACTGGTCCCCACAGGCAGTGACATTAATACTAAGAATGCGATATAAACAAACAATACCATTGCCAACTTTGAGTTTTGTTTGATAACGATCAACCCCTGACGAGAGGCTGACGCGTTCAACGTCTTCTTCAGTCCACGTTTTCTGCGGCGAAGAGAAAACAATATTTTTCCATATATAACTGCCATGACTAATGTCATAAACCAACAAAATAATACAAAGATTGTTTGCATTACATCAGCATCAACAAATGACATTAAAATCGCGAGTATTCCAATGGCAAATATCCATAGTGCAAGTAAAACCATTATCATTGTTCTTGGTTTCGGTGATAGAGCTTTGTACAAAATTGGTTTTGCTATCATCGTGTATGTCATTAGAGCCATTAACAACGTGCTTATAAAGTATATAACAATTGCCGTTGACACAACGCCTGAAAGAATCTCTCTGCTGATGTATCTGGTCTCATCAGGACGATGCATGATATCCAACTGACTCACCGTTGTTACTCCGTTTACAGCTAAATTCAATATACACAAATTTGCTAGTATAATGTTTCTATTATTCCACGTTTTGCTGCCTGGGTTTCTAATAATCATTGCTAGAAATATCACATTCAATGGCAACGATGCCATGCAAACGATGATGTAAAACTTCTCAAGAAATTCATAGTTTACATCGAGTTCTTTCGGATACTTGAACCATCCCACGATGAAGAATTCTATTGGGTCTGTTGTATTGCTAATATTCGCCATGGTTGAACTGGACACCAGATGAGAATATCAAGCTCTCGTGAATATAATATCGACCTGGATTCTTGCTAAACAAAGATCTTGTTGTTTTAGGTCCTTGAGATAACTCTAGCTTTATCGCTAGGTGATATTTTCGCTTCTTTCAAGTCTCTAAATGGTTTGTTTCTCCCTGATTTTTTATACAAGCTAAACAGGAAGACTGTAGTTTTTTTAACGGATGATCGTGTTTCCTCTTGAAATATGATATCTTATATCGTCACGCCTCTGGCTTGGTGGGCTTATATAATCTTCACTGAAATTCACTCATCTCTGATCAATTGCTTGAGCTTATCCATTTCATCTAATCCTTTATTAAATCGAACTCTTTAAAGTACCATATCCGTTTATCAAATGACTAATAGAAGCTATAAATCAAAGAATATATGTTGTGTTGAAAAACAAACTTCTGTCTCACATATAATGTTGTGTTTCGGCAACGTTTACACTCCTCCTTGACGTCATTTAGAATTGAATATTTTCACGATTCAATGCATTTCGAATGTTATAAACATAGATTATTAATTAAAATTGTAACCAGATCATTGGAATAGTGGCTGCAAATTTGTAATGTACAATTTTCCTGACCATCTGCTCTCGTTCTTTGCAACTCTTCTTATGAGAAGATATCCTTATTGCTGATAATATACAAAAACCTTTCTTGATGTTCGAACTTTGATATTGACAAAGAACAAGCGTCTTGTGATACTAACTTTAATATACAGAAATGGATGAAAATTTTGCGCTATTACATAATATACTTAACAAAATTAATACTTGAATGTGTATGGCGACTCGCAAAAGAAGTGGTAAAACGTTGATGTTGTTTTTTCTAGATTTATTTTACGACAGTTAATGGGTGTCACACCGAGTTTTAATTAAATATTTTGATGAACATATTCATATACATACGCTTTGATCGAAATCAATTTCTGATTTCGATCCTTTCCATTTTATGTTTCCGACTAGTTTGCTAAATGTATGAACTACGGCTTTATTAGAGCTTGAGAATTCTAGTTTATCATGTCCATGAATATAACGTGAATTTTATAAAAGTCAGTTCCAACTGCCTGTTGTTTGTCTATTAACATGGAATTTCCAATGAAAACGAAATCTGTACAATTTCTTCAACTTCTCAATTACTAGTAATTGTTATTCCCGATGTCTTACCCGCTTATTTTTAAACTTCTAATTAACATGCATTAAAGTTAGATTACTTGTCATCATGTCTTTATTCATTTCCGATTTTTCTATAATGGCCTATAAACATAAAAAACTATTTCTTCTTGTGAAAAATGAATGTTAATAAGCTACGAATTTATCCTTAATCTCATCCTTAGGGTTTAGTTGGGGTTGATTAGGGTGAGATTTGGGATTAAACTTAAGATTATATTCGTGGATTATAAACATGGAATTACACCCAAATGAAAGACGATTTCATTTGCTTACTTTATTTATATTCTTTCCCAGCCTCCGTGGAGCGAGTATGACAATCAATGGGCGATCATGCTGAAAGTTGGTGAAGGTGGTTCACCCGCTATCCCAGAAAGCCTCAGTGAAGAAGGCAAGGATTTCTTAATGCATTGTTTTGTTCATGATCCACATGAGCGATGGACAGCGAGACAACTCCAGAATCACACTTTTCTGAAAGTATAAAAAATGGAGAAGGTGAGGCGTATTTCATTCCACTGAATTCATAATTAATGACTCAAGTTACGTTTACACGAGACTGGGCGAAGTAAGGGCATATTCGACCATGGTCGAGTCAGCCGGAAAATGGCAAATACGACCATGGTCGAGTTCGCCGGAAAATGGCAAATACGACCATGGTCATATTCGCCGGAAAATGGCTAATTCGACCATGGTCGAGTTCTCTGGAAAATGGCTAATTCGACCATGGTCGAGTCCACAGGAAAACGGAGTATTATTTTTTTTGTTGATTAGGAAGAAAAGTAGTTGTTTTTCGGACATCAATTCACTCCGCGTTTTTAATATCACATTTCTTCGTTGCACATTTCTTCTAGTGTTGTTGATATATCTTCAATGGACTATTGGAGGTACAGAGGGATAACATGGAGCAAAAGAGTATAATGGATTACATGGACGTGAACTACGGTCAGATTTTAAATTTATTTATTTTGAGGCGTATGGGGTAACATGCTAATAGTGTTGATAAATATGTACATATGGTGTTATGCAGTGATATAACATCGTAATGTTGTCCAATGTACAAAAACTACATGTTTTTGTCGCATGTAAATATGGCACAAGCTGTGCCTGTGTGCTGTGTTAAACTGATCTCAGGTAAATATGAGATCTTGGAATTGCTTTTCCATAATCGTAAGATCATTCTGATGGAGAGTAAGGTCGTGCATGAAGTATCTTGTTGGGTGTTTTTAGCTGGTACTGCTAGGTTTTTGAATGTGGGTTACCGTAGAATAAATTATATTGTATATAGAAAACTCGCTTTTAAGTTAAGCATGATTAGGTCATTTCTTAACGTGTAGGTTAAAGTGATGTAATAATGTTGTATAAAATTTCCTTCTAAGTAACCAATGATTAATGTGATATCTATATAGCTTTGAATGTTTTCTATTGTAGAAAACTTGCCATTAAATTAGGAACGCTAGATTACTACATACATTACGTTAAAGTGATGATAATTTTTGTACAGGGTTTTAGGCTAAACTTAGTTTAGATTGTAGTATAAATTATTAGCATTATTATTTTAATTGTCCGTCAGTGGCAATTCGCTGATGCTTAGGGTGTGTGTGGGTGTGGGGGGGGGGGTTAAAAATTGTGTAGAAAAATTTAAAATCTAAGTAGTGTAGATATTTTAATATTTATAGCTTGTAAAATATAGGAATGAAAATGGTTTATTAAAGGCATTATTATTCTTTTTATTTGCTTTGTAATATAAATTGAAAAAGTCGGCAAAATACCAGTCATAACCGGTCAATATATGCGGTGTAAGTTGAGTCGTTAGAATTCATCTGCATGTTTCTCAGTAGTGGAGATATTTAGTCGTTTATTTCATTGTAATCTGTGCCTAGTTATAAATAGCATGAGATGAGATGAGATGAAGGATATTACAAGAACCTTAATCTGAACCTATCTATCAATCTTTCTATCTATCTATCATGGTTTCAGCAGGAATTGTGTAAAAACTTCCTCCATCGTGCTGAACAATAAAAAGGACAGTTATCCCACACTTTATTGTTAGTTGCAGAGGATAATTTGTTTTACTAACTTGTCGTCAGGTTGGGTATGTGGAGAGACACGCCACGACAACAAACCTAAAATAACAGACACTTGAAATATTGGTTTATGAGAACAGTGTGGTTAGACAATAGGATATTTTTAGATCTAGAAAAACCACGATTTTTTAATTATACAGCACGTGGGATTGTTAAACTCTCTCCAAAGTATCCTTTGGATGTTTGAGTGCAAAGGCCTGTATTTCTTAAGTTATATAGTTTCAGTTAGTAAAATTTGGGATATCGATAGAACGTTTTCTATGCAAATAATTGATTAATGATTGCGAGATTGCGACATTATGCCACGTGATTGATTACATCAATTGTGAATTATACATGAGTACATTGACTATCATAGTCACTGATCTCATCATAGTTTATATAGCTGGCATAAAATTATGCATGTGACGTTCACGCATTCATCGTGTGACTTTGTGCATGATTTGTTGCAATTGGATCGTAATCAGAACGTATTCACGAGTTGTTTGTGTTTTCGAAGAAAGTCAATGAAAGAATATAACAATCAAGTGATCCTCGTGACGTCTGCACCCTAGATATTGTATTGTTTCACAGCTTGTATCTCACGTGGATGATTTATCCCAGAATTGTTTTCAACACTAATGCTTCTCATTCATAATTGTTCCATAATTAACGTAATCATCATACATTGTTACATTGTTCTGTCTTGTAGAGTAATATGTTTGCTTGCCAATTTTGCTAGCAATTTTACTTCGTTTGTTTTGTCGAAATAGCCCACTACATTTTCGAAATATTTTCATCCATTTTTGACTAATGGCATTTGATAATGCAGGGAAATCAATCTCGAAATCAGTTTTAGTGTTTGCATAAATCCCTCAGCGAGCCAAAGAAATGTATGTATATGATTAATAGATTAAGTTTATTTACTGAATATTCTAGTCCTCACCTAAGATTACGTCCTTACATAAGATTATACAGCAGTCTTTTGGACTAAAACTTGGAACAATAGGATTAATGTGAACGTCTTCAGGGTGTGATTTTTAGATCAGTAATATGATATTCAAGCTGGGTTTTCCCTGTAAAGACCTATTTATACTATATACGATTTATAGTATACGATTCTTACTCTGGCGTATGTGAACGTATGAATACACGTACGAACGTGACATTTTAAACTCCACCCTGAACAATACAAATAAAGATAGTTGCATAGGCCCTCTTGCATTCGTCAGAATGATAATTGCCTACAACTTACCGTGCAGTCTAAATAGGCCTAAAGAATATTGGGATTATTGTCAGTATAGAGATTATTTCTGGACAAGAAACGCAGGATTATTGTAGATCTTTTGCAAGAATATTTGCATGTGTTTTTTACCTGATCTGCAATTTATGTTATTTTTTATGTAAGAAGAGCTTGCACATGAGCGATGAATATTTCAATTTTAAAACAATCAACAATAGATGCATAACAGGCATACTCTATATACCTGCTGCGAAACAGCATGTCTCGTCTTTCAATTAAACTTTCATCAGTACGAGTAGAAATGACGTCTTCTTGCGTATTTCGTGTCTGGAAATAACGTCATATTGGAGACAATCAGACGTGTAAAGTGATCAGTTATCTTAAAACTAGCCTTGGTTGCATAGCAGAATAAAGAACGTGGCATCGACGCGCTGTCTCGCTTGCTTAACCTTGAGAAAGCCACGTCAGTCAAAACTACATAGTTTATATTGTATGACAAATACAAGATCCGTCGTTTTGACTTGTCTTTGCTATTCTACTTCAGATCATACGCAATATTTTGCTGTCGCCATTCATTGCTGGCGATGACGTAAGCCGCGTCTGACATGCGCACAATTGCATGACGAAACCTTGGCCTTGAATCATAATACCTCAAGTAGAATCTAGAATGAACTAGAGCCTGTTTGAGGAACAGATATTGAATCACCAGTCCCAGAAAGTAGCAGTTTACTTAAAACCGTTAAAGTTTTAGCATAATGAGCTAAAAATTGCTAAATAATAGTTAAGATGAGATTATGAACGAAAGAACTAGATGTTATTGTCTTTCCTTGTGGTCGAAAGCCCCAAAATGATTGAATTGTGGTTTATTCAATGAATAGGTCTGACCAGATGAATATCGTAACTCTATATGGTTCGAAACCTTGAAGCCATTATTGGTTTTGGTGTCTTAAAGGTCTTTCAGCTACGTCTAAGAGATTAAGTAATAGTTATATGCATAATATTTACTCGTGATCTTACGTTACGCTACCGTTCCTGCATTGTGAAATGTTGTGAGATTGTTACTACGTCGCGATATGGTGTCCACATAACCTATCCTTCATGCACACTTAGCAGTAATTACAACCCGTTGTCCTGGTAGGCTCTACTTCGCTAATTAGCAGCAAAGAGATGCTCTTTTTGTAGTTGCAGGGGGTAACGGTCATTGACGTATCCGGAGTCACTTCTTGCAAGTTGCGAAACCACTTGCAAAAATTTCCTAACGTTTTCTAATTTTATAAGTCTATTCTTACACTCTGTGGCTTCATGACTGGAGTAGAATTATTTATTCAATGTTTACATTATTTTTTAAAACATCACGTACATTCGAAGTCTCAAAAACCGGAGTTTCTGCCAATGTAAAAATCCGTGATAGGAAATCTCTACCAATTAACTACGCTTTTTATGGCATTTCCTTATTCTCTAACAAGAGATGATAGAAACTGTACTCACGAAATGCTTCACCTTGTTTAATGTTTACTGTGGGTGATGCATGTACAATAACATGACTCGAGGTGCATTAGTTGTCAGCCTTTAAACCACAGTTTTATTCTACCCCGATAACTTGGTCCATGCAGTGGAACAGAGAGTTGCAGGGGGAAATTAGGTTAACACAAAATAAAGTATTTTTATGAAAAGGAGACGATATTTCTACATAACGCAAGGTTCAGATGTAATTTGCACAAAAATGCTTCGTCATTGAACGTTTTTACGCCACGTTGCTCGCTGGCCAACATCATCCACGCAGCATAATTGACATGACATAAAACTTTCAAAATGTTCGTAAAAGGGTCACGGATAGAAATTCAAACGAGCCTTGGTTCTGCATGTAGCACAATATTCAAATCATGACTGGTCACGTCTCTTTGTCGAACCCTGTCGTGCTGTGAATGTAATATGAAGAGACGAAAAAAATGGTTTACATTCGTACAATTTATTAATTGATTTTGTTGCTCGCAATTTTGCAAGAATTAGCTGCTCAACTTGGAAGATGTTGGCTTCAGCATGGAAGGAAGAAAATTATAAACTAAACATCTAGATATTTTCGTTATGCAACGCAATTTTGTCTTTATAATGAAACTATAATTGACACGTATTTTATGACAACGCCAGTTATCTAGGGTCAGCTGTTCCACGACTGACTGACAGCTCAGTGTAACCACATGATTCAAGATCGCATGATGTCTTACTACATTGCATGTTTCAGCAATGAAACATCGTCACATGTCCTACTGTTTGAACCGGAATTCTTAGGGCTTGCGGAAGTCTTATAAGACAATTGTGCGGGTAATTTTCATTTATGAATTACTTTTCAATTTTACGTTTAAGTTTCTTTCATGATGATACACAGGAAGCAATATTTTGCTAGGGTAACCGTGGCCATTTTCTAGCAAGTAGTTAAACGCAAACTGGCTATGTGTGATGTCTTGTACAATGATGTTACACGAGTTAGTGCCATTTACTGACACAGATGCAACACGAAAGGGAAAAACCTTTCCCAACTTGACCTTTCAATTGTCCGTCACCCTGATTGGTTGACCCTATATGGCCCTGTTCTTTGATTGGTTGAGCACAGGCAGTCGACGAGTTCTGACCAATCGCAGGCACCGGAAGACTTAATGAAATGTGTAAAGCAATTGTTTACGTCCGAGCTGTCAAGTACCTTGCACTTTCATCATGAATGTGCTAAAGCGGAACATTTCACAAGCCAACATTCAGTTGCATGTTCGACTTCAAGAAGAACAGAAGTATCTGTGATCGATCTCTTCCGATGAAAATGAAACCTTTGGATGAAATAGCCAAAATTAACTTACCCATGTGTGAAATGTATTTGGAGTCTGAGGAAGATACCTTGGAAAAGACCGCAAGACGAAGAACATCAAGTGTAAATACGCTTTCACGTCCTTCAAAGAGTAAAATGTTTGAGGATTTTGAAGATTCGTGTTATCCTGTCATCGAGTTTGGTCGTGTTCTTGGTAGCGGTGGTTTTGGTCAGGTCTTCGAGGCAAAATGCGCAGGAAGAAAGGTTGCCGTGAAACAGTTAACACTCAAATCAAAACTGCGTAACGCAAATGCACCTGCAGAGAGTTTACGAGCTGAGAGTCTTTTGTTGGAGTACAGTCATAGAAACCTCGTTGAAATTTTAGCCGTCTTGAACAGTGATTCAGTCGAAGAGTGTTTGATTGTTATGGAGTTTGCAGGAGAGAGGAATTTGCAAACAATAATAGATGATGAATGTACTCCACTACCTGAAAAGCGCAGGATTCGTATTGCATTGGACATTGCAAGTGGTTTAGAATTCATGCACGAACAGGGACTAGCGCATCTTGACATTAAACCGGCCAATGTGATCGTGAACTCTGAATTTGATTGTAAAATTTGTGATTTCGGCTGTTGCCAGTATGTTGAGTTCGGTGATACGAAAGATTTCCAACCTCCGAGTCCCACTAACTCCAGCCTAGCAGGTACCTACACGTATCGAGCGCCAGAGTTACTCAAGGGTGAGTTTCCTACAACGAAAGCTGATATATATTCACTTGGTATTTGTTTATGGCAGTTGTACGTGAGAGAACAACCCTATGGCATGGAGAGTCATTTTGTTATTATCTTTGGTGTTGTACAAAAAAATCTACGACCACAGTTTCCAACGGATATTGTTAACGACACTACTAACGCAATGTATGTCAACTTGACATCATCTCTCTGGCACGCGGAAGGCAGTCAAAGACCTGCTGCCAGTGAACTTGTAAGGACCTTGAAAAATTGGCCTGTGACCTTGAAAAGATAGGAGAGGAGCAAACAACTGGACTAATAATATACGAAGCTGTAAATTTGCATTACGTTCGGCTGGACCGGACCGAAACCTGAAGTGTATATAAACAATATCAATCGAAAGTGCGATTTCATTTGCGTTTTCAATTTTCCTTCATAACTTAAAGCGCAAGTTCGCAAGAATAGTTTTATAAATAGATGCAAAATGAAAGTAAATTTGAGGAAGAGATATTTATTTCGTTGGAAGAAATGTATTTTTGTTACTGACGGCGAGCAGTCTCCAAGGAGATGCTTCATAGTAATATTTTTGCAAAACAATGTTTGTGGTTGAAACTGTGTAGGTGGTCGCATAGTTCACTCAAGGACAATAGATACATTCGTACAAACGTCCTCCTACACATTCCAACACTTTGAGCTATTCCTATATTTTTAGACATAGAAATTTCAGCTATTCTCTCGCTGGTAGACGAAAATCGATTTTAAACTTCGAGCAAGAATTGCTTTACAAACTAAATCTCTTTTAGAGATCTTGATTATTTCAAGGAGCTTTTACTAAATCTCGCTGGCTAAATCCTGTCGAGATCTAGGAAAGTTCCTGTTTGAGGAGAATTTTTTCCTTATATACACCTCACCTCTTCTCATCCTACTAGGAAGAGACTATATAGCACACCTCAAACGGCCTACGCTTAAAATCAACCAGGAGGTGTAGAATTTCCTCCTCCCTAAATCATTCGTTTCAATTCACCCCACCATATATGAATCGGACATCGAAAATTAACACAGGAAATATTCATATTAGCGAGAGACTAAATGTAGGAAGCTCACCCTTGTAACATAATTCCATGGTCTAGATCATTTGACATGTGTATATTGTGTATATATAATGTTACCTAATGATAAATATTGATGTATATATATAAGTAAAAAGTCTATTTTATAAGCAGATTTCGTAAAATGATTTGAAATAAAATTTAGCAAACTCATTAATGTCTTCGCGCCCAAATTATTTGTTACGTGTTATAAGATGATATTATATTCCCACGAGGGTTAATATATTCATTTTTTGTTAGCATACCAAAGCTCAGTTAAAATTCCAAGCATTACTTGATGTCTTGCATGCCATAGCCTGCCAAAGACAACAAAAATGAGATTTTAATTACATAATTTTATGGTATAGTTGAAAGAATTGAGCATCGAGTTCACACGCTTTCAGAAATGTCGAGACTTCTTTTGAAACAAGTTAGTGGAGGTTACGAAATAGAAAAATAATGTTACGTCGTTGCTTATGGTTTCAAATATACACACACACTCATCTCTAATTAACATGCAAATCGGGCTAAAGAGCTCTCGAGAAATAGGTGTTATGAATTCTTTGGCATCACCGAGCTCTGTGCCGCTTTATAACGTAAAGACTCTTTAAGATCCACAAGTTGAGTGGTCGATAATCTTTGTTAATTCTTTGTTACACATTGTGTGTCGGTAAATACTTCGATATAGGGGCGTCTATAAACTATACTTTTATATAGGTACATACATGGTCAATTGACCAGACGAAGGTTGATTTTGCAATAGTATTCGTTGCAATATTTTCACGAATTATGTAATCTACACGAGCACGTATCTTACTGCATTTTTTGCAGGCTTTGATCATGATAATGACGTCAAGTATTTTTTCGTCTTGATAAATCATAAATGTACACGCATATATGCATTAACTAACGAGTACTTTTTTTGTCAATTTTTAATGTCTTATCGTTCATGTTACATACGTAGTGTCTGAGTTGTCAGCCACAAGGAGAGGTTATGCATATTTTAATCTGTGCTGGGTGCTTTATTTCAACTTGATTCTATAAGAGTTTTTATCTGCGTTGACCCCACAGCGAGATAAGCGTAGGTGATACCTGGAAATCAAAGTGGGCTGATTTTATTCCTTTTTTTCTTAAAATTTACCTGCAGAATACTATAGTTTGATCTCGTGTTTCACATCTCTACAGATGTTGACTCTAATACCGGCATTTCTTTGTAGCATTTATTCAACTCGAAGCGCGAGTAGAAGCAATGACAAGAATGATCCTAATTTTTTTTTCATTTTGAGAACTCAGTGCCAAGAGGCCACCTCCACAGGCTGCATGATACTGCTTAGTAAAACCTCCCTTGAAGCAAGAATGCGAGAGGGTCTTAAGTGTTAATAGTTACGAACCCTGGAGGAAAGAATGTGTAGCTATGGGAAGTATCTATGGCAATATCTGTTTAATTACAAGATCAGAGCGTCGTTATATGATAGCGGTCACTTCACGTTATGCCCTATTAACTGCATTGTAGAGATCATGCAACATTTTGAAAGAAGGCACACAATGGTAAAATCTGGGACTATGTTTTGTGATCCATCCGCCTTTGCGATCTTGAAGATCTACGCGTTGAAAGAATAAAGAATTTTTTGTTTTTTAAACATAGCAGTGACATCGTCACATTTATTTTTCTAAACTTTTAAATACTATCCGATTCAGGTAAAATAAGCTGAGGATGTTGCGTACATTTAAAGTTTTAGATGTGGTAAAAGTGATAAAACCATCGGAATATAAAAGATTTCACATTTGAACCTTTGCCAGAAGCTATAAATGTTTCAAATGTTTCGCAATTTTAACCGTTCCATAATGGCAATATTGCTTCAATGTAACCATGACATTGATACACCGCTTGACATGTTGCAATTACAGCCTAGTTATGTTGCAATCAGACCTAATTGCATGTAATTATCTTATAGCACATTTGAGCTAAGCACGTTGTATGTATACCACCGGATTGCCTTTGAATTTAACGATGTAGTAATTATTTAGAAATTGCATTTTTCTAACTTGAATTATTCCAGAAGGTATCAATTTGCAGGTTGGAGTTCCACTGGATAATTATAAAGAATGTCTTATTTAACAGCTTGTAACAAACCATGCTTTCAAGAATCACAGAATGAATGCTAACAATGTTAATGTTATATATCCCTTCCTATCCTGTCAAATTCCCAGTATGTCTCTTGTTTCCTTTTAAATCATCTTACGTGAAGTGACTGAGAGATGTTCCCGCGGGAAACGCGGGCGGGCTTTTCAAATATTTAAAACCCTTGTCTGGACAAACACCGGCCTACACGTTGTTCAAGTTACGAGAGTTGAGGGTGTAAAACTTCATTAAAAGAACCTTTCTTCTAAGTTTATTCAACCAAAGATATGCCTAAACGTAAAGTCGTAAGTGAAAGCGATAAAGCACCTAAGAAGAAGCTTAAAAGCGAGTCGACTAGCACATCAAAGGCGTTTGTTTCAAAGCTGAGTTTCGACGGCCCAGAACAATGTATTCGCTCGCTCATATATCCCACTAAATTGGAAGACTTCTTTGCCAAATACTGGGAGAAAGAACCGCTTTTTGTCAGCAGAAAAGACAACGATTATTTCAAAGGCTTTCCGACGAAAGTAAAGCTGGAAGAAATTGGAAAGAAAGAGCATTTGGAATGGGACAAAGATTTGTTTCTTTCACAAGTTGACAACGGGGAAGAAATCCTTGATGCTGAAGGAGAAGCAACCGTCCATAAAATTCAGAAATATTTAAAAGAGAAGCTTACTATTGTATTCGATAAACCACACCGCTTTCAAGTTAGTTTTCTGTTGTCTTACTCTCGAGAATAGGTTGCTTCGTTTAGCCCAGTTCTACACATCTGTCTGTAAATTGTTACTGCATGCATATTTAATCTGTTATTTCCTATATTTTAATTATTTTATTTGTGACTTTAACGAAGATCCTAATTCTTCTATTTGTCACGTTGCATACAGGAAGAACTTTATCATCTGTTGCAGTTATTGGAAGAATATTTTGGTTGTCTTTTATATTGTTCTCTGGAAGTACATTCAGAGAATGCTTATAAACGCAAACCTTGCTATAATGGAAAAGAGGTTTGATTAGATTCCTGCAGAATTTCTGTTTTCAGTGCTCAGTGGTGCAAGAACACCCACCTTCCCTCCATCTCCTAGAGTTTTTTTCGCATTCTCTAGCAGTAAACGATATATTTTCTTATCTTCCAGGCGTTTATTCTTCAGATTGAGGGTAAGAAAAGATGGTGTTTGTATGAACCGATTCAAAAACTTGCTTTTCTTGATTGTGAAGATTTGAAACAAGATGAAATTGGTGGTGTTACACATGAATTTATACTAGAGGTATGAAAGCCATGGAGAGATGATGATGCTCAGAACACCAGCAAATTGTTAGCTTACCATTAATTAATTCACTTCTGTCTGTCTTCAGCCAGGAGATTTGTTGTATTTTCCACGAGGCACTGTTTTTCAAGCGCACTCCTTGAATGATGAGGTTTCAGGTCATATTGAAATTCAATTATACGAGGAACAGTAAGTGTAATCTTGCTCGTACATTAACCATGGCCTCGTTATGGTAGAGGGGTCTTTATCTTGCGTCTCTAAACTATATTTTGTGTGTTTCCCAGTACCTGGGGGCATTTCATGTCCAATATTTTAGACAAAGCTATAAACGAAGCCTTGAAAAAAGATGTCGCCTTTCGTGAAGCATTACCAACTAACTTTTTAAGTTACATGGAATTTGGAAAGGTATGGTCCTATTCCCTCTCTATAAATACCTATTATATGCCTGTGATCAGAATCATGTCTGGTTTTATCTTAATAATCATTTTGCAGAAGGAAATCAGCAATGACGATCTGATGGATGACGCAACTAATCAAGCAAATGGCGCTCCCAAAGCAACTGTTCCAAAAATATCTAAAGCTGATTTGGAAAACCAGGAATTGTTTAAAGGAAATCTTCAAAGACTGACATCGTTGGTTGGCCAGTATTTGGATCCTCACTGGGGTGCTGACGCGTTCTTTGGAAAGGATTTCATTACTAAACGTTTAGCTCCAAGTCAAGGTAAGAAACCCGAGTGAAAGATCTTGATACAGCGTTTAGCATAATCTTGAATGCCCACTTTGTTTTTAATAGTATTAAAAGAAGAGCAGTCTGATAAAGACGAGACACCGCCATCGGACAAGAGTGTGGTTCAAATGAAGCATCGAAATTATATGAGAATAACAAAGTATGATCCAGGGGAAGATTGGGAAGACGAGCATGAGGAAGACGAGAATGATGAAAACGAGCAGGATGAAGAAAGTATGGAGGAAGAAGAGGTCCGATTACTATTGCAATTTGCAATACTCTCTCATTATGACCAGAAATATTTCATCTAGCAAAGAGTTAAATACTACAATGATTATTGCATTATGTTCTTTCAGGATGAGGAGAAGATGGGTAATGGTAAAGACGAGTCTTCAGTTAAGGCCAAGTCAGATAGCAAAAAAGAAAAGAAAAGAAAGAGTGGTGGAAAAGATGACAAGGAAAATGAAGAAGATTTGGAGAAAAGTTTTCATAGTAAACCATGCATCGTTTTATATCATTGTCTTCAAAACAAGATTGAATCAGATTACGAAGAGATGGATTCAAGCGAGATGGAAACGGTAGGGAAAATGTTCATTTAAGTTGTTTGTTGCTCTTGTTTATCCGAGCTAAGTTCATCGTTAAATGAGCCCTTATGATATAAATATCAAATCTGGTTGAATAACGTATTGGAATGGGAATAATTTTCTAAAATTTGCGCGTAAATCTCCTCTGTCAAATAGCTATTCTGGTCGTGAATCCGTTTCACTCTCAGCGCACATTTTTTCAAGCTATTCCATCGTCTTTAGGAAGGGAGTAAAATCGAATTCCCACTTCATTACCGTGATGCTTTGCTCATTCTTTATCGCTCAACTGCTCCTGTTGCTGTCTGTAACCTACCGCTGACTAGTGAGGAACGTGTGGATCTTGCAACTACTTTGTGGTGTGAAGGTTTACTTACAATAGTTGAAAAATCCTAGAACTGGTCATTCATATACCTGCTCATTGAAAAAATCCTGTCCAAATGTAAAGTTGTGTTTGCAAAACAAAATTTTCTTACACTATGCACCAAAATATTTATTCACAGAAAATATTATATAGTATACAAATCTTTATCAGTATCATGAGTTGTAATGTTTCATGTTATTATTAAATGTGATGTAATGTTGTTTTTGCTGTGAAAGATTGGTTTCAAATTATGACCTCCTCCTCGATTCCCAATGTGAATTGTATAGGTTTATTGTTATCTTAAGTACAGACCATAAGCAAATGTTTTATCTTTAGTAGAAATGTTTGTATTTGAGTTAGTTGGAAAGGTAGTGATGAGGAATATATTTTCTGAGTTCTATCACCAAAAGATAATCTGTTTTTACACACACAGTCTTTATCATGGCTTCCACTTGACATCTCTAACTCCCTGGAATTGTCGCTTTAAGGAATGTGGATCAGCCCAAGCAGAGTTCATATATGACACATCATCATCTGTTTCTAATTTCTATGTTAAAAAAGCAGGTTTTAGATATGTTGACATGGTAAGAAAGGAGGGATTTTTGTATGGATTCATTCACCTTCATTTCTTCTTGTTTCTTGTAAGCATATGACATCATTTGTTTTTTATCTTCTTCAGTGAATACTGGTTCTCTGCTTGGCACGCCTTGACCTTTCTGTGAAAATCATACGACACAAAATATAAGGAGATCATCTTGCAATTTTGGTGTGTTTTCTTCATAAAAGAGAAGGATAGATGCCTTACCTTTTGAAGTTTAACAACAATTTTGGTTTTCTCATTCTTTCCAATATAATCTTCAAGTTTCTTCTCTCTAACAAGTTCTTTTCCTGCCCACCATAACTGACCTGTACCTTTGTCCAGGACCTGAAGTGATGCCTGGGGAAATATGAACCAAAGGTGGGTGATCATAGACTTCACAAGATGATTCATCTTCCAGCTAGCAGATGATTTTGTATACCTGTGTACCAGAAAGATCTTCTGTATCTTCAAATTCTTCTTTTATTGGATCATGAGGAGGTAATCCCATTGGATACGCAATCGTAACAGCACCTCGTAGCTTGTCCAGTGCATCTTTAATTGTTTCTTTTGTCAGAGATTGCTTTGCTGTCACATTCTCCTAATATAAAGTGAAATTTGTTTAAATACCAGGCTAATTTTGCTATGAATTCAGGTAATAATAAAACAAGCCAAACCTTTGCTATATCAGCCATGGCTTCACTTCTTGTTCTGTTGATTATTTCTGTCATATTTTCCATTGGTGCTAAACGTGCATTATGAGAAATGTGTGGTGTCAGGGGGGTGCATTCCTTGTCATCCAGAGGGGGTGTCACCCCATATAAACAAATACTTTTTATTCAATCAGTTTTAAGCTTATACCTTGGCCATTTCTTTTACTCATAGGATCTTTTACTTCTCTAAAACCACCGCTTGGTACACACTTATCAGCCCAACTGTCGCGTAGTTTTAAATCAGTAATCTGATCTTCCGTTAAACCTTGCATATTTGGTGGCAAAGTTATTCCATGTTTCCCTAATTCTTCTAACTCTATAGCAAATAAGCACACAATTGTTCTTGAGTGAAATCATGTTTAAAACTTGAAAACGAAACAACTGCACACGTTAAATTACCATAATTCAATCGCTCTATTTTCAGCCTTCCGTTGTATATCTCTATAAGTTCTGGTATCAATTCAGAAAGTTTAGCTTGACATGTAGTGTCATAAAGAAACTGACTTTCGTCTCCTTTCTTTATATGAAGAATAACCATATTTTTCGATGATATTTACAAAATAAACGACTTTCATTCACTTTTATTTCATCGATATGGACGCCATCTTGTGTTGCTATGAACCTCCGGAACACGCTCGTTACGGTTTCGGAGCCTTATCGTGAACAATCGTTGAAGCTCGATAATATTCGGATTACCTCATTCCCTATACTTTGATGCGATAAATTTTATTCTTAGCTATAAATATTTTTATTCGTTTTCAACCAGACTTTATAACAATTCAGTCACTTTGTATCATTTAGTTTCTTTGTATAATATACACATTTTTGGAGAAACTGGTTTTTGGGGTACATTAGGGTATTGCTGGTTTTTGGGGATGGATGGGGGAAGATAAGGTATAGGGTATTGGGGTGGAATCTGGACAGGTGGTGGGAAGAATGGGGGTGGAATGTTTGGAGGAGGGAAAGTATGGCTAGGAGGGGGTGGAAGATTGGGAAACGGAGGGGGTGGAAGGTTAGGGAACGTTGTGTGTAGATTTGGATGTGTGTTGGGAGGAATAAAGTTTGTGTTTTGGACATAAGGATTTGTGTTGCTGAAGATTGGTTGATAGTTTTGGGTGGCTATATTTGAATATTGTGAAGAGTTTGTATTATGATCATCCTCGGATGTTTCTTGATTGTTTAGTGTATATTGATGTTGTATGAATCCTGAAGTCCTGTCTTGGCTGACAGACACATTCTGTGTCTCTTCTTCAACTCCCTGATTCCCTCCTTCCCATTTTGTTTCTGAGAATTTTTTAGGCGTCTCGCTTGTCTTCTCGTAAAAGGAGGGCGGTGCAAATTCTGGATTTCGTTCGCTACGAGGATCGTAGCTTGGCGTCTTCTTTTTCGGCTTGTCAAATCTTTCTAGATCTGTGAAGACAGCAGTAATTACATTGGAAAGTTAGTACTTTCGTAATCCTGGTCAATCATTAAAGACTATGGATAAAAAATTCTCCTTACCAACTTTCTTTTTTTCCCACTCATTTTTGTTGTCAAACTTCGTGGTCTTATTACGGATCCTCTCAACCATAGCGCCAATCATCACTTCATTTTCTTCCTTCTCTTCTTCCGTATCTTCAATCGTAATCTCATCTGTTTTTTCTTCCTCTTCCTGCGTGTCTTCGACCGCGCCAGCTTCGTGCAGTTTTTGCTGTTTCCGTGCACGGATCTTTGCTAAACGTGCGTCCATCGCTGCCTTTCGTTTTTCCAGAAGTTTTTCTCTTTTGTTTCGCTGTTGTTCAGTCTACGTAAGGAGATAACTGTCCATGCTTAGCACAACACGACAATATCATCATATTTGTAACATTAGAGTGTTATTAGAATGTTATTAGAACGTTATTGATTAGAAAGTAATTATTAATTAGAATGTTATTAGAGCGTTAATAATGTTCTCTGCGCAATCACCTGAGCTCTTAGTTTGTTCAGCGCTGTTTGCTGTTCTTGTCGTTCCTCCTCGACTTTAGAAAACTTGTAATAGCCAACACCATGCTGACGCGTTTCTAAAACCGGGAAGAAGTAATATCAGCTGTTAATTTTATAACATTTGCCTGCATTGATTACAAGTATTAAGACAATAACTCACCACCAAACATCATGTCCTGATAATGAACTGGACCAACAGGTTTATCTAAAGCTTCTTGTACTTCTTCCTCCCATTTCTTTCTAATCATATCTCGTCTCATGTCATCTGATAACAATGTCAGCTTACTTGATGAGGGAAAATACTGGAGGTCATTAGGATGCAATATAAAATACAAGGAAAATAATGAATATCAACCTTTCTTCCAGAGATTTCAATTTGACATTTTCATCTTTTTCTTTCATAAGAGGAAGATCCTTTCTTAAGCACATCTTTGATCTTCCAAAGGAGTCCACATATTCTACCCTGGATCAGACAAATTTGGACTTTAAAAACTCCTGATGACAAAATAAGAAAACTTGACTTTTGACTTATTTCTGTCTCCAAGCAAGATAACTTACCATTCTTTATCAGGGCTTGTGGCTACTGGAGTGTCTTCTGGATTATCAATGTTACTCTTGTCAACTTCATCCACATTCTAAGAAAAGTAGAACACTACATATAAGAATGACCAAAACAACGATTGCTTTTGAGTGATGCCTGGCCTACCTTAGGCAAGCTTTTTTTATGAAAGTCCACCAGAAATCTCCCGTCTTGTTCATCCTCATCTGAAGGAACTGAAATAAGAGAACGTAAATAGATCTTTATTAGCAATCTTAAGGTGACACAACTACAATTACATTTTATGTTAAGGTGGCACAGTTACATTCACAATTCACTTTAAGGTGGCTCAACTACATCTATAATCCATATTAAAGTGCCACTGAGAGGTATGTTATACCTTCAATTTCTCCATTAGACAGTTTATCATAGAGAGCTGATTTGGCTTCTAACATCAACCTGAAATAATTGGGCATGGAAACAATTGATCTATCTCAAGTTGTATTTGAAATACAAGTACAACAATTTAATTTATGACCCACTAAAAGCACCTGGATTTCTCCAACTCTTTGTCATAGGATTTGTCTTTTAATGATTTAGTTTCACTACCAGTGTTTCTAGTTTTCACCTTAGATTCTTTCTTTTTTTGCCAAATAGGTGCTTTCTAGGGAAATGTATGTGGATATTATTATTATTATATAATACCATAAAGACGCTCTAGGACATTTTCACTGGAATACAGGTAATTTACAAGTGATATACACTCAAAAAACAATACCTTAGGCTGATTGCCATCAACTTTATTACGTTTCAACTGCGTTTCTTTACGATAAAGCTCAGCTTTCAAGTCGACAAGCTAAAATAGCATCACGTCTGTTGTGTAAATCTTTCAAAAATAAAGACAAATGTAAAAATATTTTTAACTCACCGATGATTCATTCACTGATATAATTTTAATTTTTTTGCCAGCCATTTTTTGTTTACTTCGGGCTCCCCCCCCCCGGTACGTTCAGTCACGAAATCCAATATGGCTGCCAATGTGGAAGTTCAAAATTCAGCTGCTAGTTCAGAACTTCGAAGGCAAGTTTTAAAGTATAGTATATGTTTGATGAAGTGAAAAGTAAATTGATATTAAGTTCAAATAAATTTCTTTCAATTTTGGTCTTTGTTTCTTGAAAAACACCATTATATAAGTTGAAAACTGCAGGCATTTAGGAGCATGCTTTATACTAAGTTTACTATAAACTGGCTATACACAACTCATTGTATTTCATATTTTTATTTTTTCAGGTTAACAAATAGAGCCAATAAGGATAAAGGGCAGTGGTTTGATGATAGTGATGATAGCAGTGACGTATGTGCTTCAATATTATAAAAAAACCTTTTTATGCATGGAAACCCAGGTTAGCCTTCACTGCAGGTGAATCAGGTATGTTCCAACTGACAATATCTTTTGAATTTCAGAATAAAAGTGAGGAAGAGGATAATCATGAAGATTTACTGCAGAAAATTAAATCTCTTGACAAGAAAGGAAATCTAAAAAGGTTAATTAATTGCTATCAGCTAATTTATTTTTAATTAAATAAAATGTATACCAACCAGACGAATGTTTAGTCAACCAGGAAGTCTTATATTTGGTTTTGTTTTTGACAGGCGTAAAGGACCATTGAGATCAGAACCAAACAAAAGTGTATCAGAGTTTCATCTAAAATCTGAAGGTTTGTCTTATTTGTGGGCTAATCGACAACGATTTACCAGGTTTTACCTGGTTAGCCACAGAAAATTTTTATCTATCTGTCTAAATGAGTTTTTTTGCAAAGGTGATGATAGTCATGTCAACCTTGGTGATCTTGTTGGTTCATTGCAAGCCTCAAGTTATAACAGTAAACTAAAAAAAACACTGGTAACTAAAAATTGATCATGTATCCCTGGGTTCATGGCTAACAACTAGCTTAAACTTCTCTTTGAAACCAATTTCATGTTTTAGGAAAGACTACAGAATGTTGGAAGAACTGTTGAAGTTCCTTTGGCAAAGAAAACAGCTGAACATGTATGACTTCTATTCAACTTTATACACCTTACCATTCAATTAAATTTAATTCATTAAACATGATAATCAATATCTTAGATTCAAAGAGTTGTTGCTTATAAAGAAACCTCCAAAGATATCAGTAAATGGGATGCAACTGTTCAAAAGAACAGACGTGTAAGTGATGATATCATTCTGCTAGATTGTTCTGTAGACATGCAAGTCTGTTGTTAACCATATCTTTCATTTGTTTTTTAGGCAGAACAATTGTCATTTCCATTAGATCCATACAAACCTGCTGAAATGACTGCTACAACATTGGCAACAACTTTTAAGGTAGATGTTTTATACCAACTTTATTACAGTATAGTTATATGTTTTGAGCTTTATCTATTTTTCTTGGAAGTGTATGTTTTATGTCACAATATAATATTTAATGTATCTATTTTACTGAAGCCTCGTACTCCGTTGGAACAAGAGATTGCAAGTGTGCTTCAGAACAGTTCACAAATGTTGGAACGAGAAGACAAAGAGTTGAGTCTTGAGGAGGAAGAGGCTTTGAAGAATATGAGCTTAGAAGAAGTAATATATCATATATGTATCCCCACGTAGCCACCATTGACAACCATTAGGCACCATATGCATCCCCACTTAGCCACCATAGTCAATCAATAATTGTGTTTATCCAAGTAGTTCTTATCTTTAGTCAAACATTTTTTACTTCAGGCGCTGGAAAGACGTCATGAGCTGCAGAAATTGCGAGCTTTACAATCATATTATGAACAAAAATGTCGAAGAATGAAGAAAATTAAGAGTAAAAAGTACGTTTCAAGAAACTTACTCAGCTTTTAAGTCAAGGCTGAAGATGGAAAGTTTAAATATCTTCTTCATGTTTTATCTTTTTAAGATATCATCGTATCAAACGAAGAGCAGAGAAAAGAGCCAATACCAAATCATTTGAACAATTGCAAAAAGAAAATCCTGAAGCTGCTCAGGCTGAGCTGGAAAAAGCGGAAAAACTACGCATTCAGGCGAGTCAACTTGTCAAACGTTGCATGTGCTTGAGATGATGTAAATGTGAAAACTATTTATTGTGTTTGTGCAGGAAAGAATGAGCTTAAAACATCGAAATACTTCAAAATGGGCCAAAAACATCATCACAAAAGGCATCAACGATACTCAGGTAAATTTTGTTTTTATTCAGTTTTTAAGGGCAATTAAAACCCCAATGTATGATGATCTCATTGCTTCAAACTTTTAGGCCCGACAAGCTCTTTCGGAGCAGCTTCGGATAAGCCGACAATTAACCGAGACGAAAACTATGGAGTCGGATAGCGACGAAGATGAGGCGAAGAAGGACGTAGATACGGCAGAGACTCCCGAGAATATAAGGAATTTTGGACTGTTCGGTGATAGTTCTGAAAATCCTTGGTTTTTGAGTGACGGGAAAGGAAAAGATGGCGAAGATAAAGAGACTACGGGTGGGAATTATTATTCCGCTTCAGAAAAACGATAAAACGTTGAGGTTTTAAAACATTGTTTTTAAATTATATATTTTAGAACTTGGGCAGAAGAAGGAACGATTAAGAAAGCTGGAGCCTGTGACAGCCGAGGAAACTGAGGAAAGACAAGATGAAGACTCGGAGAATTCTGATCAAGATGAAACGTTTGAATTGAGAGTGAATGTGAGCTAAAGAAATTGGAAGGAAGGGAAAAAAGACTAGAAAGAAGAAGAGGAAGTTGGAAGAGACGAATGAGGAAGGGGATGGGGATGGAAAAGCGAAGAAGAAATTGAAAGGGAAGAAGAAGAAAACTGTTTCAAAAGAAAATACTGGGGAAGAGGTTGATGTTGGGAAGGAAACACAAGGAAATGAAGTTGTCGACCACGAGGATGGAAAGAAACGGAAAATGAAGAAGAAAAAATCCCTTTCAAAAGGAAGCACGATTGAATTGAATGATTTTGATGAGACGACCCCTCGAAAGAAAAAGAAGAGAAAGTCTACGGCTGAAAGTACCGTGAAAGAAAAATCAAAGAAAAGTAAAAAGGCGAAGATTGTGGAAAGTCCGACAGAGGAGGATAGAACTGAACATGAACGAACATATGAGGGTAATAATGAACGTTTATTGATAGAAAACGAGGGGATAGAAGAGCAGGAAAGTTCGCAGTTTACGGAGTTGAACTCGGAAGTAGTTGATTCTACAGAAACAGTCTCTGATGTAAAGACTGGGTTAAATCCAAGGAATGTTTTCCAAATTGAAGATTTGGGAAGAGAAAATGACTTGTCCAACTACGCTCGTGATGATAGCGATGATGATATGAACGCTCAGAGAATGACGATTCAAGAAGCCTTTGCTAATGATGATGTCATCGAGGAGTTCGTGAAAGAAAAGCAGGATGCAGCTGAAGCAAGCAAACCAAAGGATCTGGATCTAAGTTTACCAGGTTGGGGAGACTGGGGTGGACCAGGAATCGATGAGAGAAAGCGAAGAAAGAAGTTTGTAGTTCCTGCAAAACCAGCAGCTCCTCGGAAAGACTCCAAACTAGCGCATGTTATTATCAATGAAAAAAGAGATAAGAAGTTTGCTAAGAATCAGGTAATTTGTTGATTGTATTCAAGAACAATGCTTTGATTGTCTTGAAACAAAGCTTCTATTGTCTTGGGAGTTGGAACAAGGCTTTTATTGTTTTTCAACAATGCTTTTAATCAACCAATTGTTAGTTCTTCAAAATACCAAAATGATATTTTTTTTCAATTTAGGTCAGCCAACTGCCGTTTCCTTTCACATCACGTGAGCAATGGGAGAGCAGTGTTCGCGTGCCTTTGGGAAAAGACTGGAACACAACATCAGTTCACCAGAAGCTGGTCAAACCGCGTATCGTTACCTTACCTGGTACTATTATTGACCCTATCAAATCAGCAAAACCTGTTCAACAATCTGGTGTTATTGAGGACAAAAGAAAACCACGTCAAAACAATATCAAAACTATGAGATCTGGGCTTGAAATTCACGATTAATAACCTCACATATTACATAATTATATCCTGAAATCTTTTCTGATATTGAGTGAATTAATTCTGTGAATTTTATACTAGAAATGGCGTATTTAAAACACAGGAATCGATTATATGAAGGAGGTGTGATGAATTTTTGTATAAGTTTCCTAAAATGTTCTGTAGTATCGAAAATAGAGTGGATTCTTTGGACACAATGGAATGGTGAAATCTTCAATGAAGAATGAAGAAGAAGTCGTTCCCAGTCCTGTGTAGATCACTGTGTGCGAGCGACTCTGGATATTACGCAATTTTGCATATATCAATATTTTAACTTAGCAACATGTGTTTTAGCGTGGCTTTTTGTCTGGAAAAACAAAATATATCTTTCTATAAAGGAATCTAAAGATTACTTGTGGCTGTTAGATTATTTTAAACCCGCAAAACCGATATTTTCAACGATATCCTGTGTAAATTTTGCAACCGGCATTTAAACGCATGCTATGATTCATGGTTGGACTTTGGAAATCATTCGTGTAATAATTGCTAAGCTATTTCCTGTCATTTTTGTCTGGTAGGCCGGTATTGTTTTGCTGTGATTGAAGTTAAAAGTAGAAATATTGGTATGTATCTGTTAATTTTTATAATTTTAATGCGACAGCGTACATGTGAAACTATTTTATTAGCATTAAGCGATATCTCTAGCTGTTTCCAACTTTGCATCGGTTTGTCCACGCCCTTTGGGCTTTCACTAAGTACAGCCCAGTTTTGAAGTTACACTTGTATTGCATTGTTACTTCGTACACAAACACTTGCCAGCTAATGGTTCTATCCCAGAGCAGTAATTTTTAGATTTACTACCTATAGATTATACTACAAGTCTCTAATGCCTATGCCCTGAGGGGATTGACATGGGTTGCACTTGCCCTTTACTGATCAAGGAAGTTCACTAGAATTATATGCTTAACAAGACTTGTTATGTTTCATCTTCTTGACAGTTCAAGACAATGTCTTTATTGAGAAGTTTTCAAAGATCCTGGCTTGTTTGGGTTTGGCTTGTGACGGTATTTTTCCTGAGTGGTCTTATTGTCAACTTTATTCAAATCCTAACATTACCTCTGTGGTATATCTCACGTAACGTCTTCAGGCGTGTTAATGCTGTATTGTGCTACTCACATTGGGCAAGTAAGTGTGAGAGATACGTACGTTGCAGAGTTATATTTTAGTTGAGGTGATCATGGAACACAAGTGACAAGATGTTTGTCTTATATAGTGCTCACGTTTGCTGGAGAATGGTGGGGAAAACTCGATTTGAAATTCTATGGAAAGAAGGAAGATTATGATAAGCTTGGCAAAGAACATGCCTTGGTTTTACCAAACCATCGAAGTGATATCGATTGGATGATAGGATGGATCATTTGTGAACGAACTGGGATACTAGGGGTATGTTGTTTTCATTTTTGTATGACTTCTGTTCAACATTGTTGACTAAAAAAGTGTTTCATTTCCAGGGTACTAAGTGTTACATGAAGGGCTATCTAAAATACTTGCCTGTGCTTGGCTGGATGTGGTGGTTTGCAGAATATGTTTTTCTAAAAAGAAGTTGGGATTCAGACCTTCCAGTGTTGAAAAGAAGTTTGGAACAACTGAAAGATTTCCCTATTCCAATTTTTGTAAGTGCAGTTAAATATCTGTTTTGGAAATTTTTGGATGAATACCTTTTACCACTAGTACTGGTATAGACAAAAATATCTTCGTCTTTATAGCTTGGAATATTCCCAGAAGGGACTCGCTTCACCGAAGCTAAACACCAGAGCAGTTTAGAATTCACAAGATCTAAAGGATTACCAGAACTACAGCATCATCTTTTTCCAAGAACAAAAGGTGTTGCAATCACATTGAAATATCTCAAAGATCTTGGTATGTATCACACAGATATATATTTCTTATCATCGTCATTGAACAGCACTCACAATAACAACTATATTTTTTTTAATAGTTCCAGCTGTTTATGACATTGAATCTGCATATCCTTCAGACAGCAATCCAACATTAAAACATTTGTTGCAAGGTGGCAAATGTGAGGCTCATCTTTTCATAAGGTGTGAACATTTGTTAATTCTATTTTTAATTAGAACATTTCCAATTCTATTTGTAATTAGAACATTTCGAATTCTATTTTGCAATTAGAACATTTGTAATTCTATTTGCAATTAGAACATTTGTAATTCTATTTCTAAATGGAACATTTGTATTTATAACTTATTTTTGTCCTCGTTTGACAAGGCGGATCCCAATTGAGGATATCCCTTGTGATACAGATGAAGAAGTGTCTAAATGGTGCCGTCAGTTATTTATTGAAAAGGTAGAGATATCCTTAATTAAATGAAATTTTAAAAGTTGTTGTGTCTTATGGGGAAAGTAGTGGTATCTCTGGTTGCAGTATCAATGATTGCTGTCTCCTCTATCTCATTTTAGGACAAGTGCATGTCCGATTTTTTCAAGAATGGTAAATTTTCAGCGAAGCAAGTGGAGTTACCCAGAAAGAAACGAAATCTCATCATCGTGATTTCGTGGAACATCGTTCTAGCCGTTCCAATATTTTACGTTTTGTATTCGTTGTTGCGTTCAAATCTGTTCGTCTCTGTGCCTGCAGTTGTTGCCTGTCTATTAATAGGTACGTTGAAAACATTCACCAGATGTAGCTAGAAGGCAGACCATCATATTCACAGGTTGAAGTTGTTTTTCAACGAGGCCAATGATGATCGTGTTGGTTTTGATTGCAGGATACATTCTACTGCGAGTGCTTCTTCACTTCAGCGACTCGAAGAAAGGCAGTAAGTTTGGTTTAAAACAAAATGGCACAAAACAAAATGGTACGAAGGAACAGCCCAAGGAAGAGAATGGTTTTCAAAAGATGAGCGGAGGGAAAAAGTTGGAATAAATCTTATGTACGAAGCACGGTTGGATGTTTTTTTCCTCTTATTATTTCCTAAGTGATTTGAAAATGATTATTGGTGATTTCATGAAAGTCTAAGGAAACATTTGAACGATTTTTCCAACGGATCATGGAAGAAGTCCACATTACCAGGATTTCTTCTTCCCTTGTTGCAAAGCACTTCCATCAACTTTCCTAACCAATCACATTCATCCACTCTGGTATCTACAAGAACCACGAACTGATTGACACAAAAAGTATCGTTTTAGCCTTGTAAAGAAATAAAATTATGTAAATACGATGAGGGAGCACACTGGAAGAGATTGACTAGAGACACCTTCCATTTCCAATTCTTTTATATACACAAATTAGAGCAAGCTTGTTGGTTGAGAATTTATTAAAACTCAATAACATTAACGTAGTCCCTATAAATACTTCAAGTTAATCCCCCTAAAAATATAAATATATATATACTCGTATATGCTCCTATATATATGTATACTCATATACTCCTACATGTATACTCCTACATACTCCTAGTTTTCCTCTATATACACTCACATTTCACGCACAGGATAAAATTGTTCATTACACTACATGTCTATTGTTTCTTGAAATTGTTCCTAGCGAATTGTTCGGACTAAGTCGTAACAGTGCCGTGATTACTTCGGACATAGTCGGACGATTCTCCGGCGTCCGGTGAGTACTTCTTTGGACGAGCTCTCGAAGATGACCGTTCGTGATTGATCGGATTTGTTCGTGGGTACTGACCAGGGACTGGTAACTCACGGATGCACACCTCACAAAGAAGCAATCCAAAACTGTACACGTCCACCTTAAGAAAGAAGAAAACTATTAACCAAAGGTATGTAGGAACAAAGTTATTGTGTTTCTTAATCTTGTCTAACGATGAAATTTTCCAGGTGTTTTCGAGCTAGTTTCCCTGAAGTTATTTATTTTTTCTTATCAGGGAGGAGTTTATGAGGAAACTGCCAAAGATGTCCAACTGACCTTCGTCGACTGTCGTGACGTCGCTGCCTCAGGTGCTGCGTAAATACACGCCCCAGGACTGGCCGTCATGCATTGCCGCATGAAGTTTGCGGCACCGTAATCTGATAACTTGGCATGGTAAATATCCTCTCGTTTCCATAGCAACACATTGGTTGAACTGATATCGCGATGAATGATGGGAAAAGGTTTGTTCAAATGAAGATAGTTGAGCGCCCGGGATACGTCGGTAGCTATCGTGACCACTTCGTCGTGACATAACGATCGTTGTCCGAGGACTGTCCGAAGATCTGTATCCAGTAATTCCGTCACCAGCAGTGCCAGGCCATTATCACCGGTCGCGCCAATGAATTGTAAGAGATTTGGATGTCTGCACCTCGCTGCAATCTGCATCTCTCGTTCAAACAGTCGACGATTGTGAGGAGACACTATCAACTCATGCATTTGTTTCACAGCAACTAACGTTCCACGGAATCTACCCTCCTTCACCCAACCCCAAGCTCCATGACCGAGCACCTTCTCAGTGATCACGATCTCGTCACGTGCTATCGTCCAGTCGCGTGGCTGCATCCTTGAGTACTCGTCAACAGTCTCTTGTGCACGATGCAGTGCGCGGTTTACGTCCTGGAGTTGATCACGTGTGGAAGCGAGTTGTCTGCTGCATTCCTCGTGTTCTCTCTGTGTTCTTTGATGTTCATCGTTACTCCTAGCTATCCTCAGTTCATACTCGTTTCTTGTTGTCACCAGCTGTTGTTGTAACTGGGTATTTCGTTCAGCAGTGGTTGCGATCAGAGCTCGTTGTTCAGCTAACTCAACGTCTTTCTCTCTGAGATCCTCGCGCAAGGTTTCCAAAGTTGATCTTGTGGTTTCAATTTCTTGTTGCAGTGAGGCCATCACTTCCCGTTCTGATTGTAACGATTCTTCGTTTTCTGTCAAGCGACCACGGACCTAGAAATTATGATGATAAAGGTTTGAATAAGTTCCAATCAAAACTACCAACATTATCTCTTCAACTGAGAGAGTGGAAGGAAAGCGAAGTAATCAACCCTACCTGGTGTATCTCCTGCGCCAATCTTTCATTCTCATTCCTACTGCTGTTTAAAGATATATTCAAATGAGACAACTCTTGCTCCAATTCTCTCAAGCGAGCATCAGCGTTGATCTCACGCGTGTTTCGTACCAACAGCTCGCTATTTACGGCTTCATATCTCGCTTCAAGATCACGCTTTGTTCGCTGTTCCTCACGTAACGAAGCACGCAAACCACGCACGGAATTGCGTTCTTGCTCCAGCTGTAAGTCACGAAGCTCTACAGTTCGTCTTTGCTGGGTCAACATGCTTTCTTTCTCCGCAATATTTGATTGCAGTTCACGTATTCGTCTTGTCTCTAATCTGTCTTCTTCAAAGCTTCGTTCATTTGAAGAAGATGCACTCAAACCAGTTGGAACTCCAGATTTATTGACCTCATCCGTATGTACGACCTCTGAGGTTGCTACTGAGGTGTCCTTCTTGTCATCAACAGATTTTTCTTCAGGCACAGTCGCATTAATTTTTTTCTCTATCTTGTGTTTGCCAGAGTTCGGTTGTGTTTCGTCAAATGTCCGTTTGCGTCGATGACGCACGGCAGGCGACGGAGGTTTTTCTACAATTTGTAATTCCTCGTTCTCAACTGACGTTTTATTGCAGTTGTTTTTCTCTGGTGTACTTCATGTTGTATTCCTCTTTTGTATGATTTCTCTATAATATAGAAGTTATGAAGAAATTATGAGTTACTGCTTTAGAAGTTACCCTGCTTTTCCCCTGCCAAATACCTCATCTTATACATACCACAACTCTTACAGGTAATTTTGATAAAACATTGAACAGCACAGAAAGTGCCAAGAACCTTACATTGCTTACAGATTCGCAGTTCATCTGCCTCTTTCTGGATTTTGTGTCTTCTTTCCTCAATGATGCATCCACCTCAGTCTTCTCTTTGTCATCTCCTGGTACCTTAGAACTGTCATCTCCATTTAAAATATGTTCTGCTTTTGTTGAACTGAATTATAACAAAAAAGCGATTAAGACAACTGTGATCTGGCTGCATGGTTCTGGACTATATCTGCTGATGAGTATCGCTCCCCTACAACTTGTTGATGATGTATATTAGTTGCTATGATCACACATGGATTACCTCAATTCTTCCCATCTAACATCATTCCCAAGTTCACTGCGAAACTAAATAAGGAAATATTTAGATAAATTTAAACTCATACTTTGATACAAATTAACTATTAATCTGTCATTTGATCAATTAGCAGAACTTACCCTAAGAAGGCCTTGGCTTACATAATTAGGAATGACATCATACATCAGATGGATTATAACTTGTAAGTTGTTATTGCCTTAGAGCAAAGGAATTTGGATGCAGAAGTAAGTCTTAGTTTTATAAATACTGTAACCAATCACGATGATTACCTTTTAATTTGCTCAGTATTTTGTTTCTGCCGCTTTCAACAAGAACTTTAGTGTAAGTGTCATTGATTACAGCGACAAACAGGAATGGAGGTTCTGTTAAATTCACCTGATAATACAAAATAATGGTAAATTTAAACAGTTTACAGAATAGGCCTATGGAAAGAGCATTGATATTTATACCTTCACACTGTGAAGTTCTTTGCATGGAACACGAAGTGTTAGACTCTCATTAGATGCCTCTAGAGAAGAGAAAAATTCTTATCTGTCTACCAGTCAATAATGATCAAACATCAACATGTTTGTTGTAAAAATGCAAAGAATTTACATACCTTGTTTATCATTTGATTGCAATTCCATTTCCACCAACATTTTCCCAGCTTGTATCTGCAATTTCATGAACCATTAGTCTTTAAAGTAAAGTGACTATCAGTGAGATATTATGTTATAAACATTGCCCTTACTCTCACTGCTTGTACAGCTCTTCCCTGCAAATGTCCAACTTTCAGACGAGAAGCATGAAGGATGATATAGACAGGTTTCTTCTTCACAATAGTTTCACTCTTCTTGGTTTTATTTGCAGATAAAGATGGTTCATTGATACCATTTTTCTTCAACTATGAAATTCAGAAGATTTTGTCACAATCGTAATAGAACACGGTCGTTTATGATTAAAAAGAAAGTAATAAATAGTAATGAGTTTGAACCAACTTTTACATCTTTATCAGCAACTACATGTACACAATTTGTATTTCCTTTGATGACTTTGATAGATTTTTCTTTCATTGATTCTGAATTATTTGATTGAGAGGTGCCATCCTTAGACATTCTTACAGCATTTTCCTCAGTCAAACACAATTCCTGATCTGATTGATTGTCAACATCCATGTCTTCAACCTTATCAAGAATGGATTTCTCGTGCCTTGGCGTTCTTAACGAGCTCATATTATGCCTCATTAGTGAGCTCACGTTATTTCTTGCACCATCTCGATCGTCAAAATTCTTTAAACTTTGCAAAAGGTGTGGAGGACATGGTCGAGAATGATCTGTTGGTTAAATTCATACAACATGTCATGTTGATGAAACAAGAGACAAAAACACTCTTTAAATGAAACCTTTACCTGGTGTACTTTGGATTTGCCCTGGTATGTTTAGTTTGTATATGGTTGATGGCCAGGTTTGATTCAGATTTCTGTGTGGTTTAATGACAGCTGGGCCATCTCTTGCGGTAGGCTGATATCTTGCAGACCTGATTCTGGTGCTGGTCCGCACTGGTGATATTGCTCTTTTCCCACCTTGTGCCTTACCATGAACCATTGTTTAGAACGATTTCAAAGGCTTTCAACTGGGAAAGAATATAATGGTTGTCAGTTGTCATCTCGTATAGTATAAAATCATTGGCGGAAAACTAAGCCGTCAGCATTTTACTATTTGTAAAAGGCAAAACAAAATCCTTTCCAATATGATGCGGTTTTAACTATTACATGAAATTCATTTCCGTTGTAACTATAAGAAGCCAATATATTTGTAGAATCAACAACGCGTTTAATTGTAGAATCAACAACGAAATTGCTATTCGGCAATTAATTTCGCCATTTCCTTTTAAGAAGAATAAACATTCACTTACTGTGCATGTTCACGACTTGATACAGGTAAAATGTTGACTGATCTTGCTTATTTCCACTGAAAAATGGAAAAAATTTAAAGGTCCATTGTAGAAAATGTTATCATTACTTTATTGTGATTGTCAAGATTGTTGACAAAAACAAACGCAAGCGCATACATTTATGTGGAAAACCGCTGTAGTTTATATCCAGTTTGCTGGAGTTTCTATATAGATCACAGGGAGCACTTTAACATGCGCGTGTGACACTCGCGCGTGTGTTTACGCTAAATTTGTTAAAGATAAAAAATTCTCACGCGTGTGTTCCACGAATATCAAACCTCGAGGGCTCTCATCCTGGAGACTGGAGACTGGATACCATACAAAATGGCGGCGAGACTTTCACGTTTATATTTTGCACATGTTTTGAATGGAATTGTACGACTTTGAATGCAGTTAGAGCTTCTTATGAACTGAGAAGATAATGTCATTACTTTCCAGTACGTATAAAATTTATATCAGTGCGTTTTTACGATATTTTCAAATACAACAACATACTGTTTTTTCTCGTGTCTCTGTCAAGTTTGTCAAGCCTTAGGCATTGTGTATATATTTTTAATATTATATCGTCTTTTATTTATTGTATAATTCTAGACTACAGGCTAGTTTTAGAGAGAGCTTTGGCTTTCGTATTTCCTTACAGGAATGTGTTTGTCTATTTTTACTGTCACTATGAAAGCTGTGTCCTAATAAGTTCGATTTATTTATTTTTTATTAGGTTTGGATGTACATGAAAAAGACCCAACTAAGAACTGGGGACGTTATTCTAGATCTACGTCAGTAAAATTTGGTGATATTTCTGAAACTCCTGAAGATGAGTAAGTTTAATTTTGACAGTGCTAAAGTGATATCAGTGACAGCTTGTTGATATAGTGTCGTGTTCACAAAACTTCACACCATATCACATATTAAACTTGTAACATACAATCCTTTGAGATAGAAATAACCAGCTCAAATTGCTCCAACTTTGTGTGAATTCTAACATTAAGTCTTCAAAATTACCTGGTACAACAATGTTAAATATTTCTTAATAGTACTGTCCAGCTGGTTGAATTTCCCCCAGAAACATCAACTATGACAAGAAGATGTATCCTTTATAAACATAAAGATACTAATATGCCGCCTAACCTAACCACACAAGAATCGTGTATAAAGTATTGTCAAGTCACATTTACAGGCTCCATATGTTAACTGTTAATCCTGTTGGTTTATTGAGAAAAAACCTTAATTATCCTGCAGCTGCATTAAGAAAGCTTCGTCAAAAGCCTATTGAAATAAATGATGATCAAAATCATGGTATAGATATACCTTTTAAATATTATAATGATAAAAATAATCTATTATCATGTGTATCTATAGTTTAAAAACATGTATCACCTTTCTTTTACAGATAAACTAAAAAGCGATACAGATAGGAACCCTATGGTGAGTAAAATTTGGACATTATCAGGGATAGATTAAGTTTGGTCTTTTTAAAAGGGACTGAGTGTGTATGCTCCTGTAGACCATAGAGTGGGTTGGAAGCACCATTTGTTTTCCAAAACTTTTAAAAATAAGATGATAAGGTTGTCGGCTTATGTGTGAGATTCTGAACTCCCCAAGTATTGCCTGCACACCAATATATTTGACCCTATATTTTATTTTTCCAGCTTTTAATTGGTACCCAAATTTGCAATCCGGACCCCAACAAATCCATTTCTGCATGTTATATTAATTTCTGTCTTGTGAATTTTGATCAAGATATATAAATATATAGCAAAACCTTATCAGAATTTCATTTATTCATGGAACTTCAAATCTAATTGTCATTTCCAACAGTTTTTTTTTCCATTTTATTTGTCTTTGCAGGATTTTAATGCACGGGAATCAGATTTTGTCATCCCCAAGACGAAGAAACAAACACAGAGTGAAAAAGAGCAGAAGACCTCAGCAACAAGGGACAGTATACGAGGGAAATGGATCACACGACAAAATGGTGTTACTAGTTATAGAGTTCGAACACAAATTCCACTCAAGCCAGGTGCTGAAGGTCGAACTAAGTCAAAGAAACGTGCAAACGTTAGCGATGATGAGTCACCCAGAAAAAGTATCCGACGTTCATGGATGTATGATCAATCATCCGAAGATAAAGCTCAGAAGCAGCATGATGGTTTTAGGGCCAGTAAACCATCCAAAGGTAAGGCTACGCGTTGAATACTTGAATTCTACATAAAGGCTTGTGTACATTGTGATTTTATGTGCATTTTTCTTCTTTTGTAATTAGTAAATGGTAATTAGTTATGACTTATGAATGCTCTGGTATATAAGAACTCTTATTTGAACATCAGTAATCTCGTATCTTTTGATTAATTGATTTCTTTTTTGAATTAGATGAGAGCAGCAGAGATAAAGGTGGGTGTTGTGTAGGCAAGACTCGTTCTCACAGAGATGATACGTCCTTGATACCTTGTGCCAAAGGGGAGGACTGCAGTGAAGCTTTTAACCGCAGTAAAAAAAATGGCTCATCCTCCCTTCTGTGTGAATTATTCTTGGATGATCTGGGATCATTATGTCCCAAATGTAACGTTATTATATCTACTGCAGGATGTTCAACATGCCCGGAGAGCGATAGTGAATATATAGCCGGCGATGAGTTTAACTCTAGTCAAGATGAATCGAGCGAAGAAAGGAAGGAAAGGACGATAAAGGAAGCAAAACGAACTGATGATGGTAAAAAAACAGAAGAAGAAGGAATGCGCTGTGAACCAATTAGTATTGCTTCATCCTCCTCGCAGGATGGTGATTCAATTACATCACTTCCTAAGTCAGAAGTCACCCAGAATGATCTGTTTTGCGAGGCTTGTTTGGCGCCGTTCACGAGAGACGGTTGTTGCTGTGAGACACAACAAACTCTACAGGAAACTAAGCAACACTCCACAGGAAATTCTCGATCTACAAACGTTCGTAATCTCAGATATAGTGGCATAAAGTATGGAGGTAAATGCTATATATTTGATTGACCAAGGACTGCTGAAATACACTGCCATAAATCGTCATAAAAACTCTGTGTTATGACGACGTTTATGAACAAAACATGTCCATTTGATGTTTTTTCTGCACCATTACGGTACAGGATGCATGCACAGACCTCGTAAAGGTCTATACCCCACTCTCTTTGAGTCTCTATCTATTTGACCCTCACCATTTCTCCAGGCGAAAGCCTGTAAGTCGATAGATGACAGGTTTTTTTGTATTTGTCCATGAGTTTCGTTTATTGATATTTCTAGATGTGTCAGCCGTTGGAAAAGGATTGAATACAAAGGTGAGAATCCATATCGTGTTTTCTGGATGAAAATATGACAATTGTTCGTGAGAAAGTCAAATGATATCACTTGAATAATTGCCGTGTTGTTTAATTTTTAGAGAAAACGGAAGTCGAAGACCTTGGCGCTGAATAAAATCAATACGTCAGGTATAACAACACCATATCTCTCACCTCACACAGGAGATGTGTGACTAGTCAATGCATGGTATACGTATCTGTCACTGTTGAGCTATCATTGTATACCATGGTATGTGTCTGTGTTCTTTTAGGTCGACCATTATCTACACTGACTTTCGAATACAAAACAAGGGGGAAAACAGCCGGAGCAAAAGAACCTGGTAAAAGATCCAATCCTTATTATATCCTTTAATACCTTGTATTATTTTTTGCTATGCTCACGAATGTGACGTGTTCAGCCTGACAAGTTTGCGCTGCGTCGTAAACTTTGTTGTCTAAATATGTTGATAGTATAATTTATCTAAGTAGAGGGACTAGTTTCTACAGTGTAGTAAAGCTACTACTTCTATTGCTACTGCTCTTGTCTTCATTATTTTTTTATTTTCTACATAAACTGTCATATTATGATATTTTCAGTACCAGTGCAGTGTATTGTATCCAGCGACGAAGACGAGAGCCATAGTAGGTTTTCATTATATGAATATTGTGCTTTTTACTGTTAATTAAGAAGAAATAAATCATTATAACTGATTGTTCTTTATGTATCTTTTTATCATGCGCACAGATGTGACAGACGAAGTGGAGGAAAATGAGACCATTACTAACGATAATACTAACACGTTTGATGACGATGAGAATAAAATGGTACGCGAGACTGTTATGAATGGTTACTGTATATATTTACACTGGTGTTAAGATGGTGTTGCACATACAGTGTAGTTGTTCTAGCAACCTCAGTGGAATGCAGTTAGAATTTGAGACTCTTCTGTCAATAACACTCCACCGATGTTGTCTTGTAATACATTTCAAAAACGCTTCTCTCGAGAGCCTGCATGGGCAAAATTGCATTGCGAGTTACAATAAATTGCAATGACCGCTGCATCTTATGCCTTTCAGGAATGAGATGGGCTCATTGGTGAGGTGGGAATAAAAGGAGACATTTAAAAACGATGAATTTGTTCATTTTTTTATAGTTTGAAGCAATAAAAAGAAGGAATAGTTGTGGAGTAGTTGGAGGGAAGAACAAAGAAACGGCGGCGTTGTACAAAATATCGTGTGAATATGACGACTCTGATGTTGGTGAAAGTACGAGTTTTGTTCTTGATAAACCAGAGAAAAAACAACAAAAACAGAAAAAATCAAGTTCATTCGCTCAAGTTGAAGATACGTGTGTACGTATTGCTGTTAAGAGAGTATTTATCGGTGATCTGTCCCGTGTTACAAGCGAACTGGTTGAGGTGAGACGTCGTGTCATTCGTGATGTTGGTTTAACAATGAAAACAGTAATGATTCAGTGTAATGGATCTTGTTTTCCGTTCCAGGTGACCGATGATAGAATACTAATCCAGATAAGAAGTCGTAAGTCATCTCTTGATAACTAACGTTTAAAATGCTTCTAATACCGAGATTAAATTGATTGTCGCTCTTTTTAGCAAACGAAACCTTGGATTTTCATCTGGAGAGGGAAAGCTTTAGTACTTTTGAGGTAAATACGTGTGCATTGAATAACAAAAATACCCGTTAAACTTGAGAAGTTTAGACAAGAATTACACAACAGCTTATTGTAAGATTATTTTCTTACATCACAGATCCACAATGATGACGAACCTAGAGTTATAATCATGAAACCAACTCCTTATTGGGCCAGACGATGTGTGGAAAGATACCGGAATTATGGTACATTCATTGACCCCGGCAGCTGTAGTGAGTACATCACACATTAATCCATTTATTCCGTGCTTTCCTTCACATGAGTGCTAAACTAAGACGTCAATGCTATGTAGCAACACGTAGGGGGAAGTATAACACCTAATTTTCCTACCTTTCTCCCCAGATTTGGCCCAATAAAACTTCCATGAATCCAGTTGAATTCTATTCGTAGGATTAAAAATCTACTAATCACTGTTCTTCAATAATGTCTATCTTATTTCAGTGTATAGTAAGAGACAAATCCTGCTTGAGCTGGCTGAGAAAATTTCGCCCAAGACGTTTAAACAACTCATTCAATTGGTAAAGTCATTCTGCTGTTAATTTACAACCGTTTATGACAAAGCTATTTTGCTAATCTCGCAGTTCCGAGAGCCTTCATTCATGGAATATATATTAATTTTCCATGAGATTTAAAAACTAAAGAAAGCATGAAATGTTTCAAGGAGCATTATTGATAATATCATGATCAATGATTGTGGCATTTTTATTTTCATGCTTTCAGGTTAATTACAAATTATCCGATGAACCAATCGCAGAGGAAATAAGGTACCATCATAGTGAAGTAGACTAGTCTTATTACATTATTGCCAAGTTAACATCATGACATGCAGGCGTCCTGTTTACGTTCTGACGGAAGAATTATAGAAAACCTGTGCAAGTTTTGTGAGATATGTAAAGTTAAATTGAATGTTTTAGTATGAGCGAAGCAAAGGAAGAAAGGGAGCGTATAATGAAGGATATCAAAGAATTGAAGAGCCAGAGTACATCGTCTGAGAATACAAATACAACCAAGAATTTTCCTGTTGTAAAAACGTACGGAACGCGTTCAAAATCGAATCCAACAAGCGTCAAAACTCCACCGAAAACGTGAGTTTGTAGTTTGTGAAAGTTTACTCCACACACAGAGTAAAACCCCATATAAACATTGATCCAGTGTTTCATGCAAGTTACAAGAGGAAACGTTAACTAAACTCGCTTTGAATGACATACGTACTGTAATGAACGAATGAAATGAAAAACTTTATTTTACGACGGTATAACACAATAGCATAATAATTCACACTAACAAAAACCGTGGCCTTGTGACTTTCAAATACAGTGAAGTATGTGCCAATTGATCTAAATAATACCTTTATCATCCTTTTCTAGAGTTTTGGTCCGTGTGGCCGGGGTTACCATAACCAATAAAGATTTCCAGTGTCTGGACCCTTCGACGTACCTGAACGACATTATCATGGAGTTCTTTCTCAAGTAAGACACTGCTCTTTCGGTTCTTAAAACTTTTCCCTCCAAAAACTCAGTGAAATCGTCCAGTAATACATCCAAAACATTGTTACATTGGGTAAACTGTTGTATATTTCACAGGTACATAATTGAAGAGAAGTTAAACGCGGATGACCGTGATAGAATACATCTTTTCAGCACCTACTTTTACGAGAAACTTACGCAGAAAAACAGGAACTCGAACGAACAAAGGTACTTAGAAGTCCAAATATTAGTTATCTTTATTCTTCATGGTGCGTATGAAATGGTACGATGATTGTCCTTCTTCTTTTTCCAATTAGATCACCTACCAGCATGCATAGCATGGTGAAATCATGGACCAAAAACGTGGACATCTTTTCCAAAGACTTTCTTTTTATTCCTATTAATGAAAGGTAAACTTATTGTCCCAATTTATTTTGACGATTTTATATCATAGTTGTATAGTTTTTGACAGAAGGATCTTGGTATTTTCCGTCTAAATGTTCCGTAATTTTTTTCTAGTTCCCACTGGTTCCTCGTAGCTATCTGTTATCCCATGTTGGTGGTGGAAAATGCTGAAACCGAGGTTTGTCAATACTACACAGCGCTATCGAAATATCCTAAAAACACGTTAACACAACATTTTCATTGTAGAATCCGTTTTACAGTACCTTTGCGTTTCACCATTTTGAGATTTCTTTTTAGACATTTGAATTTTTTTTTAAACCTTGCACAGGATAATTCAGGCACTCAATTACCAGAGTCACAGACTGATGAATCTGATATGGATGATTTTGATAAAGAACTGTGGAGAATTGCTAAGGCGTCGTCTGCTCCCGTTGAAGAAATAGATGTTGGAAGAAGCAAAGAGTCTGAAATGGATGATTTTGCTAGACCTTTAATTGAGACTGCTAAAACATGCATTGAAGAGAAAGATACAGGCAAGATGGCGGCAACTAGTCAGACGACTAAGAGAAGGAAGAAATCTCGAGAGATTACGTCCGGGATAAAAAAACGGTAAGGACTAATATAATCGTTTTATTTTTCCTTACCTGTGTGTTGATGGTTGGTGTACATCTTTACGCAGCAGCTCAGACTAGCTTGCCTTTGAAGGTGTTGTAGGTTTTTGTTTCATAAGACTTGGGCAAGCTTCACGCAAGTCCATAACAAGGACCAGTTACTGTATCTAGAGGTACTGTAGTTACCGGATCTGTACTACAGTTTGAGACAGGATCAGCTAATTATCATGGTGTATATTGGGGTAAACTACGATTTAACTACCCAAAATATTTTTTTTTGATCGGTTTTAGACCCTGTATATTGATATTTGACTCACTCGGCTCCTGTCACAGAGCAACAGTTATGAGTAATCTAAGAAAGTAAGTGTTGGCAAGGCTTGTGTTTCTCAGAATAACATGTTGAGGAACTCATTGATAGGTTGAGATAGCTAGAATTGTGACAAATTTGGACAGTCGTACATACTTTTTGGTTTACCCATGTCAGTATGCATATGAAATCTCATTTGTTTTAGTTATTTGAACTGCGAGTGGAAAGCCAAAAAGGATTGTAGTAGCAAGGTGGTATTTGATAAAGATACCATTAAAGGATGTTATCCCAAGGTTGGTATATATATGATCATCATCACATCATGTTGTCATGTTTCTATTCTCAATAACCATAGCAGAGGCTTGAAGCATTTTACTTTATTTGGGTTGGGTTATTTGAGGTTTGCATCCATCAATTTGCCATCTAATGTTTCTTTTTCCTTAGGTACCTTCCCAGGAGAACTTTTCAGATTGTGGGCTTTATGTCTTACAGTATTTTGAAAGCTTTTTTATCGTGAGTAGTTAATTGATGGATTTATTTGTAAATAATATCATAATTTTTTACATGAGTCCCTAAATACAAGACCTATTGTTTTTCTAGAATCCAATCAAGGATTATAAATTCCCTATTGATCTCAGGTCGTGGTTTGGCCAGGATGAAATGAGAAAGAAACGTCTTCACATTAAAAATGTGATCCTCAAGTTGCAAGCAAGAGCTGAAAGTTTAAACAGCAACTAATATCTTGCACAAAAATGTTTAGAGAATAGTAATATATTTATACATATATATATAATTTATATTTAATTGAAATTATGGCATTAAGACCAAAGTTTTGTTATGCAAATACTTGTAAATAAGTCACAAAACCAGGTTTCAGAAGTAGTTTATGGCATTAAGACCAAAGTTTTGTTATACAAATGCATGTAAATAAGTCACAAAACCAGGTTTCAGATGTAGTTTATGGCATTAAGACCAAAGTTTTGTTATGCAAATACATGTAAATAAGTCACAAAACAAGTTTTCAGAAGTAGTTTTATTTGAGTTATTCTTCACCTGCAGGTATAGCATCTTCTAGTTTTTTAATGAATTTTACTCTTAGTTCAGTTGTCTCATCTCCACGTAATGCATCTTGAAGAAAACTAACTTCAACTTCCATTTGAACCTGTAGTGGAGAAGAGATGGTGCAACATGAGAAGATATAAATAGGATGAAATGAAAGAAAATGATGAAGAATTGTTCAGTGGCATTTCAACGAGGGATCTGATTTAAACAGTGGAAATGAGGAAAGACTAGGCAACTTAAAACACTCTTGTCAAATTATCAGAGGAGTACGTGGCATAGATTATATCCCACGAGGACTGGCTCATTGGGTCCTTAATATTGTCATTATATATTCACATTACATCTACATTTACTTACCATTTCTAAGGCACCTCTGAGAACTCCACATAATATATTAGAATAATACAGATTATCATGACCTGATGGTAATTCTACAAATTCTGCCAATGGGTTGTTTTCAAGTATCAATGAAAACTCATCCGCAGCTGGGCTCCACTTTGTTACTGCTGGAGTGACACCAAGAAACATTCTGAAGCCCAACTATATGAAAGTTAAGAGTTGGTGTTTTTAAAAATGGGTGAAAATAGATGTACAGGAAGTACATGAAGTACATATCAATTAAGTTTTATGAATTAAATATCAAACCTTGGCTATAATATCAGCAGTTTCTCTCAAGTCGTGACATCTTCCAACATTTCCTTTTGCAATAAGGTCTTCAATTAATCGCACACCAATGTTATAACCCCTATCAGACAAAATAATTACGATAATTTATAAAAATGAAACTAAAAATGTTTGTGATCTCGTGTTCATGCATCTTACATTTGATCTAACTTCTTATTGACTGCATCATCACTCTCATAATCTTTAACAAGCTGGGCAACTAGTGCACCATATGTCAATGTGAACAATTCTGAACTCTACAACAGAATACAGAAAATGAAAGGTTTATCGATGTTTCATAGAATTGAGGGTTTATTATGAGTTATTATCATGAGGTCATTATCTAGAAGGAAACATTTCTATTGCCAAATAAAGTAATATCCTTTGAACAGATCTTCAATTATCTTCAAGCAACCCTGGGTTACACCTTATCCAATGTATTATAGATATTAAAAAGAGCTACAAATTTGAAAGTAATTTTCTATGATTTTCAATATATTTTTTACACAAATATTCTGGAATGTATAAAAAACTTACAACTTTTTTTCCATCAGCTCGGGCTGAATTTTGTCGAGACATGTTATTCTAACTGTTCAACATTAAACAATCATATAAAATTTCAAAATAATATTTTAGTTCTATTTTGAAATTTTGTTACTTTTTATATAGTTAATATTTATCCAGTTTGTAAAGAGATCACAGCGCGCGCGAGAAAAATTCCAAGAGTCTGGGAGTGAGAATAGAAAAATGATATTTTTTCAAAAATCATTCTAGCCATGTGGAGAAAAAACCTTGTGAAAATGTGAATATTTTGAAAGAGAAACGGGAATTTAGAAGTCCTAAAGCGGGATGAAGTGTTGAAAAAGTTTATGTGATAATATTGACGGTTTTGGGTCTTATTTTTTCGCAGTTAAATTGCGCAAATAAAGTGATAGGTAAATATGTCATCTCCGCAACTTGGTGCTCAGACAGTTTCTAAAACTATCCAAGATTTGCAGATAGAAGTTCAGGTACGTTTATAGTGATTATATATCTATCCATTATAGCCATGTTGCACATGATTAAGAATTTGACAAATATACCGAATAACAAACCTGTTTATGTACTTTCAATTCTTACAAATTAGTTGATAAATTGTAACTTCCCCCCCCCGAAATGAACTCTGAGTTTTACAGTTTTAGTAAAGTCAAAAAGCCTGTTTTCATATATATTTTTCTCTTTTAAGTCATTTGGCCCAGGACCTTATACCCCAGAGCAACAGAAAAAGATCAACCAGTTCATGGTTTTCCAGAAAGCTGCTGGCGCTCAGGATCAAGCGACGGTAAGATTACTTTTGTAAAATGCATTAAACATTTTTGCACTGTGTAATAACTATTAAATAACATCTTCGGCAATCATTTTTGTAGTACCTTCCTGTAAGGCCACCTGGTTCAAGTCCTCCTCTTGTCATTATGTCTTCACCGTCATCTGCTCCAATGCAAGTACAAACATCTTCTGGGAAACAACCTGTTGTCATGACGACATCAAATCTCCGAGGGGTATCGCCAGTTCTACCACAAGGAGCTGTACTCATGCAACAGACCATCAAAACATCTTTACCCAATCAAGGAAACAACTCTGCAACACAGTCTCCATCTAAAGTAACAATCATTGGTAATAAAGGTTCATCATCTTTATCACAGCTTTCCCTCTTAGCTCAACATCCACAAGGTCATGCACCTACCACACAAATTCATATCAAACCAAACACAAGTGGACAAACATTTACAGCAGCTTCTAATGCAGCAAGTGCAACCATTCAACGCCAGGTTTTGCCTGTTCAAACTTTGCCAGGTAATTTGTTAAATAGCTATTTAACACAAACATGCATATCAAGTTAAAATAGAGAAGTTCTATTAAGTATTATTGGATTATATTTTTAATTATTTGAATGAGCTAAATGTATGCTGTGTCTTCAGCTGGTCATTCTCCTGTCCAAATGGTGGCTTCCATACCAGGTCACCAAGCACCTGCAGGACATGTTCTGACTGCTGTAAACATTCCACAGAAACACGCCATTGCACAGCGACCAATTGCACCTCATGGTATTGCAATACAACAAACAGCTCAAGGGACTCCAATGGTAATCCAGGTAACAGCAGCACCTACAGCTCAGGGTAAACCTACATTGGTACAAACCACTGCTCAAGTAAAAAGTGCTATCTCTGGAGGAACACATGTACAACAAAGTGGAAGCAATGAGAGCTTGAAAGCTCCTATCTCTGCTGCACCAAAAATGGCCCAAACAAGTCAAGGTAAAACAGATCTGTGTGTATCATTATCAGCATGTAGATTTGCAGATTTGAGTCTTGATTTACTAATTTCCCATATTCTAGGACTTCACTCAGTTGACTCTTTGAATTCAGAACCCCAGACAGTTTTGTCCAGAAAAAGACTTCAAGAACTGTTACAAGAAATTGATCCTCGGGCAACACTGGATGAAGATGTTGAAGATGTATGTTCTATAGGGACCTCAGTTTTTCTGTATTAAATCAATCTAAATCTGTTATGGAATGCAAGAAGGTTTTATGTTTACACTCCTGTTGTTTAGATTTTACTACAGATTGCAGATGATTTCATTGAAAGTGTTGTTAATTCTTCCTGTCAAATTGCCAAACATCGCAAGTCAAATGTTTTAGAAGTTCGTGATATACAAATGCATCTTGGTAAGTTAGACCTTTAGAAGTAAAACAATCAATTTACATGAAATAATAAGAGATGTAATAATGCACTTTTTTTCTTTGAATTTTTAGAGAGAAATTGGAATATGTGGGTTCCTGGTTATGGAACTGAGGACTTCAAACAACAGAAAAAACTTGGCTCAACTGAAGCACACAAACAGGTGAGAAATTCATCCAGTTTTGGAAAGAATAACAATGGTCAATTTATTATTACATGGTTTTTCTTGACACTTGTTTCCTGTTGTTGTAGCGACTTGCATTAATCAGGAAATCTATGAAGAAATGAGGTCTAAATAGTCATGGCAAAGTTGGATGAAGTTTTAAAATTCTTTGTGTATAGCCCATGTTTGAGAGTTCTTTCAGAGTAATTATTATGAGCTGGAAATAAGTTGCTGTGTAAAAGAAATTGTTTATACAAGACACAAGCACTTTGCACAAAAATAGCCAGCAATGAAGGCAAGCATATTACCTACCTAGTGAAAGAAACTAATTTTTTAGTGAAAACTGTTTATATTGCTATTTTTTGTGTTAATTGTACATATTTAGATAAATATGATGGTAAGCATCCACAATTTTGTTAAGTCCGATAGAAAATGGCAAGGACAAAGTCAGACTGAACTGAAGCAACTCATTGTGTGTGCAAATATAGGAGTTCATAGCTAGCATTATTGGTTTTGTAAATAATATATAACACTCAACCTTCTCCATAGTCATAGTACACCATACTATAAACCCACAAAAACTTGAGTAGACCACTCAGTTAGTAACCACACATATGGATGATTAATTGTTTTATAATATTCTATCTATAATGATTGTACTTTTTGTTAGTACAGAAAAAAATTTGAACCAAACACTAAATATATTTACAATAAATTCAGCAAACGATAAATTAAATTAGGATATATAATCCTTTCTTTCCAAAGTCACTTTTTAGAAATGGAATCCAGATTGTGGCATTGCTGGTTGTCCAAACTGGAATGTTGCTGTGCCATCATTTATGCTTTGTGGAGCTACTGTCAAGTCCTCTTCCTGTTAAGGTAACAAATTCTGTTTTAACAGTTCCAGTGAAACTATATTATTTTTACCAAACATCCATTAGATTTGGACTGATATATCTTTACCTCAGTTTGGAAATATTTGTCAATAAGATTCTGTGCCGCTTGAAAGACTTGCTCGTTTTCATGTTGTTGCAGTTCCTCTATCTTATCAAGTCCTAGTAAATGTTCAGAATGATTAAAAAGGGTCTTAAAAGCATCTGTAGTACCGGGCCTGACAAGATAAACAGTACCTGTACATTCTTCGATTCTTAAAGCAACATCGTCAAGCATGTTCATTTGATCACTTTTCTAAAAAAAGAAAATTGGTTTTAAAAAGATGGATCGCTAAACAAATTATATCTCTACTACATTTCAGTGAAGACTGAGAACTAAACTTACATTTAAGATGTGGTTGAATGCATCTAGCAAGACCAATATGACCTGATAGAAGAAAATAAAACATTGAAAAGGAAGGTGTATTGTAAAATTAATGACATTTGCTACACAATTGCTGCTTGAGATTTTTAAATGATTTCCTTTGTCTCTCTTCAAGGGGGAACCTGTTACCTTGGGTTCTTTGACTGTCAGCAACTTGCACAAGAATGGAATAGCTCCACATTTGTCAACAAGATACCGGATCTGAAATGAATTGCAATTTGCAAGGAGTACGTTATTGTTAGATCAGAAAATGATGCAGATTTTGGCACCCGCTACCACTTGTGTGACCAGGGCTTATACATTCATTCAATCTAATTCAGTTTCACATTAGGATACATATTTACCTGTTTTTGGTTACTACCAGAAGTCAGGTTTGTGATCACCCACACAGCCTCTTTTTGGCTCTTGTAATCTCCCTGATCCATGATTTGTAATATTACAGGGACCAAACCAGCATCTATGACAGCCTGAAAAGAGGAGTTATTTAGGTGCAAAAAATCTGTGAGAAAATTATGATCTCAACTCTTATCAAAAATGAGAAAGATCTATTAAGAAGAGGGGGAGTTGCTTGTCAATGAAACATGAAGAAACTTACATAGAAATAACCAAAAGAGGGCCGAGAGTACTTACCTGGATTTGGTTTTCATTTCCTGCTGTGATATTAGATAAGGCCCAAGCTGCTTCCTAAGAGGAGAAAAGAGATATGTACCAGACTGATTAGATGTACCACACCAATGGAGAAAATTCAAAATGAAAGACAGGTACAACAATTACCTTGATCAAAGTGTTCTTTTTGTGTGTGAGTAAAGCCCCAAAATACTGCAAGGCTCCAAGGTCTAAGACATGCTATAATATATAATTATACAAATAAAATCTTGGTTATTTATTCAGACATTTACCATTGCATAAATGAAGGTGTACTAATTTGTATACGGTACAAAAGCAACAGTCATGTACCTGTGTTTGATTGTCATTACCAGTAACAACATTACCAACTGCTCTTAAAGCTGGTGTCTATATTAGTTAAAATGAATTAGCATGATTATAATTTGAGATTTTAAATTATATTTGAGAAATTATATAAATTCTTACCAGAATATTAAGCTGGTTTGTACCAAGAAGTTCCACCAGTTTTGGTAAAACATTTGCATTGATTACTGCCTGTAAAATACGAAAGAATTAATTCGTATTAACTTTAATTTTTATCTAATAGTATTCAGATAATATATTTTCTCACTTGAATTTTCTCGTTAGGTCCATCTGTGAGGTAGGAGAGTGCCCAGCAAGCATCAGCAACAACCTCATTATCAGTATAGTTTATCAGGTAGGCAAGTGCTGGCAAGAGCTAAAAATGGAATAAACTAGCAATTAGAAAAAATAATTAGAATAATTACAAAACTTAATTGCAACTTTTGTACCTGTTGAACAGCAGAAAATGGCGGAGGTGGATTCTTGTTTCGACAAAGGTTCGACACTGTCCATGTGATATTTCTTAGATATGATGGCTGCAATGATGAAGATAGTTTATCTCGTTCATTCCAAGACAGAGATTTCTTGAGAATAATACATGCCTTGTATCTGGATTATAAGTATATTTGTACAAGTACCTGCAAACCAGGCTTTTGCATTAACTCCAGTAATTTTGATACAACACCATACTCTGATGTCAAAACTTTGTCACGTAATTTTGGTCCATCACCTGATAATAATTAGGTTAAGGTTTTAGTTGTAGCTCACTTGATTTATGTTGTAAACAATTAAATAAATGAAGTCCATTTAACCGGCTTCACCTGCAATGTTTCCAATTGCCCAGACTGCCTGTTCCCGCACTTTCTCATTGGAAGAAGACAATAGTTGAATAAACTGTGATAGAGCTCCTTTATGAAGGTAAAGAAATGAGTTGGTGTTGAACAGCGAGGATGATTAGGGAATCTTCGAATGATGGGGGCGTACCTGCATTAACCACAATCCATGTTTGATCTGATGTTCCAGATGCAATGTTCGTCAATGCCCACGCAGCTTCAAACTGAATGTCAGATCTAAAAGTTGGGGAAGAAAGAGAGAGACTTATAACACACCAGCTGGCTGTCATGGTAACTTGCTTTAAGGTGAATTAATGAATTCATTGCTGGCATTTGCCTAATATTAACTTACACACTTTGCTTCAAGCATTCAACTAGTTTTGGGACAAGACCAGCTCTAAAAATGACAAATGTTAATAAATTAGTTTTAATGCTAATTGGTCAGGTTTAATCAAGAAAATTTATACATACTGTATAACATCATTGATTGGAGGGTTTCTTTCTCTTGACAACATTTTTCTGCAAAAAAATGAATTACAGGTTGATTCCTAATTTCTCTTATTTAGCAATATCTTTTACCAAAAGCACCAGATACCTACCTAGATGCTTGAACAGCAGCAAACACTTGATCTTGTGTGCTGTTTGAAACAAGAACCTGATAGATCTGTGCCGGAGAGAGTGACTGACTATTGGCAGCATTATTCTCTTGTAAGGGCTCTGGATTTACTGAAACATTCCTTCGTTTCAAGATTTGATCATCACGCTTTGACTACAATAGATGGATGATGATACTTTAACCAAGAAATGCTGATTTGGGAGGGTTTCAATACACATATTCTACATGGTTTATATGCTGAATTATTTTAATGGAACACATTATTTTTTTATTTTAGCTATATTGTATATGAACAACATCACATGATCTCATTGGAAAATTGAAAAAGATTGCAGGAATCATGTTGAATCATGTTGAAAAAATACAGAAGAAAATCTGTCTTTAATATAGCGTAAATGGCACTCGAACCTACGATCCACGATTCCTCTGAGGAGCTTTGACCACTCTCGCCATGAGGTATATTGCCTTCTTTCGATATGACGAAATTGATCTAATATTTTGCTATATTATAATACATTAAGCTACCTTTCTTAGTTCAATCGTTACTTCGTTTCGTCGTCTTCTACATTCCTAAAGAAAGAAACCATTTTTCAAATTTTAATGCGAATGAATCGCATTTGAAGACACCATTGGAAGCCAGAATTTTTTGGGAGATGATCGCAGATTTTTTCGACTTACATCGTCCTTTCCCATATTTTTAAAGTTCCGTAAGCGGTTATTATTTTCCTTCCCAACCACAGGCATTTTTATGTATATATTATGGAGAAAAACTGTACAAATTTCTTACAAAAAATACAACGAGTGGTCTTTATCTTCCACAAACGTGTTGTAAATGATTTGATAAAGTACAAAAAAATTTAAAATATGTCTCAAGTACATCTAAAAGCATCTGATTGGTTGAGCTAAATTCTAGCCAATGAAATTCCAAGTTTTATCAACGGTTCATCGAACGAAGCCATTTGATTGGCTGATTGATTTAAATGCCTGCGCAGCTTACTCCCCCTTGGAAACGAAACAAACTGCATGGAAACCAATATGGCGGGCGATGGTGCGAAAGTTTGATATGTTTTAAAAATGTTATTTTAAAGGCATAAGATGTCAAAAGGAAAGCGAGCAAAGAGTGGTTCTGCTCATGATATCAATAAGTGGGAAAATGGCCTAATTCAAGCTTCGTTGAATGAGGTAATACATTGAAATCGTAGCATAAAGTTTGAATTTTTGTATTTTTACTATTTATAAAATTACTATTTACTTATTTACAACGCTGTTTGTTGACGTTTGATGCACCAGTCTCCTTAGGTGAATTTATATTTCAAAAAATATTAAATTTTTTTTCCAAAGGATGCATGGAAAACATGCGTTTTTTTCCTCGTTTCAAATAAACCTGAAGACGATGATTTGATAAACATTTCATCTGCAGTAATTTCCACTGGTTTGAGAAAGTTGTTCAGTGTCATTTCGAAAGAACAGTTGTATAGAGAGGTATGGTATATGATTTTTAAGACTCGTATGTGAAAACTAAGCTAATAATTTCTGCACATATGGTTTAGGTGAAAGAATTTACAAAGGCAATATCCAGTGGCGGAGGAAAAGGGAAAACTGCAGTAAAACTACCGGAGTTTGTTGAAATCTGTGAACAAGTTAAACCATTCATTGACCAAGGGGAAGATATTCCTTCCAGTTTACTTGCAAAACTTCTTAAATTTAAACTGCTGCAACTGAAAACAAAGGACATTGAAAGAAGAGAAGAAGCTGATAAGGTTTTCTGACATCTTGTTGCTTTCTGTATTATTCAATCTTTATTTGTCTAAAACATGAATGTCTTTCAGGAAAAGGCAAAATCAGCAAGTGGTAAGAAAGGAGATAAGAGTCCAGATAAGAGATCAAAATCTCCAAAGAAGAAGGGAAAGAAAGGGGAGGCTGAACGTCCTCCATCACCAAAAAAAGATACAAAACTTAAGAAAAGAGGAGAAGTTGAGGATACTTTTAAAACTATAGGTTTGTGTTTTGATTGAAGTTCTTCCTTGTTGAGTAATATCTTCACCAGAATTGTTTTCACCATAATTTATCTTCAATAACCACCATAAAATTATCACCATGTGTCCTACAGATTGCTATATTAGGTCATTGTTTTCCAACATCATCATGCATCATCAATAACCACCAATGAATTATCACCAAGTGTCCTCCTACTAAATAGTCTACTCTCTTCTTTCTCAAATAATCCCTTCTCTTTCTGTAGATGATGAACCAGATGAAGAAGGAAGTCCACAACATTATGTTCTGATTCATGGCTTCCTCTCTGCCTCAACTCTTCACCATCTTGCAAACATTGGTGTTCATGTGAATGCTATCATTAAGCTGCAACAGGAAGAGTACAGATGCAAGCCTCAAGAACATCCTAAAGAGGAAATGCATGAAGATGTTGAAGAAGAGGTGAGCAGATTCTAGCTCTCATGAATGGATGAAATATATTTGTTGTACTCAGACATAATACTGCCTAATATATATATCAAGAAAGAGAAGAAAAAAATAATCCAAATACGACTCATACAATCCACAATACAACTTTCACAAGCTCCCTTTTACAACTCTGATATCTCCTCTTGAAAGGGTGAAGAGGTGGAAGTTGCTGGTGTGGAGAAAGATGTTGAGGCAACAGATGAATCTTCAAAAGATGAAGAGGAACTGGCAAAGTTCTGGAGTGAATCTGATGAGCTTGTACTCAGCGCTCCAACAGGACATAAACTAAAAGATATTGCAAAATATGAAGTGACTGTCTCTAATACCTTGCCTGTTGATCAAAGTTTAGATCAAGTTGAAGCTGAGAAGAAGGTACAATGAATATAATTCTTTGCTTCTTAATTTGCATCGTACAGTGTGCAATAGTCTTCATGCACGCGATTCTTCATGCACGAGGTGATTTGATTCGATTTAAAGTTGCACTCTAGTATGGGGTTTGTAGATTTGTGTTCAACCAATAAATCCGTGGTTTATTTATCCTAAACTTCATCCTTCTTCGTTTTGTTCTTTGTCATGAAAAAGCACTTCATTCCACTATGTCAGTCTCATGACGTGCAGCTCACCGCGTATTTCCATTTATTTCCAGAACGAGCTTGGCACGGCAATATTTGAGAAGATTGCCAACGTGTGCTACGATATGCTGGATCATCACAAATCATACCAACGTTTCCTGGCCGCGATGAAATTACTTCATGTTCCAGTTCATGCAGCAAATATCACAACAGATGTTCAAGAAGCTGTCACAACAGGTAACGTTTGCACTTTTGAAAACGCGCTCTAGAACAAACACTTGCTTAGTCCAGGCTCTTTTTCAGACAATTGTTTTTTTCTTTCTTCTAGATTCTTTAAATCAAGTTGAAATCGACACGCGTTACTTCAATCACCTGTTGGAAAGTGTTCCTGACGAGAGTATCAGTGTTCCGCTTGTGTTGCACTGCCTTCTGGAACAGGTAAGCTGGACTTTTGACCTCTAGCTAGGGGGAACAGTTTAGAACTGATAGAACCATCCAGTATAAAGTTACTTCAGTCATCTATCGATCGAGTACGTATAAAGGAGTGCTCTTGAAAATTAATAAAAAAATCTTGTCTGAGTATTGGTTGCATTCTTCCATAGGTAGTTGTTACTGTGGACGAAACTGATCCATTCGCAAAACAAAAAGAAATCAGAGAAGATGGTTTGGACAATGATCTCGCTGCGCATATCAATACTAAGATGGCTAATCTTGCTTTAACAACCGCCGAAAAACAGGTGCGTCTACATTGCTATGTTGTACAAATGTCTTGTTCTCCATAGCTCATCCATTGACCTTCGTTTTATTTCTCTCGTCAGGAAATACTCGAGGAGACGAACGTGAAGAAGCGGGATGACAACGCAAAGATTCCGGTAATTCTGGAACACAACGATAAACTCTCGCAACGCTTGCATTATCTGGAAGATATTTCTATTCTCGATGGACTCGACACGGAGAGGGCCATGTTAGAAATATCAGCTTCACGTGATCTCGATATGTTTCCAAGAAGAACAACTGCAGAATTCATGGAAAGTAACGCACGATTTCATCAGTTCATACAACATTGTTCATTTCCAAGTGCAGAGGACGTCTCGTATCTTTTAAAGAAGTATACGTTTGAAGGTAGTTGGCGAATCGGATCGTTTTACCTGGACTGTTAGGACTCTCCTTTATTAATTCATCTACAAGAGAAAACTAAACTATAACCTTATTCTTAATGGATAGCTCGTTAAGTTGTAAACTGTTCTTCCGGGAGATCCGGCAAGGATTGTCTTTTATTGACCCAGTGTTCTTGTTTTAAAAGAAACCTAAACTAAACTAACTTTATTTATACCGGATAGCTCGTGTAAACTGTTCTTCCTAGAGATCCAGCAAGCCGGATTGTCTTTTATTGACCCAGTGTTCTTGTTTTAAAAGAAACCTAAACTAAACTAACTTTATTTATACTGGATAGCTCGTGTAAACTGTTTTTCCTAGAGATCCAGCAAGCCGGATTGTCTTTTATTGACCCAGTGTTCTTCTCTTACAGGAATACCTCTCAAAAGCGTGGACGGCAATGGCAATGTGGTAGAACAGCGGCTATCTTCTTACAAAAATCCCTGGGATGATCCATACTCAGACTTCATGAAGTATAACAGCGCACGTGAACAGGGCATGATAAAGAGTGATGTAGACCCAGCGAGTGTATCAGCTGCAGTCAATCTTGTGTCGTACAGAAACCTCAATGAATGGTGTTACGTTGAAGAGTTTGATCAAAATACCTTCACTCAGGTATATTATACCCCATATTAAATTATTATATTCGTGGAACGATATATCTTTTTACAGGATCTTTTGGAAATACAGTTAGAGCGATCAAGTATAAATAAAGTTAGATTAGTTTAGGTTTCCTCCTGTAGTAAAACTGGATCGATAAGAAATATTCTTTTCATCATCTTTACAGGTTCTTGAAGATGTTCGTCATTCCTATCCATTCGTGGACACGTATTACCACAAACACGATGACACTTTGCTGCTGGTTCATTACAACCCCATTGGTAAACAACTCTTCAATACCTCGTGTTGGAACGTGAAACTTCTCTCAAATGTCGGCTTCAGGAACTACCTGGAACACATCAGCAGCATGATACGCGAGTGGAATCTTCAGCAAGACAGGCTTGAAGAAGAGAACAACAAGACTCCAACACCCGTCCCTCCGACACCAGAGCCTCCGAAAGCCGACATCAAGATTGGCAGCCGCTACGGGCTAAAAACCAGAGCAGAGATCGCGGCGCTGAAGGCAGAGGAAGATGACAAGGGCAAGAAGAAGGGAAAGAGAAGTGCTCGAAGCAGAACACCTAAAAGTGGTAAAAAAGGTTCTGCTACTGAAAAGAAAGGTATTTTCTCACCTCATACACAGTGTCGTTTTAAACCTGCACATGTAACGAAACCTAGGAAAGACGTTGATACTTACATGAACTGAAAAATGATACGAAAATCGCACATAGTTGCTGCAAAGCACGATGCAAACCCACGCATACGCACAATAAACTATTACCTTACCTCAATTACTTACTATAACTGGGTTTCAAAATGATCCTCACTGGAAACTATGACGTCCCATTTCTCGTTTCCAGGCAGCAGTACAAAAAGTAGAGTGCCCTCCTCTGGCTCGCCAGGACGAACAATGAAAGGAAGTAAAGGTCGTCTTGCAAATGAAACGGAAACACAGCCGGAAGTCGACGATGAAGCACTGATGGATGACGAAGAGAGATACGATTTCCTGGGCTATGACGTAGGGGACGATCTCATACACGTGACTGGTGTCCAGACTTCTATGTTCCCGTGCGATGGCGGCGAGATACGAGTGGAGAAGACGCAGTATGTCCGAGGTCCATGCTCTGTTTCCACAACAGTTCACAAGGATGGCGATATCTTAAAGTTATATTTCCTTGAACCGATAGAGGAAATTTTACCGGAACAGCCAAGTGAGATTATTGCCAGTCCCCAAGTGGAAGCAAATGAGGATCCGGAACAGACCGAGGATTCTGCCGAGACTCTGAATGAACCAAGCGACGAGGGTGTTGAGAAGAGTGAGTTTGAAGCGAACGAGAAAACAGCTTCATTTCATCAAGATGTTGTTGTGGAGAACGATGAACGATCACCAGAGCCAGCGGTTCCTGCGTTCTGTACGCATGCGTCGTTTGTTGCACAGCTCAATGATGGCATGGTGATCACGAGCAGTGGCTTCGGACCGCAAGGAACGACTGGAAAGCAAGGAGAGAGTGCAGGAGGAGATTGTAGTGGAGCAGGTACAGTAGGAAGAATGACAGTGTTTGAAGCCAAGTTGTAGGCTTTCAAGAGTATGTTGCATTCAACTGCGCCAAAAGGCACATTTAATGAGTTCTAGCGAATGAATTATATCCTCCTTTTCATTTTCTAGCTGTTCCGCTTGATCCCAGTCCGCCACCAAAACCTTCCTCGCCTAAATCACGTAAGAAAAATGAGGAAGAAGCGAAACGTTTGGAGGAATTGAGATTGGTTGAAGAGAAACAACGCGCTGAGGTCGACGCCAGGTAAGAGACATTTCTAAGTAGTTTACGTTACCAGAGTAAGCTGAAGATATCACAGAATAACTTACATTATCCTCATTCAATTATATTTTCTAGAAAGTTAAAGGAGCTCCAAGAATCTATGAAAAATCCTTTCCACGAAATCTTCGTGAGTTGCCCAGATGGTTTGCATGTGTCGTATCGCAACGATGAGAACTATAGTAGTGTTGATGACTCTGGAGGTGTCGTTGTGCGTCAACGTTATCCTGTCAAGTCACGTGGCTTGCATGAATGCGAGGCTACGCGTGGTGAAGTTGCCATGCGCGAACTCTCAAGATCGATCATGACAGATGGGACAGTGATTAAGGTAGAAAAGAGTAGTAGTAAAACTGGATCACCAACAGTAATCTCGCTCAGACGAAATGTTGAAATATAAATGCTTTCATCCATAGATGATGCTTGATAATTCAATTGAAGTTCTCAAGCCTGACGGATCAGTGAGTACGTGCCCTGTCTTTCCTGAAAAATCGGCAGATCCAGCCGAGAGCTTGGAGCGTCATACTCTCGCTCAACTGTCATCAAATCGTAAAGGACAGGCAAGCAACAATGCGATGACTTCACAGCCTGATGAAGTCGATGATCAATTGGAGACAACGTCTGAATTGAACGCTCATTGGACAACTGTCACTGCTGATGGCGAGCGATTGCTTCAATGTCATGATGGTACTGAGAAATACCTGGACACCGTCAAGCTTTCTGTTGCAACATGTCCAGTCTCTCATCAGGTAAATAAATTGTACTTTAAAAACACTTGCAATTAATACTGAAATTTTCTGTTCTTGATAGATTTGCAAAGTGGATAAGTTACGCAATTTTTGCGATTTCAGGTTACATGCGTCTTTTGTTTTCCTCGTAGATTTATAAAACTCGCGAGGATAACGTCATAACCGTCATCCGTCCCGACGGGACGCAGATCGTTGAACACTCGGATGGTACTCGTGTTACCACGTTTTACGATGTCGTCCGAACGGAAGTTCGTGCTGCAGACAAGGAGACTGGCGAGGAGGCCGAGTATGAGTCGCACGTATGTAAACATGTTAAGGTGGAGTGTGAAGGTTTTGCAACGGTTGTTATGGAAACAGAGCATGGCTCTTCACGCACGTTGTTTGGAAATGGTAGTTGTATCCGCACTGAGACGAATGGCGAGTGTCTGCTTGAGAAATCAGATCGATCTAAACTTTATTTTGATATCAAAGGTGCGTATAATTTAATCCTCATTTCACTTTACTCTCCCCAACTCTTTCCTACTTTATTATACTCTAATTACCCCCAAATTCCACTGCGCTTTTCTGTAGCTAACCCCACTCTATCTTACTTTACCCTTCAATATCTTACCGTACTCTATTTCTTCCCTACTTCATTCAACTTTACTCTTATCTAGCTTACTCTATGTGACTGAATATTTAATTCTATATTCACCACATTGTCTTAATTTTCCACTGATCAATAATCGTGCGTAATTTCAATCACTTCAGGCAATATTGCATACCTTCCCCAAGATCTATCCAGTAATGCGGGCTGCCTAAAGTTTAGTGATCTTGACGATAACTCTCTGAAGGATCGTCCTGGTGTTTATTTACTACGAACAACATCGCAAACTTGCTGCGAGCTCTCAGATCAACAAGGCAATGTCTTCTTAGCGTACACGAATGGTGAGACCAAGGTTACGGAATCAGAGAACGGCATCAACGATAGCGCACATGTGCCTCGCTTCTTTGTCATGCGCCGAGATGGTACTGGGTACGAGTTATTACGTCATCAAGACGTGGGAGAATACTTGAAGGCAGCACAAGATGACGCCACGACGGCAGTCCTGAGAACACCCGTGGAGGGCTTGCCTGGTGTCACGGGGATTACTGTTCTAAAGCCATTTCCAGGTAAAACTATGAGCATCTTATTGTTAATTATCTTATGATTATTTTATGATTATCCAGGTTAAACTATGAGCATCTTATTGTTAATTATCTTATGATTATTTTATGATTATCCAGGTTAAACTATGAGCATCTTATTGTTAATTATCTTATGATTATTTTATGATTATCTTATGATTATTTTATGATTATCCAGGTAAAACTATGAGCATCTTATTGTTAATTATCTTATGATTATTTTATGATTATCCAGGTTAAACTATGAGCATCTTATTGTTAATTATCTTATGATTATTTTATGATTATCCAGGTTAAACTATGAGCATCTTATTGTTAATTATCTTATGATTATTTTATGATTATCCAGGTTAAACTATGAGCATCTTATTGTTAATTATCTTATGATTATTTTATGATTATCTTATGATTATTTTATGATTATCTTATGATTATCTTATGATTATCTTATGATTATTTTATGATTATCTTATGTGATTATCTTATGATTTTTATGATTATATTATCTATTTTGATTATTTTATTCTTATGATTATTTATGATTTCTTATGATTATCTTATGATTATCTTATGATTATTTTATGATTATTTATGATTATCTTATGATTATCTTATGATATCTTATGATTATTTTATGATTATTATGATTTTTTATTTTATGATTATCTTATGATTATTTTATGATTATCTTATGATTATTTTATGATTATCTTATGATTATTTTATGATTATCCAGGTTAAACTATGAGCGTCTTAACGTTATTCTTTGTTGATTTATTAATTTAATGTTTTGTTTCTATCCTTATTCCACCACAGGAGGTGTTGGCAAAACGTGGAGGAAGGAGAAAGATGAGAAGATACTAATACCAGTTGGATTACGTGAGCGAGACTTCAAAATGTTTCCAGCTAAAGAGTTCAAGAAAGACGGACCACGATTTGGTTGTAATGCTGGTGCGTCAGAGGCATATAATTCGTATTCACAGTTTATAGTTCATCTAGCTTTATACCTTTATTAAATCTCAGTAGTTTTTCACTCATGAGTAAAATTATCTTGCAATAGACAGAGTGAAATACTAATACAGCAGATCTTTGCATGTCGTTTGTTCATGGTAATCATCTTTAACATGTAGCTACTACATATATTTTTTTACTCAAGTTTCAGGGCTCAACGTTGGAAACATGCGTAAGACTGCGCATGTTCAACCTCAGATAACTTGCCCGAAGGTTTTGGTCTTACGTCATTTAACCAAGTACGAGCCCACAGACAGCACACATCGCGAGACAATATCAGCGGCATTCCAACAATACGGTGATTACGTCACTAAACTTCGACTTCAGGCGGACAATTATTTGCCAGTCGAGTCACGAGACGCTGAGGAAATCGATAGAGCGAATAATTTAGCGAACAAGGTTAGTGCAAGGTCTGCAAACCTTCGTGAAGTATAACCGTGTTTGCACTAAAGAGCAAAAGTTGACCGAGGCTTATGACAGCTCAATCTATTAACTTGCATTGGAATGGATGAGATCGCAGAATTCTTTCATTCTTGATGCATCATTCTCAAACTTGTTTGCCCTTACGTTCATTTTCTATATAATTATTCTTCACTTTATATTTTCTAGCACGAGGCTGTAAAATCGAACAAGATTGAAATGACCAGCGATAAAGATGGTAAGCTACCACCACCAGCATGGTGTATACAGTGCACTAAGCTACCATCTATCATAAGCAGCTTGTAGATCTTCACCATCTGGTTACGGTTCAATGTTGAAATATCAGTTTCTTATCTCTTGGACAATGATATTTTAACCACTGACTCTTCCTCTTTTGATCCATAAATGGTAGCCTAAATTTTCGGATTAATTTATTTCGGATACGCCTTACCACTTCATCCTTCTGTTTCCAGGTTTACGTCAAGACTACGTCACGTCTGTCACTCCAGTAGAACAGCCACCACCACCGAGTCCAGTGTGGAAACGCCCACCAGCAGAATGGGAACGAGATAGGATCGAATTGGCGAAGTTAAACTATGGAAAACACGCGTTGCGTTACCAAGAAGTTCCGCCATATTTTGAAACGGCGCAAGGTAAGTTTTCTGTCGTGTTTTCATTTCATACCCAGCTTACCACCAGTTTGTAAATACGTTTCTGTCTTCACAGGTCAGGCGTTTCTCACTGGTTTAAAAGCCGTCCCTGATATGGAAAAACTTAGCGCGGACTTGGATAAACAGGCGTGTCCATCAGGACCCCCAAGAAACCAGCCGCATTCTTCCAGCACATCTTCCACTCCTGGACCAGTTGAAGCTGCAGATCATAGTAACCTCACTCAAGGTATGTCAGTAAAGGCAAACAACCTGAGTCCTTTTTGTTTTCATTCTATATTGAAACCAATAATGGATCCATATTAAAAAAATTGTCACTATAATGCAATTCATCGCGAAGGGTCAACCTTGCTTTACCACAGTCATACTATAATCAGTTTAAAATTTATCGGTTTTTGTCCCAGAGAATCTTGTTATTTGTGATCCTTATTCTTTTTCTCAACAATGTAGAAAACGTAGTTAGATCCTTATTCAATGTATTTGTGATTCTTGTTCTTTCTCTCAACAATGTAGAAAGCAGTGATCGAAATGACTCCAAGTCCTTGGGCAGATACAGCTCGGCTGTTTTGGAAGACCTGGATCCTGATGGAAGACATTCACCTGGTGAAGCACCCGTACAGAGCAGCACACCGTTTGCTAGTAGACCTATAAACCCCACACCCGCACAAGCTGCGGGCAGACCTACACCCATAACAAGCCGGCCTACAAACCCCACGCCCCGCCAGGCATCGAATGTGATGAATAGCGAGGGTATTCTTGATTCTCCACGCCACGTACACTCAGAGTATACACCTCTTGAAGCTCTGGTAGAGACGCAACATGAAGTATCCACTGTGGAGGACAATGATACAGCTTTGGACATGATGTCATCAAGTAAGTGACGTGATATGTGTCGACAGGAACTATCAATCTTGATGGCAGCTGTACTCCTCAACCTCGTTGCTTCCTTATAATCGATCTTTCTTATTGTTCACATTTCACAGACAGCACAAAACCCATGACAGGACTTCTTTCTAAGGTTGTGCAAAAGCTGGATAGCGCTTTTTAACGGTAGAGCCTCTCTCATGCAGAGAGGAGGCAAAGAAGGCATACCCCCAAAATCTCTTGTTAAAATCCCTTGTTTTTGTGGGGGCCCCATTGGAGGAAACGGTGCCGATGGTGCTAATCAGAAGAACACTAAGAGATTAGAATGAGATTCGGAATGACCAAGAAATATTGTGACTATTCGTCTAATCTTAAAATTTTTCTTTTTAGCACGCAGTCACTACGAAGATGATGGTCGACAGAAGAGTTTGCATGTTGATGTCACGGGCTCGCCTCGTAAAGAGGCTGTCAGATTACCAAATTCCATCTTGGGTGGGAAACCAGGCGCTTTGCCCAACACACAGGTAAGAAACCACGGTTGGAATGGTTTTGGTGAGGTTCTACCAATGAAAAATCAACCAATGGTCAGGGAAACTCGTTATGTAAAACAGTTCATATGTTGGATTTCGGCGTTCTAACATGACCGCATTGGTGGTTCAGTGGTAGAATTCTCGCCTGCCACGCGGGAGGCCCGGGTTCGATTCCCGGCCAATGCATCTTTTGCTTTTACGGCTCAAAATCGCGGCTTTTTATCACACTTAGGTATTGAGTGTTTCTTTGCTCTTGTCTCAAATAAAGTTCGACGTTTATGAGGTTAGAATTAGTTTTTAATTAAGACATTTCTAAGGAAAATTTTATGGAGTCTTCTTAGAAAACTAGAGCCAGTGCTTTGTATTCCCGTGTATATGCGCGATCGTCAGGCATACATGAAGTTTGTTGGCATAACCGTGTCAGTGTATATGTATTTTCCAATGAAAATGTGACCATATCACATTCATTTCAGTTCTCAAAATTTATCGTCCTTAATTTTTCCTTGTGGTATTTCCAACAAGACCCGAGAAAAAATAGAACTACGTTTGCGACAAATTATATTGATTAATTTGATTCTAACAGGTCCTTTTATGCATTCGAAAGCTAAAAATTGAAGCTTCTAAACGCTCATTAGTGCCCTGTATTGAGACATCAGCTGTTTTATTGGCGAGGGGAGAAAAAATTGAGGCAACGAAACAAAAAGACGGGGCTCAGGCGGGAATCGAACCCGCGGCCTCGCGCACCCAAAGCGCGAATCATACCACTAGACCACTGAGCCTTGGTCGAGATCAGATGAACAATACGTGTCTATATAGCGTTCATTGATACCCGTAAAACAACGTGGACTTGATGATGTACCTGTTGTCTGGGCAACCACAGGAAGCGCCTGACCTTTCGGACGTCAACATTTTTCGCGTGCACTTCCGGTGATTATCACGTGTTGCATCATGGCCGTCGTGTGCATTAGATAAAACCCCAGCTACCAATCGCACTCAGTAGTTTAATCATTGAAATCCTCGCCCTTGGTATTTTTACTATCGTTCGCCTTACCAAAGTAGCCAATGTTTAGATGAGTATAACTGTTCAGACCTGGTTTGATACAGTTCAGAGGCAGATTCTCCTGTCAAAGGCTTGTTGTCTTTCGTGCATGTTCGGATCTGTGTTGAGATATTTTAAGGCCCAATCAAATCTTCAACACGTTGCAAACATATTCTACTTCATCTTCGATAAACTTGCTTTTTGCTTTCTTTGCCTAATTTGCTTTCTTTCTTCACCTCAGTTCTCGACCATTGAGGAACCAGCTCGCCGTAAAGTACAGACAGTTTCTGTGGTCGGTAAAACTGGCCCCGTCATGAGAGGCTTCGAACTCTTCCCACCAGAAGTTGAGTTTGGTGTTTTGAAAGAAGGATGTACTTATATACACACAGTTTCATTGAAGAACATTGGAATCGATAGTTGTAGATTTAAAATACGTCAACCACCTCCGTCAACAGGATTGAAAGTTCTTTTCACACCAGGACCGGTACGTTGTTACGATTTTTTTGTCCTGGGCAAACCAGGAACTTTTGTAGGAGCTTTTGTGTTTGCAAACATAGTTCAGGGAACGAATGTGATTTCTTTAGCTGGAATTGTTTGTTTTTCAGCTTGAAAACTTGGCAATATATTGCCAGGAAACAAATCTACCGTATACTTAAACGCGTGTACATTTTCAGGTCGCTGCCGGAATGAACACGAAATTAAACATCGAAATATTTGCTGTTGCTGTTGGAGTCTCTGGTGAGAGTGGCATTGGATCTATTGGACATCATATTGAAATTGTGGGAGAAACTGATATAATATATCTACCTGTCACTGCAAGTATCCTTTTTAGTTTAATCCTATTTCGCCTGTTTATCTTTAAATTGCAAATGACAGTTTCATTGAAAAGATTTAGGTTTGGTTTAGACGTCGCAATTTCGTCGCGTCGAATGCAATTATAAGACAATAAATTATGGGATGATAAGCGTCATTAACTTAATTATTACCCCTATTATGGATTGTCTTTGTTGCATTCGATATCAAGAAGATAATCGACCAAGTTTAATTGACCGTAGTTTTCCTCAAACGCTTACTTCAGAATATATTGTTTCTTAACATTACACTAGCTATTTTAACAGCTTATGAATATGACAACCGCTCAGCTTCTTTACCACGAGGTTTCCATTCTCGTGGCACGCAAATGATTTCTAATCGACCTCCATCGAGGGAGGCGATTAGACCGCAAAGAGACCACGTCTATTCCAACATTGCTAAACCTTTCTGAACTAAATCATTGTAATATTATGTAATAAAATGTATTTTATCTTGTTCTTTACAAGATGGTTGTGCGGTTGTGCGCATGTCAGAGAATGCTGAATCCCGCAAGCGTGACATTGTGCGTACAGCAATGTCTATAAATACATTAGTAATAACTAAGTACATTGCTTGAATGAGCCTCACTGGTGTGGGGTGCAGGATTCAAACCTGTAGCCGGAGCGGTTCGATTCCGCCTTTCGAGTGAATTTTACTATACCAGAGTTCGTAGCCAGTCCTGATGCAACAATTTTTTTAAGTTCATATACAATCCATTGAAGCACTTTTTGGGTAAGACAAAGATTGGCAAACCATAGCGATGCCGTTTTCAGTTCTTTTTTTACAGGTGTGTTTGTATCACGTGCTGTCTGCATGGTTTCCATGCTTCACGTCTACGTGCTTTAGGATGATCGGAAGAAGATGGCGGGAATTCGCGTAGTAATTCAGTGATCACTCTAGTGTTAATCAGACCATTATCACCTTTATTTTAAACCAGTGTTTGGGACATAAATTAAAGAGGAGAGGCCGTTAGGGTAGTTTCTTTTTGAAGTCGTTCAACCTTTCCATATCGTGCGAAAGATGACACAGGAGGCGATCATCTGTGAAAAGGAATCATATTGCATCTGCATGACGGAAACCCTGACGGGCTTGTTTAGATGAAGCGAGTTATCCCGGCTTGGCGAGGAAAAAATTCAAAAAAGCGCATCACATCAGAGGCTTAACCTGATTAGTCTTTCATCATTATATGCAGTTTTCACTTCGCCTAGCAGGGATAACTCGCTCCATGTAAACAGGCCCAAAGACGGACGGAAGTCTGAGAGAGTTTTTTTGTGTATTTTAGGAGTACCGGTAACTGGAACCACATGGAACAAATATGATGACATTACAACCACATTGAAACCTGATACTTGCAATTTGCATACGGTTACACAGTCGAACAATTGCAGCATTTGTGTTCTTGTTGCCAATCGGCGAGCTCGTTATCATTACCAACTATTTGAAATGGCTGAAACTCGAATTAATGCAGTGGATGTTGTGGTGATTGTCGTGTATTTCTTGGTTGTTATAGCGGTGGGGTTGTGGGTGAGTATTGCAAGTTTTTTTTTAAAGAATGCAAGCGTGTAGCACTCAATATTATTATCTACGTTGCATGCTCATGTTTGTTTACATAACCTACATCTTAATAGCAGTAGATTTTGTTTTTCTTACACATTTTTGTGAAGCTTTTTGACTGCAATTAGCTCTAAGAATTGTTTATCGGGACTATTCTTATCGAATGTATGGCATAGCCAAGAAGCATGTCTTCTAACAACTTCCAGCATCAAACGTAGTGTAGCCTGCTCGCGGACTCTAAACTTAGTGTAACCACTACCTAAAATGGACAAAGACATTGACAAGGTTTCGACCTTTGTTAGAAGAGTTTAAGACGGATTTGCATTCAACGCAAAAAATATACCGCGATTGAACATTTTTATTCAAATACAGACAATTGAGCGGAAAAAATGCAACGCGATCAGATGACCTTCAATCAATAATTGTGAACACATTGCCAAAGGAAGCAATCGAAATAATACGTTTGGTCGCGCGACATTTCCCAGTGAAGAAAATCCACCATTATAAAGCGGTTTTCCACAAGCCGTAATTTTTCGGTCGAACGAAAATGTTTCGCTTGATTTTCTTTTTAATACTTGTGACCGGTCAAGGTGATCCGCTACGGTCAAATTCTCACGAATGAACAAAATTTCGCTCGATCGAAGAATTCCACATAGTGGGAAACCGGTTGATGAAGAGGTTCATTGCTTCATAAGTCGAAATTGTTCTTGTCCAATTAAAATAATTGTTGCGCTATTTCATGAAGATTAGTTTGATAAAGAAACATAGATTTTATGCAAATAGACTAGTCTGTATTTTTGTGCCATTCAAATAATTTATCGACTATTTTGCGTCCCTAGCCTTGGTGCAACCCAGATGTTCAACCTAATTCTTGCACAATTCTGTGGGTTGTCACCATTTCTCTCTTTTAGGCTATGTACAAGTCAAACCGTGGTACAGTAACTGGTTATTTTTTAGCTGGACGTTTTATGACTTTTATACCGGTAAGTTATTGTTGGTAGTTTTCATTCCTGGAGCATCTAGAACACTGCTATGTATTAGATTACAAATTCTAGTATATAAACCAATGACAGTATGGTATCTTAGAGTATGGTATATTACAGTATGGTATATTACAGTTACTGTATGGTATCTTACTGTATGGTATCTTACAGTATGGTATCTTACAGTATGGTATATTACAGTATGGTATATTACAGTATGGTATATTAGAGTTACTGTATGGTATCTTACTGTATGGTATCTTACAGTAAGGTATCTCACAGTATGGCATCTTACAGTATGGTATCTTACAGTGTGGTATCCTACAGTATGGTATCCTACAGTATGGTATCTTACTGTATGGTATCTTACAGTATGGTATCTTACAGTATGGTATCTTACTGTATGGTATCTTACAGTATGGTATCTTACAGTATGGTATATTACTGTATGGTATCCTACAGTATGGTATCTTACTGTATGGTATCTTAGAGTATGGTATCTTACAGTATGGTATCCTACAGTATGGTGTCCTACAGTATGGTATTGTACTGTATGGTATATCTTACAGTATGGTATCTTACAGTATGGTATCTTACAGTATGGTATTTTACTGTATGGTATCCTACAGTATGGTATCTTACTGTATGGTATCTTACAGTATGGTATCTTACAGTATGATATCTTACAGTTTGGTATCTTACAGTATGGTATCTTAGAGTATGTTATCTTACTGTATGGTATCCTACAGTATGGTATCTTACTGTATGGTATCTTACAGTATGGTATCTTACAGTATGATATCTTACAGTATGTTATCTTACTGTATGGTATCTTAGAGTATGGTATATTACAGTTACAGTATGGTGTCTTACTGTGTGGTATCTTTCTGGTTCGTTCATTTCTTAGGTTGGTGCATCTTTGTTCGCCAGTAACATTGGCAGTGAACATTTCATTGGTCTCGCTGGCTCAGGTGCTGCTGGGGGAATTGGTGTTGGTGCATTCGAATTTAATGTATGTTGATGTTTCAAATGAAATTCATATTTCTTGTTCATACAACAAATTTATCCAGCCACTGACGAGGATACGAGCCGTAGCTAAATCTGCTGCAATTTCCTAATTTCAACAACGTCTTCTTCATCTCAATTCTTTAGGCATTAATTTTATTACAAGTTTTAGGATGGATTTTTTTACCTGTATATATGGCAAGCGGGGTAAGTTGCCAGACGTTAATGTATATCCTAGTTTCTTTGACAGGGGCAGGTTGTATCAAGCCCGATTAGCTTAAACAGTGGTGAAGTTCAAAATAGAAAGCAAGTCTAACGTCTTACTCAACAAGCGAATTAAATGGTTTTAAGCTTAATACAAAGATACTGTTTACAACTACATTTTCAGTGCATAATTTTCAAGTTGACTCATTCAAGAGAGATCTAAGAGTGTTATTTAATTTTGACTTATCCACCGTTTAAACTAAACGGGCTTGATACAACCGGCCCCAGAATGTTACCATGCTCGTAATACGAATACAATAAAAATTTTTCAGATCAGTACAATGCCTGAGTATATTCAACGTCGTTTTGGTGGACAACGGCTTCGTGTTTATTTGGCTTGTCTATCCTTGCTGCTCTATATTTTTACCAAGATTTCTGTAAGCTTGCTTTACTTGTTATTCTCTTCTTTCCTTTGTCAATATTTCAATGATAATGGAAAGAAAACTGCTCGCTCTCAATGCTTGTCATCTTCCAGGTGAACATGTTTTCAGCCTCGCTTTTTATCAATCAAGCATTGGGATGGAATATTTACTTTGGTATTTTACTTCAACTCGCCCTGACATCGTTATGTACTGCCTTAGGTAACAACTTCATCATTTCTGCTTGTTTGATTATATTTTTGAAGTAGCTGGTAGACCATAGACCACTGATATTGCTTTGTATTTCTTTATCAATGTTGTCTTATCTCAGGCGGCCTAACTGCAGTTATATATACAGACACTTTGTCTGCTTTTGTTATGGTTCTTGGCGCAATGGTTGTTGCTATAAAAGGTATGACTAGCCTCATATTTGTATGAATTTTATTACGGCGAGTGATCTACGATGATCTATAAGTAATGTTTTCAAAACTCATGCTTTTTTATAGTAGCAGATCATGAACCATAGTCGATCCAAAAAGCATTTTTTCTCTTTGTTATTTATTCGCGACAGCATTCATCGAAGTTGGTGGTTACAGTGGGTTGCAAGACAAGTACATGAATGCCATTCCAAACAGTTCAATTCCTAATACAACATGTGGTCTTCCTAGAGAAGACTCGTTTGTTTTACTACGAAATGCAGTAGATAGTGATATGCCTTGGCCTGGTTTTGTTCTTGGTGTTACTGCCAACTCAATATGGTATTGGTGCGCTGATCAGGTAGAGTGTACTGTCCACCCATGCATGCAATATTACTAGCAGTTTACTATCAATGTGCCTTGTCTTCCTTGTCTTCCAGTACGGTCAAAATGTTCCGGTTGCTTGTATAATGATTTATTGACATGTTTTCTCTAACAGGTGATTGTACAACGAGCTCTCGCTGCTAAAAATCTTTCTCACGGCAAAGCCGCGTGTTTGATGGCAGGATATATCAAAATATTACCCATGTTTTTGTTGGTTATGCCCGGTATGATAAGTCGTGTTTTATACACAGGTAGGTTATAATAACTTATACTCTCTGACTGGATTAAATAACACTCCGGATTTTGAACGAGGATCAGTAGGGAGAGATTATCATTGTTGGAATGTATTACGAAGTTTTTCATTCCTTTTCATTTTACGGCAGATGAAGTGGCTTGTGTTGGTGCAGCGTGTGAAGAAGTGTGTGGTTCGACGGTCGCCTGTTCGAATATCGCATATCCTCGCCTGGTTCTTGGGATTATGCCGGCGGGTCTTCGTGGTGCAATGTTTGCTGTCATGATGGCTGCGTTGATGAGCGACCTTACCTCAATATTTAACAGCTCAAGTACAATATTCACCATCGATATTTATAGCCGAATGCGGAAAAAACCGAGCACTCGTGAGTTGATGATTGTTGGACGGTAAGTGCAGGTAGTAATAAAGGAGCTTTGTATTAACACCAGGGGCCGCTAGCTTTCATGCATCTCTCTTAAATGGGTTAACTTGAATATTATGCACTAGTATACGTAGCTGTAAACAGACTCCTATAACAATCTAAAACTTGTTCATGTCTTGCAGTATTTGGGTGGTGGTCATGTGTGGTGTGAGTATTTTATGGATACCTGTGGTGGAACGGTTTCAAGGTGGACAAATGTTCCTATACATCCAAGCTATCTCCTCGTACCTCGCTCCACCTATATGTGCCCTCTATCTTCTGGCTATATTGTGGAAACGTATCAACGAATTTGTAAGTTCTAGATTCATCACAACACGTTCTGAACGAAACAGTATAATCAATAAACAACATATCAATTAACTAAAGCTCTTCTATCCCTTAGTTGCATTTCTAATATTGATCAGCGATTATTGCCCGTTTTGTTTTCTCGTAATTCCATTCACAAAAGAAAATTGACTTATTCGCATTATAAGAGGCCTATTTTTCTCATCAATCCTTGCAATTTATTCTAGGGCGCCTTCTACGGTATGATGATAGGTTTTGTGCTTGGCATATCCCGAATGATATGCGATTTTGCTTACCCGCAACCAGACTGCGGCGAGACTGACACAAGGCCTGGTTTTGTCACATTAAACTTTATGTACTTTGCTCTCATCGTCTTTGTCGTTACTACCGTATGTATTATCGTGCTCTCTTTCTTTGGCGAGGAACCTGAACTCGAGAAGGTAAGCGACTAATTTAAGGCTCTTCTCCACTCATTACAAAATCTCAGGCAAGCTCGCTTCAATTGCTTCCAACTGATTGATTTTCATTGAATGAATAAAAGCTTTAAGACTACCTACATTAGACTACACCAGATATCTTTTCATCAAGTAGGATAGAATCAAGCAATATCAGATTGTATTTTTAAAGATTGTGTTTTTAATGCCTGGGAAATATTGTATTTTCAGGTGTCTCGTCTCACATTTTGGACTCGTTTTGATCCTCAAGATGAATCAAGTGTATTGCCCAACCTTCAGAAAGCTGAGAGCTTGGAGTTGTCTGGTAAGGATGAGCAAAAACCAGAGGAAAATGAAAAGGATAAAATAAAGATTGAAGAAGTCGATATAGTGGAAGGTAATTCCGTCTTTTTCTATTGACTCCGTCTTTGACTACATGGCATAGACGCAATGCTATTGAGAAGGACAGTTGAAAACTGATCCAGTATAAATAAAGGTGGTTTAGTTTAGGTTCTCTTCTGTAGTAAAACAAAAATTGGGTATTGATATCTCTGACGTTCTGCATATTTTTAAGATGATGACAGTATGTGTAGAAAAACGTATAAATGGTTGTGTGGTCTAGAAGCTGGCCATGAAGATGCTGTGAAAGCTGAACGGCAGCAGGAAGAAAGAATAAAGAAATTAAGCAGCCTGAAACAAGATCCTCGTACAAGTCTCATCTTGAATATCAATCTTGGAATCATTTTCTCAGTTGGCCTGTTTTTATACCTGTACTTTACATTTCATCACGCATAGAAGGAATTCAGCATGCTTAACGTATAAACTTTGATCAATCTGTGATCTGTCTACGTCAATTTAAAGTAAATAGAAAAGATTTCATAATCTTTTTCCAGGCACCATATTCTTCAACTAGAATTGCGCGCTCGCATAAGTCGCATACGCCGAAAGGGAGCTATTTTTCCGAGCTTATATCGGGATTTTTTAAATATTTTTCTCCTTTTTTTACAGAAAGCAGTGTTATTTATCTCCGGAAAACGCAAAAACGGATTTAGTTATTAATCAATATTTTTTGTCTGCAGATAACACTAAGTCTTGTCACTCTAGTTCAGGTACCCGCCTCAAGCCTTACGCGGTCAAATTCAATATGGCGGATCAGGGTGCAACAATTGTTATATACGATTCTTATTTAGTTTTGGGCACTTTGGCTTTTCTCTGGCTGGTATATTTGTGGGAAACGTATCTATTAAAACGACAGGTATAAAACTACATCTTAGCTGTGAAATTAGTATAAACTAAAGGCAAATAAATTTAGTTTTGAATTCTCAAATCTTAGTTTTACCAAATCTTAGGTTTCACTTTTTCCCCCTAATGGGAATAAACTGTATAATAGATGTTGTCTCTATATAATAAATAAATTATAGACCACATGAAATATTCCTTTTTGGATGTTCCCACTTTCCCGATTGCTTGTGAAGTATTCTTAAATTAAGCAACACGTTTTCTAGTGCAACGTTCTAAAGACCACAGATGAAATACCAATAGAGCTACGGCATGTTCTTGATAAGGAAACATTTGAGAAGTCAAGATTGTATCAGTTGGATTCAAAAAACTTTGGTTTTTGGAGTTCCTTATATTCCCAGATTGAGACAACAGTGAGTGACAACATTACCAATCTGTTGGTCAACTAACCTACTTGATAATCCAACCTCATTTCATTATTTTTATTAGTTGGTGCTGATTCTTGGAGGTATTCCATTGTTATGGTGGCTGGCTGGCAAGGCCCTGATTCGTATTGGATATAATGAGAGCTATGAGGTAACTTCATTCCACAGTATGCTTGAATATCTTACAGATGAAAATAATGATTTATTTCTATCATTCTAGATATCCCAGTCTCTAATATTCATACTGCTTGGGTCCATATATAGTTTAATAACTGGACTACCTTGGACCATTTATAGCACATTTGTTATTGAAGAACGTCATGGTTTTAACAAGCAGGTAGTGAACTATACTATAAAAAATTATGGGACTCATCAACCTTTTTTAATCAACCAAATTGAGTTTCTGTCTTTTTTTTCAGACATTTGGCTTCTTTGTGAAAGATACAATAAAGAAGTTTCTGGTGAGTATGGTAATTGGTCTTCCAATCATGGCTGGTTTGATATACATTATAAAGTGGGGAGGTGATTATTTCTTCGTCTACTGCTGGGTCTTTACTCTTGTCATCTCATTGGTAAGTTTACCACTTTCTGATTAATCATGAAATATATCAATGTCTTGTTTTTATTGGTTAACCATTTATTGATACTCATAGTATTTCTACAATTTAGTTTCTTTTGACAATCTACATGGATTACATTGCTCCATTGTTTGACAAGTTCACTCCGGTGCCTGAAGGAGATCTCAGGACAGCCATTGAGATGCTTGCAAAGCGTATTGATTTTCCATTAACGAAGCTGTTGGTGGTTGAAGGTTCCAAACGTTCTTCACATAGCAATGCTTACTTCTATGGTTTTTACAAGAATAAGAAGATTGTTTTATTTGATACCTTGTTGTCCGAGGATGTGATGGCAAAGAAGGAAGAGGGAACAAAAGGGGATAATGAAGAGCAAAGCAAGGATGAGAATGGGATTGAGCCAGGTAATGAGGAACATAATGTTGAGGCCAGTTTGGATAATGGAGAGCAACCTGTAACTGGTGAAGATGTGAAAGAGGATGAGGTGAGTTGGTTGTGTCTTGGAAGTCAAAATGTTTAATTAGTAGCAACATCTTTTGCAGGTTTCTTGTGGTTTGTCTATGACTCCACAGTGATTTATGCTTTTATATTTTTTTTTACAACAGAGAACGAGAAGTAGACTTGTACAAATGAGGAGGTCTTGGCTGTCTTATCGCATGAAATGGGACATTGGAAACTAAACCACACTGTCAAGAATTTGATTATCAGCCAAGTAAGTAACCTTGCTTCTCAAAACCACCCTTGTTTATAAACCTTTTGAAACAGTAAATAGAGCTACATTTCTGTTGACTATTCAGCCAGCAGTTATTACAATATTTAATAAAATTTCTTAGGAATACGTGAACGGATTGCATTCATTGTTTTTCATTCGTTGTTTTTTATTTTCTTTAGTTCAACACATTTTTCTGTTTTATGGTGTTTGGTTTTCTCGTTCATTGGAATTTTTTGTACACCAGTTTTGGTTTTACATCAAGTCAGCCAACATTGATTGGCTTGTTGATTGTGTTTCAGTTCATATTCTCGCCTTATAACGAGGTAAATATCTTTGTTTCTGCGTGAGACAAACTAACTGGTGTCCAAATATCCAGTCCGCGGTTTACAGTACTCGTAAACTGCAGTAAACCTATTACTCAGAGACTGGAATTATACCTTTGAGACAGAGAAGAAACTAAAGTAGGATTCAACTTGATAATGTACGATACATAAATGATTGTCAATAAATGATAATTTATTTTAGTTTGCTTTAAAATAAACCAGGAATATCGTAGACTTAAGAGTTGGTTATGAAAGTCTTATGTATTGTAACCTAACGCAAATTTTCTTCTTAATGCTTATCTTTCGTCTAGTTACTGGGTTTTCTCATGACCATGCTCAGCCGTCGTTTTGAATTTCAAGCTGATAAGTTTGGTAAAGATCTTGGCTATAGCTATCCGCTTGAATCAGCTTTGATCAAACTACACAAAGACAACCTTGGATTTCCAGTCGCAGACAAACTCTATTCTACTTATCATTACTCTCATCCTCCCATTGTTGAAAGAATCCGCGCTTTGAGAAGCAAGAAAGAGAATTGAAGAGAAGATTTCTTGCAAAAAGAAGCTGTTTTAGACTTTTCAAGTCAAACGTCGTTTTTAATGTCATATCTCTTTTCATATTAAAGATGTTTCATTAAATTTGAGTTTTAATTAACTACATTTATGGCGGAATGAAAAAAGCGAAGTCGTGTTTTTGTCCGTGACTGTCTGCGAAATCATGGAAACTTTCAAATGAAACCTGACGGCAGAAATACTCCATGATCAAACTGTGGACCCCTACAAAGTAAGTTCTTTTTAAATTTATTTTACTAACTTTGTTTTAATCCGAATTTATTGTATAAAATATTTAAACCTTGTTTCAGAGCGTATTCTCTAACTTTCAGTACATATTTCAATCAATTATATTTCATTATTTTCTACAACACTAATTTTACACAATATACAGTCAGTTTATTCAATTTGTTTCCTCTAATTTTCTTTTATTTTTCTTCGGATGTCTCGAGCGACTTTTGGCCTTGCAAAGTGGACAAATTGGAGCATTTCTGTGTATTTGCTGATGACATGAGAGGCATGATTTCATTGGTGGAGGCTGTTGTCTGAATGGCCGAGCTTCCAGTGGATTGTGGGGTTTACTAACAAGCTGATTGGCTGCTGCTGTGGCGGCCATGATTTGTGAAGCGACCGAGTGAGGTAAGAGGTCTGGGGGAGAAGGGAGCCATGTTGGTATTCCCCTGTTGTTATTCAAGTAACTAAAGAGAAGTGGATAATGATTTAAAAGCTTTTTAATAATCTCCTAATTTTGTGGTTGCTTGTATTGTTGCGCGGAAATATGATAATGCATGTCATTTTCAAACTTCTTTTCCAAAAGTGTCCGCTGGATAGCGCCAGTATAAAATCAGGGAGGTTGATTACTGGATTAACTTCCAGAAATGTGCAAGAAAATTTATCGATATTTTATTCTTAAGGCCTTCAAACGGGATTTTTGACTCCTAGATAGATTGTGTATTCTAGAGTGTAAAAACTAGAAATGGCTTACTCTTTCTTCAGTTTGTCTTCATCGGGTAATCCAGGCAGTTTGTCCAGTCCCAATGAGTCTCTCATCCTGTCAATTTCTTCTTTTAGTGGTGTGTAGTCTGCGTGAAGACGACGAACATTCTCCAGACAACGATCTCGTGATGTTTGTGATTGTTTGATGGTTGTCTCCATCTAAGAAAGTAAGTAGTTTGGATTACTTTACCACGAATTTTGACCTCCTGGTATTTTATAAATTTATACATTTTTTTTGAATGAAAACGATCGCTGCTGTAGATGCATAGTTACGTAAACGATGACTGGTTCTTGTGCAAATAAATTAACCCACCATGTTTATATCTGCGTGGATAAGTCTCAATTCTTCCACATGAGACATCTTTTCTTGCAACAATTGTTCCATTTCAGTCTGATATTCTCTCAAACATTTATCCTCCCGTTCTGTTGTCTCCCATTCCTGCATTAAAATGTTTTGAAGTCGATCCAATTCATCCATTTTCACCCTGCATGAAAGATGACAATAAAATTGTCTCAACTCTGATCGAGTCTTTCCTAGTCTATACTGACTATACACATCAGTAAAGAAAGAACGATGGATATCTTCTTGTTAATATGCCGTACAATTCCGAAATCCTGAATGATTTAAACTGAATTCTTCGTGCATGTATAAACTACACTTGAACTTGCTTTCGCTGCTTGAACTTGAACTATAAACTACACTTGAACTTGCTTCCGCCCCTTCCTCTCCCTTTAATTTTTGTTGTTGGTCTGGTCTGAAGCCAGTATTGTATTCTTCTAGTGCATGACGAATAAAATTGTCTGGTATTAGCCCAGAGAACAACGGTGGGCGGTTCTGGGCACATTGGTAGTTAATGGCTTGAACAAAGATGTGTTTACTGATGATTTGAAATGATTTATACAATAGGAAGACACTCGTGCATGAGACGCGACTTAAAAGCTGTATATTTTTTTTTCACAACTACGAGCTAATGCATGATCATAGCTGAAAACAGGAAGATTTGAAGAAAGCAATTTCTAGATACTACAATCTTTTGGCCTGATCACGTAGCCTTGATCTTTCGACAGATGGCCATCAATCAGTCATCAAAGAGAGAAAATAATGTTAATTATTATTTTCATTATATATCGTTGTCTCATATTCTGAAGCAAAGGAATAAAGTGGAGAGATATAGTTTAATTTACTTGTGCCAATATGTGTCAACATTTTCCGAAGTAGCATATATGCCATCTGCTGTTCTGCGGCGCCTAATGTAATGACATGAGTCATCTCTGCTTTGCAAAACCGATGCATGTGGAGTTATAATCTTAAACAAACCCAGGACTTAGGTTAAACAGTATCACATAATCCCTGTTTTGAAAGCCTCGAATATTGGAAACAATAAGCCATATTATGTATTTAACTTTACACAGCACGTGTGATCTTTTTGTCTGTCTCATTAAGTGACAACATATTTTGCGTGGGTATTGCGGTTACCTGGGTTATTTGAAGCAAATGAAAAACTTTTACACGCATGAAAAAGATTAGTGCATATTGTGTTGAGAAAATTTTAATATAGTACTATAGTATTAGGAATACACTTGAAGTAATATAATCTATGTAGATTGCGTCCAATGTTAGTCGCAATATCATGTTTTATCTTAGATTGCTTTAATTTGAACTCCATATTTCCCTAAACCTAAATTCATTTACACGACCGCTAGGATTCAAAACTTATATTCATCCTATAAAATAAGTCCTCAGTGGAAAAATAACTAAGAATTTTAGTATACGATTAATTTGCCTCATAGTTTATGTTTCTTGTTTAGAGTCTATATGTCTTTGTTGAGAAGAGAGAGGTCAAAGTCATGATACTCCACGCATATATCACAAGTCTACGGGCTCTTCTACGGTAGGAAATTTTGATTATTTTTAAATATATTGTAAAATGAAAATGATTATCAACCGGCCGTATTTAAACTAGGTAACTCGAGTTTGACTATATATACGCGCTCTTGTTCATTCGCCGGCGGTTTCGCTGCGGTATTTTCACGAACGTCTTAATGCAATGTTGCTATTTCAAGGAGCTATTGTTTGCGTTTTCGCTTCTTTGTTACGTGAAAATAGGTTAGAATTAAGCCTGATGAGACTTTGAAACAAGGCAACTCTTATTGCGGGGTCAAACAATCCTTTCAAACATAGCACGTATAAGAGACGAATGAGAACCTTCCTATAGATCAACGATGAAGAAAACCGGCGCGAGTTATTTAATTTTCTGGCCAAGAGCGCAAGCGTTGGGTAGTTAAGACACAGTGGGAGTCTCGCAAATCCATAGAGTACAGTATATTGATTTATTCAACTCATTTTCTGTTCATTTCTCTCTGCGGAAAACATCGAACAAAACACTATATTAGAACGACTGCATGTTACAAATTACAAAAATTGAAACATTTGTTACGCGCACAAGAATCGATCTTCCACTCCGCACGCCCTTCTAGGAACTGGATGATTTTAAGATTATGTAAAGGAAGTGCTTGCATTGGCTTGTCCTTTCTGCATGTGTGATTAGAAATATTCACAGACGTATGAATATATCAATTTCAAACTCGAGTATTTAATCTCAGTACTGAAAACAACCTCAGTAGAACATGCGGAAATTCAACATTATACGACTCAATGTCATATATAAAACGTAATCAGTGTCCCGATATTATTGATTTTTTCTCCTCTGAAAAAAAATGTAATCAAACATTATATGCATTTGTATGTTTGATGTTATATTCTGAAGACGTTCGTGTATTTTCGTATTTGATATTTTTTTGTATTTTATAATTTTTTAAATGAGCGAATTGAATAGTTGAGTTTTATTGATGATATAGTTAACGGTATCTCATCGCTTAGCGTATCGCTTGCGTTACTACGAGGCAGCGTTATGAACAACATTGCTAGTATATTTTGTTTGCTAACTTTAGACGTTAGGATAATTGGCAAAATCGTGCCATCAAAGCCGCTATTGGAAGCTGTTTTAGTACTCGTTGTATACTCTTCGTTGGAAAGTTTCATGTAGTTTATATTATCTTAGAAGTTCACTGAGGGTCATTTTTCAAAGTCAAAGGACAGGACTATAGTATATACACCGTGGCTAATTTAGTCTCAACGCATATGTCAGAATTAGGGAGCCGTGACTGAGTGAATGAATGAAATAACAGATGAAGGTAGTTAACGTACTTGATTTCTTTCACCGTTTCCAGTTTTGTTGCGGTATCCTCGTCTTCATTTTGATGCGTGGAAGTGTGGATCTCAATATTAGTACTTGTTGTTGCGACTGCCATCTTGTCTTCTTTTGTATGAGACTTGAAACATTTGCTTCATTTCAGCTTTTTTGTACTAGTCAATATGCATTGTTAGTGTCCAGCCAATCACGAGAGAGTACGCTTCAAACTTGTTAATGTCAGCTGTTGTACACCTGCGCTCTTAACCATGACAACATTGCGTTAATAACTGGAACTCGCTTTTGAAAAAAACATTAAAATAACTTCCTAATTCAAGGCGAAATCCAACTAGGATTTCTCAGTAGGCCTGTGAATAAGCTCGAGATGAGAAGTTCTAATGTCTGAGAGGTGTACTGTAGTTGTAATTCATTTGTGATATAGTGTGTATATTGAACTGTCCCTTTGAGACAGCAAATTATTTTTGAATAATTTATGTGCTATTTTCTCCAATCGCCTGCAGTCTTGTCAAATTTCATTAAAGACAATAAGAGTTTAAACAAAATACTCTCCACTTATCCACTTTCGAGTTTTGTATTAAAGCAAGCAATATCAACAGTGATTTGAAAATTATGAAATTTATGAAAATTGCGTGCTGTCATATATATCTTAGCATATTATTGCTCCGTAAAATGCAACACTTAATTCATCAAATATTAATATTTGTCTAAATGAAATTCTTCCTGCTCTTGTCACTATACACTTTATATTTAGAATTTAAACTTTGAAATTGAATTAAAGAAAAGGTTGGCGGGTATATATAGACTATTGTATGTTTGGTAAACACCTTACTGTATGTGTATCAAAAATATGTTGAGCGCCCTTTTTTGTGAATATAAAGTCGCGATCGATATTAAAGACTCAATAATCCCAACTATTTTTTTTGAACTAAGCTCTATGTCTCTCTAACTGCTTATATCATGCACGAAATTTATGCCATGCATCCAATGTTAATATTTCAGATACAGCGTTCTACCAATGAAGCTTGTTATATGACACTGTATATTAAAACATCAAGGTTGCTGTTAGCATTAAACCGAAAAGCTACACGACACAAGCCGCGTTTACTCAAAGTATAAGTTAGATATTTCATAATTGCCGTTTTAATACAGACTCTTAGCTTGACTAGACTAAAGCCTTAGTAAAATCTGTACATGCAAATGAAGCTTTTGTTTTAAAAGTTAAATTGCAACATAAATTCAAAGATTGGGAGACAAAAAAAAATATTGAAAAATTTTTATAAAGCATTCTTTATGAGCCAAAAACTCCAACTATCTATAGTAGATTATTCTTTTCAACAGAGAGCCAGTCCCATGCAGAATTGTTGTTTTTAACAAAATTTTATAATTATCATTTCAGCATGAGGTAAGCTGTATGAAGTCTCGTGTTGAACATGCAGACATGATGCATTCTGCCATAATGAATATGTGAATTAGGTTTTCGTAGGATATCTTGCTTGACAGAAATATATGCAAAAAGATATTGGACTTTCAAGTGCATAAAAAACAGACATTGTCATTGCATATATTGATTAAAGAAATAAAATTGCGCTCTAGCATATCTAAGACGTATTTATGCTTTTTAAAATATACGCAAAACTTGCTATGCCACGCATTACGGTCATTGGCATTACCACGCAAAAGATAGATGATATTGCTTTCGACTTGATTCATCGTTTTTCGATGTTTCTTATTCTTATGAATTATTCTTATGTTTAAATTTTGTTTACCTAAATATAGGAATTTTGTCAGTCCTCTGTGAGAGAGGAACGTCTTTTATATACACTCTTGTAAATTCAATTAAATTCTCCACTTTAATTTTTGTCTGTTTAATCAATTCAACTCATTTGTTATGACGGTTTTCTGTCAAACAAAGCGGGTTTTTGATTTACGGTTATTACATATGCTGTACGATTTTCTCGCTTATATTTCGTCGTCATGAGAACAAGTTCTTAATCTGCTGCTTTTTTGAATGGTCCGACACATGTGTTTATAGCCTATCCACGTTTTCTGAATTGCTTTGTTCCATAAAAGGGAAAGTTTGAAGTTAACCCCTACTAAGGCTCTAGTTTACATTGTGTTTTGTCTTTATGCATATGCATGCATGCAGTTCAAATTACCCCTAGATGTAATTCCTGTTTTAAGGAAAAAGGTGAAATAGTTTGAAAGAAACTAAAACATATAACGCTGAGTTATGTAAACCTTGGTATTTATTACTGACAGATTCTTGAAGACTTCTTGACACAACATTCCATAACCAGACCTTGTGACGAAAATACTACTCGGGGGACAGGTGTTCCGCATCTCTTGGTTGTGGGTCGTAGTTCGTTTTCTGGTCTTCCTCGCTCTAGGTTATTTGAAAGCAAACCTCATCTGATGGCGCTGAGATTGTGTAGCACTGAGCTTTGACTATATAGAGTTACATCCAATCATGCATCGTGCTAAGGTGGTTTGTTAACCAGCATGGACTAGTTCACAGTGTATTTGTGCATGTAATTTTATCCGTTTGGTTTGTAAAATGCGCTACTTGGGAAACGCATAATCCCTGTGGTTTTTTTTTGCTTTTTCACATTGTTGGGATAGCTATACTTGAACTCGCTTGAATAATTGCGATGCAAACTTCTTTGCTAACGATATTCAAAGTCGAACTCGAAGACAATAATCATTTGATGAAGGCTGACCTACGTGAATGGTGGAAAAAAAGCCTCCCGAAACTATAAATATAGATAAGTTTTCACCAACTAAAATTATGAATTTGACCCCGTGGTTTTTTTCACGCTCCGATCATGAAAGCAAGTTAAACGAACTAGGAAAAGATTAAGGGTTCGCTCAGGTATATTGTACAATATTTTATTCCTAACTATTTCCTTATTAAATCATTACATCTTGTCTCAAATATACATCTAACGTCAAACATAGTTATATACTTTTGATAGCGCATTCAGCCCATTGGTCCACTAGTCCAAATAAAGTAATCTTATAATCTGTTACCTTAACAACTCTTAAATCTGAACTAATTAATGTTCACAAAATTCTCATTTTCAGCTGTGACAAACAACTTAATCCAATGAAATAAAACTGGAAAACTTTGAGGAGCATTAAGAAGGAAAGACTCTCAGGTAGGGTGATATATTTTGCTTTAACTTTCCTAAACAAGGTTTGAAACGAAATGATTTATCACTTTAGAAATAACGGGAGGCGTTGCTCCGGTGATATTGCAGTTGTGAACCATTATTTAATTTGCAAATATCATGATCATGATGAATATTTTACTTCAGGAGTAACCGCCAAATTAACTGCGTTTATAAGCTGTATGGTTCATAGTTCAAAGTTCTTTCTTGATGTATATACTCAGTGTTCCTTAAAGTCTATAAACATCGTATAGGCCTGGAAGAACAGTCAAATTTAGTAATATAGATTATAGATTAAACCTTTAATATTTTCATTATGACCTTAGTAAGCTTTGGGAATTGGTGGAAGGGAGGTGAAGACAATTTTTTTTACCATGCATCAAAATGAGCATGCTTTTCATTTGCTTTGAAGTTCTTGCCAGTGAAATTCCTTTAAACATTTCATTTAAGCGACATAGTTACCTTTTTCATCTTCGTTGTCATAACACAAGAGTTGAACAACAATAGACACTCTTTTGTTATTCATTATGAAACGTAACCAGGACTCATTTAACCATATTTCTATGTTTCAGAATCTACAATCATGCAGCGAAAGGCAGGCTTTTCCCGGCTCTCAGTCATCAAAGAGAAAGAGAACAACAATAATAAGACTGGTTCAAAAATTCAAAATAAAAAAAGAGGCGTCACAACGCCATTGCTGAAATTTCAAAATCTTGTTTCGACTATAACCATGACCCGCGCCTTGCTCAACCGAAGTCAAATACGCAAGCAAAATACGTGTGAGGACTCAGGCGAGTTTTATATGAGCCATGCTACGTCACCTGACGACGACGATCGACGGCCTGACACGACAATGACCGATCCAAGCACAGTTAGAACCGATGTTCTAAGTCGGTTAAATATGAGCGATCATTTCAGGTTCACAACCAGGCCAAACAGGAAATTTCAGGTAATTAACTTGTTTATACTGGTCACCTTCATGTTACCAACGTGATTTACGCACGTCATTTCTAACATTTCTAGGAAATGAAAGTGCGTAAGGCAATAAAAGACGTTTTTGAAGAACGTTTACAAGACTGTACCTATAGCGCAGAATTTTGTCAAGAGACTTCCCCAGTTCTAGCTGATGTTATTAAAGAACGAGTGAAAAGGCTGGTTTTCCCGCGCTATAAGATTGTATGTCACGTGCTTATGGGTCAGATGACTGGACAGAGCATGCGCAGTGTAAGTCGCTGTGCGTGGAACGAAGATTTTGACAACTTTGCGCAGTATTGTCACCAGACTCCCACGATGTACGCAATCGGTGTGGTCTATGGTGTGTATGCAGAATAGACGAGAGTTGATGTGAAAAAGAACTCAAATATCAAAACTTAAAACTTAACACAGGCTGCGTGGTTTTTCAAATCATGCATGGATTATCTTACCAATTAATTTTCAAGAATGAGCGACATATCACATGCAGTGTAACTCGATATACGGCGAAATAACATTCGTCTGTCCAAAGTACAATCGGAAAAAGGAGGATAGTAAATCATTTGCTGTGTCAGCAATAAAATGATGGAACAGTACTCCCGTGACTATTAGATATAGCTCTAATATCAAAACTTTTAAAAAAAGCTATCGTATTTTTATTACAACAGTATAATGATCTGGATCATTTTAATCTTTCTTAATTCTAGTAATTTTATTACATGCTCATATACGCCTGTATTCTAAAAGCACACTCACACTTATTGAGTGTGTGACATATAAATTCTGTTAATGCTGGTCAATGAGAAAGTTTTCTCTCAATAGATGGAAAAATATAAGGTAAATCACTGAAATTCAAGCCACTATTCGGCTAGAAATACCGCCATTGAAACGTTATGAGAAGATTAAGATCTTCCACTCAATGAGTTTGAGTGTGAGTGAGCTTTTAGAAGACAGGCGACAGTCTTAAAATAGATTGCTTATTGTATTATCTGTATTTCATATATTTTATTGTATATACTTGATTTTAATACTCTATTCTGAGGGCCACAAGTTTGTCAGCCCCTGGCTGTAAATTGTTCCACCCTTTTGAAATAAAGTCATTCATTCGTCCATTCAATATATGTTTGGATTTGTCTATCGGGTTCAATTGGTTCATTTGATTGGGATTGATCGATAGGTTACTCGAGCCACAGATTAACCCGTTTTCGAAGACGGAAAATAGTTCTACGAAATCAGCGTGCACTTTCGACTCTTGAATCGCTTGTTCATCTCTAATTAAACTATGATAGTTATGGTGTGCTAATTGAAATTGGCTCCAAACTTCAAGCAGTTCCTCCAAAGCATTTTTAACAGCCTCAGTTTCGACTTTAGCTCATTACGTTTATTAGCTTTCCTGGTTTCTTTTCCTTTCGCGATACTTCGAAATTGTCTTAATTGATCCATATCGTGATCTCAGCATCCATATGGGACATGATAATTCATATCTGGGCAGGAAACCCCTTAATACGACTTCGCCACTGCATTTGCACGAAACAGTCGATTAAATTATTTAGATTCTTCTTCGAATTCCTACACGGTGTAGCAAATTCGTACGTAAATGCACTTCTCACGGACCGAACGATAATTTGCGGTCAGCGACTCGCGCGAGATGTAAATTCATGGTGCGCTGATATTTCAAACTCGACAGAATAGAATTAGCAATATGCAATATCAGATCGACGTGCTAGCAAAAGTTGTATGCCAATGTTTGGTAGGTTATCACACTGCCGGGTAGATATAGGCGGGTAGGTGCGTAGTCACCTAGTAGCTTCGAACTAGAGAACACGAAACAACAATATAGCTATACTAAATACGGTATTGCGGTGATCACATGCGCGGCACGCAAATTTAACCAAGACGATTTCAATAGTTTTGAAGTGTTCCATAAACAAAACTAAATTTAAGGTTTGTAAATGCGAAAATAGACTAAATCACAGTAAGTAACAAACTAAATCTAAATTAACAAAAGAACTAAATATAACTGTAAATTTACCTCACTTTAGTTTACACGCGCACCAAAGACAACGATTAGAACTTGGTAGAATATTTGCGCCAGCAGCGTCCAACACAAAACAAGTAAATCAAATATCCACTCCATCAGTAGCAGTTGTTATGGCAGTAACGTCTACGTTCTTCCCTTGGCTTCAGAAGAGGCTCGACGAGCCCAAACGCTAGCAAAATAATCATGTGAATTTATTTAAGTATTATACTATAAGAATTAAACTGCTATTAAAACCCGTTTCTCATAAACCATATTAATCCAATCTGATGCCGGATTCTCTCAACAGATGACTAGACCTTTTTTATATGCTTGTTTATCCAGGAGATATAATTCTTTACTTTCGTGTTTCATGAACACTGCCGAAAATATGGACGCTCTCCGACGCAATTTAGCGAAACGAAAAGCCATATCAACAAACAAGAAAGTACTAGTAGCATATTTCAGCATACCTTCTGCCGTTAACAGGGGACTTATACGTTTGGAGAAATGAACGCTGCCGCAATTTAGCGAAACGAAAAGCCATATCAACAAACAAGAAAGTACTAGTAGCATATTTCAGCATACCTTCCGCCGTTAACAGGGGACTTATACGTTTGGAGAAATGAACGCTGCCGCAATTTAGCGAAACGAAAAGCCATATCAACAAACAAGAAAGTACTAGTAGCATATTTCAGCATACCTTCCGCCGTTAACAGGGGACTTATACGTTTGGAGAAATGAACGCTGCCGCAATTTAGCGAAACGAAAAGCCATATCAACAAACAAGAAAGTACTAGTAGCATATTTCAGCATACCTTCCGCCGTTAACAGGGGACTTATACGTTTGGAGAAATGAACGCTGCCGCAATTTAGCGAAACGAAAAGCCATATCAACAAACAGAAAGTACTAGTAGCATATTTCAGCATACCTTCCGCCGTTAACAGGGGACTTATACGTTTGGAGAAATGAACGCTGCCGCAATTTAGCGAAACGAAAAGCCATATCAACAAACAAGAAAGTACTAGTAGCATATTTCAGCATACCTTCCGCCGTTAACAGGGGACTTATACGTTTGGAGAAATGAACGCTGCCGCAATTTAGCGAAACGAAAAGCCATATCAACAAACAAGAAAGTACTAGTAGCATATTTCAGCATACCTTCCGCCGTTAACAGGGGACTTATACGTTTGGAGAAATGAACGCTGCCGCAATTTAGCGAAACGAAAAGCCATATCAACAAACAAGAAAGTACTAGTAGCATATTTCAGCATACCTTCCGCCGTTAACAGGGGACCTTAAGTTTAGAGAAATGAACGCTACCGAAAAAACGAACGCTGCCGAAAAAATGGACGCTACCGAAAAAATGAACGCTACCGAAAAAATGAACGCTGCCGAAAAAATGAACGCTGCCGAAAAAATGGACGCTACCGAAAAAATGAACGCTGCCGAAAAAATGAACGCTGCCGAAAAAAGAACGCTGCCGAAAAAATGGACGCTACCGAAAAAACGAACGCTGCCGAAAAAATGGACGCTACCAAAAAAATGAACGCTACCGAAAAAATGAACGCTACCGAAAAAATGAACGCTGCCGAAAAAATGGACGTTACCGAAAAAATGGACGCTACCGAAAAAATGAACGCTACCGAAAAAAGAACGCTGCCGAAAAAATGGACGCTACCGAAAAAATGAACGCTGCCGAAAAAATGAACGCTACCGAAAAAATGGACGCTGCCAAAAAAAAGAACGCTGCCGAAAAAATGGACGCTGTCGCAATTTAGCGAAACGAAAAGCCATATCAACAAACAAGAAAGTACTAGTAGCATATTTCAGCATACCTTCCGCCGTTAACAGGGGACTTATACGTTTGGAGAAATGAACGCTGCCGCAATTTAGCGAAACGAAAAGCCATATCAACAAACAAGAAAGTACTAGTAGCATATTTCAGCATACCTTCCGCCGTTAACAGGGGACTTATACGTTTGGAGAAATGAACGCTGCCGCAATTTAGCGAAACGAAAAGCCATATCAACAAACAAGAAAGTACTAGTAGCATATTTCAGCATACCTTCCGCCGTTAACAGGGGACTTATACGTTTGGAGAAATGAACGCTGCCGCAATTTAGCGAAACGAAAAGCCATATCAACAAACAAGAAAGTACTAGTAGCATATTTCAGCATACCTTCCGCCGTTAACAGGGGACTTATACGTTTGGAGAAATGAACGCTGCCGCAATTTAGCGAAACGAAAAGCCATATCAACAAACAAGAAAGTACTAGTAGCATATTTCAGCATACCTTCGGCCGTTAACAGGGGACTTATACGTTTGGAGAAATGAACGCTGCCGCAATTTAGCGAAACGAAAAGCCATATCAACAAACAAGAAAGTACTAGTAGCATATTTCAGCATACCTTCCGCCGTTAACAGGGGACTTATACGTTTGGAGAAATGAACGCTGCCGCAATTTAGCGAAACGAAAAGCCATATCAACAAACAAGAAAGTACTAGTAGCATATTTCAGCATACCTTCCGCCGTTAACAGGGGACTTATACGTTTGGAGAAATGAACGCTGCCGCAATTTAGCGAAACGAAAAGCCATATCAACAAACAAGAAAGTACTAGTAGCATATTTCAGCATACCTTCCGCCGTTAACAGGGGACTTATACGTTTGGAGAAATGAACGCTGCCGCAATTTAGCGAAACGAAAAGCCATATCAACAAACAAGAAAGTACTAGTAGCATATTTCAGCATACCTTCCGCCGTTAACAGGGGACTTATACGTTTGGAGAAATGAACGCTGCCGCAATTTAGCGAAACGAAAAGCCATATCAACAAACAAGAAAGTACTAGTAGCATATTTCAGCATACCTTCCGCCGTTAACAGGGGACTTATACGTTTGGAGAAATGAACGCTGCCGCAATTTAGCGAAACGAAAAGCCATATCAACAAACAAGAAAGTACTAGTAGCATATTTCAGCATACCTTCCGCCGTTAACAGGGGACTTATACGTTTGGAGAAATGAACGCTGCCGCAATTTAGCGAAACGAAAAGCCATATCAACAAACAAGAAAGTACTAGTAGCATATTTCAGCATACCTTCCGCCGTTAACAGGGGACTTATACGTTTGGAGAAATGAACGCTGCCGCAATTTAGCGAAACGAAAAGCCATATCAACAAACAAGAAAGTACTAGTAGCATATTTCAGCATACCTTCCGCCGTTAACAGGGACTTATACGTTTGGAGAAATGAACGCTGCCGCAATTTAGCGAAACGAAAAGCCATATCAACAAACAAGAAAGTACTAGTAGCATATTTCAGCATACCTTCCGCCGTTAACAGGGGACTTATACGTTTGGAGAAATGAACGCTGCCGCAATTTAGCGAAACGAAAAGCCATATCAACAAACAAGAAAGTACTAGTAGCATATTTCAGCATACCTTCTGCCGTTAACAGGGGACCTTAAGTTTAGAGAAATGAACGCTGCCGAAAAAATGAACGCTGCCGAAAAAATGGACGCTACCGAAAAAATGAACGCTGTCGCAATTTAGCGAAACGAAAAGCCATATCAACAAACAAGAAAGTACTAGTAGCATATTTCAGCATACCTTCCGCCGTTAACAGGGGACTTATACGTTTGGAGAAATGAACGCTGCCGCAATTTAGCGAAATGAAAAGCCATATCAACAAACAAGAAAGTACTAGTAGCATATTTCAGCATACCTTCTGCCGTTAACAGGGGACCTTAAGTTTAGAGAAATGAACGCTGCCGAAAAAATGAACGCTGCCGAAAAAATGGACGCTACCGAAAAAATGAACGCTGCCGAAAAAATGAACGCAACCGAAAAAATGAACGCTGCCGAAAAAATGAACGCTGCTGCCGTTAACAGAAGTCCTTAAGTTAGAGAAATGGACGCTCCCGAAAAAATATACTCTGCCGGAAAGCGAAACGACAAATATAGAATGAACCATATTGCATGAAATATTGTAAATGCCCTTATCTTTCTTTGTTTCTTTCGACATTTGCCAAGGTTGATTTGTGTTGATATGCTTCACAGTTGCTCATCATGACGATCCGCTTCAGTTTTTCTCCGGCTTGTCACTTGCACACATTTGAAGAGTAATCTGTCAGAACATAACGTATATTTATCAAAAAATGCGTCACTACTTGATTGGCTACACTACTTTCTATCAAGTAGCTATTAGGTAATATTGCAAGTACTGTAACAAAAAATTATTGCTTAGTTGAATTTGAATAATCTGTATATACTTTACTTACACAACATTGTTGAGGCCTGTTCTCATGCATCAACGGGGAACAACTTTTTGCGGTGTAATAATTGCGACGGTACGAGAATGGGGGGAAATACCTAACGATTTTCAGAAGTTCTAAATACGCAAATTTGGCCATACACAGCACTGCCATGCAGTTCTTCCAAAATTAATCTACGAGACCCAAGCAATTTAGCTGCAAGTTGGGAGAAACACTTAAAGAGATTTATCAACCTAATGCATGCATGACCGCTATGAACGTGCTTTGCTTTTAAATTATGTTGGCGAGGAAGTCCATGACATCTTTGAAACACTAGCAGCTAAAGGAGACGACAAATAAGGAAGCCCGCAGCGAAGTTTTAACAAAATATTTTACACCGACGAAGAATCAAATGTATCATTTCAGATATATTAATATAAGTTTCGAAATTTGAAGGAAGCATCAGACGAGACTGTTCAGTAACGATTTTCATACACGCGACTGCAGATCATCGCAAAATATTGTGAATTTGGTGATAACAAGGATAAAGAGATCAAAGCTCAGATAGAGTTGGGAACAATAAACAAGAAACTAGGTCGATATTCATTCCGCACACGTGTTCTTTCGTTAACGAAGTTGTTAAATTATGCGAGAACACTGATTCATGAGAGTGATGAGACAGGGAAAAAAACAAACTGAGGAATCGAAGAAGTTCCTCGTAACTCTCCTAGCTCGTTGCGATAACTGTGGAGACGATATATGCACAAAGTCCAGGCTGAAAGACAAAATCGTCAAGATACGAGTTCAAATAAAACGTTTCAACAACTCAAGTAAAACTAGCTGCAACGTTCCAATCATCGAAGAGATGTTTCCGTTGTGGATATTCGTGGCTCCATGATGGAGGTAATTCCGGGCAGCTGAGGGACAGCAATGTAACAACTGAAATCACTGAAGAAATGTCTTCAAACTGCAGTTATTGAAAACAAAGACTGGAAGCAAGAATTACAGAAATTCGTCATGAATTATCAGTCGCGCAACACCACACTGTACGACTAACTATACCGCCTGCTACAGCGCTCTTTGGACGGAATATTCGCACGAGGATACCCCACCAAAGAGGTGAACACTGATATGAAAGAGATCAACAAACGGATAAATGAAGCAGACGCCGAGACCAAAATAAAATCCAAAGCCTATGCTGACAAACGTCATGGGGCGAAACATCCTAATTTTTTAATAGGAAATCAAGTTTTGGTTCGACAACAAAAAACCAAATAAACTAACAATAAAGTTCGATCACAAACCATATAAAAATTTAATTACGGACATTAAAAGAACAATGATTGCCACCAGATCACAAGGAATTGTTTTCACGTAAAGCAGATATTTACTGGAAAGTCGTGGGGAGAGAGTTCAGATAGCGAAAGTGGCGTAATCATAGTGCCAAGCGAAGTTGGTCAACAACTGTTCAAGACATTGATGCACAAGGAACTGAGACGAAGAACCAGCAGAACGTCTAGAAAGACAGCCTAGATATCCCGGCACTATGGTAAGACATAACCCTATGGTGAAATATGGACGCCTAGCTATCTCATTGCGCACTGCGCTACCAGCGCTGGCCAATTTTTAGTTGGCCATATATGCAAACTAATGTTTAATAAGTGACACTGAAGGCTAATTTCCACTCCGGAAAACGAGCAGCGGATCAGATCGGAATTTTTTCGGAGCTGATCCGATCCATAAAGTGATTTCGGATTGGATCAAAAAAAGTTAAAACTATTTGAACTTTTTTTCAGTATCCAGTTTCGGACGCTTTCGGATCAATATAAGCCAAAAATTTCAACAAACGGCGCACGCGCGGATTATCTTTCGTTCCGATCCGATCCGATGCTCGTTTTCCGGAGTGGAAATTAGCCTTGATGTGGGCCGATGTTTGATAATGCAATAAGACACAAAATCAATGTTTGTTTTATTTTTTAAAAATTCATTTTTTCAATTCAAGTATTTTCAATCAAAATTGTTTAATCAAACAAATTAAGTGCTTTTATAATAAGTAATTAGCAACATTCCTTGCGTTGTGACATGAATATTTAACAATTAGTCGGATGACGGTCTGGTATAAAATCAAGGTATCAAATAAACTACTCTCAATCATTTCTTTCCCGGCTTTACACAAAATATATACAACCACGAAATAAAAGACTATTCATGTTCATGATTTTGTACAATTCTACAATTCATTAGCGACTTTTTTCGCCAGAAATTAATTTGTAAGAAATATTTGATGCCTAAGCACTTTCGTCGCTTCACTAGTCAGTCACTACATGTGGTACATTTATCCATGATATTTACGAAACTATTACGAAAATACAGGGAAGAAAAATGCCATCATATTTTACTAATAAAGTACGAGAAAAGGAAATGTAATATAACTAATAAAACACCTAACTTTTACCTTTTATGGAGCAGGGTAGCGATGATTTTTGGAACTCCTTGAATGCACTTGAATTTTTCAGTCTTGAATATCATCTTGACAAGCGATTTATTTTGCTTGCTGTAAGCCTAAAACGACAAAAAGAACAGCTGTTGTCAAGCAATTTCGACCTAAAGCACAACCAGAATATCATATCCAAGCATTTCTTTGCGAATAACAAAAAACATTGCTGAAGATTCAACGTCGCAAATTTTTCAAGACGAGCGCGGCCAAAATATGGCCGAACACGAAGTCAAATTCAACACAGAAATTTTATGACTTTTAGGCCATGAATGTGGAGTATTTTACAATAAAACACAAGAACATACCTCTTTTCTTTGTCAGGCTACCCGGTTTTAAAAAAAGAACTGAATTTAATGAATTTATTAAACTTTTTACAGTAATTCTGTTCTCAAAGAGCAAACCAGAGCTTACAACGAATTTTGAAAATGCCTCGCAACGGCGCGCCCTCGTACTGTCACGTGACAACGAATCACTAATCCTATTGGACAAATTCTGGAGCCGGTTGTCAATAAAAATATAATTTTGTTTATTCTAACTAATTATTCACTATAGTGAATGCTTGATGGTGGAGTGCTAACTAAAGAAGATATTGGACTTATCGAAGGCGCTAATGCAGCTAGCCGTAGCTCTTGACGATATTCCGTTCTTGCCAGCACGACATCGCTGTATGAATGAACTAAGACGTAAATCTTAAAATCAATTGCTAACGGTAACGCGTACAGTTCTAATAAATTGTCATGAACTTGGGTATGTTGATACGTTTCCTCAATAAGTTCCAGGAGCACCAATGCCATTACGGTCCATAGCATCACATTCAAATCACGCCAGCACCTTAAATATGAAAAAAAGGACGTTTGGACCAATGACTTGGGTTAGGTCTAACCATACACCTCCATGCAAAGGCAAGACAAAGTGAGGAACTGCCAGGTAGGCATATAATTATGCATATTGTGTTGGTTTTAATGGTTCATGGTGCTTTTGTGAATGCCAATGTTTAATAAATGAGATTTCTTACCTCAACTTTCTGTTCTCATGGCTCATCCAAAACATGAAGACAGTCAAACTGATACAAGCAACACCTTTGCAGCCCTCGCGCACAGGTTGGTATATATCCCCTCTATTACCATCGAATATGATTTTCATTGTAAGAAGAAAATGATAACTCACAGCACAAATAGAGTAGAACAATAAAATTCTCAAATGACCAACTTTTTCACCAGACATGTAGTAAGCTATATCCTCAAACATGTTGTTCATTTGTTCACTGTTTTGAAATGATAAGGTGGTATTTAATGTGATGCAGAATATAGTTAGAAGAATGATGATCGTTGCAGCTGTCGCAAAGTAGTGGATATCTGTCAAATGTGTCCTGTAAAATTGATAGATAACATAAATGCTAAATATGAAACAAGCCTTTTTTAAAGTACTAGTTCCTTAAGAGGACTGTTTACTTTACCTAGTAAGAAAGGATCCACCAGCCATTGAAATTAACAAGAAAAAAAGAAAAAATCCGCCCCATAGACCTTTTCTCGAGTCTACTTCGATGACCTAAATTAAATCCACATGCAAACAATGTATGAGGATTAAAATAAGCACAATTAATCCTACCAGATAAATGAAATATATCTTGCAGGTATATAATGTACGAATTACCTGACGTCCAACAATTTCATTATCAATCAGCTCCTCGTATTCTTGTTGAAATATTGATTCGTTATCTTCTTGGTAAAATTTATAAAACAATTGTATTGACTCAACATGGTAAGCCAAGGTCGATGCTCGGTTAACAGTGTATAAAATCCTCTCCACGGATTGACTCAGTAATTTCTCCATGTGTTTACTTGTTAGATTAACAAGAGTCTTGATGTTGGCCACATTCAAGATCCACATGTAACAGTTCATAAACACGATGATGATCAAGAAGGACTTTCTGGTGATCATCCATCCTGACCCTTCCTTTCTGAGGTAGGTGTTTTTTTCATAAGTATGAAGACAGTAAACTGTAGAAATTAAGAAGATAATTATTTGATTATTATGGTTATATTCCAATATAACCAGGGAGCAGCGTGGCAGCATCTTCAAATAACTAAATGTGGTATAACAACTGCCTAAAATAGACAAAGCACTAGTATGGCCCTCAGGTGGAAACGTTGAGAAGTGTTTTTGTCTAATATGATTATTATTTCATGTGATGACTGCCGAATCACCGAATGACCATCTACTATATATATTGTAATATCTACCATTAACTTGCGAAAACAATTCAACTTAAAACTTACTCTGAAAAGTTGTGTACAGTAGCACCAGAATATGATAACCAACAGTTAGATACCATGGTGCATCTGGGTTATCCAAGGCCTTCTCCTGATAATTAAACAACCCTATCAATCGCAATATTGATTCAATACCGGTCAAAATCCATGAAAGCAAGGCCACTTTGAAATATGCAAGTTTCCAACAAGATCTTCCGTTCTTGCTTGGAAGATAAGGATATAAAATACCATACATGATACTATTAACATAATTGAACTAGCACCCATTAATGGCAGCACCAGTTGACCAGTTGAGTCTCCTGTTTCATTCACTGTATTATTTCCTTTACATGCATCATCAGTCTCACTAATTATGAATGATATGGTAAGAATAAAGTTTGAAAAAATAATAATGATAAATACAATTTGAAGAACGCCATAGAATACGAACGGTACAGAATTAGATGACATTTTTCTGCTTTTAAAGATTGAAATCCTAATTTTTATAAAATGTGCGTTTTCAAGTCGATTTCACGTATAGTTTAATGTCGTTGTTCCTGAAATCTGACCAACTATTTTCTCAGAAAATGTATCGTTTCAAGAAACTTCAATGCCAATGGTATTTTGCTTGCAATGTTGCAATATAACACTTCCGGGTCACAACCGATACTGGACTATAGTTGCGAATATTTTGGCACTAATCATTTTTGATTTATATGAATCAGAAAGTCTTGCGCGGTTATGGGAAGGTTCTGTCATAGAAGGTTATATAAAAATATTTGATGATAGCCGGGTATCTCTCCAGTCGTGAAAGATCTTAGAAAATACCCAACGATGCTTCTGGAGTTTTGGTTACGCACCAATTCCTTGTATATCTTTTCACACTTTTGCAATATGACACTCTTACCAAATTCATTCAAGAAAAGCTTGAAAACTTTTTATAGTTTCTCCTGATGGGTTAAAATTCAGACCAATATTCTGATAAATCTACTGTCAATGTAGGATCAACACACATTGTTTTATAAAGCTTTAAAAATATTATAAGGTATTGCAGACTTCTTATATTACATTTTTTATAATGTAATAATATACGTTATATTACATTTTATTCTGAATTAAGCTTCTTCTTTATTTTTTAATTTGCAAACATCTCTTAATTTTTGTCAATCAATTGATATCATTAGAGTGGACACGTTTTTAAATCAGTATTTATTTCTGATTTGTACTTCAGATAAAATCAGGCATCAGACGGTCAGTGAGGTTCGCCTTAAATATTTATGGGTCTATTAAAACTAGCAGTCGAAGCATTCGAGTGTTTTATCTTTCTTCTCTCCGAAACAACGTGAGTGTACGAATGGACGAAGACGTAGGTTTTGAAATCAATCGCAAGAGGCAGGGCGTACAATTTCAGTGGATCTTTGTGAGCGAAGCTATGTTCAAATGTTTCTTCGATAAGCTCCAAGCAAATTAATGCGATAACATTTCCCAGCATCAAGTTCAGCTTGAACCAACATCTTAAATGTAGAAAGAAGAGAAGTTTCCATGCATTAAATACATACATCATCTTTTTCTCGACACTACAACTGCCAGAAGAACACACAAAAACTACAATTCTTTGAAATAATACCTCAATTTTCTGTCCTTGCGACTCAGCCATAACATAAACACCGTCAAACTGACACATGCGAGACCTTTTAATGCTTCACGCACAGGTTGGTACACGTCCACGTGAATACCACCAAATGTGACTTTTAATGTCAAAAGAAGATGATAACTCACAGCGCAGATGGAGTAGAACAATAAAATTCTCAAATCACCAACATTTTCACCAGCCATATATTCGATTAAATCTTTCCACCGGTTATCATTCTGCTCATTAGATGTGCTAGTAGTACCCTGTGCCGGTGAGCACTTGTTATAGAAAGACAAAGTCGTGCTCAATGTTATTCCAATTATGATTAAAAAGATCAGGCCAATCGCAACTGTGACTGCGTAGTGAACGTCGCTTTCATTAGGCCTGTAAAGTCAGAGAGAGTAAGGACGATTTGAATTAAACTTGTTTTGGTTTTTGGTAAAAGAAATCATAGTCATACCTAGTAAGAAATGATCCAATTCCCAAGAAAATGAACACGAAAAATAATCCACCACCAATCCACCTTGACACCCTGTAAATGTGCTTTCTGCAACAGTAGCTTTGCCTTTCATCAAGATGCTGCGATTCCTGCGTAAAAAAATTATTATACTTTTATTGTTACCTATATTAAAACCAGTGTCGGTGGAAATCAATCAATAAGAATTCATTGGCTGTAATAAAACGATATGAGTAGTTTTGACATACCGGTTCTCTCGAATCATTTTTATGGTCGTGTTTATTGGAACCTTGGCTGTAGAAACCATAAAACAGCAGGCCAGATTCAACATGAAAAGCTAACGTCGAAGCTCTATTTGCTGTGTATAAAATTCTTTCCACCGACTCACTCAGTAATTCTTCCATGTTATGACTAGTTAGATCAACAATGATCTTAATGCTCGCCACGTTTAGAATCCACATGTAGCTGTTCATGAACACCATCATGATTAAGAAAGATTTTCGGATCGTGTTACATTCTTTTTCAGCCTGTTTACAATTTTCACAAGGAGGCCCACTGGGATGACTTTCGCTCTTCATGCTAATGACAGTGGTGTTGCTTTCATAATAGCAAAGGCAGGCATCTGTAGAAAAAGATAATAGCCAGTATTTGATTGGCTGAATTACGCATGCCGTAAACTCAGATGGGGTTTTAGTTGAGGATTCATCACGGGCGTATATTTACTATTGGTTGCATACAATGTTTAACGTAATATGGATCAGTATACCCTGATTTAACTTACACTGGAAGGTGGTTTGAATAAACACCAGTATATGGTAAATAACTATTGCCCACCATGGCGCGTGTGCGTCATCCAATGCTTCAGATTGGAAATGAAATAACCCAATCATACGTAAGATTGATTCAATGCTTGTCAGGACCCATGAAAGCGAAACTACTTTCAGAGATGGTGAACTTTCGTTTTTAGGTTGTGCTTCCATTATACGGCGACACTGCACCATTTTGCTGTCCTCTGCTCTTGCAAAAGACGTGGAGGCTTCTTGACCATTAGATGTCGAAGGATTTCGATTCAAACAATGATTATTTACCGCAGGATCCGTTCTACGAACCATTAGAATTACGATAATCACGCACGAGATTATCAACAGCATTGAACTGGCAATCATTAATGGTATCACCAAGTCATCCGTTCCTATATTACCTGGACTTTCATTATCCACAAATACCAGGAATGACGTCGTGAGGATGAAATTCGTGCAAAGAAGAAAAAGAAAGGAGATCTGAAGCCATGCAAAACATGTGTGGCCGCATAGCCACTTTAGACAGCAGTTGGTTTCCATTTTATTGCTGATTTCAGGGTCTCCGATGTTGTGGTGACGCACCAATACCTATTGCAAATCTTGCAATATGACACTTCCGCGTATTAAAAAGCAGTTTTCAATACACCTTTCCCGAGTAAATTGAGTCTAAAATAAAACAGGTTGCAAAAAAAGGTTGCCGTCACGAGGTCTTACGCTCACGATTTTGAAGAAATTCCCCGAAAAAATTATACGATGGTTCTATGAATTTGAAAAAATTGCGTAATTTGCGCTAAGACGCGAATTTTAGTTGCGGGCATTTGCGGGCTGGAAGCAGTGAACTGTATAGTGTATAGAAGCCTAGAAGTTAATACTGCAAATTCTATCATATCTTTAAATGAATTTATCTATTTAAAACGTTTTTTTATTATTGTACGATATTTCTTTGCTTCAAGGAGTTATATAAGATGTCTGATTTTCGTGTATTGTCCATTCAAAGTCACGTTGTTCATGGTTATGTTGGTAATAAGTCAGCAACGTTTCCTCTACAGGTATAAAATTTAATACTTGAACATAATATACAGTGGCCTAATTTAACCTATAGCAAGTGTTGATTGAAAATAATATGTCTCTTTGGCACACGGTTGAATAGGAGAATGCAAAGAAAAAGTTTTCTTTCTACTTTTTCTTTCAAGATCAAAGATCATTGTTTTTAATGATTAATTTATCATATTACTTTTCGACCATCAATAATTTAGTTCATCATATTGGGGCTGTTCCTAGGAAATGTCTGCAGAATAGGCAGTTTCTTAGATATAGATTGCCCTTAAACAAACAATATCTCTGCAAAAAGAGTTAGAATTTTGGATTGTAAAATAAAAAGGCCTGAACATGCTGGCTTGGCTTGACTTGCCTCTAAAAATGTTGCACTGACTTCATTTAATTCATGTAAATTTACATTTTAGATTCATGGTTTTGAAGTAGATGCTATAAATTCAGTCCAATTCTCAAATCACACAGGTACATGGAAATATTAGAACCTATACCTGAAATTCATGTTCAACTCGTTAATTTTTTATGTGCTAATTATAATCACTGTTACTCATATTTTCAAACGCAAGGGTATGGATATTGGAAAGGACAGGTGTTGAATTCTGATGAACTAAAAGATCTTTATGAAGGACTTAAACTAAACAAAATAAATAACTACACTCATCTATTAACTGGTAAGAATATATGATCAAGATAGTTGGATCCAATATGCTTTAGTTTGATTAAAATAAGTGTTTGTTTTTAGCAAACATCATGGTCCATCATCTCTTTTTCTAGGCTATGTTGGATCAGAATCTTTCCTTGAAGAAGTGGTCAATGTTTTGTTAGATTTAAGAAAAGTCAATCCTAACTTAGTGTTTGGTATGGATATTTCTAATTCATCTTATTTCTATATCAATATATAATTGTGATTGTGAATTGCATGTATTAATTGTAGTTTGTGATCCAGTCATGGGGGATAATGGAAAATATGTAAGTTTTATCACTAATAAACAACTGAAATACATCCTAGTAATATCAAAGCTTTGCCTAAACATAAAATATATATTTCAGTATGTGCCAGAGTCATTGCTACCTATTTATCGAGATAAGCTGCTGCCATTGGCAGATATAATCACACCAAACCAATTTGAGGCTGAGTAAGTTATTTTTAAAAACTAACATTTTTTCCTTTCTGTCAATTCTTCTGCTAACATCTTTTTCTTAACAAGATTACTAAGTGGTATGAAAATAAATTGTGAAGAAGATGCATTCAAGGTAAAGAAAACCCTCAAAAACTTTGGCTGTTCTGTTTGGTTGTATGTCAAATTCGTAAATAAATAAAGTATTTAACTTAATTCTGCAGGCAATGGGTATTTTTCATAAGATGGGAACAAAGTCGGTTGTTATAACAAGTTCTGAATTGGGAAATGAAAATATGCTGGTTGCATTAGGGAGCTCAGTGAATGCTGAATCGTCAGGTAAATAAACCTTGTTAAAACAACTTCTCTGCCTACTGTGATCGATATCTACTGTATATTTCAGACGACATTGAAGCTGGTAACAACCTTCTGTCTATTTTCAGGCAATGGCCAAAGGTCATCAATACGAATGGAGATACCAAAATTGCCAGCAATTTTTACAGGGACTGGTGATCTATTTGCAAGTTTATTGTTAGTTTGGATGCAAAAACATCCAAGTGATTTAAAACTTGCTTGTGAGAAAACCATGTCTGCTGTGCAAGCTGTTTTGAGAAGAACATTGAAAGAAGCTCAAGGTGTGTAGGAATTTATCTATTAAACATTAATATACTTGTTTGAAACTTATACAAATGTTTCTATTTGTTTAGGGCTTGCAGGAGAGGGCCTAGAGCCAAGCAGAGCTCAGATGGAACTACGTTTGATCAAGAGCATGACTGAAATAATGAATCCACAGGTAGATTATAAAGCCACCATAGTAGAGTTTTAATATTTATATTTAATTATTAATATATTTAGAAAAGGGGGTCAATACTTAGTGCTGATGCATGGGCAACAAATAATCATGCGTACTTCAATCATCATATTTCATACATGATATACATGCAAGGGGGTTGGTACATCATCTGCAAAATAGAATTTATATCATTGCTTTTATAATCAATAAAATTTATTTACAAATAAATAATAAATCATTAACATGAATAGTAAGTATATGTACCACATATACAAGTTTAAAATCTATAAAATCAGTTTAAGATGATCAAGAGATTCATAATCTTGTCTCTTTGTCATTGAGATTATGGCCATCACTTAGCAGACTAGATTTAACATCATGCAATTGTTCATCTTCATCTGAAAACCCAGAATGAACTTCATGATTTGTTATTTGAATAGTTCCATTTAAGGCCTCTTGACCAATTTCTATAAGAAATATAAGTTAGTTCATCTTCAATTGCTAGTTGAAATACTTCTTAGAAAGGCAAACAATTTAAAAGTATATAATCACTGATTTTACTTCCAATTACCATTCAAAGAGTAAATTGAGTGGGATAGTCCTTGCCCAGATTTCTGCACTCTTCGGTTCATTTCAAACAGTTTTTGTGCAATATCTTTGCTGACAACAGAGTCTAAAACTGCTTTCAAATGAGCATTCTTCTTGAGAATATCCAATAGTTTAATTCTGTCCCATGATATAATCTTGCACTCTGTCCTTGCTTGTATTGTCACCTGCAAATTTTTGTCATGCAATTTTCTTTAAATGATGGCCAGTGATCAGTTTAAATACAGCCTAATGTTACTTGCCTCATATAAGTATGGTTCATCTTGTGACATAATCCATTCAGGTGAATTGGTAAATTGACAATCCTGTATTGTGTGCACTACATGACCATGTTTTCGGACATCAAGTCTGAGTTGAAATATCAAATATATAATATCTGGTGCCACTGTTAGGTTGCAACTTGCAACCTAGCACCTGTTTTGCAACAATCATATCTTTAGCATGGACCAAACTACAATAGCCTTATCTTGTTTAAACAAACATATCTTTATAATGACATATTATTGACATACCTTCCAGTCAAAAGTATAGACAATTTTTTTAGTTGTGTGACATGGTCGATTGCCCAAATTTCTCCAGTTTGTAAACACTTTGTTTCAAAATCTTTTGTGAGATACTGAAATTGATGACGAGGTGTATTGATAGGCTCAAATATATTGTTATATAATACCTCCATATCATGAGAAAAAGTTTTTCTTCGACGAGAAAACATAATATAACCCAAGTGTAAAAAATTTCCAACAAAAAACAACAAATTCCACACAAATGTGTCCGGAGCACATAATACCAGCCATCCCCAAAGAGCAAAGAATATCCCAGCTAAACCAAGGCAAAGTCTGAGATATATTAACCCGTTCAGTGTCGGCGGACAAAGGTATGAAAGAACAAGCCATACGTTTGCAATTTGAAACAAAAAATTATTCGCTGGCAGCCATTCACAATGTACAGTATACGTCATATTCGGAGCAGATTTCCCTAAAAGATTTTCTCTTTAGTTGTGTTCAATTATTCATGATTCAACTTGCTTTTTTTCTATATTTATTTAATATTTTCATCCCCGATTTTGCGGCAAAATAGTCCTTCTGTTTAATTAAAGATATACGTAAATATTCTCGAGAGCACATTTGCATATGACAACGAGCACTTGTATACACGTGTACAGAAATTTGAAAAAAAAAGCAAAGGTCCCATGCTCAGATTTCTTTCATACTTTTCGCAACGTTTTCTGTCCAAATAGTATATTTATGCGAACTTGTTCAGTTGAAATACTTTTATAATGGGATGAATTATAGGCTAAATTATAACTGTTTTTATTAACGATAAATCAAACTCAGTCAGTCTCTACCAATTCCTCTGAAACCACTTCAAATGTTACATGAAAAACAAATGCAGTTGCATTTAAATCTCATAAAAAAAATTTAGTATCTAATTTCATTAAGTATCTAATTTCATCACACCAAATTTTTTATTGCAACAAACTATATCAAAACATTTGTACAACCTATGTTTCATTAATAATTTGACTAGCAATCAACACTTGTTGTTCATTATACACACAGCTGTTTTCAGAAATACATGTAATATCTTCAGCAGGGTTGTATCTATCATTATTGCCTGTTAATACAGATGACTAAGATTACTAAATGCCTCCTGACATGCTTTCATATATGCCTCGTGCTCTTCTGGTGTCATTTTCTCAATCATCTCATCGGTGATATCATCAAGTGCAAAGCTTTTATCCCCAATCTTCACTGTGATATCCTCATCATCATCACTCTCACCATGTGTACCTTGATCACCCCCAACATGCGAAGAATCGGCAGGAACATTACTAAACTCTGTATCAGACTCATCACTTGATTCTTGTTGTAAACTTTTCACACTTTCACTTAACTTTGCTTTCTTGTTCTCGTGTGCTAACAGATCCTTCATAATTTCATGATTTGAAGTCTGTGGTATTCCTATAGCTTCAACACTTTCTGTTGAGGTAGTAGGATACGCTTTATCATCAAAGGGTGCAACCGTACTTTGGCTAATCCACACTGGTGTCTCTTTAGCTTTTCTAGTTTCTTCATCAAATTTCTCATCTCCCATATTGATCTTAATGTCATGTTCATAAAGATTCTCATTTATTTGGTTTTTGCTACTCCAGCCCTGTTTCGTTCCACCACTTGATGAGTTTCTTGTTACCAATTGTTTCATGCATAATTGCGGAGCCGGCTCCAAGATCTCTGGGGCTAACTTGATGTTTTCACAGCCTCGTAATAAAACAAAAAGCGATTCCATTTGTTCGTTGAACAGAGCCAGTAATGAACGAGAATTCTGTTTCTGTTCAACATCTGTCGTATCCTCGTCAGTTGGACCACCACAGAATTCACAGAGGAGTTGACCAGTTGATGGGTCGTGCAAGCGACTAATATCAAGGTCAGAATACCTCTTATCACATTCTGTGCAAACAAATGAAGGCCTATTTGTCGCCTCGCGTTCATCATGCTCAATTTTATTTCTAATATGAAGAAGTTTATAATTCACAACATTAACAAATAGCTTGTAATCAATGAAAAAATAGTTGAAGGTAATGGTTGAACCGTCATCTTCTTTTCCCTTATAAACGCGTTGCTTCACTAGCTTGTCGTTCTTTAATTTTGCCAGAACATTTCGGAGTTGTTTCTTGTCAAATTTCATTAAGTCGGAAAGATCATCCTCTTTGAGACAAGTGTGTTTTACAAGAAGATTGGTTATGGCCGCATGTTCTGTTTCATAAAACGTTTTCACCACAGTTAATACCAGTCGTTTTAAAATGTCAGGAACCTCTGTTAAAAGGTCAGGTTCGTCTAATGTTTGATTCATTTTGAGAAACTGAAAAAGTTGAAAAAGTAAAACGATTTATTGGATAAAAATGGACAAACTGTTCTCGTGTCTGATGAAGACTAGCTCTCCTCCCCCCCCCGGTATTACTTGACAAAAAACAAAATGGCGAATTTAGTAAAACCATGGATAATAAAATCACTGGATAGGAAACTATAGTCACGTGGGGTGCTTAGGGACATTTTGATTGGTCGAAACGCGTTTTTCATGTTTTTAAAATGGCTGAAACCTTGTTGAAAAATCTGATGTCACGGATGGCGAATATTTACGTAAGTAGCATTGATTTCCTTATGTTTTTGACTGAGATTTTTTCAAATTTTCACCTATATTTGTTTATGTAACATTTTGTTCTTTTTTCTCTTTTTATCGGCAAATATGACCTAGCCTACGCCACACATCAATAGTCAAGGTACGTCTGGACGTTGTTTGTTTACAAAGGAATTGTTTCATTTTTGCGAAAAATGCGTCGCAAAATAGTGTGTTTTTCTCTATTTTTACTGTCTGTTTTTCCGAAATTTGCGACGCAATTTATATATATTAGATTTGTCGAGTTTGTTTAGTTACATGAAACACTGGATACATATTCTGCTAAATTGTGGCTTTGTAACAATTAAATTAATTAGATTTGTTTTTTTGGGAGGTTTTTTTTTGTCAAAAGTTTAGTGTTGTACGCGCAATGTTTGTATGGGTGGCAACCATTAAATATTAATGTTTACAATATAAATGCAGCAAGCATTGGGTTGAAGCAGCAAGTCTCCAATACAAAGTCAATGTTTAGCAATTATCTTATCATATAGAATGCTCATTTTTATTTATTTTTGCATTTTTAGACTCAAATAACATGGGAAAAATAAAGTTGGCAAGGGAAAGAAATACTCTCATCGGCAATATAAACAAAAACTGTACCCTCTGTAACCTCTGTACCCTCTGCACCCTCCTACAACAAGTTTGACTTTCACCTGCGAAACCTTCCATGTGAAGTTATCAATCTCCCTTCGATCAACAATTTTTCCAAAATTTTTGAAGAACTGACAGGCAAGAATGTTTTAGTAAATCTATGGACTCTGGTTCAACATGGACATCCATTTTTGCTACTTTCAACTTTCTCCACCAGCAAAACAGCAACACCAGCTGCAAAGAAATCTGTCATTGTCAATGAAGATTTCTCTTGGATTGTCTTAATTTCCAACAAAAATGTCTCTGCTAAAGTAACTGGAATTCCAAACCAACTGGTAAACCCAAGTGACTTTATCAAATTGTTAGACTTTGTTGACTCCTGTGACATTTGTCCTGGTATTTTATGCAATGATAGCCTTATTCAGTTTTGTAAACGTCATAACAACAACGGTGCGTTCAAGGATAATCAAGAGATAATCAAGGCAGAGCTGATAGATGACAATAGAGTCAGACCAACTGATTGTTCCTACTTACTTGAAACAGCCACATCCCAGTCTTGTCAAAATTGTAAAGCATACCGAAAATGTCTTTTGACCAAACTTTCAAGAGAAAAACGTAAAGAATTAGATCATAAGCAGCCAGCCAAGACTCAAGTAAACAGCCATTGCCCCTGGAAATATTTGACCACTGAGGAACATGAGGAACGAGTTAAAAACTGCAGAGAAGACAGACAAAAAAAATCAAAAAGAATTGCTAACCTGGAAAAAAAGTTCGAAAAGGTAAATGAAATATACTCATGCAGTGATTATAATAAATATTGCCCCTATTGATCCTATAGCCCCTATATTGCTCTATTAAATTACCTAACAAATAAATAATATTGCATAGGATTCAGTTACCCTACAGCCAGATGATGATGAAGCAATAGAAGGCTTATTCAAAAATTTAAAATCAAGTTTTTCATCAGAAGATCCAAATGACTTTAAGACTCTGTTCCTACAGCAACAAGAGAAGGCAATGAGTTTAAAGTACCTCTGTTTAAAGACGCTGTAACTAGATTGGGGTAGGACAAGACGGAAGTTTCGGCTCCAGATAAAAAAACACTAAATGTTTTTACAATTTTCGCCAACCTTTCACAGTTTGCTTGCACGTTTGGTGTTGTGGAGTGTTCGTTGGCTTTGCAGTATCGTTGCAGTTTATCTCTTGTTTTCCTACAAACATATCCAGCAACGTAAGCTACAATAGATTGATCTATCGACGTAAGAGTGTTGTTGTTGTCAGTTTCTCCATTGAATTTCTCGTTAATATTCAAAGCGTTGCAAACGGAAGTGGATCTGAAATTATTAATACTATCATAAAGCGCCGAAATAATTTTCTGCAAAAGCAAATTTCCTTTAGGACAGCCACACCCTCTCAATAGTTCGGACCAGGAAATAATTAACAGTTCAGAGGTTCTGTATTCCGTTAAATGCTGGGCTATGTATTTCTGCCTCACAGCAGAGCTCGTACGAAAATCCAGAGCAAAGATGATTGCCCACAGTTTTTGTGTTACACTCTTTAAGAAATCGGAAAAAGTCGACGGACTGCCTTGTAATTGTGTATGGAGTTGAATGGCCTGAAGCTTTAAATTAGCAAACCGTGTTCCCCTAAGTAAAGCTAGATCGGATGAAGTAGCGGAAATTCCGCCGAGGAGTTTTGACACAGTCTGTAATCCATCATTTGCAAAGTAGTCCAACGCTCCGAGGCCAGCTAGAACTTCTCTTGTTTTTATCTGGTGCTCGGTCATAGGGCGATGCTTTCTGCGTTTTTTCTTAGCTGAGACTGTGCCGTCACAGGTGCTTTGATGTTTGGCAAACCATATTTTTGAACGATATATCTTTCTACATTTCTTGCAACGCAATAAGTTCACATTTTCGTCCTCACTTTCCGAGTGCGCTTCTTCCTCGCTTTCATTGCTTTTCTCGCATTCATCGATCGCATTTTCCTCATCGTATAGGGCTTCACTTATTTCTACCATGTCCATCAAATTACTGTCATCCCATTCTTCAAAAATATCTTCTACTTCCATTTTTTCAAAATTTTAAGTAAATCTTCTTTTAATTCAAAAAATCAATAAGTTGTTCAGTATATTGCAAGAAAACCTGATGCAACTTAGCACAAGCTATATCGTGCGTGACGTCACGATTTTCAACAAGGTTAAAATGCTGACGCCATGAGTTTCCTATCCAGTCTTTTAACTATCCATGGAGAAAGTAAAAGTATTAGTTGTTGGTGATTCAGGTCAGTTTGAATGGATAAAATAATAAATATTGTTATGGAATTATCATTTTGTGATGTAATTCTCAATATGAACAGCATTAGTAAACCATAAAGTGATGTTTGCCCTCGTTCCATTACAGGGGTTGGTAAAACATCTCTTGTGAATCTGATATGTCATAATGAACGACTGTCAAGCCCAGCATGGACTATTGGTTGCTCTGTTGAGACCAAGGTATTGACTGTAGAATAAGCTGGGTTTAAAGTAGGGATATTTTCACACCATTACTGCAAGTTGATGTTCCTCAATCCTCACACCATGTTTAAGCTATAACCTATGGTTTTAAATGAACACCAACTAGAGTCAGTGTATTAATGGTAGATTGTTGCGTGTAGTTGAAAATCCACCCAAATTGGTTTTTTAAACTTTCTGGCTAGGTATATGACTATAAACATGGTACACCTCAAGAAAAGGAATTCTTTATTGAATTATGGGATGTTGGAGGGTCTGCCAATCATAAATGTAGTCGATCAATATTTTATGCATCGATGAATGGTATGGTATTGTTGTTTTTATAATCATTACCAAATTCTTAAGGTTTTTGACCATTCATATCCTTTACCTTGTAGGCCTAATACTGGTTCATGATCTCACAAATCGTAAATCATATTTAAATCTTAGAAAATGGTTAGCTGAGGTTCTGGGTTCTGGGAAAGAAATGACAGGTATCTTGACTGTATATTTTAAGACTAGACTCTGACTTTCAACCATCAATGCTTTATTGACAAAAGTTTTATATCATTTCTCACAGGTGTGGCTTCTAGAAAGTCCTCAAAAGCTAGGTAGACAGTTGTTTTATATATATATATATATATATATATATATATATATATATATATATATATATATATATATTTGTATTGTTACAGTACTTTAGAATGTGTATGTCATAGATTCTAGTGGTGTTCAACTCACACTGTCATGCATGCATGATTACCCATTTCAGAGCTGCCTGCCACTTGCAAAACTACTAATAGCAATCTGTTTTTTTTCCAGTTTGATAGTGGATTTTGATAAGCAGGATGAATATGATCCAGAACAGTTTGCTGGAAATCAAGTCCCAATTTTAATTGTTGGGACAAAAAGCGTAAGTGTTGAAGTGTTGAGACTTTACAATGTTTTGCCAAGTAAGATACTTGATGTATTTCTTCTGGTATGTAGGACCAGTCAGGAACATCAAGAACAAACAGTTTTGTCCATGGTGTAAATTTAGCTGAAGAAGTTGGTGCTGATAGTATATCATTGGTGAGCTTGATGAGACTACATGTATATTGACACATGGATATCTACATGTATATTGATATACGGATATATTCAAACCTTTACTATTTGCTTAAACCCAGATCCAATGTTTAAATTCCTTCACAGGACTGCACAAAAATTCAAGATCTCTCTGATGGATCAGAGAATTTACAAAAATTTAATATGTTTATAGATAAGGTGGGCCAAGCTTAAAGAAAACCTTCAAATCTGTGCTGTTATTATATAAAAAAAATCCTAATCAAATAATGTTTAATTTCATGACATTTTAGGTAATTGAAAGAAGGTTTTATTTACGAGACAATTCATCGCAACCACAGGTAAAACAAGAACTGCGTCTTTTTACCATGTTGCAGCCTTAAATTTTTCTAACCTGTCAACAAGCATTCCATTCAGTTTCCTACCTGCAATTACCTAGAATCCTACTTTAGTTCTTCGATTTGTATAAATATTTACCCTTTCTCAATTTTAGACAATTTTATTCCAAGATAGCACTCGCATAGACATCTGGAAAGAGCGTGCAAGCAAAAGAAAAGCTTTTTAAGAAGCTTGGTTTTTTCAATGCAGCATCCAGCATCAGTATTATACACTTGTTCTCTTTTTGAGAAGTGAAGTTTGTCAGCTGAAGTGGAAGAATGATGAACAAGACTGAAGAGAGAAAAAATGAATGAAATATGAAACATCCATTCATATTGAAAGAAATTTATAAAAGCACTATAATAAGAAGTAGTTAGAATTACTACCTACTAATGAAATATGTGCACTGAATGAAAAAGATTTGTCCTTTTAAGAAACCATTTGATCAGTGATTTGTTCCCAAGTCCCAACGTCTCTCCACCAATCAGAAGCAAGATAAATAGCGGGAAAATTTCTGCTTTTGCCTTCAATTTTTGGGCATTTTTCAAAATGTCGTCGTTTAAGCCAGGTGTATGGCGTTGTGAAAATGCAATTAAACTTATCCTAAAAGAATTATCTCTGCCTCAGAAAATGGCTTCAACTGTTACAGGCAAGTATAAATTGTGTTTTGCTAAGATGTTTTCTTCGTCGTATGTCAAATATATGAATATATAACCACAGAAATTGTGTATACTTTCTTTTGCTTTTCGGTTTCCTTTCGTGTTATTTTTGTTAACAAAAGGAGTAGAAAAGCATTACCAGAACATATTTTGACCAGTTTAATCTAATTTCTAATCTAAATAATCTCAAATATGTTACAACAAACGCAATTATTGACAATTAGTAAAGTGTAATTATTAAATTAAACTCAATTATTTACAATATTGTCATATTAATTGAATGAAATTTAGCTCTTATACTTTTTAACTAACAACCCTTAAATTTCATCCCAGATTGAAGGTGCTGGGGTGGATGTCAAATAGCTAACAAAATATTGGGACATATTTTGTATTGGAGAATGCAGCTATGGAAAGAATGGAGTTCATGGAAAGGGTATGTTTTTAAAAAAATATTTACTATCTGATCATTGCATGAAAGGTGTGATAAGTCAAGAGCCCTTTTACGTATCAAAAGTCACTGAAATCTGCTAAAAAATCTGGTATTTTTGTATCTGATTTTCTGTGAACAATTTTTTTGGGAATTATTGTTGGTACAATTAACTTACATATACTCAAAGAATTAAATTATGCACCAACTGTCTGTTAAACATTATTCCATAACCATTTATATACAGATAGCAGAATAAATAGTTTCTTCAACTATAATACCTAAAATACACAATGCAACGAACATTTTTTTCCAAACCCATCACATATTTTAGAGGGTTAAAATTTCAAAACTCTATGAAACAAGATTTTATATACAAAATAATTTACAATGTCTATATATGCATGCTAAATCAATGCACAAAGTATTGTGCAAAAATAAAATACAATGTGGCAAGTAAGACAATATGCACATCCTTTGTTATATCATTCTTGGAGCTAGCACTTGATTTCTGTCGGGTTGTTTTCTCATCTGTTGAACTTCCTTAAGATATTAGAATGTTGATAATTCATTATTATACTCAGGAAAAACAGTTAAGGATTGATATATGAATGGTTTAAATTTAATACCTTCTGTTGGAGTTTGGCTAACTGAGCTTGCTGTCGATTTGTCTGCATTCACCTCTGTTGTGTACGTTGCTGTGGATTTTCTGAGGGTGATTGCTGTGGATTTGCCTGGCTTGATTGCTGCAGGTTTGGTTGGTTTTGTTGTCATCTCGCCTATGTCACAATCATAATAATGCATGGTTTATAAGTTTACTGATTGTATTTCAGATGGTATTTGGGTGTGTATAGCTTGCAAGCTAGAGTGGAAGTTTTCCTCTGTTCTATTCTAGTAATCTATCAATTATATTTAATAATTCCATCCTCCCATACAATGAATGCTGACTGACCTGCATACAATGCTTCCACTGTTATTTTTTTGTGTATTACATGGATGCCTTGAGGTTTAAAACAATCTGAAGTTGGGAAAAAGTCAAGCATCAGTCTGCAATCTTTGATGCATCTTTCTCCACTCATCACAGTGATATTGACTTCCTTATCATTGCTTGACAACTTGCAAGTTTTATTGCTTGTATCATTGTCATCAAAATCAACAGTACATATCTCTTCTGTCTTGTTATTATCATGTACAGCTTTCAGTGCGACATGTGTGTATGTTACTTTGATTTCTTGTGCTTGAAATTGTACAAACAAGCCCGCATCTTTTTGGATGTATTTTTTGCAATGCTTTATTTCACATTTGCCTGCAATCATTAGGAAACAAAAAAGTTAGTTATAATATATTTCATGTCAAGCTATGAACATTTGTAAAGTCATTTCCTTCATTGCTATATGTGAATACCTTTGTCAAAGTGTACAGAGGTAATGTTTCTTTCATCATTTGATGCTTTTCCAACTGCAAAATAAGGCAACAAATTAACTTTACAGGAGAATTACCAAAAGGTATCTAGATTTTGTTTCAAGAAATGTTAATATCTTTCAAATCTAGTTGATCTAGTTGCATATATTAGCTAAGTTAGAAAAAACGCTGACCTTTGGCAGTTAAAAATATGATACATATCATGTTGAGCAGGATTTCTGTTATCTAAACAATTTACGAAAATATGCATAGTTTTAATTTGGAGCATATTTAAAAAAAAAATGCTGCTCTGTCAGAGCTAGCGCGGGGGAATTCCTCATAGTAATAGGGAAACCCCCAGTTTTAGAAGTTACTCAAGGCTGGAATGTGCTGCATTGAAGGCTGTCATTCATAACTTATTTCCTGACTGTGTTCTATACTGCCCAGTATGTTATGCTTGTATTACGAATATGACACTAGTATGTTATAAGATTTCACGTGTTTGCTAGAAATGTTTTAGCAAACGTCTGGATTGTCTGGAGTACTATACCCCGACATTTCTCACAGAAGAAATCTTGATCGTGAGGGCATTAAATTACTCTAAATGCACTACATTAATTAAACAACATGAAACAAAACCTATACCTGCTAGGCTGTCTATTAGTTTTATACACCAAAACACTAGTAAATCACAATGTTTATACGCTACCAATTTTGTTACTCCTTTATATTAGTGAGGCATGAACTTTGGACTAAGATACTATAATTATAATATTTATAATATCTATATATCGTACGTGCGTAATCAAAATTTCTTTACGATTAAAAAAGTCTATATTAATTAAGTCAAAGATGAAAAAAATATACTTGCTAGAATCTACATAATCTATCAGCCTAGCTGGTGTCCCCAGGTAGCATAAATCTCATCTGTTGATGTAGGCCAATATAACAGCATGGCGCTCTCTGTGAAAACATGCGTTCATCGTATAATAAGGTTTCTAAATATTCTAGTAGCCAGCCAATAAGATATATGAAAGTAATTTTAGTGCTTTACCTTCATCTTGATTAGTGTTGTTGTAGTGTAGTTGTAATAAAATCTATCTGTTCCTTGTGCCGTGTTAAGCTAAACGATTCTATCAAAAAATTGCTGACAAATCTGACGCAAGAGTGCATGTTTAGAATTCTCGCATCTCACATTCTTCAAGTATCTTAAATTACTAGAGGTCAATCTAAAACGTACGAGAGATGGTTCAGAAGAGCAGAGAATATTGCTTTTTCATAGCAGTCAGTGTAAATTACAACCATAAATGTTGCAAAGTATGTAAGTCTCTAAAATGTTGCTATATGATGGGCGGTGATTTCTCTTTAATCTAATACGTCACAACATTATCGTTTAGAACAACTTTAAATAATATTATCAGTCCATAAGAACAACATTTAAACATAAACTGTATACATTATAATAACAATTTATTTAAAAATAAATAATACATGAAATTAACATACTTAACTAGAATGAACTATATTGCAATTTTAACTGGTCCTAAAACAGCATTCCGTAAGCTGACTTGTTTTATGACAATAAAACAAATTGTGTTCAATGACGAACGTGTCCAAGAAATCTTAGAAACAGAACACTGGAAATTAGAATACTAGATTATAAAAAGAACGCTAGAAATTAGCCACGCTAAACTGTTCAAGTTCGGTTTTAGCTCTTGAGTCTGGTTAGCTCATTTCTAAAACATTGAAGATGGCGGTATAGAGCTCAGAATGATCAACCGTCTTGTTGTGGTGTCCGGTCTTATTCAGTGGCATGCAACGTCCAAATATATGCTTCGGTGTCGTTTCTTTAATATGCTCGTATTCATTATTTTAAAAATTCAACCATGTCAGATTAATCACTGTGAAAATTAGTGGTGCGCAAATCATAGGTGACAGAAGACTTGAGGTGGATGAGGAAGAATTTCTCAAACGATTTGTGTCTTGTGTTGGAGTTGCATTTGGTTTTCGTGTAACATTTGAAGTGGTTTCAGAGGGATTGGTAGTTATTGGCTGAGTTTGATTTATCGTTAGTAAAAACATTTGTTTGGTTGATCCATCAGTGGTATCCCGCGAAGAAAACTGAATGTAAAATTTGCATCCTTTTCTAATGGTCTTATTCACGGAATCATTGTATTCAATCGTGAACTGGCAAGCGTCATGTGTATGGCCTGTATGCACAATCTCGGCGGAGTCGCATCTCCTCGTTTCCTGTTGTTTACGTACAAGACAAATGTCCACAGTTTTATCGCAATCTTTTTTACAGGCTGTCGACACGTTGTAAGAGATATTCCACTGTCTTTTTACTCCATCTGGGATGGTCTTCTCTTGGTATATTTGAGTCAAACTCATTACAAGAACTGCAAGGTAATCATCAAAATATCTAATCTTAGTAATCGATATCTTATCTGATGGGTGTGTTCAACGACACTATTTCTATATATTTACCTTGCTTAGCTTGAGAAATTGGAATGTTGACTTTATATCCAATGAGTCTTTTTTTCAGATCCGGTCGTGTAAGCCAATATTCTCCTTCAAGACTGCAATGCATTCGTTTGATTACTAATTCACGCTCTTTTACTATATCAAACGTCGCGGTATCTTCGATGTAATGCATCCATGGTGATGACCTATTTGTTCTTCGTATACGACAGACAGTCGTGTTTTTGCCATTTATGATTTGCATCCAAATCATTTCATTTGCACTGTCACTATCTCGCAGGTTACCAACAAAAAGAATAACTCTCCCGCCTTCATTAACTGGTTTTTCTGTATAAATTCGAAAGTAAATCGGTAAACTGCTCACCAATCAAAACTCAAGTCACGCTCTCAAGTCAAATATCCTTTGAATATACTTACCCATAATCTCTGTAGCAAATACCATCTCAATCATCTGCATGGCAATTATGATTGAGAGAAAAAACGACTTCATCTGACTCAAAGCCATATCAGTTTGACTCACCGCCTAGCTGCATAAGTGAAAGTTGTTTAGTTAGCAATTTCTTATCGGGTAAAATTTCCATTCTACCAACCCTACTTGACCAAGCTTATACAATTCCCTAGCTTGTATGAGTAGATAAATTTATTTGATAAATCCAAGCGCTAGAAGAAGAAGAAAAAATCGCTTGTAGAGCCTAGCTTTAACGCTCCCTTTACATTTGCGATTTTTGCTGCGATTTTATTAGTGCAACGGGCGAGTAATTACTAATCAGCTACGAATGCTCAGATGAAACATTAGTAACTAATTCATTGATTTACTTCTTTATTAAACTTTAGTAACTAATTCACCTTAACTATAATTAAACATTAGTAACTAGTTCACTGATTTACTTCTTTAATAAGGCCTTCCCTCAGACTTGGAACTGTAGAACACGATGTCCAAATAAACGAGATGTCAAATTTTCTATCTTATCGGTAGTTATTAAATCACGCAACCTACCTGTGATGGGTCTTGTATAACCACAGTTTATATGTATGGCACAACTTTGATGCTCCCTTCAAACTGCAAAGGACGAAGAATGCCCAATTTTTTTTATACGCAATTTAGGGGATTACCCTTGCTAGATAGATGCTTACAGAAGCAATTTTCGAACAATGGTCAGTATAAATGAGTCCTTGAAATATTGCTTTACAAGTATTAAAATACAGGCGTTCAAAAAGCTAGTCTTTGAAATTCCAAAAAAGGCACATGTCTTTTTATCAAGAATCAAAACTCGGCAGTGTCGTCGCCAGCATCGATAAGTTGGGTGGACATATTCATATATTCATGCTCACAGACCCGTTAAAACAATCAATTTGAATAAAAATGATAATATAAAACGCGAATATATGAATAAGTCCCCCCCCACTTGTCAAACTGGCGACGCCACTGAAACTCGCTCTCTGCCAGTGGCGTACGGCAGACGATAATGGGGGGGGGGGGCACATATTCATATATTCATGTTAACAGAACCTGTAAAGAAAATGGATTTGAAAACAATCAAACTTTATGAACCTGGACCTGGTACATTGATTGATATGAACGAGCTTAATTGAAATAAAACAGAACCAATGTGTGCTTATTTGCTGATTTTAGTAACTAAACAAACGTCCAATAACGCAGAAGAAATCCGATTTCCTTACTGTTCTTAATAAATCTCGAAATCCAATCTATATAATCTTCTTCAGAACAAAACTAATCTGTAATCCTAAATCCAAAGCCTGTGATTAATTAACAAAATGGCGGAGTCGCGAGGAAAACAACGACAGAATGAATCAGGTTCATTTTTTTGTTTTTTTTACCTTACTGTTAATTAGGTAATTATACATCTAGGCTAAACATTGCCAGTATATGTCGTACACACAGATGCAGATGAAAAAATAAAGCTTGCTGTAAAACGGAAGGCTGAAATAGGCAGCGGTGTAAATCATGAAAAAAGCTCGCCAGCGAAAATGAAGTTTGGGATCACTTCGAGCAAAGGATCAACCAGTGGGATATCGATAAAAGTTGGTCAGCTTGTGAGTTTTAATACTATCATGCTATATATAGTATTTATCTTGAATATTTGTGAATTTGTTAAAATACCTTAACCTTTAATTAAACTGCAATAAATAATTAAACTATTCAAATTATTATTATAGAGTAATGTAACATTCCAATGCATGGTGTGTCCAAGGTATTTGGCTCTAATGTTTTATGTTTTCTCTAGAAATCTACAGAGAGCAATAAACATAAGGTTGATATAATCTCCAAGCCAAAGAAAGGTTCAGTTGCAGCTGCATTCAAGGAAGAGGTGTTTCCAGAATATCTTTTATATTAGGATGCTGCTCTCTCAAACATTTAAAATGCTTGCTGAAATATCTGCAGAGTTTTCTGGTGTCCATTTTCATAGAATACAATTCCTCATCAACCATTTTCTGGTTCTTTTGCTGGTTTTTTAAAAGTTCGGCCTTTTTGATGACCAGTTGAAAGAATATGCAGTGAAAATGTTTTTGATATTGCAGAGTGATGAAGAAGAGGAGATCCCTAAGGAGGCAAAAATGCGTATGCGAAATCTAGGAAAGTATGTCTCCATTCTGGTTATTTCTCTTGAAATATACGCAATGTATGTTTTCTTCTACAATACAAGACACTGACAGGTTCTTTTGATTTATTTAGAGACACAGTAACATCATCCGGACCTAACTCTTTCAATAAAGGAAAGCAAGGATTCACAAATTTTAACAAAGTCCGGGAGAAAGAGATGAAGCTTACAAAACACTAGTGTTTGTTCCCAAAGCAAAGTATTTGATAGAGATGATGTTCTATTCTTTAGAGAAGGTTTATATACAACTCACATGCATCCTAATATTTGACATATAGGCTGCCTATGTCACTTAATATGATGTCATCCATTACCAACATCCCCTGTTCAAAAATGGAAGCAGTTCTGTCCAACATAATTGCATAAGAGGGATTAGGGAAGGTAGCTTAATACAGGCAAAATACGAATAAAACTAATTAGAACATCAATTAGAACTGTACATATTCTCCTTGATTATCACCTCTTTTATTTAATTAATTAACACATTTACAACATTTCTAATGGCTGAATAATAATGTTGCTGACAAATGACATTTTTTGATCGTTTTCTTTGAGGTCACCGACGAAATTTTGAGTTGCATAGTGGAAACACTAATAATTTAAATGACTTCAAAATATTTATAATTGCAAGTTGCAACATCCTGTGTTTGAAATGGCTGACAGTTTGAAGAGTTTTTTGTCATTTATTCATGCTTCTTCGTCTCATTTCTCGGCCATGTTGACTGCTACGTTAAAAGTATTGCTTCCTGTCTGTATAACATGTAATATAGTCATTATTATCTCTCATTATTTTGCCTTGGGAACAAGAAATCCTGTCATGGCAGGTGGAAAAGGTAAACTGTCAAAGATACTCAGAATTTTATCCACCAAAGTTGGCAGCTATCATCCAACTATCTGGACTTTTGGGGGACATCTTCAAACAATATGTGGAGACCTCTTTAGAGGGCGGCCTCATGTTGAGTATGTTAGAGAGGATATACCCACCCCAGATGGAGGTGTTCTTCACCTGGACTGGAACTCTAACACTGATGATGATATGAAACTGGAGCATGTCCGACAAGCAGAAGTTGATGACAAAGAGACTGATCAATATGATGAAGATTTGCTGGGAGGTAAAAACAAAGTACAGAACATTGTGATTATAATTCCTGGACTGACAGGCAGTTCACAATCAGGATATGTTCTACAGTTTGTAGATGATGCTATTAATCTGGGTTATCGTGCAGTTGTGTTGAATCATAGAGGTATTACACAGTGTCCAGTAACGTATCGCTTCTCGTGTGCAGCAAACAGTGACGACTTGCAGTTAGCAATTGGACATATTCACAAACAATACCCCAATAGTCGTATCTGTGCCATTGGTGTTTCACTTGGTGGGATCATTGCAACTAATTATTTGATCAAAATGAGTTCATCAAAACAGGAGTCTGGATTACTTGCTGCATTTGTCATCTCTGTACCGTATGATTCATTTAAGGCTTCAGCATCCCTTGAGCGCCCTGTTCCCTGCTTTCTTTTCAATCGATTCCTAACAAGAAAACTACAAAGAATGTTTGTCAGAAATAAAAAGGCTTTGAACCAAAATGGAATTGATGTTCCAGAAGAGCACTCATCTGCTGCAGCGAAAGCTAATACAATCCGTGAATTTGATGCTGCAGTTATTGCGCCAATGTTTGGCTATAAGGATGTGGATCATTATTACCATGCATCATCAATTGTTGAAAAACCATTTGAGTGTATCCAGACACCATTGCTATGTCTTAGTGCTGATGATGATCCATTTTCGCCTGCTGAGCAGGTGCCAACAGAAAGGATGAAAAACTGTGACAATGTTGCATTACTGCTCACTCATACAGGAGGTCATGTTGGGTTTCTTGAAGGACTCCTTCCTATAGGGCGTGGATACATGGATAGAGTTTACAAGGAATTTATAAAGGCAGCATTTGATGAGTTGTAACAATCATTCTTGTAACAATTAATTGCTAATCTACACAATTTTGACCTATTTGTCTCAAATTAATAATATATTGCAAGTTATTGCAATGTTAATCATATATGACTAATATCAATCAGCACTTTCTGTTAACAGTAAAAATGGTCTAAGATTTGTAACTATAAGTTGTAATATCATATCATTAAATTTTTATTTGAAGTTGTGTGATTGATTGATGATTACTGCCAATTACAACCCCAGAGCATCACTGGAAACTCTCACCTTTTTGACCAAAATTGCGTTTGTAATTTCTCAAGTTTCAAAAAATATAACATGTCCAGTTAATACTAAAAAAATGTCCAGTTTTAAAAAAATGTCCAGTTAATACTAATTCAGCACATGAAACAGTTGCGTTAAATTGTTTATTTGTCTGATTAGAACAAGTGCTTATGTACATAAAATTGAAACATTGTGCTGTGAACTACGATAATCAGTGCTAATTAGTAATTTGAAACATTTTAATAGTCTTCGTTTCGAAGTTTCGTGCAGTTCTCTTAGGAGAAAATAATTACTCTACGTCATATTCAACTACTTTATATCCCATAATTTTTACATTTTCTGTAAGCTAAAACTTCAGCAAGTTTTGCATTATACCAGATGGTAGCTATTAAATTCGTAGAAATGTACAACTTCAAGGAACAATATGAATAAGTTACACTAAATCCTCACTCTTAGCAATCCAATGCAAATAACAATTACCCCATATTCCCATGAAAATCGCAGATATTACTATATAGTACTATATATAGTTACTATATTTACTATATATAGTTATAAACTATAAGTCTAACGGTGATATTTTAAAACATTACACCTAAATTTCTACTAAACTTAAAGTGCAATATAAAACAGATCCCTGTTTACTGTGAAGACTAATGGTGCTCTTCGCTACGAAGTATAGCATCCTTATGAATAAGGATGGTTATATTAAAAGCCTAAAATAACTAATATACCATACAGTGCTTGAATATCACCTTAAATGTGGTTAGTTTGTGTTAAAAATCTTAGTTAGATCTTGTGCGTAGAAGTGTTTTTACAACAGCGTGCAAAGGTGCAAAAGGAGGTTCAAGTTAAACTATAATGTATCTAAACTTTTTTACACTTGGTTCTGTAACCAAGTTGATCTGGGATTGCACCAGTTCACGTAGTAAGGAGATGAAACCAAATCTTGATCGTAAACACAATATCCGTAGCTTGGTAGTGCTCGGAATGGAAACGCAGTTCTAACTGGATTGCATACCTCCGTGGGGCTCAAACAAAACGTGGGTGTTGGCGGGTCGTTTTCTGAAGACACCTTTTGATAGCTGCCTGCGAATTTTTGCCAGTATCCTTGCGGGTGGATGAGATGTGCAGGCTGGGAATAAGCTGGTGGATGGATAGCCGCAGGGGAGTATTGGATATTACCTGCAGTGTTGTCTAATTCGCTCTTGAGAGATGGCTTTCTTGAATCTGGTGTTTTCGTTTTTCGTCTTCTTGGTCGGTATTTATAGTCAGGGTGGTCTTCCAGTAGTTTGGCCGTCAGACGCTTGGCTTCCTTTACGTAAGGTCTCTTCTCTTTATCGCTGAGTTTCCTCCAGGCTTCGCCTAACATTTTGCTGATGACGGCATTGTTAATACCTGGAAACAAAATGATTGGTTTTAGCTGATACTGCCGGCAATCTAGGGTCGGAGTTTCTTCAACGAGAATTAGGACACCTCTCGCGATTTTATCAGAACTAATGATAGCATTTCTTTGTATTCTACATTGTGTTTTGTGAGGCGTCTCGAAAAATCTTGTGATCTAAATTTCCGTGTTGGTTGAGAGGAATATCACGTCGCAAATCTAATTACATTTTACTTTACCACGCTAATTCATTCGGTCCAAAAGTTACTATCATTACGAACAGTCGAACCGTGTTAAGTCCTTAATTTTGCGGCACTTAACTATAATTTGCGACTTTTACTTTGCTATATTGATAGCGATACAAAGACAATTATCAGAGGAGGTATTTCATTGATAACACACGAAAATTGACAGAAGAATCACGAATATTAAAGCATTGTCTTCTTGCAAAAGCGCTAAGGATGGATTCCGGTCCAATATAGAAAAATCATTTAAGTTTGAAGATTTGAATGACACGTAAGATAGCGGATCGCAGCGAAATGCAACTCTTCAATCTTTCCTGAGGCGATCTATGCTAGGAACATGGAGTTTCAATCAGGTCTTTAATAAGGGGAATCATACAAAATCACGAATCATAAGGGGATAGGGGATACGTGATTGATTACAAAAGCAGCTCTTGCACCAGCAAGTTGTATAATGATGGTGAAGTAATGTTATAAATTTGGAACGATATGAGAGAGATTAGGTATTTTGCACCGTCATTTACGACCAGCAATATACTGCAGTCGGCTTTTCAAGATTTCCCTATTTCGTAAGTACGAAATTCCTATTTCGTTATCACGAAATGTGTCGGAAAACATTCCACCCTACAAAACACATCCTGTCTTCTCAAAGTCTTTACAATTTTCTCTGACACTGCCAGAAAACTTCGGCCCCATATAAGGAGATGCTGTCTAAATAAGGTCTGGCTAGTATTTCTTACCTGGATTTTTCTTTAAAATCTCGCATCTTTTCTCTCGACTCCAGAGCATAAAACAATTCATAGGTCTTTTGATGTGCATGTCTCTTTCAGCCATGATGCTTTCAGGATTCTTGTATAAAGTTTTCGTGTTCAGAGGTGTACAGCCTCTTAGTCTAAGGTAATGCGGTATTTTGTGGTAAACCAAATGTGTTTGCACAACACTAGTTCCTGTATTCTGGAAATTGGTTTCCTGTAATTTTCGACTTTCAAAAGTCGGATTGCTGTTGTGAGAGTTTGGTTGAATGAAGACTTCTAGACCTGCTAGCTTGTTGTTCCTTCAGACGTCGTGATGAAATGACTGAGTCACCGAGTTGGTTATTATTATTAAGTAATACCACTCCCTGCTGAGAGACTGAAGATAAATTTACCACCATTGAAAAGCTTTGGATACAATGACGATTGAATAAAGCAAAACGCATTCCCAGCGTGATATCAATAAAGGAATGGCACTAAAACATCAAAACTTAACATTCTTTTAGTTTTAATCTTCAAAACATTAGTTGATCATTATGTTGAATTTCTCCACTACTCTAATCTATCTTTCGGAATCAAAAGTGTGAGTCTACGGCCATTTGGTGACACGTGTTTTCCAAGTTGTAACTCTTAGCAGTATTTTTCATACACAACTAAACAAGGACAGCAAAACAACGTTAGTGCTGATGGACCGGAAACTTTCCCACGGTGAAGTAATAACACAATTTAGCTACCAAATATCAACCAAAATCCCAGTATCACCCCCTATCTAGCATACACAGGCCTTCACGTCTAATCCTGGACGTGAAAACTGTTGTAAAACTGTAAAACACGATGAAATTCCTTTAGTCATGTGATGCTTATTCAAAGCGGAGTGTGGTATATAATTTGCAAGAGATTAAAGGTCTCGCAGACAAAGCACCTACGCATTCTGACGACAAGTCCGATATTTCTTTATAAGTCATAACAAGCACACTGCCGCCTTTCCCACCTCCTAAAAATACAATTCTTTCTTTGTAGATTGAAACTAGCACTTAGCTATAATTGTAGCCGGATAAACCACATCCGAAGCTTGGGCGGCTTCGTAAGTGCAGGTAAAAAAAACGAGTCAATTACATATTACTAAAATAAACTTTTCTCATAAGAATTATATAATGATTGTCTTAAAAAACAACCAAAATATAGCACTTAGTTGTGAAGATAAATTTCACTTTAATGTTTTCTTTTCAATGCACCAAGCTGTTAAAAGTAAAATTTTTGCGCTGAATAAGACGTACACCTGTCCTATTATATAAAATATTTAATTGTTACCAACCAGGCTATTGTAGCGGTGAGCTCAAGCACTGCGTGTGGTGAGAATTACAAAAGACAGATTGTGTTTCACCACACAATGCTTTGGTATGCGTGTGAAGATTGTATTCAAAATATACCATATTAAATAGTTTTAGTTTCAAGTATATTTAACTAAATTCTATACACCACACCATATTAAATAGTTTTGACATAAAAGGTATATGCCTCCATTCTTACAGGAACATTCCTAGTCTTTCACTTGTTGCAATTATGAGATAATTTAGGTTCCATTCTTTATCAGCTCTGTACTCGATCTTGAGCTAAAAAAAACAGCGACAAATTATATAATATGACCAAATCTTTAACAAAACTAGTTCAATTTCACGTTTTCCTTTTAGTTAATATCCCTAAGACCGTCTTGTCGTACTCACTAATCGATAAAACTTTCTATTCGGGAGAAATTCAACTCTATGTTAAAACAATCGATGCTTTTTGTCATAATATGGGAACAAACAATAAAAAGGTGGAACGTTAATTCAACTATGCCTATGTACAGAAGCCAGAACTGGGGTATATTTTATAAGTTAGGTATCCTAAGTTTGCATGCAAGATATAATATTTTCGCCAATTTTCCCTTTGGAAAACCTCTCTCAGTTTAATTTGTAGCGAGATATAATCTGACTGCAGAACAAAGACATTCTTTTAAAACGATCACTTCACAATCGTAGCACAATTTGCTTACTCATGAGTATCTAAAAAGACAATACCTCGAAACCTTTCATTATAGAACTGAAATCTCTCCCACGATGGAGAAGTTGTAACATTTTAACAATAATTCTTTTATAACTTTGCTTATTCAATAATTGAACGATGATGTTTGGCGAGGAATGACAATTGTCACGTTCTAACACAAAATTAGAATAAAATATAAGTGTTTTACATCAATTCCTGGCTTGTAACTGCCAGAGTTAATTGGCAACTTGCAGTAAGCCTGCAAGACATGTACGTTACTCCTAATTCATCTACGTTACTCCTAATTCATCTTTTATTTTTCAATTCACTTTTTTTTATATCATAGTTCTAGTGGTTGCTGGACAATAAATATTTTATCTATTTCTAACAAATCAAAGACAGTATTGGTGAAGATAGTTGTGTTTTTATAAATATATTTTTATGGTTGACGTCGTTTCTAAAATGCAACGTACGTGTGTTCACACAGTCTATTCCAAAGAATAGTCGCAATTGACGCGCTAAAAATATTTATAATTGCTTGTAAGATAATTCCAACTTATTGTATGCATCGGAAATTGGCTGGGAAAACGTAACTTATGAAATTCACAATGCTCAAACCCGATGGCGACTTGCAGTAGACATGTTAATCAACTCAACTAGATTTATAATAAATCCATGCAGACAGACTGCTTGGGACTAATGTGACATGAATGTATGCGTGTGTTTAGTAAGCTATCCTGTTTTAATGAAACTTTCTTGAGCCATAGGCGTGGCCCACATTCTGAGGATTACTATGATCTTTCAATATCCTTGTTTCATGCGGCAACTTTTAAACAAACAAGTTTGGTCTTGTCTTCTTGTCTTTGGTCTTGTCAACCAGGCGAACATCTTAGTTCGCTCTCGTTCTGTTGTAGAGGCAATGAAAAGCAACCACTACTACAGTTGGTTCATTTTTCATTGGATCCTTAATTACCTTCCAGTTCATTTTTGTCATCAGTGATTCGCAAAAATATTATCTGAGGTTGAAGAATTGTAGTATGGACTCCGAGCAGTGAAATTCAGTGTAGCATTTTACTCTGTAAACATTCTAAAACTACGCTACAGCATTTCTCAAGCTGTCGGCTTTCTTCACTGCCCGTTGGTAATGCTCTCACAGGTGCGCGCACGTCTTTATTCAAATCGCTTCTCCTTAATCTTAGCCGACATGGAAATCAAGATTAACCAAAATAACATCTCCTACTTCTTGAAAGAGTATCTTTCATTTTGCTGACGCCAGACAGTGTTGTGAGATGAAGAAGCTAAACAGGAAACACACTCAGGGACTCAACGCTATAAATTTTGATTTTGTTTTTCCTGTGACTGCTGCAGACAATGTTAACAAAGACAACAGTTTTGCAACTGATAAACTATTTTTACAAGTATGGCTCTAGTTATTCAACTGTCTAATGACGGATTGTTATCCCAGATCGTACAATGTTACTATGAGATTTAATCAGCTGTACTGGATATTTGTAAAGTCGGTGAGGAGTTCAAACTAAAGCCATTTAATTTTCATTATACATTGGAATTCTTCCACTTCAGCATTCTGTCTGTGTTCTCACGACTCTTAGACCTGATTGTTCACAGCATTGTTTTGAAAACAATCAAATATTTAACGCCGAACAGAGCAAAGAGCGTGAGAAAAGACATCTCATTCCTTATCTGATCAGGAGCGTGACCGGCGTCTAGAGTATTCTAGCGTTGTACAGAACATTTAACAGTATTTACGTCAAGTCACAGCACGCGATCAAACACACACCTTTGCATCTAGTCCCTTAACTAGAACATCTGAATATTTTCCACTCTTTCTTTCTTTCTTTCTCTCTTCCAACTGGAGTGTCTGACGCAAACAACACAGTAAAGTGGTAGATAGTAATTATACCACAGGCTTCTTGTCTTGTGTTTCAATGTTGAACAACAACCATTTCACCTTTAGCTATTGCTAATGAAATAGTGGACTTTGCTTTGATAATTCTCGCTAAAAGGACTTCTTTTATTGATCTTTAACATGCTGGACTTGAATTGCCTAATATGTTTTTCTCCGATGAATGATGATAGGGTCTGTAAACTTTGTTCTGAAATTAATATCGTTATTAAAACTTTGTTCAGCTACACAACCACTATTATACAAAATAGTACCAGTATGAAAAAACATTGATTGAATTCAAGGAAATGTCACGATCTCTAAAAGAAGTGCCATCCAGTCAGTCATGCTAATGTATCTTCACTTGTATAACAGTGTTTATCTCTAAGATATCGTGTGCGATTTAGACAGCTTTTAAGAAGTTAAAAAGAAATTCTTTCTCTTAAACAGCATGGTGTTATGATTATTCATTAAAATTTTATCTGACAAGCTGCTACACTCCAAGGAGGGCGTGCCTAGCTGGGAGGCTAAAGTATTTCATTTCCATCAATGTTATTTTGAACCCCCCATGTCCTCAATTTATTCGACACAAGATTGGTGTAATTTTAAGCACTGGTTTAGATCACTAATTGTAGAATTATCCGACCGTAATGGTGGCTCAAAGGTGTACCATTTACCAGACATTTCTACCATAAATTTTATGAAGATCTTTACGAATTCGTGCACGCTAATGTGCCACCTTCGTACTTTTGTCAAAATTTTTGATAGATTGTCATCAATCTCGTGCTAAAAGCCCCTCCCTTTTGACATTTTTGTCATCCTTCCCAGCATTCAAAAGTCGCACGATATTTTGGTTAAACAACCATTTTAATTCCGTTATTTGTGCGAGATATTTGCGTGTACCCACGAAGGTTGAAAGCTCGCACCCAGACTTCTTCGCCACCACAGATTATTTTAAATAAATAAATAAATATTCAGTACTTCAGACTATCAAGAATTTTTTGAACCATGTCTTTAAAATAGATATAATCAGCACTCAATATAAGACCTTGATAACCAAGTATGGAAGGAAACTTCTCAAATCCTGGATATTTCTCTATCGATATTTTTGAAGAGGGAAGAAGAGAAATTATTAAATGGAGCGAAAAAAGAAGATCAAGACGAACAGGTGTTCATGGAACGTTGTATAAAATTACAAAACTATTCATAACGAGATCGGTAAGTAACTTAATTGACATTAGAAGCAATTTGATTTCAATTTGGAATCAAATTGTTTCAATCTTTGTTTTAATCTTTCATTCTAAAGATCGAGGCAAAATGATTGATTATTATGAATAAGATATAGATGGCATATCAAATATTGTCCATTACATTTATTATTAGTATTTGTAATTTGTTTTTAATGTATGCAATCTTTGTTATTTCATGAATTATTTACTGATATATCTATGTAACAATATTTCTTCATTGTTGTAATAAATGAGCAGAAATGATTATATTGAACATGTCTGATGATAACCTACTCACTATTCAAGTGTGTTACAAGCACTTTTTTATACATATTGATATGAGCTTTTAATCCCTATCTATAATTATTTTTATATGCTTTCATTAATAATTTATTATCTGTCTGAATGAAAACAGTAATCATATTATATAGTATTATTTCAAATCCTCTTGTGTTCTAAGGAATTATTAGGTTTAACCACCTTTCAATTGACATGTGACACTGACAAGTAATCCAATGTCTGCATTATTAGTCAGTTTGCTGAAATAATATATATTTTTTCCTAGCTTGTTCGAAGTTTCATGCATAATCTGAGTGTTGTAGTTGCATTTCAAATGATATTAGCAGGTTTGATTTTTCTCTTTCTCAATTACAGTTATGATTATAAAGTAATTTACCAAAGCATATGGAAAAACCTTTTTATTTTTATCTTTTAGCAATATGTACATATTCCTGTGTAAAATTAGGTAAGTTACACCCAAATGCTCATAACTTCTAACACTGAGAAAAACATTACATTCTTCTTATGAACATATGTTTTGACTTTTAAGGATTGGAAATGGATGTTCATATGAGTTTGTTTGTCTCTCCAATTGTCTTTCCACTGGCTTTCTCTATAAATGGTGAGCTTTGGTTAATCTAATTTTGAAATATCAGTAATATTCATGATGAAATTTTTACATGTTTCTTTGGTCAGCAAACTATCAACGTCGTGAATCAGTGTTGGAGGACTTGGCTATGTTCAAATCATCCTCTTCGATATTGTTTTTTTGCCACAGAGATTGGATCAAAGCTGCAGGTATGTTTACAAAAAGCAGAGCTTGAGGTTTCTGATTTTAGCTCACTTTATGCAATTTTGAAAATTAATGCTTTAATATCTCTCTTGCAGAGCTTCCCATTGATTTGTTAAAAACCTTGTCAAATAAGCTGAAGTTCCTTGTGATTAATATTCGAGAATATTTATTAACAGAAGATGTTGAGAAAAGAAAGTACATACTTCAGGTAGTGGGCTACGGAACATAATTGTGGGATTTGTGGTTAAGCTATTCTCTACCAGTACATTATAATCAACTGATGTCAGATTGATGTATTGCAAGTCAATTTCAGTCAAGCAACAACTGGTTCTCAAAACAAGCTGACGTAATTAATGTCATTTTTTAGGCAATTTATGAAGATCTTAGTGATATAGCGCAACTGAATGATAAAATACGGACTTCTCGTATGAAAAGTAGCTCACCATTATGTGCGCGTATCATTCACTGTCATAAGTAAGTTAATTTGCTATATTCCTATTTAATAAGGCTTCACTAAGAGTGAATAAAGATGTAAACTTTTTGATAAAATAGCGTTCCTTAGTTCTACAGCTAACTGAGTTTTTTTATTAGTCTAATGTGCTGGTCGTTTGAAAGACTCCGGGTGATCCGTGAATACAACTCGCCTCGGTCCTTACGAGCTTTTACCAAAGTATTCATCTTCCTAATGCCGCTTCTGCTGTCTCCATATTATGTGTTCAGTGGTCGTCAAACTAAGAGCTCATGGACTCCATATTTCATCAGTGTAATGGTCTCGTTCCTATTTGGTTCACTACAATCTGTGCAGGATAAACTTGATGATCCTTTTGATGGTATTGGGGAAGACGATGTGAAACTGGGCCAGGTAGAAATTTATTAATTTTCCAGCCATTAGTGTTTCCTTTTTGAAATTCAACCCACAAGACTTAACGTATCAGCATTGTTACATTACAGCTTGATGATTGGACAACTCAATCCCTTCTTACGAACAGAACTGTGACAGTCGGACGTTTTACTGTCACGACAACAACAGCTCAAGCAGAGCAAAGCAGAAATACTTCACCAGTTCCACCTGTAGATCAACATGATGAACCTGGAACTCCAAAGAGGACTCGTCACGCAAGCCTCATTGATGTCGGATCACCAAAAGGTCTTCGCCGAATCCTCTCCCGAAAGAGCGAACGTCGTATAGGTAGGCTGATTTGGAACTGATATCGTCAATTCCTAAATGTCTTTATTCCATCGTAATACTCTGACTTGTTACCTTGTTACCTACTGTGACTTATTACCTTTGCACATTAAGGTCGAAGACCCACTTCAGTTGGATTAGGCGAGTCTGAATTCACAGATCAACTTGAGGCTCGTTGTCATGGTATTGCCTCAAAACTAGAGGGACTGTCTGGCACGAGTATTATACTCCCGGGGAAAAGGACTCCCTATGTTCCGTATGAATATCAAGGATCAAAACCTATTGAAGAAGAAACGCAAGAAACTTTTCGACCTGGCGAAGATCACTTATTTGATCCTGTTAACGGTAATGCTGGAAGCGAGATCAAAAAGGAATCTGATTTTCATGGAGACGGTCTGCTTGGTAGGTGTACTTGTGACCTAGCATAAGCCTGTGTTGCTTTGTTGTTTCCAAACTGGTTTAAATTGTTTTTAGCCGTAGTAAGAGAAAGGGAGGAAGAGGTGTCTGACACAACGAGCACATCTGACATTTCACCAGTTTCTGAGAAATTGATTTCGATGAAATCTGATGCAGTGGTTAGACCTGATGATTCCAAGGAAAAACGACCAACAATACTGGGTCTCTTCTCTGCTCCTGAGGAAAACCTCCAGAGTCAGGTAAGGGACCATATTTCTGTTATACCCGAAGAGTCGTCTGACACTGAGGAAGATTCCTCGCGTAAGGTCGAGATTCTCTCGGCGAAAACGGTCGTATTGGGAACCAGCCCTTCTAAGAAACAGTCGGTGTTCTTAGACAATGCTCCCGCGTCTCAAATTGAGGCGGAAAGCGGCCCCGGAACTCTGCAAACTTCATCTAGTACTCGTGAAGTGGAGGAAACTGCTGAGGCTACCACAAGTGAAGATGGCAGCTCTGAAGCGAGAAAGGATGATGCAACCACTGAGAAAGACGTGTTACCAAGACTACGATTTTGTTTACCAGGAAAACATGCAGCAAGGAGTGAGAAAGGAAAGTTGTGGGGACGAAAGCATAAGAAGAAACGCCCTCCTAAAGGGGAGGGTAAAGCAGACATTGAACTACAAGGTACAACATCAATGTCTCCTTTGTTACCACTTCACTCCAGTGACATGGAAGAAAATGCTGACGTCTCGAAACCTCTTGTATCCACGGATGAATCCGATACGGATCAAGTGTTTGCAGATACAGGATCTGGAGCAATGGACTACGATAAAGAAGATTTGGAATATGCGAAACATGGGGGACCTCCTAAGGATGAACAACTTATTGATTCAAATTCTACACCAGTACCCAGGGTGGATGAAGATGATCCAACAGATGACCCAACAGTTGCTGTTGGGGAAGACGAATGGGACTTTGATGTATCAAGTGACAAACCAAGTATAAAGGGAGGTGGCCAGAGTGCAACACGGACAGAAGATGTTACATCATCTGGTAACCAGAGTCAACCTTCGTCAGGCACACTACTAGATACTGCCGGCCCTCGTCCCAGCATCATGGACATTTCAAGTTCCGAAAACAAACTGATTTCTCCAGAACCTGGAGGATCGCGATTCTCTGTTTCCAGGAAGGCTGATGATTCAGAGAATACTAAAGCTTCCAAGCCAAGGAGCTCGCGATTTACTGTCTCTTCATCATAATCTTCCCATAGGGCCTTGTGCAGCTTTTTCTGTTTCAGAGAGTGAGGTTTTCTAGAAAAGTAGAACATTGTTTTTTGTTTTGTTATTTTGAGAGGTTTCCATGAATGCTAGTAACACGTTGATTTCATGCAAGATTCCATTAGGCAAAATGCTTTATTTCATCTTGCATCAAGGATTAGCGCTATAACAATAACACTATAGTGGAGTGAGATATATTTATTAGTAGAAAGTTCATGATCTATTTTGACAGCTGTTTTTTATGCGCAATATTTTTGGAAAAAAGCATTATCTTTGTATAGAAATTATTTATTATTTATCGAAATGCATGTGTATTTGGTACTGCTCAAAACAAATTAAAAAGGCAGACTAAAATTGAGTTTGCATTTTACATTATGGAGAATTCATTTGGAATAAAATAACGAATAAAGAATGTGCAATATAGCAATTTAGCACTGCTTTCTTAAATCACCCTGAAAAGTATTTTCCCAGGTTATTTTGGTAGATAATAATGAAAAAATATTCAAGATTTCTTTACTAAAATCTAATTGACATGACACATAGAAACTGATTGACACACAGCGTTTCATTTAATATCATAAATGCAAACAGTGGACACTTGTTTTTAATCATTTTTCATTATGAATCTTCATTGCTTGGTTATTAAAAATGAATTCTAGCGAGGGAAAAACGATCGAATTCTTTGGCGTTTACTTTGTTGAACTAAATCTATGGAGTTTTGTTCTTTATATTTCGGTGACCACAATCGGCGTCTTCTCAAATGGTTTTTTAATTGTGGCAATTCTGAAAGATCCACTAAAATGTTTCCGTAATGCGACTTCCTATTTCATATTTCATTTAGCATTTGTAGATGCTCTTTGTGCCATGGTCTTCATGGAAGAATCTCTTCTTTGGTTCACAAAATTTAAGAGTATTGATGGTTTACCTAAATGGTTTGGGATCATTAACACTGGTGTATTTGAGATGATATTATTTATCAATTTCTCTTCAGTATTCAGCTTATCTTTGGAACGATGTCTCGCGATTGTTTCACCTCTTTGGCATAAAGTAAAGTTGACGTCAAAAGCTTGCTACTCATGGCTTGCAATGATTTGGATTCTAGGTTTATTTCTACTTGGAATTCGTTATTTTGCTTTGATATATTTCAACCAGAAGCAAGCGTATTCCATTATGGCGAAAGTAGTATGGGGAATTGCCTTGTCTGCGCTAGTTTGCTACGTGATAGCCGTTATTTCTGTACGAAGACAGCGATTAGCACTCGAGGGAAGAACTACCATTTCCGAAACCTCACGAAGGTCGACCGAGATTCGCTTACGAAATGAAAATCGCTTTCTGCGCACAATGTTCATAGTGATTAGTGTGCTCCTGCTTGGTTTAGTGCCAGCAATGGTCCTATTTATTATCACGAATGGTGCGATTACCATGGAAACAAGCAATAACGCAACAGGGTATATAGGCATTGCCTCTGACGTAATGTTTCTTTTGAACTGCGCTGTGAATCCATTCATTTATGTATGGAGATTGCCAAAATACCGAAAAACTTTTGAAGTAGTGTATTGTAAACGAAATGTTTAATCCTGCTTTTTTTTAGTTGAATTATAAAGAAATCATTTTATAACAGTGCAATATCAAATAATTAACATCTTATCCTACATAATATGGTTCATAGTTTAGCCCACAGAGACCTGTTTAGAGTCATCATTATCCAATGTTTTGTTTTTTACTTTAATATCGAAGATAATAGGTTTGTTAACTGGTTTATACATAATATTGCACGTTGAAGCATTGATGTAGGTTGTCACTCCGTCTGACGAAGAACCATAACCTATATAAATAAGAGAAAAAAGTTTAGGAATAAGTCATGTAAGATTCTTTAAGAAGCTTGGGTATAATCACCTTCATGAATGTGCCCAAATATGTGATATCTTGGTTTCACATGGTTCTGAACTATATCCAATAAATTTGCACATCCTGCAGGAGTCTCGTCAAAGGTAGAATCACCTCTTCCTGTTTGGAAAGATTTCAATAGGTAATAGTGTCAAAGGTACTTACACCATATTCAGGGCTGAAATGGTTATATCTGAACTAGTACTAGGCATGGTTTCATCTAAAAACTAAAACTAAATGGTAAAGATATTATCACAACTATAACTCTTCTATGATAGTTGACAGGAGGATATCACTAATTGGAATAAGAAATGAAGTGATGATTTCTTACCCAAAGGTGGTCCATGAGTGACCAGAATATCAATATCTTTTGGTATTTTTTGCCAGATTTCATTGATATCGTCACCACGACGTTTAAGGAATGCCCAGTCACAAAATACTGGTGTCCTAAAGGACATTAAATATGCGTGATTATCCTTGTGTGACAATCATAACAACCTTTGAACAACCTTTGACTCTCGGTAGTCACCAAAATATGTAACCTTACCAAGGTGAGCCATAAATACGCAATCCTTGTATCTCAACTTCTGAATCTTGTAAATATATGCAGTTTGTCAACGCTGCTTTTACTTTTGTCTCAGGGACAAATTTAAGATGATGTAGTCTCTTTGCAGTCTGTTCGTGAAATCCTATATCGTGGTTGCCAGCGATCACTACTTTGTATGGATATTTCAGAGAGCCTAAGAACTCGTTAAAACTTTCCACTTCACGAATTTCTCCTCTTCTTGTAAAGTCTCCTGCATGAATAAGGATGTCACCTTGAGGTAAATTCTCTAAGACACCCTCCCTCATACCGTGTGTATCTGAGACACACACAACCCTTATATGTCCATTTGCTTTAGATTTGCTTTCAGAGTCGAGTACTTTGCCGTCTTTGAACACTTGTGATATCTGGGCAATGCTCCATGCTTTCTCCGGTGAATCTGCAAAATCCAAATATGAGGTTTTAGATTTATTTCTTCCAAATAATGGCATCATTCACGGTATTTTTTTAATAAAATGTTATAGATATGAATCGCTTTCAAAGGCAAAGCTATATCACTTGTAATTATAATTTCGTTCGTCACTTGAGGCTGGTCGTGTACGTAGTAATAATGCTTCAACTTTCCGAAATATAAAATTCACGCTAGCTATATTGTTTACATCAATATAACAAAGCCAGTGTCTCGAATGTAAACAATCTCGTTCTATTCCGGTCGTACCCAGGGTCTTTCTCCTTCTCGTTTATGCCAAGATTCATGCCTCTGCGCATGCGTGCAGTTGCGCTAATATTTTATTTTTATTATGGATATGATGTCAGAACGAATTCCTCAGGAAAGCTCTGTGATTTGAGTGATTTGATGATAAATTATATCTTGAAATGAATACTATAATGCTTGGCTAAATTCAAACTTACACGGAGGGTGGCGTACGTTTGCTTTCTTGCATGAATTTCTTATCATTCCTTTTCACCTTACCTGCTTTAGATCATGTTTAGATCATCTACTGATATATTTGTTAAATCCTGAAAAAAAAAGGAAAAAGCTTGTAAAAAGTTTCATCAACAAAGCCAAGTTCATTAAGCCTTGTGTCATAAATTCTTGAGGTTTTTCTCTTTCGTGATAGTTGTTCTGTTTCTCCTTACCAATCTTCATATTGTCTGGTATTTCAAGAAGAGGCCATCAGGATCCTTACGTAAAATCCTGCGATTATCAATATTCTACCCTCGCGCGCAATCTGTTCCATGCAGATCTGGTTAAACAAGCTTCTCTGTATTCTCCTCCTTATCCTTGGTTACAACGCAGTCTGTAATCTCTCTGAAGTGTATTTATATTTATCGTTGTAAGGAAATACGGTCTTGAATTTCATCATTTGAGCCTTAATTAATTGGCTTTAATCGAAGCAAATGTCAAGCATTAACGGAAGTCCTGTGGGTGTTAACGGCGTGAAGGTCTTTGAGATAAGATGAAATTAATTTTTCAAAACCATGAAACGACGCCGGGAAACATGGATGTCTTTGCTTAGAATCTTCAAGAATTTAGTAGCAATTGTTTGAACAATTAAATGATATGCTTTCTACCCGACATATTGTGGAATTCTTTGGTAAAATGAAGGATGAATATATGCATGGAGATATATCCTATAGTCATTTAAGTGATATATGCCTGGGCCGCATGTAGTGTTGTTGGCTATACCGCATGACTTGTATAACTGAGAGGTTGGACATGATGGATTTTTTTTCGGTAAAGGCTGCACCTATCCTATTATGCAAACACGTATGGCATTTTAAGTTGATCCACAACAACGTCAATGTTTCTACAAAGTCGAGTATAATAAGTGGTCTGGAATATTACTTAAAAGTTTCCTCATGCAACTGTCATAACACTTGCTTTCAATGGAGGTTTAGCGAGTATTCATCTTTATCAAAACTTAACCATGATATCTACGTAAACATGCAGGCACACCGCACTAACCCGTAAAACTCTACCTAGCACTCTATAGATTATAAGCAGGTTCTTTGAGAGTATTAATAGGTTCTATCTCATGGACATTATAATCGGATTGTTTATTCCATCTTTCTCAAAACCTTCTAACACATCCTCGTCTTACATGCAGGTACAAATTCTCCAGCAATGTGTAGTTGTTCAGAATCAATATTTTCCAGTGTCGTTTTTCATTTTAACTTCCTGACTGCTTTTGAATGAGAGTTTAAAATGGCACATATTTTGAACGCGTGCCAAAGATCTTTAAAAAACACCCTATATTCTGCATGAGTGCATGGATGGCAAATTCACGAGATATTTTGAGGCTTTCTTTTGCTCTTTTAACCTAAATATATTCACGGCTAACGTTGCCTAAGGTAATTTGCAGTTGGCTTTCTTATACTTTCAACTATATTCATCAAACGTTACATGTGTTGGTAATTTATATTTTATAACAATTTTGAAACAATTATTTAAGTAATGATTGAATATTGCTTCTGGCGCCGTTCATTGTTTTACCGACTGTTACAGTCTAAGTCTTAGATCCTTTTCCGGAACCTAAAATATATATAAACGTGCTCGACCACAAACGTCTTTACCACATAATTTTTTTTAAGACATTTTGATACTTGTGATTGGTAGAGCGTACAGAACACTCGCCCTGTTGTCACCTTCCCTTGAACAATGTGAACGTACATATTGTAGCAATATCTCAAGCATGTAAAACCGCAAATTTTTATGCGGCAAGACAAACATAAACAACCTTTGATATATGAGCACATTTTCTGCGCGTGTTTATCGTTTAACACCTTGATATTATATAAGTACTGTCAAATTTGATTTAATTAGCGTCTAGTGGATGATGGTATCAGCTTTCGTTATCGCTACTAAAATGAATATTACTGGCTCGGCTGTCATACAAATATCACAGCACGTTAGATAGTTCGCCTCATGCGCTTGACTGCAAATTGAAGAAGTTGCCGACTCAAAAATGAAGACAGTTTTCGTGGTTTTCATCCTAGGAACATTGATTGCTTTAACTCACAGTTACGGTAAGACCTAAGCTGGAGAAACTTCAATAAAATATTGAATAAAATATCTTAATATTATCATAAAACATTTCAAGCTACAAATGTGTTCGTTTAGTTGCTTTTTTGTTTATTCTGAGCACTTTATGTTTAGTATTTTTGCGATCTTTTCTTAAAAGTCGTTGAGTTAAGGTCAACACGAAATTAATCAATTTCTCAGCATTCATTGCAATCCCACCCTAGACGAACTAATATTTTGTTTATAGAAACGAATCGTAATTATCGATTGTTATTTTGGATGAAAGATATCGTCAATTTGACTAAATACTCTATTAAATTTACATATGACGCGCACGCACGCATGTCTTACAACAACTAGAAAACGAGTAAAACCATCGATGAAGGATTCCTAGTCAAAAGCGCGAATGTGTTTGGTGAAAGAAGTACCACCAGAATGACCTGATTTGAGTGATACCATATGCATCTAGGTTCTTGTCCATTTTTAAACATTTTGTTAAATGTGAGTTCTCTATCACGGCAGATGAGATAAAAACTAACTAGATAAGGTCTTATAGTAGTCAGGTAAACTTATGCTTTGCCTGCTTTGAAGTGGCTCGTTTATTATGGAAAGTGTTGTTTTTTAATTTTTTTAACTTTTGATTTGTTGCCAGTGTAAATGTCAATGGTCTTGACTTATTCCAGTTTCCTATATCACCATATATTAACGTATAGAGCGCTTTAAACCGCGCAATGTTATAATAAGGGTCAATAATTAGGCTGCGCGCATCTCAAATAAGCCAACAATGTGCGCAAATCGTTATTTTAAGCTATTAAACTTTGGTGGGCGTCTACTCCTGTAATCATATTCATACGATTGTCATTTGCTCGTACATTAAAAGTGTCGATTACAATCTTTAATCGCAGATTTCACTTCAAGTGTCCAGTTAATTACCTCAGTTCAGAGATATTTTTAGTAATATGTATATTGCTCTGTCTGCTGCCCAACACGAACGAAAAAACGCGATTATTTTTGACCATATAAAACGCGAAATAGCTTATTAGGAATTCTTATTTGTTTGGATTTTATCCTTTGATAGCTTTCATCGGGTTTGTGTCGATCAATTGCGTCGCTTCGTATTGTGTTCTGTTGGGGGTGATGTACCGCAGTAAAAATACCATGAACATGTTTTTGTAAGAGCACGAGTGATGATTGTTAGGGTTTTAATCATTGGAATATATCATGTAGATGTTGAAAGAACCATGAACCTTTTACAAAGAAACATTCTTCTTTTGTGACAGTTTGTGTTTTTATCCACAAAGCGCGCTTTTGTTTAGTTATCATTTTGAGGGAAAGTAGCCGAGCGTTCATGATTTTCATGAGCAAGAAAGTGTTGAGTACAAATCTCTTTGAGTTGTCTGGATTAACAGGCGTGTATAATAAGGTTACGCAGGAGTTTAACCTTGCCAAGTCCTTGAAAATTGATTAGGAGTTAGTCTATATAGACACATAGATCACTCGCGATCCAAGTTTCTATTTCAATAAGATGTTGAATATCCAACGCGCTAATTCGCATGTAACATAACTGATATTTGCGTATTTATTAACTAAGGTACGTTGATAAAAATCTTCATTTAAAGCTTACAAATCGTGTTAATCGGATCCGTACAGAAAATTGACCTTGAGACAGCATGCTGGGTCTCGAATTCCGTAAGTGTCACGATGGCATATTCCATATTTGCGCAGCATCACTGGTGCGCTTCCTGCGCAAATACAGCGAGAAATATTGAATAATCTGCGTGAAGTCCACTTCACGTTTTGCGTTAAAAGATTTTGTTTTGAACGGCAGTAGAATTGCATAGGCTAAAAATATGATAAAACGATTTTGAATGAAATATTTGGATCGATAAGAGATGATCTTTACTGGGAGCTGGTAGAACTGTAGTAAAACTGGTAGAGCGATTTGAATCTTTCTTTGCATGAATACAGTGAATCAATATGTGTATAAAATGAAGTTGTCAGTTGAATGTAACTCCCTCTTGTTGATACATCTTCCCTGCTTATATCCACGAACAGATCGTCAAAAAGAGAGTTGGGCTTGTGAGGGAGATACTTTAAATCTGGACTGTCGTATCAATGCTCGGATACAAATGCTCACTGCCAACTTTGGTCGAACAAACAAAAAAAGGTGTGGATGGAAGAATGATACATCAAATATTAATTGCATTTCCACGAAAGCCAAGAATATAATTTATAGAAAATGTGATGGTAGGAATTTTTGTTCGGTGAAAGCAAGTTCGGCGAATCTTGGTGGAGATCCCTGCCCAGGTGTCTTTAAATATATTGATGTGATTTTTAAATGCGGTGAGTGAAACGTCTTTCCAAAAACGATGGCAATGATTTACTGTTGCTTAGCTTGGAAAAAAGTCGACCTTGTATTTACTTTCCATGACCTGGATCTGGTCTAATGAATCCATTTTCAGATAGAAAGAAAAGCGAAGATTGATATGCTATTTGGGTTTTTCTCTTGTAGTAAATCCAACTCGTAAAACAACAACTACAACACCACCAAAGACCACAGATAATTTTACTACAGCAGCTTCTTCTGCTGCAAAAACATCGAAAATGCAGCCAACCACACTTTTAACGGATATTTCAACTGGGGCAAAGATATTTCGTGGTACCATGAACTTGTCAAATGACACAAATTCTAAAGCAAGTAGTAAACGTGCTAATCATGGATTCTTTCGTTCTGTGCTGGTTTTGTTAATCATTCTGAAAGGCAAGATTATATAAACCTGATTTGAATTTCAACTAAAAACTTTGATTTCATAAATATCTTTAGTTCGACATTCACCGACGGTGGTATGTTCGTACAGATCTTAATAGTCTATGTTAGTGTAGTCTTAAGAGGAACTGTTGGTAGTTTTTGATGACTTTTTGACCCTCAGCGGGGTAGTCTTCTTCAAGAACTAGACTAACTAGACTAGGAGGTCGAGACTTCAGTCAACACCACCTAGAATTCTTTGCAAGGCTACACTAACCTGGACGATTAACAACTGCAAACATACTACAATACTCCCGGGTTCATAAGTCGTTCTTCTCATAGACGTGGTGTTTGTATTTCCTGTTGTAGACAAGCCCAAACATTCAATGCTAAGTGTACAGACTGGTGTAGCAGCAGGTGCAGTGATTGCACTGTTTACTATCCTTGTTTGTGTTTGTGTCGACAAGAGAAGGCAAAGAAACGAATCTGGTACTTTTAAAGAAGCCAAACAAGGCCAAGCTTTTGAGCTCGAAAAAAGCCAACTTATAGGAAGAAAAAGCAATTCAGACTCGGCCAAGACAGATGATCAAGTTGACTCCGCCTTTTGTGACGAGGAGTTAGACCGGCAAGTCTCGAATGATTATGAAACCGCTTCAGATCTTGCATATTTAGATGCATATCTTGATGAATATAACAAAAACCATAGTCTACCAAGACCTCCGATGGCCGAGAATGGTCGCCGCGATAGTGGACCTCAGCGCATGTCTCGTAGAGCCCACAATGATGGCAGTAAAGGGAGAAGTTATGATTATAACTCGAATAATGACAAACGTTTCATAACCTTTTCATAAACTATCATACATCTCAAAAAAACTAAAACACCTACCTGCACACTTGTCCTCTCCCCAGTTCCCTCCCTAGCGACACTGACGTGCTCATGAATGTATTATACAAAATATCGGGCAGGTGTTTCGCAAGATGCTTTAAGTGCTGAGTGCCCTACATTTGAATAATACCTTTTTTATGATAAATATATCGCTTCATGCTCTTTAGGAATAAATAGATTTTGTATATTGCTACTACGTCCCAATTACTAAGAAATAAAGTGTTAATATTTAGGTTAAAGAAAAATGACATCTCCGAGTGTTATTCATTGTGAGTGCATAAGTAGAAAGCAATCTTCTTTCCACCCACCCCCCTGCGATAGATGTTTGACGTAGATACATATTTATGTATAAAAAGCTGATAAAACTATCATGGGTAAATAATACATATATGGTGAGACAAAAGGATTATACAGATGCGATGTTGGGGAAGAGATGCCGTCTCTTATCTCAACAAAAACAGCAGCTGCAGTCGCTTCTTGTAATATATTAACTTCTCCTCGTAACCGCAGTTGCAAGACGCGCTAAATTTTGGTAAAAATGGAAAGTCACAAGGATCAATCAGACATCGCGGAAGAACCTATAGGTGTGCATGAACGAGAAACAACTCCGGCCGTCCTGCCAAAGAAGTTATTTCCTGAACAAGTGGAGTTGAACGTTGGCGGGAAATTATACAACACAACAGTTACAACTCTGACAAGACTTCCCAACAATTTGATCGAGAAGATGTTCACAGGACAGACTCCTATCGAAAAAGACGCGAGTGGGAGATATTTCATCGACAGAGACGGTGAAATCTTTGCACATGTTTTGGATTTTCTTCGTACAAAGAGCCTTACACTTCAAGATGATTTCAATGATATGGAAGCATTGATGCAAGAAGCTGAGTATTATCAGATAAACGACCTAAGACGTTTGATTCAGAGTCACGCTGCCACTACAAGAAGACTTAAAATATGGAAAGCAACAAGCGGACATATCTCGCTTCACGTGAAAGCAAGTTTTTCTACAAAGATCGGACGCAATGCCCAACAAGGAGATCATCCGTTTAGAAAAATACAAAGGATCTTTGTTTGTGGGAAGGTGTCTCTTTGTCAAGAAGTGTTTGAGGCAGACCTCAACGAAACCCGCGAGTCTCTTCAGAGCACGTCAAGATACACAAGTCGATTTTTTCTTCGGCATAATCAGCTGGAGAAAGCATTTGATCAGTTGAGAGATCATGGATTTCGTTTGATCAATGGCGACGGAGATGGAGTTCCTTCCCTTTGTTCGAAGAAAAATACTCGTTGGGACGAAGACTGGAGTCATTTTACTATTTTGGTTTTCTTTCGATGAGAGATTCCAGCTCAGAATAATATGCTCAATGAATCTCTGTACATTTAGGATTGAAATTATAGCGTTTCGATAGTTTTAGAACTGACTAAAACCATTCTGTACTTCGCTTGATAACCAGTCTCTGATAGTTCTATGATTTAGATAGTTTTATGATAGTTTCCGGTAGAGAAACCAGTCAAGCATAATTTTAAACAATCGTTTTAATATGAGCAAGAAGTTGGTGATTTTAAGAAGATAAATCGCATTAGGATCTGTATATATACTTAGTGCATTTGTAGCAAACAGCATGCAAGATAGCCTCGATCAGTGTCGATTATTAAATTTCCAATGTTTTAAACTAATGTCAGAAAAGCGATTATTCTGCCTGGGTAAATAAGAATTTTGTTGTCTTCAAACGAATCTAACTTGTTCATATTTACATTTAACAATCGTATATGATATGATATGCGACATGTGTTATTGATGAAAGGCGTTAGCATAAAAACTCTAATTTCACTATGTTTTTTTATTCGATTTATAACGTTGTATATCTCTGTAGGACGATAGGACGGGTAATTCATTATCTATGTTTATGAAAGACAACGATATAACTCTAGTTTTTGCAGTAGAAATAACTTGAGATTCATAACACATCGAGTAGCGACTAAATATTAATTTATTTTATAATTTTTGTCATGAATAAATAATGATTTGGTGTTAATTTGATAAATGCACAATATAGTTTCATATTCTTCAGAAAACTATATATTTAAAGGCAATATTGTAACCAGGGAATCTTTAAAAGTAGTACATTTAAGTTGAAGTACTATATGCACGACTTTGCACGACTAACAAACAAAACTAGCGATAAAATTGGCGGGAATAGTTCGACCAATAGATATTCAGCAAACTGGGCTGTGTAGGTTTACAAGTAACTGGATTGATCTTGATGTTGAACTATCAACTGTTCCGTCCATCAGCATAAAACATATGGCGCGGTATGTTGGACAAATCGATGTTTTGCGCTTGAAACGATCAGGCATCCATTTAATATAATGACGCTGCACGTTTAATATGATTATATAGCACCTTTAAATTGAAATACATTCATCGCAAAAGCGATGCGACTTTGATTTTACGCCAGGCGAATTTTTCCCGCGAATTCTCTTTTGATTGACAACGTGATTGGTTGGTGAAAAACAGTCTCGGCGCTCGCCTATAGCTATGGCTTCCCCAAATCCAAAAGATATGCTGAAAGATTGTGCGAACAATATCTTAAAATGTATCGAAGGTAAGCGCAATTTGGTATTTTTTTTATTTTTCTTTATTGATCATCAACAGATATATTGGTATTGGCTGAATTATAACATCGAATCATATTTACTACGGCATAGGAAATTGCCAAATTCGTTTTGATGCTTTTCTTCAAGTATCTTTTATAATTTAGGTTTATAAAATGGCAATGTTAACAACGAACCAAGAAACACAGGTAAGAATGATAAAAATACGTCTTAAGAATTAAATATGTCACTGCAAAATGTTTTTCACTGAAATATATGTAATATTATACTCCCGCTTTACTGCTTTAGGTTTTTTGCTTTTCCTAAATAAATATAACTGTTGACACAACCATGCACCACACAACTATTATATAACTTTTGACACAACATTGTACTATATGCCTTACCTAAAATACCCCTAAAAATATTTTTGTTTTTCTTTTATAGAAAATCATACAAATACTAGTGCAAAAACTAGAGCAAACACCATAAATTTGGGAAATGGGACTTGTGAAAGTGGTTGGTATTAATTCTTTATTGATATAACAGCAAATGTCAAGATTCTGATTCAAATTACAGCAACTTTATTTACAGAGGGTGAAACACATAACAGTATCAATTGATAAACCTGTGGCCCTCAAAAGGTTCCTCTTCTGTCCTTCCGTCAGCATATGGACATTTGTCCAGGAGGGTCCAGCAGACTGAACAAAGACTACGGAAGTAGTTTGATGAGTGTTGGTCTAAATACTGAATCAAGTAACTATGGTGAAGAAATTAACATCAATCTCTTCAAAGTATTGCAAGTCTTTAAAAGTGTCACTGTTTAGCTGGGCAGTAATTGAAGCTCCAGCTACAAATATGTGTGCGATGCATTCTGGATTTACTTTGGCTAGCTCTAAGAGTGGTATCAAGCCAGTTGCAAATTGGTCAATAGCACTTTTTCTTTTCTGCCTCCAATTTGTTGGTTACATTGAGCACTTTCGTGTAGCCAGCATCAACAAGCAAATTTTGCACATCAGAATAGACTGTCTCAATGTTATCATCTGAGGAAGCATCAATCTGCAAATAAAAAAATATCAGTGCCCAAAAAAGTTACAAGGACACACACAAGAGCAAAAACAATGAGGCAAAGTTCTGATGGAGGAATATACAAGGTGAGGGATTATTAAAGCTGATATGTAAATATCATTGAATAGTAAACCCAATGACATTGATAGTTTTAGTCAAAAAATAAACTATGACCTTTTCTATTGCTTGCAGGATGTTCCAGTCTACAACATCATCTTTTGTTATTTCAGTTAATACATTTTCAATTTCTCCATTTGAATCAGTAAGATATTTATAGAGCATGTTAGAAAGATATGGAAAGCCAGGACCACCACTGATAACACTTGTTGTTATCATTCTTCCAGCAACCTTAAACATTCCTGCTCGGATTGCATCCATGTTGTGCATAGGAAGGACAAATGAATGGCAACCTTCAAACAGTCAAACAGGAGAGGAAGGAGAAAGAAGGGCGTGGAGGAGAAGTGTAAAATATTCTCTTTTGGGTCCACCTCCATCAACTGCTGGTTCTCCTTCAAATACAACTCTAACAGGGCTTTCAAAGTCAAATTCCCATTTCTTGAAGAATCTTATGCTGTGAATGAGAAGATGATCTCTGCTGGGAAGAAGTTCCTCTTCTCTCCTTCCGTCAGCATATGGACATTTGTCCAGGAGGGTCCAGAGACCCAACAAAGACTACGGAAGTAGTTTGATGAGTGTTGGTTTAAATACTGAATCAAGTAACTATGGTGAAGAAATTAACATCAATCTCTTCAAAGTATAGCAAGTCTTTAAAAGTGTCTACTGTTTAGCTGGGCAGTAATTGAAGCTCGGGCTACAAATATGTGTGCGATGCATTCTGGATTTACTTTGGCTAGCTCTAAGAGTGGTATCAAGCCAGTTGCAAATTGGTCAATAGCACCTTTTCTTTTCTTTTCTGCCTCCAATTTGTTGGTTACATTGAGCACTTTCGTGTAGCCATGCAGCATCAACAAGCAAATTTTGCACATCAGAATAGACTGTTAGCTGGGCAGTAATTGAAGCTCCAGCTACAAATATGTGTGCAATGCATTCTGGATTTACTTTGGCTAGCTCTAAGAGTGGTATCAAGCCAGTTGCAAATTGGTCAATAGCACCTTTTCTTTTCTTTTCTGCCTTCAATTTGTTGGTTACATTGAGCACTTTAGTTAATGGATTTACTTTGGCTAGCTCAGTTGCAAATCAATTGGTCAATAGCACCTTTTCTTTTCTTTTCTGCCTCCAATTTGTTGGTTACATTGAGCACTTTCGTGTAGCCAGCATCTTTTCTGCCTCCAATTTGTTGGTTACATTGAGCACTTTCATGTAGCCAGCATCTTTTCTGCCTCCAATTTGTTGGTTACATTGAGCACTTTTGTGTAGCCAGCATCTTTTCTGCCTCCAATTTGTTGGTTACATTGAGCACTTTCATGTAGCCAGCATCTTTTCTGCCTCCAATTTGTTGGTTACATTGAGCACTTTGTGTAGCCAGCATCTTTTCTGCCTCCAATTTGTTGGTTACATTGAGCACTTTCATGTAGCCAGCATCTTTTTTGCGTTCAATTTGTTGGTTACTTACATTGAGCATTTTTGTGTAGCCAGCATCTTTTCTCACTTTCTTTCCTTTCTTTTGCCTGCCTGCAATTTGTTGGTTACATTGACACTTTTGTGTAGCCACCATCTTTTCTACCTCCAATTTGTTGGTTACATTGAGCACTTTGTGTAGCCAGGATCTTTTCTGCCTCCAATTTGTTGGTTACATTGAGCACTTTCGTGTAGCCACCATCTTTTCTGCCTCCAATTTGTTGGTTACATTGAGCACTTTCGTGTAGCCAGCATCAACAAGCAATATTATGGAAAGATATGGAAAGCCAGGACCACCACTGATAACACTTGTTGTTATCATCCTTCCTGCAACCTTAAACATTCCTGCTCGGATTGCATCCATGCTAGTTAATACATTGTCAATTTCTCCATTTGAAGCAGTAAGATATTGGAATACGTTAGAAAGATATGGAAAGCCAGGACCACCATTGATAACACTTGTTGTGATCATTCTTCCTGCAACCTTAAACATTCCTGCTCGGATTGCATCCATGTTGTGCATAGGAAGGACAAATGAATGGCAACCTTCAAACAGTCGAACAGGGGAGAAAGGAGAAAGAAGGGCGTGGAGGAGAAGTGTAAAATATTCTCTTTTGGGTCCACCTCCATCAACTGCTGGTTCTCTTTCAAATACAACTCTAACAGGGCTTTCGAAGTCAAATTCCCGTTTCTTGAAAAGAATCTTATGCTGTCAATGAGAAGATGATCTCTGCTGATGCAAATTCTTTGTGAAGAATTTTTGAAAACAATCATTCCTTCTGCAACAAAAGTTGTAATAGACAATAGTCGGGTGTATACTAACATCAGATAAAAGGTGCTCGTGATCATCTAGTGAACACATATTTTTCAAATTATTGTTTTTGTTTTTGCATTTCGTCTGTCAGACAGCGGGTGTTTTGACCGGTGACCGGGGGGTGTTTCCGGCGTTAATTTGGTACACGTCGAGTTTCTTCGAAGTGAATGGCGAAAGATGGGAAGATAAGTTCAATAAATTGTTAAAACAAATCAGCATATCACGATTATTTGAACAATAATTCCCGAATATGTCGGAAATTCGTCGCCGGAAGTTCCGTGGAAAGACTGAGGGGGGAAAATTGAACAAAGACGACAAGTCCAAAAATGGCGTTCATCCACAAAGTGACAACTCCGGAAAATATAACGCCGTCTGGACTTATTTTAATCATTTTAATAGGCATTTGTTTTGCGGTTTATATCGGGTACCGTTATGCAGGATATATGAAACAACTGCATGAAAATGATATGTGGTTTACTAATATACAGGTATGTTTTTCCACACACATTTTTTTTTATTGGGTGAATGGAGAAAAGAGAAAGTTGACACTCTAGAATATACTGGTTTTTATGTTGATTAAATATGATAAATTGTTCTAATTTGTTCCTTTTACAGCAATTAGAACGAGAGATTTCCTTCCGGACAGAATCTGGGCTATATTTCTCTTACTATAAACAACTGGTATTGGCACCATCTATTTCACAAGGTTCTGAAATGGCTTTTTTCCAATGTAACTTTCGACACAAGTTTCCCTATTGGTTTGAACATGCACTGAGTAAAATATTTTAATTTCTTTATATCCAGGTATTCATGATTTGATGAATGATAACAAAACAGAGCATTTAAGAACAATAAATATCCTGGAAAGATTCAATATTTACCAGGAAGTGATACTTGGTGTTTTGTACAGATTATCCTCATTTAAGGTACATTAATATAAAACTGTTAGACTGACAATTGTACAGTCCCTTGCAATAATTTAATGTAATTTTTATTTGATTTCTAGGATTCAGTGGAATATGTATATTTTTACATCAATACCATATTTGGACTTCACGGAATGTACATGGTATCCTTGTTCATTGCGTCATGGTTATTGAGTGACTCTTGGTTGGCTGGAATTCTTGCAACCTTCTTTTTTATATTCAATAAGTATGGCGCCTCTTCATCACTCAATATGTTTTCATTCATTATTCTTTCACACAGGCATATAACATACTGTACAAGCGTAGGTTTGATTGCTGCTGGAGGACCTATAGTTGACTCATTTTCCTTTCAACTGTTCCTGGCTTGAATTTGAAGTGTGTATAATTCCACTCGAAATTAAGACCCTTTAAAACCTCTAGAATTTACCAACATCGAGTGAAGTGCCAAAAATCATAATTAGTATAACCTTTCAAATATAATATTTTTTTTAAGAACGGACACAACAAGGTTATCATTTACCATTCCTTTAAGAGAAAGCTTTGGTTTTCCATTCTTGTATGCACAGATTGCTGTTGTTACTGCTTACTTCAAACCAAATCTATCTACGGGAAAAGAGGTGCTTGCATGGTTCTTTAAGTTGTAATTCATCCACAATGAGTACCAATCTTCATCATGCTTCAATTTCTTGATTTTGTTTCAGACATTGTGCTTACTTCTCATCTCCATTTTGACATTTTTCTTTACTTTGGTCTGGCAATTTGCTCAGTTTATTTTACTGCTTCAAGCAATGGCATTCTTTGGAGTTTATTCACTTAAATATGTTCCCAGTTACAAGGTCAGTTTCCCACAAATACCTTCTCATATTCTGTTTTTTTGAATTCCAGTCTTGTACAATATAACAATGTTGATTTCTTTAAGGTTCGTAACTTGTTCATCATCATTGTGGGTTCCCTCATGAGCGTCTGTGTTCTTCAGTTTATGAATGACATGATCATAAGATCTTTAGCATTGAGTTTCTCCTTGTCGTCCTTGATAATTATTACTACAAAGGTACAGTACCGGTAGCTTTGTATTGAAGAATGGAAACAGGAACGCAAATTAACGCAGATTAGAACGTTTCCAAAATACAAGAACGTTGATCTTAATTAGAAGGATCTTTAAACAGAAAGAATAGATTAGAAGGCTAGTTAGAATAATTACGAAACACGAGAACGCAAATCAGAATGCCGTCAGGATATAGCAACACAAGCAAGATACGCTTATTTAGCGGAGTAATAGGTTAATTTTAATTTCTTTTACTTTATTGTAGAAAACAAATGCGCCCAGACCAAGTGGAATCCTGAGTAATTTATTCTGGCTTCTTACACATATCATAGCTGTCTTTTTCATCATGTTCCTACTCAATGCATTGTCAAAGGTATCTAAGCTAGGCTTTTAGCTATTCACCATACTTGTCAACTATTTCTTTCAAGAAACGATCGTATCTTTCTTTCAGTTCCTCGTCCAGGCCAGTTCAGACGAGCACATCTTCAAATTCCTGCGCGCTAAATTTGGTCATGCTACTCAAAGGTTAAAATCTTCGACATTTTCCAATTTCTTCATACCAGCAACAAGCAAGTAAAGTAGGTCTTGGTAGAAGTAAACGATTCTTAAACTTTTTAGGGATTTTGATGCAATGTTGTATCTTTGTGAAATGTCATTTCGTATGCTACCATTGGACACCTACTGGCGTCTTACTGAGGGCGTTGTTTTCCCATGTTATGTCCTCGCCGTGTTTCTAGGCCTTGTTTTACTGGGGATTGCAGTCCTTCAAGAATGGAGGTGGGTAATGGTGCAACTGAAGACAACGTAGCATCAAATGTGGTATAACAACTGCCTAAAATAGACAAAACACTTCTCGACGTTTCTACCTGAGGGCCTTCATCAGGAGAGTTAGTATGACAACTATACTAACTCTCCTGACGAAGGCCCTCAGGTCGAAACGTCGAGAAGTGTTTTGTCTATTTTAGGCAGTTGTTATACCACATTTGATGCTAAGTTGTTTGAAGACGCTGCCACGTTGCTCCTTGGTTATATTGAAGACAACGAAGTACATCCATTAAATATTACAACGATATGATTAGGGAGATTTTCAATACAATGAAAAGACTATGAAACATTCCACAAAACACATTTTTATTTGAACTTTCAGTCAAGAGTCAGAAGTGGCAACATCAGACGACATCAGCACAGCATTAAAATCAAAACCTGAACTTGTCTATCATCTTATACAAACAGCGTTTTTCGCCATCATGGCGGTTACAACTTTGAGATTTAAGTTTCTATGGATGCCACATATCTGTGTGGTCGGCGCTGGAATATTTTGTAACCAGTCCTGGTGGAGATTTTTGCTATCCAAACTCCATATGCCTGGGATTAAGGTAAGAAAGTGGTTACTTCAGGTTTCGCTGGATGTTATATAACCTGTGTATTTTATTCAGTTATCACGTTACATGACGTGTAGGTACATATAGTTTGAAATATTATTCATTAAGATCGATTTTTTTCAGGGCAAAGTTTTAGGACACTCTCTTCCGTTCGTTCTTATTGCCTTGGTATTATCGCAGGTAAAGTTTACCATTTTTTACAATGACGTGTTTGAACTGCATGTTCTGTACGCAGTTTATGTGTTAACAATTAAAACATTTATAAATAACAATTCTGCTGTGATAACTATTCTTTAAAGAGACTTCAAGAAGCAAGGAATGAACTGAAAGATTTGAAAGAATTTTATGATCCAGATACAGTGGACCTGATGAAATTTATCAAGTAGGACTAACTAGTGTTTATTCTGTCTAATAAAGATTGAAGATTCTTTTTCTAACAATCTGGTATTTTATTTGCAGTGGTAATACAGCAAAAGACGCATCATTCAGCGGCAGTATGCAGCTTCTGGCTGGAGTAAAGTTGTGTACAGATAGACATATAACAAATCATCCACATTATGAAAATAAATTTTTAAGACTTCGGACAAAGGATGTATGTTCATTTGAATCTAATCTGCATTACATTTCCTTATGATGGGATTATTAATTTCGTTTTTCATTTAGATTTATCAAATCTATGCTCGACGTACTCCGAAAGATGTATATGATATTCTGAAGAAACATGGTACCAATTATATTATTCTAGAGAACAGTATATGTTATTCACGTCTTGATAAAGGATGCAAACTTAAGGATATCCTGGATTACGACAATGGACATGTGATTGAAGACGGAGAGCAGGAGAGAGGTTTGGTACGCAGTCACGTGCCTCGGTTTTGTGACGCCATTAAGAGAGATGATGCGAGGTTTTCTCGATATTTTAAGAAAGTTTTTGAAAATAGAACGTTTTACGTCTACAGATTGGTAGACAAACATAGGTAAAACATTGAATTGAGCTCAACCTCGCAACCGGGGAAAAGAAAACTTCCAATGATAATTATCCTGCATGGTATTCATACAGACCAAGATTTTAAATTAATCTATTCATTCTTATATTTATTACTCAGTTGTAGGCCTGAACTGTCGTTTTGCAAGCCTATTTGATTAAAGTTGTATATCTCAGAGCCTAATATTGTATGTAATTATGAGTTAATTACGTTCTAATTAACATATTTTATTAATTAATATTGATGACTTTTGCTGACCAGTACATGTTATGATACGTGGGCTCGTTGAACTTTGAACCCTCGTGGATTCGTTGCTACAACATTTGTTTGTTTTCCCGAAATTTCTTCGTCTAGAATATTTTTTTCCTAAAGAAAAGGTCCCGATGAAGTTTGTTTTGTGAAATATCAAGTGTATAAAGTGTTACGGGTAAGATATGGGTTAAAATGACTTCTTATTCACTAACGGAGCACCTAAATATGTATGTTATTTTTGTGACGTGTCAATTGTAAACAAAGTACATTTGTAACATATTACGTAGTATTATAAAATACTACAATACCAACCCTAAATAATTTCTTTCAACTATTAAATATTGCAGTTTGTATTTTAATATTAATTCGTATTAAACACCACATTCATAGAAGTCGAATTTTACTCTTTGTTTCTATTTTCTAAGAATGAATCGTGGCATTTGTCACGTTTCCCTTGATGATATTGCGATTAGAATTTAGGTCTAGAAAATCCATCATCTTGTACGTTTTATAATGATGACATTGCTTCGACTAAATAGCAATTTATGATGTAAATATGAATATTTTCTTTAAACTCTAGAGGAGAGCAGTCGCAAGGTTTTCAGTTAATTTCAATGGGTCAAAATGGGCCATGCTAATTCCATCCAAGGACAGCATGATGTTAGACATGGGACTAGACCAGATGCAAGTTTTGACTTTGAAGCAGATGCGAATATTGTTCAGAGTCAAAATGATGTAAACACCAAGCCTGACGCTACTACGTCAAATGTCATAGGTGAGTGTTTTGAATAAACAGATCTTGTGGATAGTTCATCCACGGTGACCTTTAAGATATTTTGCAGTACCTGTGATGCGTATTTGTTTTGCCTAATGCCAGAGTGTTTAACTTAAGTTTTCAAAATATATATTTCTTAAAAGCTGCAGCACTCAATAATGACATTTCTGATGCCTTATCCACGGAAGATACAATTGTTCCTGAAATATGCAACCTTGATGAATGTAACAGTGACTTAGGGATGGAATCAGATGAGGCTGATGATTTGTGGACAAAGACAGTCCCTACTCTGTTTCGTTGGGACCATGATGGCAAGAAAGTATTTTTAAGTGGAAGTTTTTCTGACTGGAATGCCAGAATCCCAATGAATTCCAGGTAAATTTTGGACTACATTGATTATTTATTATATATTTAGTTTGTGCCCAAGTATTGTGACCATGCATTTGTTTTTAAATTTTGCTAGCAATGGAGAATTTGAAACAATTATTGAATTGCCTGAAGGTGAACACCAGTTTAAGTATTTTGTTGATGGAAAATGGGTTCATGATCCAAATCTGGTAAGTCAATGAATTCAAAAGCTATCATATCTTATGACAGTGTTACTTTATTTTTTCTTTCTGTTTTTTAGCCTACGGTGAATGACACGTTTGGTGGTAGAAACAATGTACTTTATATAAAAAAGTCTGATTTTGAAGTCATGTCTGCATTAAACTCTGATGACAAGCAATTAATAGATCAAAATCTCAGTCCTACGTCAACGAAAGGCTCATATGGTCAATTCATTCCTTCCCATCACAACCCCATGGTTATTAATAATAAAAGTATTCATTCGACTGTTCCTCCTGCTTTGCCACCTCACCTACTCAATGTCAACTTAAACAAACGAGTACCGAACCCTAATGAGCCATCACTACTTCCTGAACCAAACCACGTCTCAGTTAATCATATGTATGCCTTGTCAATAAAGGTATGATTGCTGTGATTTATTTATTTATTTCTTTATTATCTTTTTTATTCATTTTGAACCAAGTCATTCAAAAATATATTAAAATTTGAAAAAATCTATACTTTTATTTAGGATGGAGTCATGGTTGTTAGTTCTTGCATTCGATACAGAAAGAAGTTTATTACCACACTGCTCTATCGGCCTGTGACAATGCCAAGGAGATGAGTATGAAATGGTGGTGAAAGTGATGAACTTGCACAGTAGCTGACTGAAGAACCATGTTGAACAACAATGGGAAGAATGGGAGGAAACACAGCAATTACACTGTGTTTTAATCCGGGAGCAGCAACATGAAACTTACAAGCAGTTTTTCTGGTAGCAATAGTGAACTGCAAAGATGAAATTGCACCCTCTCTCCCTCCGAGAGGCACTAACTTTAGCACTAGTTTGTGGGAGGTTTGGTTTACACATGTACATAGCTATGCAGCCTTGCCGCACTAACTGCAACATAAATATATGAAGGGCAAACATATTATATAAAACAAGAATATCACAGTATAACTTAATATTCTACCAATTCATACCAAGAACCATTTTGGTTAATTGACACATTGTTTACAGCAGTGACAGGACTTATTTGGTGCACAAAAATATCTGAAGTTTTTTTATTCAATTGGCTTTGCCTATCTGGAGGGGGTAAGTAGCAAGTTACCCAGCATGTTGTTTATATATTGAGCTAGTCAAAGATGCATGCTATTAGCCATGTTGATTGTTTCATGCAAACTTTTCTAGGACATCACCACTGGGTACAGAGGAAGATCAGTCACTGAAACCAAGCTAATTTGCCTCACCTATATAGACAGGTAATTCTACTAATACTTAATTTCTGGACAGCCTCTCAGCTCTGTTCTTATTTTATATGAGTTAATAGTTACTACACAAACTTAAAATAGTTTGAATCATCTAGCTGAGTATTGAATGATTATTATAAACATTTCTTCTCTGATTTTCAACACTGTCTTTCCATTGTGATACTTTGGAATCCAGTCGTGTTAGACGGGATGTTTTGATAAGGCTTTCCTGAAGCTGAATAAAATATATATACATGAGCACTGAAAAATTTGTAGAATTTGAGAGTCAACATATTGTTCAAATTCATGATTTCATCTTGTATTTGATTGAAAGAGTTGATTGAACTTACTGGGTCTGATTGTATGCTTAGGTTTGGGTCTTGTGGTTTCCAAAGTGAGAATATATATAAACCAATCATGTACACGATGAGAATTACCAATACAAGAACTATAAAAATCACTACAACCTGAAATATAGAAAATTATGGACTTGTAGTGATCTTTCACTAGTTAATGAAATAACTGGAATGCATTGCTAGGCATATGTAAAGGGATGAAACAATATTAAATTAGGTTAGTAAATTAGTTAAGGCAGATGATTCTTTATCTAGATGAAATAATTATCTGTATGATAACCCTTACAAAATATTTAATTTTACCTTAATAAGCATTGTATTTCGTGCCTCATATTCACACTTGCATCGAAGACAACTACTGTCTTTCAAATTGATTAAATTTTTACATGTGCTAAAAACATAATGTTATCAACCATCTGAGAAACACTATTAATTCAGTGACAACAAGAATACACAAAGAAACATACCAATTCTCAACTACAACAAATTTGACAACAATGTTATGTTCAAGAACATCCTTTGGGCAAACACATTTGCACCTGACATCGTTATATTGTGCCTATCAATAATAAGATATTTTATAAACAATGGCAAGGGTAGACTGCATAATATAGACACTAGCAAGGAAATTATGAACTGACACCAATAGTAGATCTGTGAATATTAGAAAACTCAATATGAACAAGCAAGACAACAATAGCAAGGCAAGGGGCGAAGTGACAGACCAGGGTGCATTCTGTGTAGCCTATATGCAGATGATCTTCAGTGTGGGGTTACAAAATTGTAATTTCTTTTATATTAAAATTCCATGTAGAACTGGGACATCTTCAGGATGGAATGCCTCATGGGTGGCAGGACCTGGTCAATTTATTGCAGGTTTGTGTATTTTATTACTCAGAAATATCATATTCTGTTATCATATTCTAGTTAAACTGAGAAGAAAAATATTTAATATAGAAATAAATGGGTTTTTAATTTAATATATTTCTATAAAATCATCTAAATTAATTATCTTTTATATAAATACATATTCAGTAGATGCCCACTCTTAGATTAATGTTAGTTGTTTGTTTCATAATTACCTCAGCAACAGTTAAAATACTTAGAAATATTACACAGGATAAGAACATTGATTTTAAAAATACCAAATAGTAAAAACTTTCATTTCCTGGAAACTTTGTAACATTGAGTTTGCTACTTTTCAACTTTTCTCTTTAATTGTTTCCGCCCGCGGGTACTCTAAACAGCGGGGGATTGAGCATACTTCATGTTAGCAAATTGCGCAAAGTAGTATAATTACCCAGTAGGGCGTCTATATATCTTGTCATTCATCGGACGCGTTTACACATCAAGTGATTTTAAAAATTAGTAATAAAATTAAAAATAACTTTTTTAATTAAAAGAATTTCCATAAAATGTCTTTTTCATTACACATGAAAATGAACGGCGAGTCAATAACCCAATAAGTCCTTTTGTTTAGAACCGACGAAAAAACGCCGAAATTGAAAAACCGGAATACACAAATTAAATAGTTTACACAACAAAACATTCTTGATTAAAATACTTATTAGACCACCCTATATATAAGAGCTGGCCGTCGAACCAGCCATTCAATCATTGTTCAGCAGTAAAAATCGCCGTATCCACTGAGCAAGATCTATACCGCCTGGGTTTTTTTCATGGATTATCAACTTTTTAGTACTGCCGTGTTCTTCATAGTATTGCTGGTTCACGATGCTAATGGTACATAAAAACCCAACCTATGTCATATAATTGCTACTTTATATATTCTATTGTCTATCTAGTGTATCAAATTAGGCATTTAGAGAACAAAAATGTTTTAATAGCCTATAGCAGTCTTTAGTGTAAAAAATCTATGCCTGTGATAGTTACAGTTTCAAGAAATTGGTAGTCAAGTTGTGTCCTTATTGATACAAATGTGTTTTTTTAGGCAATTGCAACGTGAAAGTCGAAAAAGTGGGGTGTTTTAACGATGATACTGATAGTCGACTGCTGGATAAGTTGCTTATTTATCGTCGTTCAACCTATGACTACAAAAAACTACATATTTCTCTGCCAAGGTGAATGAGGTTGAACTATTGCCTAGTGTTTAGAAACAGATGAACGTTGTCAGTTTTTTTTTACTTCTTCTTCTTGCTTCTAGATTGATATGTGACTGCGCAAGGAAAGCACGTTTTCAAGGGTTCCGTTACATTGGCATCCAGTTCTTCGCCGAATGCTGGAGCAGCAGTTTGAAAGAACCAGACTATGACAGGGAAGGAAAAAACGAACATGAATGTTATAATGCAACATTTGGAAAGTGCTCTCAAGATGACAGTGCATGTACTGGCAGTGCATCTGTTAATTATATCTATAAAGTTGTCTACCAGGGTAAGATCATAATTGTGGCATCAAAAATGTTTCACCAAGGTGTTTTACAGGGGAGCATACCACCTTGATTTTGCATTAGCAGCTATGTAGTGATCCGATGAAAAAATCAGCTAAAAACATGCAGGGATTCATGACTTCTATTTAGCAGAAAACATTTTATATTAATTATCATGCTGATTTGCTTCAAATGTTATATAGATGAGGTTACACCAGCTAGCACTGAGATGACCACAAAGACACCAAGTACAACTGTCAAACCACCATGCCAGGATAAGTCAAGCAAATGTCCATCTTACCAGTCATTTTGTACCAATAAATACCCAAATATGTTACAACTATGCAGAAAAACATGTCAACAGTGTGTATAATTCTCACCATTGGCATTCAAAGTAATCATCAATAAAATTAAAGCATATCAACTTATTACTTTAGATCTAGCTCGAGGGAGAGAATATAGTTAAATGTAGTTTAAGTATTTTCAAACATCAGAACTATTTCCAATTCATGTTATCACATATATCATGACTTTCACTACATGGCACTTTCTCAAATTAATTTATGAAGTACCTTTAAATCTTCCTTTTCTTCAGACTCATAAATTAATAATTTACAAAGTGTTAGCTTTTACTAAAAGTTTGTTACTTTAAATGAAGCGACTGTCTTTTGACCGGACATGCTTCCTCATCATCATCAGATCCTTCAAGACCAGCTTCAACATTTGGTACACAAATACTTGATTGACAGATTGTTGATATACCAGCAACTAAAGATGGTAACATATGTTGGTTTATGATTGGATTAGGTAGCCCGTATTTAGTTTTGAATTTTAAAAGTTTGGAAAAGGTTGAAAGGGAAATGTTGACAGCTCACCTGAGCAACGAAGAATTGAGAATCTTTCCATTTGCTTCATAAAATTAGAGTTTACATCTGTAGATGTCATCTTTAGTACCTTGCTAGTCCTATATGTATACAGATGTACATCAGTCAAAATACTGGTGTAATGGTATTGGAAATTTTTGTGAGAATGTTGGTCATTCACCTTAGACTTGGTTTATGCTTTGCAAGGTTCATAGCAGCTGGAAAAAAAATATTTATGCTTTCAGGTAGGAAAGGAAAGGGAAGGAATGTATGGGTTTATATTTTAAACCCAATGACATCAGATATCTGGGAGTATGTTCGTAACATACAGAATATCCAAGTCTTCAGTCATAAAATGTATTCAACCTCATGCCATAAATCTACCTGATGACAAGTTTCCTGACTTTTGTGAAACTTGTTTTGATACAATATGTCGGATTTTCTGTTTCAGAAAATAAAAAATGAGATGTCATAATATATATACTAGCTAATAATAAAACAGTATCTTATAAAGATTGCTTCTATACTTACAGGAATTGCATTAAAATTCCTTGAAAATTGCCGGCCAAACATGTCTATAATTTACTTCTTTCTAGAAATTTATTAAAAATACTAAAATCCTAATAGATATTGTGCCTTGTTGCAAATGTTGCACATGTGAATGTTTATAATTATTTTAAACCCCCCTGATATGAAAACAAATCTCTATTAACCCAGGGGGTATTTTTATTGGCTCGCTACCATGTAGCGCTTTCCTCGTGTCAAGATTTGTGCAAAGTACAAATATATTTCTTTTTTTATCTTTTCTTTTTATTCCATGCATTAAACCATGTGGGAAGTTGTGGATCCTTCATCTCGTGCTGTTGAACTAGGCGCAGAAGACGAAGAGGAAGAGAAGTGCGTGTGTCAAAGCAAATCTTCGAAGCCTGTATTACGGCTATCAAATGAGGTTCAAGATTGTGATAAAAAAGTATCGTGTCAGCTGTTGGTTTTAGCATTTGAAAGGATTCCTACATCATTTATACAAGCACATTTTATGAACAGTGATACTCGGATAGTTGGAGTGGTCTCAAGTGGAAAAGAAAGATGTCATGTTAATAACAGTTTGCTGCAGACAGCAAGTTCAGACAAGACTTGTTTCATTCATTCTACAACTGGACCTAACAAAGTTTTATTTTGTCAATGTAAAGTTGACATCCTTCCAGAAGCATGTCATAACTGGGCGAATGAGGTTTGTATTTATTATTGTATTAATCATCCCAAAGTTTCAGAGAATAACCTGGGCACATGCACCATACTAGCACCGGTAGTTATTTTAGAAATGTTTTATCATGAAATACATAATATTAAAACACTACTATTTTCAGGTATTATCAAAAATAAAACCAGAAAAGGTTTTGATTTTGTCATCATTACCTGCATCAGTTTGCTCATTAAATATTGATGTTAATGGTGATCAGATCTTTGCATTGAAAACTGACAGTTGGGAATCAAACATCTGTTGTCAGTTTTTACCATTACCAAATATTGTTTCAAATCTTCCAGCTGCTGGTATGGTATCTTATTTCAGACCTGTTTATTATCCATTATATTACCATATGCATGACCATCATGAGCACTATTCTAATTCACTACAAGACACCATCTTTATCAATTAACATACTTCTTTATTTTTCTCCAGCTTTAAGCTACTGTCAAATATTCAAAATACCTGCATTGGCATATATCGCTGTTACTACAACTGACAGTGTTGCTGACTCAACAGCTATTGAGATCTTCAATACGTTACTCAAACATGAACCTCTGAAAGATCTTCCCAAGGTTAGTCCAATGTTAGTCTTTGCCTAATATTTTTACACAGGGTTCTGTTGAGCATTGCTTGGTAATTTGTCTTGTTGCAAGATTGTACTTTTAATGCAAGCTAGGCAGTTGCTTTGCAAGAAAAAGGTTGTCGTTGTCAAAAGATCAATCTTCTTTCTTTTCTTTCTCAGTGCTCAAAACTTGAAACGGCTGAGTTCTTGAAATCATTGAAGATCACACCTCCACATTTACAAAGCAATATCTATATTTGACTACACAGAATGTGTAGCTTACTCAAAGTATGAAAAAAACGGTGAACTTTCTGAAGATTTGTGAAGAATAAATCTCTTAAAATACTTACTGTAAATTTGCAGATGATAAAAATGAAGAAAGTGTTCAAATGTTGCCTTCTCTTGCTCAAGTTTAGAGATATTAAGAAAAAGGTTAGATATTAGAAAGATATTAGAACCTACATATTATTATTTTCCTAAATTACTTGAGTAAATACAAGACAATAGCATGACACTCAGATAAGGAAGACCTCTATATATTTGATAAACTGAATGGCTCAGATGATAAGTCAAGCTATTGTTGCTATTTGTAAGCACTTAAAGTGATTTCGGAAATGCTGTAGCTTCATGAACAGCTTAATGTAGTTTGCCATCAATTATTTCTTAGTAAACTTTGCTAGCACTAATTTTCTAAGTAAAGTCTTCAAAGCTACGTTCTTCATTTCCAATTCAAGCTTCATCTGTTTTATATCCTTTTCCTTTTGTTTCTCAATCACTTCCATTTGTCTAACTCTCATTCTTAATTTTCTTATCACTGCATCCTTTGTTTCAACTATCCCAAGAGCTTCGTCTTTCTGCCACCTCAGCTGCTCTGTCTCGTTCAAGAAAATTTCCTTGCTCCTTAACTTCTCAACTTTCATGTCATTCCTGTTTTGAGTTTTTAACTCACGAACTTTTCTTCTGAGTTGCGCCTCTCTTGCGATGGACAACTGTTCACCAGAGATAGCATTAGCACAGTCGATACTTTTTTTCGTCACAAGTTCCTTGTAACGCTTGATCTCTGAATCCTTTTTGCGTAAAATTTTTGGTTTGGTTAAAAGAAAAGGAAAGGAATCACTCGCTGGTGTTGGGCGAGGATCCAGTTTTGGGAAGACTACAGAAGAATCATTGTAAACATCAGTCTCCTTGCGATCTGCGTTTTCCATTTCTGTACTGACGAAACTGCTCTCAAAAAACGAGTTCTCCCGATTAGATATGTCTGTTGTTGATGTAGTATTTGTTGTTTCCCTGCTAACAGTTAAGATAATAATTATAATAACTTGTAGGTACACCACGTAAGTATTAAATACTGCAAAGCTTTCGGTCCGTTAACCCGGACCTTCATCAGTGCAATTACTTGAATACACGTTTGCGCGTCACTTAAATATCATGTTAGTCGTGATTAGTTTGCTCGCGCTATTAATTAAACGGTTTCATTTAATTAAGTTCTAACTAATGCGCGCGCCCTAGACAAGTATTTGACTAAGAGACACCGAAAAGAGCACGCCACGTACTATTAAGTGGCTTTCCCTCTTGGACGATAGTTTGATGTTTATAAATTTCAATAGATTCTCTCATTTTACGAGAGACAGCAAACTTATCGTTTGCTAAAATGGTAGCATCGTTCCATTTAATGCGATGATCATAAGTCCATGCATGGTGAGCTACTGCAGACTTATCCAGTTTACCTTTCTCGCAGTTCGTCTTATGTTCTTTAAGACGTATTGAGAGATTTCTACCGGTCTCTCCAATGTAAACCAAACCACATTCACATGGAATGCGGTACACACCAGGTTTCTGTTGTTCATCGACGCCATCCTTGTGTGTGTAAAGAGCGCGAAACAATTTGTTATTGCTAGAATGGTAAACTTGTATTCCAACTTCTTTTAAAATCCTAACGATTTTATATGAAGCTGGGCCAATATATGGTAAACAGACAGAGGATAGATATTCCGTGTCTTGCCTCTGTCTTTGCTGTTCATTCATAGCATGTTCTATGAATTTCTTAGGATAACCATTCATGTGCAGAACATCCTTCAAATGCTTTAACTCTGAGTCAATGCTATTTGAATCACAAATTGTTTTGGCACGGTTGATTAATGTTTTGCATACTGATCTTTTAATGCTAGGATGGTGAAATGAACTATAATTCAGATATCTGTCAGTGTGTGTTGGTTTTCTATAAACTTTATGGCCCAAAGTCCCGTTCTCTTTTACATCAAATAAGATATCTAAGAAAGATATAGAGTTATCTTTCTGTATTTCTAATGTGAATTTAATTGAAGGGTGTATACTATTAATGTGATCTAAAAATTTATTCAAATTTTCTAAACCATGCGACCAACTACTTAATGTGTCATCTACATATCTAAACCAGAAACCAGGTTTTAAACATGCTGTAGCTATAGCTTTCTTTTCAAATTCTTCCATGAATAAATTAGCCATAACTGGTGATAAGGGACTACCCATAGGAGCACCATGAGTTTGCTCGTAGTATTTCTCCCGCCACTGAAAACTAGTTGTATTCAGGCACAATTTCAGTAGTTCATATATACTCTCAGGAGAAAGGCTAGTCCTTTTAGAGAGGGTATCATCTGAAAGCAGCCTGTCTTTCGCAATGTTACACGCCTCATCTACTGGTACATTAGTAAATAAACTAACTACATCGAAACTGACAAGAATTTCATTTTTACCTAATCTAACATCTTGCATATTCGTAACAAATTCTTTAGAATTAACTACATGATGTTCAGTTTGACCAACAACTGGTTTTAAAATTCTAGCAAGATATTTAGCTAAATTATAAGTCGGTGAACCTTGGGATGCAACTATAGGCCTAAGAGGTACACCTGATTTATGTATTTTGGGTAAACCATAAAATTTTGGGCACACACTACATGAAGGTCTCAAATAATCATGAAGGTTTTGAGACAAAATACCTGATTTCCTAAGTTCAGATAGTTTAGAACATACTTTACGTTCAATATTGGCTGTAGGATCACGTTTTAGCTCTTTATATGTTGGAGTTTCAAGAAGAGCATGGATTTTACTTTCGTACTCTGCACGATTTAATAAAACCGTAGCATTACCCTTATCAGCCTTTAAAATATGTATAGACTTATCTGCCCTTAGGTTTTCGGTGTCTATGTCTATATTCGGTGGTTATCTTTTCGGTGTCTCTTAGTCAAATACTTGTCTAGGGCGCGCGCATTAGTTAGAACTTAATTAAATGAAACCGTTTAATTAATAGCGCGAGCAAACTAATCACGACTAACATGATATTTAAGTGACGCGCAAACGTGTATTCAAGTAATTGCACTGATGAAGGTCCGGGTTAACGGACCGAAAGCTTTGCAGTATTTAATACTTACGTGGTGTACCTACAAGTTATTATAATTACTAAAGTCGCCATGCAATCATACAAGAAAATTATTACAGAACTCTATGGAGAGTATTTTCATAAATCATTTAAACGACTTGACCGGCTTTCATAACAACGCTCAAGATTAATCAACAACTTAACCTTCCTGAAAAGGTGTCGAGACAACGAAGTTGTTCCGAAAGGTTTGCGTATGTTTAATTGTTTCCATACTAAGCATGCAGGCAAAATCTTGAAGAAAGCCGAGTTGGCACTGTTACGAGAAAGAATTGCTTGGACGCGTAAACAACTAAGCGGAGTGGATGACAACATCGCTACTCTTACAGAAGAACTTTGGTTAACTTTTGAAGAAGAACATTTTGCTGTTGCAAAAAGAATGATAGATGCTTCTTTTACGCGTACCTTTAATAAAGCTCGCTCAACACAGATCGCCAAATACACAAGATTGACGTCCGAAAGATCAAAAGATAAAAGAAGACAAGAAGATTTGGCTGTTGACACTCTAAGACGCACTGTTGTTAACCAAAGTGCGCGAAAACTTATGCCGGTTGAAGAAGAAGTCTTGGCATTGGGTTTAAATTTCGCTGTTGTACCACACAAGATTCCTAAAGAAGAAATCGTTCAACATCTGGAACCAAAGTTGAATCATCTCAGAGATGATATAGCATCCAACATTCGTGTTAAAGTAACTGAGGTCTTGCGACGTACAACTTTACCCAAGTCTAATCTTTCCAAGGAGCAGAAGGATGCAGTGAGGAACCTAAGGGCAGATAAGTCTATACATATTTTAAAGGCTGATAAGGGTAATGCTACGGTTTTATTAAATCGTGCAGAGTACGAAAGTAAAATCCATGCTCTTCTTGAAACTCCAACATATAAAGAGCTAAAACGTGATCCTACAGCCAATATTGAACGTAAAGTATGTTCTAAACTATCTGAACTTAGGAAATCAGGTATTTTGTCTCAAAACCTTCATGATTATTTGAGACCTTCATGTAGTGTGTGCCCAAAATTTTATGGTTTACCCAAAATACATAAATCAGGTGTACCTCTTAGGCCTATAGTTGCATCCCAAGGTTCACCGACTTATAATTTAGCTAAATATCTTGCTAGAATTTTAAAACCAGTTGTTGGTCAAACTGAACATCATGTAGTTAATTCTAAAGAATTTGTTACGAATATGCAAGATGTTAGATTAGGTAAAAATGAAATTCTTGTCAGTTTCGATGTAGTTAGTTTATTTACTAATGTACCAGTAGATGAGGCGTGTAACATTGCGAAAGACAGGCTGCTTTCAGATGATACCCTCTCTAAAAGGACTAGCCTTTCTCCTGAGAGTATATATGAACTACTGAAATTGTGCCTGAATACAACTAGTTTTCAGTGGCGGGAGAAATACTACGAGCAAACTCATGGTGCTCCTATGGGTAGTCCCTTATCACCAGTTATGGCTAATTTATTCATGGAAGAATTTGAAAAGAAAGCTATAGCTACAGCATGTTTAAAACCTGGTTTCTGGTTTAGATATGTAGATGACACATTAAGTAGTTGGTCGCATGGTTTAGAAAATTTGAATAAATTTTTAGATCACATTAATAGTATACACCCTTCAATTAAATTCACATTAGAAATACAGAAAGATAACTCTATATCTTTCTTAGATATCTTATTTGATGTAAAAGAGAACGGGACTTTGGGCCATAAAGTTTATAGAAAACCAACACACACTGACAGATATCTGAATTATAGTTCATTTCACCATCCTAGCATTAAAAGATCAGTATGCAAAACATTAATCAACCGTGCCAAAACAATTTGTGATTCAAATAGCATTGACTCAGAGTTAAAGCATTTGAAGGATGTTCTGCACATGAATGGTTATCCTAAGAAATTCATAGAACATGCTATGAATGAACAGCAAAGACAGAGGCAAGACACGGAATATCTATCCTCTGTCTGTTTACCATATATTGGCCCAGCTTCATATAAAATCGTTAGGATTTTAAAAGAAGTTGGAATACAAGTTTACCATTCTAGCAATAACAAATTTTTCGCGCTCTTTACACACACAAGGATGGCGTCGATGAACAACAGAAACCTGGTGTGTACCGCATTCCATGTGAATGTGGTTTGGTTTACATTGGAGAGACCGGTAGAAATCTCTCAATACGTCTTAAAGAACATAAGACGAACTGCGAGAAAGGTAAACTGGATAAGTCTGCAGTAGCTCACCATGCATGGACTTATGATCATCGCATTAAATGGAACGATGCTACCATTTTAGCAAACGATAAGTTTGCTGTCTCTCGTAAAATGAGAGAATCTATTGAAATTTATAAACATCAAACTATCGTCCAAGAGGGAAAGCCACTTAATAGTACGTGGCGTGCTCTTTTCGGTGTCTCTTAGTCAAATACTTGTCTAGGGCGCGCGCATTAGTTAGAACTTAATTAAATGAAACCGTTTAATTAATAGCGCGAGCAAACTAATCACGACTAACATGATATTTAAGTGACGCGCAAACGTGTATTCAAGTAATTGCACTGATGAAGGTCCGGGTTAACGGACCGAAAGCTTTGCAGTATTTAATACTTACGTGGTGTACCTACAAGTTATTATAATTACTAAAGTCGCCATGCAATCATACAAGAAAATTAGTTAAGATAATGTTTGATGCCGGAGAATCGTTCATCGTCTTCAAAAGTTAATCAACAACTTTCCATTTCCTTAAAAAATTTGTTTTCGTTGAAGGAAAAAGAATTGAGAAAGAATTCTGAATAATTTTCTTTACAAAGAGTTGAGAAAACATTTGTCTCCACTTTATATTTTCATGGTTGCAAAGTGTTTGAGCTTAGCAAAAGCTTATACTTATTTGTTTGTAAATCTGTTGTTTGAAGAGTTGGTGTAAAAAGGATTAATTTTTAAGTTGTAACTGTTTATAACGGATTAGGAGAGTATTACCGTGAATTGCGCCATATGTAAATCACCATCTTTGTATGCGGAATAGCACTGAAAATAAAATAGGATGATGTTTTCTCATAAATATAGGGTGGGCAAGGAGTGATCTTGTATGGGGTGGTAAATAATTTACAATAGACTGACTCCGATTGGCTGAAAAAAATTGGTATTCACTCTGGTATTCATTAAATTACCAGACACCTTCAACCTGGCCTCAGGGATTAAATGGAAAGAAAATATGAGTGGTATCTATAATCTCTGCCATTATGAGAGAAACCCCAGGGGGAAAAAGGGAGACCGTCTCTTGTGGATCGCGCTAGTTTCGCGCAGGCGCATACAGTAGCTAAACACCTTTCTCTTGCTCAGCCAATCAAAATGCGGAGTAATCTGTCGGCTTTGTTGCCATGACGACAAAGTTTGATCACGACTCAAGACGTTTGTGGACAAAACAATTATATTTTGAGCCGTGTTTTTCTTAAAATATTTTAATAAATATATTATACTGTCATGTATTTGATTGTCAAGGCTTGAAGCTTTACAAATATGGCTAGTCAAGGCGAGAAAACTGCGGGAAAAGACGAAGGGGACGTAAAGTCAACGCCGTCAAATCTCGAGGTCGCTCCACCATTGGTTTCTTCTACGAAAGGTATATAAAAGGCTTTTGCAAAATAATTTGACGGTTTTGTTTTCTTCATATTTTATTGGGATGTATTCCTATCCAAGGATTAGTATAGCGGGGAAAGCAAGAGCCAAAAACTCTTCCTTTGAACATAACTTCATGTGAAGTATAGTCGACTGCTCATATATCTTTTTGACAATCCAGATTTGGGACAGTTGCTGTTTGTGTTTATACATAAATTTTCAAAACAAATCTCATTGGTAGTAAATTTATTGTTGTATTTCATCCAAATTTTGTTTTCTTTTGTATGCAAAAGCTGAAGAAACTGGAAAACATAGGAAGAGAAGAGGACAGTTGATGCAAAAAGACTCCAGACCAATACAGCCTTCAGGTCCTGTTCAACCTGTAAGTTTTTGTACAAAATAAGAATTGTTTTAGATTAGGGTCTGCTAATAAAATATGATGCAGAGTTGGGGGTGCTCTTTGACAGAGTCATCTACAATATATATAGAGATTTGTATGATATATTTAATTAGATTTCAGAGTTAACCTGCTAGCTAATTGGAAGCAGCTGGGACTGTGACTGTTTGTATTGTTTTCATATTTCTGGCAGACATATTCATAATTTATGTACTAAATCAGACAATATTTTGAGAAGGCTGGTCAATAATTTGTCATATTACTCTCAAACATATTTTCCTTCTCATAGCGAAGTAAAAGTGTTACCTTGGTTACAAGTGAAACTTTGAAAGAAAGGCAAAAGATTATAAAGAACCTGAAAGAAAGAAGAAAAACTGGGGTATGTACATTATATGACTTCTGCACAATAGTTTATTTACTTTGACTAAATATTTCCCTTTGTTTTTCTTGTGAAGATTGATGCAAGACATCAGTTTTTATTCACAAAGGTAATTAATATGATTATTCCTTGTCATACAATTTACATATGAATAATTAAATAACTCCAGCTGTGCTGACTTCTTTCTGCATTTTCAGATTGCTGATGCGATTGGTATTGATGCTACAACTTGTGAAGATTTCATATTGGGAGATCAAAAGGTATTTATCTTAGCAAGAATATATAAGATTATATATAGTAGATGCAGCTAATATGTCATGCAGTGTATATGTGTTGATTGTAACTCAAAGAAATTGCCCTTAGTTTGATGACATTGAGGAGTTTTTCAAAGCTGATGGCTCCAAAGCAATTCTTTTTCTCTATCAAGAATCAACTGTAAGTATACCAGTTGCAGCACCAATATGTTACCAGTTGCATTTCACATGAACATCGTCATTTCAGAGATCCAATGACGTTACCACACCTCGCTCTGCCAATCAACATAATGCAATAGTTTGATCAATTGCTTTGCTCAATTTTTTCATAGATTAATCGCCCTGATCTCAGTGGCCATGCAGCTAATTCACCAAAGAAATTATTCATCGCAGATCGTGCTAATGAGGTAACTATCATGTTCTAATCTCCAGTGAGTTGTTTACACACTCATCATTCATAATATCTCCATTTCTCTAATCTTCAGCATGTCAATGGTATATGTCTCTTCTTCCTTCGAACCAATACAAAAGCCATTAGCACGTCCAATGTTGGTCAGGTATGTTGTGTGGTAATCATATATCATAGGAATGTTTTCCACTATGATTAAACATATGCAGGCAATGTACCAGCTAGCCACCAGCATGCAGATCATATTTTCATTCAATGAAACTCCGGTTTTCCCAGGAGGTGAATTTCATGATGCTTGATGCAAGTGATGGCCGACTTCTAGAAGGTTTTGAAAAACTTCTTGGAAAGATAATGGTACCAGCCTTGAGAAATCAAAAGGTAGTTTGTTTACTTTACAGCTAGCTAGCACCTCATTTGTGGATTTTCAGGCTAGTTGTCAAATAATCTTTAGACTAATTGTCTCATATAACTATACAGTCATGATTTTACCCAATCTCACAGCAATGGGGTCAGATGTCCAACCAACAATCGTCCATTCAAGAATTTCTTGAAAACCTTGAAAAATTTGTGAACATTTTATCTGGAGCAAAGAACAATATGGATGGTCGAGTGAAGCTTGGTGAGCATGATCTCAAGGAATTACTGGATGGTCTGAACACGCCGACAGACTACCTCACAGCAGGTATACTGAGTATTAATTTGTAGCATGTGTGCAGGTCCAAGTGCTTTTCATTCCTTGACAAGATGAAGTGAAGTCTAAGGATCAATTTATTTACATTCTCTCAATTGATTTACATTCTCTTATTTTGTTTACAGCAAAGAGTCCGGAGACAGTTGATAAACTCGAGGGTCTTGTTGCGTTATGGGCAAAAGAAATCGAATTGGTTTTAGCGAAAAGTGAACAGGTACAAAACTAAGATGTGGTCTTTTGTTGAATTATAATTGATGTTAAAGTTTTGTCCGCTAATCTTCGCTTTTCTTTTGAAAGCTTCGAAAAGAGGCTGATGATATTGGACCAGCTGCTGAACTTGATCATTGGAAGCAGAGGATGGCGAAATTTAACAGGTTAGTTTAGTTAGCGGCTTATAATAACAGCTAGCGCGCGCGTTTCTTTTGCGCGTAGATTAAAAAAGACACTAATTTTGATGCGTTTGTATATTTTCCAGTTTGCTGGATGAAATCAAGAGTCGTCACTGCAAGGCAGCGATCGGTGTTCTTCACGCAGCAAAGTCAAAAAGCCTGAAACACTGGAAGGACCTCGTAAGTGGACAATATTCCTGCTTAATCGTCTTCATGCATATCCTAGTCCATGATTTTCAGCTCGTAATCAGACCTATTGCATGTGATTTTTCCTTCAACAGGACAGCCGCATTACCGACGCTGCAAATGAAGCGAAGGACAACGTGAAATACTTGTACACACTGGATAAATTCTTTGGACCTTTAGTGAAATGTTCACCGGTAGGATAATTGTCGTCTATCTGCACACTACGTGACCCCATTTCGTAGAATTTGAGTGCGTATAATGTGAAATCATCGCGACTTATCCTTATATGAACATTATCCTTTGTAGACCGAGATGATAGAATATGTCCCAAGCTTAATGAACTCAATTCGTATGATTCATACGATATCTCAGTATTACAACACGTCAGAAAGAATGACGTCGTTGTTTGTTAAAGTAACCAATCAGATGATCTCGACGTGCAAAGCTTACATCAACAAAGACGTGAGCAGAATTTGGGATCTACCCAGGTACATATGTGTCACTGTGTGATGATATGTGGGACTGTATGATCAATGTGTGTTATTTTAAGTTTATCTGCAAGATAAGCTTTGTCCACACCAGCATTTTTTCTCCAATATTTAGTGCATTTATATGTACAATATACTTGCCTTTATCTGAACATGATAATGATCTATAATCGCTGCAAAAATCCCAAGTGTAAACTGCCTTGAGAAGGTCTGTTGACACGATCCAATTTTGTTGGGTCCAATTCACTTTTGACGTATGAAATACAGTCGTCAAAAGACCCATCAGATTGATTTTTCAGCTACGCCCTTTGTGACAATTCCTCGCGCCAATATACGACATAATTCTCTTGTTTTAGGGAAACGCTTTCGTCAAGATTGCAAGAGGCTGTGAAACTAAACGAAGTCTACCAGACAGCTTTCCACAGGACGAAAAATAAACTGAAAGAAACGAAAAGCGAAAGACAGTTCGAATTTAGGTAGTTGCAAAGATTGGATTACATTAACTTTTTTTACCTTTGCATGCACCATGCAGATACTTTGCTTTGACGCTGTACATATAGCTATAATTATGTTGTTTTGATTGCAGCGAAAACTATATTTTTGGAAAATTTGATGCATTTTGCAAGCGACTGGAGAAACTCGATGACATGTTGATCGCGATGGAAAATCTTTCTGGACTTCAGAAAATAAAGATTGAGGTATGGTAATTGTGTCTACTTTAGTTAGACAGTTGTTAGCTATTCTAGAGGTCTAAAGGGTCCTAATTTCGAGTGGAATTATACCATATATTTCATGCGATGTTGGTTAAGAACTTAAGATGTAATATTCTCTTTTTTCTCGTGCCTGCAGGGAATTGAAACTATCGTGATCAGATATCAAACGATGGTCGCCACAGTCAAAAAGAAGACATATGATCTCTTGGATCATCGCAAAGGAGAGGTGCAGTGAAGCAGAGTTTCTCAGTTCTAAACTTAGTGTTTGATGTGTTTTTCAAACGAATTGGATTGTCGAATTTTGAGAAAAATAATAATATCGTCTTTTCGTCGTTGCAGTTCGACACGGACTACGAGGAATTCAAGCAGAGTGTGGAGGCTTTGAAAGAACAACTTCAACTCTTTGTTGATACATGGTTTGAAAAGTCTTTATCGGTAAGTCAATCGCAAGCAATCTCAGTTTTAACTTTCTACACTGCTCAGTTTTGGCTTCTCTATACACTACAGTATATGTATATACTTAATACCTCTCTGATCTCTTGCAGACAACGCGTGCACTGGAGTTGTTAGGTAAATTTGAAAACATAAAAGGAGTGAAACTGTACCTCGATGATAAATACGATAAAGTTTTGATGCAATACAGAAAGTAAGTCGTCTCGACCAGGTCTGATGCAGAGTATGGAATGAAGTTCAAAGATTGAAGATTCTCTCATCTTCTTGTTTAGGGATCTGGACACATGTCGTAAGATTTATCAAAAGTTCAAGCACGATCCTCCCGTACAGCGAAATCTTCCCCCAGTGAGTACTCATTCATCTTCACGGAGCAATCATAGAGGTTTAAACAAGCCAATCATTTAACTCTGATTCTCTCGTAGGTTGCAGGGAAGATCACATGGTCCAGACAGTTATTCCGTCGTATTCATGAACCAATGAAAGTATTTCGTCGTTATCCTGACGTTCTCAAGGTACACGAGTCTGCATAACTCTTGATCATGGTGATTTAGAAAATATTGGTGAAATCTAAAGTAAAGTTTGAATTTTATTTTCTCAGGGTGATGAAGCCAAGAGAATCGTGAGAAACTTTAATAAGATGGCCTCCGTTTTAGTGGAGTTTGAGGTATTTTCGATATTATTCTTCTCTGAATAACCTGAGCTCCCCGTACGTATCATAGCTACATTTGTGAACCTGCTGTGTTCGTTTGATGCAGGTGCTCTATCATCGTGGTTGGATGCAGGCGGTTGAACTGGCTCGCAGTGGAATGCAGGCCTCGTTGTTAGTCATACACCCAGAAACGAAGGTAAATACCAACCAAATGTATTCTGTTTCTTAAATCGAGGTGGAGTTTTGATGAGGATTGCAGCAGTTTAGTAGAGATGCAGTATTTTTTTATTCTTGTGTTTTCTTTAGAAACTCTTCGTGAATTTCGATCCGCAAATTCTGGAGTTGATTCGTGAATGTCGATGTATGCGTCGCTTAGGACTTGAGGTCAGAGATCTGGAGTGGTCGTTTCTTCATTTTATAAACTTTGTGATAACTCGTAATAATTAATATTCTATATATTCTCGCGTATAGATTCCAGAAAGTGCTCGAGTACTCTGGATGAGAGAGAATGCCATCAAGTCCGCCTACAACAGGTAAAGTCAGCCATAATAGAAGAACGGTGTCTAATTAAAATTAAGTTTGCATGTTATTTATTTTTACCAGAAGCATTATACAACATTTCACTACTTCTGGTTCCCTGTCAAAGATTTTGAGATATCTTTATATTTTATTCACTTGTTGTAAAGATTGGTTGAACTGCTGCAAGAATACAGCAAAGTTGTTGGCGACATTCCCGAGATTGTGTTGCCGCTGATGAAACCATTTATTAACAAAGTTGAAGATACCATCAAGCCAGGTCTCACCATGCTCAGCTGGACATCCATGAACATAGAAGGCTGTAAGTTTCGCATTCTGTCAGATAGAAATAAATAGTTTATGAGATATGAAGAAGTAAATGATAGATACAATTGTAATGACGCTCTCTTTTTTACTCTACAGTTATTGATAACATTCAGAATTCTCTTGGTGGTTTAAAACGTTTGTCAAAGGAGGTAAGTACCATAACTACCAGTATATAACTAATTAAACCCGTGACCTGGTTGTTTCCTCAACACTAGCGAGGGAAAAAGAACCTCTCTTAGCATTTGACAAATAAAAACCGGGTTTGGAATAGTCAGTGCTAAACGCTCAGCCGCGATAGGTCCGCGTTTCTCGTACAACAGAATGTAAACAATGTGATGATGGTATTCCTAGGTAACAGACATTCTGGATTGTCGTATCGAAGCTGTCTTGGAAGACATCAGTTCAGCATGTCTGTGTGAACTGCCTGAAGATGACTCCATCACAGTGGAGGAGTTTCTCAAGCGAACTGAAGATACTTGTTCGGCTGTCATCGTTGCTCTTTCCAGGTTAATACTAATCCTACTTGTTATGAAAAGTGCCACAGCTTCGTGTTTAGCGTTGTCAGACATTGAAGCATCAGTTATCATAAGTTAGCTGTCAAAGTTGAAGAAATGATGTTTAGTTTTCTTCTCTGCACATGATTGCAGGCAAAGTCGTCTGGTGGAGTCAGCTGTGGACCTGCTGCTAGCAACGCTGAAAGGTCGTCTCAATGCTCAGGATCTCGTAGGTCTTGAGGACGAGGTCTATCGCTGTCTCATTCCCGAGGCGAAACAAGTGAAAGGCAGCAAGGGCAGCCGATGCTGGGAGTGTATGCCGTGTTGCTATTGGAATCTTGTTGTCTTCTTTAATCAAAAAACGATCGATGCAATCGTGAAATGTACGAGAATCTCGCTGGACTTTATCAAACGTTATGTGCAGTCGTCAAGTAAATATATGAGCGATCTTTCTCACGAACATGCCAAGCTACCGTTGTTCAAGGTAGGATGTCGTTTTCAACTTCAGTCATCTATCAGTATGCAAAATCACGGGCTACGTGTAACGATATTATGTTTCGTTTCTGCAGGCTGAGATAATCTTAGCTATTCCAGCTGTTCAGATGAGACCCAGTGTTGATGATATACAACATGCACTCAATAAAGCCGTTCAGATTATGTTGAAGACAACACAGGTAGGAGGAAACCACACCATATCCTACCATAAAATACTCTCGTCATTTCTATATCCGTTTTAAAACAATGATCCAACAATATTTCTCTTTTCATGCACCATGAAGCGAGTGTACCAATGGGAGAAACATGACATCATACATCAACCTCCAGCGCCTGTGGTCGAGGAAGGCAAACCCATTCCTCCTGTTGTCATTAAATCCTTGTATAGACTCGTCTCGGAGCATAAAGATGTCGTGAAAGTCGTCATTGTGCTCAATTCAATAATCAGTTCATTCAAAATGGACGCGAAACAGGTTCTGAGTGGCATGGCGCAGTTTGAAGAGCTTTGGAATCAAGTAAGAAATAAACCTTTCAGATATTAAAATTCGATTTCTTTGGCTTGTTGAGTACTCAAAATAATAACGACCGACAATCATACTTAATCCATTTCATCACCTTTTAGGATCCTAATACGAAAGTTCAAGAATTCATGGATTCAACCCCGTTGTTGTCTGACTTTGAGACGCAAATACGATACTATCAGGTACTTTAATATAACTCTTTGATTTTACGCAGCCATTGCCTTTCTGCTCATTCAAGATCTTTGTCCTTCTCTCTGCCTGCAGGAGCTTGAGATGGCAGTGGAGGAACTACCAGCGAGTTATTCCGTTGGTTCGATAATCTATTCCACAGAACCCTTGAAGCGAGCTCTCGTGACTGAGACGAAGGCGTGGAAACAAGCGTTTGGTAAAGCCCTCGCGAACAAGGCCAGTGCAGACATGGAAGAAATATTCACGTTCTTTGATAACATGTGCAAGAGATTATCAAGACCAATCAAAGACTTGGACGATGTGAGAAATACTATGGCTGCTTTACGGGAAGTTCGTGAATCAGAGATCAAGTAAGTCAATATTGGTACCTGGGCATTTCTTTCCTCCATTCAACACTGTTCTTGACACTCACTGATTTTTCCAGGATTGATATGACCATCGGTCCAATCGAGGAATCCTTTGCTTTGCTCAATAAATATGGCTTGCACTACTCAAGTCATGACTCAGAAAGAGTTGATAGTTTAACATACTCCTGGAAGAAAGTTAATTCTCAGGTGAGAACCTTAATTTATTGCCCACAGTAAACGTGCCTCGGGTTTGTTATAATTTTGGTGATAAGGCAGGTAGATTAATTCCTCACAAGACAGAGTTATTAAAGTGAAACCTTCGAATTGACAATTCATTTGATCACTTTATTTTTCCTCCATACAGGCGTCCTCTGTACAGACACATTTACTTGAAATCGAACCGGAATATAAGACGAATCTTTTGAACGCTGTCGAAGTGTACAAAGACACGATGGTGACGTTTGTCGGTGACTACGACGAGAAAGGACCGATGGTGGTGGGAACAGCACCAAGCGAAGCCAGTGATCGGCTGCAGATCTTCCAGGCACGTTTTGACGAGCTCTGGAGGAAATATCAAACATACTCTGGTGGTGAGGAACTGTTTGGTTTGCCTGTCACGGAATACGATGAACTGCAAAGAATTCGTCGTGAACTTGGCTTGCTTCAAAAGTTATACAGTTTGTATAATTCTGTGATCGAAAACGTGAATGGATATCAAGATATCCTGTGGTCTGAGATCGACGTGGAGAAGATCAACGGTGAACTACTGGAGTATCAGAACAGGTTGGAGCTCTAAAACCATGAAACTATGGATAGAGAGCAGTGGAGAGCAGTTTCTCCGGCAGTGGAGAGCAGTTTCTCCGGCAGTGGAGAGCAGTTTAGACGTAAAGCTTATAGTTTAGTGAAATCAGGTCAAATTACGATCTATATCATCCCGAATCTTATTCTTTTTCTTAGGATCCGTAAGTTGCCAAAGGCACTGAAAGAGTGGCAAGCGTTTCTGGACTTGAAGAAAACCATCGATGATTTCAGCGAGTCTTGTCCTCTGTTAGAAATGATGGCACACAAAGCTATGAAAGCCCGTCATTGGGAACGTATTTCGAACGTAACAAAAACTCCGCTGGACGTGGAGTCTGAGACTTTCTCTTTAAGAAGTCTTATGAGCGCACCATTGCTAGAAAACAAAGAAGATATCGAGGTGCGCTATTGATTTCGACGCGAAATTCACATTCCTTGGGAATGTCGACACTCATCGATTATGCATTTTTGCCTTCATATTTAGTGTCATCATTATATTATTATCATCTCATTTTCATCATCCTGATCTAGGACATTTGCATCGCTGCTGTGAAAGAGAAAGATATTGAGGCGAAGTTGAAGGGTGTTGTGGCCGATTGGAATACACAAATCTTTTCCTTTGGTACGTTCAAGAACCGTGGAGAGTTCCTACTGAAGGGAGGAGAAACATCGGAGATTGTGTCACTCATGGAGGACAGTTTGATGATATTAGGATCATTAATGAGCAATAGGTATGCCTGGGTTTTAGTACATGCAATGGTATATCTGTATATGATGATTATGATTATGATTTTGATGATTATGACTTTGATTATGATTATGATTATGATGATAATTTGAGTGACAAGCTGTTATAATTAAACTTCTCTCTTGCGTTGTCATTGCAGGTACAACGCCCCGTTCAAGGCTGAGATTCAGAAGTGGGTGGCGAAGCTGACCGGTTCGACAGAAATCATTGAAAACTGGCTTGTTGTGCAGAATCTCTGGGTCTACCTCGAGGCTGTGTTCGTTGGTGGTGATATCGCCAAGCAACTGCCCCAGGTTTGTAGCTACCAGCTTGAAGAGTTTATAAAACATTCTGACTTCTTTGATTTTACTCATTGTTGTCTTTTGTTGCCGTGTTCGTGTAGGAGGCGAAGCGCTTCTCTCAGATCGACAAATCCTGGGTGAAGATCATGCAGCGAGCTCACGAGACTCCGAATGTTGTTCAATGTTGTGTCGGAGACGATACGCTGGGACAACTTCTGCCTCACTTGTTGGAACAACTTGAAATGTGTCAGAAATCATTGAGCGGGTAAGAGTTATTGCTATTTTATTACCGTTACAATGAACACGTCTGTGAATGGAGGTGATCCTTTTTAAAGAGTCTACCTGCGATGTTGCCGGTTAGAAATATTTCACTCTATTTACTGTATATATCCACGTTCTTATGGTTTGTGTAGAAGCCACTGTATTTGCACAAGTAATGACGATATACTTCTTCTTGAAATTAATATCGATTTTTTGTATTTTTTTTAGTTATTTGGAGAAGAAGCGTCTTTTGTTTCCGCGATTCTTCTTCGTCTCTGATCCGGCGTTGCTGGAGATTCTTGGCCAGGCTAGTGATTCTCACACCATCCAGGCGCATTTGTTGAGCGTCTTTGACAACCTGAAGACGGTCACGTTTGATGAGAAGGATTACGATAAGATCTTAGCCATCAATTCGTCTGAAGGAGAGCAAATTCAGCTGGAGAAACCGATCATGGCGCAGGTAAACTACGCTTAAATTTTACGCGTTTGCATGAAATAAAGTTTGTCTCGTCGAGATTAAAGATGGATTAACCTTCTTCCATTCTCTTGCAGGGTAATGTCGAACAATGGCTGTTGAATTTGTTAAATGCCGCACAGGGTGCCTTACACGCTGTCATTAAAATGGCATCAGTTGCTATCAAAGATCCTGTGTTTAAACTTCTCGAGTTTATGGACACTTTTCCCGCTCAGGTATGCTGCTGTTTAGCGTGATACATGATTTATATCTGCTTTCTGATTGTCTGATCATCCGAACCTCTCGCTCAATGCTTTGACTGACTTTTACCTCCACATCGCATCGTTTTTGCAGTTTTAACACACGCAATCCTGTTTAAAAACGGCCGACGTTTCCCCTGAATGCTCTAAATCTGTATCGTATGTTTCAGGTTGGTCTTCTCGGGATTCAAATGATCTGGACAAGAGATTCTGAGGACGCTTTGTCAAATGCAAAATCAGACAAAAAGGTGAGGGTCTTCATGCAATAAAAGAACAGATTTGCAACCATGATCAGCTCTTGTAACGAATTTCGCGTTTATTTTAGATCATGGCGCAAAGAAACACGTATTTTCTGGATATGTTGAACGAGTTGATTGACGTGACGACACGAGAGCTTACGAAGATGGAGCGAACAAGATACGAGACCCTTGTCACCATTCATGTTCACCAGAGAGACATCTTTGATGAACTGGTAGGTTTCTAGTTTTATCATCGCTTGCAAATAATTCCCATAGTTTACCTTCCATCCCTCTTGTCTTAGGTGAAAAAGAATATCAAATCTCCGACGGATTTCGAATGGTTAAAACAGTCCAGATTCTACTTCAAAGAAGATACAGATCAGTGTATAGTGTCGATCACAGACGTTGATTTCATTTACCAGAACGAGTTTCTTGGTTGCACAGATCGTTTGGTGATCACACCTCTCACTGATCGGTGTTACATCACCTTGTCTCAAGCTCTGGGCATGTCAATGGGTGGAGCACCCGCTGGCCCAGCAGGCACAGGAAAAACAGAGACAACCAAGGTACTGTACTCTCACACATCACACATCATGAAATATTGTGTTGTTATTTACTTCTAACAGGACAGTAAACTCCACCATGATAAACACCACGTCTCGATTTCCTTTAGGATATGGGTAAAGCTTTGGGCAAATATGTCGTCGTTTTCAACTGCTCTGATCAAATGGACTACCGAGGTCTTGGCAGGATTTACAAAGGTATTACATGAAATCATTCCCTAACTTTGTTAAACCTGTATTTTTTACGCGCGGGGTGGAATTCCTCTTTGTTTTTTCTTCAAGAAAACTCCATCCTTGTCTATTTTTGCCCAGGTTTGGCTCAGTCAGGAAGTTGGGGATGCTTCGATGAATTTAATCGTATCGAGCTGCCTGTGTTGTCCGTGGCCGCTCAACAGATCTATATTGTATTGACTGCGAAAAAAGAAAGAAAATCACAGTTTATATTCACGGATGGAGATGTTGTCGACTTGGATCCTGAGTTTGGCATCTTTTTAACCATGGCAAGTTATGATTTGTGTTTTCCTTGTAGTATTTGATAAAAAAATGATGGTATCTTGGTGTACCCTGACCCGACACCATTCTCATCTTCTTCTCGTGTGAATTATCGAGTGATTTTTCATTGTTGTGTATAGAACCCAGGTTATGCTGGCAGACAAGAACTACCAGAAAATCTGAAGATCCAGTTTCGTACCGTGGCGATGATGGTGCCAGATAGACAGATCATTATGAGAGTTAAACTGGCTTCATGCGGTTTTCAACAGAATGTGAACCTCGCCAGGAAATTCTATACTTTGTACAAGCTCTGCGAGGAACAACTCACAAAACAGGTCAGCATGCTCCTCTTCCTTACGGCCCGGGGAATGTCTTGAGGATTTCTCACAATGTTCGTTCTGTGCATGTGTTTCGAAAATTAATGCGATATACTTTCTGTGATTATTAGGTCCATTACGATTTTGGATTGAGGAACATTTTGTCTGTACTACGAACATTGGGCGCATCAAAACGAGCCAATCCTGAGGTAAGCGATGTCATGGTCTTTACTACATGTTTGTCTCAATGGTAGATCAAGATTAATCGCGTCAATTTGTTTTCGTGACAGGATGGTGAAGATAAGATTGTGATGAGAGTCTTACGTGATATGAACCTCAGTAAACTGGTTGATGAAGACGAGCCTTTATTCCTGAGTCTGATCGATGATCTTTTCCCTGGACTGACGCTACAGAAAGCTGGATATCCTGACATTGAACAGGCCATTGCTGAGGCCGTCGAGGAGGCAAAGCTTGTTAATCATGCTCCTTGGGTGTTGAAACTTATCCAGGTATGTATAACTGCAAATAAAGCTTAAATAAATCTTGTTATTTCACGTTTAAATCTTGTTTTACCTGTGTATACGACTTTTCTTTCCAGCTGTACGAAACACAGCGGGTACGTCATGGTATGATGACTCTGGGGCCCAGCGGTGCTGGGAAAACCAAATGCATCAACATCCTGATGAAGGCCATGACACAATGTGGAGCTCCGCATAAGGAATTTCGCATGAACCCTAAGGTAAAGCTCTCTCCGTTCTCCCTCCATGATTATTAACATCCTTTTGAGATGAGATCAAATTCATGTTTAGTTTTTCATGCATCTATTCTTTATAGGCCATCACAGCGCCTCAGATGTTTGGTCGGTTGGACGTTTCTACAAACGATTGGACAGACGGGATATTCTCCACTCTTTGGAGGAAAACTCTTCGTGCTAAAAAGGTAGGAGTGTGTTATAGGAACTACGCGTGCTGTTGATGATAAAATATGCGTGATTTGCTCTCTTATCAAAGAGTTGTGGATGATCATTCTAGGGTGATCACATCTGGATTGTGCTTGATGGTCCAGTCGATGCTATCTGGATTGAAAACTTGAACAGTGTTCTTGACGATAACAAGACATTGACTCTGGCTAATGGTGATCGAATACCCATGGCTCCTTTGTGCAAGGTCGTGTTTGAACCTCACAACATTGATAATGCTTCGCCAGCCACTGTATCAAGGTATAGTTTCCTTCTCTGATCACTTTGGAATGAATGGAATCCACTGATTGATCGCATTCACACTTAAAAATCTCCTCTTCCCAACAGGAACGGTATGGTTTACATGAGCTCCTCAATCCTGCATTGGCAACCAATTCTTCAAGTAAGTTTCATTGATTTTTACACATAAAACCCAGCTGGCATGGCTACAACTTATATTCGTTTTCTTTTGGGTAATTTGTTATAATCGTTTCTTTCTAACTCCAGTTTATTTTCTCTTCATCCAGGGATGGCTCAACACTCGTTCACCTGTCGAAGCGGATGTTTTAATGCCACTTTTTGAGAAAGTATTCTCAGATCTTAGAATTTATGTTGAGCAAAATCTCGTGCCAAAGATGGATGTAAGTTCACCGACTGATTGAGGGCTATATGATTGAAAACATGCATGCACCATGCAGAATCATGTAATTGTCCAGTTGATTATATTTTTATATCGTCCATAACGATGCATCTCTATTGTTCAATAGTTACTGGAGTGTAACCATGTTATGCAAGCGATCAACCTGCTGCAAGGTCTCATTCCTGCCGAGGACTCTCCCAAGCAAGCAGACGCGGCATTCCTTGAGAAACTCTTCGTCTTCTCGTTGATGTGGAGTATTGGAGCGTCTCTGGAGCTGGCAGACAGAAAGAAGGTGAGGAATGCGTTTGTATAGTTGAGAATGAATCTTGAGCGAGCTTGCTTACTAAGGAGACAGAATCGCGCTGTTTTTAAAAAAATTTTGCTCCGCTTGGAACAATCACAGAAATTGTTAGTTAAATTTGAAAACTATGATATTTATTCTTGCTGTAGATGGAGGAATGGTTACTCGAGAATGCTAAAGATCTAAAATTACCTCCTGTGCGGGATGAAGAAACCATCTTTGAATATCTCGTAAACGAACAAGGAGAGTGGGAACATTGGTTTAACAGAGTGAGTTCATATTTCATCTTTCTATCCTCGTTTTTTCAATCGTTCGATCTGGGGTTCTTCAGCTTTAAATTCCCATTTGTTTTCCAGGTTGAAGAATATCAGTATTCCAAAGACGTTGTCCCAGAGTACGCGTCTATTCTTGTGCCAAACGTGGACAACGTTCGAACAGACTTTCTTATCCATACCATCGCCAAACAAGGAAAGGTAAAAAATATTTTTTTACCATATTTGTCGTTTGATATGAAGAGCTTTGCCCATGACGATCTTCATTGTCGTTTTGTTGCTAGGCTGTGTTGTTGATTGGTGAACAAGGAACAGCCAAGACGGTCATGATTCAAGGAAGTTGTAATAAATATGATGCTGAAGTACATCTTGCTAAATCCATGAACTTTTCATCAGCCACATCACCCAACATGTTCCAGGTAACGACTCATGTAATACTGCGATTTGTTGGCGTCATTTCAACGTTATTGTCCAGTGAACACGAGGTTATAATGGACTACAAACCTCCTTTAATACATTCTCCTTTATTCCACCACAGCGTACGATAGAGAGTTACGTTGACAAGCGAATGGGTACGACTTACGGTCCACCAGCTGGCAAGAAGATGACTGTTTTCATCGATGATATAAATATGCCAATTATCAACGAGTGGGGTGATCAGGTACTAGGAAACTAAACATGAATATTTCATTAAAGATTTGAGCTGATTATTGTCGGCAGACTGCTGCATTCATGGTTGATGTGTGTTTCTCTTCAGATCACCAACGAGATCGTTCGTCAGCTCATGGAGATGAGCGGTTTCTACAATCTTGATAAACCCGGAGACTTCACGAACATTGTGGATATTCAATACATCGCTGCAATGATTCAACCAGGCGGTGGAAGAAATGACATCCCGAGCAGATTGAAGAGACAGTTTACTGTGTTCAACTGCACGTTACCCTCGGATGCTTCCATTGATAAGATCTTCACAACTATCGGCGAAGGATACTTCTGCGAGGTAAGCTGCTTCTCGTCAGGTTCCATAACAAATATACGACTGTATTTTCAATCCATGATATATACATATATTTATATTTGTTGGTATTTTCTTTAGGAGCGTGGATTCAGCACAGAGATACGTAGTATGGTAACGAGATTAGTTTCGTTAACTCGCAAACTTTGGCAACGAACCAAGATCAAAATGCTGCCAACGCCAGCCAAGTTTCACTACATCTTCAATTTGAGAGATCTCAGCAGAATTTGGCAGGTAAATAACATGTGGAATATGTCCACCTCTATATTGTCAGCTTTAGTGAATGCTTTAAACAACACAAATGATGATTGATATTGAAGATGAATACCTCAGATTTGAAGATCAATAACCCAGCACTGACGAGAGTTATCGTCGGGTGTTGGACCAAGCAAATTACGGAAGTACCTTAATTCATTGCGATTTTTTTATACCCTGGTTGTCTGTATTTCTTTTTTAGGGTATACTCAACATGACATCTGAGGTGCTGGTGGAGACAAGCATTCTTCTAAATCTCTGGAAACACGAGTGCAAGCGAGTAATTGCCGATCGCTTTACGAACAAAACCGATAAAGATTGGTTTGAGAAGGCAGTACGTACCCTCATAGAGGAAGATATCGGAGCAGAGATGGTGGAAGTTATTCAGGAGGATCAGTATTTTGTTGATTTCATGAGAGATGCTCCAGAGATCACAGGTTAGATCTTGCATTTAATAAGGGAATGTTCACTCTTAAAAAGGTGGCGCTCTCACGTACGTTTTTGAACTGTTTTTTTTCCACTTCTCACCATCATCAGGCGACGAGCCCGAAGACGCTGATATCGAGGCCCCGAAGGTTTATGAATCCATTGGAACTTTTGAGAATCTCAACGAAAGATTGAAGATGTTTATGGCGAGTTACAACGAGGCTATTCGTGGCGGACGTTTAGATCTTGTCTTCTTCAGGGTAAGCTGCGAGTGTTGTTGTTGTTTTTGTTGGGATATCTGAATGGCTTTAGATATTTCAAAATATATTGATAAAGTAAATAGTAAATGTGATATCAGGAAAATGTACATGAAATATTTATGAGCGTCTTCTCAACAAAGAATTGTGATCTCTTCAGGATGCGATGGTTCATTTGGTGAAGATCTCGCGTATCATCCGCACTCCGCGTGGTAATGCTTTGTTAGTCGGTGTCGGAGGCTCTGGCAAGCAGAGTTTGACACGTCTGGCTTCATTTATCGCTGGTTATAAAACGTTCCAAATCACACTGTCAAGGTAACTTATTATAAACTATTCTATTAAGGTATTGCGTGATTTATAGACTGTGCCAAACGATTAATTATTTCTTCATTATTTCTCAAACAGATCGTACAACACTAGTAACCTGATGGACGATTTAAAGATTCTCTATCGCACGGCTGGTCAGCAGGGTTGTGGAATCACGTTCATCTTCACTGATAACGAGATTAAAGATGAAGGATTCCTTGAGTACATGAACAATGTCATCGCTTCAGGAGAGGTTCGTGATATATTCTCCTGTTAACTGAACCATTGCTAGCACCACTTGAATGAACCCGTCCGGCGCTTTAGAATATGATTTACCTCTATGATATTCTCCACAGGTTTCGAATTTGTTCGCTCGAGACGAGATTGATGAGATAACGCAAGATCTGATCGGTGCAATGAAGAAAGAGTTTCCACGAAGACCACCAACCAACGAGAATCTTTATGATTATTTCATCTCACGTGTACGCAATAACTTACATGTCGTTCTCTGCTTCTCACCGGTGAGTATTTTCATCATGTTCCTCACTGGTGTACGCATGATTTCTAGAGATGCAGCTATTATGATCTGCCTGTGACCTTTGTTTGTTTGTCAAATGCACTACCAACTGGTCAACAAGAATATCGGAGTTCCTCCTTGAGCATCTTCGGAAAAATAACAAGTATTTCGGTCTGCACTAAATTTCTTTTCTTTTTCCAGGTTGGTGAAAAGTTCCGAAATCGTTCACTCAAATTCCCTGGATTATTCAGCGGCTGCACGATGGATTGGTTCAGCAGCTGGCCAGCGGATGCTTTGATTGCTGTCGCACACCACTTTTTAGCCTCGTTTGAGATCGCGTGTTCCGCAGAGATCAAGCAGGCCGTTGTCAACACCATGGGCTTGTTCCAGGTATGCGTTTCAGAATAGCAACTCTCAAATGACGGTTCTCGAGGTTTGACGTTAGCCACAAACAATTTATTTTCTTCCATTAACCTCTTATGTTACTTCAGGATAAAGTGGCGGACACGTGCGTCGAATATTTCGAACGTTTTCGTCGTCAAATGCACGTGACACCGAAGTCTTACCTCTCATTCATTGCTGGTTACAAAGAGATTTACAAAGAAAAACACACAGCTATTGGTGTGCTTGCAGACCGCATGAATACCGGGCTTAATAAACTGGTAGAAGCGACAGAATCAGTAGCGAAACTATCGCAGGAACTTGTTGTGAAAGAGAAGGAATTGGCAGTCGCTTCAGTCAAGGCTGATAAGGTTCTTCAAGAAGTGACCGTAAGTGCCCAGGCTGCAGAGAAAGTCAAGTCTCAAGTGCAGAAAGTCAAGGATAAGGCACAAGCCATTGTCGACGAGATTGCTGTGAGTTTTTGTTTAATGATTTCAATACCCCAATATCCCTCTGTGTTCTTGTATTATTGTTCCTTTCCAGTTATTAGAGTACTTTCTTTTTCAGCATTAAAACATCGGAGGTTATCCAAGATGGTTTAGTAATGTAATGGTTTACCAAAACCTTTGTTGTATCAAAAAATTATTTCCTATTTCAGGTGGATAAAGGTTTCGCTGAGGAGAAACTGGAAGCAGCGAAGCCCGCGTTAGCCGAAGCAGAGGCGGCGTTACAGACGATTAAACCAGCACATATTGCTACAGTGCGTAAGCTAGCGAAGCCACCGCATCTGATCATGCGTATCATGGACTGTGTGTTGCTGCTGTTTGGTAAACGAGTGGATCCCGTCACCGCGGACCCTGAACGACCGTGTGTGAAACCGTCTTGGAGTGAATCATTGAAGTTGATGAGTCAGGGTGGTTTTCTACAGACATTGCTGACATTTCCCAAGGTGAGTTCGCTGTCGTTGCTGTATTCATCTCTACGAGCGAATAGTTATAAAAACTGTGATGTTTGAGTTCCCTTATTTTACCATCGCTAACTTATCCGCTCGTTCACATATATCAAAATAAGAAAATCGCGTTTAACATTGCAAATTTAAACTGGCCTTTGGACCGTGGTTGGTTTTTTTTTCGGTCCAAGAGACACTATATAGACTGACGCCACAATAGAAAAGGTGATCGACACGTTGTTTTCTCTGTCAGTTCTCTGATTTCGGTGTATTATAGGATATGATAAACGAGGAGACAGTTGAGCTGTTAGCGCCATACTTAGAGATGGAGGACTACACACTGGAGAGCGCGAAGAAAGTTTGCGGTGATGTTGCTGGTCTCGCCTCCTGGACTAAAGCTATGGCATTCTTCTACGGAGTCAACAAAGAAGTCTTGCCACTCAAGGTTGGTTTTATATACCCAAGCAATCAGGGGTGGATCCAGCACTAGTGCACTAATTTACATGACACAAGAAAACTGCTAAAAATAACCACTTTGTTTTGTAAGGCAAATTAGTGCACTAGTGCTGGATCCACCCGTGCAAGCAACAGAACTTTCTGTTACACACGAAGTTTGATTGGCTCCGAGCTTTCCGCGTTTTACGTCGTTTTGAGAAAGATCCTTGCATTAGATCTTTGCATTGAAAGTTCGTTACTTCTGCAAGCTTTCAACGCTCGTGTTTTTTTAGGCCAATCTTGCTATACAAGAGGTGAGGTTGAACAAGGCCACGTCTGAACTCAATGAAGCACAGGAACAACTGGACGAGAAGCAACGTGAACTCGACGCAGTTCAAGCGAAGTTCGATGAAGCGATGAGAGAGAAGCAAATGTTGATCGACGACGCCGAGGCTTGTCGTCGTAAGATGGCGAACGCTACTGCTCTCATTGAAGGTCTTGGCGGGGAGAAAGTACGATGGACCGAGCAAAGTAGAAAGTTTGCAGAACAGATAAGAAGGTATAGGCTGTGGTAGAAGATTAAAGGTTTATCAATATATTGAGAAATAATTCTCGTGGTATTATAAAATCTGTGTTGTTTTTTTAGGCTGGTTGGAGATGTTTTGCTGGCAACAGGATTCCTTTCCTATTCCGGACCTTTCAACCAGGAATTCAGAAATCTTCTTCTCTCCAACTGGAAACAAATGATGCAGAAGAACAAGATTCCTTTCTCTGAGGATTTGAACCTGACCGAGATGTTGACAGACTCTGCGACGATCGGGGAATGGAACTTACAGGGCCTTCCGAACGATGAACTGTCTATACAAAATGGCATCATTGTTACTAAGGCAACACGATTTCCGCTTCTCATTGACCCACAAGTACGTGAGCATAGAAACATTAAATAGGATCCATATTGAGCCTATTTTGCCCTTCATTTCTTGGCGTGTTCTTTGCTCAATTCAATTTGTTTGAATGTTTTGACACAGGGCCAAGGCAAGGCTTGGATTAAGAACAAGGAAAGCGCTGGAGACCTTCAGGTGAGTTTGTCTAAATTTTTCACATTTGATCATGTAATGTCTTTCTCCGTATTGTTGATCACTTAAGCTGGAGAATTGATCCACAACAATCTTTGACTGACATCTTTAGGTGACATCTTTAAATAACAAGTACTTCAGAAATCATTTGGATGACGCTTTGTCTCTTGGAAGACCTTTGCTTCTTGAAGACGTTGGCGAAGAATTGGATCCTGTCTTGGACAATATTCTGGAGAAGAACTTTATAAAAAGCGGTTCCACCCTCAAGGTAAATGACTGTGAACTAGTGAATGCAACTGAAGTGTTCTTCATTGTATGAAGACAACTGTAGTACTTGAATTTCAAATATTTACGTACGCAAAAATGAACTGGCAAGAACATGTTTGTTTTTAGGTCAAAGTTGGAGATAAAGAGGTGGACGTGATGGAAGGTTTCGTCTTGTATATCACAACAAAACTTGGTAATCCAGCTTATACACCAGAGATCAGTGCGAAAACATCTATTATTGACTTCACTGTGACTATGAAAGGTCTCGAGGATCAGCTTCTGGGGCGTGTAATCCTTACTGAGAAACAGGTATGGTAGTTACAGTGCATATGAAGATTTTGGAATATGAGATCTTGGAATATATGACGTTTAAACGTTCTTTCTTTATCTCTCAGGAACTGGAAGCTGAACGCACAAAGTTAATGGAAGAGGTGACATCAAACAAACGTAAAATGAAAGATCTGGAGGATAACTTACTGTATCGTTTGACCAGTACACAGGGCTCGTTGGTCGATGATGATTCTCTTATTAGCGTCTTGGGCGTCACCAAAACAACCTCGGAAGAAGTCAGCGAGAAATTGATCGTCGCTGCTGAGACTGAAGTTAAGATTAACACAGCAAGAGAAGAATACAGACCTGGTATGAGTTGTTGTTTGTGTGTTTTAGTTTATTCATAATTTTATTAGCTTTGTCGTAATTACATTGAAAACCAGACAATGTTCATATGTGACTAGGACATCAGAACAGTTTTGGACAGTGTATTTATTATTGTTCATTATTACTTGTGACTTATTCAATTATCTTTTCTTGCAGTGGCTTCACGTGGTAGTATATTATATTTCTTGATCGTTGAAATGTCGTATGTCAACATCATGTATCAGACATCATTGAAGCAGTTCTTGGGATTGTTCGATATATCTATGGCTCGATCGCAGAAATCACCCATTCCTGCCAAGAGAATTCAAAATATCATCGATTATCTCACATTTGAAGTATTCAGGTTTGTGCGCGCACGCGCTGACTTAGGTCGTCATTACCTTCAACCATTTTACATTATATACTTAATGTATGCTCCCGAGGAAAATAGTGAGTTTTGTTTTCCCAAGAGTCTGAATCTTGACACTCGAGGGAAAACAAAACTCACTATTTCCCGAGGTAGTGTACATTAAGATCTTATCTGTGTTCAGATATACAACCCGAGGTCTGTATGAAAGTCACAAGTTTCTATTCACTTTGCTATTGGCGTTGAAGATCGAGCTACAAGATCGTAAGATTAAGCAAGACGAATTCCAAGTATTGATCAAAGGTAACGCCAGAAATTGTAAAATACGAGAGGAGTACTGTTTGATCCTGATCTTTAACCGTATCGTATTTCTTTCAACCAAAGGCGGAGCGGCTCTGGATTTGAATGCTGTCGAGCCGAAGCCAAAGAAATGGATTTCGGACATGACCTGGTTGAACTTGGTCCAACTCAGCAAATTACAGCAGTTCTCGCAGATTCTTGGTCAGGTATGCATGAGGTTGAATAATTGCCACGCCCAGTTTGCCCATGCACGCATGCATGTGATGGTTGAGCGTGAGCCTGGATACTAAGTAGCTAATATTATATATTTCTTAGATTACACGTAACGACAAGAGCTGGAAGACGTGGTTTGACTCGGATACACCCGAAGACAGTCCCATTCCCGACGGTTACGAGGAATCATTAGATACGTTCAGAAAGTTGTTGTTGATCCGTTCCTGGTGTCCTGACCGAACTGTGAGTCAGGCGAGACGATATATTGGCGATTCTATTGGAACTCGGGTAAATATATTCTATGAAAACAATTCATTGAAAACCATAGAAAAAAGTGTTTGTTTATGTTTATGTTTGTATCACGACTGGACATCATCGTGCACCCATAATCATCCGCGTTGTTATAACTGGTCACCTTCTAATATTTATAGTTTTGTTTTAGTTTGCAGAGGGTGTTATCCTTAATTTGGAAGCGATGTGGGAAGAGAGTGATCCACGAACCCCAATGGTGTGTTTGCTGTCCATGGGCTCCGATCCAACGGCATCAATTGAGCTGCTGTCTAAAAAGAATCGATTAGGTACGAGAAAACTATTAGTTCTTTAGAATTTCTTCTAGTATTTTAACAACAGATTTATTTGAATGTTTTTTAATGATTTGTCATCGGGATGTGCTCGTTTGTTTTTTGAACGTACTTCTTTCTTCTCTTCTTGTCATAATCACGTATTTCTCCTGGCTGTTTTTAGAATGTCGTGCAATCTCCATGGGACAAGGACAAGAGGTGCATGCTCGTCGCTTGCTTCAACAGTTCATGGCTGAAGGTGGCTGGGTTTTATTGCAAAACTGTCATTTGGGCTTGAATTTCCTCGACGAACTACTCGATACCGTATGTTTAGTTCTAAATTATCTAAGAATATATAATTATATTAGAATATCTTACAAGAAGTAGACTTAAACTGAAATATATTTATGCTAAGGTGCTGACAACGGAGACAGTTAATGCCAACTTCCGTTTATGGATCACAACAGAGGAACATCCGAAGTTTCCTATCAACTTTCTTCAATCCTCCATAAAGTTTACGAATGAGCCGCCAGAAGGCATCAAAGCAGGCCTGAAGAGAACGTATGCTGGTGTAACTCAGGTACATTATTAACTCAGGTCATATATTTTAATATGAAATAGAGTATTTCGTTAAGAATATAGCGGTGAAAATGGATTACCCGTGCTAGACAGATGTAAATAACGATATGCTTGAGTGCAGAGTTCTTAACACTCTAAAATACCAGAAATCTGTCTGTATCGAAATACAACAGGACCGGTCTGGCCGTTTTTTTCCCTATAAACGAAAACGCCTTATGATTGAGATTGCGATAAAGAAGTCAAGTTGTGGTTGCTTTTTTAATTTCTGCATCACGGTTTATTCTTCGTACTTACCTTCATCGCTCCATCGCAGGATCAACTAGACGTGACAAATATGGTGCAGTGGAAACCAATGTTATATGCAGCTGCGTTCCTACATACAGTCGTGCAAGAAAGGCGGAAATTCGGTCCACTGGGATGGAACATTCCATATGAGTTCAACTCTGCTGATCTTGGTGCTACCGTGCAGTTTATACAAAACCATTTGGACGATCTTGATGCCAAAAAGGTGAGGACTGATTTTTAGAAGAAAATATATAATTTTAATTGTTCTTCTGGCGTAAACAACTGTTCTGCCTAAAACCAGGGTGTTTCATGGTTAACCGTGCACTACATGATTGGTGAGGTTCAATATGGAGGTCGTGTCACCGACGATTTCGATAAACGCTTGCTGAATACGTACGCTCACGTCTGGTTCACGGACGCCCTCTTTCAAGATTCCTTCAAGTTCTACAATGGCTACACGATTCCTAGATGTACGCAGATTGCAGATTTCCGTTCGGCGATTGAAGAACTTCCCTTGACTGACACGCCAGAGGTGAGTTATCATGTTAGGACTAACTGTCGAACTATAAAAAATGCTTTTGTTTACTGAAACCAGTATTTTCTTCGAAGTAGTAGGTATATTTTTACCTATTGTAATTCGAAGCATTTTTAGGTAAAACAAGACGCCTGTTCTGGCGTTAACTCCGGCGTGTCGTGCACGTGCCATTATATTATAAATAATCATTATAATAAATAAGCATTATATAATAAAGAAGCCTTATATAATAAATAATACACTTTTCAAATACTAGTATATTTCACGCCAAAACACACGCGACGACGAGAAATAAAAAAAAAATAAAACAAAACAAAACCGAGGCGAATTTTCAACTCCGTCGCTGACGCCGGACAATCTTTTTAAAATAGGTATTTGGCCTGCATCCTAACGCGGACATAACGTATCAAGCTAAGACAACCACGGACGTGTTGGAAACTATTGTGAATATTCAGCCTAAGGATAGCGGTGGAGGAGGCGGAGAAACACGTGAAACAGTCGTGTTCAGACAGGCTTCTGAAATGCTGGATAAGTTACCAGACAACTATGTACCTCATGAGGTAAGTAGACGTAAAATGTCACGATCAAAATTATATACATGTGCTCTCTCATTTAGTTCCTCTGTTCCTTCACTAATTCCTGACATTAGTCGTTCTGATTCTTAAAGCGTTTTTTTCCAGGTCAAAGCTCGCCTTCAAAAGATGGGTGCACTCACATCAATGAACATCTTCTTGCGTCAAGAGGTGGATCGCATGCAACGCGTCATTACGACCGTACGAACCACGCTGGTTGATCTTAAACTTGCAATTGATGGTACTATTATTATGAGTGAGAACCTAAAAGATGCGCTTGATAACATATATGACGCAAGAGTTCCAGCACTTTGGAAAAAGGTAAACCACTCTTTCAACATACTCTTGCATTACCTTGCCTCTTACATTCAGTCTTATAGGCTATGTGGACACGAGCGTCGTTTTCTAGCGTTTTCAAAATCGGTTTTGTATATTTTATTGTTTAGACACCCTGTCCACACGATCCAATGGAAAATACGCCTAATACGCGTTAAATTCATTTCAACTGTTTGAAACCATTTTGGCATAAAAACAAATATGAAAACGCTCGAAAACGTTACCGTGTGCATGCACGTGCACATAGCCTTAATCCTGAATTCCGAATATCAATATGTCGTTTTTGGATTCCATTTGTACGCTAAAAACATCACTTCTCTTCTAGATATCCTGGGAGTCCACAACACTTGGCTTTTGGTTTACGGATTTGATCGAAAGGAATAACCAGTTCTCCACGTGGCTTTTTGATGGTAGACCAATATGTTTCTGGATGACAGGATTCTTCAATCCTCAGGTAACATAATTTACGTACTCAAATTGCGAACAGCCGTCTGGACTGAGTTTAACATACTCGGCGATATGTTCTCCTTGCAGGGTTTTCTCACGGCAATGCGACAAGAAATCACGAGAGCTCACAAGGGTTGGGCTCTCGACTGCGTTGTCCTTAGCAACGACGTTACTAAGTACATGAAGGAAGATCTGACGTCAGCACCAGCTGAGGGTGTCTACGTGTACGGTTTGTTTCTAGATGGTGCAGGCTGGGACAGACGCAACTGTCGACTTGTTGAACCTCCTCCAAAAGTGCTCTTTTCAAATCTACCCGTGGTTCATATCTACGCAGTGAATACGACCTCTGCCAAAGATCCCCGTCTGTATGAATGCCCTGTATATAAAAAACCACGGCGTACTGACTTGACTTACATATTTTGCCTGAATCTCAAAACGATGCAGCATCCTGATCACTGGATTCTTCGTGGTGTTGCATTGTTGTGTGATACGAAGTAGTTTTGTTTGATTTCTGCATGCCAAAGATGTTTGTTTCAAATGTGTTTTCCAACCCTTTTGTAAATATTACAAATGTTGTATTAATGTATTATGTAAATATTATAAGTATTGTATTATGAAATTTATTATTATAACCTAAAGCAAGGATTCAATAAACTGATAAAAACTTTGAAAAAACATGAGTTGCGAATTCTTATTTAAATTCAAAGTCTCTAAAAAAGGATTAAATCAACTAAAAAACTCTTGTCTTTCACCACCAGCAGCGGTGGCCGAGTTGGTTAGGACAGTGGTTAGTCCATAAGCGGTGGTGGTTCAAGCCCTTGCAGTGTCAAAACAAAAGTTTCAGACTTGGAAAATTTAAAAAGTCTTAAGTCGAAGAAAGGATTAAGTAAAATAAAAAACTATCGTCTTTCACCACCAGCAGCAGTGGCCGAGTTGGTTAGGACAGTGGTTAGTCCATAAGCGGTGGTGGGTTCAAGCCCTTGCAGTGTCAGAACATGAGTTTCAAAGATTGGAAAATTTAAAAAGTCTTAAGTCGAAGAAAGGATTAAGTAAAATGAGAAACTATCGTCTTTCACCACCAGCACCAGTGGCGGACAGTGGTTAGTCCATAAGCGGTGGTGGGTTCAAGTCCTTGCAGTGTCAAAACGTGAGTCTCAAAAATGGGAAAATTAAACATTGAAAAATTAAAAATTGAAAAGTTAAAAAAAATTCGAAGTTTCGAGGTGTCAAAAAAAGAAAAAAAATTCAGGTAAGAGAAGAAAAGGTAAAAGAAGAAAAAAAAAGGTAAGAGAAAAAGAGGTAAGAGAAGAAAAGGTAAGAGAAAAAGAAGTAAGAGAAGAAAAGGTAAGAGAAAAGGTAAGAGAAGAATAGGTAAGAGAAGAAGAGGTAAGAGAAAAGGTAAGAGAAGAAGAGGTAAGAGAAGAAGAGGTAAGAGAAGAAAAGGTAAGAGAAAAGGTAAGAGAAAAGGTAAGAGAAGAATAGGTAAGAGAAGAAAAGGTAAGAGAAAAGGTAAGATAAGAAGGTAAGAGAAGAAAAAAAGAAAAGGTAAGAGAAGAAAAGGTAAGAGAAAAAGAGGTAAGAGAAGAAAAGGTAAGAGAAAAGGTAAGAGAAAAGGTAAGAGAAGAATAGGTAAGAGAAGAAGAGGTAAGAGAAGAAGAGGTAAGAGAAAAGGTAAGAGAAGAAGAGGTAAGAGAAAAAGAGGTAAGAGAAGAAAAGGTAAGAGAAGAAAAGGTAAGAGAAAAGGTAAGAGGAGAACATACACCTAGCAAATGTATGCACTTCTCTTCTCTCTCCTTCTCTTCTCTCTCTTCTCTCTCCCTCTCTTCTTTCTCTCCCTCCCTCTCCTCCCTCCCTCTCCTCCCTCCCTCTCCTCCCTCCCTCTCCTCCCTCCCTCCCTCTCCTCCCTCCCTCCCTCTCCTCCCTCCCCTCTCTCTCTCTCTCCCTCTCTCTTCTCTCACTTTTCTCACTTCTCTATCCTCTTCTCTCTCCTCTTCTCTCTCCTCTTCTCTCTCCTCTTCTCTCTCCTCTTCTCTCTCCTCTTCTCTCTCCTCTTCTCTCTCCTCTTCTCTCTCTCTTCTCTCTCCTCTTCTCTCTCCTCTTCTCTCTCCTCTTCTCTCTCCTCTTCTCTCTCCTCTTCTCTCTCCTCTTCTCTCTCCTCTTCTCTCCCTCTCTTCTTCTCTCCCTCTCTTCTTCTCTCCCTCTCTTCTTCTCTCCCTCTCTTCTCTCCCTCTCTTCTCTCCCTCTCTTCTCTCCCTCTCTTCTCTCCCTCTCTTCTCTCCCTCTCTTCTCTCTCCATCTCTTCTCTCTCCATCTCTTCTCTCTCCCTCTCTTCCTGCCTCACATCGTCTTGTTAAAACCCTTGCATGGTCTTTTGCAAACTTTTCTTTCTTTGTTTTGAAATACCGAATTTTTTAAATTGTTCAATTTTTCTTTCACTTCAGAATTATTTGAAAATTCGAATTTTTTTAATTTTTCAACGTTCAATTTTCCAAGTCTTTGAAACTCATGTTTTGACACTGCAAGGGCTTGAACCCACCACCGCTTATGGACTAACCACTGTCCTAACCAACTCGGCCACTGCTTCTGGTGGTGAAAGACGACAGTTTTTTATTTTACTTAATCCTTTCTTCGACTTAAGACTTTTTAATTTTTTTACGTCTTTCACCACCAGCTATCAGCGGTGGCCGAGTGGGTTAGGACAGTTGTAAGTCCATAAGCGGTGGTGGGTTCAAGCCCTTGCAGTGTCAAAACATGAGTTGCGAATTCTTATTTAATCTAAAGTCTCCAAAGAAAGGATTAAATCAAATAAAAAACTTTCGTCTTTCACCACGAGCAGCGGTGGCCGAGAGGTTTAGGACAGTTGTAAGTCCATAAGCGGTGGTGGGTTCAAGCCCTTGCAGTGTCAAAACATGAGTTGCGAATTCTTATTTAATCTAAAGTCTCCAAAGAAAGGATTAAATCAAATAAAAAACTTTCGTCTTTCACCACGAGCAGCGGCGGCCGAGAGGTTTAGGACAGTGGTTAGTCCAAAAGGGGTGGTGGTTCAAGCCCTTGCAGTGTCGAAACATGAGTTTCAGATTTGGAAAATTTAAAAAGTCTTAAGTCGAAGAAAGGATTAAGTAAAATAAAAAACTATCGTCTTTCACCACCAGCGGCAGTGGCGGAGTTGGTTAGGACAGTGGTTAGTCCATAAGCGGTGGTGGTTCAAGCCCTTGCAGAGTCAAAACATGAATTGCAAATTCTTAATTAATTTTAAGCCTCCAAAAAAAGGATGAAATGAAATAAAAAACTTTCGTCTTTCACCACAAGAAGCGGTGGCCGAGTGGGTTAGGACAGTGGTTAGTCCATAGGCGGTAGTGGGTTCAAGCCCTTGCACTGTCAAAAATTAAGTTACAAATTCTTATTTAATTTCAAAGACTTGTAAAAATAAGGTGAAAAAATTCTAAGTCTAAAAAATTCTAAGTCTCACCACCAGCACTGATAGCCGGCGGTGAAAGACTTAGAAAATTTAAAAAGTCTTAAGTCGAAGAAAGGATTAAGCGAAATAAAAAACTGTCGTCTTTCACCACCAGCAGCAGTGGCCGAGTTGGTTAGGACAGTGGTTAGTCCATAAGCGGTGGTGGGTTCAAGCCCTTGCAATGTCAAAACATGAGTTTCAGAGTTGGAAAATTTAAAAAGTCTTAAGTCGAAGAAAGGATTAAGCGAAATAAAAAACCGTCGTCTTTCACCACCAGCAGCAGTGGCCGAGTTGGTTAGGACAGTGGTTAGTCCATAAGCGGTGGTGGGTTCAAGCCCTTGCAGTGTCTAAACATGAGTTTCAAAAATTGATAAACCGGAAAATTGAAAATTGGAAAGTTAAAATTGGACGTTTCAAAGAAAAATAGAAAATTTAAAAAAATGGGAAGTTTCAAACTTACAGCACAAGCAGCAGTGTCAATGCATGAGTTTCAAACATTGAAAAAAAAAAAAAATTCTAAGTCCAAATAAAATTCAAAGTTTCAAAAGAAAAAATGGAAATTTCGAAAAAAAATAATAAATTCTAAGTAAAAAAATTGGACAATCAAAGAAATTCAGAATTTCATCAAAAAATGGAAAAAAAATTCCAAAAGACAACGCAAGGGCTTGGAGGGGGGAGAGGAGGGGGGATGGAGAGAGGAGGGGCGGATGGCAAAAGGAAGGGGGGAGAGAGAGGGGGGAGAGAGAGGGGGGGAGAAGAGGGGGGAGAGAGGGGGGGAGAGAGGGGGGGAGAAGAGGGGGAGAAGAGAGGGGGAGGGAGAGAGGGGGAGGGAGAAGAGGGGGGGGGCGAAGAGGGGGGGGAGAGAAGAGGGGGAGAGAGAGAAAAGAGGGGAGCATACACCCGGGGGATCTATAATCTCCTCACCTGTCTCCCCCTCCTCTTTTCTCTCCCCCTCCTATATCCCCCTCTCTCCTCCCCCCCTCTCCTCCCCCCTCTCCTCCCCCCTCTTCTCCCCCCTCTTCTCCCCCCCCCTTCTCCCCCCCTCTTCTCCCTCCCCCCTCTCCCTCCCCCTTCCTCTCTCCCCCCCTTTTTCCATCCCCCCTCATCCTCTCTCCATCCCCCCTCCTCTCCCCCCTCCAAGCCCTTGCATTGTCTTTTAAATTTCGGATTTTTTTTTTCTGAAATTTAGAATTTCTTTGATTGTCCATTTGTTTTACTTAGAATTTTTTTTATTTTTTTTCGAAACATCCAATTTTTTTTGAAATTCTTAATTTCTTTGATTGTCCAATTGTTTTTTACTTAGAATTTTTTTTTTTTCGAAACTTCCAATTTTTTTTGAAATTCCGAATTTTTTTTATTTTTTTTTGAAACTTCCAGTTTTTCTTTTGAAACTTTGAATTTTATTTGGACTTAGAATTTTTTTTCTTTTTTTTTCAATTTTTGAAACTCATGCATTGACACTGCTGCTTGTGCTGAAAGTTTGAAACTTCCCATTTTTTCTGAAACTTCCCATTTTTTCTGAAACTTCCTATTTTTCTTTGAAACGTTCAATTTTAACATTCCGATTTTCAGTTTTCCGATCTTTCAATTTTTGAAACTCATGCATTGACACTGCAAGGGCTTGAACCCACCACCGCTTATGGACTAACCACTGTCCTAACCAACTCGGCCACTGCTGCTGGTGGTGAAAGACGATAGTTTCTCATTTTACTTAACCCTTTCTTCGACTTAAGACTTTTTAAATTTTCCAAGTCTGAAACTCATGTTTAGACACTGCAAGGGCTTGAACCACCACCGCTTATGGACTAACCACTGTCCTAACCAACTCAGCTACTGCTGCTGGTGGTGAAAGACGACAGTTTTTTATTTTACTTAATCCTTTCTTCGACTTAAGACTTTTTAAATTTTCTAAGTCTTTCACCGCCGCTATCAGTGCTGGTGGTGAGACTTAGAATTTTTTCACCTTATCCTTACAAGTCTTTGAAATTAAATAAGAATTTGCCACTTAATTTTTGACATTGAAGGGCTTGAACCACACACCGCCTATGGACTAACCACTGTCCTAACCCACTCGGCCACCGCTTCTTGTGGTGAAAGACGAAAGTTCTTTATATCATTTAATCCTTTTTTTGGAAACTTTAAATTAATTAAGAACTCGCAAATCATGTTTTGACACTGCAAGGGCTTGAACCACTCTCGCTTATGGACTAACCACTGTCCTAAACCTCTCGGCCACTGCTGCTGCTGATGAAAGACGACAGTTTTTTATTTCATTTAATCCTTTCTTCGACTTAAGACTTTTTAAATTTACCAAGTCTGAAACTCATGTTTAGACACCGCAAGGGCTTGAACCCACCACCGCTTATGGACTAACCACTGTCCTAACCAACTCGGCTACTGCTGCTGGTGGTGAAAGATGACAGTTTTTTATTTTACTTAATCCTTTCTTCGACTTAAGACTTTTTAAATTTTCCAAGTCTGAAACTCACGTTTCAACACTGCAAGGGCTTGAACCACCACCGCTTATGGACTAACCACTGTCCTAACCAACTCGGCCACTGCTGCTGGTGGTGAAAACGACAGTTTGTTATTTCACTTAATCCTTTCTTCGACTTAAGACTTTTTAAATTTTCCAGGTCTGAAACTCATGTTTAGACACTGCAAGGGCTTGAACCCACCACCGCTTATGGACTAACTACTGTCCTAATCAACTCGGCCACCGCTGCTGGTGGTAAAAGGCGAAAGTTTTTTATTTCGTTTAATCCTTTCTTTCTTGGAGACTTTAGATTAAATAAGAATTCGCAACTCATGTTTTGACACTGCAAGGGCTTGAACCCACCACCGCTTATGGACTTACAACTGTCCTAACCCACTCGGCCACCGCTGATAGCTGGTGGTGAAAGACGTAAAAAAATTAAAAAGTCTTAAGTCGAAGAAAGGATTAAGTAAAATAAAAAACTGTCGTCTTTCACCAACAGCAGCAGTGGCCGAGTTGGTTAGGACAGTGGTTAGTCCATAAGCGGTGGTGGGTTCAAGGCTATGCAGTGTCAAAACATGAGTTTCAAAAATGGAAAAATTAGAAAATTGAACCATCGAAAAATCGCCAATTGGAAAATTGAAAATTGGAAAGTTAAAGGTGGAGGTTTCAAAGAAGTATTGAAAAAGTGGAACATTGGAAAATAAAAAAGGATAGTTGGAAATTTCAAAAAAATTGGAAGTTTCAAAAAAAGGAAAAAAACTCTAAATAAAAAAAAAATCGGACATTTAAAATAATTCGGAATTTCAAAAACGATTGGAAGTTTCAAAAAAAGAGAAAAAAAATTAAAAGTAAAAAAAAAATTGGAAGTTTAAAAAAAAGGGAAAAAAATTCAAAGTAAAAAAAATGGGACAGTTAAATTCCAAAAGACAATGCGACGGCTTGAACAAGGTGGGGAGAAAGAGAGAGAGGAGGGGAAGAGAGAGAGAGGAGGGGAGGGAAAGAGAGGGAAAGAGAGGGAGAGAGGAGGGGAAGAGAGAGAGGAGGGGAGGGGAAGAGAGGGAGAGGGGAAGGGAAGAGAGAGAGGAGGAAGAGGGAAGGGAGGGGGAGAGAGGGAAGGGAGGGGAAGGGGGGGAGAGAGGGAAGGGAGGGGAGAGAGGGAGAGGGGAGAGAGGAAGGGAGGGGAAGAGAGGGAAGGGAGGGAAGAAAGGGAAGGGAGGGGGAGAGAGAGGGAAGAGAGAGGGGAGAGAGAGGGGAGAGAGAGGGAAGGGAGTGGGAAGGGAGTGGGAGAGGGAAGGGAATGGGAGTGGGAAGGGAGAGGGAAGGGAGTGGGAGAGGGAAGGGAATGGGAGAGGGAAGGGAATGGGAGAGGGAAGGGAATGGGAGAGGGAAGGGAGAGGGAATGGGAGAGGGAAGGGAGAGGGAAGGGAGAGGGAAGGGAGAGGGAAGGGAGAGGGAAGGGAGAGGGAAGGGAGAGGGAAGGGAGAGGAAGGGAGAGGGAGGGAGGGAATGGGAGAGGGAATGGGAGAGGGAATGGGAGAGGGAAGGGGAGGGAAGGGAGAGGGAAGGGAGGGGAAGGGGAGGGAAGGAGAGGGAAGGGAGGGAGAGGGAAGGGAGAGGAAGGGAGAGGGAAGGAGAGGGAAGGGAGAGGGAAGGGAGAGGGAAGGGAGAGGGAAGGGAGAGGGAAGGGAGAGGGAAGGAGAGGAAGGGAGAGGGAAGGGAGAGGGAAGGGAGAGGGAAGGGAGAGGGAAGGGAGAGGGAAGGGAGAGGGAAGGGAGAGGAAGGGAGAGGGAAGGGAGAGGGAAGGGAGAGGGAAGGGAGAGGGAAGGGAGGGAAGGGAGAGGGAAGGGAGAGGGAGGGAGAGGGAAGGAGAGGGAAGGGAGAGGGAAGGGAGAGGGAAGGGAGAGGGAAGGGAGAGGGAAGGGAGAGGGAAGGGAGAGGGAAGGGAGAGGGAAGGAGAGGGAAGGGAGAGGGAAGGGAGGGAAGGGAGAGGGAAGGGAGAGGGAAGGGAGAGGGAAGGGAGAGGGAAGGGAGAGGAGGGAGAGGGAAGGAGAGGGAAGGGAGAGGGAAGGGAGAGGGAAGGGAGAGGGAAGGGAGAGGGAGGGAGAGGGAAGGGAGAGGGAAGGGAGAGGAAGGGAGAGGGAAGGAGAGGGAAGGGAGAGGGAAGGGAGAGGGAAGGGAGAGGGAAGGGAGAGGAAGGGAGAGGGAAGGGAGAGGGAAGGGAGAGGGAAGGGAGAGGGAAGGGAGAGGGAAGGGAGAGGGAAGGGAGAGGGAAGGGAGAGGGAAGGGAGAGGGAAGGGAGAGGGAAGGGAGAGGGAAGGGAGAGGGAAGGGAGAGGGAAGGGAGAGGGAAGGGAGAGGGAAGGGAGAGGGAAGGGAGAGGGAAGGGAGAGGAAGGGAGAGGGAAGGGGAGGGAGGGGAGGGAGGGGAGGGAGGGGAGGGGAGGGGGAGGGGAAGGGAGGGAGAAAGAGGTGGGAAGAGAGAGAGAGAGAGAGGAGAAAAGAGAGGAAACCATATATCAACCGGTTGTATGCTCTCCTCTCTTCTCCCTCTCCCCCTCTCTTCTCCTCTCTCCCTCTTTTGAAATTCCGAATTTCTTTGATTGTCTAATTTTTTTTACTTAAGTTCTTTGAATTTTTTTTTTCGAAACTTCGAATTTTTTTTTAATTTTCCTATTGAAACTTCGAATTTTTTTTAATTTTTCAATTTTCAATTTTTCAATTTTCCAATTTTTCCATTTTTGAAACACATGTTTTGACACTGCAAGAGATTGAACCCACCACCGCTTATGGACTAACCACTGTCCTAACCAACTCCGCCACTGCTGCTTGTGGTGAAAGACGACAGTTTTTTTTTTACTGACGACAGTTTTTTTTTTACTTAATCCGTTCTTCGACTTAAGACTTTTTAAATTTTCTAAGTCTTTCACGTGTGTTCACTGTGTTGGACTGCATCAGTGGAAGGCTTAATTTATTTATGTGGGTGAATTTCCATAGATATTATTTGTGAGCTTCCCTAATAACAATAAAGTATATATATTTACTATATTACCTGGGTCTCTCTTTACGCTGTTTGTCTTTTTCATCCACAAACAATTTTGCAAGACCACCTAAAATATCAGATGGAAACATTGCTATAACTAAACTATACATAGAAATCAAACTTCGTTCAGCCATATATCTCACATACTATAGTCTAGTCCCAACAATTCTTAAGGCCAGCGCACACTAGAGCTATGTGCTTAGCAAAAAGTCATTCATGGCTAGTTGCTCTTGTGTGCAGGCGACTTTTCCAGCGACTTTGGTCATTCGTATCAAAAGTCGCTGGAAAATTCGCCTGCAAACCGGAGAGCAACTGGCTTACGCCAATGGTCACAAATAACTTTTTGCTAAGCACATAGCTCTAGTACTAGTGTGCGTCGGCTTTTAAATGTCGGACACTGAAGAAATCTTCTTAATCTTTTACAATCATCAGACGTCACAATGCTTGTAATTAAAAAAAAAAGCGTGCGTCTAAATTTTGAGAAATGAGCAATGGATGAAATAAGCGATTCACATTTATATCGTAATATTTACACAAACATTTTATCACAACAAATACATGCTGAGAATAGGCTACATCGTTTAATGTTGACACGCAAAGGCAAGAACGCGGCGTCATTTGATGGCCATTTATCTACAGTGCGTGCCAAAGTTGAAAAAGATCGCAACAGAATTAAGAAACTGGGCGAAAGCCTTCTCCTCATGGAGAGAAAAGAAACCGCTGCTGTAAAAGGTTTGATGTATTTTTTGAAGACGCTTTTTTTTTTTTTAAAAATCTTCATAAAAAAGATGCTATTAACAAGTTTCTTTCACAGCAGGTTCGACGGTGAACGGAAATATGAAGATTGAAAAAGATCCAAAGCCAAGTGGGTTTGTAACATTATTAAATATTGAAAATCTACGAGATCAGTTTAGACTTGGTCAAAACGACGTATCACACGAACCAAGAAAGGGCCAAAAACACAACAACTCAAGAAACACACTCGATCAAAATGCTGTCCAATTAACTATCGACCCCAAAGATATTGAATTGTTCTTTGAGGATCCGATGACTCAGTGTACGCAATACTGCCCACAAAGTGCTCTTCACACCAGAAATATTGACGAGCAGGGAATGTTTAGAAAATTCGATAGTCGTAGTAGAAATGATGCGTTAACGTCATCTCAATGTCTGAAAGATGTTTTACCAAAACGAGTTAGCTTTAATGATATCCCAGATGTCATTGCTACACAAGAGGTTGGGAACCAAAATATTATGGCCAATCATGAAGGATGGAGATCTGACTACTCCGACGATGAGGCAGACGAAACTACAGAAGGAAATCATCTCAAGAAAAAATGTAATTTGTCTCGTTTTACACGGCCAATTTCTTCCTGAAGTATAACACTGGTTAGATATCCGGGAATATAGTTAATATCTGGCAGAACAAACTAGTTTAGAGTCGTAGTAAGACTGGATCAATACCTAAATAAAACAAATCTATTGAAAGAACAGTCTACAACATCTTAGAGCGACCAAATGTGATAAGCGATGCAGCTATTTTCATAGTTTATTATTCATCTCTTTAGCTGGTAAACGTTACCGTGAGCCACCACCGGAGTTCGATCCATACTCATACCAAGATCGTGATGAACGTCGAAACACGCCTGAATCATCATTTAGACAAGCACGAATATACAAGCAGAATTTGGCCAGAAAAGGTGTTTCTTTTTTCACCAATTTTACCGATGAATCTAAACAACGGTTAGTGTTCATTATTTGTGCCGACGAGACATTAATTGTTGATTTATTTGCTGTATAGACGAGTGTCATGATAATACACCAAAGCCTTTCTTCAAGTCTCAAAAGCTTCTGAAGAATTGTGAAGAGAACTGGGGTTTAGCCAACGACCAAGGAAACAGTCCGTTTAAAAGTCCTTGGGAAGGAGTGATATCAACGTCTTTACAGAGAGAACAAAATTACAGTACCCAGGTTGTTCCAAGTTCGATAACAAACCATGAAGGTTTGAAGAGTTTTTCATCGCAGAATTGCTTGGAAATGATAAAAAATGATCAAGTAAATGTATTTTAGTTTTTCCAGATGATTTGTCAGGCAGTAAAACATTGGAATGCAATCAAAACTCGTTAAAAGCAGCCCCAGAAGTTTGCAACAGCAAAGAGGAAATCATACCGAAGACGGATGATCGTTTCAGGATGGAGAAAACTAGCCATGAAAAATTTGAAGAATATAAGAAACAATGTTTGTGATTGTTCTGTTAGGATTGGGTTTTTAGCAAAATATAGTGCTCGAAATGTAGTTTCTTAGACCATCATGTATATGCTGGTCGATGTGCATGTGTGATACCCGATTTAAATATTTCTCTACTTCTGTAGGGTTAAATCTGGGAAAAGACAACGAGCCAAAACAAGAAGAAATGAATGAAAGCGATGACATTTACGACCATGTTGTTAAGAGAACATGCGATAGCAAATTTATACAAGGTATTAAAGTAGGGCAATTAACGATGTTAGAAATACAGCGAAGTATTCATCAACCAAGTTCTCACAGTCAATATTTTCTATCTTGTATTTAGATAGTGCTCTCACTGCATTGAGAAGACAATCATGGTCTCTTTACCCTCCTAATAAGAATAAAATACAACAGAAAGTCTGGGGGAGAATAGCGTTGATATTCCGCAGAAATACAAAGAACAAATCACAAGTTATCAAGGCGGACAAGAAAGAATTTCACGTCGCCAAAAATGTCCGAAGACGAATGAGCTTACGGCCTCTTCCGGAGACTCCCGAAATTATGGAAAATAATTCGTATGCTAACACCACTGACTCGTTAGAATCATTCCACCACAACTAAGCTGTCTGTTATATCAGGTTAAAACGGTGAATTGGAAATCTCTATAGCAGCGAATATTTTTGGCATATTCACTAAAGCAAATACAATATACTACACACAAATATTATAACAATAATTTGAACACTTTACCGGGAGTAATCCGCCTTTTCAGTGCCATAATGCTCTGTCGTTGATCCTCAGGAAATAACGCAACAGTTGTTGTCCCGTCAGGTCAACAAGACTTGCATGATAAAATCACCCTGGAGAAACAAAGAAATTCATAAAATCAAGTCGTGTAATATTAACGGAGATACTGATGGTTATAGGACTTGTACATACCTCGAGCTTTCCGAAAAAATTAAATTTTCTTCTTTCAAAATTGTAAATGGAAGATGAAAAGTTCGTAAATAACGTAAAATATTTACGAGACAAAACAACCATCAGAAACGAGATATTTCACTCAGCACTGACGTTTTCTGATCCTGAAAACCATGTTGCTGGGTTTGTACTGGATTGCGCGGTGGGGCTGATGGTGCAGAGGTAGGTAAGGATACTTGTATGAGGAGGAGTCGTTCTGCCTTGTTTGTGGGCCACTAAATCTATCCTTAGAACGATCACGTCTGTGGGCTGGATCAGGTGCACGTGTATTCCCGAGATCTAGAACCAGGGCCAGAGCGTGGGACGGTGGTCCACGAGACGGTCATCTGAGCGACGCCGATCAAAATCACGAGGATCACGATAATCCTGACCTCACTGATCTAAAGATTGATAAAATATTTAATAAGTTTTGTCTGATTTCATTTTCTTCAATAAATCATACCTAAGGATACAGAAACACATCCCATTCCTAAATAGTTCCTCAGAACAATTAGTGATAAATATGAGAGACAATTCTATATACTACACTTTGGGATATCATATGATTTTGAAATCAGTGGCGTAGCCAGCCTGACCATTTTATCCTGCTATGTAAATTTTGTGTTATTATAATTATTTATTTCTGTAGAAATTCATTGTTTTCACAGTCGATAAACACCAAAATATTAGCATAGCAGGACAAATCATCAGGCTGGCTATGCCACTGTTCGAAATGAAAAATACCTAAATAAGAACAGATTTATAGGCACATACGTCTGCAAAAAATCCAAATCATAGTGACCTAAATCAGTTATATTTCACTGGTAATGGCTGATGTTAACATCAAGAGATTTATTTGTAAGAGGAAAAGTAGTGGGTGAAATAATTGTAGTTAAATTATAAGCCATGCAGGGAATACCTTGGGACCAAAAGTCAGGAGAAACTTGAAAGTCCTTGTGTATCTGGATGAGGTGGGATGTGACCAGGAGAAAGGTGCCCCCTGACCTCTCCCCCTGGTTGATCAGATCGCAATGGTTGTGGAGAGGTTCTGTTTGTTCAATTAGTTTAATTCATAAGAATTAATTTGCAGTGTGAATAAATAATAAAATATTGTCCATTAATTTGATGCCTCTTTGGAAAACTGAGGAATTTAAAGATTCTTCACATAATGACACATTACTTCATGTAAAGCTTATTATTGCATTTCAACTGACTTAAGATGGTTGCTCAATGGAGTGTGAGAGGTTGATTGGTACTATAGCTTATATAGCTTTTGACTAATATTTTGTAAGATAAAGTCAGATTTCTTTATGATAACTACTTAACATATGGAGGTTATAAATTCAAGAGCAGCAATGGTTAGTAACTATGAAGTTTTTGCTTTAATTGAGGAGAAAATGCAACAGGAATCAAGTAAAAGAGGTAAAAAGAAGCAAAAGCAAGAGAACTTGGCAACCATTTCATACGAAGTAATGAAGTACCTGGAAAAAACACCTTGTAAACTACAAAATAAGGATGTTATAAAACAGTTCCTAACTGATGTGGCACCATTTAACCTAACTAAAGGTGAAAAGCTTCAATTGTTGAATTTAAGACCAACAACACCAGTTGAAATACAACTTATAGTTGAAGAGAGTGAAGAAAGACTACGAACAGATGAAGAACTGGATCAACTAATTGAGATTGTTAGCAAATTACCAAGTATGGATAGTGAGATAATAAACGAAGAGGGAATGGATGAAGGAACTGAATGAAATGAAGAGGGAATGGACCAAGAAACTGAATGAAATGAAGAGGGAATGGACGAAGGAACTGAATGAAATGTTATATAATATTCTTCAGTGTGTTGAATAAAGTGTATTGAAAGAAAGAGAAACTGTTCATTGAAGTTTTTTTTGCATGTCAATGAAAATTATAATTTCTAAATATCTTGGGAATCATGGTTGCATTTTTAGCACTGTAACCCTGGGGACTTTTGCAATTACATTAAACCATGTCAAAGATAGTGTTGTAAGAATGCTTAGAAATAATTTTGAAGTTTTTACAAGTTTTATACAATGCAGAATCCTAAGACCCCTTGTATGCAACTCATATTGCCCTTGCAAGTGTTATATTTTACCTTTGTAGCCCATATTTTGATGGCAAATTAAATTATTGAAAAGGAAACAACTGGAATTATACAATATCATGTACAGGGTATTGATGAAAGTAGGCAAAACAACTTATACCAATTTCCAACTGGAATTAAATTTTTCTTGTTTAATTTCTGCCAAATTTGCAACTGGTAATTATAATAATTTACGTCTTACAAAAGATTTAAGTGCAAAAAAGTGGTCTGAAACCACTAGTATCATTTTTTATTTTAACATTACAAGTTTTTCATACATATGTTCATAATACTACCTTATACTTAGTTCACTACAGTCTTAAAGTTTCTTATTGCAAGTTATAACACTGTTCAATGGGAGCCCAGGAACTTAATTTTAATGGGAAACCAGGAACTTAATTGCCACCACGGAGACGAAGAACAAGATGAAGGGTGGACTCTTTTTGGATGTTGTAATCAGACAGTGTGCGACCATCTTCAAGTTGCTTGCCAGCAAAGATAAGACGTTGTTGGTCTGGAGGGATTCCTTCTTTATCTTGAATCTTCGTTTTCACATTTTCAATGGTGTCGCTGGGTTCCACTTCAAGGGTGATGGTCTTGCCAGTCAGGGTTTTCACAAAGATCTGCATACCACCACGGAGACGAAGAACAAGATGAAGAGTTGATTCTTTTTGGATATTGTAGTCGGAAAGGGTTCGGCCATCTTCAAGTTGCTTGCCAGCGAAAATCAGACGTTGTTGGTCTGGAGGGATTCCTTCTTTATCTTGAATCTTCGTCTTCACATTTTCAATGGTATCACTGGGTTCCACTTCAAGGGTGATGGTCTTGCCAGTCAGGGTTTTCACAAAGATCTGCATACCACCACGAAGACGAAGGACAAGGTGAAGGGTTGATTCTTTCTGAATATTGTAGTCAGAAAGGGTTCGGCCATCTTCAAGTTGTTTGCCAGCGAAAATAAGACGTTGTTGGTCTGGAGGGATTCCTTCTTTATCTTGAATCTTTGTTTTCACATTTTCAATCGTGTCGCTGGGTTCGACTTCAAGGGTGATGGTTTTTCCAGTCAGGGTTTTGACGAAAATCTGCATACCGCCACGAAGACGAAGGACAAGATGAAGGGTGGATTCTTTCTGAATATTGTAGTCGGAAAGGGTTCGGCCATCTTCAAGTTGTTTTCCAGCGAATATCAGTCGTTGTTGGTCAGGAGGGATTCCTTCTTTGTCTTGAATTTTTGTCTTCACATTCTCAATCGTGTCGCTGGGTTCGACTTCAAGGGTGATGGTTTTTCCAGTCAGGGTTTTGACGAAAATCTGCATACCGCCACGAAGACGAAGGACAAGGTGAAGGGTGGATTCTTTCTGAATATTGTAGTCGGAAAGGGTTCGGCCATCTTCAAGTTGTTTTCCTGCGAATATCAGACGTTGTTGGTCAGGAGGGATTCCTTCTTTGTCTTGAATTTTCGTTTTCACATTCTCAATTGTGTCGCTTGGTTCCACTTCAAGGGTGATGGTTTTTCCAGTCAGGGTTTTCACGAAAATCTGCATACCGCCACGAAGACGAAGGACAAGGTGAAGGGTTGACTCTTTCTGGATATTGTAGTCGGAAAGGGTTCTGCCGTCTTCAAGTTGTTTGCCAGCGAAAATCAAACGCTGTTGGTCGGGAGGAATGCCTTCTTTATCTTGAATTTTCGTCTTGACATTCTCGATTGTATCACTTGGTTCAACTTCCAAAGTGATAGTCTTGCCAGTCAGGGTCTTCACGAAGATTTGCATGACGAAATTTTGAAAAAATATGCGAACGATAAGCTTTCTTTCTCAGTCAAAAAATAACAAACAATAATGGACGCCGAACCTTCGTTCTCGGTTTTATGCCCAGCCTTTTTGCGTCTCTGATTGGCTGAAAAATGTCACGTGCATTGATGAGTCATAAATTATGAACAAACGGCTTGGGAGAAATTGACACAAAAGATGCAGAAAGTTTTTTTAAATACCTAAAAATGTTTAGTAACTTTACAATTTACCCAAAATAACTATTTACATAAACAGTTGAAAGAAAACATGCCGTTACTACAGAAATATTTATTTCCATATTCTATAATTTCATGGCCAGATGGGATTATTCAGATCTGATTAACATCTCAATTCCTATTACAGTGCCACCATGAGCTCATTTTCGCAAATTTAGCATATCATGCAAATCAGCTGTCTGTGCGTCATTTCCGCCTAAGCGCCATTTGCGGAAAAGAAACTTTCAATATTAGCCTCATAGTAATCCAAAGCAAAAAGTCATTCTTTGTCTATTTCAATTTAACTTGAAAGCGTTTACAAACATTTACACCAATTCATTGTATAGTATTATTTCGGTGCCGGTGAACGAACTCAAAGTAAAAAGACTTGAGTCATCTGTCAGACAAGGGCGAAGAATGTGCCCGCTCATCATTCGTCAGGCAAAATAATCAAGGCAAGTTTAGCTTGCTCACGATGACAGTTTCGTTTTGGTTTTGCACAATTAAGTAGGCTTTTATTTTATAAAAGCAAAATGGGTGAAAAATCGGAGTTATTAATTAATTGGGCGCGGTGGGACATGACATCACACCTTAATAGTTAGTAATATTGGATTGAATAAAAAATTCAAAAATTTTCCTTATTATAAAAAAACTTTACTCCTTCCTGTAATGTGCTGTATTGATCACACAGGATATGCAACGTATGAGATAGGGATTGTGGGCCACAGAAGAAAACACCAACGTCAGTACTGAAAAAGATATTTCAGGATTGTAACGTTATATCTCTATTGCATCATAGCATCGTAAGCACACGTCAACCTCGTACCCACACGTACACTCCCACCTCCACGCGTGTTCACTATGAGCTTCTTATAAAAACCACACACTATAATGCGTTCAGTCGAACTTCGACGTTTCGAGTGGAGGACACATCATCCGAAACGTCGAAGTTCTTCTGCTTCTCTAGATGGCCTACACACGTCCTGCCATCATCAAATAACTTCTCATTAAATGCGGTTCAGAAACAAGACCATACATACAAACAATTATCGGGCCATCATCAGGAGAGTTCGTAAAATGCATTTGGTAAACTAATGGCTGATTTAGTCGGTAAATCTCTGGGCACGTTAAGTAAAGATGTACTCCGTAAGATGTACTCTATCAAACGTTGTTCGCATGTTATATATGGGTTAGGTTAGGGCTAGGGTAAATATCTGAACGAATAGTGAACCCGACGTTCGCTTTCTGGTTAACAGGTAAAGAAAGCTTTCTAACCTTGGATTATCATTTGCGATTGTCTTGAAGATATTTGTCCATTCCGGGCGACCAAAATGAGTTTTTTGTCTTAAACCTGTGATGACATCGACGCTTTGCCTTTCGTCACGAACCATAATATTTCTTGCCTAAATACGTTGAAAGAAGTTTATTGAAGCCGTAATCGAGAGAAAATATGGAGAAAATCATAATTCGTTGACAATTTTAACCTCTTCCTTGCTCCAGCCTCGGGTAAGATAAATATTGTAACTTAAAAATCCATGGTTTCCTTTTTCAGCCATCTAAAAGGAAGAACAGGTTCTTGCTTACACCACCACACACTGGAAGTGAATCTCAATGAATCTGTATTTCAACCACAAATCTTGAATTTTAATAAAACTACGACCAACCTGGCTTTCAAGACTTTCCAATAGCTGCGCAAACCACTCGAAAGCGTTCGTATCTGGACAGATCCAGTAAAAATAAATCTTTTGGATTTGAAGCGAAGGACATGAATGTTCATGACGGTGCCTTCATGATCAAAAGGATATTTGCATACAAAGATAAATTAGATTCGTGATCTCTTTCGGAAGTTATTTTGGTTTGCAAACTTACCATATTGACTTCAAAATAGATGCAAATGGAGTGACGCCAATTCCAGCTCCAATAAACACACATGTTGTATATTTGAAATAACCCTAAACGAGAAAATTTCACTTGAATATTTTACCAATTGAAGAAGCGTGCCGACAAACCTCAGTTCACAAAACTTACAGAGCTGGATGTCCCGAATGGTCCATCAACAGAAATACTAAATGGTAAAATGGAAAATATCTACAAACAAATCTTGATCTCACATCTGCGTTCACACAAGATGTGGCATGGTACGCTACTCGAATTTGTCCGGATTCCTCGTGTGTGAACACGAAGAACTAGTCAAATTTTCATCTATTTTTACCGTGTGAACATCTGAACCGGACGAATTCAAGCACGGTCCTAATGTCCGGTCCGGTGTGATCGCAGCCTACTTGAACATAAGAGTTGTTCATTTAAAACTATGACAAAAAAAAATGAGAGAAAGGAACAAACCTTGGAGCATTGTTGAGATCATTCACCACGATACCCTCACCAACACAAGCTTTCGAGAACGATGCTATTAGAAAAGATATTGAATGATATAGATCGCTGCGTGTAACTGGATTAACAACAAATACGAATACTGCAAAAACAGAAGTTTTAACAAACTTGTCCAATCTCCAACTGTACGAATATGAACACTAAATGTTTCCTCCTCTGGACTCTATACAAAACATGAAACAACATCAAACACATGCGATCTACAATTGTATAAAATATCGCTCAACAATACTCACGGATGTTAAGGTAAAAGGATGCCATTCTAATCTGGATATTTTTGGACATTGCAGGAACACGTACTATCAAATGAAATAAAAGAAAAATTCCCATAATTGTCTTCTAGAGAAGATAATCCCCGCGTTATCATTTCATTATGAGATAAACAAGAGAAATAAGCAAATAAAAGATTCTCACTTGTCCAGCAGAGTAATTGAAACCAGGTTTCTTCATTTTAATTTCAATAACATTTGACGGATGTTTAACGACCTTTAAAAGACAAAATATGATCGACGAGAACCTGGAACAATTTAAAAAAGGTCTCAATTATCGCATCGGTACCTTTGTAATTGCGACATTTTGCATGGATCTTACAAAACGAATACACCTTTCAATGAAATATAATGATAGTGGTAAGACAATCCACTTCCAAGTCTGAAACATGGAGAAATAGAGATTACTCGTGAAACTGGATTATGAAATATGAAAAGAGAATGATTGTATACCTGAGGTCCAGACGATTCAAAATGCGGCAGACGACGACATTTGTTGATATCTCCCTTGCATCTTTCTGGATCATGTTCATCAGTGTTTGTTTGTCTGCGTACTAAACCCCTGTAGGTTGAGAAAGAGTTTGGTTTTAAAGGTTTGTCTTGTCTACCTGTTAAATTCTCCTTTCTTGCGGAAAGGGAAACGTCAAATTCTGTTAAAACAAAACATAACTTACTGCATGCCATGGACGATCAGTCCCACAAAGAAAATAACAAACAAATGATGGGTGTACCAGAACACTTCAAAATATGAACGTCTAGAGGAAAACAAATAATAAAGTTGGACTCTGCTGTTCATCCATTTTCATTCTTTGCGTTGCTGGTTACAAGTCATGTCTGCATTTTCTCATTCAACATCCCAAAACAAAGTATGAATTTTCAATAGTACCTTAAAAGTTCTGTAGATGATGTTACCTTAAAAAAGATCAAAGTGCCTGTTAGTCTACAAACAGACTTTGCATAAAATGAATAATTGTCAGGTTAAAAGATTTGAAGGATGAAAGCTGATAAGACTATTCAAAGCCTTCATTTGATTCCACCTGCATGCACATTGCTATGGCTTTATAAATTGGTTTATGTTACGAGGAAAACCTCAACAATCTTACCATCAAGATTAGCATGATAGTTATTATGAATCCAGAAACTCCAGCCACTGTTTAAAGAATTCAACTGAATTAGAAAATTGATTGAAAAGACAAGAATAAAAAACTTATAATTGAAGTTACCAACCAACCTGTACGAAAGACTTCAGTTGGAGGATCCTAAGAAAGACATAATTAAATCATAGTGTATCACTCTATACTACTGTATATAAATTTTTATCATAAAAATTACTCATGAATGTTTGTTGAAATATATTTAGCAATAGTATCATGCACTGACTGAATTTATTAGAGAACATCTATCATCATGGCCACACCTATGCAGTAAGCACATACAATTCGGCAGTAGATAGTAAATTAAACTTACAGAATTTTGTTTCCTAACAGGATTTATGTATGTTTTGTCGCCAGAATCACCCAAAATACTCAATGAGTGCTCAAGATTTGTGCCATCGTAAGCTCTCACAAGATTCTCAAAGTTGAAGACATGTGCACCTATATGTATTGCTATAAGATTTGAAAAAAAATTTAAAAAATTCATACTAAGCAGTGTGCAATTTGTTAAAGTCAAGATGAAATTAGAAGGTCTACCTGTGAAGAGACAAATAGCATAAGCAATGACTTTATGAAATTTCAGATTTTTATCCAGCAGACGTTGAAGGTTTTGTCCCATGCCACAACACTGAACAAATTGATAAAAACAATATATAATAACTATTTATGTGGTAAGTTTACGTTTTGAAGAAGAACTTACATCAAGGCCTCGAAGAAAGGATAACATATTTCGACAGACTGGAAGGAGAATTAGCAGACAATTGAAGTTGATAACAGTTGCAGAAGCTCTTGCCCATGGTAGACCTGACTGTGGTGATGAAATTAAAAGACTGAATTATTGATGCAATTGATTAAAAAAAGATGTAAAAAAAAGGTGTACAAGGTTCATTATCTGGAGGGGAGGTGTGATGGTGAAAATTTTAAATAATCAATTGGAGCTGGATTGTGTATAACAGTATCCAATGTACCTCTGGAATACATTTATTTTTCACTACATGGGGAGTGAATACCTTTGTTAAAACTCTGAGATAATAGTATTCCTTGCTTGAGTTGTATTTTTCAAAAGTGACACCAAATAGCAGTGCATTAATTCCAATCCAAATAGCCTAGAAAATAAGATTTATATTGCAAGGAAATTTGAAAACAATGCTTACACATCCTATAATATCCCAATTCCAATTCACTTTATTCATTCTTTCACTGTTTTCAATAACACACTGAACTGTAATATCCTGTTATTAATTTAATTTACATCAATGGACCCCCTGGATTCCTAACTGGCAGGGTGCTTTAATAGAAGACTAAGGATAACTTTATCAATTGTTTTTGTATAATACAAGCTGGAATAATGAGCTCTTTGGTTTCCCACATCAAAGAAAAGATAAAAGAGCCAGGGGGTATGCCCATACAAAGAACAATATGATTGGCTCAAGACATGATTGGCTCTTTCAAGGTTTATGTTATTGTTAAGAGGAGTGATGATAATGAGGTGAAGGGTGTCTGTTTGCGGAGATGGAGAAAAAACTTTTACTTCACTATTACCAGTCTGCAATGGCTCATAACTTCATACATACCAATAACACCCATTTTGCACGATCACTTGGATTCATCTTGTTTTTAATATTGTTCAATTGTTTCACTACAATTAAGGCTGTATTTTTATCATATTTCTCAGAAAATTTAGTTGATTTTATAGTTGTAATACTTGGCCTCTTTAACGAATAAGAGAGCTGGCTACCACCTCCTGGTTATAAGAAACAACCAGTAAAACAACCCACCATGAAAAATATACCACAAAATCTCACCCTCCTGGTGGTGCGAATTACTAGTTCCAGTCTCCAAGTGTGTTAACCCGGAAGAGAAGCAAGATTCAAGAAGAAGCGTGTATATTTGTATAAAGAATTGAAATGGCGGATCGACAAAGGCTTGACCCTCCAAAACAAACGCTAGACGATGCTTATGCGGCTCCTGCGAATTTTTTGGAAGTCGACGTTGTTACACCAGAGACTCATGGAGTTGGGAAGAAACGATACACGGATTATGAAGTCAGAATGAGGGTATGAATTGCTTTTGAATTTTGTCTGCCTAGTGTATCAGCTTTCAAGATGGAGAATGATATTGTCAGCTATATTTGTGCAAGGTTCATGCTTCATTTTAGCAAATATCAGATCGATCGTATACGAATAAACACAGATTTATGTAAATTTATAATTATATCATCAAAGTTTGCATGTCGTATTGAGTTTTATATATATGTTGCAATTCATGAATTGACTCGTTTTGGGCATATTTGCATCATATTTTTGTTCAAACACGTATTACTTGATGTATTCTGCTGATATTTGGTTATTGATTTAGAGTGGTTGATAGTTTTTGTCGAGGTATTCAATGGATCCTCATATATTATACATGTACATATTACCATAATGCAATCATTGATAAATATGTGCCATCTCAACTGTTTATTGCAATATACATTCATATTTATCATCAGTCACTTATCTCAATCTGCATCTAGTCAAACTTGCCAGTATTCAAGCTCAAAAACTCATCCGTAAGACGACGTTACAGTGACTTTGAATGGTTGAAAGCTGAACTTGAGAGAGACAGTAAGGTAAATATCATGATTGTGAAAACACCTTGCACTATCAAAGTAATTTATCAATTTTCAATTGATCACTTAGTACTACAAGTAGTCAATTCTGTGTTTTAAGTGCTTCATTTGATAAGTATTATGGTAAAAAAGGCTTTAAACTTTAGATTGTAGTTCCACCTTTACCTGGAAAGGCTTTAAAACGGATGCTACCATTTAGGGGTGATGACGGTTAGTAATTCATTTATCTTTCTCTTTCCTTTATTATATTATGATAAAAGACATAATAGTTTTGCTATAATTCTATGCATACAGAACCAGTAAATGCATTAACGGAAAATTATTCATGATATGTTTTGCATGTCATGTTTTAGGTATATTTGAAGATGAATTTATTGAAGAAAGAAGGCAAGGTCTGGAAGCATTCGTCAACAGGTGAATTCAAATTATTCTGCAGTTAATATTTAATATGATGTGGAGGTTCATCTATTCACATTGTTATGATATAATTTTTATAGGATTGCAGGCCATCCATTAGCACAGAATGAAAAATGTCTTCATATGTTTCTGCAAGATCCATCAATTGACAAGAGTTACACACCAGGGAAAGTTCGCCACACATAACAAGAACTAGATCTGAATAAGTAATTTAGAAATTCATTTCATAATCCTTGTGACTTTGCAATTGCTTTATAACTGCTTATTAACATTCAGACAAAGTAACATAATTAGCAGGAAACAGGGTTGAACAATTTTACAATACTCTTCTTGAAAGTTTATATGACCATTATTAATTGGACATGATTTGAGCTTGCATTTTTAATTATTTAAAGAGATACAAACTTTCAGGTTGAGGCACTTTTTAATCCTTGCCTATTTTATTGCTCGACTCTGCTTTCAAATCTTTGCAATGCTGTTTTTCTTAAATGACTGTATATATAGGTTGTGCTAAGCTGATGAAAAATAGACAAGTTTGTAAAAACAAGGTCAATACTTTGTGTTCTTTAGCATGCCTCAATCATGTAGCTTTCCCATTTCATAGCAATTAGTTTTTTTTATCTTTAAATATGATTTCAGGTCATGTTTCTTTAAACATTCATCATTTCATAAAGAAATGTAGTTGTGCTAGACATTTTTGAAGAGCTTTTTAAGTAAATTGAAGAGATTTAGTTAAAACAATGAGTGATTTATTGGTGTTATGTGTAGGTATTTCAATGATCATGCAATGTAAATGATTATTCATTATTGATTAAGAGAATAATATGCAATGTTGTAATAAGTTTAATGTAATGTTTCTTTGTTGGATTACAATGTCCGGCTGCGCGATTTCATGAGAGGTTGTAATTTGTGTTGTAAAAAAGAGACACATAAACACCACTATTTATGTGCGCAAAATACAATTGAATACCATAGAAAATTCGCATCATTTGCGTTGGGTAATTTGATACTTCAAAGGTTTTGCCGCAAAAATGTTCCTCGGAAGTACTCGATAGAAATCGTCGTATCTTCGTAAGGTGTGTTGTGGAATCTAATAAACACGCACATGGTTCTTCTTTAAAATATGGGAATTCACTTGTGTTTTTAAACATGAATAGTCAATTTAAACTTACACAAAGCTGCGATAGAGTCAAGCCTGACTTGACTGTCCCTTCTGGGAGTTCCGATATACGTTTAGTTGTGGAAAGTAGCGAAAATCGCCCTGAAAAACGCAGAGGTTTCCGCAAACCTGCAACCAAGATGGCCAAAGATTTGACGACTGAAGTGGGTGCTCGTCCTGTCCGAAGAATCAAATTAAACAGACGGATTTTTCACAAGGATTCTACCGCGAAGCCTACGATTAATGTCAAGACATTGAGCGAGATAAGGAATGAAAAAAAGGCAAGTGAAGTGAAAGAAAAACAGACCACTGAAGTAAGTGTTAATTCCGTTGTTCACCGTCCAATCTCGCCTGTTGCTGTTGTAACTAATGCAAACCACATTCCCCCAAGATCATTAGTTATAAACGCAAACACTTCTTCTGATACCCGAACTGTTGTAAAAAGCGAGAATATTACACCATTAACACGTTTACTACAGCCTACTTTCAAGCTTAAACTAATGACAGAAGAGGAATGCAAACGTAATATTAGCAATAACGGCTTTGCTCGCAGAGTAATAAACAGGGGCCAAATGCAACCCAGCGAGTCTGCACAAGATGCCAACGTCAAGAAACGAAAGGCTTGTCCAATTCGTTTAAAACTTGCAAAAGTGGCTGATTTTAATCGTTCGACAACTTCCCCATCAAAAAAGGCTAGAATCAGTCCAATACAATCGCCTGTTTCTGAGCCTGTAACATCAAAGTTTGAAGGTGTACCTGCTTCATCCCCCACAGCACAATCATCATTACCTCCACAACCACCATTGCCCCTTGATAGTCCACCATCACCCCTTGATAGTCCACCATCACCTGCATTATCCCTTGGGGCATTGTCAGACAATGAACTAGGAAATGAGACGTATATTCCTTGCACAAATCCACGTGTTGTTGTATTATCAAAGCCTACTGAGTCATATGAAAAGGAATATACAAAGCCAGTTCAAACACAGGATGTTCACTCTCGTTTGGGTCCTCGTTTGGGTCCAATGAATACCACTGTCTCTCAACAAAATACATTCAATGATGATTGTTTGGACATCATGTCTGTTATTGCTGATGATGACGAGCTCTTCCTTGAGGATAAACCAAATGGCGAGTTAAAACGCACCCTTTCACAAGACAGCATTTTTCAAGATCACCAGCCTAGCCCTCGAGGTAATCTGAGGAGTTTGGTAAAAAAACCCAAGAGTAACTCAAAACATCCCAAACACTCCTTAGATGATGCTACTGTCAAAACACCAGCGTCAAAATCATTTCGGATTCCCCGTCAAGATTGTGAGAAGGACAGCAGGGACAACTCTGACAGGATCTCAAAACGCACAGCAGGTAGACCAGCAAGACACCAATCTACACATTCTAGTTCTGGCCGGAAAGCAGGTGACCTGTCAAAAGATTTCTCCTCTAAATCTCATTCCTCCCCAAAACCCACAAGAGTAGTTTCAAAGGATAGTCATAACTTGAATGGGTTTTCTGTCCAACCAAAAGCCCGTACTATTCAGCATAATTTGTGGTCGAATAATATTGTGGAAGCTTGGTCTCTTATAAAGGAATTAAAAGACTCAAAATCTTATATTGATTTGCGACTATTGGAGGAGACAATCAAAGTTTGTGAGAAAGTCAGTGTTAAAGGCAATACACCACAATTGGCTGAGATTGTATTGGGGGTTTTTGAAATGCTAGAAAAAAGAGGTGCACTCAAACCTATGGCATATATTCTCAGTATTTTAACATTATTTCGTTGTGATATGTTCCAGGAAGGTTTTGATAAATTGTCATCATTGCTTGAAGCTGAAACATTTCCACCTCAAGCATCACTTATGCATTTTGTGAATAATTTGCTAAAGTGTTTGAAGGACCATCCAAAGAGGATAATTGAACTTATATCACATTTGAAAAGATTCAAGTTTTCAAATCCAACACACATTTTCAATAATTGCCTGTCAACTCTTGTCAATGCTCCTGTTGATGCATTAAGAGAAATGTCTCCTGCTAAATGGGATTCATTGATTACCATGCTGTGTGACCCACCCAATGTCCAAGGAGCAATGCAAGTTCAGAATACTATGGAGAAGCACTGTATACCCATCAGTGATGAGTCAATTTCAAAATTACTTCTTATCTATCAGAAAACAAACTGCACAAAACAGCTTTTGGACTTTGCACACATAAAATGCACAAAAGAAAAATTTGACATTGGCTCTGTATTTGATCATGATAGTTTAAACCTTCGTGATGTTGAAGCACACATTCTGGATCTCCTCAAAACAAATTCCTTGCCTCAAGAAGAAGTGTCAGTTCATTTTATTGATAAAGCATCTGCAACAAAAGAGTACCACCTGATCTATAATGTGTTCCTGAAATCCGAAGCCTCGTCTGTATCCTTTCCTGTAAAGATTCTCAGGAAGATGGTTAATGCCTTGGAGAACTGGGAAGATAATATGACAGCTTCAGTGGAAGTATATTCCACTTTGCGAGATCAAGTAAGGAAAGCCGTCATGAAGGATCCAAAGCCACTGCCACCATCTGGTATGTCTCAGAAAACCAACAAGATTCAAGCCCGTCGTTGCTTTTCATTTGTGAAAAGTGGACATTGTAAATTTGGTGACAGATGCAGATATTCTCATATCAGTGAAGCAAGTTCTCAATTCCAGCAGAATTCAATCCAGCCCAGTAATCCCCAGAGCATTGGGAAGTCAGATGACAGAGAAGTGAAGTCACAACATATTTCAAGAACACAACCTGGTACAAGCACTACAATGGTCAATGACAATGGTCACAGTTCACTAAAGTTTCCGATATTTCCCCAGTCATCCTTTGTTCCAATATTCCCAAATCACACCCCACTTCTTCGGGTCCCAAATTCTATCAGAAACCCCCCAGATCATTCCCTCAGGCTCCCTTGCCAAACGCGATTTCCATCAAAGAATGTGCACACAACAGCTTCCCAATCTGCCCCTCGATTTGCATCGTTTCGTACCCTCTCCTATCCAATGTCAAACACTCCAGTCAACACCAAGCTTCAGCGGAGTTTCTCATGGGAACCTGGCTCCAATACTAAAGTAACATCGAGTAAATCACCATTGCCTTGTTTTCAACAGTCGAGTCCTGGTTCTGTTGACAACAACAACAACAACAACAAGAGCTCCTCTAAGATCCAGCAACGTGTTGACGAGTGTGTTGCATCCCGAAATTGGAAAGACCTTCATCTATGGTACGTTGAGTCAAAACAAACCAACAATGGAACTGTGGAAGCAAATGATTTGAGACTTCTCAGAAATGCTTTAACACATGAAATTACAACAATTGGCTCATGCTTTGGCGCGTTTGTTGACCAGGTTCGCGAGGTAAAAGAGAAAGTGTCGAAGTCCGATTGTGCAAGTCCTAATCCATTTGATGCTTACGATCTTCAGTTCATCGGCTCTCTTGGAGTGAGTCTTATGGAAAAGTGTAATGTTTCCAAGCGATTTGAGGAAGGCTACGAGGTATTGCATACTCTTCATACTCATAATATTAGTTACTTTGATTGTGGAAGTAACTTTGGCGTATATACCCGAGATATCCCGCCATCAGCGGTTGCCATCATTGCTGTCAAGCTGTGCATAGGAATGTCAAACGAGGGTGGTCTTCTTGGAGCCGTTGAAGTGTTACGTGCGAGCAATTTTGCAATGGCTGAAGAAAATATAACTCCAGCTAGTATGGATCACAGAATCAAGGTATTACAACAGCTATTTAAACTGTTGTTTGATCAAGGGAATATCACCGAGGCGTATGAAATTGTACAACATCTAAATGCCAATCCTTCCGTCACAAATTCGCTGTATGGGAAAGTTTTAGAACATTACGCGGATTTGGAAGATTTCGACCAGGCTTTCAGCGTGGTAAATGAAATGCATGAGAAGAGACTGCATCTGAACAATTCCCTAATACAACATGTTTACAAGAAATTTCTCAAACTCTGCTTAGCTAATGGTCAAGATGACGAAGCCATTTCATCGATGGAAGAAATGGGGATTAGAAAAATAAATTTTGATGGTGAAGTGTGGCAAGAGATCTTAAGCCAGACTGTTCCAACAACGAATGAGCTTCTTCAGAACATGATATTCCATCGTTGTCGTGATCTTGGTGTCTATCCTGCCACCTTCTTCAACGACACTCCATGGTTATGTGAATTGAGTTGTGGTTACATTCGCGTCGAGGTGAAACTACTTATTGTACTACATCTTAAACAACTCCATCAACATTTGCAACAGATTGCATGGAAACAAGCTGCATTGTCCCTATCCGCTCTTAAACAATTCCAGATCACGATCATCCCACGATTAGCGACAGGAAATCAAAGATTGAATGGTGGTACTCAAACGACAATGAAACAGAACAGTTTGATTGTCGCCAAAGTTTTGTGGGAAGATCTCAATCCACCTTTAACGATCTCTGAACAAGCCCACGAACAGTTTCACTCCAGGTTTGTTATCGATCCAATGTCTCTGTATCGATGGTTCAACGCCAACAAACATGATTGCGAGCGTGACGAGGATGATGATGCTTCATCAAATAGTTCAATTGAGAGCTGTGTATCATACATGACGAAAATAACAACGTTTGATTAAAGAAGAAGAAAGGAAATAAAAAGGTTAGTGTTGTACTGTGTTGTCCAGTGAATCTTCCAGGAATGTCGATGTTATTTATACGACGTATTGTAAAGTAGTCTTAATGCAATTTTTTGTCTCTTGTAGGTCTTCTCAGTGTTGGTTTCAGTTATCTATCAAGGTCACCGTGCGAGGTTTTGTCTTTATAATGTAACAGAGGTAACAGAGTGAACATGTATAACTAAAAGACAGAGAAACATTGATCATATACTTAGCGTGTAAATGGTTCTGTTGTGGTTCTTAATGTTTTTCAGGTGCCACGTTATTTCATTTAAAATCGCGGGTGATAACGTGAAAATTATGTTTATAAAAACGACTGTTTCACAACTACCTATAAAAGTATGTACTATGTTTGATAGATACGTTGGACTTAGCCTTAAGGTAGTTTGATTAATCATTCATCCTTTAGCTTTCGAAGGACAAGCATAGTTAAACTGTGAGATTTAAGTAGAGCATGCAGTGATACAAACGCAATGATTCCTTTGCTTTGTGTAGTTGGGATACAATTTCTGTTTCCGCTGCAAAGACGAGCAAAGCAATTTTTCTTTCAATATAATGCACCACTCAAAAGGATTCAACAATGCTAAAAGTGTAAGACAGACCTTAAAGACAAGGTGTTTTTAAATTGTGTGGTCTTTTAGTCGAGATACTAAAGAATGAATGATTTATGGTTTAAACTAGTTGATTTTGATCATACCTGGGTTTCCCTAATACTTAACGGGCTTTTTTTTGTATAGTATGTATATATATATAGTTTAAGTTTGGTTCTTCAAAGACTTTCACTGAAAGCACAAACCATTGACATTGCGTGTTTGCTTGTATGTTATACATATTACATCTGCATGTGTATTATTAGACTTACAAGGAGTCAAGGAAAAAGAAACTCTATATTAAATATTTTATTTTGGAATTACATTGTTACTAGTGTGATTCCTTGTTAATATCCTTTAGAAAAGTGTAAAGTGAACTTTGCAGGTTCAAAAGCTATTGCAACAACGTGTTAGCTAGATATTCGCGTTCAATTTCACAACTTGTTATAGGCAAACTATTCTAACCCCAGATATACTTTGGTTCTTTGATACTTTCTCATTCGGTAAAATTACCGTTATCAACTTATTTAAAATGTTCTTGTTGGTAAACGAGAGAACTTGTTGTCAGGTTATTTTTTTTAGAAAAATTCTATTTGCAAAGAAATTATTTGTAATAGAACTTAATTGCCACCTTTTATACCAGTAACAAAGGAATATCAGTAAATGGTTCAGTTATTTTATAAGTGGCTATCAAGTGGCTGGATATTTGAATGTCATGGGTTTTTGTACATAATGTGAGTGGGTGTTTTAATGCATGTTATTTATGATAATATTCCAATTATTGAGTACTTCCGTCATAAGGGAAGACTAGACGGAAGAAAACTTTACCAGCTCCTTCAAACTCAAACAGGTGTCACTGTGTCAGAATACCATTTTAGTGAAATGCCACCAACCAGAGTGAACGAATTTGGGCAATGGACCCTTTGGGTGAGTGGCATGATTTAACCTTGACGCGCACCTTGTAAACGTCGTGTAAACGATGTTAACTGTTATTGTAAATAGGGTTTATCATTTGAACAAATTTCAAGTGGATATATATTGCTTTATGATTTTTAAGTGGATTGTTTTATGTGTCGTGTTGGTTCGTGATTTTAACGTAGTCTGGAATAATTTGCAACATATTTGTGTTAATTTGTAACACTGCAACTCTTCCAACGCATGATTGTAGTTATTATGGATGGCTGCCAATGGTATCGTATTTGGGCTGGCTTACAAACAGTTTGATGAAGGCAAAAAATATTATTATCTTCGTGCTATTTTAAAGGTCTGTGTCACCAAAATTGTAATATAAAATGACATGGTGCTTATAGGTACAGTATGTTGCAAATTAAATTAATTGTAAATTAATTGACCATTTAAATATTTTAGGGTGGTCTTCCATGGGCAAGAGCATCTGCAGCTGTGCTGAACTTCAATTGTTTTCTAATTCTACTCCCAGTTTGCAGAAATCTTTTGTCTGCTTTACGTGGGGTTCATGTAAGTCTACTATAAGTTCAATTGCTCTTGTTATCAAAGTATTAAAATATATTTTATATTTAATTTTCTGCAGTGTTTTGGTCTTATAAAAAGCATTTTCAGATTGTTGGATAAGAATCTGACATATCACAGACATATTGCATACATGATTTGCATCTTTTCTGGTGAGTTGGTAATAATTTGAATATAAAAAGTGAAGTTTTCTTGCAACAATTATGTTCCTAATGTATTTTTATACTATTTAGTTATTCATATTGGTGCCCATGTCTTTAATTTTGAGAGATTTGCAGCAGCTTGGGATGAAAGTCAATATGCTCTTATATACAGACTCTCTTTTAAGTTTGAAGATACTAGCTCTTCAACATGGTTAAACCCCATTCGACAGAGGGGAGTGGTATGATAAACTATTAAAGTATTGCTTTACTTAATTATTGTGAGCTGAACAAAAATATGACCTGATGCTGTAGAGCAGAGCATGATGCAGTGAATTAATACAGTGAAAAAAGTAGGTTAAATGAGAAATAAGGAGAACTAAGAACAAAAATAACATGTCCATTTTTTTTCCTAGGATCCTAACACAGAGTTGTTCAAAACAGGTTTGTCACCTTGTCTCAAATTAGTTACTTAAATGCATGTCCATAATTAAAATTATTTGCTCGATGTTTATAGTGGCTGGTATATCTGGTGTCATTATTACTCTTGCACTAGTTCTTATGGTAAGTTCAAAAATATTATGATACCACTGTTAATTATCAAATAAACTACCATTATAATTAAACTGGGTAACACAAACAATTCACTTTTTGCTCCATTCTTTTAGTTCACATCCTCAACAGAACTTATAAGGTGAAGCGTTCAAACAGAAATATTTTTAATTAAGCAATATCATAACACCTAACGCCCTTTTTACAGGCGTTCATATTTTGAGGTGTTTTGGTACACACATCATCTATTTGTAATTTTTTTTGTGGGACTTATTGTCCATGGTTTTGGGTGAGTGAATAATATTTATAACTTATGGTGAATTTTGGCTAAATAATTGATATGCCAATCCCCAAACGAAATCCTGACACTTTTAACAAAATTTACTTTGTTCAATAACCAGTGGTCTTGTCCGTAAACAAGTGAACACAAGCAGCCATGACCCTGTAGAATGCCAGGCCGAGGTCAATAAACATGAATGCCCAGATCCTCTCTTTGAAGCTACTGGTGCCACGGTAATGACCTATTGTTTTTATAACTGTTATTTAATTATTCTGGAGTAATGAATTATTTTATTTTCTTTCATGTATGTTTATATAGTCCTGGAAATGGGTTACAGCTCCATTGGCATTATATTTTATTGAGAGATGCATCAGATTTGTTAGATCACTGCAAAATGTGAAAGTTACAAAGGTACAATATGGTTGTTTGATCATATAGAGGCCTAATTTAAATGGAATCAATCTGACAGATGAATCTTATTTAATCTACTATCTTGCTTAGGTTATAAAGCATCCCTCAAATGTTCTTGAAATCCAAATGACAAAGTCTAGATTTCATTCTGAACCAGGACAGGTAATATTTTACTAGATTAATAATTGCATAGCATACTCAACTCCTATTGAAACATTTCCTTACACATTTTAGTATATTTTCCTTCATTGTTCCAAGATCTCAAATCTCGAATGGCATCCGTTCACTCTTACCTCGGTAAAAACTTTTTTCATGAATAAAGTTGGGCTCAAGGTTTGAAGATTAATATGAAATAACTCAGTTGTTATGTGTTTTAGTGCCCTGAAGAAGACTACTTCAGTGTCCATATAAGAATTGTTGGAGACTGGACTAGTATGTGATATATTAAGACTGAATTAAGTTTGACTTCTATAGCTAATTACCTTGATTTCTATGGTTTAGTTATACTAATGTCTCCATCGTATATTTTAGGTGGTCTTGCAAAATTGTTTCTGGATGAAAATGAGGAACAGCGTGAAGAGAGACCCAGGTAATATAGTAAATATATATATACTTTGTTATTGAGGAAGCTGACAAATAATTTATATGGGAAATTTTGGCATTTAGACTTGCTGTAGATGGACCATTTGGTACGTCAAGTACTGTAAGTTGACCTATGTTTTACATTATTTCCCTTTTGTCAGTTTTTGGTTGTAAATTTCTTTCAAATTTCAATGTAGGATTTTATGAAATATTCTGTTTGTGTGTTTGTTGGAGCTGGTATTGGTGTGACACCCTTTGCCTCAATACTCAAGACAATATGGTATCAACATAATAAATCTGAATCATCTCTAAATATCAAGAAGATATACTTCTTTTGGATTTGCCGAGATACAAATGCATTTGAATGGTTTGCAGAGTTACTGGAGAGTTTAGAAGTTCAGGTGTGGATATCTCTTTTACTTATTGAATGTTTATGAATTTTGCAGCTTGCAATCTTAAAAAGACTACCAGAACAACTCTTTAATTGTGATATGATTTCAGGTCATTTAGACTAGCTCACTACCTCCTATGACAGCATTTTTAGAACTAGTGTACTTGTACCTTCACCTTTAAAGTGACTCCATCTCCGTCCCATGTTGAAGTTGTTTATAATTAGTTTGCTGTGATTCCTAGATGGTTGAAAAAGGAAATGGTGATTTCCTAGAGTATAACATGTATCTCACCCGAGGCTGGACGAACAATGAGGTATAACATTTATATTTTATCAATTCAAGTTATTTCATGAAAAATGAATAGTGAAATTCAATATTGACCAGGTGGATAAGCCAGGTTTGGATCACAAGAAAATACCCAGTGTATTTGTAATTAATTTTCTCAGGAGCGTATGTTTTACAATAGAAAGGGAAGCAGGAGGTTTGGTTTTACCACAGCAGGGTGACCCCCAGTCTAGCTCCGCCAAGGCTAAATCTTCAGGTTTACCAAGCTACTAAAATACAATCTTATTAACATGGAGTGTTTTATTTTTTTAAGGCCAGAAATATCATGTTACGAGATCAAGAAGAAGGGGAGGATGTTATTACAGGATTAAAACGGAAAACATTCTTTGGCAGACCACAATGGGATGGTATTTTTGATAATATTGCTCAGTCTAATCCAAGGTAGGATATTTATTTGCCTCAAATGAAGATTATGGTTCATTTTTTATTGCAGTGCAACAGCGTAGCCAGCACGATAATTGGGGGGTCCATGTACATATACTCACGTTACGAAGGATTAATTTCTTTTGGTATTGATTGTCTTTACACTCTGATAACATGAATATATGAATATGGCTCCCCAAATTATTCGTGCTGTTGCTGTTTATATTATATAATTTCTCTGCAAAATAAAGCATGAAAGAATTCTACTACGTGTTGTTTTTACCTTGTAATAGTCTTAGGCTACGTTTTTTCGCTTTTTTTGGTGCTTTTAGGTACATAATTTTCCTTAAAATTGCTTTTTTTTTCATTCTTTCACATTCTGGCAAAACGACGATTTTGAGTTTGCCGCCATTTTCAAAAACGGCTCAAAGCCTCAAACGATTGACCAATCAGAAGCCACAGTTTTAAATAATCATCTTCGTAATTAAAAAATATAACAAAATATAAAAAAAATAACCAAAAAAAAATTATATTTTGTTAGAAATTGACAAAAACGACTCCCCAAAAAACTCTAAAATGTGTTTTATTTTGTAGTACGGACATTGGGGTGTTTTTTTGTGGTCCATCAGGTTTATCTCATACTTTACGAAACATGAGCAATAAATACAGCAATGCAAAAGAAGGAATACGCTTCTATTACAACAAGGAAAACTTTTAAACTTGGCTGACTAAAATTATACCCAATATACTTCTATTGTGGCTTTTGTGGGTTTTTTTAACAAAATGCTATTTTTTAAGACTTTTTATTAAACCAAATGTGCATAATGACATACTATATATAAGATATAATGATTATGATAATGTTGTAATAAATTTTGTCAATAAAAATACGATACAATCACAGTTAACTTATCTGTGATGTAATCATCGATAAGAAATTAAAACTGATTTTTGGAACATCGGGTAGTTTTCGGATATTGTCGCAATACAATCGGGATTTTATTTTCGCCATTTGCGCTTGCGTGGTTTCTATGGTGATGCAATATGGCGACCAAAAAAGAAAAAGAAATTGGCTTTGGTTGAGATAAAATGCCACCGAAGAAGAAAGGAGATGGCGGAAAGAAAGGAAAGAAATCTGGAAAGAGTAAGGGAGAGAAGCAACCACAACTGACCGTAAGGGAAGCTGTTTTAGCCTTCCAGTAAGTGTTATTTTTTGCTAATAAATGAAGAACGAGCGATAAAAGTTTAAGTCGACTAGATCTTAATTATAGTAAGTAGGCTAAACTATATTGTTCTTATTGAATTATATTTTAATTTTCCAGAATTGAAGTGAGAGAACGAGATTTGGTAAAAATAACGGAAGAATTTCAGACGTTAAAAGACAGAAATCGTAGACTTCGTTACAGAGTAAGATTTTCACAATAATATTCAATTTTATGTGTGAAAGTCGTAGTTCTATATGATCAATCAAGAATGATGTTTGATTGCTTAAATCGTGTTTATGATAAAATATTTTAGAATGAGCAACTCAAAAAAGAGCAGGGAGAACACATAAAGACGTTGTTGAAACAAGCTAAAGAAAATGAAAAAGAAGTTGAACAAATGACAGTTGTGAAACAGGAGGAAGTTGAAAAGGCATTGGCTGATAAAATACAAATCATGAAGAAGCTCATTGCTGAACAGGATGGTATGTTCACAGTATGGATGAAGCTGTGTTATTTTTCAGTCTAATGTGTTAACTGTGTTGTCTCATCTCTGGCAGTTAATTGTCTTAGGAATTTTTTTCCAACCTTTTGTTTATTTGTATTTGAATGGCTGTGTTTACTACTGGGGTAATGTGGAGTCTGATTATAGATATTTTCTTGAATCTATGTTTTCACTTTGCTTAGAAAACAAGGAGAAAATTAAACAAATGGTAACCCAGATTGAGGAAATGAATCAAGCCATTGCAACAAGAAAAGAATATAAGGTGATGGTATTTAAAAAAAATTCTATTATGCACTCTTTAGAGCTGATTTTAATGAGCTAATTTGAGTCAAAAATATTTGTACTTCAGAATAATGGCCAAGTTGAACATGGAAATCAAATCAGCCTCCTTAAGAGGAAGCTCGCTGACATGGAAAGTTCATTTCAAGAAGTATCTGCTCATTTGGATCGCAGTTTAAGAATTGCCAAAGAAGAGATTGAACAACAAGGACAGTCTACTTTGGAAACGCAGAAGAAAGTTGCATCTGAGGAAGCTACTAATTCTATCAAAAAGGATGATAGACAAGAGATTGCGGATCACAAATGGCTCAAAAAAGAGGTGAGAATTTTTAACATTTAAGGTTGCAAACAACAGGAATGAATACAATATCTTTGTCTTAGAGCTTTGTCTTGTGCCAGCTTTGTCTTAGAGCCTTGTCATTTTCCTTCTTTAATAAACTCATCACCTTCTTCAATAAACTAGATCAGTATTCACGTAAGAGCCTTTGAAGATATGTCCGTCATTGTTGAATCATTGGAAAGGGAAAACCTTGAGATTATGAGAGAACTCTTTGACTGCAAGACAGAGGATTTGAATTTAGCAAGGTGAGGATGGTTTTGACCCATATCCGAGTTTTTTCGCGCAGATTTTACGTTAGTTTGTCTCTTTGACTAAGTCCGGAAAAGCGAATTCAAACCTCACTCAAGACAAGTAGTTTAACATCCGCTCTTTCTAGTGCCAGAAATGTCATTAAACCCTTGGTGATAATTTCTCTAATATTCATTGATTATAGACGTTTTTACCTGGCCTGTGTGAATGACCAAGACGAGAGCGGAGATGAAGAAGTTTTTGCGCAGCATAATGACGATGAAGTTGAACATCAAGATGAAAACCTGCTTGAAAACTACCTACATTTTAACGACGAAGACTATTTGGTAAGCAATTTATGACACAAAATACGATCTGTATTTTGTATCCTCCGTTAGACGGAAACCACGAACTGTATGAAGGTTATGAATTATGGAAGACGCAGTATCACTGTTCTGTCGTTTGGTTTTCTATCCCTGCGTGACCCAAAGGAGAGTAAATTTGGATGAGAAAACATTGCCCCTTGCTTGGTTTTAAATGGTAGACAATGTTTTCTCTAAAGTCGATTGTTATCTGCCATGCCAGCATGAATCCCCATTGATTTCTAGGGGCAGAATAGTGCTAAACTTTCCTTGTCTACCATCATGTTTCAGGACTCGCCAAGATTGGGGCCAATGGATCTACAGTTATTGTCTGTTGTTGGCACCAAAATGCCACTTCACGAGAGTACAAACTCACATCTACAGTTGATCGGTCAAGCTGATGAAGTCAATAATCAAAGTTTGGACAAGACTGAGAGTGAAAATGACATCTGGCCAATTTCAGAGAACATGTTGAGAACATTTGCTATAAAATAAAAATTTGTATTTTAGTCGCATTGGCTTTTTTGACGTTTTTAAAGGCCCATTTTCACTACGTGATTTGTCCTAGACGATTCTTACCCTGGCGTATGTGAACGTGTAAATATACGTGCAAAAGTGACATTTTAAATTCCGTCTTGAACAAATTGTAGAAGATTGAATGAAACTCAAAATAAATACGCCTTAATTGGGAAATATATTGTGGTGTGAAACTGTATTATTATTCTCAGTGTAAACAGAGGAAAGGGAGAGATTTTCTCAGCAGTAAAACCTTCGTATTTTTCGACCTACGGACGATGTTTTCGAGCGATCGCAATTTTGTCCAATCACAAAGCAGAACGTGAATATTCCGTGATTTTTTCGTTCTCGGCGCCATTTTCAACTATAACGAGCTTCGAGCAAAATATTTGGATTTTTATAACCTTTCAAGACTCAACTGGAGCTGATCAAGTCATTTAAAAGATTTGGAAGAACAAGGCAAGTATAATTTTATTCTCTTCCGTTCCGTAACAGCGGCAAAGGCAGCGTTTTGGAAACATTTCATGTTTTAATAAATTGGGTCGTGTTTTGACCTTTTCATGATTCCTAGTTATCAAAGTTAAGTTAATAGAGAAACAAAGCAGTTTCAAAGCAATGAATATCTGGTAAAATCTCGGACAAAATATATACTTTGTCCGTGGAAGTACTGTAAACAAAATAAGTAATTTGTGTCTTTAATAGGCGAAAGTTTAGCAAATTATGTAACTTTACATGCATCACATTGCAAACACATCACAAACTGTGATGTTTTGTTCTACAGTTCTTGGTAAACTTGGACTATTAGCTACATACTGTTCATGGGATTTTATGTGAAACATGGGAAATTTATTAAATTATTACAATTTAATAAATTTAACATAAGAAATTGTCAAATTGTTACAATTTGATATTGAATAATGGGCAGGGCATATTGCAGTTAAATAAAAGGGGAAGTGTACAGCAGTTTCAACAAACGGCTGTATTTTTTGCGCATAAAATAGCGAAAGAAAGATAACGAAAAAGAAGTTAAAAAATCTTTGGAAAAAACCGTATTACACGACGTTTAATCATATTCGCGCGCAAACGCCATCTGACGCATGCCTTGAATATTATCACATAGTCTTCGGGGTACTCCGTTATGTATTCGTAAATTATTCGTACCATTCTCGTACATTCATGTTTTATCGTTTACATCTCTTCTGCAATGCAACTGAAATAAAGAAATATTATCCCTTCACAGAAAACCCAAATTACAGTTATTGATGTGCTTGATTGACTCATAATCAGAGAATATAGCGTTAAAAACAATGCTCTTGCCTTACGAACACATTCCGATCTAGTCGGCGCTTCTGATTGGTCGATTGTTTTCTTTCTGCGTTTTGATTTGTTAATGGCAGTGGCGCGAATATTGAAACTTGTCTGCGAAAGTTTTTGAGATCGATTTTTTTAAAATTAAAACATATATATTAAAAATATATTGATAGTTTCTTTTTGCACCTTCGTGTTTTATAATGACGAGCGTAACGACGTTTTTTACCAACATTTCAAACATTAATGATCATGAAAAGCGATTTTTTTGCGACGTGGATGAGGAAAGTTTGCCGAACTTGTCAAAAACATGTCACGTACATGCCAACTCTTCTCAAGATTCGAACACTTCTTCTTGCACATCTTTAAACAGGTTGGTAATATTTTTTCTTCATATTTTGATATTTAAAACAAGCAAGTCTGTTTGCTTTGATGGTGTATTTTCTAAATTACACATTGGTAATTCGTAAACACATCTACTGATATTAATGTAATCATAGAAAAGATCGATTCGATAAATTTGAATTTAGAAACCTCAGGCTTAACTGGTCTTCTCAATAGATATTTTTTTATTTTTCTTATGAACTAGCAATTCTTTGGATATCCAGCCTCTGAAGCCTTGCGATATCAACATCGGGCAGACCTATTTGCTCCAAACTCCGAAAAAAAGCCTAAAAACGTCTTCCTTTTCTAATCAAAAGAGGATTACCCCACGAAAGCCTTTGAAACCAACGAAAAGTGCAAACAAGACTGATCCATCGTTCAACGGAGTTACATTGCAAATGAAAACCAACATCAAACGTAGCAGAAACGATATGGAGACACAGCTGGTGATACACTCTTATTTTACCACGAAAAAGAAGCGTTCTCCACCCTTTAAAGTTGAAAAACCACGCCGTTCAGCCAAAGGGAAGTCAAGACTTCTACCCACATCCCTTGAGATGCGTTTCAAACAACAGACATCATCTGCTCAAAGCAAGTCGAATACGCTCAAAGAGAATCATTTTGGTGATCTTGGTTGCAAACCATTACGTATGGTGGATTTAAAAAAAGAATGTGCTTCTTGTGGTACTGAAAAAACCCCTCTCTGGCGTGACGCTGATGATGGTACACCTCTCTGCAATGCCTGTGGTATTCGCTATAAAAAATACAACATTCGATGTCTACGATGTTGGTACATACCCAGAAAAGAGGAAAATAGATCCACTCTATGCCCAGGCTGTGGTTGTCTTCTTGATAAGATGGCCCTAATTTTAAAACGTTAACAAGCCAGTTTCAGCTAGTATTGCTCTTTATATTTTCATTAGTTTTAAGAAAGTTCATAATAGGAATTTGATATGGTTTGCCGAAAAAAAAACTGTTTAATCGTTGTGTGACTGAATTTTCTAACGTTAATTCTTTATTGTACCATAATTTAACACCTAAAAATATCGTTTTTACGATCATTGTTATCGATTAAATTCGCACGACGAAGCCTCAGGATCTGGCATAATATGGCTGTTCAGGAGATTGAGATGAAAAAGGATCCAGTCCTTATACCATAATGCAACTAACACTCTCTTCAATTTCTTCAAGTCGACTTCTTTTGAAACTATATAGTTTTTTCTTTGGACAAACAGCCTAGCCTTTAATAGCTTGTATATTTCAGTGGCTGCATTGTTATTTGTGTTGAACAATGTTAGGAAGAGAAATAAAAAATGAAAATTGTTCTCGTTCATTGAATTTGTATATGCTACAATTTATTTACTTTATACAAAAGGTAGATTCGATAGAATTAAATAAAAAGAGTTAAATCCTACATATTACTGCTAAAATATACATTGAAACCTATATGTTAAAACTTGCAGGATGTTGACAAATTTCAAAACAATATTCTTCTCCAGGTGTTTCAAAGGTCATTTATTTTCATTGGTGTGTTGTAGAATTCAGTCATCATCCTAGTATTTAAAACAGAATGATGGTTAACATACCCCAGATAAAAACAATTTAGAAGAGAAATGTGACATGCAAGGTACATGTCTCACATGGGAATATCTTAGAGGCACAGTATGTAATAATTCTTGAGATAAACACATTCCTTGCATTATTTAATATAATTTAATATGACAAATAGTGTTTACAATTCCTAGTGCATATATTTAGTTTATGTAACAATTATTCTTGGATTTTGGTTCAACGAACCTCTCCAGCACTCATTTCTGCCATTCGTTGGGATTCTTTCTTTACCCGGAATTCTATCCTAAAAAGAACAATTGACGAAAAGTGGTTATTTAAGCAATTTGATGTGGTTCTGAAGATTTGGATTCAACTCATAATTTTACCTTTTCTTGTTCTTCCTCTTCTTATGGGATGCTTGTGAAAAGGTGAAAACATTTTTAGGCACAAAGTCACAAACACTTAGAGCATATTTTTTATTTCATCTTACCTTTGTGTACTTTTCCAATATGGTTGTGCTGCAATGGTTCCAAATTTGCTGCTGTTTCTCCTAAGATAAAAAAAACTTTTCATACTAAGATGCAATATTCATCAAAATCTAATTTTCTCTATTTTAATTTCTACTTACTAAGCACTCTCTCGGGCTCAGCTTCCGCCATTCCACCTCTTTGAACAGCCTTCAAAGAAACAAGAAACATAGGTTTAGTGTCGATGACTAAGATGAATTCATACTATGATGATGCTAAATACTTAACAACAACTAGGTTACTTACTGCATGCGATGTAATTGATGATTTAGAGAATAATCTTTCTGCATCCTTAAATTTTCTATGCTTTCTTTCCAACTTTGTTGAAGTACTCCTGCTATAAAATGCATTACATAACATAGTATCCTGCAAGTTTTACAAAAAAATGACCATGTAGTCCAGCAAATATTATACTTACTTGTTTGTCATAAGTCTATCCCATCCACGAATAATATTACCATATTGCTGAGTATCCTCTAAATAGCTCCCTTCAAAGGCATATATTTGCCTTTCCAAGTTAGCCAAGCTTTCCTGTAATGGAATAGGGAAGGCCTCACTTATAAATCTCTTTCAATCAACATATCACCTGCAACTTCTTCATGCAGTCGAGGGTTGGATTAGTTTTGAAAGAATTAAAACACTTTGGTTGAAAATGGATACACATGCCATGCCCAAAGTAGTAACAATGATGTCATAGTAGATTGAAACTAACATATGTCAATCATTTTCTATTATTAAATATAAATTAATAATAAATTTCATTATTTTTTGTCAACTTCCTTTTTGATATTGACTCAATACACTGTAGATGTAGATGAATTTCTTGACACCATTTATTAACACAAATTTTTTGAATTTTTTTAACTGGTATTGTCTGTATTAAAACTATTAATCAATACTAATCATACTTTTAAATAAAATCATAATTAAGAAATTTCATTTGATATTTTTCATATATAACTACTTAAAAACTTAAGCTGTCAAGTCAAATGCTACTCTAAATCAAAGATAGCAATCCGTTAACTAATCTTTAGCGTTCTTAAGCTAACTTACAGCGAGTTCTTGGCGTCTTTTTACTAAATCTGCAAGTTCTTGCCTCGTATCAGGCGCTTTCGAAGCGGTCGCCATCTTGGAAGAGGAACTCAAGCAGCAATCGGATTGCACTCGGCAGTGGCCGGCTAACGACGGTTTATATGCTAATTATTGATAGTGCATGCGCATTCGAAGTACTTTCCTTATCCTTCGTAACTAACAATAGGGAGCAAAGTCTTGCACCTTTCTGGCACTTAGGTAAATTGGGATGAGAAATTTTAAGAAGCAATTTGGTTCTCAAAAAAGCAGTTGTCCTAATCCAATTCCGTATTTCACTTACTATTAGGTTCTATTAATCTCGCCTGAATGCATTCACCTTTACTGTCGAAATTACTTAATTTCAAAGTTTGTTTTGAAGATTTAATATTGAAAGTATTTGCTGCCGAGCAACCAAAATTAAATTACAAACGGAGAAAGTATTAATTTGGCCGCTATATCATCAAGAAATGATAAAACTTCCAAATATCATGATAAAATGTTCATATAAACCTCATTTGGATAAAGATGCAGTTTTTAAGTTCACCCGATTAAATTTTCAGTTTTTCATCTAAATTCTACAGTAAGAAGGATAAGGGTCTTTAATAGGATGAATGAATGCTCGAAACATTAATTTCAAATTGCAGTGTAGAGCGTTTCTATTTGATATATGATTACCCGATGCATGTCCGCAATAAAGCAGTATTTATTAAGACAATATGTGTTGAACGGCGCTTGTCTTGATGAATGCCAATTAAGTTATATGGCCTTTAGACGAGCTGAAAAAGATGCACAAAAGCCATGACTATCTTCAAGAACCCATGTTTCCTAGCTTTATATAAATACAAAAAATCTGCCGATATTGAAAAGTTATCACGGTTCCAACTTGAAATTAATCAGTTGCAGTTCTTGTGATGTTGGGTTTTTGCCTCATTCACGTATTAATAATGAAAAACAAGCTAATTGCTGCATGCCTGCGAAAAGATGTTAATGAAAAAGTCTTATTTTCAATTTTCTAAAAATCAGCAGCATTTTCTAACAACTATCATGCTCACATGCAGTGCCGGATTACAAGAAGTTCAGTTGAAATAATGTGAGCAGTGGGGCTTCTGAATGATTACTGATAATGATGTATTATTAAACGAGTCATGATAAATCTCATGTTATGACACAACGACATAACGTTCTTTATAAAAACTATGAATATACTTGAATCTTTTATTTACAAGTCACTTCAAAAACTGCCCACTAAACATTTGCGGTGAAAAGGTCATTTCGTTACGCATCTTGTTCGTTAGATATTACAGATGTTGTCTGGTTTGTAATTTGTAATTTACGCTTAATCATATGCATTGAAAATTACCTTTCGCAGTTTCATATATATTACTACACCTCAAGGTTTAATTTTACCGGTGAAATTTAAGCAAATTCACAGGTGGATTTAATATAACACCTCTTGGGATCAATATACGTTTTATTATTGCGAAAATAATGAAGACCTGTTGGCTATTTTCGGCATCCGGTGTTTCCTGTATAATTGGATGGCACATCTCTTGCTTCTCATTCGCAAATACACATTGGCTCGTCTCTTTTTATTTGCACAATTATAATTACACCCTAGTCCATAGTGCTGCAGCCTGTCAGCTGCTGAAAAATCGCTGACAAACATTTAATTGAAATGCGAACGGCAAGCTAGATGTCTTGATTTATGGACTCTTTGGTTTTAAAAGCAATCCAGAAAACCAGTAGCAAGATTTTTATTCATACACGTTCTGTGCTTTTTGATGTAAGTTATTTCAGACAAGAGCACGCTGACACACCAAGTGGCTTCCATTTAGCATTTAATTTTCTTAATGGAAGAATCAATCAGCATTTGGTGTGGCTAGGCAACGATACATTTCGACATTTCTGTTAGTTCAGTTGTTCGCATAAACGTGTGGCAACGACAGGTTGATTTTGAATAAAAATATTGAACTGAGGGCAAGTATTGTACTCGAAAAAGAAGAAATAACCTTCAACATTCAGGAATAAATTGTGTAAAAGTCTTTTTTTTCGTTGTGAGTTATTATGTGACAGTTGAGAAAAGTTTAAGAGGTTTGCAATTAAATTAAGAAGCCGAGTGGATCCGAGTGGAAATTGAAAAGCAGAGTGCATCCAAACTTGAGTAAGTTGAGTAGTTAGTCTGACAAGGAAAGCTGAACAGAAGACGCATTTTTACACACACTTCAATTAATCTAATCCAATCGTGACGAACAGTGCCCGTATACAAGAACTATCTTTGCAGGCGTGGTAATTATAATCTAACGTGGGCTATATCCTTGATATCGTTTGTTTTCTTTGGTTATTGGTTCGAAGAAGAAACTATAATTCAACGAAGCCATGGATAACACGCCTGCCAACAAATCAGAACCTCCTTTGGATCAAACTGCAGCAGACACTGTAGTCCAAGTGTTCACTATGTCAGTGATTATAATTCTGTCGGTGTTCTTCAACGCCGTTGTTCTTATTTGTTTCTACCGACATCATGCTTTACAAACCTTCACGAACGCGTTTGTTGTAAACTTGGCCTGCGCTGATTTCCTTTTTGGCCTACTAGGAATGCCTCTGTCTCTGGTAACTTCAATCACCATTGATTACGCATTTCCCGTGTCAGTATGTAAGTTTCATGGATTTGTACTCGTGTTATTCAGCGAGGCTTCAATATGGACTTTGACATTTGTTAGTTTTGAACGTTACCTATCAATAAGGCATCCATTTCACCATCAAAGATGGATAACTCCTTCTGTAGTTACAACAACAATCGGAGCTGTATGGGCAATATCTATTCTTTTTGCTTTACTGCCATTTGGAATCTCCAAGTACTCCTTTTATCGTTTTAATCATATCTGTGTGGCTGATTGGAGGATTAGTTTTCAAACAACTCTGATCTATTGTATTTGCAGCATTTTTATTCCATTTACGTTTATGGTAATTTCGAACATTGGTATCTTGAAAACAGCTTTGGAACAGAATCGCAAAGTGGATGTTAAAGTTGGAAACATACGAAAGATGACAATCAGACCGAGCGAAGCACCAGTGATTGATGTAGTGCACCTAGAAGCTGAAAGAAAAGCTGCCGAGAAAGCGAAAGCTCGTAAAAAGAAAGAGAAAAGAGCAACTCTTCTTGTTCTTGCCATCGTCGGGACTTTTGCCCTATGCTGGATACCCTATGCTATCACCTCAATGTGTTTGATGATACGAAGTTATGAATGTTTATGGTCTTCCAGAGTGTTTGTTGCTAGTGCCTGGCTCACGAATCTTAGCAGTGCTCTTAATCCTATCTTGTATATCGTGTTTAACGTCACTATACGACGAGCAGTCAAGCAATTACTCGGAATAAGTCCAAAGAATGGAGTCGACGGTAGCGATGGAGGAACTCTCGTTACTAATGTGACGAGGTTCAATAGACGCGCAGAAAGATCGCAATAAAATATTGTCTGAGTGGCCAAAGCTAAGCCTATAAATTGGTGTAATTTTCTTTTTATGCACTCATTTGAATAGCGCACTATAGTTGCATTTAAATACATTTTTTAGATTGTATACTTAAACTGATCGACTACAAATGCCTTTCCCTACGGAATTATTAATAGATAGAAAAAATTCTGAATCAATTTTGCAACCTTGTGCTATTGATTAAAACTTGCTGTGAGAAACGCTGTAAGAGAATACTCCGCAAGCAGCACAAGGATTCCGCCATGCAAAAGATAAATTAAATTTACGATGCATGTAGCCGATATAAACCTTTCGACAGCTGGCTTTTTGAGTACTTTTATATATGTAATTGTAGACACAACATATCCGTTTTAGTTAAAGATAGTGAATTGCATTTGCACTACAGGTTTTTGTAAGCTAGAAAAATAAGTGACCGTCACGTAGAGCTAAATATTCTGTCACATTTTAACAGAAATTGATTGTATATTTAACTTAAATTCATTGCTCATGTAATTATCAGTTTTCTTTGTAAAGATTAAAGGCAGAATTTTACATATTGCATGCACTTAAACAACTGTATTCTCAGCTGAGTTAATTTAGTTCTGGGATAATTGTTTTCATTTTACAGACGCCGACTCTCTTTCTTCAAGTTCCAACCCATCATGAACGAGCCCTGCATGCAAACGCGAAAAATTGCGGCGAATATTTTATACTGAATTGATACAAAATTACGCGGCAACGAATTTTCAAAAGACGAGTTTTCGTTTTTGAGTATACTTACAACGATATTTGGTATTGAAATACTTCAGTCTAGACTATATACAATAATTCTGGTTATATGATATCGGCATTTTGTTATTTTCTCGAAAGAACATCTGCACCGATGCATGAGGATATACGATGTTTGTGTAATAATTAATATGTTAGATTTTAGTGTCTCTAGTGAGAATTATACTGTTGACTAGAGTGTTGTTGCCTTGCAGCCAAAAGATATTATAGATACACTGGTGATATAGATGTTTTACACACACAAACTCTAACTATATATTCAGTAAATTGTGAGGTAAATCATAGTTTAGTTTCTTTGCCGTTCTGAAAGGCTTCTGGATCTTTAATAACATTTTCGCAATCTGATTCTTCTGGTTTGTAGAAATACCAGGACAAAAAGTAGAACAAGGCAGACAAAACTAGAAAATATTGATAATATTAGTTACTTCCACAGAAATGTAAATTTCTATCATATCAATCAGTGTCTATCTCTGTCAATGACCATCCATGTCTATCGCTATATGTAACTGTCTATCCACATTCACCGGCCATCACTACCCAAATTTCTCCGCACACATCAATGGTTATTCAATAAATACCCACATGTATTCATACATATCCACATCTACCTATATTTATCCCTATATGCTCTATATTCACTCCTCTATACTTACATGTTAGGATGACTCCCAAAACACAAACAGCGTAACTCAAATAATCAATATTGTAATCAAAACATCTTCCCTTCACACCACAAGTATCCTGCCAAACTGTGCAATACGAGTCAACGACGTGACCAAACAGTATGGGACCAGGAAGAAGACCAAGCGTTTTCATGAAAACATACTGTATACCATTTGCAAAAGCACGCTTGTTATCAGGCACGCATCTGAAATGAAAACTCAGAATGATTACATGATGAAAACCATGCACTCTTTCAGCCAGATATCTTTCAGACAGGCTAAGATCATTAGGTCTTAGTTGACTAGAACATTAAAGGAAAGTGATGTATATATATATACATTACTTCATGCACTAATCTATTGTCATCTTGCTTTAGTAGATATTTGGGGTATTCAGTGCAGGATAAGACAGGCTATATAGTCTATTATACGAGAAAAAAAACTGCATTATTACCTTAAGGTGACAGTTTTATCTGGCACCATTTTAACAAATTGTATTGCAATATTCAAGCCCAGAAGTAGGACGAAAAAAATAAAATTCTTGCAATCGTTATCACAAATGCCAAATCTTGCCGTTCCTAACTTTGAACTTTGAGAGCCACGGATGCACGAACAGTTTGCGAATGTCTAAAAAACGGATGCAATTAAGCAATGCTCACAATTACAAAACTATTACAACTTTTATTTTCTAATCAACAGCTGGTCCTTCGCATTTAGTTATTTGTAGAAACCATGCAGTTTATTAATCAAACGTTGGTTGAACAACGTTACGACTAAAACTTACCATATTTGGAAAGCGTATTTTGCAGCCAGCATGGCACATATCAAAGTACGTTATGTTGTCTGAGCCACAGATTGGAGAGAATCGACTGCGGGAACACTTACAATTCATATTACAAGTTGCTGTGAGCGATAACTTGCTCGATGAAATTGGTTGTCGAATATGTTCTGTGTTTCTAAAATTAGTCAAATATAGGTCTTGCTTGTAGTTAGGGCGCACACCTTATTATGCAACACTACTCACTAATTTTAATATTAAATTAGTCCCACTAGATTGACACCAGACCAGCAAATAGTATATATACTAAAATACTATCCAACTGAATACTTACATTTCTCTATACGGTGTTGTGACCCCTGCGAGATTGATGTTATTGCAGCCAGTGATAAGAAAGGACAGCGGAGATATAAATCCGAGAGTGCGCAGTATGAATATGAAGAGAGCGGATTTCTTGCAAACGTCTTTCAGTGAGAATCGTTTTAAAACGAGTGTGCCGATGGTAATACCAACTGAAACACAGAAAAATTAAACAATAAGATTTAGGCGTTGAACGATTCTTTCGGTTTATTTTATTTTTGTAAAATCACTTAACTGAGCTGATGCAATTAAAAACTTGATTGCTTGAGATAATATTCCTTACCAGCCATTGATGGTGTCATTAAACTTCCCAGAATATAACCAATTTGCTCAGGAAGCAATCCAAATTTTAGCATCAAAATTTTCGGAATGAAAGGCATCAAAGCTCCAACGTACAATAATGTCGCCGTTAATCCAAGAGTGTTGAATAAAAATGTCCAATTTGTTAAAAGATCTTTCAGCTCTGGTATAATTATTCTCAAACTTGGTTTCCGATCTATCTTTGTTCTTCTAATATTCCCTTTTTTGATGTGTTCCTCGCGCTTTTTCTTCGCCCCCGGAAGTTCCCGGGGAAAACCCAGAATCAGCAGCGAAAACACGAAGATTACGATGCCAAAAATTACAAATCCTAACCACCAGGCCCCAATCCATCTTGGATCACGCGACGTTAGATTGACACCTTCGGGCTGTAAGATAGAAACGAGATTCAAATTTGTTAAAAATAGCCAAATATGTTCTTGATATTAAACTGATAAATCTTACTTGTTCCAGGTCGACGTAGATGCTCAAGAATTTCCCGCCAATTATCATCCCGAGACCTGGACCCAGGAACGTGGCAAAAGTCCAGGCACCCAGATACAGCGGCATGTGTTTAGGATGGACGTTTTCATCAAGGTAGGCGGGTACTAACGAGTAGAAGGGTGATGTCCCCGCACCCATGATTAATTGCGACAATACGAATATTGCCATGTAATACCAGCGGCTGTCACTCTCTAGAGAACATTTTCCCTGGCCCAGGCTTTGTGTGATATTACCGCTGAAACACGATGGCCCGCGAGGGCCTGTAAGAGAGGGCTGGTACGCACCAATCATGAAGTGAGGTAAAACATACAGCAACGTGCTTATACCTAAAGGAAAGATAGAAATTTTTGCGTATTTCAGCTAAAAACAAACATTTTTATTGCAAATACGTGCATAAAATATAGGATTTTAGTCTACGAAGTTGGCACAATGGGTTTCCAAGTTCCAACATCACTCCATTAATGCTTAATAGTCATGCGCATACTTACTCAGTAGTATCCCTCCTCCTCCGATCCAGCGTATCTTGTTCCCATAATCACCATAGAAACCGATAAAGATGACGACTATTAAAGCAGTGACGTCATTTGACGCCATGATAACACCGAGTTCCTTCGATGTTAAACTAAATCTTTTCTCGATGCTGGGTAAAGTTAAAGTTGTGAGACCCAAGACCACCAGAGCTATGAACAATCACATTGATGATTTATAAACAATATAAATAAAATAGCTGTAAAGATGTACTAAAAACGCGCTATTTTAAAACTTTTTGCGCAATTTCCTTTATTTTAAAACTCTTCTCATGCGAAGGATGCGGTTAAATTAACCCAATTAGGCTGCCCAATTTTTATTGCGTGTTGCGTCAATTTTAAATCTGGTTACATGTTGATGTCGGTCAATCATTTGCGTGCGTTAGGGGGGAAGTTAAATTGTAAAGATTTAGGATAGGCTTCAAACTGAAGAGAATTACAGAAATGTTGATATTCTTGACGCGTCAATAAAGTAGTCGCATTCAGAACGTGTTGCAGCAAAACGTAACACGATATTTACGTAAATCTTGTCCGGGATATTTTAAAACACCCGGAATCGTATTAGCGAAGGTCATTAATCTTAAACATCATTAAACGTCAATTTTTTAAGTTATCATTGTTTTTATCAAGATTAAACAATGTTGTGTCTTTATGATTTCAACTGTACTTTGTTCTTCACCTGGGACCATGCATGCACGCCGCTAAACATTCACAAAAATATTGAAATAAGTGACAGAAATACTGCTTGTGTTTAGCATAATTCCCGTGATAAGGAAGGGTATGACGTACTCAGAGAAGGATGTATGTAGTTTCCTGTGAAATAATCCAGTTTCTCTAAAATGCTGAGGACGTGTTTGTACTCGTTTATCACGAAGAAAGACGTCTTTAATCGTATTTTATAAAATTAGCCAAATCTTTCTACGTGTCTGTATACTTTCATAAGTATATATAAGTCTTTAAAATGAGCAAAAAGAAACTAGGTGTCAGTGGAAACACTGTGTTAAAAACCGTTAACCAAGTTTTTAAATTACTGTAAGTGTAATGGATGGTTCCGATTGGTCACAATGATAAATTTCAAATTACAATATGCATCATCTAACATCTTCAATGGCGAAGTAAATAAGTTTAGAAATAAGTTCTACATTATAACTAGTTTGCGTTTATTGACTTGCGCGTACACACGACTACCAGCCTCGCACTGTCTAGTCTAGTTGACTAAATTATATTCACAAAGTTACGAGACTTAATTGTATTTAATGTATATATTACCTTGTGATATAGTGTAGAATATCAATATGAAAAGAAAACATTTTGGTCCATTAAAAATCTGTAAACATTTTGGTCTGAACTTTCCCCATCCAAATTTCAACTCAGATGACTTTTCTTCATCAGAATTTTCAATAAACGGTGCCACTTCCTTTTCGTCTAAATTTTCTTTCTCGTCCATAACTTGGGTCTGCAAAAGTTCAAAAATTATAATTTCTGTTCAGTTAAACATGAACAATCGTCACGCAAAGTTGTACCCAATTGTGTGACTTGATTTTATCGTCGCTGTGTTTTGATACACGTCGGAAATGAAAACTGATATACCGACATCGTCGGGAAATGTGTTAAAACAATCTCCAGTTGTGTGTCTATTTATTAAATGCACTAATGCACGCTTTTGGGGCTTCGCTAGTACCTGACACAGTAAGCCATTCCTATTGATTTAATCCTTTTTTTTATTCACCTAAACTTCACTCGTGCAATCTAATGCATGATCGCAAGATATAATATATTTTCGTTGGATAGCCTGAGAACCGTTCTGACAAAACCAACGTACTTATTAAGTCCTTTGTAAGTCCCCCAGATCCAGTGGATGATTCAAAATTCACCACATTTTGCAATAAATATATAGGACTATCAAATGAGCATTATCGTTCTTTCAGAGAGGAACTGGCTGCTTGCCAGAGCAGTAACAACCTGGTATAATCCCTGGTATCGTCCATGCACCCAAAGCATTCACTGGCTGAACACTCCAAGCTCGCTTGCAGCTTCGTGACAATGCCAACGCGAAATTGTTGAGCTGATATTTGCTTCTTAATGAGTGAGCTTCAATGCTGCAGGCAAAATTATTAAGTTCCCTTACTATGCACTGATTTAGTCATTGTAATGATGCAGTAACTAATCTGAATTTTAATCTTTCCTTCCTTGTAAACGCAAAAACCTTCACGATAAGGAGAATATTCAGAATATTTTACATGTTTAGAATAATTACCTTTTCAAACATACAAAAAATTATGGACTGTGTTTAATAGACGCCATGCCATATATGACTCATTTCAGTAATCTCTCGGTGTGAGATGCAGTATGGTGGTACTTCACTTGCATGCCGTTGACTAAAATTCGTGACGGTAAACAGGTTTGCATGAGGCTTTGAGTTTTACCGCAGGTGAGGTTGACGTAAGTGGGTTTACGCACAAGTTAATTGATTTGAATCTTATGTCTCGAATATCTCGTATTGAAGACATGCCCAGACACACCTTTCATTTTGATTGACCAGTATGATAATGGGGGGGAATAGTTTCTTACGTAACTTTTGTTGTTTGTGTATCATTCTTGTTTGGCAACTTAAGCAGTGAAATTCGCATTAACGTTAAAACAATTCAATCAATTCAACACGTTATTTAATTATAAACAGTTTTAATGATTTATCTTGAAACACTCCTATAGGAAGATTTAGGAAGTGACGAACTCTGGTAAAAATTTGGCGTTAAAGCAGTTAATCGTCTTAACATCTTAACGCCATTTGCGCTAAATATATAAGTTAATTGTGTGACTGTTAACATGCCGACATTAAGTAAACGTTTGCCCAGTAATATAAAACTAAAACAACGTTACAACTGTCAGCTTTTATATTTATTCTTCACAGAGGTTCAGTAAAGTCTGCGGGAAAAATTTGCTTTTCTTGAAATAGCATGTTTCATGGATCAAAAGCCTGAACTTTGAATTTGAAGGAATTGTACCAAATCTTCACCTTGAAGTTTCTCTTACCACAGAGTCTCGTTGGTATATGTCTTTGTATCTACCAAGCACAGACTGCATTTTTTTACTATTTAAATATATACAGTCTGCGTTATGATAAATGATTTTAAGCTGACATGAATATTTTGGATAATTCAGCTTCTTCTTTGTGGATGTGGTAGTTAAGGGATATCTTGCAGTTTACTGTTTTTTAAACTATCCTGGGCCTGGTCTTAAGTTTCTACTAATATTGACTCAGCTGTCACAAAACAAATATAGCTGAAATAATTTATTGCTGAATGCAACTCGAAGATTCTCAATTAAACCACTTGACAGATACTTGCAATCAATTTAGTTTTAAAGACACTAAGTATGAATTATTCCTGGCATTTAGGATTCTCTGTCTGAGATATTGGTTTTAGGCATTAGCTTGGATGATGCAGTTTTACTGATATGGCTTATGATAGAAGGCATCAAGCATGGGACGATGTGCATATCGAAAACAACAATATTGATGATAAATATAATTCAGTGATGTATCTAAGAATTAAGGTCAAGATGTTACGGATCATTTAGAAAACAGTTGAGCACAGAGTTAGATATAGTGCATGGGTATAAATTATTTAACAAAACTAAATAGTTTGCGCTTCATGACGAAGTTAAAAACAGGGTTATTGAGCTGAAAATTTGTATCCAGCCTTTTAAACCACTCTTGCCAGGCATTGCAATCACACTGCAGACTGCAGAGACTCTGATATGCCTGCCTGCCCACGAAACTATGATAGGCAGCCAGCAATGTTATTGTTAAAGATAAAAAACCATTGTTTAGCCACGTTCATCATGCTGAGACAAATGTCTTGCGTAACGTTTCAAAAAATGTTACCGACTAGTCTTCAACTTCAAATTATTTTGAATTTAATGAAAGTTTTAGTGAAAAACTTTATTGAGGAGCTCGTGTTATTCGTCAAACAAAAATCTCGCTATACTATATTGTTTGTTTTAAGATTTATGTTAAGATTTATGTCTGGTTAAAACCAGCATGAGACCCTCATATTTTCGTATTTCATGCTTCAAGTGAGTGAATCATACTTCAGCCTTCAATTTTAATCGAAATATATCAGTTCATGCAGCGAGTTAATTTTCCAAGGTCTTGTTCCTGGCAACCTCTGGTCCCAGTCTAATTTCTTGAATGGAAAACTATAGAAATCTGATTGTTTACTTCGGATAAATATTTTGCACAAAAAGTAAGTTCATGCAATCAGGCATACCAGAGAATGCTCGTGGTTTTAAGATCAGTTTCACGTCCATGCAGACATGCGCCTGTAGGCTGAGAAAATCTCACTAACACTTAACTATAATCTCGGTGGAAAATCTTCTTACGTTAATTCCGCGATAATATTTCCATTAGATGAGAGCTTAAGTATCTTTCTCTCAATCTGACCTTCGATTATAAAGAAAGTCTAACACAGCTGTAATACTATTGCCAAGTCATAATCATTGAATTTAAGTAGATACAACTGTAGTTATTGGATTTATTTTGTCAAGAAATTTAGCTGTTTATGCCTGGAAACCTCGTCCATTTCAAACGCCTACGACTTCTTCCTCGCTGCGAGCTTGGAATATTTTATCATGAAGAACTCTGATGATTCACTATAAAATCCTTATTTATTTATTTCTCAGTATCAAATAAAACCCTACACCGAATTAGAAGACATGATTGCAACATTTGACGCAGATCATGCACTTGATCATTATTACACACACGCAAGGAACACTGTCTCTAGATGAAAATTTGGAATCGGTTTTAATTGGCATTAATTGACCCGCGATATAATCTATGACAAATAATCGAATATCAGTTTCAAGGAATATCGTATTACATTCTAGGACATAATGTAGTTTTCAACTAGGATTGATATGTTTGAGTATGATTGTAGTGGATTCATAGTCATGGTATTGTTGACGTTGTGACATTTTCTTAACAACTCGAGCATGCAGATTAATATCCTGATTAATAATTGAGTCAACAAAATATCTAAATTAAGATAAAGATTAACCTTTCATACAACTGTTATATATTTTATTTCATATTTATATTTGCTCACCTGGAAAGCGCTTGTAGGTGCTGCTAGCTCGGCGGTTAACCTCTGTTTGTCTCCTGACGGTGGTGACAGCACGATTTAAATCACAAAAGGTTTTGTATTTGGGGACACACTTAAAACTAAATTAATTGTCCATAATTTAATAAGTCTAGTGTCTTTCTAAGACACAATTGCTTCAAACTTTTCTCTTTAACCGCGGGAAGTGCTCAGGTATTTTCATATAGACATTTTTGCAATCAGTGAGTTGCAGAAAATCTTTGCCGTTGTGCGTTCTGTGAAGACCTCAACACGACTATAAAATAACAAACCTGGTATATTTATCGACATCCGTGTTTCTAAACTAACAATTTTTCATATCAAGCTGTGTCGCAGCTACCAAATATCTTAATACGTTTTTTCAATTAAATTCCTTAATGCCAGATCAATATTTTAATTTTATCAATAGCTAAGATCAATCAAGGGTATTTTCAATTACAACATGGGAATTTTATCTCGTCGAGTACGCAATGTTTTATTGCATTTTCTTTTAAAATTACAAAGAAGTAAAGCTGTCATCGTAAGTGGCACTTACTGGTGTCTAAGTGGACAAGTAAGAATTATTCAACTTGTTAATTTAGTTCAGATTTTCACTTGAAACACATCAGATGTTTAACTACGCAAATTTATTAGTTCAAAATTCGTTAACAAAGATTCAATAGAAAAATAGCCGTCTACAAATATCTGATATCACTAATGACGTCATCCTATACGTCATACACTACTACGTCATGTAAAGTCACAATTTGGTTTCCTTGCCATCATCAGGATCATCAGGTGTGATGCTTGTGTCGCTCAGCAATCTGTTTGTCTTTACTATCTTTGGAGCTTCATATGTGTGCCAGGAGAAGAAATAACATGCTGTGGCCAGAGCTGGAAGAGAGGAAGATTAAGATAAACACTCGGCGTTCTTTGCGAGTGTAAAATTTTGCAGTCTCTTCCAATATGTTTTAAGAACGTTTTGAAGAAAGTCCTTTCAAAACCTCTCAGCTCATGGGTTCAACCTCACCCTTGCAAGAACATTTGAAAGTGAATTCTCTTTGAGCATTTGAGTTTCTTCCGATGTAGAACGCTGCATGAATAGGTCGCAGTCTTACCTGTAACGATCAGCCCAAATATGGTCATACTTTTGGACACGGAGTTTGTGTCATAATCCCAGCATATCCCCTTTCTTCCACAGGGGTCCTTCTGCCAGATATGACAGTCGTGATTCATGATATACTTGACGAGATGAGTTGGAATGAATGCTACAAGAATGGCGAGGAACTGTTGCACAGCGAGGGCGTAAGATCTTTGATTGTTCTGGACACAACTACAAAAGTTAGAGTGCATTTGTTTACAATCATATTACAACAAGACGATTGTTTTCATTTTATATCATCATCCTCCGTTTTTCTTCTTTACAACACTCACCGTAACACGACGACTCTATTCGGTACAATATTAGCTCCAAATAAGACAACAGCCAAGAACGTAACAAAAAGAAACACTTTCCAACTTGCACAACCTCGATCACAGAAACCTTTCTTTGCTGTGCCAAATTTCATCCCAGGGATATTGGAGGGTATGCATGTACAATTAACGTAGTCCTAAGGAAGAAAAGTTATTTCAGTTAGGTTATGTCCCATGTAGATACTTGCAGCAAATAAATAAATAAATTTGTTTAGTTTTCTCCATTTGTCACGGCAACAAGAGATAACAGAATGTTATACTTTGCTGAAGAACATTTACTATTTTCACTCACTTCTTCAGTTGGTCTAAACTGACATCCAGCGTGGCAAGGATCAAAATATGCGACGTTGTTTGAGCCACAAACTGGTTGACTGAGGAACGTAGAACATCCACAATGTTTGTTACATGCTGCTGTAATCTCGCTTGAACCATTTCTCCCCATTTTCTTCATTACTTTACCGCTAAAAGATAAAGAATTCTATTAAAACCTCATAGCAATACTCTGTCAATGAATTGCTCTTTTTAGAAGTCCAGTAAGAATCATCATCTACTCTCCGTCATCAAATGAATGAAGTTCATTGATGAAGTTTCGCAAAGTTTCAGCTCATGTGAGACGTTCTTTCACACTTACCCCAGAGCTGGATATTCTTTGGTTACACCAGCAATATTGCTCTCATTACATCCGGGAATCACAAAGAGTAGAGGTGCCAGGATGCAGAATGCCTGGGTAGCCAGACACAACAACGCTGCACCCTTGCCGAGCTTTTTTAATTTGATTCGGTATGTTAAGTAACCACCAATGGTAACACCAACTAGAGAAGATAGTGAGAGAACATGAGACCACCTCTTCTCTGAACTTTTAGTTAGCATTCAGCAAAGTCTAAACACGATACTGACCTATAATCCCCAAGAGCAAGACTATCACAACGGGCATTAAAACCTTCACAAAATCAGCGCCGTATTTGATGACAACAACTTGAATCATAAAAGGTCCAATAGCGTAGAAGAAGAAGATAATACAAACAGACGCCAAAATATTAAAAAGATATGCTTTGTTTCTCAACAGCGATGTCGTTGCGTGAATAATTCCTTTTGGAGTTCGAGTGATCTTCGCATCGTCCGTTGGAATATTCCCTGCGAACAAAATGTAATACATAAAGATTACTGTATTTGAATTGGTAATTGACAGCAATAAACATAAAATAGATGATGAAGAATAGGACCTTGATGGACATGCTCGTCTCTCATAGCACGAGAGCCTGGTAAGGAGGGTGGAAGACCAGAAACAAGAATTGCGTTGGCCATTGTCATAAGACCAAATACGAGGAATCCGAGCCACCATGCGCCTAACCAGCGGTTGTCTTCCTGATCCATCTGATGAATCAAATCAGGCTAAAGAGAAATATCATAGAAATATCAATAACTGTCATGTTCCTGCCTGGATTGGTTCGTGGTCATTTTAATGTGAAAATTCGCTTCTCAATGAATCTTGACATCCTAAATTTACGTTTTTATCCCAGGATTTCAACATCGTAGTTAATGTTACGATGCTCTATGGTGACCGTGAAGCTTCTGGCGGGAAAGAGGGAGGAAAGTTATCAAATTACTTGACTTGAACAGTCCGAGTTTTTAGAGTGGAAACATCGTACCTGATCAATATCTATATATGCCTGTAGGAAGATTCCTGCGACAGCCATTCCTATGACAGGACCAAGAGAAAGAAACGCGTAGTAAACCGTCATAATTATAGGCATCCATTTTGGTTTAACATTCTCGTCAATATACGCTGGAACAAGGGAATATATCGGAGCCAGGCCAACGCCAATCAATATTTGCCCGATGACAAATAGCGACATATGCTTCGATTTCACATCTTCGTCATTGCAAGGCATCTGGGCGAATTTACACAAGCCGAACATCATAAGAGCTTGTTTAGGATGATCCTGTGGTTTGTAAGCCTCTGTGCGGAAATGTGGAATGGAAAAGAACACAGCGCCGAGACCTAGAAAAACACAATGAACTAAGTCATATCACTCATATGTAACCACACAAGGTGTAGCGACCACATTTAATTTTCTCGACGGAGTAGAGATTCTTGCCACAGGCCGACAGAAGGATGACGGGCTTACCGGATATCACAATCCCGGCAGTAATGCAACGTATTTTCGATGCACGAAAACTACCAAAATAACCAACAAGAATGACGGTAACCATCAACGAGATTCCTTGAGCTACTTCTAAACCATTCATATCTTTTTCACTGAGGTTATATCTTCTTGTTAATGTTCGTCGCACTGCCGGCAGCATATGCTGTAAAATGACTAAACAAAATACAAAATCAACGACATAGGAATAGCAGTTTAATCATGTGGAGGAGTCTCCTAACACATTAACTGTAATTCACGCACTTACTGAGCGACTAAATATGCTGTATCATGCAGAGGGAGTTATAAATTCATCTCAGGACTGCGGCTCACTACACTGCGATCAATACAAGTGAATATGTTGATTGTTGAAGTATCTCTAAGGCTCTACACCTCACCTTCTTCCTCAGTGAAGAAGTGAATACACTCAAAAGCTTTATTCCACTCTTCCACCCTTTTATTTACTCATGCACCCTGTGTAGAACTCTTCCACCCTTTTATTTACTCACCCTGTGTAGAAACACAGCCGACCAACAAGAGGAAAGTCACGAGAGGTTTAGTCAAGATTTGCAAAAATCCTGGTCGAATACTAAACCAACCAAACTGGGTATTGTTATCCATGTAGACTCGGCCATTACTTTTGGTTCGTTCGTTACCATTAGGATCATCATTCAACATGGTGACAAACGCAGCACTCCCTAGCAACAAAGTAGAAGATAATTATTTTGTAGAGTGAAGACACCTTACTAAAATGAAGATCTCTCTACTACCGAATACCTCTATAAGAAGTTATCACTCTAGTTCCGATATATCTCTGATATAGAAACTCTCAAATACAGGTACTTTTTTATCTATGACCTTGCTTAAACGCAAGTACTCTCAAATGGACTCCACGATACAGAATCCCCTCCGTAACACGCGTATCTTTTACAGAAAAACCTTCTTAACGAAGACTCTCTGGACTCTAATACCGACACTTGCGTCTTAAGTCCTGTAATGTCCTGTTTTTCATCACTTCTGTTCCACAGCTTGTGGTGAGGCAAAAAAAAACTTAATGCAAACATTTCTCTACTACTGATTCAAGGTGCGACTGCTTGGCTCTACAAAACCGGGCAGTCTGTCTTGAGTTAACTGACAGTTCAAATAAAAAATGATCTTCTTTCTTCATCATGTTGTCGGTAAAATCTCTAATTTTTGTTGAGTTCTGTGAATTATTTAATAATTCTGTTGACTAGGGTCATTTGGACGTTATTATTCTTTAATTAAATAGGAAACGAAATAAAAACGGTGGGAAAGACTGTTGATTTTCACATGACTTTGTGGTGTTTCTCTGCAAAAGATCGCCATGCTAAGGGCTGTTTCCTCCCTTACAAAGTTATTCATGATTAACAAAAGACGTTTCAAAACCGGATCGTGCAAGGTCTTCCGACCTGTCATATTCCCTCGAGTGCATAAGTCTTCGGGACAAAAATCCAGTTAAAGTATCTTATGTCTATACAACACCAATGTACTGCTTGATTTTTAACCGTATTTATGTCATATGCCGTAGACTAGATTTCTGTGGTATAAAATGGACGCCGTCTTGATGACCTTGGCTGGCTAGCAACTTGCATTCTTATATGACCGGTTATCTTATCAAGTTTCTCTGGATATCTAACCGTCATTTCCTAATAAAATGTCTTGGCAGTATCGTTCCATCTCATTAAACATTCACCATTGTTCATTCTGACCTTTTGCATGTTGTTATCATCGCGTCTTTGCCGTTTAGGCAAGAAAATTCCTTTTATCATCTTGTTACAGAAATCGGCTCTTTGAAGTTCTAACTTGTTATAAGAACTAATCAATTATATGTCGAAGAGAAAATACTGAAATGACTAGCTCTAGCCACAACAATCTTTTGAACAAGTCTGTATCAAGGTCAATAATACACAGCCGAAACTATTCATTTGAGTAATCACTATTAACGATCACTAGATTACCAGGCTGATAGTGAGTGACTAAAATATCATTAATGTCTCGATGCAATTCATCTTTAACCAAGGTTCGAAGTTTACACAAAGATTTCTTCCATTTTTTCTTACACAAGACTATTTTAAATTGTTGCTTGTTTCACTTAAAAAAACGGTGTCACTTTGTTGTTTTTGAGCAGTCGTAACAATCTTCAATTTCCTGTAGATCATTTGCATAGTAAATACATTATATTTTACACTCTTACAAAACTGTTTCAGGCACGTCTTAATGAAAACCCCCTGGAGCATTGAACTTGTCATTGTAAACCAATTTGATTGGAAATAACAAAATATGTCATGCTTCTCAATGTAAAATGAACTGTAATAATTTATCCTTGGTATCATGCAGTGACGTATTCATCCGTTGCCAGAACGGCAGGGTGTTTACGAACAATGGTACATAAATTTACTACGAGTTCTATGCCAGTGTGGCCAAGAAAACCAAACCAAAACACACTAGATAGACTTTTAAACTACACCTTTTCATTCCATCGTAGTTCTGCCAGTGAGCTGCTTTTAAAAGCTAATCATCACCTCTGAACTTTGTGTCTCGTTGGTGCACGCGGACCTACTACGATTTAACTTACTTGCCACGAAACACGAATTTATAGCTCTAAAGTTTTATGGTAAATTTAATTAATGGTGCAGGGGATTATAATTGTCAATATTCCATGAAACATCTCTATTGAGTTTGGTTTTCACGCAGTTGTCTCCACGATAGCGACATGCAGCTAAGAAATCATTCATGAAAAACATTCTTACGTTTCCACCCTTGTTAATCTCCTCCCGGACACTTTTACCAACAGCAAAATGCAAGTATACGTTTTCTTGCAAATTCATCAATTCAAATAGATTTGTGATTTAGATAACTGAATTAATCCCACACAACAAAGCAAGAGAAGCGTGTTCGCGTTTCCCTCGTAGGATTACCACACGACAGATTTTTTATAGAAACACGAGAGAATAGCTCCAATGAAGATCACATGAATGGTATAATATGTACAATAAGAAGAAATACCTTTCTGAGTTTAGCTCTTCGTTTGTTGCAAACTTGATACACGAGCGTCCTAAAGACTGAACACACTGATGTTTGTATGTAAACTAACTGTCCAATATCAAGTTATTAATAAGACATGCATGACTAGCTCGTCTGCAAGAATGAACGTGATTGGTTGTCACATCCAGGGTCACCACAGCAAAGATCCTGTTTGAAGATTGTTTTGTAAAATCCCAGTGATTAAAAAACTATTGCCGTTTGTACGAACGCTGGTTTAGCGCCATCCAACAGATATAGTGGATTTTTAAACCGTTGTAAAATGCTTAAACCACAATAAAATTAAATAATAGCTACTAAGGTTTAATCAATGTTGTATATGTCGAACAACTGACACTCTCGTTCAACCGGACCCAGAAATCAAGTTTATTTCAAGGGTTATTTTGCATGAATTGGCATGAATAATCGTATTATAAAAGGCTGTATGCCTGTGTTTTCTATCAGAATGAGTGTTCAGGAAATAAGTAGTGACAAGACTCTTAAAGAAGCTAATCTCTCTGGTCTCATGATTTCAATGTAAATTATACTCGAAATATGAACTTTGACCGTTTTCCGTAAACATATCAATTTAATAAAATTTAATATTATTTCATTATTCTATTTACATCACAGGATTCCGGTCAGTCACTCCACCTTTTCAACACTGACAATTTCATTTGCCATTCTAGTAAAACTGGTTTCATAAGTGTAACATTTTGATAAAACATCGCGGTTTATTGAATTAACCTATCAATTCAGAGAAAACATTATCATAAACAAACATGAATTATTTTATTTAACCCAACAATCGTAAAGCTCTAAGTGCGAAATGACTGACTGACTATGGGCATTCATAATTTTTACTGTCCAACAAAACGTCGACGCCATCCTAAATGTACATATAAAACCCTACTCTTGATGCCTCATCTAACCCTCATCACCCTTAGAATAACCCTGGGATTGTTTATTCCAAAGATACGCATAAAGACTTGAAGTATCTTGAAGTAGTTCTTCATGACGACCGCGCTCTCTGACGCGCCCACGTTCCAACACCAAGATCTCGTCAGCGTCCAGCACTGTGGACAAACGATGAGCAATGACAATTGAAGTGCGGTCTTTTGTAAAACGATGAAGCGCTTGTAATATGTTCTAAAGAAAATTGTGCATATTTTTAATCAAAGTAAATTAAGCCTCGCTTTAAACTATAGCTGCGGCTTTTTTTTGTATTTTAGACTTTTGATACATGTAAACGAGCAATCTATTTTTCTATATATCCACTCGGTTACATCTCTCAAAAGAAGAGTGAAGTTACGACGGCAAGTTACAACATATGAGGGGTGAAGAATTACTAACCATTTCAGTGATTGAATCGAGTGAGGAGGTCGCCTCATCATAAAGTAATATTGGAGGTTTCTTTAATATCGCTCTGGCTATTGCAATGCGTTGTTTCTCCCCTCCTGATAACTTTAAGCCTCGCTCTCCAACCTGAGTCTCGTAACCATCCGGCCATCTTCGGATTTGATCGTGAATGTCCGCTAGTCTTGCGGCCTCGTATACCTCTTCAGCGGTTGCATCGACCCGCCCGTAATTAATGTTATAGAAGGCCGTGTTGTGAAATAGAACTGAATCCTAGGGAAAGTGAATATTATCTTTAGTGGGATGGCCATTTTATCGATCTATCCATGTTAATCCAGGCAATCTAATTCGTTAGGTTACCTGTGGAACAATACCCAATGCCTGACGTAGGCTGTCTAAAGAGATATCGCGGATATCTTGTCCAGCTATCAATATTCGTCCATCACACGGATCAAAAAAGCGATTAAGCAAACGAATTATGGTTGATTTTCTGAAAAAAAAAGTGAAAGCACAAATAAAACACGTTTTACTTGAAAAGAGACAAGTTAGTTATCCAATTGAGTTAAGTGATGAAGTGCACCTTTGTACACTGACTGCCACCTTAACATTGCGAGCTTTCAAAGCTTTTTATTGGTTGAAAATAATTACCCTGATCCACTTCCACCAACAATTGCAACTTTCTTTCCAGATGGAACATCGAAACTGAATCCATTCAAGATCGTCTGACCTTTAACGTAACTGAAGTGTACATCTTCAAATCTCACGTGGGCATTAGGATCCCCAGGTTTGAGAATCAGAGGGAAAGCATCGGGTTTCTCCTGGTAATGGTAAGTGAAATGATTCATTATAGACACCGTTGCTAGTTTGATTGTCTGACGATTAAAGCGGAACTGATGCGCAAACTTACCGTTACTTTAGATTTAATACTTCGCAAATCAAACAGCGCTTGCATATCAATTAAAGACTGTCGTATTTCACGATACACTGTACCCAGGAAATTTAACGGAAGAGACAGTTGAAATAGCAGACCATTAACCATCACTAAATCACCAACTGTCATTGATCCTATAAAGACAAATTTAACAATGATAAGGAAACGTATTTTGCGTAAATCACCACTCAATTTTTGTTCCTCGGCTCTGTTCCAACTGACCTGCAGTTATTTGACTGCTTGCACACAACATGACTGCCACTAGAGATGTGCTAAATATTGCATTCTGACCAAAATTTAACATTGATAAACTTGTGCTGGTTTTCAGCGCTGCTTTTTCATAATTTTCCAACAACTTGTCATATCTGCTAGCCTCATGTTGCTCATTGTTAAAATACTGTAAGAGAAAGAAATTGATGAGCTCAACCTGTTTGGGAAGAGTTTTCTCTTGGAAGTAAACTCTCATGATCTAGAAAAGCATGTTCCTGTTAATTAAGGGCATTCTCACTAAGAAATAATGTAGAAAAAACAATGGTTCTCATGTTACCAAGATTGTGGTTGTGCAAAAAATGGCATTCCCATAGTGATAGGAACCAAGGAATAGACATTTTCATATGAACCAAACTGCATATTCAGAACTTTATCCATGCAAAATGACAAAGTAATCGAACCTTGACAGTTTCATAATTAAGCAGGGAATCAATTGCCAATGATCCAGCTTGATTATCAGCTTTGTTCATATCAATACGAAATTTAGTTCTCCATTGAGTGATACCAAATGTAAAGAGAGTGTAGCCAGTTATACATGTCAATGTCACCAAAGCAAATTCTTTGCCACATTTATAAGCCTGCAGATAAAATGAATCAGTATAACAGTATATTTAACTTTCACGCATGCACAATACCAAAATACTCTCATTGAAATGAAATCATGGATAAAATCATTCCTTATTGGGAAACCTTGTTAAATAGACATGAGGTGATCTCTGTCACTCAGCTTACCAAAATCCCAGTCACCATTGAAACTTCCAACAATGTTGGGAAAATATTGAAAACCAATGCAGTTAGCATAAAATTGATTCCTCTAAATGAAAAGATTTGAGAGCTGTTTATATTATTTCTTTCATTAATAATGCATGTTACTCATGCAACCAGACCTTGTTCCTCTGTCAATTGCTCGAGACAAAGCCCCAGTCTGCTTTGAAAGATGAAAACTTAAATCAAGGTTATGTAAATGTAAGAATGTTCTCTTTGCTACAGTTCTGATTGAGCTTTGAGCTACTTTAGCAAACACAGCATTTCTTAGTTCATTAAAAAGAGATGCACCAGCTCTTGCAGCACCATCTAGAAATGCATGGAAACTATTTCAATGTCAATTCAATTCCATGCTCTTGCAACTAACACATTAGCTTCAAGCGACTTACATCCAAGCAGCAATGCTGTTGTGAGTGTCAAAGCTGTACTGGCTGCAGTGTCCATTAAGGGAGTAGCATTATTCAAATGATCCACAGCATATTTAAAGAGAAATGGTACCTGGACATTCAGGACCTAGGACAATATTCAAAGCTACTTTTTAGATGTTCTTGGAGTAAATTATGCTGACAGCAGACAGCTCACTTTATTGCAAGATTCACCTTTGATCCAACTAACAATGAAATGGCAAGAACCACCCTGATCTTTAAATCATTTCGATCCTTTGGCCACACATGATGCAACATACTTTTAATTATGCCTAAACTGTTCGTTACTTGAGCTTTCTCTTTATGCTCGGTAGCTTGTGAGGAAGGTAAATTATTTCTGTGAGCTGTACTGTAGAAATACCTGTAGAGCTGCAAGTTTAAATGAGATTTCTTGCTAAAATTATAGTAAATACGAGTTGCATTTTAGGTCTTCTATCATTTTCAACAAATATAAGGCAAGATCTCGTGTAATACAACAGGCCATTTTTACGATCGCGAGTAGCTATTACCTGGCATCGTCTAAATGGACTAGAGGAATAACTTCGATAAGTAATCGAGGCAATATTTCTTGTACATTGTCGTAAATTTAGTAAAGCACAACATGTACGAATATTTGTCATTTTCGCCGCCATATTTAATTTTTGAACTCGGATATTTTCGTGCGTTTTTCGTGCTGGTCTCGGAAGCTCTCGTCGTTGCTATGCTACGGAAACGTCAACAATTGTTTATCGTTTTGTTGCTATGTGATAAAAACAACCTTGGACGAAGTATTTAAAACATCACTGGTGCTATTTCTCTTTGCATAAAACACAGAGGGAACCTTATCCAGGAGACAAAAACGCCATGGCTACTTCTATGGCTACAAATATCGTTGCTGATGGATTCACAAGCAAATCAAGATTAAAAAACGCCAAGGTGAATAGCGAAAAATATCCTAAAGTACAAACGCGAGTCATGTTGTAATTTGATAACCCATTGTTTAGCTTCGAATACTAAGCTTATTTTTCGTTTCTTTTTGCGATTTTTTCAGGTCAAAGACCCACCAAAATGCGGAGCTTTTAAAGAAAGACCGGCCGCTAAAACAAGCTTTCGAAAGTTTTACGAAAGAGGAGATTTTCCAATCGCTTTAGAGCACGACACAAAGGGAAATAAGATTGCATGGAAAGTTGAACTAGAGAAGCTTGACTACCATCATTACCTTCCCTTGTTTTTCGATGGATTGCGAGAAACAGAGCATCCCTACGAGTTCTTTGCACGACAAGGCGTTCATGATATGTTAGAACATGGAGGACAGAAGATCCTTCCTGTTGTTCCACAACTTATTATTCCTTTAAAACGCGCACTGAATACGAGAAATCACAAGGTCGTCTGTACTACGTTGAAGGTTCTCCAACATCTGGTCATCTCGGGGGAAATGGTTGGCGAAGCTCTAGTCCCCTACTACCGTCAAATTCTTCCAATTTTAAATATTTTTAAGAATAAAAATATAAATTGTGGAGATCGCATTGATTACAGCCAACAACGACGTGAAAACATGGGAGATCTTATCCAAGAAACCTTGGAAAATTTCGAACGCACCGGAGGAGAAGATGCCTTTATAAACATCAAATATATGGTGCCTACATACGAGTCATGTATGCTAAACTAATTTAGAACGAAACTGTATATTAGGATGTGTATTGTATGCTGATCAATGTGAATAAACTGCTTTAGCCCGAGAACGTTTAGAGTAATTGCTACATTTTATTGTAATATTTCTGGGAAATGCATTGTTAGTGATCATCATCAGGTCATATGTTCCAAGATCTAGTCATTTTTGAAGATCTTGTTTGGTTATAAGCATGCTGAACTGTATGGAGTATAAATGTTTAAATGTTTAGTAATGATTAAGATATTTTATAACCAATGAATGTCAGACTTGTTCTAGTATTCATCTATTTATTTGTTACAGTATTTGTTACTGTAATAGTCCTACTGACCATCTGAAACATGCCCTCTGGTATCACTGCTACATTACAAAAATTTTACCAGTAAATAATGAAAACATTTCAATATAAAGCTGGTTATATGAAAACTAGGCCAGATCTAATTTAATCATGGTATAATATTTGTACACTAAAGTTCATCCTTTAGTTCTTGCTGATCTTCTTCAGGCTCAAAATTATCATCTTCATCACTGTCTTGTTCAAACTGGTCATCCACTAAAGCAGATAGCTCCTTCACCAAAATAAATATCTTTTCCGAAGTCTAATAACAAATATTTATGGATAATTTTAAACCACTCATCACTAGCTTCTGCTACGTCTCCCTAACCTCAAAACCAAATGCTCTTTAGAAGAACATTTTGTTTTATGGCACAATATTAACAGCTGATAATTTTGTCTTGTTTTATAGATATGTCATCACAATCTCAACATCAGAATTCTGAGAATCCTTACTTCTTCACTCATTGATGTGATATCGTCAGGAGTTAGCTGAGCATCATCGGAAGATCCATCCAGGTAATTATATATCTATAATACATATAAATTGATATAAGTTTATTGTTATTTCCTGCAGAGAAAAATGAACACCTCCCCTAGAAAATCTACATATGGTTCCAGCTTAATTATTTTCCACAGATACTGCAATATAACGTTAACCTGATCAACTTTCTCCATCATTTCATCCGACCATATTGCATCCGGTTCAAAAAAGTCTGATTTCTGAAAAAATACATATATTTTTTGGAAAATAACTATGGAAATATTTAAGAGCTAGTTAATATATTACTTAAACTTACTGGTAAATAACTACGAAAATCATTCATGGTAACTTTATTTTCATGTAACTCAAACAAACTTTTCAAAGCACCTCTAAAAAAGCAGAAAAAAGTTCTATGCATATATAAGAGATGAAAGCATATTATTGATTACCAAGCTTCAACTAACTTTAGGGCATCAATTGCTTCTCGAGGATACAATGTCTCAAAACCAAAGAAAGTACACTTTTCCAAAGTAGTGTTAGGCAAATTACAGTTTGGCAAATGAGGCTTGGCTGAGGCACTCCACCAAATATTTACTGCTAGGTTTCGTCCAACTGATGATACATGATGGTACCTGACAAGTATGGCAATACAATATCAGGGTTAACACATATGTCTGTCTAACAAATGATGATCAACCAATTCTATAGTTATTAGCTCAATCACATCAAATTTTCCTACCAGCCATATGGAATATATAAACAATCTCCAGGCTGCATTTCAGCATAGTGATATTCCACTTGTGCTAGTCCTGGATACTTGATGAAATCCACTCTATATAGTAATATATTTACTGTAAGCGTCAATTATTACAAAGAAAATGACCAAGAAGTCTGAGTCTAGATGTGTTTTAATCACCTACTTTTCAACATCCACATTTGAATATGCTGATTTCTTATTTTCAATTGTGACCTGGAAAGGTGGAAGAGGCCTTTAGGTGAATTTTTTTTAGAATGAGATAGAAAAACTTACAGTCAGTATAGGTTAACTGGATGAATTGATCAGTTGGTGACTGGGGAAAACTCTCACCTTGTCAGAATATTTATTTGGATCAATGAAATATAACTTCTTTGTACCAGCAAACAAACAGTTTATATTTTCTGCAGAATCATAATGCAACACTGACTTTGTTCCACCACTGCTGAACCACATCAACTAGACAATACAAACATGATGCACACATGCCAGTTAATTCCCATATCCATGGAATAATTTATCATGGACCTTAAATTTCTACAATCTACACTAGCTGTCTTACACAAGCTGTGTTTTTAATTGTAGATGAATAAATGAAACTAACCTTTGCCAAAAGAAAGTTGTCAACAAGTTCTGGGCAACACAAGGGTGGAGGTAGGAACACATCTTTACTTTAATTGGAAAAAATAGTTTTTTCATTATTTAACTTCTAAGGGACATCAGTCAGTTCATCCAAGATCAAACCTGATCAAACCTAGAAGTAATTTTTTGGGGGATTCTTCTGGGAACACAATCTTGTAATTGTGGAGGGGTAAAGGTGTAACAATGAATGAATGAATGGGAAGGGCATTTGTTGGTATCTTTTTGAAGTTTTAATAACCCACTGTACCTGAGATGATCTGGCACATCATTAACAAGATAGATATCCTCCTTTGAATATCTTTTTACAAAATCATTGAATGGTATTTCTTCTGGGGATAATGTCCTGTTTTCTTTCTTAGCTTGCTCGACAACAACCAACACTTTGTTGCCTTCTTCGAGATTTAAAAAATATTCGTCTGTCCATAGGGAATATGCTGGAGAAATCTTAGCTCCTCCACGTATAACCAAAGGCTTACTAGCGTACACATAATTTTGGAAGAATATTGCAGGATCTGGAAAATATGGCTTTGATTCTACATCTAATATTATTCCGTGGGAGCCAATGGGTTTTAAATGGCCAGGATGCGTTGTGAGATCTTCTGAATTACCACAACAGCAAAGTACGATAAGATAAATAATCGACTTATATTTAGAAGCCATCATAATTCTACAACGAAGGAAGAACCAAATTACGTTCTTGTGTATATTATATAAATTTGTGATAATTGTTGTTTATTCAACTGTTAACACATCTTCGTAATATTCCAGCAATTCATTGCAATTGCAACATTAACGAGAGGAAGCTTGGATGACTCTAACTTCTATAACTGACGAACATGAATTATGCGCATTATTAAACTCATATCAGGCCTCATTTACTTCACGCACATACTTCAAAAATACATTTAATCTGATATTTACTATAGCAACTATCTAGCAATATGCTTTAAATATCCGCTCTTAATCAAAAAAGTACAGTAATTGCGACATTTAGTCATATTCTATATATATATACTACTTTATCCCTGGAATGATATGCATATGGTAATTGAGACATCCACGGAATCTTTTCATATGCTGACCAGGGAATAATAGTTTATAACTTTACCCTAAGGTTATTAAAAACAGCTGTGTTTCAAACAATTATTCGGATTACGCCGGAAAACTTTCCACCTGAGAAGATATGGAAGAAGATATATCTCACACTCCCGGAAAGAAAGAAAGAAAGAAAAACGTTGTCATAATTTACGTTGTCAAAATCATAATTTCCACTAACTGATATGAAATATTTAAAATTTCCGTCGTGTATTTTAATATACATTATATACATACAAAAAAACGAACTATTTTCCAATACTGTATCATGTAAAATTCTCGCTATAAAATAGAAGTATCTTCTTAGGTTACGGTTGTGCGAATGTCACCCAAATTCATACTTTCTCGATTTTGTAGTTGATAGCCTAGACGCGCTATGAAATATGATGAATGGACGTTGGTTCTTCAAACCGGATATTAGTGTTCGGCATCATTTGCAAATATTTTGATAAGCAGATCACTCATTGATATCCCGATATTGGCATATGCATCTCTGACGTCATCTAGTCCCAGTACTTTATTAATCCATCCCAACCACATGTGACGACTTTTGACGTTTCATGTGGATGCCAGGCACAGCCAATACACACCGTATCATGAGCTTTGAATTTACTGCAGAGAAAACAAACGCATTTTAGTGAATTCTACCAACACAATCTCATCCATGAAAATATGTGAAAATATCAGCCAATAAAACACTACTGTAGTGTAGGGCATTATAAAATGGATATTTCATTGACAGTTCCACATGAGTATCTTGCTGGAGGGAAAGTGAAAGGAAATACCTGTATAGTTTAGTCGATTTCCAATCCCAAATAAACAACTTTCCATCTGCATCACCGGAAATCACATACCTTTAACAAAAAGAAATGAAACAAAAGGAATTAGGCTTGATAATCACTAACCAGTAACGATCTTAAAGATATTCTCATATGAGAAGAATTCATTACTTTACCTCCCATCTGGCGAGAAGTTTACTTGACATGCGTAACCAGCAACCATATGACCTTTAAATGTTTTCTTGCGGTTCAAGCGAAAACGATTCTGAACACCAAAGATGGTAATTTGGTTGTCCATCGACTGACAGGCCAACCACTTCTCTATTACAGAAAAAATTCAACATTATAGACCTGGTTAAACTGATATCGAGGAATCAGGAAACTGACACCAGCTTCTTTAATTGTTTTTATATGAACGAGATCACAGCTTTGATCTCAACAACGGTGAAGTAGCTACAGAAAGACTGCATTATTATGCAACTGATTCATAGTTATTCGTTCTAGCGTTAATCTATTTACCCACCATTAGGATGGACTGTGATGGAAGGCATTGAATGCATACTTGGTTCGGCTATATATTTTGCATCAACTGGAATATCCCTAGAAAAATTTCACATCTTCAGTTAACAATGGATGATATAGTTAACTAACAACATTATTACCTTGTTCCTAAAAAAAACTTAGCACAGTTTATCGTTAAACCCCGTTTACACGATCTAATTTTGCCGGATCCAATCCACCTCTGAAGTATGGAGTGTTGTCTGTTATTAATAAAGCAGTGGCTTTAGTTGGTTTTCTGCCCACATTGCAAGTCAACAGACTATAAAACATCCATCAGAAGTGAATTGGTTCTCAACAAGGTAAAATATATATTCAAAAGACCACATACCATTCCCATATCCGCACACTCTTGTCATCCGACGTGCTCACGAATTTTCTATTTTGATCAACGAATGCAATCTGGTTGACAGCACCTAAATGTCTAAGAAAAGATTTACTTGTAAACATTTTTTCGGTTGTATAAAATGTTCACTGTCGAGAAATAATATTTAGTTTCCCAACCTGTCATACTCTTGGACGATTTCGTTTGATCGTATGTCCCACTGCGATTTGTAAAGATTAGGAATTTAGTATTGTGACAGTCAGTTATCTTCAGCAAGAAACGTCAGAAGACGACTCACCGTCAATATTTTCTTATCAGATGTACCACAAACAAAAAGATGTTGTTTATCCTAGAAAAAGATTATTATCAAGATCAACGTCGTACTTCTAAATAATTCCAAATAAAATGTTAATAAAATGTCAACCTTACAATGCATGTGATCTCATGGATATATTACGAGAAAACTAATTTGCAGTAATAGATCTTTGTTATACCAGTAACATCGTCATATGAAAGATTATTGGAGATTACCTCGTCAGGGTTGAATTTGACACAATATGGAACTTTTCTGTTTGTAAATCTTCCTAAACATTGACCAGTTTCTGTATCCCAAAGCTTGCAAAATCTGTCATAAGCAGCGCTCAGGAATGTTGACCCGTCGTTATTAAAACAAATGTCCCTCACTGCTTTACTGTGACCTGAAGAAGAAAACAACATGTTGCTCTCCATAGACTGGCAATGCTCTGAAATGAGTTCAACTAAAGATTCATTTTCTTCTAATTTTAAAATGGGGACGTCTTCAAACCCATCGTTTCTTGAAAGTGAATACAATGTACAAGTTAGATGAACTGTATCTTACCATTGAATGTTCGAAGAAGTCTTCTGTCACCGTAAACTTCCCACAACTACAAAGAATATATATAGAAAATTAATTGTCAATTATACATAGCAGATAATCAGATGTCTCTGTGTCTCATAAAATATTGCTATAATTTAAGTCTAGTGCACTATTGTGGTTGCAACTACAACAAACCTGATCTGACAGTAATGCACAAGTTAAAATGGTGAATTAAGTAGAGATATTACCTTGATTTTACAATCCATACTGCAGGATAAAAGCAAGTGTGCAGATTTGGGGAAAAATCTGATTGCAGAAACCCCTTTGGTGTGGCCAGACCTAACAAATATAAAATATAATATCTCAGTCCCTCTTGAGAGTGATTAAGTTTACCCTGTCTTAAAACAATCTTGTAAAAAATGGGAACATGTTCTGGAGAACTTGCCATGTATGAATGTGTCGTTTTGGTAGAAAGCATCTTTCAGGTGGTGCATCGCTCTTGAGGTTGATACCAATATCTTGTGGTATGTGTAGATATGAACGTCCTTGGTAGTCGTATGCATCTTTAACTGAAATTTATAACAGGAAATAACTGCAGTGATAATACTGAAAGCATGGCTTCTTGTGGATGAAAGCTTTTAAGCTTTAAAACCACTTTATTCATTCCTAAACGTACCACATGATAAAGTGAAACTTCAGTATACATACCATGTAAAGTTGATTTCTCTTCCACTGGCTTGTCATCTTCTTTCTTTGTTTTACTTTTCTTTGTGAGTTCATATTCCTCAAGTTTGCTTGATTCTTCCTGGAAAAAAAATAATATTGAACAGCATCTGAGATGGCAACAACAGGAAAAGAATCATAACCCTGATGAATTGTAATAAGACCGAAAACATGACAGTTAAGATGTCATGGTTGAAAATATATGATCAACCATACCTCAGATGGCTTGGCAATGGCCTCTTCATCAACAAACTTACTCCAAGGCCCTAAATGGAATAAAAAATATATGTATCATCCTACCTTGTCTTTAATCAACTGGTTAAGACCTCAAATCCTATATGTACCTTTGTAACCTTCAATCAACCCAGGATCCCCTTTATCCTCCCTTTTTCTCTTGTCTCCAGTTCGAGGTTTTGATGCTTCAAACACAGTCAAACCCTTGGTCTCTTTTGCCTTATCTAAATCACCTACAAACCTGAAAAAATGTACAACATTAATGACAAGAACCTTTCTTAATAGTGCTGGTGACACTAAGGTTGTTGCCAGCGTAGTATATTACTCACTTTTCCTCAATGTTTGCAGTATCGTCACTTGGATCTAGTGCATATCCTTTGAAAGAAATATATACTTTTTTAGAAATGTGGTTTTTGGTTCTAATCAGCTTGGTTAGGAAATAATGAATTAAATGCAGCAACAAAACTTACCATAACTACAGAATGTTTTCATTTGATTGTCAAATTGGAACTTGCTAATATGTGCTGGTTCAACAAAACCTGAATGTAAATGTTTCAGGGTTTATTAAATTCAATTAAACAAACATCTCACACCCATGGGCATTTTGAAATCTTTTCAATATATAGGATAGTTACTACTACAACTACTATGTTCCATTACAGTTTGATTGACAAACTTTGTGTAACATTATATGGGTTTTGTGTGTTTGATGTCATTATGGGAGGATCTATTGAACAATGTGATACTAGTACTTCTGACATACTAGTAGTTCTGATAAGACAAGTACTGTACCCGATAGTGTATTTTTCTTTGCTTTTTGCTGCTTTGTTTTAAATGGATTATTTGGTCCAACCTATAGTGTTAAAACCATATAACAGCTGCTCTTGCATGTACAAGCCCTCGTAAGAAGGGGAAGGCCGGAAGGGGGTCATTTGCTCTGGGCTCCAGGCTTGAAAAGAGAGAAGGGGAACTACAGATAAATTTTAAATTTATATTAAATAATTAAATGATCACCCTACCTCTGGTGCAAAAAGCTGTTCATACTTAGGATTGAATGTCACTTCTTTTTGCGAGGGATCAAGATGAATAATAGTATTGATATCTTCCTAGAAATTATGAGATGGTTTAATATGAATGATTGAACAAAGGTACAGACCTTGATAATGTTATTATAGTTCATAATTTCTATTTTCACTCTTTACTTTAGCATTGACGGTTGGGGCACTATTCAAAAGAAACTTGGATTTCAGAGCAGCAATATCCACAGTATTAGTTTCAATGTTTTCGTCCTCATCAGGTAAATCTTTAGTATTTATTTCCTCACTTGAAGAATCACTATCATAAGAAACTAACGATGTTTTGGCAGCCATTTTGGATTTCAGTTAATTTGTTACCAGTCCTGTAGTCTATCATATGCGCGGCGCAGACACGGGCTCTGGGCGCAGAATATTCAATATCTTGGTTTCACTTTTGTCGGGGCCAAGTGAACTCTATATAGAGCTCACTGGATTGAGCTATTCAGTATGTTCATTCCAAAAAAGGTAAAACCCGGTTTATCTTCGGAATTAATAGGAAAAGCCCGTTTACTTCGCTCAATTCCGACCAATCAAAAACAAGGAAAAAAGCGGCAAAATTTGGTTCTTCTTGTTCAAATTTGGCGCAATGATGCCCCCAAAAATTAACATGTCGTCGAGCGAGAAAGACTTACGTCGCTGCGGGAAGCATAAAAAGACCACACCTACCCGAAAACGCCATCTCGTCGCCTCAGAATGACTTCAACTGTAACAGGCAAGCATAAATTTATCTTTTGTTCAATTTTCGTGTATTTTTCATCCAAATTTAGCGCAGAAAAACGGCTTCAAAGTTGACCATTTGCCCAACCCGACCGAAGACTTCTGGTCATACTCGGCTTCGTTTTTCGGTTTCTTTTTAATTTATTTTGACTGCAATGAACCTGGAAGGAGTTGAAGAGACATTTCGAAAGACTTTTTTACTTTTTTGAGCAACATTTCGAAGCGGGATACGATTTTTTTATCGCTTGAGTCGGAATTTTTTTATCGCATGTCCAAAGGCAAAGATTTTCGATACAAAGCACTGCAGCTAACTACGAAACGGGGTGACGAGTGTTTCCTAAAGATTTTTTTATCAAATTTTATTGAAACAAAGGTTGAAAATTTTGAACACTTTTAGCTTGCGCGGGAGGCCGGCAATGCCTCGCACCTTCCAGTTCTTCTTGTCGGGCAAAACAGGTCTCAATTGTTACGAATGTTTTATACTATTGGGAAAACAAACAAAAAGAAAAACTTTTGGGAACTACCAATAATCTGCGCGTGTTTTCAAACCTTTTTTAAGTATTTTTTAGTCTGGTTTTCTAATATGGGCTTATTGATATATTTGGTACAATAAAACGTAATTAATTGGTGATTATCTCAATTAGACTTTCAATTTATTAATTAACTGCTAATTATAAATGGTTGGTGATTGTTTTTACCAACAAATTGTTGTTATTTTGTTTCAAGGTGGAAGTCAATGGAAAGACTGAGCATAAATACACAAATACTAATAAAACTTTTCAATTTTTTTGTTTTTTGTCAAAAAATTATTTTTAAAATTAATTTAAAAAAAACAAATTTATTTTCTTAATTGGAAAATGATTCAAAATTTTTATTAAAAACTATTAGCTAGGTTAAGTTGAAAAAATATGCAAGGGCGGTGGCATTGCACTCTTATTTTTTTCTTGAGGTATCTGCATCTGTCTTTTAGTCATTTGGTAAACAAACTTTGTGTGTGGGAAGGCGTGGCGCACCTTTTTACATACATTGTTTGCGATGCTGGGTGGATGGAAAACATTTGCAGATATTTTTGGAAATAAATTGGTTTGCAATGTTCTTTTCATAGCTGTCAGTCTATAAATTAAGACAGCAATTGTGCTATTGCTATAAGCATTAGCAGGAAAAAAATCAGTGTGTCTCTTTTCATAGCTGTCAGTTTATAAGGACAGCAGTTATGCTATTGCTATAAGCGTTAGCAGAAAAAAAATCAGTGTGTCTCTTTTCATAGCTGTCAGTTTATAAGGACAGCAGTTATGCTATTGCTATAAGCGTTAGCAGGAAAAAAATCAGTGTGTCTCTTCATAGCTGTCAGTCTAACATACTAAATATTGAGAGTGGAAAGAAGTATTGACCGATTTCATTGCATGGATCCAAATTTTTCTGTATACATGTTAGGTTTAATTGTTAATTGTCTTCATGCAAGCCCTAAATTATATTTAGGAAACATAAGTGAGACTGATCACCTCACCCCAACAGCATAGGTTAAGTAAACTGTTGCACCACTTTAGTCATTCTTGAATATAAATTTTCTTATGGATCAGCTTAATATTTGATATGTTCGGCAATGCCTTACTCATATATTAAACTGATGGCTGTCAGTCTAAAAGGACAGCAATTTTGCTATTGCTATAAGCCTTAGCAGTGAAAACTTAGCCTGTGTTGAAAATTTGTGTGTCTTTATACAAGAAGTGTCTGCAATTAATGCTCTATATTATGCTTATCAAATAATATCTGTTTCCATCAAAACTAAAGTGAATTCTGAATGTTGTTTCTATAAGAGCAACAATTTGCTATTGCTACATGCTTTAGCAAGATTGGCTTATTTGCTGCTAGCTTCAAAAACAATAAGTACTAGGATACACTGCCCAAGGATGTCATCTCTATATGAATGGCACCTTATGCTAGTAGCAAATCTTAATTATAATCAGACCAGCAATTAGGTGCATGCATTGCAGTATTTGTGTTAATTTGACTTATAAGCTCAAGTCTGCGTGATTGGTTTCAAGATATGGCAATTGGTATGTTAAACGTCAGGGAAGCTAGGAGATGTGGGTGCAGGTATGTAGATGATGTCATTGGAAGTGCATGCATGTTTTTCTAAAATTATTCAGTTCATGTTTTCCTATTCTATTGCTAAGTGCATGAATATATTCTTGGTGGTCAACACTTTGGAGTTTGGAGTTACGCACATTAAAAAAATGTTTTTTCTAATTTTCTTGTTTGGCTTAATATTGTGTGTATTGTGTATTATACAAACTATGGAGTGTTATAATTATAAGCTCGGCTTTTTGTTAAAATTAGTTAAGAACAAAGTCTTGCAAGATTGAAAAATTTGTATGATTATTATATATTTGGCATCAATGTCTCTCCAAAATCTATCCAGTATATCTACTCTAATAAGTTATTTTTCTCTATACTAAGCCTTTCCTATGCCATATACTGTCTCTAATAAGCTGTACTTTCTAATAAGCTCTTCTTTGCAATAAACGTTTATTTTCCATAACCTCTCCTCTCTTGAGGCACTCCTCTCCAATAAGCTGAAAGCTAATAAGCCTGCTCAGTAATAAGCTCCAATCCCTAATAAGGTTCCTTGGTAATTAGCCTTCCTCTCTTATAAGCTCTCCTCTCCAATAAGCACTCTTCAAAAAGCTTTCTCTCCAATAACTTTTCTCTAATAGCTAAGCTTTTCTCTCTAATAAGCTCAATGCTCTTCTGTACTCCAGCATCCACTCCAATTAGCCTCCTTTTCCAATGCAATTTTCTCTCCAACCTGATCGAGCTCTTGTGTGTTTCTTCAGGGTAGGTGCTAATGATTTTCTATTTATTACATTTAGGTTCAAACTTGTGGCAATATTGGGTTTAAATGAACACAAATACTTAGAAAATCAATTTTGAAATTTGAAGTGAAAACTTTGAAGTTTGATAATTTGGAAAGTTTGATTTCTAAGCAAATTAGAGTTCAATGCATATGATTAGTAGGTTAGGTTGACTAAAATTCAAGGGTAGGCACATTGCAATTCTTCTTTCATTTCTAAGGTCTCTTCATAAGCCTTTTAGTCATTTGGTAAACAAATGTTGCATGTAAGAAGATTGCGCCACTTTTTACATGAATTATTTGTCGTGCTAAGTGGTTGGAAGACATTTGGAGGTATTTTGGGAATTTAATCAGGTTGCAATGTTCTTTTCATAGCTGTCAGTCTAAAAGGACAGCAATCAGTGCTATTGCTATAAGCTTTAAGCAAGAAAAACTTAGCGTTTTGTCTTCTCATAACTCTCAGTCAGAAGGACAGTAGTTGTGTGTATTGCTATAAAGCAATAAAATGATACTTTCACTTGTTGTTTCTATAAGGGCAACAAAGTTGCTATACATGCTTTAGTTAAAATGTCTACAAGGGCGGTGGCATTACATTCTTATTTTTTTCCTAAAGTCTCTGCATAAGGCTTTCAGTTTTTTGGTAAACAAGCTGTGCATGTAAAGAGATTGCGCCACTCTTTGCACGTATAGTTTGTCTTGCTAAGTGGTTGGAAGTCATTTGTAGGTATTTTGGGAAATAAATAAGTCTGTGATGGTTTTTTTTCAAAGCTGTCAGTTTATAAAGGCAGCAATTGCTATTGCTATAAGCATTTGCAAGAAAGAAATCAGTGTGTCTCTTATTTTCATAGCTGTCAGTCTAATTACTAGATATTGAGAGTGGAAAAAAGTATTGACATTTCATTGCATGGATCCAAATTTTTCAGTATACATGTAAGGTTTAATTGTTGTCTTCATGCAAGCCCTATATAATATTTATAGGAAACATTATAAGTGAGATTGATCACCTCACCCCCACAGCATAGGTTAAGTAAACTGTCGCACCACTTTGGTCATTCTTGAATATAAATTTTCTTATGGATCAGCTTAATATTTGATATGTTCGGCAATGCCTTACTCATATATTAAACTGATGGCTGTCAGTCTAAAAGGACAGCAATTTTGCTATTGCTATAAGCCTTAGCAGTGAAAACTTAGCCTGTGTTGAAAATTTGTATGTCTTTATACAAGAAGTGTCTGCAATTAACGCTTATCAAATAATATCTGTTTCTATCAAAATTAAAGTGAATTCTGAACGTTGTTTCTATAAGAGCAACAAAGTTTGCTATTGCTACATGCTTTAGCAAGATTGGCTTATTTGCTGCTAGCTTCAAAAACAATAAGTACTAGGATACACTGCCCAAGGATGTCATCTCTATATGAATGGCACCTTATGCTAGTAGCAAATTTTAATTATAATCAGACCAGCAATTAGGTGCATGCATTGCAGTATTTGTGTTCATTTGACTTATAAGCTCAAGTCTGCATGACTGGTTTCAAGATATGGCAATTGGTGTGTTAAAGGTCAGGGAAAGATTTTATAAAGGTTATAAAAGGTCAGGGAAAGATTATGGACATGATATGTGGGTGCAGGTACCATGCAGATGTCATATGGAGGTGTATGTTATACTAAAATTATTCAGTTCATGTTGTCCTATTCTATTGTTGAGTGCATGAATATACTTGGTGGTCAACAGTTTGGGTTTACACACACTAAAAATGTTTTTGTAATTTTCTTGTTTGGCGTATGTGTGTATATACAAACTATGGAGTGTTATAAGGCTTTAGGTTAACATTAGTTAGGAACAAGGTCTTGCCAGATTGAAAAATTTGCGTAATTATTAAATTTTTGGCAACAATATCTCTGGCAACATCTTGCTTGAACTTTCTGCCAGGTGGTACAAATGGTACCTTAGGAAGAGAATCAGACCAATTTGCATGTGCATGTTTATAATGTAAATGCCACCAAGTATTACAGGTTAAGAAATCCGTTTGTAAATATGGTTCAAATGGAACGTACCTTGCATGTTTTGCATGAAATGCGGTTACAAAAATGGTTCAAATGGAACCTTGCATGATCTGCATAAAATCCGGTTTTAAAAATGGTTCAAATGGAACGTACCTTGCATGATCTGCATGAAATCCGGTTAAAATGGGTGCAAAATAATGCCCCAAAAGGAGGAAAGTGCTGCGCAAGCGCAAATGCTAAAATATACAATATGGAGGCAAATATGGTTCCCTGCATGAGATCCTATTACAAAAATAGGTGCAAATGCCGCCTCCAAAGGAGGAAGGTGCTGCGCAAGCGCAAATGCTAAAAAAATGCAATATTCGGGAAAAATATGGTACCCTGCATGAGATTCGGTTACAGAAAATGGTTCAAATAGAACCTTGCACGACCTGCATGAAATTCGGTTAAAAAAATGGCTGCAAATGCCCCCAAAGGGGGAAGATGCTGCGCAAGCGCAAATACTGAGAAAATACAATATGGAGGCTAAATATGGTATCCTGCATGAAATTCGGTTACGGAAAATGGTTCAAATAAAACCTGCATGAAATTCGGTTACAGAAATGGGTGCAAAATTCCCCCAAAGGGGGAAAGTGCTGCGCAAGCGCAAATGCTAAAAAAAATGAAAAATATGGTATCCTGCATGAGATTCGGTTACAGAAAATGGTTCAAATAGAACCTTGCACAACCTGCGTGAAATTCGGTTACACAAGTGGCTGCAAATGCCCCCAAAAGGGGAAAATGCTACGCAAGCGCAAATGCTAAAAAAATACAATATGGAGGCAAAATTCGTATTACTGAATGCCCTAAATATGGCGAAATTTTTATATTTCCTATATCATTTTATTGTAAATAATCTAAACATAACTTAAATTGACTGTAATATTTAAATACAAAGGAAAAATTGTTCACTTGCTTTTGTAATTATAATAAGCAAAATTCTTTCGGAACCAGGGCACATCTCTTCTTCTTTCTCTTCTCTAAATTCTCTCTATTTTCTTTTTTCTTAAGACTCTCTCTTTTCTAAGATTTTCTCTTTTCTAGGATTTTTCTCTTTCTAGGTTTTTCTTTTTTCTAGGTTTTTCTCTTTTCTAGGTTTTTCCCTTTTCTAGGTTTTTCTCTTTTAAGCATTACTAACACTTTTTTTTCAGGATTTAATTTTAAAACATTGTAAATAGAATATTACAAATGTAAATGTAAATGTAAATGTAATGTATCAATTGTGTGAATAAAATTGTTCATTCGTTGCTATTGTCATATATTGCATGAGAGGGTTTTTCTCCGGGCGCTCCGGTTTCCCTCTATATACATTTACACCTTTTCCTGATTGGCTAACATGGCTATAGCTATAACTAACGTTATATTTATGGTACAAACAAAAACAACCAAAACAAAAAACAGTGTCCGTGGTGTTTCGGGACCAAGACTGGTTATAGGGTTCGATCCCCTTTGCACTGAGCGACTTTTTAGCAGATTTCGAAAAAACCTTTTCAAAATTTACCGGCTTCAGAGGCAACATTGAATATTTTATTATTATTACTTTTAAATAATTTATAACTATTACTTGTAAAAAATATATATTTATTACCCGCTGTTATTGCCCTATTTTTGGCGCCAAAACTGAAACTGTAAAATAAATTAATAACTCAGAAAATACAAGATGGCGGATCAAGAAGGAGTGGAGAATCAGGAAAGTATTGTTGATGTTGAAACAATTGATGAAAAGATTCCCTTTACCGCACCGGAGGAGAGCGAAATGTTGGCAGAACATGAAGCATTAACGATTAAACTCGAGGAGCAAGCTAGCGACACAGAATCAATGACTGAAAGCAATGGGAACTCGAATGATGCTAACACTGGAAAAACAGGAAAAGGGAGATCAAGTAATTGGCGAAAAGGGAAAAAAACTAAGCTGGGATATCGTTGTACAAATTATTTGAAGGTATCATTGAGTGTATGTTCATAGGGTCTATATGTTGTGGCTGGTTTTATTTGTGGATATTCACTATTTTCATGAAATTAAAGTTTACAAGCATTTAATAATAATGGTGACTATATAGACTGACATAATATAGAGGTTGATTTAATCTTAATACAGGAGGATCACAAGCAACCATTATTTGGTGTAACTTTTAATTACAATTTTGATGAAAATGCAGAAGATCCCTTAATTTTTGCAACTGTTGGAAGTAACAGAGTAAGTCAAAAATGCATGAAACATCTTTATGTACATACAACAAGGCATACATTATAATGTAGACCTGTGTAGGTCATAATAATTCACTACAGCATGTTTCTTTTATGAGGCATCAATATATCAATGCAAAGATAAGGGCGAAATCAAATTACTACAAGCTTATGTTGATGCAGATGTATCCTTTAATATCCATCCTTTGTTCCAGTAATATTGGCTTTGCTCTTATTAATCAGAGGCTGGTTGTATAAAACACTTAACTACATTGGATAACATGACCCCAATAAAGGAATATGCATATCAGAAATATATTTGTGAAGTTGGTTTTATATTGTTGTAAGGTCTTAACTTAAATAAAATAAAGCCTGATGAGAATTTCTACACTGCCGCTTGGTCGTTTGTGTTAGAATCGGGAGAACCGATCCTTGCTATTGCTGGATCTCGAGGGATTATTAGGATAATTAGGTGTGCAGTAAGCCAGTTTTTTATCTTCATATTTGAGAAATTTCTTGTAAAAAAGCTTCGTTGATTATATTTTTATTTGTTTCTATCTTCCAGTGCTTTTACAATGCAATGTTCAAAGGTATTTTAATTTGTTTTTATTGTATTTATGTTTTTATTCAATACAAATGAATACAAAATGCACGAATTCAATGCGATACAAAAAACACATGGAATTTTATTGTTTTTCTGTTTAGCATTTTCTAGGTCATGGTAGCTCTGTAAATGAATTAAAATTTCATCCATTGGATCCTGAGTTATTACTATCCGTCAGTAAAGGTGCAATTATTCTGAAATTCTCATAGAAATTGAATGAAATTGGTGATATCATCATTGCTGTAACTCTGCCTTCATTCCAGATTATGCCTTGCGCTTGTGGAATGTGAGGACAGAGGTTTGTGTTCTGATGTTCACAGGAGTTGAAGGACACAGGGATGAAGTCTTAAGTGGTGTAAGTGTAGGTTGTGAAAGATTTTACTCAATATACATGCATCTTTTACACTTAGTCAGGAGCTGCTGCAGCGTCTGCTGAGTATTTCTTAAATATTCCATATCTACATAATTTTGGCCACAAAAGAGCTGGAGAGTGGCTTCTGTAATGAATAGCTACAGTGAGCAACAACTAAATGTGTCTCATAACCCACACTGCCTGCTAAAACTAGAATAATACTACCTTTATTCTCTAGACAGCAGATAGTAATACTTTGTTGGTTTAGGACTTTGATATTTTGGGAACAAGAATAATTTCCTGTGGAATGGACCATTCTTTGAAAATTTGGTCTCTTGATGAAGAGAAGATAAAAAAGGTTAACTAAGTAACTTACTAAATAGCTAGCTCTCTCATCCATCATCCTCCATCTTATCCAGCCAGTTTACCTATCAATATAGAAGATCTTTACTAGACCTCATAATTGAGGTTACTTTACATTTCTATAAGGTATATTAAATCCTAAATACAAGTTACATTTTTCATAGACAATTGAAGAGGCTGCAGTTTATAACACCACAAAATCAGCAAAATCATTTAGAACTTTACAAATCCATTATCCGAAGTTTACAACACGAGACATTCATAGGAATTATGTTGACTGTGTCAGATGGCTTGGTGATCTTGTGCTATCCAAAGTAAGCAGAATATCTACCTCAAACAACATCACTTGTGTATACTCACAGTGGAATATATTTGTGCATCTTTGATGCAACTTTTTTAGAACAAAATATATTTACTTGCTCTATTTTTACACAGTCAAAAGTGTTGTAAACGTTCTTGGCGTTTTTTTTAGTCTTGTGAAAACTGTATTGTCTGTTGGAAACCGAAGAAAACTCTGGAGGAAGTTTTCGCAAAGGTTAGCTCCGTAGGAAGAAATTCTTCGCAGTTTGATTGTAGTTGAACGATTTTCACTTTAAGAAATAATCAGATAAACTGACACTTGCAAACGTGACGATAATTCCGGCTCTGCAAAAGCTTCATTCTAAGTATTTTGTCCTAATAGTTCCATTGCTTGAAGATGACTCTACCATTGTGCAGGTGGAACGCGAGTTTTTGTCATTGAGAATCCGGGATTATGACTTAGATTTTGAACTAATGCTGTTTAACCAATTTTAGCCATCGGACGAAACAAATGCAGTTACAGTTCTTCATAAGTAAGTTCCTTCCTATCAAAGTGAATCAATGATTTACATGATCAGCAGTAGATACAAAATATTGATCATTTACATTAATAGATTTGAATATGCGCAATGCGACATATGGTTTATGCGTTTTGCGATGGACTTTCGTCAAAAAGTAAGATTAATTCTTTCTTTTCTCCGATATCCAAACCGCGATCCCAGCATGTCTCATTTCAGCTTTTTATGCTATTTTAGACTTTAGCGTTAGGAAATCAAGTAGGAAAGATTTATACGTGGTACATTGACGTGACAGATTTACACGAAGCGAAGTAAGTTTTTATACATGAACTGCAAGTACTCTTCTAATGCATATAAAATGATCTAGCATTAGTGAGTCAGTATATCACAAGTGGGTTAATCTGAGTCATCTGGCGTCTTTTTTCAGGCAAAAAGTTTTGTCTCATCCTAAGTGCACTGCTGCTGTTCGCCAAACATGCTTTAGTAAGGACGGGAGGTATGAAACTTTTGCTAAAATTGTTTTGTTTTGCTCGCCGTGCGCAATCTCATGGCTGTTTTCAAACTAGTTCTTAGCTAAAACCACTCTGCTATATTCCTCCAGGAATTATTATACAGCTCAGTGGCTAAAACAGTATTTTCTTTAGTATCTTGATCTGTGTTTGCGATGATGGATCAATATGGAGATGGGATCGCGCCCAGTGAATCACGGGACGGTTTAATGATTATAGTTTTGTACATAACTTTTCCAACAAGAGTAGTACACTGGTTTATATAAGTCAGTGTGATGTAGGCACTTTACTTTTGATATCGTGTTGTCGGTGAAACTGGATAGAAAGCAAAATTTGCTCGCATCCAAAGATCGTTTGAAAACCGGAACGATGAGCTAAAATGTTTCCTGAGTAAATAAAATATTCATAATCTGTCTTAACCATTTCAATAAGAAACTCTATCATTGTGATAAGATCTTTTAAGTCCTGTGTTATTTCCTGCTGTGAAATCATGCTTTGGTCTGACCGGCGGAAACACCTCAGTGTTTCATGGTTGGAAAGCTTTATAACTATAACTTGTGTAAGGCTAAGCTTGCATGAGTTGCATCTTGTGACTCTTGACCGCAAACACGCTTCTAGAAAAGGTCATGTTTGTTTGCGATTGCCAGCACTCGATATTGATCTTGATTTAAATCTGCATTCCTCCGCTATACTCTTGATACTGTTAGCTGCGGAAACACTGTCAAAATGCTTGGGGCTTTGTGTATCAAGTTTCTGTTTTTTATCGGAGCTTTGCTCTCCTTTGCTGACCCATTCACTGATGGATTGACTTGCTGGAAGTACTTTGAAGCGGGAGAGATATTATGGTTCGTGTTGTGTTTAGTCTTTGTTATTCTTCCAAGTTTCATTTATCTTGTGTTCTGGGTTTTCATTCTCCCATCAAATGAAGACACAACATCTGGACGATATGCTTCAAAACTCCGCTGTTGTATCACTGCTGCCTGCTGTCCATTCATTCCTTGCTGTGGCAGATTATACGTAGTTTTTACTACAAAGAAACACGAGGACCATCAACTGTATATTGAAGTATTTAACTGTCTTGAAGTCGGGATTGAACTGGCTCCTCAGTTTATATTACAATTCTACGCAGCGATGATACAAAGCCGTGAAGTTAGTGTGATACAAATCGTTTCTCTCACCATAACTTTCCTCCGTATTGGCTGGTGCTATGCAAATGTTAATGAAGATTGTACATTTAAAGTTTGTTTCGGTGGTTTGATCAGCGTTGCTGCAAGAGTCTTTGCTTATGCGTTATTTGCTGTAGCACTTGGCCCTTGGGTTGTGTTAGTTATTGCCTTACATATGATATTGACGTGTATTATCCAGCGATCTCACAGGGTAAGAGCATTTGGATATGTTTGTTTATCGTGGTTGTCCTACACTCCATTGGGCTCAGACAAGGAAAGCGATGCTGAGCGACTCAAATGGACATCTCGTACATTTCTTCAACCTATAATCCATGTATTAGAGGATATTATGATGGCGCTGTTTTTCTATTTTTTTGTGAGCGAAGGTAGAACCTACCCGCATCGTTTGAAGATTATGTTAGGTCTCATTGGGGGGAGTTTGTTCGGATATGTGGTGCTGAGATTGTCACATTTTATGAAATGTCAAAGTGGAGAATCTCAGGAGCAAACTACAGACATTGAGGCTTGCCAAGGGTTGAATAAGGCCGATACGGAAGTCGAAAAACCCAGTCAGAAACCGGAGGGTGGAGATGATACAGACGGGGGGAGATCGAGGTTTGGTTTTAAGAATTGGCGACTAAGACGGAACGATCCACCAGTTGATGAAGAAGCTGGGGTGAAGGAATCCAAGGAAACTAAAGATACAGGAGGGGGCGGAGGGATAATCACTGGTCGTTTGGGGAAGTTAACAGAATGGAAATTTCGCAAGGGAGGAGGGAAGAATGAAGCGGAAGTTGAGGGAGGGTCTGGTGCTGACGGAGGTTCTGGTGCAACCAATGATGGGACCGAAGGGGAAACCAGTGGTTTTGTAGGGTTTAGAAAAATACGTAATTTTAAATTAGGAAGAGATAAAAAACAAGATGAACACAAATCATGAAAGTGATGAAACTTTGATAGAATCAGGTTAATCTTTACATTCATTTATCTCAAAACCAATCTCTCTAAATGTCATCACACTCAAAGAAGATTAATCCATCAACACTCTTAGATTTGGAAAATATTTTACAAAAATTGTGTTATCATATTATGTATAAATTGTCAGTTATTTATGCAGAAATTCTGTGTTGTATGCCATGTTTGCATTCCACGTTACGAAACAACCGCTTGTTAATTATAAAGTTATCATTTTCGGGCTTTTTCGTCTGTGTTTTTTATTGAAAAAAGGATGCAAATCAATATAATGAAAATATTTCGAGGTGTCAAAAAAACGAAGACGTTTTTGAAAACGCTGAAAAGCCTCCCCAGTGTGCCGATAGCTTAAATATCGAAGATTTTTTTAGATAGTGATAGTTACGATTTACTTGCAATGATCTTATACACTTAATATGTTCTGATATCATTGGCAACGTGTCAAATAATTTAAATGTCATCCAATGTGCGTCTTCTATAGCACAATAATTGGAACTAGTATTTACGATCATTTTAACTGCGAATAATTGAGTTCCTCCTCTGAACGGTGATATATAACGAACAGGTGTTATATGTATATATAAGTACTGAAACACTTCCCAAATTTTCTCTCTGGCAATCAAAACTACCAAACCAGCAAACAATAGAATATATTGCCAGCCTCGTTTTCAGACTATTGTTTCATGTATACTCAGGTAAATTAGTGAGGTGTCTAGTACATCTTTAATTTATCATTTTAATAGTTATATTATGCATTACTCGTGTATTGATCAGTGTTGTAATACGATTCAAACCCTTCTCTGTTATGGCGAGATTCGTCGACGTGTATGTGAACGAACTTTGCACGAAGTGGACGTGGATATGGCCGAAGATCAAATTCATTGGCAGAAATATATAATGGATTCGTCTTATCATGATCATCACTTGTTCTGTCTAGGCCATGATTGTCCCTAGATGTAGATGTCTGTCCATCAGTATCCTCCTCATCTTCCTCCTTATCCTTTGAGTAGCAAAGTATTAAAATACTCGCAATGACTAACACAAGAAGTAAGAATCCTGCAACAAATCCCACTATTGTGATTGGTTCCTCATACCATTCTGTTCCGCCATCATCTCCTAAAAAAACATCGTAATATCAATTACTATCAAAAAATTCTGGTTGAAGTTCCTTGTTTTCAACATCCTTCGTGTTTTCCTCTTAATATAACTCGTCATTCTGTGATTTTTTTCTGTTTCTTCCTTTTATATAACTCGTTGATCATTCTGTGATTTTTTTCTGTGATCAATTCTCATCATATTGTGTACAGGATACTGCCTCAGACGTGATCGGTTAAGTGTACAAAGTCCTTTCTATAGATTGAGACATTCTTACGATTCGAGTGTTAAAAAGTTCTTTGTTAGAAATAATTGAGAGGACGATGCTTTAATGGATGATCTGTTTCTTATCCAAAAATCTTATTTCAATTTGTTTTTCTGGTCGGAGGAAGAACAATAAATAGCATACAAATAGTTAAGTATAGTCTGCATAAATTACCTTTTGTGTGAAATATCATTTAAACATTTTAATGCAAATTTTTGAAGACCTCTTACATAACACAATATCGAATTGATGCGTAAAATAAAGAATAAACAGAAGATCAAAGCGTACCCCAAGATGAAAACGAAAATCATTGCCAAATGATTGCTAAATCGTTGCCACATAAAGGTTTTTACAAGCCGTAATGTTGAAAATGAAAATTCAATGAAGAATCGTGAAGATGTTTGTTATGTGACGTAATTCAAACAAATAGTATATATTTCGAGTAAACTAGCACCTGTGTTATTTTTCTTGAACTTACGTTAATAAAACTACCTAATACCTTGACCTCTCGGTGTTTCTTCATTCACTTAACATGCAAAAGCTGAACTATCGCTTTCATGCGAGGAATAGTTTTAAAAATTATTAGAGGTGGAGTGTTTCGCTTTACATATCAATCTCTTAGTCTTAAAGATATAGAACCAATACAATTATTGTCTTGACTTATCCCTTAATTCTTCTCTAGTGAACTACATCAGTGTTCATTCCAAGTCATGCAGCCGTGCCAACGGTACATTTACGTTTTTAATGCAATAATTAAGCCAGCTCACAGCAAATGCTTTATCAATCGAATCTACTTTGACAGCACAACAAAGCCAAACTTGCCTAAAGCATAGAGCAACCATGAAACAGTATATTAGCGTTCCCTTACCTGAATCAGACATCTGTTAACAATCTATTTTCTCAGCCCATTCACTGTTTTATTTCGTTTCTGACCCGTCAAGCTAGCTGGAATATGTCTTCCTTTGAGACGCCTCTTAACAAAATTTTTGAGTGGGCTTGCTATTGAAATGCAAATATACAAAAAAAGATTTCTATCTGAGGATTGATGTTTTGGAATACCTGCGTCGACAAACAATGGTGTTTTATCTCCAGAAATAAACAAAAAAATGCGTGACGACAAAGAGGAAAGTATAAAACTGTGGAATTTAATTTAGCGCACGTTAAAAAGCTATCACAAAATAAATATTTTTAAGAACTTCAAATCATGATTTTAAATTAGTCTTTTTTTTTCTCACAATGGAGAAAAGAATTGATTATTATTTGGACACGCTAGGGAGTTCCGTCGTGGTTTTGTCTGTGTTTATAACTGATTCCGCTGCCAGTTTGCAACTGTGTCATGTAAAATACTTTTAATTTCATTACACCAAATGATTTTATCAATGCTAAAATGTTAGGAGTTTTTTTTTATGTAAAGCACGCCTTAGGTTTTATTGTCTGTATCCCAGAGACATGTCTATCCCTATACACCCTAGAATTCGCAGGAGTGAGAATATTAGCGGGTAATTTTGCTAATTGCAACATTTTGTATAGGTACCATGTAGCGACCACCGGCAATTTCTGGAATTGCATAATTGTAACAAACCTTTGTCAACTGTGTCTGCGACATTAGCAATGAATATTCACGTAAAGATTTTCGTATTATTTTGCATTGTTCTAGCGTTACAGCCTGCCGTAGTGAAGACCAAAAAGTCACGATTTGTTCAACACTCAAATGTCTTAATCCTGGGTGCTGGAATGTCCGGAATCAAAGCAGCTGAAACACTTTATGATAATGGCATTGAGGATTTCACTATTTTAGAAGGATATGAACGTATTGGTGGCAGGATGCGTAAACAAGAATTTGCTGGGACTATTATTGAACTTGGAGCTAACTGGGTGCAGGGTCTTAAGAATAATCCAATTTGGGAGCTAGCTAAGAAATATGACCTGCAAGGCAATTGTACCATAGCAGAACCAGTTAATGAACACTATATTATACGAGATGAACATGGTAAAAATGTCACAGATCAGGGTAACCCAGAAGGAATGGCGAAAGCATCTGATCTACTTCATAAGATCGTGCAAGAAAGACGGCAAGCAGGAATGCGTGATATTGATGTCCAGACTGGGTTACGTCTTGCAGGTTGGCAGCCACAAAATCCTGCACAAACATCAATGGAGTACTTTTATGAGGATTTTGATGCAGCTGAACGTCCACACTTTACTTCATCAAAAGTTAAAACTTTCACTAATGGTTCCATAGATTCTGTTGATGGTAAACAGTTTTTTGTTTTTGACCCAAGAGGTTATGCAGTCATTGTTGAGGAAATTGCAAAAAGATTTCTTGGACCGAACGATTCTAGGTTACATTTAAAACAAATTGTCAATAGTATTAAATGGGATTCAAATGGTGTTGAAGTATCGACAACTACGGGTGAAGTATACACAGCTAATTACCTGCTGGTCACATTTAGTATTGGTGTTTTAAAAAGCAACATGGTTAAATTCACTCCAGATTTGCCACCTAAGATTCTTGAACCTATATATAAAATTGAAATGGCAGATTATATAAAAATATTCTTAAAATTCCCAAGAAAGTTTTGGGACCCAAAGCAATATATCTTGTATGCAAGCGAGAGACGTGGTTATTACCCAGTATGGCAAGATCTTGAGATAGATGCAGGTATACCAGAAGCTGGACTTAATATTCTCATTGTTACTGTGACTGGAGATGAAGCAAGTAGAGTTCAGTACCAGAGTGATGAGACAACTAAGGCTGAAATTATGGCAGTTTTACGCAATGTTTATGGCAAAGATATCCCAGATCCAACTGACTTCTTCTACCCAAGGTGGCACCATGATCCACTATTCTTTGGTTGCTATTCCAACAACCCAATTGGTATATCGCATGAGGACTTTCTTGCTTTACAATCCAATATTTCAAGAATATACTTTGCTGGAGAGGCCACTAATGAGTTATACAATGGTTTTGTACATGGAGCTTATTTCAGTGGTATGAACCGGGCTGAAAAAATGGTGGATGATATTAGAGCTAATGGACACCAGACCTCATTTATTAATCCAAATACACCAGACTTAATTCATTGATCATCCTGATTAGGTGGTTATTAATTAATAACAGTAATTAGTAGAGTAATGAAAAATTTGTAATATTTTTCCAAATTGTATTACATTGATTCCAATTCTAGATTAAAATTAATCTTTTTATTTATCTTGACTTAGCGATTGAAAAAAAATACTATCTTGCTTTCATACGACAGGCCTCTGATGTTTAGTTTTCTTAAACAACTTGATCGATATATTATAAACACCCTCAGTTCCAACTTTGAAAAACTTTTCCCACTATTTCTAAACGCAGTTTTTTATAAATGAAATTGATTTTTTATTTATCCTATTGTTAATTAAATTTTTTAAAAAATAAAAAAGTGCCCACATAATCAGTAATGAAACAATGCCTATACAAGATTCGAACCACTGACTTACAAGGTGCGAGACCGCTTTCTTCACCACTACACCATCATTTCTTGCGCTCGAGACAACGTTTTTTTATTTATCTATATCTTTCTTTAAGATCATGATGCAAAACATTTCCGCTTTCTTCACCACTACACCATTAGTTCTTGCGCTTACACACAACGTTTTTTTATTTGTCTATATCTTTCTTTAAGGTCGTAGTGATGCAAAACATTACTTCCAAGAATTGAACCACTGGTTTGCAAGGTGCGAGACCGCTTTCTTCAACACTGCACCATCAGTTCTTGCGCTTGCAAGCCGCGTTTTTTATTTTATTTAATATCTTTCTTTAAGATCATAAAGAAAAATATTTCTTCCAAGATTCGAACCACTGGCATTCAAGGTGCGAGACCGCTTTCTTCACCACTACACCATTAGTTCTTGCGCTTGCAAACTACGTTTTTTTTTTATTTAATATCTTTCTTTAAGATCATAAAGAAAAATATTTCTTCCAAGATTCGAACCACTGACTTACAAGGTGCGAGACCGCTTTCTTCACCACTACACCATCAGTTCTTGCGCTTGCAAACTACTTTTTTTTTTTTATTAAATATCTTTCTTTAAGATCATAAAGAAAAATATTTCTTCCAAGATTCGAACCACTGGTTTACAAGGTGCGAGACCGCTTTCTTAACCACTACACCATCAGATCTTACGCTTGCACACAACGTTTTTTTATTTGTCTATATCTTTTTTTAAGGTCGTAGTGATGCAAAACATTACTTCCAAGATTTGAACCACTGGTTTGCAAGGTGCGAGACGGCTTTCTTCACCACTGCACCATCAGTTCTTGCGCTTGGAAGCCACGTTTTTTATTTTATTTAATATCTTTCTTTAAGATCATAAAGAAAAAAATTTCTTCCAAGATTCGAACCACTGACTTACAAGGTGCGAGACCGCTTTCTTCACCACTACACCAGCAGTTCTTGCGCTTGCAAACTGCGTTTTTAATTTTATTTAATATCTTTCTTTAAGATCATAAAGAAAAATATTTCTTCCAAGATTCGAACCACTGGTTTACAAGGTGCGAGACCGCTTTCTTCACCACTACACCATCAGTTCTTGCGCTTACACACAACGTTTTTTTATTTTATTTAATATCTTTCTTTAAGATCATAAAGAAAAATATTTCTTCCAAGATTCGAACCACTGACTTACAAGGTGCGAGACCGCTTTCTTCACCACTACACCATCAGATCTTACGCTTACACACAACGTTTTTTTATTTGTCTATATCTTTTTTTAAGGTCGTAATGATGCAAAACATTACTTCCAAGATTCGAACCACTGGTTTGCAAGGTGCGAAACCGCTTTCTTCACCACTGCACCATCAGTTCTTGCGCTTGGAAGCCACGTTTTTTATTTTATTTAATATCTTTCTTTAAGATCACAAAGAAAAATATTTCTTCCATGATTCGAGCCACTGGCATTCAAGGTGCGGGACCGCTTTCTTCACCACTACACCATCAGTTCTTGCGCTTGGAAGCTACGTTTTTTATTTTATTTAATATCTTTCTTTAAGATCATAAAGAAAAATATTTCTTCCAAGATTCGAACCACTGACTTACAAGGTGCGAGACCGCTTTCTTCACCACTACACCATCAGTTCTTGCGCTTGCAAACCTCGTTTTTTATTTTATTTAATATCTTTCTTTAAGATCATAAAGAAAAATATTTCTTCCAAGATTCGAACCACTGGCATTCAAGGTGCGAGACCGCTTTCTTCACCACTACACCATCAGTTCTTGCGCTTGCAAACTACGTTTTTTATTTTATTTAATATCTTTCTTTAAGATCATAAAGAAAAATATTTCTTCCAAGATTCGAACCACTGACTTACAAGGTGCGAGACCGCTTTCTTCACCACTGCGCCATCAGTTCTTGCGCTTGCAAACTAACTTTCTCGCACCTTGTAAGTCAGTGGTTTGAATCTTGGAAGAAATATTTTTCTTTATGATCTTAAAGAAAGATCTTAAATAAAATAAAAAACGAGGTTTGCAAGCGCAAGAACTGATGGTGTAGTGGTGAAGAAAGCGGTCTCGCACCTTGTAAGTCAGTGGTTCGAACCTTGGAAGAAATATTTTTCTTTATGATCTTAAAGAAAGATATTAAATAAAATAAAAAACGTAGTGTGCAAGCGCAAGAACTGATGGTGTAGTGGTGAAGAAAGCGGTCTCGCACCTTGAATGCCAGTGGTTCGAATCTTGGAAGAAATATTTTTCTTTATGATCTTAAAGAAAGATATTAAATAAAATAAAAAACTTGGTTAGCAAGCGCAAGAACTGATGGTGTAGTGGTGAAGAAAGCCGACTCGCACCTTGAATGCCAGTGGTTCGAATCTTGGAAGAAATATTTTTCTTTATGATCTTAAAGAAAGATATTAAATAAAATAAAAAACGTAGTTTGCAAGCGCAAGAACTGATGGTGTAGTGGTGAAGAAAGCGGTCTCGCACCTTGAATGCCAGTGGTTCGAATCTTGGAAGAAATATTTTTCTTTATGATCTTAGAGAAAAATAGTAAATAAAATAAAAAACGCAGTTTGCAAGCGCAAGAACTGATGGTGTAGTGGTGAAGAAAGCGGTCTCGCACCTTGAATGCCAGTGGTTCGAATCTTGAAAGAAATATTTTTCTTTATGATCTTAAAGAAAGATATTAAATAAAATAAAAAACGTAGTTTGCAAGCGCAAGAACTGATGGTGTAGTGGTGAAGAAAGCGGTCTCGCACCTTGAATGCCAGTGGTTCGAATCTTGGAAGAAATATTTTTCTTTTTGATCTTAAAGAAAGATATTAAATAAAATAAAAAACGTAGTTTGCAAGCGCAAGAACTGATGGTGTAGTGGTGAAGAAAGCGGTCTCGCACCTTGTAAGTCAGTGGTTCGAATCTTGATAGAAGTAAAATAAGTAGCCGTTCTGCAGAAGTTCTATTAGTCTAGTTTGAATCCTGGCATCCTGCAGAAGTTTTTTTCACCCGTGATTATGGTATATATCCCTGGATGGTTGTAAATTATAATCAAAACAAACATGGCGATTGTGGGCTGTAGGGGCGCACTTGAACTTGTTCATTTAGAATATTTTTGTTTAAATGTAGAAAAAATGAGAAAAATATGAGATTTGAACCAACAAGATGTTTTCTGTTAGAATTGTGGATGCAGACTTTTATGTTGCAAAGCCTGTCGGCATTTTGGATGTCGTCTATTCAAAATTTCGTGAGGCAAACGTCACTCGTGTGCCGATAATTCGTATCTTTGGATCGACTCCCAGTGGTCAAAAGACATGTTTTCATGTGCATCAAGTATTTCCATATATATTTGTGCGATATGATGGTACTAAACCTTGTGATAAATACCTTCAACAGTTTGCAACTAGCTTAGATTTTGCTGTTCAAGTTGCGTTAGGAAAAGCATCGTCTGCTACGAAACACGTTTATATGTGTGAGATTGTGAAACGAATGTGAGTATAAAAAATATATATTATTTCTTGTGATCAAGTGTAATGCCTCAACTCCATTTAGTAATATTTCGTATTTACAATCTTCCAACTCTTAGACCATTTTATGGCTATCACGAAGGTGAAGAGGAGTTTATTAAAATCCAGTTTTATAATCCAAGAATTGTTGCTAAGTATGATATTATATTCATTGTTTTGACAAAGAGAGTGTGTTGGTCACTACACAACTTCACCTCTGATTCTTTTATCATTTTCAGAGTTGTGGAGTTGCTTCAAAATGGTGCTATCCTTAACAAGATTTTTCAACCATATGAATCACATATTCCCTACCTCTTACAGGTGAGGTTATGGCTTATTTACATACTAAAAACAAGATTATGGTACTTATCATTCAGTCATCTCTTTTTAGTTTTTTATTGACTTCAATTTATATGGAATGAATCTAGTTCATGCAAGAAAAGTCCACTTCAGAGGCTGGTCAGATTCTCCATGTCAGTCAAGTTCATCTCCTGTTTCTTCATGTAGTCCAAATATTTCAAATTTGTCTCATGCAAATACGACTTTATGGGATGAAAACACCATCCCAAGGTAATATATATTGCATTTGGATCCTGGAAGTGCTGTTCTGGACAATAAGTTTATGATCTGTTTATTTTAGGGTCTTTCGGCTTGGTTCCAACATTGCAAAAACCAGTCGCTGTCAACTTGAAGTAGATGTTATTGCTGAAGATATATTAAATCAATTGGAGATTGGAAGTTAGTACAAGTATAATACAAACAACTAAAGGAACTGTTCTCACAGGTATATCCATTTCTGCTAAATTTCTAGCAACAATTGGTCGGAATCCAGGAATTGCAGCAATGTGGGAAGATGAAAAACAACGTAGGAGGGATCAAGGACAGTCGTCAATGATATCTAACCCAATTTCACAAGGTACTGGCAACTGCAGAGTAATTATCGCAAGTTATTGCATTAGAATTTGAGAAAAATAACATCCCATGTATTCCTATGATGTTCTTATTTTTATTTCATGTTTAGACAGGGGAGAAATGATGCAACTTGACTTGGAACTGGGATTTAAGACAAAGATTCATGAAATAATTGTAGAACGCAATCAATTAATGTAAGTTCTTTTGACTCCAAATAAATTCTGGTTACAATCTAAGAGGATGTCCAGAATATTATTGATTTATTTAGTTCTATCATTATTTCAACAATTACTGACTCTTCAATTCTAATATCTAGTCAAAGCCAGCTGGAAATTTTGGAGAAATCCCTCTCCCCTGAGGATTTCCAAGAATTATCTCAAAGTATTTTACTGTCAGGGAAGGAGCCACCAAGTCAAACAGTAATAAGTCAAGGTAAAATTGCTGAGGTTAAACCTAAGCATTTCACACTAAGCCTTATTTGTTTCTCCAACTTTTATTTTTTTTCAGATGTTGATGTTAACATTCCAATTGTTGATGAGTCAGTGATTGAAGATGTTCTTCAAGCAAGTCAGTCAAATGTCACTCCTTGTAAGATAAGTTTCTTTATTTTCTAACCTGCAGCATGAAGAAAGGGCTTAATTGTAATTCTTCGGCTTTTCATTTTTAGCTGGACAAGTTGATGAAGAAATGGTTGCAATATTATTAAGCTTGGCCGAAGATGCAAACACCCCTGAGCCCCAAGAATGCAGTCCAAAAGCAAACACTTCACAAAGTAAGAAATCTAGTTTCTTTCTAAACAGTGACAGTGAAAGAGCTGCAAGATATTTAGTGAAGCAAGACTTTCTTTAATCTATTTCCTATTTTTTCTTAGTCAAGTTGCCTGAAGTTGAAGAGAGAGGCAGTGATGAAGAAAATGAAGATGAAGAATCAATCATTATGTCTCAACCAGTTTGGAATGAAGATGATTTAGTTGATGAATGTGAAAGGTATGCTGTGTCTTCACAGGTACAGTCCATCTTCAGGCAGTGTTCAGTGAAATTATTATTAAGGTCAGTTTATTTGAAACCAAGGTTTGAGCCATGAGCCATCATGCAACATTGTTATCCTTATTAGATATTAGTGGATAATGATGGATGATGTATCGAATTTGACCTATGTACCCTTATATGCCGAGAACTTGTTATATATTTTAGTGCTAACGAAGATGATGAAGACTGGGAACAACAACGTATTCCTCAGTTTGATGGGCCTGGTGACGATGATGACAGTCCTAAAAAGAGCAGCGCCCCCGCACGCAGCCAGTCTGGAGTGAAGACTAAAGCAAGAGGAGAGATGACGTATGATGATGATGATGATTTCAAAATGAAAAAGAAAACAAAAGCGTCTGGTAAAAACACCAATAGACCTAAACGTGAACAGACAACGAGGCAAAGAAGAGCTGGAATTGTTCAACTAAATATTCTAGGTGGTAACCCGAAAAAACGCACTCACCACAAGAGCTCTAATGGTGGTTCCGTAGTAACTACGAACTCTAAACGTCATCCTCCTCCTTCAACTGAATCAAACAGTAAAACGATGATCTGGTGTGATGGAAAATTCCCCGACTTAGAAACTTTTCATTTACCAACTAAATCTCAAAGAACTGACAACGTGGAATCCAGCGAACTTCTTATGAAAGTAAATGAAAGTACATTGTTAGATAGCAGAGAAAAGATTGAAGATGCTTTAAATGAAGATACAGAATCCTGTGCATCTCAGTCTTCTGAGTTTGAACTTCGTTTAAGTGACAGTTTAAGTGACGATGATGATTTCACCAGCAAGAAAAAGATTCCAAGAATTAATCCTCAAAAGCTTGAAAGTTTTTATATCACTAAACAGGCGAACATTGAGGTTAGTCTTAGACCATCTGAGGGAAGTTGCGAGAAGAGTACACAATCCAAATCAGGAAATACTGAATTATTAGATAAAGACACAGAAGTAGACATAGAGTCAAGTTCTGGAGATCGTCTTCGAGTTTCAAGAGAAATTAAGTCAAATTCGCGAAATCTTTCAGAAGCAAGTGACCCTTGCGAATCTTCCGAGAAGGATACCATTAAATCCAAGAAGAATTTTCATTCTCGGAAACGCAAAAGGACCAGATCGAAGAAGTCGACTTGTTTAGTATTCAGCCATTTGGGTAACCAGAATAAAGATAAAAAAAGGAATATTTCTGAGGTTTCAGGAAACTTGGAAAACACCAAACCCGTTACGAAAACAAATAAAGCGAAACGTCGTGAACGTTCAAGAAATTGTAAAGACAGTATAAATAAAATTCTAAGAGGAAGAATATTGCTCGATGCTTGTATCAAACTTGAGAAAATTTCTGTGAAGGAGTTGAAATCCAGAAACACCCATTGCTTTACGAACGATGATGTTTTTCCCAGCACAGAAATGAAGGAAGATTTTCAAAGTTTAAAAGATACTGTGATAGATGACGAGATGGATTCACTTTATCAAATGGCGATGTTATCACCAGAAAGTGTTGTAGAAAGTGTTAAATACGAGTCTCCACCACTTCCATCATCACCATCTTTCAATATCTCTTCTGATAATCAAAGTTTAAGTGACGTCAACTTTACTGGAAAAGATGAAAGATTAGACGTTTGTGTGAACAGTACTTTGTCGACGGATCAAACAGTTGAGAATTTTCCAATATCATTTATAAGTGAAGATCATTTGAAGACAATTCAATCTGCGTCAAATAGAACGAAATGTGTCGAGGAAGATAAATTGGATATGGAAGAAAAATCTTTGGACCCTGAACGACATAATAATCTCGATGTTGAAGAAATGTTAGTCATGTCCACGTCACAGGTAAATAAAACACCAGAGAGCTTGCCAAATCATGCTGATCATTTTGACGATGTTGTAATTAAGGAAAGTCCCGAGGTTGTTTCATTACAGGATCATCAAGTGTTACCAGAGGACATAGGGTGTACAGTTGGTGTGTTAGAGGGTGCTTGTGGTCTTCAGGAGATACCCACGAAATCCGGAATGGATACGAGGGAACACGAAGTGGGAATATCTGGGGATTTAAATGTCGTTTCTCCTGGAATAGATGCAGTATGTGATTCATTCAGTGAGGATGAGAAAGACAACGAAACACCGTCTGAAAAAGATAGCTTTGATTTCGACAAAATATTAAAATTCATTGAAAGTCCCCGTCCGGTTGAAAGTCAAACATCATCTTCTGAAATTCGAAGATCGCCTGAGAAAGATACCAGTAAAGACATGAAGGATGTTGAGGAAGAAATATCGCATGGACAAATAAAGAAAATGATTCTTAGAGATATCGAAAGTCCTTCTTTGTTTGAGGATCAAGCTTCGTCTGGAGAGATCAACCAATCTTATGAAAATTCTGAGAAAAGTGACATTATGAGACCATTGTCAGATTTCCCTTGCTTGGTTATTCCTTGTTCAAATGAACAGGAGGACATCTCAAATCACGACGCTGCAACAAGTCAAGATAATTCGATGAGACAGGCGACTATCGATTCTCCCAATGTATTTGAGAACAGTTCCGAGATAAGGATCTGGAGACCAGAAACACAACCACCATCCCCAAGTTATGTCTTAGAAACACGACGTCTGTATGGTCTGCCTAATGAAATATATCAGAAAGCTTTTTGTAGCGATCCAAAAGACCTCCCATCAACAACAAGGTTAGACTAACATACTCTTTAATATACATGTTTATAAATCAGTCCATATACAAGATTTATCTTTTTGTATTTTGTAGGGTTATCGGAGGTAGACGTCTTCTAGTGTCGTCCTTGTCTGTAAGTTTGATATATACCAGACTTATATAAAGTAATTTTATGTCAGAATTATATTTTTATATCATGTTGTGTTTATATCCTTCAGATCAACGAATTAAGTGAATTTGACCTTGGTGGAGATTTCAAAACCTTACGTGAGTTTCGTAGTCTGGTCGGGAACAACATGGATAACAGCTTGCTTAAAGATTGTCTCAGATCTTTAGATACACATGATGGTAACGATGGAACTATAGGTATTCCCAGGGAACTCAAGCTTGCGTTAATGGGGGATAAAGACATGGTAATTACTCCAGTAATACTTCCACCATCACCAGAAGATGTCGTGGAGTGGATGAAAAATAAAGGGACTAACAACCAACTAAAATCTCATGAACCGAAAGTGTTGGAAAATGCGAACGAAAAAGACGAAGTGGAAGAGCAAGAAACGTCTAAGATTAAAAACTGTCTAAAAACAAGTAATTCTGTTATTAACGTTTCTAGGAAAACAGTCGAAATTTTTCGTACACCACAACTGAATCCTGCTCTCAATTTACGAGAATCATCACAACCGTCAAATGATGCTCAAGATTCTCAGAATATCCTGCGCGATGTTCTCAGTGGTCCTCAACATAGTACACCTGCCGGGAATTTAGCAGAAAAATCTCAGACGTTTTTGGAATGCACACCCATAGTGGGCGAAGACAAGAAATCTTTAAGACAAGATTTGGAAGGAAACGATTCTGAAAAATCGTATAAGATCAAGAGTTTGAGAAGAAATATATTAAATAGTCAAGTAAAAGTGAGTTCTTATAACAAAAATTCGAATTCAAATGTATTATTTTGATACATACTTCAGACCTGAACAATATTCCTTGTTTTCTCTTGAAGGAAAAAGAAACCCAGCAGCAAGCATCATCAAGTGAGGCGTCATATATTGAAGGACCAACGCCAACTAATAGTTTTGGTTTCAAAATTTCACAACCAAATATTCAAGAAGCGAAGTATGTCCGTCAGGTATGTCTCAAAATACGAGGTTGTCATCACGTATGCTTCCGAAGATGTATTGTATTGATGATTTATACTTCCAAACTTTCTCTTCATATTCTGCAGGTTCAATTCCTAACTTTGCTGAGCTTAGAACTTCATGTCCGTACAAGAAAGTCACTTCGACCTGACCCGGAATTTGACGCAATATGTGCCATATTTTACCATATTGAGGATGAGACAGTGGATGGCAAACGATACGAGACTGGAATTATCGTCGCTCAAAATGAATCTACAAAACTAAGAAGCTCTGATTCGGGAACATCTTCTAGTACCACAATATCTGAGGTGAGGAAAGATAGGAAATTGTATTGTATTGCTTTGTGATCAAATTCAGAAATGATTAACTTTCTTTCTCCTACCAAAGAGCATTGCGTATTATGAAATCACTTATAATAATGTAACCAGCTCCAAAATATATATCTTTCTAGTGTAATGCCTCATCTTCAACACAAATCCCACATCTGAATACAACACAGAAAGCACTTTTTGAAGACAATCTGCTTCGCACAACTGGAATTTCAAAAGAACTCAACATCATAGTTGAAAATGAAGAAAAGGATGCCATTCATCGTTTTATCAAACTCGTCCATGACTGGGATCCAGATATCTTGCTTGGTTTTGAAGTTCAGATGCTGTCGTGGGGCTATATAATACAGCGCGCAAATGCTCTTGGGATTGATCTAACTCCACAACTATCTCGGGTTCAGGATTCTTCTGGCACGGCGAGGTTTGATGCCGAGAAAGATATTTGGGGAGCGAACCATACTTCAGAGATAGCGATATCGGGGAGAATTGTGCTGAATATTTGGAGACTGATGAGACATGAGGTGATTAAACTGATTTACACCTGGTCCTCAGCACTTGATTAGCCATTGTTTGACAATCTTTCTCTACTACAATAGATTGTATTAACCAGTAATAAAAGAAGTTTATTCCCCGCCTAGACCAAGCGTTTTATCATTTAACATGCACGCCATTTTTTTTATTTGAGAATACAATTATATTTTCAGGTTACTCTGAATGTATATTCGTTTGAGAATATATCTTATCACGTACTTCATGAAAGGATCCCGCTGTACACATACCGTCAGCTCTCGCAATGGTGGGACCAAAAACTACCTCATAACCGATGGAGAACTGTGGAGCATTACATCATCCGTTGTCAAAACAACATCAAGATCTTGAATCACATCGATTTAATTAACAGGACTAGTGAGTTTGCAAGGTTGTATGGGATATTGTTTTATAGCGTCATATCACGTGGCTCTCAGGTGGGTGACGTTGACATTCCTCCTCTTTAGAAGATGATAAGAGATGATCATCCACTAAAAATAGTCTCTTTATTTAGTTTCGTGTTGAATCAATGATGTTAAGATTGGTGAAACCAATGAAGTATCTGGCTGTCTCTCCCAGCATTCAACAGAGAGCAAGGTAACGATTTCTTTAACTAAATCTTGGCTGAGGTAACCTGATTGGCCTTAATTCAGCTCTTGTATGAAATGATCTTCCTAGAATGGACGCACCTGAATGTATTCCTCTGGTAATGGAACCGGAATCTCGATTTTACAGTGATCCAGTGATTGTTTTAGACTTCCAGTCTCTTTACCCTTCTATGATAATTGCGTACAATTACTGTTTCTCAACTTGTCTCGGCAAAGTGTCAAGATTAGATAAGTACGAATGTTTCCTTATCTTTCGCGTGTCCATTTTGAGGATAACATTGCAGATATCGTTGTTTACAGAGCGCAAATTCTTACAAAGTTATCTTTTCCTAGGATTGGCGAGTTTGAATTTGGTTGTACGTCATTAAATGTTCCGCCAGCTTTATTAGAGGTGAGTTCAGTTGACGTTTGATATAAAACAAGCGCTTATGATTATAGATTTTCGTATGAGACAACTTTAGCCGTTTTTCGATGGCGTGTTTCCTTTCCAGAAACTTGAGAATGACATTCACGTGAGCGCGAACGGTGCAGCTTTTGTGAAACCAGGGATACGAAGAGGAATTCTTCCCAGGTAAACCATGAGACCCGCGGCTTCTTTCTGTCCAATCTTTAGCCATAAGTATCCTCGAGTAACCCTGCGTAACTTCGTTGATAATTCTATATTTAGAATGCTGGAGGAGATCCTGAACACACGAGTGATGGTGAAAAAATCTATGAAAGAACACAAGAGTGATAAGGTACCCTGAGTCCCCCTAATTTAAGCCTGGTTCACACTTGTCGTAAGAATCTGCGATTATCTTTGGTGATCAAATTCCTTTGTCTGTCGGAAAATAATACAATGGATCCCCGATTCTTCAGACAAGTGTGAACCTGGGCTTATATCCTTGCCAAATAAGACCTTCAAAATGAAGAGGCCACATCTTTACCAAAACTATTATATCTTAAGGTTTTACGCCAATTACTTGATGCTCGTCAACTTGGTTTGAAGTTAATTGCTAACGTCACCTATGGGTATACTTCAGCTAATTTTTCTGGACGAATGCCGTGTGTTGAGGTAAGGAAAATATATGTTTTATATTCTTATTTATTAACCCCGAAAATCAAGATATTTTTATCTGGTCGTCGATGAAGTTCATTTTTCATCTTCTTAGATTGCTGACGCAATTGTTCGTAAAGCGAGGGAAACGTTGGAACGTGCTATACGTCTGGTGAACTCTAGGGAAGAATGGGGTGCACGTGTGGTGTATGGGGATACAGACAGTCTCTTTGTGTTAGTTAAAGGCGCAACAAAGGAAGAAGCATTTAGGATTGGAATGGACATCGTTGATACTGTGACTGCAGAAAACCCCAAACCTGTAAAATTGAAATTTGAAAAGGTCAGTGAAACAAACCCCATCGGTTTTCGCCACTGGATGATAAGAGAGAAACAGTTTGAGGTTTTACATGTATTAGAACTTGGATGGATAGATGAAAAGATATGGTTCATGTATTACTATTAGGATTCTTAATTCAAGTCTTGTTAAGCTGGTGTGATCGTGTCAAACCACGATTTATTAAGTGCCAATCCATAGTCTAATCCGATTAACTCCTAGGTTTATCTTCCATGTGTTCTTCAAACAAAGAAGAGGTATGTTGGTTACATGTATGAAACACTGGACCAAAAAGAACCAGTTTTTGATGCTAAAGGAATTGAGACTGTTCGGAGAGATACTTGCCCTGCTGTTTCTAAGGTAAACTTAATTGCTGAAGAAGAACATCATTCAAACTTCTTGTCCTACCAGACGTTTCTATCAATGATAAAATCTATATCTTAAGCTTTGTTCACCTCATATTTAATCCTATCGTTCAGGTCTTGGAGAAATCTTTGAGGATTTTATTTGAATCAAAAGACATAAGTCTGGTCAAGAAATTTGTTCAGCGACAGTTTTGTAAATTGATGGAAGAAAGAGTTTCAATTCAAGACTTCATATTCGCCAAAGAATATCGTGGAATGAGAGGATATAAACCTAAAGCTTGTGTTCCCGCCTTAGCACTCGCAAGGTAACAACGTACTTAAGTTTGTTTAGACAACTCTGTCATTTCTTCCTGAAGATGCATTCCTAAAGAGTCATCTCTCCTTGATTCAGTTTTTCGTTCTTCGTTTAGACGTCATCTGTCACGAGATCGTCGCGCAGAGCCACGTGTAGGTGAGCGTGTCCCGTATGTAGTGGTGAATGGTACTCCTGGATTACCTTTAATTCAGCTGGTAAGAAGGTAAGCTTACCGGTTACGAACTCTCGCCATGTGAACGATTGTTCACGGAGGTCTAGAAAGACATCTCGTATTTGTGTAGTGTCATAACCAGAGATCTGGGAACACCACTCGTATATAACCCAGCGTTTTCCGCCTAATTCAGGAAGCTGAAGACAAAAGTATCAACCATTTTTACTAAACATTATCAATCTTTTCCAGCCCAGGTGACGTTTTGGATGATTCTAGTTTACGCTTGAACTCTACCTACTACATCAATAAACAAATCATTCCTCCATTAAATCGTGTTTTCTCTCTGATTGGTATTGATGTCTTCACCTGGTACACAGAGCTACCAAGATATGTTCCTCGTCATCATGTTAATAATGAGAAACAAAAGGCAAGATGAAACCATTTCATTTGTGAATTTCGCTGCCATCCATCTTCCTACGACCAAAACTTGATCTTTAAGATTTTCAATTTTAGAGTTCCATTTCTCGTTTCTTCACAACGCTTCATTGTCCAGTGTGCGAACAATTGACCCAGCAAGGATTGTGTAGGAATTGCCGTGGAAACCCGCAGAAAGCTGTTGTCATGTTGGCAGAGAGAGTAGGAACATGGGAACAAAAATACAACCATCTCAAAGAAGTAAGGTTACATGCACTTCTTGTATCAAATGCAAGCATCAATTCAAAAGAATCTTACTGTGTTTTCTTTTCAGATATGTTATCAATGTTGTGGCTCAAGAGATCAAGATGTTGCTTGCATATCACTGGATTGCCCTGTCATGTTCAAACGACTGAAGTTGATAAGAAAACTAGAATATGGGAAGACTTTAAGAGATGTTCAAAAAGGAATTGAAGTGTCACACAGCTAAAGATGTGGATCTTTGTGAAAGGTTTGTAAATATGTGCAATTGATCTCAAATATTTCAAGAGGATTGTATGTTAAGCCATGACATTTGTAAGATATCCCATGCATATCAGACTTTGCTCTTGCAAATATTTATGCTTATATTTTAAATTAAAAACAGCAAAAGTGGCAATCACATGATCCTGCACTAGTCTATTCCTTTGATATTCTGCATTGGGTAAATCATTTTACACCAAATACATTTTATTAGAGATTAGCCAATCAAAAAATTTCAAACACTACCAAAAAATATATTTATTGTGATATTATACTGAAAATATTTATTCTTTCACATAACCAAATAAAAAATATAAATAACTTAGTCTTGACTTTTCCTTAAGCTACTTATATTGGTTTGTATCTTGTTACCCCTTGTGATGATAAATTCCCAGAATATCATAACATCTCCTAGGACGTCCTAAGATCAATGATATTAATTCCAGATTACTTTTGACCTGCTTTTGTGCATTTTGAGTTTACATCTGTACTTCCACAGCAGCTCCAAATGGAGCCCTCTCTGAAACATGGCCATCCAGCCATTCCACATAAACAGTCATCCATATGGTATGCAAAGATCCCAGTATGACCATTAACTGGTGGCAATCCAGAACATTTTTTTGCAGCTTCCCAAATTTCACCCTTCAGTCGTCTTTCAACTTCTGACTTTGAAGCTTTAGTTGCCATGTTGAACTGTAAAAATGTAGATTCGCAAACTATTTTACTTTCTGAGGTTGATCACCATCATTCTAGTTGGTTCTATATAGATAGGACATGACGTGTTTTGTATTTACGTAACAATATACGTGATAATTATTTTAGATTCAGTTACATAGGTAAGATAACAAGTAGAAATAATCATAGATAATGATAAATCACCCGTAAATACCTCAAAAGTTCGAGGATTTATATTCAATCCGTTCCAAAATCTGTCAAATGTATGATGTATCAAATTTACCGAATATGTAAATATTGTGGTTTATATTGCGCAGAGGAAGTAGCATGTGAACTAGTATGACGTCAGACAATCAGAGCTCTCTGATTGGTTGACGCGGTCGAAGAAAACAACAAACCAAGTGAAATTTTGTGACTATTGAAATTTGAAGAAGAAGGAACGAACGTAAACATTGGAATTCTTTTTAAATATTGACTTTAAAATCCATCGAGTAACGAAGCCATCGTCTAGTTTAACACTAGAAGAATTCTAGATTGGATCTACAGATACATATTCTTGCTTTTTGAGATACTATTTTTATCGTTGAATCTACGAGTCATTTGGTAAATCCTTTGAACTGAAAGATTTTATAGAGGTTCAGAAACAAGATGGCGTGTGCCACTTTAAAGCGTTCCTATGACTTTGATCCCGTTCTGAGCCCACAGCAGCAACCATGTCAAAAGAGAAGGCGCTATATGACGGTTAAATCAAGCCCAACAACAGCGACGAATGAGCCATCAAAGTTCCTTGATGTAACTCCAAAGATGACCTCAGGTGAGAGAAGATTGGTGTATAGAGGTGTAGTTTATATATGCATGATTTTCATGTTGTATTTAATAAAGGATAATATCAGCGGCTCTATAAACACAAAGCGTCACTGTTGTCCCTAATTATGTATTTTTCTTCCTACGTCTAAAAACATTCTTTTAAATATGGATGAAAATGTTTTTGAGTGGTAACAATAGGACGCCATGATTAATCTTTTTCAAACTCCTTGAAGAGATATGGATTTCTTTGCCATGTTTGTGAATAACGTTCTGAAAACATAATATAATATTGAGTTACTAATACTAGATTCTTTTAAGTCTTCATCAGTGGGAAATGAAATAAACAAAACGTTTCTAAATTGAGATATAACTGATAAAATATTTGAGGGCCTTCACCCTAGAATTTATAATGAAGATCTGTGATAACCCTTTGGAAGAGTCACTCTTTCTACGACTCCTTGTAAGTCCACCTCTAAATGGTGTGGTGTTTTAAAAGAGGCTGAAATTATTTTTTTAGTTATTTTTCATTGCAATGTACTAAGTCTGATTATTTTGTAGAGCAAATTGCACAAAATGTGGAACAGGAGTGGAAGAGAATACAGAGACTAAAGAAAATTGCTGCCATTTCACCAACCTCAAATATATTCATGGATAATCATATTAACCATTTGCTACCAAATGCTTCATCAAATATATCACTTTCATCAAGCATATCATCATCACCAAGTTTGCCCAACACAAGTGATACAAATAAACCTATATTCACATTGAAACAAGTGCAGTTAATTTGTGAAAGAATGCTAAAAGAACGAGAAAAGCAGTTACAAGAGGAATATGATAAAGTACTTAATCAAAAACTATCAGGTAAACCATGCTTTGGGTCCTTTGGCTTCACCATTGTGAATTATATTGCCTTTAAAATAATCACTGACCATTTTCTGTGTTTTTTGCAGAACAATATGATGCATTTGTGAAATTTAGCCATGATCAAGTTCAGAAAGGGCTTGGAAAAGCCCCTCTAAGCTGTAAGTAATAGTGAAAATTTTTGTTGCACCAGCAGTGCCTTGATCTAATTATTATTTTTTGTTTTTTGCATAGATGTATCGTGAATGGTACTAAACTGGTAGAGATATTTAGTTGGAAATCTCTGAGAGGAGTACTGTAAACATTTGTGCAATTCATGGCACAGCTGTTCTTAGATTCACTTTGGGAAGTGTAATGTGTGATATGACTGCTAAATCTGTATTATGTAAAATATGATGGGCAAAATTCAGATCAAGACATCTTAATGCACGGATGTTTTTACTTGACATTAACTAGAATTTTGTAAATAAATTTCATTGTAAAGTTTATACTGTTTATTGAAGGTAACTATTGTATTGAATTAAAACATGACTTATTATTAAAGGGATGAATCAGTTGATAAAATGATTTATTTTATTAGAATTTCAAATATTTGGAAATGTATCAACTCTCAAACTTTGTTACTTAACATTTCAACTTTGTTCCCAGTCCTCTCGCGGTTTTTGCTCCTAAATTCAAATATTTCAAAAATATTTTTCGTTCGTCTTGGATAAAATGGCTCCATTTTTAAGCTTTTATTGTTTTTATTTTCTCGGTTTTTAGTTTTATGTATCTACGGTGATGTCGGGAGTTATTCTTTATGTGTTAGGAATTACTTAGTTATATAATTTACGCTAAAAATGAGGCTGGGATATTGGTCTCTATTACTCAATCGTTCACCAAAATATGGCATGCCTTTCACATATAAAAGAAGATTCAATTCTGCGTCTTTTCATGCAGCAAGTAAGTATTGTTTATTTTTTTTTATTTTTTGTAAAAGAAATCATTTTTTATGTAAATATTGAGTAATGGAATGAATGAATATTAATTATTAATAGGCACCAACTGATAATGTCTGGTATATTATTATAAATCATTAATTTTATTGTTAGGTAATATTATCAATATTTATGATGGGTTGGTTGAGCAAAATGTTTTAAGAAATGACCATCATCAACGGTCAGTTATAAAAAATCTTCAGCAGCTCAATGAAAATATTATGAAATACAGACCTCATAAACCTGGTTTCTGGAATAAGGTAATAGTTACCATTAAATTAGGCACTAATAAACTTGACAGGCTCAAAAATTTATATTCCTTTATTTGGTTTTCCAGGTTTTCAGTAGTTCAAAAGTTTCAGTCCCTAAAGGAATATATTTATATGGAAGTGTGGGTAAGTTAGGATGATAACTTTGAAAGAATTAAGTTAAAGGAGAGAATTTGAGATTGTTTTGCAAAATGAAGTATAGCTCAGATCAATGGAAATTAAGGATATTTTTGATGGATAGTTCTCTTGTTCCAGGTTGTGGCAAAACAATGTTGATGGACATGTTTTATGAAAATGTGCAGTTGAAGAATAAGCAAAGAATCCACTTTAATGCTTTTATGATGGACGTTCATAGCCGTAAGTAATTGCAGCAATTCATCAAGCAGTTCTTCCTCATATAATAAAGTGGTTTCAAATGAATATTTTTAGGTGTTCATCAGTTTAAGAGCACATTACCACCAAGAGATCGAACTAAAAACAAATCGCAACCTGTTGATCCCATTCCTCCAATAGCAACGGCAATCAGTGAGGAATCCATGTTGTTGTGCTTTGATGAGTTTCAGGTGGGTTACCCTGGAACCAACTCTTAATAAAACTTTATTATTTGTCGAGTGATCTTCATTGATGTCATGTTTCTTAGGTGACAGATATTGCTGATGCCATGATTCTTCGTCGTTTGTTTACCGCCTTGTTTGAGAATGGTGTGGTAGTCATGGCAACATCAAACAGAGCTCCTGATGGTAGGTTTTTCAATTACATTTTTCATGTATTAAAATTAATGAAGTCATCAACTTTGGTAGACTTTACAAAATCAATCAACCTGGTTTACTATATATATATTTAGATCTATATAAGAATGGTCTTCAAAGGAGTAATTTTGTGCCATTTATACCAATTTTAAAGGTACTAAATACCTGATTTATGAGTTCACTCATTATTCAATAATTGCTTTTTTCCTGCAGAATATACAATATTATATTTTTATTTATCATTACAGAGCAAATGTGAAGTAATTTGTCTTGATTCAACGATTGATTATCGTCGATTAGGTTGGTGAATGCTGCAGTTTATTATTTACTTAGAAGTTCTTCGTTCTTATTTGATCTTGATTATTCTTTTCTTAGATCTGAAATATGAAGAAAATGTGTACTTCAGGTGAGGATCAAAGAATGTACATACTCAAATGTTCATTATTCAATAGTGTTGGTACACTTTTTTTAATCTTATGTAGTTCATTCGACAAACGGTCAGACAACGACTTGGATACAATTTTTGAAAGAATTGCAGAACAGCAACGTAAAGGTACAAAAAAATGCATTTATAACAAGAAAATTTATCAATATTAAATGTTAGATCTCAGTCCTTATGTTTTCATCATTTCAGGTGATCCTGGCTGCCATGAAGGACCATGTGATCTGCGTGTGCTTGGACGAAGCTTACACGTTCCTAACTCATGTGGAAGATTGGCTGACTTTAAATTTTCTCAGCTATGTGAACAACCTCTTGCAGCCAGTGATTACATCACCTTGTGTAAAAATTTTGATACCATCATAGTGCGCAAAATACCTGTAATGAATTTACTGCGGAGAACAGAAGCAAGACGTTTCATAACCATGATTGATACATTTTATGATAATAAGGTAAGGAACCACCCAGGTGTGCCTGAATTTAGTATTATGTCTTTGTTCAACTCATCATTGCAAAATTACTTGCTATTATTTGTCTAGTCTATATGTCATTACTCAAAGACTTGCATTGGATTTGATTGTATTTTAAATTAGATTAGTAATTAATCAATATCCTCTCAAGGTTTTTGTTTCCTTCTGTTTAAAGGTGCGGATTATCTGCTCAGCCCAGGCCACACCACAATATTTATTTGAAGTCTCGCCAGTATCAACAAATCAAGTTGAAGATCAAAGAGCACTTATGGATGATTTAGGAATAGCCGAGGTAAATAAACCTCTTTATTCACACTGGGTTGCTTTCAACATTGCTAACAATTTTCTCTTATGTTTTAGAATGAGGGAGCTAGCTTGAGTATGTTTACGGCTGAGGAAGAGCTGTTTGCATTTGATCGTACTATTTCAAGGCTAACTGAGATGCAGACCAGGCAATACTGGGAAAGCGGTTATGCAAGAGATATGAAAAGTTGATATGTTTATGGTATGAAATATTTCTTATCAACCTTTTTTCAGTTTCAATTATTACAATAATTTATTCAGATATGGTCTACTTACAAATCCTATCTACAAATTAGTAAGAATTTGATAATAACTAGGATTAGAATGTTAGGATCAGTTTCAAATATATTTACAATAGCTATATATCTAGCCTCTCACGCTAATGCACATCTAGAACAGGAAAAAGGACATATAGGCATAGTAAAAAAATATATTACAAGGGAGTATTACACAACATGGTCACAATTTATTTTAAACTTTTCTTTCTTCGGCATGAATGAGCAATTCATGTTTGCATCCTTTCACAATAGAATTCCTTAAAAGAAACATAAAAAATTGTTAAGGTATCTGTTTTGGACAATTCTAGACCCTAAATGTATGTTTATAAGCCTAGAAGAAGGCAGTGTTTTTACCAGAATGCAGATCTATCATTGTATTATAATTTATTTGAAACAATGCTTACCTGCAACACAGGCAGTCATAAAGCAGGCCAGTGTACCAGCAAGCAGAGCACGCATTGATATAGCCGCCAGATCAGATTTTCTGTTTGGTGCCATAGGACCTAATCCACCAATTTGAACACCGATTGAAGCAAAATTTGAGAAGCCGCATAGGGCATAAGTTGCAATAATTTGAGAGCGTTCCTGCAATGAAAACAAATTAACATGGCTCAGTATCAGTACCTAAGTAAACTTTAAACAAACTTGCTTTCCATCTCCTGTTTCACCAAGGTGTGAAAGTGTGAAACAAATTTTGGAAACTGTGAAATTCTTACACTGATTGTCCTTCCACCATTGTTCTTCTTGGCATTCTCAATATACACACTGAGGTCAGAGTAAGCAATGAATTCATTAGCAAATGTCTTGATCCCCAGAAGTTCACCCACAATACCACAATCATCCCAATCTACACCCATGATGAAGGCAAATGGACGTAGTAACCATGAACATATAAACTGAAAGAAAAAAATACAGTTTAATTGGTATTGGAACTAACAGATGATGGTGGTTTTAAAACTTTACTATGTTCAAAATAATTATATTGTCTCAAACCTTAAAGCTTAGTTCAGGATGATCAACCATTGAGCCAATGTATGATAACACAGCATCAATGAATGCAAGAAATGCAAGAAAAGCTATCAAATTCACAGCAATATTTGCTACAAGTGGAATAGCATTCGATGCTCCATTTGCAGCTGCTTCAATTACATTCACTTCTTTCCTAGAATTATAAATAATCAACTCATTTAAGCTATCAAAGTAATCTTCATCTGAGTGACATTTACAAATCTTTAAGACAACAAGCAAATTCTAGGGGTCTTGTTTCTACATGCTAAGACTTACATCTTAGGGATGTCAATATCATCTGAGCTTCTTGTATCAGAATCCTCTGTCTCGGGATACATGAGTTTTGAGATTGCTAATGCTGCAGGTGCAGACATGACAGAAGCCGATAGAAGATGAGATGGATTCACACCAAATGATATATATGCAGCCAGGACTCCACCAGCTATAGTTGCAAAACCTCCAGTCATGATGGCATGGAGCTCTGACATTGTCATTGTGCTTAGGAATGGTCGAACCAGTAATGGAGCCTCTGTCTATAAAATCAAGAGTAATTTAATTAAACCAATTGTTTAACCTTCTACTACAGTGTCCTAAAACACTAGAGTTTGCGACATCACAAGCTGATGACACAATGCTTTCAAATTGTAATGTTTTCTTCATTATCTGCATACCTGTCCAACAAAAATGTTGCCAGCAGCACTCAAAGATTCGCTGCCAGATGTCTTCATGGTAACATGCATGAGCCAAGCTATCTTTTTGATAACCAAAGGCATTATACGCAGATAATACAGAACTGATATTGCCGAACTGAAGAATACAATAACTGGCAACACCTACAAACATAATGAATGCTTTCAGTTTGAAAATTTTATTCACAAGCACAACATTTGTTGTACAGTGAGACATTAAACCACTATACTCCACTCACTTTGAAAGCAAAGAAATGTACTTTAAATGCATCACCAAAGACAAATTTAGCACCAGCATCAGAATAGTCTAAGAAAATATTAATTTGGTCTCCCAATATCTTGAAGATATCTCTTCCCACACCAGTCCGTAGGATTAGTAAGCCAAAGATGAACTGAAGAGCCAAACCCCAGATGACTGGTCGCCACACAATCTAGAAATGCAAATTTGAATTATATCTTGAAGAACTTAGATGGAGCACCTTTTGACCTTTCTAAAATTCTCAAGTTTCCATATCTCAAATCACATAAATGACAAGTTTGTCGTGGTTTACCTTTGAACGATACTTTGAAAAGAGATAACCAATGAAGATGTAAATAAAGAGACCAAGGACTGATAAGAATCGAATGGGTTTCTTTCTTGTGTCCACAGAAAGGAACACAATAATTGCTATCAGTAATGCACCATACACAAACCTACAGTGTGGAAAATGCAATATGCTCTCATTGCTGCCAGAAACAATTTTATACCAATAATATATATACCACATAATTTGGTAAATGTTGGTCTTGCAGGTAATGGGATCATACCATCTTAATGTCTTCCAATGATTATCAAACCACTCCAATACTGGTTGGATCAGCCATTTATAGAGCTCATTGCCGCAATGTTCACGGACAAGTGAGAAGGATAAACAGAACCAGACAAATATTCCAATACCAAACAATCCTGCAGCATCATGAAAACCAACTTTTGTTATCCCTATTATGCTGTAGAGGATGATTACAAAATCCACGGCTGCAACAACAATTGTGATCCAATGTTTGTGCCAGAGTTGACGAAAGAACTCTGGTAATGGTTTTCTTTCTTCATAGTGATACATTAGGTTCTTTGCTGCTTTGGGTTCTCCTTCTGGTTTATGATAATCATCTTTATCTTTCATCTGGTTTTAAAATAAATCATGTTAAACCAGCTGTTTACACACAGAAGCTGTTTCAGTAAACCTCTTCTTCTAGTTTAAGTGAGATTACCATGTTTTAATAGGCAATGTCTTCAACCCTGATAAGGAAATGAATCTAATATATTGTCTTCTAATCGGATTCTACAGGATTGCTACCTTCCCAATGATTTCTTCTTCCCAGAAAATTTATGAATAGTTATACATAGCAGGTTACTATAATCTATATTCTCTCTAATACATTCGTTGATCTGTACAGTACGAGTTACTATTACACTAGCCACGTGGTTCCAGAATAAGTTACAATTAGCCTAGCCACGTGGTTCAGAACATGTGATCAAACCGGTAGTGTTGAAGTGGGTTCTTTTTATTGGTAATATATGCACACGTGCCCATTATCATTTCATCTGGAATACCTGTGAAAACATATCCTAACAAAAAACCTTCGGATCAACTTACAATCCTTGAAACCATCATCTATATACGTGGATGTTTTGACAAATTTTAATTCTTGCGATAATCGAAATCGAACATATATATTGTACATCTAAGAGCCCTCTCAAAGGCTAGGCTTGACAGATTTTGTATATATTTATACATTTTTTAAAATAAAAACATTTCTGATAACTTGTTTTACTATTATAGACATGTGACGGGCTAATTTGCAACATTTTTTTCTTCGAAACAACAAAAGTAAATTATATTATAACTAACGACTGTGATTGCTGCTTGCATAATTCATAACATTTGATATTGATTGAAATCTTCGAAGTTATTCACTCATGCTATCGAAAGGTTCCGGCATTTTTTCTTGTTAAAAAATAGAATACAACGCAACATTATTAGTAACACTCAAATTTCAGTCTTTGTTCGTCATTTATAAAACATGGCGATAAGCTCTCTTCCGCGTTTTACAATGAAAACTTGTTTAGCATTAAATTTTGGCGCTAAAATATGAAAGAAATGCAACAGCTCCTTACTTCTTTAACATGAAATAATCTGCTTTTGGCGAGAAGGCAAATGAATGTATATTAAGTATATTACATAACAGAATTCTCCCGAACAAGAACAACTCGTTCTTACTCGGGATAATTTGAAAGTTTGTCTAAGTCAAATCAAACTTCACTCTCAGCTTGAATTATAGTTTACATATCTACCTCAATCGTTGTAGTTGGTGAATTGGAAGACAAATGCAATAAGCTGTCCCCACTCGTATCTAAATCAGCCATACTATAAAAAGTACGTAAAATACATGTTAAAATGTAGCAATGAAGAACAAGATGTAACAATTAGAACGAATGTTTGTAGCAAACATACGCTATAGTAAATACAACGTAATTCCGGCCCACGTTGCCCAATTAGATTTTACAATATACTTAAGATAATTTAGAATTCTACTATTCATAACTCTCTGTTACCTTTCTGAAGAAGAAATTGATCAAGTTACAGCGAATATGAGAGTACTTATTATGATTGCGAGAAGTAACAATGTTTATTGCGACACCACCATACATAAAATGACAAGAAAGGCGCCAAATATGAATTAAAATAGTTTGATATTGTTATCCAACCAACCACGAGAACGTATTTTATATTAGAGCCAATCATAATATATCATTTTCGCGCCATTATGGTGTTTACGTTCAAATTATAATCATGCTACCACGTCGTCACCATATTTGTGTTCATGTGGGCGGTACGTGGGTTGGTCCGTAGGCATGGTAGCAGGACGAGTTACTGAAATATGCTATATATATATACATATAACTAATCACTGTTTTCACTGTTTAAGAACAATACACAAGACATCGAAAACTGACATAGATCAATGATAGTTTGACCTGTCAGAAAAAAATAAGGGGAGCAATTAATAATAGAAAGCGAAAAAGATCAACAACATATCATATGTGTGCAATGGCAAATATTTGCATATCAAAAATTTGTCTCCAATTTCACTACCAGTAGAAGCGATGAGGACGATGACTGCTGTTTACGAGTTAAAATTTCTAATACTTTGAGTGTTCAGTGTTAGACTCAGAAGTTAACAATAACTAGCAATTATAAAACGTCATATGGGGTGAAAAACGTTATTAGGATTCCGGATTCCCAGCCCAGGAAATAAATTTCCTCTTCCGTTGAGAGTGTTTGTGTTTACCCTACCAAGAGAGCTTAGTACTGAGTGAATGACGTTAAGAATAAACGTCATTCCGTTAAGATCTGAAAACTCGCACGATTTCAAAACCCAAATACGTTTTTGATAAAACGACAATATTCCTGTCCTTAATTAATTAATTTTAATTGAAATTTCTTCAATGTCAAACGTAACTAACCGTATTCCGAAGTTTCTAACATCACTTACACGTGCGTTGAGTAAATAATGAAATATTTCACTAATTTCTTGTTGTATAGAGACAAAATAGCGATAATGATTACTCAGGTTTTTCCAAGATTATTTGAGGATTTTTACTGTGGTGAAGAATCCATCCATAAGTCATAGATAAGTCATAGACGTCTTTTTTTTATGCAGCCATTTTACTAGGTTTCAGGCTTTGCAGGGCGCGTGTCTTAAGTTGTTTAATTTTAACTAGGCTTCCAAGGTAACATGGTCAAGACATGTGGTTACCTTTTATTCTTGAATGCTGGATTATCAATTCCATTTTTATCATTTTGATTCTCTGTGAGGTCAGCTTGACTTGAAGCCATAGTCAGACGCAGCTGCTTCTGTAACTATCACTTGCACAATGCTTGGTTTATGTAATTTGATAGCTCGGACACTCGACTAACAGGTTTATCGTTCGAATTATGAATTCCCGAGGTCTATAAATGAAAGATTTACAAGTTTTAAGATATATGTGACAGCGCTTCAACCACATATCAACTCTAATGAATCGTAGCAGAGATAAAATATTTCCTTCATAGCATGCTATCGTTGATGCCCTTATGAACTCTACGAAATCATGGTACTTTCCATATATTTTTTTTCGAAACAAGTTGACAGATCTTATCTGTGGTGTTTGTTTTATTTTATAAAGATAATCATTAAATATTAGTGCGTGTATTCGTGTATATTGCGATATGCGCGCAATATGACATTATAAAGGTTCGTGGACTTTGACTTCTGCTTTCTGCAAGCTTGAGAAGCCATGTCATGATATGTGTTGAAACTAAGTGGGAAAACAGATGTTACTGAACCTCGGTTCAAACTGGGGTTAAAGAGCGCGCAACATGTGACTATAGCTCCTTAAGCCCATGACCTTCATTTGCAAGCATCTGGACACGGCGTGACCATAGACGATAGTTGATATGAAAACTGTGCGTGTTTTTGTATATGCGTTTTGTATTCGTAATAAAACCAGGCTGCGATGTTAGAAACACTTAATATTCATAGGATTAATCCTTTCTTACCTTACGTTATTACTGGCCTTTCGTTTTGCGGTCGCTGTTGTGAGCACGTCACTACTTATTTAGCCACTGTGTATATATATCACGTCAATACTTAATATTTAGTCACTCTGTATAGTAGAGATTGATTTACATACATGCAAAAACAAACACAAAAACAGATCTAACACTAATTTACATTGCAACTCGTAAATGACACCTGAACTGTGTAGAAACAATACAAGGATATTCTCCGTCATCTCTGGCTTTATAATAGCGAATATATTTTAGTAATTATGAGTAGTTAACTTGTTACATTGTATAGTTTGATAATGCAGGGGTTTATTGAAAAACATCCATGGTTCAATGGATAGCGTGAATAAATATTATCCTGAACTGACACTGAAAACCCAAAGGAAATGCCCTAGTTTCCGCTACAAAACTATAACACATGTTGTGAAATAATGCGTGGTTTCATCTCTGTGTATATTTTCACCTAGTCAATTGCTTTAAAAACCTAAAGATGATAGGATAAGCTGGGATAAACTGCCTGGAAATGTCTAGCCGGAGCTTAGCGATTTCAGCAGACTCGCGAGCGAAATGTCCTAAAACTCGTAGTTTCTCGCGTTTCTTCCCCCCAAATTTAATTGAATCAAGGTAGATGCCAAACGATTGTATTTTCATCCAAACATATCACCGCTCAGTACTCAACACAGTTAAAAGTTACCTGTGGTTGAAGTAATTAGACTTGCATGATAATTGATAGTCTTCATAAGATCGAAACACTGAGTCTGTTTGGCAGATTAAAATTATTTTGGCGACGGCAAATGATTGTTACCATCTGAGGTAAAATTATATTTGACCATCTTAGCGGTATTATAACCAGCGTTACCTTTGATAATGAACTAGACACAATCTAGAAGACGCAACGTTTACTGTAGCGACAAAAATCAATTATGTTTATTTTTCTCACCTTATTCAGGGCAATTGATCGCTCGATTCCCTCCAGGGGCAGAGGAATGAAGATTCTGCTGGAATCTGGAACCAAACTGTAAGTTCAAATGTCAGTTTTTTTGGGACGCGAACTTCACTGTGATTGTTGCGAAGTGACATTGACTCTGGACCAGAGTTAACCAATTTGATCCAACACACATTAATTAAAATATTTATGATGCTGTATAAACAAAATGACGATCTATTAAAACATGATACTATACAAAAGAGGCAGTGAATGTAAACTTCAAAAGACTAAACAATGTTTCATCTCAGCAGGATCACGATAAATATTATATTGAATTGCATTATTTGCATACCGCTAAATTGTTAACAATATTCAGTCTGGAGAAAAACAGAATTGATACCGCTTTTGGTAAATTGTTTAATTGCGATGATGGCGTGTGGTCGGATAGAGCAATCGATCTCCTCCACGCTCCAGCATGACTGAAACCTGTGACTTTTCATTTCGAAATTTGAACACTTCCTTGATATAACCATCATCAAGTGACTTCAGTATCATTGCAAACGTAGACGATATGAAAAACTAGTTGAAGCTTTTCCATCACACTTGCTCAAAGTTTCATTTATAAGTTTCAAGATCCACTCGTGAAATCAATCTTGTTAGCTTGTTATGTGTGTGTAATATCTTTTTCGGTGTCTTGCATCAACCAGCCTTGACGTCATTACGATTTCAATTTTATGTTCAGCAGAATGAATAATTATCTGTTAAAACAACCAAGAAACTATAATAAACTCTAGTGATCGACTTAACACAAGAAAATCATGATTCCATTAAAATATTTCGCTTTTGCGCGAGTCTTGTTCGCTTGCATCTTCACGGAGCAGGTGTTATCCAAGGAATCAAAATGGAAGAAAACAGGAAAGTTTCATGCACTTTCTTCAAAAATAGGTATGTTTATATACGTTCAGGATTTGCTTATCGTTAGTGAATATAGTTTAACCATGAACTACAGTAATTCGTCTTCTCTTCATGTATGTAAGTAGACTATTGTCTTTCATTTTATTTACAGAAAGGTCGTGATATAGACTTGTACCTGCAAAGCAATTGTTGACAAATCATCCATGTGAAACCTTTCTCATTTCATTTCGTCTAAGTTGACTGCAGGGATATCATTCTTGTTTGTAAACAACGGTCTATGGACTCAAAAAAATTGCTGTGATTTGTATATGTATATCTCCACAGGAAAGAAAAGATCACTTCTACAAAAAGAGTTCGTGTTACATCATCCAAGACTGTCCAAGACTGACACTAGTTCAAACTTAAATCACTGCATCTTGTTGCTGAGCTTTGTCAATACTGGACTGCTGTGTTGAGGTTCTCGGCAATATCACTTTATTCTTCATTCTCTTTTTTATAGATTTTGATCATGATTACAAATCACTGGGTTGCTGGAAAGCCGAAGCGAACGTAAAATATTTTGAAGATTTGGAAGGTTTACATGATGAGCTGGACGGACTGTATTGGCAGAGGTATAAAACTTGATCAGCTCTCGTTTTGTTGTAGAATCATCTCTTATTGATCCAGTGTAACTATAAAACAAAACCTTTAACAAAATTATTGTACTTTTTCAGCTAGAATTGGGCCTTAACCTGACTGACATGTCTTAATTTAGGTTAAATACGATCAAGAAATGTGCAGCAGTTACGAAGAACAAAGGTTTCAAGATATTTGCGTTGATCAACAGAGGAGAATGTTTTGCAAGCAAACATAAGGATCATGTTTATAGGAGGTTTGGTAGATCAAGCAAGTGTAGCAATGGCGAGGGTGGAGTTGGTGCAATGAATGTTTATAAACTCACAGGTATGCTTGCTCGAACATTTCCACTTAATATCCTGGCTAAGACAGGCTTTGTGAACTTCAGAAATGTAGAACTGATTTGATATTGTTTTTTATATTTAGGAGAATCGTTTTCAGACAGCGAGGATTTTGAAGATGATATTATTTTAACAAAAGCTCAAAAGGCTTTGATTGATAACCCAGATGGACCATTATACCACGATGGAGTCGACCTTGAGACTTCCGCTGCTATGGTACTATGGCCTGAGAACACGGTGCCATATTATGTTCCTCCTGAATTAGGTAAGACATCTCTAGTAGTCTACGATGAGCAAAACGTATGGCCTATATAAGCCGGATATTCACCGCATTTTGAACTGGGGAATTTTCTTCTATGGGACTGGATATTTCAGCAAAAGTCGAATCTGGAGAACACGTTGCCTGACTAGTAATAAGTAAACATTTTAACTGTTTGGAGGTTTCTTTCCAGCTAAAACGAAAGTTGCTCAACGGTTTTTGGCGGGAATCAAACAGTGGCAACAGATGACTTGTGTCAAATTTGTTCCGCGAGGAAATCACAGAGACTGGGTACAAATCTTTCGTGAACGAAATCCTTTGAGCAGAAGGTATGGTGATTGAATTAAGCTTTCCCAATCTTCTTATTTCTAAGCCTTTAGCCTCCTGGAGTTTCGTTAAGGGTCATCCATGGGTGGATTTCGTTTCCAGCAAGCTGGTCTTTTCAACGTCCACACTCAGATAGTCCCTTATCAAAACGTATAACGTTGATTCACATTCTCTTTTCGAATTAGATGCGCCTCAGCTATTGGTCGAATTGGTCGCTATCAACCAATCCGAGTGGGTGATTTATGTCCTGCTGGAAGTCTTATCCATGAGTGGGGCCATGCACTAGGACTATGGCACGAACAATCTCGCGAGGATCGTGATGGCTTTGTGAAGGTTAACTGGGATAATATCCTGCCAGGTTAGTAGGTGAATGGCTAATTTGGAATCTTCATCTTTGAGTAAACAACCACCTGGCACAATGCGTAACAATACTTGTTATTTAAGGTAAAAAGGACCAGTTCAAGAAATATCGTCATTTCTCCGCCAACACATTGTCAATAAAATACGACTATATGAGCATCATGCACTATGGAAAAGATTACTTCGCAAAGCTGACTGAGGATCAAATGGGATATCTGACTACTTTGGAGGCTTTGAATGACAAATATAGGGATAAAATAGGGCAACGTAAGCACGTGACGTCAGCTGACGCAGCGAAAGTGAATGTCTTGTATGGATGTGCAGGTGAAGATGATTATGAATCAGTTTACCAACATAAAAATGAATGTTTCAGTATGACAGGTGTTTACCATGAAACACAATAGTAAACACACACACAAGGAAGTAGCCGTAGAAAAGGCCTTGTTACACGATGTAATTTGTCTTGCAACCTGCAAAATAATTCTAATTTTATGAGATGAGGATTAGTGAAGAGGCTTCGAAGAATAACTATAAGAAACGTCCAAGTTTCGTAGTTCGTTATCAAATGTAAAATTGTATTGCAAGTTGCATGAAAGATTGAATCGTATAACAAGGCCTTGAATACTTCTTTTTCTTCAGATTTTCCTTACATGTGGCGTAGCAAAGATTGGTCAGAATGTTCATCTGATTGTGGTTCAGGAACAAAACATCGTGAATTATTCTGCGCTAAATCAGATCTTGTAAAAGTTCAGCCAAAATATTGTTCTAAGTCTACTAAACCGTTAAAAAAACTGGCGTGTTATGGACGCAAATGTTGTAAGTATACCTCCTTCTTTGTTATCTGGAGGAAGAACAGCTCAGAGATCATGTTAAAGAATTAAGTTTGGTCTAATATTCATTATTATTCCTTTATTTTAGCCACTTGTCCCTCAGGTTGGTTTAAACTTGGCAAAGCATGCTATAAAGCTCACAATAAACTTGTTTCGTGGTTTGAAGCAAGGAAAACGTGTCTCCAGAAAGGCTCAGATCTACTCACGTTAAAAACAAAACCGGAAGAAGCCAGTATTCGAAGCTATCTTAAATCAAAGAACATACATCTTGTCTATTATTGGTTAGGTAAGTGTCACCCCCAGGTGTTGCTCACCCTCCATAAGTGTTAGCAATTACCTCAGTTACTTATTCCTTTGCGAAGTTGGCAAGAGTACAGAAAGACTCTTCGCCATTTCTTTTTTTTCAACTATAAATACTCCTAAATGTCTGCCTGGGTATTCAAACCATATTCTTTGCAGGTGCCTATTACCATGCTGCTGATGGTGACTTTTATTGGGTGGATGACAGTCGTATGAAATATAATGATTGGAAGACAGGGGAACCACGTTGGAATGTGAATTGTGCTCTAATGATCCATCGTGAACAATGGGGAACCGATGTTTGTACTGTAGGAAGACGATTTATTTGTAAAAAAGAAATTGTTTAAATTTTTATAATAGAAATTCGTCCCAATCTCGCTCGTTTAATTTATCGTTCATCCCCCCCCCTGGTTGAGATCCGGCGCGGGAAAACTCCTGCTAATGTTACCATGGAATGTTCATAATAAGTTTTAAAGTTTTGACAAATAAACACGAAAAAAAGTTTTAAAATTTATGAAATGAAGTAATGGCAATGAACCAACTTCAAAACCTACTTCATGACTCGCTTATAGCGACGGGACATGTTGAAAATTGTGCTTTAATTCGTCGAAACGATGCATCTGTCCGGGCCAGTTCTGTTGGATTTGTTGTAAGTATTTGAAAAATTCATTTATGCAAGTTTTTAAGTCTATTTTGACTCAAAATAAGTATTAACATAAATATAAAAATATTTCTCAATGAAATCTGTAACTTTACTTATATTTTCAGCTAACATCGACAGAAGTAAATGCATTTTTAGACGCGTTCAAATCACCCTCTGAGACGAGGGAACGAGGCGTTAAAATCGGTGAAGACACATTTGTTTGCTACCGTGCTGATAAATTTTCAATCTATGCCAAACAGGTTTGAATTAGTCCATATTTTAAACGTTAGGAAGGTTTATAAACGTGTATTTTTGTAGGATTTCCCACACACAAGAGCAGGTGCATAATTAGTTTTCAAAAATGAGATCATAAGTAATCATAACACAGTCTAAGATTAAAATTAGGATGAATTGCCAGAATTGGTGACTGTATTGCTATATGCTAACATAGTGCTATTATTGTAAGCAAAGGATGGTGGGGGCAGCTGCACCTTGCCTCCAGTGCGGGTAGTGTTGCAGCTCCTCGCAAGAATGATTTCCATTGGCTGAACTTTACAATACATTTCTGTTTCAACCAATAGCATAGCTTTGTTCTTTAGAAAGGATAGGAAAGCATTATCCAATTGGATGAAAGCTTCCCAGAGCTGCGACATGTCCCTCCAGTCTGCCTGACTTCAGGTGAACTGAATAATTCCCATTGCTACTTGTTTATTAAAGCATATTTTGATACAAACCTCTTGCTTTTTATATTGCACAGGAATCAAAAGGCGTAATTCTTGTACGAACATCAACACTGATTTTGATTGCTACTTATACTCAAGAAATGTATCCAAGTGTATGTGTTGAAGCTGTAGAAAAACTTGGTAAGTATCAGGTTGACAAGGCAAATAATGTAAAATCACTGTGTGGTCACAAATAATTTTTCATTTAACTTATCCATCAGCTTACAATCAACCATCTCAAAGTTAAATTTAATTTATTATGCATGATAATCCTGTGTTGTTGTTTTTTTACTTTTTTGTTTCTATTACCCTAATTAGCTTGCATTGCACCTAGATGTGCCTTGTTCTGTCTAATACCAGATCATTTTATGGATAAACAAAACTGTTTGTCAGTAACTCTTGTTAATATCAATGTTTGTTGAGTTCCCTGCATAAAAAGCACACCAAAGATTGCTGGTGTTAGAGTTTAAGACATGTCTTCCATCAATCACTCTAGCTGATTATTTCCGTGAAAAAGGAAAATAGTAAATTCAGGTGAGAAAGTCATAATTAATTTACTTTCATGTCAGTAGCAAAAACCTACATGCTTTATAATAATAAAGTACATGCAGTATAATAATAACATGACATACGTTACTTGCACATAAACATGCATTACAGCTACAATCAAGAAATGATATTTAAAAAGATAATTTAGGATGTTAAATTACTGACTAATCTTTGTTGCAAATTACTCTGTATGAGATAAATTCTTGATGAGTCATAATGCAAATGGCATAAAATCTACAAATGTTCTTCTGAAACATTGCAAAACAGGCCCACACTGTTAGCTTGGCCTTTTAACTGATCTGTCTTCAATAATTTTTAGTTCTATAATGAGTGGTAGCTTCTTTTCTTTGCCTGGTAATACTTCACACCAAACAATAGAATAATACATATTACAGCACCCAGAATCATTCCACCAAAGAAAGATAGACCATCGAATTTCCTTCCAGACTTTTTCGGCATTTGTTTTGCAGTAGGTTTGACAGGTCTTGCAGAGGTAATAACAGAAGAACCAGAAATGACCACACTAGGATTTATCGATGGTGCGTTGAATGATGTTAAGTTGCCTGTTGATGCTGAAACAATGATTGCAGCACTGGAATTACCTATAAAATCCACAATTACACACAAATCATAAAATTACTCCATCATGGTACATTGAACTTGAGGATTATGAATGATCATGGATACATGGCTATATCATTACTAGGGCATTTCTAGAGAATTTCCCCAAAAGATCAAGAAGGCACTAAAATCTCGAATAAAATCATCATACAAATTTGGGCTGCCTATGCTGTAGGCTGGCATTGACTTACATTTTCTTTTCTTTACCAATAATGTTCACATGATAGTATATGGTCAGAAAATATATTACATGAATTGTTTTGTATGTGCAACAGTATATGTACTTACCTAGTTGTTTTGGAACCACTGTAGGTGATGGTATTATTGTTGCTGTTGGAGTTTCAGTGGCTAAAATAATATTTAAAACATTAAGAAATCCACATAAAGGTGCAGCATTCTTTAATTTGCAAGAATTTACAGTGTTTAAACTCATCAACAAGTCAATATCCTAAATGTTTGTACATAAAGTATTACTATTAGTTTTTAGTCAACAAGTGTAAGAAATTGTGCATAATATGTGTCTTCATTGGTCTGTTACAATAGTCATATAGAGAGCATTTTTGCATTTAGTTTGATTAATTATTAATGTTTCTACTTAAAGCAACCTGCACAAAGTCATATTCTATTGAATATCACAGTGTGTATTTTTTCAAGACACAGTTCTCAACTACCACAAGAACAATCAAAACCACCAATAACTAAAAACATTCTAAACCACGATCAACCAATCAATCAATCAATTTCGAACAAATATTTCGAACATTCGAAAGTCACTTACCACTCGTGCAATGTATAAAGAAAACGGAACAAAATAGCACCGTACAAAGTATTTGACCAACAAGGGTATTAATTCTGTAAAGCAACATTGTATGTTTGTCAACTAGGTATGGAAAAAACCACTTCTGATTTGACGATGATTAGTAAATTTGCCACGTAAAGACGAACGTAAAATTATCCTGAAAAATAATGATCAAGCGGGTACCGGATATTTCCTACCGGAAATAATATACCAGAATAGTTATAATAATTATTTTAACAGTCAAACTTAGCGCTACACCCTTTCATTGAGATCAGTACACTTTGTGATTGCTGTGGAAACCAAAGGCTTTTCTTAAGCCCTTTGTGTTGAATCGTGCGCATGCGTGATTAGGGCGGGACGAACATTGTCTAAAGCTTGATGTTCAATTTGAAGTGCTGGTTGATAGCGAAAGAGTTGGTTTTATATCGCAATAAAAATGAGCAACGACCAGAGTGGAGAGCTATTGCTTTTTGTGAAGGTAAGCTTACTTCCTAAGTTCCATAAACGCATTTTATTCAAGCCTCTAACTGTTGTCTGTGTGTGTTTTTCTGAGCCCAACTCCACAGCACTTGATAATAAACGTGCAATGTGTGTACATTTAGGGGCCAGTCATCAAAGGCGACAAGGAATCAAAATTTGGAGAGGATATATTCAGTCATCGTTTCATGTTTATGATAGCAAGGAAAGAAATCCCTAATGCTAAGGTTGTGCCTGTTGACACAGTCTACAAGAAGGATATTCTATTGAAGTATGGTGTAGAAGATCAGAGCTTGAAATTACCGCTTCTAGTTCATACCTACACGGCTGCTGGGGATCGTATACTCGTTGATGATCCACCACAAATCGAGGCTTATTTGGAAGAGAAATTTAAACCGTTCTTACGAAGTAAAGATCCAAAGGCCTACAAGGTCCAGCTAGATGTATTCCAGAAATTTATCTTCTACCTCAAAGCCAAAGGCGATTCCGAAAAGCCAAAGTTGAAGCAGCTTCTTGACGAGTTAAGGAAAATTGACCAGTTTCTTACGGATAACGAGCGTCAATTCCTAAGCGGCGATGAAATCACTATTCCCGATTGTCAACTGTTGCCCAAATTATTCTATATTCGTATCGCAGGAAAATATTACAAAAAGTTTGAAATACCGGACGATCTTGCCGCGTTGAAGCGCTACATCGAAGCAGGCGATTTAGACGAGTCATTCCAAGACTCGAAATGTTCGGAGAAGGAGATTGTCGAGGGTTTCAAACGGTATGTGCAATGATGATGAAATTGAACAGAGCCACTTTGCGTTTATTAGGATGTTGTAGTGACAGTCGGAAGCTTTTCATGGACAATTACAATACTATTTATTTGTAAAGACTAGGGAGACATTTTAGCGTGGCTGCAGTATTGCTGAACATGATGAAATTTCGACATTTACGCTCCTTTTTCAATATTTGTGGAATGTTCGGAACTTTTTACAAATTTTGAAAACGTTCGATCGCGTGATTGTTCTTCAAAATGTTGCAATTAGTTTGAGTGTGGAATATTCCACTGTTTTAATTCTCTTACCGGTAAATGTGTTTATTTCTTAAATTCCATTATTTTTGTGCAATGGATCTTCATAGATTATTGAAAAATTATATTATATATGTATAGAGATATCTCATGTGTTTTATATTGAGGTAAATTAGAATTTTAAACCAGTTCATATTCGTTATATTGGTCATTGCGAATGACGCACAGTGTGATTTAGTTTTTCATACACAATATTTTGTTAAACATGCCTTTTACAGTCATATGTGATCATACACGCACTACATGTGGCTTTGGGCCAAAGGTTTATTAGGAAATGACATAATCAAATCGGAAACAATTTGCCCCCATAAAGTTGTATTGTACATATTGATTGTTCACTGTTAGAAACCACGGCTTGTACATAGTAAACATTTGTAGGAATTCCTTTATAAGTTTTTATAAGAAGCACATCTAAAAGACAGCCATTTGTTGAATAACCAAAAGTAGTGAACTTCAAGCTTGTGTTCAGTTTAGTTGCTATAAATGTGTCCTGACATTACCAGTAAGGAATTCAGAGCTTGAATTACAGTTTCACAATTATTAAACTAATTATATGTAATCAATATCTCTTGCATTAAATAATATATACTGAGTTGAATAAAAATATTGCTAGATCATGAGATATCCTAATTATGTGGTGTCTTAATACAACAGCTGTTTGATATTGAAACTGTGTAGCCACCAGGACATCGCTCAACTCCTGACTATTCTGATCTTGTTAGATTTCATGTAAAACTCATTTACCAGGGAATCTCATATCTGATAAAAAAGCTTCCACCTAAAGATTTCCCAGTAATTGTTAGATTGGCTTAAAATTAACTTGATTTATTTTTATCCCTAAATGCCTGGCATTGTTTCAGATTGAAAAAAATTAATGATCTGATGTGTCTGTAAAGTGTCTGCTAGACTCCTTGCCATAAAATCCTTACAATATTAAAGTGCTATACCAAAAACACTCCTTTTAAAGACTTGATAAGAACACTCTTACATCTACTTCAAAACATTTACATGCAAATATATATTACTATGCCTTTCCTTTTTTTTGTTGCTAGAAAGTTTATGTTAAGTAGACATATGCTCACATGCCTAACATTTGATTGTAACTACATTTTCATTGTGTGTTTTGGAGTTAACCATAAAATATTTGTTTGATAATTCATGGGTTGTCAAGGTTGACAAGGCTACTGGGCAGATCAGATGTTTCAACTTCAGTGAAAATGTAAAAATCAGCATATGTCAAGAAAGGTATTGATTTTCATGCTTGATTGGGATGATTAAAAGATTTTTTCAGAATGTAGACAGGATTAGAAAAAAACTTATTTTGACAATTTAAATCAGAAAAGTTGACACTTTCACACATGTTAAAATATTGATTGGAAAAAACAACATACTGTTTAAAATTTAATTAAAAAAAGAAAGTTATATTACAACTGCTGTGAACAACTTCGCATGTTTCATAAAAATACCAAGTTTGCCTTGGTAACCAAAATTAATTTTAGATGACCTTGTTGCAATTTTAATTTGATGACACTGTCAACAATAAATTAATATTTGTGTCTAATTATGACCATAGCTTTTCAACATCAAATATTCCGCAATTAACTATCATGCATGTTTGTTTTGGTCTCTCGTTATACGTTTCCTGTTCTTCAAGTGTTTTTAGTACATCCATTCCTTCTATCACTTGCCTAGATAAAAATTAATCTTTACATGAGATTAATTGTATTATAAGTGTATATACTTGATATCTTAACTCTTTTTATCTTCAATGAACCTAAACACCACAATTCTTGTTTAATTTAACTCACCCAAATGCAACATATTTTGTGTCCATCCATGGAGTTGGTTGCAACGTGATGTAGAATTGAGATGAATTGGTGTGTCTCCCTTTGTTTGCCATGCCAACAATCCCTCGCTTATTGTGAGGCACAGAGAAGTTCTCATCTAGAGTAAAGTGAGAGTTATCTCAGATTGTAGGAGGAAGGTGATATTAGCACCTGATGGCAGGATCAGGATGCTGGTGGATTGTCATCAGAGTAGATCAATTTGTATATATATAACAAAAGGCAGTAAATATTTTTACTTGCAGGAAATTCCTGCCTTAAATGTATATGTATCTCTACCTTCAAAAAGTGCGCCATATATTGATTGACCTCCAATACCCTTTTGGGTTATGAAATCTAAAAAAAAGTTTAAATGTTTGTGAGAATAATTAGGAGTTCATACATGTGACAAGGTACCATAGAAAATTATTACTTATTTCTTAAAAATAGTGATTGAATCTTATAAGCATACCTCCACCCTGTATCCAACCATTTGGTACAATTCTATGAAAGATTGACTGTTTATATGTAAGCTTCTTAGTTGTATCTGCTTTCTCATCTGCTACCAATGCTCCATGGCATAATTCTAGGAAATTACTACATGTCTTTGGGCATTTGTCGCTGTATAACTGAATGAAAAGTAAGCAAGTATCAGTTGTGTCAAAAGTGTGAATTATAGTTGAATCAAACATTGTAGATACCTCTATTAGTAGTCTCCCTATTGATTCTGATGAGACTTGTATGTCCAGAAAAACAAAGTTGTGCTATAGAAAAGTGGAAAAATTCTTTCATTCCTATTCTGAGAAATCCAGGTGGATGCAATTATGCAAACATAACAAAATGTTACCTTGGATTCAAGTAAATGGGTTTTATATTTCTCTTTGGCCATTGCATGCCATAAGGGTAATGGTCTATATTATAATGATATAACACATTTAATTTTGTTTTGATCAATGAATGTGGTAGAACTTTATACTGTCACTGACCTGTAATCACTGAGCTGGTAATTAGCTTCTATCCATTTCTTGAATATCTCAAAATCACCAATCATTGAATTATCCTCACATATCAACACTTCTGCACTGAAACTCCACAATTCACCTCCAATACTCTATAAAAATTATAAGAGCATGCTGTGACACACTGACACTAGTCTAGATCTATAATTTTTAATAATTCTCAAGCATTTATACCCCAAAGATATAAATACCTGTCTCTTGTTTTCAATGAACGCAACCCACTCGTATTCCAACATTCCTTTGCAAATTGGCGGATGAAATTCATCTTTGTTCTGATTGTATAAATCCTTTTTCACAACAAAATATTGCAAAATTTTAAAAATGATGTTTCTGCATTTAAAACAACTGACCTCCTTTGATTTTAATATACAACAGTCTTGCAATACTACATACACTGATATACGTTCAAACTAACCTCAGCGATTCCGCTAGCCTGATGAAACTCGACGTTTTTTAACAAACCGTAAATGGATAACAATTTTTTGGCCACCATCTTGGTTTGTTTTACGTTGACATGGCAACCGTGTTTTTACACCTTTTCGTAGGCAAAGCGTGCTAGCGTGCGGGCTTATCCTTGGGATAGAAGAAGAAGAAATTGGATCACTGAAGAATTGGATCCATAGAATCCATAGATATAAACCGTTTTGATATCATGGATAATAAAATGAATTCGTTTAATTATCCATGATTGAAACGAATAATATTGTAGTAAAAAAGTAAAGTAATAAAACACCTCTTCAATAATTATTTTAAGATATATTTGGAACAAACTATCTGTCAAGCATTTGAACCAACAACAAAGGAAAATATAGAGCCTCGTTTGGAACTGGAATGATGTTTGTCTGTGGCTAGTCTTGAAAATCTTCTTAAAACAGAATGATTATGTTTTGAATGTAGTAATTCTGTTTTCTGATCGTCTTTAGTGAGAATAGCCTCAGCTGCTGCTTTGAAAACATGATCAACGTTCCATCTTGTTTTAGCACAACATTCAACGTAAGCCTTTGCACCGATATTTTGTGAAACTTTTTCAGCCTGGATTAAAGGTAAATATCTCAGTTTAGGGATTGAATTGTCATCTATTGAGAAACATCTCTAACTAAACACTTTTTTCAATCAAGGTTTAGAAAAGCAAATGTGTCTGTACCTTTGCACGCGAAACACTGTCAGCATCTTCCATCATCTCATCCGTTGGTATTTCTGTAGAGAACATAGCTGAGTCTGTTCGTAGGTCATTTTTACATCCAATTAAGAGAAATGGAGTATCTGGAAACTCTTGGGTTATCTCTGATGACCACTGAAATATAAAATAATACCAATCACGCATATACGAGCTGGGATAAGAAAGAAAGAAACACAATATCATCTATACCTTGCGTTCAACACTACGAAGAGTACAAGGTCTTCCGATGTCAAAACACACCAAGAATACATCTGCTCCTCTGCATAACTCAAGACGAAGACTCCGGTAGTCGTCCATGCCTTTTGGGAAAGCAAAGAGAGATTTATGATGCGTGGAAGAAACAGAGAATTTCATGAACAAGAAACTGATGAAGATACCTGTTATTTCATAGAGAGTGAATTCAACATGTTCTTGAGTAGTCTTAACGTCAGTTACACATTCATCAAACGTAGCAAAGGAATCATCCACCTTTAATTGAATAGACCGTGCAATCAAATTACTCTAGATCTCAGATCTATAGTCGTTCTTTTCTATGCAGGGGTTGAGGCCACAGGTTATATAAATACCGATGATAATTTCCACGTAATTAAAATCATCCTGCATCAAGTGAAAAACCACAAAATCGTAATTTATTTAAACTTTTGTTACGAGCTGAATTGGCCAATAAGAATGCTTTATTTTGGCGTTTATTGTGTAGTGAAGAGTTTTATACAAATAAAGAGTAGCTCTTTTGTAAAGATACCTCAAAATCAGCGCTTTTCACCAACGTGTTCAGCAAAGCAGTCTTCCCGCATTCTTCATCCCCAAGCACAACAAGTTTATATCGTTCCACTTCTCCTTTTGTAACGTCTTCGTAGTCGACTGGGGGTGTTAACGTTATCTAAAGAGTATTCCAATTTACCTAATTGATACACTGCTCATTTACGATTTGTTCCTCCCCCTGTAAAACTAACCTGTGTTTCAATTTCACAATTCGATGAATCTTCACTTTTTCTACCAGGCAATGGCAGAGTGGGTAAAGCAGCATTGCGTCTGGGTCGTGCCATGACGCTCAGTTATCATCCATAGCAACACAAATATACAAAATCCTCAAAAAGTATCAATTTTGGACAAAACTGTTATTTCGCCAACCAGTGATCACTATCTGTTAATACAATTAAAACTGCTTTATCAGAGACAGAGTACTCTCGTTTCTTCTGAGAGCCTGTAAATTCTTCGTTTTCATCATCATGATACTACGTGCAATATCGTGCTTTTTTCATATTCAAATTTACATGTTATTTCTGGCTCAAATCCTTTGTCTAGCAAGTTTAACTGAACAAACATCGGATTATGAAAGCTATTTACTAATAATCTGCTGACATCCTTAATCTTTCAAAAACTGTCTTAAAATGCTTAATGATGGTTTAATTTAGCAAATTATGCATGGCTATCTTTTGGATAAACAGTTTAGAACTGATAGAGCTATACTTTTAGAAAGTGGGGGACCGGGGGGGGCATAACAAAAAGGCCATTTTCTCATGCATATAAAACTATATAACATCTACCCCCATGCATCTGTGAAGACAGTGAAATTCTACGTTATTTTCTTGTGTACTCCTAAGATCCTTCTTGACTTCACAACAACAACAAGTGAACAACAACAATTACTGTGTTTAGTGAATAGAAGTGAATAGTGATACCCATTATTGCCCCCTTGAGTCCCTTCCAAACCCTTAATATCACACTTTGAGAGGTTTTCCATTGTTTTCTAATGCAAACGTTTTGTAAATAAAACATTATTTTATATCGAAAAAAACGATATTTTCTAACATTTCCTGGAAAGTTATATGTCCAGTATAAAAGGTGAAGAATAAAAAGCTTTGTTTTTTAGTTTTCGTTGTGCAAAAATGGACCACAATGTCATCGAAGTTCCTGAAATTGGTTGTGAAATTTTGACAGTTTCAAAGCCCAGCAATATTGGTAAGTCGAAAAAGGAACCATATCAACGAATTGCGATGTTTATTTTATTCAAAGTTTTGTCCAATATTATAGATAAGGCCTGCTGTGATTGTAAAAGGACGTTTAAATCCTGCTCGTGCAAGGTATGGGATTATGAATGATGAAATTATTAATTATATATGGTTATAAGCATTAGCTGGTAGGTACACCACGTAAGTATTAAATACTGCAAGGCTTTTGTGTTGTACTTACAAGCTAATTTACTTATAAATTGATGTCACTATGCAAATATACAAGAATATTATATAATTGATATGTTGCTTTGCATGTTTGGTCCCATATACATTGTTGTCTGTTAAATATTGAAAGATTTTTTATCACATTGTATAGTCATGTGCAAAATGTGGTGCATTATTTCAAAAATATTTAGGAACTCCTGTTGTTAAAGGAAGGTATGTTAAAGTAAATTTATGAATATATCACCCTGGTTTTAATTACCATGTCCCTGTATCAATTTGAGTATTAAATAGATCCATTTCCCACCAGGTCACACTGTCGGATTTGTTGCGCCGCTGTGTGTATCACATGTCATGTTATCATTTATGACACATTTAAAATCTGCACAAGATGTCACATCAAGCAGAAAGAAGACGAGCTGAGCACACAAATGGCTTTGTCAGCCATCACTAATAGCAAGACTGAGTTTGGGATTGAAAATTTAACTTTAGCAAGTACAAATGTTAGTAGTCAAGAAAAGAAAAATGACATTCTAGTCAGTGCATCTAAGAAAGGTATTTTCTGTAAGCTATAGTTTTTGGGTTGTCTCCTTAAGATTTGATAGTTTTAATAATATCCAGTTTTTTTAATTCAAGGTGACCATCATGTTGTTTCAACAATCCTAAGTGCTGGTGCTGATATCAATCATAAAGACTCAGATGGGAATACTGCTTTGTTCTTTGCTTCTTCTGGTGCATATCTTCCTTGTATGGCATTGCTCATTGTATGTATTAATTAATTTCTTAAATATATAAGTATATTTATAAAAGTTATTTTATATGTAGTTTGGTTTGTGAAATATAAGAAAGTGCTCAATAGATAGATCCAGATATGGAATTTTTTGCTTCCCAAAAATTTTCCACTACAGTCTGTTCCATATAGGAACCTTCGGGTGGTTCCTATATGGATGACGTGGAATGTAATGAAATAATTTTTGGTATAAACAAAGACTTCTACAAGTTAATTTTATATTTGTTCTTTTTCTAGGAAAAAGGTGCATATTGTTCAGCAGCAAACAAGGTACACAGTGAAGCACACCTGTAGATTGCTACTGGTTGATATATAGTCAATGCATATATAGTCATACAAAGTTTAATCATCATAGCGAATACTAATATAATATTCATAAACTTTAGTTTGGTTGGACGCCACTACATTCCTTAGCTTCGTGAGTTCTGATTTATAAATTTTCTGATTGACTTATAAGTCAGTAGCATTGATCAATTGCTTAATTGATATTGATAATTGATTATCATCCTATTATATAGCAATGGTCGTGGTGAGAATGTTATTGAATGTGCTGATCTTCTTATTCAGGTAATTTTAAAATATTTCAGCATGTGTTGAACAATTAATTTATATTAATATGTTTGATGTTTTTCTATAAGATGGGAGCTATTATATTTGCAATGACAGATCGGGGAGAAACAGCAGGAGATATTGCTGAACAAAGTGGCCATAATGAACAACTCACTGAAATACTTAGAGCTGCTGAAGGTAAACTATCAAAATCTGTTAGTTTAATCAAATATTTATCTGATAATTCTATCAGATTATTCTCATAACCTGTCAGATCTTACATAGAATATGATTTGAATCAATTATTACTTTTATGTTTGATTTCAGTTGAAGAAGCAGTCAGGTGTTTGGAGTCTAACACAGGTATGATTTGAAAACATGTGGAATTTAATGAAAGAAGATGATATTAACATGATTCCACAACTTTTCTGTAGAACTTGCCAAAGACAAGGAGACTTGGAAATATTTAAAAACCTTACTTAAAGTTGTCACCAGTGTTCAGAAATCAGAAGCAGTTTTTATTAATGGTATGAAATTTGCCTCACTGCATTTTTTTGACACTCTCTGTGTGTGCCATTGCATCCATAGTAATTTTTATTCCTGTTTTCCTATGCTTAACTTTAGGAGATGAGTCTTCAAAGAAAGTAGATGATATATTGACAAAACCAGACAGCGATGCCAGGTTCAAGACCATGTCATTAAACAGAGTATGTTTGTAGTACCTAAAAAGATTGTGTGAGATTACAAATTAAGTTATATGAGTTATGTGGGGTCAAACTAATTGAGTGATCATTATAAGAACTCAGGGCTTTGTTATTATATTATATTGTACTCCTTCTGTATGTATTTTGTACATTCACTTTATGAAATCTGTTTTACAGGTTTTCTCCAAGCCTAAATTAGCAAACCAAGTTTGTCAATTGTGTGGAAGAGGAGAATCAAATATTGAACCTGTTGTTAGAACTGATCTTATAGAACATGATTCTCCCCAGGTGAGACATTCAACACACGCAAATGTGAGGAAAAATATATCACACAATAGCGTTTGTCAAGTTTCAAAAATTTCTAGAATGAAGATCTAGAGTTTACAGCTTTATTTGACTATATTCGTCAATATGATGTGATTTTGAAAAATGTTAATCCTTTTAGATCAAAGAACAGCTTGTGAAATGTCAGAAAGAGAACGATGAACTGGAAAAAAGATGCAAAAAGTTGATGAACTCCATTAGTATTGCAGCCAATACGAGAGAGGTTTGTGCATTAGCCAACGTTACAGTCGGGCGTTCAATTGCGTAAGTGAGTAACTGTAAGTCTAGAGAACGTGTTTACTGTTCGTTTTAGAAACAAGAGCAAGATATTTGTCGTCTTAACAGTGAGCTGGAAAAATTTCATGAAGAGAAAGAGTTGGCTCTTCAACGGGTAGATCTCTCATGATCACCATCTATTATTATTCTTAACAGCAATTCAAATGATTTTCATTTATGATTTAGTGTGAGGCAACTTACATGAATAAAGAGACAAAGATTCGTCAAGAAGCTCATTTTGCTGTTCACGAGGTAAATTTCTCTAGAGGCAGGTAACAATTAATGTTGGGCGACGTTTCACAATCATAAAATATTACTTTTCTCAAGGCCAACGAACGATTAAAGGATGTTGAAAAAGAAATTCAAGATGTTGTTCATCTTAAGTCTCTTTACAAACTTACCTGGATTCCCGATCAGGTTTGGTTTAGACTTTGCATTGAAACATTCAAATAATTGTAACAATTAATTAATTAAATGTATTTTATTGCAAATGATTGACATAATTACTGAACATTCTTACAGATCGTATTTCGATGTATGAATGCGAAATGCCGAGTTCCTTTCAGCCAGGTAATCCATACTAAGAAAGAATATATGCTTACGATTTTATTTCGTACTCAGTAACTATTCCACGTAGCAGTTTTGCACCTAACATTCAATTTCTTCGAAGACAAAACGACGACATCATTGTCGATGCTGTGGTCGCGTTTTTTGTTCAAGTTGTTCTTCTAAACTTGCACCGTGAGTATTCTTAACAACATTTTACAGTAAGGGGCTTGCAGTCACAAAAGGAGGTTTTAAGTATGCCTGACAAAGATATCTCAAACGTGATGATCCAGTGTAGGTAGTTTTCTAAAATAAGCTATCGTGGTTTGTTTCTGAACTAGCCTGCCTGAGAAAGAGATATCGTAGGTAGTATTCTACAATAAGTAATTGTGGTGTGTGTTTGTATTACGTAAGATATTCTACAATATACTGTCGGGGTTGTACTAAAATCTGCTAATATGCTTGAATAAAATTCCAGGCTCGAACATTTTGGTTACCTTGATCCAGTGCGCATGTGCAATCAATGCTTCGCACTCATAGATGAAACGTTTGTTGAAGAAGGACAGTCAGATCCAGGTGAAGCGGTGAGGGACACAATGTAAGTCAAGTCCTACTGGCACCACTGCCACTAAAGTATCATTATAATTTTATATTTTGCGAATGTAAGATTTTATTAACAATGTTGAAAAACAATTCTAAAACTAAACTCACGCGTTCTTTTAGTTTATCATGCACATGTTTAATTGCTTTATCTCATAAACTAAAGAAATCACATTTCGCTTGATAGCACAGTTCAAAACGGTTAAAATTATTCGAATTTACTATTCGTCTCTACATGTATCGTTCACAATTATCATGGTATTACAATGCTTCTAAGTGCTATAATTACAATGTTTCTAACTGTTCGATGCTATTACAATGCTTCTAAGTGCTATAATTACAATGTTTCTAACTGTTCGATGCTATTACAATGCTTCTAAGTGCTATAATTACAATGTTTCTAACTGTTCCATGCTACTACAATGCTTCTAAGTGCTATAATTACAATGTTTCTAACTGTTCGATGCTATTACAATGCTTCTAAGTGCTATAATTACAATGTTTCTAACTGTTTGATGCTATTACAATGCTTCTAAGTGCTATAATTACAATGTTTCTAACTGTTCGATGCTATTACAATGCTTCTAAGTGCTATAATTACAATGTTTCTAACTGTTCCATGCTACTACAATGCTTCTAAGTGCTATAATTACAATGTTTCTAACTGTTCGATGCTATTACAATGCTTCTAATTGTACTAACTGCTATAATTGCAATGTTGCCAATTGTTCGATGCTCTTACAATGTTTCTGATTGTTCGTTTTCCCTAATATCAAGAACCTCAATCTTAACAAACATTACGTCATCAACGATGTATCTTCCAGCCTGTAATACCTCATGGGATACAAATTTAAAAATCCCGAATCCATTGTTTGTTTCTTCGGAGGGTCTTCGGATTTCTTCCCTGGCACCCTCGGGTGGCATTAGAATCTTTTCGACATCCCTTCTAAACACTGCGCTTTCCTGCTCTATTAAGGTGAAGCGGATACGTTTTGCGAATGGCCATTTCAAAATCGGGTCAAATTTTCCTTTTCGAATTTGAATAAAAATTGAAACATGACCGTGGTCGTTTTGCCGTGTACCGTGAAAAAAGATTTTCGGTTGAAGGGCGTAGCCACTTGCGTTGGAGTAAAACGTTTGACCAATTCGAGGTGTTGTTGCAGTGTTATCTAGTGCTGAGTTAACGTTGCTAATTCTCCACGTGAGAACGCCGTTGTTTATCAAGGAGTGCAGTTCAGATATTTCTTTATTGAGTGGAGTGATGTCGTTCTCTCGAAATTTCGTAATCTTATCGTTGAGACTATCATAATCCAATTGCATTTGGTTACATTGGAGGCTGAAATTCTCAGCCATCTCGTCCTGTGTAACTGTCAAAGCTTGTTCAACTGTAAACAGTTTTTCACTGTTCTCAGAAATATCGTTCTTAAGTTTCGATACGTCCTCCTTGCTCTTCGCTTCGTGTGCCAACAGTGCTTCATGATGCATTCCTTGTTCTCTGCGTAAATCATCAATCTTTGATTCAATTTCCTGTCCTTGATTTGAGATGTCCGTGGATAATTTGTTATAAAGAACTGAACTAATTCTATATAATTTTTTTGTATCTTCATCTAACCTGGCGTTCTCAGCTTCATTTGAACAACTTCTGTTATCAAGATCACGAAGCTTTTGTTCAAGGATTGCTAGAGAACTTTGAGTGTGTATCAGTGTGTCTTGAGAGGTCGTATTTTGCTCTACAACACGCGATAAACTCTCGAAGTTTTGTTCCGTCACTGTTCTAAGAATATCTAATTGGTTTTGACCTTTTCTTTTGAAATCTTCAAACTCTGAATGAACCACGTTCACTCGAGCTTCTGCAGTCTCTCGTAATTCAGAAATTTCTTCCGTCAATTGGTTGCTGTTATCTCTTAGTTGTTGTATTTCTACACACATACTTTCTTTCTCTTGTTTCAGGTTGATAATAACCTGCTTTGACAGTGAAAGATGTTCATATACCATAACCTCCTCATGTTCTCGCATCCTCCCACGTTCAATCTTAACATAAAACACCACGATTGAATGTTGGCTCGATGAAAAACAAACTAATTAAAATAAAATGAGAATAAGTATTTTCTTAATAGCAGTTTGATTGTCATTTATTATGAATAACCGTTTCTCACCCTCTCTTCACAGCCAACATCTTTGAAAAAGCAATCAATTAATGTTCTTTCACATTCTTCCTTTTGATGCAATTCCACCTGAGAGGAACGAAAATGTTATCCGTTTATAAAAATGTGATTTTGTTTTACTCGTATCATTTCAAGTGATTGGCTATTATCATTATATAGTACTTTAATGGTTTCTTTTTGCTCAAATTTAATCATTCTCACGCACCTCTTCTCTTGGGATTTGTTGTAGACAATGATTTGGACAATCCACGGGAATACGTGGGCATTCTTCTTCTTCGTGTGTCTAAATTGATTTAGACAACGCAGGAAATCTCGTAAAGTACCAGATGTGGATATATTGTGTTTTATTGCATCATTATTTACCTCTTTATTTTTAAATATAATTTTTTTCTCACAGAATTCACAATCGATCTTCCTGAATTCACATTTCCGTACATGATTTTCCAAGGCCCCACTTCTTACAGATTGTTCGCATTGTTCATTGGTGCATTTCACGCGGTCGCCATGGCATTGTTCCTCGTGTTCCTGAAATCATTTTAAAACATCAAATTATCGCTAAATTTTACTCAGTTTTACGTCAGGTCATGCCTGTGAATTCAAGGATATGTCATTAATGTCAAGTCATTGTGACATCACTTACGTCTAAAAATTTCTGGAGTTTTTCTATCTTTTTATGGCATTTTGGACATCTTACGCTCAAAGCCAAGACTCTGCCTTTCATTGATGTATCTGGGAAAATTCCATTTGGTGGCACATCTTTGCCACATTGTGGGCAAAAACTGTAAAGTATCATTAGTAACCTTAAATAAAGAACTCTCTTCAAATGTGGTATAAGAACTGCCTAAAATAAACAAAAACACTTCTCGAAGGACGGCCAGTTGAACTTATCGCCGGATGTAGGACGCTGGGGCCTCGGGGGGGGGGGGGGTAAGAGCAGCTTGCCCCGTTTCCCTCTGCCTGCTGGGGCAGTGCTGTGTCCTTTCCTACCATAGCAACGTTATACGTTCACCATTTGCTGGTTTAAAAAAGGCTATGTTATGATACTGCAGCGATATGGATCTGTTGTTGTTGTATATTCCCTACACATGATGACCTGCTTATTTTGACCTCAGTTTATTTCAAAAACACCAGCTGTTTGAATATTTTATCCTAACAGATATTTCGGCGTCATTGTATAAGTGAGTTTTTACCTTGTTTTAATAAAAATAAGAAAGTAAGGAGAAAAAACCTTCAAACAAAGTGTTTCATATTTTACTACCAGTGGATTATGCTGATGAATGATAAAATACATTTCTATTATTCAATGCCATTTAAAGAACTACCTTATCTATTTCTTCTTTCTATAATTTCACTCTTATTGCAAGACTTACTTCGCGTCATTCGGCAAACAAGCGCCGCAGAACTGATGTCCACAACTCACGATCTGAAGTGGATCTCTGAGAACCTTTTGACATTTTCCGCATAGGTATTGTGACGATTGTGCTTTATCGACGAACATACGTTTATCATAACCGCAACGTTCTTCCTCTTGATTTCCTGCCATTTGCTCTGAAAGTTTAGAAAAATAAGACCGAATTCTGTCAAATTCTTGAAGAAGAATGATTACTATATGTCTGTATCAATATATAGAAGAATGATCTGAAACTCAGTTTCCTAAGGTAATGTATGTTTGTACAATTCTTTCATTCATAAAATCATCCAGATTAATCAAACAATGTTTTGAAATCATTTTAAAATGACTGCAGCTGTTAAATTTACGTATTTCCATGGCGATATATATTGAAAAGTGCAATCAATTTTGGAAATACTACAGGAAGAGATCAGTAAAACGAGACTTCCGCCTTACTACAGTGAAACCATACACCTCTGTTTGATACAACAAGCGCATTTGTAACATCTAAAATCTACATGAAACCTAACAACGTATATGATTTTTCTCCAGGCATTCAAGTTTTATAACAACACAAACAGATGCAGTGTATGTTAGTTGCTGCCTGCAGGGTTGCAAAATAGTTGACTACCTGGTGGGAAAGTCTATAGATGAAGTACTATGTATAATACTATTAACTTGATTATATATTGCAGATATGACATTAAACCAATACTCCAATACATACCAAAAAAGTGAAGTTCCGTTTGAAGTGTTAAGGTTGAATTTTGCAGCAGTATGCTAGGTTTAAATTGCTGTTGTATGCTATGTTTGAAACTCTATCTACGTGGCAACTATATCGAGTCATTCACTTCCTGGTAAGGTTGCTTTGTTTTCTGGGAATTTCGTATTCACCACAGCAGGTGTTTGCTTGGCAACGCTACTTGATTGGTGAGCATAAATTGTGGGACATGAACCGTGAAATTTGGATCAAATTTCATAGAGAAGATAAGAAGAGGGATTGTAGTATTAGCGGATTTCATGTGGCGCACGTGGCTTTCTCAATTAAATCAATATCGTATAGTGTGAGAAAATACAATATATTTGCATTTATAAAAACAAGTTATTTTTATAAATTTATCCTGACCTTTTTGGTGGGAAAGTTACGAAATTAACCATCATCAGGAAGGGAGTCTCATTGTGTGGAAATAATGAAGCTTCATCAGGGAAGAGTCTGGGCTCGACGATTGAATCTCACGTGACAAAAGGCGAGAGGTTTATTGAATGTGTTCATTTGTGCAATTGACGGTAATGTTTATCTCTATCCAGTTAAATCGCGCTCAGTGCTTTTAAAAAACCAGGAAAGCAATATGGCCGTCGAAGGGGTGAAATATTTTTTGCAAACATTACAATCAAATTTTTCACATTTCTCTGTCTTCTTTGCCGAGAAAAATGGTATAATTCGTCTAGCCTACACCTGATACTGTTGTTGTATCCTTCAATTATGGCATTTTTTTAATCTAATGGACTGCACAGCCAAATGTCGGCTGAACCGACATGCTGACGTGGTACTTTCGGCTGTGACTAGAGAAAGTCTTCAAAACTTCCAACAGTTTGCGAAGTATTTCTGTGGAAATGGCATAAAAACGCGAGATAGTTTTGGACGAAATGCGCTGCATATTGCAGCATCCTGTGGACGAAAGGACATTCTGAAGTGGCTCTTAGAAGATGGTTCTTTGGACGTTACAGAGAAAGATTTTGAATCAGGATGGACAGCGCTTCATAGATCTTGTTATTATGGGCATTTGTCGTGTGCTTTGCTGTTGCTTGAGGTATCACTTATAATTCACCTTTCCTTTTTTCCTTTTGACATAATAATTATTAATATTGCAATGTGGACAATGATGTTTTTTTAATTTAGTATGGTTCAAATATTTATGAAAAAGATTTTGAAGGTCTCTCTCCAATTGAGCTGTTGATGTTTGATTGTCCACGACTGTGTAGTCGTCAGTCAGGAGGTACTCTGGCATATTACGCTTCATTATGTTGTTAAGCTTACTGGCATATATAATTGTAACGTACAATTTTAAAACTTACCATTAGGCAAGCCTCAGCTTCATGTTTCCAGTTGGGGAAGAAACAGCAACTTCACATTGGGTCATGGTGATGACAAAGAAAGGCACACACCCGAAGTTGTTGATGTGTTTATGAGGATAATTAATATTAGTATTAAACAGGTGATTTACGGAAGATTTGCACAAATGTTGTAAGATATACCAACTGCAACCTACATTGGAGTGATGAATGAAATATTTTATGTTTTTAGGTTGTTATTTGTAAGTTTCATACAACGTTCCTTGCAGAAAATGGTAGTGTTTGGACATGTGGTCATGGTCTTGGTGGCCGACTAGGACATGCTGATGAAAAGACTATTTTGGTAAGCTTGTTTTATTTCACGTCCTTCCGGTAAAGCTGAAACTAACTCTATATCTATTCAATATGTTATGTAGGTTCCAACCAGAATTAAAGCCTTGAGTAGTCAAATTTGCACTAGTATTGCTGCTGGTCAAGACCACTCTGTTGTTTTATGTGAAAAGTAAACTCTAATCTTCTCTTTCATTTTATGTATTTAATGACTTCTTCATAAACTGAACATATTCCTTGTTTTTAGTGGTAATCTGTTTACATTTGGATTGAATAAATACCACCAGATGGGGCACCATCCTCCAGCATCCCAGTATCTTTCTCCAAAACAAGTATGATTCCTTCACTTCAAAACAACTCGCAGGAACAAATTGTTTAAGAAGAATTCAAGGTTATTTAAATGTAATATTTTAAATGTTCTTATGATTAATCAGGTGCAGTCAAAAGCTTTTAAAGGCAAGGAGTTTATTGGTGTAGCTGCTGGAACATTTCATACACTGGTGTATACCAAAAATGAAGTTTTTTCTTGGGGCTTGAACTCTGGGCAGTTAGGTACATTTTTAAGAGTAGACAAGTGATAAAATACCACAGTTAAATATTAACTGATATCTAACTTTTTTTAACTATTCTTTAGGTCATATAAAAGGTGATAAAACAAAAGTTAATCCTCAACAGGTATACATTTAAAATTCTCTTCTAGATTTCTTAACTAAATCATCAGATTGAAGGTTCATTTGTGATATTATGATACATTATCTAGATAAGCGGCTTGCATTTCAAAGATCCATCAATAATATCTGCTGTAAATTGTTGTGATACAGCAACTGTGTGTTTGACCAATCAGGGAGATGTTTATCTCATATATCAGTTTACAATGAGGAAGATCATTTCCAAGTAAGACTTGTTGTAATTTGCATGAGAATCATGAATTAAAATTTGAGAATATGTTGTTGACTTCAGGTATTTTATAGATTACCAAATATAAAAAAGGTTGTGGTGACTGGTGGATGTTTTAATGATGGGCTAATGAAAGACCTGAAGTGTTCTCCTCTAACTATTTATGGGCTGTACGGAGATGGATATGTAATTAGACATTTTCCTTTCAATATTATCATTATAATTTCATATAAACTAGAATGAGAAAGAGTGTTGAGTACTAATAATCACAACCTTTGCTTGTCTTGTGCTTACAACTATAATGTATTCATTAATTTACGTTATTTTAAAATGGTTTGCTATATTAAACTATGTTTTTTGTCTTCGCCAGGTTTTTCAATGGAGAGAAAGTGATAAAATGATCAGAGATTGTCACTGGACTGTGCAGAAACCATTAGTAATACAAGACATTGCATGTGGAAGAACACTGCATATTGTGACGGGTTTGTAATAGATTTTTGCTAAGCAATTGCGAAGTCTGTTTCTATCAAGCTACGATTAATTTTTCTATCTTCTATCGTTTCAGAATATGGCGAGGTTTACACGGAAGATGGAATGACTGGCTCAGTTAGAAAACCAACAAAGATTTCTAGCAGAAATAAGAATATTGTGAAAACTTGCCATGTTTTAAAACAAGATGAAATCATTGTGATTCCGTTAATACGCGTTCCTCACGCCCACAGGGCTGTGCAAATTATTTCTGATAAATCCTCGCAAAACTTTGCTATTTTGCAAATGAATCCTTCATATCAGTAAGTAAAGTTCGCTGACGAATTTCACGTTATTTGAACCTTCGCTACAAATAAAGACATTTCTTTTTTGTTGTGTTTTTTTTTAGATGTTCAACGCTTCCGAATATTTCTCCGCCAGAAATGAACAAACATTTGAAATCATTGTTTGAAAACAGTGAAAACTACAACGTGGAAATTAAGGTGACGAAATTAAAGCATTAGGATAGAAGCTTTAGCTTATGATTACGGGACAATTCGAGCCATGGATATATTTTCAAAAATTTTCAGGTTAAAGATAAAAGTATTCTCGCTCATCAAGTGATACTCGCTGAAGGAAGTGAAAAACTACGAACTTTAATAAACGATGCTAAACAAGAATCATCCGACAGTAAAGACAACCAGCAAACTTTGCTTATTTATCTGGATGAAGAAGATTTTGAGATTGTTCGTGAAATGATTGAGTTTCTCTATACCCGTTGCTGTGGTTTACAGCCTGCTCTTATCAGAGAAGACCTCGACGATGACTTGGCGGAAAAGGAACTTTTCCATCAATTTAATCAACTTGCGTTTAACCTACAAGATGTGGATTTTGACGTTCTTGATACAGGTAAATTGTTAACTCTGTGGAAGACTTTCGTTTAGTATTTGAACTGAAGTTTAGTGCAACTTTTCAATAAAAACGTTTTATTTTAGTATTCTCTGAATCTCGGGAAGTTACGAAAGGAACCAGTTCAACACGATTACGGAAAATCAGAAGAAATCACGAAAATAAACATGAATCAGGATATCCAGGAATTGAGCTAATTTCAGAGCAATTGTTTGCCAGGAGAAAAGAGTTTTCGCGAATTGCGAGAAAATATCAAGTCAATGGTCTTCAAACTCGGTTCGTCAAACTCATTAAAGCCGCTGCATGTACTTAATCTCTTGTCTTAGTCATTTACACTGTATTCATTGCAGGATCCAAGCTTCTTCCAACGATAAAAAAAAGAAACAGAAACGTTTTCACAGGAGCAATCTGTAAGTTATTATTTGTTGATCGATCACTTGTATAGTCTAGTTTGTGAAGATTCAGGGCAGTCATATGTAGCTATGTCAATAGTAATAATTTCCATTTTATCCTCTTGTTCTTGTGTTTAACATTCTGCTCTTGTCTGTTTAGTTACGAGTACAGTGATGTTGTCATTGAATCAGAAGACGAAGTGGAGTTTCCTTGTCACAAATGTATACTTGTTTCCCGTCTTGGTATGTTCTATAATTTTTTTACTATGATTGTGTACGTAGTAAAGTCATGTTTGACAGAAGCTTGAAGCCGAAGAACAAAACAAGGATTGCTACGTTGTTTAATTATTGTATTCTTCGTAATTATCTAGAATACTTCTCAGTCATGTTGACAACTGGTTGGATTGAGGTGAGTGATATTGTCCTTTTAGCTGTCCTTTTAGTTGTCCTTTAGTTGTCCTTTTAGTTGTCCTTTTAGTTGTCCTTTAGTTGTCCTTTAGTTGTCCTTTAGTTGTCCTTTAGTTGTCCTTTAGTTGTCCTTTTAGCTGTCCTTTAGTTGTCCTTTAGTTGTCCTTTAGTTGTCTTTTAGCTGTCCTTTAGTTGTCCTTTAGCTGTCCTTTAGCTGTCCTTTAGTTGTCCTTAGTTGTCCTTTAGTTGTCCTTTAGTTGTCCTTTAGTTGTCCTTTAGTTGTCCTTTAGTTGTCCTTTAGTTGTCCTTTAGTTGTCCTTTAGTTGTCCTTTAGCTGTCCTTAGTTGTCCGTAGTTGTCCTTTAGTTGTCCTTTAGTTGTCCTTTAGTTTCCTTTAGTTGTCCTTTAGTTGTCCTTTAGTTGTCCTTTAGTTGTCCTTTAGTTGTCCTTTAGTTGTCCTTTAGTTGTCCTTTAGCTGTCCTTTAGTTGTCCTTTAGTTGTCCTTTAGTTGTCCTTTAGTTGTCCTTTAGTTGTCCTTTAGTTGTCCTTTAGCTGTCCTTTAGTTGTCCTTTAGTTGTCCTTTAGTTGCCCTTTAGTTGTCCTTTAGCTGTCCTTTAGTTGTCCTTTAGTCGTCCTTTAGCTGTCCTTTAGTTGTCCTTTTAGTTGTCCTTTAGCTGTCCTTTAGTTGTCTTTTAGTTGTCCTTTAGTTGTCCTTTAGTTGTCTTTTAGTTGTCCTTTAGTTGTCCTTTAGTTGTCTTTAGTTGTCTTTAGTTGTCCTTTTAGTTGTCTTTTAGTTGTCTTTTAGTTGTCTTTTAGTTGTCCTTTAGTTGTCCTTTAGTTGTCCTTTAGTTGTCCTTTAGTTGTCCTTTAGCTGTCCTTTAGTTGTCCTTTAGCTGTCCTTTAGTTGTCCTTTAGTTGTCCTTTAGCTGTCCTTTAGTTGTCCTTTAGTTGTCCTTTTAGTTGTCCTTTAGTTGTCCTTTAGTTGTCCTTTAGCTGTCCTTTAGTTGTCCTTTTAGTTGTCCTTTAGTTGTCCTTTAGCTGTCCTTTAGTTGTCCTTTAGCTGTCCTTTAGTTGTCCTTTAGTTGTCCTTTAGCTGTCCTTTAGTTGTCCTTTAGCTGTCCTTTAGCTGTCCTTTAGTTGTCCTTTAGTTGTCCTTTAGCTGTCCTTTAGTTGTCCTTTAGTTGTCCTTTAGTTGTCCTTTAGTTGTCCTTTAGTTGTCCTTTAGCTGTCCTTTAGTTGTCCTTTTAGTTGTCCTTTAGTTGTCCTTTAGTTGTCCTTTAGTTGTCCTTTAGCTGTCCTTTAGTTGTCTTTTAGTTGTCCTTTAGTTGTCTTTTAGTTGTCCTTTAGTTGTCCTTTAGTTGTCTTTTAGTTGTCTTTTAGTTGTCTTTTAGTTGTCTTTTAGTTGTCTTTTAGTTGTCTTTTAGTTGTCCTTTAGTTGTCCTTTAGTTGTCCTTTAGTTGTCCTTTAGTTGTCCTTTAGTTGTCCTTTAGCTGTCCTTTAGTTGTCCTTTAGCTGTCCTTTAGTTGTCCTTTAGTTGTCCTTTAGTTGTCCTTTAGCTGTCCTTTAGTTGTCCTTTAGCTGTCCTTTAGTTGTCCTTTAGTTGTCCTTTTAGTTGTCCTTTAGTTGTCCTTTAGTTGTCCTTTAGCTGTCCTTTAGTTGTCCTTTAGTTGTCCTTTAGTTGTCCTTTAGCTGTCCTTTAGTTGTCCTTTAGTTGTCCTTTTAGTTGTCCTTTAGTTGTCCTTTAGTTGTCCTTTAGCTGTCCTTTAGTTGTCCTTTTAGTTGTCCTTTATGTCCTTTAGCTGTCCTTTAGTTGTCCTTTAGCTGTCCTTTAGTTGTCCTTTTAGTTGTCCTTTAGCTGTCCTTTAGTTGTCTTTTAGTTGTCCTTTAGTTGTCCTTTAGTTGTCTTTTAGTTGTCCTTTAGTTGTCCTTTAGTTGTCTTTAGTTGTCCTTTAGTTGTCCTTTAGTTGTCCTTTAGTTGTCCTTTAGTTGTCCTTTAGTTGTCCTTTAGTTGTCCTTTAGCTGTCCTTTAGTTGTCCTTTAGTTGTCCTTTAGTTGTCCTTTAGTTGTCCTTTAGTTGTCCTTTAGTTGTCCTTTAGTTGTCCTTTAGCTGTCCTTTAGTTGTCCTTTTAGTTGTCCTTTAGTTGTCCTTTAGTTGTCTTTTAGTTGTCCTTTAGCTGTCTTTTAGTTGTCTTTTAGTTGTCTTTTAGTTGTCCTTTAGCTGTCTTTTAGTTGTCTTTTAGTTGTCTTTTAGTTGTCTTTTAGTTTTCCTTTAGTTGTCCTTTAGTTGTCCTTTAGTTGTCCTTTAGTTGTCCTTTAGTTGTCCTTTAGTTGTCCTTTAGTTGTCTTTTAGTTGTCCTTTATCTGTCTTTTAGTTGTCTTTTAGTTGTCTTTAGTTGTCTTTAGTTGTCCTTTAGTTGTCCTTTAGTTGTCCTTTAGTTGTCCTTTAGTTGTCCTTTAGTTGTCCTTTAGTTGTCCTTTAGTTGTCCTTTAGTTGTCCTTTAGTTGTCCTTTAGTTGTCCTTTAGTTGTCCTTTAGTTGTCCTTTAGTTGTCCTTTAGTTGTCCTTTAGTTGTCCTTTAGTTGTCCTTTAGTTGTCCTTTAGTTGTCCTTTAGCTGTCCTTTAGTTGTCCTTTAGTTGTCCTTTAGTTGTCCTTTAGTTGTCCTTTAGTTGTCCTTTAGCTGTCCTTTAGTTGTCCTTTTAGTTGTCCTTTAGTTGTCCTTTAGTTGTCCTTTTAGTTGTCCTTTAGCTGTCCTTTAGTTGTCTTTTAGTTGTCCTTTAGTTGTCCTTTAGTTGTCTTTTAGTTGTCCTTTAGTTGTCCTTTAGTTGTCTTTTAGTTGTCTTTTAGTTGTCTTTTAGTTGTCTTTTAGTTGTCTTTTAGTTGTCCTTTAGTTGTCCTTTAGTTGTCCTTTAGTTGTCCTTTAGTTGTCCTTTAGTTGTCCTTTAGCTGTCCTTTAGTTGTCCTTTAGCTGTCCTTTAGTTGTCCTTTAGTTGTCCTTTAGTTGTCCTTTAGCTGTCCTTTAGTTGTCCTTTAGCTGTCCTTTAGTTGTCCTTTAGCTGTCCTTTAGTTGTCCTTTAGTTGTCCTTTAGTTGTCCTTTAGCTGTCCTTTAGTTGTCCTTTAGTTGTCCTTTAGTTGTCCTTTAGTTGTCTTTTAGTTGTCCTTTAGTTGTCCTTTAGCTGTCCTTTTAGTTAGCCTTTAGTTGTCTTTTAGTTGTCCTTTAGCTGTCTTTTAGTTGTCTTTTTGTTGTCTTTTAGTTGTCTTTTAGTTGTCTTTTAGTTGTCCTTTAGTTGTCCTTTAGTTGTCCTTTAGTTGTCCTTTAGTTGTCCTTTTAGTTGTCCTTTAGGTGTCCTTTAGTCCCACGACTGCATCAGGAAACATTTGGTGACTACATTCATAATAATTGTTATTGTCGTAAATTGATAGAAGTAATTAATAGGAACATATTTTCTTTCAGTCCTCAGGTGATTTTGTTTTCTTGAAAATGCCGATACAATCAAAGTTTCTCGAAGTTATTATCGAGTTTCTTTATACAGACGACGCCCCGACAGTCTATGGTATATTCACTTTTCGAGTATAAATTTTTTGTTCTTCTACGATTTATTTAACTAACCAGGATCTACCATATTTTTGCTTTTTTTCAGGAAGCAATGATTTAGAGTTTCTTGGAAATATCTTGATTATTTCTGATCAGGTAGAAGTTCTTACCAAACTATGCCCAAATTCTATATTCTATACGATTATCTTAGACATTTTTTCTTTCAGCTTTTGATTATCAGACTAAAGGAAATATGTGAAGCAACACTGGCTAAATTAGGTTGGTTTTACTAAGATTTTTACTACAAGTATTTCTCATGTGTCTGTCTGTGTTAAAAAAATCTGTTTTTCACTTTCCTAGTTACGTTGAAGAATGCTGTTGAAATATTAGAGTTTTCGTGCTTGTACAACGCAGAGCAACTTAAGTTGTCTTGTCTTGAGTTCATATGCATGAACATCAGCTGTCTATTTGAAGCAAGGTAAGGAATTATCGCTTTTTTCCATCATCGAGTTATATCAAGTTGTTACTAAATGTATCTTCTTTGTGCTGGTGTCAAAATAATCTGATAACAACTTTGTCTATCGCAGAAGTCTGGAATTGTTGAGTGAAGAAATAATTGATGAAGTTTCAAATCTCTATCGACAATGGGTACGTCTTTTTTAACCAAACTCGTCATTTTTTATTCAGAATGGAGGTTTCAGATAAAATATTTTATTTTTGTGCAGACTCCTCGTGTGTCTTGGAGATTAATTACCCCAGATGATATTCATCTCTCGGTTCCATGGCCCCAGCCAGAATCTCCGAGCAAACGTAAGATCTCTCGTTCCCAGCGAAGATCGAGAAGCAGCGAGAGTGACGTAATCGACGAATGCGCAGTAAAGGGGAATGAATCTGAAACCGTAAGTTTTTGTAAAGTCTTGAGCTGCTGGTTTAATATTTTTAAGTTTAATCTGTTTAAAATTTGTGTATGTGTAAATGTTTCATCTGTTCTTTTTATTCTGTTCTTTTTATTCAGAGTAAACTTCCAGATGAGAAGGTCGAAATGGATGAAAAATTACCAGAAGATGGACAGAAAGATGAGAGCGCTGTCGTTTTAGAAAACACATCAAAACATATAAAATCATCTTCAGATATTATGACGAGCGAGGGGGATAAACCTGACAGAACTACCGCTGGATTGTGGTACCACAAACTTAAAGACGACTGTTCCAAAATGATCATGCCTTCGATTAGTTCAAAAAAGGATTTTAAAGAATCTCTTTCATCGAGAGCTCAGAAGAACGTAAGTGTTTAACTATAATTGGTAGTAGAGTTAAGTTCCGTATAGGAATGAATAAATCATCTTTAGTCATACTAAAATATTTTCATATACTGATGAAACATTCATTCAATGGTTAACTCATGGTTAATTAATGTTTCCGTCCAACAACTTAGCCGACTTATGTTTGTGTCGTTTTAATCAATATTTTTGTATTTTCTCACGGACAGCCAACTGAAAAGATGCCCTGGGGAAATTCGAGGTAGTCTTATAATAAACAAATCTTTTTCCGTGCTCATTTTATGATATAAGCCTGGTACTTGTCTTTTAAAACGTTTTATACGTTTATCGTTTCCGTATATAGCGTTAGTCCAAAATCATCCAACTTACGAACAATAATGGAACAGGAGAAATCCAAAAGTAAAATAAACTTTGACAAGTCTCGGAAAGATGGAAAAAGGTAAATATTAAACAAATGTTTGCGAGAAATGATTTCTTGACTAAACAACTTTGTTCATCTTATTCAGTTATCCACTCAATATCCAGTAGAATTTCATTTTGTTCTGATCTAGAAAATTAATTTGTAAATTTTATATTTCAATCAAGTCCTGGCAAAGCTAAGTTATCTCAGAAAGAACGCAAGAAAATGCGGAAATCTACAGAAGACGACTCGACAGTTAACGAGGCAGAAGACGATGATAATGAAGTTATTTCAACCTCACCAGTCAATCCATGGTATGCTCAATACTTGAGTTCTCTAAATTTTCTCAATTCTTAATTTTTTGTTTCCATTGCAAATAGTGAGATTATTAAATGTCAACTATTATATTTTGTTGTTGTTTTTTAGGAATACTTTGGCCTCTCACTCAAATGTTTCATTTAGACAACTTCTGAAAGAAGAGGAACGTCTAAAGACAAGTGCTGCTGTTGCCTGTGGTTCCCGGAATAATGGAAAAATAGCGAAGCGTGTGGCTGAGGAGAAATCGTGCACGAGAAAGTGAGTCGTTTGATTTGTGATATTTTGAAACGAATTTTTATGTGAAACATGTTTTCGGCTGTATTTTACAACCTCCTAATATTTTCTCTTATTTCAGTGCATGGCAGCATAATAATGTAGCTTGTTCTCCTCCAAGTCATTCCTACGTAAAGTTTGACAAAATTCAAGAAATACAGGAACAAGAAACTGCTAATCGCGAATGGTACGATGCTGCTTTGATGATAATGCTTCTCTTTTCAGGAAATGTGTTGAATTATATCAACTCGGTCTTCGTTATTAAACATGTTGACTTTTCCATTTAGGGATATGAAGAAACCTTTATCATTGATTCAGGTAAAATTCTAACCTTTAATTTGAGTGGTCAATTATGGCTGGTATGCAGTCCCTCTTAAAAACATCATGCATTACTCACCGATTAATTTTCAGAATTTTTTCCAGTTGTCAAGGCGCAATCAATCCTTGAACACACTGCACCAAGCTGTATTCAATATTTTGTCAGAGCTCATGTTTTGTTGTGATTGATATTTCATGTTTTATAGATCGAAGATAAAGCAATGGCACAGCTGTTAGAATATTACGGAGGTCGTTACAATCCTTGCGAGTATATTGTCGTTAAACGGGAAACCCGAAAAACGAGCAAACCTGATTGGGTGAAATAAACATAATTATAGTTTATAATATGATCACTTTTGAAATGAACAGAGTTGTGATCAGATGCCATCGATAGAGAATTGAAATTGAGAGTTTTGTAAAAAGAATTTTAGTAATGATATTTTTAACCACCGTGTATTCCAGAGAGTTTATGTAATAGAATATTATATGTTTATGTGGTGTCGTCCATAAGGATCACGTCTTTTTGATTGTTATTGTAAACAATACTTTCTACAACGGTTGTCAATAATTGTTACAATGTTGCTGGTACCCGTGATATGCATTGAACAAAGCAATCAACATTATTTCGTATTTAACTAATCATGGAGTTTATTTCTAGATTTAATCGGAATTTTTGCTGTTATAACTGAAGATTTCTAATCTCATAATTGAAGATATTTGCCAGAGAATGCGAGTCCTGTCATGGGTAAGTTGAACTAACTTTACACGTGCAATATCTCAGCAGGAATACTCCCTCATTATCGTCTGGAACGTTCATTATTTATAATTAGAACAAATTTTATTTTTTTGATACAGTATGTTGGAAACTGCCCGTCCCAGCGTTCTTGATACTTGTCAACATACTCTGTCAGAAAGTGATTGCAACACAAGGTATTATGGTGCACTTGGTTTGTTTTTACGAAAACACGACAATACGTAATCCGCAATTCATCTTTATAACTCATATTCCATTACTGTAATAAGTTATCCAGTAAAAGACGTCTTATTCCATTACTTCGGTAACTCGTAACACACTAGATCAGCTAATGTTTGATCTTTATCACGCAAAAACATTTTTAATCTAGTATGCCTCTCTAGTATTGGTAAAGTTTCCTCCTGTAGTAACATTGGATCAATAAGAGATGATCCTTACTTGACCTCTGGGAAGAACAGTTTAGAACTGATAGAGCTATCCAGTGTAAATAAAGTTAGTTTAGTTTAGGTTTCATCATGTAGTAACACTGGACCAATAACAGATGATCCTTACTGGACCTCTATGAAGAACATTATAGCAATTCAGAAATTATTTTATTTGACAGCTGATGTACGGGAAAGTCATGGTTCATCTCAGGGAATTCCCTCTTCTGAAACAAACTCGAGAGTGATAAAATTACGGAAAAAGGCAAAAGTCTCAAATGATTTGACGAAATCGACAAACTGGTGTAAATTTTCCATATCAACAGCAAGCTGTAAAAAATCGAAATTTGAAAGAGGAAAACAGCTGATATTGCGACGTGAACGGACATCAGAGACAAATGGAGCAACAAGAACTCTGATTATTGTAAACGGAGATCAAGAGATCAGCCGGGAGTACATCAAACAACATCATGATTTTAAACCTGTGCTAAAAGCGCTTAAACAACGAATTGAAACACTTCAGGCTCGAAAGCAAGGGAAAATACTTTCAACAACTGGAGTGAATAATACATCATTACGTCACCTGAAGATATTTCCTTATCTGGTGCGCAGTGCATCCCGGGATACCGAAGGGGGTAAAAAAGAAAATGTATTGAGTACAGCTTATACTGAAGTCACTGATCCTCGCTCATCTTCTCCAGATTATGTGCCATACTGGCAGGTACTGGGCACGATTCACACCTACGACATTCCGAAGAAAATAGTTTCACGGCCTCTTCATAGAGAGAAACTGCCTGATCCTTATAACGACGTTACTCTTTCAAAACTGCCTCTCTATGATGACAGAGTTTTGAAAGATGTCACGTCTGGACTTAAAATTTTTGTGAAAGATTCAAACGAGAAGAAAAACGACAAAGATTTATCACATCAAACTCTCACCGGCGTCACACCTGCACCTTCATCATCAACAAATGGTCTTCACGACATCTCGTCAGGTGAACCAACGTCATCAGGATTACATGACGACACACTTCCTACGTCATCAGGATTACATGACAACACACTTCCTTCATCATCAGGATTACATGACGACACACTTCCCACATCATCAGGATTTCATGACGTTTCGTCCGATGTTTTTGCGTCACATACTAGCAACGAACCATCCAGTAGACCAACGTCATCTCACGTCACAACCGAAAGTGTTTCAGCTGAGAACAATGTCGCAATGGTAGAGAAAAGCCCGCATGATGAGGATAGCATTTCTGTGGATGATTTATTCAATGACGATGATTCGAAGGCAACAGCGAAGATTGACCGACTGCTGTCCGATGATAAAGCCACAGATGCTCTCGCTAAAGAAATTGCCAGCTTACTTACAGACGAGCCTGTAGGTTCATCTGAGAATCCGAAAGCTTCACCAAAAGATCTTGCGATCATAACTGACGATGCTCCAATTAAACAGAAAGCTTTCCAACCAGTTACCGACGTCACTCCTGTCTCCTCCGAAGAAGCAGTATCGTCAGCTCAGAAGTCCACCCCACTTTCCGTCTCCACTGCAACTCAGCAATGTCTCGCTAAGAGAGGACTGGGATCTACCCAATGTTCCTTGTCTATGATCTGTTGTTCTGCGTGTTGCCCTCTTGGTAAGCTCATTCCTTAAACTCATGCTTTTTCTACCCATTTCTTAACTAGTTCGCTGATAAATTATCTATTTTAGATTCATGTCCATTAAAAGATATATTCAAGAAAGACGAGATTCCAGGTCAGTTGTGACGATACGCTGTGTTTCGCATAGTAATGGCGTTACATTTGATCTTTTACCTGCAATAATATCTCTTTGAAAATCTTTTTTGTTTTAGATGATTGTGATTGCAAGAGACATGTTGGTAAGAACACATCGATAATATTGTATTAGTTTTATTGCGAATATCATCACACCAACTTTTCTTTATTGTAGTTTGTCCTGGTTTACCAAATCCCTCTCCAGTCGTATCATTTCACTCCCCAAGACCTCATTTTGTAACCTTTGCTGAGAGGCCCACCTCCCTGGCTTGGACTCCTGGGGTACTACCCCCAGCTACACCTAACTTACTTCCAGGTCTGGTACCTCCTACCCATCCTGCCGTGTTTGTAGGTCCATACCAGCAACAGACACCCACGCTTATACGACACCCTGGTTTACCTTATCAAATCGCCCAACCTGCCCTCTCTCCTCTAAACATAAACTACCACTGGCCGCCACATTTTATTCCTCATAACCCAGGATTCCCACCCCTATTTGGTCCACCAGTATATCATCGCCCTCTCACATATACTCATCCTATCCACCCATACATTCACCATCATCCCGCTTTTATGCGCCCTCCTATATTGCACCCACCTATTTTTCACCCACCTATTTTGCACGCTCATCCACCAATATTTCACCCTGTACCCATACATTTTCATCCTCCTCATGTTCCAGTTATAATCCATCCACCTCCTCAACCAGTTGTAATTCATGCTCCACCACCCCCACCTCCTCCACCCCCTCCCACCACCGCCTCCTCCACCACCTCCTCCCCCACCAAAACCAAAGCCAAAAGGACCTCCAGGTATGGGACCTTTAATATTTATTATATTGACTGCAAGGTTTTTATTTTACAAATCTTCTCAATCTTTTTCAGGGCCAAGTTATTCCGGGTCAGATGCCACCGCAGCACAAGGAAACTCTCCAGGAGGTTTGTGAACTCAACTCTCGTAGTTTTATCATTGTTTAGAAAAAAAGCTGTTTGCTAATTGTATTTCCCCGGTATTTAGCGCCCCCTGGCCTCCCTCCATTGGTAGTAGTTGGTACCTCCAAGAAAAAATCAAAATTGACTCAAACGAGCGTCCGTGATCATAATTAAGGGAAGATTAGGCTGGATTAATCCACTTTGATTTGTGATAAGTCTGGGTAGATCATTCTTAGTGCAATACAAGTATTATTTCACAAACTAAATACCGAAGATAACTGATCAGTAGCTTTAAACTCTGCAAACGTAGAATATAATAAAATTGCATTAATAAACAGATCAAAACCTGCAAGTTTATAACCATAAATTGAATAAAATATATAGAATATAAAAATACATGTATATTAGACAAACAAATGTAACTTAATGTTTTATATTATGAAATATATAAATTTTTTAAACAAACGTTTTCTCATTAACATTAATCTTTAAATGCTGTAAGTATAACGGAAATGTATATTTAAGTATCATCTGTGTCGCTGACTAGACTAATCGTCTTCAATTTTACAAGATTTAAGCTTAAATATCAAATGAAACAAACATTTTAAAACGACATAGCGATGCTTTTTAAATTTCCGCTTGAGAGAGTTCGACAGGTCGAAATATTCACGGTGCATAAATATGGCGACATTTTTTTAGTGTAGTTGATTTAACGTCAAAATGTGAATCAACTGGTGAAGTTTAAAGATCGTTTCTGGAGGTTACCTAAACTCAAACATGTTAAAAGGAATATGTTATTAAGCTTTGTATGTAACCATGGGTTAATTGTACTTCTTTTGTTTGGTTTCCACCGGGATATTTATGTTTCTACTAGTTCATTGGAGTTGAGCCAGCGTGATATACGCGGAGGTTAGTTTTCTCCATACTTTTTATCCATTTAACTTTAATATTGGAAAGAAGCCTGGAATAATTCCCTTATTTTTTGTCGAAAAGAATACGTTGTTTACCAATGCTTTTAACCGGCCAGCCTGTGTGTTTTTATATTGACTCTTACAGTTGAAATGCATTAAATGGCAGCATTTTGCTATAGCAGCATTAAGTTCTACAAATGATTTCTTTCAGTTGTCTTAAAACTTAAAACAAAGAGTTTAGTAAAAGCGAATCTGATATAACCGAGCATCGCCTGCCCTAAGGAAATAATTTTTAAAACACAGTCCTTTAATTCACCTCTTTCATCTTCTAGTTAAATGTGAAGAAAAATTGAACCTTGGTTTTATTTTGGGTGGATTTCAAGATCCATATTTTCAAGAAAATGGAAAATTCCAGGAGGCAATTAAATTAATCAAACGACTTTCAAATTCATTTAAAGTGAATGTTAATGGAGCTGGTGTAGGACTTATAACATATGGATCTTCTGGACATGTCTCATTTGACCTGCATCCCTTCCTGAGTGCTGAGCATTTGACGAAGGCAATAGACGATGCTTCGGTGCCTGACGTCGGTAGAAATTTGGAGGATGGACTTAGATTGAGTAATGATTACTGGCATTATACATTGGCATCACGTGATAAAGTATCAACTATAGTTGTTGTAAGTGTTGGTCTCGAGCACCGAACATGACGTGATCCTATTATTGCTGATGCATTCAGCGCGTGAGAATAGTAAGTCTGGTTGTAATGCATAGTGCAGAGAACACAATTTCGTTTTCTTGTTGTTTCTAGATCAGTGCTGGCCCAACTGGAAATACCAAAGAAGCAAGCAACAAGTTGAAATTACTTGGTGTGGAAATATTTGCAATCGGTATCGGGGATGGCGCTGTGAAAACTGAGTTAAATAAGATAGCATCGGAACCACTTACGAGGCATGTCTTTGCTGTGAACTACGGTCAACTAGAGGGGCTGAGTTCTTTACTGGCAAAGAAAATATGTGAAGGTTATTAATAAGCTTTTTTATATAACTTTTTTATATTAACTTCTTTATACTGTATAAAGTTCATAACACTTCTTGTATTAAATAACAACTATTCCATTGTCAGGAGCAAGAACACGAAGACTCCAACGATTGCAAACTTACAATCAGAATTTCCACACAGCTGTTACGAAAAGTGGGAAACCTAAAGCTACTGTACAAACCAATGGTGGTGGTACAAATAATGGTGATGGTACAAATTATGGTGGTGGTACCACTAACGGTGGTGATACCAGTAATGGTGTTGGTACCAATAATGGTGGTGGTACAAATTTTGGTGGTGGTACCAGTAATGGTGGTGGTTCCAGTAATGGTGGTGGTTCCAGTAATGGTGGTGGTTCCAGTAATGGTGGTGGTTCCAATAATAGTGGTGGTTCCAGTAATAGTGGTGGTTCCAGTAATAGTGGTGGTTCCAGTAATGGTGGTGGTTCCAGTAATGGTGGTGTTGCCAGTAATGGTGGTGGTACCAGTAATAATGTTGGTACCAGTAATGGTGCAGGCAATGCTGGTGGTGGTTCTGATGATACAGGAAATGGAGGTGGATCTAGTGGTAGTTCAGGTGCCAGTGGAGGAGGTGGTGGTGGAGCAGGAGCAGGTGGTGGTGGTGGAGCAGGAGGAGGTGGAGCAGGAGGAGGTGGAGCAGGTGGAGGTGGAGCAGGTGGAGGTGGAGCAGGAGGAGGAGGTGCTAGTGGGGCAGGAGGTGGAGCAGGAGGAGGTGGAGCAGGTGGAGGTGGAGCAGGAGGAGGAGGTGCTAGTGGGGCAGGAGGTGGAGCAGGAGGAGGTGCTGGTGGGGCAGGAGGTAAGGGTGGAGCAGGTGCTGGGGGAGCAGGTGCAGCTGGAGCTGGAGGAGGTAAAGGTGGAGCAGGTGCTGGGGGAGCAGGTGGGGGTAAAGGTGGGGCAGGTGGAGGTAAAGGTGGAGCAGGTGCTGGAGGAGCAGGTGGGGGTAAAGGTGGGGCAGGGGGAGGTAAAGGTGGAGCAGGTGGGGGTAAAGGTGGAGCAGGTGGAGGTAAAGGTGGAGCAGGTGGAGGTAAAGGTGGTGCAGGGGGAGCAGGTGGTGCTGGAGGGGGTAAAGGTGGTGCAGGGGGGGACAAGAAAGGTAAGGTTTTTATATTTTCATTCATTTTTACAGACTACAACATTGTGAAAACAAGATCAAAGATCTTTTGGAGACCATTACTTTATTTTAAATCTTGTCAATTTTTTAGAACCTCCAAAAGGATATCTTATACCACAAACATCTTTGAGTGCTTTTGGCCCAGCCATGTTACCAATGCAAGCAGAACCGATGGGGACACCAATCAAAGATCCACAACTACCCTTACTCTACCATCCTCAAACTCAACCATTGATCTCACCTATCCAAGCAGATCCTACAGCAATTCTGGGTCACCATCAAGCACCATATATGATGAATCCTTTCTCAAACATACCTCTAGCACCAGTTGAGAGTGATCCTACCATACTACCTTCAAGTCATCCTGACTTACCTCTCATGGCTAGACCTCAATTGCAGAACCCACTAGCACCAGTACAAATGGACCCAGCAATCTTACCACAACATTTAGAATTACCACACTTGACAAGTGGACTGCCACAGATTGCACCAGCTCATGTAGAACACATCAATACACCATTGATACATGACTTTGACACACCTCTATTGGCCCATACCCAGTTTCACCCACTTTTAGAACCAGCACATGTGGAACACCTTGCTAGACCAATTGGAGATTCAACTCCTCCTCTTCTTGCTATGCACCAGTTTCATCACATACTCTCACCCGTTCACATTGAGCACATCCAACGACCATACACAGATACAACTCCACCTCTTATGGCTCAGCACCAACTGCATCCTATGTTATCCCCTACACACATAGAAGGAACCCATCGACCTTATATAGACACCACTTTACCCTATGTAGCTCAAAATCAAGGACACCCTATTCTTTCACCCTCTCATATTGAAGGCTTGGATCGTATTCATTCCGATCAAACACCACCCTACATCACCCATCAAGAATTTCATCCATTGCTTTCACCTGCACATATTGATGATGCACACCGTCATATGGATCATTCACCACCCCTCATGGCACACCCTAATATCAATGCTGGACCACTTTTTACCCCAGGTTTTGTTGAACCTCATCATTCCCCACAAATTGATCACTCACCTCCGTTCCTTGCACATCCAAATGTCCATCACAGTCACCTTCTAACACCTGGATTTATGGATCATATGCATGCCCCACAAATTGAGCATACCCCTCCTTTCATGGCAAGACCAGATGTTCACAATAACCCTCTGATATCCCCAGCGTATGTAGACACCCCTCATACACCACAAATTGACCACACACCGCCATATATGGCAAGTGGCAATGCAAATGCAAATCATCTAATGACCCCTGGGTTCATTGATGCACCTCATTCCCCACAAATAGAACATACTCTACCATTTATGGCTCATCATGGTGCTCACCACATACCACTTTTATCCCCAGCAATGGTTAGTGGGAGTCATGTGTTGCAGAAGGACCACAGCTTACCATTTCTTTCATCACATATCAATGGAGGATCACATTTACCACTCCTCTCACCTGGCATGGTAAGTGGCATTCATGTAGTGCAAAAAGACCACAGTTTACCAATGTATGGTCATGCCATTACTCATTTTTCACCCTTTGCATCCCATGGCTTTGGACGAAGTAGTGTACCTAAAAATCATACTAACTTCACATGAATGACTAGTCCATCATTTGCCTCACATGAATAGTCTTCAATGACCACAATATGTATGTAATAAATACTGTATCCCAGGAAATGACAAGGAATAGGGTGTAAGCACTGACATATTAGAAGGACTTGCATCTTTATTTTATATACCAATTAAATAAGTTGTACTAAAACAAACAATACATTTTTATATAAAATACATTTTGATTCTTAGATAATCTATATTGTACATAAATATATATAATTTTCATACAATTTGCAATGCATGAATGCTTTTCAGTGCATTTAATGGGACTGCAGATAGTTGTCAACTTATGAATGTTGATGTAGTCAATTGCTTCATATTCCATACAAGTTGAAAACCAGTGGATATAAATCATATGTTGCTCGCCATCTGATTACCATCTGGTAAATCCAGAAACTAACAAGTTCTATCTTGTTCTCTCATTCACCTTGCTTCTCTTAATGGTACCCATATACATTCTCATGTCTATACCTTGCATGTTATTACCACCCATTCCATACCCATCGCCCATAGCATTACCCAGATTACCACTTCTTCCCATATTACCATATCCCATACCAAATTCCATTCCGGAGTCGGCACCAGTTGCAAAGTTTTGACCATTATTCATACGCATACTTTTCTCTTGATTAATACCACCAATCTCTGTTCCTGGCATTCCTTTTTCTCCGCTCATACCAGCATTTGTGTCAACACCACCAGAATTGGTGTTCATTCCCATTGCCACATGCATATCATGGTTCATCTCATCCCCCCTTTGGAAAAAAAGATGACGCATGTTGTTAAAAGTGAGACGAGACGTTGGTTTAGCTTCAATATGAAACACATTTGCTAGTTTTTTTTTTGTTTCTCTAATATACAAAGGTATGACTTACGCAGCACACGCCGAGCATGACTTCTGACAATATTTTCGTATGACAGGATTCATTTGACCTTCCACTGAGTTACACATCCCTTCTTTAGACATAGACTGACACTCTTCAAAGTAAATGTCATCGCATACATCTGTAAGTTGAAAAAATCACAGTGAATCCTTGATATTTTCAAATATTGTTTTATTCCTGTCAGGCGTTTCTTGTTTACATTTTTTGCGTTTTGCTGATTGGTCATGTGACGGCTCTAAGCCAATCATAATTCAACTTTGTTGCAGATAATGAGCGGGAAATATTTAACACAAGGATACGGAGAAAAAAACTGTTGGTTTAAACTTAAAGCGGTTCGTTTTTTTTACTTTTATTTTGTATAAAACATGCAAAATTCAAGCTTTAAATGGTGGATATTTTACAGAGAGACACTTGGTTGTAGAAAATGGCGTAATTCACAAGAAAAATATGAAATATCATCGTCTTCTTCGTCGATAATATGGTAAATTCACTAAATTGATACATGTTTTGCTCTATTTTTTATCACTTATGTTTTATACTTAAAAAAACGCTTCTTATTTTAAAATTACGAAAAAGAATGTTAATTTTATCCAATCTATAAACTAAAACATTAATATTTTCTCATTTCTGCATATCCTAACTGACATTTGACCTCAACCACGCGTTGCTATGAAACCAGTCTTGTCAGGATGAAATATACAAGATGCAAACTTACTTTGAGCCTCGTTAGCTAGGAATCCATCAAATGCCTTCATTCGTTTAGGATAACGATGTGCTAACAGATTTGTAAACTCTAATAATTCCTCATTTCTTGGTGAGCTAAATTGAGCAGTTGCCATTTCAAAACTTCCTCCACCAATAGACATACCATCCTGACAATGTTTCATGCAGTAATCATTAGTCCTCATTAGGGTTGGATCTGCAATAGTAATGATCAATATAGCTAAGAAAATATTTGTTCACACAATAATTAAGTCAAATGAAATTGTACATTGCTTACTGTCAATACAGAATCCACAAGTCTTTATTTGAATATCTATAAGATTTATGAAGATATTAAATAAGAAACATTGTTGGCAATTCACAAGTCCTAATGCATAACATTGTGGGGCAACCTATCATAATCATTCTTGCAACAATTGTTTGTTTCTCTCATAATATATGACACTAACCTCTGATAACTCTGTCTACAAACAGTTCATAACGTTGTTTTAACTGGGAATAATCATCAATCTTGAAAAGATGACGGAACATTGGTTCACTTGCAATGTGTATTAGATCTAATTTGCCAAAGTCTTTTCCGACCCCTACTCCAAAAACATTAACTCCAGCAGTTTTTAGCCGTTGACTTGGTGTATAGACATCATCTGCAGCAGTTGTTGCTGTTATGACCACTAACACATGCTGAACTGTTGCACGCGCAGATGGACCTTGGAATAAAGTCAATGCAAGTGATAGACCTCTGCCCAACATAGAAGCTGGTGCATCTTTTCCCGGTGTTCCAACCTTGATTTGTTTAAACAAATCATCCAGTGATTTATCAAGCTCTTTTTTGGAATGACAGCAGACTAAACCAAAATGAATACGAGCATCATCATTGAATGTAATCACTCCTACATGTGCTTCTTCAAATGAAACTCTGTATTTCTTAGATGAATCCTTGACAAAGTCAATCATTTTCTTGAAGTTTCCCTTGCCAACATTTCTTGATGCATCAAGGACATAGATAATGTCCATAACAACTGAAATGAAAAGACCAAAGTCATCAGTGATTTTGTTTCTAAAAGAACTATTATTTTGCTGGGTATTTTAGGTGTTGAATTTAACAAAACTGATATTCTACCAGATGTAGCATCTTTCTGATTTTTGCTGTTATATTTCATGTCTTCGTCCGATTCTGGTCCAGAGTTCACACCATTTTCAAATCCATTAAGTAATGGAACATTCATATCGCCTTTTCCTATGGTATAACATATATTAAATAAATGAACTTAATTTATACCGTTATGATTTACATTTTCATCCAAACAACAATGTGTAGTAACAATAGCTTTTCAATGCACAGCTCTTCTTTTATATGTACAATACCTTGGCTTAAAACATTGTAGAATGTGTCCATTGCTTTCAATCTATTAGGGTAAAAATGTGCAATGAGATGGACTGCTTCACCGGATGTTTTAAACTCGCTTGGTTTGTCTAAGGCAAACTGCATTAATGCCATCATCCCTGCCCCAAGAGGTGAAGTCACTTGGCAAAACTGAATACAATAAGGATCACTTCTCATACGACTTGGATCTAAAACCACACAATTGATTATGTTAAGAAATATCTACCAATTCTGAAGCCTATGCATTGACATACTTTATAACTAAGATGAAATGCCTACCATTGATGCACATGCCACATGTTTGAATCTGAATAGCTATAAAAAATATTGGTAAAATAATTGAAATGTAAGTTATTTCATATTCTCCTCCTCTAACTAAGAACAATAAAATTCTTTAAAAAAGACAAACTACTTACTTCTCACTATTCTGTCTCTAATTAACTGTGCCCTTTTGGCTAAATCACTAAACTCTTTTACACGAAAGACGTGCATGAATGTTGGTAGACTGCTTATCTCTAATATTTCACTCTGACTGTAATCTTTTCCGACACCAATTGTAAATATTTCAACACCAGAACTCCGAAGATGTTGGCTTGGTGCCATAACATCATCTGCTGAAGTAACTGAGGTTAGGACAACCAATACTTGTGGCACATAGCGTCGCCCGGTAGGACCATTGAACATATACCAGGCCAACTGTAGTCCTTTTCCTATTGTACCAGCTGGCGTGTTCTTGGGTTTAGATGGTGGTTTATAATTCAGGATTTGTTGTTCAACTGTTTTATCGAATGCTTTCAGATCACCACAACAATAAAATCCAAATAATATTCTGGCATCTTCACCAAACTTTATAACTCCAATTCTTGTCTCATGAAAACCATATGTGAAACCATGGCTCACAGATTTTACAAACATCAATATTTTGCCAAAGTTGACAATTTGGACACTTGTTGAAGCATCGATAAGGAATATAATATCCAGCATTGCTAAATATGTAAACATTTCTTATATTATGCCGTAACAATTTTGATATAATATAAGCAATTTGATATTAAAGCTTTATATGTGTCATACCTGAAACTGCATTATTTGAGCCTGTAGTACCCCCTGCTCTTCCGGCAGCTCCTCCTGCTGCTCCCCCACCTGCACCACCTCCTGCTGCTCCCCCACCTGCAGCTCCTCCTCCAGCACCTCCACCTGCAGCTCCTCCCCCTCCAGCACCTCCACCTGCAGCTCCTCCACCTGCAGCTCCTCCCCCTCCAGCACCTCCACCTGCAGCTCCTCCACCTGCAGCTCCTCCCCCTCCAGCACCTCCCCTCCAGCTCCTCCACCTGCAGCTCCTCCCCCTCCAGCACCTCCACCTGCAGCTCCTCCACCTGCAGCTCCTCCCCCTCCAGCACCTCCACCTGCAGCTCCTCCACCTGCAGCTCCTCCACCTGCAGCTCCTCCCCCTCCAGCACCTCCACCTGCAGCTCCACCTCCTCCAGCACCTCCAGCTCCTCCCCCTCCAGCACCTCCACCTGCAGCTCCTCCCCCTCCAGCACCTCCACCTGCAGCACCTCCTCCAACCCCACCTCTAGCAGCTCCACTTGCAGCACCTCCACCTGCAGCTCCTCCACCTGCTGCTCCTCCCCCTCCAGCACCTCCACCTGCAGCTCCTCCACCAGCAGCACCTCCACCCGCAGCACCTCCTCCACCTGCAGCTCCTCCACCTGCAGCTCCTCCACCTGCAGCACCTCTTCCACCTGCAGCACCCCCTCCAGCCCCACCTCTAGCACCTCCACCTGCAGCACCTCCTCCAGCCCCACCTCTAGCGCCTCCTCCTGCAGCACCTCCTCCACCTGCAGTACCTCCTCCACCTGCAGCACCTCCTCCACCTGCAGCACCTCCTCCAGCCCCACCTCTAGCACCTCCTCCTGCAGCACCTCCTCCACCTGCAGTACCTCCTCCACCTGCGGCACCTCCTCCAGCCCCACCTCTAGCGCCTCCTCCTGCAGCACCTTCTCCACCTGCAGCACCTCCTCCAGCCCCACCTCTAGCGCCTCCTCCTGCTGCACCTCCTCCTGCTGCACCTCCTCCGCCTGCAGCACCTCCTCCGCCTGCAGCACCTCCCCCAGCCCCACCTCCCCCAGCCCCACCTCTAGCGCCTCCTCCTGCAGCACCTCGTCCACCTGAAGCACCTCCTCCAGCCCCACCTCTAGCACCTCCTCCTGCTGCTCCTCCTCCACCTGCAGCACCCCCTCCAGCCCCACCTGCTGCACCACCTGCACCTCCTCTAGCACCCCCTCCAGCCCCATTTCCTGTTGCGCCTCCTCCACCTCTAGCACCTCCACCTGCTGAACCTCCTCCACCTGCAGCACCTCCCCCAGCAACTCCTTGAGCACCTGTGCTTCCTCCACCAGCAAATCCTCCCCCACCTACACTTCCTCCACCTGCAGCACCTCCTCCAGCCCCACCTCTAGCACCTCCGCCTGCTGTTCCTCCACCTCCTGCACCTCCCCCACCTGCTCTACCACCACCAGCAGCACCCGCTCCTCCCCAACTTCCTCCAGTCCCCCCACCCCCTCCACCTGAACTTCCACCACCACCCCAATTACCTCCAGCTCCCCCACCCCCTCCACCTGAACTTCCACCACCACCCCAATTACCTCCGGCTCCCCCACCTGTATTTCCTCCTCCTGATTGCCAAGTGTTTTTCATAATCAAACGACCACGATGTTGTTTCCTGTTATTTATTAAGTCACCGCAGCCTGGTTCCTGAGCATTTAAACAATTCTTGCTTCGAACCGTGTGAAAGTTTTGTTCATTGAACGATGAATCTTGTTTTTCGTCTTCTCTGATTCTCTCACGATCATCTTGCACCATCCTCTCAGACTCAATATTCTTGCCCTGATATGTTGAATTTTGGTGTCCTATTTTCCCATCAGGCAAGTCAATTATATCTGATAAACTGTCGCCGTCATTATTTAATTGTTTTATATTTTCTCCTTTTAAATTATTATTTAGCAGCGCATTATTTCCATTGCTTCCAACTTCATTCTCGCCATTACTGTTAAAAGATGGCTTTTCTTTATCTGTATTTAGACTCGTGGAATCATAATCCTCTTCATCATCACTGTCCATTTCATTCACCCTTTTAGAATCGTCATTCAGATGGACATCTTCGCTGGAATTTGACAAAACACTATCGCCATCTGAATTTTCATCTCTCAGCTTTGTACGCGAGTTTTTGTCCTCTTGTTCAATAAAGTTTTTATCTAATTTACTATTGTATATGCCTTCTTCTTTTCCCCTGCTATTTCTTCCTTCATTGAACATTTCCTTGAACTCTCTATCTTGTTCCCTGTCAGAATTATTTTCAACAACTCCACTTTGATTCTGAAGTGAATTTTCTTTCCTGGTGGGATCATCTTCCTCGTAAGTTCTTTCATTAGTGGTTTGTGAATCTATATTTTTATTTTCTTCACGATTGTTCGTTTGTTGCATCTTAGAAGAAACTTTATGAGTTTTCTTTGCTAAATTATTTTGTTCCGTCGAAGTATCGAGTATTCCTTGTGTTGATTTATCAGCTGTTTCTTTTGTTATGTATTTGGTTTGATCTTTGGAGCTGCTAAACTCTTTCTGTGTATTTAAACTTTCACCAGATTTGCTTCTACCCCAACTGTGGGTCGTCTGTGGTGCGAAGCCTTCAGCATCGATGTTGTTATTAGAGCTGGTTATTTGTTGATCATCATTGACTGGTTCAGTATCGCCTTTGTTTGAATTTGTTTGTGTTTGCCATTGTTGTATATTTCCTTCTGAATATTAGGTTAAAAAATACGTCATACAAACTATCACAGTTCTTCGTCTTAAGATTAAGGCATTCAACCTAAACGTATTGACAGCAATTGAGTGGAAAATCTTACCTTTTTCATCCTGTGTTGATGTTTTATCATTTCCCTGAATGTCATGATCATTCCATTCATGTGTAGTCTTGCTTTGATCCGGTGTAATGTATTCTGGCTTTCCCGTTGCTTCCAATGAAGTTCCAATGTCCGCTTGACGTGAATTACTTGATGTTTGTTGGTTATCTGCCATGTTGGAATTTTGATTTTGTGGGTTTGTCTGAGGAAATGAATCTACGTTTTGATCAGAGCTTTCCGGTGAACGATCAGCATTAACATTATCTTCATATCCTGCTCCAGTCTGCGTATTTCCTCCCAAGTTTTGTTGTGTATTTTCGTTGTTTCCTTGAACTGCCTTTAGATTATTTCCCTGCTCATGCAAACGTTGCTCATTGTCATTGATTCTATTACCTTCGCTTGCCTCGTTTACAGAATGGGAATTTTGAGTTTGACCATAATCTCTAAACAACGGACCTGTGTTTTGTTTGTTACCATTTTGCAAACGAGCTTCTTCCGTTGGTTGATTCATACTGGCTGTGTTGATATCATTTGTTGGCTGAACGTTAGGATTTGAGGATTGTTCAGGATTACTAAACTTTGGTCTTTGTTCATTGTTATTATTTTGCAAACCAGTCCCTTCTTTTGGGCTCGTGGGTCCATTTAAACTGTCTGTAATAATTTTATTTGTCGGTTGAATATTTGAGCTTGAAGCCTGTTCAGAAGTTTTAAGCATCGCTTCAGTAGTTGGATGGTTATTTTCGAGAGTAATTTGATCATTGATTTTCCCGGATGGTCCAATTAATCCACTTTCATTTCTTCCTGGCATTCTGCCCACATTTTCAGTGACACTGGTGTCTGAACTACTGGGAACCACTGGGTTTCCTAGTTCTCCATCTTTATTCCCTGCTGTGGGATTGGTTGGAGTCTCGTTTCCCATAGTCTCATTGGTTCCTTTGATATCTCCATTTAATAATTCATCGTCTTCATCCAGATAGTCGTCGTCATCTGGATCATCACTTTCTTTACTGAAGCCATGAAACTCGTAATCAGACTGAAGCTTTGCATCTACTTCTTTAACTGGAACTTTCACCTCTGGTTCATTTGAACGCGGAGATAAATAACTTGCACCAGGTTTATCAATTGCATTGACATCAGCACTGAAGTCTTTGTGTATATTCTTTGTCCCTGTTGATATAATCATTCGTTTTAACCCAACAATATACCAGGGTGGTTATCACACTGTATTCTTACCTGGGGTGGCATAGCATACAACTGCAGTCAATAGAAGGCAACTAATCGTGTACGACTTCATCTGACCATCTCATTTAACCTGTAATCAGTTAGGAGTAATTCAGACGTAAAAATATAAATAAAGCTGAATTTTGCCGCGAGCAAGCTACGCAATATTTCACATGCTTGTCTTCTCCATATAATTTATCGTTTTTTCGTTTAATTTTCCATTGACTGTTAGATATATATTGTATGTCACGTGACATTTTAACTACAGTCGATATAACGTTGCATGAAATTTAATTTTAACATGTTTTGAACTTAGTAATAATATATTTTTGTTAATTCTGTTACATCGTTATCCATTAACCTTTTATTTTACCTCGTATACAAGAAATATGATATTTATCTATACACGAGTGATTTAAAAATGACATTACATAATTGATAGTGATTTCCACGTACCTCTTGCCAATTTAATACATACAACATATATTTCACATCTCGTTTTTTTAACAGTCGAGTAATTTAGTTTCACTAACAATATTTTTTTATCCAATTTTTCTTATAGTCGCTGTTGTTGAGTTGATTTTGGCTAAACTTAACCGGTCGTCAAAATGCACCCGTCAAGAAAATGTAAACAATCTTACGCTGGAACTTGAGGGTAAGAAATGTTTAATAGTTGTTTACACTATCATTGTGGCCGTGTTATTGTCTGTTGTATGTTGGAAAAACTCGTTTCCTGTAATGATGTTTGAACATTGATACAAAGATGTGGTCAAACTGTTTCGTTACACATGATCCATGATTGATATTAATTGGTATTTATTAGAATACATGGTAAATTATTTGATTTCATTCGAATAATTCATATAAATATTTCCTAAGATGAATCTATTTCCATTTCTCCGACACATTGTTTAATATACTCCATAACGATTTTATCGTGTCCACATTTTTCCTTTTCAAATGTGTTTCAGCCATCCTTCCTTTTAATTCTGTTCTCATTTTCCTATTTTTCGCCTCATGTTCTTTTATTCCTTCTTTGTGTTTGTGAATTTCCCTGCTAATAGACCCCGAGTTATCCCGCGTATCATGCAATATCACACTTTGTCCCTGTGCATCCAAATGCAAACCGTACATAGCCAATGTATTATTCAAACTCTGTTGTTTTTCTTTTGTAAGAATTGGTTCATGTTTCTGAATTCTCCTAATCTTCACCGGTTTGTCGACATCATAATTATTATAGTAATTCACGTGTTTTGGGTGCATTTGAGGTTTCTTTGTCTCACTATTTTTGTCCTTTGGATTTTTTGTTGGTGAATTAATCTTAGTTAAACTATTGCTCCCTGATTTTAAAACCATTTGTAACATTTTGAATTTATCTCCTTCCTCTACGGATGTCTCTTTCTGAGAAGAATTTATCTTTCGAGTGAAACTGCTTGTCTTCATTGAGCTGCTAATCTTGTTTAAAGCGTTTTCCATATTAAGCACCTCGTTCTTCATTTCACCGCTTGGAAAAATCTGCGTTGTTTTCTGTGTATTGAGTTTAAGGCTGGGGGCTTTCGTTGGACTGACCACCGGTAAGAAAATATCAAATTCTGAAGGGCTAATATTGATTCCTCTGTCAACCAAATCTTTCTCGTTTACTTCAACTATATAAGAACAATTGAAAAAAAGTATCAATCGTACATAATAAAGATTACATCAATGTGATCGAGTCATGAACTATACAGGCGTCTACCTACCTACATCAGATATTACAACACTACAAACAGTTGCAATTATCATCTGTTTTGTCCAATGAACAACGGAAACAGTTGGAGAGATAATATAACGATTGTCATATGTCATGTTCAATAGACGTCTTCTTGTAATCTCTTAGTCAATGCTTGATGCGTAAAAAAAACAGATTCTCCAGCATGCATGCAAAATATGAAGTTTTTATTTAATATAACAAATGACATCCTACATACAAGTTTCAGAATTTGTTTATGTACGGGTACCAGATTAATCGCCTTTGACTTATATTCAAGTTGCGAGGATCCCGCTGTTCCTCCACTCAACCTGCAAACTTGCTTATTTCACGTTATCTGAGTAATGAAATGTCATGGTTTGTGTCTGATCTTTCGAAAGAAGTTCCTAATGTTTCTTAGTTTAGTCTTTCTGGTTGAAAGTTCTGAGCGAAGATTAAAGTTTTCAGTGTCATTTCTACTTGGTTTGATAACGTCCAACTTTGATTTGCCATTTACTGGTAAACCTCCAATCACAGTCCCGAACTGAGTAGCGGAATGATTAATATCGATTGTTGAATATCTTCCGAGGGAATTGCTACTGTCTTTGTTATTTTCTGTAATAATAACACTCGCATCATTTCCATAATTTTCCTTCGTAGAATCTCCTTCTTCAGCCGTCTTTTCTTGGCTTATTGAACCCGAGATTTCGTGTGTTGCTTCAGAGTTTGCAGCATTTGAAATTGCTGAAGGTTTGGGTGCTTCTTGTCCTGGATTTCTGGTCAAATTTCCGAAGTTTGGGTGTATTTTCAAAGTATTTGATGCTTGGTTTTCAGGTTTTTTGCCAGGATTTGAACTTTTATTCTTAGAATTTGCTATCAAGTTGGAGAATTTGTTGCTATATTTTCCGTGTTTTGTGCAGCATTTTCTGTATTCATTTCTTGAGATTCTCCTGGAGTCATCGCAGAACCTCCTAAACTCGATAATTTATTTTCATCATTTGACAAACCATTTTTGATTGTGGCTAAAGTTTGAGGCGTTATTAGATTGCTTTGACTTGTTGCTGAATGATGCAACATTTCATTTTCAGAGGAATTTTGAATTCCTCCTTTAAATGGTCCTTCTTTTAACATCGAGTACATTGAGTCTAAACTAAAATCATGAATATACCAACTACTTGGAGGTGTGTTTCCACCCAACCCATACACTTCAATATTCTTGTCCTTTATCGCATCTGCAGGCGACATTGGGTCATCATCAGGTGGACGGTCTGTGAAAACAAAAAATTTCTTAACTGCATCCTTTCTTGTGTCTTTTACCAAAGTTTCCAAGCATAACTTTAAAGCTTTCCCTGTGTTTGTCTTATTCCCAAGAGGGGGAGGAGAGCTCGCTTTCTCTATTGCTTCCATAACATCGCTTTTTGTTTGGTTTGCTGTGAAATTTAACATGAGTTTTGCTTCCTCTGCGTATAAAATAAGACCAGCTAATGTTTTATTATCTCCAATTTCGCCAAAAGCTTTTGTGATCTTCTTCACCCAGTCTAAAGCATCTTTGAAAGTTTTCTTCCTTGGTGGACTTGTGATATTTTTCGAACCGTGGACAATGAAAGCGACGTCTATTTGAAGAGTTTGTTCTCTTTTTATCGCTGCTTCGTCTAAACAAGGAAATAAGACTCAGTCTTTGTCGTGACTCGTAGTTTCCTAAAACACCGCCTCGTAGTCGATAGATCTATTAAATATTCTTACCTGTGGAAACCAAAGCTTAACTATGTTGGACTCTATATAGCTTTATTTTGCTGTAGCCTGCATTGCAGTCTATAATGCAGTCGTATAGTACTGTATAACACGATATAGTACAGTATAGTATACTGTATAGCAGTGTATATATACTGTTTTTTATTACTGTTCTTGTCGTGTTAATGCTTTTGATTGCTCTATCACTTTTAAGCGGTTTCATTAAAATAATGAACAAACACTATTTATTCTAAATTTGCATGATAAATTACATGATTATTTACCTTGACTCTTCTTTAGAACAGAAATCGTAAGGGAAACAAACAATATCATAAAAGTCAGTCTTAGACACGAAGCTAGCGTCTTTCTAGTTATCAAAGACATGATCAAAACTCAATAAAAACAACTGTAAAAAACTATGCCGTGTTTTTAGAAACAAGTATTTACATTTTATCACTACTATTTCTACATTTTGACGTTTAATTAGGCCAAATTTATAATGTGATTGAGTCAGGTGTACCTGCATTTTACCTGATTTTTTATCGTTCATGCGTGAGATATGATAAAAAAACTAGATACATTAATAACAGCAAAAACCTGACTATATAACTTCTTAAGTTAATTTATGTTATGATATTTTTTCAAGCTTACTATTCTTAAGTTTCTCGTCTTGGTTTTGTTGCTGAAAGTGCTTGACTTGATTTAATTTTAGGGATTTAGATCCGTTTTTCTTGGTCAGCCATATTTTTGCTCTTGTCATATGTCGTTTCGTTTGCTTGTAAAGTTTGTTTAGTTTTGGATAATTTCTTTTCTTTTTCGCTGCTATTTTGTTTACATTAATCCTTATTTTTTTTCTCCTCTCCTTCCTTAGTTTGTGTAATTTTATTTTATAACGTTTCTTTTCCTGCATATTTTCGGCTTCATTTGACAGCAAGATGTGTTGTCGTTTGCGTTCTTTCTGTCCTGTTTTTATATTTAAACCATTCTTGTTTTTCACGAGCGTGTTTTTCTTAATTAGTTTCTTCGCCGCTAAGACTTTTCCTTTTTTTGCTGATCCCACGACTGCTAGAGGCGGGCGCGAAACTGCACCTGTAAAAATGACAATATCTTGTAGAAAACCAAACTACAAGAGGAAACCAAAACTAAACTAATTTGTTTATTTTGGATTAATACTTCACTTATTTTCTTAATGTTTCATTGAAAAAAATCCCTCATTGTCCTATTTTATTCCTGTTTATTTACTTACGCAATGGAAGATTAGGAGCCGGAGAGCCATAAGATAATCCTAGTGCAAAAAATACAAAGGCGATAAGAGAAACTATAGTTACTACGTTTTTAACACGATTTTAAAAAATGTAATATGATCATGTGAACCATTCAGATTTCATCACTATTATCACTTTCCATTCTCACCTGCACTAGGTCTTCGAAACTTGGGTGGATAAGCAGGTGGAACAGGAAGATTACCTGGGGGTGGGGGAATCGGTGGACGCATAGGAGGGGGAGGTATAGGTGGCGGCGGTGCAGGCTTAGGGGGTGGGGCTTTAGGTTTTGGAGTGTTATGGATCAGAACAGGAATAAGGGGTGGTAAATGCCAGTGTGGTGGATGTGGTAATATAGGATGATGAGGGTGATGCGGTAATATAGGACCAAATCCCAGAGGCATATGAGGTATATGGCCCAGACCGTGTACAAACCCTGGGCCATGGCTATAACCATGTACCCACCCTGGCCCGTGTCCCATGCCCCAGAAATGCCCTGGGCCATGACCACCTGCAAATGGAAAGCTTGCTAATCCTTCATTGCCATGATGGAAAACCGCTGGTGGATCAATATGACCGGGTGGTAGAGCTAGTCCTGAGTGAATTAGTCCATTCATTAACGGAGGTCTATCTCTGTCATCATGAGGCATCATTGAGGAGTCTATATGTCCTGGCGGAATAAGTCCCCCACCAATATGGTGTAATGGTGGAATAATTGGTGGTATATCATGAGTATGATACTGAACTAGCGGACTGTCTATATGACCTGGGGGTAAGAGTGGCCCTCCGTGAGTAGGGAATATAGGTGCCCTATCACCCTCGTATTTTGGCACCAGAGGGCTATCAATATGACCCGGGGGTAATAATGCTGAACCATGAACAAATGTGTCAGGTATAAGAGGTGGTTTATCATTTGCATAATGTGGTACCATTCCCGGATCAATATGCCCAGGTGCAAGATAAGGACCACCGTTCCTCCCCTCGGGTATTAAAGGTGGGTGATCACTGAGATATTTTGGTACATATTTTGAATCAATGTGACCTGGCGGTAAAAATGGGTGACCGTGATGAGGTTTTGTTGGGAATAATGGTGGTAGATCACTCATGTGTATTGGTACCGTTGGTGCATCTATATGACCAGGAGTGATGTATGGTCCATGTTCAACCAGCAATTGATGGTTTTGGTTTGTAGTTGGCGCAACAAAATGAGAATCAATAAATCCTGGATCAGGGAGGGGTCCAAATGGATGGTGGGGTGGAAGAAGAAGTGGATCCCCAGGTTCATGAAGATGATATGCCCCTGAGTCGAAGTGCGTGGGATAAGCAAGGTGTCCATGAACACCATGTTGATGTAACAGAGGACTTGGTGGTTCATGAAGGTGAAAAGCACCTGAGTCAAAATGTGTAGGATAGGCTAGATCACCATGATGTAGGAATCCTTCAGAACCATGAATAAATGGACCAGAAAATCCGTTAGAATTCCCATTGCCATAACCAAACCCATTAGCATGAAATAATCCACTGCCATGAACCAAGCCATTGCCGTGCTGAAAGCCATGCGAAAATCCAGCATGTGAGAATCCATTTTGAAAAATGTTGTTGCCAGGCCCAGTTGACAGATATTCGTTTGTCGTATGTTCGCTTTTCCCATCTTCACTCCTTAAAGCGTCGCTTGTGACGTCACTCTTCATATCGTCAGTGACATCATTCTCTTCCTTGTCGTTCATTGGTAAATCTTCAGCAATATTTTTTTTTGTGCTCGAGTCTGTACTTTCCTCGCCCGGGTTACCTGCACTCGCGATATCCCCATGATGTAATATGTCTTCTGAGCCTTGTATAATATTTGAAGGTATATTATGCCCAACGTCATTGGCAAATGGTCGCATTATATCATTTTGGGGCATAGCATGATCATGAGGCATGATTTCGTTCTGATTAATTGCGTCATTTTCAGGCAATACGTCGTTTTGAGGCATGATGTCATTCTGAGGCATTACGTCATTCTGGGGCATTACGTCATTCTGAGGCATGACGTTATTCTGAGGCATGGCGTCATTCTGGGGCATTACGTCATTCTGGGGCATGGAATTACCATGTGACATAAAACCATTATGTGGAAAGAAACCACCGTGTGACATAAAACCAGCGTGTGGCATAAAGCCAGCACCATGCATTCTATTATTCATTGGAAAACCAAATCCACCATAGCCAGGCATTGACACATGACCACTACCACCCATGGCAAACGCAGAATGAGGCATAACATTGATATGAGGCATTCCTGTTGACGTAGATACCTTTGTGTGATGAGTAACAAATGAAGGTCCTGGTACTAGATTTGGCAGCGGGGAATATGGGACACGTGGTATCATAGCGTTCAGTTTCCAGTCTACTGGTGCGTAACCGTGTGCATGGATACCTGGATATAGAGCATCGAAGGTGTTTCTGAGTGTGTGGAAATCTGTGAAGATGTTTGGTGCATGTACTGGCCCATGCGCGTTAGGTCTGATTGCAGGCATTCCCATCCAACCATGGTTTTGCCCGAGGTTCATAAACACATTTGCTGTATGCTCTGGACCATGAGGCATTACTACAAGTGGATAGCCACGATGTCCTTGGACCTTAAATTAGGAAAGAAATAATCTTTTACCGGTCATGATCACTTTTGGCTTGAGCACAGTCAAATGTTTCTATTCCATGGATATATCCCAGATTATTATTTAAAAAATATTCATCGTGAGAGCAAGTGTGAATATTAAGTAATGCAGTATCAATATTACCGGTAAAGGATTACCAAGCATTGGACCATGACTGGGCCCATGGGCTGGTCCCATTCCAGGGGCATTTCTTAGGGATGCCTCCCAAAGAGGTCCGTATGCTAGTGCTGCATATGGTACAGATTTAGATTTATCCCAAGGTATTCTTGCTGCTGGTGACCATACTGATCCTGCTAGAGCTTTAGCAAGAGATGGTGGTGCAAGGAATGCCTGAGGACCTTTACCTAAAATATATATATATAACATAGGAACTTCATATTAGTCTTTGCGTATGCGTGTGTTAACGTGCGGTGAAGTGGATAACAACCTACCTCCAGTATTAATAGGTTGTAAAAGTTTTTGATGAGCTCCTCCAAGCATTCCTCCAGCATTAGGTCCGAATAAAGCTGATAATGCAGCCAAAGCTCCAAGTGTTCCTCCAAGCACTATAGGAGGTTTTCCCCCAGGACCTCCACCAGCTGCTCCCCCAGGTCCTCCACCAGCGGCTCCCCCAGGTCCTCCACCAGCTGCTCCCCCAGGACCTCCACCAGGTCCTCCACCAGCTGCTCCCCCAGGACCTCCACCAGGACCTCCACCAGCTGCTCCCCCAGGTCCTCCACCAGCGGCTCCCCCAGGTCCTCCACCAGCTGCTCCCCCAGGTCCTCCACCAGCTGCTCCCCCAGGTCCTCCACCAGCTTTTCCTCCAAGACCCCCACCAGCTGCTCCCCCAGGTCCTCCACCAGCTTTTCCTCCAAGACCCCCACCAGCTGCTCCCCCAGGACCTCCACCAGCTTTCCTCCAACCCCCACCAGCTGCTCCCCCAGGTCCTCCACCAGCTTTTCCTCCAAGACCTCCACCAGCTGCTCCCCCAGGACCTCCACCAGCTGCTCCCCCAGGACCTCCACCAGCTTTTCCTCCAAGACCTCCACCAGCTGCTCCCCCAGGACCTCCACCAGCTTTTCCTCCAAGACCCCCACCAGCTGCTCCCCAGGACCTCCACCAGCTTTTCCTCCAAGACCTCCACCAGCTGCTCCCCCAGGACCTCCACCAGCTTTTCCTCCAAGACCCCCACCAGCTGCTCCCCCAGATCCTCCACCAGCTTTTCCTCCAAGACCTCCTCCAGCTGCCCCTCCCAGTCCTCCACCTGCTGCACCTCCACCAGCTGCCCCTCCCAGTCCTCCACCTGCTGCACCTCCACCAGCTGCCCCTCCAGTCCTCCACCTGCTGCACCTCCTCCAGCTGCCCCTCCCAGTCCTCCACCGGCTGCACCTCCACCAGCTGCCCCTCCCAGTCCTCCTCCGGCTGCACCTCCACCAGCTGCCCCTCCCAGTCCTCCACCTGCTGCACCTCCACCGGCTGCACCTCCTCCAGCTGCCCCTCCCAGTCCTCCACCGGCTGCACCTCCACCAGCTGCCCCCCCCAGTCCTCCACCTGCTGCACCTCCACCAGCTGCCCCTCCCAGTCCTCCACCAGCTGCACCTCCACCAGCTGCTCCTCCAGCTGCCCCTCCCAGTCCTCCGCCGGCTGCTCCTCCAGCTGCCCCTCCCAGTCCTCCGCCTGCTGCACCTCCACCAGCTGCCCCTCCCAGTCCTCCACCAGCTGCACCTCCACCAGCTGCTCCCCAGCTGCCCCTCCCAGTCCTCCACCTGCTGCACACCTCCACCAGCTGCCCCTCCCAGTCCTCCACCAGCTGCACCTCCACCAGCTGCTCCTCCAGCTGCCCCTCCCAGTCCTCCACCTGCTGCACCTCCACCAGCTGCCCCTCCCAGTCCTCCACCAGCTGCCCCTCCCAGTCCTCCACCGGCTGCACCTCCACCAGCTGCCCCTCCCAGTCCTCCACCAGCTGCTCCACCAGCTGCCCCTCCTAGTCCTCCACCAGCTGCTCCTCCAGCTGCCCCTCCCAGTCCTCCTCCAGCTGCCCCTCCTCCAGCTGCCCCTCCTCCAGCGGCCCCTCCTCCAGCTGCCCCTCCTCCAGCTGCCCCTCCCAGAGCTCCCCCGGCTGCCCCTCCTCCAGCAACCCCTCCTCCAGCTGCCCCACCTCCAGCTGCTCCTCCCCCTCCATAACCTCCAGCATTACCTGCACCAGCGCTTCCTCCCCAACTTCCCCCTCCTGTGTTTGCAGCATCACTGGAAGAACCCCCAGCCCTCCAACTACCACTTGAATATTGTCCTCCCCCTGTTCCTCCGTAACCATTATTACCATAAACATAACTTTGATTACTTGTCTCTTGTTGGGGAATATTCGGTCTGTTGATTCCTTCATCAAACTGCATCCCCGTGTATTTTACTACAAAAAATTATTTTATTGTTAGTAACAATCCAAGTCAATTACCTATTGAATCAAAATCCTATATTATGTTTTCGACGATAGAAGGATATTCCGCACCTTTACTAAGGGTGTAGGACAATGGCCCTGCTACTGATGGTACATCTTCAAATGCCGTGACAAAAACGTGTTCTTCTTTTGGGTCTGATGCAATCGACTCTAACTGACGTCGATCTACTTCTGGTCCTATTCCAACTGTATATATCTCGATACCAGTGTCTTTCAATTGTTGCGCTGTAATAGCAGCGTTGTCTTGTGATACTCCAGCAGTTATCAGAACAACTACCTTAGCTATACGTCCTTCACGACCTGTGGGCAATACAGATGACCTCACCATATCTAAAGCTTGGGCAGTTTCAGTTCCTGCGCCTGGGTACTCTGCCTTTAAAAAAGCATCCTTTAATAGTTCTTTGTCAGAGTAATCCTGTAAATCAAACGTCATTTTGGACAGAGCGCCGTAAGTTACTAAAGCAACTCTAACTTTATCTTTTTCGATGTCATATTTCTCAGCGATATCTTCCGCCAATCTCAGACACATTTTATAATGACCTGATATGTCAAAATTTTCATCTTTTGACCCGCCAACAACAAAAACCAGGTCCATTTTGTTTTCACCTAAAACTGAGATATGAGACTTCGTCAAATCAAAAATATTGAGTCTATCTTAGTTTTTACCTTTCTCTGTTATGAGAAATTGGCATACAAACTTTTAGCAAATATTTGCAAAGAATATTAACTCCCTAAGTTACCTTCCTGGCGCTTCGTCCCTGCCTTTCCAAATTCACTTATTTTCTTCTCATAATAAGGGCTCATTCTTTGATTATAGATGCTAGTGTTTCTAAATTTATTTAAGTTTGATCGACTTTCGCCATTCTTAGTTCTGGTCAGATTATTTCCTCGCAAATGCAAAGACTGAGACGTCTTCTTAGTGTTGTCTTCTTTGTTACTCCATTTGTTAGTTTTGCTTCTTTTTCGTGATTCATTTTTATCGAAGAGTGAACTATAATTATATGGTTCGTTTATTCTTTCTTGTTTATTTGTTAGTGAGATTTGATGCTCTTTACTCCTTCCTTCATCCTTTGTTAAAGATTTCGTCCTATGATTACTAGTAATTTCCCTCTTGACGAATGTTCCTTGTCCTAACAAATTAAGAAATTCATTGATATTTAATGATCTTTAGGCGTAATGAAACTAAAAAGAAAACAGCACAATTCGTGCAAAAGTGAAGAAGATATTCTGCAGTTTCAAATTGATTCTGTCAATCATGTTGAAGGTAAGAGAATCCTCACCAATTCTTCTGTGCCTGTCTTCGTATGCCTTGGCATATGGTACCAACAGCAAACATCCAAGATATATAATCCACGAAGTCATATGACCATTTTTATTTAACCCATAATCTCTTCTGAGTAAGTTTTCCTGAAGACTTCAAAACCAGGCTATAAAAACGTCGATATACTGAACTAGGAAACATTTCTATTTTGCTGCATAAAAAACATACTATACCAGAGGGACTGATCTACGTAATCAGTTGTTTTAAACGTGTAATTTCTCATTTATTTTAGGATACATTTGGAAAATGAACACGACATTGAGGTATGTACGACATTTTAAACAGTGTTTGGGCCCCAGTGCTTTTATGTTAGTCACAGATGCCCGATTGCAGCCGCTCCGACGCCTTATATAGTATGTAATATTCATAATACATAATACAGCGTGCTCGCCTGCAGTAGGGCCACTGGATTAGCTTGAAGTGATCCTTGCGAAAATCCTCCGAGTTGGCCATGTTTGCCTGAAAGGTCGAGGTTTTCTTTGGTTTTCAAACAGTCAAAACGAACACGTAAACTTGAACGCTTGCAACTGTCATCAAGATTAGTATGCGCAGCCTTCGAAATATGAAACAGTTTTTTTTATTATATAAAACAAACACGGGGTACAGCCGAGGCTGAAGCTCTTGTGCAGACAATTTTGTCAGTTAATTCAGAAGGGTCGTAAAGTTTCCGGCGTTAGTAAAGTAGTCGAACCTCTTTTTAATATTCGTGCGAGAATTTTAAGTATTTTAATATTTTATTTTGTAAATAATAACACGAACAACTATTTGTTCTGCTAATTCATTTCACTATTCGTAGTATAATCATATTACCATCTGCCAAGTGCATGTGTCAGACCATTTAGAAATACGGCGTTAAACTCATAGCTGATACAACAACTAAAATTATTTTGATATTATTTGGAAAACGTTGAATTACTACAGATAAACCGTGACATGCATACTACGTTTTCGCGACGCAATTTTCACCAAATTTTAATTAAACTGTTCAATTAATGATTAGGGAAATTGTATAAAAATATCTGATCTAATTTCTAATGCATCATTTTATACTTGACAAGAGCATAGCTCGCTGTCCATATTATTATAGTTATCTCAATCGCTAAAATAATTCATGCACGTAAATATTTCATATTAATCTTTTCTTACCTTTTTTTTATCTGGAATGAAAAATGAACATCATTTTTCTATCATATGCATTACTGAATTACTCATGTATTTTCAACGCTGATATTCAAAGATCATTGCATGATAAAACTACAGCTAGCGTCCATTAATATATATTATATTATAGCTGGGAGATGTCTTGACTGTGAAACTGCTCATTAAGCGTGAAAACTTACCCGCCGCTTAGGATTGCGATTAGGTTATGAAACAAATGTCGGTTTCTGAGTGATTTATATAACAATAGTTGTCAAACCATGCACTAGCTGCTTTTATGTCCTATCGTCGCGAGTTAATTTCTTAGACTACGTAAATTCTTTCCGAATTTGTGATGTGAAGACGTCCCGCGCTTACTAACACTAAGAGAAAGCTGATAATTTCTTCAACAAAATCCAAACAAGAAAATCTCACGGTTGAACCTTGTCTTTTCAGATATAATTTTACTACCAATTTTACTAGTGATACAAACGTTAAAATGTTTATTGTGGCGTTGAATCAGAGAACAAGGATGCTTTACCTTAACTCTGGTCCATGCATACATTAGTCTACGACTTTCCCGGGGTGTACCGGCATGCAATTAGGTTGAAACTGATTAAACGTTAACCTGTGATAGAATGATAGAAAAACAAATATTTAAATTCAATCATCTGATGGAGAATCAACGAGAAACGTTAGATGTCACAGATTTTTAGAAAATAAAATGATTGCTGTATAGCTGTCGCAGAAAATCAGACTTCTGTGTGAAGGGCTTCGGTTTCTTGTCAGGCGCTCGTTATATGCGGGTTATGGTATTGCTTGTAAGTTTCTTCATTTAAGAGGAAAGAAAGATCTTGTCTGGCTTGCACCGGTTTCTCAGTTTATCGCTAATCTGAAAGAATTAAAACAAGAACTGTCATCTTTTCATCTATAAGTCATCTCTCCTATACCTCTTATATTATGTCTCAACGTTTCTTGTGTGTTCCTGGATTTTGATCGCGAATGTGCACAAATTATTGGGTTTTCTAAAAGTCCTGCATAAGTTGGCTATTCTCGCCTGTCAAAAGTTTAACTGCCGTTTCACAGGTGTTTCATTATTGGTAAATTTAACTTTGTCTCAAACAAACACAGCCGTTCCTCGTCGCCGGAAAATATCCTTAATTTATCAGGATAATGAAAAAGACATTTGTTTTAACGGATTTATCTTCCTGAAGATGATGTATATTGGTTCCATTTTAATCCTTGTTTGGCATTGTTTGCCTTGTGTTTTCTCAGGTTAGTATTTTAGAAGATATAGTTAATCCAGACTATAATCGCATTAAATGTATTGTAGTGTTTCGTTTGTTTAATAACAACTTTCCATGCACGCATTATCTTCATTTTTTATCGTTGTGAATGTCCTAATCACTGACAATGTTCCTATTTAACTACAAGTTTGATACAACCCACAGTTCATAAATAGACAAAGATTATTTACTCGTTATCAACTCTCTCTCGTCACCCTGCGGTTGCTAATATTCCGAATACAATATTTTTAGTCGCTATTGATATCTGTTATCTCATTGACGATATTCGAGATAAGCGTCCATCACATCACAGCATTGGCGAGAAGATAGAACTAGCGAGAAACATATCAAGATGTCTTCTGTCCAAAGGAACGGACTCTAAGATTGCTACAATCATTTATGATAATAATTCAGCAAAGTTGGGCTTTAACTTTAGAAATATTAACGATCTTTTAAATGATGGATTTCAAAAGATGATTGTTAATAGAAGAACAAATATTCCAGGTAATTTTTTAACCAAGTCTCCTGATTTATTTGTGTAAACTTTTCACAAGCATACGGCTGAGACTTCGTGTTTATTACTAACTTAATTTTATTCAATTCACAATCAAGCAAACTCTGGATATAAGAGAGCAACAATTCGTCTTTTCAATGGCGCAAAAGCAGAGAAATCCTTAGCAATGAACTCGCCCCAGACTATGGCATTCCTCACGGCCGCTGAAGCAGTAGTTGCAGCTGAATCCCAGAGCAATGGCCGAGTACCCATTTTCAAGGTACTGGTAATCAGCGATAGTGATTTATTTCCAGTGATGGATGATATCAAACAGTACTTTCTTAATGCGAGTGTCGAGATTACTGCTCTTGACTTGAGCGAGAGAGGAAGTATAGAGCTAAGAAATATGGTCGCCTCGCCGTCCACAAACCATTATTTTCACTCTTCAGTGATGAATATCCCTCAGTCAGACATCAATGATATCTGCTCAATACTTTTAAAAGGTATAAAGTTGTTGTTTCGTTTAATTCGTATTTGTTTACAGTCCAAGCCCAAACATTTTAACAACGTTTTCTAGCGCCTTCAAAAGATCTTTTGGATCCATTTTTCAAAGTGAGCCGACTCCTTACACATCCTTTGAAAGTGATGACGTCATTCTTTACAAAAGAGAGCCCACTGTACCAGTATGAATCAGATACAACAGACGAGAACGCCATGTACGAGAAAGTTAATGATCTGGATAAATATATTGAAGGAAACTCATTCGAGTACAAGTGGAGTCCACATCCTGAACTGGAGTCAGCTGAGTCTCTTGAGAATGTTCAGGACACTCCAGAAGAGTCATATAGTGCTGATGACAAGAGAGGTGCATCGTTTAGTTAACTTTATTTATACTGGATAGTTCTATCAGTTCTAAACTGCTCTTCCTAGAGGTCCATGCAGTGAACTTTCTTCTAACCATTGTTGTGATTTTGTTTCAGATATCTGTAAGTACCTACATGAAGAATGCAAGAATCACATGCAAGCTGGATTGTGTTCAGATAAAAATGCCCAGGCACAAGGCATGAAGAAATTTTGCAAGACGACATGCGGATTTTGTGTTTGACGTTTCTCCATCTTTTATACTTTCAGAATGTTCTATGAACCACTGTCTTGAATTACACTAGACACACCGTCCTGACCATGAAATATTTAATTCCCCCGCTGTTGTTTTACTAAGTGAATATTTTATATTCAAGGTATTTTGTTATACCCTGTTGTTTGCCTGTTTTTTTATAGTTTCGTACAAATATTTTGCAATCTTCGTATCAGAAATCAATCCTCTTGCTCCGTCCTTAAATATCGATATTGACGACACTGCGTCAGTGTCCTTGTGAATTTTGTTCAAACCAATTGCAATTATTTTGATTCCTTCTTCTCTCATATCTGCTGCAATATACTTTACGTCGTCCAAAGATCTTTCTTTCATGATCATAACGAGAACCTGATGAATAAATGATGATAATAATTTGACTGAAACCTGTTAAACCTGATGCGTCTTTTGTGTTTTGCCAGATAAACTTACTCTGGACTGTCAGTAAAAAGTAAAATACCTGTGCTACTGATCTCGTGTAGGTTTTAAATATTTCATCGTGTACTCTCTTTAAAGCTTTACCAGCGTACATTCTGCCCGCAGGATACGTCACTAGTCGTAGACGCTTTTGTATTGTGCGTGCGTTCTGTTTGTTTGAAAAATCGAAGTCAACACGACCGTCATCCGTGATTGTCCCGAGCGCTATCCGAGTCGTTGCTTCAGAAATGGGGAACTTTTTAACAAAATGTTGAAGGAATTTTAGTTCATTTTCAAATTCGTCTTTTCCCACGTTTTCTGAGCCGTCAATGAGGAAAACAATGTCTACTGGTTCTAAAGTAAAAAGCACTTCGTTCTCAACAGTGTAAATGTTGAATGTTTAAACTGTTGAATGTTTTAATCATTTCACCTAGAACGCTTGTTGTATCCTCATTATTCGTCAGTCCTCCGATAGTTGCGGCTTTCTGCCGAGAATCACCATGTAGATTATTATTTAGATTTATTCTTCCACCATTTATTTCATCCAAGTCCTCGGTAATAACTCCTGTATGAACTCCTGAAGCTATTGGAAAAACTATTTGACTAAAGCGCGGTTGTTAGCTCAGTAAAAGTCATCCCATCATAAAGTCACAAACCTTCATTAATGATATTCACAACGTTGTTCAGTTTTTCCTCGGTATCATAGAGAAACTCCACCAAATTTTCAAACATAACTATTGATGATATAGTATTAGCCTGAATACGATCTGCCTCGACTCCTATTGATATTATCTTAACTCCATCTTCTTGAATTTGAGCTGACGGGGTTTTGATATCATCTGATGTTGTACCTTGAAATTAAAATAAACCAAATACACCTTTACCGAACATGTATCAAGCGTTATTTCTGGTGCATCCAATGCTACATTCTGCATTGTTTAATGTAGTTGAACCTTTAAACAGAACAACCAAAATCTTTGGTACGTTCTTCCGACCACTCGGCTTCAGGATCCATCCTCTAGTTTTTGCGATTGCCTTTCCAAGGTTTGAGGCTCCCCCGGGGTATGTTAGTTTATCAATGGCTGCATTCACACTAGAATTATCTGTGTTTTCTTTCAGATTGAACGCCACCAAACCATCGTCTGAGATAACTCCTAGACCGACGTGGACACCATTCTTCGTGATTGGAAACCTTAACGGAAGGTATAGTTACGTTCCTTTGTATTATCGTAATTTTGGAGAGGAATTTTAGTGAACTGCAACCATAACTCTCCAGGTTTGTGTTCCAGACATGTTTAAGTATGTAACTACTGAATGAATGATAGCAACATTGCAACCAGATAATTATGAAATTGTGTTACATTTACCAACCTATTGCAAAGCTTTCTGACAAATGTTAACTGCTTGTTGAAGTTATCTTCTCCGGCATTTATTGAGCCATCAATAAGAAACATCAGATCAATGGGATGAATCGTATCTAAACCAAATTACACATCAATAAATACGTCATAATCTGGCTTACCTCTAATTCAACAATCTGTTCCGAACATCGGGTCTGTCTATGTATTTATAGTTTATATATAATATATATATTTTAATTTTTTTTATGCGTCAATGTATCAATTTACCGGTGCTAATGACAGATACCAAAAGATAAGACAAGCATAAGACAAAAAGCGAACAATAAAATATTTTTTTATTCCTTGCCATCACGTTATTTCAGTCATTCCAGAATTTTTTGTTTTTTAAACAATTCAATCAAAGCAGATTTCGAAGCGAAATCTAAAAGTTTACTTTCTTGATACGGTTCAGCACTTTTCGCTACAGAACAGTTAACAAGAATCGTGTACCTGCCGTGCAGGAGAAAATGATAGACTCTTAACTGCTTTTATGATTCTATCCTTTTGACAAGACTTCTAAATATTCGATATCGATACGGCATTTGTGAACACGTTCAGAGGTAGCCGCTGCGATGAAGATATTTTTTGTTTTATTTTGCGTGGAGTTTATCAACGTAATAGCCATGGTCCATCAGCGCTCTGCAGGTCAGAATTTTGAACTATGTATCTAATTTAATAATTTTCATTTGAAATCAAGATCGATAAATATTTATAGTTTTATTGTGACTTATTACTATCACCATGCTAGTTTATAATATATATTTTATTGCTAACATACAATCACACAGCAAGTGCAGAAAAATTTTTCAGTGACTTTTTAGTCTTGCAGAATTTAAATGTAGCATTTATCTATTTTCCACGCAGGTGGCACTAAACGTTTTCATCCAAAGCAAATGAGGAAAGTTAAAGTGATTCTTCCTAGTGGCGAACAAGAACAAAACAAAGTGTTAGAAAAAATGTCTCCGGAATACAAATACAAGGATTATGGCGATAGTGAAAACTTTGAGAACAAAGATGACTCGAATATCTCTAATATGTTGGATAAACAAACGATCGAGGAACTAAAGTCGAAGAACTTGTTGGATGGAGATACCAAACACGCAACTCGAAGTGGGCCCAGTCTTTTGAAGGTTGTGACACCAAGTAGGAACAATCTTGGCGCAGAATCACTAGAAAAGTTGAATGTTTTGTTGCAAAATACATTGCCTGAATATAAATTTGATAGAGCTGAGAGAGGTGGGTAAATAAATGAATGTAGTAAATTGCCTTGGGTTTTTTACGTGCACACCGTCGTGCGGTTATATAACTGGAAATTCTTCTTTAATATTGTTCCAAAATTCCAGGTCCTGGCTTTTCTTATGGGGATTGTGTTGATCTTGACCCAGATTGTTGGAAATATGAGATGCATGGCTTATGTAGTGATAGCCCTGATTTGGCAGAGAAACGCTTTAATTGTAAGAAGACATGCCACCTTTGTGTCAGGTTAGTTAAAAACACTACCTCGTATTGCAAATAAGTTCAACTCCTGCTTCTTTTTCTGTCTACCATACTAAATTCTATTGTTTGTTAACAAGATCCATGCGCATTGATTATACATGCATAAATCCAAAATGTTACAACTGTATATAATATATTAATATATGTCAATATTGCTATCTCTTCAGTGTAGCGGGAACGAGAAGACAGACAAAAACAAGAAAAAAGAAGCAATAAAACCATGATATCTCGCTGCTAGGTATAATTTGGTGAATGTTCGAAAGAATTTGTACAGGAATGTAGTTTGGATCAGAAATAAACCTGACCAGGTTTATGGTCTCGAGAAAGCAAACTGCAAACATAATCGTCAGGCCTCTCTGAAGTTGTCAGAAGATTTTCTTCACACTTTCGTGGAAGTATAATATACTATAGACGCTATTTTATATATCACAAATATATTTACAAAATATCTATGTGGTTGTAAGCATATCTATCTCTTGTATTTTTACCATTTCGCTACGTTAATATGCTTCAATTAGAAGGAAGATAGAAAGGAAGATAGAAAGGAAGATGGGTTTTCTATTCTAAATATTTCTTGATACATCTTTTTTGCACCGAGCAAACTCGATGGGTTTTCTATTCTAAATATTTCTTGATACATATTTTTTGCACAGAGCAAACTCGATGGGTTTTCTAAATATTTCTTGATACATAAGTAAGAGGAAACTCGATGGATTTTCTAAATATTTTCCGTTATTTCTTCCCTCGAGTTGCGCAGCCCACCACCCCACTGGATGGGTTTGATGGGGGGTGTATCGTTTATTGACCAATCAAATTTCTGATTGAAATTGCTACACGTAGATTCTCATCGTAAATATGGCGCAGCCCGAGGTATGTTGTGCTTTCTCTTTCTCAGTTTATATTCCTGTAATTCTGTAATTTCTGTAGTTATATTGAGCTGTTTTATTTTCATAGTACCAGGCAGGGTTTGGCAATGAATTTTCATCAGAAGCGCTAGAAAACGCGCTACCGAAGGGACAGGTGAGTGCTTTCATTGTGATTGTATATTGTAATGAGTTGTGCAAGATTACACGTAATATACATTTTTTTTATTTACAATATTTTCCCAGTGGGATTTTAAAATGCAATCCTTTGTTCGTGGCTTTCACTGTTCTTTAAGCATGAAATACATTTGTAATATAGTCACGAAGTAGTGTGAGGTTTTAATAAGGTTTTAATCCGAGCAGTTCTCGTTATTAAATATTTTTAAATACTAAAATTTCTCTTAGAATAGCCCTCAAAAATGCTCTTATGGTTTGTATGCTGAGCAACTTTCAGGGTCTGCATTTACTTGTCCCAGAGATACAAATAAGCGAAGGTACGTTTTTCTGTTACTTAAAATGTTCATTTCACTAATTCACTTACATATTGGCTGACATTTATTTCAATTGTTTCAGCTGGTTATATCGTATCCGACCATCTGCTGTTCATGAACCATTTCAGACATTTGCTGTGGAGTATTTCACCAATGACTGGACAAAATATCCACCCAACCCTAATCAGGTATAATCATATATTAAACATTCTTGGCTCATTGCAAACTATGGCCATATATGAGGCTTCTTATGTTTTCATAATTAATGCTTGGTTTTTAAGGCAAGGTACACACATCACATAGGAATACCTTTCTACCTTCCCCAGAAGTCTTGCACCTTCCCAATAAAAAGTCAAATTATTTTGAGAAAAGAAACAATTTTTACAATAATTCATATAAAGTCATAAACACATAAAATTTGAGGCCAAATATGAGCAGAATCAATGCATAACTTGACTTCCACTTATTTTCCAACAAGACTTTGGAGAATTTCTATATTGTTCTAACTAAAATCTTGATGGTTTCTACAATATATCACACAAAAAAATTTTCATCCATATATTTTGCAATGTTCTTTTATAGTTTCGATGGAAACCCTTTGATCTTCCTACCAAGGACTGTTCTGCAGACTTTGTTGAGGTACTTTCTCATTTACATTATTACAACAAATGATATTCTAATTTTTTTTTGCACTTTATTTAAAGGGTTTGAAAACAATTTGTGGAGCAGGAGATCCAAAAGTGCGAAATGGAGCTGTTATTCATATCTATTCATGTGATAAATCAATGAAGGACAGGTAAGTTTTCATGCATTGCACTTGAAATGCTCTCTTTTACTCTTACCTGCTAAATTTGTTTACCTTTTTAGATGTATGTATAATTCAGATGGTGACTTTCTCATTGGCAAGTGCAATTTGATATTTATTATTATATTTTAGTGATGTATTTTATTTATTATTCAATAGAGTCTGAACATAGGATGAAGTTCTTTAGAGGTTTGTGAAAAGTATTGAATACTTTGTAAAATAGTATTTCTTTACTTTGTAGTTCCACAGCAAGGGTCATTAAACATCACAACAGAGTTTGGGAAATTGTTGGTGAAACCAAATGAAATATGTGTCATCTGTGTACGTATATATCATTATTTGAATAAACCTGTCATTTCTTTTCTCCTTGTTTATTCTTCTTTAATTTTTCAGCAAGGAATGCGCTTCAGTGTTGACGTCACTGAACCATCTCGTGGTTATATTCTGGAGGTTTTTAATGCTCATTTTCAACTTCCTAATTTAGGACCTATTGGTAATGTATTTACTAATTAATTTCATATTTATTTTCTATAATATTACCTGCCTCAAAAACCAATTCATTTTTTAATGTCAGGTGCAAATGGACTGGCCAACCCTCGCGATTTTCTCACACCAGTAGCGTGTTTTGAAGATCGTCGTCCTCCTGATGGATACACTGTCATTAACAAGTTTCAGGGATCTCTTTTTTCTGCCAAACAGGTAACTATACAATGGGCAATCCCTGAGTATTTGCTTCTTTATTCTTTCTTAAAAACTTCAGATGTGATATCAAACAATCTTCTGACTTGTTTTAGGGTCATTCCCCGTTCGATGTGGTGGCCTGGTTTGGAAATTACGTGCCTTATAAATATGATCTTGCTAACTTTATGGTTATTAATTCTGTTTCTTTTGATCATGCGGTAGGTTCCTATGTATGTTTCCTAATCAACTCGAAATCTTCATACACGAGCTACACTCGTGGTTTGTGTAACAGCGTTATCTAAGCAAGCTTTTTCAACTAGGATCCATCTATCTTTACCGTGTTAACTTGTCCCAGTGTGAAACCTGGTGTGGCAATTGCTGATTTTGTCATATTTCCCCCTCGCTGGGGTGTTGCTGAACACACGTTTAGACCGCCATATTATCATCGTAAGTAAGCTGACTCTTTCGCTTTTAAAACCTTCGCTGACTTAAAGTTTGAGGTTGGTGTTAATTGTTTATTTCGGTGCATGGTACATCTTATTCACATAACCGTGAAATCGCTGTTGTACTCTTAGGAAACTGCATGAGTGAATTTATGGGTCTCATATTTGGAAACTACGAAGCGAAGGTAAACTTGCTGAAACCGAGTTTGTCCCTGTTCCCTGCATGATGTTGTTCTGAAAACAAGGGTATAACTGCAGTACATTTTAGGAGGAAGGTTTTGCACCGGGTGGTGCTAGTTTACACAGTATGATGACGCCTCATGGTCCTGATAAACAGTGTTTTGAGAAAGCGTCCACTGTTGAGGAACTGAAGCCTGAGAGGGTCGCTGATGGCACGATGGTCTGTATTTGACTATTCACGAGAATTCTCTGTGTTGTGCTTTATCGTGTAGTAATAACCAAACACTCATTGTTCCCGTTTTTTCTTTGGTCTTTAAGGCTTTTATGTTTGAGTCGTGTTTAAGTTTGGCTGTTACAAAATGGGCTGCGGAAACATCAGAGAAACTGGACAAAAATTACTACAAAGTTTGGTCAGAAATTGAAAGTCATTTCGACCCTAATTGGAAACCAGAAAAACGGTAAAGGTTTGATTAAGAAAAAGAACGAAATATTAATTTTCTCCAGCAACAACTGACACGGTGTCGAAGGATAAAAAAATGTGGTGAACAAATAATAGAAAGATATTGTAGCAATATTTATTGTTTCTAGTGATTATGATTATTACTAGATAAAATATGATATAATTAATATAAACGCAAAGACTAGAACTGCCTTATGTCATTACGAGACAACATAAAATCATGGATTAAGTTTTACTATTATTATCGTTTTGTTATTATTATTATTGTTCATTTAAGTCCATCTTTACTCAGGTAATCCACATCCACAGTCTCTCGTCTTTCTAAGACAATATCAGGACTTATGTATGGTGCGAAAAATACCAATCCTGACTTCTTTACCTTTTCATAACTTGTATTCTCGCTCAAGCGCAGTTGAAAATTTTGTAGAAATGAGACGACAACGACCCGGGTGATAGCCAAAGCAAAGCGATAGCCTAGACACTTTCTAGGACCCATTCCAAACTGAAAGAATGATCCAGGTACTCGTTGACGACCAGTGGAAAACCTCTCAGGGTTAAATTCTTCTGGATCGTTCCAGTAGGTTGGTGAGTAGTTTAGAGAGTAAGTGTCGACACATACTGGAGTCTGTAAGACAAATAATGATTATTAAAAGTATCGGTAATGTCTTCTTTCTCAATGCCTTTTACTTTCTAAGAGTTTCTCACCCCTTGAGATATTTGATAACCTCCTAAATCAGTGACACTCTTTACTGTCTTCTCTGGAAGGGAAAGAGCTAGTGCAGGATGTAGGCGAGCACTTTCTTTCAAAACCATTTCCAGATACGGTAGTTTCTTGTCCAGGTCTTCACAGCTGCTCGACTCACAGCCTTGTAATACGTCATCAATCTGTGCTCGGAGTTTTGTTTGAATGTCCTGATATCTAGCGAGATCTGAGAGCGCGAATGATGTTGCTGCAAAACTCACATCAATATTCAGCAACAGAATTTCATCAATTGAATGCAATAACTGCAAAGGAAACACAACATTGCGATACTGCCGCACTGGGACATGACTGAAACATTAATCTCTATTCCTATATTTCTTATTTTACTCACCTCTTCCTCTTCAATGTCTAACGCACGAGTCTTAAGCAGTGCCATTGTTTCAAAAAACAGCCCATCCTCACCGCTTATCTTTCCTTCTTCAAACAAGCCAAACAAAAAACGGTTAAATTTCGTCCATTCTTGGTTGAAACATGCTGCTCTATAATTAGTTGAATTGGGAAGTTTGGAGTAAAATGGTAATCGTGTTGTGCCAACATTTATCAAACTAAGTGTTTTCAGAAGATGATGCTGAAGTTCTACAATTTTTTCGAAATACTTCTCAAGAACTTCTTTTCCATAAACGACATGCGTGACAACTCGAAGAGTGATGTCTTCTAGCCTGCTTGCCTTCAAATCTATGGGTACTCCTACTGGCAATGTATTCATAAACGCCTGACATTCTTTTCCAATTAACCTCATATGATTAGCTGTGGCTGAAGCTGAAAAATACTTCTCAAATGGGCCTCTGCATCTTCTTACGTCATCTCTACCATGGCTTGTTGCCAAGCAACGTCCAAGGATTCCCTTGAACACAGCCCCTAAACAAGTCATATCACTTTCACGCTCGTGAGAATAATGATCTGTATAGAACGTTCGAATAGCTTTAGCATCTGATATTATTCTGTAAAAGAAGAATTTGTATATCATATATTATGGTAATTATCTCATTTAAGATTATAGAGCAACAGATTGTGTCTTCACGAGGTACGGCTAAATGAAGCACAGCGTTTATTTATTGGATATCATCTTTATTACCAGCATAAAAATGTTAAAAGCATATGACGTACACAACAGGCGTGAGGCAATGCCAGATAAAATATATTGCTCCATGTTTTCTCGAAAGATCTCGACCAAAGAAATTCACTTCATTGAAATGACCAAATGGCAACTTTGGCAGTTCTCCTGGCATTCGTTCCCCAGCTTGGTTTCGCCAAGGAACTCGAAACATCACCAACAATAACTATACAATATTAAACATGCAAATATGTGTTTCATAAACTATAAAACAAGATAAGAGTTCATTTTCCGGAGGCTTTGATTCTCAGAACTTTCAGCGCAAGCTTTGAAATGAAGTGAAAGCTTCTTGTGTTGATCGTGTGAGACTGTGAGCAGTGATGGCGCGAGGCATCTCCTGTGACTTTCACTGTCCTAAGCTGTGACATTCACTGTCCTAAGCTGTCTGTGTTTTGCGGGGTTTGTGAGACTAAACGGGCCTTCAAAGTCAGTGAAACGTAGAGAGATGAAAGACTGGTTTATTAAATAATTTCTATCGCGCGAAAATAATTCACAACTACTTACTTTCAATATCCTATTTAGAAATGGAACCGCAAGAAAAGTTAACATTATCGTAGTGATGATTGAATAAGCAACGTTCTCCATGTTTTAAAAGCCTGTCTTCTTCAATAAATAATAAAATATGAAGTTGAAATGCAGAACGAATCAATATTATCGCCTCGCTTGATTAAGAAGAATTCACATGACTTTATATTCCATAGAAATCTTCAAATATTATCAAAGTATTTCCTGGTAACTGCATGGTGAGGGGGTGCGGGGGGAGCTTAACGTTGATTTCAATAATATTTCTTTTGAGAGCGAATTACGTAATTTATCTACACTTCACGAATTTTAATCCTTTACATATTTTGTTCAATTTTTAATAATTCTGCCTTGCGACAGGTGTTATCAGTAGCGGCCTGACGATTTAGTTCTGCCATGCTAATATTCTGGTTCTTTCTGGTTCAAAGAAACAATAATGAGAATATTTAATTGCTCAGGACAGGAAGTTCAATCCGCGCTTAACAAATGCTTTCCTAAGAAATGATTTCTGATAAATCAAGTTGAAGTGGGCGATTTCGCAACTCTTTGTTGAGGTAATATGATCGTATGGAATAAGTTACCAGGAAATATGGATTTTGGCAATGAAGATAGGTCATGCATTATCTCACATGATATTTGAGGCTGTTTGGAGGAGTGGTTAGAAACACATCAATCCACGACCAGAAACTACATACACTTAACTCTCCTTGCTGTTAACATATATTTCTCGAGGAAAATGCAGGAATCACAAGCCATAAAAAATGGTCGAACGTATTTGGAAAATAGACGACGAATTATGTTAGGAATTAGTCCAGGAAACCCGTTTTTCTATAAAATTGAAAATTTGGTGAGAATGCTGGAATTTGCGAGAGATAATTCAAATGACAAGGTGAGAATATATATTTTAATCAACCATGAAAATAAAGATGCCATTTAGACAACTGCAAGTTTAACTTTTACTCCGTTTAATTGTTTAAGATCATGCTCATTCTGGTGGATAAAATAAATGAGCATAACTGCAGAGCTATTGGCAGCAAAAATCCGGAAAAATCTGCCAGAGTGAAAGCAAAACGTCTTCGAAATAAATGTGAAGAAGCAATCCGCTCATGTGAAATGCAGGATGATTCAGTCGAATACATCAACTGGGTTCGTGATGTCGAGAGTTCAAGCCACTACGTTGATGCGTTAAAATACGTGAAGCATTTGTATGAAGTTAATGATCAATTTCAAAAAGATGTCAAGGAATCTACACAACTTGCTCTGGTCTCTATGAAACATGGTCGTGAAAGAAGCATGCCAGAAGGCAGTGATGCTGCGATTGATTTAGATGAAGGAGTTAAATACCTGTTAAAGGAGTTAGCGTTTCTATCAGTCATTTGTTATATCTACGAGGGGTGTGAAGAGTTTGTAGTCGTCTATCATCGACCATGGCCTGTGTTAGAAAGGTATTTTGATGGTGGATATGATAACATCTGTAGACCAAGTTTAGGATTTTATGTTTTTCAATAGGGCAACGTTTGTTAGATAGATTATAAGCTGTGTTACTATGGCAGTATGCAGTATGGGTTTAATATATACCAACATGCTTCTGGTATGTTTCGTATTGTTATTTATAGGTTTGATAATATTCATCAATAAACTCAATGAAAATGAAGTATATATCAATATTCTTATATGAATTATTCACTTTTATAAAGGTATTATATTTATAAATAAACTCAATCCATAAGTACTGCGTATGTCGATTCGTTGCGATTTAAATTTATTTTCACTGTTTGATTTTTTTATTTTAATACATGGCGATAGTCTAAACATTGCCTCTGAAATTTTACGATTAGTTTGCTGTAGTAAAAACGCTACATTCAAAAGTTCTCTAGTATATTAATATTGCAAATTCCGCGAATTTCAGGCCTAGCTGTATTGGTTTGTTCATCTGCTTTTTTTCTCATTTCCTCTATTCTCTAAAGTTATGACCTTAATATAAGGTTTATTCTTCCCACAATTTTACCTCTCTCATACATACATTCTCACATCTCGTTTCATTTGAAAGCCCATAACAAACGATGTCTAGCAAGCTTCGTCAACTTCCTGTTTTCTTGACGAATTTCTCTTGCAAAATAATTTAACTGTTCACTTCATGATGAAAGTCAGTGTGGCATAAGACCTACGTTTCTCTGGCTGAGGTTGTGATATATAATAATATTACCCCGGCCGCTTTTCTTAGAATTTTTTTACCTGCAATTTGATGCTTTTCTTAATACATGATAGCGACTTTGTTTTCCGTAACGCGGATATCACGAGACAATCTTTACCAAGAAACAAATGTGACATGACACGCGTGCATTCACATGACATGCACATTTTATCATTTCTAGGTAAAGTACAGTATTTCACTGACATATTTATAGTTAGGAAAGCTGGTAAATTGCCATTTGATCTGAGGCTGTTGATGAGTGGACATACTTATACAGGTCCGAGAAGCAAACGAACGAATACAAACTCTTCATGGCTTCGCGAATTAAACTTTACATAGCATGTTGGTTTATTGGTGCATCCGTGCAGAGCGCCGTGTTTCTTAGCTTCAATGCTGTTGATTATTTTAATTACTTCTTTTCTGACTACAAACCAGAAGTTTATATTAGCGTCACTGCCGGAGTTGCTGCTAGTGCTGGTGCTATTTTAACTGTCCTTTTTCCACCACGAGGAAAGCATTTCACTGTTTTATTTTTGACTCTCATCATATCCGCCATTTTACTTGTTGTTGAAGTCGTACTAACACCTCTGGAGGAAATATCCACTCAGCTGCGATTTGGATTGATTCTTGCTGTAATATTCCTAGCGGCGATCACTCAAAACTTTGGCGGAGGAGCGCTGTATGATTTCGTTGGGAAACATTTTCCTACCTTCGGGGTGCAAGCGGCTCAGTCTGGTGGAGTCTGCGCGTTTGCAGCAACCTTCGTTATCCGTTGTGTGTCCAAAGGATCTTTTGAGCATTTGCAAAATAAGAGACGTGGCTTTCGACTGAGTGGCTATCTTTATGTCGCACTAGTGGATCTGATCATCGTTATTGCTTGCTTTTGTGTCGCTATCTTGGTGAAATACTCCAAGAATGAAGACGCAAGGCGTTTGGCTGCAGTGAATCAACAGAGGGAAAGTTCAGATGAACAAACTCCACTACTAAGCAGTACTGAAGCAATTCGCAACCTATCGCGTCGGCAAATTATCAAGAACAACCTCCCAGGATTGGCAACTATTGCTCTATCTTTAGTCATTACAAATTCGTTGTTTCCCGGAATTACCTCACAGTTTCATGGAAATCATAATTGCTCAACCCTTAACCATCACACCAACTACAGTTCTGTGAGTCCCACCTCCCACCTCTCGACTACACCAGACCATGGTAGTGATAAAACTGGCTGGTTTGTTGTCATTCTGTTCGGCTGCTTTTCCTTTGGTGACGCCATTGGTAAAAACCTACCAATACTTGGTATAATCTACAATAAAAGGACGGTGATTTTTAACTGTCTTATTCAATTACTCATTGCGATACCTATTTTATTGATCTATTTCAAACCCTGTGTGTCGGGCTTGCAAGCTGATTGGGTGGCCTACTTCACGTTAGGGGTAATGGGAGTTGTGAATGGATATGGTTTATGTGCTGCCATGATGCTTCTCGCCCCAGGGGTTCCTGGGAAGAAATATGAAGAGGGTCTGGCGTCTAGCATTGGTTTCATGTTTTTACAAAGTGGAATCTTACTTGGGACGGGGATTAGTGTGTTTTTAGTTGATTATGTCTTTGAAGTCACTAATCATTGAAGATTATAAAACTTGATCCATGGATTTTGTCTGATATTTTTATATTGTCTTTTCATTTTAACATCAAAATTTATATTTTTCACGCTGACTTGTTGTTCGTGACATGTGTTCATATCATGATAGTTTGAAATCCGAAAATCCTCTTTTGATCTTTCAAATCATCTTATATTCGGAAAAAGAAATCCGATTACTTTATTTACACCGCGAATTTGTAATAATTCACCACAACGCCTTAGGCTGGAGGGAATAACCGATAAAACAACTTTCCATAATTTTTTTACTTCATTTTTTTTTAAAATTCATTTCCAACGAGAACGCATTTCTTATAAATTCTGTTTTATCTCTCTGAGAAATCCTCATCTAACTAAATATCACCAACACGTGTTCAATAAATATTAGCATATATATGTAGTAATCAGTGGTTTAAATGTCTTTTGATGAAGATGGGTTATCACGTCACATGATATTCGACAGTGTTTAAAGGTAATGGGAAATGTTACGATTAAAAACGCATTCATTTCTGTATAGAACGTTCGAATAGCTTTAGCATCTGATATTATTCTGTAAAAGAAGAATTTGTATATCATATATCTTGGTAATTATCTCATTTAAGATAATAGGGCAACAAATCGTGGTCTTCATGGGGTACTGCTAAATGAAACACATCATTCATTTATTGGATATCATATTTGTTACCACCTAAGCTAAAAAATTGTTCTTCGCAGCCCTATAAAACCTTGCTGAAAACTGCGCTTTGCACTAGACAGTAGACGAGATATAAAAAGTCAATCATAGCATATGACGTACACAACAGGCGTGAGGCAATGCCAGATAAAATATATTGCTCCATGTTTTCTCGAAAGATCTCGACCAAAGAAATTCACTTCATTGAAATGACCAAATGGCAACTTTGGTATTTCTTCTGGCATTCGTTCCCCAGCTTGGTTTCGCCAAGGAACTCGAAACATCACCAACAATAACTATACAATATTAAACATGCAAATATGTGTTTCATAAACTATAAAACAAGATAAGAGTTCATTTTCCGGAGGCAAGCTTTGAAATGAAGTAACAGCTTCTTGTGTTGATCGTGTGAGAATGTGAGCAGTGATGGCGCGAGGCATCTTCTGTGACTTTCACTGTCCTAAGCTGTCTGTGTTTTGTGGGGTTTGTGAAATAACTATGGTGAAACGTAGAAAGATGAAAGACTGGTTTATTAAATAATTTCTATCGCGCGAAAATAATTCACAACTACTTACTTTCAATATCCTATTTAGAAATAGAACCGCAAGAAAAGTTAACATTATCGTAGCGATGATTGAATAAGCAACGTTCTCCTTGTTTTAAAAGCTTGTCTTCTTCAATAAATGATAAAATGTGAAGTTGAAATGCAGAACAAATCAATATTATCGCCTCGCTTGATCAAGATGAGTTCACGTGACTTTATATTCCATAGAAATCTTTAAATATTATCCGAAGTATTTCCTGGAAACCGGTGAGGGGGGAGTTTAACGTTGCTTTCAAATATTTCTTTTGAAAGCGAAAGACGTAATTTATCTACACTTCAATTTTAATCCTTTACATACGTTGTGTTCAATGTCTAATAATTCTGCCTTGCGACAGGTGTTATCAGTAGCGGCCTGGCGATTTAGTTCTGCCATGCTAGTATTCTGGTTCTGCCTGGTTCAAAGGAACAATATTTCTATAAAACAAATGCTTTCCTAAAAAATGATTGCTGATAAATCAAGCTGTAGTGGGGAATTTCGAAACTTGTTGTTGAAGTAATATGATCATATGGAATAAGCTAGAGGAAATATGGATTTTGACAATGAAGATAGGTCATTATCTCACGTGATATTTGAGGCTGTTTAGAGGAGTTGTTAGAAACACATCCATCCACGACCAGCAACTACATACACTTAACTCTCCTTGCTGTTAACATATATTTCGTGAAGAAAATGCAGGAATCACAAGCCATAAAAAATGGTCGAACGTATTTGGAAAATAGACGACGCATTATGTTAGGAATTAGTCCGGGAAACCCGTTTTTCTATAAAATTGAAAATTTGGTGAGAATGCTGGAATTTGCGAGAGATAATTCAAATGACAAGGTGAGAATATATATTTTAACCAACCATGAAAATAAAGATGCCATTTAGACAACTGCAAGTGTAACTTTTACTCCGTTTAATTGTTTAAGATCATGCTTTTTCTCGTGGATAAAATAAACGAACATAACTACAGAGCTGTTAGCAGCAAAAATCCGGAAAAATCTGCCAGAGTGAAAGCAAATCGTCTTCGAAATAAATGTGAAGAAGCAATCCGCTCATGTGAAATGCAGGATGATTCAGTCGAATACATCAACTGGGTTCGTGATGTCGAGAGTTCAAGCCACTACGTTGATGCGTTAAAATACGTGAAGCATTTGTATGAAGTTAACGATCAATTTCAAAAAGATGTCAAGGAATCTACACAACTTGCTCTGGTCTCTATGAAACATGGTCGTGAAAGAAGCATGTCAGAAGGCAGTGATGCTGCAATTGATTTAGATGAAGGAGTTAAATACCTGTTAAAGGAGTTAGCGTTTCTATCAGTCATTTGTTATATCTACGAGGGGTGTGAAGAGTTTGTGTTCGTCTATCATCGACCATGGTCTGTGTTACAAAAGTATTTTGATGGTGGATATGATAACATCTCTAGACCAAGTTTAGGATTTTATCTTTTGGAATAGGCAGTGGCGTAGCCAGCCCGAAAATTTAGTCATGCTATGTTAATATTTTGATGTTCATTGACTGTGAAACCAATTAATTTCTAAAGAAATGAATAATAATAATAGAATTTTTTTACCTGCAATTTGATGCTTTTTCTAATACATGATAGCGACTTTGTTTTCCGTAACATGGATATCACGAGACAATCTTTACTAAGAAACAAATGTGACATGACACGCGTGCATTCACATGCACATTTTAGCATTTCTAGGTAAAGTACAGTATTTCGCTGAGATATTTTGGAAGGAAAGCTAGTAAATTGCCATTTGATCTGAGACTGTTGAAGAGTTGATATACTTATACAGGTCCGAAAAGCAAACGAACGATTACAAACTCTTCATGGCTTCGCGAATTAAACTTTACATAGCGTGTTGGTTTATTGGTGCATCCGTGCAGAGCGCCGTGTTTCTTAGCTTCAATGCTGTTGATTATTTTAATTACTTCTTTTCTGACTACAAACCAGAAGTTTATATTAGCGTCACTGCCGGAGTTGCTGCTAGTGCAGCTGCTAGTGTTGCTGCTGTTTTATTTTTGACTGTCATCATATCTGCCATTTTACTTGTTGTTGAAGTCGTACTAACACCTCTGGAGGAAATATCCACTGCAGTTTGGATTGATTCATGCTGTAGTATTCCTAGCGGCGATCACTCAAAACTTTGGCAGAGGAGCGCTGTATGATTTCGTTGGGAAAAATTTTCCTACCTTCGGGGTGCAAGCGGCTCAGTCTGGTGGAGTCTGCGCGTTTGCAGCAACCTTCGTCATCCGTTGTGTGTCCAAAGGATTTCTTGAGCATTTGCAAAATAAGAGACGTGGCTTTCGACTGAGTGGCTATCTTTCGCACTAGTGGATCTGATCATCGTTATTGCTTGCTTTTGTGTCGCTATCTTGGTGAAATACTCCAAGAATGAAGACGCAATCATAATTGCCCAACCCCTAACCATCACACCAACTACAGTTCTGTGAGTCCCACCTCTCGACTACACCAGACCCTGGTAGTGATAAAACTGGCTGGTTTGTTGTCATTCTGTTCGGCTGCTTTTCCGTTGGTGACGCTATTGGTAAAAACCTACCAATACTTGGTATAATCTACAATAAAAGGACGGTGATTTTTAACTGTCTTATTCAATTACTCATTGCAATACCTATTTTATTGATCTATTTCAAACCCTGTGTGTTGGGCTTGCAAGCTAATTGGGTGGCCTACTTCCCGTTAGGGGTAATGGGAGTTGTGAATGGATATGGTTTATGTGCTGCCATGATGCTTCTCGCCCCAGGGGTTCCTGGGAAGAAATATGAAGAGGGGCTGGCGTCTAGCATTGGTTTCATGTTTTTACAAAGTGGAATCTTACTTGGGATGGGGATTAGTGTGTTTTTAGTTGATTATGTCTTTGAAGTCACTAATCATTGAAGATTTTAAAACTTGATCCATGGATTTCGTCTGATATTTTTATATTGTCTTTCAATTTTAACATCAAAATTTATATTTTTCACGCTGACTTGTTGTTCGTGACATGTGTTCATATCATGATAGTTTGAAATCCGAAAATCCTCTTTTGATCTTTCAAATCATCTTATATTCGGAAAAAGAAATCCGATTACTTTGTTTACACCGCGAATTTGTAATAATTCACCAGAACGCCTTAGGCTGGAGGGAATAACCGATAAAACAACTTTCCATAATTTTTTTACTTCATTATTTTTTTAAAATTCATTTCCAACGAGAACGCATTTCTTATAAATTGCGTTTTATCTCTCTGAGAAATCCTCATCTAACTAAATATTACCAACACGTGTTCAATAAATATTAGCATATATATGTAGTAATTAGTAGTTTAAATGTCTTTTGATGAAGATGGTTTATCACGTCACATGATATTCGACAGTGTTTAAAGGTAATGGGAAATGTTACGATTAAAAACGCATTCATCCACGTCCAGCAACCACATGCACTTAACTCCTCTCGCTGTTAACATCATCGTTGTTAAGAAAATGCAGGAATCACAAGCCATAAAAAATGGTCGAACGTATTTGGAGAATAAACGCCGCATTATGTTAGGAATTAGTCCAGGAAACCCGTTTTTTTATGAAAAGGGTAATTTGGTAAAAATGCTACAAATTGCAAAGGATAATTCAAATGACAAGGTAAGTCGGAATATATTTTAGCTTAATGTGTTATGATGGTAAAGCTATTGTGACAACTATAGGTCCTCCGGCAGGAATCGAACCTAAGCTATTGCGATGGCGGTGCAATGCTATTGTGACTGCAGTTTTACATTTTTGTCCACAATTTCTGTCAGTAGAATCTTTCTAACTTGTTACACAAAATAAATACAGGTTTTCTGCTTAAGATCATGATGTTCATTGCGGATAAAATAAGTGAACATAACTACAGAGCTGTTGGCAGCAAGAATCCGGAAAAATCTGCCAGAGTGAAAGCAAATCGTCTTCGCCATAAATGTGAAGAAGCAATCCGCTCATGTCAAATGCAGGATGATTCAGTCGAATACATAAACTGGGTTCGTGATGTCGAGAGTTCAAGCCACTACGTTGATGCGTTAAAATACGTGAAGCATTTGTATGAAGTTAATGATCAATTTCAAAAAGATGTCAAGGAATGTACACAACCTGCTCTGGTCTCTATGAAACATGGTCGTGAAAGAAGCATGCCAGAAGGCAGTGATGCTGCGATTGATTTAGATGAAGGAGTTAAATACCCTCTAAAAGAGTTGGCATTCTTTTCCGTAATTCGCGATATCTACGAGGGGTGTGAAGAGTTTGTGTTCGTCTATCATCGACCATGGTCTGTGTTAGAAAAGTATTTTGATGGTGGATACGACAATGTCTCCAGACCAAGTTTAGGATTTTATGTTTTTGAATAGAGCAAACATAATTAGGTGGATGAAAGGCGTACTGAACTGTATGTATGGTAATAAATTCGTCAATGCTTTGTGCATAAAATGTATTATTATTTATTATCCAATAAAAAACATAATGAAAGTAGGCTATTTGTCTTTATTTCACTACCTTTTTTGCGCATGAGAATATCTGGCAAAATCTGGAAGTTTTTTTCTGGAGGCTTGGATTTTTTGATACAATGGACGCACCGCGCACGGAAAAGCTTAAATAATTCTAATCGTTATCATACTGCTAAATTAAAATAAATGAAAAGCTGTTCATTCACAAAGTTACACCTTAAATTTCATAGTGATTTTGCTCGGGTAAAAATTATAGAAACGACACAGGAATTGTTCCAACACGGTGGTTCCAATAAACCGGTGTATTTTCTCACTGCTTAGTGATCCAGACCAGCCCCTCGTGTTATAGATCAGTGGCGATTCAACATGGCGTCTTTGGCAGAAGAATTAAAACTACTTTCGTTGCCTGCTCCAGGTAAAATAAACCTTGATAATTTCGAGGACGACCTGACGAGGGCTCGTGTAATAAGTAAAGGTGATGTCTATGAGAATGACAGTGAAACTGAGGCGACGACAAGAAGTAATTTACGAAAGAAAGCAGCCATATTGTTAGCTGATGAAGATCTGAGGTATGCAGGAAAAACTATATCCAGGAAACAACAGTTGAAGTTGAGAGAAGATTCTACTGACGACTTCCTAAAGGAACTGTCTGATAATGGTAATGTTATGAGTTGTTGTTTAGAGGCGTCATATTGCTTTTTTCACGTGATATTATTATATATGATATATTTTTAGATGACAGTACATCAGAGTACAAAAACGGTCAGGATTTGCAAGTTATGCTTGAGGGAAAGTATGAATTTCATGAATCATCGAGTGATCAAAGTGAAAATGAGGACTCTATTGTTGTTGAAAATGAGAGAGGGGAGAATTATGAAAAGCTGGAGGAAGATGAAAGTGAAGAGGATAATAATGAAGAAGATGAAAGTGAAGTGGAAGATCAGGAAGAAATGTCAGAACAAGATGCAGAACTGGACAATGAAGATGTGGAAGATTATGAAGTGAAAAAGCAGGAAAGTGGAAAATATGAAGGAGTAAAGAAATTTTCTGATTCAGATAAAGATGAAGTTGAAAAAGGACAAGCAGTTGTTCATCAAATTGGTAAGAGGGAAATACCTAACACTGTTGTAATGGTTTTTTGCTCCCATGCGGAAAACTTGGTTTGTAGTCAAAGATAATAAATTTCTCACATGTAGTATTAAATTCTATTTATCCTCTCTTTTATAGGGTTGTGGGACAGCCTACTTGAGAATCGTATAAGATTACAAAAGATGTTGGTTGAGGTGAACAAGATGCCACAATATAACATGCTTAATAGAATGAAAGAAAATGGAGGAAATCAGATCAAACGTGAATTAAATAACAGTGAGTGTATACCACCAGTACAGCCTTAATGTTTGTTCCGTGATAGATGATTTTATGCTTTATGACATGTGGAATACTTGGTGCTCAAGCTAGATACTCCTAGCCTTGTTTGTTATTCTTTTTAAAACAGGACAGAAAACTTATATATTTTTTATTTAGCTCAAGAACTATTGACAAACCTGCTTCATAACTTGTTAATTCTTCAACAAACATTGTTTGAAAAGAACTCAGATACAGTTAGAATACTTCTGGAGGAAAGCAAAGCAAATGATTCAGATGAAGATATACCCAGTGATGATGAAGCTCATATGTCAGAAGATAAGAAAGAAAAAAAGTTGAATGATTGTGATGAGCCTACCTTGAAGCTAGCAAGGAAGAGAAAACAGTCCATGGTAAATCATTCTAACCACTTGCTTTCTATAATATCACAGGAATTATTATTAATTATTATTATTTTCTTCACAGCCAGTGGATGAATACTCTGGGTATATTGTTAAACGCCATGCAGCATTTGAACATTTTAGAGATGCAACAATCAAGAAGTGGAATGAGAAAACAAGACTTGCTTCTGGTAAAGTCAGTAACAAGGTGATTAATATGTTGATACAAACTTGTTGATCAGATTAACTACCTCCAGGTACCTCTGATAATCATTCTATGATCTTTAAAGGCCCTCAGTATCCCCTAAAGATATTGCAAAGCTTCTCACCTGAGAATTGTGTTTCTTTGCAGTCTTTCAATTCATTTGACAGATCAACACTGAACCAAATCAAACAGGTAAAGTTATTTCTTAAATTTAATGCCAAGGATATTGAATAATTTGTTTTTAAATGATATAATTTAGTTCATATTTATCATTTTTAAGATTCTTAGTGACAGAGATAGACTAATAAAGAGAACACAATTGAAACGCAGTTCATATCGAGTGTTGGGAAAAACGCAAGTTAAAGAAAAGGATGATCAGGTGAGATAATCTAATTGTCGCGGGTATTTCTCTCATGATCTAATTGTTTGACCTTGTTTTAACGTTCTAATTGATGGTATAACTACCGCTAGTTATCAATCTTTTCATAGGAAGAACGTGATATTCATTTAAAGGATTTTGATAGTGAAATATTTGATGATGATGATTTCTATCATCAGGTAGCTTAGTATTTCGATCTTTACGTACCATAAATAAGTTTTACGCAAAGATCAAAACATTCTTATCAAAACGTAGTTAACGAACTTTCTTTTCGTCGTGAAAGTTGCTCAGGGAATTCATTGAAAGAAAATCAAATGTTGATTCCAATGATCCAATAGCAATGGGAAGGTAACAGGCTTTGATATTTGTCAAAATGAAATGAAACTCGTATGTACATGCATGGGACCGACACGGCTTGTTTCTTTCACACAGGCAATGGCTTGAGATTCAAAGGTTAAGAAATAAAGTGAAACGAAAGGTTGATACAAAAGCCAGTAAAGGTAGAAGATTGAGGTAGGTTCGTCTTGCTTTGGCTAGATTAGGTTCCGAATGAAAAAATCTAACTTCATTGACATTGTCTTACTCATTAGATACGATGTCCACACTAAACTAGTTAGTTTCATGGCACCCCAAAACAGGGGAACAATGACAGATTCCTCCAGGTATGCAATGTTTCTATGCCGTGTTTCATTTTCTTCAGGTTAAATTTTACCGATTTCTTTTACCATTAATTTAGAAACGAACTGTTCAGCTCTTTATTTGGCCAGCGACAACCACAAGAAATTGGTGACATTAATCTATTTAGCTGACAGACGCACACTTTGGAAAATATTTTAACTTAAGTAAAAGAAGTTGGAGAAGAATAGACTTATTTTCAAGAAATTGTATTTCTGTTGGAGACTATTAAGTATTCCCTAGTTGTACATTAAACCTTATTTTTTTTTTACTCGTGTCCGAGAATAATGACTTCAGGGAAAGTATAGCTGAGAGGTGAATACCTCCGACGTTCACATATCGTATACGTGGGTATAAATTCCGTACGGTTAAGACCCTCCTTGTTTCCTGCGTTTCTATTGGTTCTTTTTTAAAAAATGGCGTTTTAGGTCGAAAAATTGAAAAACTAAATCTTTTTAAAATAGCGCAAATTTTTAATGGTATCGGGGAAATGAAGGCTAATTTGATATCTGGAAACGTTTTCTTGTATTTTTACTTAATTTCGTGTGGATATTCATTTAATTATGGCGACTTTTATGTAGCGGTAAGGCTTTTTTAATATTTTTTTCCGACTGTTTTGTATAAATGTTGCGAGTAATGCCAATGTTTTTTTTTTAAGAAATCTGGACATTCAAAAGTGAGACCAGGGGAAATTGCTGTTGTTTTTTGTAAGTATCGTTGAGTGCTTTACAAAACGTACTAAAATAAAATGACGATTAAATATATTTCTTATGTTCTTTTTAGTCATGACAGTTGCTTTAGATTCTGGGGTCAGTTCAAAAAAGATTCACTCAAAAAACACGAAATGCTGTTGGATACATCCTGGAAGTAGTTCAAAATACGACTGTGAGGTATGTTCCGTTTTCATAGTTTTTCGCACACTTCTTCATACCATACACAGTGCAATATTTCTCATTTTTCTCCACAGTCAATGGACCTTCATGGTGGATTGCCTGTCACATTAGAACCGTTAAAGAAAGGAGACATTACGTATCTTTTCACAAACCTAGTGCGTTGCGTATATTTAAATGCTAGTCCAAGTTTATGATGGGTTCTGAGTAAATTATCATCTCTAATACTGTGGTATTTTATTCTCACTTCTCAGTACCCACTGGATAGAGTTGGTCAGTGTGTATTTCATCTGTGGCATGGTAAAAACAGAATCGCTCATACAATACGTTTTAATACAACTTACATACCCGAGGAGCAAGAATCGTGGCTTGGATCACTCTACAGTAAGAATATATGATGATTGTTATTGTATGTACGGCCTAAAATCTTAGGAAAACGGGCAAAATCGTTCGCAATTGCAGCGTCATCTTTTCTGTTTTAGAAACGGTTCTTGGTGAAGTAAAGAAAGTAAAAGTTTGCGATACAATGGATCTGGTAATATTCAACTTCTCGTTTGTTATCTTTTAATTGATTTTGCCCTGATATTTCTTTTAATTTTCATTCATAGGACCCAAGACGAAGATGCAAACCTGTAAACTGTGTTCAAAAATACAACGGCAAGAGAAATTTCTTCAGAAAGGAGACAAAATTATGCGAACCAGTTCATGAATGTTACACAAGCAAGGATGACGAAGGGTTACCTACAACGGTTCGTTGAGTTCATTAAAGTGTAATAGCTTCGTTATTTCGTCATTTTGAACATCGTTATTCTCCTGCAGGCGTTTGATAAAGATCACAATAAATGCAAAAGCTTAATTCAGAAAGAACTGACTACGGATGAAGAGCGAGATCTAAAAGCCAACGTTGAAAGTCATATGGAGGCATCTCAGAGAGCAAGATTCAAGAATATTGGCCCCTCGGATCCTGTGAGTTTGTAGTTAGGATAGTTAGGACAGATGATGGAAACTAAGTGTTAAACTATGCATGATACGTTTGCTTGCTTCTTGTCTATAGATTCCGGTCCGTTGTAATCACGGTAAGCGTGTTGGTGACATTTGTGTTTGTGATGATGGTTGGAAAACAGACACCTCAAACGTACCATTAGGTGATCCAAAGTTCGTTTACAACTGGTGTAATGTTAGGACAAGAAAGAAACCTTTATTGCCTTACAAACAACAGAAGCGTTTCATGATTGCCGTATCCTTTACCTACAAATATACAGTAATACAAGACATTTACTATTCTGTCTTGCAATATATCATTATGAAGACAGGTGGGGAACAAATGAAAACTGGGCTGCCTTTTCCTTAGGAGGTTCAGGTAGACTTGATCCTTTATTCTAGTTGTTTTTTTGATTAGGTTCTGCTTGATATTCTATCATCTTTAACAAATATCAAGGGTCTTTCTCTAACGAGTATCACTCTGCTTGTCACCTGGTTATGGATGATATATCGCTATGTTTACCCGGAATCCCAGGAGAGGCAACACATAAAACAACCGCCTCATGGCAATAGACATGCTTTGAAGAAAACCAATCTCTTTGCCCCAAGTAAACTGTTCAATGAGCTGGTTGATAAAGGCGGAAAATTTAGGAAGAAACGAATGATGGCCGGGCTTAGAACTGGTAACAATGATGCAATCGATGGTCAGTATTTCTAAAGTGTATTTTTTTAAGAGGGGTGGACGATCCTTGTACGAAAATCGACCAATTACTTTCCGTGTAATTTTAGGTAATACGATCCAAAAGGGAAGAAGTGGAGTATCTTACATAAAGAGTTTTGCAAGAAATCTTATGTCATTCCGCTCTCTTGTAAAAAAGAAAAGCAATGTGACCACCTCAGGTCTCGATATTGAAACAAAGCTTCCTTTACTTCAACAATCTTCTCTTGACGATGGTGGTTGCGTATCTGATGACGCATCAATGGTGGTTCAGTATGGAAGCAATGTCGTACAAGGCACTAGTCATATATCCCTCCCTGAGGACGTCGTTGCACAAGAATCTCTATCCAGCCAGATATCAGGAGTAAGATCCAAAAGAAAGATTTCTAAAGCTTCTAGTAAACACCGCAGCAGCTGCTTGCCTGCTCAGACATCGCCTGCTGAAATCCAATCCATTCCTGAAGAGGTGGTTACACAAGAATCTCTATCCAGCCAGATATCAGGAGAAAGATCCAAAAGAAAGATATCTATAGCTTCTAGTAAACATCGTAGCAGCCCCTTGCCTGCTCAGACATCGCCTGCTGAAATCCTATCCATTCCTGAAGAAGTGGTTACACAAGAATCTCTCTCTACCCAGTTATCACAAGAAAGATCCAAAAGAAAGATATCTATAGCTTCTAGTAAACATCGCAGCAGCTCCTTGCCTGCTCAGACATCTCTAACTGCTAACACCATAATGTACCAACCAAGGAGTTATTCTCTACCAGGTCAAACCAGTAGTCAATATAAAGGTGCAGTGAAAGAGTCTGGCATGATTGTAGCCACTCGCACAACACGCGCTGGCTCTATATACACTCTCGCTGGTAAAAATTAAACTTTTATTTATGCTAGTGCAGCACTCTTCTCTAAACAATACTTTGTTCATGGAAGAGAATTCCAAGTCCATTTCTAGTCAGTAATAGTCTTTTTCATTTTACAGGCCCACAACTCATGCAAAAACGTGTGTCACCACCTGTAGTGGAACCCACCTCTGACTCTGATTAATATTTCATGGGGATGAATAAGCAGTATGTATGTTACCAAAGCCATTCAGTTTTTATTTTATTTCTAGTACACTCTGTTAGAAGTGACCATTTTTATAATGTTTTATTGAAAAAAAATTTGGATTAAATCGATGCATTTTGATTAATTTTTATACATTGTTTTCATACATAACAAATACCCAATTAAAATACCCACAAGCATGCAATTGTCAAATAAATCAAACAAATTCCTATGGTTACTACTCTATTGTCTTTCTAAATCTAATCGACAATCCATGTGAATCATGTTTCAATTATTATAAAGAACTTTGTATGGATTAAGAATGCCATGTGGATCAAACATCTTTTTCAAGGCTTTCATCATCTCAATACATTCATTGGACTTTGAGTAATGCAAATATTTTGTCTTTTTGAATCCAATACCATGTTCCGCACTGATGCTTCCTTGGCAACTTCTAACCCTTTCAAATATGAATGTTTCTAAAATCTGGTTTATGTTGGCATCAAACTCTTTGCCAATTATATTCAGATGAAGGTTACCATCACCAATATGACCATAGCCAACAATGGTGATCACTTGATCACCAATCTTATTTCTAAGATCTTTAACAATGTCATACAAGCCAACTACAGGGAGAGAAATATCATATTTATATGTATAACCCATTTTGTTCAATCCTAGTGTTATATTTTCCCGTATTGCCCAGATACTTGTCATTTTCTGTTTATCTGTGGCAATGGTACCATCTTGGACCAGATCATTATTCATCAAGAATTCCATAAACTTTGTTAGTTTCTCTTCATCATGTGCTGAATCAGAACCTGATGTTTCAATTAGTGCATAAAACTGGTTTTCCTGGATTGGGTTTTGAATTCCTGTAACTTCACTTGCTTTAATGCTCAATGAATCCATCATTTCAAATGCAGATAGCACTTCTCCAAGCATGGACTTTGCAGCTTTAAAAATAAGTAGGAGATCTTGGAAACTCCGGCAGCCCAACAATGCTACATTGATAGAACTGGGTAAGTAAGGAACCATGATGGATGCAGCAGTTATAACACCTAATGTCCCTTCAGATCCTATGAACATATGTTTGAGGTGATATCCAGTATTATCCTTACGGCATGTAGATAAGTTATCAACAATCTGCCCATTAGGAAGAACTGCTTCAAGGCCTAGCACTGTCCCATGGAGAGAACCATATCGTAACAGCCTTAATCCACCTGCATTTGTAGCAATATTTCCACCGATCATACAACTGCCTTTTGCACCTAAATCTAATGGCATGATGAAACCCTTCTCAAAGAGAAAGTTATCTAGTTTCTCCAGGATGCAACCAGCTTGACAAGTTAGAATACCAGAAACATCATCCATACTGATAATTTGATTCATTAAACCTAGTGACAAAATCACTTCATCAAAAACAGGTGTGCTACCACCAACCAAACCAGTATTTCCACTCTGGGGCACAACTGCAATTTTCCTAGAATTGCAGTATGCCAAAATTTCAGAAACCTCTTGTGTTGTTTTAGGTTTCAATAACACTTTGCTTGCACCTCGAAGTGTCTTCATCCAGTCCGTATTACAATGTGCAATTTCCTCATCATCTTGTATCACCCGGTGGGCGCCAAGAATAGACATAAATTTTGCCAGGTCATCGTTGGTTATCTCGCAGTAGTCTCCGCGTTTAAGATCAGGGTATCGCTTGCTGGTTAACGGAGGCTCTGAGCTGAAACTACGACTGCTTTTTTTAAAAAAAACTGGCAATGATCGTAAGGAAATACGGCACAATGCTTGCGCCCCGTTCAGCATGATCGCCATTCTGAATAGTTTCCTGCGATCAGGTGGATATTCCACTGATCTCTTGATCTAAACCATAGTTAATATTAAACTAATAAGAATCGTTGCAAGGGATATGGCTAGTGTTTAGTACTGTCAAGCAATATTTCCTGTGTGAATTTTTTTTTGAAATTTTATGCTTCATTTAGAAGGCTGAATTCGCACAAAACGCCTCAAAAAATGTTATTTTTGTTAAAATCTAATCCATGAAGATAAAATATGACGTCATCAACCTGAGGCCAGACACTGAGCATGCGTCACCTGATCTTGTCAAGTCCGTGATCAGCAGGCCATCTGCCTTTAATTTTTAGCAACAAATTGTCTTTTCGTTTGCTTTTTTCCTGCATTTCCTCTATTTGTTTTCTCTCAAAGCAGCTCATAAATCGTTATAAAATACCTGAGATATTGGACGTCTGAACAAGCGTAAGGAAAGCGGCAGTCTGCGAAAGATATGCCTCCAAATTTGTTGTTGAAAATATAGTGATATTACGATAATTTATATGTAAATTTTCATGCTGTATATGGTGTCATGTCGAAGAACTTATGACTCAAAAGTACGAAGAGATAAAGAAGATGTCGCCTAAACGAAAATGGGAGAATTTCCCTGGCAGAAACAAGTTCTATTTAAATGGAAGAGTTATCATGGCAAGAGCGAATGGTGTTTGTATATTCACAGCAGTATTAATACTCTCAACAAGTGCATTATTTTTCGCCTTCGAGTGAGTGCATTTCATAGATTGTGTTTTTATTGAATGGGTGTAGACAAGCGTTTTATCAAGTATTTATATTACGCTATTTATTAGCCATGGTCTATTGTGTTACAATAGTAAAACTGAAATCGTGCTATTGTAATTATAGTACAATCAGTGACAATATATACATCTATGAATATACATATCAAATAAGATATGAGTTTTTCGTTTCTTAGCACTTAAATTATACTAATACAGAGATCAAGGCATATCAAATTAATTTTGGCAGTTTATATCATGAAATATAGTAATATTTAGTTACATTTTCTTCTAATCAAGCTTGTGGGCTGGGCTTAAATCTTGGCTAATTTCTATGCATAATTGTTTGTTTGAATAATTAGTTTGATATTTCATTGCAAAAATCTTGTTGAACAAATCAGGATAATAACAGTAAATTTTTAGTTGGTCCTTGGGTATAATTACATCAGAATACAACCATTTGACCTCAAGATATTAAAATATCAATATTGTGCCTAAAAGTATTTTTATTTTTTTCTAGCTGTCCATACCTGTATAATAATGTTTCTCCAGTTGTACCTTTCATTGCTATATGGTTCTTCTTATTTTCACTTGGTGCTCTTGCAAGGGCAGCATTTATTGACCCTGGAATTGTTCCAAGAGCTACTCATGATGAAGCTGATTACATTGAAAAACATATTGGTAAATTGATTCCTCCTGTGCATTAGATTTCATTCTTGATCCAACTTAGGTTAATACTGGATCAAAAAAGATTATCCTTATTGACCCTATAGTGATAAATTGGATCAATAAGAGACATCTAGTAAAAACAGTTTAAAACTGATAGAGCTAAGTTAGTTATGTGTGGGTTACTTCTTGTAGTTATCTCAAGCTTATCCAGTGTAATTATAATTTTTTAATGTGTTTTTGTTTAGCACTGGAAACAAGCCAGTCCCAAGGATATCGTCCTCCAGCTAGAACAAGAGATATAACAGTCAATGGACAAACTGTAAAACTAAAATATTGTTTTACTTGTAAAATATTCCGACCACCACGAGCATCTCATTGTAGTATGTGTGATAACTGTGTAGGTGAGTTACCTTATTTTTCAAATTTGGATGAATCTATTAATTAGTCTTTATTTTTCCTAACTTTGTATTGTTTTTTATTTTAGATCGGTTTGATCATCATTGCCCTTGGGTAAGGTTTGAAAATTTGCAAAAAAGCATTTAATTCAAGTATATATTTTAAAATGATGAGTTAATATATTTTTAATAACTTTTTTTAGGTTGGCAATTGTGTTGGCCAAAGGAATTATAGATATTTCTACTTATTTTTAGTTTCTCTATCAATTTATTGTGTTTATATTTTTGCCTTTGTCATCCTTCACTTAGTTTTATGTAAGTTATTGTTTTTTAATTAGTTCTGTTGTTCCATCATTTGTTTTTGTGTTCTAATTGATCCCCTAATTGTTAATTATTTCTCTGTGTAGTATCTCAAGATAAAGGCGGTTTTGTTGATGCAGTTAAGGCATCTCCTGCTAGATATCCTTTGAACTTCTCTAGACAAGTAGTTGTGGTAGTAATTACTGGATTAGAAATAAAAAATTGTGTGTTAGTAGAACAAATTTTCCTTGATTTTGTTCACTATATTGGAGGCTATCGTGTGTTTCTTTTCAATTTGGTCAGTTCTTGGTTTAACTGGATTTCATAGTTATCTTGTTGCTTCAAATCAAACAACTAATGAAGATGTAAGTATTACAGATAGCAACAACAAGCTGTAGACCTTGAGCTTATTAATTAAATCAAATTTTAAATATATTTCAGATAAAAGGAACATTTTCATCCAGAAGAGGACAGAACAATTATAATCCTTACAGTAAAGGATCCGTCTGGGCTAATTGCCTTGAGGTCCTCTGTGCTCCAGTCCGTCCAAGGTAGTGAATTGTTTTATATCATGTGTAGTCCACATAAAGCTATCATTTTGTTTCATATTGATCAAGTGTGGAAGACCAGCAGATTGAGGATGTTATAGTCTGTTTCCTAATACCTGAGTGTATTTTTATAGTTTATTAGATCTTCGTGGTGTCATTGTTCCAGATCCTAGTGATTCAGCTGAGCGGGGACAATATGGATCAGTAGCTACAAGTCAAGAGGTAGGAAATAAACCCGGGAAACTTCATGATTGGCAATGATAATAAAGTGCAGGGATAACTCTCCTAGATGTAGTGAGACATACTTCATATATGCTGAATGGACTATATGCTATTTTGGAGAACATATTGTATGGTCATATTGACTTATCGCCCTTGTATAAAACCATTGCTATATCCTGTCATCCTCTGAGACTAAAGTTTTTTCAATACAGGTACAATCAACCTCATTTGCAGTGGTTGTTTATTTCTAATGGTTAACACCAAATTACCTCTAGTTTTTTTCTTCCAGCCTGCAATGCCAGTTGCTCCAGTTGCACAGACTATTTACCAAACATCAGGCAATAATGTAGAAAGTAGTAGTGATGCAGCTGAACAGAGGAAGCCTCTTATCTCTGAGACAAATACAAATCATGGTGATTCCTTAAAACAAGAAAGTGATCGTGGACTTGTTAAGCTCAGTACAGTGTAAGATAGAGATCAGCGTAGGTGAGTGTACTCAGTTTATTCTTAGTTGAATTAGAGAGGATACATTAGTAATACCGATAACCAACTTTTCAAGCAAGAGGAGATTTTAATGTATAATCATGAATGAAATTTTGATGACATTCACCATGACTCATTCACTATGAATGGTTAGGCATCCATTGTTCTTGTCATGTGGTTTGAAACATTAATTTTTAACACATTTAACAATACATAATTTCAAGTATCTCAACTCACTAACATTTAAAACAAACCATTCAATTATTTCACTCAATAGTTTGGGAGAAATGAAAAAGAGAATAATGCTGTGTGCACAATCTTGATTAAAGTTATTTAGATTTAGATTAAAGCACTTATTTTGTTATTTTTATCTACAAGAACAATAGTTGCCTTCATACTTTGTAGCAATGATCTTCCTGACCATCAAAAAACAATGAATTCTTGAACTACTTCCTCCATCCGGCATCTTGTAGTTTACTTTTGTAAATGATCTATTTGAATGGCTTACTACAAAATGTATTATTACTTAATATGCATTAGTTTGCCTTGTATTAGATGTTTCATACAATACCTTGCTGCATGCTCAAGACATTTCAACAAATAGAAGAACTTTAGACACTTATTTAATGTAACTAAGTGAACATATCATTTTAATTTACTAACTTTAGTAATGCTTGTTTGTGGAAACATGTTTAGTGTAACAATAAAAGATCTTTACATTCATTTAATTTTGAGTGAATTTAGATGAAAATTACATTTGAGTACTACAAAAAAAAAGTAAGTCACACAGATTTTTCAAACATATATTTTTTTTACTACATTTTACTTTTTTTTTCAAAATATTCTGTGCAAAATGATTTTAGTTTCATTGTTTCCACTTTGGTACAGGTATTTCAGGCTCAAGATCAGTCACCAAGCTTGCTAGAACAGCCTGGAAAGAAGGAACATCAAGAATGATCATGCAGGTGATAACATCAAGTTATGCTACTTGAATAAACTATTTCCTACCATAACTGTCCATTTTCTGTTTTCAGCTTCTTGCCAGACAAGAGAATGTTCAGAATCAAACACTTCATCGGCTACTTCATACATTTTGCGAGGCAAGCAATGTAAGAATGACCAATTATCAGCTGCTAACTTTACCAACTAAAGAAATGGCTGAATGCTGGTTGAATGAATTCCTACTATGATTGAGGAAACTTTGACCATAAGCTGGAGAATTATCAAAGATCAAAAACTTCCTCTATTTCCTAGTAAATGTGATATTACTCTCCATACCTCATTGTTTACTTGATATCCTTTGAAATCCTTTAATCTTTGTTCAGCTTCTGTCTCTTGTCCCATGCTCACCCAGGTATCAGTGACTATCACATTAGCTCCAGAACAAGCCTCTCTTGGATCTGATGTGTAGTTCACACTAGTACCATGCTAGACAATTGAAAGTGTGGATATAATTGTTTTTTTTGTTACAAAACTTTGCAAGTGCCCAAAGCAATACATTTGACACTAAACTCATTGCATGGACTGTTTAGCAGGACTGGTGAGAAATGGTAGGATTGGATGCCAATTTGAATACCATATCTTACTTCATCAGCAAATTCTCCACAAGCTTTTCTTAAGTCTGCATGTGGTTCATAACCCTAGTACAAAGATATCCAATGAGTCACATGTCATGGGAATGAAATGTAAAAATAATGCACGATTATAGTACAAATTATTTATAAGAGTCTTAGCAAGAGAAGGATTTGCTGTACCTTTGGTGTTGCAATGTTCAAGTTTATTCCCACTTTTGGTGCAGCCATCATTAAAGAATGTAAAATGTTGTTACCATCACCAACCCAGGCAAGATTCAAACCATCAAGATAACCATAGTGCTCCTGAATAGAAATTTCTTCTGCATAACATAGCAGAGCTGTTTTTAAAGGGGATTACTTTCCAGTTTGGTGACTAATTTACCTGTAATGTTAGAAGGTCTGCCAGTATTTGCAATGGATGAAACAAATCAGAAAGCCCACTGGTAAAAATAAAAAATATCTTTACCAAATGAAGCCATCATGCAAGTCTTTGATTTATTTAGTCAAGGCAGAAATTAATAGTGATTGATACTTGACATACTTAACAACAGGAACTGAAGCATTCTTGGTTAGAGTTCTCAAGTCATCATGAGCATAAACTCTGGCTAAGATCACATCCACAAATCCAGAAAGAACTCTAGATTGAGGGAGAGTTTATCAAATGTAAAAGCACAGAATAAAACCGACTACACTTGCTGCTAGCTGGCTTTCTAAAGCTAAAACCTACCAATATGAACCTTGTAACTAACCTTGCTGTATCTGATAATGATTCGCTTACTCCAAGATGGAGATCACTTTCAGTCAAAAATACTGGATGGCCACCAAGAAGTGCCACCCCTGTGAGATACAGAGGGAAATTGGGTATGTAGATAAGTTTGTTAAATGTATTGAGGATCAATCTAACTGATACATGAGACTACAGCTCAACTTGTCTATGATTAATTAATAATTTATTAAATTTCAAGAAATAAAGTGATAAGAGAACCTGTCTCAGTAGAAACTCTAGTTCTTGTGCTTCTTTTCTGAAAAATCATTGCAACACTCTTGCCTGCAAGTGGTGTGATTGTCTTGAAAAAGAATATTAAAGAGCACTTGTGATAGAGGAAGATTATGTATGAATTATTTTGCAAGAGGTTTAACCAATCATCTCATATATATAATTGCATTGCCATCTGTTTCGTTAATAACCACAACAAGAATTGGCACCTCATTCCATTTCTTAATTCTTTCCTTGAGATCAGCTGCAATCCACAATAAATGTTTGATCTCAAGTTCATTTCTGCCTTTCAATGATAAAAATGTTTCATCCACAAATGAGTATGGATTGTCATCAAAACTGTCTAAACTAATGAAGTAGAGTAACATGTGGTTAGCTTTGCAACATATCAAATCATTTGAACCATGCAGAAAAACTGCGAGGTCCTATTGCTTGTGATAAAAATAATCTAGCTAGCATTATTACTGGAAACTGCATTTCTAAATGGCAGGTTAATGACATACTGTTTGGGTGACAGGTGCTAAATGAAACTGCAGTGGTCACCTCATCTTAGTCACATACCACACCTAACCATTTGTTACAATTTCATAATGCCTGTAACAAAATTATATAACTTTGTAACCATCTGATGGTTACAAATATAATTTCGTTACATTCAAGTTTCCTTGAATTTATTGTACAAACAAGTAAATATAAAACTGTGATAGCAGTGGTCCATACCTATCATCACTCCGAAATCTCTGGGTCAATACAGCTGGATTTCTCTGATATTTGCATAATGTTTGTGAGAGAGGACGCGAAACCTTGCTCAATATATGTCGTAAACTCATTCTGAATTCGAAGCAATAATTTACAATATCAGCACAAAGAAAACGAAAATGTTAAACGTCTACTGTGCATTAATTTAGTAAAGAAAGAGTTTTACAAGTCTAAACGTAGTGGTGAGTGACGTGTTTTTAGTTTTTTCTTAGAGTCACATCCTGATGTATGTGAAAGAATGTTGCTGTCTCTAAGCAAAACAAATATGGCGTCTGACGACGAGGAAATACCAGGTTTGTTTATCTCGGAATATAATATATATATTTGAAAATTTCTGCTTTTATTAAATTATCTGTACTGTCAATTATAACATTTATTTAATTCATGAGCCATTCATATACATTTTTGTTTTTATAGAAACTGGCGCTATTTTTACGTTTGGTAAGACACGATTTGCTGAGAACTTGGCAAATAAATTTTGGATTAGAGACGACAGGGTACTGCAGCTAGCCTGTGGTGACGAGCATTCCGCTGTTATTACAAGTAAGTTGCACTTAGGAATCATATTCTCAGTGATAGCTAAATTATTCTGGGTAAATACACTTTAAAGTTTAAAATGGCTATCAGCTGCAATCAGGCATCATGGTTGTAACAAGAATTCACCATATAATTTTTTTCAGTACCATTAATAGAATATAAGTTTAGATTAAGTGTATAGCAGTTGTCAAACAGTTAGAAAGAAAGGGTGGTGGATCTTGTAACCATGGTGACAAGATAGGAAGTTTATTGGGGGGTGGTACTGGTACCCATGACATGACAATCAAAGTTTCGAGACTTTTGATTGCACTCACACTTTAGTAACAGGAAAGATATTGTGACATAGGTTAGCTTTCCTAGATTTGGAGAAATGAGTTTGATACAACAGATAACAACTCTTGGCAATTATGTGCTGAGAAATAAAGAATTTATATGTATTTTCAGGCAGTGGAAGGTTATATACGTTTGGTAGTAATGATTGGGGCCAACTAGGTCATGGTAATTCTAAACCATACACAAAACCAAGCGTAGTTAAAAGTAAGTGTTATATAATATACTTATATTTAGAATTAATTAGCCATTGCCAACATTAAAAGTATAAGTAATTGGCAGCTAAAGTTCTGATATCTTGGCTACAATTGTTACTCATTTAAGTGAACTAACATTTCCTAATGGAAAGACTAAAATAGTTATTATAAGTTTTCACTGCTCTCCTTTTGGAAATGTATATTGAAGTTATATTTTGCATTGATATTACCAACTAGAATTAAAAGGAGATAAAGTAAAGGCTGTTGCTTGTGGAAGAAGTCATACTTTGGTTATCTCAGGTTACGTATTTACCATTTTAATTGTAATTATTATTACCATTCTAATTGTAATTATTATTCTTTATATACAAATCTAGTCAACTTTGTGTTTTTTCTTTTTTAGAGTCAGGAGTATTTAGTTTTGGAGCAGGTTCTGATAGTCAACTGGGACATGGAGATAATAAGGTTATTGAAGTTTAATTGCAGTGAAAAATCTTTGTCCGTAAATAACCTCAGACACACAGACAGTATTTACTTTATGTTATAGGGTTATAATATTCCAACTGAAATTGAGGCGTTGAGTGATAAAACTATCAATCATGTATCATGTGGTGCTGAACATTCTGCTGCTGTCACCGGTAAGTAATTATAAAAATAATAAAAATTATTAGAGGTATATTCAGTTGTGTGTCATGACCTATGTTTGCAACACAATATTTAACCTGACCGCTAATCTTATCCTTGTTTTAGGCAATGGTGAGCTCTATGTGTGGGGTTCTGGTAGCGAGGGTCAATTAGGTCTTGGAATTTCTGAGTGTGAATTACCCACATTATTAAAATTTAGATCAAAAGTTACGCTTGTTGACTGCGGCTACTACCATACAGCTGTTATCACTGGTAAATTAATATTATAATTAGATGTTGTTCGTTCGTTTGTCAGTTGTGATAATTTGTTTAACATGCATTCAAACCCCATGCATTCATAATTTTGTTCAAGACAGAATGGTAGAAACTAAGTTTTACAAAAAATATTTTCTTAGAGCTTGGTAAACTTTATACATTTGGCGATAATGAAGCAGGCAAACTTGGACTTGAGGATAATCAATGTGAGGATACTGAACAACCGCAACAAGTGAAAACTTTAAATGAACCTGTGGTTTCTGTGTCATGTGGTGGTAACCACACAGCTGTTGTTACTAAACGTGGTAGTTTGTTTACTTTTGGGTCTGGTATGCATGGTCAACTGGGTCATGGACCAGTTTTTCAAGAGGTTGCACTACCTAAACTTGTTTCAATGCTACAAGGGAAATGTGTGGCAGATGTGTCTTGTGGAGAAAGTCACAGTGCAGTTATTACTAAAAATGGAGAGATGTTCACATTTGGGGATGGACGTCATGGTAAACTTGGCATGGGAGATGAAAGCTTCTCAAACCTCTTTCAACCTGCAAAAGTGACAAGGTTTAAAAAGTTTAATGTTGAACAAGTTTCTTGTGGTGGCTGTCACATGTTGGCTGTAGCTGCTAGGAAAACTGGGGACATCAAAGACAGTGAGGAGTCTGAGCAAGATATTAACAAGATTGAAGAACATAGTGGTGAAGATGTACCTGATGGACCTAGATTATCCCAAACTGTACCTATATCTGGAATGACTGCGAGAGATAAGAGACGGAGGAAGGATACAGATGTAAGTATTTTATCATATTTCATCCATCAGTCTGTTAACATCAACAGTATAATTATGCAACATTTCAATCTGCTGAGGCTGTGAGAAGTTTTCAATTCTTTTCCACAGGGTGTTCCTTTAACCAGTTCTCTTCCTCCTCTCAATCGATCTTCACTGCCACCATTGGCTAGTCTTGGGCTGGCAAGTACGAAGAAAGACGAGAAACAGTCAATAAAAAATGGGAAACTTAATCCACTCAACAGATCAATGTTGCCAACCATATCAATAAAAAGTATGGAAAGTTTCTTGTATAGTTTTATTAGAATCGTAGTGACACTGGATCATTGAGAACTGGTAGAGTTATCCAGTATAATTAAAGTTAGTTGACTTTAGGTTTCCTTCTTTTCAATCAATGATTAACTTCTAATGTTGCTAGGTCCCAGCCCAGAGGACGAAGAGAATAGCGTAGAAAAGTTATCCAATTCCAGGCGACTTCCACCTCGTCCAAAACGTAGACAGAAAAAAGTTGAACCCCCGTCCGATAGCGAAGAAGACGATGAGGGAGAACAAAAAGCAAGCACCACTCCCAGACCAACACCTTTACCACGAAAACAAAAAAATACGTGGGAAAAGCAAAAAAATAATGATGACAGTGGTGAGTGTGGTAGAAAACAGTCTTTGCTCGGATCTTGTTCTTACCTTATTTAGCACAACATCCTAAATAATTAAGCTTCGCGCCACGGCCCTGGTTTTAGTGTTTCTTTACTGACTTTTATTCAGGTAATGTCAATAAGTTTCAAAAGGGGCAGAAAACTCGCGAAAATATCGAGAAGTCTGGTTCCGAGGCTAGTGATGAAGATAGTGATGAAGGTAATTACCTTATTTTATTACGTTGACTGCGTTGACTAATATTCTTTCTTCCAATCTGGATATTTGAAGTACTGGAGTTTTTAACGTACATTTCCAGGTGGTGATTCAACGAACAGGCCAAGCTCTTCACAAATTTTCACTCGAAATGGAGAGAAATCCGAACCAAGGACAAGAGAAGGTGTTTCTGAGGAAGGAAGTGAAGAAGACGAAGGAAACCAGGAGGATGGTGTGCAAGAGGATGATAAGGAAGAAAATAAAACAGCGAAAGATGATAGTCAACAAGATATTGAGAAGAAACAAGACGAGGAAGATGACGATGACGAGGAAGAAACTGAAGAAGAAACTGGAGATGAAACTGGTGATGAAGAAGGAGAAGAAGTTGAGGATGAAGCTGGTGATGAAGAAGAGGATAAAATTGGAGATGAAGGTAAAAAAAGACGGGATTAATGTGTCGTCGGCGTGTCATTGAGACTTGATTGATAAGATTGAAATATTTATACTAAATTGACTTATTTAATATAATGCTGCCAGTAAAACTTCTTGTCGACCACTTTTCACATTTCAAATGAACTGTATTCAGTATTTTAACTCATTCACAGGAAAGACGAAAGAGAAAACTAAAGATGAAGGTAAAGATGATGGAAAAGAAGAAAAGGATAAGAAAACTAAAGATTCTAAAAAGGTACTTCCGACAAACTAGACAGAGCTAGTTCACCAGAACACATCGTACTCGTTTAGGAGTATTTATGCTTCAGTTATGAAAGCTCCCATGGTTTGTGTGTAACTTCTTAAAGACCTGCTAACCCTTCTTTGCTTTCCTCTTTGACCATTTTCAAGAGTTCAATTAATGTTCTTCCGTTGAAGGATAAGAAAGATAAGAAGAAGGGAAAGACGAAACAAGAAAAAGATGAAGATCACGATCAAGAAAAGGAAACTAAAAAGGAAGAGAAAAACGAAGAAGACGAGGTGGAAAACAAAGATGAGGTTGAACAAGGGAAGGATGATACAAAAGAAAGGAATGAGGAGAAAGATAATGCGGGAAAAAAGACGAAAAAATCAGGAATTTGTGTTTTGTTGTGAAGTTATGAGAGCTTGCTTTGACATGGAGTATGACTGTGAGGTAAACAATTTTAAAGGCCCCGATGAAGAACATCGATATTTGACTATACTTTGATAACAGAAATCTAGATTTAATTTGACGTTTCGTACACAAAATGATTCTTAACCTGTTTCGTACACAAAATTATTCTTAACCTAATAATATAAATGTTCTTCTTATATGATATATCAGTTTTAAAGATACTTTTAATTTATCTAACGTGTATATAAATATTTATATATTAATAAACATAAATGCACACCCGTTATTTAAATATATCAATGTGCTTTTCTGGCGTTAAAATCCCATAATATATATCTTATAAACTATAACGCTTTACTTGACACAATATTTTTCAAGGTAGTTTATGAGTCTGAATGCCACTGAGTTTGTTGAAAAGCTGGAGTAATGTGGGACAACATTGAATTAAATGATCAAGTGAACCACAGTTGTGACAGAATCGTTTGGTTCTTCGCGGTCTTTGGCACTCGTTAATTTTATGACCTTTCTCATCACAGTTATAACATTTCTTACTGTAACGTCGTGCTCCTTTATTCCTTCTCTCCCCCCTGGATGTACCTTGCACTGTCGCTCCCCCCGGTGCACTCACATTCCCAGCAACGTCTCCTTTAGAACTTGGTACAACTATAAACTCAACGGCCTCATCTTCGGATAAACTTCGGAAACTCTTTGATTTAATGGCGCTCTAAAAGCAACATATTCAATTTCACACCGTTACAAATCTAAGAACGTGAAGACTTTCAAGAAAGGTATTATTACGGCACAATGGTAACTTAATCGAGAGATTTCCATATTTTTATTAGTCTAGATCGAAGAAACGGGTCCCTATGATGAATACCCAAGAGCATTACCTGATGGACAAAGACGTCGTCGCCTCCATCGTCTCTCTTGATAAATCCAAATCCTCTACTCACATTGAACCACTTCACATGACCTCTGATCCTTTCTGATCCCAATTCACCTGAAGTCAGAATCACTTGCTGGTTACAACATTCTGGTGAATGGTCGGGTAGACAGTCCATACAAGAAGACATGGTTTATGGACCTTTATGGTTACCAATGTCAAAACTTCTGAACAAAGACGTTTTTTACAATAGGACACAGATATTGATCTACTAGAATTGTGTAGGCCTTGACATAGACTGATCAAAACCACTCTGTGCTGGACAATAATTTTGGTTTGAAGAGTCAGCGATAAAAAAGGTAGAACGTCGTAATTCTGTTCAAGGATTACCTGACATTGTTGAGTGAAAGCCATGTAGTTTGCACCTTGGTGTTTAATTCATGGCAACACTGAGTAAATATTGACACAGTATGTGCGTGAAATACGAGATTAAATAAACTTGGCGGCAAACAAGTTATCCTCAAAATTGCACGAAACATTTTTAAATTAAAAACACATGTTCGAAACCATTGCAAACAGACCAAACAAACGGCTCATCTATCAAAACGTGAGAGTCTGTTTTGAAATTTGATGGCAGCTGATAAAAGGAAAACACGAGTGGTCTCCATCCAGTCGTCTTTTAACATCTGTCACCAGCCTTTGACTAATAGATTAGTGGTCCGCAAATGGAAACAACGCAGAATCAGAGCGCCGTAAAACACTTTTTACAGAATCACTAGTTTACTGCGCGTTACCGAAATAAACCTTGGTAATATACCGGAGAATGGTATATTCTACCTTGGTGAGGTCGAAACATGGTATGGTACATTCAACTTTGGTAAGGTCCCTTGCCCTTATATGGCATTATGATATTATATTTTATATTATGATGTGATGCTTTCTCTGTTTTTTTCTGAATAATTTTTTATATCAACCTTTTGTAGGAACACACAGAATGACGGAGGTGAGATTGAATCTACCGTCACCAGAGTTCACTGCCCGTCACAATCTACCCGTACCCGTCTACCCGGTACTCAGTGATATTTTACCCCCTTAGTCTCCAGTGGGCTATATAGAGTTCACTGGAGTCTCCACGATAATATTCAAAATGGCCTCCAAGTCTAGTAATAACACGTGGACAAAAAAGACAATAGTGCAATATTTTATTTAAATGTCTTGGAAATATTATTAAACTACAGAATACAAACGTTAAGATATGTGATGAATAAGGAAAAATCAACCAGCTTGCACCACAGCGCATCTGTACCTTTATTGCAAGACAAAACCCTTGAATTAAAAGATTTTTCAGATACAAATGTTGTACGAGAACAGAGTTTGTATCATTTCATTGACGAGGAAAAGACGTCAAGGACTTCAAGAAGACTGGCAGGTCTCTTCGGAAAGTCACCAAGAGAACTTCATTCAGATTATGCCAATATATCGTTACATCAGGTATAAATTTCACTTCATATGAATACTATAATTTGTATGTCCAGACAGAAACAAACCACTACTTCACGAACACAATATAATGTATATATTTAATATTTGTTTTAATAAATAATAATGTGATATATTTACTGTAGGCTGCAAGAGATGGAAGAGTTGACCTTGTTGAAAAAAAGCTTCAATTATTAGGAAAGAATTCTACCAAAATTAGTCAACAGGATAAAGATGGCTCGACTGCTTTGCACTATGCTGTCAGATACAATCATCTTAATATTGTCAAGAAGTTAGTGGAGTGGGGAGCATGTAAGTGTGATTTGTCATAACAAATAATTTAATTATGATAGTGTGATTTCCCTTTTCTGGCACCTCTCTTAAGGCCCTGTTACACCATGCAATTTTTATGCAACTTACAATACAATTGTACTACAAAAGCTTTGTTTTTTATTACACTGTATGGAGGGGAAATTGCAGCATGTAATAGGGCCTTTATTGAATGTATATCTACTTTAAAATGTTCATTCTTTTCTAGACAACAAATATATAATCAATCGGATAAATAAGTTTTTAATTGCATTCCACTCATAGAGGTCTGTTTTGATATCTTAAAACCAGGTGTTGGTTCAAAGGGAGAGAATGGTGCTACACCTCTCCATCTTGCTGCAAGGTTTCAAGTAGACAGACCCATTGAGTCTGTTAAAGGTACATCAAGAACTGTCACACCTGAAGAGACGCCAAAATGTTCAAAGAAACAACTAGAAGCTAAATTAGCTTCTGAAAAATTGTCGACAAACAATACATCACAAAAGTCATACTTAAAACCTCCAAGCTTTGGACTTAGAAAAAGGGATAGTGGAGGTACTGGTTCTAAATTTTGCTATAAAATATATCTGTTTGATAATGAATTAATAAATACTTTTATAAATATTCAATTAAGGATTGGAACTAACCTCTTATTGCAGGTATTGAACGCAAAATTTTAAAGAATGCAATAGATGCTTTGATGAAGGAATCCATCATTTCATACCTCCTTTCTCGAAAAGCAAGCGTGAACGGCTGTGATGACTTTGGATGCACTCCTCTTCATTATGCTGTGTCAAAATGTAATGAAAATGCTGTTGTACAATTACTAGAAGACAAAAACATTGATCTTGAGGTTTGTGCATGAATGTTTACAGGATCTCAAAAAATAATATATATTAAATTTAAGCAAGCAGGGAGCAGGATATGGATTATATTTATTATATAATAATTATTTAATATATAATAATTATTTAATATAATTATTTAATATATTAATGCCTATTTATTATATAATGGTTATTTAAATATATAATGCTTATTTATTACATAATGGCACGTGCACAGCACGCCGGAGTTAACAGCAAAACAGGCACCTTGTTTTATTTAGACCCAAAGAGAAATGTCCCATTTAAACCCATAGAGAAATGTCCCCAAAATGGATTGGATTTCAAAATGATTTCTTTTTATTCAGGCAAAAGACAAGACAGAAATGACAGCATTGCACTGTGCAGCATTAGAGGGCTCAGTGAAAATTGCCAAATTGTTAGTTGATGCTGGTGCATGTTTACGATGCTTTGATGAAGAAGGAATGACTCCTTTACATTTTTCAGCAATGGAAGGTAGTCTGGATGTAGCAAAATATCTTTTTGAAGTTGGTAAGACTGGCATAATTATTTATCTAAACCTTTCAAACACTTTGTCAAAGTTTTCTTCAGTTTGTATATCCAGTTTCTTTATTATCATAGCTGAAAATAAAGGTGGATGGGAAACTCTATCCAAGATGGTCTTAGATCAAGACAGAGAAGAACAAACTGCATTGCATCTGGCTGTGGAAAATGGCCATTATGAAATTGTAAAGCTTCTCATTGAGAAGGGAACAAATGTGAATTGTGTCAAGGCAAATCTGGTGGCACCATTACATCTTGCTACTACAAATGGACATTTAGATATTGTTAAACTTTTGCTCAATTATGATGCAAATATTGAAGCTAAGACAGCCATGCAAAGAACTCCTTTAATGAAGGCAGCAACATTCAACAGAATTGAGATTTTGAACTATTTGTGGAAAAAGTAGGATATAATTTTTTTTTCCTCACCAAGGTTTCAGGAACAATAGTTACTGTATATACCTTGAGCATTGAAGATATTTGTTTTATTTCAGAGGAGCAAACCTGGAGTGTCGCGATCGTGACAAGAATACTCCATTATTGATATCTGGGAAGAAGAACCATATTGAGTCAATGATGTTCTTGTTAGAACATGGTGCTGACCTCAGTGCAAAAGACAAAAATGATAGAAATGTTTTTCATCATGTTGCTGTTGAAGGATGCCTTGAAACATTAAAGGTTTGTACATTCATCTCATCAAATGTATATAATTGCAATTTGCCTGGCTTATAATTGTAATATTTTTATAATAATAAAGTTTGCTAGAGTCTTGAATTATTGTCTAAAGAGACAATTTAAATGTTTTGTAGTATCTTCTGAATGATAAACGCAGCAAGAAATTATTGAATGAACCTGACAAGTTTGAAGATACAGCACTACATTTAGCAGCAAGCAAAGGATTTGATGAGATAGTTCATGTAAGAAACAGTCATGTCTGTAACTACTCAGTTTGATGTGATTTGTTTATGTTTAGTATTTTTGCAGGTTATGTTAGAAAGTGGAGCTGTGATTGATGCTAAAAATGATCAAGATCTTACTCCACTGCACCTTGCTGCAAAGAATGGAAGAACAAGGTTGGTCAATCAAATTGTTATTTTATAAAAAAAAACTTGAAGAATGTTTCCTTAAGTTATTTTAATTTATTTTAGAGTGACAATGATATTAATCAAGCAAGATCCTTCAATTATGAATGATGAAGATGATTGTTCAAACACACCACTTCATCTTGCTGCCCTGCACGGCCATATCCGAGTTGTTGAATTGTTGCTTAACCAAGGAGCAGCTATTGATGCCAGGTAGTATATACCTTACTACAAATATCATAAAAATGAACTGCCTGATATATTTCTCTTTTGTTTCAGAAACAACACGTTATGGACGCCATTAGATTGTGCGGCGGCTGAAGGATGGACAAGAACTGCCACAATTCTTCTTAATAAAGGTTCTCCTGTTGATCCTTTAGATAAATCAAAGGTAAGAATTTTTACTGGTATATATGGTTCCGTAACGCTTGCTAAAAATTAATGAGGAAACCGGAGCATCACTTGTTCAAAGGTATTTTACTGCTATAAGGGTACAGAAGGGTACAGTTTGTGACAAACCAGAAGCTTTCCAATTTTTAGACTACTCCACTTCATCTCGCGTGTCGAGAAGGACATCCTGATATGGTGAAATTACTTTTTTCAAGAAAAGCTGACCTCACAATGACTGATCACGAAGGAAAAAATTGTTTGGATATTGCTATCGATCATGGACGGAAGTAAGTTGATTATTGGTAGATAATCATCTGCGCTTGATGATGATTATTGCCGATGATTATCACAAGCTCATGATGATGATTACCACTGAGTAACCTTCGCTGTTTGCTAGGGTTGTATTAGGAAAACTACAGTTGTATTCAGGCAAGAGTATATTTCCCTGGTGCAATCCTTTGTGTAGGAAATCATCAGCAATTGTCTTAATGTTTCAGAGATGTTGTCTTGGAAATTCTTAAACACGCTCAATGGAAGAAAGTTATGAGAAATCGTACAACAGACGGAGTCACAGTAACTACTCCAATGAGAAAACTCATAAAGAAACTTCCAGATCTTGCAATGAAAGTGTGTGATCGTTGTTTTCATGCAAAGGAACCCGTGAATCATTTGGATTACAACATCACGTTAAATTACGAGTTCTTGGACGATATTAATGCTGAATGGTTTGAAAACGATACCTGCACTGATACTGCAGCAGATGACGGACACGCTATGGAAGATATCGTTTATAAGATTAAGAAGGCTTTACCTGAAAACTCAACAAGACAGCTCCAGACAAAACAAAATCATCCTCTTATACTAATGGTAAGAATTATTACTAACCTTAACTTATGTTACAACCGTAAATATAAGCACGATGATCTCACAATCAACAATTCTTGCTCCATCTGATCTGACTCCTCATGTTTCCTTCTCCCTCGTTTCAGGTTTCATTTGAACGAGAGAAACTCTTGAAACATCCATTGGTCACATTCTTACTACGACACAAATGGCGTCGTTATGGTCGTTATGTTTATTATGCGAGTTTTACCTTCTACATGGTATTTCTACTGTTCCTAACTGGTTATGCTTTGGTTACTAATAAGAAATTCCCTCCTGGTCACTGTGTTGCCCCACAATGTAACTGCAGCTTGTTTCATGGAATTGAAGCAAAGAACGGGTTTGAAACATTCTGGATCAACGTTGGTCGTACCATCATATTAATCATAACAAGTTTCGTCCTTATTATTAAGGTAATCTCGTCGCCTTTTTGTAATTGCCCTGGTTTGTTTTATATCTTAATAACTTGAAAGGGAACACCACAAACGGATTATTTAAGTTATAAAATGAATATATGCTTGTAATAAATACACCTAGTGTTCCCTCAAACTGACGATTTGTTTAAATTCGATTTGTTTAAATTGCCATATTTGTGAGAGACTTTGAAGAGTTTACTTGGTTTGGAAGGGTTCTCTATTTGATAAATTCCTGTTCAGTTATGTATGGTTTCGGTTAGCCTGGTCTGGTTGACGCAGTTTCTTATTTTTCCAGGTTTTCCCTTAATTCAAAATAATTTTTCTTTCGTACGTTTTTTTAGTTATTCAAAGCTGTTTGTTTATGGCGATTATTTCTCACTTGGCATGAGTTGCTTGAACTAGGAACATATATATCTGCGATCGTATTTGTCACGAATAAAAGTAAACGAACACAGTCATCAAGGTATGATAACTGTCCAGAGGAACTTACTGCATGTTCACTTTCTTTATAATATGTCCACGCTCTGATGTTTTGTCCTAATTTATTTTCAGCTGTTTCTATCTTCACAACAGCATTGGTGCGGCGTCCTTGTGTCTTGCATGGTTCACGCTTGTCTTGTCAATGAGAAAATTTCCAAAACTTGGTATTTACGTCGTCATGTTCACTGAGATGTTCCGGACGTTTGCCCAGTTCTTCGTTGTGTTACTTCTTTTTATAATTGCATTTGGTTTGGGATTCCATGTTCTCTTGTACAACCAGGTACGACATCGCAAATATTCATACTTTGGGTTACCACTTCCTTGGTCTGTTACTCCGTGTAAGACGATTTTTACCATTCGCCTACAATATCTAATGCTGTAAGAGTATAACAAAAGTACCTTTCGTCTTCTTTAAGGTTCCATTTTCAACGCCAGGTCGTTCAATGTTGAAAACTACAATGGGAATGTTAGGAGAATACGAATATGACACTGTATACAATGAAGGATATGTTCCTCCTGTCACCTGGGCTGTCTATGTTGGTTTTCTGGTTATCAATTGTGTCATCATTGTCAATTTACTTGTAAGGAAGACATGAACGTTTTTATCACAATATTTCAGAGATGATAGAGATGTAATGCTCTATGATTTTAATTTAAGATTGGATTGGCTGTTGATGATATTAAAGGCGTTCAAGACAAAGCTGCTCTTAAACGTTTAGCAATGCAGGTAAAATACTCATTTTCAAAGTTTTGACGGTTTTTCATATTCAATAATCGTGGTAAAATTATTGTTTTAGGTTGATTTGGCGTTGGATGTGGAGAAAGTTCTTCCGTTGTTTCTTCGCCGAAAACTTGTCACGATGAAGGAAACAGTTTATCCAAATAGAGAAGGATATCGGAGTATCTGGTCTTTCTGGCACCAGACTCTCACAACTCCAGCACAAGTTATTAATGATGCTTTATATCCTGCAACGGTAAGCATAAGAATTTTTTCTACGCTGTCCCTGTGCATTGCAACACATGGGCTAAAAATGGTAAATATGATTTTATAAACAATGTAGTCACCAATTGAGAGAATTCATAAACAACAAGAGCTTCTACAATATGATGTGACCAAGATGAAGACGAGGTTGAAAACGTTGCAGACTCGTACTGTTCGTCTGGAGGCCATGTTGAAGGCGATCCTAGGACATCATGGCATTGATATCAAACCTGAAATTGACGAAGACGATGCAGAACTTAAGTGGGATACTTCAGATGATGAAGATAGATATATTCCAGGGTAGAATCTGGTGTACGAAATAGAATTATAAATTCTATTGGTCTATAAATTCTATTTCTGATAGAATGGGGTCAACGAATTAGAGAATGGAGTGAGTAAAAAGTAAAAACTTCTGGTAAAAAGTTTGGCATAATTTGCCATGTCCCTGCCTGAAAAATGTAAACAAATATGTGGATTTTTTCAAAATTAAATTCCTTCCTGTTGATTCCCATACAATGCTTATAGCTATGTAACCTTTATCATTCTGCAGGAATTGGGTCTAAAAGTAGCTATTGGTGACCTGGTGTTTAATGAAACAAAATGAACATCTTTATTAGGTGAAAATTTTTCCACGTTTCAGTGCATGCAGTGGTTTAGAATTCTTGAATTTGTGAATTCTTATTTAATTTAAAGTCTCCAAGGAAAGGATTCAATGGAATAAAAAACTTTCGTGTTTCACCACAAGTAGCCGTGGCCGAGTGGGTTAGGACAGTGGTTAGTCTGTTGACGTTGGTGGTTCAAGCCCTTGCAATGTTAAAAATTAAGTTGCAAATTCTTATTTAATTTCAAAGTCTAAAAAAAAGGATTACATGAACTAAAAAACTATTGTCTTTCACCACCAGCAGCAGTGGCCGAGTTGATAAGGACAGTGGTTAGTCCAAAAGCGGTGGTGGTTCAAGCCCTTGCAGTGTCAAAACATGAGTTGCGAATTCTTATTTAATTTAAAGTCTCTAAATAAAGGATTAAATGAAATAAAAAACGTTCGTCTTTCACCACAAGTAGCGGTGGCCGAGTGGGTTAGGACAGTGGTTAGTCCATAAGCGGTGGGTGGTTCAAGCCCTTGCAGTGTCAAAAATTAAGTTGCAAATTCTTATTTAATTTCAAAGACTTGTAAGGGTAAGGTGAAAAAATTCTAAGTCTAAAAAATTCTAAGTCTCACCACCAACACTGATAGCCGGCGGTGAAAGACTTAGAAAATTTAAAATGTCTAAAGTCGAAGAAAGGATTAAGTAAAAAAAAAAACTGCCGTCTTTCACCACCAGCAGCAGTGGCCGTGTTGGTTAGGACAGTGGTTAGTCCATAAGCGGTGGTGGGTTCAAGCCCTTGCAGTGTCAAAACATGAGTTTCAAAGACTTGGAAAATTTAAAATGTCTTAAGTTGAAGAAAGGATTAAGTAAAATAAAAAACTGTCGTCTTTCACCACCAGCAGCAGTGGCCGGGTTGGTTAGGACAGTGGTTAGTCCATAAGCGGTGGTGGGTTCAAGCCCTTGCAGTGTCAAAACATGAGTTTCAAAAATCGCAAAATTGGAAAATTGGAGAGTCAAAATTGGACGTTTCAAAGAAAAATGGAAAATAAAAAAAATTCAAAGTTTAAAAAAAAAAATTGGAAGTTTCAAAACAAGAAAAAAAATTCGAAGTTTGAAAAAATTCGAAGTTTCAAAAAAAATGGAAGTTTAGAAAAAAAGAAAAAAAATTCGAAGTTTCAAAAAAAATTGGAAGTTCCACCAAAACAAGAAAAAAAATTCGAAGTTTCAAAAAAAATTCGCAGTTTCAAAAAAATTGGACAATCAAAAAAATTCGGAATTTCAAAAAAAAAATTGGAAGTTTCGAAAAAAAATAAAAAAATTCGAAATTTCAAAACAAAATTGAAAAGACAATGCAAGGGCTTGAACAAGGGGGGTGAGTGGGAGGAAAGGGAGAGAGGAGAGGGAGAGAGGAGAGGGAGAGAGGAGAGGGAGAGAGGGGAAGGAGAGAGGAGGGGGGGAGAGGAGGGGGAGAGAAGAGGAGAGAGGAGAGGGAGAGAGGAGGGGGGGAGAGGAGAGGGAGAAAGGAGGGGGGGAGAGGAGAGGGAGAGAGGAGAGGGAGAGAGGAGGGGGGAGAGAGGAGGGGGGGAGAGGAGGGGGGGAGGAGAGGGGGAGAGGAGAGGGGGAGAGGAGAGGGAGAGAGGAGAGGGAGAGAGGAGGGGGGAGAGGAGTGGAGGAGGAGAGAGGAGAGGAGGAGAGAGGAGAGAGGAGAAGAGAGGAGAGAGGAGAGGGGGGAGGAGAGGAGGAGGAGAAGAGGAAGAGAAAAGAGGGATCTATGCACTCCTATCTCTCCCTCTCCTCTCCCTCCCTCTCCCCCCCCCTCTCCTCTCCTCCCCTCTCTCCCCTCTCCCCCCCTCCCTCTCCCCCTCCTCCTCCTCCCCTCCTCTCTCCCCTCCTCTCTCCCCCTCCTCTCCCCTCTCCCCTCCTGTCTCTCTCCTCCCCCTCCTCCTTCCCCTCCTCTCTCCCCTCCTCACTCCCCCTCCTCCTCCTCTCTCACTCCCCCTCCTCACTCCCCCTCCTCACTCCCCCTCCTCTCTTCCCCTCCTCTCTCTTCCCCTCCTCTCTCTTCCCCTCCTCTATCTCCTCTCTCTCCTCCCTTCTCCTCCTCTCTCTTTCTCCCCACCTTGTTCAAGCCCTTGCATTGTCTTTTTAATTTTCCGACTTTCAATTTTGTTTTGAAACTACTTTGTTTTTTTTTACTTTGAATTTTTTTTCTTTTTTTTTTTGAAACTTCCAATTTTTTTGAAATTCCGAAATTTTTTAATTAACTGTCCAATTTTTGTTTGACTTAGACATTTTTTCCCTTTTTCTTGAAACTTCCAATTTTTTTTTGAAATTCCGGATTTTTTTAACCGTCCGATTTTTTTTTTTACTTACACCTTTTTTCCCTTTTTTTTGAAACTTCCAATTTTTTTTTCAAATTCCGAATTTTTTTAACCGTCCGATTTTTTGTTTTTACTTAGACCTTTTTTCCCTTTTTTTTTGAGACTTCCAATTTTACATTTTAAATTTTCCAAGTCTTTGAAACTCATGTTTTGACACTGCAAGGGCTTGAACCCACCACCGCTTATGGACTAACCACTGTCCTAACCAACTCGGCCACTGCTGCTGGTGGTGAAAGACGACAGTTCTTTATTTTACTTAATCCTTTCTTCGACTTAAGACTTTTTAAATTTTCTAAGTCTTTGAAACTCATGTTTGGACACTGCAAGGGCTTGAACCCTCCACCGCTTATGGACTAACCACTGTCCTAACCAACTCGGCCACTGCTGCTGTTGGTGAATGACGACAGTTTTTTATTTTACTTAATCCTTTCTTCGACTTAAGACTTTTTAAATTTTCTAAGTCTTTCACCACCGGCTATAAGTGTTGGTGGTGAGACTTAGAATTTTTTAGACTTAGAATTTTTTCACCTTACCCTTACAAGTCTTTGAAATTAAATAAGAATTTGCAACTTAATTTTTGACACTGCAAGGGCTTGAACCACCCACCGCTTATGGACTAACCACTGTCCTAACCCACTCGGCCACCGCTACTTGTGGTGAAAGACGAACGTTTTTTATTTCATTTAATCCTTTATTTAGAGACTTTAAATTAAATAAGAATTCGCAACTCATGTTTTGACACTGCAAGGGCTTGAACCACCACCGCTTATGGACTAACCACTGTCCTAACCAACTCGGCCACCGCTACTTGTTGTGAAAGACAAGAGTTTTTTAGTTCATTTAATCCTTTTTTTGGAGACTTTGAAATTAAATAAGAATTCGCAACTTACGTTTTGACTCTGCAAGGCCTTGAACCACCACCGCTTATGGACTAACCACTGCCCTAAACCACTCGGCCACCGCTACTTGTGGTGAAAGACACGAGTTTTTTATTTAATTTAATCCTTTCTTTGGAGACTTTAAGACACTTTTTGAACAGTTGAAAAAGTCGTCAAAATTGACCAAAATGGTAAGGGTAAGCCTTGCTGTTTTGGTCATTTTTGATGATTTTTCAATGTTCAAAAAACTAACCAAATATGCTCTAAAATGAAAGATATTAGTCTTAGGAAGCAATTTTCAACATTTTAAGACAATTTTAAAACAGTTGAAAATGTCGTCAAAATTGACCAAAATGGTAAGGGATAAGCCTTACCATTTTGGTCAAAATTGACAACTTTTTTAATGTTCCAAAAACTAAGCAAATATGCTCTAAAATGAAAGATATTAGTCTTAGGAAGCCATTTTTTGCATTTAAGACAGTTTTTGAACACTGGGAAAAGTCGTCAAAATTGACCAAAATGGTAAGGGGTAAGCCTTGGAGAAAAACGAAAAAAAAACTAAAAAATTGACCAAAATGGTAAGGGGTAAGCCTTGGAGAAAAACGAAAAAAACGCCGCCAAAAAGCCTGAGGCTACAGTGATGTTCCTATACACAAAAATACACAAACAATAAAGACATACAAATTGTAAAGGCAAACATAGCCTAGGTATGTGTGCTATAATATTCCTCTGCCTGATTCCTTTGCAAACGACACCATGATTGTGAGTTGACAATTTCCATTGTGAGTTGACAATTTCGATTGTGAGTTGACAATTTCGATTGTGAGTGGACAATTTCGATTGTGAGTTGACAATTTCGATTGTGAGTTGACAATTTCCATTGTGAGTTGACAATTTCGATTGTGAGTTGACAATTTCGATTGTGAGTTGACAATTTCGATTGTGAGTTGACAATTTCGATTGTGAGTTGACAATTTCCATTGTGAGTTGACAATTTCGATTGTGAGTTGACAATTTTCATTGTGAGTTGACAATTTCCATCGTGAGTTGACAATTTCGATTGTGAGTTGACAATTTCGATTGTGAGTTGACAATTTCGATTGTGAGTTGACAATTTCCATTGTGAGTTGACAATTTCCATCGTGAGTTGACAATTTCGATTGTGAGTTGACAATTTCGATTGTGAGTTGACAATTTCGATTGTGAGTTGACAATTTCGATTGTGAGTTGACAATTTCCATTGTGAGTTGACAATTTCCATCGTGAGTTGACAATTTCGATTGTGAGTTGACAATTTCGATTGTGAGTTGACAATTTCGATTGTGAGTTGACAATTTCTATTGTGAGTTGACAATTTCCATTGTGAGTTGACAATTTCGATTGTGAGTTGACAATTTCGATTGTGAGTTCACAATTTCGATTGTGAATTGACAATTTCCATTGTGAGTTGACAATTTCCATTGTGAGTTAAAAATTTCGATTGTGAGTTGACAATTTCGATTGTGAGTTGACAATTTCCATTGTGAGTTGACAATTTCCATTGTGAGTTGACAATTTCGATTGTGAGTTGACAATTTCCATTGTGAGTTGACAATTTCCATTGTGAGTTGACAATTTCCATTGTGAGTTGACAATTTCCATTGTGAGTTGACAATTTCGATTGTGAGTTGACAATTTCCATTGTAAACTGGTCCAAAATGATCTATCGCATGCGCTTGATACGACCAGACTTCATGCAAAAATCATGCACAGGCGGAAAACTTGAAAATGAAGGAGGTAAACAGAAGAGTGTTCAGTTTATATCTCAATCAAAAAAGCCAAATTCCATTCAATTTTTACTCCTGCATATTGTCGAAATCGAGTTTTGTATTTGCGTGTATTCGGTAAAACAAAAGGACAGAGAAGTCTAGCATAAAGTACATTCATATAAAACAATACAAATAATTATATAGGTATTCAGTTTCAATCCGTCTTTTCCTTTCAAAACGAGTATTCCCTAGGATAACCCTGTCCGAAAAACGAATAGGGCCAGAGTTAGTTTCAGTCATAAAGTTCGAATTCATTTATATACAGGGTGTCCCAAAAAAAACGAAAACTATTGAAATCACCCATAACAATGCCATTGTTAGAGTTTGAATGCCTAAGCACTCTGTTTGGCGCACAAGTGTATAAATTGGGGTTGCCATAAGCATTTTTATGCATGCATATGATGCAGTCAAATTTGCTTGTTCGCAAAAATGATATTTATTAACAATATTTACAATTTACAAATATGGATAACAATATTTAAATGTGCATCTCTTCGACATGTCCCCTTTCTCTAGCAAATCAAAGCATTTAGCATTTTATAAGTTGCATTAAATCCCCACAGGCTGAAATTCGTGAACACGGCATTCAAATTTTAACAATGAGTGATTTCAATAGTTTTCGTTTTTTTTGGGACACCCTGTATATCAAAACCACCCTGACTGTCCGTAAACAAAGTGCAAACGTGTTTTTTCAAGTCACAAATGCAAAATACACATATACTAATAGAACAATACCTATTATTCGCTGCGAGCAAGCCTTTACGTTTCTCCTTCCCCATCTTTCGGCCCCGTAGTTCGTTCTGAAATCAAATAAGCAAGGAAAAACTAAATTAAAGTAACAGCTCACTTGCATTAGACATTTTCAATCGAGATATACAAGATATAGCAGTAAAAATCGGCAAAAATATGACTTCCCTTTCTCACGTCTTCCCACGCTATTCAAATCAACACAGATATCAGTCAATTTGTTTACTAAGCCAAAATTATAAAGCCAAAGATCAAGCCAAAAACCTACAGCACCAATATATTTTGCAAGTTGTTTGCCTTCATTAGCTTTCACTTACTCAGTTCATGCGTTTGTTTGCCAGGACGAAGCTCCTTTTTTAGTCCAACTAATAAACTGGAAAGACTTTCAAAACTTTCTCTTCACTCAACTGAATAACATAAAATGTTTATTTCTGAGAACATTTATAGCACTAAATATCTTGTCTTAACATCTTCATAATCTTCTACCGCAATTATATCATAAGTTACTAACTCCACAGGAATATTATTCACAGCCATTAGCTTGTAACGAGAGTAACGAAACACAGAGGTAATTGATGGAAATTTACCAGCATCGAATGTATCAATAAGGGAAGTCTTGCCACATCCTTGCTTACCAACAATGTTTACCTGAAGATATAAAATATCATTTCTCTTTGATTTCGTCAATGCTGGGTTTCCTAAATGTCATGAAAAAATTAGTTAAATAACTACTTTCATATCCAAGGTTAACTGTTTTCATATCCAAGGTTATATCAAAGGTTTAATCTTTTATGGTTTAAACCAGGTGTCTAAAATAGGCTGGTGAACATACAAAAAATTTGCTAAACTAAGATATGAAAAGCAATAAACCTACCATTGTAAAACGCTTCTTTAACCTCATTTAACGTAAAAACTTCTTTAACGCTATTTTAACGTAAAAAATGATCATCATTGGCCATTGCAGGCAAAATCAGAGCTCGAAACTTTTTATAACCTTGTACGCAGAGTATTTCATATTGTTTATGGCTTTTTGTTAATCAAATCAAATTCTGTATATTCTCTGCCCAAGGCAAAACACCCAGGGCACTACAGCAAAACTGAAAAAAAATACAACAATTATGTCAATAAAGCTGAAGATAAATCTAAGAGTAAAGACACACATATTACAGACCACACAAATTGAAAAAATACGACGATTAAGAAAAAATTATCCTAACTGCATCATAGTATTTTTATGTATAAATATTACAAAGTGAAATAAATAATCGTATATGTTAAAAAGGACTATCTACGAATTTGATCTAGTGTTGGAAAACGTTATCTATAGTGACCATTAAGTGTTGGAGCAGTTCACCAGCAGTGCATGCTCATATGGGTGCAATGAAAAAAGATTGAAGTTCAATAATGTTGCGACATTATTGTAAAAACATGGAAGAAACCTAAACTAAACTAACTTTTTTATACTGGATAGCTCCATCAGTTCTAAACTGTTCTTCCTAGAGGCTAGAGGTCTAGTAAGGATCATTCCTTACCAATACTGTTCATTGTTTCTAATCGAGAATGAAGTCTTTTAATCATAATCATTCCTTTATATCTGTGAAAAACAAAACACATGGTCTGATAAGTTTGTGGTTCATTAAATACTGTAACTGTGGTTCATGAATATTTGAAATAGTTGATCTTAAGAGATTTTGGTGGAATAGTTTGATTGACCTCAGTAGAAATTTGTAAAGTCTTGATATACCTTGGCTGGTGTTTTTTCCATGCAAGGAACATTTTGACGGTCTTCTGAATCGTGACACAAGCTTTTGCTCTGAACTTGATTTTGTTTGCCGCTGTTGAAGGAAGACATGAGAGTTAGAACCAGCCTTTTTACTTTATATCCAAGATCTCTCTGCGAAGTCAAGCATAGAGCATTGTCACATTTCTGGACTGAGATTGCGCACCATATCGCTTTCTTCCAGCGATTGACAACAATCCACCTTGAAACTTTCGATACAAGAGCTTTTAGACTCTCCTGAGGATCTGACTGCATTATCTGATCAAATACTGCAAACTACAATAATGAAAATTATTTTAGTGGAAACCTTTCAATAAATCAATCACCTTAACAATGCTACAATAATCTTACATTTGCTGGTGTAAAAATACTTTCGTCAACCCAAACTTGAAATCTTCAGGATCCATGCCGACTGCTCAATATCTATATTCAAATCTACGCTACACTGGGACAGTTGTCAAGTTGATGGTGCCATTTCTAGCGAATTTATTAAGAAGTTCTAAAGCAATCTGAATAGAATTGGGTGCATCTTATGTCCCCCTTGCACCTGTGAGTAAAAGGATCTGCAGAGAGCAGTTGCCCCTGCATTTTAACACAATAAGGGATTTTAACCCAGAGGCCAAACATAACAGCACTGTTTAATGAAGAAATGGAATTCACTATAGATCTTTGTTTGGCGCAGAAATGGTCACTGTTTTTTTGCCAAACATGAAATGGAGGGAAACCGGAGTGCCCGAAGAGATAATCTGGCCACCATATGGACTATTTTTCACGGCAGTACATTTATACATTATCAACATTTTTCATCTAACCAATCTTCAAAAATTGCCTTGCAATTTTTAAGGGTTCCTCAAATGATCCTGGTGGTCTGAAACATGTACAAAGATTTATTGAAATTGACTTAACATGCCTAAGGCAATGGCATAAAAAATAGACCTATGGGTAATGGAGATTTTGGAAATCGTTGTTAAATCTAAGGAAATTGTTGTTAAAGTCTGGCACTTCTGGAGGCTCACAATTGTTTTTACCATTAGACTATAAGCACTTGCTAAACACAGCGTGTTTGAATATATCAGTGGAAGGCTTAGTATATATGACATTGCCTAATGTGGTGATTGTGGGATCATTACTCGCTCACTGCGACTGCGAGAAATGAAGTGAATGAAGGACATTTGAACCAAACTCTTTCAGTTTGCGAGATTATTGTCTTAAGCACCAGACCATCAGCACATGATGTTAAAGGCTACATAAGAAACCCTCACTTAAAAACTTACGCTATGATCAATACAGTGACTTTAAAACTGGTAAAAAAATTATCTGGCGTCCGATCAAAAGTGATAGCTGTTAAATAGTTCCGCCAGGACAAATTATGTATCATTTGCATGTACTACAAGAGATCAGTGCATGAGACCCGGTGTCTAGCAAAAGGTTTAACAAGGATTAAGTACAAAGAATACAATGTCTTGAGCAGATTAGCAGCATGTTGCTATCTTTGAACAGAAAATATAAATCATTTAGTGCTTTATTAGCAACAAGAATAATTACGTTGAATAAAAATAAACCATAGGATTAACTCTTAATATATAGGTCACCACAAGCAGCAAGTATTGTTATTACTTTATCTGACACAATAATTTTCTTCCGAAGTATGCACGATGTTTGCACGACTATACACGACGTTTGGACGAACCTAGTGTTAGTTTTTCATTCCTATAATGGCTAATTGTAGCATTAACCTTCGTTAAAATTCCAAATCCAATAAATTAGTTCACAGATGACAAATTACGACAGAAAACTTGGCTGTGTTTTAAGATATTGACACAAGCATTACTCTATGTACTGTAGACTGCTTATCACTTTCTAATGCTCAAATGATGTTTTGTTTTCAAATCCTTTAAAGTGGGCGTCGAAATCTAGCATTTATTGCACTTGTTATTAATAAGGAGTCATTAAAGGATTTTCAGCTTATACGAGTGTTCGTGATTAAAAAACAATAATATTCACTCAACACATTTGTGTATCTTCCTTATATCTGAGTAAACCCAACACAAACGACAGCGTCTAATCAATTTGATATATTTTAATTCTATGTCTTAAAAACATTTTAATCACTATAATTTTCCATTCTAATAATGCTTCTCTTTTGCGCTTTTTGCATACAGATTATATATTACGATAGTAAATTACATGGCTAGGCATTGAATATAAGTGTCAAGGTAAATATGAAAGACTAATGACGAGCCTTTGTTTACCGTTTGTTTAATCATTTGAGATGTGCGTGTGTGTGAAACAGTCCTTGAGGTGATTGAAACACTTACCGAAGTTGCAGGCATAAACGTCCACTCAATATTCCTTTGGCTGATCAATCTACAACTAGGTAATTAAAATATAATATATCAATATAAATAATTAGGATATTCTTTACATTTAAAAGCAGAATTGTGGTTTGAAATACATAAAAAATCTAGCTATCATCCGATATATATGTATGATCAAGCCTCAATCTGTAATATTACATGTTCATCATCGCGCGGTCCGTCGCGATAATATATCAGGGTCCATCACACCTTTTTTTGGTACGTATTCATAAAATGCATACGGGTGGTATACATTTGATTTTTATTTTACAGCGGCGATAGATGTAGCTTTTATAGTCATTCTTTCCAAATAGCAATCTCCAAATATTTTCATTTTTAATACTTCAAGCATAAACCTTTATCATTCTTCAAAATATAGCGTAGTAAGTTCACAAACATGGTCAGTTCCAAAACATCTTCAAATTGTTCCGTATGTTAGTTTCGTGCATTAATTCCAGCTCCGTAATTATACGACGCCTCGTGTATGGATCTTCAAAATTGCCACTTATATTCTCAATACATAAAATACAATGCAATACAATCAATGCAATCGTTGGCACGCTGCATGGTTTTGAAATTTCAGAGACCAGCCCAATTCTTTAAATCATGAATGTACGAGGAACTAACTTGATATACGATTTCATGAGACATTTTTAATAAGCGAACAGATTGCATTAACGATGATGAATCCGATAATGAATCAACTATACCCAGAACTAATACCTAAAATCTGTAGGATTATTATAATAATAATTCGGCTAAAACGAATGTCGCAACCTGCTTCTGAACCTCTTGTATCAAATAGCCCTTGTATATTTAAGTCGTGTCCTGAGGATTCTCTGACAAACGTTTAGTTTGGTGACAGCAATTATAACATTGAAACGAAACAATTCCACCACAATTTCGTGGATAATCGCAAGAGTTTGCTTATTGAAAGGATATTTTAAATTTTAAATTAATGCTTCTTAGAATATTGGGATTCGCAGAATATATTCAAAACTATTTTGTCACATAAATAGGGCAAGAGTTATATGATTGAACGAAATGTGTTGCGACATATAGTCTGATTTGCAAGACACCTGGCTACAATGAAGTGATGAAGTTGTTTGTACTGCATATGAGTTCATTAGAACTCACTTCAACCTGAACTCGCACAGCTGTTTAAATAATTCGGGAACAAAACAATTCATTTTTGTTGAAGAAAGATTTATAACTAAGGATATGGATGTGTTGAGGATAATTTCGACGGGCTTAAGAATTGTTTAGAAATATTTTCTTGCTTTCTACCAATGATGCTGCTGACTGCATCGATAGATTTTTTAAGCGAGATATGTTTATTGAAGAACAACCAGAAAAAACCAACCCATTCGTATTACTGCCCCTATTGATGCCTCTTACAATTTTTTTAAACTTTGAACATGGTCAATTACTACAGTATGAAAACTAGCCTAAAATTATATGTATATTATACATATTTTTTCATTACTCAACTTCATTGTTTTAATTAAGCACAAGCAGCTGTGTAAGGAGATTCACTGCTTGCTGTAATTAACCTAGCAACAACCGTCGTTATGTTTTAAATATTATCTCCCCAGCATTAAGAGAATGAAACTGAATTCTTATCAGATCTTAATATTTCCTAGCACTCAATGACGTCATCAAACGACGAGATTGGCGAGAAGATCAAACGACCAATGAATGCGTTCATTTTGTGGTCACGTGAACGACGCCGTGAACTAGCAAATGAAGATCCGAACATGCATAATTTTGAAATCAGCAAAAGACTTGGTATCGAATGGAACCGCCTTGATCCGAAAGAGAAGAAGCATTTTTACGACGAAGCACAGAAGCTTAAAGAAGAACATCGCAAGAATTATCCCGACTACAAGTACCATCCAAGACGCAAACCACGGCGTCGCTTTAGTCCCATCAACCCACCCCCTCATTATAGAATGACGTATTATCTTCCAGAGAAAGGCTATCAACATGCTTATCAACCATATCCGTCCAGGCATCATTGGTTTACCAACACCACCTTATCCAGCACCATTCCAACCTCTGATATAAGGTATTACCCACAACCCCATATTCTCATGAATGGAAGTGTTCCTATACCCGCGGCGTATTATGGTATAAAAGATATCCCATCATCCTGGAGTTGGCAAAAAGAAGCAACAATGGAAAGTAAAGAGTGTCCAATGGACATGGTTTCTCGCCTCACTCCCACCGGCCTAGTTAAAAGAGAAGAATTATTGCGCCGCGCGGCTGAAAGCAGCTTGGAATTTAATACCGGGAAACATGAAACAGTTGAAAAGAGCCTGGAAACAAGTAGACATTCGGGATATCATCGTGATGTGTCGTCTTCACACGTATGTCTCGGGTGTCATGGAGGAGTGCCGATATTTTACCCAGGAATACAGTTACCAACAACTCCCAGTTCGTAAGAACTTCACAAAAACTACAGAAATAAGCATTAAAGGCATGCGAGGACAAACAAACTACAATTTGCTAGCTTGTGCAGTATCAATACCTGACTAACACGTAAATAAATATTGGGAGGTTTTCCTGTGTATTTCAGGCATTTGATTAACTAGTTATACATTTTGAAGTAATCGAGAAAAACAAATAATTTATCACGTTATGATCGTCGAGAAGAAAAATAATTAGTTTAATTAACAAGTGAACGGACATATAAAATTATGATGTACTTCATAGTGCAAGAACGTGACCCTGTCTGAATTGCTGACAGTATATGACGAAAACTACAATAATTTTACTAATCTATAGCCTATAAATAGTTTCCATCGCTAATTAAAACAGTTTAAAATGAAGTACTCTCATAATGTCTTAAAATTTCATTCAAACCAATTCTCAGTTACCAAATATAAATTAATGAAAAGATATGAAAATAGCTTGATTATTCGGCTTTCTCTTTCAACATCGCCTTTCTATAAGCTGGGTATAGAAGCACAACTCTGGTGATAACCTCATTATTTATGCTTTGAGATAAAATATACCACAGAATACCAATCGTCTGTTGCACAAACCATACGAGAAATATCACTTTGTAAAAAATCATTGAAAACAGAAATAACACATGTTGTTTTTTTCTTATACGGAGTAAGGCATGCTGGATATGATGTGATATGTAGCTTTAATTACAGAAGTGTTTTTGTGGCATAGCTATATATATAGATTTCTATATACCTACATATAAAATATTCAAAGTCTGCGGTCAAAAATGTTTTACAGTTTTGTGATCATATTGTGATCTTGGTTTTTCCGCGTCTTAACGGTAATCATGTCCTTACGATTATTAATTTCTTGCATAATGTCAGCTGCGCATTTCTTAGTCTCCCACGTTAATTGAGGAAACAATTTCGTATTTCATCATCATTTGCATGTTTTAATTTACGCCACAGAATGAGTTGTTTTAATTCATGCTTGACAAACACTGCATATCATTACAAAGTGAACTTCTGTTTCAAAAGGCAGGTGTATTTGCAATCGAAATGGTTGATGTCTGCGTTTCCTTTGCACAAAAAGTGAAACAACGTGTTTATTTTCTCAAGCAATCAATGGTAAGTACTCAGCGCATTCACATCAAATTAAATATATAAACATTATTATTGCTGGATATTTTCACAAAATTGTTTTACTTCAAGTTCCAATGCGTAGGTACGTTTCGTTTCAACGTAATCATCATTGTGTATATTTTTCAATTATTACTGCAATACATCAAAATAAAGAAATTCTTAATCATAACTTTATCCCTACAGGTCTTTTTACTATATATTCTCAGTGTGAGATGGACCAAATCATGTATGTAGAAAAGATCGAGAAACATAAAACTGACTTAAGCTAAGGAACATAAAATTATGCCGGTGTATTCTATGAATGTACTATAGCTTTCTCGCTGATGTTATCGCGTGATTCGTGTCATGCATTGTTTATTGACTTTAACTCTCGAATACAAAATCAAACGAAACTAGGTTTGCATTAAAAAAACCCCGTATAATTTGCTTCTTTGTCTGAAACATCCATTAACCAGTGTTTGAACGAAATTTCGCTGTGCGCGTGGTTTACCCAATGTTCTTTGCGAACTTCAAAAGCAAGGACGTCCTTGTGGTTAATTACGGCAGGGAAGATCTAGAACATTAAGTAATTAAGCAAAAAAGTATTTTTCAATCACTTCCATTTAAGTTAGTTCGCCCCAAACAATTTTCAGTTGAAGCAATCGTGTTTAAAATCAGCGCAGTTAAATAAAATGTAGAAATACTATACGAATCAGTGAAAATTTGCATGCACGACCTTTTAACCCTAAATCGTTTAAGGCAGAAAATTCGAGACTTTCTTTTACTAATTTAGAACTCGTTAAGCATTGACAGGAGCACGCCTGAAGAATGTGAAAAATATTAATCTAAGAATTTATCTGCATTGAGAATTTCACCTATGTAAATCTACATCACTAACAATTTGACCACTTTAATCTTATTCTAGAACACTTTACAGAAGTATCTTGCTTCATTTGTTTTTGCATTTCAATGCCTTTATATTTATCTTAAATATCGTTAGCTAAGATAACGGCGCTTTTGAAATAAAAGATTGACTTATGTCATAATCATTGATAATCCAGCAGCTTGACCTTGGAAAAGTCCTCTAATAGACAAGAAAATTTCTCAATCAACAGAATGAGAATAGCAACAAGAGAAGACACGCATTCCAGACATATTATAAACTGTCTTGGTTTCTCTCTGATACATAAACAGGCGAGAATTATGAAAGAAAAAAGCTGCGAAGAAGACATACGTCTTCTGAAATAAATATAATCAAACTATAAAGTTGCTTTATTACGAACAGATTGTCTCTGCATGCTAACAATATAACTACGATAAGATCGCCTTTCTATTCACGACAACAAAAACTATTTTCACTGCTTAAAATATTCAATGAATAATTAGTTGTCGACTTTAGCATGATAATAGAAAACGTGGCAATTATTTCATCTTACAGCGCCGTTTAAGGTGATATTTTGGTGAAGATCTTCTCGAATTTCTAGTCTTTACTCTTTACCCAAACACCGGTTGAAGAAAAGAAAATCATAAATTTGTTCATGAAAGACTGAAAGTTTAACGATCGTGATGTCTCTGCATGAGATATATGAAATATATCAACACCATGCCTCAGACGTTTTTTAAAAACATTTAAACAAATCCCAGTGTGACAAACAATATCATTGTTCAATGGGATACTTGAATTTTAATTACACAACATACATTAAAAACGAAACATGATTAAAGGCAATATTGATAATGTTCTTGGGCAGCACATTTCAAAATTTAAGCTTTACGAAATCTTAATTTCTCATATCATCCATAAGACCGATGACATTTACGAATCTGGATTATGTTTCTAACACAGTAACACGGAACTAACAACTGATATCTAACGAAGTTGCCTTTAAATACGTGCATGCGATGAATTCACTAATACGTAAATAGCACTTAAATAACTTCCGAGCTTCGAGTTACAATTATTGTTCATCTGTTGCAAGTGTTTATATTCTTTTACCATAACATGCTCGCATGAGTCTGACTTATCTGCCCAGCAGGATAATAACTTTGCGGTCAATATAGAAATATTACGTATTAATCATATGTGATCACATTACAAAGAAAATTGTTGTCATGAATACAGCACTAATACCAGTACGCCACGAGTTTGCTAAACATTATCTGCGTTATTTTAGAGAAATTTTGAAAATGACTCAGCTGGAACATGTATATGAAAGGGTTTGATTGATAAATATGGGGATGTCAGCAGGAAATATCGCATTTTTTGGCGCAGCAATTGGTTTTATCGTGTTTCATATTCTCGTTTTTACTAACCTCACTGCTAAATTACAAACATCGTTACAAAGAGTTGATGATCTGGAACAATTATTAAAAAATGCAACAAAGAAATCCTCTGCGAACTCAATAACGTCAAGTTGTCTGGATGAACTTAAAATGAGATTAGACTCTGAACTCGCGACTGGTGACATTAACGTAAAAGTCTTGAGGATACTGCGAAAGATAAAACGTTCAGAAAAGAGGTAATACTCAAGTGTCGTATCTTTCACTAGTTTTAATAACCTTGCGCAAAGTCTTGAAGTACATTGTTATGCTTGGGTTTAGCGCGCGCTATTGTTTGCGCAATTTATGCAGAATATGTGAAGCATGTTTCCTCAAAAGCAATTTGTATTAGTCAAATTATTAGTTAGAGTATAAATTATGGTTATTTTGCTCAGAAAGGGGACAATTTGACTTTACCGCAAGACATGATAAGAAAATAGCAAGGATAAAAGTTCCACATGATGACATGTATTCCCTGTTTGTATTTTTCAAAAGCCTTCAACATATAATTGTTTGTTTAACACCATGTTATGTTCAACATCCTGTTGTTAAACATTGATCCTCATAAACTTAATTTATGCTTTTACAATATGGCAATTGGGATGGCAGAAAAATTGTATGGCAAGGGCAAAGAAACTATTAAATTGTAGGAAATTCACCAGACACATATTATTTAGCACTTAGGTGGCAAATATGTCAAACAAGGGTATATTAAAATGCTTCAATTTGAAAAGGAATGCAGCCTAAATGTATATTCGATTTTGGGTTCACCAAAAAGTCTTGTTTGTTATTTCAGTCATGAAAATGTGATGTTAAAAAATGTCTGTCCATTATGATTTTATGGTATCAGTAGGATAATTTCTTATGGGTTTAAGAATCTTAAATAGATGCAAATATGATCATTTAGAATATAAATTGAAACAGTGAGTTCAAGAATTAACAATGAAGAAGGGTTCTTAGGCTCTTAGCCTAGGGATGAATGCCTTGTAACAGAATTTACATTGTACATATAATCTGGGCCATCTATATAGCTTTCTCTCATCCAAACTCCCAACTCTATTTTATTTCATCCACTGATAAAATTTCCATTCATTTAGAATAGAGAACTGTATTGTAAATTTAAGAAACAAGAGACAATCAAGTAAGTCTAAAAATTATTCCTTTCCTTTTTCCTTTCCTGACAATGTATCACTCCTCACATAAACATTGCTTGATTAGCACTTCAAGTTACTCAATAATGCTTGTCTTATTTAATACTCTGGCATTTTTAAAACCATAATCCGTGACCGTGCAAAGTAACATTGCCGAATTGGTTTAGACTTTAAAATTTGCCAATATATACGACTCATAACAGAAAATACGCTTGCAATAAAGGATATTCTCTAAGCTCAAGGGCCCACGAGGGGAAACCTGTATTTAAAATTTTGTTTATAAGAATGACACTGGAACAAAGCATTGTTTACATAATAATACGGACTGTAGTCACTTTCAAATATACAAATATCAATATTTGTAAAACATACCATTTTCCTCGCCATTTTTCTTCTTTCGAATATATCACATGTAACAACCATTTCAAGAATATAAAATACTCTTCGTCCTATCCAATATTTTCTACAAAATACACAAAAACTGTTTTATTTTGCAGAGTTTTTGAGTAAATTTTATCACATTTTTTATCTTTCCTCCAAAACTTGCGAGAAATCTTTCTTTTATAAAGAAACGAGCCTTTTCAATTACTATTTACTATCAGCGGCTGAAGCAGGCATACTTTATCTAAATATTGTGAAATTGACTTGCTTTTTTACAAATTTGTTTCGAAATGTTCGCGTTCATTAGGTTATATTTTTCATATAATTGTGTAAAATAAATAAACTTAATGTTTTTTTTAATTTACATGCAATGGTGGTGATAATTTAACATATTTTATATCATATCCGCCCCCCTCAGCTTCGCCATATCTGAACACCTTTTCATTAGCAAAAGTCTCCCCACCCTTGTTAAATAAAGCAATAAAAATAATAAAATGATATGTAGTTTTTATGTACAGCTTTTCTGTCTATAGATCCTTCACGGCAGACGAATTCAAACAGTAATTGTAAATGCAATGAAGTAAAATATGCCCTCTATACAATATGGGGAGTTAAAAAATGCCCTGCAAGCAGTCAGAGGTTTTATCATGGTAGGTCATTTCTTTCAGATCTCTTTCCTAACCGGTTGAGGTCGCTCCCTATACCCTAGTTCACACACAGCGATTGTGGAGTAGCTTACTTGATATACGGTATTCCAATAAACGAGCAATGTTTACGATCAGTGTTTGCCATTAACCTGCAGCGATAACAGCTCGACTAGTCGCTGTGCCAGACGTACTTTAGGATTGCGCCGTTTTTCTTTCCCTCTTCGGTTAATCTGCAGTAAATCATGTTGTTCAGGTCAAATGGTTACGACGGATGGTAGCGATTACATCTGCCTTCCCGATAATCCAGAAGATATCCCAATCAAAGTAACGAAGACGAAGGGACGTACCTTAGGGAGCAGTGTCTTCATCCGTGGAGTAACTTATGATGATATTGAAGACACAGTGGTGCGTTTGTCAGGACCAGTCAGTAACAACAAAACGATACCATGTGCTGTGTGCGCTCGTAAAGGGAAGTCAAGCAGTAAAATGATCTATTCAATGCCCAAGACAATGAGAAAGATGGGCATCCAACGTGAATACTTTGGAATTCTTATGTCTGCGAAGAAATCCAGAAAGTTCGTATGCCTTTCGGTGGACGCGAGGGGATACGATGGCAACATGACTAAGACTAACTGGAGACAGTTGAATACCATCAAACTTCATCCTGCTGAGCTTAGATGTAACTCAATGTATTGCGAAGTTAATAACAAAACATACAATGATGGACATCGAGTGAAATGTATGGTTGTAACATTTTGACCAAATGTTCGAGGACAAAATAGAAATATCAGCATGTTCAAAGTTTGTATGGACAACGTAAGTTCAGACCTCAGTCAGTTTAACGACCTTGTCATGCATACCCACTTCATTCTTTTGAAGGTTTAAATGTTGCTCTGAACATTGTTTTTTTGGCGTATACATGATGGAACTGGAAAATACCTTTTGTTCAATGTATATTTATGCAACATTAAGATATTTTTGTCTGTGGACAATGAGGTGTCGTTTCAAGGGGTTTACAGGGAATGATTCATTGGAGAGATTTTTAACAATAGACTCCTCCTAGAACTTGTACTAAAACGAGCGGCATTCCCGTTTGCCATAGCGCAAAAACGCCGAGAAATTACATCCTTTGTCTATAGTTTTGAAATGAAATTTTAATTAGAAACTTCACACATTGAAAGAAATGTAGTCGAGACATTATTTAAGTAATCTATTATCTAGTGTAACCTCATATTGTGAGATCAATTAACAATGTGTACTGTCACCATACCATTACGTACAGTATGGATGTCTTTTTTCTGTAAATAGTTTTAATATAATGCAACATAATAATAGACACATTTATAAACGATAAAAAGAAAGTCGCGATTTACAAAAATGAGGGTGAAATCGAAAATGGATTAGATCTAGCTGTTATATGTACCTTCCATCGGCTCGCAGAGTATAGAAATAGTTTACATCGTATAATAAATGTTTTCAATGTATAATGGTTTAACATATATATGTATAGGATAAAGTGTTTAAAATCAACGATACCTGTGATTCAAAGCAAACACAGGTTGCTATGATGATCGTGGCCGCAACTTCATATCAGCTCTCTTCATGCATTCATTTGTGTTTTTCCAAAATCGCCATTGAATGCCGTGCCATTGATCTTGGTTTGGTCCGAGATATTGACCATTAAGGTTCGACCATGCACAGCTATAATACCACCAAGCTCCTTTTCTGGAGACAGGACAATTTGAAGTTATGTCGTTATCTTTTGTTGAGAACTGACGACCATTGTGATAGTTGAGTGAATCACCAGCATTTCCTTTAAACACAAGAGAAAAAATATTAAAACATATCCTACAACAGATAATCAATAAGTTGTTTACGGCAGCTAAACTGTCTGGCAACACTTACCAGAAAAGCCAGCAACATTCAGTCGATAACGAGAACTCGCATCAGATATTTCAAATGTTGTATACTCTGCATAAACCTGGGAATTACTGAAATCCATCAGATCAACTCTCAGAACCTTCAAACCAGATTGGGTTAACCGATGAATTTTATCCAATCCTAACCAGAATTCTCCATTGAGATCTCCAAATCCAGCTTTATATTGAGACCAACCAAGATAAAAATCAACGCTACCATCCATTCTTCTTTGAATAACTGTCCAACCACCAGAACTCATGTCGCATCTCACTTGAAACGATCCTTGGCCATCTGGGTCGATCGTATATACACCATCATTTTTCCGCCCGGAATCGTAAAGTTCAGCACAGTTTGTCGCTGTTTGAAACACGAGAAGTAGCATCAAAGGTAATCGCAGGTGGTTATACGAGGGAGTTTATTAAATAATGCATAAATAAGTTCATATGTGTTAATTAGTGGAATGAGGTGTAGGATGGTTTTCGAAATAAATGAAGTTAGCTATCCTAAATGCAGTTGCCATGCATGTGTCCTTATGACGCCATGGCAAATATAATGTATAAAATATCTACCTTTTTTAATACTGGTTTCATCCTCAATATTTTCGCTTTTCAACTACATAATGAAAAGAAGCAGATGTAATCTTATATAATTCTTCAATGCCCAGCCGTCCTGTCTCGACTTCACGACACGACAGGTCGGGCAACTGGTTGATGCATATTGGCAACTTACCATATACTGACTGTAGTCACTTTCCACTTATACCTGCTTTTCATACGTACGTACACGCTATTAAATTATACTTCTTATTATTTAGCATGTACGATATAGGTCGGGAAATGCATATCGAGATATGCGGAAAACGAAGGTTCTTTCGATTTATTCACCTAATGTTTTAAACGGATATAAGGATTTCTACCTGATTGTATCAGCGCGAATGAAAAATGTGTAAATGGAAAAAGCCCTTAATAATTAATAATAGCGAGGCATTTATTTCATTTACATAATGGATTTTAGTCTAAATGAGTCCTCAGCAGGCCGGCATTTGCAGGTAACCGTAACCATGCATGTATTAGAACCCCCTACGTTTTATTTTTATTATCAAATGTTAAAATTATTTTCAACGTGAACTCAAAGGAGGAAGTCTAAACCGGTTTAAACCGCGGTACAGAAAAACAAAATAAAACTTCCATTTAATACGGATATGTTATAACTGGGGTTCACTGATTCATCCATGTTAGAAAAATAAATGAAAATAAAAAAGCTTCCACTGTCATTTATTGTTGTAACAATCTTATTAAGAACTTACAGTTTTTATGTCCTGATAAAGCGTCCAATCCCCTTTAGAAGAGTTTTGAGTGTTTTCATGGTGGGTTTTATTACTGAGTTGACAATTCATTTGCTGTTTCGTTGACGATCTGTAGTTTAAGGATAGACATGAACTATCTTTCAGACAAGCATGTGAACATTGTAATAACGATTCAACTTTACGAGATGAAATTACATCAGATTCAGACAACTCGCCTCTTGCTACAAGAAAAAAGTATAATAAAAAGATTAGTAAAATTCATTATCTTTCACTATTTAACGGCGCTTCCTTTGTGACATTTTAGGTTAAACCGATAAAATAAATTAAAAAACATTGAAAAACTTACCAGTTGCTATTTTTACATAATACGTTTGCGAAGCATCGACGTAAATTACTTCACTCCATAAGAAAGCGTGAAAAATAATATTATGAAAAAGACGAAGCATAGTGCAGAGCTCAGCACGGTGGAAGTACTAGAAGACGGCGTAAAGTATAACGTTCAAAGAATGATATCTGACAGCTGCAAGACACCTGACCAGTTTTACAATAATCAACGTCAGATAATAGCATTTGTATCTAATAAAACGCAATAAATATTAAACGCTGTATATCTTTTAAATAATTAACAAAAAAAACCGTATGTAAAATAGGTTTCAGTGAACTTAATTAAAAACCTCTAACATACTGTATTTCAATGCATGCATCATATAGTCACACAACATTTTTAAAACTTGCCATAGCAACATATATAAGAGACCATAAAATAGTCTTGTTTATAGACGCATTCATAGGCGACTTTCTAACGGACGCTGTCAGTGGAAAACTAGTGTCTATTCAAGGAAGAATGATAGCTTGGTGAAGTGTCAGTTTTGAGTATTTCACGGACTAACATTGTTGCATAAGAAGATGATGGTAAAGTAAACTCCATTCTCAAAGCTTTATATTTACCATCACTGCATGATACTGCAGGCTTTGTAACACCCATCATCCGATCATAATCAGTTTCAACCAATGAAACTGTGGGATCATCATAGCATGTTATTTCCCAACTCAAACTCTCTGGTTTCACCACCATATGCCTGAAAAAAAAATTAATGTTACAATGATATCCCAAAACACCATGACCTAATTGTTTTGAAGAAGTTCGACCTGTGATATTCTTCAGGTAAATATTTAACACAGAATTCAAAAACAAATTTTCAGAAAATATTACAGTTATTGACCTAGTCTGGTTTTGCAGGAGACATACAAGACATTTGCCACCATGGTGCAGTGGTACAAACACCAGCTGTGAGGAATGTTTGTTAGGAAAATAATAAAAATTACTTTTAGGGTGTAACTTGGATTGTCAGAGCCTCAGATGAGACTTACTAAGATAACTAAGTTTTAATTGATACCAAATCTTTAATTTGCTTAGTACCACCCCTGGTTTAGGTGATAGGGGTGTGCCTCTTCTATCCTCCAGTAAACCATATTACCTATAAGCTCCAGAAAGTGAGTAATCTTTAACTTTATGTCGCATGTTTTTTATATCCAGATTATCATGTGACAACAGTTCTTCATAACAAGCCTTGACTGAATGATCAGGATATATCACATCATAACCAGGTAATGGCATTATCACATCATGAATGGTGTACAGGTTAATGTCTTCTGAAGTTACAAACTTCACAGGTTCACTTGACACATGTTCATCTTCAAAAAACAATTAAAACATGTTAGCAGCTCAAAGTGGCTAACCTTACTTGAAGATAAAAAGAACAACATAAATGTGGTCTACAGACGTTGCTCTAAACCACTGCATGCATTGAAATGTGGAATAATTTTCACCTAATAAAGATGTTGATTCTGTTTCATTAAACACCAGGTCACCAATAGCTACTTTTAGACCCAATTCCTGCAGAATAATAAAGGTTACATAGCTATAAGCATTGTATGGGAATCAACAAGGAGGAATTTCGTTTTGAACAAATCCATATATTTGTTTACATTTTTTAAGCAGAGATATGCCAAATGATGTAACTTTTTACCAGAAGTAGTCAAGATTTATTGATTCCGATTGGCTTACTGAAAACTGCAAACAAATATGCTGATCTAAAACAAACCCCCCCCCCTTGTTATGGGAATCAATAAAATACACAGTTGCTTTCTTCACAAACCTGGATTCGTTTTGAAACAGCAACATTCCAAATGTAACTCTGGTAGGCGTGAACATACATTAATCGTGTGTTTCGAGGCAGGACTTTTACTGCAGAAACAAGATCATTGCCAAACTTGACAAGTCCTTCCAGAAGGAATGTTTCCAAACATTTTTTTCCTTGAAACATATGGAGAGATTCCTTAGCATTTCTTGTCTTAATCCAATGTTCATATGCCTTGCATAAAACATCATCTTGTTCACATCTTGAACCAAGAATAAGATCAATAGCTTCAGACCATTTGCTTTGGAGGAGACATAAACCTATATCAAAGAGATTATAGACAACATTCATTATTAATTCCTCTTTTATTTATACATTTTCTAATTATCATAAAAAATATACCTATAGCTTGTGTAGCATTTTTCATTGTTCCAAATCTTTGCAAACCATAATAATTGATAAAGCCAAGACTGTTTAAGGACGTCATTGATGTTGTGATAAGCTGTTCAGTTGCATCAATATCTCTAAGAACAACAACAAACCTATTGCCTTTAAGATCACCAAGTTTCAATGGTGTTTTCTTGAATTCAAAATTTCCAACATGAATGTTGTTGAGAACTTTGTTCAGCCCTAGAAGATTACGAGCATCAATACGAAATACAGAAACACATTGTACAGTGATCGCTCTGCCATCTTTAGTACCAGCAAAGGCAAATCTGTCAGGCTTGATTTTTAAAAATTTTGCAAGTAAATTAATAGCTTGCATTGTGTCTTTGTTTTCTTTGTACAAAACAAAATGGCAGTATTCCCCTCTTTCTTTTGGCCAATCACTTTTCCGTCTTCTCCCCTGTGATCTGTCTGCATAGAAAGCTCTAACAACTTTATGGTTGTCAACTTCTGCCGTGTCACTTTCTAAGAAGACAAAAATAATTTAAACATTAGTGTTTGAAAATATTAGTGTAGATCACAAGTTTAATAATAATAATAATAATAATAATAATAATAATGCCATTACAAAGATATATAATAAGACTATAGATTAAGAAAATATGGTATATAACCAAGTTATGTAAAATAGTGAAAGATATAAATAAAAGTTATAAACAAGTTTATTCAAGTCTCAAGCCAAAATACGTAATTACCAAGCATTGGAAACTTCTGCCTAATTTCTCGATGTATCTGGGTTCTCTGTTCCTTGTCATCTTCTATAGCAACCACCAGTTTCGATGATTTGTCTTCATTATTGACCATGTCATGTAATTTTTGAAGGATCTCAGAAGGTAGAACTGCACAATCTAATTCCTCCTTCAAAAATACTTGAGGTAGTTCAGTATTGGTTAAATGAACAGTACGTCTATCTTGGTTAATTTCGTTGACTAGGAAATCCGAGTATCGTTGCTTCAATATGCCAGAGAATCCTTTATTTTGACTGCAATATTGTGATATTCCAACATCATTTTCTGAACGATGCTTTTCGCTGCTTGTACTCGCTGAAGATGCAGGACTCTTGGTGTCATGCAAAGCGACCGAGTGTGTATTCAATGTATCGCGAGTTTCTTCAACATCTGAGGGTTCATCTTTATACTGAGATGAGAAGCAACGTTTTCATTAAGTTTTGGGCGCTTTTCGGGAGGTTGTTGATCCGCCATTTTAATTTTCTAGCTCGTAAGTCGTAAATTTCACAATCGTGCTTGGCCGTACATCTCGTACATCATCGTACTACCTTCGACAATGTCCGTCATCTCCTTTTAATCAGGCTTCTTACGACTCTCGTGCCATTATTTCTCCCTCATTCTCTAATGACCCCTCTTCAAAAGACCAGACCCCTTTTCTAATTATTTCTATAAGCCTCACCCCATTTTCTAATACGTTTACCCCATTCTCTCACAAATAGAATTTATAGACCAATAGAATTTATTAATCTATTTCGTACACCAGATTCTACCCTGGAATATATCTATCTTCATCATCTGAAGTATCCCACTTAAGTTCTGCATCGTCTTCGTCAATTTCAGGTTTGATATCAATGCCATGATGTCCTAGGATCGCCTTCAACATGGCCTCCAGACGAACAGTACGAGTCTGCAACGTTTTCAACCTCGTCTTCATCTTGGTCACATCATATTGTAGAAGCTCTTGTTGTTTATGAATTCTCTCAATTGGTGACTACATTGTTTATAAAATCATATTTACCATTTTTAGCCCAGGTGTTGCAATGCACAAGGACAGCGTAGAAAAAATTCTTATGCTTACCGTTGCAGGATATAAAGCATCATTAATAACTTGTGCTGGAGTTGTGAGAGTCTGGTGCCAGAAAGACCAGATACTCCGATATCTTTCTCTATTTGGATAAACTGTTTCCTTCATCGTGACAAGTTTTCGGCGAAGAAACAACGGAAGAACTTTCTCCACATCCAACGCCAAATCAAGCTAAAACAATAATTTTACCACGATTATTGAATATGAAAAACCGTCAAAACTTTGGAAATGAGTATTTCACCTGCATTGCTAAACGTTTAAGAGCAGCTTTGTCTTGAACGCCTTTAATATCATCAACAGCTAATCCAATCTTAAATTAAAATTATAGAGCATTACATCTCTATCATCTCTGAAATGTTGTGATAAAAACGTTCATGTCTTCCTTACAAGTAAATTGACAATGATGACACAATTGATAACCAGAAAACCAACATAGACAGCCCAGGTGACAGGAGGAACATATCCTTCATTGTATACAGTGTCATATTCGTATTCTCCTAACATTTCCATTATAGTTTTCAACATTGAACGACCTGGCGTTGAAAATGGAACCTTAAAGAAGACGAAAGGTACTTTTGTTATACTCTTACAGCATTAGATATTGTAGGCGAATGGTAAAAATCGTCTTACACGGAGTAACAGACCAAGGAGGTGGTAACCCAAAGTATGAATGTTTGCGATGTCGTACCTGGTTGTACAAGAGAACATGGAATCCCAAACCAAATGCAATTATAAAGAGAAGTAACACAACGAAGAACTGGGCAAACGTCCGGAACATCTCAGTGAACATGACGACGTAAATACCAAGTTTTGGAAATTTTCTCATTGACAAGACAAGCGTGAACCATGCAAGACACAAGGACGCCGCACCAATGCTGTTGTGAAGATAGAAACAGCTGAAAATAAATTAGGACAAAACATCAGAGCGTGGACATATTATAAAGAAAGTGAACATGCAGCAAATTCCTCTGGACAGTTATCATACCTTGATGACTGTGTTCGTTTACTTTTGTTCGTGACAAATACGATCGCAGATATATATGTTCCTAGTTCAAGCAACTCATGCCAAGTGAGAAATAATCGCCATAAACAAACAGCTTTGAATAACTAAAAAAACGTACGAAAGAAAAATTATTTTGAATGAAGGGAAAACCTGGAAACATAAGAAACTTCGTCAACCAGACCAGGCTAACCGAAACCATACATAACTAGTCAACAACCAATGAAAAGGCTGTCAAAGGAGGTCAATATTGTAACTATCTTATCTGTCTGTAACATTCTGAACCACTTCTTCTGTAGTCCTGTTACTTTCATCATCACTTTCCTCTTCACATTCTGCAGCTTTCATTACCCTATCTCAATTAAATATAACTTCATTATTGAATCAGGTACCTGTACATTACAAAAAAAGAGATTCATTAAATTTATACCTGTTAAGATCATAAAATCCTTTACCCCATTTGAAGCACTTAAGTATTTCAAAACCAAGATCTTTGAATCTTGAACTGTCTGACTCAAACTGCCAGCAATCGATCTACCTTTACAATACTGATGAAGGACATCCAAGGCAGCAATAAAGAACTCATGGGCATCCCGTTGTTCATATCCTGCTAAATGTCAAGCATTTGTCCACACAAGATGAAGCAATTTGTAAGGAATATGAGGTGTTCTTTCACCAGAATAAAACTAGGAAGTTGAAAAATGAAAAAGATATGAAACTTACACTTTATTTGCGGTCTTTTTATATATCTTTTAGTATTACGTGTAGTCAATTAATAATTGGTTTTTATAGAAAACTCTCATCCAACTTGATCACAATTATTTTCTATAAAGTTAGTACTAGCAATGCTGAATAATCACCCAAATATCCAGTTCATACCTCTTGAAATAAGGAGACCATGGCACATACAATACATGTTCCATCCTGTTTCTTACACTTGTGTTGGTCAGCCAAGAAATAGTCTCTGAATAATGGTGTGTGAGTGAAGGCTTGGACAATACAATTTATGAAGCAAGTATTGCCAAGATTGATCAGACCACGCAAGCCTAAAAAATAAACAGTTTAAAAGTTGTTCTTTCTTGGTTCATATCATGCACCAAAGCAGGTCATTCAAAGTTAGGATGCACGAAATTGCACCCACTAAAAACACTTACCTATGATTGAGTTACCACAGACCCTCTGATATTTCACATTTCGTTTTAAAAGTTCAACATCTCTTCCACCAGGCAACCACTGCTCATAGAGAGCAGTCTTGTTTCCTGAAATTGCCCAACACGAACAAAATAAGACAAATAATTTTGTATTGTGAAGTGACCAGAAAAGTTTAAATTTGCTTGTATAGCCAATGTCACAACAGAAATGATGTGTATATCATGAATAACTTCAATTTGTGTTTTATGCATAAAAAAACATACCATAGGACCTCCACGCCTTGGCTCTTTCTTCAGGAAGAATCTTCTCCAGAACTTCATTATGGACATAATCGCCACAGAGAAAGCAATACACCACACCATAGGTCAGGTCAACAGCTAAGAAATGAAAAAAAGGGTGATACATGAGGTTTGAACCAGGCATTACCTGGACCAGGTTCAATACAGTTTGAATACTACTAAAGGTGTAGCTTTACACAAAAGCAGTTTCACCTGTGTTGCATGTCAGGCTATTTCAATCTACTTAAAATATTGTGCTAGTCCAGCAACCATGTGATTCAACAATTCATTTTTTATCAGTGGGCCCTAGAAACTGGCTTTTGAACTACTGGGTGAATCATGTACACCAGAACATTTTAGTCAAATAGTCAAATACAATAAAGTCAGAAAATAGTTTATATAGTATGGGGAATCCCCAGAAATCAAATCACTTAAATCTTTTCACATGCAACAACAGCCAAATCCATATTTCTATGTCACGTAGTACAAATATGTTAGATTTTGAGGGTTTAGGGACGAATTACCTAGCTTATGGTCTTTCTTCTTTGCGTGAGCAGCATGGATATGCTTGAGGCCAGAGTAACAACCAAAATAAACACAATATAGGCAGGAGTGAAGACGATTTGACAATGCGTCACAATCGTCACACTTTCGTGTCGCCTTGAAAATAATAAAAACGTATAAAATACCACGGAATATTACTCGCATGTTGAACAAAAAGTCATAAAATACAACACAAGAACACAAGCATCTCTTAGTCTCTTACCTTTGCACGCCGGGTTTCTCTTGACGAGCCAACGATAAACCACCCACAAACTTTACGGTAAGTTGGCAAGCATTCCTTTGTGAATTGAGTTAAATGGTTACAAGAAGCCATGAATTAAAGCTTACTTTGAACTGTAGTAAAGGATAAGCCGCCAAAGCGGCAGAAGAACCGTCATGGGAAAACATTAAACTTCGTCATTTAATATAACTTTTCACACCGGACAGGAAAGGACATGGATGCGCACCAAACGTATTTTAACCAACTGCGCATACCAAAAAACTTTTTAATAACGTATTTCGATGTTTATCTTTTTTATCATTCCTAGCGATTTAAAATATAGGGGAAAAAACAATTTGTTCGGCTTTTAGTATCTTCAACCACTATGGAATTATATACAACATTAACCATGGTCGGATGGTCACCCAATGAAACACCATGACACAGAATACCTATCAGAAGTAGAACTCCTGTACTTTTTTCGTAAGTGTGATTCGTCATGATTCGTCACTTAGCAAGTGCATTTTTTTGAGGTAGTCACTCAATAGATTCTAGTTGTGATTTTCTAAACTGACCATTGTTGTAAACTGACCATTAATCTATAAGCATTATCAGAATGGTTGTGGCAGAATACCTTAGAATACCATGCCATACAGTCAACACTGATGCTGTCAGGTGTCTCAAAGAAAGTGTATGCTTTTGCAATGGATACTCCTGGTATTCCAGCATATGTAGGAGTTATCTTTACCAAAAATACTTTAATAATACCCTCTGCATTGCCACAACCAAGGTAGGAGACTACTTCATTTTAACCTCACCTCAGCCTGGAAGATTTGTTTAAAAATTAAAGCTTGTCTTAGAAATAATTTATGTAAAAATGCATGTCTGTCTGTGTTGAACTCTAAGTTCACTCAGTTCATTCTTTTTTATAAAATAATTTAATTTATTGCATACCATTAGATTCGTTGTTTCCGTACCATGCCAAACAACTAGGGTAAAACAATGAGGTGTAAGCAGCCACTGTCCTGTGCATAAAGCTATGATTTTTCACAAGTGGTAACTGTGCTTGCCAGATAAACAATTGGCCACTTCTAACTGGGTAGAAAAAAGAGCAAACTTTCTCCAGACATTAGAAGTTTGTTGTAGGCAGTCCACTGTTGTTGGAAACCACTCAATACATGTGAAATTCAAAAGGTATTTTCTTCGTTGCCATTCTGAAAATTCTTTCCACATATCTTGGTTGCCGACTTTGTGCCTAAAGTCACTAGGCAACTCGCCTTTCATACTCATCTTGTCTTAAAAAATCAAGGCAAAAGTTTAAACAAGATTAAACAAAAGAAACTTGAGAACATAACTCATATGTGAATATAAGTGTTGTAGAGTCTGACTTGGAACACAACATTCAGTTAAGCTACCTCATTTAATATAAGTTAATGCATTCATAAACATATCGGGAAGTAATGTCGCTATAACCTTGCCTCACCTTTAAAGAAACTTCCCTGTTTCATTTCATTAAAGTGCTGTGAACTTAAATCCATTATTTCACACCAGCCGTCAGGGGATTGTTTGTCCGCAACATACAAGGCCAATTTATTTGTTCAAAAAAATGGGCTTCACCGACCTATAAATGAGGGTGGGGGGGGCAGTGGTGAGAGGCGGTCATGGGGGCAGTGAGGCTATTTCAGATCCGCCTGAGCACCAATTATTGCGAGGTTTATCAAGAATTTGCTTAAATTTGTTCTGTTTTAGGTTGCAAACACTACCAAACAGTGAAATAAAGATATGAAACATTATCCCACTCAAAAATAGGTTATAGTCCAGATGAAGAATCGAATTCATTGGTCCATAATAAATACAGGTCAGTGGTCTATTGCATTGTGGGCAATGTGGTGTGACCAAATTAGCCAATCACAAGCTGCAGTTTCGGTCATGTGACAATTTTTTAACAGATTGAGTGATTGACAGTCAGTTTTCAAGACCATGTGGACGATGCGGTGGGAAGGAAATTCGCTCTTCGTTGCAAGAAAAGAAAACCAGGTGTGTATATCTCTGAATACTCTGCATAAAAAGAACGAAGATATTATTCAAACAATGTTTCAAATATTTAAATATGTAGTTATTAAACACTTTTTTGTCTATTTCATTTTAGGCCGAAATCCGTCGACGAAAGCTGGATTCAATGTTCCTGAGTTGTACAGTATGTATTATTGTGTCTTATCTGTTAGTTATTGAACTAAAACGTTTATCAGCAAAGCTAGAATTGTTCTGCCTTCAGTATTCGTACCAATAAGTGTCAATTATTAAGTTAATAAGTCTAATTTTTCAGCGTATTGTGCGTTCCGCTTGCACGTGTTTTCACACTAAGCGCCGCCGTTTAGAGCATATTGTTTTGATTTTTTAAGTTTCCTTTGTTGTAAGCAAAGTTAGAATAGCTTCAGCATAGTATTCGTAACGATTTCTACTAATTTGCAGAAGAATTAGGTCTAAATTTTCAGTTTTTCTATCGAGTTTCTATGTTGCGACGCCGGTGTCGTTTTCAACTGTTGTAGTCGCCACCGTTTAACTTTTAGAGCATATATTCAGTAGCGTAGCCAGCCGGTCGATTTGTCCCGCTATTCTAATATTTTAGTGTTCACTGACTGTGAAAACAATAGATTTCTAAAGGCATGAATACTTTTAATAACTCGAAATTTACATAGCAGGACAAAATCGTTAGGTTGGCTACGCCGCTGCATATATTCAGTTTAGTTTTAAAGCTTTCTTATATTGTAAGCAAAGTTAAAGTAGTTCTGCCTGAGTATTCGTATCAATTTGTAGAAGAATTAGGTCCAAATTTTCAGCGTTTCTAGCGAGTTTCCGTGCGTGTTTGCCACGCCGGTGTTTTTCAACTTTGTAGTCGCCGCCGTTCAACTTTTAGATCATATTGTTTAGTTTTAAAGCTTTCTTATATTGTAAGTAAAGATAAAGTAGTTCTGTCTGAGTTTTCGTATAAATTTGCAGAAGAATTAGGTCCAAATTTTCGGCGTTTCTAGCGAATTTACTTGTGCGTGTTTTTGCGACGCCGGTGCTGGTGGTCTTTTTTAAACTGTTGTAGACTTGAGTCGCCACCGTTTAACTTCTAGAGCATATTGTTTAGTTTTTCAAGCTTTCTTATATTGTAAGGAAAGATAAAGTAGTTCTGTCTGAGTATTCGTTTCAATTTGAAGAAGAATCAAGTATTTTTTGGTGTATTGGGGCCGCCATGAGGCATGAGGGGCTTCTTAGCTAGTGTTTAGATCTCGCCGCTCGCCGTCTTTTTTCAAATGAAGGTCTTGAGCACGAGGCATTTATAGCTATACGATAGATAATAGACGTGTGCAACTGATATCACTGCAATAAGAAATTAATGTATTATGCATGTTTATATAAATAAATGCGTTTGATTTAAAAGCATTCATAATCATTCTGCTATTTGATCCCGTAAAAATGTGATTTTGCATGTGCTTTGACCTTTGTGCCATTTTCCGGTGTTCAGTAAAGGCAAATTAGATTAACAATATTTAACTAAAATTTGCTTGGTGTGTCAAAAAGGTGAAAAAATGGGCGTTTAAAAACCCCAAATGACATGTGCCTAATCAAAAGGGGGCTTATTAATAAGGCCAAATGACAGGTGCCTATAAATCGTTTTTCACCCAGACAAACGTAAGAAACGATTCTACTTTTTCGCGACAAATTTTTTTGCAAACCAATCACATCACCAGTGTTTCCTCAACGCACCTTTGAAATGTCCTTAATTTTGCATTGCGGAATATTCTTTCTATTTTATGTGAAAAACCTGATGTTATGTTTAGACTGATTTGTATTTCTGAAAACTTACATTTTCTCTACTTTGTGTTTTGAGTGGTATACCAAATCTATTTTCTGATTTGAAACGAATACAATAACCAACATAGAAACACTATTGTAGTATTCCTACTTGAAACTGGGAGTATTTATTAGAACACCCTAAATAATCCTGTATAAACATATTCTACCATCAGAAGTATGGATTGATAGGTACGTAGCTATTGTGCTTATACTGTACTTATTATCACTCTTTCATTTATTCATTTTAGTTGTGATGATGGAGAAATGTTACCATTTTGCATGCAAATACAAAATCTAAAATTAAATTCCAACCAGACATTTTATGAAATCAAAATCAAACCAAACATTTTATGATATTTCCAGACATTTGAGGCTCCTCTGTTTTTAATTTTCAATTTTTGGATTGCATGCAGTTCAGATCCCAACCCTTGGTTATATCTTGCATGTTTTGTCAGGAGTAATGAGTAAGTATAATTGATCAGGGGCCCGGGTCACTTATACTTTCTGTATGCTCGACTGACCTAGTCCGGCATAGGCAAAATTATTGCTCTTGGAGCACACAAAAAAAGAGATGCATGTTGAGATTAAAAAGGGGGTATAATGGTCGAGTGTTAAATGTCTATTCCATTTTTGAATGAATGCATGCGTTAAATCTTGCTAAATTTGCATGTAATTTCGAAAATGCATGAAAATTTTGTATTCGCATGTACAATGAGCGTTGTGGTGAAGATGATGTTGGTGGAGCTCATGCAGGTAACATACCATAGGTGAGCTTGTTTCATATCATTTCAGATGTTAAGAAATGAATCATTTCAGATGATGATGGACAACCGACGATGACAGATGATGATGGACCAGCCGATGATGACAGATGATGATGGACCACCCAATGGCAGATGATGATGGGCCACCTGATGATGATGATCAGCAGACGATGACAGATGATGATGGACTGCCCGATGACAGAAGATGATGGACTGAAGACTAGTTTGATGGGTGGTATTATTCAGTTTTCTTGCATTCTATCCTGTGCATGCTTGTTTTCCTGGTGGTCTGCACTGAATGTGTAATACATTAAGTGAAATTCCTATTTCCCATTTTGACATTGATGATAAATAAAAATTCCGGATTGCATGCAGAACAATTAAATTAATGTATACAGCATGTTTGATTCTTTGAAAATGCATGTTCCTGTTTTATCACTTAATGTGTAATGCAATTGGTGAAATTAATGCATGATATTACTAAAGTATCCAATGGTGCAGCTGAAAATGATGAAGCATGAACTCAACTTGAAGAATGGAATTCGTACACAGGTAACTGTGAACAAGAACCAGGTATGCATATGATTGTATTTGTTTGTTGGCACGTAAGGCATTGGCATCAAAAATTTGCAACAAAATATTACAGTAATGCGCCACAAGATTGATTTCTGTCAGTGCATGTGCGAATGAAAATAGCCAAAATAATAGCATGAATTATAGGTGGTTGATGTATTTTAACAGGTATCAGATCCGAAATTAGCTGTAAAATATTTCGGTTATGCATGCCACAATTTAACATAAAATACATTGTTTTAATTAGGGTATAATTGGCTTTCTAAGTGCATGTGATGGTAAAAATATTTGCCAGAGTAATTTATAATAGCATGATTATAGACGACCGTATTCTTACATGTATAAGATCAACAATTAGGTGTAAAAATATTTTGTTTATGCATGCTACAACATAGAACACATTGCTCTAATTAGGAAAATTGATTTTCTAGGTGCATGTGACGGTAAAAATAATTGCCAGAGTAATAGCATGATTATATACGACCGTAGTTAATTCTTACATGTATAAGAGCAAAAACTAGCTGTAAAAAATTTTGTTTATGCATGCCACAACATAAAATACATTGCTCCAATTAGGGTAATTGACTTTTCAAGTGCATGTGATGGTAAAAATAATTGCATAACATGTATAAGATCAAAAATTATCTGAAAAATATTTTGTTTATGCATGCCACAACATAAAATACATTGCTCTAATTAGGGAAATTGACTTTTAAGGACTTGCAAAACCAGTTAAGTAAATTATAAATACAATATATTATAATAATTTTTTATTTATTTCTATTTATCAAGTAAAAATAGTTGCCAAATAGTTAGCAAGTTTAGTTAAATATTACCGGCCGGTATAGACAGCAGATTAGTTTAGTTTTCATAGGATAGTGAATGGTAATAGTTTAGTTTAGCTATGCTCTATAAGGATTTTTTTACTTCTAATCTATCAGAGTTTACATTGAAACCTGGAACTTTAATAAATTAAATAAATTTTTATTTATCAGTTTTTATTTTCGAAGTTCGTGGGAAAGCATGAAAATAGCATATAGAAAAAGAAATTGATGATATTTTGATGGTTAGAATAAGTTCGAATCTTGAATAGAATGAAGTGTATTAATTAAGGGTGAAGGTTAATTGGAATCAATTTGTGAATGGAATAATTATCTATTATTATTTATTATTATATATTATTATGTTGAAATATCACCGTAATTCTTCTAAATTGGATTTCTGGAACTTCAAGAAATTTGTTCTGGTTTTTGAAAGGAGTTATCTCTAGTGTTTTTTTGATTACTTGTATATGAAATGTTGCTTGCAAAATAATCGACACAATAGAGAGTAATTTGACTTCGTCTACAATTGTACTGATCTCTATGTAGTATTATTACGTTTGTCAAGTCTTTGCAACTGATCTCTAACAGCTAATTAACTGAATTAGTGAGAGTTACACGCGCTCGATTTTTTTTGCCACTGATCTCTATACAGTCACTGGATGACATGCTTATATTTCTGCGTCTGATCTCTATGTAGTAACTGAACAACGCTATTGCAGCTGATCTCAATAGATTAATAGGAATATCGATTTGACCAGGTTAAATAAACGATAGTCGTCGATTGTAACGATGGATTTATGATGATATAGATTTTAATGATGTTTTACTTTGGCCAGGTTTTATAACAATGTTAAGATATTACTAAAATTTTCTAAGGACTTGCAAAACCAGTTTGAATAGATTGATGCAATTCACTTCGGCCAGGTAAGGTTTAATATTAACGATGATCATATTACCAAAATCCCCATTACCCATAGGTATATTTTTGATGCCATTGCGTTAAGCATGTTATGTCAATTTCAATAAATCTTTGTGCATGTTTCAGACCACCAGGATCATTTGACGAACCCTTAAAAATTGTGTGGCAATTTTTAAAGATTGGTCAGATGAAAAACATTGATAATGTATAATGTAACACCGTGAAAAATAGTCCACATGGTTGCCAGATTATCTCTAAAAATTGATAAAATTCATGTACAAAAATAACTGGCAAACCTGCCCCAATTAATTATTGCGGAATTTCCAACTAAAAATACCAAAATGTCGGACCAGACCAGTAACCTGAGATCCGGATTTCATGTTGTGGTCAGGAGGGTTTTTCTCCGGGAACTCCGGTTTCCCTCCATTTCATGTTTGGCAAAAAACAGTGTCCATGTCTGGGGCCAAACAAAGATCTATAGTGAATTCTATTTTTTATCAAACAGTGCTGTAATGTTTGGCCTCTGGGTTAAAATCCCAGAACACTGCCTTATTGTGTTAAAATGCAGGGGCAACTGCTCTCTGTCCTTTTACTCACAGGTGCAAGGGGGGATGCACCCACTTCTATTCAGATTGCTTTAAAACTTATTAATAAATTCGCTAGAAATGGCACAATCGACTTGACAACTGTCCCAGTGTAGCGTAGATTTGGATATACATACTGAGCGGTCAGCATGGATCCTGAAGATTTCAAGTTTGGGTTGACGAAAGTATTTTTTAGACCAGGAAAGTTAAGATTATTGTATCATTGTTAAAGTTATTGATTTATTGAAAGGTTTCCACTAAAATATGGCTAAATTCATTTTCATTTTTGTAATTTGCAACATTTGATCATATATTGCAGTCAGATCCTGAGAGTCTAAAAGCTCTTGTATCGAAAGTTTCAAGGTGGATCATTGTCAATTGCTGGAAGAAAGTGATATGGTGCGTCTCAGTCCAGAAATGGGACAATGCTCTATGCTTGACTTAGCTGAGAGATCTTGGATATAGTTAACGTAAAAAAGCTGGTTCTAACTCTCATGTCTTCCTTCAGCAGTGGCAAACAAGATCAAGTTCAGAGCAAAAGCTTGGGCCACGATTCAGAAGACCGTCAAAATGTTCCTCTTGTGGAAATAACACCAGCCAAGGTATATCAGGAGTTTACAAAATTCTACCGAGGGCAATAAAACTATTCCACCAAAATCTCTTATAAGGCCAACTATTTCAAATATTCATAATTAGTTAATGAACCACAAACTTATTAGACCATGTGTTTTGTTTTTCACAGATATAAAGGAATGATTATGATTAAACTCGACCTCTAGGAAGAACAATTTAGAACTGATAGAGCTATACAGTATAAATAAAGTTAGTTCAGTTTAGGTTTCCTCCTGTAGTAACATTGGATCAATAAGAGATATGATCCTTACTGGACCCCTATGAAGAACAGTTTAGAACTGATAGAGCTATCCAGTATAAATAAAGTTAGTTTAGTTTAGGTTTCCTCCTGTATTAACACTGGATCAATAAGAGATGATCCTTACTGGACCTCTAGGAAGAACAGTTTAGAACTGATAAAACTATATCCAGTATAAATAAAGTTAGTTTAGTTTAGGTTTCTTCCTGTAGTAACCATTGGGGGTAATTCTATAACACCTCCACTGGCGGTTTCCTCATTGTTTCAATGTAGTTTCAGGTTTAAAAACCGACAAGAATGTTTTGACCACACAGATTTTTGATATCGAAAAGGAAATATCAGCTGCTATGCAGAAAATCAAGGTTAGTAGACGTGTTGAAATGCTGCCTCAGGAACTTATCACGGAGTGTTGTTGAAGGCCCGTCTGTTATGTATCATTGTCGATCTAATAATCTCTTGGAGCTGCATTTTAGAAGTAAGAACACGGTAATGAGCCGTGATCAGATCGAGAATCTCCACCGTGGTCTTGTGGCGAAGGTGCATGGACAAACAAGTCGTAGATTTACAGAAGCAAAAAGAACTTCAGGAGAAGAGGGAGGAAGAAGAGAAGTTGAGGAAAATCAAAGAACAGATGGAACTGGAAAGAAAAAGGCGAGAAGAGGAGGAAAGGAGAAGAAAACAACTCGAAGAAGAAGCGAGAATGTAAGTTTAAAATTATCAAGTTTTACATTCAACGATATCCTCTTCTTTTTTCTCCCTCGTCGAGTTAAGATATGATAGTTTTTCTCGGAATAACTATCACACAAGATGATCCAAAATGGCGGAAATAGATTTTGACTATTTGTCAAAGAAAAATCAAATTCTCGGTTGAAACAACTTAATATCACTTGAAGTATATCTCACATTTATTGCAGTTCTTATAACTAAACATAATCACGAAATTTCGGCTAGTTTCATAAAGAATAACAAAAGATATAATGGATTTTTGAAAACCCTGCTGAGGACTGATTGGCTAGAATATGAGCGCTTGCTGTGTACGATATTTAAATGTTTACATCTTGTTTTTTGTGTGTTTTAGTAAAGCTGAAATGGAAGCCAAAAGGCGAAGGGCAGAAGAGGAAGAAATGAAACGACGGGAACTTGAAAAAGCGAAACAGGTTTTGAGCATTTATATTACGATGAATAAATATAATTATTTTCAAAGCTTTTTTTGTCTAATGTCGTACCATACTTGATCACCTCTGGCAATATTTTTACTGTGAATCTTTCCTGGGTTTTTTAGAAAGAAATTGAGGAACAATTAAGGAAAGAGGATGAAGAGGCAAAATCTCGGTATGAACTTATTTTTGCTGCCATAAACATCTTTGCGAGGTTTTACAAAAAAATTCCCGAGTCCTTTTTATAGACTCACAGGTAATGCTTTAAATCTGATATTTTTTCAATGTAAAATTTTATTATTTCAGACAAGCTGCTCTTGAACAAGAGAGATTAGATCACGAACTGGCCTTGCGTTTGGCAAAGGTATTATATCTCAATATTTTTTCAATTTCTTTGGCGATTAATACTACTAAATGCTTCAGTTTAACATTTCAACTGTGTGGAAGTTTATGTTCATTTTCTGCTAGACCGAATTAAGCCTATACTAATTTTTTCTAATTTTAGGAATCCAATTTGAATGTATATAGAACCCATGGAGGAACAAAAAGCTATTATAAGGTAAATATTTTATCATATTGTATAGCTCTATCAGTTCAAAACTGTTCTTCCTAGAGGTCCAGTAAGGATCATCTCTCAGTTCTAAACTGTTCTTCCTAGAGGTCCAGTAAGGATCATCTCTCATTGATCCAGTGTTACTACAGCAGGAAACTTAAACTAAACTAACTTTATTTATACTGGATAGCTCTGTCAGCTCTAAACTGTTCTTCCTAGAGGTCCAGTAAGAATCATCTCTTATTGATCCAGTGTTACTACAGGAGGAAACTTAAACTAAACTAACTTTATTTACACTGGATAGCTCTGTCAGCTCTAAACTGTTCTTCCTAGAGGTCCAGTAAGAATTATCTCTTATTGATCCAGTGTTACTACAGGAGGAAACCTAAAGTAAACTAACTTTATTTATACTGGATAGCTCTATCAGTTATAAACTGTTCTTCATAGAGGTCCAGCAAGGATCATCTCTTATTGATCCAGTGTTACTACAGGAGGAAACCTAAACATACTTTAATATTCTGATCCGCTATCACAACAAGATACTAAAAAAAACTTGTTTTGCTACAGAGCGGCTTCCTTGAAAGATCCGAATAAGAAATATGACCTGAGTAAATCATGGAAATATGCTGAGTTAAGAGACACCATCAACACCTCGTGCGGTATGTGTTGTTGTCATTACTTGGTTCCTGGGAAAAGGTTAATTTTAAATAAAAAAAAGGACTTCTGTTTTTGTTTTTCTAGATGTCGAGTTATTACAAGCTTGTAAACAAGAGTTCCATCGCCGTCTTAAGGTTTATCATCAGTGGAAAAATAAGGCATCGAAGTCAACAGGTCAAAGTGCTGGTGATCAAAGAGCACCTCAAGAGGTCGTGGAAGAAGGTTGGGAAATAGTTAATATCAACATTATATTCTTTTATTCTAACAAGATGATTTATCAGTTCTGAACTGTTGTTACTACAGGAGGAAACCTAAAATAAACTAACTTTATTTATTCTGCATGGATAAATCATTTAGGAAATCCAGCATTGAAGAAATCAAAGGAAAATATTTTATATCTTAATTAGGTAAACATTGTTGGTAACCAAGGATGCATCTGGTAAGACTTCCCTTATTGATAGATTCAATGCTGGTAAATTTCCATCAATTACCTCTGTGTCATGTTACTCTTGAGTCTTGTTACAAGCTAATGGCTGTGAATAATATTCCTGTGGAGTTTATGATATATTAATTGCAGTAGAAGATTATGAAGACAAGATCTTTAATGTAATGTTATTCAGTTGACTCAAAAGAGAGTTTTGAAAGTTTTTCCAGTGTATGGTGGCCAGAGATCAGTGCTGCTCGCATAAGGAAACCATTTTTATTAGTTGGACTAAAAAAGGAGCTTCGTCCTGGCAAACAAACGCATGAACTGAGTAGGTGAAAGCTAATGAAGGTAAAAAACTTACAAAATATATTGGTGCCGTAGGTTTTTAAGAGTGCTCATCAGTTACTAATGAATGAAACAATGAGATTTTTGAAATGGCAGTAAACAAGTGCGAGATTGTAGTAAAAAAGAAAGGGGAGCTCAAAAATCAAGCTTGGGTGTATATCTGTTGTTGCAAGACAAACTAATGAAGTACTTGAAATTTAAATCATTATATATTTCAAGTTTGCCCTGAATACCTGAGATGTTTGAAATGACACTGGAAAGGGATACAGGTTTGTAGTCTGGTGTGCAATTTTCCACGGGCAGAGAGGGTTGGCTGACGGCTATTTTCCATTTACAAAACACTCAGAATCTTATAAAGGACAAAGCAGACCCTGAAATAACTCAAAAACTAACCAGGTATTTTCGGTGGTTCCATTTCGGAGTTTGCAAATATCGAAAAATAAACGAAATGGTAAAAGAAAATTGCTACCAGGAACCGAGAAAAAAAGTTGTTATAGTTTTAGTTTGAAAAGATTAACGCGAAAAGAGAAGGCTTTTATATCAAGCTAAGAGTATTTTCCATTAATCGCTTCACGGAGAGGAATTTTGCTAATCACTTACAACGGACAATAGAAATATGCAAAACATATTTATTTGGCTAATTTATATCCATTCCGGGCAAGTCTGACATGAGTTAGTTGATTATCTATTGTTGTCAATGCGTTAATTGTCCGTTGGAATTTTCTTTGTTTGTTGAAGTAATAAAAGGCGGTTGAATCTAGACGAAACTCAGTCTTTGCAGTCTCGAAAAGGAAGCATCAGTCAAAGAAGTTCACTAGGAAAAGTTGGAAGATTCTTGCAGGTACATGGTGATTGTTAGTTTGAACAGCTTTTGGCTTGATCTTTGGCTTTGTAAACAAATTTACTGATCGCTGTGTTGATTTGAATAGCGTGGGAAGACGTTAGTGAGTGGAGCCATATTCTTGCCGATTATTACTGGTTGATCTTGTATATTTCGATTGAAAATGTCCAATGCAAGTGAGTTGTTACTTTAATTTAGTTTTTCCTTGCTTATTTGATTTCAGAACGAACTACGGCGCCGAAAGATGGGGAAGGAGAAACGTAAAGGCTTGCTCGCAGCGAGTAATAGGTATTATTATTCATATCATACTTTTGTTGTCAGATGATGAAGGATCGTCGCAGCATCAGATGTTGAAGAATCGTCGCAGGATCAGATGGTATGGTATGGTATGGTATGGTATGATATTGCTACCTAAGTGATATTTGTGACTTGAAAATTAGTGTCATATCATTGTGATAAAGTATCGTTGCAGGATCAGATGTTGAAGGATCGTCGCAGGATCAGACGGATCGTCGCAGCATCAGATGTTGAAGAATCGTCGCAGGATGAGATGATATGGTATGGTATGATATGGTATGGTATGGTATGGTATGATATTGCTACCTAAGTGATATTTGTGACTTGAAAATTAGTGTCATATCATTGTTATAAAGTATCGTTGCAGGATCAGATGTTGAAGGATCGTCGCAGGATCAGTGATGAATTAGATGTTGAAGGAGCGTCGCAGGAACATTGATAAATTAGATGTTGGAGGAGCATCGCAGGATCAGTGATGAATTAGATGTTGGAGGAGCGTCGCAGGATCAGTGATGAATTAGATGTTGGAGGAGCGTCGCAGGATCAGTGATGAATTAGATGTTGGAGGAGCGTCGCAGGATCAGTGATGAATTAGATGTTGAAGGAGCGTCGCAGGATCAGTGATAAATTAGATGTTGAAGGAGCGTCGCAGGATCAGTGATGAATTAGATGTTGAAGGAGCGTCGCAGGATCAGTGATGAATTAGATGTTGAAGGAGCGTCGCAGAATCAGTGATGAATTAGATGTTGGAGGAGCGTCGCAGGATCAGTGATGAATTAGATGTTGGAGGAGCGTCGCAGGATCAGTGATGAATTAGATGTTGAAGGAGCGTCGCAGGATCAGTGATGAATTAGATGTTGAAGGAGCGTCGCAGAATCAGTGATGAATTAGATGTTGGAGGAGCGTCGCAGGATCGGTGATGAATTAGATGTTGGAGGAGCGTCGCAGGATCAGTGATGAATTAGATGTTGGAGGAGCGTCGCAGGATCAGTGAATTAGATGTTGTGTGAGCTTTGTTTATATTTTTCGTTTTGGTGTGAATCCATTTCATTTGCACAACATGAAGTATTCAGAAAACTAAATTAAAATGGCGGACGCATCAAGAGACAAGAGTGAAGAGTGGAGCTTTATAAAACCATTCAACAATTGTCTTTTAAAAGACAACCAAATAAATATTTTGAAAAACAACCACTGGAAGTTATCTCCTGTAAGATTGTCGATTTTATCTAAGTTTGAGATACTGTGTATAATTATTTTTACAGTGATTGTTGGATGATTATTAAATTTGGATAAAAGATTATACTCAGATAATGATTTTGTTTATAAAATACCTTCGTACTCTGTTCTAATATTGCAGGATTCAGATTTATGAGCAAGATAATCATGCTTCCATGGTCAAAGTAGCTCTTCTGAGTGTGTTTCATCATCGACATCAATGCCATGTGGGTCAACATCACTGAATGAAACTGCTTCAATACGAAAGCTTACAAGTGAAGATATAGATAGAAGAGGATTTTGATGGCGAGTATGGTTATCGAATGATTGAACTTTCAAACCTAGCAAGTGCATTTCAGTCCTTGCATAATTGGGAATTAGGCGGAGAGTTGAAAGTTACCGATGATGAGTCTTGTAGATATGGAAATAGCACAGTCATTGTTGAGTCAGATATTGCAGAGATTGCTGTGAGTTATGATAGCACATGGTCTAAGTGCGAGGGTTCACCGCAAACTTTGGAATTGATTTTGTTATTTCGGTTGACACAGGTGAGGTTCTTGAGTCTTGACTATAGTTTTTAATCCAAATTATCGAAGTTTGACATGTATGCATTATTGATAATTGGTGATAAAGTTGCCAACCTTAGTATAAATTAATATATGCTAATCACTGAGTAGCATGTACGCACACAGAACATGAATGTTGGGCTACCTATTGTATTACATGATGTTTCACCATTTGTTCTCTCACTTCTCTGGGCAAAAAAAAAAAAATCCTGAAAATTCAACCACATTCACCACAAAGAAAAACCACGCCTTGTGTTTTAATAAGTCACTGTTGGTATCTTTTTCTTGATTTACTCAACTATATGGATCGCTTCTGACACTTCACCCTCGCAAAATTTCGTAGATGCTTTAATATTTGTATAGTTTAGTATGTTCTTGGTTCAAAAGTATCTTCCACATTTAGTGGTTGCCATAATTTTATAATAGAGAAAACACAGGGTATGTAAACATGTGAAATAAACATGTTATTACTTGATGTGTTTCAGGTAACTCCAATCTTGGGTGTGCTTCTTATCATCTTGGGCTTTATATCTGTTGTTTGAACCTGTCTAGGGGCAAATTGAAAAGAGTCAGGGTGATATTGTTGCAGACAAGGATGTTATCATTCGTCGTTCATGGTTGAATGATGCGAAACATATGTTACGCTAGTAGGTGATTTTTAACAACAGATGTTGCTTACTGCAGGATGAACTGTTTAGAACTGACAGAATTATCCAGTGCAAATATAGTTAGTTTGTGTAGCTTTCCTGCTGTAGTAACACTGAATCAAAAAGAGATGATCCAGTATGCCATTCCTTGTTATGTATGCCCTTGATCCTAGCTTCAAAATATATTGTTCTTTCTTATGTAAGTTAAACATGTATATCTAAAATTAAACATATATTTAATATTTCCGTAAAGACATTTCTATCATATAAGTGTTAGCAATTGTCTTGTTTCTTTGTAGATACAGACAGAGCCACAGCATCGGCAGTCCTTATATTGTGGGTTTGGTATGTAATATACAATTTCTTTTACCTAAAACAATGAATCACCGACACGCCCACCTCATCTAATTATGACGTCACTTCCGGTCCACCGGCCTTATTTCGCTACTTCCTTACGCTTTGACTTTTTACTTCCGGTTTTTCGATAGGCGTGGTCGGACACGCCCACTTAATCTAATTATGACGTCACTTCCGGTCCACGGGCCTTATTTCGCTACTTCCTTACGCTTTGACTTTTTACTTCCGGTTTTTCGATGGGCGTGGTCGGACACGCCCACTTAATCTAATTATGACGTCACTTCCGGTCCACGGGCCTTATTTCGCTACTTCCTTACGCTTTGACTTTTTACTTCCGGTTTTCGATGGGCGTGGTCGGACACCCACTTAATCTAATTATGACGTCACTTCCGGTCACGGGCCTTATTTCGCTACTTCCTTACGCTTTGACTTTTTACTTCCGGTTTTTCGATGGGCGTGGTCGGACACACCCACTTAACCTAATTATGACGTCACTTCCGGTCCACGGGCCTTATTTCGCTACTTCCTTACGCTTTGACTTTTTACTTCCGGTTTTTCGATGGGCGTGGTCGGACACACCCACTTAATCTAATTATGACGTCACTTCCGGTCCGCGGGCCTTATTTCGCTACTTCCTTACGCTTTGACTTTTTACTTCCGGTTTTTCGATGGGCGTGGTCGGACACACGCCCACTTAATCTAATTATGACGTCACTTCCGGTCCACGGGCCTTATTTCGCTACTTCCTTACGCTTTGACTTTTTACTTCCGGTTTTTCGATGGGCGTGGTCGGACACACCCACTTAATCTAATTATGACGTCACTTCCGGTCCGGGGCTTATTTCGCTACTTCCTTACGCTTTGACTTTTTACTTCCGGTTTTTATGGGCGTGGTCGGACACACCCACTTAATCTAATTATGACGTCACTTCCGGTCCGGGCCTTATTTCGCTACTTCCTTACGCTTTGACTTTTTACTTCCGGTTTTTCGATGGCGTGGTCGGACACACCCACTTAATCTAATTATGACGTCACTTCCGGTCCGCGGGCCTTATTTCGCTACTTCCTTACGCTTTGACTTTTTACTTCCGGTTTTTCGATGGGCGTGGTCGGACACACCCACTTAATCTAATTATGACGTCACTTCCGGTCCCGGGCCTTATTTCGCTACTTCCTTACGCTTTGACTTTTTACTTCCGGTTTTTCGATGGGCGTGGTCGGACACCCCACTTAATCTAATTATGACGTCACTTCCGGTCCGGGGCCTTATTTCGCTACTTCCTTACGCTTTGACTTTTTACTTCCGGTTTTTCGATGGGCGTGGTCGGACACGCCCACTTAATCTAATTATGACGTCACTTCCGGTCCGGGGCCTTATTTCGCTACTTCCTTACGCTTTGACTTTTTACTTCCGGTTTTTCGATGGGCGTGGTCGGACACGCCCACTTAATCTAATTATGACGTCACTTCCGGTCCGCGGGCCTTATTTCGCTACTTCCTTACGCTTTGACTTTTTACTTCCGGTTTTTCGATGGGCGTGGTCGGACACGCCCACTTAATCTAATTATGACGTCACTTCCGGTCCGCGGGCCTTATTTCGCTACTTCCTTACGCTTTGACTTTTTACTTCCGGTTTTTCGATGGGCGTGGTCGGACACGCCCACTTAATCTAATTATGACGTCACTTCCGGTCACGGGCCTTATTTCGCTACTTCCTTACGCTTTGACTTTTTACTTCCGGTTTTTCGATGGGCGTGGTCGGACACACCCACCTAATCTAATTATGACGTCACTTCCGGTCCACAGGCCTTATTTCGCTACTTCCTTACGCTTTGACTTTTTACTTCCAGTTTTTCGATGGGCGTGGTCGGACACGCCCTCTTAATCTAATTATGACGTCACTTCCGGTCCACGGGCCTTATTTCGCTACTTCCTTACGCTTTGACTTTTTACTTCCGGTTTTTCGATGGGCGTGGTCGGACACGCCCACTTAATCTAATTATGACGTCACTTCCGGTCCCGGGCCTTATTTCGCTACTTCCTTACGCTTTGACTTTTTACTTCCGGTTTTTCGATGGGCGTGGTCGGACACACCCACTTAATCTAATTATGACGTCACTTCCGGTCCGGGCCTTATTTCGCTACTTCCTTACGCTTTGACTTTTTACTTCCGGTTTTTCGATGGGCGTGGTCGGACACCCCACTTAATCTAATTATGACGTCACTTCCGGTCCGCGGGCCTTATTTCGCTACTTCCTTACGCTTTGACTTTTTACTTCCGGTTTT